TCTATGGAATGACCCGTGAGAGCGCTTTCATAGATACACGTCGATGTGGTTTTCACTGGGGCATTGTACTCAAGAGGCTCAGAATGGCTCCCCTCAATATCTAACACACATTCTGGTTTGTAAAGAGATGAGCAGCAGGAGCTCTGAGTGTGGTACAGCAGTACAGACCAGTGTTTGGCTGTTTTATGAACCTATATTAGGTTGGACAATTGTGCACCAAGCCCTCAAATTATCTACATCATTGTACAAGCCTTCATAAATTTTTGCGGTATTTCTACTATTTTACTGAGGGAGTGTAGCCCCAAAAACAGTGGAGCTGGAACTCGGCAGAGCATTTGTGTGGCCCGAGTGGCACGCGAAAGGGCACGCGTCGATTACGTAATCTGGGACCCCGAGAACCTGTCAACGTTCCTGCGAAGGTCGAGGACGCAAGCCGAAGAGCGAATCCTGAAATTAGACCTGATACACCAGGGCAACCGTACCCTAGGTAACCTGACATCCGACGCGCAATCTCAGAGGCTAATTCCCTAGCGACCCATCTATTCATTTCCACCAACTTGTGCGCTCCTTCCAGGTCCAGTGGTTCTAGCGGCATACGCTGACGCCACTGCTACCTTTAGATCTTGTACCGGGTGGCCTTTCGACGGCCCTGTACTAGGCGCGGTGCGTATGCTAAAACCCTTACGGTGCAACATAGACCACTGATTACTCCGTCGAACAGGTAGAATTCTAGAGGACATTCGTCCCGATGAGCCGTCCTCGAGATATATGCTACGGTCGGACATTTTCCGATGTCTGCCGGTCGATACTTCAGTAAAAACGGGTGAGGTAGACGCGGAGCTTGTGCAATCTCGCATTACCCGAATATCTCCAGCCAATCTTCCCTGCAGATTTGTGGTCGTGATTTCGTCATGGCATGTATGCGCATTTTCTTTGCCCGAACCCCGCCCGGTTTCCAGGTCTGTGGGTTCATGGATGCCATTCACTGTGGTGTGGTATGAAAGTTACCAAGTTCAACGTTGAACTTCAACGTCGCCGCTCATCGCCTCCGTCGACCAAGTTTCAGTGTGGTGACTGTGGAGCCGTTCGACATATATAGCATGAAACAACGGTGACTCAACGCTTTCTCGCCGCATCGGGCACAGCTTCCACGGCCACCACATGTTCCTGTTCTTCTATACCCGCTGTCCGTTGGTACTCCGTATTTCGCCTGAGTTGTTACAGTGGGTACGTCAGACTCATCACCCATACAACTGTTCGTACTCACCGATTTAGGAACCAGCGCGCCCTACAGTTGTGTGGAACGACGATGGCAACAACTATGACCCGTCTACGTTTGATTATTTTGACCAGAACGAGAGGATAACTGACACAAGCCTCTTCATCTCAGATTTTATTCCGCCCTCCTCCCACTACTGCCACCATGATTCGTCCACCACCGCTACCGTCGGATTACCACCATAACTCGAGTCAAAGATCGACAACCTAATCTAAGCGCCCCGACCTAATTTCCTAACCAAGCACACGACAAATAATAACTTCACGCTTCCCCGCCACCGACGCTCCGCTCCTTCGTTTTCTGCGATGTTGATATTCCATGGCCAGTCCGCACCGACGCGACTAGCCTAACCGCATTCGTCGCGACCTCCGAAACCATTTCTCGGTGCGACGCGACGGTCAACTTACGGAATCCCGACGACAACACGTTGCACCTTGTGACTTTTTTTCCCGACCGCTCGTGAAAAGTGAAACAGCGCGCAAGGACTTTCCTGGACGCGGCGAGACGGCGAGCAATGATATCTTGTGGACGTTTTTTTGCGATGGAGATACAGGGCCGTGGAAGATTTAGAGTGAAATCGATATACGGTGTCCCTGGAGACATCTCCTGGAGGCTATGAGAAGCGTGAACGTCCCACCCTAGCAGACGGAAAGCCGAGCTGATGTGACTGCATATGCTTCAATTTTTTATCTCAAATTCTTTGCCTTCGATGTAGCGCTTTGAGGTCGATCACTAGTGGCTGAACGTGCTACGGGTCTGCTTACTGAATATTCTTGAAAACTAAATGTCCGAGTCGCTTCTTCAGGATCCGCATCCGTCCTCGTTCAACTATTGAATCAAAAGTACATATACCGCCACACCGCCGACAAACGACATCTCATAAAGCGCCGCCATGCGGTACGACGCCAAGATCCATCGGCATCTAGACAAGTGTATGCTACCAAGCCAAACACTACCCGGAGAGGCGCTTGATCTCGAGGCTTGGGTTCAAGTCTTCGAGGTCGGAATTGATGGACTTCCGAGTCAAGTTTGCCGTGATGCGTCGGAGTACTGGCAGACCCTGCTTGAGAATGAGGTACAAACAACAGCGATTGGAATTCGTGATGCCGACGACAAGCGCCATAGCGGATGAGAGCAAATAATACTGCGAATGATAATTTAAAACATTACAGAATAAAGTAAACGAACGAAGGAGTGGCGGGTGCGAAGCTGCGTTTGAGAACGAGCGACGAATATGATGTGTCCGAGGACAAACAATGGTCCTGGACCACGAGATGCTAAGGTAAAGAGAGAAGAGTCCGAGAGAATTTTATGCAGATGGTGTTACAGTGCATGCAATGGTAATGACAGAAACATCTCGGCGCCGTGCAAGTACTGGTATACGTAGCAAGCGTCCGTAGGAAAAACAAACTGAAACAAAGGAGTGAAAGTAAGGGACGAACAAACCCCGGATGGTAAGGTAAAAAGGGAAAGTGATCAATGATAGTACGAAGTCCGTGCAGAGGGGAAATGAGATGCGACTTGATAACGTGCGATTCGAAGCGATGATCAAGAGCTGGATACGCAATGACGACTGATGGGGAAGGTGAGGAGGAGGTGGTGGTCCCGGTCCGAATCCGAATGCTACTCTCCTTCGACGCGCCCTGACGCGTAGACACGCGCCCCTGTACCGAACCCTCCTACGTCGACAGTGGATTGACCTTCGGATCTTGGGAGTTATGAAGTGCGAAGAACTTCAAGCACGTCATAGCCTCCTGACTTGAGGCGCGAGGAACAGCTGGTGCTTGTAATCTATGCGCCGAGGAGGGTGGTGTGACATCAGAGTCAGAGTCCGAGTCGCAGAAGTTGAGTGGAGGGATGATGATAGGTACGGGGCGGTTATTGGACGACTTGGGTCGGAGAAGGATGGTCTTCTTGCCCCCTGCGCTCAACAGGTACGCAGGAATGGGAGGCACCGGTGGCGGTGGCTCGCGCAAGAACGGAGGAGGCGGCGAGCGCGAGCGAGTGCGTGAGCGGGGTACGGGTGGTAAAGCCTTTGGTGAAATAGAGATGGAGAGATTGCGGCGGTGGTATCCCTTGCCGGGAATATGCTCGCGTGGAGGAGTGACAGGAAGTGTAGGGGGAGATGTTTTCTCGTTCTTGGTACCAAAGTCGCCGCAATCGGGCCACAGGGTAGAATTGAGTTTTGTGGCCCGAGGAAGCGCGTCCATGGAAGGCATAGCTCTGTGAGATGACCTAGGAGGCCTCTGCGGGGTAGATGTTGTAGCGTGAAGCTGTGGTTGCGACCTCTGTCGGTGAACGACGTGGGGTAATGGGAGAGGTGTTGGCAGCAGCTGTGGGGATTCCATGCGAGGTGGCGGTGGCGAGCAAGGGCGGGTAGTGGAAGGCATTCAAGAAGCAAGAAGGAATGCAGGGACTGGCGTGGGGCGGGATGAGGGCGGGGCGCGCTGGGGGAAGAAAGCCATGACGCTGCCGACGTTTATATATGGGTGGAGGAGAGGGACAGCGCTCCTCTTGCGGGCGACAAAAGCATACAACTGTGAGATTCGCCAGATCATCCCGCCAACGCCCGGTCCCGTTGGGCGTTCGTTCTTGCCGAGAAAGGAAGGGGATATGCCTCCGACACCTCCAGCCAATAACGAGCGCCACGACTTGTATTCAGTCCCGGCGCACTGGCGCACCCTTCACGTCCGACGTTTTCGCCATCCCGGAAGCGTCTCTACGCCTGTGGCCCATATGGAGACTGGATCAGGCAGCTACTCCATCATACCTGGACATACACCGCCCAAAATCGCAATTCGTCGTCGATATCGAGTCCGCATACGGCATAAGTACTTTCGCCTCTTTTCGTCCATATATGACGGCTTACCGAGGCAAACACAAGCGTTCGGACGTTCTCTTCGGGATCTGCATCCGTTGAAGACGCCGATGGCTCGAAGTTGGCCTGCAATTTATCCCACTTGTGGTGAGTAGACTTACCTTCTCGGCTTCATACGCCCTTTTTTTATTGTACGATCGCAGCCGCAACGTCTCGCTCTCAAATGGACGGTGAAATTTTCTAGCAAACCTTCCGACGTTCGGTAATGGGCCGCTGTGATGTACGTTTCAACAACATGCTCGATCCTCGTGCAGCCCGACAAGTTTCACACCAGTCAGGGACCGAGTCATCTGCTCTCTGCTGTACGTTTTCTGTTTCTTTTGTTCCACCAAAAGCGCAATATTTCATTGCTTTTCGTTGCGATCACAAGAAGGTAATCAGAGTCCGAGTCAAAGTGCGCGCGAGGCATCATATCGCATGATTCTCATCATTTGAACTGCTTCTCGAGATCGAACTTGCTCTGATAGTCTCTCCAGACGGTGTCCTCGGGCTCAAACCATCGAAAGTCTGCAAAAAAACTTGAGTACTTTCAGTTATTGCTTTTGACGCCCTCCTTCCATTCAATTTTCAAACTGGCAGCATACATGCGGGTGTGCCTTCGGTTGCGTTACGCCCTCGGTTGGCCCTCGGTCTCCTACCGATCTCATGAATCGCTCTCTCTCCTGCCAATACGAAGCCGCGGCAGAGACTCTACGGCGTCTTACTCTGCTCCGACCCTCTGAAAAGCCCCCCTTTTAATCAATATACTTTGCATATGGTCCTGTCTTGCGTCGACTCGTCTCTCTTTGTCATGGCCCTGGTATCTCGGATACTGGCCGTCGTGCGTCTTAGTACAGATAGACTTGCTTTGCGCCTTTCAAACTTCATCAGACGAATGTCCTTCAGCTTTCCGAACCATGTCAATATGTCATCTCAGGCCGCGGTCTGCTCTACTTCTCCTCATAGTACCCTCGTGGTCCCGCTCCTACTCTCAAGCGGTCCCGGTCAGCCATCTGTCAACCTTCCTCTTTCGAAAATCGCTGATCAGGTCAAAGCACTGTAGCAATGACACCCCCGGTCGCACCGTATCACCGTCCTTTATTGACAATATGCTTAAGCATCGTACTCGGACGCGTCGATTAAGAGTTGAATCATTGATCATCGGGATTCTCTTGACTTTGCGGAAGTTCTGGGTAGACCATCCGTTGTGTGTCCGGCTTTTCGTATGGCCACGGATCAACCTTTGGAGGACATGGACACCCGACGCTACCTTATTGTCTGTCGTTATAGGTCGGACGGTCTTGACTCTGCAAAATCAATCTGGTTTCTGCTGTTCCATCGAGACCAGAAAAAGTATTCTCTCGTAACATCAGTCTACCCTCGTTGACTAGTTTTCAACCCCCAACTTTCGTTAATGCCATTATTCCAGGCTTCTGGGATCTGTCGCGATGTTGATGGCGACAAGAACGGCCGGCAATGATGCTTATATCGAAGGATACCCTCTCCTCCGCGGAACCATCCGTTTTGTCAAGCAGATTTCCTCGAACGGTACCCTTACGACTGGCAGGCTTCTGACTGGACTGAAAGTCTATTTCATCTTGGACGGTGGGCCGCGGAAGAGAAGACGACCCATCCTCGGAGTGAGCTCATTCTCTCAGTCTGCATCATGACGAGCATTTGTTGATTCACCTGTTCCAGTACAGTGCGGGAGAGCGGGAGTGTAGGGGTGCCACACCTCGGTCACATACCCCCGGAGATATCACGTCAACTGGAGAGTTTACTGGAAAGGAACCTTCTGTTCGAGCATCATAATGAACTTTTATTGATTCACATGTTGGAGTACAGTGCGGGGGAGCGGGAATACCACACCCCGACCTCGGCCACATCCCCCCGGAGAAATCTCTTGAACAATGCATCAACTCGAGAGTTTACTGGAAGGAAACCTTCTGTTCGTTCTTCAAAGCTTCATATCATCAATCATTTGTCTGGCACGTCCCGCTGTTCTTGTGAGGTTGATTGCTGCAGTTTTGGGGTGTTCCGCTCCGTGGTACAGATAGTTGAAGTTGAACTGCAGTGACGGTCAATCAGGTTCAGCGTGTGGCGCAAGAACGATGCCACGATCTTTGTTTGATCTTAATAAGTTCTCTCCCCAGGTGGCCCTAGACTCTCGAACCATAGAGATCACGCTGTTTTTCTCTTCCAGAGGTGCTGGATTGGCTTCTCGACAGTTCTTCTGGCAACCAATGCTACATCCTTTTGTTGAGTCTCGTATATTATGGCCGAACTATGTGTGGCACAAGAGAGCTCACTACTAACGTGATGGCTATGGATTGGGTCTCCGCGACTGGCTCGATTTACACGTCGTCGGAGTCGACCCCATGAACGTCATATGTAGCGAAGTTCAACTCAGGGCAGACGTCGACATAAGTAAAACTTCGATAGTACGAGGTTCGTGAGGAGATGGCATATCATCTACTCCATGCAGTGAGGACCGTCTCCACAGCATTCGAGGTGTTGTAGCAATAAAAATGTGGTGACGTTCATCGTGTGGCACATAAGAGGCCCCAGGAACACATAAGTACCTGAACCTAGTCAGTGGTGGGGTACCCACCAAGCGTTCGTCATTGTGGAGCACCACAACGTTTTCCAATGAGACGATCTGGCCCACGAAACGAATGGAGTGGATGTGTGGCATATAATTGAGCACAGCGAAGATACGATAAGATGTACACAAACAGAAGGAGATAATGATACACGATACAGCACAAATGCAAATAGGAAAGGAATGCGAATGAATAATATAACGATAAGCATCGAATGCAGAGGCATGACGCTTTCAGAAAATCGAAGGGAGTTATAGAGACAAGTGTCCTCGGTTTTTGGCCGGCGAAGTAGATGGGGATGGGACGAGAGAGGATACTAAGAGCGAGTTGGTGGAGAGGGGGTGGGGAGGGTGGGTGCACGAGCGCGACGTCGAAACAGACGAACTAAAAAAAACAAAAGCAAAAAGGATAGAAGGAGGGTTGATATTTGGAGTATGGGAAAGGACTGTGTTCGTTTTCAAAGTTGGAACGAATGGGACCGCTTGCAATGGAAAGCGGGGTATCGGATTGGTAGGTATTGAAAGTGAGCACACCCGGTGTGAATAGCCAGTTTATAGATATGCGGGGGTGTTCGTTTGTTGGTCGATCGGGTGAGCGATAGATGAACACCGTCGACGAGATGATGATGGGGTACTGAGGAGGCGGGGTACTCGGTCGACGACCGTGACAGGTGGCGACGGAGCGTTATCTTAACTATATCGCGGCTTAGGGCAACGAATTTGTGCGCTGAATCGGAGGGCAAGGATGGTTTCTGATGTGACTGTAACTCAGAGGGTGCAAGGTGAGCACCGGCGAGGTGGAGTCGATCGAGAGATGGGAAGGTGATCGGGATAAAACAGAAACGCGACTCACTCGTGGTCATGCCATGCTCTTTACAGGCTTATACCGCCAAACAATCTCCTCCAGCAGTCCGCCAGGTCGAAGTCAGACAGGAAGCTGGAACCCTGAGGTTGCTTCTGCGGCGTTTTATCATCCTCCTTCGCGTCCTCGTCCACACTTCCCACAATCGTGGCACCATCCATGCTGTCTGCGTCGTGATCGGAGTCAGAATCGTAGGAATCGGTGGTAGCGACGCTGCTGCGTCGAGTGGAGGGAGTGGAAAGTCTTGATGGTGAGGGCGACGATGGTAATGTCGATGGCCCAGCCATACTTTGACGGAGATCAGCGTACATGTTCTTATGGCCCAAAATCAGCTCAAGCACACGTATGGAAGCGGATTGTCGTCAAGAGCGAGAATGAGATGTGATGCTCACGAATTGATCCCTGGGGTTCTGTCCAAACATGCCGAACGCGTTGGGGCCAGCGGTAGCAGTGGGGAAAAGACTCGTCCACATTGTAGTTACGCTGTCAGGGATGCAACTGAATATGCAGGATCACCAGTCGTCTCCTAGAAGTCCTAACGACCAGAAGTTTAACAGACAGGGAGACGAGCTTGGAGTGTCGCGGTAGTCGTCTTGCAGAAGGGCAGAGACAGACGGTGAGAAGAGGGCGACAGCCAGCAGAATGTATATATCGTGCCGTGCGCAAAGATTCAAGAAGCGCTGGGGGACGTGCTAGACGGAATCAGTGCACCCTTTCAAACACTGCCTTTTTCGGTGAGGCGGCAGACTCGGCTGGGCCTGAGGCTAAGCACGAGGCCTACGTGCGACGAGCCTCGAAATCGTCCGGGGATAGACATTTTCTGGACTACTGAGCAACTTCATCAGGCAGGGGGGGACAAGGAGCGACGAGAAGGCGTTGACTGCAGGTCCGTTTCGCTGAGTGAAGGTTCTTATATCTCTCAAGAGGGAGCGAGAACAAAAAGACAATAAAGCGACTTGGTGGAACGTGGGATGAGGGCGTCGTCGGCTGACCACGTCGCGAACTTGCCCAAATATGGGAGTTCCTATATTTGGATACTTCTTCTCGTCGGTTGTTGAGCTTACGTCAATGGCATGTGGGACCCACACCGGAACGACATAATTAACTCTAGCTTTTTCTTTTTGAATTCGTCCGTATGTACTACTCGCCACAACAAACGGGGGCCGCTCAGCAATCAGGACGGATCGGTGTGGCCCTTAGGTAGTGTGGCCACGAATCCATCCGTGCGAGTACCCTATCCGCCAGAGCAGGATAAAATTCTCTACTTGGTGCAATTCCTTGGTTGTCACCTTCGTTTCGCGCATTTATGGTCGACCGTCCAGGTATGCAATGCTAAGTATTTCGCCGTTTTCCATGGACACGCAGGTCAGGTTTTGCGTCTTTGTATTTCCAGCTTCTCCCGACAACCTTGCGGCGCTCGTATTCCCTGGTGCCCGTACGGTTTTATAATTGTTAACTTCCAGATGAATATATACTCGCCCTAAACTCGTTGATATCTCTCAAGGCAGTAAAGAGTCACCTCGAGACCGACATCATGCTGGCTGGGGACCCTTGTCTCTTCTCGTAACTTCTGAATTATTAGTGACTTGACAAGCGACACCGTGGCTGGTGCTTCCGATACGCGTGGACATTGCGCGCCTCGAATGGCGACGTAGACCTCACAACGATACTCTCAGTAATATCTCTTCCTTGAATAATTTCAACGCGATACGATTTGACGTCCTATGAAGTTCTCCGATAGTGACCTATGTGGCAGCGACGCCATCACGAATTCGACCTCTGTGTTCTCGACTTTCTTGTCGGCAGATGTTGGAAGGGGATAGATGACAAGTAGTCTTCTCTCAGCGCTCCTACTCATCACGAAGACTCAGTGCTATCGGCACCAACCGAGAAGGCTTGGACATCATCCTGGATACTCTAGCTTTTTGGCCTCCGACGAATCCTACTCTCAATAGATAGACGACCACAAGTACTAGTCGAGCGACTTTTTCCAATCCACCACGGAATCTGGAGCAAACTGACCGTTTTCCATCTTGCCAAATACCATAATTGCTGAAACTTGGTGTCATTTCCATGTTCTGTCTACTTATTCGATTTTTCAGGCGAGATCATGGCCGCCTGAGCCTGTTTTTGGAATGCACACGCTGGACAACATGACCCTTCCTGGTTCCATGGCCACCACCTTTGTATGGTCGCCATATTCCTCTCCATTGCGTCAGAGAAGGACGCAACTCAGTCCAGCCTGTCGACCTCGTCATCTTGCGTTATCGGGACCTCTAATCATTTTGGGTCACCTCGAGCAGAGTATTGCCCACTCTGAAAGCTTTGGACATCCGAACCATCTAGTGTCCTCTGTATCGCGTTCCTGTGCGCATGGTCGTTCAGCACGTATGACAGCCATTTGTTTCTTGCATATGGAAGTGAGCAGCGGCCTCTTTCCTTGCCATTCTTCTATCACTCAACGAGGCATAGTCTTTCTTGCAGCGGACAGTACAGCTCCGATGATATCGCTACGTTGCGAGCTGCAGATCACTCACGACCTGGCCGTTATTTCATATTTTCTTACCTCCGCCTCTTGTCCCTCAGAAAAAGAAAAACAGAGTAGGTTATCTCCCTTGAATTTTGAGTTGGCTTGCGTTCTAATCAGACATGTTCCGTCCTTCGACGTTCAACATGTCAACATTCCACGCGAGCCTGGTGAGAACTTCGATGCTCCTGACGAAGATTGTCATGTGGAATTGTGGTGATAACTCGACTCCGGTGTCGCAATAGGCAGGTGATTCTTACTTTAAAGGGAACAATAGACCCGGTCCGGGAATGTTTCTTCTTCAGAGCACCATTCGGGAAGACTTGCGATTGAGACGGGTCGGTGAGCCTGATGTATAAGTCTTCGATAAATAATACTTGCTGATGATACATTGTCTTCAAAAATAAAATTATCACCGTTACCAAACGAATCTACCAACTCGGACGCTTACCTTGGATGACTTTCCTGTGCTATTCCGATCGACTCCACTGACGCTGAGCAGCACTTTAAGGCACTATAGCGTGCCAGGACTTCCGGCCTCGAGACCAACCAGCCTGAAGACCTTCCTGGGCGCAGTTGGCCTTCGAAGCTCCCGTTTCGCATGGCTCGCTTATCAGAAGCTGATCATCTTCCCGACTAACCACGCTTTGAGGAATGCTCTAGAATGATTTGCGCTCGCCATCTCCGGATTACAACTGTCGTTTCTCGTTGCTGTGTTCTATCTTGCAATCCGTGGAAAATCTTAGGGTTGCGCCGGTGCCAGTATTAGTTACTGCGACGGAATCTTTTCACGTTGCTCTGTAACTTCTGACAAGAGACTCAGATGGCTCCCGACAAGGCGCCATAGATGACGAAGGGCTAGTAGCTAGAGTGTCTATACACCGAAATCTATCCCCTTTGGTCCGTTATCTAGCATACTGAGCGGGTGACTGACATGTGGGAGTTCACGATGCTCATCTGCCATGATTTCGAGAAGCGGGTGTACCATGCTGACCTCCGTCCATTCGCCTTTCTCAGGTTCCCCAGGACGGTATAAAAGTGTCACAATACTCTGTCTTCTCTCTCCAGCTCAAGGTTCTACTTGATCCCCAACCCCCTCTCGAGCCAACGTTCGTCTGTCCTCTCAGTTCTCGTCAAGTAATCATGGTTGCCATCACTTCGTTCATCGCCCCGGTGCTCCTCGCCACTGCCGCTGCTGCTCTTCCCAGCCGCAGTGAGCGTCTTCAAGCTCGTCTCGGTCGTCGTGCTGCCGGCACGCACCAGTCGCAGCCCAAGCAACTCATCGAAAACCCGGTCACCACCGTCAGCAACGTCTCCCATGTGGATTACAGCTCTAACTGGGCTGGCGCGGTCTTAGTCGCCAACTCCGTTCGTCTTTTCTCCCGAAGTTGAACCGTCGGAGAATGATACTAATCTAGCGGGGCGTTCTTTTTTTCAGGCCACCTACAAGTCTGTTACCGGAACCTTCACTGTCCCCACTCCCTCGAAGCCTTCCGGTAGCAGCTCGGGCAGCTACTCTGCCTCCGCCTGGGTCGGTATCGACGGCGACACGTGTGGCACTGCCATCCTCCAGACCGGTGTTGACTTCACCATCTCCGGCAGCTCAGTCTCCTTCGATGGTAAGACTACATAGTGATCACTCTGTCGCAGCATATCGATTGATTCACGCTATCTCATATTGCACAGGCTGGTACGAGTGGTACCCTGACTACGCCTACGACTTCTCCGGCATCACGTTCAGCGCCGGCGACGTCGTCACTCTCACCGTCACGGCTACCAGCACCAAGGCTGGCACTGCTGTCATCGAGAACGTGACCAAGGGCAAGACGGTCACCAAGTCTATCACCTCTACGGCTGCGCTCTGCGAGGAGAACGCTGAGTGGATCGTCGAGGACTACGAGGAGGGCAGCTCTCTCGTTCCCTTCGCCGACTTCGGTACCGTCACGTTCACCAACGCCGAGGCGACTACCTCCTCGGGCACGGTCGGTCCCTCAGGCGCCACGATCATCGACATTGAGCAGAGCAACAAGGTTTTGACTTCGGTCTCGACCACGTCTTCCTCCGTTACTGTCAGTTACGTTTGAGAGGACATACTGAGAGGGCTTTTACACAAGAACAAAACGTATGCTGTGAAGTTTTTCTGCTCCCCTTCCCTTCAGGTTTCGGGCTTTTTCACACTACATTGACTGACATCGACTCTCTTATGGATCACAGGGCTACTTTGGGCAAAATCCGTGTGTACGAAAGAGTGTATGGGTTTCGTTTCTTTTCTTTGGGTCGCAATCGTTGGTTTTAATTGAATGACATGTAACGTGCGAAACGGGCCTCAAGTCGAATGTCGATCTGTTTGTTTGTTGAACTAACTCATGTTGCGGGTGCAGTGCGGTGAGGTCGTTCTACACCGGGAATCTACGGATCGATAGCCCTAAGCTACTTATGAGTATGATCCTGCCGTGTTGGAACCTCATATATATCTCCGACCTCCCGCCCTGGGTGGGAGGTATAAACACCGATCCGGCTTTTGAATGAAATAGCGTGGCAAGGCTCATCCGCCGAGACGTGTGGCGCGTTCTATGTATATAATATCGGATCGGGTCAGGATCATCAAGGCTAAGTACCGTGCATTGTAGGCGTCAGTTAATTTATGGATCTCCGTAAGGACCCAAGAGGAGCCTCGAACACGAAGTCCGTAGCAAGTCGCGCCCTGTCCTTGCCCTGTCCCGTTCTTTCCCTCGAGCTCGGAAGGATCACTGCTGATCATATGCATCGCTTTGATGGCTTTGAATCGGGGGGAACGCCTTCTTCGTTCGTTCTCGGGAGCGGGCTTATTACTGTACGGAGTTCACGCGGCAGACGAAACACACTCATCGAGGAGGGTTTGGCTGTGGGTCAGCCCGGCGCCCTGTGGAGGATCAAGACATAATCGTATTGACCAACACCGTTACAACTCCGCGATGTGAACATGATGTGAACGCAGTATCGAGGCATATGAGCTACTTGTACACGAACACGAAACACGACAGGGATAATGATCCACGTAACTGAGGGTTCGTCAAAACAGGCGAGAGAAGAACATGCTGAGTAGCGTCGGTCCCGGTCGGGCTCGAAGCATGGTGGGTCCTTCGGTGGAGCTCAATGGGAGTAAAGATGGACAAAGATAAACTGGCTAGAAGCCGGACTGTCGAGACGTGATTGATCAGTTACAGGGTCACTTCAGGGTGTGGGGGAGAATGGGCTGTGCGTAGTTGATGTTATGTATTCAAAGCCGACCCCGTCTCGCTCCACCGGATGGTCAATTGGGACACTGCGAAGCGCGAAATTAGTCAAGACGAATTAGGCGAGGAAAGAAGTAGAGAGGTGCGAAAGAGGCCGGGAAGAGAAGCGGGAACACTGACGGTACCGGCGGCGAAGGTGGCGGTAAAGTCGCGATGGAGAAGCTTTAGTTGTGTACGTGAGATCAGCAAGGCTTATCCATATTCACCGGTCGTGACTTGGAAGCGGTTGGTTGTTGGAGTAGCGGTGACGTCTATGAGGAAAATTCAAGCAATGATGTGGCCCGACACATACCGGCAGAATCCCATCGCTCCGAGAGTTGGGCCATAAAATTCAGGTCGGGCTGATCCAAATCCCCATCGTGTGGACCTCGGGTCTCATTCACGTATGATAGATGGACCTGTTGTGAACGCGAGATTCCATAGCTCGAAGGCCTCCGTGGTTCTTCGTCATGGATGACTCGGTTCTCCTGCGGAAAGCAAGGCAAGAGACAAAAATACATCCATCGGGAGCGACTATAAGCAGAGAGGATGAGAGATACAATGAATCATCAGCATGAGGAAACCCTAAAGATCGAGGATATGGATGAAAGACCGACAATGACCGTGCATACCAACTCCCATACGTTCATCCAAGCAGATCGCAGACTAATAACCTTGGTCCCATCCAGAATAGGACTTGTCCATGCTTGAGGACGAGAGTGTGATCGTCAATATGCGACCGGGAGCTGACAGACGACACGCGAAGTGAATCTCCTCAGCCCTTTGCCCAAACATTCGATAGCGCTCCCATGATCCATCATGATGACGATGGCGAACAAACCGGTCTTCTCCAGGAGGATCATGGCATAGAACTGTCAACAGTGAGCTTCGGCGAATGAGAATCGAGAAGCCCTCGGCTTTCAAAACAGAGTGAGAGAGGGAGAGATGTCGACGTCGATGGATGGCACTCCCGAGATCGAGTGACCTCGATTGCGATTATATGAAGCTTCGAAGACGAAGCGAGCACGAGCAGATCTTCGATGAAAAAACCGGGACGACCTCAAGTAGAAACCATTCCCGGGCCCTCGGAAATTCCAGCATCCCATGTTCGAGCAAATGGGATGGGGCCAGGATTGGGGCCCTTTCCTGTAGACGAGGCAGCGGTGACCGATGAGAACTAGACCATGCGAAGGAAGAGGCGGTCTAAATCGCGAGGTCCTCTTCAGGAGTTTCAATCTTTGATCAAGTTTAGAAGTGAGGACGGGCCCTACCGTAATAAGGTCTAGTAAACCGTCACTCGCCCACGAAAAAAGCTCGACGCAGATCGACGTCGTGGCTAACATGCGATATTAAGCCTAGACTGTCACTGCCACCGACAAGGGCGAAATAAAGTCGATCTGGTGCTTGGTCGAATGGATAGTGTCAGCGTTTGAGGGGGTTGGAGGATAGAGGGGGGACGCGCATACCTGAATTACGCGCGCCTCATGCCCATACACGCACAAAGGGCCCAGCGGACGACCGAATCGGAACTTGACGGATTCATGTCGAAAACACTAGAGAAAGGGACTCGAAGACCAGACGGGGCTCCTAAATCAGGCATGATATATTATAGCCGTAGCTTCTCGTCTGACGGACCTTTTATTGAAGACGGATGCAAAGGTCATCACATTCAGGAGTTAGCTCTAGAGCTGAAGATCAAGAATCAGAAGGGAAAAGAATTGGAGGGAGAAAGAAAATTTACCAGGCAGAACGAAGGGAAGCCGTTCATGATGCATGAACGCGGAGACACCGCACTGCGCACCGCGAGGACCTTGATGGGATAAAGAAAAAAAAAACTTGAGCGGCCTGGCTGGGCTGGGACGGTGACCAGGACAACAGAAAAAACTCAGGTTGAATGTTGTCGTAAAGTCAAACACCGTACAAAGTTACCCATACCAACAGGTGCACGCCGACGTGCCCTTGAGCTGGTTGATTTTCCGACCAGTGCCACTCACGACGGGTGTTGACACGTTTGAGGATTCTACGGGCGGCGGCGGGATTCATTTGAGATCGGCGTCGACGTACCAAGTACCAATGCCTTACTATAAAAAGTAGTCGTTGGAAGGGCACTACGCCAAATTGCGCATCGTGTTGCGGTGATGAAGACAACGAGGCTTGATGGCTTGAACAAGTTTTTGCGGCGGGCCGTGGCGTAACGTGTTTGACCACGAACGATGCCCGGAGGAAGATGGGCCTATGGAAATATGAAAGAGGAGTCAGCGTGTTGCGTATAACGACGTAAAGTGGGATCAGGATCGGAAGGTCAAAATTGGCTGGACGTAGATAATCGTTCTACGCCACACTGGCATGTCCGTTCTGGACGCCACATCCTACTACAGGTGACACGGCTCAAGTTGTTGAGATTGTGCTAGCTCAGGTGTGAGCGTAGCGGATCTTGAATTCAAAATCTTAGAGGGTTCGTTCGCTCCAAACGTCATGCATGGAACTCACGAATAATATGTGCGCCACAACTATGAAATCTCCCGCGTTCAAACGGGTCAGTGCCACGGAAAATCCACAGGCCGAGTTACGGATGCTGTCTGAATGGTGAGGGGCTCAAAGGGGCTCAAAGAGCATCGCAGTCCGACTGGTTACGACGATGACCGTCCAGGCTGAACGTCGGGGGGTCTGGCCCCGGCCTTCGTAACTTTGAGTTGTAGACATCACAGCGGGGGTTCACGACGACGACAACACCTTGAGCCTCGAACGCACCCCACTCGTAACTTACTTACTTAGATGAAAACTGAAATGAAAGGAGAGGATCAGTCCGTTACAGTCGTCGGGATGTCACTTACGGAGTGGAGGAACGGTCGGTGCACATGAATGAAGGGAGAAGGAGGAAGGGACATGAGTTGGATGATGATGCATGATGCGGAAACCTCGTTGTGCTCAGCATTGCTGAAGAGCGCTTCATCGGGCGTAAGGACATTGCGCCCCCACTAAGTTATCGTGACCGTGACCGACCAAGAGTCGGAACGGGGAACAACGCCCAGTGTAGTGTACTTAGTACTGTATGTTACCGGCGATGGTATGTCGGTCGGACATGGATGGCTTGAAGGAGATCGGGGAGGGGAGGGGGCGTGACCAGTGGTTTGTCCTTCGGGGATAACGACGGTTAATTAATATTGAAGATTCAGATGTAGGCAAGTATGTACACTGTAGGCATGACGACTTGACTTGAGATATGAACTCACCGTGACCTCCCTACCGTAGTGTGTGTACTTGAAACAATGAATTCCTATAATGTGCTCAGCCTGGACCACTGCCGTCACACATCGCTCTGTAACGGGGGGTCCATTGACACAGCACCGACGCACGACACGATTCAGAACAAGGCCGCCAACAAGGACAAGTCAGGACCGACGCCGTCGCGGTTAACGACCAGACTCGGAGATAAGTACAGTTAGTTACAGGCCTTAGAGACATGCTGTAACTAAACCTGTAACACGGTCACGGTCCTCCTGAAGGGGCACCACCACCGCTCGGATGACGAGGCCTCGACACCGCGACGGAGAAGGTAATCAGGTCGCGTTTGAATCGACGATCAAGGTGCAACATGAAGATGCCCCTTGTTGGGTAATGATGCTGTATAATTTAAGCATCGCGTGTCGATGAAACAACGATCACGGAGGAGGACTGCAGTACTTAGTGTCAAGGGGAACGCCTGATTCGCTGGGTGAACGTATGCGTGCAGGAGTTGAAAGGTGGACAGTACCAACACGAAGGTGACGCCTCCAGGTTTTCAATGCTGAGTGGCATCAACCACAACGTCAACTTGCCCACTCCCAAGTTCCAAGCACCCATTCCATCAGTCACCCGTCCGAGTCATCTCCATTATTAGACCGCAAAGCGGCCGACTTCTTCATCCGAGTCATACTGCATCCAAACATAACATTCGAGCTTCCCTTCCATACTACACACATACCACGTCATCGGCACTTCGTCGCAGCCGTATGTCATGGTACGCGCTGTGCCAGTGATAACCGCAACGCAACAACGCCGGCAATCATGATCATCGAAATATCGGACGACCGCATGCACGCACGTACGCATACGACACGACACGACTGCGTGCAGATGCTGAAACGGTCGATCGACTGGGTGTGTGTGTGTGTGCAGGTCGGTGGTCGCTGGTAACTTACTTAGCGGAGGAGAACGGGCGAGTAGAAAGATTTTGAGTATTGGAGACCGTGAAACGCACGAAAATGATTCAGTACATCCACAATGCCAGTGAGCATTGGGTCACTGAACGAGGGCGAGGACGTGGTTGGTTGGTTTGTGGCGGGCAGCGGGCTCGGTTGGCGTCACTGGGCGCCTGCGAGAAATCGGGCGTGTGGTGGGTCCAGGGTACCGTAAGCAGGGGTAAGCGTAGCTGTATGTAAGGAAAAAAGCGGGTGCGATCGTCGATGGATATTGAAGATCGGGAGAAGGTGACCTGAAGTGACGTTACAGGGCCCGTGTCGTATACGTATCGTGTTCGATGGCAGTGTGTTCAAGTTGTACGAGATATTTCCTGGTACAGTAGGTCAAGTTGTGGGTCCTCGAATAAGTAAGTTACTCGGAGATGGAAGGAATCGGAGAGCCCAATAAGCTTTCAATCTTTCAAACGCACAAAGACCGGGTCGGAGAGAGAACGAGAACGACAGCGAACAAAGGACAAAGACAAATCCGATTCTGTCAAGATAAAGTCTCCTATCGATGGGCCGAACGAACGAACGGAAACGATGAAATCGGGCACTAGGCATGCCGGTGGCGCTGCTAAAGAACATGCGCCGTACGATCACTCTCCCCAGCCCCCGACTTTGCAACTTTGCATCCAGGGGGTCCACTTTCACCTCCTGCAGCAGCAGCAGCAATTGCGGCCGAATTTAAATGCAGGAACGTCTGTAAGTATGTGCTTACGCGGCGCCGAGAAAGAAGCCGTTTGCATCTCGCGATTCGGGAGTTTTGGGCCATGCAATCAATATGCGTGCGTGCTCTTTCATGATGTTAGAAAAGAAGCGAGAATTTGATATTGGGATATTGGAAGAGGACTACGTATGGTGCGAAGCACTTAGTCACCGCATATAATATTCAACCGCCAAATTTGTGCCCGGGAGGTCGAAATTCCAGTTTATTGAAAGAAAATTCCTGGAGCATATTAAAAAAACCCGGGACTCTCATAAATAATAAACAATTCTATTAAATATTAATTGTTTGGCAGGAGAAATCGAAACCCGCCAAATCTGGTGGGTGGGAACTTTGAAAGTCCCTCAGTTTTAATTATTCTGGAAATCTGTCTTGGGGATCTCTTCCTTTCATCAAAAGGAGCATTTTGACAAGACAGATAAGTCTTAGAGGCGAATTTGACCCTCCTGTGACCGGGTCTTCCCGGTGTTCGACTTATGCGGTGAGTAAGTGCTTCGCACCATAGTCGAAGCCGACGATATCGGGCGTCGGGAATCGGGCGGTTGGGGAGCTTTTAGTTATGCGAGGATTATGTACAGGATCGTTGGACCCTGAGGGGCTCGTGGAGGGAGACGTCGATTCCGGTGGGGATGCGTTCCGGGTGGGGTACGGTACAAGGAAGGAAGTGCACATCGGGTGTGGCGAGAGAGAGAACAAAGAGTTGACAAGTTGGACGTCGACAGTCGACGCTTGGACCCGAGGAGAGTGGGTTCGTGAATATCGCACTTAAGGAAATGGACCGGAAGGACTAAGCAGAAAGAGTCCGGTTCAAGGTTTAAGATGAGGACTTATCGGTCCCCAGAGGGACCGACAGGGCGGATCGAGTCGGGACGAGGATGAGCAGAGCGCGACGTTGTGACGAATGCTGAAGGATGCCCCGAGAACATGTCAAGGATGGCCGAAGAGAGGCCTATCTGAGACAAGTATCACTGATGGGGAGCGAGTGCGGAGCGAGGAGTGTACCAGAAATAGAGACAAGGTGGTGCATTTCGTGACCGGGTTGGAAAGAAGAGGTGCATATGTGGTATGTGTTCGAGTTGTAGTAGGATACTTATTGGAGGAAGCCGGGCGGCTGATTGGAGAAGGGATACAATTTGTGGCGTCGCCTGAAAAGGGAAGAACCAGGGGCGTGCGTAGGGCGGAATTAGGCTAGTGCGTTACATAATTTGTAGATGTCAAGATGAGGCTATGGAGTGGAGGCGGGAGCGTAGAGAGGAGGAGCGAGCGGGAGGTCTAGAATCGAGAGGAGGAGGATATGCGAGGAGGGAGGAGGAGAGGGGGCTAGGATGGATGGAGGAAGGGGAGTTCGATCAGAGTGAAGCGAGGCAGGAAATGAAGGAACCTGGCGATATCGGGAAGCGCAGCCGGCGTCCTTCCGCCGGAGGCTGTGGATGAATGCCGGTGTGTGTGGATGGGATGTTGGGGGTACGAGGATACTTACGAGGGGAGCAGATGGGGAGAGGGACAGGGCGAGGGGGCAACGGTCGAGGAGGAGGGCGCGATCGGAGGAGAGGACGTTCGGGGCGGGGGCGAGGCAGGTCGGACAAGGGCCGGGAGCAGAGCGCTGATTGGTCATGGCCTGTTCCTGTTTTGGGCAGCCGGCGTGGCGGCGTTCGGTTGGCAACGCTACCGCGCCTTTTCTCTTTTCTTCCTCTCCCGAACGCCTCCCATCGCCCCTCCTCTGCCCCTCCACGCCCGCCCGTCCCTCGCCCGTCCCCATCCCTATCCTCCCCTCTCTTTCTTCCCTCCATTAATCCATAATAATGGCTCCCCAGCAGGACGCTCCATCAGCCTCCTCATCGCACATGATGAAGACCACAAAGCGCGGTCGTCCTTTTCTCAAAGTCCGTCCCTTCCTCCTTATCCGCTACCGACACGCACTCATCTTTCCTGTCTTTTTTACTTCTAGGACACCCTCGACCTTTTCGCAACATTAATTGTATCCCTCCAGCTCACGACCCACAAACAGTTTTTCCGGTCTTTCCCAAACTCGTTTACAACGTGCGCCCACGCCCGCCCCTCCCGCTGACGTCTACCCGCTTATCTTCTCTCTCTTTTTCTTCCCCCAGCGATGAGGCAGCACTCAACCTTGCGTCGCTGAAATTCTCCCAATCCAATCGCGGGCCGGACCCCAGAGAACCCTCACGCGTTATCACCACCACGACAACCACGACTTTCTCTATGACCCGCGAAATGGCAAAGGCAATGTCCCAGCACTTCATGGACGCACGCCTCATCGAGAACGCCGCAGACCCCTCCTCTAATCTCTTCAAGGACAGAGGCGTGTACATCCTCACCCCCAAAGGCCTCCACGTCCTCGAACGCTTCATCAGCCGCAACGGTATCAACGGCGACCATCTCGCCCACGTTTTCGCGACCCAGCCCATCTGCATGAAGCTCCTCCATCTCGAGCGACGCTCCGTTGACGACGAAATCATCGTCTCCCAGTCCGTTATCACCGCCCTCTTCCGTCGCTTCCTCGGCCGTCAGGCAAACTACGCGCCCAGCTCGCAGGTCACAGTCGAGGCGAACCAGGCCTACCACGATCGCTCAAAGGGTATCCAGCTCATGGACGTCGCCGACCGCTCTCAGCTCTCCTCGCGCTCGCAACAAGCGGTGCACAAGTACTGCTTCGCCGCCCTTGCCGCCCTCGAGTGGCTCTGCGACTTTACCTCCGTCGTCGGTAGGGAAGAGGCTGCTGAGATGGCCGCCCAGTTCGTACGCTTCGGTCTCATCACGCTCGTCAGCGACAAAAGGAAGAACAACGATTCTGCCATCATCTTCACCGTCCGTGGCTCCGCTCCTGGAGGCAACTCACCCGTGACCGTAAGTTTGGCTCTCATACCCCTGCTCTCACGCTTTCCTAACCCTTCCTTCCCTTTCCTTTCCGTAGCAAACCGGTGAGTTCCGTTGCACCGCCAAGGCCATTTACAAGGTCACAGAGGAGGGTGTCCGTGTTGCACGATGGGACAGCCGTGGCGGTCAGCGTGATTCGCCCAGCAGCTCCACCGCGAACCTGGCCGGCGCCGAGCGCTCATCGACGGACGTCAACAAGGATGCCGCCGCCGCTGCTCCCAACGAAGCCAAGCTCCACCGTCGCATCTCCATGGCCGAGAAGATGAACGCCCACGACCGTCATAACAAGGAGTCCAACACGGAGCGTCTGCGATTCATCATTGACCAGCCTCCACTTCGACACCTCTTCCGCGATTTCCTCCGGGATAATTTCTGCGAGGAGAATCTGTCGTTCTACCTCGAGGTCGAGGACTTCCGTCGCAAGTTCAACATCACCTCTTCTGCGTCGTCGGCTGCTCCCCGCCCACCTACTGCCGGCCCACAATCGTCAGCGAAGGGGAACCCGAACACTCCAGGCCAGCTCGCAATGGAGCAGCATCACGAAGCGCTGATCCACCAGGCCTTCCTCATTTACCAGATGTACCTTGCGCCTTCGAGTCAATGCGAGTTGAACATTGATCACGGTTTGCGGAATGAGCTGTCGGGCTACCTCAGCGAGGTCATGACCGGCCTCACTGGTGCTCCCTTCCAGGGTCGTCTCGAGCCGGAGCAGCTCAGCGCGTTCAACGCGACCCAGCTGCAGACCTTGATCCAGCTCTACGGGCGTATCCAGACTCACGTTTTCCGTCTGATGGCCACTGACTCCGTTCCTAAGGTCAGTTTAGTTTCTGCTCTCTCTCTCTTGCTTGTTCTGACATACGCGCTCTGTAGTTCACGAAGACACCGCGCTTCGTGAAGCTGCGCCAAGAGAACGACGAGTACGATTTCCTGGATAGTGACATCCCGTACGTGTCGAACGCGGCGCCATCAGTACCACCTGGGTTGGACCCTGAATCTGAGGAGGTTGGTGGCGCGTACATGACCGTCTCCCAACAGGCGAGCGAGTCCCGCGCACGGCCACCACGGGAAAACGCGAACTGGTCAGAGAAGTCATAATAAACGTTCTCTCCCCTTGGTCGCGGTTTCCTTGTTCAGGTTTCGTTCGTCTGGCTGGCCAAAATCTCGATGGACTGTACTTGCATGCATGCTTACGCTCACGCTACCCCACGCACGTTACCACATCTCTCCTCTACCTAATAGTACTTGCTGGCGGGCGCCACTCGTCGTTGTCTTTTATCTCCCGTCCTAGTCGCCATCTTTTCGTCTTCATTTTCTTATCTGCTCAGTGCGTCGTGGGTTGTCTTCCTTCTTGGCTAGGCTGCTCCGTCTTCTCAATTCATTATCGCGGACCCCCAGCATCGTGCATTTATTACTTCCTTCAATTTTGCTGTTTGTTTCCTCGCTCCTGTGGGGTTTAGTCTTTTTCACTTTCGTAATCTGTGCATTTTAACTACTTCCCCCTTCTTTATCTATGGGTTCTCTTTTCTCTTCTTCTCCACAATCTGTGCATATACACTACCCGCCTGCTGTACATCCGCCGAAGACCTCTTGACTCTTCCATCCGCATCCCCCGCACTGGTTTCTCAAGAGTGTATCGCATGCAACGGAACCTCCTCAACATCCTTTCACTTTCTCCGTTTCCTTACTTCTCCGACTCTGTCTGTCTCCCTGACGCTCGTCTCTCCTCACTCTCGAATTTCCATACCAAGTTATGTAACACTTATAGTACCTTACCCGTCGCGGCCTGTAGCCTCCTTCACTCCGAGAGTGGTTACGCGCGATATCCCGAGTCCCGAACTAATACTGATTGATGCGTTCTGCGCCTGTGTGTTGTAACCCGATTTTGACCACGGTGTGGACGCTCGATTTCTCCTCTTATCTTCTCTTCGTCTCTTCGCACAATCATCCACCCATCCATGATCCATTCAATCCATCTATCTCCTGAATTTTGTTACACATCCATGCATCCGATCCGTCCATGCCAATTCAATCCAATCCCATCTTCTCCCGTGCCCGTGCCCGTGGCTCCTGTCTCAGTCTCCTGTGTTAAACCCTCCTAGCAGCATGCATCCGTTTCGAATCCTGCACCCTCCTCGATTTTAGCTCGTTGCTTGTACACGATAAGTTTGAGATCATCTTGCAATTTGGCCCGTCTTCGTTTCGTTTTGAGGGTCCGTTTTTCTCTTCGTTCTGCGTTCTGCATTCTGCGTGTTCCTTGATTCGTTTTATGAGGAAGGAAGGCGCAACTACGTGAGTGTATAAATGGCGAGGTGCCTGGAGAACTTGAGAATTTTCGAAGCAGCCTTCAATCCAATCTGTTACGCCACACGAATGAGGACGCGTTTCGAGTTAGTGGTCAACGACCTACTATAGCTAATCCTGTAGCCTGACTACTATCCCCGCATCATTCCAGTCATCGACGTTCGACGTTCAAACGTTCACAGCGGAGGACAAAGTCGACGCCGGGCATTGGCTCCGCTGACGTCACGTGTCAAGCGCGGGACTGCACTTTCCTTGTTCTCGAACTCCGTAGGTCGCGGAAGCAAAAAGTTACACCGACGGCGTATCTGAATCATACGACGTACGTGGCAAGCGGCCAATTGTTCCCATCCACTGCCCGCGGAGTCGACTGTTACACAGCCTATCTTGTCTCTTGACTCTTGCTTTGCTCGTTGACAGACAACCGCTAGTAACTTAACTACCTCGTTGTTCGATTTCTGACGCTTCCGACTTGATCGCCGCGTCTGCACTTGCTTCAATCAAACCACTTGTTGTCACATCTCATCTCTGGGCGTCCGACCGTTCTTGCGTGGCAATAGCATCAGTTCATACTGTACAGTGTTGAAACATGTCCTGGCTAACGAACATGGAGGGAAAACCGGATCCGAACTTCAAGGACGACTCGCCCAAAGTCGCGGATCCGTCGATTCCGAATCGTATGGTGTCAACCAAGAACGCGAACAAACCTTTCTTGTCGTACGTCCTCCCTCCACCCACCCACCCTTCCACCGTGTCGCTGTTTAGCTTGAACACCGGAGAGGATGAATTTTTCTGATTTGCGTGTGTTCCTCATGTTTCTTGGCTCGCCGTGGGGCTATGCTCTTCCGGATTTGGTTTCTTTCCGCACACGACTGTGTATGGCCCCATCAAACGGTGCAAACTCTGGTTTGACACTTGGCATGGTGACCCCGTGCAGGTACAAAAATTATCGGGAACAGCAACGACAGCTGCACGACGGGTGGGTAGAGCGCCAGAAGGAACGCGAGGCGAAGATCGCGAGGGGGGAGAAGGTCGGGCCACCCGAGCGTGATCCTACGGAGGAGAGGGAGATCAGCCTCGGCGATATCGTCAAGTTCCTCGTCTATGTCTTGCTCGCTATCACGCTCGGTGGGAAGTTCATCACCGGGGACTTTATGTGGGGGTATAGAGGCAAGTGGACGAATATTCATACTTATTTGCCGGTGCGTAGTGTTGCGATTTTCCCTTTCCCCTTCTTCGTCTGGTCGGGTCACCAGTGGCCATGAGTTTGTCTGTTGTTTCCTCCCACCACGCATCCAGCAGCCCCAAATCAGTCCATGTCTACCATACTCTTTTTTCCTTTGGGGCGGACCCGAGTCTGTCTTCGTTTATGTTATTGTGGATGCTCGTGTCGCGGTTGTTGATCATCCTGTATCTAAAATGCCGTGATCTTGTCTTAATTATAGTCCAATGAACGCCTCTTCTCCGAGCGGACCCTCGCTCAGTTCGATGGATCGGATCCCGAGAAGCCTCTCTACCTCGCCGTACGTCCGTTCAAATTTGCATCATCCTCTCTCGTCATTCGTACTCAACCTCAACCTTAAATACAAAAAACGCGCATACACCGCGGCGCAATCGCTCACACCACTCGTCTTTCGGTTTTGCCCGCTATCTATTCCCTCGTGCGACGATAAACTTAAACACAAAACAAAACAACACACAACAAAACAATAAGATCGACGGAGACGTGTTCGACGTGTCGGATAACCGACGCGTGTATGGCCCCGGCGGCTCGTACCACATCATGTCAGTCTTGTTTTTGCCCACCGTACATACATCTTATCCTCATCTTATCCTCTATCCCACCCTCTTCCATTTTTCGTTACCGTCTGGTCTAAATTAGACTCGGATACTATTGCGCTCACGTACTGAACACCACTTTGGTCTCGCTGTATGGCATGGCCATTCCGTTATTTGCAGGGCTGGGAAAGATGCCGCGAGAGCGTTCGGGACGGGGTGTTTCCAGACGCATCAGACGCACGACCTCCGCGGTCTAACCGAGAGTGAACTGAGGGTAAGCCCCGCCGGTCCTCCTTGTCTTTTTTTCTCGCCGACGTTCCCAGCGATCGTTAAAAGGTCCCGCGAGGTTGTTGACCGCTTATTTACCCTTTTTCTTTGCGGTGGATAGGGCGTGAATCACTGGAAGAGTTTCTTCAAAGATCACAAGAGCTATCACAAGATCGGACGCGTCCAGCACCCGCCTATCGACCCCGCGAGCCCGATTCCGGAGCACTGTAATCCGAAGGAGGCAAAGAAGGATGATTCGGCGGCGGATGGGAAGAAGAAGACAGCGGAATTTGCGGGGCCCCAGGGTGGTTCAAAGTCCGGCGGTGGTGCTGGGAGTAACGGTGGTTCGTCGTCGTCACAGGAGAAAAAGAAGAAGCGGGAGGAGTTGTGAACGCGTCGAACGTTCAAACGACGTTTGAGTCACGGTTGAGGCGCCCGAGAGAAGATATGGATGGTTCAGCTCAGAGGCGCCACGGACAGAGGATAGGATAGGAGTGTGTATTGGATACATAGTGAATGAGTCAGACGCGTTGTCCGTCCGGATGCATGTGATGTGGGAGCTAGGGACTATCTACAGTGTGCTATATGATAAGGGTACTTTTGGGATGATTGGAATGTGTTTGCGTGTATGTACATATGTAGTAGGGTCCAGAACAGAGAAATGACGAGATGGAAAGCGGTGCGAGAGCGAGAGCAGCACGATGGTTCAGAAAGTCCCTGGGAACGATAAAGGAAGAGGAGAAAGGGAGGAAAATGCTAGGGATGAGAGGCCATGCGTATGGAGAAATCCACGGACGGCCAGTGTCAACTACCGCCTCCTTACGTTTGCTGTCAAACGGGCGGACTGTCAAATGAGCTCAGAGAAGGAGACGGAGACGGGGAGGGGGCAAGGGACACTCACTGGTGAAGGGTGGGTCGACATGTAGTTCTTCAGTATCGGAAAGTCTGCCATCGACGCAGACATCATCGCCGAGAACCTGCTGTCTCTATATTTCGCGACCACGATGTTACCGCGCCAGGCGGCGTCCTCGCGGAACTTGTTCCCCTGAATTTCGCGTAGAGCCTGAAAGAGTTAATCCCCGCGATCAGCGTCCGTCGAGCGCTGGGTCCGCTGGTGGATCACCGTTTGCGGCACACCCAGTTCAGATAAGGTTGGACTCGGACAAACCTTGTTATGCGGGAAGGGCATGCCATCACGGGACACGACGGGATAGAAGATGATGTACGGGTTTGTAAACTTCTTGTTCATGCCGTCGAGCGCCTCTACGAGCTAAAGCACGTCATGGAAACCGACAGAACGCGTTAGAACGGAGGTGTTTGCGGTGCGCGACGAATGGAAAGAGGCTGAGAGAGACTAACCTGGTATCCCCAAGCTCTTTGACCCATTCCCTCAGCAATGTAGTCCATGTAGACTTCGGGGTGAGGGACCCGAGCGGTCGAAGAGCCGACGTGTGGCGACCTCGGGTCCGCGAAGGACGCAGGGCTGGTCATAAGTGGTACCACATGTGGTGGGCGGCCGTCAGAGGGGAAGAGGATAGCATCAAAAGCCACCATTTGGTCCATGGTGATTATGAGGTGGAGGCGAAGAGAAGATGCTGAGTACGAGGGTGAAGTGCAGAGAGCGAAAGGTCGATGTGGAACGTCGGAATAAAGGTAGCAGCTGTTATATAGTTGAACAGCAGCTGTTGCGAACAGGACAATGGACGAAAAACAGTCCTAGATGAAAGTAGAACAACAAGACTGAGGGGTCGGCAAATCTTCGAGATGACCGGTGAGTTGGGGAAGGGAACAATACAGTTCCGCTCTGCTTCCTTTTATCCTCGATGAAGGCACGACCAAGGCCGGCGTCCTGCACCCTTGGCTGGTGGCGGGCCCCCACACACATCCCACTTATGCCAGAAATTGGGGGATTCGTTTGACTAGGATCTACAGGCTCGAGCTCGCTGCTCACGGCAGGCTGCGCCCTCCAGCTGGGACATGATGACTGTGATCATTGAAGCATTATCGAAATAGATGCATGCACACACAGAAGCTACGGCGCCTGGAACCTCGGAAGCCAACTGCACGTCTGCCGATCGGCCGGCCTGACGCAGCGTCGTACGGTACTTCCAACTCACGATTGATGCATGCAGAGAGGCCGTGGGCAATCGAGAGTTGCAGTGCTCGCAGCGACTCATCATTGTGGAGAGGCGTTCTTCCAGGCCCCGAAGGCAAGGAAACGGAAATCCTCAGGACAGAGAGCCCGATGCGTAGTAATTACCGTTAGCGTACAAGGTTGAAATGAGGTTCGAAGATTAGGTTTTGCTTGGGTGTACCACATTCCTGGTGATCAACTAGGTCTTCATCACCGATCTTGAACTACACGACTAGTACCAGCGCTGAAGCAAAGAGCCACGGAAATCACTCAATCCCCCCATAGCAAAACATATCGGTGCATCGTGATGGTTAGAGAGCAAATAAAACTGGTGATAAGTATCACTGATAACTTGTTATTCAACTAAATTCGACAACTAGTACTTGTTCCTTTGCATATGCAAAATTAAACTTACCGACCAAGATATCGAGTTCATGATGAACCAAATTGAGGCGCATTGAACTTTAGGGAAGGGTGTCCGAGGATCCCTGCGGCGATGTCTACGACCGGAAGGGGATAGCTGAAGTGAGGCCACGGAAGCTAGAGACTGAAAGACAGGATGAATTCGAACATGTCAAGGGCTCGTTTCGGTCGAGATCAAAAGGCGTACCGCTTCAACATAACTGAGCAGAACGAAACACTTCCGAATCCCCGAGGCACGACAAGGACACGACGTGGAAGACACGTTGAGATAGGTATGTTTCCATTTGAAATGCACCCGTCCCTCGCTTTCCTGATCGCCCAAATTAGAGGTGCGTAGTGCTCGTTTGGCGGGAAGAATCGGCTGTGGATAAGATACATCGTAATCATTAGCTCGATTAGGGACAGGAGTTATGGTCGTCGAAGGATAGATGGCTTACAGAATCACAGCGCGATTGCGGCGAGGTGGGGTGCAAAGGCTGTCGTTTCTCGGTAGGATCTATTCCATCCGGGACATGATGCTGAGAGGCGGGTTTGCCCTCTTCTGTTACTGCCTATCCGTGAGACAGGAAACGCTTCCGATACACAGCGGATGAAGAGAGGTGTGGGCGTCACGACAGCCTGATAGCCTTCTTGCCCGACCGCGATCAGAGCAGGAAAAATCAGGTCGGAACCGTGCAAACAACGAACATGACGCGCCATTGCATGACCAGCCAATTGGACGCTGGCGGCATATGGGCGTCTATTTGTTTTCAAGCTCCGCGTCCCTCTACGAACATCTATATAATCAGGGAAACAGTGAGCCCTGCTCTTCTTAGCTCGAGACTGAAGAGCTGTCCTATCCTGACTAGAGCAGCGTCATGTTCGACTGCAATTTGACTGTGCGACACGTTCGCACATGTCTGGGACTTCTTGATGTGGCATGAATCTCTAGACAGATTGAGGAAACCACGACTCAGGTGGCCTGGGCCATCGACAATGTGGTGTTTGGATCGCTTCCGTACTGAGCGCTGAACATGGATCGGACGGGGACGAGCTCCGCACTGAACATGGCAAGAGTATAGAACGCATGACGGGGAAGTTGAATATACCAATAGAGGCCGGTTCATGGCTTGTCCCAGAGGCCTTTCAATGGATTGCAGCAGCCAATCGAATCCATAAGCGATTGACTCATACCACCGATTGGAATTATTCGGAGACTAAACTTTGCAGCGGTCAGGTTCGTGATCTCCATGTACCGTCAGATTGTCCCAGGATCGTCAAGCGAAGAATTCACGCTCGAGAAGCATCGTTCTTGTATATGGCCTGATATGCTTAACGTCCTCGATAAGCTTTACGCTTTCGCACAAGTACTGATCCTCATCCCCATCATGTTGATGCTTTAGTGATGTGGTGCGTTGAGCTTGTGCTCCTGCGGAAGGATCGTGTACAGTCAACTCCTGTGCGGTCGAGACAAGTCCACGGGAAAGTGGGCATGGAGGGTGGTGATTGGTCTGGGTTGTGCACTGCTCCGCCTGTACGCCCAGGTGTTTTTTTTGGTTCGCAGACCTTGTACACCCATTGATGAGAAGACAAACCAAGATGTACTTCGAGCCCATGAGTTGAAATTGGTCATCGTGTATTAATCTTGTCGGGGATATGTATGCATCATGGCATCATGCATGCCCAGGTCGAGAACACTTTGGAGCCACCAAATTTCTCCGTCTGCCCAAGCACCCTGAACGCATTCTTGAACGAGTCTATCTCAAGGTTGGAGAACAATTCTAGACAATGCCGACCGCACAGGACAAAGATGAAAACGCATGGGGCCCGATACGATGCACGACAGGCGCAACGCAACGCGAGTGCATAAAACGAATCATATCGGAACTGTCCGTTTGTTGTGCCGACGAAAGAAAGAAGAATGGAAGAAGCTATTCACGCTTCGAAGAGAAAAAGAAACAGATCGAAGTAGAACAAGAAAGAAAAAAGAAGGAGAACTTGCCGCTTCACCTTGTTGGCCGCATCGCCCTATTCATCATCTGCCCCCTTTTTGTTCTGCTCTCCACTCTTTGAACATGCCATCCATACTCTTGTAGAAAAGGTGGGAGGGAAGGCACTGGATGATTTCTCCGAGGCGCTCCTCGACCTCGACCTTCCCCTTTTCATCGCCCAGGGCCTTCTTCGCATATTCCGAGGCCATCCGGAAGATAGACAAGACGGAGAGTGAGATGTGATTTTGCTGGTCAGCGTGTGCCCAACCTTGAGATACCGCATTGAGCAACGGTCCAGACACATTCGATACCGTGGACGTTTGCGTGGTTTGAGCGTACGCCCTCTCGGTTCTCACGAGTCGTAGAAGGATTTCGAGGATGTTGTCGGTTTCGGTCATGTGCGTCCTGAGGAACCGCTGGCGTTCCGTCAAGGACCCCGCGGGCGAATGCGTCGTCCAATTCTCCAGTAATGACCAGATCGTGGGAGCCTAGCAAGTTAGATTGAATGAGAAAGTCAGCGAGGTTGTGGCAAGATTAGATTCTGGGAGTAATAAAGACTGCCTACAGGATCAGGATCAACAACTTCGATCTTCTTTTCCCATCCCTCAGCGGCATCGCCCGCCACCCAGAATCGCCCACCGAACATACTTTTGAGCCAATCTTGGACGTCACCGGTCTTGACCCAACGTGGCTCTGACACCGGGTGTGCCTTGTCGATATGGATGATGAGAGTAATTCTCGTTGGAGTCGAAAGCCTTGCGAGAGGGGGAACAGTAGAGTCGGCCTCCAGAGCGGGGGAAAATGCCTCGAGAGGCGCATACGAGGTCGCATCAGACAATGTCTCTAACTGAAAACGGGTTATTAGTAAGGCGCCGCACAAGTGATGAACAAGTCAACGACTGTACTGACCAACATCCCCTTGACACCGTTCGCGTCGTCTTTATCAATGATAATCGAGACCTCAATCCGAGCCTCAGCTCTGAAGACTGTTAGTTTCTCGACTATCTCGGCGTTAACGACCATTCTCTTTGCCCCAGCGGCGTAAGAAACCAAGAAACGGCTGGCCGACGGAGGTCGTACACCCGACAGTGCCTCAGTCTTCGTAGGCATCGGCAGTTCATTCAGCTCGCCATACGTAGATATCGTTCCCGTTTGGGACAGGCCAGTGATGAGAGTCGTCGCATCAGCAGACAGAGACACTTGAGATGCGCCCTCAATTTCCTGGGTCTGAATCTGTGATTCACCACCATCGTCAAAGGACAATTGAGTCTGCATACGCTCCAAAGCGTTGACGTGGTCATGTGCGGTAGACTGCACGTCAGAGGCGGGAGGCTGATGAAGGGAAGGATCTGAGGAAGACACAGGAGCATGCTCTGGAGCGGGCGGCGGAGGCACAGAGGCTCCATCGATCCCGTTCGAGGGAGCGATGGAAGTGGAATCTTCGGAAGACACAGCGACGTTGGAACCGTGAAGCCCATTGGCAGAAAGAGTGGCGTCGGCGCCGGAAGCATGGGTGTCATCACCGCCCTCTGCCTGAGCAAAGGCCGGGTCATCAGCGGCAAGAGCGGCCGCAACGGAGGCATCGTCCTCCTGCGCTTCATAGTGTCCATCTCCATTCATGCCACTAGCCATATCTTGGCTCTCATTTCCCTCATAATGGCCTTTGAGGGAAGAAAAAACACGAAACAAGTCAGCGGTGTGGACGCAGGGGTAAACCCTAGGAGTATTAAGAATGCGAAACGACGCATCCGTCTGATAGGACAGCTTCCAGTTGCACAAGGACTGAAGCGCAACTCACCAGACTCGTCATAGCCGCCGTTCTCGTTATCCTCGCCCTCCCAGTTGCCTTCCTCATATGTGTGCTCTTCGCCTTCATCATGAGGACCGACCTCACTGACATGAAGGCCCATGTCTTCACCATCAATCTCATCGTCATCCTGGCCAATCGCTGCTAAAAGCCAATCGCCCTCGCTCGTTGTCTCCGCCACACTTGGGGCAGTACTCGCCCGCTGATCAAAGTGACCATAGTCAGAGTGACTGGAAGGAGGCGGGTAGAGATGGTTCTCCCCATCCTCCGACTCAGCGAATTTACGTTTAGCCTTCCTAGCCTCAGCAAAGGAGCCGTAAAGAGGACGGGAATCAGCGTCTGTGACGGGTGTATGGAAATAGATTCTGATGCGTGAAGGCGGCGTTGGCGCCGGCATGTCCGTGAAGGACTTGGCCTCTGTGAGCAGAAGCAGAATATTAGAGGGACACCAGAAAGACGATAACGGGGCACTCGGTCTGTACCTGAAGCATTTTGGCCATTTGGAACTGAGTGATCAGCGCTCTCGTTCTTCACAACGACAGAGCCGTTAGCAGGAGCAGCGTTTGGATCTTTATTCTCCGCTGAAACACCGCCTTCTACAAAGGAAGGCGTAGGCTTCTCAGCATCGGCAGAGTCGGTCTTCGCGACAGCGGGTTGGCTGATCGCAGACGAATTGCTCCAAGTCCAAGAGAGCTCTCGAATCTCAAGACCAGCGATCTTGAAATCAGTAAAGGTACGACGGTGACTCTCCTCCTTCTTACCGCCGTGACCACCACCAGAAGCGCTCGCGAAGCTAGAGGACATAGACTTGTTTTCGTGTCTGTTGTAGTGCCAGTTCCCGTGAGGACCGCCGTCTTGACGGTCGCGACGTGCACCGAAATTCTGAGAGTAGCCTTGACCTTGTCCGCGCCCACGATAGGGCGGGTTACTACCCTGGGAGTAGAATCCGCCATGGCCTCCTCCACCATCGTATTTCCTGTCTCCTCCGTCACGTCCTCCGCGAGTGGAGAACGATCCTCCACCCCGGCGATTGCCGTAATCCTGGTTGTTGTTCGAGTAGTTGCCCCGTGCGGCCGGATTTTTGAACGAGCCCCCTCCCTGACTTCCTCCCCTTCCTCTGCCGCTATCGCCGTATTGACTTCCACCCCTGCCACGCATGCTGCCACCCCTGACATTTCCCGTGCTTCCTCCTCGGCCCCTTCCACCACGTCCACTCTGACTACCGCCTCTGCCCATCTGCTGTCCGCCACCTCTCCCACCACGCCCACCTCCACCATACCCACCTTCATGACTACCCATCTGCTGAGGCGGGGCCATCTGCATCATCTGACTCTGCACCGGAGCAGGCTGAGGGGGAGGAGGCTGGAATTGAGGAGGGGGTGCCTGTTGTTGATAACTCTGCTGGTAGTTCTGCTTGTACCCGCCGCCAGAGCCATCTGTCCTCAGGCGTTTGTTTGGGTGAGGATGATTGGGAGAGCCGTGATGATCGCCTTGATTGCGATAATGGACCTGGCCTCCGCCTCGTCCACCTCGCTGGCCCTGGTTTCCATAAAATGACCGATTTGGTTGTTGCTGCTGTTGCGGAGGTGGTTGTTGCTGTGGAGGATAGGGTTGCTGCACCATGGGCGGCGCCTGCATCTGCGGAACGGGTGCAGAGTATTGTGGAGCATACGGAGCCGCTGCTGCCGGCTGTTGCGGCTGGTACGCGTATTGTTGGGGCGGCGGCGGCTGGGGTTGCGGCGGCGGAGGTTGCTGGTACGCAGGCTGCTGGTGAGCATGCGGGGCACGCTGGTGTTGGGGTTGCGCGGGCTGTTGCTGAGGCTGCCACTGCTGGTATCCTTGTTGACCGCCGTAGCCGTAGTTTGCGTAGAGTGCCGTCTGGTCAGCAGTGGGCCGAGCGGGAGCCTGACTCGCTGCAGCTGTAGGAGTGGCTGCTGGAGTGGCTGGTTGCTGAGCACCGGGCCACGCGCCTGGATAGGCTGGTTGGGCGACATGAGCCTGAGCATGGGCCTGCGCTTGAGCCTGCTGGTGAGCCGCTGCTGCTGCCCAATATGCAGAGTAGTCAGGTTGTGCTGGCTGGGGTGGAGGTGGACCTGGCGGAAGTGGTGGTTGGGGGTTGTAGGCCGCCTGAGCAAACGGATTCTTGTTCATGTCGGAAAGTTGAAACACAAGCCCGTATACCTACGCACGCGTCCTCGGAATCAGCAATTGGACGAAAATCAGGGTTAAAAAGGAGTGAAACTGTACCAAGACTCTTGCAGACGGTCTCCGTGCAACTAGACGCAAGTTTCTAGTGGAAAAAAGAGACGAGAGTGACAAGATTCGAACAAAGTCTAACAATGAATGGAGTGGTCGATGAGGACGCCTCCCGAGAGAATCGACTCGCCGCCTCCTAGGACACGTGGAGCGCGGCGTTGGGCGTTCCGTTTTCGGAACGAACCGTGTAGCCGCTAGGGACAGACGAGAAAAATCACTGTCTATATTCGCCAGCGATACCCAGCAAAGTATATAGCACACATATCAATAAATGGTTCGTACAGGAACCACCGCGATGAAACGGGAGAAGAGGCAACCATAGGTCACCGTTAAAACCGTGAGATGCATATTCAGGCCACAGTGGCGAAAGCCGGGTGAGCAGCCGCGTCCAGGTCCGCCTCGGCTCTACCAACCTTGCGGGCGAATGACAAGCAACACGAAACTTGTATAAAACCGTCAAATACACTCTTCTTCACTGGTTGCTTGTCCTCGTTCATAATGGTGCTCTCGAGGATGTTGGCTCGAAGGCTGCCAGCTAGCATCAATGTTCAAAAACTGGGTTTCAATATTTCCGCACCTTGTCGAAGCCGGGTCTTGCGCACACCGACTCGTTTCTTCAGCGCATTTTCTCCCCGGCACAATCTTGTCCTTGGAAATCCTCGGTGGACAGAAGTCTACAATCCATCATCTATTTCGCGGCTAGTCCAATCACGTTTCTCTTCGACTGGTGCAGCTGCAGCACCTTCATCCGCGGAACCATCACTTCCGGGAAATAGCCTACCCATACTCTCTCCGCCACCCGTGGCCCGCTGGCTACTTCTCTCCTCGGCTCTGGTCTTTGCAGTCATTGTAGTCGGAGGCGTTACCCGTCTCACAGAATCAGGCCTCAGTATCACGGAATGGAAACCTGTATCTGGCATGATACCTCCTCTCACGAACGCTCAGTGGGAAGAGGAGTTCGACAAGTATAAGGCCACACCAGAGTATAAGCTGTACGTCTTTCCTCAGTCACGCTGCACATATATTCCTGACATTTATGCATTCGTGTCTGTTTCTTCAAAGTCTCAATTCCTCCTTCGACCTCGCTCAGTTCAAGTCCATTTTCTACATGGAATGGGGCCACCGTGTCCTCGGTCGCGTCATCGGACTCGCCTTCGTCTTCCCCTCAATCTACTTTATCTTCCGCAAGCAACTCTCCCACTCTCTTCCATGGCAACTCACCGGCATGTCTCTGCTTATTGGCGCACAAGGCGCCCTTGGGTGGTACATGGTTAAATCCGGCCTGGAGGAATCCTTGATGGACACTCCAGGAGCCGTGCCGAGAGTATCTCAATACAGACTTGCGGCACATCTAGGGACAGCATTGGTTCTCTATGCCGGAATGTTCTGGACGGGTATCTCGGTGTTGAAGGACTGGAAGTTTGCCAAAAATGGGGTGTGGGCAGGTGTGACGGACGGAAGGACATGGGAAACTGTCTTGCGGAATCCATTGGTGAAGAGCTTCAAGACGCAGAGTATCATTCTGACTGGCCTGGTCTTCCTTACTGCTCTTTCCGGTACGTATGTTTGTTTGTTCGCTCACAATGCTTGTAAGAGGACCGTGCTCATGTTGTGTGTGTTCAAAGGTGCATTCGTGGCCGGTCTTGATGCTGGTCTTCTGTACAACGAATTCCCACTAATGGGTGGACGACTCGCACCACCGTCTGACGAGCTCCTCAACCCAGTTTACGCCTCCGACCCTAGTACGCCCTCCGGCCTCTGGCGTAACGTCTTCGAGAACCCAACGACGGTCCAATTCGACCACCGTGTCCTCGTAAGTCTCACCTTCCTTCTCTCTACCCTTCTCAACCTGATTCGCTCGAGATTATATCATCTAACACCAATCTTTATGACTCACAGGCAATCACAACTTATCTCTCCACTACCGCCCTCTACGCCTACACCAAACTCTCACCTTCCCTCCGACGCGCCCTCCCACCACTAGCCCTCCGTGCCACCACCGCAGCCTTCGCGATGGCCAACATCCAAGTCATCCTCGGCATCTCCACTCTTCTCTACCTCGTGCCCGTACCATTAGCGGCGGCACACCAGGCTGGGAGTGTGGCGCTGTTGACGGCAATGGTACATTTGTTGATTGCTTTGAGGAGGCCGGGAGCGGCGGCGGTTGCGTGGAGGAGTGCGAATGCTGCGAGGACGGCAGGAGCTGGGGCTGCGACGAGAGTGGGCAAGGTCCCGGTTGGGGAGGCGGTCACGAGCTCGGTGAAGGCTTGAGCATGATTTATTCGCCAACGGTGCTAGAATGGTTTTCTTTTCCACTTTCAGGATTCGCTTTGCAGCCGACGATACTGCATTACTTATTTACTCAACTTCGACTCCACCGTTCTTGCTTGCATTGGTACCCACCCCACCGCTCATGATCATATCCAACACAATCGCATATTACACTAGAAACTTCTTCTTTTTCGGTGTGATATGCAACATAAGAGAGCAAGACAGAGAAAACAACTACGTAACAAAACAAGTCCGCCCGCATCCACATTCTCCACCTTCTGTTCACTCACTCGGCCATCGCAACGTCCTCGTCCCCACCAGCGGCGGGACCAGTGGTCGTCGACGCTCCCGTACCCTCCGGTGCTTCCTTCGGTATCATGCTATCGAGATATACCTTTACAGGCTCGCCCTCAAGGATACGGAATGAGCCCTCGGACGAGACTTCGGTTTCGTGAGCGCCACCAGCGCCGACAATACCGATGGAGGTGTTGTTGATGGTGAGTTCTTTGTCTTGTTGGAGAGTCTCGCGCAGTGCGTGGAGGCCGTGGCGGATGAGTTCTTCGAGGGTGGCTGAGGACGTGATGAACAGACAAGCATGCGCCATTACGAGATAGCACAGTCAACCATGCAAAAGTCGTCAGCGTCTCTTCTTTCCGCGCGGGGCAGAAGAGAAAGGAGAAACGCACAGTCCGCGAAGCTCTCATAATTCTTTTCCAGGTAGGTTTTTGCGCTTTGACTTCTCGCACCGATAGAGATCGCGTAGTATTCGAACGACGTTCCGGAGGGTGAGAATTCGTAGAGATGGGGACCTGTGGGGTCTGTGCCGATGACAAGGAAACCGACACCATATGGACGACGACCATATTCTTGTGTGTTAACCTGGGCCTCTACGTATAGCAAAGGAGGAAGGAAGGAGATTCGAGGTCAGGGCCATGGCAATGAATTGGTTGAATTGAAACGTAGACGGACTGTCGGCGATGGCGGATACGAGACGGTTTACGGGAACAGGTCTGTTAAAAACCATTCTTGACGACATGGCTTGCTGTCGCATGAAGTTGCTGATGGAGGATATGCACGATCGCCATAATGAGCATTTGTATATACCAAAATAACGATGAGGCGTAGCGCACCTGAGCACACGCGCATCCGAAGTCAATCCCGCAATGGCAATCCCGACATGATCGTCAATCCGATACATCTTCTGTTGGTACGACGCAAGCTCTCCTGTCGAGCGCTATGGGTAATCCAACGATGATTCGCGGTACAGTGAAAGAAGAACATGGTGGAACGGGTGGTCGTGGATGGCGCTCGTAAATACGTGATTCTTCAATGAATCAACCATCGACGGACCTTCAGCGCAAGTAAGATTGCATGTGTCTTGGATCTGAGTCCGACAGCGGCAGAGCCCTGCTTCACGGCCTCGAGTGCATACTCGACCTGGTGCAGCCTGCCTTGTGGCGAGAAGACGGTGTTGTCGGAATCGTAAGTGTTACGGAACTGCAATGCGGCATGAAATTGTCAGCATATATTTGTCTACTAGTATCATGCACACGCACCATGGTGTAGCTAGAAGCCAACGATAGGTGGAGGACAGAGGATTGAAGAAGGTAAGTATGAGGCCGCGCGTCTCGTGTAGCGAGTCTGACGCGTCGCGCCTGGAAGCCATCGCCTTCCGATCCTAACAAGCACAAACTCGTTCACATTGACACGCGGCCCAGCCGCACGTTGGGCCTATAGTTGTTCTCAGCCCTCCATGGCCATCAACATTCTAAAACTTCCTCACGAAATACTTCATTTAATTCTATGCTGCTTATCCACGACCACAGACATCCTTTCTGTTCAGCGATCCTGCAAAACTCTTCGGCAGATCGCGCAAGAATCTAACCTCCTCCAGTATATATTGGAATTGGCGACAGCTGGTGTGGAGGACGTGGGGAACTGGTCGTCTTCTACGTCCATTTCCGATCGAGTGGAAGCGTTGAGGACGCGGCAAAGAGCCTGGGCACAATTAGAATGGCGATCTACCATTCGCATTCAGGGTCCTGCTGAGCTTTTCCGCGCTCACTCCTTCCACATCGTGGACAATTATCTCGTCTTGTTGGAAGGTACCGGACTTATATATCTCACTGCTCTACCTTCCAACTACCAGTCGAATGCTACATCGCATGCCCTACATTGGGACACTATCCAAACAACTCCCTCTGCAGAAGCACAACTTCCATTGATGAGAGCCGAAAACGACCTTATGGCCATGGTTATAATGTTAGTCTCCGTTTTTTTTTTGGCTCATACGTGCTCGCATGCTCTAGAAGCACGCAATTCCTTCAAGCACATATGTGTATTCTGACAGAATCTACAGACTGCCCTTTACTTCGAGTGAAGAGACATGGAGGAAAAGGCTCGAGCTTCATCTCTTCAGCATGTCGAATCACACATATCACCCGGCAGCAAAATCATCGGTCATACCATTGTACGAGCACAGCAATTGGTCGAGCATTAACTTTGCCACGATGGAGATAGCTGGAGAGTACATCGCTGTATTACTCCCGCCTGACAACCGCCTCGACGACTTCTCACCCCGTCCTGGTACGTTTCTGTTGGTGGATTGGCAGACCGGGACCAAACATGTGCGCCGCTCTCTTATAGTGCACACCACTTACTGACTATACGAGGTAGCCCTGCGTATTACCTTTCTCATGGACCTCAAATGTGGAAGGATTTGTATTCCTACGGCAAGACATCATACTTTTCCCGAACTTAGAGGAAAATTCTCTCCTCATCTTCAAGATCAAATCGTCACCAATCGGCATTGACCTGGCGCTTGTACGAAGATTGTTGCTTCCGGAAGCTAGTGTGCACAAAGAGGTCGTATATATCAGTTGCGCCTGCTCCCCAAATGCGTTCGATCAGCCTTCAACCAATTCCATTAGTCCCTTCCGTGACATCCCAGACGAGGCCATCATCCGATTTACTATCAAAGTTGGCCATGCCCCTTCCCACCTTCCCAACCTTCACGGCGGCGACATCTTCACGTTCGTCACACACCGCCGTGCTTTGCTTGCTCTACTCTCCCCTTATATCCTCGCCATACCATTCGGGGATCCCCCTCTACAATCCGGAGACGTGATAACCAGTGATTGGCACGAATGGGGCCCGAAACGCACTCGGTGGTTTGACGCCGTCGACCTCGAAGACGCACAATGGGCACCGTTTGGCCAACGTGTGATGCCACCGTGGCATTTGGGGTTATGCGATTTCAACACTTATACTACTCGGAAATTGCACGCTCAAAGTGGTGATGTCGATTATCATCTTCCGAATGGGAGGAGACAAAGAGTGATCACTAGGAAGACCGTCATACCGGCCCGTTTTATCTTTCTCGACGATGTTGAATCTGAGCTTCCGTACTGCGAGATCGAGTGCAAAGTGCAGGGCTCTGATGAGCTGTGGATGGACGACGAGCGTGTCGTGTTTTCAAAGGTGTGTAATCACAGGGATCAGCACGTACGTATAACTAGCTGACTGCAATATTGGCCGAACATTCAGCCTTGGGACAACGAGTTCGTTGTCCATATGCTTGGATAACGATGCATCCAGATGGAGAAAACTCGTATGTTCGAAAACATTAAACGCTCACCGCCACAGATACAAGGGTTGTACAATATATGCATTCAGTCGCGGCTTGAATACACATTCTTGTCTTTCTTCGAATGTGCGTCGTCCAGGTCTTGTATACGGACTCGACTCCTAATTCTAGCACATCTTGCACCACCTCGAGAGTACATATGTCCACAAAGGACCCGTTTGTTCTCTCGTGGACGGCGCTGCTTCCTTCGATCTTAACAGCAGGTGCTGCATCTGTCACAGTGATCTGCGCAGCCCCCAGGCTAATTCTTCACTTGTGCGCTGGAGCGAATATTGTCGAGAAACACACCCTAGTTCTGATCGTCCAGAGCGTCATCTATCTTCACAGGCTATGTAGAAGTTTCACTGAAACGCCTAGGTGAGTAGAAGGTTGCTGGCTGATGCGCCCTACCATATGCACATCTTTGTGAGCTGGCGGGCATCCAGGAATACTATCGCCGCCCTCCACATGTGCATTGTGCCAGCAGGCTATGCTAATGAATAGGCCGTCACCTGAAGGACGAAACAGACACAGGTGCGGCTGCGAACAACATGCAGAGTATCGACAAAGCCAGCGGTCATGACGTCCCACAAAACCAGAGCCAAAAACCGCATATAAAGGCCCCTCCGAAGGACGACAGGAAACATCATCCTCCTAGATACTCAGAATTCTTCGCCACAGCGTTCTCATCACATCTGTTCAGCAACCATGTTCTCCAAAGTCCTCGTCTTTGTCCTCGCTGCTGCCGCCACCGTCAGCAATGCCACTCCCACTCCCACCACTCCCGACGAGGTCACTCTCACCAAGCGTTCCTTCACGTCGAACCAGCTCACGGGTGCTTTCACCGGTAAACCCGAGTCCGGCATCGGTTCTTGGTATCGCTCGAACAACGCGCAGGACCAAACAAACGGTAAAAGTTGGTGCGGGTACGCATACTCGGATGACAGCCCTCTCTTCGCTCCAGTGAGTACAATTTCTTCTTGATCTGGTTAGAATCCCAGGCTGATGTGCGGTAACAGGCTCTGAGCAGGATGTCGTCGGACAGCGCGACGTATTCCAGTGATGAGGCCGGATGGCGTAAGGCCACAGATTATTATTGTGGCCTGGAGGCGAACGTGACGAACCCGACCAACGGAGTCACCGCGCTGCTCTACATTGGGGATTCGTTCGCCTCTCCTCGTGTATGTCCAATCCAATTCATCCCCCATGCCTTACTTACCTTGCTTGCAATTCGTGTGGTGCGGATGATAATTGACGCTGACCCTGGGTTTGGACTTTGCAGACCCCCGGCTCCATTGATGTGATGATCGATTCCTGGCAGCATCTCTATGGAAGTGCGACGAGCGACAAAAATATCGTGATACTGTCGTGTGACGGGTTCTGCAATCGGATTGCATAACCTGTCCCTTTACACATTTCCCCCCACGAAAATAATTATGAAGGCTCGGGATACGTTCTATGGCATGTAAAGACATGCCCTGAATATTTAAACCCTTTTTCAGAAGCGGGATGTACTTGATTGCAAACTTGCAATCGGTCGACTTGCGTTTGCGACGGTTTGCAACCCAACTTCCGCGGGCCGAACGACCGGCTTGCAAAACACAGTCGTACCCTTGTGCAATCCTCCTCCACATCGTTTTCAACCTTCAAACTTTTACGTTGTGACCATAACGTAGATAAATGGTGGCATGATTTTTTTCAACACCAAGAGGAATGGTGGAAAAAATACAAAAAAAGAAATCCGAGAAATTGCAGAACCCGTCCCGATTGCAGAACCCGTCACACGACAGTACAGGGTCTGCAATGGACTTTGACGGGAAGGAGGAACTCGGACTGGGCTGCCCATAACTGATCGACACGGACCTTACTTTTGTTAGATGGGGCCAATGGTTCGTGTGTATGGTGTCATTATTCGCCCAATCTGGCGCTGTCGCACAACGCAGCTTTATCTTCGGAGTGTTGAATAAGTGGAACTAGAGTGGTTGAAGGGGACTTGAATTTGACTCAAATCTGACTTGGGATGCACTGAGCGACCAGCTGTGACACGATGTTCATAGACCCTAATAATGGACTAGCATGGGATGCATTTTGACATCCGATGGACTCTTAAGAAGTGACAGCTGAGCAAGGGAAGAGGAAGGAAGGAAGGAAGTAGTCCATATTGTGGAGCGGAACCAAAGAACGCGGAAGTTTCCCCCGGCGGGCAGACGCGTCGCGGTGGCACGCCCCACGTGCACCAAACAAGCACTCTTTCTTTCTCCCACCACTCGCCACTAGTATTGACACTTGGACTCGAAGCTGCATACGACATCCGTGACTCTCATCGAATTCGACGACAAGTGCAACACAGGCTCTAAATAATACACCGCGTTATATAACTTAACCTCCACAGACCTCTCGTTCTCTTTGTTCCTGATCCCTCAACATGCTCGGGAAGCTCGTTCATATCGGAATCGACGCAATCATCATTAGCGCATTCCTCGCTGGAGTCAAGCGCAACACTGGTCTCACGTGAGCATTGGTATATTCACGTCGTGAATAGGTTCAAGACACTTACAACCTGTCGTCATGGTAGGCCTGCGTTACACCAGGTGCCAAACAAGGACATCCGACGTGAGTCTGCGAGCTATATCGTACAAGCATTAGGGTAACGATTGATCCTTGTATTCATTCAGAAATTTTGCGCCAATATCTTGAGTTTGGTATGTCACCTTCTACAGCTTAGTCGATCGCTTGAGTGGTACTTATGAGTATGACTTGACAGGCGAATACGCTTTTGAGTACGCCTGCGTGTCCTCTCGCTCACAGAAACCTCTGCTCATCATGCATCTCCAGCTTTGCCGTTGTGATATTCGGACGTTCAGCATCGTTCGAGAGAAAGCACTGAGGGCCCTCGAGCATACACATACCGGGACCATTATTTATATAACTTGTGAGGCGCACATGCTGCTCGCCCATTAAGTCTTCGTCGCTGATCCTTTCATTTCACTCCAGATGTACTAGTAGCAGCACACCTCAATTCACACGCACATCGTTTTGCAGTTTCGTCCATTCCTCCAAAGTATAGACCAGCGCACGGGATATCATCCGAGGAAATTGAACACAAAGAAGTGTAGTACGACCGATCCGAAAACGAAGTCAGCAAATGCCCTGCGATGCCACAGAGTTAATAATCAGCGTGGAAGGGTTAGATATGATAGAAATAATCGCACCTTTCTGGCGAGACCTCTTTGAACAAACCTTTGTTCTCCGGGTTGACCTGTGATCGCAACGAAGCGGTCAACACAAACTGTCCGACACTGCTGGCGAAGCTGCATGCGATATGAATGCATAAGCTGTAGTTAATTCGTTGGAGCCTAGTATATAGACGCACCCTGCAAGGAAAGCATTGAAAGGGAAGCTGGTGACGAGAACGCAGTACGTGAATTGAAGGACTCCGGACAGAACGAGAAAGACGAGGAAGGAATCGATGAATTTGAGTCTGGAGGAAGTGTTGTCGAGGTATGCACTCCAGAGAGACTGGACAGCGCTGGTCGTCGCTGACGACTGTGATGAAGGAGTGGCTTTTGGTTGGGCTGCTTTTGGTGCCATTTGGATTGACTGCAAGAGAGTGATGTGGTCGACGTGTCTTCCTGGGACGCGCTCGTACGCGCAGTGGGTGGCGGGCCGAGCTGCCGGGATACGGATTTGGCAAAGGTTCGCGCGTTCGCGTCCTGCGAAAAACAACTGGCTGCACTTTGCCAGCGTCGTCTACGTCCGTCTGCCCGTCATGGCCTCCATAGCTCTGAGACTGGCCTCGTCCAGTGCTCGTAGAATCGCTCGTTTTCCAACACCCTCACTCTCCCAGACAAAACGAACCCGGTTGACCCCGAGGAGGAACCTACATACACGAACTCCGCTACCATACGATGTCGATAATGGCTTGGGAGACTTCCTGACGCCCCAGGCCCTCAGGATGATCGCTATCGACTACCAACAGGGGCTTTTGGACAGGCTCAATGAGCAGATAGCTGGTGTGTGCTTGAGTATCAGTTTGACGCGTGTTTCTCCATGCTAAATGCAACGGTATGATGCAGGTACACAACACGAACGCAAAACCGTCGCACAGATCGTGATCGAGACTGCGCCAGAACCAAGTCAGTCTCTCGCTTTCAATTATGCCAGCGAGGCTTTGAACAATGGCTTCTTCCTTGACTATCTCGTAAGTAGTTCACCTCACCCATGTTTCGTCTTCTCATCCGACTTTCGTCGTATTACATAGGCCCCTCCTCCGGAGAACGCGTCAAATCATGAAGGGGAGATCAGCGTTTATCTTCGCTCGGCCATCCGACCGCACATAGGTTCCATCGCGCAACTGAGATCTAACGTCTCTGCAGCCGTTCTGGGCATGATCTCGACTGGCTACGTGTGGTTCGTCACCGACAGCCACGGAAATTTGGGCGTGGTCCCTACCTATGGTGCAGGGACTCTGCTCACTAGAGCGCGACTTCAGAAAGAAAGCCCTCTGGAAATCAAGTTTTCATCATCTTCGTCGCAAGCCAGGCCTGACCCTTCGGCTCCCTTGTCGACGTCTTCACCGACATCCCCTGCATCCGGGCTTTCTCATCAACCTTCTCCCATGCACCCGTCGTCTCCTTCCCGCGCTCTTCACACCTCAGCTATACGCCAAAATGACGACGTCGCTGTCCAACCCAAAACGCTTTGGCATCACAACCATGCTTCCAGATCCCCTTCGGCGTTCAACCCCGCTTTCGCAGACAATACCGCCACCAAATTCGAAGATCTCGGCGACGTTCTCTACCCCCTCTTTTGCGTTTCCGTGCACGAGCATAATTGGGTTGCGTCCGGCTACGGCGTGTGGGGTAAAGAGCGTTACCTGGCGAACTTTTGGACATGTCTGGATTGGAGCAAAGTTAGCGATGCGTACGCGAGGTTCGTTCCTGACCGAATGGGTCATCGGGATAGGTTATAGAGGGAGAGAAGGGTGGATGGAGTGAATTGCGCAGAGTTGAATCGCTCTGTTACTCTATTCCGTTATATACTTACACATCGTCTTAATGGCAACCTTAAAGGCCTCCTCCAGCTCCTCGCATGGCGCCGCCATTCCGCACGACTAGGTAACACTTCGATGAAAGTTGGCCCCGGGATGTTCCATGCTTGAAGAGGCGATCATATCCAAGTTCGCGGTTGAGAAGTGCGGTTGCGTCTCACAAAACTAGATCTCATCTTCTCGGTCGCATTTTGGCAATCATTGTCCTCTTAGGTCTCTGCTTTGACCATCTGACGGCACACTTTCCTGCTTCTGTGTGTGGTAAGACGCACAGCGTGGTTAACATGAGGACCCCTGCATCTGGTTACGCCCATTCCACACCATATACAGACGCTAGCACTTGCTGAGCATCACACGGACTTTACATCCTGCCAAGGTCCCACCTTTCCTTTGGGTTGTCACTGTACTATACCTATCCCGCTCCACCATCCTACTACCAGTAAGTTCACAAGGCATCTGGGCTTCCGCGCTATGGATAACCAACGTGCTATCGCGTCCAACTATCTATGATCTCTTGCTTTCCTTCCGGCTGGATTGTGCTCCCACAAACCCTTGTCAGCAGAGGATGAGCGTGGATCTCATTTGCCCCGCTTACCGACCTCGCTGGAGCGTGACGGTAACAGTCTTCAGCGGTGCTTTGACGTGTTCTACTTCGAGAACCATTGTCTCCGACCTCGAGGCCTCCTTCGAATCGTGCCACTTCCACCCCATTGTTGTCGATTGCGCCCCTAGGGCACTTCTTCAGAGATATAAAAACTCCACGGGTCGGTCGATTTCAATCCTTCGGTTGCTCCCCCGCTCACTCTGTCACCCTGTCATAACCCATCGCCCATCAAAATAGTCAACAATGGCTTACTTCGACGAGTACCACGGACCTGCTTCTATATCTCGCCGTCCATCATTTGGTGGTGGAGTCCCGTTCCCCAGCTACAATGATCCCTACGAGCAATTTGGACACGGATACGAGGTAAGCGGCACCCCTGCCCGCCAGGCTAGCGCGCTTGACGGCCGACACAACACCCAGTCTTTCGGCGACGAACGCTACCCACCTTTCCCAAGCCGACGCAACTCTATGCGTTCAATGCGTCAATATTCTCGTGAGCAGCGATCCCCTCATCCAACCCCCTCGTATAGATATTGGCGAATCCCGTCATTGATGCTTTCTCCCACCTTTATTTCCTGCTTCGTCATGTAGCTTTCGAGGACTCACCGCTCCAAGATGCTTACTATCCAGTTGAGGATTCATTCACGAGGTCAAGGTCGATGAGCAATGCTGGATACTACCCACCTGCGCAACCGGGCGGCATGATGGTCCTCCCTCCACAACAACTGTCGTCCTACCCATCACACTACAGCTCCAAGTCACTCATGGGGCGGTCGTCGTCCCATGGCCCCTATGGTGGTATCGATGGGTACGCTAGGCCCATCAAGTTCCGCGTCCGCCACGGATGGAGGAATGGTGTCTCCTTGGCCGAGGTGAGCTATGTCATCTGGTCTTCATATCCAGATCACAACGCAGCAACTCAACATACCTTTTTCATCTCCTCTCATAGGCTTTGGGCGGCGTGAAACTCGACGACGCTCGTGACTACACCTTCGATGATCTAAACGTGGATGGTTCAGGACGGATGCTTTTGAGAGTCAGAGTAAGCGCTGCGGCTGCCTGCACTCTTCGTCGTGCTCGTACTGACGCAATATTTTTCCACCGTGAAATAGTGGGCTGGCTATCGTTCGTTGACCTACGAAATTCCGGTCAGTGGGTTCGACGGGCGTGTGCACCTGCAAAGTCTCGCTCGCCGCATCGCACGATCAGTGGAGCACTTCCTCACGGTCCGTCTTCCTGTCTTCCTGCCCTCCTCCTCGTGTTGCATCCTAACTTTGTCGTATCTGTAGTCTAACTACATCTCGATCGCCTTTGACCGTGTCATTCTTCACCGGCTTGAGGAGACCTCGTACGGTACTTGGACTCCTATATTAACGACATCCTGACTATCTGGGGCTCGTCGATTATCCTGATTTCACGATATTTACTTATGGCTTTCATGCACGTCCCTCTGGTGTTCCTGATACGGTCCGGAGACTTGCTTTTGCGGTATTTTAAGCCGCCTATTCCTGTATTCTTGTACGACTACGCTAATCAGGACGATGTCGAGAGGCTTGCGAAGGTAGTATTGTTTACAATCAATAGTGTTTGTCTGTGACAAGGGACTCAATTTTAACCAATCCTGCACACTCATGCTCGTACATATTATGGTGGCGGTTCGCGCGAACAAAAGGGTAAGTTAATATAGTACAGTCAAGCTTGTGCAGACATCATAGCATAACTTGGTATGGTGTCAATCCCGCGCGGTCCATGGAAAAAATCTAGAGGATCCAGCCTCTGACGCATCAGTGGTATTCCCTCCTCCGATGATGGGAGCTGCGCTCATAGTGTTCATGACGGCGTTTCGAACGGGGCGTACTCCGAATGCCCAAAGCCCTCTTGATCTTGGTCATAAGCGGAACGTGCGCCTCCCTTCCTCGGCCCTGTGAGAACGATCGGTTAGTATTAACCTCGCAGAAGACACGACCAGTGTGGATGAAGAACCGTTCCGCGACATACCATCCTCTCGAGCTCATACTTCGCATGCTGGCGTCCTTCTTTGGTTGTGTTCGGATTGGCAAGTGCAGCTCTGTGATGATAAACACTAAGATTAGAACGAAATATACGAGTTGGGCATGTAGAGAACATACTTATAACCCCCGGCCACACGGTCGCGATCCTTGCGGTGGTGACGGCGGTGGTGGGAGTACTCGCGATGGTCATCATAGTGCGATCGTCCGAAGAGACCCATGTCGATGAAGTCAGGTAAGATAGATGGTAGGTTGTGGGTTGTAAGTAGCGGTGTGGACGGAGTAATGAGTTGGGTGAGATGAATGGGACTGTACTGGCTTGCGACGCCGTTTTTATCGTGTCTTCACCGTGGTTTCGTCATTGAAATGCTGTGCCCAGAGCCCCATTGTGGTGGAGTAACAACGAGAGCCAAGACGAACAAAAGCCCGTTCAGGTTTTCTGATGGTCCACAATGCGGTCGTCGAGCGGCGAATGTGGAGAAAGAGCACAAAGGCTTCATGACGTCATTAACAACCTTTATTAGGCGCTCAATGGTTGTCGCCACAAAATTACTCAAAGTTATATAATATATGAATATTCAAGGCGATCACATATAAATTGGGTCAAAGAACATGGCCAACAAAAGGCCGTCCCATTTTCACCCGAATCCGCTTGCCCCGAAACACAAGCCAAACGACCGGTGTAAAAAGCACGAGGCTAATGAGAAAAAGCATGACGCTAAGCCACTAGTAGCCTAAATTATCGCCACCGATGCTAGAACAAGAACTTGGTCAGAGTGAATTCTATGTAATAGAAAAGTTGGAAGCTCACATGGCCCAAAACCCGACTTTTGAAGATAATCAGCGGGCCAGGCAGAGATGATAAAGACACTGAACAGGCGTACCGGTCATACCAAACGTCTGGCGACCAAAGTTGAACACTTGTGCTATCTCGGTGGTCTGCGGTCTGTAGCCTGTCATATAGGAAAATTGGCTCAACATTGGTGGGCGAGAATAGGAAGCCTGACACTCACAGTCGGCTGCATAACTGTAAATGACGGTTGAAATAATCCTGTTGTTATCCCGTAAGCACGAGTGATGATAGAAGTTTCAATAGAAATACACGTACTAGATGGCGAAGCACATGACACTGAAGCCTATGGTGGGACCAATCCACGGTGTACGACATGCGATGGTAAATCCCCAGATCAGCAAACCTGCCTGGACAGATTTCAATGAGTTAAGTGGCTCAGAACGGGCAGCACTGAAACAGAACCAGCACTCACTGCATGAAGGGCAGCTCCCGACCAGATCCCATGCAACCTAACCTCGGGCACAACACCTGCGCCTGGCAGCCTCTTTCGGCTCAAATACATGCTACGGTCCACAACAATACCTCCAAGGAGTTCACCCACTGTCGAACCGATCAAGGTTCCTACGCCAAACGCGAGGCCAGTTTGAGAGGGCGTAAACTTATAGAGACGAGAAAACAGTGTGGCCGAGGTAACAGCTGGAAGAATCGAGCCTAAAGCAAACGTGTACGAATAATACACTGCTGTGGTGCTGACGGATGGATATTTAAGCCTAAAAGTCACGAGAAAGATTGGCCAAAGCAAGCTGACAAGGATTGTAACAGTGCTCACATGTGAAATGGTCTCCAGAAATCGGAATATCTTAAATGAATGCCCCTTTGCTCGATGGCCCCAGATCCTCATGCGCCTGAGGACAGGCCTATCCGTTTTTACTTGAACTGGCTCGCGATGATAAAGTGTCCCGGTAGGCAGAAGAGCATTACCACAAACATAGTAATATCCAGAACGGCCGGGAGATAATAGCACCACTCATAGCTCACGTATTGTCCGAGAAACTATAGGAAGTAAATTTGAGTCGCATGGCTTGGATGACAATCATCGTGCGTACGTACTCCGCCGGGAATGGGAGCCACATGTGCCGAGTTGGTAAGAAAAAGAGTAAAGACACCCATGGCACGGCCTCTTTAAATTGACCATGAGTTAACATTTCGTCAGACGATAGCAGTCTCAAATAATTGAGCATACCTTTCATGAAGGAAGAAGCAGTCCGAGACTAATCCTGCTCCTGACTTGAAGAATGAACTCGTCCCTATGCCGTTGAATACCTGATGGACAGAGCTCAGCATGTACCAACCACCAATCAAGGAAGGAGTCTTACCCTGGCTGCAATGAGTTGGCTCCATTTTTTTGCTTTGCCTGAGCCTAAGCTTGATGCAGCCGCAATCAATGTTGTTAATAGCATGACCGGACGTCGCCCATAAGCTGGAACAACCGCGATCAGCAAGACGTCTAGGCAAGAAAAGGTGTCCGTCGTACTTACTATTGGCCAAATGAACCCATAGGAATGACCCAACTCCCGCGAATGCGATGGCAATAGTGGTCTGATAGCTACTAGGGTGTTCAGGAAAATATGAGGGATCGTGTCAGGTAAAACATCACGGACCTTGCTTCCACTGTCGAAATACCGAGGGCGGCGGCCGGAGGCACGTAAGCTCCCGGGATTTCGAGATTAATGCCATATGTGTGAGTGAGGGTACTAATGACTGCCTGGTTCAATGGTCCAAGGAGGGCCATGATGGATAGCTGGAGGAGGATGACAATCTTCAGCCATTGAGCGAAGTTCAACGGGTCGGACGGGTCGTCAGACGGCTGGGGTACCAAGGGCATCCCATGTAGGTCAAGCTTCATGCTGGATTCAACGATGGAAACCGGGGCCACATCATCACCTAAGGTGCCATAATGAGATATCCGTCACTGGCCATCTTCGAAGAGAAAATCGGTGACTAACTGTATTCAATTTTAGAGCTGGTTTCTGCGCAAGCCACCATGGCAGCAGTCTATGGGTCAACTGCATTGTGCTAGATCAACCACTCTTAAAGGTTATGAGCAAATATTATGGCGCTACTAGAAGGCTGTCTGCTGATACTAGAAGTCTGCAATATCCATAGTGTTCTGTAGTGTGGGGCAGCGCAACTTCTCCAGGGCCTGAAAGCGATGAAGAGCACTATAGCGCACGTAGATAAGAAATATAACCATAATTCAAGAGTGTAAAGCTAGCATCACAATCGTGTTCGAATTGTGCCGTGTCGGCCAGCGGCTGCGGCTGTGCGGCCATTCACCAAAATTTCAAACCCCGATGGTGGCGAGCGTGGAGATCCGAGTCGTTGGAATTGGTACTCGGGCCGCTCATGTTACATTCCTCCCTACCCAGTTCTTTACTATGTATCCTCCGGCTCGTTATCACGATCGGCCCTGTCAGTGAACTATATACTGGTACTGGTTACTGCGATATCAAGTCGCTTATATATAAGTAGTAGCGGTCTTACGCTCTGACAAAACACACGGAAGTTGGCTTCTCGCAGATGACTGCTAGAGGTCCTTCTCCCGGCGTCCGAACTATCTTAACGCTTTGCGGTCAGGATGTACCTATCATGGGACATACCAATGGCGTAACTGGGGGTTCGTTGGATCCGACACCTACCGAGTAAAACAGGACCTTCAAGATCATGTCAGGCTTCACTTGCCCCTTGTCCTCCTTCGCCTAAGCATTACGATGGCCCCGCTTCGTCTTTCACTTGCTTGCTGGGATTATGACCGAGTCAAGGCCCTAGAAGATGGGCGCATCAAGGCTGAAGGTATAGAGCTCAATTTCCTCAACTTGAGGTGAGATAACCTGTCATCTCTACGAGAAGAGCCCCAAATTGACGTCGCATTCCCCATTGATATTTAGAGTCGAGGAGACGTGAGTAAAAGGATTTGTTATGAATTCCCTCAGATTGTCGTTGAAGATGTCACCAGTTTCTTTCGCCAACTTCGTTTCGAGGAGTTTGATGTCAGCGAGATGTCCCTGTCTTCCTACGTGGTGCGCAATACTCTCATCTCCATCTTGCGCCCTGGACTATCACTAATCCTATGTGTCTCCTCACATAGTTGACTCTCGAGAAGCCAGACCCTCCTTTCATTGCTCTCCCCGTATTCCCTTCTCGCTTCTTCCGCCACCAGTCAATATACGTCAATCTTCGCGCAGGTATCAAGCATCCCTCTGAACTCGCTGGGCGTCGTGTGGGAGTGCCCGAATTCCAGATGACGGCTCCTGTTTGGGAGCGTGGCATCCTAGAAGACGAGTATGGCCTGAAATACGACGCACCTGAGTATTACACTGGCAACGTCGAGCCAAGTACTCAGGAGCGAAAAGAGAAAGTCCCACTGAAGCTGGCGGATAGCGTCAAGATACAGTCCATCGCAAAGGGCAAATGCCTCGCACAGATGCTTGCTGATGGAGAAATTGATGCCTTAGAATGCGCGTGAGCAGTATACCATCTTTGAATAGCATAACCATGTCATGTTGATATCACCTAAACGAATTTGCTAGAACAGCTCCATCTACCTTCGGTACTCATCCAGACGTCGGACGCTTGTTCCCTAACGCCAAGGAGGTTGAGCAAGGTATGCAATCTAGCTATCAACATTCAGTTTTACTCATACTCCTCGGGTTAGAATATTTCAAGCGAACTGGACTCTTTCCCATCATGGTAAGCTAGCCTCACTGCCGAACAAATGTGTATGGCTAACTTATCTGCTCATTGCCATAGCATATTATCGTGGTCAAGCGCTCCATCATCAAGGCGCATCCTTGGGTGGCACGCACATTGACCAAGGCATTCGCAAGCTCGCTGGACTATGCGTATACTGCCATTCATGAGAGAGCTGCTCTTCGGTACGTACGTATGCCGCCCAGTGACGTGTTGATCACTAAGTCCACTACTTCTGGTAGGTATATCCTCCCTTGGCTCGAGTTTCATGTTGAGGAAACGAAAGCTGCTCTTTGTCGCGACGGTGAGAATCGCTGGTGGCAAGATGGTCTGACAGACCAGAACCGACGCACGCTGGACAAGTTCCTCGAATATTCGCATAATCAAGGGCTATCCAAGCGACGATGGGAGGTTGAGGATATTTTTGCGAAGAGCAGTTTGGAAGCGTTCGTGGTGTGATGGTCATTGATGTAAGTTTTATGGTAGTAGTAGGGGAAATTTTGCGAGTGTCACCAATGCAGGAAGTAGTGGATCGCCTGAGCCTTGTCGTTTGTCTTGACGAACAGACATCCACACTGGTTACGACCACATCACCGAAGAGATAATGATTCCTATAGCTCTGTATGCCGAGTTTAGTATGCTCATAACTATCCAAGCATTATTCATACAGTCTACTCTTTTCGGCTTCCAATCTTCTGTAGGGTATCAGCCTCAAGCGCCGCTCTGAGCTTCCGCCAGAACGTGCTCCCCAACTTCGTTCAAAATCTCCCAAGCCCGTAGAATGTCCCGCTCTTCGGTCCTCGCAGCTCCAACCGCCAACCTCAAACAGAATACGCCCCGTATCTCAGTCTGGGTCAATAACATCTCGTGAGTGTGCGACGTTTGAAGTTCGTGGTGCATAGCACGGTTGAGAGCATTCAAAAACGCGAGAGACGACGGGTCTTCCTTATCAGAGGTAGGGGCGGTGGCGGTGATGCTGCTGGAGGTAGGAGGAGAAGTAGACACGAGTGTAGACGGTTCGAAAATAGCCTCTTGTTTGGGATCCATAGGGTCCGCATTTGCAGTCGAGGAAAGTACGGTTTTCTGAGTAGCTTGGGAACGAGGGCGTAGCCTGAAGACCGTGAGCGCGAAGGATGGACGAGTGACGAGTTCGAATATGTCCGATTTCCGTACGAGGGATGCGAACAGCTCGTTGAGTTTGATGCACTGCACCAAATAACCATAATCAGAACAATGGTGAAGGTATAAGAAATGGAGAAACACTTACCCTTCGAATATATGTTTGGAAACCCTCTACACCAAAGCTGCGCAGAACGAACCAGAGCTTCAGCGAGCGGAACCTACGGCCGAGAGACAAGTGCCAGTTGCGATAGTCGATGACGGTCCCTGTATAATACCAAATGTGGTAGACACCAGTCAGCATAGGCACCAAAAGGGTGTGATTAGAATTTGATCTCCAAAAGGCGAATCGAGGACAATCTACCAACCAGCGTCTCCATGTTTCGTCCTCAAGTACGCAGGAGTTACATCCAGCGCGTCTATGAGGAGATTTCGATCCCGCACCCATAACGCAGATGCGTCGAAGTTCGTCAGACCCCACTACGAATGTCACACAACAGTCAATTGACCATCTGTAGGTTGTAACTAAAGTATTAGAGACACTCACTTTGTGAAAGTTCACGCAAAGGCTCGTGACCCATTTATTTATACCTGCCAACTGAGCACGGTCACGATATTCTGGGCATGCGAGGGTGACGCCAGCCCAGGCAGCGTCGACATGGAGCCAGATGGATGGGTGTTCTTTCGCGACTGCACGTAAGGGATAGCATCAGAGTCGTGACCTGGTTAAAGGGACGAATTAGAGCGCACGATATTCTCCGATCTCATCTATTCTGTCGACTGCACCTGAATTCGTCGTTCCTACAGTGGCCACTATACTTCAAGGTCAATTAAAGCTGTCCTTTTGTAGTGATTAACTCGAGTCAGGGTGCTCACCTAATATGAAAGGTTTCATCCCATTCGCCAAATCCTCCTTCAACGCTTCCTTCAATTTATTCACTCCGAGCCCCCACCCGTCAACTTCTTCCTCGCTATCCTTTCCCATTACAACCTCATCGTCCACATCGATAGTCCTTACTCTCAGACCCAATATACGAGCAGCCTTGAGTCCGAAGGAGTGCGTATGTGAGGTGACGTACATAACAAGGGACGAGTGTGGAACGTCCGGGTTGAGAGTTGTGCAGCGTGTGCGGGCACATACAACGGCAGTAAGCGCTGAGTCCGAGGCTGTTGTCTGGCAAAGAGATAATATGCATTAATAGGTCAGTTCTCGAGCACTGATAGTGAGTGGAAGTAGAATCCAAGTTATAGTAATGAGATGGAAGTACCTGAATGACACCTCCGCCTACTTCGCTGATATTCCAGAACGTGCGTTCCAGACCAAGCATACGAGCAGCCCAATCCATGACGACGGACTCGAGTTCAGTGCAAGCTGGGCTTGCGAGCCACTATTGAGATTAGTGATTTTAATCAGTCACAGCTCGACCGTAAGACTGAAGGCTAGGTGAATTTGACGAGGATAAGGAGACTAGAGAGTGATAGACTCACGTTGAATCCCGGGTTACACGCACTACTCGAATACAGATCTGCCAGCATGCCCTCGAACGTACACCCAGTAGGGAAGTAGGCAAAGAACGAGGGGTGTTGCCAGTGCGTGAGACCTGCATACCAAACGGTATCAAAATATTACGGCGTTCAAAGATCCCGACACGAATCAAGGAGAGGAGGATATGCCAGTCAGTTTAGCGAGTCCGTGCGATCGTACTGGGGAGAAAGCTGGGGCCAAAGTAGAAGCCAGAGTACCAACCAGGTATAATAAGACTCTGATAATCGTCCGCGATAGCATCCCACTGCTCGCCCTTCTCGGGAGCATGATCTGCATCTATTGTATCAGATCTGGAACATGGTTAGTAGAACGAAGTGAACAGACCCGGAAGAGCTTTTCTGAGGTATCCCGGTTCAACCTGGGCTACCACAGGTTTTTCGCGTAAACTGTAATAATAGTCGCAGATGCGGTCGATGGCCTGATAGCCTGCCTTTCGAAATCTGAAAATTCAGCGTGTCGAGTCAGAGTTAGCTCGCTACATAGGCCAGTCATGCTTACTGTTCAATATCCATGTTACTTTGAGCGATTTAAGATCGATGTACAGCAAGACGTGTAGCAGAGAGACTATCAAATAGAATGTTCAAGTCCAGTGATCCGTTGAAGGGTCAGGCTTGATGGGAACTTCTCGAAGACAGCGCCAGAAACAAAGATAAGTCAGTGGATTCGGGTGATCCGGTCGTCTAGTGTATGTTCAAGATCTTATACTAAATCCTTTAGTGAAAGACTGCAAACCAAAAGCGAGATAGCAATGTCTCTACAAGCTCCAGCGATACCAGCCACAGCACAGAGTCAGGTTACAACGAAGTACAATGCTTCATATATACCTGTATACCATTGACCCATTCCATCACATATTTTTGGTTCAAATTCTCCTGGTGCCCGTGCGACCCAATATCATGTTTCGACGCTAGTCTCTAACCAGACCTTATATAAGAAATCATTATATAAGGTCTGTTCCAATTTCTGGGACTTTGGCGGGGCGACCCCGAAAGACCATATAAGGAAATTTCTGGGTCGCGTCGGATCTCTCAGTTCGGTGCCACACGGCAAGGGTGGCACAGCGAAGTTGCGTAGGTTTTCGTTTCTGCTCCTGTATCCTTCCTGCCCGTGTGTATCAGATTCTCTGCCATCTTATTCTGCATCTTTACTCTGTATTTGTCGGACCGAATTTTTGATCATAACACTCTAAGATACATAGCTTTCAAACCGGCACATCTGCATGGTAAGCCACACCCCCACCTGATCAGTGGAACTCGTCAACAATCTCGTCCACAAAGAGCTTGGTAAACTGACATCCAAGAAAATTAACCTGCGTCTCAAGGTGTTCTCGACTCAGAAAGACAGATGTCAGCGAATGGCCGGCACAAACTGAGGTGGACGAGCGATGCCACAATAATCAGGGGCCAGGGGCCACAGTGGCGGAAAGAAGGTGAATCGCAAGCGTCGCTTACAGATAGGCCACCAAATATTATTTTCAAAGGATTACCGTGATCCAGCGCAAACCATGAGCGCGATTTGGTGAATGTCATTGAGTGTATGAGCTCGGGAGAGTTGCAGTTAGCAGTGAGGCCGCCGCCATCTTACTACTTAGATATTTGTTGTAGAATGTATGCAGTGAGACATAATATATGAGATCTAGCTGTACATGGTTAGGGAAAACACAAGGGCACCTTTCCTCACAGTAAAGTAAGAACAAGAATGGACATGGGTCGAGACAAAGACACGAACTCTGTGAACGCCTCTTGCGCCCAACTTGCGCCCCCCCACGGTTATCGCTTCGCTTAGATGAGATCAGGGCTTCCGCGTTATCATGAATTTCCATATATGGTCTTTGGGGGTCGCCCCGCCAAAACCTCCCAAATTGGACAAGACTATTTCGACGCCACACCTTGGGCGCGAACGGTGAATGCCGGCTGAGATTCAATTCTAAACGAGTCAAGTACCTTCAGGTTGGCTCTCACCATGACCGAGGAGAACTTATAAGAACAAAAACATGAATACCCTATTGTCAAAAACATCGAGAACAAATATATCACCGCTGAAGTCTGATCGCGACTGTGACACAATGCGCTCTACCAGAAATAATTAAATAAATACGCATGCAGATGAGATATGAGAGTTGGGATAGATGGTTCAGTATATATGGCAGACTATAGCAAGGGAAAGCCCATGAAGGCTATGTAGTAAGAAAGAATGGATGGATGTAAATAGATTGACTAAAGAGCGTATATCGATATCGGTTGGTGTGGCCGAGTAACAGTAGGACGACAAGACTAGGAGGTTTATAGCATCGCGGGGATTGTGAACTGGAAGAGCTGATAGTTCGTGTGGACCGAGTACCGAGGTGAAAAGTGACAGATTACTCGCGCTTGATCTCCTACGACACAAAAAACATTCCGTATCAGCACTACGCACCCAGAAACAACGGCAAGTGCAAAACATGCAGACCTTTTTGACCTTCTTCGCGATCATCTTCTTCTTGATATAGTGGAAGGTACGCATGATATCAGGGCCGGTGAACAGCGGGACTACAATAGCCATCATGGGCAGGGCGATGATCCAGAAGCTGCAGAGTGTGCAGAATGGCGTGGGTCAGAGACGAAACATGAATAGATACGGGGAGAAAAGGAACGATGGACTCACATAAGATCAGAGTGGTCATGGTTGATAGACCACATGTTCTCGAAGTTCATCCCGAAGTAACCGGTGAGAAGTGTGAGAGGGAGGAAGACGATGGTTGCGAGGGTTAGACGACGCCTATCATATCTCGTCAGTCTTTTCGACCTAACTGGACAACAGGGGATGCACGTACATAACTTCGTTCATCTCATACGACGCCATCTGTTAATTCAACGATCAGCTCATTGCTAGATTGTTCGAGCCGTAGGGGAATGCAACACACGTTGAAGGTATAGTTGATCAAGTTCTCCGACATCGCAGTGTACATATCCAAACTCGTCATGACATGCTCCATATGATCGTGCACATCCGCGAGGTAGATCTTAGACTTATGGCTCATATATCCTACGACCTTGATGGGTGCGTCCGCGTCTGTAGTGTCCACGAGCGCGGCACACCTGTCAACGTCGTATCGACGGAGACCGTAGATGACGGTTTGGACGGGACCGAGGGTACGCTTGTGCAGGATCAGGTCACCAGAAAGAACGTGCACTGAAAAGAGTTGAGATGAGATGAAATTTCATAGATCGACGTGTGGTAGATGGTAGGGGAGGGCAGACGTAGGATGCTTACAGTCTCTGACGTTCTTGACCTGGGGTTTGATGAGAACGGCACGCTCGAGCTTGTGGATTTTGGCGTGGTACTCATCGACGACTTCAAGAGCTTGGTCGACAACTACGAGAGCATAGGTCAATACTAAAAATCAGTGTTTTAGAGAACCTGGAGTATGCCGTACCAAGATCGAGGAGACTTTCGACCAGCAACGAGGGATCAGCCGACTTGCGTAGAGTAGTGTCCGAGCGGAAGAGACGTTGGGTAATAGGAAGGGTGAAGTCGAGGTTCGGGTCTGGATGCATTGTGATCACAGTGCCTACAATACGCGCACACCAGCTTAGCCGTAATAAACAGTAGCGGAAACGGTGATCTTACCGTCTCGGAACAAGAAGATGCACATTGGTGAGATACGGACGTTGACACGTTCGCCCTTCTTGAGTTGCTCTATAGTGATAGCAGCCGCCGCACGCTTCCGCTTGCTCTCCTAAATTCGAGAAATAATGGGTACGCTCAAAAATTAGTATAAATGGCGGAATTATAGCACGAAACACGTACCATGAAAGAGGGGGTCCTCCCTGCATTGGCTTCCAAATCGTTCGCCGTGAGCGCACTGGTCATCCTATACTTCCTTTGCCTGCCATTCGGATCGCCATCATCCTCAACCTCTAACCCATTCTCTCCCAATTTCTCATCCCCATAATCATCCATACTCGCATCGTGACCCGCGATACCCAAGTTAGCATCTAGCGAGACCGGGCTAGAGCTCCTTGGAAGGTTTGTGATGGTCTTTCCGGAGCTCCAAGTCGAATACGCCTGAGGAGAGCTTGAAGAGGCGACTGCTCCAATCTCGGAGAGAGTGGTGGGCTCGGAAGCGAGGGTATGGCAGAGGACGCGGAGGAAGAGGTGTTGAGGATAGTAATCAGCTTTGGAACGGCCGTGGCTGCGCTGGTGAAGGAGATCTTCAAGAGCGAGAGGATGAAGGTCTAGAGACGGTTATTTAAAGTTGATGTAAGTGTCAATTTCATTTCCTGATGTTTGGTAAATGAATGTACTGTATTTGAGGGCAAGGGCACTGATAACGTCCCAGCTCAGACCACCGACGTTGATCCATCGAACCTTCGCCCAGGGCTCGCGCGCGCTTGCCTCCGGATTTTTCAGGAATTGGATGAGTTCGCCATTGGTCATGCTGCCCCGTGAAACGCGAAGTGAAGAATAGTCGATGATATCAATCAAACATTTCTGTAATACGCGGAGGGTGCCACATCAGTACAATGTCACACAGCCGTTTGCACGTGTAGTTGCAGCGTATTCGGGCAGAGCGGACAGGAAAGGGTTCAGGGCGAGAAAGCTCACCTGGCGAATATGCCCATAGCTCATGAACGCACTGTGGCTTTTCGCGTCGATACCTGGTTCGGCACCAATCTTGCCCCTCGCCATGAATGTCGACGTCCTCCGCATCTGGATGATCTTCTGCGCTGCATTGCGAAACCTCTCCTTCGGAGTCATCACCTTCTGCTGATGCTGGCGGTGAGTGCGATTCGTACGATGCGTCTTGGTGCTTTTCGTGGGGCTCTTTGGGCCCGATTTAATGGACTGTTGAGACTTCATAGCTGCGGTCGCCAAATTGGCCATGAGAGGCGTTTGCTTCCTAGCGGGGCTGCTAACCATGTCATCGCCGTTTGCAGCCGCGGCGGAAGCAGGAGGTTGGGCATGGTTAGCTTGCGAGGCAGCGAATGCTCGCTCGTTTTCGAGCTCGTCGTCGAGGTCGGGAGTCAGTGAGCGCTCTCCATCGGAGTCAGTGAAGCTGTTTTCGCGAGGCATGAAGGGCTATATCTAGGAAAAAGGACAAGGACAAGGAATGGACAGGATACGCGGGTTGTGGGGTATAGCAGATTGTGGAACAGACGCGAGTGTAAGTAGCTGCGAAAGACGCATCGCAGCGGGCAGGTCTGGGCTGCACGGTCCTAGAATAGAAACAATCAAAATCAGAGATTGCCGTTCCAATCATAGCGCCTGCGAGGCATTTCCATCCACGCCATCATGCGATAAAAAGGTGCGCCCTGGCCGCACCGGGGCCGCCAAGGCTGTGGAGCTTCGACATGGGATCTGTCGGTCTAAGAAGTTCAAGTTCAAGCCTATATACTTATTCTCCAGCTCTTTTCGATGGGGCGAGATGCAGAGATATGAGTGCAGTGGACTGAGTTGTTTTGGTCTTGTGGGTGCGAGATTTGTCAGAGTCCTCAAAGCCAAGGAAAACAGATAGGCGATCTCGATCGGGAGCCAGGTTGCCGGGATTGATGGCATCAACCCTCTTATAACGCAGATGTCTCCATTTCGTTTGGTTGTGTTTGCCGTTTTCATTTCTTTTTGAGGTGCTTTCTTGAGGTTCGAACTAAAATAGTCAGGTATTGCCATTCTGGCCAGTGCGCTAACGCACTTTGAAGGCATCGACGTTTATCCTGCAATTAAAGGTTAGTGCTTTCAAGCGACGACGGCGGTTAACCATTTTGGCCGTAAAGATTGCCCTCTTTTGGTGAGACCAGTCTGAGTTTCACACTGATCATCTCGCTTCTGTAGGCCGACTGTCCGATATATTTATTGACAAACGGGGCGTAGCTCCGGTAGGTCTTGTAAATATTACTGGACGGAGGCCAAACGGAGGCTTTCCTTGTGCGAACCCAGCAGGGATGATTTGCCACCCTCGTGGACTTCGTATCTTCAGCCCGGTTTCTCTGCATCAACCTGCACCGACTTTCTTTAATCTTCTTGTCTTTCTCTGCTTGAAGCAATTGACGCTTGCCCGGTTCTCCACAGTCCTCCATTCTTCTTCAACAATGAGCTTTCGTGACGACTGGCCCAAGAACCCGGATGGCATCGATTTCGACGGCAAGGGGCTACTCAAACTCGTTCGAAGCGGTCGTAGTCCCTTTCGGAGCGCCTGGAATGTCGAGTTGCTCATTAGGGAGATAGAGGAGAAGCTTGGATCCAAGATCGTTGATATCCCTTCCGTCCTCAAGGGGTCGAATAATTATGTATGCCGGTTGCTCGCTGTCACTGGTGACGTTCAAGCTGACGTGGATGTGATGGGTGGCGCGCAGGGCTTCGACATTACGATGGAGAATGGAGTGCGCATCCTGGCTCGTCTCGCTCGAGGGGACGTCAACATGCCAGACTTTGATGGCTTTCCAGTGGAGGAGCAAGTGGCAGAGGTCGAGTTCGAGGCTGCAGCGTATACTCTATTACGTTCCGAGGCCACCATTCTGCCCTCCCGCTTGCTTTATCACCGTGTTCCAGTGCTAGACATTGGAAGGAGCAATGATATACCAGCTACCATCAAAGGTCGACGACTGCTTGTGTTCGAAAAGGCGGACGGAGAGAACAATGTATGGGCTGATCTCGACTCTAGACAGAAGGTGGGTTTTCGCCTCGAGTTCCCGGCACTTAGCCTGGATGGCGAATGCAATTTTCATTCTAGGTTCTTTTCAACAGATGAATTTACTTGGACAATGCGCCAATATGCGGGCCGCACTTTTCAAATTTCGACTCCCAATGGACTTCGCCGCTCGTTGGCTCCGCGAACGGCTCTTCGCACAAAGACCCGATTCATTCCCTATCCCCGTCGCTCCCACTCGCGATTTTACTCACGCGCTCTTAACGTCCAAAATTGAAGCTACGATCAAGAACGTAGGCGACATGATCGGCTGGGAAGATGATAACGAAGTCGTAGGACCAATCGCTGCAGCCGCCAAACGCTCAATGCTTCATCTCCTACCCCATATCCTACCCGTCGGGAGCGACCAGTTTGAGAGCGCGCTGTATCGCCTCGTTTTGGAGCACGGCGATTTGGGTATCCATAACATGTCGATCGTGAGAGCTGTTGATGGAGATCCTTTGGTCACTTCTGTGTATGATTGGGAGACGGGTTGTATCGTGCCCGCCATTCTTTCAGATCCCCTCATGGCAGTGGAAGTTGATTTGGTGGTAGATGAGGACGCGAAGCCGGCGATCTCCCGCATTCATGATGCCTCGTCGGAAGAGTATCGGTCGCAGTGCATGGGATGGGCGAAATGCTACTTCGACGTTCGTTCTGCCTCCTGATGTTCTCCATAGTTGCGCGGCGCTAAATCTTACGTATCTTTCTTCAGACTCTCTACATCCAAGCTCCGGAATACGCTCAAGCAATCAAGGCTGGGAGGGACGTTCGGCATCTTTGGTTAGCCCTGCGTGAGTGGCGAGGCGATGACCCCGAGGGTTACTTCGGAGAGTTAGGTGCCTGGGCCGAGAAGAGAATGAAGGAACTGATGATCTGAGAGATACAATCGGCGGACGGCAAGAATGAGGCCAATGTCAAGGTTGGGGGAACCGCTCACCTGATGGACGAGGGAGTGGTCAAAGATATCATGTCCTTCGGCCACAAGATCATCACGGCAACATCTTACCCATGGAACTTGCTGTTGTTCGTCAAACATGAGTGCGTTGTCTGTGGTTTCATCCCTTCCCAGTCATCACATTCAAAGCTGCCCTATCAGAACCCTTGCTGCAGCCTCGCCTGCGCCCTCATTCGTCATTGATCTGCTCTCCGCTCTGGTAGCAAACAGCTGTGCTGATTTGTCTGGTATCGATACTCGGGAAGGAGGCATGGTTGGACATGAAGGTCGGTGATGCTAGCCTCGTTGTTGCTAGTAACGACACCCCGGAGCTCGACAAAGACCAGTTCATCCCAGTTGCCTTCGCCTCCCGAGAGGAAAAGCCCAAGTTCATCATCCACGGCAAGTGTGGCAGGGACCACAAGCCGACGCCACCGCCTGCTCGTTTGCTTCCGCCCCTCCCGCTCGCCCCTGCCATTTTGGTTCGCGACAGCCTTCCTCTTTCGGCGCCTCCGTTTGTGGCGTTCGTGGCGTGCTGGCCTCGATCTCGTGCTCGTTGCGGACGTTGCCTCCCAGCGGCATCATCCTCGCGTGGTCATCGCATCCTCTGGTGGATGTGGGTGGCGTGGGTGGATGTGTGGTGTGTGGGTGTGGTGTGGCGAGAGGGTGCAGGTTAGTTGTCGGTACGTGCTTGTTTTGGAGGTTGTTTGGACCAATGTTTGTGTGTACGATCTCGTTCTTAGTCTCATCTCCGTTTTCATTTTCATTGCTCCGTTTGATCACCCATGAGAGAACGTATGATTTGTTGTATGGACTACGCTATGCTACACGGCACCCTCTGCATTCGAAGAAACAACGAGCATGCCTCTGCCCTACTCGAGGTGGTTTATTTTTCAGTACCAATTCATAGCGCCTGCAAATCATAGCGCTTGCAAGCCATACACATCTACGCACCGGCGCCGCCAAGGCTGTGGGGCTTCAACATAGGATTTGTCGGTCTAGGAAACTCGAGTCTAAGTTCCTATATATTTTCGAGCTCTTTTTCGTGCGGCGAGGTGTATATATGAGTGCGGAGTGGACTGGGCAAGTTCTAATCTTGAGCAAATCCTGAGTCCTCCCAAGGAAAGGGGATGGGCGATCTCGATCGACAGCCAGGGTGCCGGGAATGATGGCATAAATTGATGGACGGAGGCTTTCCTTGTGCGAACCCAGCACGGATGATTTGCCACCCTCGTTGACTTCGTCTCTTTCGTCCGGTTTCTCTGCAACAACCTGCACCGACTTTCTTTAATCTTCTCGTCTTTTTCTGCTTGAAGCAATGCCTCGAGAAAATAGCTTCGACGATGAAGCGCGCTCCCTCACCCCCGACCTCGAAGACGAACTCGAACGGGAACGGAACTTCGCGAGTATGCAAGAGGCTCTCGACGCACCAGGTCCTTCACCCATACGCCAGAACCCACCACAATCGCTCCCCAACCTCGTAACATCCATTTCACGGTCTTCACATCATGTTGCATCACCTATCTCCGTCACATCACCCAGCAAGAGCCTCAAAAGCCACAAGAGTCAACCCACTCGGACGTCGCGGGCTACGCGTCCCCCAATGCCTCACCAAATGACTCCAAAGGATAGGTTCAGGTCGAGTGTAAAGAAGGTCATACAGATGAAGAGAATGTCGAGTTTCATGACCACCGGAAGGATAGGCGCTGAACCTGGTGTCGACCCACGGAGGAACAGCGCGTACATTAACTATGGTCACATCCGTCAGGTGAGTTCGAGTGAAAACCTGGCAATCGTCTAGCATGGCTGACCGTCTTTACTTTAGAAATGCTTGATTGATATAATAGACTATTCCGCGACGAGGGCCAGCTTTGGTCGCATGACGAATGGAGAGTTCGTCAAGTTTTTGGAAAACCCAGAAGCAAGTGCGAGAGATCCTTGGGTGAAGGTGCGGTGGATCAATGTCGGCGGCGTTAGCTGGGACGTTGTTAGCGCTATAGCTCTCAAGTACGGTATGTCTGTTTCCTTAGCCCCATATGGCTCTTGTTTTGGATCGCATAGCTGACGTGCAGCATTGTTGGCAGACCTTCACCCTCTTGCCCTCGAGGACGTCCTTCACGACCGTCACCATGCTCGTTCCAAAGCAGACTACTTCCCCCAACACCTGTTCCTCCGGGTCCTCTGCCATACCGTTGGCGCTACGCGTAACGAGGACCTTTCGCTATCGCGGTCCACCTCGTCACAGACACAGAACTTTTCCACGGCTTCTTCGAACGGAACCTTGGTCAACCCCCTGCGGACCTCATCACCGGAGCCACTAGATGATGAGCTCGGTATTGAGGGCCACGATGCTAGTCATGGCTTCGGTGGTGATGATCCCATGGACTATGACATGGATCGTTTCGATGAACCGAAGAAAGTTGGGAGAGGGTTCGGTGGTAGGTTTAAGAAGCGTGACGCTGAGGCTGGTAGAAAATGGTCGACTCCTCTTATGGTGCATTTGGGGAGCGTTATTATTCCCTGGCATATCACTGATGATGTCTTCCTCGTACAGGCAGCAAGGCGGCGCAAGGATGACACTGCCCTTCTTACTCTGGACGAGCTGAAAAAGCGCGATCGAGTGAATGTACGCACTGCGCCGATGTGTGTATTTCTATTCCGAGACGGTAAGTACCTGACAGGATATGTTGTTATGCCGACTCGACTCACGAATTCTTCGCATAATAATGCAGGAACCGTGATATCCATTCATCCCGACCCGAACCTTGACTTCACTTCGCCTATCTCTTCCCGTATCCGTCAACGAGACACGACTCTTCGTTCCTCCGCAGACGCATCGTTACTTGTAGAAAGTCTACTGGATCTTAGTACGTCTCCTCCTACCCTCTTGTCTCAGATACTGATGGACATCTCCATGACGTTCATAGTTGTCGATCAGGCTCTGGAAGTCGTCGATGAATACCATGACAAGATCAACGTGCTCGAACGGGAGATCCTCATGAAACCTAAGGTCAAGAACGTCCGAGATCGTGCGTATCTTCTTCGCTCTCCGTCAGTTTCCTTTTCCTCGGATCGCTCACTTGTCTGCCTCCTGCACCCCCTTGGCGCTACGCCACAATAGTCCACATCCTCTCCGGTGACCTGATCCTCTACAAGCGCACCCTTGGACCCGTCAAGACCGTCATATATGGTCTCCGCCGGTACGACGTCGACCGCTGTGCAGCCCTCATCGACGATTCGTCCTCGTCAGCCGCCAATCCTTCTCCGAGAGTGGTTGGGTTCATGAGCCACAAGTCGAAGATCTATCTGGCGGACGTGTACGATCATATGGACCATGTGATGACGAGCTTGGACATGTACGCCGCGATGAGCGAGAATCTGATCAATTATACATTCAATGTGAGTGTTTGTTCTTACACAATTGGCTGTCTGTTGCAGAGGCAGAAGTTAACGATTTTGGTATCTTGCTGGTAGATGGCTTCGTATGAGACGAATGAGGTCATGTAAGTACCGCTACGTTCTTCCTTCGTAGTAGGCGTTCATAGCTAAGTGTTGTCGCTCGTCCGTTCCCAGGCGGCGGCTCACGCTGGCAACTATCATCTTCTTGCCACTCACCCTGCTCACCGGATACTTCGTACGTCTCCTCTATTCCCACTCACACATTATCTGGACCTTCAAACTCACCACCCGGACACCGATCGCAGGGAATGAACTTCGACTCCATGTGGAGCATTCAACACGGGCATACCGATCTTGTGTACGTTCTTACCCCTCCTTTACCCTTCGTGGCGTCCAATTGCGAGGCGGTACATACTGAAGGTTTGGTGCTCGTTTTCGATACAGATTCTGGATCATCGCGCTGCCGGTCATGGCCATCGTTGTCCCGATCTTCATAGCTCCGGACTTGACGCGCATCTGGCATTATATGAGGAAGAAGTGGCTCGTGAGGGGAATCACAAGGGTACGTTCATCCATTCACTCATTCCTCTTATCCCTTCAACAGCTGACCCGGATGTGTGGTCCTAACAGGATTTCAAGCGCGAGTAAACGAACTCGTCATCGTGGCCCCCTAGTGACCTTCCGCTTTTCTGCTAACGACACTTACGACGACGGACTATATATATCTCAAACACGGCAGTAGCGCACGTATATAGAGGGAAACTACCATACCATGCTCGGTTTAATGTATCATACCATATGCATCTACAGCTCTGGAGTGTATCGGTTACCAACCTACTTATTTCCTGTTACATACGTACGGGTTTCATTTGCTCCAGATTACTGCTTTTCTCGGATTGCTGCATGGACTATAGACTTTTGATTCTTATTGATATACGGACAGTGTACTGGTTGCTTAGCTGTTGAGTGTGTGTGCTGGTGCTGTTGGTGTTGCACGTTGGCGTGGAGTGAGACTGTGTTATGGTGATATATTTGGTCGTCGAGGTTGAACGTTGACCACCTAGCAAGTCTGTCCATGTGTTCTCTCGTGGAAACGGGGTCGAGCGCGATTATTTATTGAAAAGGGACACAAGTAAGGCAGGTATCGCGATATCAGGGACAGGGTCCAGCCTGTAAAAGGGTCTGGGAAGATACGACCAGGCTAGAAGTTGGGAATGTGGGACATTGCACAGTACATTGCGACTGTCGAAGACAACGGCTCACAGGAGCGGTATTAGGAATAAACCTACAAAGCGTTCAGTCGGTCAGTTGAGTGTGCTGCTAGTCGCTGAGCGTCCGAAACAAACATACCATCATCACAACATCTACATCTTTCGCATCCTCCTCGTAAACATCTTGAACGCAAAGAAACCTCTCCACCTCTCTCTCCTCCAATACGTCTATCATCTGCGCCACTACCTTCCTATATACCATGGCATACCACTGGTTGCATGACGAACAAGAGTTAAAGTCCGTATTTCTTCCCGTGATATCCCGCAGGGTGGTGACATCATGGACCTGAACACCGCCCGAACCTGAACCTGAACCTGATGAACATGTACGAGTGCGAGTCCGTGTGCGGGGCCTCTTGTGCGGACGCGTCGGTTCCTGAGAGTCAGAGCTCGGAGCAGCCGAAGTGGCGATACGCAAGGGACGAGGGCTCTCTCGGTTATTATTAGGGTTGTTGACACTCAAGTTGGTAGAGGCGATGCGGGAGCGGGGACCTTGGCGGGAACGAAGGTCGTAACGCGTTTGTGGTATTGTGGTCGTTGCTGGCGTTTCGGTTTCTGTTACCACCCGCCGATGCAAAAGTTGGAAAGGCACACGTCGTTAGTGTCATGGAAGCTGTTTTCTTGGTAAAGAAGGGCGGAGGTTTGAAGGGCCGGAGACTCTGGGAAGGTGTACATACGTTTGGTAAAGTCGATGGAATCGGCGGGTTCGTCTGCGATGGGGATGTTCGAGATGTCTGTCAGGTCGGAAATAGGAATGGTTTGGTAGGAGATAGCCATATATTATAATTGAGAGCGAAAGGATCAAGATCTAGGGTATCGCGGGCGTAGAGAGTCGACACAGATGTGGCAAGAAGGGATTGTAGACCAGGCCTGCAAAAGGAGGTAGGAGCAGAAGGTGCGTTTCGAACCAGATGATCTAAGTAATGCTGACGGTGTTTGCTGTACGGATCACCGAGATCAAGATGGGTTCCGGTTCTTCATTCCTCCAATCAGGTTCCGTCGCTCAATTGAATGTGGTCTGTTCATGATGTGGTTCGCGCAGATGTGATTCAGATGTGATCGACTCCCAAGTCTGAGAGCAGCTTGGCAGATTACAGATCCTGGTTGGATCGGAAGGGCAAATAACACAGGAACTTCCAGCTAAGAGGTTCATCCCATAGGCACAAAAGGTGGCAGTGAGTCCCTCCGTAGGTCGTAAGGGGAGAAGTTCTGTAGAGAGGTCGAGTAAGGCGCCAAGAATGACTTCCAGAAACCCCTGCATGATCAGAGACGGCCCCTGGAGCTTGCTTGTTTGGGCGACTCATCCGGACGTGATATCTATAGCGTGTCACTGAGTGGGTGGTCAGTCTGAAGCCTGGACCCATCTTATGTTGGATGTGTGCTGAGAAGCACGAGCGGGGGGAGATAGGGAGTTGGTACCATCAAGCTGATGAAGTTTGGACCGACATATGGGCAGGTATGTCGCCAAAGAGAGGTCTGTACGGCTGGGTCTGCGTAAAAAAAGGCCAGGTATGGGACAGAAGAGATGGGAGGGGGTAGACGTGGCCATGCCAATAGATGCATGTGCCAGCTCACGGGCGTTGTCCAAGTCGCTAGTGGTCCATATCTTTGTATTTCTGCAAATCCTGAAGAGAGCTGACGAGTGTGGACCAGTGTTTATCTGTGAGAAAGACGGACGAGAGGAGTTGATAAAATATTAGCTGGCAGAGGAAGGAGATACGGAAAGGAGATCGGGTGTGGCCCAAGACGGGCCGAACGTACGGCGTGGGAGAGGTCAAGAGCACAGCAGCCTGGGCCGCTCGTAACCGCTTCAAGCCTTCCTGGTTTCGTCCCTGTTCGACGACCACCCTCTCGCGCAGTTCCCTCTCTCAGTCCATCGTCCCCCTCGACGACTGTACTCTGTACCGGACTCCAAGCAATTTTGCGCCTGCCCTTAGCCGTCGTCCCGCACCCGACGTTGCTGGTCATCGCAGGGCATATTCTCCACTCCCCTAACAGCATTATCACCATCGCGCTCGTAACCACGCTCTTTTCTCTTTATCGTCTTTCTTGACATGCAAATCGACAACCTCCTTTTCGCCCGCGACGATTGCGTTGCTTGCGGCGACATTCCGGCCTGCAACTGTGCTGATGGCGAAGAGTGCATCCAAATCAGCAGGTCTGTCTGGCCTCTCCGTCTGACCAATTCAACCCCCCTTCTCACGACCATTCCAGGAGCTGTGAGACCTGCACCACCAACCAATGCGTCGCATCCAGCTCAGGCTCGGGCTCAGGCTCGTCCGGAGGGGTCAGCAAAGGTGCTGTCGCAGGCGCAGTAGTCGGTTCGGTCCTCTTCTTCGCTCTCGTCCTCGGCTTCTATTTCTGGTGGAGGAAAAAGCAACAGGCTGCGAACAAAGAGCAGCCTGCCGCAGAGGGGTCCAAGGATGTCCCTGCCCCCGCGGACAAGGTTCTCAGTCGTCCTGATCCCATCGAGAAGCACGCTTCCCAGCCGTCTCCTCCTCGTCAGCCTCAGGAAGAGCGTGGGACGGTCAGGGTCTATCCCACCGGCTCTAACTCTATCATCGACTTGGACCCCCACTCCCAGCAAGCGATGCATCTCAATGGCGGCCATATGCGTAATTCCTACCGCGACTCTGATCCCAACCCCTTCGGAGATGGCCACTCAATCGTTACAACCTCGACCGGCAGCCAGTCCACGAATGTCATCCCTATCGCCCTCGTTCCTCCTGGGTCTGTTGGCTCTCGACTCTCTTCTCCTTCTCAAACCGATTCTTCCACCTCTCTTCCCTCTCGCCCTCTTCGCTCCCCCGATATCAACCTCAACCTCGAACACCTCAACGTCTCTCGGGACACCATGCCCAGCAACTCCGGCCAGGACCTTTCCCCTCATTCGGGTATCAATCGGAACTCGTACATGTCGGCTGCTAGTGGTGCCAGTTACGCAAGCGATGTACTTACCGAGGCTCCCATCATCGTTACCCAGAGCCAGAGGCAGGTTCTGGGGTCAGTCAAGGCCGAAGTTGTACACGCGCCTGGCAGCTCGGGCGCCAACAGTTTGAAGACCATTTCCGTTGCTTCAAGGCCACCCGTCCGCTCACCACTTGCTACCTCTGCGTTTGGTCCTACCGATATCGTATCTGAACAAGACGACGGCCGATCCCAGCGTTCTCAGGAGATCAATGTCACCAATGATCCTTTCGACGACCATAACTCTCTTCCGGCGCCTACCACGGGAGGCGGTAATCGCACTTCCGCAGCCACATTCGGCTCGGTCTCGGACAACGGTTCTCTCTGGACTCCCCTTCCCCAATTTGCCACAAATTCAGCGGGGCAGAGCCGTGGTTCCAGTCGTCCCATCAGCCTCGACACTCAAGCCGGCAGTATCATTGGTGCAGACATCAGAGACGCCACCCGTGTTCATCTCGGTTTCGTTCAACCCAACTCGGCGCCATTCATCCCCGCAACACCCGTCAGCAGTTCCGCAGCTTTCAACTCAAGCCAGCGCAGTCCTTACCGGATGACTAGTGGGAGACTGGTTACTCCCACCTCAGGCGGCACTGACGTCTCCACCATGCCTACTGGCTTGGAAGCTCAACAAGCTCGTGCGCTAGCCGAAGCTAAGGCAGTCAAGGCGCAGGCTATGGAAGATCGCGACAACTCGAGGATGTCCATGTCCACCGTCGCCTCCAACGGTGCTGATTCGATCCTTGAGTCCTTCCCATTCGTCCCTCCTAGCCCGATCTCGAACAGGCCCATACGCACGCCTCCCAGATCGCCTTTGGTCCAGAGTAACCCGGCACAGGCAAGCAGTCCCCTCGCCGCCTCTCACTCGCAGACTTTGTCCGATTTCGTCGAGCAAGCTTCGGAAGAGGATAGTGGGATGATTGCGCCACCAAACCGGAAGATGCTCGGGATGTCGACTGGGAGCGAAATGTCCAACATGTCGACCGGTCTGGGATCCTTCCCCTTCCAAATCGAAACATCATCAGATGACCGTCCCAGCGGTCAAGTCGCCGATGCGGGAGAGGACGGTGTCGATGGCGGGGCTGGAGCGAGCGCCGTTGCCGGGAGACAGAGGGCGAGTCTTGACACGCTGGCGTTGACGAGCGATCTGTCGTCGTACCCGCTTGGAGTTGATCGCAAGTAAATGTGATTATTGTGTACCAAGCTCTATCCAGATACCCTGGTAATGAAACGTACGATACGACTTCTGCTCTCGAGTGCCAGCTACAACTGTTGACTCAACCTTGATGCTTGACTTGACGCCGCGCTTCTAGTTCTGCGCCTGATGACCTGTCCACCTATCTGCTTGTGCATCCTTAACACCCCTAATTCCTGGTTTGTTCATGTTTCCAGCGGACGAATGTGGCTCACTGTCTTTACTTGCTCGTACTTTTGCCTTCTTTTTTGGTCCGTTGACTGGGCTTTAGGGATGTATGTACTGATTTTCTCCGGTATTGTAAAAGTACCTTCTCCACTCGCTTTCATCTTCATTTACATACCTTTCCTTTCTGATAACCCCCTCGTGTCCTTACTTGCTCGTTTGTCGAGACCATCTCTGCGTTTTGTTACCATAAGTTTATACATTTCGTCTATATCGCTACCTACGCTTGTGTCTCGACTACGCTCTCTTCTTTTCACTCTTTCCTGTCTGTGTTTCTTGGGATTCCCGCTCTGTTAGACTTCATGTTCGAAGCTATACTCCACCCCGCCTATGCGGTGTTATCAGCCCACCGTGCGTTGCACTCTGTCAGTGTCAATGTATTTATTGACCGCAAGTGATACCCTGATCCTCGTGTGTGTGTTTGAAGCTCAACTCTCAATGATATACCTTGGCGCGTGTTGTTTGAGTCTGTTTGAGCTTGTGTTCGCCCTCTTCCGCCAGATGAGGCAAATTTCGGCGCAGCATTTTTCTTTCAGTCGCGGCTTGCAGTCATGACTAGTCCCTCGACCTCAGCACCCTCTTGCGCAACTCAGATTACTGATAGTAAGCTCTAGTACTAGTAGCTTCTACGGAGAGACTGATACTGATAAATATGAAAATCGTCGTCACCAGCGATAGTGCATGCCGCTTTTTGCTGCACTGATCTTTATCAACAAAACACTCTTCCTTAAAAGACTGAACCCCCGGCCGTTTCTCCTCCATCCGCGCACCATGGCCACCTCAACTCAGATTCACACTCGTGTTCTGAAATGCGACCCATCCTCTATCACGTTTCCCATCTCCTCTGACGGCGCAGATCCCCCGCCCAAAATTGACGATCCAGAGACATTAGAGTCCTTGACCGTCGCAGCACGCCACATCACAAATGGCGAGCCCATCGCTTTCCCCACAGAAACCGTCTACGGACTCGGTGCCCTAGCTCTCAAAACCGAAGCAGCAGCCCGAATATTCTCCACCAAGGGCCGTCCGGCAGACAACCCTCTCATCGTCCACGTATCTTCGCTCTCGATGCTCCGTCAACTTCTTCCCGTGGACTACATTATTCCTCCAATGTACGAAATCCTGATGCGTCGGTTCTGGCCAGGACCACTTACGCTCCTCTTCCCTTCCTCGCCATCTATCGTTCCGTCCATCATCACTGCCGGTCAACCTACCGTCGCGATCCGAATGCCGTCGCATCCTGTGGCGAGGGCACTCATCGCCCTGGCGGATGCACCAATAGCAGCGCCATCTGCGAACTCTAGCGGAAAACCAAGTCCGACGAGGGCAGAGCATGTGGCGAGGGATCTGGGTGGAAAGTTGGAGGTCATACTCGACGGAGGGAGATGTGAGGTTGGATTGGAGAGTACAGTCGTGGATGGGCTAAGAGACGATGGAAACCTCAGGGTATTGAGGCCAGGCGGAGTTACTGTGGAAGACATGCAGAACGTTCTCGATGAAGAGATAGAGAGTAAGGAGACGAGGCCGGCCGTCCTAGTGCATAGGCGAGATTTCCAAGATGCGGCGATGGAGAAAGCACCTACGACGCCCGGGATGAAGTATCGACATTACTCGCCTTCTGTTCCGGTCACCCTCTTGCATACTTCGTCTTCGACCTCTCCTCCACCTGCCCATGCCTCTGTCGTCTCCGCCACCGAATTCTTCGCGTCGTTGGGTTCATCAGCTCCTGTGCCACACCCAATAATCACCAAGATTGGGTTATTGGTGCCCAGCGACTCGCAACTCCTACGATTTGCTCAGGACAGGGAGTCAATAGAGTGGGTGCTGTATCCACTAGGTGCTGTGGCCGATCCCGCGATGACGGCACAGCGGTTATTCGATGGACTATTGACGTTAGACGAGAAGGGTGTAGATATGATCCTGGTGGAAGAGATCGGAGAAGAAAAGGAAGGATTGGCGGTGATGAATCGGGTACGAAAGGCTGCAGGAGAGTCGAAATGGATAGCTCTATGATGCATGTTCTTTTTGTTCCCTCCAACGGGGGCTCTATCTGGCATGCATAAAAGCTTGATCTCGCGCCTATGGTTCGGATTCCGGGTACACTTCATTTCGAGGCTCGAGCGGGAAGTCTTCAACTTGCTTTGTCCCCTTGACCGCCTCCTCCGTTCCTTTACTAGGCCGCAGTTCGTCAGCCCAAGGAAATGGCTCCATTCTCCTACTTTGATTTAATTGCCTCATGGGAGATAACTGTCTCGACTGCCCAAAGAGGGTTGAAAGCTATAATAACAATTTAGAGCTGTGGACGCTGGGACGCGGGCTCGGAGCACAGGGAAGCGCTCCGAGACGTTGCTTTCTTGTTCGCGCCACATTGAACATGCCCGAGCTTCCTGTCCACAGATCTCTTTAGAAGACGGGTCGTTTACTTTGTGCTGGTCTCTCCGTCCGCAGACTCGGACGTGATGTTAACGAAAGCTGTCTCAGTGGCTCATACCGACTCCGAGTCTGTGACTTCAACTTAATCGGACGGCGGCATCGGAGTTGCACTTTTGTCGAGAAACTTACAGGAAATTCGCCTTTCAAGCTTTCCGAATTATAATGACTGATCCTCGAATGTCCATTGTCTGAGAGTATCTCCAAATTAGTGACTCGGGTGTAAGCCCGAGGAGAACCTGGCATACTGTACTTTTTCGCGCACAAGTTCACGCCACCGCCCCTCGGCCGTTGCCGAGATGACATAATCCATTCGTGTCCCGGTTCGCAAGCAGACCGGGACAAGGGACAATGTTCGTGAACATCGACGCTTTTGCAGGGAGACGACCTTTCGTACCCGTTCAACAGGCATTTACCCTCTGAATTTGGGTGGAAGAGCTCACCCAGTAGCAAAATCTAGCCCAAAGTGTGTCTCGGAGGCCTTCCTGACAACTTCCTGAGGTCAATTTAGGAGCCTAAAATATATTCACATTTTCGTCAAATTTGGGTCAAATTTTGGTTTGTCCTACTTACAAGTTCCGTGCACGTCAATGGGGTGGGACTGTCCCGCGGCACAAGTTCGTTCGCGGCCCCCATGGGACACGGGACACGAACTTGTGCGCGAAAAACTACAGTAATACAGTGAACAACCCCAATATGAGCCACCACAGCGTAATGGGTGACTGTTTCCTGATGTGGGGGCGTTAGCCACAGCATTTGGTAGACTTTTAGTTGAAGTCTCCAGCGTGAGGTCAGCGACTTAATTTTTGTTTTCGCCCTGAGGGTCGCAAGGCGATGAATGAGCCGTGAGTCGCGCCGTAGTCCAGGTAGAGTTTGGCCTTATAAGGCTCATCTCATTCCAGATCTGTCAGTTTTCTCACGCTTGCTTCTGGGTGTGGGTCCCTGTTACAAGATCGTTCTTGTTTCCTTTTCCATCCACTCAGGCTATTCGCCGTCCCAAGTTCTTGAAGGGAACACACCTCGCTCCGTCCTTCTTATCGTCTCTTTTGTTGTACACATAATCCATCGGAGGCTCTTCCACCACCTGCTGTATAGGACATCAAACGGGCCTCGCCGGGGAGAACACGGAAGCCTATGAGAGTCTACATACGACCACTCTGGATGACCTCGATACAAGCGGAAACAAGGCGACGAAGAAAATTTACACGCTTGGTCCTACGACTTCAATTTCAACTCTGCTCCAGTTCGCTGGGCTTCAGTTTCTTTGTCAGATTGTTCACTCAAGATCAATTCTGAACGGCTGCGTCTAGGGCCAGCGCTAGCGTCATCGGGCCCGCCTTTCAGCTTGCATCGAGGCTTGTGGATATCCCAAGGCTATGGCGCGGGCCCATCATCAAGGTCGACCACACCTCTTTTGCCTGCGTACGCGTTCATTTCGCGCATGCCAGTGATCTGCCATCTGTGCCTCGTGGCCTTCATGCTTGCTTCAAAGGCATCTCCGATGAGAGTATTCGCGATTTGTGGGTGGCAGAATGTGTCTATGGGTGCAGCGAATGGTTAAAAGCAACTTGGTATGCTTCGAGAGGAGCCATTCGCAACTTCCCCCTGACTTTCGATAAGGCCTTTTCCTCTGTACACAAGGCTTTCTTTACCTCTTCGCATCTAAAGTGCTCTCGCCACGCTCTCCATTGTAACGCCTTGATACCTTCTACGACTCCTTACAACACTCTTTGCACAAAAGATGCAGTACTATTGTGAGTCCACCTCTCTTGTGTATCTCCTTTCTTCCGTGTGGTCTGGTATCAGAACTCATCGATATGTATTACCAGCGCCCCCTACTCCGTATTATACCCCAGGAAACAGCCCGTCCATGATCATGAGCAACGATACCTCTTCGCCTAGCTCCAATTCTTCTGACCTGTGGACCAGCACCCTCGGTGGCTCCTCAGCCACGACCGCCTTTATCTCCTCCACTCCTCCTACCAGTACTAGTCCTCTTTCAGAGGCCGTCGACGGTTCCGCCAGCAGCACGAAACAACGACCACGGTATGCAGGCGTGCAAGGTACTACACCCTCACCCACCTCTTCTTCGCAGCAAGACACCGTTCACCCGAGTAGCCGCGCTCGCATTGCTTCCAATCGCCAGGCTCGTCGGAAGAACAATGGGCCCCCGCGTCCACCCAACTCCTTCATGCTCTATCGTTCCCACTTCCTTCAGAACCTCAAGATCCCAAAAGACGTCGAATGCAGGCAGCAGAACCTGAGCAGGATCGCGGCTGAGTTGTGGAGAAGTTTTTCGGAGGGGGAGCGGAATTTTTGGAAGGAGAAGGCACGGGAGAGGGCGAGGTTGCATTTGCTCGAGAATCCGGGCTACGTGTACCAGCCAGTGCCAAAACCCAAGAAGACAAAGGATGTTGGTGGGAAGAACCCCCAGGAGATGGCCGTAGAGCTTGTCCGGCAGTATTACCCTGAATACGAAGGACCTACGAAGGCGCCTACACCTCCCAAGCGCAAAGCGGATTCCTCGTCTCCCAGAAAGAAGAGGCGTGCCGCCGACGCCATCCTTCCCCCCTCTCTCCCTCCCAGCCGCCCGGCGTCCGCCATCGCGCAGCCTGGCAAATACCCCACTCTTGGTCGTATCTCGCCTGAGTTCAGGAGCCTGCCCACTACACCATCGATTCGCCCCTCGAGCCACACTGCCTCTGCAATGGAGTATGCTACCATGTCCAATGGATCATCGCCTCTCATCCATTCTTCTCTCCGCCTCCCGCCTCGCGCTCTGCAATCTAACGGGCATGAACGATATGTCTCACGGATCTCTACACCCGAGAAGACAGATACTGAAGCGGTACGTCTTGATTGTCCTCCTATACTTGCCAAATGTCGCCTTATAACATCCACATCGTCTTTTCCAGACTCTCGCGTCGGTCAACTACGACTCCATGTTTTTGGCTCAAGCCCCCTATGAGATGGACCGTCTTCCCTACACCTCTTCTTCCATCCCTAGCTTGCCCATGATGCCGGACCCTCTCTTCACTCAGCTTGGAATGGACGAGCTCGCTCCTACCGCCGCTCCCATCTACCACGGCAGCCCTTCCGCGTTCAAATATCCTCAGGCACACGCCACCATGTTCGGCCTGCCCTACATAGCCGCTCGGCACTCTAGCACTGTCCCCCAACCGTTGGGCTTATCCAGTGATTTCATGCCCGTTTTCAACACCATGGGGAATTCTTACGGCTCATGCGGTCGCGATGTGAGCTTTGGGTTCGACTATGAATCTTATGGGCGCACGGAAGACGTTATTGCGACCAAGGCTGACAAGAGGGATTAGGTTTCATGGTGTTGTCCCCAATTACGACTTTCTCTTTCTACATCTTCCCATCTCCATCTTCGCCGTTGTCCCCAAACTACTGTAGCCCTAGTCATCGTCTCCACAAGCATTTTATGTATCTTTATATGTACCCCGATCATGCGCTCGCACAAAGGTTCCTGCACTCCCTTTTCTCACTTTTCTGTTCTCTTCGCTTCGCTTTCTCTTCGCTTCGCTTTCTCCGTCTGGTTATTGTGGCCCGGTGCCTGCTCGCGATGTTGATCTCATGCGCATACTTACCTGTCGTTACTTACACATACCCTCCATCCTTCTGTACGCGAAAAATAAAGATAATCTGTATCCATCTCATACTTACTCGTCGCAAATGATTGGGCTGATCTCCTTGGAAGTACGATGGAGCAAGTGGTGTGGCGCAGTCGCGGAATTTGGCTGCCCCGGAGTTTTCCGATATTATGTGACTGAAACTTTGTCTTGCTCTAATTTTTGGGTTCCTCTCTACGTCTTTCTTCACTCTGCTACTTTGCTCAAAGAAGGTTTAAACACTACTATGGCTGGGCCGAAACGGAAAGCTCTGACGACAGATGAACTCATGCGAAGGCAGGAGGCACATCCCGCGAAGAGGCGCAAACCATCTCCTCCTTTAGCTACAGAACTCGAGGATGCGGACGCAGAGATGAGCACGGGTTCTTTCGGCGATGGTGAGGACTATGAGGATGAGATCGAAGTACAGAGTGGGAGGCCGTCGAGAGGGAAGGAAGATGGTCCGGGTCACTCAGAAGACGAGGAGGAAGAAGAGAGTAGCGAGGATGGCGAAAGCGACGAGGAGGCCGCTAGCTCGCATGCACCATGGAAGTCTCTCGATGCAGAATCTACCCTCACATCCCGAATCGCCTTGAAGCCCAAGTCTTCGACGTCTCGTCTGCCCGACCAACAAAACCTGAAGACCTCGCCACAAAAGAACGCCACATTCGCCTCTCTGGACATCTCTCCGCCTCTCATCTCTGCGCTTTCTAAACTGGCGATACGAGCACCTACAGAGATTCAGTTGGCGTGTATTCCACCGCTTTTAGCAGGCGAGTGGGTTTATTGTTTCTTCTCAAAGGTTTGGTGATTCCTTGCCTACGCCGATGATACTATGGTGTGGTTCGGTTTTCGTCGCCATGTAATGAAGCATGAAATTGTCTGGACGGTGTGCTGATACTCCGTTATTGGAAGGCAGAGATTGTATAGGCAATGCAAAGACTGGTTCCGGAAAAACTATCGCGTTCGCCCTTCCGATACTTCAAAAACTCTCCATGGACCCATATGGAATCTATGCTCTCGTTCTCACCCCCACCAGGTTCGCATACCTTCCCCATTCTACCTCAATTCTCACATTCGCGATACAAACAAACTCAAGAATGATCGCACTAACACCGCTTTTTCCGCAGAGAGCTCGCATTTCAGATCTCTGAACAATTCGCCGTTCTCGGAGCTCATCTCAACATAAGGACGGCTGTGATAGTGGGGGGAATGGACATGATGACACAGGCTCTTGAACTTGGACGGAGACCGCATGTGGTAATCGCTACCCCAGGCAGACTCGTCGATCATTTGAGGAGCAGTAGCGGCGAGTGGGATCTGTCGCGGGTCAAATTCTTGGTACGCGCCCCTACCCGTCTGATTTGCCCCCGTTGCGCCTTGGACTGACCTTAGTATGACTGTTATCGTGATAGGTGCTTGATGAGGCGGATAGGCTCCTCACATCCACGTTCTCCCCAGAACTTGCGCATCTCTTCGGGGTTCTCCCTCGAGATCGGCAGACAGCGCTCTTCACCGCTACCTGGACACCGTCTATTGACGCCATAGCTGATGCGACTCCAAGACCAGGAAAGCAAAAGCCGTTTATTCATAAGATTACCGCAGGGTATGTCTCATTGGTGCCCTATGTCTCTACTCTAGCTGACAAGATGATGTAGCACCGAGACTGTTGAAACTCTGCAGCAGTTCTACATGCTCGTGCCCTCACAAGTGAAAGAATCTTATCTTTACCACCTTCTGTGCAATCCCCCAGAGTCGACGATCCGCCTCCGGCGTGCTCCACCAGAGTCAACGAAACCATCGCGGACTGGCAAGTCCAAGCCAAAGGCCAAGTCAAAACCAAAGTCAAAATCGAAGCCAGGCGAGGCTGAAGAACAGGAACAACCACCGCCAACAATGATCTTCTGCGCGCGAACGCGAACGGCAGCCTACCTGACCAACCTCCTCAAAACGCTCAATATCCGTACGACGGCACTGCACTCGCGTCTGACGCAGCGAGAACGACTGAATTCGCTGCAGCTTTTCAAATCGTGTGTGGTTCCGGTGATGGTGTGCACGGATGTCGGGGCTCGAGGGTTGGATATTGAGGACGTGGCGATGGTTGTGAATTGGGATTTACCGGAGGAGCCGGAGGAGTATACGCATAGGGTCGGAAGGACGGCGAGAGCGGGGAGGGATGGTGTTTCGGTCAGCTTTGTCGGGGCGAGGGATGAGGAGAGGGTGCATAAGATTGAGAATAGGATCAGTAAGTTTCAGGTGGAGATATGACGAAGGCGGAAAGGGACTGACGTATTCGTTTCGGAAATAGAAACGAAGCTGAGCGAGATGGATCTGCCCGAGTCGAAAGTGTTGGAAAAGCTGAACGCGGTATCCACAGCGAAGCGCCTAGCGAATATGGTCAGTGTTTACAGTCGATTTTCGTGGAATTTGTCTAATTTTCTCCTTCGACGTGGGACGATGTGGACTTGGTATTGGCTATTTGTAGGAGCTACATGATTCACGATTTGGGAAGAGAGAGGAGATACAGAAACGAAAGCGGGAGACGTAGAGGGATGGCGAAGTTCTGTTACTTCTGTACGCACACGTGTAGAGCTAAAAGCTGCTAAAAGACGGATGAGTGGGGTGGCCCTGGAGCGTCGGCTCCAAGCTGTACGTTCGCGAACCGGCGGGAAGAGAGTCGATGACGCCGTGGAGGGCCGCGACCCCGCGACATCCCGGCGGGAAGCGAAAGCTATTTGGTGATTCTCTCGGACTCGATTTGTCTCCATCTTCTCTCCTCCGTCTCCCATTCTCTCTCCGTATCCCCTCACCATGGACAGCGATAGCTCGAGCTCTCCATCATCGTCTGTGACAGCGCCGGCGAATATGTTTGCAGAGGATGCCCAGATGCCGACTCCTCCAGTCTGTTGATTCTAGCATTGCCGCTGCTGGGCCTGCTAACCAATGCTCGCCCCTTTCCACAGATGTCTCAGGCAGCTGTGTCCCCGGTAGACATGGGCCCTGTCGTCGACTCCTCCGACCCTCAGAGTCAGGCCACACTTGTCTCCGTCTCCACCACCTTCTTTCCAGGCGCAGCCCTAGAGCCGCTACCAGAAGACCTCGTCGTCCTCTCCTCCGACTCTGTCTTCTTCTATGTGCACTCCCATAAGCTCCTCGCTGCATCCCATACCGGCTTCGATGGGCTCCTCAGACGGCACGTTAAATCTAGCGTAGCAGGCTCCGACCCTGATCAGGTCCTTCCTCTACCCGAAAACTCCATGGTCCTCAACGTCCTCCTTCACACACTCTACTCCATGTCCGTCTCTCATTATTCACCCACCCACGATACCATCACACATGCAGTCACTGCAATGGCTCGATACGGCATCCCCATCAAAGTCTATATCGCACCGTCCTCTCCCTTATTTTGTCTTATCCTCGCCAACGCGGCCCATTCTCCACTCGAGATGTACGCTCTTGCCGCCTCCTTTGACCTCTTCGAACTCGCCGCCTCCGTCTCCGTGCATCTTCTCTCCCTCCCTCTCTACTCCGTGACCGACGAGATGGCCGCGAAGATAGGTCCTGTTTACCTTAAGCGGCTGGTCTTCCTGCATCTCGGCCGAATAGACGCCCTTAAACGCCTCCTCGTCTCCCCACCAAATCCTCACGAACCTACATATGAATGTGATTCGTCTGATCAGAAACGAGTCACTCGAGCGTGGGCTCTTGCCTCTGCCTACCTCGCTTGGGATGCACGACCAGGTATGATCCCCGCCCTTTCCGCGTTTCTGAACATGCTTCTCGTGCTTACTCAAGCATCATTCGCCACCAGATTTGTCGACTGGCACAATACGAAGTGCTCTGTCACCCTTGGCGGATCACCTCACTTGCGAGCGGTGTAGACTCCACCTCCGGGAACGTATAAATGACCTCGTTGCCCAGTGGTCTACAGTAAAGGTAAGTCTTTGCTCGACCTTCAAGCCATCTTCGCCGCGTGGTTGCTCATATGATCCTATAGAGAACGATATGACCCTATTATTAGTCCCGCAACCTCTGGCCTCACGGCGTACTTCACTCCGGAACTTACTCCCATTCTCGTCTTTCAGTTGTTTCAGCCTACAGATTTACCCCATCGGCCATGATTGGAGTCGCACCCTTCCCCATACACGCAGGATGGGCCGCTCTCCTGGCCATTTTTGGAGCATCCATCCGCATTCAACGCTATATTTCGCGCCATCATGACGTTGCGTTGCCCTCCCATTGGGCCCACTCCCATTGTATCAATACTTGGTCTCAACCCCTAACATATCGTCATGTAACCCTTTCGTGGCAGGTTCTCAGCTCAGCGTCGCCGTGACAGGCACCCTCGGCCATCTCACTTTCGAACCTCCACCCTCCGCTTTTTATTCTCAAAATTCACGTTATCTTGATAGTCTGTTTGACATTCACGTTGTTCTTATTCTTTTTCGCATCCCGTCCTTCTTGTCTCCCAAATCATTTGTATAACAGCATCAGTGTCCTCGTTCAATACCCGCTTTTCTTCCTCTATCGCATACACGCATTGACATTCGCATCATCCCTCATCTCCCTGTCTCGTATCCGTTGTCTCAGTCTCAGTCTCCTGCCTCCTTTCTCGCCTCAGACCATATACGTACTGTATATTTTCCCAGAATTCGCCCCTACATATTCAGCGTGGCGAATTTCTGTCCCGCCGTACTTCCGACGTCCATAATATTCGTCCACCCATCCACCATCCAATCCGAGTCCACTTACAACTCCATCACCGTTCAAGGGTCGTTGATTCTCTTGTACTTTTCCCTGTCTTGGTCCCCGTTTGCCATCCCTTAGCTGCTACAGCTGAATACCGTTACCTATGTAACTGCGGCCGAAATACGCAGCCGTGTCACCGTTGTGCAGGAATGGGACCACGCACTTCCTCTATACAGCACACCCCTATCAGAGGATAGCTCCTCATCAAGATCTGCATGTCTCCATCGCAACGGTCGGGGATTCACTTCCCAATCCGTCTAGTAGGAGGCCAAATGTATGTATGGCTAGCCGTGGCCGACTCTGAGACCATCATGTCGAACGACTCGGATGGATCTTCATGAATTCATTACTCGGCCGCTCATCTCTTTGTGAAGTTTCCTTTCATAGTTTGACACGGTCTTACGGTTATACGCCGCACGTCTTTTTTGCGTTTCTGGACGACTGAATGGTGATAACCCTCCGCCCGTCAGTCCTTACACTACTATACTGCTAACTTGAGTTGTGGCGTCCAAGTCGCGCATTATTGCGCACGGGAATCCCGGTCAATATCCGCCCATCACGCACCATCTCCAGCTCGCAAACGATGCACATGAGCGTATCGAACTGGTATCAGTGTGGATGGAACGCTAAGTTTCGCTCACCGGGGAACTTCACCTCCGTAGTTCAAACACTGTCCGATTCACGCGTGGGTACTAGACTCAGGCTCTAATTTAAACAGCTCTAATTCACCGTTCCGACGTTCCTGTGCTAGTTCAGCAGCAGTGCTATCGGGGACCTCCGTACGAGTTGCAGTGTTCTCCATCCGAGTAGGTGAGCATTGAAGCTTGAGCGTTGAAGAGGTCGTTCAGACGTGTCAAATAAAGAATGGAACCTATGATATGCAATAAGTAATGCGGGATTCACCCTCCGATGGCAGGCGCCACGAACAAGTTAACATCCGGGGACCCGATCATGCTTGCGACATAACAAATGTCGATCATCGTCCCGTTCCGTTTCATTTACATTTTGTATTCAAAGCGCTATTTCCCCGTCAGAGCTGGCTAGAGCGTTTTCAGCAACTCCAGCCCGACAGCTTTCTGTCCTCAAAATAACAGCACTTCCCACAGCTACGCGCTCTTACTAGCTGCATTCGTGCCGAGCACGTATCCTCCGATGTGTTCCTAGCAAAAAAATCCGAGGAAACTGGAGCGTACTACGTTGTCCAAATATGTACACATCGCGGTAGCTTAAAAAGTGCTACATAAAACATGCGTGGAGCATTTCGGAAGGACGACTCTTCGTCATGACGCCTACGAAGCACCTGCCAGTCTGAGTGTAAATGTGCCGACTTGCGAGCCTGTCGCTGTTGCCAAACTGCTCTATCACGAATTTCTGTCTAATTAACGTACTGCGCCTGAGAGCAACTGACGGCGGCTGCTGGCAGAATTGACAGATCCAGCCTCCGACGAAACTGGTCTCTGAGCTCAGATCATCTATACATTCCACAAATAAACCAGTACTAGTGGAACGCCTTCAGGGTCGGTATCGAGCCTCAGAGGAGAAATCAAAGCCCCTGTGTCACTTAATGTTGAGTTTGACAAGGTTCGACACCGGACTCTGCCAGGGAACGGGTAATAAGGCCAAGCCCAATGTGTGCCTGTTTAATTGTATGGTCGTCAATTGTGGTAAGCGTAGGTGTTGGAAAGAAAGTTTAGAGCATTGCTCTTCCGGAGATACGAGCCCGACCGAACGCTTTACGAGGTAGACTAGCTATTGATAACTCTTGCTCTAACGTCTGTGTGTTTATAAACCACCAAAAATTGGGTTTTGAACTAGAGGACCTGGGAGATGGGACGACTCTGAAACTATAGTAGCTCTGCCCCTTCGCCTAAACCATTATCACAATCATATGGATTGAATTTCCTCACCAAGCGGGGACGTCCTGTCCGCGGTTTGTATGGTCTGAATCGGCTCGTTAGGGCCAATCCACATCACGGCCATCATTACTGACTCTGCGGCGCTATGTGGCACTCGCTAAATGGTTCAAAACAGTCCGATGGTCCAGCGCCCTTGGAAAAGTCAGCTAAACAATTGTCAATATAGATTTGAAGCAGCTGGCAGCGCGCCAGCCTGCAGTCTACCCGAAGCTGTCGCCCTCGACTTTACTGTGGCACTCGCTTGTGTACAACACCAGGGTCAATGATGAGGTTGGAGCAGTGCGGAGCAGAGATTTATGACGTCTATGAACCTGAATGGAAGAGGGAGGAGAACACCACGAGAATTCTGACTGGGTGACATGATACTTTCCGAGGTAACCGAACATGGGGAACCGCAATTCTCCTACGGCGCGGGAGAGAAGCAAGGGCGAAAAGATTGCATTTCGTCATGTTCGTATGGAAAATAGATGATTCGAAAGCACAGCGGATTGAAAGGGATCGAGTGGCGTATCAGTTCCGACGAACGGCCGGGTATCGTCCTTGTAATGTACAATGGTTGTACATCTGGGTTTCGTGTCATGCGAGAGGGAAAAAGTTTGCACCCCTGATATGAGTGGCGTAAACAGGGGTTTAATGCGAGACCTGAACGTTGAACGGCGAATGCGATGAGGGAAAGAGATTTCCAAAAAGGTGGCGAGAGGAACGAAGAGGAAAGACCGAGGACGAGACGGTCACCGACCCTTCTCCTCGTCAAGAATCGCCTGGTTCAATTCGTCGAGTGGTGCGAGCTCTTTCTTATCTACGAGATCGAACTGTAGGAAATGACGATGAGGTGGCGTGGGTGAAGGTGAAGGTGAAAGATCGGGACAGACTTACCTCATTGATGAAGAGGAAGAAGTGACGATAGCTTGTATTCAGATGTGCTGTAAAATACCACATCAGTCGAGGACAGCGATAGGAACAAATAAGACCATAGTAAGGCTAGGCGAGCAGAGCAGCTGCGTTGATGATCGATGTCCAAAAACATACCTTCAATGCCCAAAGCACAAATTTGATCGAAATGATTGCTATATATATGGGCATAAACCCTGAATAACCTCCTCACAATCGTTCTGACAGTGTCCCTGAAGTTTCTTGGAAAAGGGACCCCAATTTTGTTCGGGAAGGTAGACTCGTCATCGAGGATACTTTGAGCCCAGTTCATGAGTGCGTCGACGTATTCTGGGGCAGGAAGTTTGGTTGGCCGTTTGAACTTGACACCGTCTTCCCAAAGATATTCGTACCTGGATGAAGGATGACAGGGAGGAGTGATCAATGGATAATTGGACATGATGGAGTGGTGGCAAGTGCACAGCAGACTAACCGCGGGCCAGCGGACATTATAGGGCACTTTATTAAATTTATAACAAAATATCAATATACGTCAAAAGTAAGAGTGAAGGAAAAGGAGAAGTGGTCGCTATGCGCGATCTTACCTCTTGTGGTGTGCAGAACTCGGTCACAGTGCCGTACAGCATGTTCAGGTGGTTAAAAAAATCAACGGCTACCATCAGCACGAGGACAATATAAAATCATCAGGCCGATATCGACGAAGAGAAGTGAGACTACGCACCGTGAACAGCTAACCACTCGTTAAGATCCTCGCCATCAGGCAGCTTCACGGCTAACCGCAAGTTTCCCGAGCCCTAGCGAAGTCCCGACACAATTGACAACCAATGCAAACGCCCAATCACGCCCGAGAGAATTATAGTTGCAGACAAAGATGAGTCCAGGTGAAATCTCGGTCAAACGGAGACTGACCAGAGTGGCCTCCGCGTACTTCCTCAGTTGGTACTGCTTCGTACCCTCCGGCACATCTCTGCGGGGCTTGAACGTGCGAGTCTTTCCTCTGTGTAAGTCAGGGCAGAATGTAAGTCGGCTTTCGGTGATGCACAAAACATAGGGTTCTTACAGGCCGAAGAATGAAGACATGGTGGCGGGCGTGGAGAAGAGATTATGATCAAGTTATGATGCCGTACTTACTGCAACTGGATCCTGTTCACGTGGACCCGTGGGAACCTATAAAGTCCTCACTTCATCCGAGTCTTTCCGTGACGGTGAACTTCGACACCCCTACTCAGCATTTCGACCATACAGTAAGTCTTTTCATCCTTGTATGAAGTCATTCTACATCTCTGGGTCATCTCTCGAAAATTCGCCTCAATTTTCAGACTTGCTGACCATGGCCACTCTTGCACTTGGGGCCGCCAACAGCGTGTCATATAGTTAACGAGGGCGAGCGAGCACTCGCCCTCATTGTACGTAGCTGTGCGACACTCCAACATGTATGGTCATTCCTTTCACTGCTTTTAGAAACATGCATCGTGTCAGTGTCAAGGTGCTCCACAGCGGACATGGAGTCCGAGTCCGCGGCATACCGATCCTCCTACTAGTACCTGTGAAACTGTTGTTTCTTGAAGCGGCTCTCGTCCCTACGATGTCCTAATACTATGCGCCATCACATAGAAGCCTGCAGTCAACCTCATACTCCCGACATGAATGAAGATACCGACCATCTCTTTTCCCAAAGAATACGGGTTGCTCTTTACCTGAGCCCGTGGTCACTCCTTTCCAGCCTGAGAATCTCTAGGGCGTCCCGCTCATAACGTCTTTGCTCACCGCTGTGCAAGGTATGGCGCCCTGGGCAAGCCCAATTCTCTTCGACTTTCTTTGTGGTGCGTCGTATCTCAGCTTCATGCACTGGACTGTATGTAAGGTAGCCTACTTGAATACATGCAGTGGATGCCAGCCGTGTATGATCATCAGTTTATCTCTGCAAATAGGCACTATTCCTGATATATATTCTGGAGCTCCTCTATTGTGTGGTTTTTGAAATAACATAGTCCGCACATGGACCATCAGCGGGTCATCATCCTCCGCGGACCTCGACGGATCTTGGACATGCGCCCTCATCATGCTCGGTCTGAAATCCACCGAGGAACGGACACTCGGAAAAGAAAGAGGACGTTCCTAACTGTTCCTACTGATGGTAAATCATAATGCGAGCGCTAGTCATCGCTTCCGGCGACGCTTCGAGTGGTACGTTCAAGTTCCTGATGACCGCGCCAAGATTCATCCACGCCGATGAGTATAAACTGATTTCAACGTTGCGGCCTCAGGTTGTACATTGTTCCCCGAGAGGCATAGTTTGCTGATGCGTGACGGAGGCTGGGAACCCATAACTTGACAGGTCCTGAGTTGTCCCGACTTTGACAGACCGGGTCATTCTTCGGCTTTCAACGTCGAACTCAAGCTGTAACTAGAAGCCGTCCGGAGACCGTGTCTCGCGGGAGATCTGCGAAAGGATAGAGTACATCGTGCGCAGAATTATGCTTGACGCGCCTCGGACAGCGCTGGTCAAAACTCTTGAGAGTTTCGCTTTTGTGGGTTTGAACCGCTCACATATGAACCAGTGCTCAAAAGTTCATGGCGATACGATGCGCTTCACGAGCAATGTCGGGAGAAGGTCTCTTCAACATTCCTTGACATGACATGCTCTGTTAGAAGGAGATATATCTCGTGCACCGGACTTCGCGTAAACGCTATCTACGAGGCCTAAAGATGCTGTGCGGTGCTGTGATGTCTTCTATGTTTCTCAAGCGCCCTAGAGCGATTTACTAAAAAGAGAATGAAATTTTGGCTAATATTAGCCGCTCGAGAGAACGGGTGGTTCTTGCTAAAGACGTGGTTCCTCCGAGTCTGTCAACATAAGATGAGATATTATCGTAACATTCTTCCTGAGGGTGGTGGGCCACAATTGATCTACTATACGCCACCCCGAGTTTGGTGTGAGTTATGACGTCATGTCTGCTCCGGCTTTGGTTTCGCGTTGTCTCTAACCGGTGACCCGCGTTGGTCTTTCAAATAATATCTTCCTTCCTTCCGTCCACTATCCCTGCGAGACCTTATGGGAGTCTATACCTCCCAGCTTCAGATGCACGAAGGACCCAGCGAACCGCCGAAAGACCCGGCTTACAGAGCGTATAAGCGCATTGACCCACCTCGAGCCGAAGAAATACGCGCTTCAAAGACATCCAAGCATCCTTGAGCTTCACTGCTCTCGACGTACATCACCGCCCGCAGGATTCAACAATGTTCGACTTTTCCAGCGTCTAGTTTGAAGATTGCATCGCCACGACCAAGCGCACGCTCTTTGTGTTCACTTTCTGCAATGAGATCCTCACCGAACGCGAAACTTTTAGTGTCTCAGATTTACGTTCCACAGTGCGGCCGTGTCTTACACTTCATTGGTGTCGTGCTGAAATTGCCTCCCTGAAGCTGCCCATCCGTACTACATTCCCATTCCGGATTTCAATATCGATGTTGCGGCACCGGCGGGTCAAACCCCCCTGTACTTAGATGCGGGATCTGTATAGGTAAATATCAGAACTGTAGGTGTCAATGATCTTGAATAACTGTGAAATAATTGTCTCTGGTAGGCGTACGAAGACGATGAAAGTGTGAAGCTCCTCACTGACCCGAAGTCTATGTCGCTACTTGCGGATGCAAAGAACCCGAAGGCGTGAATCCGGCCAGCAAGGTTGGTTTCGTCTTTCAACTTGCCTAACTTAGTCGAACAGCCGACGTTGATATGCGGTTGTAGTTCTACCAATCCGGAAAAATTCGTTTCAGCTGTCTGCCATGGACCGCCAGCGCTCGTTGGTGTTCAAGGTATCGACAGTTCGCTGGAACCTGCGCCGAGGAGTCGGAACGGTCGAGTTACGCCTACCTGCTGCATTGTGAGCCAGTCAAGTTCACTCACGTGTAGGACGTACCCTTTCTTCCGGAAGATAAGATGGTACGGTCTTCGAGGAGGCCAGTGAACTCTACAGGGTGAAAGCCGTACTTCGTATCTTTCCTTCCGCGTACTAGTGCTCTGCGCTGATGGACACGTAAAACTCCTACAGCCCAAGGTCTGCTCTCAAAAACCGGCATCCTTAAGGCCCCTGGGCTATCCAATTGTTCAAACATTGGAATCTAAAGATTGACGAACTCCAAATCTGTGGCGACTACTAGTGCAGACAGGTATTCCATGGAATTGCATCAATTCTGTATTTTAATCGCAGTATGAACGATTATTGGCTTGCGGCCCTTAGTAAAAAGCGGTACATCGAGCACTCCTCTCTGAAGGGAATCTTTTGTTCTCGGTGCACAAATCGTCACTAGCGTCTTCACCACACAGGCAAGCTCACAGCTCTGGTCGATGAGTGGCGGTGCACGAGTGAAGATATCGATGGTCCGACAATTTTTCACGAGGGAACCGCCTCCGCTTGGGTTTCTGTGTCTATCATCTAGTAGCTCTCACTCAAACAGTTCCTGAAGCATAGGAAGGATCTCTAGATGGATGCATCTACAAACAGTTAACCGTCAATGACCACTTTCTGTGAGCCAATATGGCGTAGACTTGTGAATGAAGAATCGAAAGGGTATAATTGACTTACTCAACGATAACACTTAGTGCGTATGGTTAGCCTGTCATAATTCGACTGACCGATTCAACATGCTTAGCAATATTCTTACAGTTCCAGGGGCTCAAGGAACCCGGGATACGCATCAATACTTGCCGCTTCAAACAATCCATCGCGATGTTTAGATCAACGCCAGATTTCCGGTATCACATCGGCAGCGAAGCCAAAGATAAGTCGTCCATTCTTGCTTCATTCAGTGCCGGTAACATACATGGCATCATGGGCGGCTATCAGTTTTTAGAGGCCCGCAACATGCCTTTGTTCGTCGACAGGTATTTTCTTAAGCGCTCTGGTTCACTAGAAGCCGCCGCCACATCCCCGATTCCACATAGCTCGCCCTCCACCGAACTCAGGGAATCTTTGGTCTTTCTAACGGATGGGTGCGTCTCGGCTAGTCGAATAAATGTTTCAATACCTCAAACGATTACAACCAGGAGGAGGCCCAGTATCTCCATGTCTGGACTCATATTTTACGGGAGTCTCAGGTAGTTATACACTGCCCTTTTCGGCCATACCGAGAGCTTTCCCCGGCGTTTCGAGCGATTGAGCCGCTCCATAATTGCTTCCCCTCTTGTATGATGGTCCGGAAACTGAGCCGCTCGGTATGCCACTGGAAAAATGTGATTGTTTGGGATCTCGCAGCCCTAAGTCCAGCGGTACATTCAGGGACTACTGACATGATCTTTGCAGAGTCAGAGGGTGAGCTGTACCAGTTATAAAAGAGAGCGAGACATCGTCTACCCTTCCCTCAGCATCCAATCCACTCTACAAGCAACTACTCCTCACTTACACTCTCAAGTTCATTACTATCCTCCACCATGCCTGCTATCATCAGACAGTTCATCCTCCCTGACCTTTTCGCGTTGTCCTCCGCGTTCCCGGACGCCACTAATCCACACTGGAAGCGTGCCTGTACTGAGTCTAGAGACTGGGTCAACAGCTATCGCGTCTTCTCCGACGAGGAGCGCCGTGCTTTCTTCACGCAGGGTCAGAGCGAGCTCCTCTGCTCTCATGCCTACCCCTACGCCGGCTACGAACAGTTCCGCACATGCTGCGACTTCATCAACCTCCTCTTCGTCCTCGACGAGATCAGTGACGAGCAGACCGCAGATGGTGCTTGGGCCACAGGCCGCATCTTTCTCCAGGTACTTCAAGATCCCGAATGGGATGACGGCTCCAAAGTCGCGCAGATGACGAGAGAGTACGTTCATTCAGATCCGCGCAAACTTGATAGGCTATTCTGTCCCGATCGACTGACGCCCTACCTGTTCTGTCTAGCCTCCGAGCCCGCGTGGTTTCTACCGGCGTCAAGCCTCATACCTTCCGTCGGCTCGTGCACATGTGTAGGGACTACATAGCATCTGTCGTCGAGGAGGCGGGGCTCCGAGAGCGCGGCGAAGTCCTTGACATCGAGTCTTACATCGAGCTCCGCCGTAACAACAGCGCCGTCCTTACCTGTTTCGCTCTTATCCCGTAAGTCTGCGCGTTACCGTCCAACCCGACGACCTGATATCTGATCTTCACAAAGATACATCCTTGGTATTGACCTGCCCGATGAGGTCGTCAATGATCCCAATTTCTCTGCGCTCAACCTCGCGGCGGTAGATATGGTCTGCTGGGCCAATGTAAGCCTTGCCTGCTGTATGCCATGGCTCACACTCATCGACTAATTGTCACGCTAACAGGATATCTACTCTTACGACATGGAACAAGCCAAGGGCCTCGAAGGCAACAACATCATGACTGTACTCACGGAGATGCATGGTCTGACCATGCAGGATGCGAGCGACTATGTCGGCGAGCAGTACAAGGCCCTGATGGACCTCTTCCTCGACAACCAAGCTGCCCTTCGATCTTTCGGACCGTCCGTAGATGCTGACGTTCGTCGTTACGTCGATGCTGTCCGCCACTGGCCCCGCGGGAATCTTTCCTGGTCGTTCGAGACGCCTAGGTAAGCATTGACAGCCACAGCTCTGGGGTCTCCTGCCCTTCTAACATTTGTTGGCTTTGATCGTTACAGGTACTTCAGGGAGAAACGGGAGGAGATCGAGAATACCCGCGTGGTGATTCTCAGGCCTCGCCCGGAGCCCAAGATGAAGAGCCAGAATTGATTGGGTCTCGGAATAGCATGCCCTGGTCGCCCATCACCGACTACTTCCTTCCAAATCTGGCCCTTTTCATGTTCGCCACATACTAGCACGACTCGGAACTTGGACTTTTTCTTATTTATATCTTTCTTTTCGTTCTCCGCTTTCACACGAACTCTGTATCAATAGGTCCACTATCTCCAGACTATGCCCATGTTTTGTATCTATATTCGTTCCTACTACCATTTTCATTCCCCGAACATCTCCGCGATTTATTTGGTTCAGAGCGCTACCGATCGAGCCGTGATAACTTATACGTGTTGACCTTTTTTGGACAATTGACTACCCAATCACACCTTTGCATTATTGAACGAATTCGTGTGATATTCGTCGGGCGGATGGAACGGAAACCAGTATTCGAACAAAAACCGAAGTAAAACAACCGGATGAGAGGGGTCGTATAGACATATGGAAATGGAAGGGTAGAACGAGAAAGAAGAACCGTCACCCGGTTGCCCGACGTCGAGATGGGTGGACTGTAGTATACGGGTTGGAAGTTGCCAGGGATAAAGACCACGTTGATCGATAGACAAAGGTGGGTAACATGACGTTGCGGTCTCGTGCGCTGACAATGAATGGAGATAGTATAACAGTGAAGAGAGGAACAAAACGATAGATTAAGTACAGTGGGATATCGGACCAGAGATACTACGACAGGAGGGGAACAAAGCCCCTGGACTTCTACCCAAAGCGGACGCGCGGAGGCTATATACCATCAAGCTTTCAAGTCTCAGCAGAGACCAAACTTGACGGAAAGCAGAGACCATGTAACGCAGGACGGTGGCAGCAGGCCTACGGCGTTACATGGCAAGTGCTGCTTGGAGCTCTTTGAGCTCTGCTTCTTCTTCCTCTTCTTGTGTTCTTGCAGGAGCTGGAAAAGACAAGTCAGTCTCAGTACGTCGACGTATGAAGGTAATTCTGATCAAGATGAATGCGCGGAGTACGGAAGGAAAAGAAAATGTTTGGCACACTTGAAAACGTACTTTCTGATATTCTGGTTGCTCCTGCTGGTTGATGCACTGGTACATGATCTGCACCCATGAGGCGCTCGTTGAGATCCTCCTGTTCCAGCTCCGCCAGTTCCGCCTTCAACTCATCCTGTATAGAAGGCAGTTCAATGGGTATGCATAGATAACAGGAGAGCGGAGATATGTTGATAGATGAATGAACAAATACCTCGTCGACTTCGAGACCAGCGAATGCAGGGTTGGAAATTGCGTCTGAAATTTCGTTTGCCAATTCGCGTTGAGTATTGATCTCGTTCATGGTCGCATCCACAGTATCCATATTCCTATCATCGATGAAGGTGTTGTATGTAGTTGAACGTAGCGCGACCGAATTGACAATAATATCGTGAGTGAAAGGCTGCTATATATTGGTTGCAATGTATTACGCACATGCCGCGATGTATGCTCTTGAGAGCGTCCGATCCCTTCTTCATGGCCTGCATCGTCTCCGCATTGATGTTTGCCGACTCCAGGGTGTTGATCTGGGTCTCAAGTTGCAGTCGCGTACCAGACAGCTTATCCAGCTCGGTCTCGTGCATCTTCTTCCGTCGCAATGCCGCTGTCGCAGCTGTCGTGTGGTAGTTCAGTCAGCACCTTTGTATAAAGATGGTTACCATATAGAACTATTCGTCCGTAATACAGAGTGCAAGGCGACGGACATGTATACGGGGTGTAGGGCTTGTGGCGAGGAATACAACACTTACCGGTCTTGTTCGAAGTGGCGTTGGTCTTTGCTCGCTTGAGCTCCTCATCGATCTTCTTCTGTAGGTAGTCCTCCTTCTTCTCAATCATATGCAGCTGCTCCCGAAGCGTGACGATGGCATCTCGGGCTGACTGCTTGGGATCGCGTCTCCCACCGAAGTAGCTCATGAAAGAGGCCATCATTTCCAGTCCCGAGGGATAATTAGGGTGTGAAAGCACAGGGAGGTTGTACGAAGCTGGGCGAGAGTAAGGCCAAGTTATATGAATCAGAAAGAGTCAATGCTTTGTGTGCCGCAGCGTGAGTCTGTGAGTGTTCGGGCGAGCAAGCCAAATCCGGTGACGCAGGTCTGCATAGAGATAGTCGGATATGGCTAATAACTCTCACGGTCGCGTACAGTACTTTATCCAGTGACACAGCGCCACACTTTAGCCTCCTTCAGCCTCCTTCAGCACAATTCTTAGTTTTTGCTTCGCCGAATAATAGTGCGTACATGATTTCCATCTCTTTTCAGAATAATTGAACCGTACATGGAAGGACTGAGTATATAGAGGATCGTTATGTTGCCTGGTACCACCCGTGATTAGAGTAGGTACCTAAAGCCTTTCTCTGTGATCCCCTTCTCCAATTCCTCTTCCTCCAGCTTCTTGTTCAAGTGGCTCAAATACATCCGATATATCCAGAGCATCACGATAGTCAGACCGAAGCACGCGATGCATATCGCGTACGAATTGCGGTATGTTGGTCCCCATCCGGTAGGCCAAACATAACTTTGCGAAACAAGGAGACGTGAGGTTGTAGTTTTTCAGGAGAGCGAGACAATGGTACTCACGATCCAGCGACGTTTCCAAGTTGCGAGAACGCGTTGATGAACGCAAGTGCCACAGCGCGCTTCGATGGAGGTCGCGGAAACGAGTTGCTCAGCCAGGCGTAGAAACACACGAAACCCGCGTAAGACTGTGCCATCAAAAACCTATCATTCGAGTCAATAAGGAAATGGGCGCAGCAATCGAACGACTAGGATTCGAATGACTCACAGTGAAACGTATCGTGCGGCGGTGTTCATGGTGGCGATGGCGATGATAAATCCCAGGATCCCTAGGGCGAGCGAACCACTGATGTGCCAGAACCGCTCCCCTGTCTTATCCGAATGTCTTTAAAAAATACTGTTAAGCTGAGTGCCTGGTAAAGAGTAGACCGGTGTTTCGGCGCACCTCGACAGCAGCAAAGCTGCCACAGCCGCTACAATGAACGGAGGCGCGCACAGCACCAGTGTTATAGTCGTCCCAAAACCCATTGTCGCGCTCAATGTCGGGAAGAAGGCGTTGAAGGACAGGCCAACGACGTTGCTTGTCATAGTCAAGGCGAGCCAATAGACTTTCCAATCTGTCATCGCAAGCCTCAATCCGTAACCATGACCTTCGTGCTCCGTCTCTCCCTGGTCACCAATACCTGCATAGTCAGATGCCATGCGCTTGAGGGCCAAGGATCGTTCGAGCGGGCTAAGCCATCTTGTCGTCGTTGGGAAGTCTGGGAGAATGAAGATGGCGCAGATGGCGAAGAAAATTGTGAGCGCGCCTTCGATGTAAAAGAGCCATCTATGGGACGGATAATCAAGGAAATTTAGAAGAGTGGGACACATGATAATAGGAGGGCTGACCTCCAAGCAGCGTGACCCAGGGCACCTTGCATTCTGCTCAGGATTCCGCTTGCCATGAGAGATCCAAAAGCATTACTGATGATATTGCCGCTATAGAGAATAGCTGTGCGTACTCCCAGCTCTTGTTTTGTATACCATTTCGAAAGCAGAAATAGAGCGCCCGGGAAAAATGCGGCCTCGACGAAACCAAGGAAGAACCGAGTAAGAAGCGCACCAACGAAGCTAAATGGAGAATGAGAGACGATACTTGTTTGATATATTTGATATATCTACGACATACTTCGTTGTGACTCCTGTCAAGCACTTTAAAACGACTGAGCAAATAGTTTGGACAAGGATGACATGGACCAAGCGTACAGATATCATTCCCCATATCATCATGCAACAGGGCAGGTAGATGGATGGCCTTCCTGTCCAGTTAAGAAACATGTTGCTATCGTTGAAGATGGTAATTAGGATGCGAATGAGGAAGAGAGTACATATCGGGGACGTACGAAGGTATCTGACATAGAATATAGCCGACATATAGGATAGACAGCAAGGTGGCAAACTCTGTACCCTTCAGGTGAAGGTCGGACTCGAGCCCCTTCAACCTCGCGGCACTATACGGCATAATTAAATTATTGAAGAAACGGTTAAGATTATAAGGGCTTAACGCACGCCGCATTGTTGCGATCTATCTAAATTCACGAATACGACTCACAGTTAGTTGTTCTCTTCCAAAAACGAGAACGGATGTATCGACCACATACATAGTTGAGGATGTAGACAATCACAAGGATGAACATCCTTAGATCGAGCTTCCAAAGTAGCTTTCTCTCCAGTTTCCTCCTCTCCTCATACCCACCAAACTCTGCATCAGGATCGTCATCGATGACTTGCTTCACTGAGGGCGAAGGAGAACGTTTTTCTTCGACATCGGCCTCTCGCTCCGGGGTTATCTGCTCGGCTTGTGGAGACATGCCAGTGCTTCACAAAGTGAGAATAATGCCGCAGTATCAGATGGGTACTAGTTCGCTGGGGAGAAGAGTTGGCGACTGGCTGGACGACTCGAGTTTAAAAGGTACTCGAGACTCCGACCACGACTATCCATGAGAGTAACTCCGACGTATCTGCATATTGCTGCCCGGGTGGATAGTCACAAGGGCAGCTCGTTGGCGGCTCAAGAGTGTTAGCAAGGACTTCCCGGGTTAAAGTTCGTGAACAACAGACTCGGAAACCTGGCGCGCGTGATGTCATGCCATTAGAGCGCCGGCATCTTGGGCAAGGTAAACACTCTCACGTGGTGATAGTTCCGTGTCCGCGACCGTATCATACGACTTTACCTCTTGAACTACCATGGCCCCCAACGTATTGCCAGGCGCGTACGGCGCCCTATTCCTTTGGTTGGAACCAGGTGTGTTTTTTCACTTTCGTCCCTTCTAAGAATTTATTGACGTTTCTGTTCGTCGAACAGTATCGACAGTCGCCCCCGCTTTCTTGACTTGGTTCTTCCCGGGAGTTCGATGGTTCCACCATCAGCTTATACCTTCATCTGCGCCAGTACCTAGTATCCTCGACGCCCGCTCCACTATGGCCATATTTCAGCTAGTAAACTGTGGGTTTAACAGCCTTCGCATCAAATTTGGTCGGACATAACCGGTTTCTCGCAGGTTACATGCTCCTGGGGCTCCTCGAGTCCTTGGGCTTCCGAGCTGTGAAAGATGCTCTTCCAGACAATCCAAAGGCACAAGAACGTATCATCGGTGCAAGTCTATTTGCCATGGCTGTTGCAGATGTGAGTTAACCATTTAGAAGAGGGTTTACTAGCTTGACTGCGCTCTTTGTGGACTCATCCACATGCCATGAACGACCTTGTAGGTAACTCAGTGAGTGTTCCCGCTTAGTTGTGTAGCTGACTGCGCTGACATTTTGTTAGCATCATGGCGAGCTTCATAGGCTTGCCGGATGATCTCAAGTATGACTTTGCCTCTTGGAATCCAATGACCCATGGCAACATCAGCTTTGTTGTCTTCCTACTGGGGATGAGGTAAGTGTGGCCACTATCAGACATCTTGACCGTTACATTTACTGTATGCTTCACAGGATTGCCTGGTTCGTGGGTGTGAGTCGGAAGACTTATTACTATGGAAAGCATGCCACGAAAATCGAGAAGGATTCAAAAGCTTCATAAGGCCCCGGCCCTTCTACAGAAGCAATGTTTATATCCTCTGTGTGTGCTTTCACATGCTCCATGCTGTTTTTTGTGGGCTCAGTTGAATATATGTTATTTGAATATCAGTTTTGTACAATGCTACGGGTTGTGTCTGAAGTGGCGGATTAGATGTTACGTTTCCCTTCTCACCAGAAATATCAATAACATGGTCTGAGTACTCATCTAAGGCTCGAAAGCTCACCGCCGTAGAGCAATAAATTAAGCAAACTGAAATACGCATTTCCTTAACGAAGAGACACATTTACGAGGAGCATGAATGGCTAATTGTGTGGCGCAGCGTGTGGCCCAACTGCCTTCGGTATTTCAAAGCGGATTACCGACGCATTGGCCCAAGCTCGGACTTCGCGCATCTCAACCTTTCGCTCATCTTCCACCATCTCCTCTCCCTTCACGCTCAGAGTCATACGTGCCCGCCACACGTATACTGCTGCCATTATGGCTACTTCTACCAGTGTTGAAATAATTGACCTTACCAATTCACCGCCCCCCGAACCAATCACGATCGACGATTCCGACAATGAACTACCGTTACCGGAACCTGATACTCTCTCACCGAACAAGTCCAAGTCACGGTCCAAGAGGGAAAAATCGCGTAAAGCTTCTAAATCGCGCAAGACTACTATTACTGAATCACCTCGCCGAGTTGAACGCGCCGGGGCGCGTGACGCGAAGGATGGGCGGCGGGACGAGAAACGAGAGGACAAGGCATCGGGACGGATGAAGAAGTCGTCAGCGGAGCAGATAGGCAATCAAGGAAGCGAGGCTCAAGGTGGAAGAGAAGAAGGGGAAGTCGAAGAGGAGGCGTCTGGTCGTTCAAAGAAGAGAGAGAGGAAACACCGCAGCGGGGAAGACGAACAGGCCTTGGAAATCGCGGACGACCAGCTATTCTTTATCGACACAAAACCTATCGCAGTTCCTCGGGTCGATGAGAATCAGACCGCTGGGCCATCCACAAACACATTACTTTTGGGAGCACCATCTAAACCGGACTCTGACGCTTCCAAGTTGCTTTTGCCTGCTCATGTCACTATATGGGACCTTGACTTTGGTGTCGACTCTGCGGCACCTGTGGACATCATTCTTCCCACCGAAAAAGACTCGGATACTGAGTCATATATAGAACATCTTGACTACGATGATCGTCCAGTGAGTCCTCCTTTGCTGTGATATTGGTTTCCACCTGACTCCTGGCCAAAAGGCACAGCGATATTTTGATGAACAGAAGGCCGAGGACTCTAAGCCGACGAGCTTCGTATGTAAGAAGTGCGGTGTCAAGAACGATCACAAGACTTGGGAGTGTCGAACACAAATTGTGCGTGTCCCGTCAGCGCCACACTATTTGCACGCTAGTTGAGCAGCGCTGATCTCGTTACTCTTTGACCAGTGTTTGACGTGCGGGGCTCGTGACGAGCATTCAACTTATGGCTGCCCGGTCAGTGAAGGATCTCTCTTCTTTCTGGTAAATCTCATGGTCCATTTTGCAGGTTAGCAAAGTTTGCTTCACGTGTAATATGAAGGGGCATTTGAACAGGGTGAGCGGTGGAAATTTGCCCATCTTCTTACCACCCGCTTACGGCAGGACTTGCGCTCCAGGATTGTCCAAATCGCGCAATTGCACACTCCATGGCTGCGGACAAATATCATGATTGTGATCGTTGTGGGTCGCAAAACCATACTACACAAGTAGGTAGCCCCGCTATGTGCATATACACGGTGATCGCTCAATGTCATTTATCCCCTTGCGTTCGATTTTATGTAGGAATGTCCAACTTTGTGGCGCCAATATGTCTATGTCACCGACAACGAGCGAAACGATATCTTGAGACAGCGAGAAGAGATGCGAGCACTAGGACTCGGCCAGGGTGGCGAAGGGTACATCGCGGGAGATGATTGGTGTTACAATTGTGGAAGCGCTAATCATCTAGGCGATGTGAGCCTTTCCCCTTCTGCCCCTCTCCTGTCGTTACTTATATTAGTTATCTTTCAGGACTGCGAGGTCCTTCGACATCCACCCGACTTCCCCATAGAGCCGTCCGCGTTCAGCTCCTACAACACACTTTCTGGGCCTTTCTCCGACTCACCCGCACAGATCGAGCGCCATAGACGCGAACTTCGAGATTGGGAGAACGACACCACCATTCCGGACCGCTGGGACTCTAACGCTCCTAACAACGTTGGCAGACAAGCGAAGGACAAGAACAGAGCCCGACTGGCGCAGCGTGCACAGGAACTCGAGGAAGACGAAGGTGACGACTGGTTTGGCAACCCTAGGAACGCTAGGAGTCGAGGCGTACCACCTTCTGCACCTTCAGGCCCTCGCGATCGCAGCAAGAGCGGTGGTGGTGGATTTGGAGGATTTGTGCAAGGCCCGGCACCTGCAAAGAAGATGACATTCGGCAACTTTGGGCAGAAACAGGCGGATTCATCCTCTTCGAGCCGTGGGCGCGACTATGGCAGGAATGTGGACGAAGGACGGTCGAGGAAGCCAAGCCTTGTAGAGCGGCTGCAGGGTGATGGCGAATTGAAGATACGGGGCGCATCGTCTTCTTCGTCGAGTAAGCGGAAGTACGATGATCATCGAGATGACGAGCGTGGGTACTATAGGGACAACAGGAGAGACAGGGAGAGCGATAAGGAGAGAAGGAGGGATTGGGACAGAGAGTATGAGCGAGCAGATCGGGATCGTTATGGCCATCGTGACGGTGGGTATAGCGGTGGGTACAGCGGTAGTAGACGAGACGACAGGGGGCCGAAGTACAAGGGTGGGTATTCCCGGTGAACGGAGCTGTCTTCACCCAACTCCTTGCTACGGGCCTGCTGCGCGGTCGCATTTGAGCATGGATGTAATGTGATGACTGGGTGTAACATATGTTACCGGCCGCGATCAGCAGGAAAGCAAAATATTGTGGATGGGGCCATACCTTTGGGGGCCTTCCACCTCTTTGAGGTCCACATCGTTATAGTCATGCAAAGGAAAAGACAACAGAGCCCTCGTTGTCTAATGGTTATGACGTCAGACTTCTACCATTATAGGCATCTGGAGGTTGCGAGTTCGAGTCTCGCCGGGGGTAGTTGGTAACTTGTTTTGTGTAGCTGACCACTTGTTTTGCTTTGAATAGGGACTATCAAGTAGATTGCAGATAAAGACCTCAAAACTTTGCGCACAGATTGCAATGTTGAAATTGCAGGTGACATAAGGGTAGAAGTACTGAGACGGGGAGAGCAAATATCACTATGTAGGCTCATAATCGCAGACGAAAATTGCATCATAGCGCAAGTCCAAAAGATGGCGAGACAACAAAGGTTTGTATTGGTTTGGTTGGTTGGTTGATTGACTGGCAGGTCTGTTTATGTAAGGTAGAATATTGTAAGATGATGTGTATGATGGAGATTTCGCTGATGTTGAAAGTGATGGAGATGAGGGGGCAAGGATAGGCGAGGGTGGGAAGGAGCGGGTGAGGATAGAAAGAGTGCGGGATCAAGTCGGTAGATGGGATGAGGAAAGGAAGTATTGACGGGAGAGGGAGCGCGGACGGTGACGATCGACTTGCAAAGGAACAACTATCTTCACGACTACAGAAACGGACCTTGAGTATCCCAGAAGCAAGAACCATGAGGAAGAGGACCGAATATATGTGACAATGGGCTGGAAACAGAATAACAAAAGATTTCAAGGATACGACAGAAGAAGAACCAGAATAATATAAAAACAGATGAAAACGAGGTCCGTAAAGCGAACAAATAACAAGACAAAAACGGGTTCTCTAGGGCAAACGATTGCACAAACCGAGAAGAGTCTGCGTGCCGAGCAAGGAAAGTGCTATGAGGTGAAGCCCCGGATGCCTAGGACGTGTCGTACGTCGCTTGTAAACCGCAGCGAGTCGAGCACGGGTAGGAGATCGAGTAATGCCTCGTCGTGTGGGTCATGCGTCCAGCCTTCGATTGGGATTCCATTAGCTGCACGGAATGAACGGACATCATTAGCTTTGTGCCCGATTAGCTACTGGGTAGCTGCACTTACTTTCATTGACGACATAGCAAACGGGAGAATTGTCTATAAGACAGACTCTTGAAAGATCTTGCTCTATAATGGACAAGTCCTTCGTGTACGAGCCGTTTGGCATGAGCGTACAGGACTGGTGTACCATCCGATGGTCAGCATGGGCCACTCGTGACTCTCTGCCACAGGATACACACCTCTCGAAAGAACCGACGCCCGAGGATACCACGCCCGGCATCCAACCAGTCAATGACCGGATCAGCGTACTCCTGCATCGAGGCAGTGAAGATGACCAGAGTGTACCAAGCTGACACCTGTAGATGTGGATTCGTTAGCCAACCTAATCAAAGTCAGAGCACGGCTCGGCGCACCTTTCTCAAGAAGTAATCTACATAAGGCCTTTTGTAGACGTGATAACACGTGCTACGCCCTCCGAGGACGACCTCGACCATGTGGCTCTTGCTCGCTCTTCTGCTGTTCCCCAATCCTAACCCACTCAGTCCCAGCCCGCCGAGAAGCCCGCCAGAACCGGAGGCATTATACAAGGGACGAGAGGTGGAATGTATGAGGGTTTCGTCAAGGTCAAGGACCAGTGTCTTCTGCATGTGAAAGGGAGTGGTCTTACGAGTGGCGGGGAGGCCAGGGTTAAGGGATATTGATGTCGGAGTAGGTGTACGAGAAGGTGTTGTGGACTGTTGTGACTGTGAAAAGGGAAACAGGGAAGATGCAAGCGGATGTGGCAGTAGAGTCTGAGAGTTTGAATGAAAGGGCGAATCCGAGTGTGCAGCAACTGGTAAACCTTCGACAAGTGTTGAGTCTGTTTGCGAGCGTATTGTGGGTGGCGGGTGAGGTGGCCCCGAATTTGGTACCGACGAGTTTGTTGTCGGTGAAGGGTCGTTCACATGTTGCATCATGATCAATGGTTGTTTCTCTTCATCTCCCTCACCCTCGCCTTCACTCTCCTTCTCGGTCTCGTTGGGGTCACCGCCGTCCGCACCTCCTCTGACGTGTGCACCTCGCGCAGTCCGGCCTCCCCGCAGACCATCACCATGCCATGCTCTAATTCTAACCTTCACGGAGGCGGCTGCCGCGCATATGCTATTCCAAAGCAGCAAAATAACCCTCACGAAAAATATTCGATGGAATAGGCTCTGGCGCTGTATCTGAGACTTGGCTCGAATAGATGAAGATCGCTTTGGTCGTCGTGGCAATACAGTAGGTGATGGCTGAAGTGAAGGCATGGCCACTGGAGACGATGAAGTTGACGGTGAAGAGGTGGAAGCGGAAGTTTCAGATGACGAAGCCGTTGACGAAGACGAAGTGCCCGCCTTGGAAGACGGTGTGGGGATCCGTGCCGGCGAGGTAAGGGTACGACGGGGTACTGGTGGGGGAGCAACGAGTGCTTTCAGCGACCAAGCAGTAGGAGATCCCTTGCGTATGCGATCTTTGCGAGAGCCTTGGGATTCATTGTGGAGACGGGTGAGATCTTCGGCTGATGAGGACGGGCTGGGGACTGGGGTATGTTTCGGAGAGTTGGGGAGGCTGTAGATCTTAAGAGGCGGATGCTCTGAGCTCGGTGTCGACGGCGGCGTTTTTGCCGAGGCGAGGACGTCGAACTGACGAGAAAGATAGCTTAGCGAGTTCATCGTCGCTAGCGACGACGGCGAGCAAGGGGAAAAGCCAGTGCGGAGGAGAGCTGAGGGGTATGTACGGAGGAAAGCTAGAAGCGCGTCTGCAACGTGACCCAATGTCCAATTCGTAATCCGCGTCCTCTCCAAATGTCAATCGTCCGATCACAGCAAGCACAAGGAAACGGCCAAACAACGTGTTCTCTCTGCCTGCCGCCCGTTCACTGAACAGTGTCTTTAAATTCACCGTAAATCACTTGAATATTCGACGGAATGGACTTGTACATTGGACCCCATCCCGACAACGTTCATCGACATCGATAGATTATAGATCGCTATGTACATGCCCCCTCCACGAGTTTATCCACCGCGCCCCACGCTCTCTCCTAAGCAGAAGCAGAAGAAGAAGATCTCTCGATAACGCTGACCATAGCGTAGTCCAATGGACTCGCGTAAAAATCCCCATGTGCGAGAGTAGCTTTGCTAGCTTTCCCACAACATTCAAGCTTATTGATGAGTCGAAAGTAGGCGCTGTTATCCTGTTTCAAAGCCGCGAACGTGCCCATGCTGAATCGCCCCTATCCGAATCACCCGCGTACTTCACAAGTTCGGGCCTCAGCTGGTCCAAGCTTGTGACACCCATCAACTGCATCCCTGTTACAATTTCTTCGCGCAGGACTGTGCAACGGGAACCCCAATCCCCAACAAGCAAACAAACAAACAAACAAGTAAAAGAGGTTAGCACCCATTGCCAGCTCACCGGATCATATGGCAAAGATGGAATAAAAATGGAATGGTGCCACTGGAACGACGCAGGAAAAGAATAGGACTGACTTTGCACGACACGCCGGCATCCCTCTTCCCCGTACAATGCATTTGCGTACAAGAACGCTCGACCGAGTCCTACACCGCGTGCGCCGAGACAGAGAGCTTTCAACACATCCGTCCCGCGTGTGACGCCACCGTCAATGTACACCTCGAATTTCGGATCGTCCAGAATGTCAGGTCGACGTTGCCGCAGCTCGTGCAGCACGGTGATGGGCGCTGGCGAGCTAGGTGGTGGATGTCAATAACTTACGGTAAATGATATCCGCTAGAAAAAGCTCTTACTAGTCTAACTCTCTACCACCGTGGTTTGAGAGCACGATACCCTGAACATTATACTTGTCGTAGGCTATCTCCGCATCCTATCATGAAATAAGAGAAGTCGCGTCAGCACTAGAGTACGGATGTATATTAGGGCCTTACCTCAACACATTGGATGCCTTTAAGAACTAGAGGGAGACCCCAGTGTTTCTGTATCCACGGAATGTCGTCCCCTGTGATTGAGCGGATATGAGCAGGGACAAACAGAACAAAGTGTCTCATAGAACTCACAGCAAACATCCGGATCCTGATACCCACTAATAGCCTGTTCGTCCGCAATATCAGTTAGGCAGACGTTCACAACCTGGGCCACCAACTCACCAATGCCACACCAGCTCCTGCGCCCTCATTGTCTTTTCCACCCATCGCAGGCCCCGAAAAATCGCCTTTCGCTCTTTGATCTAGCTCCCTTTTACCAGCCACGGCAGCATCAACTGTGACGAACAATGCCTTGAAGGCGCTTGCAGCGCTGGGGCCAACAGCTTGACGGACTTTCTGAAGATGTTCGACGGTAGCTGAACGATCACGGTTGACGTAGAGTTGAAATATTAGGGGCTGAGTTGGGAGAAGGACAGATGTGATCTCCGAGAGCGAACAGGAGGAATTGCTACTGATCTATTGAATCGAGAGTTGGTTGAGCTTAGACTGAACGGTGATACGAAACCATGTTTGAGTACGTACGCCCTGGAGAATTCCCTCCGCACCAGCCGCTCGTGTGAGGTTCATTTCACCATCCGGATGGCCTAGGCGTGCCAGAGCTGCGGGCGCAATCAAAATGGGCAGAGTAGTCGGTAAGCCGAGCATAGTCGTGGATGTTGAGACGCGTGAAATCTTGTTGAGTCTAACCAAATTATGAGGTCGATATCACAGCCGGTGTTATAAATGGGAGAAGACCTACACCCGTGGCCGGAACCAGAACCTTTTGAACGCATTACGGTTCTCCCAGAAAGCTACATTTAGAATAGTAATCGTCAACAACTGTCTACGCCACATACGACTGTGGTCGACCGATATAGGGGCACTCAACTATTCTCATCATCACCAGCAGACCGGTAGTATCCCCAGGCAGTAGACGTAAGAACACCCTTCGCGAGTTCTTCCATCTCGGCCAGATTTAACACTGCGCTTGGTGGTGGCAATGTTGCTCTAGCCTCCGCTATTCGGATGTCTTCTTCTGAGGGACCGGTCAAGTCCTTAGGTACTGTTGTGGGGTCGATGGAACCAATATGAGCTCCTGGCGGTAGCATGGCTAATGTGCCCGGTGGGTGGATGGGCTTGAATGCCTTGCTATTTAAAATGGTCAAGTTCTCGGTGTGAGAGAGACCAAGACCGATATGAAGGGAGAAGAGGTGCGGTGTAAGTAGAGTAGCTCACGTCGCGTCCTGTCCAGCCTGTTTCATCAAAGGACCAACACCACCTGGGTGGATGTCCACTATCTCCGTAGCGTCGTACACCTCTCCATCAATCAAGACCCAGACCGACTTTCGAGTATTGTGCTCGGAAAGCTCAGCCCAGGAGACAAGGCGCCCCTTAGGTTCTTGGGGTGCGTCGGAGTTCATCCTTGAGTGGGAGTTTTCGTCGTCGAGATGAATTGGGTGAAGAAAGGCCTGTATGTAGGAAGGTGTAAGCATCAAAACTCCAGGCTGGCAGTCGAGGAGGCTCTCGAGGCTCTGAGAATGTTCGAGGTTCAAGTCTCTACAATATTGCTTAATGGGCCTAAAGACAAGCTTCATTGCCTCTACAAGAACCGACTTTTCACAGATGGCGAGTATCGACTATCCTACACGCATGCACCATTGCCTTCTATCTCACACGAGCAACATGATTGAATGAAGTTACTCACCAAGAGACCAAGTAACGACGCTGCAGACGCCGTTAATCCTATAGCGAGTAGTCGTACGACCCGTCCAGAGGACCGGTTGAGCGTTCTATAATCTCTACCCTTGCTAAGGCCACCCTTTGGTCGAAAACTCCCAAGGCCTCTCTTCTGCAGGACGACCAGACCCGGTGACCGAGACTCAATGAAGGAAGCACGACCCAAAAAGCCATCGGCGTGGCGAGAACGTAAGAGTCCAAATCCCATACTAGCGAGACGCGACATGCCCAGGGGACTCCAGTGCGCTCTGGAGATATGATCCGTATAATCCAAGGAGAGAAGAAGAGGAGGAAAGGGGGTAAGAAATGGCGGACATTTCGAAAGCACTGTCACTTTATTGCGGGGAGCACGTATAACGACTGGAGGTTGCGGAAGTTCCGGTCCGACTTCCAACACGGACTTTTCGAGGGATTTTCCGTGGGGAGGCGGCCCGGGATCGACCAGTGGAAGTCCGGCTGGTTGGCGGTTCAATCGTTCTCCGTTCATTATCGACCGGTCGAGCAGTACTAGAAATCGACCAAGTCGCAAAGTCGCAGCCGGACCAGTGCATCTATTGAAACCTCGAAAAGCTTTCCTACAAAGCATCTCGAAAAAGTTACAAAATCTCCCGCTCTGGTGGGGAGAGTCAGTGTTGTGAGTGAACGATATCTCATGGGTTCCGTTTGGTTTCCGTTCGAACTTGAAGCTTGAAGCTTTGAAACGCAGTTCGAGACAGCTGGATTTGATGCGACCAGGCTGAATCTCAAGGATTTGTTGGTGTCGCTCATTTGAGATTGAAGCCTCTTACAGTCCTCCCTGCAGCAAGCTGACCACGTAAAAACTGGGCCAGCGTACCGGCAGCAATGTGAATTACTTTGAACGTTGTTCCTGGCGCATGGCTGTCTAATTTCGTCATTGGGTGTACAGTAGTATCCATCAAGCTCCCCTGTGACTTCCTCCCAGCACTCCTTCGTCATGTCGAACCCCTTCGAGGACAAGAAGGCACACCCTGTTTTGGGGGAGCAGCCACATCCAACTCGCTCAGGACGTCGCTCAGGCTGGCTAGTATTCGTTGTCACGCTTACGCTGTATCTGGCATTCTGGAGACCTTATCATAACTCTGAGGAGGACTCGTTCATCCCGAGTCAGTCCTCACCCTTGTCAAGCGAGGGTTTTGACTGGTACAAGGCATGTATCAAGATTGTCTTCATCTACTGTGGCGTCATGTACTCATCACCTTACCACCACGCAGCTCAAACCCTCGGAGAATATCACCTGGACCGACTGTCTCGGGAAGTACAAATGTGCACGCATCAGCCTCCCCCTCGACTATACCACTCCCGAAGGCCCAAGGACAGAGATCGCCCTCCTTCTCCTACCGGGAAATGACACCGCTAACCACAAAGGCACCATCTTTCTAAACCCAGGAGGTCCCGGTGGTTCCGGAACAAGCCTGCTCAAACGCGCGGGTGACGATATCGCGAAGATTGTTGGTCCAGAGTTTGACCTTCTCGGTTTCGATCCTCGAGGGACGGGCGCCACAACGCCTTCGGCGCAGTGTTTCGAATCGGAGACGCAGTACAAGCAATGGTCGCTGCAGTCGCTTTTTACGCTCATGGAGCCTACTGTCAACTCCCTTGGCCTGGCTCGCAGTCGTGAGACCGTCGTGGGTGAGGTCTGTAAGCGTAGTCTGGGCGGGAACGGAAAGGAGGAGTTGGGTGGCACAGCGACGGAATGGGGTCCAGGACGAGTAAGTTAACGATTCATCCTGTAACATAGCTCATTCTTATATTATTTCTCTGGATAGTTCATGAACACACCGTACGTTGCGACGGATATGGTCAAAATTATGGAAAAGTTGGGTCAGGATAAGATGCTTTATTGGGGTTTTGTAGGTCATACTCGTAACCCGCTCCTCGATAAAGTGCTTATTTTTGAGGGCGCACACACAGAGCTACGGTACAGTCCTGGGACAATACTTCTCCGCCATGTATCCTGACAAAGTCGGCCGGGTGATCATCGACGGTGTTTACGACGGCGAGGAGTACGCTAAAGGCACCTGGGCCACCAATATGGACGACACAGATACCGTCGTGAAATCCTTCTACGAGTACTGCTACCTAGCCGGCCCTACCAAATGCCCGCTCTACGAACCCAGCGTCAAGGAAGTCAAAGCTCGCATCGACAATATCTTCGTCTCTCTCATGGACGCCCCCGTCCCCGTCCCATTCGCTCCCTCCGGCCCAGCACTCATCACGAAAGACGTCATGCACCACCGATTCTTCCGCGCTCTCTACAAACCTCTCACCATGTTCGCACCCCTCGCAAACGAACTCCACGCCATCGAGACGCACAACGCAACCGCGCTCGAGGCCATCGTCAACGGCACCGTTTCCTACGAGTGCGAGTGCAGTCCCGGGACCGAACCTTGGGAAGCGGAGACCGAAGCCTTCTACGCGATCGCATGTGGCGACGCCGGTCCACAATCCGAAAACCCAGGCGACATGGAGATTCACTACCGCAACCTCACCTCCAAGTCACCTTTTGCAGCGCCAATCTGGGCGGTCCATAAGCTCCAGTGCTTAGAATGGAAGATCAAGTCGAAATGGCGCTATACGGACCCTCTCGCTGCGAACACGTCCAACCCGATCCTCATCATCAACCCGACGTACGATCCCGTCTGTCCGCTCAGCGATGCGTTGAGGGTGAAGGAGCGGTACGTTGGTGCTGGGTTGTTGGAGCAGCACTCGCATGGGCATTGTTCGTTGGCGGCTCCTTCGATTTGTACGGCCAAGGCCGTGAGGGCGTATTTCGTGAATGGGACGCTTCCGGAGGAAGGCACGGTGTGTGAGCCTGATGAGTTGCCATTTGTCGGGAAGAAGGATTTGAAGGTTATGTCGGCTGAGGACGAGGAGCTGTTGGATGCTTTGAGGGGGTTGACCGATGTTGTGCCGTTCTTTGGGCTGTAATGTTCATGGTGTAAATCGTGATCATGCTGTATTTTGATTTTCTATTACCAATTATATCTACTCTCACAAACACCCGAAGCATGCGGCCGAAGCAACAAGAATATAGTAGACAGCAAGAGCTACAAGAATGTTATCATAACGCAGGGATAGATACTCGAAATAATCGGCATCTTAATTATCATCTTCATCGTCCTCCTCGACCATGCCAACCTCATACTCGCCGCACACATCCCAGCGCGAGCCCTCCGCGGCCGCACTGACATACTTAACGAAGCGCATCACCCTCTCGTCCCTCAACACGAGCAGCAAACGGTTAAATCCAGGCTGCACGGTAAGTAAAGTCCCGTCCTCCTCCTCTTCCTCTTCATCGGCCTGAACTTCGTCATCGCTCTCACCTTCAGCGTCTTCATCTGAATCATGCATTCCGTTCTCTTCGCCGTGTTCGGCGCCGCTGCTGTTGCTGGCGCCACTGCCGTTCGCACCGTTCGTTTTTTGCGATGAAGGTTCGGCCTTGGCCGCCTTACGGCTCGGGCCCGACCTGTAAACAGCCGGGTCGTCCTCCTCGTCATGAGGAGCCATATAACACTACAGAATACAAAGATATAATCAGCTTCATGTATCCAAACAAGGACGAAGCAGCGTAAATTCCGTACCTCCCAGCCACCCCACTCCCCCATCTGCCACCCCCTCGTCGGCTCCTCCTCCTCTATCCTCCTCTTCCCGTTCTGATTCTTCTTCTTCTTCTCCGCATCACTCTCCTGCTCCTCAACCTGCGGCGTCAACCCAAGCACAACATCCAACCTCGCCTCATTCTCTTCGCTCGTCGCCAACGTATATCCCAACCCCGGACAAAACCTCCTCGCCTCAACCGCATACCTCATCGGGCTCAACCTACTCACGACCGCAAGCCACCTCCTGAACGCCTCCGAGCCAAACAACTGATCCTGCAACGACCTCACGATCTTCTCCGGTGTCTGCACCGCTAACGGCAGTGCCGCCTCGACCGGACCCTCCGTTCGCGGGCTCTCGAGCACGCAGTAGCGCCATTTGTGTGGTGGGCCTTTGAGCGTCCAGCCGGAGCCTTGGCCGGTACCGGCTGTGTGGGGAGGAATGGGATAAGGACGGTTGGGGCCGAGACCTTGTTGGGCGTCTAGGGAGCGGAGACCGGGGGAGAGGGTGGAGGCGATGGGGACGGAGAGGAAGTCGTGCAGTTCGAGAGAGGATTCTTGGACGAAGCGGGCGGAGAGGGCTTTCATGGTGCGGGGTTGGAGATAGACGGGGTTCAGGAATTCGGAGAGGAAGGAGATATCGTCGGCGGAGAGGGCGGCGTCCGGCAATGGGGGCTCTTCCGTATACGATTGGAAAGAGGTGGAGGTAGAGGCCTGGTCAAACGCGTACTTCAGATTTTTGGGAAATTGTAGTTTCAACAGGAGTACATACAAGTTGATCTCGTGAACTCTTTACTTCCGGTTCCGGTTCCGGACTATATCCATCCTCATCTTCCTGTGCCGCATGGAACCAACCCGAGATCGAAAGCCTCTGTCTGCCATCCTCGCCTTCACCGACAACGACCTCCTCCACCGAATGGAAACTCTTGCCCGGCTGCACTTCGAAAAATATAAACTGGTTCCAGCTCGGCGGAATGGACTTCGTCGGCACAGGCTCGGGCTCCAAGACGCCCTCCTCACTCATCTTGACGGGATAAAGCTCGAGCGCGCCTCCCCACTCCTTCTGCCACAGCTGGTAGTGCGGGAGAGGCATATAGAGAATGTAGGATACACGGCGAGTGCCGATGACGTCGTCGTGGTTGAGAAGATGACAGCCTTTCTTGTACGTATTGATCGACATATCCTGTTTGACGCCCGAGAGCGGTCCACAGCCAGTGACGGTGCGCATGAAGGTACGGAAAGTAGGAGAGTACAGAGCATCGCGAAGCTTGAGGAGGTTTGGCAGGAGTGCGATTTGATCTTGCGAGAGGTAGTTCAACGAGGCCAGGTCGCCCGTTTGGTTGACCTACAAGAAAAAGAAAGGCAAAGATCGATCAATGAGGGAGTAGAGTAAGTGGTCTGCCCAACGAAGAAATTTTCCTAACACTGGGGCGCGAGCAACTAGGCTCACCTTATAGATATCCGTCTCCCTCTCCGTGAAATGCAACTCGCTCAGACACTCGTCGACCACGTTCTTCAGGAGATCGTCCTGAAAGAGTTTCTCGACGAGCGCATACTTATAGGGCTCAGACGCGTGATAGTAATTGTTCAACCGGTGTATGTTCGACGGGTCGAAAAGGTTGGGCGTAAAAAGCGAGATATGGTCCTGATGTCTCTCAGTGGCCTCATCGCTTTTAGCCCGCTGCTGCTGTTCGAGGACAGTAGAGTCAATTTTTGGCTTCTTAGCGGGCGAGATGGTGGCCGGGGAGCGTGCGCGGATGGTCGCCATGGGCATCCCGTTCCGAGGTCAGGTTCAGGAAGCTGTAAATGAAGAGAAGGGAAGTGATGGGGGAAGAACCGTTGGAGGAAGTGGAGTGGCCCAGGTGAGAAAAGGGACGGTGTTTTGTAGGGAGAAGATGGATGGACGGATGTGGGAAGCGACGCGCTCTGCTCTCGACGCCTCCTTTTCGTCCATCGCCATCACTCTAGCTGCCCCAAGTCGGCTGTCCACTCTGGACCATCGTCTTTGGGCCAGAGTAGAGTTCAAAAATCCCTGGCCAGGGGGTTCCAGGTTCGCACAAGCGCGGACGAGACTCAGTCCAGAAGAGTCGGCGCACGTTCTCACATGGCCCGACGACGGTGCATTTCGTAGCGAGCCCACTATCCGAAATACAGATCGTCAAGTCCTCGTTACCCCCGCCCCGGTCAGCCTCTCGATAGCTCGTCAAATGACGGTCGACCGGGTCCTCCTCATCTTTAGCTCTCCGCCGGCGGCACTATTTATAGGCGACAAAGCAAAGCTGCAAACACATATACGGGTTAAAAAGACATGCGGTACGTGACTATGTTCTAAGTATGAGGGGGTGTGGACCAGGAAGAATACAACACGATGGATAGACCATGAGAAAGTGACCCTCTCGTACTGGTACGGAGAAGATGAAGGGGGCGCGCGGGTAGGTGGATGGAGGAGCGTAAGGACAGAATCAGATTCTCCACCAGGACGTCGACGTCAGGAGAGAAACGTTTGGAAGAGGCAGAAGAGACCCAACCAAATAACATAGCGAGTACGATATGCTAAACAACGAAAGATAGAAAAAGAGATAGAGACCCACGCCAAGACTAGACTGCAGAAGGAAAAGAGGTGCCACAGTGACAAAAATAAACATGATGAGCAACCAAGCAAGGACGACAGCGCAGAGGGCAACTAATGGCTAACAAAACGAGGGCATCGAAAAGAGGAGAAAAGATCGGTTGTTGCAGAATCAATCTTTGAGGATCTTCTCGTGGCCAGGGAGTAGTCCCTCGTTAGGGCGGATGGGAAGGCCGATCCGCCCTGTTGTATGATGCCGGTGGGGATGCGAATGCGACCGGCTGTGTCGGTGTGTGCGTGGTGGCTGAGGTGAAGAGGATGTACGGATCCATGCTTCGCGAGCGTTCAGCTCCCGTGCATCCTGCTCGGAGAGGTCTCGCAGCGGAACTGGTGCGTATACGATCTCGGGCTGCGTGCCCTGCGTATTGAACGAGGTTGCAGATGTCGGACTTGGGAGAAGGTAGATGCGCTGGAGACCAGTGGTGTCCTTGTGGTGGCTCCTGAGGAAGACTGGGAGACTGCTGCCGTGGTGGCGTGTGAGCTGCGAGTAGTAATGCGAGATTGCCAATACGAAATGAAGCTGTAGAAAGAAGATGAAACGGCTGATCAGAACGAGATGTGTAGGTGATGGCGGCCGGGCAGCGGGGCTTACGCGAACGACTATGACAATAAGCATGAGAACGACGAAGGCGACGACAGCCCTCTCGAACCACTGCTCGCAATTCTCTAGGTTGAGGCCCATCTCCTGCATTTCCCTCATGAAGTCTGGATGTCTTGAAATCTCCTCGCAGACGCCAGCACGGACGGCGGAGTAACGGAATGAGGCATATGTAACAAGGAGTGTTGTGATGGTGGTGAAGGAGAAATCGGCGATGGAATAATCGCGATAGAAACGAACGTATGTCGGAATGCCCTGTGCACGAGAGGAGTCGGGGGAAGTCGGTGTACAGTCAGCGGGAGTGGAAGACTGTACTAAGAGGGGCGGTGACGTACCTTGAATATGCCTACGAGCCCTGCGATGCTGGCAGCAGCAGCAGTGACGAAGTAGGCGGCAGATAGAATGCCGACAAGCTTGAATCCGTTTACGGCCCAGAGGTCGATTGAGCCCTCCCACTCACTCTCCGTGTCAGACCTGAATGTGCGCCAGAGGGCGAAGAGCTGGATCGCGAGGGCGAAGTTGGTGAGAACGCCGAGGCAAGCGATGGCAAGGGCAGCCGTCCTGGACCAGCGAAACATGGTTAACGCTGCTAGATGGTGGTGGCAGAGAGGATGGACTTGCCTGGTGGCCATTTGTGTCGGCCGTGAATGGATGTTTTAGTCAGCGGGAGGAAACAGAATTGGTGAGAGTCCTTTCGCGCCGTCCAACTCCGTTCACCACGCCCGCTTCCAAAGCCGCTTCGGCACCTCGGCACTCCCCGTCCAGCCTCTCCCTCCGCTCATTGCCTTCGGGTTCTCGTCTCATGATCCTTCGCTGTGCCAGTTGCTCTTTCTTTTCCACTCGCTCGTCGTGAAGGCATTCGCCCGACGTTGCATCGTACGAGCGACAATATCGTGTCATCGCCCATGACCTGACGTTTTTCTCCTGTCAGCCGCGTCTTTCCTCATCCTCTCGGAGTTCTCCATCGGCGGCTGATTATTGTTCGTCAGATCTCCTTGAGTCTTCCGCTTGTTTCATACTATTGGTGGCTCTTACCGTGGCATTTGGGCGATGCTAGTGAGGGCTTGCATCCTAATAGGTAATGGGAGGCAGCCTGTCTGGAAAAGGGGTCCTCTAGGAGGAGGTCACGACTGCCATCAGCCGAACTACGACATGTATCTGGTCTACGCAGCGTCCTAACCGGAGGAAGACATCCACTATCATGATCCGGTCATAGCTCTACACAGTCTCGGTATACAGTACTACATCATACATCTGCTATCGTTACAAGCTGCTTTCGAGCAGCGGACTCGTACACTCTCCGAACCTACTGACTGCGTCGCTGCCACTGGATGCTATTCTGTCCCACTCAGATTCTCACTTGGGGATCAGCGTCCTTCTTCTCCTTGTATATCTTCAGCATGTCTTCCCACGAATGGTCATTGTTCCTTGGCTGTACTCTTTTGTCAGTATACCTCCTGACAACGTAACCGAAATACGCACCTTGGCTGCATCCTCAACGTCTGGGAAGTGGTGCCCATTACGAGAAACATAGGCCGCCGTCAACACCGTGGCCAGCGTGAGCCCCTGCGCGAACACACGCGCCTGAACAACCTATATAAAACGCGACATCCGTGCCAAAAATCACACCACGCCCAATCCTCGAGTCAGCCACCGTAACCCTCGCCTAATCACAAAAAAGGCGACGTATGCCCTGATTCGCGCTAGTCGGCTGCTTACCTTCTGTGGCACAGTCTGCAACCTACATACATCCGGATCCATCAAATACAAAAATCAAGGGTGGTTCCCAGTCAGCCTGACAAAGCCACCGGGAACGAAGTGGACTCTGGAGGGGTGCACTGAAGGGACCTCGGGGCGGTGGAACGACTTACGGGTCGCGCATCATGTAACCGAAAGCGCCAGCGATGCCAGTGGCCCAAGCGCCTGCGATCACGCTGTACTGGTGGCGAGCGGTATAGTCGACGATTTTCTCTCCCATCGACAGATGTTCCCATTTCGTGATTTCTTTCTTCTCTTCCAGTGTCAATGCATCCTTGCCAGCGCCCTCCCTGCCAATCGAGTCAGTGGCCTGGACCCGATGGGGATAGCCGCCAACGCGGTAAAGAAGACAGAAACTGACCAATGCTCCTGCTCGTACCTTCGCCCCGCCGTCTCCGCCGAGATTACGAACGCTGGGACGACGACCATAATCCCCGCCAGCGCTCTCAGCGAAGGCGGTAGATTGCGGTAGTACGCGAAGCGGTTGCGGGCGAGGTAGGACGCTGGCAAAGCCACAGCTACACCGCCGAGAAAACCTTTGGCACCGCCTATGGCTACGGCGCGTTGATAGTCTTGAATGTTTTCTTTGCTGACGACCTGTATGGATGTAGGGCGGGGCAGGAGGGTTAGTGTACGGCCATTTGTCGAGTGGCAATAGGGACGTTGACGAACCTTCATGATTTTGGCCTTAGTAGGCTTATACTATGAATGTTGCCTCGAGTCTGAGCGCTGAGCGTTGATAGAGCTGGAGGACAACTTGGGAGGTATGCACAAACAGAGGGCGAATAGGGTTGAGGTGTTGGGAAGTTGAAGGTTATTCTGCGTGACTCGTGTCCACCACTCCCCGTTATATTGTTTCCCTAGGGCGCAAAGCTCGGTGGTCTTGCGACCATATTCTATTCTCTGCCTCCGCGATCGTGAGTTCGGTCATAAGTTAGAACTCGGTGAAGTCATAGCTGCCATACTCGTCCGCTTATTAGGATCCACTCCTGATTCACATGGCCGTTAAGGGAAGTTCCCGCGCTACAGAGCTGTGGGCGACAGCTTCAATGACATCTTGCTGCAACTACTGTATCGCCGCCTGTTGTCTACCAAATGACGATGTTCCAATAGGGGCTTTTCCGAGCACGCGGCGTTCACGGTCACTGTGGCACCCAACCACGCAAGTATAGCCTGGCCACAACTGGCGAGAACAAGTTGATTCATTAACATATATAATTATAGGTATGCAGCATGAATGGGCACGTAGTATGAAACAGTAGCCCCAGTAAGTATATCGTGAAGGGTCATGAAGCCGTACATGCAATGCTCAATCGTGAAAAAAGGTCACAAACAGTCAGTGAAAAAAAGATTCTCAAGGTGGCAAAAGACAGTGATCGGAGGCGGAAGGTGATAAGATATGAGAGTGATAGGGAAAGACCGTTGGTGTGATGGCGCGATGGAACTGACAAAACGGAACAAAAGTTGAAAGACGCGGTAGGTAGAACGAGATCCAACGTGTAACAAATGCCGATTATATCAGTGTGTAGTACTGTAGTATGCGATATGCACAGACAAGTCAAATGGAGGTATAATGATGTGCGTAGCTTGGAACCAACGTCAAGGAACGAATAAGAAGAACAAACCAAGAAACCAGGATCATCCACAAGTTCGAATCCAACACCCAACCCTCGCCACTACCACAGGCACATCCTTCAATCTGACGAATAAAGGAGAGTATCGAATCATCTTCGCGAGGCCCCACTCATCGCCCTTCTCCTCTCCGCATCCTTCAATACGCCCTTGGGTCCCCGCTTCGCCATAGCCCACAGGAACACGACAATGATGATCACGAACTGCAACCACAGCCAGACCTCGAGCATCACCGCAGCAAGGCCCTGTTTCTTCACTTTTGACTGGTGACTCGCATCGACATCTGCATGTGATGCTTTCCGTGTGCGAATACTGCGATTGAGGACAGGAGAGGCTGACGAAGAAAGGTCTTTTGAGACTACGGATGGGGACCGTGGGTTGTCGCCCTTAGCAGACGACGAGGCGACACCGACGAACTGGTCTACCACAGCGTCCACGGCATCCAACACCCTCGTAAAAGCAGCAGGCGCCGCTACACCCGTCGCCGCCGAGATAGCCTCCGCGGTCGAGTGGACACCCACCACCGGCGACTGGACCTCGTCCGGCGGTGACATGAACGGATTCGTGGGAGACAGAACGAGGTCCAACGAGGCTGACGACGGTACATCGCCCGACTCGACGTCTTCTCCCAGAGACTTCAGCGTATCCTTGAACCGTCTGTCGACCCAGTGCGTCGTCCTCGACCTGACGGTCTGCGACAGTCTTCGGTTTCGTTCAATCATATTTGACCTCCCGAGCGATTTAGGTGTCTCATCGACATCTGCTTCTGGAAGGTCCATTCTACCGGGGGTCGGGGTGAGTTGTAAATGTGCATCCGTGGACTGGGAAAGGAAATCCTGTGGTTGTGGTTGTGGATGTGGCGGAGTAGCGGTCTGGACGGCGATGGAAGGGGGTATAGGTGGGAACGCGGTATGTTCAGCAGTTGGAGACGAGGGTGAGAGGAGGGGTGAAGGGGCGGCATCCGTCACACTACTGAGGTCGTAGAGGCTACTTGTTCGAAGATGGTGATTTTCAGCGTTAGCGGCCCAGTCATCTCCGTACTGACTACCTAGTTCGCTTCCGAGTGTATGTCCACGGCCAAAATTGTTTGCCGGTAGATCAAGTGTGGACAACGCAGGGGAAGATGCACCGAATTCGGATGGTTCTGTGGGTGCGTAGGAGGCAGTTTCTACCTTCAGGGGCGACGGTGGAAAGACGAAAGGGGAGCCCGTTTCTGAAGGGAGACCTGTGCTCGAATGGGATGCAGAACCGAAGAAGCCTACGACGCTTTTTCGATTTCTGTGAGGAGCATTGAGGGGAAGACGGTTGCTGTGGCTGCGAAGTGTGCTCTGCATGACGTTCTTGATGCCGCTATCGAACCGGGAATCGAGCGAGAGTCGAGCAGAATCCAGATGTAGTGATCGGCGAAGACTCCGGAAATGCACGGAGTGGTCTTGAGAATCGGTCGAAAGGTTGGCGGGAGTATCTTCATCGTCCACAACCTGGACCTCCACCTGTGGATCGTCGTCTAGGAAAGAGTATAACTTCCGAATGGTTTCCGCGTCCATCTCCGCCTGACGTAGTCGTGCTTCTGTCTCCCTGTGCTGTTCGTTCATCTGGTCGTTGGTTTGTTCGAGTTCCGCGATTTTGTTGACAAGCCGGGTTATGAGAGACGGTGAAGCCTTGGAAGGTGTTGCCGGAGGACTTTGTAACGATGTCGCAGTGGAACTACCAGAAGAGCGAGAGGATGTGCTCAACCCCAAAGGATTGCTCGGAGCAAAATCGCGGGGAATGGCATCTTCATCGTCTTCACCATCCGAACCAACTTTCGCCTTCAACCCTCTTAACTTCTCCTCTCTCTCCAACCTCCTCTTCTCCGCCTCCTCACTCCCTTTCTCAACCTTAGTCCCCACGATGACCTGCTGCTCCAGCTCTACGCTCCGGGTCTGCGCTGCCTCCAACTCCCCCCGCAATAACTGTATTTCCTCCTCCAGTCTCTTCAACTTCCGTTTGCCTGCCTGATCCGCATGCGAAGACTCTGCTTCGAGTTCCTGCAACGTTTGCATAAGTTCCGCATTCTGGTCCGCAAGCTGCGCGATATCCGAAGGCGAAACCGAGATACGACGGAAATGACGAGGTGGTACAGGTGGTTCGACCGAGACCGTCGAAGATGTTCTATCCCTAGGTAAATTGCTCGTGTAGAAATGAGGGCTCGGTGCAGCGGACGAAACAGGTGTATTCGATGAACTAGGCGTCATCGTCTGTCCAGCGGGAAGTCGAGCGAGCAAAGCCTGATGTTTCGACTGAAGCGCGACGTTCCCGTTATACAAAGTTTTGCAGGCTTCGGACGTCATGCTGAGGACTGAAAAGGTAAAAATGGAGGAGGCGAGAAGACGGAAAGCATAACTCGTGTTCAGCTCGGCTACATTAGAGGAAGTTTGGGGGCAATAAAAGACGAGACGGGGTAGAAATTAAATCAAATACCGTGCTTACCTCGCTCCCGATCCTTGATGACCCCGTCAGCCATCATGAGAAGACCCGAAAGCTCTTCGCGAGACTGAGCATCCATCCAAGCATCGTCGACATCATGAACTTTGAGATCGCTGGAAGAGCCTGGTGTGCCTCGTATGTTCCTGGAACTTGTGGCGCTCGCACGTATTGGCGAACCGAGGAAGGAAGGGTTCGGAGAACTGTATGCGAGAGAGTCCTGCTCTGAGGTAGTGGTCGGGAATGAAAGAGTGTAGGGCGGTGGAGGTGAAGTAGTGCTGTGTTTTAGGGAAGATGTTCGACGGTTCTGAGCAGGCGGTCGAGGGCGGGGAGTCGTTGAGCTTCGGGGGGTATTCATCTTCGCAGATCCCGCTGCACAAATCGCGGATAGAATGCTGTCAGGACTTGCAGGAATTCCGTTCAACACTTCACAGTTGCACGTAGAATGTAGTGGGAGTAGCAATGCTCGATGTCACTGTCAGGTCGCAACTGGGGTGCGTTTCAAGCAACAGCGTTCATCGAAAGCATAGTGTTATCACATGCATACAGTTGTGGCGTAGTAGGTACGGAGGGCCACACACATCGGCGATGTGATCAGAAAGAAATGTAAATTGTTGGCATAAAACATACACCTCCCGCATGCTAGAGGGTCATCATATCATAAATGGTGCAAAGGGGTTTATGTACGTATAATAGGTGCTGGCGAAGTGGCTTGCATACATACGAAAAGTTCACTTCTTCGGTCCAAACGAAAACGCTCCACTGTTTGAACTCCCAGATCCAAAACCGAACGGATTAGGTGCCGCACCACCGGGGGCACCGAATGATGGTGCGGCAGGGGGCGCACCAGTTGGGGCGTTGTTATTAGACTGCGAGTTTCCAGCGGCCGCAAATGGCGAATTATTTTGAGCTCCAAAAGCAAAGTTGAATCCTCCCGAGGGTTTTGGTGCCTCGGCTGCAACTCCAGCGTTGCTCGCATTGGCCTGCGCGGGAGGCATTCCAAACGTAAATGGCGAGTTCGCTGTAGGTGCGGGGGCTGGAGGCTGTGTGCCCGAAGCACCGAAGGAAAATGCGGGTTTTGAGGCAAAGGAGGGGGAAGATGCACCGGCAGGTGGGGCGTTAGTAGTATTATTTGAAGCTCCTCCGAAGTTGAATGGTCCAGGATTGGCACCTCCCGATGGCCCGAACGAGAACGCAGACTTGTTGGCCTCGGATTTGGCACCTGAATTGTTGGCAAACAGCGATGGCGTGGCTTCAGGCGCTCTGGGCGTGGTGCTTGCTCCAAAAGCGAAGGGGTTGGCAAGGGCAGCTGGAGACGGCGAGGTCCCCGTCATAGGAGCTTGGCCAGCACCTGCACCACCAACGGTTGGTCCGAACGAGAACTTCGGAGCAGAGTCTTGAGATGTCGAGGGAGCCGCAGGTGTACCCGAAGCAGCAGGAGGCGACAGGCTCGAGGGTTTCCCAATCCCGAAACTGAATTTTGGCTTCGCTGCCGAGTCGGCGCTCGCACCAGCGGCCGGTGTCGACGATGGAGCGGACGAAGCGGCCGCAGAAGACGCTGCTGGTTTCGAGAATGAGAACATCGTTGAACTGTTTGCAGAGGGTTGTGAAGTGGACCCAGAGGTAAATGGCTGGGTGACCGGAGTCGGTCCTGGTCTTCCGAACGGGAACGTAGATTTGGGCTCCTCGGTCTTTCCTGCGGCATTGTTGACAGACGTGGTCTGAGCGGGTTTCGGTGGACCAAACGAGAAGGATGGCGTAGGAGCAGTTTGCGAAGACGATTGAGAGGTCAATCCAAGCGGAGATGGGTTCACAGGAGCAGTCGCGCTCTGTGCCGGAGTAGGCTGGAACATGGGAGCAGCTGCAGGAGTCTGTGATCCTTTGTTCCCGAAGAAATTTGGGATATTCGCAGTTGTCGGTGCACTGGTAGTTGGAGTGTTCTTTGCTGGCTGCGCAAGATTGGGAGCAGAGAACGATAAAGATGGAGCCGGAGCAGAGCTCTGACTATTCTCCTTCTCCCCTGGTTTCGCCGGGAGGCTTGGGAAAGCGAACGTGGACTTCGAGGACTCGGTCTGCTTCGCTTCGTCTTTCTTCTCCGGAAGGACAGCGGGGGCAACAGCACCTGCAGAAGGATTTTCGGGTGCTTTTTGGAAAGTGAGGCTGGGGGCCGATGCGGGTATTGACGAGGTAGGAGGGGCAGTCGCAAGTGGGGACGAGACCTTCGGCTTTGACTGCTCCCTCTTCGCAAGCTCTGCCTCGTTCTTAGCTCTGATACGATCCATCGAGGTAGCTTCCAACTCCTGCTTCTGCCATTTTGACAGTGACTTGGATTTACCCATACTACTGAGACTTGGAAACGATGATATCCGACGGCGAGGCGAAGATTCAGGTGTTGGCTGAGGACTGGGAGATGGTTCAGGGTTTAAGCTCCTGGTCGAACTTGCAGGGCTTGCGAGGAGCGATTGTCTCCTTACTGAAGCGCCTAGTCCAGACGTAGATTTCCAGAAACTTGGTCGATCATCGATGATGGAGGGGTGCTAGCAAGAGGTTTGAGGGCTACAGTGAACATGCATCAGGAAACAAACTTACAGAAGGAATAGTGATGCTAGGCGGAGGATCCTGCCAGGCCAACTCGCGTCGGTCTTTTGCAAGTTGGTACTCCTCGTCCGTTAACCACTTCTCGACCAAGGCGCTGACGTTGACCTCGCGATCCGGATGCTGGGAATCGTTGGGCTAAATGACTGGTTAGTATATAAATGTGGTATGAGGTCCTAAACAACTCACCATAGGGAATAATGGCCTATGGGTTTTCACTAGCGCCAGGATCAACCGTCGACCATCCCTTCCGACCTTGTACTTAGCTCCTGGAGCTTCCCATTCCTCACCCACTCGGCGACCACCACATCTCGGATCCTTGTGGACTTGTACACCTTCCACCGGCACATCTTCCTCTGAGTCATCTGAGTAATGCTGTCGCCTGCGCGAAGCCTTACCCGCAATACGACGACTACCCTCCTCACTCTCGCTCTCCGAAGTATCCACACCTCGGCCTCGTTTGCGACCACGATGCGAAGCACCATCCCTGCGATTCCTGCGCTTCCGACGATGCCGCGATCGCTCGTCGTTCACGTCATCCACGGCAGACTCGTCATCGCCTCCGAACGTGGAACCAGCCTCTACCCTGTCACGCTTCTTTCCACGACGAACAGGTGGCATCTCGTCAATCGCATCGACCTCCATTTCTTCTCCTTCGTCGGCCGTAGAAGGAACGATTTCGATAGGAGGATGTGTGGGCGTCCGGTTCGAGGTCTTCCTGCGACGTTTGTCGTGACGGCGCCCTTGGAGAGACTCCAAATCACCTTCCTCGCCTGAATCCGCGAGACGTTTTGTGCGTCGTGCCCCGTGCTCGACAATTCCCTCCATTACAGCAGGACTTCCCTCTTCTTCTCCGAAACCGCTATCATGGTCGCCTTGAGACACAGGAGATGATCGCGAGGGTTCGTCTGTCGCCTCTTCTGTCGCCTCTTCTGTCTCCGGAAAGTCATCAACGTACTCTACTGGAGCCTCTGTAGGGACTTCAATAGGCGCTTCCGGAGGCGCCAAGCTGAGCAATACCGTGTCCATCAATTTTATTGTGCAATAGCGATTACAGGGAAACTCACTTCTGGTGACGGTCAATGCTGACATCACGGTATGAGGAGGGCCGATAGCTGTATTGAACGCCAGGAGAGACTATTCAGAGGGCCGAATAGCGATATTGTTAGTGTGGGGTTTCAGAGAACAACAAGGGTTTCGAACATACCACTCGTCAACCTATTGCGTAATTGCGGTAGGTGGGGCGGCGTCTCGTCACGCCCCGAGCTATACACTGACTGGGAAGCTCTCTCCCGATCCAAGCGAGCCTGATCCCTCTGTTTACGAGCCTGCGCGTAAGCAACCGCGAATGGGCGGGTATCGTCAGCGTCGATGCCATATCTTTCACGAGCCGCTCTGCAGTATACTCAGCAAGAATGTTTGACTTTGGGCATGATGAGAAATCACTCAACCGTCTACGTTTTCTCTCCCTCCATCGCGCGTAGTGCACGTGTCCCTGCAATTTGAACCAGAAATAGACCCCAACACCAGCGAAAGCTAGAAACCCAAGGAAAAAGAATGACGAAGAAGACGAAGATTCCGCCCGGCCTCGACCAAGCGGGACAGAGCTGCCAAGGATGTCTGAGGAGTCAAAGTCGTTCGCCATGGAACGGTGGCAGAGGCGCGGGCTGGAACAAACTTGTTCAATGAGGGGGAGTCAGTGGGTGGGGGTATGATGATGGGCGTTCGGTCAAAGGGGTGGCCGCGAAGTGTCAGAGGTGACCTTCGATCGTGTCGTGCACGTCGCGTGGCCACACCGCATTTATTCGGCGGAGTACGAATCTCTTTTTCCCAACAAGCACCACAAAAGAGACCGTCCAAAATATGCGTATATTCACGCATCGTCCTCAGCACTGTCCGCTAGAGATTCATACGCATTGGAACCGAGCACTCTCCCAAGGTAACTGTTTCGCCTTCACGACGGTCGTGTACTATGATCCCAGCATAATCGGGCCGTTCGATCATGGCACTCGTCAATTGACCTAGTACACCGAAGCATATATAGGTACGAAGACATCATCTGTCCTCGGCACCCTCATTATTCCTTGTACATCGGTTGTTGAAGGTAATTTGTAGCGCCGGCGGTACCAGAATTTCGGGCAAACTCCACAACTTCCACTCCTCGTCATATGGACAGTTATATGCTGCAGTACTATTGGATTTCGCATACTGATGGAGCAGTGATATTCGGCGATCTTCTCCTGGCCGCTCATGTGCTCATGAAGATTGCGAACGGGTACACTCCATCGCGCGCCCTGGTGATTGACATGTCTATTTTGTATAGAGCGACTGTCTCGGAATCACGTTGCATTAGAATGGTCGTCTAGTCAAGTTGAAATCGTCGAGAGTAACGGTGAGTACGAGTGCTGAAACATACGCTGCGTTGTATGGTAAAATGAGCTGGTGAGGTATCTACACGTGCATGTTGCGGCCCTTGACACCCGTTTCGCCACCTTCGCGGAGTTTCGCGCGGAGTGTAAAATGCATCCTAATAAAGGCAAGAAAATTATCAACCGAGCGTCTTTCCTCTCGGACTTCGGTGGAGGTCAGAGCTCTCATCATCTTGTTCGTGATTCATGCCATCTCAGTATCTTCTCAATCTTTGTCCCCATCTGAACGTTGCTTACTCGGTCCCTAATCTGTGTGCTCTTGTTACGGGAACGGAAGATGTTTCCTCCGTACTTGACGCTCGCATTATTTTCAACGAATTTTTCTGACTGATCCCCACTCGCTTTTGCCTGGAGACACGGCTCACAATGCCTTCGTCTCCATACTAGTATCGTGGAAGACGAACTGAGCTACATGGTCCACACTTGAGGTCCTTTATTCGCGTGGTGACTCGAGTACTAAACTGTGTATACATTTCTTCTCGTTGTATGTATGTACTTGCTAGTTATATTTGTTGGGCAATGCACAGTACCATTCTACTGCTTTTCTCGCCGTGATCGCAAGCTTTGAAGCCGCACCCTCGTCGGTTCGACCATAGGAGTTCAACTTCGGAATCTGAACAGGGCCCTGCGTGAAGTTCGAAAGGAAACATCCGACATCTGAGCAGGTCTGGTTACGTGAGATGCGGGCTTCGAGCCATCCAATGCGTGCTGGACCATTGGACTTTTCTAGATCTGCTCGCCAGCCCAGTCGTAAGGGTCTGATGGGATATGTGAGTTGTAACGAGGCCCAGGAGACATACGTACTGGCCGCTAGCGCTGCCCGAGTCTCACGCCGCGGGCTGATACAGAGGGATGCTGTCAGCCGCGTTGGGTCACCGCGCGTCCGGACAAGCCCGGTTTATCTCACCTATAAATTATCGAACGATAGAGCTCTACACGACCCGCCTGAACCGTCCCCCACGCTCCCTTTGCTCGGCGCTCATCCCTTCTTCCACGACCTCACCGTACGAACCAGCTAGCTAGCCATGTCTCTCATCACTTTCGACCAGCTCAAGGAGCACACCAACAAGACCAACATGTGGCTCCTCATCGACGGTAAAGGTGTGCACGCGTCGCCGGCCAATCACCACGCGTCTATTTTGCTGACCCGCCGCCTCTCCAGTCTACGACGTGGCCGGTTTCCTCGACGAGGTATTTGGAACCCGTCTATAATAAGGCATGGATACTGAACATAGACGGTCTCTAGCACCCTGGAGGAGACGAGGTCATCTTGTCTGAAGCTGGTGCGTTCAATCCGTTGAACCCAGTGTTAACATGTCACTCATACTATGATGGTGCGCGGTGTTTCACAGGCAAGGATGCGACAGAAGCGTTCGAGGATGTTGGACACTCTGACGAGGCCCGTGCCATGCTCCCCAACATGCTTGTCGGCGAGTTTGAAAAGTCTACGGTGCGTCACCAGCCATTCCGTGCGGCCGCACACAACACACACCATTCTGATCAATTACCGCCGCCGACCCCTCCAGCTTGCAAAGTCGAAGACCACCACATCTTCCGCTGCCGTTAACAACGCAGTTGAACAGTCATCAAAGTCCGTCCCTGCTCTCCATCACCGTCGTCCTTCTGCTGACGTGTCACGTCTCCCCATTCGTACAGTGCTATGTACTTCGTACCCCTTGCTGCCCTCGCTGCCTACTTTGCATGGCGGTTCTACGGTGCTTGAATGCTGTGATTCTCCCTTGCTCTCTGTGTTCGTTCCTATTTTCGGTCTTTCTCATCTACATATTGCCTTTATTGCTTCTTTCGCCATGTCACTACCTCCGCCCTCATCACTTTGCGGATCTCTAGAAGGAATGCATTTTCCTTGCACATATTTCTTCTCTGTGTTATACTTCCGTGGTGTGAATCCGTGGATATCTGTTCAAGACGCATAACATGACCGTTGTCATCGGGTATCGCGGTGTACCCTCGCTCTCACGCTATGCAATCACGCTATAAATGTCGGCGAAGAACCTACCGTGAACATACTTTGGTCTATTCAGCAAAGACCCTGTTGGTCATCATCTACCGCCCTATAGCCCGTGCGTGTTGACCTTGCCGCTTTGAATAATTTCACGATGGTCATCTCGATCAAACTTGCGTACAATTGACTGGGTACGGTACAGATATAATATAACACAGAGTCCATGCTGTATCAAACAACGAACACAACAAAATCGAAGACCGACTACAAACAAAACCCTGACAGTGACCTAAAACCATGGCAAGGAAGACACGAGCTCACACACGACGTCAACCAACACACTGACGCACCGCACAACTCAATAAGTTACTTATCTCTAGCCTCGGCTCCCCTCTAGCCCAACCCCCACACGCCGGCCTTCCGCACGCCTTCCACCAGCGCGTCCACATTCCCCAACATAGTCCCCAGAAGCTTCTTCTTCTCCTCCGTCGTCCTAATCGTCGACACGTTCCCATTTCCATTGCCATCTTGCTGCCGATACTCTCGCCGCGGCACAGAAGAGGGAGCGGAGGAGTTGGACGAGGAATTCAAATCGGGCTCGGACCCGTCCACAGAGCTGTTCTCGTCGTATGTGAGCGCGAACGTAGAGTTTCCGCTGTCTCCGTCCTCCTTTTCGCTCGAAGTTCCTGCGCTGAGAGGTTTCTGTCTTCTCGGTGTCGACATGGGCGTGGTGTTGATGTTGGTGATGCTGCTGAGCCGAGAATGACCGACACCAAGTCTTGTGAGCGGGCTACCCTTCTTTGGACTGAGTGGTACGAAGTCTACATCTTTCCGAAGCATAAGAAGGGATCTTGGTTTCGCACTCGGGCCCGAGGAGGAAAAAGACGAAGGACTCCGCTTGGTTCCGCTGTTCAGAGTATCTGGGGGCGAGTGAGGTGGCGTCTTGGGCAAGGGAGTTGAGGTGGGACTGGGAGGTACGAGGGTGGTTGCAGATGAGGCAACTGAGGAGGCGGAGGTCGTAGAGGATGATGATGATCGTGATGTTCCGGAGGTATACGAGTCGTCTGAGCCTGATGACTCCTCGCGAGCGACATGACCGGTGTAGCGGGGCTTCTGCCTGGATTCTGAGAGAGAGGGAGATGGCAGGAGGGGATTGGGAACTGCGGAAGGCGTAGTTGCAAGTGCGGACGGTGGTGCGGGCGTCGGCATCTGTGTCATGTTGTTTGACGCTGTTGTTTCGTCCATCAGGTAGAAGTAAAAGAATTCGAGGCATTTCATCCTGCAAAATGAGCGCTGTAAGTGACGTGAGCATATGGCGATTAGTGGCTGCTGACTGACTTGACTTCTTTCGGGGTATGTGGGCGCTTGAGGAGTTTGACCGCCACTTGCACTCCATTGACATCCTCGAATGTTCGGAGTGCAGCCGGCGCATCAACAAGTATGCAGAGCAATGTATCAAGAACGACTGATGCTAGTGGTATGGCAGATGATGAGGATGCGGATGGGAGTGTGCTCGATGTTGATGATCTCGATATGGCGTCTGAATCACTTGAGACGGGTATGTGACGTGCAACCAGGAGGAGATCTAGGAGAATCTGTACCGGATGGAGTTCAATTCACTATTTTGAGAACAAAGCTGACTGGATGGCAAACCTCCAAAGGATATTTCCTTCCCATGAAAACCTTGCTCGATTGGTGTGAAAGGACCACGCCTTGTGTTATTGTCAAGCATTGCATCAGTTGCGAACACAATGCGGACAATTCTGCCTGTTTTTCGTCTGCACAGCCTTCGCGTTAGGCCACGAACACAAAAACAAAAGTATAGAGGGGCGACTTACGCCCTCGGTTGAGAAGAGACTCCAGGCGGACTGTGGCGCCGGACATCCAAAATAATAGTCTTGATGGGACTGATCATTGCTGTTTGTTTGTATGAGCCCTTCAAGAAGTACGTAGTTGAAAAGCACTGACCGTTGCACTCGAACGAATCCTGAAGCGAACAAAATACATCGACCGCGTCGGCATCCGATCCAGTAAAGATCTTGGCTATGAGATGCTCAAGCTCCAAGAGGGCTCGCGTCCGGCGTGCCACAGAAGAGCGAGTGGACACAATCTGACACGCACTGGAAGTTCAACATGAGGACGACGACAACGGTAGTGCGAAATGCTCACTGTGTCTAGCACGCTCTGAAGGATATTCGGTATGCTGAATATCCAATCGTCCATCGGATAAGAGCGCGGCGAGGAGAAATCAAGGGGAAACCAAAAGGTAGAGCAAATGAAGATGGTCGATGTTGAGTTCTGAAAAGGGAAGGAGACGCGACGAGGGGAATGGACTGTGGGCGCGAGCTGCTTTGAGCCCAATTTAGTGACGTTATCTGCAGAGCGTGCGACAACGTGTTTCACGCAAGGCGTATAAGAAATTAATTGAATCCACGCTAGAAGACGGCGTCTACTGTGCGTATACGAGCGGTGGGGGCGGGAGGACAACAAGAGGGTTGAGGTCGAGGGGCAAGGGACAGCCATGACGCGCGGTGCATGAAATGGTGGTCGCCACACTGTCCAAAATCAGAAACAAAGCCAACCAACGCGATCGTGGTCACGTGGGTGACGCGCTCTCCGTCCGGGTTCCGTCTTCCGCTCATATACTTTCTTGCACACCCCTCGTGAGTACCTCTCGTCGATGATTTAAAGCATTCCCATCGACTCAATCAGCTCTGTATATATTCTCCCGTGGTCCTCACTAACTCCTTGTCAACCTCCCTTACTTCCACCATGTCTCCGATTATAACAGTGAGCTCTCAGAAGTCTTTGAAGTGGACGCATACTGATCGCGGCCCAAACTCCCCCAGCCATGGACCCGATTCATTCGCTTTGTGGCTACAGAGACCTCGCAGGTTCACGTCGGTGAACCTGTCGACAAGGCGCTCGATGGTAGGCTTATCAGTGCCATGCTATCAAATATTGTTGCCTAAGGCTAAGAATCGATTCCCAGTCGGTCTTGCTATTCACAACGGCCAACCCGTCAAGGCGTACGAGATTCTAGGATCAGTATTCGACCCTGCCGCTCAGGTCTCGCAGAACGTCCTCACCGTCAAACAAATCCTCTCGCCTCTATCCCGCGAGCAAGTCGGTATTGTGCGCTGTTTAGGACTTAACTACGCAGACCATGCCGTGCGTGACTTTGTCGCGCATTTAACAAATGGATATTCTGACTCAAATACTCTCTCGATTTGCGTAGGCCGAGGCGAAGATGGCAAAGCCAAAGTTCGTATACACTCATCAGAACACAGCGCCTCCGTTCTGAGCACATTCCACAGTGCTCCCGTTTTGTTCTACAAGCCGGCCACCTCGATCATTGGACCAGAGGCGAAGATTGTCATTCCGAAGGTAGCTCAGCCCGTTGACCAGCAGTTGCCAGGTAGATTCGCCGTAAACTTTTTATCTTACAAAAGGGCTCACATCTATACCTTCACCTGTTCAGACTATGAAGTCGAGCTCACCATCGTCATCGGCAAACCTACAAAAAACGTCTCAGAGGACGAGGCGCTTGACTATGTTCTGGGCTACACCGTCGGCAACGATGTAAACACTTCTTATCAACTGTTCTCCGTCCTTTTGTCTTCATTCAGACACTAACCGTTTCATTCGTTTCATAATCATTAACAGGTTTCTTTCCGTTTCCATCAAATGAATGTCTCGCAATGGAGTTTTTCGAAGAGTTTCGGTGAGCATCGCCTGTCTCGATTCATAAGCTTTCCCGCCTTGTTCAACGTGCTCCCCAATAGACGACACTACACCCATCGGACCCTGCATAGTTGCGGCTCACGCAATCGGTGATCCTCAGAACTTGCCCCTCAAGACCGTTTTGAACGAGAAGACGATGCAGGACGGGAACACATCGTACGGATTCGCCCACTCTTTGACGTATAGGATCCTAACAGTTTCGACCCTGTCCTTTCATGGACTTCTTGTTAACAGTAATCAGCTCTTCACCGTCAAGCAGACCGTCTCCTTCCTCAGCCAAGGAACGACGCTCTTGCCGGGCAGCATAATCATGACCGGCACACCAAAGGGTAAGTCTCACTCACAGCTCAACCGCGCGAAAGGTATCCAACTCGAACTCACCTTTCGCCAATCATTCCAAAGGCGTTGGTTTCGTGTTGAAGCCCCCGCTCTACTGCAAGCACGGCGACAACATCAACGTCTCCATCGGCGGCGGCATCGGCTCCCTCTTCAACACTTTCGTCGAGGAAGGCAAGGGTGCGTCCGCCAAGCTTTGATCTGCACACGTTATTATAAGAGGTGTTCATTTAGAGGGTACAGGCCTGTGATTGTGTGTATGCTCTGGAGTCCATACCCGTGTTGGTTTTATGATTTTGTACAATCTGGATTGGATAGAAGAAGCAGCGGATATATTTCAACATATTCTGCGAGGACATGTACAAATACAAATTTAAGTGCTTCAGATTAGCAAGGACAACAGCAGTGAACACATTCTCGGCCAGTGAGGTCGACTCAGCAGTCTGAGTTTATACACCATCACAACCCTCCGAAGGCGATAAACTTGGTGTTCATGTACTCCGAAATGCCGTGGGCGCCCTCACGTCCTAAATGACCCCAACCCAATCAGCACAACGAACGAGGATGATTAAAATGTAGATCAAGGATGCAACATACCAAGCCCACTCTCCTTGACACCCCCAAACGGAATCTGCGCCTGCGAAATCATCCCCGTATTCGTACCCACCATGCCCACCTCCAACGCCTCCGCAACCCTCCACACCCTCCCGATATCCCTCGAGAAGAAGTACCCCGCGAGTCCGTAATCCGTGTCATTAGCCAACTTGATCACCTCCTCCTCGGTCTCGAACTTCGTCAGAGCAGCGAGAGGGCCGAAGGTTTCTTCGGTGTTGAGCAGGGCGGTAGAGGGGACGTCGGAGAGGATTGTGGGTGCGAAGAAGGAGCCTGGGCGGGGGAGTTTGGAGCCGCCGATGAGGACTTGGGCACCCTTTGAGACGGCGTCGTTGATGTGAGATTGGACCTTTTCGACGGCGCGGTGGTGAATCAGGGGGCCGTGTGTTCTGTAAGATGGTGCGAAGTCAATGAGAAGGAAGGAAAGGAAATCATCAGCGCTGTAATTAAAGAAAACGTACAATACGGAGAGGACAACAGGTCAAGATGGTGGACTTACGTTCCATCGGTGAGACCGTCACCGACTTTGAATTGGGCGACACGGTCAGCGAGACGAGAGGCAAATTCGGCGTAGACACCCGACTGGACGTAGATACGGTTCGCGCAAACGCAGGTCTGCCCGGTTCCACGGAACTTGCAAGCGATTGCACCTTATATTCACGAATGCGATTTCATGTCAGAATGGTTATCGATTTTGATTGATAGGGGAAAACAAACCTTCGATAGCCTGGTCGATATCCGCGTCGTCGAACACAATGAAAGGAGCATTGCCACCTGCCTCCATAGACACTCTAAACGACGCAGATTAGTATGGACATGTGAATGAGAGATATCTAGAGAAAGGATAAGGTGTACTTTTTCAGTGTTTGGGCAGCCATACCGGTCAACAGTTTAGCGACGGGAGTCGAGCCGGTGAACGAGACCTTCTTGACGATCTTATTCTCGCACATCTCCTTGGCCACCTCACTGACGTTCTTTTGCGTGGTAACGACATTGATAACTCCGTCCGGGACACCTGCGCGCCTGGCCAGCTAGGCAGTCGAATAGAAGGAGGGTAAGTCAACTCGTCAGGGACTGCGGTTGAAAGTGGAACACGGGAGTACGAACTTCTATCAAGGCCAGTGCAGAGAAGGGAGTCTCCGGCGGTGGTTTGATGACGGTCGTACATCCAGCGGCAAGAGCGGCTCCCACTTTACGAGTGATCATGGCCGAAGGAAAGTTCCAGGGAGTAAGGATTGAGCTAAAGGATATCACTTAGTGCATTCAAGCGGTATTGAGGCGCCTTTGAACATACACAACACCTGGAGGATTGATAGGGATTAGTAGAGATAGATGATTATTGACAGAGGGATGCGCACCAACAGGTTGTTGAATTGTGACGTTGCGCACACCAGGAAAGGCACAGGGAATGTGTTCTGGAATTCTAGGTCAAACTTTGGCGTCAGATCGACGATTTGTATAAGGGGCTTGCCTCCGTATGTTCGAACAGCCTCCTCAGCTGAAGGAAGGCAAGTCAGTCTCCACACTGTCGCAATCGCACTCGAAAAGACATACCGAACCACTGAAGGACAATATTAGTATATGGCCTATGAGATCAAGCCCTATAAACGTACCTCGATGAAGGACGCGCTATATGTGTTTTCGCCCTTCGCCTCTGCGAAGGCTTTACCGTTCTCAAGCGTCTGTGTGAACCGGAAGGGTCATCCCATATGCCCTGCCAAACGGATAAGAGGACTCACAATGATGCGAGCCAGATCATCCGCATTTTCCGTCATGAGGTTGAAGAACTTGACCATGATGTCATGTCGGTACTACGTTGTCCGGTTAGCGTTGGTAGATTCCTCGCACATTCACAGCCAGCACAAGATGTTGTCCAGAAACGCAGCATACCTTGGCTGTGGTCTTTCCCCAAGACTTGAAGGCCTTGGAGGCAGCCTCTATGGCCTCTTTTGTCTCAGCAACTCCCATTTCTGGAACCGTTCCCAGCTCCTCATCGGTGGATGGGTCTGAGAAGTCACGATTATCCTCAGTATTGGAGTAGATGCGAAAAGTACTATGCATAGACGTACTAGTGACAATGATCTTTCCACCATCCTTCGCATCGATCCACTTTCCGTCGATGAAACCCTGGGTTTTTATCAAGGACGAGTCCTTCAAAGCTTGGAACTATGGAAAGGAACGTGATTCCAAAGGTCAGCTAAACCGGCATCCTTGTTTCTCATGTGGTATGATCCACCAACCGCAGAGCTGCTAGCCATTCTGGAGTAAACAAGGCTTGCCCGAAGAAAAGGTGGTTTTGTCGACCGTAGGGGTAGAGAGAAAAGCTGGGTCGAGGTTGGGAACCGCATCCCGAAAGAAAGTGCTGAAAGAGTGACCGCCGGCCAGTGAAAGAGTTGGCCACACGCGGAACGTCATTCGACGTCAGTTCCGTTTGCACGCCACAGAACGCCTCGGCAAACTAAACGGAGATCAGCGAACAACCATGGAGATTGCGGCGACGGTTCTACGTGAAGAGATAAGATAAACGCGTGGGCTAGGGTGACACGATCCTGATCGACCTCGACGATCCATTTAATAATATCATTTATTACCTTGGGCCGACGGGAGCACCATAGATCTCACTTTCTTCAGACCTCAGGTTGCGGAAGTGCTCTCGGGGGTTTCTCACATAGAGCATACTCTTGTGGCACCATTATGCGCTTCCTCATATTCGAGCATTGCCCTGAGAGGTCGCCAAAAATGGCTCGATGGCGCCACTCAAGATATTTGAACTGACAGTCTTACGATTCGACGCTCGAAAGCATCAACATTAGCAACGATCACACTGGTCTATACTTATAATTAAAGTATGAGCACATGAAAAGCATCCTAGATTGACGTAGATGAGGTGAGGGACAGGAACCCAGTTTCGATAGCCTGTGAGCGCGTTCAACCTGCAGGCTGACTACGTATATTAGTGACTTCTTTTCCCTCTTCCTTCGTGCCTCTTCGTATCAGGTGTATTTAAGAAGCCGCCGGCTTCGAGAGCATCTCTCGCGGCTTGGTTGATGTGTTTGAAACGATCAGGGCCAAGTAAGGTGCCTCCCCAATACCGAGTGACAACCACCAAGACGTCGTTCACGTCCTAACAGCGTTTATCGTCAATCACACCGAGCAAACAATGGAATATGAGAGTTACACACCAATATTTGCAGAAGATGAGCCAATCGTCCCCCAGCCGCTGTTTCTCCGTCATCATCATTGTCTGACATGATAATTTTAGAGGGCATGTACGCGATGATCTGTTCGATGCTACGGACGTACCTTGATGGAGAACGGCCCCAACCTTGACCCTCCACGCGTTTATGATAGGATGCGCAGCTTTTGCTATCCGACGATCAGAAAGCAAGTATGACAATATCAGAGGAACCTGATGAGGAATCTCGTGAACATGACGATCCTGATCCTGATTGGAGTGAAGCCGCAAACGTAATTACCTGGGCTGGGTCCGTTATATGACATGCACGTCCAACAAAACTGCTCTTTCGGTCTATGATAGGAGGGGCTTCTACGAGGGATATACCCTCGGGGAGGGTGGGAGGCGTACGATCGACATGGTTCGCACCATTGACTGAGACCGTCTCGGAAGGATCTGCACTGTTCTGGCCTGCATGGTGTTCTTTTGCGTCTTCGCGGAGCATTTCACCCGCTTTCTGCAAGCTGAGATGCTCCTCGTACCATGCGAGACAGCGCTCTTTGACAGCCTCTAATCCATCAAAAACGCATGGCGTATCCGGTGTCCATTCTACGCCGTTGACGGAAATAAAAGTTTTGAGGATAGACCCAAACAGCTCGGAGTCGACCCCGAAGTTGCCAATATAACGTGAGAGGAGTTGAAGCTGAGGAGGTGACTCTGTCGGGTAGGATGGTGGTAACGAGACCAAAATCCGCAGAAGGACATCATCGTGTGGGGATGGGAAACTGCGATTGTCACTATGGGTGGGCCACACTCGAAAGGGGGTACGGGACGCACTTCAGATGGACCTCATAACGTATTGTGTTAGGCGGGTGGTCTCCGTGCACTCTCGTAGAAGTGACCGGAGGGTGCCATGGCCGGATGGATTCTTCACCGTAGATCGACTGAAGCACTGCCGAATACACGGGGACCAGCGATCAGAACTTGGGGAGGAGGACGCAGCAGAGATGGCCCCACCCCCAAGCTCGGAAGCAACAGCTTCGGTTTCAGAACAGGAAGCAAGCGTAGCAATGAGGTCGTCTATACGTTCCGATAGCGAAGAATCTTCATTTTTCTCTTTGGCGTAAGGCGAGGAAGAGCGAAAAGGAAAGCTGGTGGACATGGATAGTGAATGAGATGGACGACGGACCTCAAATTCGTTCGAGCGGTGAAATTGTCCGGAGCCCGTGTGCTCGACGCACGTCGCCGCCCGCCGGATGCTCCGAGTCGGGCAGCGGATGTGTGCCGCGGACCGATGTCGGGCCGGTAAGTTGAGGATCGGAATTGGAAATTGGGTTCTAATCTACTTGTGCACTGGGTGTGGGTCACTGTGCTTTCCTTCCACTTCTTCTTTCCACTCGCCATCATCTCTTTACCATGAAGCGCTCGCGCGACGACTCTGCCGCCGGAGGGAAGCCAGCGGATTCCTCCACCGGAAAGCATAAACGTCCAAAGAGCAGTCAGGCATGCGCCTCTTGTCGCAAACACAAGACGCGCTGCGAGCTCCTAGATGCACACTCCTCCTCAACTGCACCTCTACGCCTTAGATGCCATAGGTCAGTTAATTTATTTTGATTTTCTACACGTCATTTTACCGCGACTGAGCCCGTATGTCTTCGTACAATCACTAGATGTGATGTCCTCGCCATACCATGCTCCTTCGAGAAGGATATCATCAATCCTTCTGCGTCTGGTATGACAGACTTGCGAACTTATTCACCCCCTCCTGGTATGTATAAGATAAGCTTCTATGTAGATGTCCCAAAACTTGACGATCCCATTCGACAGGAGCATCGACTTTGGGAGAGTTAATCCTCGACTCCATGCCTTCGGTGAAAGAGTCCTGTTCGGCGAACGGTGATTCGTATTCTCCCTGGAGTTTCGTTGAGGTCGAAGGTATACCAGACTGGACCGCCGTCCCGATGCTGGCTATGAGTCAACTCGCAAAACAGCAAAGTCCCACGCCACCGTCGATAAACCTGGGACCGTCTCTCAGTATAGAGACTGTAATTTCCTCAGAACAGAAAGAACATCTGCTAGCATTGTACGTTCGTCCGTCTATCTCCCAGAATAGGCGGCTCATCATAACCGTCTCTCAGTTTCGAGACACATTACGCTCCGTGGCTTGCGTTACCACCGCATTCTCTTCGTGATGACGGGATCCTCGATCTCGTACGTTGCACCGTCGCTAGCCGGCATATGGACCCAATTACACGTTCAACGGTCGCACCAGGACTACGCCGGTTGACCGAGGAATCCATGATGCAGCACGTATTCAACTCTACTCCTGCGCTGGCCACGATTCGGGCTTTCATGATACTGGCATTGTGGCCTAGTGTCACCGACTCACACGACAGGTCGGGATTGCCGCCATATCTTGAGCAGTGCAAAGCAATACTGACTTCTACCTTATAGCCGTCTAATCGCGGCCGCGGCTGTCAACATGTGTTCATCACTTGGCATAGACAAGGCGACACGAATCGTAGAGCAATTCAACGCACGCAAAGCCACAGGTGAAGAGTTATCGCACGCAGATCTTATTGAACTTGCAGATGCCGAGGAAAAGGAACGGCTGTGGGTTTCCCTACATAATATCGAATCTCTGTAAGTCTCATCAGAACGGACGATCTGCGGCTAGCTAACCTTTCTGCAGAGTTTGTCTTGGCACAGGTCGAGCGGTTTCTTCCAAGCTGGCCACAAAAGTCGAGAACCGAAAGCTTCCAATAAACGCCTTCACCACGGTAGCTCAAGCCCGAGACTGCAGGCTCGGTCAGCAGGCTCGGCTACTTGACTTCTTGGACGCTGGTCTCCAGATACACAGTTAGTAGTTCGCATCACCCGGTGCAGATCAGCGCTCATTCTATCGTAGTGCCTGATCAGCTCAACCAATCGGATCGATATTTTCGAGATGTCGCCGAGATCCTGTTTCGTTTGGACGGCTTACATAGACAAGTACGCTCATTACCAGGTACGTAGTAACGCAACCGACTTTTATTCGAGTTTTCGCCACTCACAATTTCCACCACATAGTCGTTACGTCCTACGAACCATTCTATTTCCATATGTTGGTTGCATCATACTACTGTACGTGTTTCGTATCTTGACTGGTGGTGGCCATAACTGAAACTGTTGTAGTCTGTCGAGTGCTCTTCCTCATGCACACACTGCACGGTCTACGTGCCACATTCCCCTCTCAACTCGACGTCGTCGATCATCTGCGATTAAAGCGAAACGGCACGAACTTCGCTCTGAACGGTGCTCGCGACGCCCTCACCTCAGCCGAGGCTCTCCTCGTCACTATTCTCTCACTTCCTGACGATAGCATGCTATCCACTGCCCCAGACTCCTTCTACGGGATGATCTCCTTCGCCTCTGCTCTTATAATCGCCCTCAAGTTCATCATGCTACATCTTCGAGACGTACGACAGATCCCAGGCGCGACAAATCAGCTTCTCGCCAAGACTGTCGAGCGTCTGATGCAAGTCGCACTCTTCCCCGACCACCATGCCATGAGATGTGCGAGGGTCATCCAGGGGTTCATAGGGAAGTGGGATGATCATATGGCGAAGATGGATGGCCGACACGCCAGCAATAGCACCACCGTTCCTTCTTCACCCGAGAAACAACAAAACGAACATCCTATTGTGCCCAGCCAGGCTCAGTCGCCAGCTTCGTCCTCGACCACGCCAGCTCAACTGCCGCAAGCATTCCTTGCCCCCTCGCTTCTTGGACCGCAGATGGGGTCAGAATTTCTTCCGAGTTTCGATGACTTCGATTTTCTGCAGACGAATGCCGATGGGCGAGGACTTGGGATGGACTTTTGGCAGTACTTTGCGGACAACCCGCAAGTTCCCATCATGCAGACTTCGCCTTCACCTTGTGAGTAGACATTTACCATTTTCCCAAGCTTGTCCTGTTGGTTATGATCAGTTTACTGAGCGTGTTTAATAGACAACCACCACCAACAGCACCATCCGAGCCAGTAAAAGGCCTTCTGCGTCCAGGTATCGGCCGTAGGCGTGCAAAGGCCTCCGTTCTACATTTCTGTACCCGGCAACATTTCGCTTTGGCCACATCGGACTCGGTTCATGCGCTTTCCAGTCGTCTTTTTTTATTGTACATCATATGAATATGCATTAATATTCCATCCATACGAATACCATGCATGTTTGTTTTACGTAGTCACTTCTCACTCACGGTAGAGAGCTTGCATGCAATCACATCACTAGCAGATTCGGATCCCTTCGTGAGCGCGTCTTTTTCGACGAGGATGAAGTGCACTGCACAACGGGGAACTCAGAAGGTGTTCGATTTGAAGCCGTCGATAGGGGTCTTTGTGGCGCTAGTCCTTTGCAAATTAGACTCACCGCCGGCGCCAGCACGAGCTCGTGCTGTATTTGGTTTACCGGACTACTACGGCGGCTATTGTACATCAGCTTGAGCTAAACGCAAACCCTCGAGGACACTCCTGTGCTGACCACTTCATCGCGCTGTAGGTGCATGTCCTGAAGTCGACTCACTCATCACCTCTGCGTCTACAACACTTCATCTTGACTAGAGATTTGTTATGGCCTCACAGAATGCCCCCACCGTCAGAGTCATTGTCCGCATCCCAACGAATCGTACCGAACAGTCTCCCCATGACCCTCCTCCCGTGAGTTACCGCTCAGCTGCTATTGTAATGCATTCGGAACTCATTCCTTGTAAGATAGTCTGGAATTCGGAGAAGGAGAATCATTTATGGGATGTGATAGCGAGGTCGCGCGCCACCGAAAGTGCTACTCCGGATTGTACGTTCCTTTCTGCACTATCGTTCCTATTCTGACTCACATATATCCAGGGAAAGCTTTGGCTTCTCGTCTCGACGTGCCACTTCCATACCTTCTCTATCGCGCTCAGACACGGTATGAACAAGACCTACGTGGCCTTCAGGACATAGGAGGGGCTCTTAGTCCACCTAGCCTTCACATCGACACAACTATCACCGAAGGAACACCTCGACTTCCCGACAGACTCGTATCCTTGCGCAGACAGACTCTTCGTGGAGGCGTATCTCCCATTTCCTCCCCCAGTAGACTGGGCGCTCCCCTCGGCGTGCGAGCTCGACTGAACTCCTTAGGCACAAACTCGCCCGCTCGTCTCAATAGGGTGTCGTCTTCGTCCATTCTCACTCTCCAAGGCCACCGCAAGGAGTCCGGCGGGTTTCGTCCCACTTCTCCGCTCTCGTCTGGATCGGAGTCGGACGAGAATGAAATAGCAAATAAGGAAGAGGAAGCGGAACGGCAGCTGGGAGAACAGGAAGAGTTGGATAATAAGCTCAAAGCTTTGGAGCAGATGATGACGGATGAGAATCTGGGACTGGTCAGTTCACTTCGTGGCAAGACAAAGGGTAAGGGTAAGGAGGTCGATCGTGGACGTGTTGGCACTCCTTCGACGTCGTCGCTTCGTCGGGATATCATCCAAGAGAGGCCTCGACATGGAACAATGAGCAGCAGTGCGAGTCGACAGAGTCTTTCCAGCGCGTCTTCTCCACCAGGTTCCATTCCATCCATGCCTTCGCCTCCGCCAGATTCTCAGTCACCTATGAGTAGGCATTTCTCGCCAGGGAAGTCCAGGAGTCCTCCCTCGGTATCTACGCGCAACGTCCGAGGGCATTCGCATATGCGCTTGAACGGGCTCGTTATGACCGGAAAGGCGAGCGAGAAGGGGAGCAACCATGGGTCGTCTGCGTCGAGCTTCAGCGACATTAGTGGTGGGTAGCATCGTTTCTGCTGCCGGTTATCTTGCTCACTTCCCGTCTTCATTAGATGCGAGTTTGTCTCCGTCTGCTCTCGAGAGCGCGTTACTCTCCAAAGGGTCGAGATTGTAATTCGTTTATTACTCATGTCAGCCTTGATATCATAACTGACCGCGTTCATCCATAGATCGAGCTACTCTCAGGCCAGGAGTTATCTTACGGGAAGAGGAGCGGGTGGTCATCATTGAGTTGTGCATTCATGTGGACGTAGGGGCTTTGTATGATACTTACTAGAGGGTGGCCAATGGCCTGACGGATATATTACACACATTTATTTGGCAACAAGTACGGACGCGTCGTGAAACATACGCGTCCCAGTTGCCCCTGTAGTAAGCAGCGCGTCTAACGACCGCGAGCATTCTAGCACCTTCTGAGCTTCAGGCCACGTACGCCAGCTATAGTCCTCCATGAAAGCAGAGCGCATCCTAGAGCGAGCCTGGGTCCATTCCTGTCTTTCTTCCACATTGTTGCCAGACCATATTGAGCCGCCCTAAAGCCCTTTCTTTGTCTGACACGCCACAACTTCGCTGCATCTCGACTTCGGAGCCACTCTAACTTTGGTTCCGACCACTCACTCGAATTCCTCAACTCGCATCCCCTTCTCATCCAACACCAAATCGACCAACATGGAGCTCACATTCGTCAACGATTTCGGGCAGTCGTTCGTGGTGGAAATCGACCCTAACATGGAATTGGAGAACGTGATGGCGCTGCTGGAGGCCGAGGCAAGCCACTCCTGAGATACATCCATTCATTTAGTTTCTCCTTTGCTCATACGGCCCCGTTCTCAATTGTCAACTTTGATAGTCAAATATTCCTGTACATGAGCAGAGTATCACTTTCGAGGGACGGGATCTGTCGAATCCGAAGGCCACCATGAGAGACCTCGGTGTGGGGGAACACGCTATGCTCTTGCTTAGACGGAAGGTCAATGTAGCCGGACAGTGCGTATCTTCCCATCTGTCTAGATGCAGTTTGTGAAATGAAAGAGCTGCTGTAGACCCGGTCCCGCTGAACAAGACTCGGAGATGATGCGCCTGCAGTTGCTCGGGGATCCTGCACTCATGGCCCAATTACGCGAGGTGCGACCTACCATCGCCTTCCTTGATCTAACCTAGTCCTCATGAGCCCATATCTGGTCATTATTATAATCCTCATCCAGACGCAACCCGAGATCGCAGCAGCAGCACAAAACGACCCCGCCCTCTTCGCAGAACTTCTTCGCAATACCAGCCAGCGCCACACGGACGCAGATAGAGAGGTTGAACGTCTGAACGCGGACCCTTATGATGTCGAGGCTCAACAGAGGATCGAGGAGGCCATCCGTCAGCAGGCTGTCATGGAGAACTTAGAGCATGCGCTAGAGTACTCTCCCGAGAGTTTCGGGCGCGTTACTATGCTCTAGTGAGTTTAGGATTGTCTGACGGGATTGGCGCTCAGAGGCTGACCCTCTGTGGCGCAGTATTCCCGTTGAGGTGAACGGTAGAGAAGTCAAGGCTTTCGTGGATAGTGGTGCTCAACAGACCATCAGTGAGCGCATATTTATCAGAGCAGGGATTTCGTTGAGACTTATCATGAACTTTCTAGTCAGCCCTGAATGCGCAGAATCATGCGGGTAGGTCTTCATGCCTCTTTGCTACCTATAGATCCATTAATCGGTCTTTGTCTAGGCTCATGCGTCTTCTCGACAAACGATTCGCCGGAATCGCTCGTGGAGTGGGTACCGCAAAAATCTTGGGCAGGGTGCACAGCGCACAGCTGAAGCTGGCTGACGTCCATCTGCCCTGTTCGTTCACAATCATGGAGGTCTGGTCAAGTTCATCGTCCTTTTGTTTTCTGTTGGCTGATTTTGGGTATTGTATCTGGAATAGGGCCGGGACGTCGACCTCCTTTTGGGACTCGACATGTTGAAGGCTCACCAAGCATGCATTGACCTTGAGAAGAATGTTCTTCGCATCCAAGGACGAGAAGTCAAATTCCTCGCTGAGCACGAACTTCCCGATAAAGCGCGTATGTTCGACGCCGGACAGCATGGAGACGAGCCGCAAGCTGGTCCATCGACCGCCACCGCCGGCCCTTCCTCGTCAACACCACGACCGAATGCACCGTTCACCGGTGCTGGTCATACTCTTGGTGCTGCACCTAGCGCTGGACCTGCTGGTGGGATAGGAAGAGGGCAAGGTGCTCCTAGTGTCGGGGCTTCGAGGTTTCCAGAGGAGGCTATAGAAACTTTGATTGGGTTGGGTGCTTCACGGGAGGTTGCGATCCGTAGTTTGGAAGCCGCGGGTGGGAACGTGGAGATCGCTGCGTCTTTGTTGTTCTGATTCCGCTGTTTAACATTCCCTGAATCCGTACAAAAGAAGGACCAACAATACTTGTAACATGTAGCAATACCGAAGAATACATCCAGAAATAACTTATAAAGATACACGTCTATAGATACATACACAGGGCTGAGGACGAGTGATGCACCTTCAGATGAGACTGACACTCGTCCTGATAAGACCGCCGCGCCAATTTCGCATACCCCGAGTACGAGACGTAGACCAATCTCCTTGCAGCCTGGCGAACGCGTCCTGAATATGCTCGGGCCTCAGCGCGGTTCGCGCTTCCGGCGGTTGCATGAAGAGCGAGCACGCAGGTAACGGCGTATCTGAGTCGTCGTCCGGTGTCTCTTCTCGCCGACGTTTGTTGGGCGAGTCCAAGCCCATGCCGGCCTTGCGTTTGCCTAGGAGGGGTGATGTGCTGTGGTCTTCACGCAGGTAAGACTCTTCGAGTGCCTTCTTGACTTCCAAGGACGCGACGGTAAGCGACCGGACCATTTCGAAGGCGAGGAAGCCTACGATGTCGACTGTGTCATCGTTGGACTTCAGGTCGAGATGGGAGGGGAGGTTCAAGAATTCTCGAAATCGCTTGGCTGACAGATGCCATTCCGTATTGATGAGTTGACGCCGGCAGGGAGAAACTTGATGTGCGACTCACTTTTGCGGTAAGAGAAGGACGCTTGGCGACAGTCAGAATAATGTTGGTATTCTTCCCTAGTCATTTGTTTGGTGACGTCGTCCGCTTCCTAACGATCCCAGCGCAATCAGCAAGAGGTTTGAAGATGATATGGCAATCTGGCGTACTTTGAGGCGCTCGCGAGACGCTTCTTGAGCCTCGAGATCGTCCTCGTCCTCTTCGTCGTCTGACTGATGTCCACTTTGCCTCAAAACTTCCGAATATATAGTCGTGATCTCCCAAGGAAGCTTGATGGTAATCTTCTGAGCCTTCGTCGTGAGCTTGTCTGCAGCCATTGAGCATAACACCAAGAATATATAGAGATGGACAACGTACCATCAGCACCGTCTTCCAGATTCTCCACCTCCACGCCACCACCTCCGTCCGCGTTCGAGTCCTTGGCATGCTTCCGAACGTCTTTCCAAGACAGATATGTACGCAGCCTGTTGACTTTGGCACGGTCGTGGCGAATGAGGAATATCAGGTCTTCGGCGGAGATATAGCGTACTCCACGGCGGTTCGCTTGGGCGCGTGCCTGTACGATCTTCACCATAGAGTCAGTACATACTCAGGACTAGAAGTGAACTAGTAGCATACGAGTTCAACAAGCTGACTGCGAATGATGTCCTCCACTAGATTGACGGTGTCAATTTGCGGGTCTTGAATTTCGCCAAAGACAAACATCTACGCGCGACGCGTCAGACAAACGCGCCCATAGTGGGACAAAAAGTAAGGACACACCATTTGTGAGATTTCCTGCTGATACTTGTACTCCTTCTTTTGCTCGTGAATGTCATTGCTGTTTGTGATTGCCTTCTTGGACGCCATAGCAAGCTCGTGTGAGTGGTACTCCTGTCTGCAGGCTAGTAGCTAAACGTGCGACTACTAGCTCTTTGGTTCAAAGCAATGGTGAACCTGTGGGTTGAAATTGAGCGTGTTCTTGATCAGGCAGGTTCAAGAGAGTTCTGCCTATGAGAGAACAATGTGCATTAAGAATCCAAGGTCAAGCGTGTAGTGGTAGGAAGACAAGGTCAACCGAGCGCCTATGGTCATGGACACACGTTACGTCGACGATGCCGGTGTGGCGGTGGCGACAGGAGATCAAGCCCTCCAAAATGTCCCTGCAGACATACACTTTGGTCACTGCACCTATCACTTTCACAGTACTGTGGATGTTTGGTGCTCTAAACGCAAGATTCTGAAAATGGTGACTTAGGGCTCAGGTGATAGCCATATTACAGGAACGCCTTTGGGCGCGCACCAATGGGAGGCCGGGGGACTAGTGCACATCGAGAAAGCTTTGAAGGCAAGTGGGCAGGACGGGTACCTTGTCCAGAATGATGCATTGCAATAAACCTGCTAGAATAGTCAAAACATCATATCCACCGGCGCAGTAAACGCCACCACAACCTAGAATATGCTGCCCAGCACACCCTGTAGCTGCTTGTCAGGATGATTACCCTCAGTGCGCGGCTCTGTCTCCTTCCTCCTCGATTTCGACCGCCTCTCCTTATCACCTTGTCCTACATCCTCCTCTGCCGACCTTTTCTTCGACTCGGGTCTCTTCAAAACTGGGTCCTTTCCAGCCTGCCGCTTTCTCTCCGCGCGCTTGTCCAGCACGCGAGCGAGCTCGACGTTCTTCAAGTATTCCTGTTGTTCGGACCTTGACTGAGAGATTTCAACGCGTAGACGAGCGGTATGAACTGCAGCTTCGTGGGCTAGAGAAAAAGCCAACGGTGTGTCAATTTTGTATCAACAGTGGGAAAAAACGGATTCCACGCACCGACTTGCTCCGTGAGCATGTTCCACTTAAACTTCGGAAGATACTTCATTGTCCACACATCGTCTCTCCATCGTGTCCCCTTCTTCCCCCCGATGGGTTGTGCGTTCAACATCTCAGCGATAGAACGCGCCACTTTTTTGTCCTTGAATTCGACCCAGCCTTCAGTGTAATGGGCCTTCTTCGTGGAGGTATACTTCTTGCGCAAGTAGGCACGTTTAGCATCTATGTGGCAGATTGAGAACGAGCAAAAACTATAGGCGTAGGATAGACGCACCCTCTTGCTGTAGATATACTCGTCCGACATCGCCATACTGGCTCATGAGATGCCTGACCTTCATTGGCCGCATGCCTGGAGGTATACGAGAGATATAAATGACACCGGCTTTGTTCTGAGCGGCTTGAAAGGCGGCGAGGGCTTCTGGAGTCAATGGCTTGATAACCTTTGGCCCAGCAAAGCCAGAGGGGTCCATGCCTTCGCCCAGTGCATCGTCCTGCTCGTCCTCTGGCTGTTCTTCGTCGCCAGAGTCTGGGTGACGACTGTCAGACGCCTCTTCGCGCTCAAGAGCCTGAGTAGAAGACTCTGCAGCAGATTCCTCGCCGAAGCGGTCATCGAGAGAAAAGCGAGAGTCTGCAGCAGGCATTGCGGTGAGATACTGTAAAATTCCAAGCGAAGAGGGGTGTGGCGCGTGGCGGGACGGCTGCCGGGGATTAGAGCGGAGCCCGAAAGGCGCATGCGTGTGAGGCGGCGGTGTCGCTGGCCGGTTCCAGTCGTTGGTCGCGAACACGAATCACGTCTTCTGAGCTGTTCATCCACCGTCGTTCACGACGACGAGCAGCCAGACAGTGTCAGTGTCGCGATCTTAAGAGGTCTGTTCTTCACTCACGCATCGCTCTCTCTCTCCGTCCATGGCTCTGATCAGCCGTCTTCCGTTTTCTTCTCTCTTCTCCTCAGTCTCACTCCTCTTCTTCGAAGTCACCTAAGCTTTACTCCCTCTCTTCGTCCCATTTCATATCATGTCCTCTTGGTCTGGCTCTGGCTACCCTCCTCCTCGCCGCTCCCGGTCTCGTTCACCATACCGCGGTGGTGGAGGCGGAGGTTCGTACCCCCCGAGGTCGGGTCCGGATAGCTACGCGCCTGACCCTTACCGTGCAGAATGGGACGCGTACGAGAGGGACAGATGGAACTACGAGCGAGACAGAGCAGCCTATGACTATGGACGCAGAGGGCGAAGCCGCAGCCCAGGAGACGACGGTATGCCAGTCACACGTTCTATTGTCGTACGAGCCCACCTCTTATTCCCACGTTTCCCCAGCTCGCAAACGGCGTCGTTCTCCTTCCCCGTACGACAGGGACAGGGATCGGTTCGATCCTCGCCCAAGATACGCAGATGATTATGGTACGTTCGGTTGGGGTTCGCACTGTGTTTCGCGTTCTCACGGTTACCGGGCTCCGTCAGACGCCCATTCGAGAGGATACGGATACGGCTCATCACCGCCCAGACGTAGTTACTCGGCCTCCACTCGAAGAGCGCCTCCCGATCCCCATACCTTTGATTATCCTTCCTCTTTGAAGCAATATGCCGAATGGTTCCGTTACTATTACCCTCAGCAAGCTGCTGAGGAAGACAACGCGGACAAGGCTGCTGAGCAGGATGCTGGCGATGGCAGCAGGCCACGTAACGGCATTAGAACGCGTTGGGAGAAATATAAGAAAGAGTTCTCTGCAAACCAGGTATTTCTTACTTTTCGCTTGGCTCACATCCCTTTGTCATTGGCGTCTCAATCTGATGTTTGCTTCTTACTGTCCTTCAGCTCCAATCAATGTTCGAACATCACAAGAAGTCGCCTTGGTTCGCTGAAAAGTACGACCCCTCTCCAGAATACGTCAACTTACGCAAACGTGTGAGGAAGGAGGGGTGGAAAGGACGTCTCAACGCCTTCCTCTTCGATCTCGAGTCTGGGCGGTTCGACCCTGATTTCCAGGAGCACACACCCGCAGAAGCACCCCCTTCCCCAGTGAAGGAGAACGCGACCGTGAAAAAGGATGACACCTCGAAGAAGGAGGAGAAGGAAGTCAAGCCGGAGGACGCTGATTCTGATATGGCTCCTGCTGTGCCTGTTGCTGACGACTCGATGAAGATGGAGGAAGAGGTTAACCTGGGAAATGATGATGAGGGTGACGAGAATGATGGTGGCAAGTCTAATGGCAGGGCCCGGCAGGATGGCAGAGAGAAGAATCGTGGCGAGGAGATTTCCGTACATTCGGAGGGACATCAAGTCATGATCCGCACCATCCCACCCGATATCGGCCGGGTCAAGCTGGAAACCGTCGGTGTTTGTATATTCACTCGTCTTCAATACTTAATTCGTTACTTACGAGTGGTTCCATGTAGGCTCTTGACAGGCTCCCGGGATATGTCTACCTCGCTCTTGGAGACCCTCTGCAGAAGAGGAATTACTACCGGGCTGGATGGCTCAAATTCCGTGAGGACACCGACATGACCGCGGTCATGAGCGAGCTAAACGATAAGAAGGTGCGTTTCAAGCACACCTCACACCCTTGCAAACTCTAACAGTCTGTGCTAGATTGACGGTTTCAAGCTCCATGTCCTTCACAATACCCATCCTTTCAAAAACCGCGTTCGCCACGCTCCGGAAGTCGCCAGTAAACCGGACCGTCTTGAGAAGGACCTCGTCAATGCTAAGGCCCTTGCTCACATCTTGGAGGAAGAATATTACGAGCTTCGCAAGACAAGGATCCCTCCTTTCGTCCCTCCGAAGGAGAAGACCGACACTGAGGGCGCAGGCGAGAACGGTGAGGCCAACGTAGAGCCTCCTTCCCCGTCGCAAGATGTCGCAATGCCTGACGTCAATGGTGAGGTGGAGGAGGACCCTGAGGATCCCGAGCCGAAGATGCGGGGCACCGAGGCAGTAGAGAAGAGGATTGAGAAGGTCATACAGGAGTTGCAAGAGTCTGGGACTGTCGATGTCAACGACGAGGTGGAGTTTGGTATTAAGAAGGTGCGTCTCCATCTTTGTTTATATCCAACTTCCGCGAGTGGGGACGTTTCACTGAGAGCCTATTCTTCTGCCTTGTCTTTGGTCCTGTTTCTTTCGGGAACGGTGTTGTTGACGCGGGGCTTACAGACGACTATTGCGCTTGATCTGTATTTGGCATATCTTCGTGCGGCGTTCCACGCATGCTATTACTGCGCGATTGTTACCGATCATCTGGAGGAACTTCAGAGGAAATGTATTATGCATGCTCGAAAGCCGTTGACGAAGGCTATGAAGGAAGATATCACGAAAGCTGCTAGTGCTGGTGATAGCGGGAAGGTTAACGATGTCAAGGACGAGGACTCGAAGGAAGAGGAAGTCAAGCAAGAGGAAGAAAAGGAGGGCGAACAAAATGGCGGCGAGAAGGCCGAGAAGGACGACCAGGAGAGGGACAAGGACAGTAAGAGGGATGTGACGTTGAAGGAGAGGACGGGAGATGTCAGTAGGGACTGGAGGAGAAACGGTACGCTCTTTTTTATCAACCTTCCAGCCTGTGTGAGATTCTCGTGATTTACTTATTTGTCAAAAAGATGATCGTTGGCTTGACTGGTTGGATTCCAAGGTTGCGCTCCTGATTGACAGGAACGGAGTGGACCCTCGAGCGTACGGCGGTAAAAGCTACGACGAGTACGTGTCACCTTCCGACTTTCCTCCGAGATCAGGATCTAACTAATCAATTTCCCTTTGAATAGAGCCTTGAGCAAAGCCGTCGAGCCTCATATCAAGCAGGAGGACGAGGGCAAATATCGTTGCAAGGAATGCGGGAAGCTCTTCAAGGCCACTGCATTCGTCGAGAAACATATCGCGAACAAACATGGTGAGGTCATCAAGGATCTGGACCTGGTAAGTGTGAGCGCAAGTCCACTACTCTTCAGGCTCTGATGTTTAATAATTTCCCTTGCGTGTGTTCTACTATAGGATATCAACTACTTCAACAACTTCGCCCTCGACCCGCACCACATCCAACCGTTCACGCACCCTCCCTCTACGACGAACCCTGGTGGGAACCAAGCACCCCCTCCACAAGCCTATGGCCACCAAGCCGTTCCAGGCAGCCACATCAGCGACTACGGTCGAGGTAACGCTCCCAGTGTCGCCGGTGGCGGGTATTACAGCTCGTACTACCCTCCACCACCACCACCTTACGCGAATGGAGGCTACTGGGACCCGTACGCTTATCCTTACGGTCCTCCAAGCTACGCGATGCCCCCACCACCCCGTCGCGGCGACGAAGGCGTCCACCATCGACGACTGAGTGACCGCATCAGTGGGTATGCGCCTGGCTACGACGGACACTCTCATGGTCATGGCTCCATGGACCTTGGTGGTCTGCCGAGCACGTTGCCTCCGTCTGCTGGTTTACCTGCGAAACCGGCGGGATTGGACCAGGCGTTACCGGACGATGGAGGGAGGAGGAACGGAAGGAAGAGGGGTGGAGGAGGTGGAGGTGGGGGCGCCGGTGGGGGCGGGAGAGGTTCGGATGTGGGTGGGGTTATGCCGCCTCCGCCGCCGGATGCGAAGGAGGACCCGAGGGCTGCGGCGGGGAAGAAGGTCAGCTATCATGATATGGATCTGGTCGCGGAGGGGGATGTGGAGTTGCAGTATTGAATGTGGATACGTACTTTGTTTGTCGGTCTGTGGTAGGCGGGACATCTCTATATTCTCGTCTGCCTGTGATACATGCGCATGCTGGGAACGGGTCTCGTCGTTGAGGTGGTATTCTTACTTTCTTGTATGTACATTTTTGCGAGGTTTTTCGTCGGGCGAATGATCAATTTAGTTATCTTGCTCTTTACTCACTGCTCACCCGTTGCTGTGAATCTGGCGGCGAACTGAAAAGCTTGGAGTGCTTGGAGCCTGGTCGTAACTTCTCGTAAGTAGACAGCTCATACTGAAGTATGTACGACACAGCCGTTGTATGATCGGGTGAGTCTCGCCACAACTCGGCCGTGGAGAGATCGCATCGACAGGAACCACGGTGTGTATTCAATACTTCTTGGAGTAAGTTCGTGATACACGCGGCACTCGTTCGTGGGCTATGGTATGGAGGCAGTAGTGTAGATTCATATACCCGAAACCATAGATGATCCTTGAGGCTGAGGTTGCGCCGTCTCGTGAAAGGAAAGAAAGCAGACGAGGTGAAGATTGGGGTGGCGAAGGGTTTGAGTAATGGGAATTCAAGGGGGGCAGGGTCACAGCGGCGACTGCAAACGGGATAGGTCTTGCCCCTAGTGGGTTCATCATGCTGTGTGGCCCCTGTTTCTGGATGATGGGTGACTGCACGTTCTGGGAACATTGGGGCCAGAGGTTACCATAGGTTGATATGGATGATCGTGTCCAGATATAAAAGATCAGTGGGGAAGCAGCAAGACGTCGAAGCGAAGCCGGTTCGTCAGAAGAGCTTAAAGAAATACGTTTCAAAGGGCTGGCAGGCAGCACACACGAGGACGAGAATAGACGGGGGTAAGCCGCGCAGCTCCCAACACGAACAGGAGCCGTCAAAGAACAGGCGCGATATTTGTCTCTGTTTGAGCCACTCGCTGTCCTGGCCACTCCCTCACCGTTCCTCCCGTCCTCCAACTGCCCCTCTCCACCGTCCTCGACGTCCGCGCCGTCCCCCTCCCTTCTCCTACCGCACCCTGCGCCGCTCAAGGCGCTCGGCTGTTCGCTCCTCTCCGTCGCGACCCAAGTGCGGATAGCGGCTGCTCATGTCCAAGCTTCCAGCCGTCCGACTCCCGAGTGTCCTCCACGCAGACGGCGACAGCGAAGGCCAGGAGGCGGTAGTCGTCGAGTTACCCCCCTCGAACAAGTTCTCCTTTGCCTGGCCATCAGAGCCTCCAGCTTCCTTCCCCCTTCCCGTCCTCGCAGACAGGCCACCAGACCTCAGTTCTTCCGACCAGGAGTCTGGGCTCTCAGAGACAGAAAGCAATGGCTTCCTGCACAGCTCAGACGAGAAGGAGGATGTCGTCAAAAGAAAACGTGCCGATGACCATGTCGAGGAGACCGATTTCACGCCCACAAACCGTCTGTACAATGAGCAAAACCCTATGGATCAGGCTGCAGTGCCACCTCCACCTCTCCCCCGCCTCTCTCGTGCCTTCTCCGTCCCTCTTCCCTCCCAAGTAGACCACCTCAAGAATCCCCGCAGAACGACCGCCACCTCCGAGCAAGCCGATTACCCCTCATCCCCGCGTCCCATTGAGCTCTCTCCCGAGCTCTCCCAATTTCACGAACTCTCGCTAGAGCTCGCAGACTCCGTACAGATGGTCATTCAGATGTTGCTCCAGCTTTCTCCTCCTCAAGTCCTCGATCCTGCAAAGGAACAGTTCTCGGCATGCTCCCTCCCTATCCCTACCCCTTCTATCACAGCCATGTTCACCTCCATGAAGAACCTCAATTACATGTCCGCCAATATCGCCTCTTTCTCCATGCCTCATCAACCGCCACGACCGAAGCTCAACCCCGAGGATCCTACCCCGCCACATTCCCCTGCGTCCATCCTTACACCCGTCCAGATCGTCGACTTTGACATCGGCGAGGCCATACAGAGTGTGGGTGACGCCGTCAGCGGAATCGCTGCAGAAGCAGGCATAGACCTTGTACTCTTTCATGGCGACGTCGGCATGAAGCACATCGCAGTCCGGGGTGACGACAGCGGGCTATCCTACACGCTCTCCCACGTACGTCTTACCGCCTTCACACTAGCATGCGCGCTCGTTACTGACACGTACGTTAGATTATCCGACAAATCATCAGTACAGCTCACCGTGGCGACTGTATTGAGATTGGGCTCTATATCGCCGCTCCTCCTCGAGACAGACCCTTGGACGCCGATGTGGATAACACAGAACCAGTCAGCGGCACCACCTCTCCCGATATGGACATGCCCCTCCGTTGCACGTTCACCATCACACACGTCTTCCCTCCTCGCCTCGATTCATCAAATCCATTGGTGGACTCTTGGTCAGATCGCGATCAACCCTCGTGGAACTCACTCATCCTCACCCGTTTGCTCAAGCACATCGATGCTTTGTTCGAACTCGAGGAACCGGCTTCGACTGCCGTCTCATCGACTCGAACGTGTAAGCTGACCTTGACTATGGATCGTGGGTCGCCCTCAGTGGTGAATCCAGCTGTGGTAGTCGCGCAGGACGACCCTTTCATGCAGGCGTTGTCCGGGTTCCAAATTGCGGGTGAACCTACATTGGAAGATTTGGGTCAATTCATCGAGACGTTGAGGGGAAAGAAGGCTTCACTCTATGCCAGCTCGAAGGGTGAATTCGCTCATCATCTTACGAGCTACCTGACAGCGTGGGGCTTAGATGTGAGCCACGTCTCCTCGGATTCTGTTGATGAAGAGGAAGAGGCCGCGAGAGAGTCGCCGGAATTGTCTAATGGAACGATGAAGACAGAGGTGTCTTTCGGTTCTGGATCGGCGTTGGAGACACTACCAGAAGCGGGGCCTGTCCCAGGTTCGAGTCCTGCCTCGAGCCCAGGAGGTCAAGGAAATCTCCAACAGCCTTCCTTCATCCTCATAGACGATGACGTTTCGGTCTTACGGACACAGTTGCGTGCTATGAGGACAGAACAACAACAGCCATATCCTCTCCACATTGGTTCTCGTAAGCGACCATCCCTCTCGGCTCATCACCGTCCTCGTTCTTCGCCACAGGTAGCTCGCGCAATGGGTCTCAATGCGATGCCACAACCGCGGAACACGGGCGTTATCATCCATTTTACGAGCCTTGCGAACTTCAAGCTTGTGAAGGGTATTCTTCAAACGACTCTTGGACCCAATGGCTCTCCCATCGTTCGAATGCCAGAAGTTATCGTCATTCCCAAGCCTGCAGGACCAAGACGGGTATTGACAGCCCTTCATACCGCCGCGACCAAGCCCACCGTCGACCCATTCTTCTCCCCTATCGCCACATCACCCATGAGCCCTTCCGTCCAGTCGGCACCTTCCTATCCCAGCAACAGTCCAAGGTCACCTCACGGACGTCCGGCAAATAGCCCGAGGACAAATTCAGAGAGATCGTTGAGGTCGCCGAAGGATCACCCTGGGGAGACTGAGGCGAGACTCGCTCCTCCTTCACCGCTGGGACTGTCGGAGGGTATGGACTATTTCTCCGAAGCCGCCGTCAAGTTGGGTACCTCGCCATCGTCGGGGCTAGTCATTCAGAGCCCTGATGGTCAACCCGCTGGTATCTTCTTCCATCCCAAAGCGCGCGCCAGGACGACAGGCGGCGAGAAGAGATCGTCATTCACTGGAGGTCAGCCGCAGTTCTTCAGTATCGAGAAGTCGAACAGGGCCAGTGAATCTCCGAGACGAACTTCAGAGACGGAGGATAGGGACCGGACAAGAGTCGGGATTGCGTACCTTGCAGCACCGAGCAAGCTTTCCACGCCACGGAGGAGCCCTGTGCAGCTGGTTCCCGTCGAGTCTTCGACCGAGGACGCGGGCAAGTCAGGCCCGCCGTCGTCGAAGATGGGGAGACTGTCGTCTCCGGCTCCTAATACGCCTGTCGCGGACACGTCGAGTGGATTGCCGACCCCGATCCCGGCGGGACCTTCTGTAAGTCAGAGTTCGAATTCACCGCAACCGCAGCCGTTGACGCCGAGGTTGCTTGCGCCGAGGAAGTCGAACACGATGGATACTTTGAGGAAGACGACGTCGCCGCCGCATAGTCCGAGGAACGTGTCGCCGACGACGCCGGCGAGTGCGACTTCTTCGATGCCGATGAGTAGGCGGGCGAGTGCGAGGAGGGGGATGAGTAATGAGATGAAGCAGCAGGTGGAGAAGGGGGCGCAGGGTGGGACGGGGCTTGGTGTGGGCGGGGTGGGGAGTTCTAAAGGGGGACAGGAGGCGACTATTGTACCGCCGATTAGCGTGCTGGTGGTTGATGGTAAGTGTCGTGCATTGTTTTATGTGTTCATCGTTACTGGACTGATGTTGCTATATTCAGATAACCCTATTAACCAGACGATCTTGTCCACGTTTATGAAGAAGAAGAAGATCAAGTACGATGTCGCCAAGAACGGTCAAGAGGCGGTGGAGAAATGGAAGAGCGGACGGTTCCACCTCATCCTGGTGAGTTCCAGTTTTAAAACAAGGCCATGTTTCCAATCCTTACATGCGCCTTATTCCACAGATGGACATTCAAATGCCTGTCATGGACGGAATCGCAGCCACGAAAGAAATCCGCCGCCTCGAGAAGATCAACGCCGCCCTCGGATTCCCCTCCACTCCTCAATCCGAAGGTGCCCGCACCCCCTCCGATGCTGAATCCCGCATCTCAGCATCCCCATACCGCTCCGCCGTCATCATCGTCGCCCTCACCGCCTCCTCCCTCCAATCCGATCGTGTCGCCGCCCTAGCCGCAGGCTGCAACGACTTCCTGACCAAACCCGTCTCGCTCATCTGGCTCAACTCGAAGATCATCGAATGGGGCTCCATCAAGGCGCTGCAGATGTGGGCCGATATCAGGCCGGAGGTCGTGAGGGGACAGAGTCAGCAGGCGCAGAATGTGGCGAGGAAGTTGCATGTGCCGGAGGGGAGGGCGACGCCTGCGGGTGGAAGTCCGCGGTCGGCGTCGAGGAGTCCTTCGCAAGTGAGGCAGTCGAGCAGTGGTGGTGGCGTGCCTGTGATGCCGGCGTTGGCGTTGGCGGCTTCGAGTTCGTCGTCGTCGAGTCCTGCGAGTGGGCTGGCGAAGGGGCTGGCGAATCATTTGGCGCAGATCTCGGAGTCGCCGACGTCTTTTGAGTTTCCGAGGCCTTCTTCGCGGGAAGGTGAGGCTTTGGCTTCATTGTGTGGATGTTTGGGATGCTGACTGTTAGCGTTTCGATAGATACTTCCTTGCAAGTACACACAGAAGATTCCTCCCGGAAAAACTCGCTTGATCCTCCTTCCCGGATACATCGAGTAGATTCTGGAGATTCGTCACCTTCACCGATTCCCCGAATACAACGATCTGGGACGGAGGAAACGGCCGAGTCGTTGCCTTCGCCGTCGTTTTCCTCGCCTGAGAAGTCGACGACGCCTGTGACTGCGCTGGAAGAACAATCGCCTCGTTCGCCTGCGACTACGAATACGAATACGGCAGTTACTGCTCTGGAGGAGTTGTCGCCCCGTTCGCCTATGGCTATGATGCTGGACCCGGACCCGCCTGCTCTCGACTCTGCACCGGAAACGGAAGTGGAGGCTGAGACGGAGACAGAGCCTGGATCGGCACCAGCAACGGAGCCGGAAGCAGAACGGCCAAGTGCTGCAGATGTGAACGGGACGGGTGAAGGGCCTTCGAGTCCGAACCCGTCGACGTCTTCATCGAGCGGGCGAAGCCATCATACGACGGATGAGACGCAATGACGGTATTGGGCGGCCTTCGGAAGATTTCCTCCCTTCTTTACACCGTTGCTCACCCCATGGTATACGAAGGTCGCCGAGTTGTTTCGAAAGTTGTTTTGAGCTCCTTGTGCCGTGCTGAGACTTTTTGCTCGTGCCTTTCTATACACTCTTTTTTTTGCCTTACCTTGTTCCATACTTGATCTTATTTCCTCTTTTTTTTGTCTGCTTTTCGTGATATACATACACATGTCTTTCCTTCGGGTCGTTTCTCACTCATTTCTTGCTTACATTTTGCATTCATCTTTTTGGGTACAATGGGTGTTCCTTTTCTCTGGTGTGTTGTATAAGCGTGGAGGTACATTGTCGCGTTTTTTTTTCGTTCTTCTTCTGCGGTACCTGTCTATACGTTGTCTGTCGCCAGTGTCACGTTTTACAATAGCTTTCTCTGCCGTTTGCCCAGCATAACAGGCAGTACACACGATTTCCTCTACATGCGTGATGTGCGCGGGACGTGAATGAGCGCAGGGCGTCAGTCACAGTGACAGGCGTGTATGTGAGCCGTGCAGGCGGTGCGCGGGCCGTGCCACGGAGAGTACGCGGGCTGTCACACGTGGGGTTCATGCTGGTCGGAGGATGAAATTGGTGTGAACTCCGCGAGGGCACTTGATCGCTCGCCGTCGTACTCTGAGCTCAACGTCGTCTGTCGTCTGTCGTCGTCGTCGTCTGCAGCGCGGAGAAGACATCGCACGAAGCGCCGTTCTATGGCTGTGAACGTCTATCCCCCAGAGTCGTACACACAGACAAGACGGACGTCCATTCCCCAGCTCCTCAATCCCGTTGCTCACCCGCACGCCGCTCACAGAGTCGACCACCGCACTATGCCCGCCCCGTACGACCCCCCTCACTATGCACTCCATCCCCACCACTCTCTTCCTCCGCCTCCACAGCGTGAGGAGCACTCTGGGGGGTCCTTCAAGCTCAGTGCAGCCAGCTGGGATCAGGGCGGGGATAGCGAACGGAAGAAGCATGACCAACAGCCTCCGTCCGCCCCAATGTCCTACCCTCATCCTTATCCTGGTCCGCCACCGCCTCCTCCATCAGCCTCACAGACACAACCGCCCCCGCCACCCCCATCTTCTTCCTCGTCGTCTTCCTATCCGGACCCATCATCAAGAACGCCCTCGAGACAGAGGGACGACCGTGGTTATTCGCATCCCGCCGGTCCTGTGGATCCTGGTCCTCCATCATGGAATCACCCGAGCCCGAGTGACGGGCCTTCCTACGGTCCTCCCCCCGTCCCGCCCACTCCCTATTCTGACGAACGCGCAGGTACGTCTTCTCTCTCACTCTCTTACGGCTAGTGGTGTTGAGCGGAGTGCGGTCTTTCATTTGTCGTTTACGTACGTGTAGTAGCTGGACCCGGACCGCCAGGCGAAGTGCCACCGCCTTCGAACCCGTATCCTCCTCCTATGCATCATGTTCATGCGCCTCCGCCTCCGCATGCGGCATATAGGACTGATATGAATGGATATCGACCTCATCCTGACCCATATCATCAACATGGACCTACACCCTCACCGCATTCGGCCCATGCTCACGCTGCACAACATCAACATCAACATCCTCACCCTCAGCCCCATCATTCTTCTTACGCTCAACATCCTCAACATCCTCCCCAACATTCCCCACACACTTCACATTTGCAACATCAGCATCATCAACATCAACAACAGCAGCAACAACAACAACAGCAACAACACCATTCGCAATCACGTCCTTCGTCATCGCATCATCATTCGCAACATCCTCCTCAGCCTGTTCATGCGCATGTCCATCACCATCCGCCTCCGCATCAACACGTAGGGCCTCCACCCCCACCGCCTTCTCAACATGGTCCCCCACATCATGCACACCAACATCAACATGTTCCCCCGCCTCAGCCACCTCACCCACAACAACCTTCTCCACATCAGTTACAATCCCGTCCTTCACACCATCCCGCTAGTCTGTATCCAAATCTATATCCTAGACGTGTTCTATGATTGCTCACAATTCACATAGCTTACCAAACATCCGAACGCGCTTCTACGCGTATCATGGCCCGAACTACTACTGACCCGAACTTGGCGCCTCCTCAGATGTACGGCCCCTACTATATCCCATATGGGGCTACTATTGCGTATGGCCCTCCGCCTGGGCACCCGCATATGCCGCCTGGACATCCTCTTCCCCCTCCACCAGCGCCTCAGGGTCAAAAGCGAGCTTCCCCGCCTGATGAGGAGGACGATGGTGTGAAGAAAAAGGCGAAGAAGGCGAGGGCGCCTCCGTCGGAAGGTGCGTTTCTCCATGAGTGGTCCCTATGGACATTTTTATTGAATGCAGGCGCTGGACGTGGGTGTAGCTTCGAATTCGAGGAGAGGGTCAAGCCAGAAGAAGAAGCAAGAGGCGATGCAGAATGGTGTGTTTCTGAGTTTGTTTGCGCTGGTATCGACTGTGTCGTTGACGGTTTGTTTTGGGGTCGCAGCGCAGAGTCAAGGTACTCTGCGGTATACGCCGATGGGTGCGGAACAAGTGAAGCAGACAGGGCCTTCCGATGGTGCGTCCATGCCACATAGCGCTCTGAAGAATTGGTCCTCAGTTTATTTACAGGCACCACCAAAGTTCTTGCGGATACCCCTCCTGCTGGCCTCATTCCCGAACTCCAGCTGCACAGATGCATGTCCTCCCGGTATAAGCACGAGCAGTTCCCGCGCTGCGTTTCGTGCACGCGCCGTTGGGCAGGCGATACCTGTCGCTTCCAAGGAATACGATTCTTCTTGAAGGACCAGAAGGGTACCATCGTTGGGGTGAGCTTCGTGGAGAATCAGAAGCCAGACGCTCCGAACATGAATTTCCCGACTACGTGGAATACGAGGTTGGAGGAATCGCATATCAGGGAGACGAAGGTGCGTCATCTATTTCTTCGTTTCGACGATGTAGTGAGGTTACGGGTCATGTTGACGAGTTGTGATTGTTTTATGGCGAAACAGATCACCGTCGCGAGAGCTTTATTACCGATTTTGCAGAAGGAGCTCGAGCATCTCAACTCGCCGGAAATCATCCGTCGTCCGAGGGAAAGCGACGTGCGCGCAACCTGTGGTACGTGCCTATTTGTGTCGTCACTCCTCTTCATTGGCTCAACAATTATTAATTTACGTTACAGATACTTGTATGACCTCCATCTTCTCCTCGTCGTGGATGTGCCGCCTGTGCGGGCGCGAGACGTGCGCCGAGTGTTTTGAAAAAGTCCGAGAGCTGACTCAACCTCGACCGGACGCCACCCAGCACGAGCTTGCGGCGCTTCAAGCTCGCCGTGAATCGCACGCTGTCACCAACCCCTTCTTCCTTACTTGCACGCGTCGTAACGAGCACGCGTATAAGGATTTCTCTGCCGTTTCGCGGTTCCACAGGACTGAGCTTGCTGGTACGATCAAAGAGATGAAGCAGTTGTTGAAGGAGGTGGAGGACAAGGCGAACAAGGCGGACGCTGAGGGAGATGTATCGATGAAAGGTGCTGATGCCGGTGAGAACACGGGGAATGGGAAGGCGGCTGAAGTTCATGCTGATTCTGGTTCTACTGAAGTAGTTGAGCAGGCTGGAGGGTCCGCTTCGGTGGCTCCTGTTGTTCCTGTCCAGCTAACTACGTCGGAACCTGCAGCAACATCTACTCAGTCGCCTCCCTTGATTCCCCCGCCGGTCGACGACCCCCAAGCCGGCACGGAAGACATACCATGTTACCCTACCCATCGGTTCACCGACGGCGAGCTCACTGAGGAGCTCTTCCGCGCCGTGTGGTCGCAGGGGATTCCGCTCATGGTAACGGGTCTGTTGGACAAGTTCGAGTTGAAGTGGACGCCGGAGTATTTCATGGAGAAGTATGCGAGCCAGACGTGCTCGATCGTGGAATGTCAGACGGAGCAGATCAAGAGGATGACGGTCGGCGAGTTCTTCAAGATGTTTGGGAAGTACGAGGGGAGGGAGATGGTGTGTGCGCAGAGCGGGAAGGGGAAGGAGGGACAGGCGAACGGGAAGGTGAATGGCAGTGAGAAGACGAACGGAAAGACGAATGCGAACGGGAATAAGAAGAAAGAGGATGCGGTCTGGAAGTTGAAGGATTGGCCTCCGAGCATGGATTTCAAGACGGCGTTCCCGGAGCTTTATGAGGATTTCGAGAGGGCGGTTCCGATGCCGAGGTATTGTAGGAGGGATGGGGCGTTGAACATCGCGTCGCATTTCCCGGCGAACGCGGTTGCGCCTGACCTTGGTGCGTTCTTTCCGTGCTCTCATTTCTGCGTTTCCTGTACTAAGTGATATTCTGTTCTATACAGGTCCTAAGATGTACAACGCGATGGCAACGACTGAACTCCCCGGCTCAAAAGGCTCTACCCGTCTTCACATGGACATGGCGGACGCTATCAACATCATGCTTCACGCCGAGGACGGCCCAGACGGCAAGCCCGGCGTCGCAGCCTGGGATCTCTTCCGCGCCGACGACTCTGAAAAGCTGAGGAAGTTCTTGAGGAAGAGGGTGCCGAACGGAGGGCAGCCGAATAACGACCCGATTCATGGGCAGCAGGTGTATCTGGACAGGGAGATGAGGAGGGAGCTGTTCCAGGAGTATGGGGTGAAGAGTCATAGGATTTATCAGAGACCTGGGCAGGCGGTGTTTATCCCGGCTGGGTGTGCGCATCAGGTGCGCTTTTTCCTCATTTATCCTTCGAAACATGTTTGACCGATTGGCCGTTTGACATGGTTGGACATTGTAGGTTGCGAACCTCGCGGACTGTATCAAGGTAGCGATCGATTTCGTGAGCCCGGAGAACGTGGCGAGGTGTGAGAAGTTGACGCAGGAGTTCAGGGAACAGAATCAGATAATGGTGTGGAAGGAGGATGTGCTGCAGTTGAAGGCCATGATGTGGTTCGCTTGGTTGTCGTGCTCGCGCCAGGAGGCGCAGTGAAGGATGTTCTTCTTGCTTGGACGGAGGTGGGTGGATTCCCTGTGTACAGTGCTTGGTTTCTTGGGTGGGTAAAGGATGTGGGCTTGCGCTCGCAGATAGGTGCGTTGATAGACGTTGTAGTGCGGGTTAGCACGGTTGATAAGCTTTGCTCGGAATCCCTCATCTCGTGTACAGTACTGTTTCTTGATTCTCTTGTCCTTGTGCTATACCGTTTTCGTTGCCGATGATTTATTGTATACTGCTGCAGTCTTTTCGAACAGTCCATCTTGCGATCTGTTGCGCTCTGTGCTTGCTTGCTGTCTCAGCTATATATACGTTCACGATAGAAGAGTCATTGTCATTATGCGCTTTGAAATAGCAAGCTCGGAACGAATGATCCCGGGAGCCAGGATTTTAGCCGGGAGAGTGATTTGTTTGAGCCAAGAAGCGGGAGAAATGTTTGACGATGACATCACGCCGGCATCCGAAACACAGCCCGGCCGGCGTGCAACAAACTGCAACAAACTGCTGGGCGCCGTCGACGACAGCCAAGGCACTGCGCCTTTGCTCTTCCTCATTTTTTATTCTTTCCTGCCCATCCTAACCGACGACGACAACAACAACGATGGCGAAACCTACCCTACTACAATCGCTGTTGAACCGGCCGTCGCAGTCGTATGCACACTACGCGGAGAAGGATTATCATTCGGCGAAGCAAGACTTTGCCCGGGCAGCAGCGAGCTCAGCCTCATCATCTAGCCGAGCGAGCAGTCGTGCTAGCACGTCGAGTGAGCCGACGCAGGAGCGCGCACGGCCGTCGCAATACCAATCCACACGGCGTTCTCTCGATGTGAGTCGTCGTCTTGTCCACTTTAATTGCGTTCTTTTTGCTGCGCTATGAGCGTTTCAGTCGATCATTCATCCATCAAGGGCTTATCCGAGCTAGAATATACCTAACCCGTTCTCCACACAGAGCACCCGCGCGGAGCTTATCGTACCCTCAGCTTCGCGTCCTCGGCCCCAATTCCAAGTAGAGGCGCATAATCCCTATAATAAACAGAATGACCTCATCTCAAATTCGTACCTTCCCTCCGACTCCCACCCGCCCCAGGCTCCTCTCCTCTCTCTTCCTCCCGTACCACTTCTTCCATTACATCCCGAGGTGACTGCTAGAGCGCTACCTTCCCTCCCCGATCGTCACTTGCTTCACCCACAACTAAATCACACTCACCCTGATCGTCACGACGGACGATCTCCAAGCGGCGCAGCACGGGAACATTCCTGGCAAGACAAGCACGAAGACCAAGAATTAGACGAGGACGATACCCTTTCGGACGTGTTCTATACGCCTCTCACCTCCCCCGTCGTCTCGATGGTCATCGACGCTGCCTCTATATCTTCCATCCTTCCCTCACCAATCGCATCACCGAGACCCGTCCACGTTCAACGCGAATCCACCTCATCCACTTCCTCGAACGATTCCGAGGACGGTTCTATCTCGACCACGCCTACTTCGGATGATTCTCTATCCGCCGCTAAAGACAAGCTGGAACACAAGAACGTTCCTGTGGATGACATCGATGGCGTGTCCCCCGAGCTTATCGAGCTTAACATCGCCGTAAAACCGCGCTCACAGCCTGATCCTGTCAATGACAAGCCATCGTTGACCATCCCTGTTTCGTCAAACACCGCACCTCGTTCCGCAGTGCATTCGTCCTCTATGATCTCCACCGCTGTCTCTCGTATATCCCAGTCGGACCAACGTTCCCATCGTAGGTTCTCGTCCGTCCCGACGCCGCCCCCAGTTCGTCTGAAGTACACCGACGAAGACTGGGCGAAAGAGGTCCGGTGGTTGGACCCTTCCACGACCTCGTCATCGTCATTGAAGCCGTCGAAACCTGCTAACAAACACAAGCACAAACCTCTCGTCCACGATTCCGAGTATGCAGACCTCCCCGTGCCTCCCCGTCGACCGCGTCAGGGACGCAGCCGAACAACGTCTGCTAGACCGAGGTCCAAGGTGCAGATGACGGCTCTTTGGGAGGAAGACGAGGACGGAACGACGATAAGCGACCATCATCAGCACCCTCCGTCTAGTCACGGCCATACCCAAGCTCTCTCCGATTCCCTCGTACTTACATCTGAGCTTCGCGCGAGGAGTCGCACCATTTCAGAATCTTCCATCTCGCCTTCCCTCTCTCGTAGCAATAGCCTCAAGAGCACGACCAGCCCCCGAACAAGCTCGACACCACCTTCACGTTCTGCGACGCTTTCTGTACGGACGGTCGCGAGCGCCACGACATCCACATCTACCCGTTCGCCCTATACCATGTCTTCGAGAACCGTCACACTACCCACTCCTTTGCCCGTACCCGCACCTGCGTCCACGACGAGTGGTCTCCACAACGACGATGGTGCGTTAGCTGACCTTGGCGCCACGGCAGCACCCAGCATGTCTGGTTACACGACCATGACGCTCCCACGCGCGGCGTACAAGCCTGCCGATCCTTGGCGGACGATAGGAGGCGGCAAGGTCGATCTGGCGAGGGAGGGTAAAGCCCAAACGACAATGGCGAGCATCGAGGTCGTCAGAGGTGTCGCAGAGTCATTGCCTGGTGGGAAGGGAGGTCTCTTGAAGAGGAGCGGGTCGTCGGCAAAACGCTCTAGTTGGCTGTTTGCTGGGAACGGATCGTCGAGTAGGGTCGATTTGACGAAGGCAGGCTCGGGCCTGGGTGGCCTTTCAGACGCTTTGGCGTTGACGTCGCATTTGTCGCCACCTTCGCATTGTCCGTCGTCGCATGTGCTTGTACAAGTGCATGCGGTTGCGTTGGAGGGGTTGGATAAGGAGCTCGTGGTCGATAAGGTGAAGAGGTCGTCTGGGGCGGGGTTCATCCCGGGGAGGAGTGTGGCGGGGAGAGTTGTGGAGGTGGGTTGGGAAGTTAAAGAGGAGATTGCGCGGAGGGGAGACTGGGTCGTTGGGATTGTGGATCCGAAGAAGGTACGTCGTGCGTTTGGGTCGTATCTTGTTCCTCTGCTAATAATTTCGTCCAATTATACAGTGCGGTGCCCTTGCCGAGTTTGTGATACTTGAACGCCATCGACTGCACCGGGCGCCGCAACCTTACATGCCCACTCCACAACTTTTTCCATCGAGACAATCACATCATAACCTACCTTCCCGACCTTCTGGTCCTTCGCTTCAGACCCTCGCTCTTCTACCCCTCATCGGTGTCCCGGCCTATCGTGCTCTCCGAACCTACCTCGCCGCTGTCGAACGCGGTGGGATCAAGGGTGAGGCTCCGTCCTATTCGTCGTCGACAACTCGTGGGGTCGGAGGAAGGGCTCTGATCCTGAGAGGACAAGATGGTGTGGGCGGCATGGCTGCTCAACTGCTTATTGATAAAGGAACCGAGGTCTGGGTACAGGTGGAAGCTTCGATCGTCGGAGTGGACGATTCGGACGGCGAGGAGGGTGAAGGGAATGTGCTGGTGTTCGAGAGTGGGGATGCGCTGGAGTGGGAGGACGCGGATGGCAATGTGAGGAGTGGGAGGGAAGGGGACGGAGCGCTAGACGAGATTTGTGAGAGGCTGAGGGCTTGGGGCGTTACGGGGATCTGTGTCGGCAGGGCGGTGGATGTGATCAATGTTTTGAAGGAGAGGCTCGACGTCGCTGAGGCTGAGATGGAGGCTGGAGTGATTGGCGAGACTGGGGAGAGCGAAGAAGCGTTGCGGAGTGGAGGCTTTGATTTTGTTCTCGACACGGTGGGAGGTAGGGAGATCTGGGAAGCGGGCCAGGCATTACTCTCGCGGCCTCAACCCGCACAGACTGCTGTCCAGCCTCAGACGCCTTCATCCCCTCGATCACCGATCTCTGAACTCTCTCCATCCGACTCCAACTCCGCGGGATGGATGGACGCTCAGTTCACCACTGTCGTCGGCGACAAAGGATCCGGAAAGGCACTCCCCAGCACTCAAGACCATTGGCGCGCCGGTGTTCGTTCCCTCAAACGTGCCATGGTCCCTTCATCCTCTTCTCCCTTGTCCACAACACCGATCGCCTTGTCACCAACTTCGCCGCTCTCGAGATCTGGGTCGTCGACGCCCATATCACCTGGTTCGAGGTCAGCGAGATCGAGTAGTGAGGTCGTGGTCCGGGAGAGTTTGGAGTCGAGTATGCTCGGCGTCAGTGACATTCATGGCACTCAGCCTAGGAAGCTCAGCTCCTCTGGATCAGGGGTCGGATCCGAGAAGGATAGGAAGAAGCTGGCGAAGAAGCCGAGACTGAAGGTCCGTAAGCCTAGGAAGGTCGGGTATACCTGGGTCCCGAGCGTCGCGGATGTTGACTTCGAAGGGACGGATGTGAGGGATGCTTTGGGAGCGCTGGTCGGCATGCTTGATGGACAGGGGATGGGCGGAGGGAGGAGGTTGAGGCCTGAGGGGTGTATTGAAGGAGAGGTTTATGGTCTGGGGAGGGTGGTGCCGTTTGAGAGGACGCCGGAGGTGTTTGTGGGTGAGACGAGGGGACGGAAGTCTTCTGGGTTGTTGGAGGGTGGGGGGACGGTCGTTGTTAGGGTTGTTGGCTGAAGCGTGAGTGGTCTGGTCTTGATTTGTTGTCTGTTGTTTTATCTCTCGCTCGTGTATGCGGTTGTGTTTATCCTTTACCCCTGGTTCGCTTGTTCATCCGTCATCTACGCATTTACATCCATCTTTCTTGCATTTCATGTCAATCACGTTCTATGCACGAGCAATTCTGTCTATATATTGTTCTATTTATGCTGCTCTACATCCTGTTCGCTTCTCTCTCCTCTGCCCACGCCCGCGTTGGGATTACTATTTACTACACACGCATTTATAGTACCATCTCATCTTGTTTATCACTACTGATAGGTTCTCACATTCACGTCACCCTCACGACCCTTGGGATTTTCGCTGAGCACGACACGACCACTCTATAATACTCATCATTGACATCTCCCACCGGCTTCTTGCACTCTCTATAGCTTCTTATGAACAGTCTTTACTTCTGACTTACTTTTGTATGTTTCGCGCTCGAGGTTTCCCTGACTCTTGCTCCCATAGTTCACAACGCCTGCCACTTACACCCATAGACATTCAGGCTCGTACACGATCATCTATAGACTGTAATACCTCCAACATGTCGCCCCAGTCATAGATTCACATATACAGACTACAGACGCCTTCCAGAATTTACATAGCTTGTTACTGTTCAGATGTTTGTCGACCATTGTAATTACACCGTGTGGTGTATCCAGGATTTCATCGTGACACCAGCTGGCCCCACAGCGCGGGATCCTGTCGGTGTAGATGCAACTTAGCCTTTATTCCAGTAAGTCCTTAGCGCGTAGAACACAAAGGGCCTTTCTTCGATTTGCTACTCGAGTAGAGCCGAACACCTGGCTCCATTGATGTGCTATGACTCGCCGAATTGGTTCATGACTTTGGTCGCCTGGTCCACTCTCACCGACCACCCATCATGGAATTGTCTACATTGGGCTCCTGGCTGCTGAATCCGTTTTTAGGCCGCATTCCCGCCTCAGACACCGCAGACACCGGCGTCGTGACTCATGGACCGGTCTACCGCCTCCCCGCCGAACTGCTTGCCATCATCCTACACTTCTCGCGGAGCATCGATCCCCCAACCACAAGAAATGGCAGATGCGACGGGGGAGAGGACCCGTTATATCTCGGGTGGATACGCCTTACCCATGTCTGTCAGTATTGGCGGCACGTCGCACTGTCCGATTCAGCTCTTTGGGACGATATACGCATAGACTTTTTGGGAGAGTTTTGGGCCCGCGAGATGATATCCCGGTCGAGGTCTTGTCCTTTGACTATAACGCACGAATACGAGAAACATGAGGCTGTAGCCACCGATATCTTCGAAAACCACCTCGACCGCGTTCAATTCATCCACCTCGTCGATGTGGGCGCCGCGCTCATCTTGTCCATGGCCCGCCCTGCTCCTGTGCTTCAAAGTCTGGAAATCGATGTAACCGCTCCAGAAGATAACAACCTGCCGTATATCGTTCATCTACCAGCCACATTCCTCGCCGGCTGCGCTCCGCGCCTGAAAACTCTCATTCTGGAGAACGTTACTCCTCCTTGGAACTCCCCCATACTATCTCACCTCACCACCTTGAGCCTTCGCTATTCGAAACCGAACTCACAAACGACTCGACCCTTTGAATTGCGGGAACTGCTACAAGCCTTGCAACGCATGCCCTCCTTGCAAACGCTTGGGCTTCAGAACTGTCCAACGCCATTCTTGGGTCCTACGCCTACCAGTGGCACTATCAAGCTCCCGAATCTCACCGTGCTGAATGTTGGGAAGGTTTCGACCTCCAGTTTCGTCCGTTTCGGAAGCCTCCTCGTGCTACCAAACCTTCGACGTCTCACAATACAGTCCTTCGTCCCTGTATTGTCCACGGCGGCTTGGGACGGTTTTTTCAACACATTGAAGTCTCTCTTCCCAGACTCGTCTTTTGTCGATGCCTCCCCTCGCGCTCAGTTCCACAGGCTTGTCATACATGCCCATCTGTGTAGACAAGGGGACAACATCTTTCATTATCGAGTCAACGCAACTTCACTGGCCACCAGCTCGTGTTATCGCACCTGTTTAAAGTTCATTGTCCATTCAGCCGCCTCTCCCACCGAGTTTTGCAAAGCTCTACTCGCGTCGCTTCCTTTCCAAGATCTCAGTATCTTAATCTTGGCCGACGAGTCCTCAGCCAAAACAACAAGGTTACCATCGACATTCCCGGACTGGTCCTGGACGGAAGAAGATTGTCGTTCCTTCTTCACCTCTCTACCGAGCTTGAAGATGGTAGTCTGCGGTCATAGGGACCTCACTTCATTTTGGGATTCCTTGTTCCCATCTAGTCCCAGAACGGCCGAGGAGTTCGACATGGCGATGTCAGTCATTACGCAGGCCTTAGCTCAAGAGTCGCAGGTCACAAAACGTATCGCCGATTTACTCTCGAAAAGCCCGTATCGCCGGCTCGCCCACTTACCGCGCTTTATGGACGTGGTACTCGCTGAAGCATCGTCAAGTGGCCCCGCGTCTGGGTCTCACTCGCTCTCCGACGATTCTCACTACCTACCCGATATATCGTGCGACGCGATGGTGGTGCTCCCGAGGACGAGAGAGAGAAAAAAGGTGGCCGACGAAGTCGTTTGGAAGACTCGATCGACGGTGACGGTCGGGTCGGGGGAAACACAGGAGGAAATCAGTAAGGAAGCCGTGACGACTTTCCGTTTGTTTTGAGGATGTGCCAAGGTGTATCATTTTAGGTTGGTCTGTATCTATTCTGACTTCATTGGAGGGGCTGCTCATAGCGTATCTGTTTATAGGATCGTGCGCCTCAGCGACTGTCACTCAACCTCAGCCGATCCATTCTTTCCATTTGACTGACCTCGATACAACTCCTTCGTCCTTTTCGCTGTCTACGACTTCCATATGAGCTTTCTTCTGCACGTGAGAGACGGTTTTCTTCCACGATCCCCTCTTCAACTCTTCAAACCAGTTATACTCTGTCCACCAACCCGCCACATCCCTTTTACCGCGTTGTCTTATCTCGAACTGCATCCTACCGAGGAAGTCCACGGTCTATATATGGCAGCCTTATAGTTTTAGCTAGCTTCCGGTCACAATAATACAATCGGCATCTACAACATCGTTAAGCCGACGGGAGGTGCAGGTCAGAGCTATCACACCTTGTATGAATGGTGTAAGTAGTATATGGGCCAGGTAGAAGAACTTGAGGCTTATTCCAAGCTCGTGACAAGATTTGGGTAGAATGCCAGGTCTATTTATATCATGTCTTCGAAGTTTGCCGTCTGTCACAGTGTGTGCCACAGAGCCAAGCAACTGGCCCCATCAATGTTCCGATCCGGGTTCTTGGCCCGCGGCAGAGTCGCCTCCTCCGTCAGCCTCCGTCCCACACCGTGACGTCTATAGTTGCTCATTATCTGCACGCCCGTCGCCATCATGATAGTCTTGCATACTCTGTGCTGCTGGCTGCTGAACCCAGATGATACTTATCTCAGACGAAGTCTCGTCCTTTGGTATTAATACATGATTACGAGGGCGATGGACGTAACCGCCGAACTTTTTGCACATCATTTCGAACGCAAACAGCTCCTTATACTCTCCAACGTCAGTGTCAATGACCCGTTTGCCAGAGAGTATGACTCTTCCTTGGGATACTCTTGTGTCACATTGCCTCACAACCCTGGAAGTTCGCGATACCATTCGAAGCGCACCAGTTACTTCGGTCACTGAACGCGTCTGCTTCGGAGCTGGCTTGCACACTTTCTTCGTGGGCTACTTTTGGTGGCATGGCGGAAGTATTCAGCATGCTGGAGATTAGTACAGTTGGAATTGTCGCTCCCGTGCGTTCCAAGAGTCTCCTCATACTGCCGAAGTTTGGTTCACCACTGTACCACCAGCGTCTACGACGTCCTGGGACAGCCTTTTTGTCTCTCGTTTCTCTCCTCGGTTCGTCTTCTACCAATGCCATAGATGCTCGGCCCCTCCAACTCGTCATATACACTCATCACTGTAAAGGCAGGAACCGCGGCTTCAATATCGAGTCAGTCACACAGTCATTCGTACTTAGTTCATGTCGACGCTTCTTGAACCTCCATTACCTTCTCTACCACTTCTCACACAGAGTCCTGCAAGGCATTACTTCCTTTGCTTCCTCCCAAAGATCATAACGCTCTGAGTCTGGTTGATGTGTCTCCCCCCATGGCCGGACCCCGTCGACACCTCCGCTGGAACGAAGATTGTCGGCCTCTTCCCATTCCATCGCTAGCGAGTCATTGGCTTTGGAAGGCGTCGCTGCTGCTCAGTCTACTCGACGATCCCAACGTGCCGATGGTCGCCGTGCGGACCATAACCCCAGAGTTATTCGTCGCAAAACATATCAGCGATCTCCGCTCGGTAACCCCATATTTACCGCCCCCTGTCCGTGACTACCGCAACTCCTCGATACGAAGATTTCCGGAACAGGTTCAGAAGACCTCGCGTCCGCTCCGACTATCTTCCCAATATGACGGGCGATATTATGGTGGTTATATCGAGAGCTCCTGAGAGAAGAGACGTCCCCGAAGAAGTTACCTGGGCGACCGAGTTGAATATGCGGTCGGGGAAGGTGAAGAAGTCTGTGTATTTGAAAAATAGTGTGGTGTATTTTCGTTTACAATTGAGGATGTGTGGAGCTATCTGTCTACCTAGTTTCCGCTATTCGATCTATAGCCTCTTTCTCTGTTCCTGAATATCCTTGCAGCGTGCTTTCTTCACGCGGTCCTTTTGCATACACTTTTGGTTTCTTCTACCCCCTTCATTGTTACCTGAACATCCTTGTTATTTCAAACACTTTCGGTCTACTGTATCTTGTTCGTATAGCACACACATCAGCGCATCAGTTGGACTTTTTGCTGGAACCATCGAAAGTAACGAATATTAATTTGACTGTATCTACGTTGGAGGATGTACAGAAAGCAAAAATTAAAGCAGCGATGTAAGTAGAGAGAAAGCATAGGCAGGTATGAGGTATGAAGGGTATTATGTTACGTGTGAGCAAGGTGAGCACTTGGAGACTCGCATAAGCATGGGGTATGTATATGATGTCGTGCAAGTTCGTGGGGGGGAAATCGTCATGAGTCCAAACCTGGCGAGAAAAAGAAAACGCATAGCGCCGTCACATCGTCCCGTATTCATCATGCCTCATTAACTTCGTCCGAGCATGAAATCCTTCAGTCCTTTCCCCAACTTTCTCACTCTACCCTTCACGCTCCCGCTACCCTTCTTCGGCGTCTCGTGGAATTTATATTCTTGCATCCGGTGGGGTTCTTCCTCGCTCCTTCGTCTCGCTAACGCCATCCTCAGTTCCACCTCTCCACTCATCGAGAAGCCTCCTCCCATTGTCGACTTCAAGGGCACAGGCAGCGAGATCCTCGCCATCTTCTTACGGCCGTCTCTACCTGTTGTCATCATCGGCCAGTCCGAGTTTTCTCCGCTGTTTATGCTGAGTGCACTCATAGCTGGTCGTTGGACAGAGACAGATGAGCGGGCGGAGGTGGGGTCCGGTGTGCGTGGCGGCGTCACGGGGAAGGGCCCATCCCCGAATGGCGTGCTTGGGCGAGACATATTCTTTCGTATAGCAGTATAGTATGGCCGGCTGGGGTGTCCTAAGCGAACGTCTGGCTCAGCGAATGAAGACTGAGAGTTGCAATTGGCGACGGCAGATGGAGCTGATGTTCGAGACATGGATGCGGAAGAGATGTTCTCCGAGACCGAACGTCCATGGGTTTGGGGAGGAATGGACATGGTCGGGATGGAGGCACGGCTTCGAAGAGAGCAGGAAGATTTCTTCTTCATGACGACCATTCTTTGTTTCCGTCGAAGCGTACGTTCAGAACCGCCTGGTATACTCGATGAAGATAGAGCGATGGTTTGCGTTGAGCTGTCGAGGGTATTGGAGGAGAAGTACGAGGTTCGTGAGAGAAAGTCTTGACTGCAACTTTGGTGAAGTGTGGGAGCGCTTGTGGGCCTTGTTTCGAAAGAAGCCCAGTCCGCTGAAGGCCAATGACGAAGGGTGAGCGACTGAGCGTCCGCCACTGTGCACGGGAAATCGGGACCGACGTCCATTGCTGCGCCTTGTACTTGGCTCATGCCGTCGCTCGCAGCAGAGCTGGGTGACGAGCGTGAAGTTAAGGACCGACCTTGACATGGTCGAACTCGGCGAATACGTTGCTTCCTCACAGACGTGCCAAAACAAGGGCGGTCATCACAATCTACAAAGGTACGTTTCGTGGTATTTGTAGTAGAAGTCTAGATGAAAGTACACATGCAATAACATGAGCAAGCGACGAAAGCAGAGGGCCCCCATGATTTGATGTGCACAAACTTACATTAGTCGAAAAAACAATAGTGCGCTGATCATCGTCTTCTTCTTCTTTAACGTCATCGTCGCTTGAACGGTTTGTTGAATCCGGTGTAGACGTCGTATGGTTGAATTCTCTGCTGGGGGCGCTCAACGTGCGTACTCGAGGCCTCAGTTGCCAGAATGCATGTGAGACTTCTGAAGATGTCCACGTGCACCACAAACACAGTGGAACGTAGGAGTTGGAGGACCCGCAGTTCTGACAGGTGAACAAAGGACGATTCAGAGGGGCAAGTAATAGCGTTGGGAGGGAGGTTGACTTTGAAAGATGCTGCCACAGCAGATAGATATGTGCACTATGAGCCAGGCATTACTTGTTTAAGTGATATTGAGTGTGAACTCACTGGTTTAGATGGCTTCCACTCTCTTCGGAAGATGCGTGGACGGTCGAGCGGATCTTGCTCGTCGATGAGTCGTACGGTCATGGCTTGTCGTATATGGATAGAGACGTCGAGACCAACACAGACCAAATTATGATGAACTTAGTGACGAGTGCTGATGGTAGAGGTAATTGGTATGCGGGGTATAGGTCGTAGTTGCGATGTGAGCCGGTGGTGGGATCGGATAGTATGTTTCCAACTTTCCTTCTGTCTGGTTCGTGAGATAGGCCACAACGAGAAGCAAGGTAGATTAAAACGTCTAGAGAGTATCGGGATTCAAACAGGTGTAGTGGGTCATGCTACAGCATGTCTTAGATGCGGTCGGCGTCAAGACGAGGCATGTTTGCAAGCGAGGCAGAGACAGATGAATACAGCAGTCCGTCTTGAGCAACACGCTTTGAACACCGTCGCGTGGCACACGTGAGGGACCGGTAGACTGGCCAGAAGAGCAGCACTTACGCGTCTCGCCACTTAGTATTCTTGCTCTGACTGCCGCAACTCCCACCTTGTTCTGCTTGGAAACTTTCCCTAACACCCACTGCTTACAGTCAATAGTACCATGACTTCTTTCTCGGTTCACACAGCTGCGCAGAATAGTAAGTGAAGTAACGTCCGATAACGGCTTAGATCTGTTATTGATGTTCGCCACAGACCAACTATCACTGCTACGGTCTCTTGTCTCTGAGAATCCAAGTCTACTCAATGCTGCAGATGCAGTAAGCATTATATATCTCCAATCTACTGAATTTCACAGCCAACCAATGTGTGCCACTTTAGGATGGACGTACACCTTTACACTGGGCCGCATCCTCTGGCTCTGTCGACATTGCCAGGTACCTCGTTGATCAAAAAGCGGACATAGACAAAGTTGATGCGAGCGGGTGGAGCGCTCTTCATATTGCAGGTGCAATGGACTCCATTCATTAGCCTTGATCTCACACGACGGACGCTATACTTATTTTTCATTGGTCCCTTCAGTCAGCGCTGGCCACGAGGATGTAACTAAAGAACTCGTCGGGGCAGGTGCAGATGTAAATAAGCGGAACGACAAAGGCCTCACCCCACTGTAGGCATCTCTTTCACGTATTGCTCCGGGAATAACCGCTAACCTCGATTGCCTGGAAGACACTATGCAGCTTCCAAATCTCGAATCGACGTCGGTCCTTCTTTTTCTCTCATCATCTCACATGCTCGACAATGTAAAATAACGGCTCTCAAACATGTTTCCACACATCCAGATCGGAAAGTTCTTGATCTCGCGGGGAGCCGACGTCAGTGGTTGGCTTCTCCTTCGCGAGCATCTTGTGAACCTTCCCGTACTCACCTGGTCTTATTTGGTTCGCATCGCTAGATCAACGCCAGAGACAAAGCGAATCAGTTGCCCCTGTAAGTGCATCATCCTTGTTACTATGTCTACTGGCGCCGATGATTACACCGTGATACGTTTTACTACGCTCTGTGCTGGCATCGCGGGGCCGTGATTTCTGCGCGCTCACGCATACGCAGCCATCGTGCAGCCACCACCGGTTCGACCGGCTTTATCACACTTCTCCTGCATCCGCCCGGTGAAGGTCATCCGAAACCAAGGTTAAACACCGGAGACCGCCTCGGTGTGTATTTCTCGTACTTTGTTTTGCGAGATGGGCCGGGATTTCTCACTCCTGCCCAACTGCCTCTCTTCGTTTCAACCTGCTTTGTTTATCCGGGGAATACAGGCAACACACCTCTACACCTCGCGATGGAGTCTGCCCATGCGGAGGCCGCGGCTCTGCTCGTCGAAGCCGGGGCCGACAGAAGCCGTGTAAGTATTTCCTCCCTCTCTCTTGAACCCTATCTTATTGTTCATGCATTCGTGCTCTTTACCCGGACTTTTTTCACTCAACTGCTCGCGTTTTCATTGTTGCACTATGCGCAGACGAACCTAGACGAGCAAACCCCGGAAGAGCTCGAGGGTGTGGGAGGGCAAGAGCAAAAGCGTGCAAGGGACTACCTCGCCAGCCGATGCGGTAAACCCTGATTGCTTATTCTGTCGTGCTCCTCTCGCGTGGCATCCTGTGAGAGTTTTAGGTCTTCTGCTTGACTTGCGAGGATGGTCCAGGCGAGACGTGGAGGGAGCTGAGGAGTTAAGATTACGTGTATATGTAAGATGCTGTTGACTGTTCGGATCTGACGAGAATATGATGTTCCTGGGAGACAACCTCACTTCTCAGTCACAGCCCCACGCCAACCTAAACTTTGCCCCTGTGCGTAAAATCTCGCGGCCAGCTCATTGAGGATGTTGCATGTTTCGGTGCGTGTTCGTGCGTGTACTGACGAGCGTGCATCACGATGCGGAAGCGCTGCGGAGAGCACTGTGATTGAAGCTGGGTGGGAGAACAGCAGAGCTCCGGGTATAAACATTAGTAGGCTTAGCCTAGGACCGAAGCCTCAAAGCAATAAACACGGGCGTATAACATTCAACGAGTCAAGTAAGCAGGAAGACCGAGATACGACAATAGTGCTACAAAAGGGCATAGGTCACTAAGGACGTAGAAATTGATACAAGAATTAGGTATGAATGTAAGGTCCTTGCGGAGAGGTGATGGCCAGACCCCAATAAGAAGAATGAAAGAGGAGAAAGAGCATACGGGAGGAGCATTGTGAAGAGAACGAAGATCATTTGAGACCGATGTAATAGAAAGGTAGAATTATGTAAGGAGTGTGAGGGCTAAAGAACTATAGCAACGATATAAGTCTATGGAGGATTAAGGAGTGTTTGGTATGAGAGACTGGAGGCAAACTAAGGAACTATGGTAGAAGACGAGGCTGAGACCATCATTGTTCGTCAGAGGCTTGGTGGCAGCAACGAAAATAAAGAAGACGTACCTATCGCTCAACACCTCTTCGCGAGCAACTTGACGAACAATTTCCTCTTGACGTCCCGACGGTCCTTCCCAAAATACCTGCAGGCAATGGCATCAGCTTCGATCACGTAACCAACGACGCCATGGAGGAACCGACCGTTCGGTCAAAAAGGACCAGTGAAGAGACCCGATGATCCAGTTTTGAAGACCGTCGATGTAGGACTCCACGTTGCTATCAACAATAGGACCCCATGAGGGCAACGAACGTCTGGTCTGTTCGAAGGTGTCGATGCTACGTTCACACAGATCCGCGACGGCATCAATGGCCTCCTGGACCGCGAGACCTTGTTCATGCATGAGGACAACGACCATGTTATGTGTGTCCCCACGCGACTGCTCGACGTTATAAGAGAAGATATCCTGGACACGAAGTGGGTCAGCTATGCTCCTTGACTTGCAGACCTGAAGAGGATGCCGGGTATACGATGGCATTGGATTACTCACATTCGACCAGGTGACTAAGTCATTCGTCGCATCTTGGAGGATCTGAATAGATGGATGTTCGACGACGGCATCCGGGAGGTCATATCCGCCTGCGAATTCGATGAGAGCGAAGCACGGTTTGCACCCGCTGGTGTCCCTACGAAGGGCGATGTACGATTCGAGATCAGGGATGTCGTCGTAAGTGCGATCCAGAGCTTGCTGCCGGACGGCACGGAAGAATAGTACCATGGTGTCGATGAACCTTTTCGTGCGAAGTGGGCCGCCGTGCTGAACGAAACGTCCAAAGAACCTGAGAATAGGAAGGCAGTCATCAGTACAGTTGTCGATGCAACCAAGTATGATGACTCAGAGACTAGGGAATAGAGGGCTAATAATAAATTGCACGCACGACTTGGCCAGCTTTCCCACCGCTTTGTCCGTCTCGTAGTGAAGAGGGTCTCGCAGTGCCGCCAGAACGCAGTCACGCATCCCGTCGACGTCTTCAGCCTCGAACTCGTCCGTCCAGTCATCGAGCTTGAACAGATAGTTCATATAGTCGGCGACGACACGTAGAGATTTGGCAGAAGCATCTGGGTAGCACATCGAGGCAAGGTCACCGGCCCTCAGGCGTAGGAAGGCTTTGCGCTTCTTGTCGGAGAGGTGTGCGCCATTGAGGAGCCATCGTTCGGAATCATCTGCGACCGAGCGGCCGTATGGGTTGACACGAAGAGGATAGGCACAGTATGAGATGAGATCAGGGAAAAGGAGAACAGAGTCGTCGGAGATGAGTGTATGTGAATGCACGGTGGAATGAGGCATGGCGAGTTAAGGGTGTAGGATTAGGGGAGGCGAGTAGATGGTGTGGGGGGTTTTCCAGGAGAGAGTAGACTATATGGGCGCGGTAGATTAGACGGTGCTTAAAGCTTTGCCTTTATACCTTCTGGCGGCGATCATTCCCAGTCGGTTGCACAAACGCTGTGCAGCCTCACTGGCTACGACACTGACTCGCATGCCCAGCATTTTGGGCAAAACACGGTGGATCTTCCCAGAGGGGTAAAAAAAAATTCAAGATCTGGACAACTTGGGGATACACCGCGCTCGCGCCTGTTCGCCACGGGGATTGGCCAGGAAAAGCCTCCGAATATTTGGAGCGTGGTGTGTGGGATTCGGGACTGGTTGCAAGATCCCAGTCCACAGATTACTTGTGAGGCCGAAGAGAAGCAAAGTCGAAGCCGTCATTCATTTAGGGGGTTGGTTCAGATCGAAGCAAGATTCCGTGGGTTTTTCCGACTAGGGCATCATAGCTGCATTCGCAACCAGATTCAGCACTGCACAAACTGAGCTCGGACGGGCATGGTTACGAGAGGTAATGAGCTGCAAGACTTGCGTAAAAGGCACAGACTGATACACAAATAGTTTGATGATTCTGTTCCAGACCTACTCGGAACAGAGTCACCAAGCGGTGAAGCAACTTTTCAACACGTTTCATGGGGTATTTCCATACGAAGGCCATTCTCTGTCGCGACCAATTCGACGTAAGGAAAAGCGGCAACGCAGAAATCGCGGCGGATCAGACTGGATCAAGTCTTCCTTGGCGCATAGACATATACCATGCCGGAGGAAGAGAATTGAAGAACAGAAGGAGAAGAGACCCTTCGAGCCCAGTGGAAGACAATAAGACTTGGCTTGCCTGTAGGGCACCTAAAGGTTGGACCACGGATAAACTTGGGAAATGTACCGGTAGAAGAATGAACTCTTCAGCTCGCGAGCACCACTCAAACCTTGCCATCTCTGTGGGCCGATACACTGCAACTCCTTGGGTATCACATCAGGGCATGAAATGATGGCACTCCATGTGGCCGCCGACGATTTTGGAGCGAATGACGCTCGCGGGTGGCTAGCAGTGCCACATATGCATGGGATCTATTATGGAGACGGTGAACTCACCGACGGCATGATCGCATATTGGCAGAAATACCCTCTTTTACGGTAGTCGAAGAACCCACTCTTTGTATTGATTCGCGGACATCCGCTTGGGTGGCCCTTCGCGGTACTCGCTCTCCGCGCCGTGCTTCTTGAGGGCAGCCTTGACACAGGGGCTGGAGGAGTCTGAATTCCGCGTAAATAATCGGGTAGCACCACCGTCACTACGTACGGTAAGGATGCGAAACCGTGCAAAATTCAATTGAACTCACCCACAACAGTAAGTGCTTTGACAAAACAAATACCGTTTAACAAGCGTCCAAGTGTTTTTGGTCCAAACTATAGCAGAGGCATGGGCAGGCATGTCGTTCGTCGCTCGCTTTCGCTCAGCCTCGTGTTTGCAATTTCGTGTTGCGCTGAGTTTGAAAACAGTCGCCGGATTTGGTTCCAGGTGGCCCTGCCGCCCGCAACTAGCCGCAACTTCCAACCACTCAACTCTCTGTGGCACTCAACTGAACTCAGGATGGCGTCTTCAGCTGCCTTACCACTCAAAGTAACATCAACCCCTTCCAAGCCAGAGCGTACTACTACCCCCGCCGCAACTGCATCGACTGTTGGCAAGCAGACCAGTGGGGTCTCTGACCCCTCTGATATATCTAGCCCTCACGAACTGACTGCTTATGTACGGCATCCCCTCTCATATCCGTCCTCCCTCTACCCCGCATCGGACCTGCCTGACCGGTCCTCGTACATTGACATCTGTTTCCTGTGGAATCCTGCAAATTAGGTGGAGAATCTCTTGGAGCAACTCGACGCCAAGTTCGACGACATGTCGTCGCAGATCCTCGACCGCAGTGCGTAATCTCCGCGTCCACAGACACCGGTCCCTTTGTGCACTCCTCGGCCTCACCCACAGTTTAATTATACCGACTGATCCTCCATTTTCGTCATATTTTTTCCAGTGATGCAGATGTCTGGTCGTGTGGACGCACTGGAGGCCTCTATTCAGGATATCATCAATGGTGATACCAATCCGGCTAACAGCCTGCCATCGTCACCCGCAGCGACGGCGACGAATACACCAGGCCCTCCCCGACGGAGCGGGAGTACCGCGTCGTGATCCTTGGATTGTTATGTTTCAGCTTGTACAACGTAAACCATAGCATTTACAAATTTCCTGTCGTGATGGGTGTGCGGAACTAAGCCAACGCTCCAACTTCGGACATGAGCACCTCTGCAGGCACTGTGCGGCATCCTGTCGTACATAACCAACCTTGCGCGATGGATCTGTCCGCGTTCAATATCTCAGCATGGTCTTTCCAGGCGAACACTTTACCGAGTATGAATGCGGCGAGGCCGCGGAGTGTATTGTGCCAGCCTTGTTCGGTGCGTAGTTTCGGTATGTCAAGGCAGAAACTGGTGGAAAATGCTGGGACTTATTCGGCACATATGGCTCCGAAGTAATGAACTTCAGGCTGGGCTGCTCAAAATTGATTCGTTTTCACATGGATCGTATAGCTCGTACCAAGGACAACTATTCAACCGTTCATCATACAATTTACCAACGGGATTCCGAAGCAGAAAATTAAAGGCCCAGGTCAAATTCCACAAGAGCCCGTTCCTTGTTCAGTCCAACATGGCCCCTCCACTCGCACCCCCCGGTGTGATGGCTCTTCTCGTAGGCGCGGAAGCAACGCCACTTGGAGGACCCCCGAATAGAGACGACATGATGTCCCCGAATGGGTTTGCCTGCTGCGTGCGTGGAGGAGGGATAGCAAAGTAGACGGTTGCAATCTCGTTCAAAGCCTATGAAATAGAATGGAAAATAAAATTAATTAAGAAGCGGTTCAAAGAATGTTCGACGCCGGCAGCGAGAGGCCGTGCAGAAGAGGAAGCGAAGGAATACCACGCATCGCGGATCATTTTGCAAGATGAGCGCGTACCTGTCGAACGTCTGGTGCGGCGAGGATTCCTCCACGGCTCTGGTAAGTCCCGCACAGTCGAACCCACGCTTCTCTCGCGATCTTGTTTTTATCCCCCTGGGCTCTTTGGCACGTTCTCACCGCCAATTGAACAAAGTTCAGCGCTGTATCCTTGGTGAAAATGATCTCATCGTCGTCTGTCTTGCCTGTGGAAGTACGTGAGGGTATAGGAAGAGGCTCCGGTTGGATGGGCGATTGAAGGGGTGGACTTGAAAGCGGAAGCAGTTGTAAAAACGAGGCGAGGAAAATGCGTGCAGCGAGGATGTTTCCGTTCAGGAGGTAACTGGTTTCAGTATAAAGTCGTGTCAGTGGTTTCGTAGGTTACGGGTTCTGCATCGTGTAGAAATATGTCAACGCACGGTATCGTTCCCCGTAACCCAAACGAGCCAGCATGAGCGGCGACTCCATCAGTACTTGACTGTGCCCAGTCAACGTACACATGGGCCAATACACGAGCACTGTCTCGCTTTCCAGCCGCTAGCAGGTGGCTTTCTGTAGCATCAACGACGCCCTCTTTAGTTGAAGAGCGTGGTTCAATAGAGCAGCGGGCATCAAGCGCAGTAAATGATGTTAGTCCCGCTATTTCCGATGAGTGGGGGCTAGGCAGCAGGCACGGTGCGAACCTTTGTATAAAAGCTCTCCAATGTAATGATGGAGGTCAGGATCTCCAGCGGGATAAATTCCGTGTTTCGCAGACCATCTAGCATTGGTTCGGGCAATGGGTTAGGGCACTAGGTGTCGACGAGTAATGGGGGCGTACACAACGGATTTGTCGATGATAGTCTTTCTCCATGTGCCCTCAGAGCCAGTCAGAGCAATCAACTGGGTCAAGCGGCCTATACAGAAACATTACTACCAGACAGCGAACCATAACTCACTTGGGCCACACAAGGAAACGTACCTCTCGACTCCTCGCCGACCTTCTCTCCCTTCGCATCGTATACATCGAGCAAGAAGACCGTCAGATCCGTGCCACTACCCTGTTGTCCTGCCTTGAGCAGTTCCCGAGCACTTTGGAAGAGCACATCGATTGCGGTGTCGTATTGCGATGACTTCTGGTAGCGTGAAGCGAATGTACGCGCTTTCTGGTGCGCTTCATAGGCTTGTCCAGACGCGATGAGGGGAAGAATAGCCTGCAGAGCACGAGAAGAGCTGGCCGCCTGTGGTGCCATTGTAACTGAACAGTGGAACAAGTTAAAGTCGATTGTCCCTGGTGGTATGTATGCACGGTTCGCAAGCAATCAAGTGTCACGACTGAATCGAGCAATGTTTCTGACGCAAAGACAAACAAGGTGGCGTACTGTAGTGGCACCGAATTTGTTATTATCGGATCACGAGTTCGCGTCTGCCGGCCGCGCTCGTCTCGTTCATCCTTACCACAATTCAGCAAGCTTCAGCTCGATTATACTTAGGCCCACTCGGACGGTGTTTATCTTTTTGCTTCCAAACCAGTTATGGATGCCTCAGACCCATCGTTCTTCTCTACTCCAGAGCTCTCCTATGACGACACACTTTCGTATTCGGAACAAATCCCAACCACTATATCAGAATCGACGTCCGTGGCCGAATTCCTCGATGAGTCGTCTTCGACTGAGCCACATGGACCGTCTCTAGCGGACCGCATAGGCAGGGGAAAAGTCTATCTGTTAGAAGATGTCACAGCATCAGCGAGTACTTCAAGGACTTCCAAGGTTAGTTCGATCCCGTTGACGTCCTCGAACAGAGAGGTCATGTTTCTAATGTAGCAGTTGGGGCTACCTGTTTTCTACTTGTGTATTTTATGACGGATTACATTTTGGAATACTTAAATTGTTAGAGGAAGAGAGGAGATGAAGCGGCTTCAGAAGATGTGGCTGAAGGCCTCGAAGAGGACATGGATGCGGGTTAGTCTCAAGGCTTCTCTTATTTCCCCTGATACATAATGATGCTTAACAATCTGTGCAGACAGCAACAGACGCGCAAATGCTCTACTGCTACAGGGATCACCTATAACCCATCTCCCTACCGCTCGAATCTTTGCCTACGCGACCCACTTCGACACCCACCCCATAGGTCTCGAATGGATCTCTGATACAACATGCATTCTCGTCTTCCCTTCATCGTCATCTGCGCGCATCGCCTACTCGTCACTACAGAAGACTAAAGTCGGTCCGGACTCACTCCCAGCAGAAGATGAAGAGGGCTTCGTTGTGGCCAAAAGTATTCCCATGGCTTTCTGGCCCGCAGAGGAACGAATCAACGCGAGTCTAGGAAAAGGTGAAGGTTTGAAGGGCACTATTCTTATGCGATGGGCCAGGATCGATGATGTAAAGAAGAAGAGGGCGAAAGAGGAGAGCGCATTCTACAGGAAATATGGAATGGATGCCGGGAAGGAAGCGGAGAAGAGAAATAAGGACTTGGAGGCGCGGATAGACCCCAGGTCTGAGCTGGAGTCTCGGCTCGGTGGGACAGACGTATCTAGTAAGAGGCGGAGGACTGAAACGGACAAGGACAAGAAGGATGAGCTGGACCGAGAGCTGGAGGGCTTTTTGAAGGCAGATAGCGAGGATGAGGTCGAGGAGCCACCTTCGAAGATGCGGTCAGATTACCTTGATGGTGGACGACATGGTAGGGCAAAGAGTCTCTTGGAGAGAACATCGGAGCTACGGAGTCATCCTTCGGCGTCGTTGGCTGATAGAATTGTGGCGAGACTACCGAGAAGGGCTAGGAGAGACTCTCCACCTGAACGGGCTCCCCGCGAGCGTACCGGGAGAGCCTCTCCTACCAAGAAGAGCCAGCAGGAATTAGACGACGAGCTGGACGCTTTCTTGACTGGACGTGGATGAGGACCATATAGCATATCATGTCTTTGCCAAATTATGCAGGTGTGGCGTCTTTCTTGGTGTACACGTCGGAGCTTACCGGGGCCACAGTCCCACCATCCATGTCGAAGTACTTACCAATTGTAGTCAGTTCACAGGATACTTTTATCAGAATCGAAAGCACTGTGAACGCCCGCTTTCGGACTGTTTGATCGCATCTGCGTCCATCCATGCGTATCGCTCACTGATCACACCACGTCCGCGAACACCAGAGTCCGCGCAGTCTCTCCAGCTGCTCAGTACGATGCCTAAGGGCCACAGTAAGAAGGCTTCAAAATGTCGTGCACCAAACAGTCTAACCGATGAAGAGGCGAGTGCCATAGTCGTATCGTTCCTTCAGCTGCTTTCTAGTGGCGAGCGACACGACTACATCAACGAGACCTGTCGCCTCATCCATGTCCCAGGTACGTTTTGTGGTCATGGCCTAGCGTTGTTTGGGCTGACGGTCCAGACAGACTACAAGACACGAAGCGGAATGAAGACGTGCAATTCAGACTTCACCGCCATCTCCTCCCGCCTAAATGCTGTGGCTTTTTCCGTACAGCACCGTATACAGATGTTTAGCTACGGCGCCGACGAACTACCAGGGTTAGACTTGCTATCAGGCAACATCGTCACCATATACGCAGGTCTAGCGGAAGACGTATTACTCAGAAGTCGAATATTCGCCGAAGCTCGTCAGTCATGCCCGATATGTTTTATATTTACTGAGCACTTTACTGACACGCCTGCCTTTGGGGCATAGGTTTCCTGGACATCGCTCTTCCTCTTTTGTCAAGAAGCTCGTCCGGTCGCAACATCGTTATGGGATGCCTCAGCAGCATCACTCACTACAACACCGATGATGCCCTAGAGGCCCTCGCTCGTCAGATTCCGACCATCCTCCAAGCAGGAGAAAATAATATCGACGACATAACTTTTGCGGATAAGACGGTGTGCGTGCTCTCGCACAGCGCCATGTTCGCTACCGGTGGCGAGCAAGGTCTGAGAGTAGATGTGCTCCCCCGCGTGCACATACCTCGGCTTATCCGCTTCTTCTTAATGGTCATGCGGCAGACGCACGCATCGAAAACTCTGTTCCATATCCTCCTATTTTTCCAAAACTCCACCGACTCTTGCCACGACATCTATAAATCCATGCCTACCGCGGTCGACTTCATGGTTGCATGCACGCGCAGCAGTGATATCCGACGGCGTCGTTCTGCCCTAGTCGCCCTCTATGATCTTTATCGTAGAGACGTAGAGGTTCCTCCAAACGCTCAAGGTGTACCTTTCATAACTCCCACCTCTGAGCCTCCAAATGTTCGCCGAGCTCTTGATGCATACGGGCGACACCGTACAGAACGCGTCTTGAACAAACGCACTGTAGAATCCTACTTTGGTCTCATGAACGACTTCGCGGCGCAACGCGATCCCGATCTTTACGATTTCGGCACAAAACTCGTTCATCTGGTGTTGGAGAACGAGCGGTTCTTTCGACGATGTCCTCAGAATCCTGATTCGCAGTACTCTCCGTCCGAAATCCGTATCGATCCCGCTGTGTTGGCGTCTTTCAGAAAACCTCTCACGACCTTCGCCGATGCCATTCCTTTGTGTGTGGAGGCCATACGTAAACGCGGGGGCACATCGAACGAAGACAAGGCGGACATCCTCGAAATCGAATACCTCCTCTCCACCCACCATACCCTCGCGGCTTGCACTCTGGCCAGAAAAGCTCTTCGGCGGAACCCCCAGGTCGCCTTTTTTTACTTCGTCCTGGCTGAATCTGAAAGTGACGACCGTGCTACCCTCCGATTGGCGAAAGATGGTCTCAAGTGTTCGGATCTCCCTTTATACTTCCGTCTCTGGTTCCTTCGACAATGCGCGTTCAAGGCACATAACATGTCCCTAAAGCTGCTAGGCTACTCACAGGCAACGAGTGCTACCCTCAATGCAGCTACTGAGATAGAATCTTTGGTGAACAACGGCATAACGGACACCACGCTTTACCTCGCTGACTGCCCACCTGATGGTCAAAACATGCCAATTCTGGTTTATCTGCGTATATCCATGACGCTTTTGGGACGCGGTCATAAACTCAGTCCTGACTTGGGAGAATTCTCTGTAAGTTACAACCCTGCAGATATGCATCCAAACATAGTATGCCCAGTGACTAAACCACCTTGCGTCCGCAGGACGACAGAGAGAAAATTGCTCTTGCGGCCGATGTCGACCATATGTTCAAACGCAAACCATTACTCGGCTGCGTCCAGCGCCCTGTCTGCGAGAAAATCATGGATCGCATGAAGGAGTCCTGGGCCGACTGGGGCGACGCCATCTCTCGTTGCGACGGATCTGCCCAAGTTGACGTTCCAAATGTGACCAAAAACACCACTCAAACCATTCCTTCCAATGTCGACACCGCTCTCGACAGGCTCGACGCAACGCTCTCGATGGAAGATATTGAGCGAGGGATTCGGCTTAATGGCGCAGATCCGATGGTGGATAAGTATGGGGAGGCACAATTATATCATTGCGCCTGGTGTGGGGTTCCCAGCGCCGTCTTGAAACGATGCACTGTTTGCCATAAAGTCAGGTCAGTACGAGCTTGGATTGATCGTGATGCTCTTGCTCGAAGTCACTCGTCATGTTTACTGAGCTCATTTAAACAGATACTGTAATTCCACATGCCAGAAGAATGACTGGAAACGGCACCGTACTACCGAGTGTACGAAGGATGATGAGACGAAGCGAACGCCAGTTTCTGCGACGGATTAGTCACTTCTTGTCAGTCATCTGTGTTATATCGATTAACAGAAGTCTCCTGTTGTATTATATCGACTGCCTTGGTCCGTTATGCCTGTATACTAAGTTAGGACTTCAGAGCTGCTCGGTAGTTTACCGTGACTTTGGCCAGAAGAATGGGACGGCAAACGCCGAGCCAGCCCATAGCACCCGTACAGGGAAAGTACGCAAAGTTTCGTTTGCTCTCATTGTTCGGCTTCACGTTCACTCTCAATACCTGCTCTGCTTTCTCTTTTTGCATCATTTATCTCACGCCAAAAAGTATAATACACACACTCTGACCCATCATGGCTTCCGAGGGCGAAGAAACTGTTGTCGTGAACAGCAATAAGCGTTTTCGGAAGGAGAAACGTATGTTTCCCTACCCATAAGCCATTATCCCCAGGATGATGCACTAAACATGATCCCATTACCCTTGAATGTATGCTATGAATGCAGCATGGGACACAGATGACATAGACCAGTGAGTTTTTCCGTGAAGTCAACCACTCACTGCTTTGGCTTTTCATGAGTACTCACATATGTTTCTCTCGGCTTCGTCTAGTGTAAGTGAACCTTTCTGCCATGAGTGCACTGTTGGATCACACCTCAATCCGGACTATCCTTTTTTTCCACGGCGTGCTAGTGGAAAGTAGATGCTTTCACCGCGGCCGACAACAAGGGTGGCACCTTCGCTGAGGAATCGTCCTTCGCCACCCTCTTTCCGAAGTACCGAGAAAAGTATCTGAGAGAAGCTTGGAGTGCTGTGACGAGAGCGTTGGATCCACATGTACGTTTACTCGTATCTCTTTGCTCGGTTTCATCTCATCGGATCCCGTTCTTCTACCCACCAATGTCTTTCGTTCTCATCAATGTGCGTGTATCTCCCCCGGCCCCGAACTGTCAGGGTATCGCCTGTACTCTTGACCTCATCCACGGTTCAATGTCAGTACGAACGACAAGAAAAGCCTTCGACCCATACATGATCCTCAAGGCGCGCGATCTCATCAAACTTCTCGCTCGTGGTGTGGCCGTGACTCAGGCCGTGAAGATTCTGGACGACAACGTTGCATGCGACATCATCAAGATTGGAAACCTTGTGAGAAACAAAGAGAGATTTGTGAAGAGGAGACAAAGAATTATTGGGCCGGATGGGAGTACGTTGAAGGTATGCACTGATTTACTATGTTCCGATCAAGTATCCGTGCATGCCGCATTCGTCTGTTAGTTCTCTGATGTCGTCCCCTCATCTGCGTGTCCGAAGTGGACTTCTCTCGGACACATTCGCTTACCTGTCATATCTTCACAGGCCATTGAATTGTTGACCCAGTGTTACGTTTTGGTACAAGGAAGCACTGTTAGCGTCATGGGTCCTTACAAGTCTCTCAAGGAGGTTCGGCGGATAGTCCTGGATTGTATGAAAAACATACATCCAATCTATCGTATCAAAGTATACCATTTCTTACTCTACGTCCTTTGCAGCTTTCTCAATCTAAAATCCATCCAGGAACTCATGATAAAACGCGAACTCGCAAAAGACCCTAAACTTGCCACTGAGTCCTGGGACCGTTTCCTTCCACAGTTCCGACGCAAGCATCTGTCCACTTCAGAAAAGACTGCACGAAAGAACGAGCGGATGGAGACGAAGAACGATGCACGCCAGGCCGCTGGATTGGAGCCAGACAAGGCACCAAGCGCGATGGCTAAGAAGGAGAAGAAAGTGTACACGCCGTTCCCACCAGCGCAACAACCGCGGAAGGTACGCTGGCATGTTTTAATCGATTGGCGTATAGTATGGGTTGCGGTGAAAGGAGCTGATTTCGGGCATTGTGGCATTGTGGCATATTTCCAGGTCGATTTGCAATTGGAGTCCGGAGAGTACTTCCTCAAGCCCCATGAGAAGAAGCGGAGAGAAGAAAAGGAACGAAAGCAAAAGGTACATTTTTTGTGACCCCCATCTGTTAAATACATCATGCTCATCTTTCTTACCTGTACAGCAAGAGGAAACGACGGAAAAGCGTCGCGCCGAACGTGCAGAGCCTTTCATTGCTCCAGTGGAAACTGCAGAACCCACAGTGGAGGAGAAGCGCAAGCACAAACGGAGAGCAGCAGCGACCGAGGAGGATGCGATGCTTGTAGATGGCAACGGGGTGGAGAGCGCGGATGTCTCGAAACGAGAAAAGAAGGAGAAGAAAAAACGGAAGAGGTCAAATGCAGGCGAAGACATGGAGGTAGATGGATGAAGGCTCTGTCATTGACACCAGGTGTCGTGTTATTCTTTGTTTGCATGTACCATGTTCACTACATGCTTTTATGTGGCCTAAGGCCTTTCTGCTTCCTTTTCACGATCGTTAAGGTTGCGCTACGGCGACATATTTTCGCAGTTCGCGACAGTCAGAGACCCGCTGTGCTTGAAAGCTATTCTTCCTCACTTTGCCCGGGCCGGCAACGAGGTAGAGCAACTGGTGATTGACGATGGATGCGGTCCGTTACATGGCAGCTTACATCCAGAATTATCACAGAACCATCGTGAGCGGTCAGGTGAGCCAAAGACGAACACAGCTGGTACCGTGATTTTGTATAAAACCAAATGCTACCAATTTCTTCCACTTCATGCACTCATGTTCCCAACTACTCTCACCTTTTCTCTCCTATTGTTCATCCTATGTGCCAGGCAAGGTCTCGCGTTGGACAGGCACGCTGTTGTGTCCCGCTATAATCCCTCTCGCTCCGGGGATGTCAGCAACTTCACCACCCCTATGCAGGTCGGAAACGGCCGCTTCGCGTTTGGGGCTGACTTGACAGGCCTACAAACCATCCTGCCGTTCTCCATCATGTCTTCATGGGGATCCAAGAACGATTCTTTGCCCGCTAATCGCACAGAAGCGGATGTCGAGAATTATCACGGAGAGAGCTGGTATAACCATGGGAGGCTCGTGGAGTATGACTTTGGAGGAGAGCCAGAGCTCGAGCAGTGGTTGATTGCGAATCCGAACCGCGTTAATCTGGGACGCGTCGGGCTTGTATCACTGCTCCCAGATAGAACAGAGGTGAACCTTACCGATGGCGACATAGTAAACGCATCACAAACCCTCGATATATGGACCGGTAATATCACCAGTCAGTTCATCCTTAACAACGAGCCGGTCATCGTCAATACGTTCTGTGCGCCAGACGAGGACACGGTGGCAATCAGTATCGAGTCTACACTCTTGTCTGAGGGGCGCCTGGGTGTCTTCTTCGATTTCCCTTGGAACGATGGATCGAACAAGTTCTCGGACCCTTTCGTTGGGTTGTTCAACATGACTGCTAACCACACGACCAATCTCACTCTCGGTGACCTCGGCACCAACATTCGAGCACAAATCGCGCATACCATGAATTCTGTCACTTTCTTCACGTCCATAGCAGGGGATGCTTTCAACATCAGTCTCGACACGCCCGGCACGCATCACTATACTGCTCGCCCAGTCAATAACAACGCGTCTTCATTCTCCCTTTCCATTTCTTACGCACAAGAGCCGCCAGAAAGCGTCTCGCCCGTAGAGACCGTCTTCAAAGACTCCAGGGCGACATGGGAGGAATTTTGGACGAGTAACGGATTCGTGGACGTCGTGAGCAACTCAACAGACTCTCGTGCGGATGAGCTCCAAAGACGAATTATATTGTCTCGATACTTGATGAGGGTCAACGCTGGTGCCGATACGCCGCCACAGGAGGTAAGTTCAGTCCTTGTGAACCATTTATTCCCATCGTTAACGTATTTCTCTTGTAGTCAGGTCTCGTCAACAACGGCTGGGTATGTCGTCCTCAAATCCTAAACCCTGCTCGTATTTCTTCGGCTCATTTTTTCCTGCCTTAGTACGGGAAGTTTCATATGGAAGAGATATGGTGGCATTGCGCACACTGGGCCTTATGGTCCAACACCGATCTTCTCTCCACCTGTACTTCAGTCTACCAGCGTTTTCTCCCAACCTCCATCGCTCGTGCTCAAGTCGAACAGGGCTGGCCATCCGGAGCCCGCTGGCCCAAAATGACCGACCCTTCAGGCCGCTCAGCACCAGGCGAGATCAACAACCTCTTGATCTGGGAGCAACCTCATCCGGTCATCTTCGCCACCTACCAGCGACGCGCTACTGTACCAGGTACCGCAGAGGAGCGAGCCGTCCTCGAGCGGTGGAGAGATGTCGTACAGGCGACGGCTGACTGGATGGCCGTCTTCGCGTTCTGGAATACGACTACGAACGTGTACGATATCGGACCTCCGATGTACGTCGTCAGCGAGGACACCAGCCCGAACGTCACGATGAACCCCGCTTTCGAACTGGCATATTGGAGGCTGGGTCTCAACCTCGCCACGGAATGGATGCAGGCGTTGGGGGAGAATGATAGCGTATGGGGTGCGTGGCAGGATGTTAGCAGCAAATTGGCACCATTGCCGGTGCAGAATGGGACATATGCGGTGTATGAGGGTATCCCGGAGGACTTCTGGACGGATCCGGAGTTTACGAACGATCATCCTGCGATGACGGGGTTGTATGGATGGCTGCCGCCTACGCCTGGCTTGGACATCGATATCGTGAACGCGACCACACACAAAGTCTGGGCCAGTTGGAACGTGAGCGGTTTTTGGGGGTAAGCCACGTCCTCTGCCCCTCGTACCGCTCTTCCTTACCTGTCTAATTCGACCAGATGGGACTTCGCGATGTTGGCAATGTCGGCCGCACGTCTGGGAGAGCCCGAGCAAGCAATCGAGTGGCTCCTCCATCCACTTCTTCAGTTCGACGACGTCGGGATGCCCATAGGTGGCGTTCGTGTCCCTACACCGTACTTCCCAGCATCAGGCGCACTTTTGCTTGCTGTGGGTATGATGGCGGCAGGTTGGGAGAATAGCACGGGTGTGGCACCCGGATTCCCCGCAGACGGATGGTCTGTGCAGATGGAAGGGCTTGCGCGAGCGCTTTAGCGGTAGATTCTGCATCTTGAACGGCGATCACCTAGTTTGCAACAAGCAGCGGTCGCTGCACTTGAATAAAGCGTCATGTATTTGTAGTGGTAGCATTTCGATGAATCTCGAATGGTAGCGTCCGGCCAGAGGAAATACCTCTGACTCGCAATGAAATCCTCCTAGTGGGCTAGCTGCTGGTACTCATTTTGCGATTAACAGGCAACACACCTCGTTCTTCGCCCGTACTGCAAATGAGATTGGACATCAGAGCAAGAACGAGATGCGAGAACGCGAGACAAGAGCGCCACGTTCAGGTTTACGGAACAACTACCACAACAATCTTAGAGGAGAGCCAGAGGATTGTGGGAAACCACATCAGCTCGCAGATATTGATAGAAACGAGTCAGTCATTCATCGAGAACGATAGCACGATCCGTCTCACTCCGTCGCTCGACCAGGCCAAATTCCATTTGAAGAAAGACGCACGACCCGAACATGCAGCAAGATGCAAAAGAGAGGGCCATGAAAGGAGCGCATGGGGTGGCATTCGGAGAGGCATAGTGGTACATATCGTGGTGCATAGCCCATCTTCAAAAAGCCGACGAAATGACGAGAAAGCGGTGGAAACAAGACAGAAGATGCAGGGGGAGATTGAATTTAGTGGCCTGCCCTCCTGCTCTCCTGGATGATGGTGCTGAGCTCCTCAAGCTTGCGCTTGGAGCGAAGGAGCGTCCCGAGCTAAGTGAACGGAGGAAACGATGCGCAAAGCGTCAGGAAACAAGTTTATAAAGCCAGACGAGGGAACTGTAGGATCGAGACTGGAGGGATGAAGAAACAAGACGCACCCGCTTCTTAGTGAGCTTACGGGCCTTCTTATCCTGAGAACATCCCAAACCGAGGTCAATATAACATGCTACTACTCAAGACAGCACTTCACGACGGACCTTCGAGTTCCTCAACAGCTCCATGACCCGACGCTCATATGGCGAGAATCCAACGACCTCCCGGACGACCGAGCGCACGAACTTGGTTTTGGTGGACTGGATGCCCTTGCGCTGGCTGGGACGCACGGTCTTTTCGATGGGGGTGGTGGGGTGGCCGTGGTTGAGGCCGCGACGGAGGTCTATCATACAGAATCGCAACGAGTTAACATAGATCAGGTCTATGCTCGACAACGGTAAAGACGGCGTGTACGCACTGTTTCTAGCCATGGCTGACGTTGATCTTGAGGCGACTTTTGGCGGTCGGCGAGACTTACGGTGCGCGGTGTATTCGGTCTGTCACGCGTGACGGGCCGCGATTCGGTGGCTGACCACCTGTACAGTTGGCTCTTCAGATATTCCCACGATGCGACTTCGCCACCCTTGGCACAAACGTCCGAACCAATATTCGTGTGGGTACATGAATCTAATTCGTTGACTCGCAACTTATTTACAGCGAATGAAATCAAGAGAGAGAGCTACTCGGAAAATGTACATCAGCTGGTCTCTTGCTCAATATTAATACCCCAAAAAACCACGCAGTAAATAACGACACAATCATACAGCAATCATCGGACGAGAGCCTCCCAGCTGCTGCCGCACAACCTTCACTTTGGATCCTGAAGAGAACATAGGTAGTGAGGAAAGGATGGCGCTGGTCACTGGTGGCCGAGTGTGCTCCTGTGGAGGAAGCGCCTGTGCGGCGTGGCGACGGCCTGGAGGGGCGCTACCCGCAGGAGGGGCATCCTCCTCTTCCTCTTCCTCCTCCTCGTCTTCATCGTCCTCGCCGACTTCCTATAATAAATATGTTAGTATTATGGTCGGAGAGTAAATTCCACGAGTGATGAACTTACAGGATCAAAGTCCTCCATCTGCCTATCTTCCATCTCGCCCTCGTCGTCATCATACTGATCATCTTCATCATCGATCCACCTTCCCTTCCAATCCACATCCTCCAACTCCTCCGGCGACTCAGGTCGCAACCTCATCCACAACATCCTCGGTCCGCTCTTGGCCTTCTCACTGACCTTGAATCCATAGATCTTCGGTACGTACACCTGACCCGCAGCGCGCTTCTGTCCTCCGTGCTGATTCGGGTTCACGAAGGGTGGCGTCGTAGAGGAGTTACTGCCCGTCGTGCTTCGGGGAGATCGGCCTGGTGCAATCGGGTCGGCGGGAAGTGGCTTCCAGAATGGGGCGGGGAGGAGTTCGCGATAGCTCTGGAAGAAGAGATGGGCGAATGTGGTTCCGAAGAAAGCGCCTGTAATAACAATAGAAGTGATATGTGGTATTGAGACCGGAGTAAAAGCACAATAAACAGAAAGGAGGCGAAGTGATGCGTACCGTCTACACCCTGGAAGCGACTGCTTGGTGGCACATACAAATCGTTGCAGTTGGGGCAGTACAGTTTGACGGTGTCCAGTCCTGGAAGATCTGACCGTCCACACGGGACGACGTTGCATCCTCGACAGTACACCCGAGGGCACGAACCAAATATCCCTGCCTCATATTTCTCTGCCTAATACACCGATAGTTGTTCGTAACCATTTCAAGCGGAACGAATGCAAAAGCACGCACCATCGCCTGCAACCCCGCCCGAGTCAGAATGTAGCGTTGATGCACCAGTCCGTAAAGCAACTCTGCAGACGCCTCCACGATCGACACATCTGGTATCTTTGCTGAATCCTCATCTGCGGTGATATGCAAGAACACGCGACATGAATGAGAGAGAACTTGGAGTGAGAAGAGTTAAAACGCACCTGGCTCAACATCCAACACCATCTCCATCGCCTCCTTCCAAAACGGCACCATAGAGTTCAGCCCTGTCAAGTTGAAATCATCCTCGATGAAGTCCTCCGCGACTTCACAAAAGTAGTCGTGTCCAGGGAGCGAACAGAACCAGCTTATCCAAGTTAGAGTAGACGTCGGCGTCGAGGACGCTGAGTCGCGCGAGTCCATGGTGATGGTTCGAGTTCAGATGATTTCGTGTTGGACGATGATGGCGTCAAGACGCGAGAGCGATTGAAACACGACGAGATTGAAATACGGAAGGGCCCAAAGACCGAGTGTGAAACGAGTGCGGGAACGGCGGATTCGAATGGAAGTGCGCGGCAGAGAATGAGAGAAGAGGGGAACGAGGACCGTCCTCGTGTTAGTTACCCGTGTGCGCCATAAAGCTCGTTGAAAGCTTACTGTAGCCCTCTTCCGCCTCTTCCATTCCGTCCTCCTCAGCACCGGTCCCCACCTCTGCTGCATCGGCCTCGCCCATGTTCATCGCATCGTCTGCCATCGCGAGGGCTCCTCTGCTGTTGATCAAGTACGGTCTCTATCGCTCGGACGCATGGAAAGCGTACGCTTTTCGCACTCCGCTCCAGATCGGTTCAATCATCGTTCTTGGTCCTTCGCCGTCTGCCCGGATACAACCTACGATAATTCACCACATATGACTCCACGGCACGCCCAGCGACCAGTATGCATAATCTACTTAGGGCTAGAGTGCGAAACTTTAAATAGGGGGATTAGAATACAAATGGTATACTGTAACAATAATATCTCCCGCAGAATTATTCCGCAAACGTGCAGCTCCCCTGCGCACTGACGCGTCCCGCCCAAAACGAAGGACCACAGATCACCAACACCAACAGTTGCCCCAATACAACGGAAAGCGCCGCATAAACCCATGCTCTCCCAGCCTTCAACGTAGTGACCTCAACCGCAAACGTGCTGACGGTCGTCAAACACCCACAATACCCATCTCCGATCCCCTGCAACAACGCACACGCATTGGGCGAGACTGGGCTCGGCAGGCCCTGGAGGACATGAAGCATAGCGAGGAGAGCGGTGCCGAACATGTTGGCCGTGAACGTCCCGAGAGGTAAAGCTTTGAGGAGGGGATTGAGCTTGATGGAGAGGACGTAACGGGTTAAGACACCAGGGTAGCAGAAGAGGAGGGCGGCTGTGGCTTGGTGCCGGAAGGAGGAGGAGAGGTGGAAGTAGGTAGGATACGTCGCGAAATATATGAGGATGGACAGGACCGCTAGGCTGTAACGGAAGAGTCGCGGTGGCGGTCGTAATGGGCGAATGTGTGGCGCGACTAAGGACCCGAGGTATACGCCGAACGTCACAGAGCCCAAAGATATCGAGAGCGTGAAGAAGAGTTTGGAGCATCCGTCGATAACCTGTGGAAGGTGTGAGTTGTGTGATACTCGCCAACGAAGGGAGGCGCCATACATCTCGAAGCCAGTCACGATGACTGTGAGTCTCGTTGATCCACGAGAAGAATACATCTATTTGCCAGCTCGAAAAAGTCGTGAGGGATCCGCAGAATCCTAACGGTGCGTCAGAAAGGGGACATCAGGCTTCGATGCCGTGGTTTGGTACCTGTAGTGATAGCAGTGTAAAGAGGTCCGTAGCTACGCCACAGTCAACGCATGAGACAGATATTGCGCGAGCAAAGTAGACATAGGACTCACAAGTTCCCAATAGGATCCTTCAGTCGTAGTGTAAAGCCCATGATGAGACAGCCAATCGACTGAGCATACGCCAATGAAAATATAGCCTGCCCATCGTACTTCACAAGTGCATCCAGTCCCAGCCTTGCAAGCAGCCCAAACACAGCTGCAGGAGCGAGTAAAGCCAGGACCTCCGGATGAAACGGAGGATATACTTTAGCTGTCGGGGCGGTCACCTTCTCCCCTCGACTGGGAGGCCTATCGATGGACGCGAGCGACTCTGCATCCGTTAGACTGCCATGGTGTTCAAGTGCTGATTCGACATCGTGGGGAGGCGTTCGTGTGGCGGGCCTCGGTGTAGACTGGGAATGTATAGATGTGCCATTAGGCTTTTGTACGGCAGCTTGGTCGGACACCACAGTCTGTGGGTCAGCAGCCATGTAGCAGAGCCAAGGGAGAAAGGGAAAAGACAGATGGGGAGCAAGAACCGGGCGAAGCTTTGCCATGGGTAGTCGTGCTATATTTAGCCTCTGAAATATGTGCCACCCGTCGGCGAACTTATTGGGCTACATCGACGTTGTAATTATCGGGGTTTGCGAAACGGTCACTGCGTCTGTCGGTGCAACGCCTCGCTCGCTCGCTATGCTGTTTGTTGCTCTGGCCGTTCTTGTCCTATCTGTTGCCGCTATCACGCTCTTGATCTCGTCGACGTCTAAAAACAAGTGGAATCCTCGAGGCCGAGTACGCCACATCACATCTTTCCACGCAATCGCAGTCTTGTGACTGAATCTATCTTTCTCTCTCCAGCACTGCTACGTGACGGGTGGATCAGCAGGACTCGGCCTTGCTCTTGCCATATTGCTCACGAAGAAGGGCGCAGATGTATCCATCGTAGCACGCAATGAAGAACAACTAGAGAAAGCACTAGAGAAGCTTGAGGTGCGTCTCACTTTAACTTACCATAACACGTATCAGCTCAACCTCACTTTAATCTCCACAGGAAGCTCGGATAACCCCTAACCAAGTCCTCAAATCATACTCTTTCTCCCTCGATGATCCAGGTGCCGCCGAACGAGCCATGGAAGCCGCCTGCGTCCCCCACGGTGGTCAATGTCCAGACGCGGTTTTCCTGTGCGCCGGTAAAGCAACTCCAGGATTTTTTGTGGAACAGGATGCGGAGACGATGAAGAGAGGGATGGACAGTACCTACTGGGTCTCGGCTTGGTCTGCTATGGTGAGTGTGACGGTAGAGAAATATGGGCTACGCAGTTGAGCACTCCCTCCAAGATAGCTTCACAGCGTATGGCGAAGACTCGGACGAAAGGCAAGATTGTGTTCGTGTCGTCTGTGCTGGGATATATGTCCATGTTCGGTTACTCGACGTACACTCCGGGCAAGCATGCCATAAGAGGTTTGTCTGGCCGTTCCATGTCTATTTCTTGAAGAAGCTGATGATTTGTTGTTCAGGCCTCGCGGATACCTTGCGCCAAGAAATGTTGCTCTATGCAGTAGACGTCCACATATACTTCCCCGCGACCATCCACAGCCCCGGATATGTCGAAGAGAACCGGACGAAACCACCACTTTTACTCGAACTTGAAGCTGCAGATGAAGGGCTCTCACCAGAGAAGGCAGCTGAAGGGTTGTATGGTGGTACGCGCTATCTTCTCTACCATCCTTGTACCTATACTGTAGCTCACCACGGACATCCTTACTCACGCCAGGTCTACAAAGAGGCGACTTCCATATTACTGACTCCCTCGTCACCCATCTCTTCCGGACCAACACGCGAGGATGCACTCCATACAACTCGAACATGCTGAAGGAGTTTATCTTTGGACTGATAGGCTGGGTGAGTCCCGAATTCGTCTCTGCACATCAGGGGGACCATGTTGACCATCTTCTGTCCTGTTCTCGTGAACAGATCGGCCTTCCACTTTGGAGAAGAGGTGTCGACAAGGCGGTGATAGCTCACAGGGAGAAGCACCAAGAGGAGATGGAATCCAAGGGATTCTTCGTATCTGCAGTCCCGAGGCCAGGCAGCTCGCCCAAGGACGACTGAACCATGTCCAGGGATACCATAGATGGGGGTGTTCGTGTTTATTTGGGTTTCGTACATACGATATTCGACCGAGATGAATGATCACGCAATGGTCCGTGGCGCAAGGCAAAGTGATAGATGAATTGCGGCCAAGCAAGACCCGAATACAGCGTAAAGCGTAGAGTAAAGAATGTTGGACGGAAGCGAAGCTCAGACCCGAGCGAAAAACCCGATAGGAAATCCGCGGCAGTACGGTACAAGCATTATATCCATCCCTATCGTCTGTCTTGGTCTTCGCCATTGGGTAGCTCATCCTGGAGGCGAGTGGAAAAGGCTACCCTGTTAAAGAAGACCGTGATGTAAGATGAGAAAAGAAAAGAGAGGGTGTGGCGCTGGCTGGGCGTACCCTGCGTGGTTTAGGGCAGGCCTTGGGTGCGAGCGTGGCACCCGGGCAAGTTGCCCGACTCGTCCAACGTGCCAGTCCTCTCACGTCTCCTCCTTCCCGAACACATCCTGCTCCTGACCTCTCGGCGACTGCAGTCATTCGAAACTCTCAGAATAGACACAGAATTCTAGAAACGATACGTGGGCCAAATGCACAACGTGTAGCGGGGCTAAGACACCGACTGTGCAGCTTGTGGCTATGATGCTCGCGCTGACTCGACATTTCCTTGGCCCATGCTGCTCTGTCAAGGTAACATTGATGTGCGGTGCGGGAGTGATAAGCGCTGCTCTGATCCATACAAAATCGCCCTCCCTCGGTCGTCCATGCTGCTCTTTTGAATGAAACCCAACCCTCTAGAGTCTCCCGCCATGTCCCTCTCTCGTTTCAGCGCCATTCCTCCTTTCTACTATGCTGTCTTTGCAGTCTATGAGCCTTTCCTCACCTTCGCGGGGCTCGTCGGCACGCTATCAGACCCGGAACGAGTAAATATTCGTACTGATTTCCTCCTCGCCCTCTAACCGTAATTCTTGCCAGACGTACAACCAGCAAGCACCCTGGCCACGTTCCGCGCCACCACCCGACTCTTTACCCCTCGCCGCAAACGTGACCATCATCCAACTCGCCAACGTCTGTGCCCTCCTCGGCCTCGTCAATCTCTTCATCCTCTCCGCCGCCCGCAAACACCTTCATCAATATCCCGCGATGCAAGAACACATCGTCTCCGCACTCCTCACGCCCCTCCTCATTGGAGACGTCCTTCATCTCGTACTCACCCTCTACGCTCTCGGCGAAGAGAGGTGGCATTTCGAGATGTGGAGCAGCACGTCTTGGTTGACTATGGTCCTCGGGGTGTCGTTGTTGGCGCCGAGAGTCGCTTGGCATCTCGGTCTCGGGAGATATGTTGACAAAAGGGACGGGAGGATTATATGATATGATTGGCGCTACGACGTTGGCCGAATATTCGGGCGCAGGAGGCGGAAGGAACAGAAGGGAGAGTGAGACGCTGAGGAGTACTGCGGACAAGGGAGGGTGTGTGGATCGAGAGCTTGTGTTGTTCCGCAAGTCTCTTTCCGGTCGGTTTCTCCCATTAGGGTTGTGGGTTGTATCACTGAAAACGTTCAGACCGCTTTTTTGCTGTGAAATCGCTGAGTTTGCTTATCATCCACTTTGGACGGTTTTGGTGCACGCGCTTGGGCGTAGACGGCGACTTACCTAGAGTTACTCTCCACTGCGCATATTTATTCCTCACGCTCGTGGCTCGCTTTCTTGCTGTATCTATAGAGGTTCAAGGAATCCATACTTCTTGGCGTTGACCGTGTATACTCGCGTCGGGCTAAAATATAACACATCTGCTCTGATATCGACTGTGTGCGATCCGTCTTCCTGTCAACTTTGACTCGTTTTGAGACTTCCGACATGACTCGACCATACTCGCACATATAGGTATAGGTTAAGCAAAATGAGATGAATTAAAGATGAGCGGTGCGATAGCGAATCAGGCCTATGAATATAACCGATAACCACCACGAACCTGGCGAAAGAGCGGGTAAGAGAAGTCAGCAAGTCGATTCTCAACATCCAAAGGTGAAAAAGAGAAATTCATATTAGATCAAGAAAAAAAGTCACCGGACATCCGCCGTTATCGACGATTAAACGTACGCGGCGGTTCCCTCTTTCCACTTTTTATAATCACGCAAGTGCGAAAAGAATGAAAGTTCACTCACAACTACTTCAGAGCAAGTCACCCATGCTGTTACCGTCTCTTCCCTTTCGACGATTTGGCTCGCGGAGGCTGGACCGTCCATACTTTGGTATTTGATGGCTTCGTAGTGGTCGACAATGACCTAGGCGGCAAGGGAGCTGGTGGAGGAGTCTGAGCCAATGTCTTCGCAGTCGAGGTCTTCGTAGCTTGGACTTCTAGATGTCGCCGTGCCTGTGCTCGCCTATAATCCCAATAATCAAAGGCCCATGTCTGGAGCAGACCAAATGCCGCCGACGAAACCCAGTAGATCAACACACCCTACCAGCACCCCAGAAAAGTGGTCAGCACGTTTCCAACACCATTGGACATTGGACGGCACGGCACGACTTACCCCAGGAACCAAAGCCCCCAACAATATCCTACCCACGCTCAAAGCCCTCAACGCCCCCTGGACCAACTCCCTCGGCTTAATCTCCCTCACCCCCCTCTTCTCATTCTCCTCCTTCTTCTTCCTCTCGACCTCCAGCCTCTCCCTCGCCACATCGCTGACCCACCACTTCGCCGACTCCACGTTCGCGAGCGATATCAGGCCAAGTGCGATAGGAAGCGCGGTGGTGGGGTCCGGATGCGAGAGCGAGGTGATTGTGAGGAAGGATTCGGAGTCGAGGATTGTGGGGGCTTGGCAGGCGTGGGAGAGGGTGACTGAGGTGAGGGCGAAGAGGGGGAGTTGGGAGAGAGGGGGGATGAGCATTGTGGCGAAGGGGGTGCATTTGTATTTGCGGAAGAGCTCGTTCCTTTTAGTCGTCATCTATAATCGACAGGACGTAAGAACATAGTAGACGATAGAAACAACAGGTTGGGCTAAAGGACGTGGGTCGGAAGGAGAGGGTATGTAGGGAGAATGGGCGAATGTAGAAGGGAAGGAATGAATCCATACCGCTTTCGTAGCACGCTTGGTGAATGTTTCACGCAAGAATTCTTGGGAGCCTTTTAGTCCCTCGGCAGACATCTGGGAGATGACTTGCTTGGAGACCTCAGGTTTTGCTTCCTTGAGCTCCGGGACAGCGAGTTCCTCCATGCGCCATGTTCGACGCTTAGCCTACGCGTAAAGAGATTGAAAATGAGCGAATTATTAAATGCAACTACAGATTCAGGTATATACGCACCCATATGGAAAAAGGAACAGTAACGGTCAGACGAGTGACGAAGGTAATCAAGATGATTGTCGTCGAGTACGGCGGAAGAGACAGAGGAAGAGGAAGCGCCTGTGCGAGGTCGAGAAACCCCTCGGAGAGGCCATGTATAAAAGATATATTCCGTCGCGAGCCTTTTACTGGAGCATGCTGAAGTCGAGTGAGGTTGTGGGTAAGCCTCAGTCGTGTAGTCCTCGTCGCAAACATCGAGTCGACTTTCTCCGCAACGTTCGACGCGCCGGCCACACGCCACCTTCGTTCGATCACGTGCTGTTCTGGACAATTTTGTGGCCAGATTTTCTCATCCTTCCAATCACGAACGAGCTCGAGTTGGTGCAGTCAAGTATTTCGGAGCGGTCAACGCGTCTCAAGATTCAGAATCGTACAACGCGCATGGAAGCCGCATAATGGATTGCGTTGAATGAAACATGAAAGCATATCATAGAATGAGCCCAGCTAGCTCCCCCATACGCCTCTCTGCCTCCCGACCGAAAGCATGAAAAAGGACCGACAGCCGCCCGCCTCAGCACCGCGAACCCAAGCCCCAAAGCCCCCTAATCCATCCCTTAGAAGTTGAGCTGATGGGGGTATTGGCCCTTCGAGAGACCCCAAGATGCCTTGAGGTATTTGGCGAGGTTCTCGGTCTTCTTGATGCCCTCGATGACAGCCTTGTCGACGTCCTTCTGGTCGGCAGACTTGGCTTCGGGGAAGGCCTCCTTCTCCTTGGGCTTGCCCTCAGAGAAGAACTCCTCCTCAGCCGATGTCGAAGACTTCTTCGAGGACTTGGCGAAGTAAGCGTCGGTGAACTTGTCGTCGAGCTTCATTGTGAAAGCCACAAAGTTAGAACTTCTGATCTCGCAACGAGCAGGCTGTAAAAAAACACACCTGGAAGTCGCCGAGCTCGACTTTTGTGGAAGTAGCAATGACATAGGCCTGGTTCACCCTACGGAGAGGGACACCGTTGACCTTGAAAGGACCCGTAACCAACAACAACCCGCTGTCCAACTGCTTCAAGAACACCACTCTCCTCCCCCTGAACCTCCCAGCCAACAGAATAAGGACGGTACCGCGGGTGATGGATGAACGGAGGGAAGCGGGTTTAGCAGTCTTGCGGGACTTCTTGGGAAGACGAACGTCCTCTGCTGGGTAGAAGCGGGGGGCTTTGGAAGTGGGGACGAGACGCTTGCCGCCGTTCTTCTCACCGCCGACCTCGACCTCCTTGTGAGCAGCCTTCTCCTCAGCGGCGGGCTTTTCTGATTTTTTCTGGCCCTTGAAGAGGCCACGCTTGGCGAAGACCTGGGAGCGGGAGAGGCGTCCAACGCCGGGCGCGATATCCTTGCTACGGGCCATCTGCATATAAGTGAAGGTAGGCGGTCAGTCAGTATCATCCGAACAGAGCAAGACCCATCCATCGCGTTCTCTCCGTCTGAAGCCCCGTCAAACGTTCCAGAGCATAGACAACCTCCTCCACGACACCACTGATCATAGAAATGAGGGGCATACCTTCTATGATTTTGTTCTTGAGGTCGGCGGATTTGGTGGATGCGACTTGTGTTCGCCCAAGTCGGCCAGAGAGCCCCTGCCACCGTGACCTCATCGTGCTGACGCGACTCAGATGTGGCGCCTATTCCCCGGTGCCACAGGGCAGCGGCTCTCTTTCGTTTCCCTACTTGCAATTGTCGAACATTGCCTCAGTACTGAGCACTAATAGGATGGATATTCGTAATCGCTGCACCAGGTAGATTGTACGGTATAGTTCTCTTCTGTGAACGTTCGCTGGTCTTGTCAGCTCCCGCTCATACGTAGCCCATCTAATAAGTACTACGATGAATAGATGGTATAAAAGACCTGTAGAGACATGCAAATTCTCTTTGAGTCGAGTCCTTATAATTTTCCGCTTTCATGTTCATCCCGGTACAATATCGACCGAGAAAGCTAGGGCCACATATGTGCCACCCAAGCTACTTGTAGAAGGGCGGCCCGGGTAGGCCTTCCGAAATTCCGGAAGAGTGCCGCACTGGCCGCAGAGTCACTTTCCGGACGCCCACCAAGATCTTGCCAGCTACTTACTCACAGCTTATTTTCTATCCAATATGACCGCCGACCAGACTCAAGGTATGGCTCTCAATAACTCAAGTGGATCCACACAACTGATGGCCCATGCTTCAGATGACAGGCTCATAGTCTTCTTCGACATTGACAACACCCTTTACTCCGCAAGCTCGAAGATCTCTTACGCTATGGGCGAACGTATACACAGTACGGGCACATCAATCTCACATTGCGAATCTAATACGTTGTACTAATGTGATCAATGACATTCCAGCATATTTCATAGGTCTTGGAATACCAGACGACGAAGCAACCGAGCTGCACCATAAGTACTATACACAGTATGGCCTTGCTCTTCGTGGTCTTGCACGGCATCACAACGTAGGTGAAGCATCTATCTTCTACCATGCCACGTCCAACGTATTTCTAAAACGCTACACCCACGACTTGCAGACCCGCTAGACTTCGACGCCAAATGTGACGGCTCGCTGCCTCTCGAGCAGATGATCAAGTATGACCCACCCCTCAGGCAGCTCTTCCAAGACATCGACCGTTCAAAGGTCCGAGTATGGGCACTCACGAATGCGTACCGCACTGTTAGTCTTCCTCTTAGCATCTTGAATCTCTCTCCCGGGCGTTACTTGCTCGTCTTACCACGCCTCATACTGATTACCTCCGTATAGCACGCCCAACGAGTACTGCGGATTCTGGGCTTAGATGATCAAATAGACGGCTTGATATTCTGTGACTATTCTCAACCCAACTTCTCCTGTAAACCCGAGCCGGAATATTACCAGCAGGTTCGTCTCCGTCCTCTTTCGTTGTTTATTTGTCTCGCGCATGTTTGCTCTTTCCCTGTTCGCTGCCGAGTCACACGTTCAAGATTTGAATACCGTCCTCTTGGCAATCTCGGACTCACTCCCTTTTATATCTTAACGCCGACCAATGCCTCATCCGTCTATTATCAATCTGCTTCTACAGGCCCTCAAACAAGCCCGCGTCACCGATCCCTCCAAAATCCTCTTCATAGACGACAACCTCGGAAACGTCAAAGCCGCACAAAGCGAGGGCTGGGGTCGATGCGTTCACTTCTGCGAAGCAGGCCTCCTGGCCGTCGAAGGCGGTAAGCTCCGGACTATTGGCGACGATACTCCGTCATTGCCACACGATAGAACGGAAGAGAAAGTGGCGCAGAAGGTCGGCGAGATCGCGGTGGTGAGTGAGTTGCAGCAGTTGAGGAAGGTGTGGCCAGATTTGTTCGTGCAAGAGCAAAAGGAGAGCTGAGGCGTGCGGTTGCAATACCGCATGAGTACAAGTCGGAGGATAGCTTTGATACAGATGTATTCGCGTTCTCGTTGGAATCGACCGTACTACATAAACATCCCCTTGCCTTGATAACTGCTATACATTGTAAGGTTAAACTACTGTACACCACGGTACTACCGAACGTTAGATGCTTGTCGTAGAGGAATCATGATTAGTGAATGGCTGTCTGGTTATATAAATAAGTCTTTCTCCAAGCTTTGTCCACAGAAGGTCCAGGTAAGGCCGGCAATGATGGCTCAGATAGTACAAGAGTACGAAGATGATGGTATGCGATATAACGGCCATAAATAAATAGGGAGAACCCGGGAGGGTTCAAAACAACGTCACTGAGACAACTTGGGCGGTCTGTGTTGCTTCCAGGATAATGCCGTCGAAGCCGAGCAACCCTTCATCGGGAGTGTTAGCCCTATATCGGAGGATGACGATCAACGAAGGCTCACGTGTAGTAGGGCTAGGTAAGGTCAGCGCGTCTTCCCCATCGGTGCGATTGTAGAGCATAGACGGAGGAGCTTCGCCGGGGTGTAGAAAATGACTGATAGTCTCGACCTAGGCTCATATTTTGGGTCAGTGCGGATAGAGGTCGCGGAGGATGGCAGAAACATACTCGTTCTTCAAACTTGACGCGGGGCGGAGAATCTGCAACAAGTATGAAAGGTTGTAAGCGACACACGAGAGTCTATCTTGAGGACGCATCATACCATCTTCGTCATCCTCCGGGCGTCCCTCAATTTGCCAGGGACATCTCTGATATCGCTGAAATAGGGGCGTACCGGGCTACAAGCAGAGTCCGTATGCGTTCAGTGAAATAGCACGCACAAATGAGATAGATAAATAGAAAAAGAAGACATACAACGTTAGAGTGGAGTACGATCTTCTTCACAAGGTGAGTGTGTTCCGAGATCAAGAAGTCAATGCCGTGCTGGAAGTAGTTATAGAAATCTAAATGACGAAGGGTGAGTACGCTCTCATACAATGGGCCAGCGAAGAGAACTTGATGATATGCACATGAAGGTTCAGGGCCTTTGACCTCGTTACGGCTTCGAGAATGAATAGTCATACGATCGTCCTCCTTGTAAAACGTCCGCAGAGGCGGGCCCAAGTCGCATATGAGGTCTTGAGCAGTCGTTACACCAAGCCGGACATGAACGGTCTCGGACGAAGATGTGGGGTAGAATCGCAGTACGACGCCATCATGAACCTAAAATCCCCAGCACGACCAATCGCAGGCGGGAGGATACATAAATTAATACATAAGGAGTGTGGCGATAGGTCAGTACTGGACTTACCTTCACAATCGCCTCTGCGAGCTCGCCATACATGGCTTTACACTCGTCCACCTCGCTCAATGCGTCCCTAGTTTCGCCATCTTGAGCCGTCTGTGAGATTAAGATCTGCTTAACCTGCTGCATCCTATCCTCCTGACCGGTGCCACCTGGTGGTTTCCGTGAGTTCATCCGTTCCGTATGAGTGTGGCTCAACGGATCCTCGTCGAAGCTGAATGAGACCCCAGGATATCTCAAATCCTGGCCATCGTACGTCGGACCAAGAGAAAGATTGACTTGTACTCGACGAAGCTCGATTTGAGGGGATGAGAGGACGGAGTCTCTGTAACGGAGAGTGAGTGGCGGAGAAGGATCTCGCAGCCGACGGACAGATATGGTGTGAAGACGTTGATGTGTTGCAGAAAAAAGCAAGTCGAGATGCGGACGTATATGGAGAACAACTGGCGTGAGCGAGGTATCTGGGTCATACTTGACGTCGACGTGGGGAAATGAATGCTGGTGAGTGCGCAGGAGGTCGAGCACCGTCCATAAAGATGAACCTAGGACAGCAAGTTGAGCAATGTTTGTCATATCATGAAGGAGATAGGCTACCAAGACTAAACATGCCGAGACCATCGCCTGGCCTGATATCGAGATCGAGTGCAGATAATTCGACCATGACGGACAAGACTGAACTGTGGAGGAGTACTACACGACGCCACAGAACCAGAATGGGAAGTTGGAACCGTCATGGCACGTGGCGGATATGCAGCAGTGCCCCGCAAGTAGTGTTGCCACGGCTCGGCTCAGAAACCGCTAGTCGCTCGAGCCGAGCCGTTTGCAAGCCGAGCCGAGCCGCGTCAACGGCTTACAACGGTTTTGTGCAGCTAGCGGCTCAAGCCGTTACGCACTTGCAGAACAACATTATATGCAAATATTTGTCTTGCAAGTAGGATCTATGTATCGAAGAACCTCCAAAGCCGTAGGTTGTAGAGTGTTTGAGGTTTTCGCCTTCATGTTTGACAGCAAACAGTTGCAGACCACTCCAAATATGGATATCTGTGTATCGGTGACGGCTTTTTCCGACGCGCGACCCCACGCCACATTTACGCCACATCATTATGAGCAGCAAACGACTCTTTGTTTGTTGGATCTGACTCGATAATCCCCTCAAAAAACACAGCGGCAGGACAGTATTTACCCATACAGTTATACGACATGGCTTAAAATGTGTCCTATGAGGGCGGGTACGCATGTATGAATGCATAACCCACTTAGGCAACGAGCAGAATTGAGTCGCGGCTCAGACCGTCAGCCAAGCGGAGCTGAGTCGCTGCGTGGGAAAAGCCGTTGCAAGTCGAGCCAAGCTGAGCCGAGCCGAGCCGTGGCAACACTACCCGCAAGTCGGCGTCTTTGTGCTACGTATATGGCATCACCTCAAAGTCGGAATCGCACATACTTTTTGACTTGGTTTCGATCCAAGCAATTCCGATGTTCACAGTTTCACGCACAAAATTGTTCAAGAGGAATGCAGTTGATCATTCCAAGACAGGGATTGTTGAAATCCATAACGTAGAGCAGTAACTACCGCCGACACCGCATACATAACGCTTCCACCATCCTCCACGAAGAGCCCATAACCATCCCTCGACATGCTCCATGAGATGAAGACACATAGGGAGGGCACACGCTCCTATCGTATGTACTGCATCATCTGCAGAGCATAATCCCAGTGCGCCCAAGCGCCGCAAGGGCGAACCAAAATAATAATCATCTCGCCGCAACTACCACCCAGGTCAAAACAGAGCAGCTGCTGTTGAGAGCTCATAACTTAACCGTTATGTGGACGCTGTTGAAGCGCAGTGAGATGTTGAATCAAGCGTGCGTCTGGCGCGCCCAGCGAGCGGCCGAGACAAGGTTAATAAGAGAGGCTGAAGACAGATGAATGTCAGATGAGAACTGAGCAGAGCGAAATCAAAGATGCATACCCTCAGTCTCCTTCCAGCCACGAGTCTTCAAACCGCAGTCGGGGTTGACGAAGAGGAGACCGTCAGGGAGGATGTCGAGCATGGACTGGAGGCGGTCACGAATCTCCTGGTCGCCGGGGACACGAGGAGAGTGGATGTCGTAAACACCAGGACCGATCTGGTTGGAGTAGCCGTACTGCTTGAAGGTGTTCAAGAGCTTCATGTCGCTCTTCGATGCCTCGATGGAGATGACATCAGCGTCGAGGCGCTGAATGGAGGGGAAGATGTCGTCGAAGTCGGAGTAGCAGAAGTGAGAGTGAGTCTGGAGAGCATCGGTAACGCCAGCAGTAGAGAGCTTGAAGGAATCGACAGCCCACTTGAGGTAGCTGTCCCAGTCAGAGCGACGAAGGGGGAGACCTTCACGAATAGCGGGCTCGTCGACCTGGATGGCGGAGATACCGGCCTTCTCGAGATCAATGACCTCGTCGCGGAGGGCAAGGGCAAGCTGCTTGGACTGGAGCTCGCGAGAGACATCCGCACGAGGGAACGACCAGTTCAGGATAGTGACCGGCCCAGTGAGCATACCCTTCATGGGGCTCTTGGTAACGCTCTGGGCGTACGCACTCCACTTGACAGTGATAGGCCCGGGACGGCTGACGTCGGAGACGATGATGGGAGGACGGACGTAACTATCAAAAGCAATTAGATCAGGTAAGTACGAGCACAGAATAGCCATAAAACATACCGAGAACCGTAGCTCTGGACCCAAGCGTTCTGGGTGAAGACGAAGCCGTTGAACTGCTCGCCGAAATACTGCACCATGTCGTTACGCTCGGGCTCGCCGTGAACGAGAAGGTCGAGACCAACGCGCTCCTGGAAGCGAACGACGCTCTCGATCTCCTTCTTGAGGAAATCTTCGTACTCCTGCTCCGTGATCTCACCCTTGGTGAACTTAGCACGAGCGGCACGGATCTCCTTAGTTTGCTGTGGACGAGAAGGATGAGTATATGGTGATGGAGCAAGACATCGACAAACTTACAGGGAAGGAACCAATGGTGGTGGTCGGGAACTTGGGGAGGTTCAACTTCTTGGCCTGGATCTCCTTACGAACGGCGAAGGGGCTCTTGCGGTCGAGCATCTCTGGCGTGATAGCGGCGACACGCTTGCGAACAGCGTCGTCGGAGGTGCGTTCGAACTCACGGCGCTTGGCGATGGAAGCCTTGTTCTCCTCGATAGCCTTGGTGACCTCGGCGTCCTGAGATCCGGAGAGGGCCTTGGCAATGACGGCAACCTCAGCGGACTTCTCCAATGCGAAGGAGAACCAGTCCTTCTGCTCAGCGGTGAGCTTGGTCTCGGAGGCGAGGGTGACTGGGGTGTGAAGCAGCGAAGACGAGGTGGCGATGACGACGCGGTCTTGGCCGAGGGCATCAACAGCCTTCTGTCCCTGCTTGATAGCGGCCTGGAAGTCGGTCTTCCAAATGTTACGGCCAGAGACGAGGCCAAGAGAAAGGATGATGTTCGTGGGCTTGACGGCGGCGATAACCTCGTCGAGCTGACCAGGGGCACGGTCGAGATCGATGTGAAGGCCAGCGACAGGGAGCTTAGCGACGTAGGAGAGGTTAGAGTCGAGGCGTCCGAAGTACGTGGTGAGGATGATCTTGGGCGCGACGGGGGCAAGCTCGGCGTAGGCCGTGGCGAACTCTTTCTCAAGGGTGGAAGCCTTGTCGAGGACGAGAATCGGCTCATCAACCTGGACCCACTCGGCACCAGCAGCCTTGAGGTCAGACAAGAGCTGCTTGTAGACAGGAAGAAGCTCGGGGAGGAGGGAGAGGGGCTGGAAGCCCTCCTTGGCCTCCTTCGAGTTCTTGCCGAGGACGAGGAAAGAAACGGGGCCCAAGACGACGGGGCGAGTCTCGACACCGAGGGCCTTGGCCTCCTTGTACTCTTCAACGGCCTTGTTGAAGTTCAACTTGAAGTCGGTCTCCTCCGAGAACTCCGGGACGACGAAGTGGTAGTTGGAGTCGAACCTAAAAAGGAAAGGAAATCAGGGAAAATTAAAAATAGATATAAACAATAAAACATACCACTTCTTCATCTCAGAAGCCGGGACATCGACGCCATCAGCTTGACGACCACGGCCCATGGCGAAATAAACGTCGAGGGGCGAAAGGCCCTGGCCGACGTAGCGCTTGGGGATGACATTGAAGGCAGCCGAGTGGTCAAGAACGTGGTCGTAAAGAGAGAACTCGCCGCTGAAGACGACGACAACGACGGCAACGACAACATCGTCAGAAGCTGTTATCGATGAAGGGCGATAACAAGGAGTCAGACATACCTGGGGACAAAGTCGACACCCTTGGACTTCACTGAAGTCCAATTGGTCTTCCTCACTTCAGCCGCCGCCTGGGTGAGTTGGTCGGCAGAAATTTTTCCCGCCCAATACGCCTCGACGGCCTTTTTGACCTCACGGTTAGCACCTGAGAGGGGTTCGACATCAGATGATGTTCACGCTGAAAGATAAATTAGATTTACCGATGCGGGGGAAACCAAGAACACTGGAAGCGACCATCTTGAGAGAGCGAAGGTGAAGAGAGAGAAAAGGGATGGTGGGGGTTGGGGAAAGCGGGAGAGCGAAGAAAGGGTCAAGTTATACTGGGGCGCAAGCGCTAACGGCCTTTGCCGGCATCGATCCGCACGAAATTCGCGTGAAATGGCACCATCGTTTCCGCCTCTCGCCATCGACAAAACCAAAACTTACGCTAACGTACGGGGCTAGGAAATCAGCGTTTTTGGCCTTGCTTTGAACGGCCTATTATATGGTTCACATGCATGCATCTCCAGGCAGATACGTACAAACTGGGACTCGTCTGTCAATGGCACGTTTCGTGACAAGTATTATTTATAAAACAAGCCAAACTATCGTCTAGAATCCCCACTGCGACGACCTTTTCGCCCCAAACAAATACACCAGCGTCTGACTGAGGTAGATACCAACAGTGATACCAATCGTGACCGCAATCATGGCCCCGCCAATATCTATTCCGTTGCCATTTGTCATCATTCCTCCCTGTGAAAGACCCGACTGAGAAAGGAAGATTCTAGGCATTAGTTCATCCATGTCTCACCCGCGTGTAATAAGAGGAAAGGGTAAACTCACCGGCACGAGGAACAAAATTCCAGTGATCATTGCCGTGAAGGGGGTCCCACGCTTAGTCCTCCCGTAAATTGTTCCCAAAACACCGACCGTAAACGCTCCGATGGCAGAAACGATGTCTGACCGGTTGTGGATGTAGACGTTTGTAAGTTTGTTGGCCGAGTACGAGATGCAGGCGATTGCGACCATCGTAATTAACTCCAGGTCCACAGGCTGCAAGTTCGCCAGAGAACTCAGAGTCGCGAAAAGGGGCACGATGAGGAACTGCGTCCACCACGGGAAAGGCTGGAGATACCACGGAGCATCAAGAGGGCGCATACAACCGTCGATGATGTGCTCGGTGGGGACGTAACTCGCATTCGTGATGGTGAATGTGCCAACAAGAGGGGAGGTGCTGTTCCAAATCGTGCTGTTGTCGGTTATGAGGTTGGCTGAGTAGGTTGTCGCACTCGAAACGGCGGCAGCGAGAATGTCGAGCCTTGTACGTGCACCGTGGTCGAACAGTAGATAGAAATCTGAGCCGATTTGGAGACCGAAGCCAAGGAACAGGGTATACGTGAGAGCATAAACCATCTTGACAGATCCGCACAGGATGTTCTTGGACGCCAGCTCAAGCGAACTGCTCACTGTGGAAATACTCAGTGAAAGGCCGCCGTTCAGGAGACAACACTCGACTTACGGATTAGGAAGCCAGGTAATATAGACACGATACCGGCGGAGGAGATGGCATCGTAACAGAAGATGTCTGAGCGTATACTGCCCAAAGCTCGAGCAACGAAGGATATCACAATGGTCATAGTTATCCTGTATACCTGATTAGCAGGCGGTGAGAAATGAATGAGGGCAAAGACTTACTCGAATACGTTGGCATATAGCTGGCTTTTTTGCACCACGGTCAATGACAACGTGCAAAGGATAAGGGACCCAAGTCCGGCGATCCACATATCGACGAAGGACCCGCCGAAGGCGAGTGGGCAAATCAAGAGGGACAACATGAATGCGAAGAAACACCGTGCCCAGTTCTTGTAGGCTGGTTTGCCGGCCATCAACTCATCAAGGCGCCAGATACCTTCCCTCGCGCCGATCTCGTCGTGCAGAACATTTCGGTAGATTTGATGAACCTCGTGTAGGTTTCCCAGAGCCAGGCCGCTAGGCTGTCATGCGATGCCAGAGAGAATAGTGAGACAAAGGAGCGGAGAAGAGCAAGCGAAATCGCCCACCTGACGTATCATGAATGTTTCCGTGCTCCGGCAATGATCGTCTTTGAACGATATCAGAACGACGGACGGCAAGTGTATGCATTCGAGCTCAAGCTCTAGAGTGCGCGACATCTCTCGGAGTTGCTTCTCGATACGATGTGAAGGCGCTCCAAACGTCATCAATGCCTTGGCGAGCTTGATTATGAACTTTTGTCGATAGTGCACGGCTATCAACCCAAGGTTTAGCAAATCACTGAAGAGAAATCACGAAGAGTGACTCACTGGTAGCATGCACAGAGATCGTATGCGGAAGGCGACGATCTTCGTGCTCATTATATGTGAGCTCCCAGACATCGATTGCCCCCTTCGCCTTCCTGCCTCGTTGCCTCTGCTGCCTCCTATTTAGAGGCTTTGGCTCCGCTGGTACTTGCGGCGTCCAGCCGTTCAAGACGTTCCACCATGACTCTCTCCTCATCGTTACCTGACCCTCGCCGTTGCCCATTATGACGCTCTGCCCACTAGCCCTCCGTCCATACTCAGGATCGTTATGGTCCGAAGGCCCAAGGCCTTTCCAAAGATTGGTCAGACTGAACCCTGGGGAGTCGTCGCTCAACTCCCTCACGTCGACAGCCGGGCCTTCGTTTCCTCGTCGGACTTTGCAGTTGTTGTCTTCTGGATGGAGTGCGACGTTGTCATAACTATAGACTGAACGCTCGTCTTCATCCTCTTCTTCTGGTCGAGACCTGCGCCTGCGTAGTTGAAGTTGCGAGTCGTTCCTCGCAGTTCCGATGGTAGGCAGATTGGAAGCTTGCATGAGTTGTGGAGAGAATGTACTGGCGTAGTCCTGCTCCTGGTTCGCCATGGGAGACTGCCATGTCGTAGATCGAAGATGTGGGCTTGCGACGGGATGAGGTACAGCGAGGTCGACGTGCAGTGGCGATGTAAACGAAGACTCGGATGTCCATTGCCCTGGATTGGGAGTACCAGTAGTTGGTGGGACCGGGCTGGAGGCGGAAGCTGGAAGCTGGCGAGAATGATTCGTTACCGAGGCCCGTCGACCAGAATTGTCTGCGTATACACGAGAGGACATAACGTTGGAAGGTAGAATAGACGCGGCTGAAAATCAGAGTCCAAAACGGATAGCAGGGAGAATAGGAGAGAGCTGAGAGGAGTGTTAGACTACGGACGCTTCAATGAGCTGAACGTTTATAACACATAGAAAGCAAATTGAGGCTGGCAGTCTGAGACAATGTTTGACCGACAGCAGTCGACGGAACGGCTAAGACTCCTAGTGATGTCAGAGACCGCAAGGTGGGCCAATACCGCGTTTCATCGTATGGTGGGCACGGCCCAGTAAGTTCAAGTACCAGGAATGAGTTTCTTCCCCAGCAAGGTCAGCATCTTCGGCAATCCGTTGTGAGACTTGTCTCAACTTCAACTTGTTGAACATTCTTGGGTGGCGCCGGTCGCCGGGAAAAAGAAGCGGGCACCTAACCAGCTACCAGTGGGGCTACATCTGGCCATGGCTCCATATGATCGCTTGTATGGTTTCCTCGTCGTCAGAGTGCCACGCATACAGACCCCCAAAAACTCAATATCATAAACTCCGGGCACTTTTAGATCGAGAGTGGCGAAATGTATGTCCGGCCAGTAGTTTGATATGGCGAGCAATCAACAGCTCCGACCAATAGGCAAGCAACTGCATGCATTATTGACATGTACCCACCTTGTCCGTGCTGAGTTAAATAAGTGCGAAGCGGGGTGTGTCGCCACTGAAGCATAAGTATTGTTGGTCTGCCGACGATTCTCGAGCCCGATGAGGATAACTATAATTGCTGAGGCACCATGAACGGTTCGACAAGCAATCTTCAGTCAGTCTGAATGATGGGAGAGTTTGTGACTGAGTTGTGTGAACCGCGAGAGGGCTTGGGGAAAGTCCGGAAGACAGTGCGCCGGAGCGTTGCGGGAGACCGGCCCAGACAAATCCAGGTAACGGGCCGTTCGCCGACTGTCATGTTATTGGGAACCAGCATGGAAGGTATTTAAGCACCTCGACCGACAAGTTCCCGTCGACTCTGTGAACACTCCATCTCTACCCCACAACATTAACAATGTCTGATAATCCATCGTTCATTCTCCAGGCTGTTGAGAAGGTTACCTTCGAAGAACGTCCCATCCCTGAGAGTAAGTTCGTTTAGCTTCCAGCCCCTATCGAGGCAAATCTGACCGGATGTCGCTAGTTGGAGACGATGAAGTCTTGGTCGAGGTGAAGAAGACAGGTGAGCTTTTTGATAGGTCACTCTGGCTACCCCTGCTCATTGTACTGTAACAACAGGAATCTGTGGCTCCGATGTAGGCAGTCTGAGGCATATAGCCATCGCGTTCATCCTAACTAACTCGGCTGGATTCTAGGTGCATTATCTTGTCCATGGCCGCATTGGCGACTTCATTGTTGACAATCCTATGGTATACTTTGCTCCTCTTCTATCGGTACTCCTTCTCTTAATCGATCTGGCATGTTCAGGTTCTGGGTCATGAGTCATCTGGTGTCATCAACAAAGGTAGTTCCACCTGCACGTCAACTAGTATTATGACTGAATGCATTATGTCCAGTGGGATCGAAGGTGAAGTCCCTCAAAAAGGGGGATAGGGTCGCTATGGAGCCTGGAGCCTCGTGTCGGTCATGCGAAGATTGCAAACGTGGAAAGTACCATGTTCGTCTTCAAATCTCCTGCTCCTGGATCCCGATGCTGAAGAAGTGTTATAATATTGCAGCTCTGTGAAGAAATGAAATTCGCGGCCACCCCACCCTACGACGGCACTCTTGCACGCTACTACCGACTCCCGGCCGATCTCTGCTATGCACTTCCCGACAATATGACTTTGGAGGACGGCGCAATGGTATGTTCTTATACGCTTGCTTCGATGGCACTTTCTCATCATACCGACTAGATGGAGCCCTTATCGGTCGCGGTCCATTCGGTTTCAACGTTGGCTGACTTCAAGCCTAACCAATCCATCGCCGTCTTTGGCTGCGGCCCAGTCGGAATTCTCTGCATGGCAGTGGCCAAGGCATTTGGTGCTCGTCGTATTGTTGCTGTGGACATCGTACAAAGCCGCCTCGACTTCGCAAAGTCGTACGCTGCAACGGATGTCTACCTGCCGCCTGCCCCAGAGCCAGGGGAATCAAAGATGGTGTACTCAAAGAGGAACGCCGCCCTGATGAAGGAGAAGCTTGGGATCACTGAACGAGGGGCAAAGTCTATCGACCTGGTCATCGATGCCAGTGGAGCCGAGGTCTCCATTCAAACCGGCTTCTGCATTGGCAAGACCGGAGGCACATTTGTACAGGTACGAACGTCTGCACTGTATCCAAGCCATACTTGTGCTCATCACCGTTGTGTAGGTTGGAATGGGCGCCTCTGACATCCAGATTCCCGTTTCGATGCTCATGGCCAAGGAGATGACTTACAAGGGCTCGTTCCGTTATGGGGTACGGCTGTTAAGGTTTTGCCTCCTCTTAGCCTTTATCTCATGATCATTTTACATCCAGCCCGGAGACTACAAATTGGCCATCGCGCTCGCCGCCCAGGGAAAACTCGACCTCAAGCCTCTGGTCACCCATAGGTTCGATTTCTCTCTTTGTTTGCATCCTTACTTCCTTCTTACCGATAAACTCGCAGATTCCCTTTCAAGGACGCCGTTGCTGCCTTCCAGGCTACGAGGAATGGAAAAACAGGAGACGGAAAGATGTTGATCAAAGCGATCATATCAGGCCCCGATGTCCCTGTTGATGCCGTCTAAGGAAGTAAAAAAAATGGTGGGAAGTTTGGATACGGGGTGAAGAATGAAATCGTCTGACGAAGTAGTCTCTCGATGTATTACTACTTGTCCTCGGATGTTGTGCTATTTGCTTGTCGCGGACAGCGTACTCTGGATATTCTCAAACCACATTCTATCTCTTTTCTCCGCAGTTCGTGTTGACTGGGTTACAGTAACGTCCGATTCTGGAGAAAGAGACTCTCAGTGGCACCTCATGTGGCACCGTGAGACACTAGTCGTTCAACTGATCTCCCATTCGAGCTCAAGTTGTTCTTTCTTGGTTGTTACACACCGCGTCGTGCCGCCGTGGTTGGTCTGTCCGACTCTGTGCTAAATAATCTCTAGCATCTCCCAGCCTCTGTTAACTGGGATTAACAGTATCCGAAATTTACTCAGCGTTCGAGTCACGCCTTCGCCTCCAGTGACATGCCGTTTCAGTCTCGCAACGCGTATTACCTGCGAATATCTGCCTCCACTATCCTGCCTCTCTATGTCAGTAATGTCGGCAACTTATGCTATACTCTGCTATTGCTTCTTAAATCGAACGTGGCCTCACGCTGTCTTTCTCGGTTTACTCTGTGCAATGATAGGTCTACCTCGATGAACGGCACATCAACTGGATGTCAGATCGCGTACTTCAGCATGTACTCGAAGATCTTCGAACAAAGTACGACTAACACCACTGTATATTGACGAAATCTTGGGCACTTTGTTCTGATAATATGGTTGCTCAGGATCATGCCTAAGCTGAAAGCTGAACAAGATGCAGATTACATTGTCGGCGCTTCTTCCTCTCATGGTAAGAAAGGTACTGTTGACGTGCACCGAGGAGGTGAGTAATTCACAACCAACCAAGACACTGTCGTGTGTATATTCACTAATTGGTATGCTCAGAAACATATCAGTTCGCATACTTCTTTCGTGCCACGGAGCCACACTCCGTACTTGTGAAGGCGAGATGCAGTGTGGTACCTTAATGTGGTCTCTATTCTTACCCCCTATTCAGTCTAGGAACTTCGTCCTGGATAAAAACCCTCCCAAACCCCCTCCGCCGTCAGTAACGGAAAATGCACAAGTTCAGCCGAAGAAACGTAAGGGCGCTCGCTCGTCGAAGAAAACCACAAATAAAAAGAGGAAGGTCCAAGGCAAGAGGAAGACCGCGGAACTGAGTGAAGAAGAGATAGAGATCCTCAGTGACTCGGAGGACGATCGAGACATCGACGAAGGTGGACAGGCAATAGAATCACAACCAGCAGCTCCTCGACGCTCGACAAGGGCTAGGAGACCTATAGGAGCGAGTTATCGGGAAACAGACGAGGATGATATCGATATGGCCGATGGCATAGCTGCGGATGTTGAGGAGGACATCATCACACAGGAAACAGGACCGGCTCAAACTGGGACTACTGCGTTACAAGGACCATCGTACCCTTCTGAAGGTATCGACATCGACACTGAATCTATCACCATCAAAGACGAAGAGACAGAGGCCATGGTCATCGAGGGCTCAGGGACGTCTACGCAGAGACCCGTTGCTGGCAATAAGCCACAAGCACACCAGACAGTAATCCACATCGAAGACGACGAAGAGCCCAAACCAAAACTATCCCTTCAGCTCAAATATCAGGGCTTCCAAATCCACGGACATTGTCTTTGTGTTGTCGTCGAGCCTTGGCCACCTATACGTTCAGCTTCTCGTGCGCCATCGCTCGCTCCCATGGTGTCGACGACGATTCGTGCTCCTAGCATTGCTCCTCCCGATTTCGTCCCCAGCGGTGCCGCAGCTCGGAGGGAAAGAACGCCCCTGTTCTTACCGGACGATGATCAGGACAGAGGGGAGACACCTGGCCCTTCCATTCGCAGGATGCGAACGCTTCCACCTGTTCCTTTATTCAACGATATACCCGAGGAAGAACGTCAATATGATTCAGACGAAGACGGGGGTATGATGGAGTTCAGTCAGGTATTGAAAACTGGAGGGACTATGAACGGCGGAGTGGAGGAAGACGACGAATATGATGGTGCATTGTTCTTTGCGGATGCGGATGAGGAAAGGGAACTTTGATAGTCTGTCCGTGTAGAAGCATATCTATGTACATCGCGATAGTCCATCAAGCCCGACCCATCTCCCTCAGAATTTCTACCCTCCGAGTTTCAGCCACGACGCGGAAACCTGCAGCCGACATCTCGAACAATCCATGACCACCAGAAAGCGCACGCAAGCGTGTTGAATAGTCCAGCATTTGACTGAGCGGTGCGATAGCGTGGATATATCGACGTTGTCGCACACTTTGCCGGTCCCGACCCGTCTCGGACATCGTGGAAGGGGAAAGCCATTTCGGTGGAATGTAAAGTCCTTCTTGAGGATACGATGTGACTTCTTCGCCGTCCATGTTGACATTGGCCCCTTCCATGTCAAGGACTTCACCTCCGTGCTCAGTCAAGTCCTTGACGACTTTTCCCAGAGAATCTTCGCCTACTGAGATCCGCAGGTTGATGAACGGCTCCATCAATTGACCCATGCCTCTCGCCTTGACCGCATTGCGCAGAATGACTGCACTGGCACCTGCCAAGATGGACGTCGGGGCTTCGGGCGGATGTTGAAAAGTGGAGACGGTGATGTGCGCGCGCGAAAGAGGAAGCGACGAGTTAGGCGAGTTGGAGAGCGTGTTAGCGATGCCTTGGGATATGTGGCGTAGTGGATCGTTGTGGTCGATGAAGGTATCAGGAAGAGCGAGAGGCATGCCATCGCTTTTCAAGACAGCATTACCATCCCACATGGGGTCTCCGGTCTCATCGTCATCCAGAGGACGGATGGAGAAAGCCACAGAAGCCTGCATAGTCTTTCCAGCGATCGTGGTGGACCATATGTCGGAAGGTAGTGATGACGCCTCAGTTACTCCAAGGGCTTCCCTATAGCTGACCCTCCTCCGTCCGAATTCGAACTTCGCGTTCCACTCATCTCGAAGACGACCTTCGACAATTTCGAGATGTAGCGCTCCCAGTCCATGAACAAGCAGTTGTCCGTCCTGGGTCTCAACTCGAACGGAAGGATCTGTCCTTGCCAAGGCTAGTAGAGATTCCTCCACAATTTCGAGGTCGGCGTGGGATTGTGGGATGACGGAGGCAGACATGACGGCTGGAGGAGGGGTGATATCCGCGATGTTGCTTTTGAAAGTAGCGGAGCCCTTCGTAGACACCAAGAGATCGCCCGTACGCGTGTGTTTGAGACCGAGGATGACGCCGACAGATCCAAAGGGTAACTCGTCAACTTCTTGAGCCTCATTGGCATACAAGAGCATGAGCTTCGAGACCCTTTCCTTCTGATTTCGGGTTGAGTTGAAGAGGACACTCTGTTTGGTCAGAGTGCCTGGGCACATCGTTACCTCTTGTAAGCAGATCAAGATCTAAGAAGTGTACACACCTGAATATACACGAACAAAGGTCATCCAACCTCTTCTCTTGTCCCAAGTGACCTTCCACGCCAAGAGTCCGAGTGGCGACTTTGGATTTTGTTTTTCATGCGGAACGTCAAGTGGACTAGCTAAGAGCTCTCCCGCATAGTTCAGAACAAGTTCTGTACCGATGTGCTTCATAGCCGATCCGCAGAGTATGGGAAGAATGTCAGCACGTAAGGTGGCGGCGCGAAGGTGAGGAATAATGAGAGAGGACGGGAGCCCGAGATACGCCGACGGTGTTGAAGGAAGGTCAAGTAACTTCTCCATGAGTGATTCAGAGAACATGGAGAGGTTCTCGATGAGTTCTGTCCGTGCGGGTGTTAGATGAGGGATGATTGGATGATTAGGCGGAAAGAGCTCGGTTTTCTCCAGTGATTGGACGTCGGTGGGTAGTGAATGCCTAGTCGAGGTACCGTCCGGATGCCATCTCCACAGTTCCCATTTGACAAGGTCGACCAACCCTTCTACTCCGGGTTCAGCTAGGGTATAGTCTTCGGGGTTGAACGAAGCGATGGGAAGAGTAAGCGCCATAGGTTTTGGGTGAATGCGATGTGAAAGTAGAGACAACATGGACGAATGAAAAGACGCCCCGGCTCGGTCGAGCTTATTCATAAAGAGTAGCCGCGTAGGTACGCCATACCTTGTCCACCATGAGTCAGTTCGAAGTACACGGAAAAATGCAGAAGGTTCTCACCTGCTTACCTGTCCAACTGTCGCCAGACGCCCTTCGTCTGAGCCTCTACACCTTCGACAGAATCTATTAAGACGATTGCTCCGTCCACGACGCGGCTCGCACTCTCAACCTCCATTCCGAAGTCTGCATGGCCTGGTGTATCGATGAGATTGATATTCCAGTCTTTCCATTTAACGGGTATGCTTGCTGATTGAATAGTGATTCCACGTTCACGCTCTGCGGGTAAGAAATCTGTGGTGGTGCTGCCGGTGTCGACGGATCCTGCCGAGGCGAGATACGAGGTCTCCAGCAGGATGGACTCGGTGAGAGTGGTTTTGCCAGAATCTGGCAGACTTGCAGTTCAGCTCTTGGGAATGGCCAAAGGACGACACAGGCATACCGATGTGGGCTACGACAGCTAAGTTACGCGTTTTTGACGGATCAGGACGGGATGTCGATGCATATCTGCAAAAGCTTTTGGTTTTGAGCCACGAAAAGGGTTGCAACTGCCTTCGAAGGAGAGGGGAGATTGGCATGGCCCAATAGGGCAATGGTAGGAGGTGTGAGCGCGAAGTGGGCGACGGCTTCTGAAAATAACAAGGACAAACAAGACAAGATCGCCCGTGGCTTGGCGGACAAACCTCCAAGTAATGCCACCGCCACACCGAAGCTATTGTTCTCCGTCTCACCCTCCGTCCTTTTCTTTCTACCCAACATGAGCTCCTCAGACAGTAGCTCCGATGGATTTGACCAGCGATTGCGCCAGCGAACCTTTCAGCGTACGAATGGCCTCGAGACCGTTCCTCTAGTGGACATACCGCAACCTCACGGAACCATCCCGAACAGCCCTTTGGCAGCGTCTACGATCTCCTTTTTGCTTGGATCCACATTCGCTATCGGCCTCTTCACATTTATCTCTGGAGGCTTTGACCGCTTCTGGTGGTCAACTTATCAGCTCGGGTTCTTTGCCGCAGCTTGGGCTGCTTTTCATTGGGGAGAGTTCGCGGTTACAGCAGGTTGGAACAGGGAGAAATGCAGCGTCGACTGTACGTTTCACTATTCCTCTCAGTAGAACCAAACTCTAATTTCTCTATTTCATGTAGCATTTTTGCTCGACAACGGTGCAATGTACCACATCGCTAATGGAATCGCCCTTTCCGAATACCTCCTCACGCTTTACTTTCTACCCTCCGCAAAATCATATCCATATGTTTCTCTTGTTGGTCCGTAGCTCGTGTTGTTTGGTCGCCTTCTTCTCCTTGCTCAAGGACATTTGCGTGCAGGAGTCTTCATGGTTGTGCTTGGCCAGGCTGTTCGCTCGGCAGCCATGATACACGCGTCCACCAATTTCTCCCATTCAGTCGCGTTTCGCAAGTTACAAGGTCACCGCCTAGTGACCGACGGTATTTACGCGTATGTGAGGCCCATATGTACATTAAGTTGTTTTTAATTTTGATCGCTTTACAGATGGTTCCGTCATCCTTCGTACGCAGGGTTCTTTTACTGGGCACTAGGAACGCAGCTGGTCCTACAGAACACAGTAACCTTCATTGTATTCCTTGTGTTGCTGTGGAGGTTTTTTGCTCGCAGAGTTGAAGGTACGTCCACTATCCATGCTAAGTCTGCGCGGCGGTGGCTAATAGTGCTTCATAGCGGAAGAGAAGGCGCTGGTGCAATTCTTCGGAGATCAATATGTAGAATATCGTAAACGAGTCGGCACTATGATGCCTCTTGTCGGGTGATAAATATACAGATCCACCGCATCATATTGGGTGCAGTCGAATCTCGCGATTCACTCTTGTGTGCGATAGCGAGGATTGAGTGCATGAAAGCATGGCGCATGGATATGGTGTCATAAGAGGAGAGTACCAAAACAGAACGGCGGATGACATGCGAGTTTTGTGTGTAAAATGCAGCGAGCCCCCCCGAGAAACAAATCACGACTCCTGGAGGACGGTAGTCTTGTCCGAGACGTAGATACCGTCCAAGAACTTTCGGATATCTTTGTTCCTCACTCGGCAGATGCCCTGGATAGATGCCGCTGTAAAAACAGGAAGTATGATGAACAAGGAGTGTGAGGGCTAGTAACACGGTAAACGCACCTGATTGCGAGACCATGTCGATATCAGCACCCTCAAGAATCAACTCATCCTTCTGCGTCTTCGACTCGGAGATGGTGACGCCCGACAGCATGTCGACGTGACGAACGGTCTACAATTGCAATTCGAAGTTCAGCCCTGCCCGACTTGCGTGACTTTAGCAAAGACGCACCTTCTCGCCCAAGAAATTCCGGATCTCGACAGCCCGGCCGTCTGCCTGGATGATGCAGTTGATGGGGAAATGGGCGTAGACGGCCCTCATTTTGTACAGGAAACCCTGGAGAAGGCCAATGAAGTCAGTCAAGGAACGCACAGAGTGCGGATACGGGGACGCACCTTGGTAACACCAGTAATCATGTTAAGGATAAGGCTCTTGATGGTACGCAAACAGGCAACGTGCTTGCGACCGCCCTGCCAAACGGCGAGAGTGACCTTGTTCGCCTTGCCCTTGATGAGGCGGATGTCCATGTTGACATGGCGGACGTTCTTGGTGAGTGTCGCCCTTGGGCCCGCCACCTTGATGAGACGGGACTTGACTTCGACAGTGACACCTTCGGGGATCTCGAGTTCTTCGGTCTTGAGGACGTCCCGCATCTGTGCAAAGTGACCAGAGTCAGCATGTCATCCTGACTTCACCCTCCCGATCCATCTCCTCAGAACCATCTCTCCGCCAAACAACCTCTCAGACGTCTCTGTACCCTCCTCTGATGCCTCTGAATCCATGTAAGGTGAGCAAAACGGCGTACCTTGAGTGATTATTGTCTGGACGAGGCGGCGGCAGCGGTTTCTGGGCTTTGCGCTATAGTTTGAGTTCTGCCGCCCAATTGGCGCCACCGGCCTCGGCTACAAATAAAGCCAAACACTTGAGTTAGGATAACAAAGCGCTGTCACTCGTCACCAGCGCCTGACCCGCCCCACTCATCTTGTTCTTCAACCACCATCATCGCCTCGATCTGATACCTGCCCCAATTCCCAGTCGCAGAATTTTTTAGTTTAAACATTTCGTATCGTGAATTGAGTGTCTTTCGCAGAGCTTGAGCATAGAACGAAAATGTCGTCGTATTCTCAAACTGCCACCTACCCGCAGGTGACTCCACCATCGCACGCTTATGCCCAAGCTCGTGTCTCTCTCCCGCCGCTCTATCCCTACTCTGTGCCCTCCGTCCAACCAACATATCTTTTAAATCCACACGCTTTTCGCCAAGATTTCTCGGGACGCCTGACTGAGTTAACGGTCAACTCAAGACCTATCATCCAGTCTCTCTCAACCATTGCCCAGGATTATTCGCGTTATGCAGATATCGTTGTTCAATGTGTTGAGCAGCATATTCGGCGAGTAAGTTTTTCTGATTCTTTATCTTTTCATGAGTTTGTTTCTTCGCTGTGAGCTCGGATCATGGACTGGCACCTGTGTCCTGTGTCGTTGAGCAGCAAAGGCCCTTGATCCGACTCGCATTGACCATATATGACTGACTCAAATTATCGTGGCATTCATAGGTGCCACCTTGGGTGAAGCTTCCAGCGTGGTATCTCCTTGACGCCATCTCGAAGAACGTCAACGAACCCTACGCTCGTCTGTTCGCCTCTGTTATTACCTCTCTCTTTCTGGAGAGCTATGATTCAGTTGACCCGAATACGCGCGGTAAGATGGAGGAGATGCTCCTGACTTGGCGCACAGGTTCTCCGTCTAGGCGCGAACTCTTTGGTATCGGTCCTCAGCTCGCTATCGAACGTACTATCTGGGGCTCGGGATCGAGCGGCGAAGTACGTAGCTCTCGCCATTCGACGTCCGCTCGCCGTTCAAAGGCTCCGCATCAGAGTTCTTTCAATGCGGCGGTGACCATCATCTCCCCGTCTCAAGTGATCAGTGAGATTGAGGTCGCTCTCGGTCAAATGAATCATGCACTACATGTCAATCCGTACGACAGCCAGGCACAAAATCATACTAGTGTCCTTCAGCAGGTTCGTCTTATGTCCCATCTTTTTAATACTATGGCTCGACATTGACGAAGGTAATTATCCTAGCTTCGTGCTGTAGTGCAATCTGGTGTTTCCCAGGAAGAGCTTCGCCAAATTCTCACTCAGCTTCGTTCAATGAGTCGACCTTCATCAGCGCAGTCCTCCGTGACACCCGCCCCAGCTGATGAGTACACATCTTCGTCGTCTGTACATCTCCAGGCGGCCTCTGGTCAGCATTCTACTCCTTCGGTCCTCTCTCAGCCCCAGTCAGAGCAGTCTTCCTCGTCTCCCGAGTTCTTCGAAGGATCATCGCCCTCTGGACCTCAAATGCCGCCGCCCACCGTCACCAGTGCTTCTGTCCCTTCAATCCCCACTATCACCAGCCTCGTCAACACTCTAATCAAAGCGGGTGTCGTCTCCGCGCCCGGTAGTACCTCAACAGGATCAAAGTCCGTTACGCCCGAGCATGTCAAAGAAGCTATCACGGATGTCAAAGTCAACAATCGCGTTGATTCCGGTCGCGAGCAGGACAGAGTATACAGGGATGCCATATTATCTCAGGGTATCAAGCTCAACTCTACGGACATAAATAGGTACGTCCTCATCTTCTGGATTTTCTCTAGCAGCATCGCTGACTACCGCGCACACCTTAGACGTCGTCCAGATATTTCTTATGTTTATGGTCGTTTGCCTGTTCAATGTAAACAGTGTGGCGTCAGATTTGCGGATTCTGTGATGGGTAAAAAGAACATGCAAGAACATCTTGACATGCATTTTAAGCAGAACCGTAAGGCTAATGAGAGCGTTGGTCGCGGCCATAGTCGCAGTTGGTTTGTCGCTCTCGAAGTGCGTTTCTACGCTATCTTTCATCATCATTACACTCCAGCTGATCTGTCACCCTTTTGTGCCCATAGGATTGGATTCAGAATAATGGCAAAGGCAAGAGCTCCGCAGGCCCATGGAGACCATCGAATATCAAATCAGCGGCAACAGCTGACGCTGCGAAACGAGAAGCAGAGCTGCGTGCTCAATCTGTTGTCGTTCCACCCGGAGATGAGGCTAAGACTGTAGATTGTCCAATCTGTAAGGAAATTTTGAAGTCGGAGTTCCAGGAGGATGAGGAGGAGTGGGTGTGGAAGAATGCCGTCGACGTCGATGGAAGGGTATGTCTCCCTAGCCATTCCCCCCTTTCACATCCGGTGTATTGATATGATCTTCTCTTTGCAGATATACCATGCAACCTGTCGCGCTGAAGCTTTGTCTTCAACTACCGCACTCACCGCTAAATTACGCCTTGGGTTCGCGAACAATTCTCCGAGTCGGTCGGTCACACCTGAGGTTTCATCTGCGCCTTTGTCGCGTATGACGCCTCCGAGATCATCAATGGCGTCTGTGCCTGCGCGTCTGAAGTCAGATTCACCGAAGGGGTCGGGTGGCATGAAGCGAAAGATTAGCAGTGTCGATGGTGCTGTTGGTACGAGTGGGAACGCTGGAGTAGGGGGTGATGGTCCCCCGCCGTCGAAGAAGATTGTGATTTCAGTCTCGGTATAGGTTCGGTGGAGGGCTCACGTCGTCGAGGCCGGTCGGCTGATGGTTGTGTGTGCATATTGGCTTTATGGTGTGCATGTTCGCATCTTTTTAGACGGGAGGATTGTACGCTCAGCGAGGTGTTGTACGACGACCAGGCGGATACAGTTACGCACACATTATCATTATATCTCTATTGTAGTTCAGTTTCGGTGCCTCGATATCTCACTCACACATAATTTGAGCAGCTTTGCTCTTCGTTTCAATCGTCCGACTTTCTTTCGAGATTTCCTCAAGAACGAAGTAAATACACGCCACTTTGTGGTTGCTTTGTGGCCAAACATGATCAGGGAGATTAGATTATGAGAATCTTATCGCGACGATTCACTAAAATCAAGAAAGCCCAACCTCTACTCAAACTCTCATGTCGACCTCTCCTCGCGTCCGCGAACGCGATGTCACCGACGAGCACGACCCTACTCCCTCTGCGAAGCGTGTCAAACTCGATGATACTCCCGACGTGACCATGGTGACCGAAACGGAGCTAGTTGCATCTACTCAGGCTTCGTCCAGTCTACCCTCCGACGGCCAAAAAGCTCAAGTAAAAACTGAGAGTCTACTACCCCCTAGCCATATCTTGCTTGGCACAGCTCCACCAGCTACTTCGGAAGATGCGACAATGCTAAAGATCATGGAGACCGATGTCGGCATCTCGGAGTACATCGCAAAGGATGTCCCGAAAATTGAGGGCATCATCAAGCAGAGGTGTGTCATGGCTTCCTAGTACCTTGGATGCTGGACTAACGTCAATGCAGATTCACAGACTTTCTTGTGTATGAGGTCGACCTCGACCACAATGTCGTACACATCAAATCGTTAGAGATGCCCACGTCTGCAGGGAAGAACGCTAAACCTTCGGAAGAGGCAGCTACATCTGAACCTCCCAACACCGAAGCTGTCCCTGCTGAACCGGCTGCGGCTCCAGAAAAAGTTGATATTCCTGCCTCTTCTTCAGCTCTAGTGTCTGAGCCCGCCGACGCCACTGCGCCTTCGGAGTCAGCTCCTGTTACCCTACCTTCCGAATCCATCGAGGCTCCTGCCACTACCCCCGCCATAGCTGCCACCCCTGCTGAACCATGGCCGGAATCATTCACAGAACGACTTTCTTCCTTCATGTCTGAAGAGAAACTAGCACAACTCAAGCAGATGTTTTTGGAAGGTCCTGAGCCACCTTTTGTTCCCGACGCCGGCTGGGGCGGCCGTGCGCCTTCGAAGCTGGCTGAAGGGGAGAGCGCTGATGGAAATGCTGCTACTGAGGATACAGTCAAAGAAGAGGTCAAGGAAAGTCCCGCGAAAGAGGAGAAGGGCAAAGGCCGGGGGAGGGGTAGAGATAGGGGCGGAAGGGGTGGAAGGGGTGGAAGGGGCGGACGAGGTGGGGGAAACGGTGGCAGGCCTGGTGGGAGAGCAGACCATCGAAAAGTCGTGTCCGATGTCTGTATTCTCTTAGACACCCATCCTTTCTTTCATTTTAATCTAATTTCTCAATCTCCACCTCCTTGTTCGTCTCATTCAGCCCATTGCATCAAAAAGCAAGCGAACCGAGTTCCATCAAGCCGTGAGGGAGCTTTTCGGCGGCAAACTCGATAGCGAGACAGATACATCTGCTCCTGCTGCTGATGATGAAGGATCGAGGATTGTTGTCAAATGGTCTAAACGGGGTGGAGGCAGAGGCGGTGGACGCGGTGGTGGACGTGGCGGTGGCGACAGAGGTGAGCAGTCTCGTCTACTGCCGATAGTTGGTGTTCTTTCTGACTTTCGTAGGTAGTAAGGGTGACCGACCCGCACGCGGGAACTACCCTCCCTACATACATTTCACACTCCAGAAGACGAACCGCGACACCCAAGACGCACTTGCGTACCTCGCTCGTACTCTGCATGTCACCACAAAGGATCTCTCGACTGCTGGTACGAAAGACAAGCGTGGCGTGACGGTTCAGCGCGTAGCTTTACGCCGTGGCGCCAAAACAGTGGAGGATGTATGGAAACTCGCGAACGGCGTGCCCGGTCGAAAATCCGCAGAAGATGCAGTGAAGGAACGCGGTGAGCGCGGTGTTCGCATCGCTGATTTCAACTACAGAAAGGCCGCGTTGGACTTGGGCATGTTGAAAGGGAATGCATTCGTTATCACCTTGAGGTAAGAGATTCATCAAGTCTTTGAGCGGGAAGATACTGATATCCAGGCAGAAATGTACAGGTGGACTCTATGGATACTCTGGACAAAGCCATGAACTCTATCAAGGACCATGGTTTCATTAACTACTATGGTGTGCCCGTTCAAAGTTCAAGGCTCTTATGACTACTTACAACTCGTCGTTTTACAGGCATGCAACGATTTGGTACTGCATCGATCCCTACCCACTCAATCGGACTCGCCCTCTTACTAGAAGACTGGCACCGTGCGGTCTCTCTCATTCTGCGGAACAGGCCTGGCGAACATCCCGAGGTCGTGGAAGCTCGGCGTGCTTGGCTAGAAGACAAGGACCTCGATCGTGCTTTGGAACTTATGCCTCGCCGTGTTGTCGCTGAGCGCTGTATCCTCGAGAGCTATAAAAAGCAGAATGGTGAGACTCGTAATGCATTTGGAGCATTGTCCACGGTATGTTTCGACCACGTCCATTCTCATTGGGTCGCATGTTGACCGAGCTATCTTTGAAGATCCCTCGGAATTTGAGATTGATGTATGTTCATGCGTACCAGTCGTACGTCTGGAATGCGATCGTCTCCGAGCGTATGCGGACGTATGGAGCGGACAAGCCAGTTCCTGGTGACTTAGTAATGGACGATACCCCTCAGGAATCTAACATAGATGCTGGCTCAGACGGCGAAGCGGATGGTACACGTCATTCCTAAAGTATATTGTCTAGCATAATACTGACCTGTTCTCTCAGCCGATGACGGTCCCTCCAGGGGCGGAAGGAGGAATCGGAAACCCTGGCAGGCCCCGAAGGTCAAGGTCCTTACTGCAGAGGACGTCGACAAGTACACAATTTTCGACATCGTCATGCCTCTTCCTGGTAAAGACGTAGCATTCCCCGGTGGAGAACTGGGCGAGAAGTACAAGGAGTATCTGCGCAAGGATGGCCTCGATCCTGATAACTTCCATCGCCGTCAAAAGTGAGTCTATATTGTCCTCTCCCGCAAATGAATCTCACCCCTACCTCGCGTATTTAGGGAATACAGCTTGAGTGGCTCATATCGCAAAATCCTACACCTACCAAAAGAGCTCTCGTGGTCTGTCTTGCGATACACGGACCCTGACGTCCCTCTGGCTCAGTCAGATGAAGACCAGTTGCTCGGGTACGACGCACCTGCAATCGTTCCGGACGGTAAATTCGTCGCACTTCAGATCAGACTTACGCTCGGTACGGCCGCATACGCCACTATGGCCCTTCGAGAGGTCACCAAGACCGAGACGAGCTCGCACTTCCAGACAGCACTGACACAGGCCTCGCAAGATCAGCAATTTAGAGGCAGCGGTGAAGGTGGCGCTGGTACCGGTGCTGATGAGAGTATGGTGGTGGATAGCGTGGATGCGGTTGAAACCGAGCCTGTGGGAGAGGCTGAGCTTGTGGGCGAAGCTGACGAGGCATAAGAAATCTTGTACGTTCCTTGTGCGGAGATGTACGTTGTGGCCACGTCGTCTGTACTGTTTGAACACGACGTTGGTGTTGCCGCCTGAGATTGTGTCCATACTGTCCTGTGCGCACACTAAGCAAGCGTGCGAGGAGTACGCATTCCTACGATGGTGACTGGTTGGCCGCGTAGCCTGAGAAAGCAGTGTAAACCCACCGTGAGCCGAAAGTACCCATGGTGCACACCAGATGAACACTTCGCCAAACCGTCGGAATCAACTGGCACAGACCGACAAACGCTGTTGTCGACTCGTCTGCGCACGGAAATATGTTTTATTCGAACTCTTCTTATAACCGTTCCCTTCACCGCGTCTCGGCTGGCTCACGGACGACGACCCAGCAATCCTTAATCTATATTCTCTATACCAGGACTCAATACATAGCGCTCTTTAGGCCTACCGGTTTGGCATAATCCCCACTACGAGCAGGTCCATAAGCGCCCATATTTCCATCCCGCTCGTCCAACTTGTTTGTTAAACAGCTAGCACGATGGCCAAAATCGAGCACATCGTATTTCTGTCGCTGGTTTTGGATTTGTTCGGTGCGAGTCTTCATGAACTGGCACATCGTGTAAACACTGACGCACAGAACTATTGTCTTCAACGAACCAGCTTTCACCATTCCATTGCCCCTCTTTCCTCGGATCATCGAGTGGTACACCCAGGCATGTCTTTTGTTCGACGATCTTGTAAGGCGCTCAGTAGTCTGACCTTTCTGCGCACATGACTAGAGGGAGTCTTCAGACCCTACCGGGTTTCTATCACGAACGTTAGGATTCGTGTCGGCCATTAGGGGATACTTCTTCGCCAAAGCGAGTGGCAACCCCCAAAGATGGGATGTAGTTTTGTTGGGTATGTTCTCTTACCTCTCTTGCTCTATGTTCTCCATCTTACCACTAGGATCTATATAGGCGGTCTCATGGGATCCGTCTTCTCGTGAGCATACCTCGAACTCAGCCTTTGTTCATCCTGCATACTCAGCTTGCACTTTATTCTTCAGCACACTCCAATTCTTCGTCTCTCCGTACATTGGATCACTTTCTGATACATATGGCCGAAAACGAATCCTGCTCATCACCATGATCGGTAATATACTATCTGCTCTGGTGTACGTGTTCATCCCTCTTGTCTCAGTCTGTATCCGGAAGAGTTGTTTTTTAATGCCTCTGAAATAGATGGATCAAGAGTACGACATTTGCTTCCTACATGTTGTCGCGAGTAATTGGTGGTTTGAGCGAAGGGAACGTCCAGCTTGCTATGTTCGTTCTCTACTCGTGCATTTCGCGAGTTGGATAAATTGCTGAGGGTGTATTATTATAGCGCCATTCTTTCCGACATCACAACCCCCGCCAACCGAGGAAAAGCCCTGGCACATGTGGGCATTGCCTTTGCCATTTGCTTCTGTGTATGTACCGGCTGGCTTTCATTTTGACCTGAATCTCGACTGAACGTCATGTTCGCCTTCCAGATTGGGCCACCCATTGGCGCCTACTTTGCCTCCCGACCGGTCGAGCTCGGATCCTCACTAGGAATCGAACTCAATGTCTATGCCGCACCAGCCATTCTGACACTCGTCCTCCTTCTGGCTGAGACAGCCTTCCTTCATATCGCTCTGCCGGAGACTCGAGGAAAGGGCCCCGCAGTGGATCTGGATGATCTCGAGGACACAAAGCCGGCTGCCAATGGCCACGCTCTCAAGACCTCCCGTGCGACGACGGTGGAGAAGAGATTGAGTTTGCTGAAGTCTCTTCGCAAAATGCATTTCTTATTCTTGGGCCTCTTTTCCGGAGTTGAGTTCACACTCACGTTCCTGACCTTCGACCGTGAGTCTTTGCGCGTATTTTTATCAATGCCACACATTCGTGCCATACGCCCTGATTTCCGTGTTGACAACATTATTTGTCTCCGTTCGTATAGTATTCGACTGGAACAACACACAAAACGGAAAGCTCATAGGATCCATCGGTATCGTCAGTGCACTTCTCCAAGGCGGATACGTCCGTCGTGCTCTCTCCAAAGTCGGCGAACTTAATATGGCCCGCCGTGGTGTCTCCTCCTGCGCCGTGGGACTCGTTTGCCTCGCCTTCCTCCCACAATTCACTTCTACTCATCCCACAGTCGCATTCCGGCTCCTCCAAGCAGCGGCCGTCTGTATGGCGTTCACATCCGCCACTGTGGTCAATTCACTAACCGCACACGCATCGTTACAATGTGACGAAGGCGGGCCAGCTGAAGGAGCTGCCGCTGCGAACGGGAATGGAAAGTCGCACGGGAAGGCCCAGGGAAAGTCAATCAAGGAGAAGGTTGAAGAACCAACACATCCCGAACTTGCGAAGGGAAAAGCCTTGGGACAGTTCAGGTCATCAGGGCAACTTGGCCGTGCGATTGGACCCTTGCTCGGTATGTCGTATTTCCTTCCTTCCATCTTGCTTGTATAATATGGCCATCAACCTACGTTACCCACTCTATCACATCACGCTCCTACCCTGTCGTTTCACTCCGATTTCCTCCCGTTATTCCTGCCGCTATCCATCCATGGATTATACTCATGACGTTCCGGTTCCTTCCCCTCTTCAACCGTGCTGCGCTCCGGCCAACATCGACCGGTTCTGGTCCTGTTCTACAGCCTGCGCCTCGTACTGGACCTTCGGCCCCTCGACGACATATACACTCAGCGCGGCGTTGATGTTCGCCCTATCGATAAACATGCGCAAGTTGGCGGCGTCATTATGATCAGTTCCTCTCGTTCCTGGCGTGGATTGTAAGCACTCGAGGCTTGTAGCCGGTAATATAGCAGTGCGATCGAGTTCGATGCGGGGGGCGTGCAACCTCGGAGTAGAAGTGAAGTGAAGTGAAGTGGAAGATGCCCGGTTTACAGTGGGTGGCTTGAGGGACATCAGTCCGTCGGAAGCCCTCGGTCCATGCCCTTGCGTTCTCGTTCTTTATTCTCGGGGCGTCTATATTTATGATGTACATTGATTTTGCAGGCAATCTAAATCTGCATACACCGCTCCCAGTTCTCGATACTCTCTCACACCGTCTTAAGTCTTTCAGCGTCTCCTACTTTTGCATCACGCCCGAAGACAACCCGAAGACACGTCAAATGTACGTGGCCCACGATAGATCCATCTGTCCATCGCACTCAGCCACAGAATCTCATCATGAGCTAGCACCGATTCACCCTAGGGGCCGTGCAATACACAAGGCATCGTCACTTGCACAGTGATCCAAACACCGCCCCTTATGGCATGATAATGCAGCTTTGCGCAAGCCGTCGGTGATACATGATCATGATATGTCTTCTTCAGCGCTTTGAGCGACCACTAGAAGCAGTGGGCTGCCTTGAGGTTCGTGGCGCGGACACTGTAAACGAAACTACTCATGTCGTGCCTGTCAATGGGTCCACGAGTCCGCTGTTCCATGTTCCATGCATGTCCGAATGTTCACTTCTCCTGTTCAGCCCCGATTCAAACAAAAGGAGCCTTTGAACGTTCACGGCATCGGCAGGACTAGAGTCCATGATGAAGGGAATTGTACCATTACGCTCCGCTGGAGCCTCCAGCTGCGCATCGTCAAAGCCAAATGACAAGGGTATCAGGGCCTTTCACAGGCCTTGTGTGTGTTTATTTTTGACAGGAGCTCCTACATGACTCAATACATGAACGTAAGTAGTGCCGTTCAGGGGCTGTACGGATCCATTGACAGCGAGGGAGTGAATGCGAATTGCTGTCCACGGTCCGGCGGAAACGTCAAATATGAATCGGGGGGAAAGGACGGAAAGCTGTATAAGTGTGCGCCCCACTTAGGATCCGGAGCGCCGTCGCACTCATGCAACCGATGAAGAATGGTCAATGATGTATAGGGGAAAGGTGCTTGGAAGGGGCCATGCGACTTGGAACGAAAAACAAGAGGGGAAAGTGTAGAATAGGAAGGGAAAATAGGCAACGGGAAGGAGTACGATAGGCTGTAAGCGAAAGCTGTAAATAGTTGAAAGTCTCATGCTGTCTGTTCTATGCTGGCGATAGATAAGTGCTGCAAGAAACGATTAGAGATGGAAACAAGAAACAAGGAGCGGATGAATGTTAAAGTTCTGTTTGGTTCTGGTGCTGCTCGACGACTCTGATGAACTATGTGATGTGCAGATGCAGACGGAAACAAAGACCGCGATTTCTCAAGGAGCGATAACGATGCGTTGCGTTGCGTACGTACGGTAAGATAGCTTGTCACTGCTCCAATACGGCGCCGGGCCAATTTCTTTCTTAAATAGAGCAGGGTCCTTGAAGTCCGGCTACTGCTTCTACTCAACCACTGTCCTGAACGATGATCCTATTTCCCCATGATGCCCAAATGAAGTATTCCACCTTTAACTGCCAAAACCTACGACCAAGGATGCGAGCCCACTACGATAATGAACCCGAGGGCGTCACATTCTGGTGAGAATATGGTCTCCGTGAACTACTTGCGTCCGGCGTCGGAGGCCTATATGTCGATACGGCAGCTTCGGCGTACGATGGTAGACGGAGACCAGCAGGAGGCGCAGAGGACGACGACGATGCGTCTTCGCCCATAAGTGCAGACTCGATATCATCGTCAGCATGATCCGGTGATGTGCGCTTGTCCGCCGGATAGGAGTTATTTCGTGATAAGGAGGGGACGAGAGGGGCGGTTTGCGAGTATCGTGATGAACCCTCTTCTGCTGACAGGGAAATGTCGCCGCCTGTCGCAAAGGCGGGCAGGAAAAAGAGGACGCCCCTCTGCCGTGATCGTCGTCGGGAGGTCCTAGAGCGGGACCTGGAGGATTCTGATCCTGCTCCAAAGATAGAGGCGATGCCATCTCGTACCCTCCTGACGATGCCAGACGCTGGATTGTAGGATCCGTAACTCTGATCGACGGTGGAGACTTCTGATGGTGCGGGCGATGATGGGCGCATGCCGATGGAAAGGGGGAGTAAGGCCACCTCGTCGTCGCTCGTACTGGATGTTGGACTGCTCGGGGTCGCTGAAGGGGTGACGCGCCCGGGCAATGAGATGAAACCTATGTCGAGACGCCAGCGTCCATTCCGCTCGTTCCAACGGGGCAATAATACCTCGTAAGCTCCACCCATCCTCCTGCTGAGACCACCATACTTGTTCTTCTTGCTCGACATGAGGAACATGCGCAAGACTCCAATAATGAGGATGGCAAGACCAACCCACATCAAGATCTTTCCCCACTTGCCCAAGAAACCGATGAACGCAGCATCGTCGGCGTGCCAGCTGCTCCCATAGAAGTGCGAGAAGAACGAATGAGGAGCCTCGCCCGCCTTCGCGTTCTTGCCGTAGAGCGACTTGGGAAGAATGCGGATTTCGCTGCCTGGATATTCGTCGGTATTGGGATGAGAGGCGGTGTAGAGTCCGTACTGTGCCGATACGAACATAGGACCGGTGGAGAACATGACGGTGGGATAATTGAGTACCCAGTTGTGATTGAAGGTAACGAGGTTGTGGATGGTCTGTGCCATGAAGGGATGACCTTTCTCGGCAAACATGAGGTCATTTGAGACGCCGACGGGGATGGTGCGGGGAAGGATAACAGGGTAGACGAGGAGAGGGTCGAGACGGCGGAGACAACCGATGTCCAAGTCGAGGTAAACGCCGCCATAGTAGTGAAGAATAAAGTAGCGGATTGCATCTGCACGTTGGATGGGATAGGGGTAAGAGTCGAAGGTATCCAAGAACCAGGGGTATTGTTCTGCAATGAATTCGCGCGAGCTCGCGTCCGTCCAGAGCATGTACTCGCTAAACCGTTGGGGTCAGCACGAGTGTGATATCTCTGTGAAATGAAACATACTAGTCGGGCATCATCGCTCGGCACTCCTCTGAGATGCCCTTCCACTTCGGCGGGAGCGTCTCTGACTTCCAGGTCTGGTGAAGGATTTTCGGGATCCGTTCTACCTTTCCATGGTCGGATGCGTTCCACTTGGGCTCGTTGAAGGGTGCATCGAGCTCGTCCTCTGTGATGTAGGCTACGTCTGGGATAGATAAATAGTAGGATATGGATGAGAGAACGACGACGGTGCCGAGCAGGAAGAGAGCGAGGATGGAGAGAATGATTTGGAACGTCCTGCGACGGGAGGCCATGGCTGCGCGGACGGACGGAGGGCTTGTTGTTGCGCGAAGCAGGCCGCGTCTGAAATCTTATAACTTACTGCTTTCGGTCGTATCCACATAAACCCATCCTAGGGTTTCCTCGGACCGTGCTTACGTCGGTATATTCGTGCGAAAGAAAGGTACATCTACATTCCCGCCGGCCGCTGGCGTCTCCCCCAGATTTCCTCAGAGTACGGCCTTAGTCGCTGCACAGACGTCAGCATCGGCTCGTCCTCGAATTTCTCCCCGATGCTCTGTAGAGCGTCCTCGCAGTCTTTCCACATCGCTCGAGGCCAGTCCTGTCCCGTTCGAGCTCCCCGCTCGTCCCTCTGGTACGGCCGGAGGAGGAAAGAGTACAGCTTCGCCACTAGCGGGGTTCTAACTAACCCCTTCTCCTTCACGAGATAGTTGATACACTCCCCCACTGTCCAGAACTTCAGCAGCGTCTTCTGCCATGACGGAGCATGCATCGACGTAAACACCCTCTCGACTGGTATCTGTGTTCCTCCCACACGTTGCACGAGCTCTTGCAATCGCTCCGTAAAATGGTCGATAACTTCGACGTGCAGCGCGTTCAAGAGATCCGTAGACCGATACGCGCTCGTGGGCTCCACGTCTTGTACGGTCTCGTCAATGTCCATGGCGTCGGGGTCGTGAGCCGGGGCTGGGAGAGGCAAGTCGACCCGGATGTTGTTCCTGCCCGCTTGGCGGACAAACTTGGTAGAATATTGGTCGAATGACTCCCAGATGCCCATCTGTGTCAACACATCTTCTCCCCAAATGACATCGGCGATATTGCGACTGCTCCAATGTCCCTCAGGACGAGCAAATGTGTATCCTATGGAGATAATTCATGTCAGAAATCGTGGCCAAAAGCTGAAATATTCGCCTACCTCGACTGGCCCCCATGAGACACATGTTGGTATCGTGGCTGCACAGAATCACATTCCTGATAGACCCATTGCACATCATCCTCGTATAATAGTCGCAGCAGTCAAGGACTAAGTCGTCGTTGACTTGATCTCGCGAGGCTCCTTCCATCTGTTCAGAGGGCACAATCCGACACCACACTCAGCTTCTCATCTTCCAAGACAATGGACGAAAGTGGACCTACGTAACCGGGAACGCGTATGTTCCACTTCCCCGTGTTCATCATCGTCTCCTCATGGGTCTGGCCCTTCACCCACCTCCTCTCACGCGCGTCCTTGGGATCTTTACCCCTGACTTTCTCTAAAAGCCAGGTGGAAGCGCGACGGGCAGCCCAGGCAAGTTGCTCTCGCTTCTCCTCTCCACGAGCGTTTTTCTGCCTAGAATGACAGAAGCGGTCAACAATGATGAGCAGGAACTGAAAGCCACTGAGCCGACGGAGATGGTCGAAAGTGAGATGGTTCACCAGTCGAGTTCAGAGACGACGACGCCGGGGATGAGAACGATGACGGGTAGATTTAACGCTTCTGCATCCGCGACGAATTGTTGTATTGTATCAAGGAAATGAATCAAGATGTTCGTATCTAGGACGAGATAGAACATATCCGCCGGAGGAGCCTATAACGCGAGAACATATACATCAGTACGATTGAATCACGGGAACGAAGGGCGAGAAGAGATTGACTGACGAGCATCTCCACATCCTCGTTCACGATGGCCTCTACCTGTTGCAAGGTAGCATCGTCCACCTGGCCATAAACCATCCCACCGTCATCATCATCGTTAAAGTACGACATTGCGTTGGTACAAGAAAAGTGTATTTTTTATTTTTTCGATATGTGTAGATATAGAAAGGAGTTTTAAGGAAACTGTAGGAGCAAGCAGCTGATGGTCAATGTGCGGTTTTGAGTATTATCATGGCGGGTGGCGTACAAAGAACAAGAAGCGGTTGCGTTGACGTTGAGTCTGAGTCTTGAATATTTCTGGGAAACCTGAGATGTTGAAAGTATCAGCGCAGGTTAGCAGACTGACCTTCCTCGGAGAGCTTTGAGAGAAGAGAATAGGCAGAAGAAACTGAGAGAGTGGGAGCTTGACAACGTGGACGATGACCGCGGAGAACAAGCCGTTAACTGACTCAATCTTGACTGTAGTAAACAGGAAGGAAAGAGATCTACGTACCTAACCTGGATAGATAAGATTCTTAAATGCTATCTTATCGGCCCTCCAAGGCACGATCTTATCTCAATTGCTTCTCTCGTTCCCCCATCATGAGTGTCTACAAGCAAACATACGAACATCGCGCCTCGAAGTTCACCAATCCAGCGGCAAAGCAGCTCCTCGAGACCATCGTCCGAAAACAATCGAACCTCTGCGTCAGTGTCGATGTCTCCAAGTCCTCTGACTTTCTTGCCGTGATCGATGTCTGTGGACCCTATGTTTGTCTCGTCAAGGCACGTATCTTTTCCTCCCCATTACATCTTTTTTTCGCAGTTCGACGTGACGAGTAACAATGAATGAATGAGTATGTACTGATGGTGTGTTTGTTCTGCTTAAGACTAGACTCATGTAGACATCATCGAGGATTTCGATACCTCGCTCATTGACCGGTTGGTCGAACTCAGTCGCAAGCATGACTTCCTTATTTTTGAGGATCGCAAATTTGCCGACATAGGTACGACCAGCCCCTTGCTCTCTCTAAATCAACTTTCCATAACTGACTTCTTTTCACTCTCCACCCCTCCACCTCGAATCTCAGGCAACACCGTAGCCCTTCAATACTCTTCGGGTGTACACAAAATCGCCTCCTGGTCTCAGATCACCAATGCTCATCCCGTCCCCGGCCCTTCCACCATCTCCGGCCTCTCCTCCGTCGGCCTACCCCTCGGCCGTGGTCTTCTTCTCCTCGCCGAAATGTCCACCTCCGGAAGTCTCGCACGCGATTTCTACACCGACGAAGCGGTCCGTATGGCCCGTGCCCACCGCGACTTCGTCATTGGATTCATCGCTCAGAGGCGTATGAACGGCGTTGGCCTCAAGGAGGGTGAACTTTCTTCGGATGAAGTGAAAGAGGAGGATTTCTTGGTTCTGACGCCCGGTGTGGGGTTGGATGTGAAGGGTGATGCGATGGGACAGCAGTATAGGACTCCGAGGCAGGTTGTCGTTGAGTCCGGATGTGACGTGATTATCGTGGGTAGGGGCATATATGGGAAGGCGGACAATCTGGATGTGGTGAAGGTGCAGGAACAGGCGGAGAGGTATAGGAAGGCTGGGTGGGACGCATATCTGGAGAGGGTCAAGCAGGCCTGACGAAATAAGTAAAATGGTTGTTGTGAAGCAAAATCTGTGTTTATTATGGTGTATTTCATTGACAGGCTGCTTTCAGAATCTAGACTCTGACTCAAGGTCTACCTTACCTTCCCTGCGTTCTTCGATATTGCTGAACTGAAATTACTTACGGTGAACCCCTATCTTCCAATCCGATGTCCAGCATTCGGCACGGACTATGCGCGCCTGACCTTCGAACAATACTGGAGAGGTCATGATCATGATACGTCTACCGCGGGGATCCGTAGTCTCAGCCCCATTTTCGACATGAGGTCCGAGGCCTAAGGATAAGTTCGAAGCAATCTAATATTTATAGGCAATAATTCTCATCAACTGCACAGACCCTACCCTCACCCCTTCCCCCTCTAGACGCTCACTGATTGCTCGTTTGCAGCAATGTCTATGGAACTCGATCCTCGCATGCCTGCTCGTTTCGTGGACCTAAAACACGAAATCGCTTCCTCGTACCCTGACTTTGAGGCCCGAGTGACCACCGCCTGGAACGAGATCCTTCAGCATCTCGAGGCCGTCTCTCTCAAGGTCGCCGAATCCGGTTCGGAGGTAAGTACAGACACCGACACGACACGCCCACTTCCTCGAAACCCCTCTTCTACCACAGACAAGCCAGGTTTCTTATTGATCCATTGAAAAATCAGACCATTCCCCAAGTCAGATTCGAGGACCTGGGAAAACTCAAGCCTGAGGAGATAGACCTGATCAAACAGCGGGGATCCGTTGTCATCCGCGATGTGGTAGATGATGCTGAGGCGGCCTCTTGGAAATCTTCTCTCGAGCACTTTGTTAAGGCCAATCCTGATGTACCAGGTTCGCCGTTCTTCCGACGTTTCTCCGCAACAGACGAGCACTGACCTTCACGATTTTGAACTAGGTCTTCCGGAGAATGACAAACAGTTCTTTCATCTCTAGTAGGTAGTCACATTGCCCAGTATACTGTCATGTGTTCTCAAGTGAAACCCAGCTGGACGAAAGAACAAGTCCTCGCTCGTTCGCACCCGAACATGTTAGCCGCGACGGCGTGGCTGAACAAGCTCTATACTGGCAGCCTCGATGGGGTCACACTATCTACTCCTCTCACCTATGCGGGTATGCATGTTCTATACCACCAGACGTAGCCTACTAATGACGCCATCGCATGTGTTTGGTTCCCCATCCTGCTCAGACCGCTTTCGTATTCGCCACCCGGGCCCATGGCTTTTTCATCCTCCTCATGTTGATGGTAAGAGCCCTTAGCTCAGATCATTACAATGTCGCTCAATCGATGTGTATGCGGTATGGTGCATCAGGCGGTGCCATTGAAAGATGGGAAGATGAAGCCTTCCGCAAATGCTTCGCCGACATTCTCAACGGCAATTGGAAAAACCACAATCCCTACGACCTGTCCAGCCGTATGAAGGCTCGTCACTCAATCTACGGTCGATCTGGCCAGGTCAGTTCCTCGCCTACGTATTACATACAACTATTTCCGTACAGCCTGTGTCTAATAGACCCACTGTAACGTCAGGCAAGCATCTTCCGCACGTTCCAAGGATGGCTGGCTATCAGCGAGACTGGACCTCAGGAAGGAACGCTTCAAGTCTTCCCAGACGTGATCGCCTCCAACGCATACATGATTCTCAGGCCTTTCTTCCGTCCCAAGGCAACGCCGGTTTCCGATGATCCACTCAGCGCTGACAACTGGGAATACGGTTCGTCTGCTTTATTCCCTAATCAGAAGCCTGAAATTCCTGACGATGAGAATGCATAGACATCTCGACCCCAGATTTCCCTGGAATCTATGCACGAGACCAGGGCTTCACAGGCCCACGTCCTAGTCCAGAGTTGCACCCGCACATGAGGCTTGAGAAGACCATGGTCTCAGTGCCCAAGGTCAACCCCGGAGACACTGTCTTCTGGCACTCTGTGCGTCTCCTCTTCCCCGGAAATCCCCTCATCGAAGCTTATGACTTACTTTTATTCCTTCATCATTAGGACGTCGTGCACGCCGTCGAGAAAGATCATAATGGGCCCGGTGACTCCGCCGTGATGTATATCCCGGCCGTCCCGTCCACGCCACAGAACTTAGCCTACATTCAGAAACAGAAGGAGGCGTTCGTTCAAGGGATCACCCCTCCTGATTTCGCGGCGTCGCCTCCGGAGGCGAATTATGTGGGTGTTGGGAAGCCCGAAGATATTATGTGCGAGGAAGGGAGAGTGGCGATGGGGTTCTGAGACCCAGTTTTCCCGGGAATAATGGGACGAACGGTGTTCGAAATGCGGTTCTTATGTGGGGTGTAAGAGTGGTCGTTAGATGTACGATGTTTGTAGGATCATGCTGCTTTTTTTCTTTGCAAGGTAATGACCCTTTGTGGGCCATGCTTAAGCTGGGCAAGAACTTTCGGCCGTCGGGGAGGTAGAACTTCTAATAGAGATGAATACATATTCGCAGGAGTGAATACAGCGTGTGTGGTGTTCTACAAGTAGGCGTCGACGACTCATACACAGATTGAATAACCTTTGCAATGGATAGACTTCAACTCCTCTCCATCTCTGCTTCTTGCTTCTTTCGTGCTTCTTCTTCCTTCGCCTCACGCTCTTCTGCCTCAACAACTTCCACATCGAGGGGGAAAGTGAGGATGGCAGCGATGCCGGTAATTTGATTTAATTCTGAGTGGGCGAGAGGTGAGTCAAGCACCTCAAGAGAAACAGAATGAACACTAACGTTGGCCGCTTTCGTGCATGCTAGAGAAAATCAAGACCTCTCCGCCCTTGTCCCGGACATCTTCAACGAGCGAAACATATTTCTTACGCTCCGTAGGATCGCTCGCTCGGAAGAGTCCATCCGATATGAGTAGGGTACCAACAGCGCCTCGTTCGATGGCAAGCGCGACATGGTCTGGTCCATACCATGCTCGCTGTTCGTCCGAGCCAAGCATCTTGAAAAACCTGAGCAGAAAGGTGAGACATAGCCGATAGGAAAGAGTAAATCAAAAACCGTACCTGTCCAACATAATTCCTTCCCGCGCAAATTTCGTCTCTTTCAGCTGAGATATGATCTGTTTCGAAGTGAGCATTCGGTTTTTGGAAGAAAAGTATATGTGGATGGCTTACCTCCGGACTCTTGAGTACTTCGACCAAACTATGAACATGGGGGCTATTGACATGTACCCTCACGAACTTCGACCTCGCCGCAAGCAAAGCCTTGTTACTAGTCCGTGCTGCCTCTGCCATTATATGATCAAAGACCGCATCCCGAACCCAGCCAGGACTCGCAATAACGATCGCACGCAACGAAGGGTTTGCGTACGGTATATGTCGCAGGAAAGCTTGGTACAGAGTGTCATAGAAACGTGCCAGACCTTTCTCGTGTGCGGTTGCCGACCCAGTACGTTTCCTCGGGATCGGTACGTCGATTCGTTGTCGAACAACGGTCATGTGTTGTGAGAGAAGACAGAATGCAGCGACGCCTTCGCCGCACACAATAGCGCCAACCTCAGCACCACGGCCTGGAATGCTTGCTTCCTGGATGCGTTCAAGAGATATGCTGTCCCATTCTTGCTTCTCTATGCGAACATCTCGGTTGGCTTCAATGTCGAGGGTATGGAATGCACCGAGCTTCACATGCGGATTCTCCACAGCTACCCGCCCTGCAATCTGTAGTGAAGCTGTGGGCACTTGAGGGGTGGTTGACGTGGTTTCTGTCGAGGGTGCTGTTGTGGAAGGAGAGAATTCGACGCGGGTTACTTGGAGAGTGAGGGTTGTACGGATACGATGAGATTCTGTGGAGCCTGTAGCGGAGACATTCTGCACACGGCTGTATTCTGCATGAGCATACTAGCAAAGTTCAAGAATATAAGTCCTGCGCACCGAATTGCAGGCGCTCGCACTCTGTCCCCCTATTTGTAGTATGGTGAGCTAAGGAACATCTGCAGAAGTAAAGCAACCCACCTCTTGAATGAGGTTGTAGAGGTGCCACATATCCTCATCATCCTCTGGACGGACAGTCACATATCCCTACCATAGACTTGAGTCTTCGATGATGTGCAGGGAACGACAGACTGACGAGATTCTCTTTGTCGATAAACTTTCCAACGACCTTCATGGTGAATGTGGGGATAAAGTAACCTTGCCTGCCTGATTGGGCTTCACAATCTGTCGTTCCGGGCCACATCTTGCAAGTTCAATCATCCTTGCGCCACACTCATCAACCGCCTTCGCCTTGCTGAACCTTACCCTCATTCATACCTCCAACCAAATGTCCGACGACGAAGTATAGTGAGTCGGCCCTTTCCCCTCATGAATCACGATCCCTGAGTATTCCACTCGTGAAGCACAGGCCCTCGCAACCCCAAAGTAGAGCTCCTCAGCGCTCAGCTCCTGAACTCTGCCGCCTCTACCTCTGAACCTCGTTCGGACCCTGATGCGCTAGGCGAGGAAGACATTTTCGCCGAGTTGGAGGCAGAAATTGAGAATGACGATGCATGGGTCCGAGAGCAGGGTATAAAGGAGCTGCGACGAGAGTGCGTACGATCTCGGCTTCATGGAGTGCTGCACTGAATCTCGAGTATAACCTTTCCTCAGGGTCGAATATATGAAGGAAATGAAGGCGAATCAACACGGGAAGTATAGTGAGATCACCGATGAGAAGGAAGTAATACAGCTCAGCGCGTGAGTTCCTTCGTGTACCGCGCATCTAAGTCAAGCTGAACAGGTCTGTCTTTCTACGCCGCTACAGGCGCGAAGAACGCTGCGTTATCCACTTCTACCACTCAAATTTTCAGCGATGTCAGATCATGGACAAACACCTAGCTGTACGCACAACTCGTTGTTTTACTACCCTATTCTTACTGAATTGAGAGAGCTACTGGTAGGCGATCGCCCCGAAGTACTTTCACACGCTCTTCATACGGGTGTTCGTAGAGAACGTCCCGTTCCTCGTTGAGAAACTAGGCATCAAAGTCCTCCCATGCGTTATAACTTTCATGAACGGCGTTTCGAAAGACAGGTAAGCGATATTAGCCCTCGGAGCAGGGCTCGTCCACTGACTTCCAACAAGGATCGTTGGTTTCGAGGAGCTGGGTAACAGCGACAAGTTTGCAACAGCCACCCTCGAGCTCCGATTGCTGCAATCAGGTGAGTCTACAATCCCTCCAGTTGAGCTGATGCGGCTCTCACCGCCATTATGCATCATAGATGTTATACAAAAGGAACCTGCTGTGGCGCCTACTGTCCAACATGCGACGAGCACAGTTTCTGGAAGGGGCCGCTTCCGCCAGCAGAACAGAAACGATGATGACTCTGACTTTGATTTGGACGATTGAAATATTCTATCTTCGTACACCTCTGTTGGCTTATTCAAAGGTTTGTCTGTAGGTCAAGCTCCGTTGCAGCAGAGCTCGGCTGAAGTCTTGATGGCAGGGAAAATCAGTTCCAGCAGGCCAGGGTGGCCAAATGTAACATATATCGTCTCCGGAAGAAACATAATATCCTCTCTGTACTCATGCAACTCCAGTGCGTATTGGGGCAGAACATTTCAACTGTGTACCTGTGCTCGTACCATCGTCTGAATGAGATTTCTCAACGACTTGCTTGCGTGCGACAAATCTCAGCTTCTATCGTCGTTGTCTTAGGCTTGTACTATAGGATCAGAATCTCCCCGTATCATTCGTCGTTACACGAAATGAACGAATGCTCAAGCGATCTGACATCAAGGAAAAGCGGGTATACACAACAACTTCGAACACAACTACGACTGTCCCACCAGCTATTATCTCAGAACTCCTCCGTGCTCTTAGTTTATCTCCAGGTATCATCGAGAGTCAACGACCCAGAGCTCGGGGTTGTCGCACTACGATTGGGGTCAGACTCCCATACGACCTGTGTGAAATATAAATATATCAACTCATAGCAGAGCATGGGAGCACGATGATCAGGCCGACGTACACTCCCGTCAGTCTCCTTGCGGATATACTTATACTGGAATGCAGTATTGGCAGGCAGAGAGACAGTGACCTCCCAGTCCGGGAAGTTAGCAGAAGAGAGCGGGATCTGTAACAAAATATTGGCATTTAGGAAGGATCAAGAGGTAAAAGAGGCAACGCACAGAGCTGGCAGGGTCCCAAGTCCCCAATTGAGAAATGCTCCCAACGACGAAAACATTCTGGGAGTATTCATTTCAAGACTGTCAGAACATGGTAATTATGCACTTGATCTTTGACATACCTCTCCAAATGTCGTCTGAGCAATTTCGGAGAACAAGACGGAGACGGTGCCAGAGGCAGGTGGCGTCGTGCCGCCACCGCCACCCGAACTTGAACCTGTCCCCAGTGCGCCGGTGTGGATACCTGATAGTAGAAGTAGAAGCAAAACGAATCAAGATCATCAGTCTTGAAATTTTTGACCAAAATTCGAGCCCACGAACCAAGTGCTGAACGAGCAGGGACGGTCGCACTGAAGGTGCCCGTAGACGAGACGGTGACCCTGACGCCACGTTCCAAAATTAGTCAAATGCCGTGATTTGATGTGTGTAGGTTGAACCACTCACGAGACGCCGCTGCAGGCCCCATTAGACGCTGTCCCAGTCGTAACGTCGCAGTAGTTTCCAGCGGGTAAAGAAGTCTGGAAAGTGGTCGTCCAAGCGGAGTCTACGATACCAAGGCGTTAGCTGCGCCCTCTGTACGGTGAGAAGAGCAGGTCATAAACGAACCGATGTTGTTGATAGCAACAAATCCAAGAGCACCTCTACCGAAGGCGATCTGCTGGGAGCTGGGCGCCACAAAGTTCGTTATAGCGGCCGAGCCGACATTGTTACGGAACCCAACCATGCCAGCAATCGGCGTCCAACGATGTTGACATAACCTGTGAAAGGAAACCTTTTCAGTAATGGAGCGTTTTGGAACCCATGAGTAGATGTACCAGCCGTTAGTCCCTGTGTTTCCTGAACATGTCCCGGTACCTAGCGGTTGCGACCAATTCAAGGCTCAGAATGCTGTTTGAACGACGCATATAGGAGGTCTTACCACCATTGGGCGCACCCAGGTCGGTGTTCGTGAACCCAGTGTAACTCGAAAGGACGGTGGGCGTGCCGTATGGGTGTGCACTGTAGCCAGACAAGTGAGAGGAGTGTCTAAGCACTAGACGCACGTATACTCACAGAGAGAATACATGGGCCAATGTATACGTGTTTGAAGGCGAGTTGGCATTCAGTGATCCACCGTTCTGCCCCCAGACGATGAGAAATGACGAATGAGCTCAGACGAAATGCAAGGTCGTACCCTCTCAGTGTCGTGGTCCGCGACAAAAACGTTGGCTCCCGTACCTGCGACCCAGCCTTCAAATGTATGTGTTAGTGGATAATGTTCGTAGACGAACGAAAGGAATGTTCACCTCGATTGTCGAGGTCCTGAAGCGAAGAAATGCCTCCGCCCAGGAATGCACTCTGAAGGGCGGTAGTGTAACGGAACCTAAAGATGCGTCAGATGACTTCGTTTAATGTTGTATCCAGGTCCCAGGAGTCATTACGCACTCCATAACGTCTCCTACAAATTAGGAATATAATCAATAGGTAGGTGAGCATGACAAGAATTGTATATGCATACCATTTCCTGTATACAGAGCGGGAGTGACTGGTTGGCCATCACCGAAAATAACCTGATGTTCTCAGACTGTTATGAATGGTCACGTATAGTGACGAAAATGGGTCTCGCCTCCTGAGTGATATATACAGTCTTAGTGAACTGTGCCAAGATAGCTGCGATATCTTGAGGGGGGATATCTTTGGCTGCATCCAGACGAAGACCATCGACACCAAGGCTGATCAAATCATTGGCATATTCCGCCAATCGACCTCGCACGTAGGTTGTCTCGGTGGCAAGATCCGCCAAGTTAACGAGCTCACAGTCCCAGACCTGTTCTTCGTTGTTGAAGTCGTCGATATCGTTACCAGGGGATCCACACATGTGGAAGTCCTGCGAGTAACAGTGATTTGATGGTGAATACTAAATATTTGGCCTCACGAGAAACACGAACGCACCTGTATTTGGTAGATACCCGGATAGTTATAATGCGTGAAAGCTGTGCCATCCGTTAGCTCTTGCGAACGCCACTGTAAACCCAGTAGGGAGGACGTACAACTTCCCGCAGTGCCAGTACCTGGAGCATAGACCAGTGTCAGCACTCGATGGAAGAATAGCACGCGTCAAAGACTGACCTGAATCGATTCCGGTCATATGGTTGAAGATTGTGTCTTTTGAGACGCACATGAATTAACGGATCCGTCAAGGATGACAACGAGAACGTACCTGCGATAACCCTGACGAAGCATGACATAGTTAGAAGACCCCTCATATGGTTTCATTATTCGGTCACTCAGAATTCATACCTTACACCTGCTGCATGACAAGTCTAGGGACCATATAGAATAGGCTTAGCTCAAAATACGGGCTTCGGTCGCCAGAAAAGACCTACATTGACCATGTTCTGGTATTGAGCGCGATTGCCGCGCTTGGAGGTTAAGGTGTAAGACACCGGCTGGTAATCCGTCCACCATTGTGTGCCTGTCAATGAGATATTGAATATTTGTTGATGGATAGAGGGACCTTTGTACCGACCGGTGATATGCTCCTGAGCAGGGCTCACTAGATAAAATCAAGGGTAAGAGTCGTTTCGTGGCGGGCATGAAAGCCGCGCGCATACCTTGTACAAAACCATAACCTGAAGGAATCATTAACGCGTATATTAGTCTCATTGGTCAGTTGAAAGTCACACACGCCCTTACCAGCAGGACCGATAAAGTCACTGCATTCAGCAGCAATAGAGTCCCAGGTCCATTCAAACATCTGTAGACTCATGCATGAGTTCGCACCACTGTTTCTAATATCGTCGGTGTTACGAACCTGTATGATTACAACTGCAACCTCAAAATTGTCAGTATCACAACGAGTAAGATCTGCGAGGAACAGCTCACCGTTCGATCCTGTGGGTGCTCTAGTCTCGAGAGTCGCATTCTGAGTCCCGGAGACGCTCTGGAGGAAACTGAGAGCTCCAAGGGCTACGACGAGCTTTAGTCCAAGGTCGCAAAGCATGATGAGACCTGGAGGTGGGTGATGATTCGAGTCGCATGCCTTGCTCCCAGCCATCTTATACGGTTGTCGTCTTGCCATGGGATATTCGATAGGCAAAGAGCAGCATGCTTGGCAATACGATCATGATTTACCAACTTAGTTGCTGTCGTGTAGTGTGGAACGATGTGCTGTGGGTATCAAATGGGGATCCAATTGAACCATAGGTTATTGTGTCGCGTGCTGCACAGGCCTTTGAGATGGATCAGAATAAGCTCGTCCGATATAGCAGCAAAAGGTACGCCTGAAATTCTGCGGAAAGTATCAATAAGGCAAAACCTCGACGGCGATGTTCCCAGAAAGGTGGGCATTTCGCCTCTTCATCTTCTGCCAAGAAAACTATCAGGACAATCATCCTCATGACCAGTTGTCTGAAACCCCCATTGGTGAATCTCTCCAAGAAATATAGGAGGTTCCTTGCGTCCATTCTGTTGCTCGCGGCTAAGTATGGGAAAGACATGCCCGGAAGGTACGACGAAGGATCCGAGGCACGATGATAGAAGGGTAGTTTCAAAGTCCTATCCCCTGCACGGTCTTGGGTACAGACGTCGTCATGGAAGGCACAGGAGACGAGCTTCGGGGAGAGTTGGCGGGAAACTAGGGAGGAGTAGGAGTGGAGTAGGTATCTATCAATACTACTTACTTACCATGCCGATTTTCAAGAAGATTCGACGCAAGCGGACTGTACCCGAGCTCTCTTTAAGCCAATCATCTCAACTCCCGCAAGAGATGTCAATGGAGTGTCTATGTGAATTCTGACCGAAGGCAGTCGGTCAGTGGCCAAGAATTTTCACCCTTGAATAAGTACATCATTGACGTCGAGCAGAAGCACTACAACTAGAACATGTCTAGTGCAAGAGGGAGAGCGTAGCCTTGCTGCGAGTGCCTGGCAACGATGTGAACAGGTCTCTTACTCACGGCGATATGATGGCGAAAAGCGTCTGCAGATCGCATGTGAAGAACAGAACGAAGTACAGTAGCCTGAGTAGGTGACCGGATCCATTGAAAAAAATCATGTCGGATGCGGATCGATGCAGTAAGGCCTCACAGAAAGGCAGAGAAACTGGATGTGTCGCCTTAGGACAATTGGACGGGGCCATAGTAAGTCGACTTACAGACGAGTCCAGTAAGAGCCTGTGAGAGTCGGGTGCAAAAAAACCATGCAAAAGCAATATTTCTCGCTCATGATTCGGATACGGGGAATCGAACCCCGAGCTGCCGCGTGAGAGGCGGCAATGTTAGCCGTTACACCATATCCGATTAAAATGTATTTGGTATCAAACCTATTTAATTCGCAAGGGTTTACAAGATCAAGGCAGCCGGAGATTAGATTAAGGGAACGTTCTCGAAAAGGCGGGAAATCAAGCGCTCTGCAGCTCGACTATAACTCTGCGTTCGTCTCATCCACCAGCGTAAGTAACTGTCCACCACTCCATAGACTCATACCCTAATGGCCTCCGTAAGTCTCACCTTCATGTTTTCTTCCAGCTTTACCTAGTCGCTCAAAATGTTTCTGTGACCCGCACAGGCAGACGCACTTAAAGCTGAGGGAAACAAGGCCTTTGCGGCGAAGAACTATGACTCTGCCATCGAGATATTCTCGAAGGCGATCGAACTCGACCCAACAAACCATGTGCTCTGGTCTAACCGTAGCGCTGCAAAGGCTGGGAAGAAGCAGTACGAGGCAGCGCTCGAAGATGCCGAACAAGTATGTGGCGGCGCCACCTTTTCCGTTGTAGCGAGACCTGATAATCGTCTGGTTTAGTGTATCAAAGTGAACCCTTCGTGGGCAAAGGGTTATGCGCGCAAGGGAGCTGCGCTGCATGGATTGAAGAGATTCGATCCCGCTATCGAGGCGTACGAGAGTGGGTTGAAGTTAGAGGATAGTGCGCCACTTAGGAAAGGTTTGGAGGAGGTCAAGGCTGCACAAGGTATGATCGCCTGTCAGTTTGCTTGTCTCCTACTTTGTACTGAGCGAATTTGTTCATATTAGCTTCTGAGTCCGCTTCCGAGGGACTTGGTCTGGGCAAGATGTTCACCGACCCCAACCTCTTCGGAAAGCTCGCAGCAAATCCCCGTACCCAAAAGCACCTCGCAGACCCATCCTTCGTTCAACGCGTACGAATACTTATGCCGTTCTCATTCCTTTCGTGCTTATGCTCACATTTTTTTCCTGCAGATTCAACTTTGTCAGCAGAATCCTAAGATGGCTGAATCACTCCTCAACAGCGATCCTCGCATGATCGATGTCCTCGGTGCCCTCATGGGTATCGATATGCAAGGTTTTTCTCGTCCTGAAGGCACCGAAGATCTCCCAGAAGGCCTCTCAGCCCGCCCCACCTCTCCACCGAAGTCCAGTCCTGCCTCGCCACCTCCTCAACCATCCGCATCCACATCTTCCCCACCACCAAAACCCGCTGCCGAGCCCGCAGATGTCGAAATGAAAGACGCAGAGGACACTGATGACGAGGAGGCTAAGGCGAAGAAGGAGGCAGAAGCGGAGAAGAAACTCGGTGCAGAAGCTTACAAGAAGAAGGACCTCGAGACGGCCGGGAAGCATTTCTCGAAAGCGTGGGACTTGTGGCCCAAGGATATCTCGTTCCTCACCAACTTGAGTGCGGTGTACTTCGAGCAAGGCGACTACGACAAGGCGATCGAGGAAGCTGAGAAGGCAGTCGACCAGGGCCGTGAAGTGAGTTTCTAGCGTCCTCTACAGTCTCATCGTGCTATTATTGTGTACTTTTAGTTTTCTGACTTGGCTTGTTCGACAGCTCCGTGCAGACTACAAGCTCGTCGCTAAAGCTCTCGGCCGCATTGGTACCTCCTACTCAAAGAAAGGTGACCTCGCCAACGCCGTTAAGTTCTACGAGAAGTCCCTCACCGAGCACCGTACGGCCGATATCCTCAACAAGCTCCGCGAAACCCAGAAGGCCAAGGCAGAAGCTGACCGCTTGGCCTACATCGACCCTGAGAAGAGCGCGCTCGCCCGCGAGGACGGCAACAAGGCGTTCAAGGACGGTGACTTCCCGACGGCCGTGAAACACTACACGGAGAGTATCAAGCGTGACCCTAGCGATGCAAGGGGGTACAATAACCGTGCGCTCGTATACACGAAGTTGGCAGCTTTCCCAGAGGCGTTGAAGGATGCGAACGAGGCTATCAAGGTCGACCCCAAGTTCGGTACGTCTTCGTTTCCCTTGTTGAGTATTCTTCGCCTGGCTAACAACTCATTATTACCGAATAGTCAAGGCTTATATTCGCAAAGCCACTATCCTCGTCGCTATGCGCGACTACGAAAAGGCACTCGAGGCCATCCAGGAAGCAACCGAACAGGACGATGATGGCAAACACACGTCGGAGATCCAACAACAAATGACCAAGATCCAGAACGCCATCTACCAGCAGCGAGCGGGTGAGACGGACGAGCAGGCTCTTGAGCGTGCTATGAGGGATCCTGAAGTCGCAGTATGTATTTTTGCATCATTCCCGGTCCTCAGGACGAATGTGTACTGATCTCTACCTCGATTCGACTTACAGAGCATCATGAACGACCCCATCATGCAGTCGATTCTTCAGCAGGCACAGGGTAACCCAAGTGCTCTGCAAGACCATATGAAGAATCCCGCTGTGCGCCAGAAGATCATGAAGCTCGTCAACGCTGGTATCATCAAGACGCGGTGATGGGAGGATGATCGACGTGTTGAGGACGTTATGAAGAAGCCTTGATCTGAATGTATCGCTGCCGTGTTTTCAGTATTACTTTTCTTCTCCTGGGTGTTGTTTGCATTATTCATGTCATTTGCTACGCTGCCACTGCGGATGAGTGGCGGAATTGTTTTTACTGCATATGCTCTGTATCATCATATCAATACATTCTTACCCGCTCTGCGATACCTGTCATTGTAACAAATCCCCGTTCGCAACTTGTGTATCATGACCATGACCAATCCTTTACTCCAGCCTCCTCGAACGCCTGAATAGCCTGAGCCGCAAACCGCTCATACTGTTTCCCACCCTCCTTGACCTCCCTCCATGCACCAACCGCCTGATGCACCTCTCTCAGATTACTCAAACCCACAACCGTCGCTATCTTCTCCTCCTCCGCCTTCTCCACAGCCCAACCAATAGCAACGTTCGGCAATCCTCCCTTTCCTGAATCTACCAACTCTTGACACTTCGAAACTACGACTATAGCTGCTTCTTTCACTTTTGGTGGCGCGGGATGCCAAGCAGGTATCGTAGGTGTGAGGAGTCCCATAGACAGAGGAGAAGCGGTCAGGACTTGGGAGACGCGGGCGCGTTGGAGGAATGATGGGAGGAAGGCCAATAGGGTGCTGTTCTGGAGAGTGAGGTGGCAGTAGGATAGGATGACGTCGAGGGGACGGTAGGGTGCTGTGTTGGCTACGAGGATGGCAAGGCGGAGGAGTGCTGGTAGGGGAAAGCCTGAAAAAAAAGACAATATACGTCACAGCCAATTAATCATAGAAGCGGGGGTGTTGCCCACCTGTGATCCCGATGTTCTTGATCAGCCCCTCTTCCTTCATTTTCCTCAACTCCGCAATCCCATCCAGAATCTTCTGATCCCCTTCCCCGCATATCGTACCCTCCTGCCCCTCTTTCAACCCATACACCTCACTCTCGTCGCTCAACGCCCCTATGTGATTTCCCTCCTTACGAGGCATGACCGACGTCGCGACGAACTCCACATCGTGCAGATAAACCGTGTCGAGGTACGTCGTATGCAAACGAGATAGACTACGTTCGACACTCTTCCGAATCGTGGACGGCGAATAATCGAAGTCGGAGGATCCGTATCGGCCACATTTTGTCATCTGTTGAGGTCAAGATATGACAGCGCATATGTTTCAGAGTCAGATACTACACCGTGCGTGCACAAGGTTTAGACGAAATAGAATAACCAGTTGATATGAAGACCGAGGAAACTCGAGTTCCAACGCTTTGAGCGCAGTGCCTAATACGATTTCTGACGCTCCATAATAGGGCGAGGTGTCGAAGGTCCGGATGCCATATCTGTTGCGCACGTTGTCAAGTTCAAGGATTTAGACCAATTTCATGTACTCTGATGCTTTACCTGCGTACCGAAGAGCGAGACGGATGGTACGCAGGGGGACATCACTCGCCAAATAGGCGTCATTATTATAAAAGTGGGACCATGCAGCCGCACCAAAGACCAAAGACGAGACTTTCAAAGGGCCAACTACCTCCTAGAGATAAAAAGAAAAAGAACACTGACGATGAGAACGTGAACGATGATAGGGGTGGGGGGGGCGCAGTGGAGGGGGGCGCAAATAGGAGGTTGGGTCGGGACTGACCAGATTACGGCCGGGTTGAGGTTTGTCGTCTGAACCATCTGGGATTGTGTCGAGCGGCGGAACAGTGAACACGGGTTGAGGTGAACCGAGAGCAACAACCATTGCGAGTAAAAGTCAAACGGAGAAACGGAAGGACGAAGGTGGTGGTTGCTGCAATGGCTCAATCGATCACGCTAGCGCTGATATGTGACGATATGACAACAGAGGCGTGACAAGCGCTGGGGCAACGCCGAATAGGGTGAAGCTCTTTACAACTTACAAGAGGGAAGGATAATATAGGCTGGTTGGATTCAACGGCGCAAATGGAAGTAAGAAAAAGGCAAGGACATAGGATCAGGTCTACGTGAAGATACAGATCGTCGTTCACAGCTTGTCCCTGTTCCAACTGTGATCCCAAGAGCCAACACAAACCACCGGTCAGGAGGCTCAGAACCACACAGGATTGTAGGATGGACGTACCGTTTATCGAAACGCTGGTTGACGGACATCATCTTGACCTGCTCATTCTGCTCGACGTTGTTCCACGGGGTAGGGTTGGCCTTGGTCCAGACGACTACAGTTTCGCACGTCTGCCGTCAGCTACTGCGAATCGCAAGGCGAGTCATGCAGAAATAATCTACACACCAGCTGGGCCGGTAGCAAGTCGGCTGAGATACCAGCCTCCACCGGCGACGACCATGCCAACAATGGCGAAACTGAAGTAGTTGACGGAACTCTCATTAAAGCTCTGAGAATATGTTGCAAGGAGGAGTAGGAACGTACATGGGGGTGGCCTGCTCGACAAATACCGCGATCAACCATCAAATCCAAAAACCTATATAAATCAAACACACCTCAATAGCCCACCAGTTCTTCAAGAACGTCTTGCGGAAAGCCATGGCGAGTGGATGTGAATGAGTGTTCGTGCAGTCTATGCGTGCCAGACGCCTGAGCCGTCCCGCCAACGCCGGAATTTGCCAGATCAATTCCCACGATTTCTCCCGTTCACTCTCGACCTGTCTGGGCCACACTGGCCACATGCGTTCCGAGTTCGAGCTCAAGAATTGAAGAATTCAGAATCACGCCAACCGTGCGCCCTCCTCAACGGCAGCGCAGAGCATGTGATGAGACATAATCATATTGGATCCATTGCAGATCGCAAACGTATAACGACAAAACTGAGCGAGACAGATAAACAGAGGAGAGTTGGACGCTAGTAGTGAAAATCGACCAATGACTGTCCGAACCAAACGTGTCGACGAAAACAAACGAATGATTCCGGGCGGTAAAAGACCCTCAAGCGAGGGAGGTTTGGGAAGGACAGAGAGGGAGAGGGGAAAACGTCCTAGCAGAGTGTCCAAATCCAGGCGAGTACATATACAACTGACAAAGTGCTTTGATGAAATGTACCACAGAGGATCAGGAGTGGTCGGCACTGCCGGTGGTCAATTGATCAAGGGGAGGGGAGAGGGGGGGGGGGAGATATATACAAGGGTAAGAAAAAAAAAAGAACCAAACATAGTGAAACAGAAAACGAAATAGGAAGCATCAAGCTCACTATGCCAATAGAGAATAACATTATATGACAAGGAACACAAAGGAATAAGTCAAGAAGAATTGGAAACAAGACATGTGGAGGGGTGGAGGGGTTTGGGGGATTCAACAACAACAGTGGCACGGAATACAAGCCGAACAAGTGGAGAGGAAGTAAGCGAAAAAGGAAGGCAAGTTAGCAGGATACAAGTCATTGAAGTCATAAGGGCGGAGTGAGCGTGAGGTATCTGCGGAGATTATCAGCATCAGGAATTCGTTGAGAAAGACGTCCTACTCACCTCAGAAACGAATCACGCCCTCTCTACACCGCTTGCACGACATCTCTATACTTGGTCCAAGCTGCTCACCGCTTTCCGACCGCATCCTCAACCTCAGCTTCTCCAACTGCCGCTCCTTCGGCACATAGCCCCTCTTGACCTCCTTCACCTCGGAAGATCTTCTACCAAACCCATCTTCGAAACTATCACCAGACATAATCGTACTCGAGCTCTGACTCTCAGGTATCATGCACAAGGCAGCCGCGGTGGCCGCAACTGTACCGGTCCCGCTTGGACTCCCGAGACGCGGAGACCAAGAAAAGGGATTGGGTATCATATTCGTAAAACTCTGGAACGCAAGTCGTGCAGCCATGGAAGGACTCGTCATCGTCGTGTCAGTATTGTCGTCGTCATGCTGTGGCGCCTCTTCGTTCAGTAGAGGCTCTGATTCGAGCGCGACAACGTCAAAAGACCTGGATGTGGGTTTAAGTGTGTGCCCTGCATGAGAAAAACCATCCGTGAGGAATAATTGAAAACGTTAGAGCGCACTTGGTGACGATTTGGGTTGAAAGGAGGTCGAACCATTGGCTGTGACACCGGCACGGACACCGTCACTTTGCCCGAGTTTGATCCTGTTGGCAGTGGAGGCTTGAGACGAGGGAGACGATGATTTACGTTGTGGTTGAGGTAGGAACATGGGCGGAGTCGGTTTGGGACTGGTATAAGGTGATGAAGGGCTGGCAACGACCTTCACGGAGGGTTGTGGAATGAAAGACGGTCGAGAAGCGCCACGTGTCGTGTAGGATGTCGTGAATGAACTGGCTGTTGCTTCGGGCGTAAACCGGGGAGCAGGAATTTTCGTGGGCATTTCGAATCTCTTTAGAGATGTGGCGCGGGGAATTGAGGAAGGAGAGACAGAGCGGTCTCCTGACCGTCTCGATACAGGCGAACAGCTGGTCGGAGTTGTAGGAGGAATAGAGACCGGTGTGCTGCTCTGCGAGAAAGAGAAAGGTTCCTCATCCTCACTGAGTGGTTCGTAGAACGGAACGGGTTTCCTGTGGAGGGAAGAGCGAGGAGAGGACGGGCTGACAGGCTCTGGCTCGGAAACTTCGAAGTCAGCAGGTAGGCTGAAAGTGAACTTGATTCCGCCATCGTCGACCTCGCCCACAAATTCATCATCCGGCTCAGAGAACGAATCTTCCTCGGGTTCTTCCTCTTCTTCGACAATATCCAACATCCGCGGTGAGTCTTCAACCTCGATCCCAACGTCAGCCGGAAGTACGAAGGGCGGGAGTGCGTCGTCATCTTCATCGTCACCGAAGGAGAACTTCCGCGAGAAAGGATTCTCAGTCGAGGGGATAGGAGGCGAGTCCTCCAAATCCTCCAAGCAGCCGAAAAATCGATCGACTTCTTCAACCCGACGCGGGGCAGAGATAGGTGCAGAACCCTTGGCAGGGAAAGACCAAGCTCTGCTCAGCGAGTTTTCGCGGGTGTGGGTGGGAGAAGAAGGTGACTGTGGCGATGGCGTAGCTGAGACGGACATAGGAGCGTCGGCAGGAATATCGATCTCCAAGTGGGAGATGGAGCGGGGAAGATCATCCATGGAGGCGGAAGATGAACAACTAGGGGAGCCGAAGCTCACGTCCGAGTCCTGCTCATCCTCATACCCAGCAAGGCCGTCGTCATCGGAGTATTCCTCTTCCTCGGTCACGGCCCTGAGATCGAAACCAGTCTTGCTGTTCATGCTGTCGACAGACCCGACTTCAGTGTAGGAACCTTCGGAATCAATCGAACGAAGGCCAAGTCCCCGACGACGGTTGATGACAGTGGGGACGGGCTTGATAGGAAATGCAGCAGGTGTAGGGGTGGCGAGCAGACCAGCGCCCTCCAGCTCCCTCTCCAGCTCCTCCCTCCGCTGAGTTTCCGCCGCGAGTGCAGCGCGGAGACGGATGCACTCCTCTTCAGCCGCCTTACCCCTCGCCAACTCCTCTCGAACCTTCTCGTAGTCTTCGGTGACTTGCGCACATTCCTGCTGAAGGGCTTGACACTTGTTGTGCATCTCCTCGGCGAAGAGCGCCTTGTCCTCAGCGAGTTTGATGAGAGCGCGTTTCTCGACTTCAAGAAGGCCCACACGTTCGCGAGCAACCCATGCCTCTCTGCGCTCCTGGTCGACCCTCCGAGCGAGATTACCGGCCTGCTTTTCAAGATCGGCGACTCGGTTACGCCACCCATCCACATCCCTCTTCAGCTCGTCGCGCTCCGCTTTAAGGTCGGCTATGAGCTGCAGCATCTCGTCACTGGGTTCGGCCGGGGCACTAAGCTCGGAGTGCATGGTAGCATCGGACGATTGTGAGACCGGGCGAGAGATTGGGCGGGTGGACAATGCGCGCTCCAGATCGGTGATCCGAGCAAGGAGTGTGGCGTGCGACTTGTGAAGAAAATACTGCTCGCTACTCGAAAAAGGACGGCCTCCACTCCAATCGCTATCGGATGAACTAGTGGAGGTACGACGCTCAGAAGTGGGCGTCAAATCAGGAGTGGGTAGCCCTGCGACGACTTGAGAGGATGTACCGTAGGCAGCAGGCTTATAAGAGATGCTGCTACGCTTCTTGGACTCGAATCCGTCTGAGGAAACGGACGAAAGGCTGTCGGTGCGAAGGTTCAGCGAAGAGCGGCGAAATAAAGCCTGGGAAGGAATAACGTTGGTAGGGAGAATGAGGGACTGGCGTCTTGATGCAAGAGTTGATGGCGCAGTGAAACTAGTATCATTCGAAGCTGCCGATGAGCTCAGGTTAGGCGAAGAAGCCAGAGTCAGCTCCCGAAGCCCAGAAGATTTGACGCTTGGGGTGTAATCGGGCGTTGGCAGGTCACCGTTGACAGCAGAACCCAAGGTCTCTGGCAACAGAGAGAGAGGGCGAAGGTTAAGTCCGACGGGACGATGACGGCCGGGAGCCGACACAGGAGCCTCATTGCGCGGTAGAGCCTCAAGAGCGATTGGCGAAGCCACCTCTTCGTGCTCTTCCTCTTCCTCCTCCTCTTCCACGAGGGTATGAAGCTGATCTTTGGTGGAAGAGGAAGTTGGAAGGTGTTTACCGAACGAGTCGCGCTTGCCGGCCAAACTGTTCAGGCCCGAGCCGAAATTGCCGCCGAACCCAGGAGGAAAAGATGGCTTGCTTGCTATACGATGAGAACACCTCGCTGAGCGACAGGCACAGGGGAATGGCGAAAAGGCGATACGCACGGAAATCTGAAATCCGTCTCTCGAGCTCTGGCGTATTCAACTCGGGTATCTCCACGCGTGAGAAGGACCCTGAATCTGACTTTCCCTCGAGAGCCCACAGGGCTCGACGACGGATTGAGTCCTTGTCACCGAGGTTGATGTTATCCTCGCTGTGAGACGGGGGCAGCTCTGGAAGAGAAACGCCCATGATTTCAGCGGATTCGCGGCGGGTAGATACTGAGGAGCGCCGGCGGTGATGGGAGTTCGGCCGCTTGCTGCCACTGATGTTGTTGGGTGGGATGGAATGGGATGACGAAGAAGAAGATAAAAGAGACATGTCGTTCGTCGAGGTACTAGAAACAGAGAACGAAAGAGAGGGAGATGTAGAAACAGAGTTGTTGCGAGAGTGAGAACGTGAATGCGATGGTCTTGAGCTGGGCAGGGAGGAATGAGAATTGGGAAGGCCTGCGCCTAACCGGAAGGATGCAAACTGTAATATAATACAACGATGAGCGGCTGGTATAAGAGGTATAGAGAAATGGGCGTCATGAAAGATAAGACGAACCCTGGCCTTGTCAGCGGCGAACTCATCATCTCTGATCCTTTGGGTAGCTACTTGCGAGTGGTCCATGATTGATTGGTGTGTTGGTATAGAGTCGATAAAAGAGCTGTGGTGCTTTGTGAGCGTGGGGGGTTAAAGAGAGGAAGGGTGGACCGTTGAGCAAGGAACGCCTTTGGGAGCGACGGGTGGGATGATGGCGCTGAGCAGAGCGACGTCCAGCCGTGAACAGAACCAGAACCCCGTCCTTTTTCTTCCCGCCCCGCCCGGCACCTCCCGCAGCCGTCCCCACATCCCCATCTTTTCTCGCGCCTTGTCAGACTGTCTCGCTTTCTTCGATTCATCAGAGCTTCTCCCTTTCCTTCGTCGACTTGTACTCTCCATAAATTCAGAGCATGTATTTCCTCTGCAGCAGAGGTTGCCACGCAGCCAGCGCGCCGAGGCGTTGCCGCTAATCCTCCGGTTTCCGGATCGAGTAGATAGGCCCTTCCGATGCCAGGAACCCTCTCAGCTGCTTGCCTTTCTCCATCAGTATTCCGGTCTGTCTTCGTCCCATCATGGCTCAGTCCGTAGTCAAGATCATCCCTGGTCGTACAGTTTTCTTTGTGTGCGACTTGCAAACGAAATTTCGTATGCCTGTTCCACCTGAAGCCTCCAGTATTCGAGGGTAGATTACTCAATGCGACACGTCCGCGGCGTACTACATAGGAACCGCAATTCACGCTTTTGAAGAGGTCATCTTGACTTCACAAAAGATGCTCAAGCTTGCCACGGTAGGCAGCTTCGCATCTTCAACACACGCGCACCTCGAACCGTCTCCATCCTTTACTTAGATCCTCGAGATCCCGGTGATCTTCACCGAGCAGAATCCAAAAGGTATGCTTCAAGCCCCGACATCTGAATCGTTCTGCATCGAATTCAGATGTATTGCCCTTCTCTAGCCTTGGGTCCGACAGTACCGGAACTGTCGTCAGAGGCTCTAGGTCCTTTGCACCTCGGGACAATCGAGAAGACTCTGTTCTCCATGATGACGCCCGAGGTGACTTCCTTACTCAGAGCGAAGCAGTTCAGATCCATAGTCCTTTTCGGCATCGAAGTTCGCATTCCTCGCCACAACCGCGTCTTACCGTGGCTGAACCATGTTCTTTGCTCTACAGTCGCACGTTTGCGTTCTCCAGTCCGCTCTGGACCTCCTGGCAGAAGGCTACGGCGTCCATGTCCTCGCTGACGGTGTCTCCAGTTGCAACAAAGAGGAAGTACCGTACGCCCTCGCCCGTATGCGTCAGGCCGGGGCCCAGATTACGACAAGCGAAAGCTTGCTCTTCCAGCTACAACGTGAGTTTTGCACGACTCTTTTTTTCGTTAATCAGCGGTTATCGTATACATTTCTCGCACCGTCTCGCCTGTACGATAGGTGATTCCTCCACTCCCGAGTTCAGATCCTTCGCGAGGGCTATCAAGGAGGAAAAGGAGAATACGACAAAGGCCGTCCAAGCTCTCTTACAGGCTCGCGATGTATTCTGAACAGAATGAAATTGAGACCCATAGCCTCTACTGTGCCCTACACGTTGCACCCTGCATCTTCCCTCCGAGCCCCTCTGAGACTATGTGGTTGCAAGCTAAGACAGTATTTATTCAAAGTGATTCCCCGGTACTCGATAGCCTGCACTGTGCCACCCTTAGACTTTCCTGAGCTCCTATGCCGTTGAGCCAAGCGTCTGGACCCCGGGAGCCACTTGATAAATGACCGCGCCCCGATCGCGTCACATCGTGTCCGTTATCGGGCATATAAAGCAGGGGACAAGGGCTCAGACTTCGCTCGAGCTCCCTTTCTCTTTACTCACACCCGCTCCCTGTTCTCTGAGCCTACCCGCCACCGTCTTCCTTGACCGAGACTACCTGTCACTCGTCCTCCTGGTCTTTGCGAGATGAGCTCTTGTCAGCGCTGTGACCGCTGGTTTGCGTCGAGCCATGCTTTAGAGCAGCACCTCGAGAATTCCAGCTTGCACCACTACTGCCGGCAGCATAGGAAAGACTTCACGTCACACCACGGCTTGATCGAACACTGGAAGCAGAGCCCATACCACAATTACTGCGACCGCTGTGACGAGCATTTCTCCTCCACTGAGGATCTCGACGATCACGACGTTGACGAACACTTTGTATGTCCTGATTGCGATACGGTACGTATGTTGACCTACTTGCTTTTTTGAATGTCGTAACTTCGCAAGTTACAAGCCCCTATCGATCCGACGAAACGTGGGTGCTGATGAGTATCCCTTCACGGTCCTCCCACGGTTTTTTGTAATTCAGGTCTTCTACAACGAGATCGGCCTGAGCGAACATCAGCGCCAGGCTCACTTGACACGAACGTGGTACTGCGAAGACTGTCAGCGTTTCTTCTCGTCTCAGCATAATTACGACGCGCATCGCAAATCCTCCATCCATGCCGGCAGAACCATAGTCTGCCCCTTCGACGAGTGCAGTCAGCGATTCCCCAACCTGGCCGCCCTCTTCGCACACATCGAGTCCAATAGATGTCCTTCGGGGGCGACGAGGGATATGCTTAATCGCAGGGTGGTAGATATGGATAGGCACAACGTAATCACGAACCGTCAGAGGCTGCTGCAATGGCCTGGAGGGTCATATGAGCCACCTGCACCCACGTCGTCGTGGGCTACGGAGAGGTCGTGGAACGGCACGGCCTACGAGTGCTTCTTGTGCCATAGGGTAAGTAGCCCCTCCATCTAAGTCGCTTGCGAGCCACAATCCTGATGGACCGCACCTATGCAGAACTTTGCAACTCTTCACTCCCTGAACACCCATCTCCAGAGCCCAAAGCATCAAGACAGGATATACTGTTGTCCTGGGTGTCAGGAAGACTTCGTGAGCCTTAGCGGGCTGACGCAGCACGTCGAGTCGGACAAGTGTGGCGTCAGGAGATTTAAGCAAGTGCAATCCGTGATGGAGGGTTTGAATCGCAACCTGAGACTTCTCGGGATGTAGGGGCGCAGCAGACGGACTCGTAACGATACCCATGATGTTCTTGCCAGGTTTCTGTACCTCGTTGACAATGGTATTCTGTAGCCAAACGGGTTCCCTTATTATTAGAGCGTCGTATAAGTCAAGCAGTCGGGTGTCGTACCCAAGATGATACTTCACGCAAACCCAAAGTCCGAAGAACAATCACCTTCAGTAAAGGCCACAATCCTCGATCCACACCGGCTCTCTTGGCATCCCATCTCCTGTGCCCACCCGGTCCAAGCGTTCCAGCACCTCCCAGCCGTCAATGAGTTGTCCAAAGACAACGAACTTGCCATTGATCTTGGCGAGCTGAGCCTCTGCATCGGTGAGAATGACGAAGAACTGCGAAGTGTTGCTGTTCTTGCCCGAATTCGCCATGGCTAGTGATCCGCGACCTGGCCTGACTTTCAAGCCCTCCTTCTCGTCATTGAACTTTCCACCATAGATGGACTATACGAGGAGACAATCAGACCTTCTATACACGAGGTAGGAGGTTAATGATAGACCGTCACATACCTCTCCACCGCTGCCGTCTCCCCTCGTGATATCACCTCCCTGTGCGACATATCCCTTCACGATTCTGTGCACCGAACATCCCTTGTACCACAATTGCTTCTTCGGCGCGTTTTTACACGCGCCTTTCTCTCCCGTGCAAAGCGCGGCAAAGTTTCCCGTCGTCTTCGCCAGGCCAGGATTCGAGTTCAGCTCGAACACGAGTCGGCCTGCGAGGAGCGAGGGTGGACATTGGAAGATCAATCCCTTTGGTTTACGAGAGAACGCAGAGGAGAGCCATGATTTGGATGTAGATTCTAAGGCAGGTTGGTTGGAGGCGATTTCAGTCAATATCTGGCGCTGTTCCTCAGAGAGTTGTTCGGGAGTGGGAGGAAGGCCATAGGTAGCTGCGTTTTGAGACAGAAGAGCGCAGGCTGTATCGTAAGAAGACTTTGCTTTGGTGTACTTTTCGGAATCACCGATACAGATGTCCAGATAGCAGCGTGTCATAGCGGTAGGAGCTTGCAAGTGGGGTTGGAGGATAACCTCACAATATTCGAAATTATTTGAACACGTCTTCAATATACAGTGACTTTGCCACAGTTGGCGGTGTGGCACAGGCCTCCGCAACTTTCTCCGCTACTGTCATCATACATCAATTTCAACTCTTCCTCGCCATCCACTGCTGCGAGCAAGCTGCGAGCCTGATTGATCATACACGATTATAAACATCCCTATGCCTTGTCATGAACAATGTCTACAAACTTCCCGTGGATTGTTCCCCCTCCGGCGGTGACGAAAGGGATAACTTTCTCGTTCACTTTCTGGGACGTTTCGCTCTTCAGATAGGCCTCATGATCCTGCAAGGTTGTCAGTTCGTTTTTTCAGACTTCCTCATCCACACGAACACTCACCTCCACAGAGTCCCACCCAGCTACCACGTACGTCTGACCACCTTTGCTCACAGCCCAGCAACCATTGTGGAACCCCTTCGCCGTACGAACATCGTCCATCGCGAAGTTTATCACCTCTGCCCACTTCGCCTCATCGAAACCCTCCTTCATCTGTATGATTGCCTGTGTGCAGACGTCAATACTTGCATGGAGGAGCTCGTGAGGAAGCACAAAGAGCGGTAAACTTTACCACGTCGGTAATGGGCGCTGTGGTGATACCGTCCGGAAAGACATCGCCCTCCAGGTGGAGCCATCCAGCTGCAGGGTATTCTTCTGCGATCTCGAGGAGTTTCTCGCGCATGTCTCCGTATTTCTCTTTATTCCACTTGAAGTCCTCGATCTTGAAACCATATTCATGGTCTACGCCCCAAAATCTCTCGTTAGTTCAACTTTGCATCAGTGTAAGCAATATTCAGTTACTACTCACGGACAAGCCAGTACAGCTTCTTGGGCTCCTCGATAGTCAGAGCCCATGACTGGTGGTTAATTCCACCCTCATGAACGGCCTCGCGCAATGTCTCGAATAGAGAGGGGTTATCGAAGAAAGCCTTGGAAGGCTTCAGCTGGACTACTTCAGTTATCACGTTGAGAGGCATATCCACAAGCACTAGGAGAGGGGTTGGACGAAGGAATATAGGGGTCCCTGGATTGTTGATGGGAGACCTTTTGTAACGATGGATTCTTGCAATACCACGGTTATCATTATGAGCATAAGCCGGTGTTCCGAACTCTTCTCGGTGGTTTCGAAGTCTGATGCATACGTATGCCGCACGGGCGGTATCCTACCAGGTTCCCCAGGAAGTAATTGATAAGAACCCGTGTCCATCTACAAACGACTGGTGATGCAGAAGCTTCCACCTCCACACAGTGGATACAACTGGCAACACCGCAAGACGATTGCACAATCCACCTCCCAGAAGCGTATATTCACTATGTATCGCAATCCACAGGGTATATCACTACAAAAAAGAAGGAGAAAAAAACCAAGACATACATCGCGAAGCCATAAAGAACACAAGGATCATGTTTTGTCTTGTCTCGAACCCGATTCTAACACACAATAATGAATACATACATAGCTTACAGTGGCGGGACTTCGCCGGAGTTTCCAACAAGGACGAGAATGTCCCTTCAAAGGGGTCTCCCAAGATACTCCCCAGTATTCTCCCTCGTCCTTGGACTGCCAACGAACGGCCTTTCGGCATCCGGTCTGTCCAATGTCTCCCCAGCGGTCGCCCAAGACGTCAAGTCTGGAAGCAACCCACTCGGTCTCGGTGATCTCGTTCGTGGTAGAGTCCCACTCCCCGACCCGGACGACAGATTCCGGATGTGCGATGGAACAGGCGGTGACGAGGTGGGGAAGGGTGTGGACGAGCCAGTGAACGAGTTGGCAGCGGCCGTCTTGAAGTCTTGAACTTTGCGACTTAGGGCCTGGAGAACAGAGTTCTCTCCAACATCTATCGGCTGTGCTTCTCTCCCTGCACCCTCTTCGTCTGCGGTAGGACTATCGTGGGCCATGTATGTCGTGTGTATCGACGAGTCTGACAAGCCGCGTGGGCGCAACGTCCGTTGTAACGTAGCGTTGAACCCGGTGTTTTCCTTGCGGTCAAGCATCGCCTCGACGTTTCTCGACATCCTCGCCATGTTACTCCTTACTGGACTCGTGGCGGCCGCATCAGTAGGCCTAGTTCCAGCTGCCGCATTAGGCAATCTTGAAGGTCGTCCACTTGGTGTTTTCGCTCTCCGGTTAGGAATGACGACCCAGGGGTCCGTGGAGGAATCCGAAGGAGTTGGAGCGCCACGGAAGATGCCCATGACATTCTGAGAGGCTTTTCGACCAGGCAAAGCAGGTTGAGGACGAGGGGCAACAATACTTGGAGTAGTGAGTGTAGCTGCGGAGGGTGTGGAAGTGCTTGTTACGGCACGACCGAGCCCAGTCCCTGAAAACTCTACGTTGACGGTGGTCGTGGACGCTGACGCTGCAGGAGCAATCTTTGGGACGAGTCTGGCGGATCGTGATGGTGCTTGTCCACGACTGTTAGATCGCATAAGTGGGGAAGGTCCCTTGTCTTTCGGCGCTGCCGGAGCACCAAAAAGCTTTGTGAGAGGAGCCATCCACCCTGCGGCATTCGAGTTAGCATTGTTTTCCCGCTCGACACGGGGTGTCGTATCCGCCATCGACGGGTTCAAAGCGATCTCCCTAATCTTGGGAGCGAGAGAAGGATCAAGGACGACGTCATTCAATGTGACTCTCATCGAGCCCATCTCCTGAAACACCTCCCGCAGGATCTTGAAGAGCGACCGAAGATCCTTTCGCGTGCAAGTGGTGACAATCCTCTCGTCCTCCAGGAACGACCGGAAATGTGTACGTAGGTTGGTCACGTCCGCGATGATGGCGTCAACGGTGGTACGTGACAGATGGCTAACATCTGCGCCAACTAGGTGTTGCCGTTTCAATCGGTTCGTGAGAGTGAGCGCGTCAGCTTGGGATAGACGGTTGAATAGCACAGATATGCGTTCTAGGAGAATGCTGAGAGTGGAGGGGTTTTCCGCCAGGGAAGATGATTCTGATTGACCATCGTGAGGTGACGCCGACGAGGATGCTTGATCGAAAGTGGAAGGAAGGGGTGGAAGGGGTGAAAGAAGGCCCGCCCATTGATCTGTTTGAACCCCTCTTGACCGAGTCAATAAGAGAAGGGGTTTCTGTATTCGAGGTTTTCTTGAGTTCTTGTCGTCGTCCGCTAGATCGTTTGGGTTGAGGTGGGGTGATACGGGCTGCGAGCGACTGCCCGCTTTCGACGGTAAAATGGAGTGATCAGGCGAGAGGAATAGCGGATGGTGAGTTGTCTCAGGAGTGAGAGGCTCCTGCTGAGGAAAGATCAGTAATGATAGTTACTGGACAGTACAGATACACACATAACGACGACGGCCCGGAGGTTCGATGCTCGCCGGCCGTCTCCCGGATACCGAATGGTGTCTTCCATGGAGTGGGTATGCAAACGTTACAGGAGATGCAGGTCCAGATGCTGTACCATGCGGAGATGATTGTGCAGAGGAAGACGACATCTGCATTGTACTGAACATCGACTGATTACTTTGAGTACGTCGGTGTCTCACAAAAGACGCTTCGTCTGTGGTGACGACCGTTAGGAAGGTATTGACCGAGCATAAGCCAAAGCCTGACCTCGTACGATGGATGTTCGTAAAGATGCCCGGTATTCCTCCGCCTCCTCCTGCAGACTGTTGACAGTCTCTCGAGACTCGCCGAGCATACGCTGTAGCTCCGCGTTACTCTTCATCAGACTCTCATTGTCTGCGACGAGCGTCTCCATGATCTTGGTGACCTCGTCATGATCATCTAATGTAGTCCGGCCGTGCCGCTGAGGGGGAGGTTTGTCGATGAAAGGTATAAATGCCAAGGGTGAACGTACCGAGAGACTGAGCTCTTGCAAGCGTCCCCGTGCATCCTGCAGTATCTCCTCAGAAAGCTCTGTACGATGCTGCTGTTGCTGATCCAGTTCCTCCTGCAGGTTCGATACCTGTGTCCGCAGAAGAGCTTGATTCCCAGTTATCAGCCTCAATAAGCGTGTTTGTTCATTCGAAGACACTAATGGTACTGACCGCACTTGTCGTTCAAAGCCGACAAACGAGCTTCTGTTATCCTCGCCTTTTGAGCCTCGTTGTCACGTTCCTGCTGAAGATCGTCCCTTTCTTGCCTGAGATTTCGCATCCGCGTCTCCCATCCGACAGAACGTGCATGCTCGGTCGATAACCGACTAACAGCGTCTCGAACTTCTTGAAGCTCAAGTGTTAAGGTCTTGTTAGAGGATTCGGCAACCTCACTATTCAGGAGCGCTTGATTGAAGCGCTTCATGCTCAAATTAGTATCGAACAGCCCAGAAGGAGAAATCTACTGGACAAGCACACCTTCTCAAGAACAGCGTTCTCTTTCACAAGTTCAGCAACGTGGATCTCCAGCTCTTCCTTGGTGGATGGAACTCGTTCACTCGGCAAGCTCTCGATGGCAGCGGCGCCAGACTTGTTTTGGTGATGCTCGCGTTTGTAACTCTGCTACTCTCCTTAGCCCCAATGTCATCGCAAACTCATGGTGGAACGCACCTGGACTCTGCGAACATACGCCTCATGCCGCTGTAATAGCGCCTGGCCTACTTCTGAAAGCACAGGGATAGTTGTGGTGAATTGTAGACGGGGTTATATCGTAATGAACGCACCTGCACTCAGGATCAAGCGACTCTCGAGCTTAGCCTTGAAAGCCTGCCATGCCTTCAAGTGTTCGCAGTCTTCCTTTCCACAGCAACACGTCAAGGCCGCGGCGGGTTCAGGTGTATCTACACGAGAGAAGTTGGCTAAGGAGTTTGTCAAGTCATCGATATTTGCCGTTGCGTCGAATAAGCTGCTAGCTAAGGGCGAATCTGGACTGGTGGAGCGAGACCGGGTTAGGGTGTCCGTCGATGTTTGTTGCTCATGCATATATAATGTGAGAACAGCCGACGATGGATATCAATGAGTATATAGCAGTTGCTTTCAAGAAGGGTCTTAGGGCTGAGTATTGTTGTGGATGTGGTGGAGAACATATACTAGTGGCGAGCTCAGCTCTCCTTCATTCAAGTCCGCTCCGAAGTAGCCTCCGCTAGCACGTGGCCGAGCATGCCTCATTCATTCAACTGCTTGGTGCGAGCAGGACCCAGGTGTAAGCTCAGACGCGAAGAAGGCCAGAAGCGAACCGGCTAACGAAACGAAACACAGATCACGACATTAGGACAGGGAGTTGATCAGCCCCGCAGGACGAGCAGAAAATAAAAGGAGGCTGAAAGCGACGGTAGTAGGATATCGTAGATACATGAAGGACGTCTAATGTACACACAGCACCTCAATTAACGAAAAGTAGGGTCAACGGACAGAGACAGAACGAAAGCAGAAGCCTATAAATATGCAATAGAACCTCGGCGAAAAGTCAAGAGGGAATGAGCAAATATCGAGACACAAGGGAATAGAGAGAGCCGCAAATATATAAAAACAAAGAATGATTCCAGATCCGTGAAGACAAACGACGATGAGAAGTGAGCGTGAAAGGGGGGTGACTACTCTATGATGCGCAGAACCAGTTCAGAGATCCAGTCGATGATTTTCCGTGTGGCTTGAGGTCGATTAGAAGGTAAGAAAGAGAAGTTGTTCGCCAGCCCAGCCATTCCCAGCTCCTCCAATGCCAACATCAGGTGTCGACTATGACTTGGATTACCGTTACCCGTCTCATCGACCGTACTCAGCGTCGAAACCGAGCCGCGGAGGTTACTTTGAGTAGGATCAAGCATGACCATGTGGAAGACGCTCGAAGTCGCACTAAGGATGGCTGGCTTGGACGAGTTGGCGAAAGTGTCTTGAATCTTGTCCTGGAGCCCTTCATATCTGGGTGTAAAGAAAGAGAGTTCGTCTGAGCCTCCATGTGTATTATGATAAAGCAAAGAAAACTCACATCAGAGACACGATTTCAGGATAATTGAGAGCAAGATCCGCTAGCAAGGACATGATGATCTCCGTCTCCGCATCGTCTCCTTGAGCATTTGCGAGCATGGTGCCGATGAAAGTGATGGAAAGAACGGCCGTGTTCTGGTCTGTGATCCCGAGAAGCTCAAACGGAACACGAGGAACCCGTGAATCGTCCGGTTGCGTGACACCATCCTCGATTTGCCAATACGCGTCTGCATTCGCGTCCGACAGCAGTTCGCGGAAACTGCTCGTGGTCGTGGATACTGGCAAAAGAGCAAGGAAGTATCCCAGAGCATCCGGGACGATCGCTGAACCCACCCCTTCGTTCTGAACCTCAAACTCCGGTACTGCTCGTGCGCTGACCCGGAGCAGCGTCCTCAGAGCTTCGATGGCAGCATCCCGTAGAGGAGGGTGGCGAAGGCCCTTGAAAATGATCGCGGCGAGGGAGAAGGAGAAACTGGAATCGAATGAAACCCCTAAAAGTTGATCCAGCTGGCAAGCCACTTCTTCAAGAGGCGATCGGTGGTCGAGAAGTGTCACAGAAACTCCTCGGAGTAACAGTCCCTGCTTGTACAAGGACTCCAACGTCTCGCGGAGGAGAAGCGCGGCCTCGTTGAAGAACGCCATGTAACTGGATTGAAGGAGCGCGACGGCCAGCCAGAATACTTGGGCCAAATATCGAGAATCGGGTACCAGTCCGGGGACAACGTTGCGCAGGCATCGTAACATGCTGACGACCGACGCAGTGTCTGCTTCACCACTGGACTGTTGCAAAGCGGTCTTGAACGCGACGAGCATCTGGTAGAAGAAGTCATCGTCCACCTCCGTCGTCGCTAACGTGCCCAAAACGACAAATGCCCGAGATTGTATGGCAGGAGAGACTTGGAAGGCAGTCGAAGTAACCAGACTCATCCAACGAGCGCGCCACACGTTCAGCAAACCTACGCAAACACATGTCAGCCTCCTTCGAGTACATATCTCCAATGTTGCAGTTCTTACCTTTGGGTTGCGCACAGCATTCCATGATCCTAAGTAGGAAACGAGTAAGGCCGTCCTGGTTGTCCAATAGGTCCTTATCACTTTTCGGATCATGAGCAATGAGCTCGCTCGTTCGGGACGCGCGATGGAGACCGAAAAGCTTGAGGGTCTTCGGGTCACTACACTCTTCGAACAAGAGACGGATTTCTGGGCTTGCAGGATCCGTTGGGCGCGTGATCCACTGGGAGTTGACGAGATCGACGACGAGGCCCCAGACGGTGCATCGAATCAAGGAGTCCCCTGTGGCCGCAATGAGGGTGACCATATGAATGACTTCCGGGACGTAGAGGTTGCTGAGGACTGGCTGCTTGACTTGCTGACTCGCGACCAGTGCAAGCCGAGCCAGTGACGCGATTTCGTTCCAATGTGCGTTGTCGGCGAGGTTCTTGGTGGGCTTCACGGAGGTCTTGCCCAACGCCTACACAAAGCAGTCAGGAGCCGACGGGGCAAAATTGGAAACAATGCATACCTTGCGCATCTTCGACAGGATCTGACCGCGTACATTGATCGACGAGAGCGGCATCATAATGAGAGCGATGCTCTCACAACGCGAAGATCCGATACCTCCATCGATCGCAGCTCGCATCAACTCGTCCAGAGCGAGGGATATCAACTGTGCGTCACCCTTTGCGATCTCCGTCCAGATGAGTTTCTGAGACACCGCCAGACCCTGAACTCGTGCATGCTGATCAGCTTGAGGACGAAAGACGGTTGCATACTTTTCTCACCTGAACGTCGTTTAGCGTCGCCTCGATGAGCAGGCGTATACAGTCACGAAGCTTCGTGCTGGCGTGATCATAGTTCGGATGGGTAGGGTCGACAAAGTTGGATAAGTTCTTGAGCCAGGGACACATGTACGTCAGACAGTGTAATCGCTGAGCGGGTCCGGCCTTCTCCATGACTCGTACGATTTCGGTGATGAAATCGAGGGTCAAATATGGGACCAAATTGGAGATGCGCTCGCTCATCTGGGAAAGGACGGGGAGTGTCGATCCTGTAGCCCAGATACCTACAAGGACTGTCAGAAGACAGCGAAGGGAGGTCAATGATATGACTCGCCTTTGAGAGTCAACACCGGGTTGTGGTCGAGGTTGAAAGATTCGACCACGGCCGAAAGGAGCTCGTAGGAAGCTCCTCTCAGTTCGTCCTCGTCGACACCCATATTCAGGAAGGCAATGTGGAGCAGAGTCGCGCTGACGTTAGATAGCCTTGAGAATCGCTCGGTTCCCGGGAAGGGCATAGGCCTCATGCGGCTCTTTGCAGCGCGGATCGACTGTAAGAAACAGTCAGCACTGTCATGCAATTCCTACACAGAACAACTCACCTTGACGATGTGGTCTCGCACCGGTGAGGAGAAGTACATGGTAACAGCATTTCTCGCCTTCCGAATGATAAACTCCGATGGATCGTGGCCTGTGGAGACGTTGTAAACGTCGCTGACTTCCGAGAGAGGGATGATCTCGACCGTCTTGCATGCCAGCGTCTGCGAGATGGGCTGAGTTTTGTCCTGCGCAGAAAGGTCAGCGGATCCATTTGGACGAAAGCTCATTCATGACCTACCGAGGTGATACGAATGTGACTATTCCCGACGTGCATCGTCACAGGGATCCGTATATGATGCGAGTGGCGCATCGTGATCTGCGGGATCTCTTCATTGGATTCTTGCTCGAGGCTCGCTGAAATATTCTGCTGTTAATTACTACTCAAAAACGGATTGCATATATGATGCAGGTACTCACTTGCGTAGACAAGCGGTGCAACACACGTCGCAGGGACATAATGCTGCAGCTCGTCCGTCGACGAACATGCTCGCACTTCACTACAGAGGCTCAAACCTGGTTATATGTAAGCAGAGCGAAAAAAAAAATATAGCGAGGAAAATCACTGTACCGGCTGTGATATTGTACAACCTCCGCAAATACTTATGCGCCGCCGCATTGGGATTGAGGAAATACGTCGTAAGGAAACGTGAGCGAACATCCGCTGGGAACATCTCCACGCAATACTTCAGCCACTGGAAGGGTACTTGCGAGGACGACGAGAACGAAGTCCAGTCGATGATGATGTCGAACATCCGATTCTCGTACGCTGGTGCTGTCAAAGTCTGCAGTGAAAGAGGTGTGAGTACGTGTCGAGGTGTGAACAGGTCACGATTGCCTACCTTGAAGATGTGATACAGTAGCAATTCGATGTCCACGGTCTCCACGTCAAGTTTCGATGCAAACAGAACGAAGACGGCGGGCTCATCCTGAACATACCGTTGAGCATCACAGAAATGGGACAGGTCGACATAAGGAATCTCACCTTGTCAGTGAAAGTCTCCACGAAGATCTCTCGCACAGAAGATACACTATGACGGTCGTTCCTGTTGAGAAGCTCAAGGTAATCTCGATGTTGCGAGCTAGAGAGTATCGAAAGTCGCGGAATCTCGATGGGTGCGCCAAGGTCGACCAGCGCCGAGCAAAGAGATGCCCACGCCTGCTGTCCCTTGATCGCAGACGAATCTCCTTCCGCCGAAGGCTTCGAGAGACTGAGCAATTCCTTGCCAACCTTGTCCGCGTGTTTCTCGAAGAACCGGTGGAGGACGATAGTATCGGTGTCGTCGTAGGAGAGGCCAGTCCACTCCTCTGGCTCTTCCTCACCTGGCAAAGGATTGTACTTCTGGTAAATTTCATTCACGTTCAGCGACAAGATAGCGTCAATATGTAGGAAATAGATACTTGCATTGAGCTCGCTAAGGAACCTAGTCACATTGATGATGTTGTTTCCGAGGAAGTCATTCAACGCAACCATGTAGGCCTCCTTGCCGAAGAAGATGTTGTTCGCAAGGTTCTGGATGATCTTCGCAATGACCATGAGCCCACGACGGATGATGCCACCGTCGTCCTTCGGTATCTCCACATCGACAATGTCAGGCGCGACCACAGCAGGTGAGATGAACCTGGGGCATGACATCAGCACAAAGATTAGTTTCGTCGCGATCGACTGAACGCACCGTAAGAAGATGAATGCTCCCAACGCAGCGAACTTCGCTTCGGGCCACACTTGGTTCCTAATCACCATGTTCAGAGAAAAAATGGTGATGAATCCAACCGTGAGCCACTTACACTGCTTTCCCTATATGCGCACAAAGCTCGCGGAACATCCTGTCCAAATTGTACATCAGAAAACACGCAACAGTCGACGCAAAAGAAGGGTGTACTCACGAAGGAAGAGCCGGCACCGACGCAGAGATGATCTCCAGGAACGACGACGCGACCAACTCGACGTTCTTCTGGTTCTGTTTCACATCCTGGTCACCAGCCTTCGACGGATCGAGCTCGTAACCGCGCCCAGGCGGCAAAGTGGTCATAGTCTTGATCAGTGGAATGAGGAGGCTGCGGAGGTATGTGTAACCATGTATGCGCGCAAAGGCAGAAAGCAGACGAGTGCAACTCGAGTTGCCACGGAAGAGCTCAGCTTCGTTCTCTATAATAAAAAGCACGCATTTGAGATCAAAAAAAAACCTGTCAATGCAAGTAGGCGAGACACGTACCTGTACGAGCGATTTCACGGTCGACCAAGACCTTCATCAAGTTCATGAGGGAGGTTCGAGTGTCGAAGATGTTAAGCAGCACAGGGATAACCTGGTCAATTTCTCCAGGAGGACAAGTTTCGCAGATTGCCAGAACGAGGACCATCTACGAGACACGAATCAGCCACCAAAGGACGACCAAACATAAACTAAGCTTCAACACATACGTCAGGACCTTTCACCAGCTACAGCAAAATGAAGCAATCTCAGCATATATCCACAACAGCCACAAGCACAAACTCCAAAACATACCTCGCACAGCCGACTCCGACTCCCAAGAATAGCCGAGCTCTCCGCCGACTCGAAGGTAGCGCCCTGTCCCATAACCCGAGCAAAAACGTGCGCAAAGATGATCCTCTTCGAAGTATCGCCGTCGTACGCCAACGGCAGACTGTGCTTGACGCCACTCTCGGTGTTCGCGCTGATGAGCCGAGCGAGACCCTCGATGACCAAGTCCCGTAACTCGACGTCGCGTTGCCAGAGACGAGTCCGCTATCAGGAGCTGTCAGTATTAAATAACCCTCCAAGAAGGAAGAGGAACTTACATGCGAAAAGGACGACACTTCGGACAGACCGTCGTCCTGAGGCTAATATATTGAGAAAGGATCAGTAACGAACGACAACAGAGTAAACTAAAGGGAACGCACAGCATCGGTACGAGCAAAGTCCAACAGGCGTAGGATGAGATTCGAATACCGAATGAACAACCTCGACACGACGTGGCCCGACTCATCACTCCCAGACCCATCCATCGGCCTCAACTGCAGCCGATCCATGAAATGCACCGCGGCCTTCAGACTCGCGATGTTCACCTCATGCTGCAATCTTGCCAACTCCGGGTCGCCGGTCTTCGTTTGTCCACAGCCGAGAGGATCTCTTAGTGAACATACTCCGTGGATTGTAAATGAAGATACTCACAGCTTGCGGGTCTTGGATCCAGTCCATGACGACATCGAGGACCTGCTGGCGAGTGGTCGATTCCTTCCTCAGTGCCAACATATCCGTTCTCGAATACACGCTATCGCAAAGCTGGCAGAACTTGAGCCTTACACGCCAAGACGCCGGATCGCCAAACCGGGTGATGAAGCCCGCGAGGGCATTCAAAGTCGGTGTCATATCCACGGCCAAAAGGTCGTCGCTCGCCTGAGTGTTCTCGACCAAAAGCTTCAAGACCGCAATGAACTGCATGAAAAGAAGGTTAAACGGCAACCCAATGGAATGACTTGCAAAAGCGCCAAAACGCACCTGATCCAGAAAAATCGCGAAATGTTCCGACCAGTCCAAATTGCTGCCTTGGGTGATATCCTGAATGACCCTAAAGATGACACTGTCACAATGCAACCAGAAAAGCACGTAGTCATATGTGGACAACTTACTCGTCCAGATGCCTGAACAGCTTCCCATAAAGCTTCGGACTCAGCTCCGTCCCCAACGCCTCCTTCGAGATCTCCCTGGCCATGATCGAATCCGAGATCAATAAGTCAATGAGGTAGGTTACGAAAGTGGTGATCAGTTCTCTCGGGTCTCTGAGCACACGCATAGAGTCGGGTAAGAGTTCGGCGGGGATGATTCCTTGTAACGATTCTGGCTCGTGCTGCTCTTCTAAGCACACCGACCCACAGGCTGCGAGCATCAGCGTCAGGTTCTGCCACGAATGCTGTTGTTCCTGTAGGAGAAGAAAAAAAAAGCATTAGACTTGACTGGTGGTGATATATCATGCTAGACGTACTTCGAGCGACAAGGACTTGTCACCAGTCGGGACGTGTCCTCCTTGTACCCCGTCGGCAGTGAGAGGATCCAACGGTGCTCGAATGACGAGCTCCGTCAGAGCACACCAGCGGTAGTAACACTCCTCCCAGATGGCAACGGTGAACGGCGTCGGCGATATCATCGTCCGGACATGCTTTCTGAGCCTTTTCTGCCACGCCACACGACCTATACCCCGGAAACAAAAAGACATTGATTCATTGACACTCTCACTGCGGAGGAGCGAGGAGACTGCTTACCTGTGACAATGATTTTAGGATCTCCTATCTGTTCGTAGGCAGTGAACCGCTTGACACGATCCTCTTCGCTCCAAGCCTCGTGCACCTTAACATTCACCATCCTCTCGGCCAAGGCTATGACCCGTAAATTGTGCGCCGAAAGACGAGAGACGGCAGAATCGGCGGAGGCGAGACAGACGGCGCTCGCTATCTCCATCAGAGCGAGAGCGGGAACGCGCGACTCCGCCATCTTAGTCTGGTAAAAGACTGTATCCTCCTAGAGAAGGAAAACATGGTCAGAACGAAAGATGGTTCGCGGTCTGTAAGGAGGGCCACAGAAAAAAAGAAACAGGAAAAAGGAGGAATGGAAAACGCACGGGAAGATCACGGATATACAACAATATCAACGCATGCCCAATCTCCGCCCACATCCTCTGCTTCTCCTGATCCATCCTCGTATGCAACATCTGCAACGCCACCGTCCTCAACGCCGCCGCCTGTCCCACCGTCTGCCACGCCACCCCAAGGTCAAAAAGCGGATCGCTCTTCTTGATCGTCCCGACCTGATTGCCCACATGGAACAACGCCATCGAAATAGCGTACTGCACGCTCGAGTCCGTCTGCTCCTCCCAGACACGCATGGCGATGGGCATCCATTCCGATACTTCGTCGATCGTGAAGTCCGTGAAGCTCCAGGCGACGGAGGTTTTCCAGAGGTGCAGGATCCCGATGAGGAGGAGTTCGCGGTCGGCGACGGTTTCGGCGGTGAAGCGTTTGGCTTTGGGACGGTAGGCTGTTCGTCGGAGCGTGCCGTTGGCGTCGATCTCGGTACGACGTACGCCGCCGAACTGTTCGAAAAGAGATGTATTCGCATGCGCTCAGTGAGATGAAAATACGATGAGGATGAGGATACGAACTTTGAAGATGTTTCGGAAACGGTGGGCTAGGGCGTACAATGGTTCTACGGGGTTCTGCCATGGAAGCACCCGGGCCTGACGAGGTGAAGGGTGCAAAAATGGTTCAGCACACTGAAATATGGAGCTAAAAGAGCTTGGAGCACATACTTCAGTAGTAAGAGTGATCAGGGCCTTGACCACACAAAGCTTAACGGCATCAGACCGTTCGGGCTCTAAACACGTCGTGAGCAGCACCATGGAATCCTCCAACGGTGTGAATCGGTACAAAGCCACAAGCGCATCTGCGAACAGCGCCACATCGATCTCTTCAGTTGATTCCCAGAACGGTCTGTTCTGATAGTACTTCAACACAATGTTCTGTGTTGCACCGCATGTCAAGTTGTGTTTAAATCAGTATGTTGGCACGGCAAAGTGACAGTAGAAGTAGAGACACTTGCCTTGACGTCATGCATAATATCGTACGCTAGTGAAATGATAGGAAGATCGCCCTCGGGACGGACACGTATCGCCCCTCTGCAGACATCGAGGCAGCACACGATAGCCACGTCCTTCAGCTTCGAATTTGACTCTCCATGCTTCAACAAGCTAGACATAAACTAAACAATGCCCACAGACAGGTCAGAATGCGAAAACAAAACTAGACCGGGGAACCGTAAAGCAACCTACCTTTGCTATGTTGTGCTTGCTCTGTCCGGAAGCCACGATATTACTCGAAAACTCGTTCCGCATCCTTTCCGCCGAGATACATCCGAGAACAGCCAAAGTCGGCCACACCGCTTTCGCGTTGTTGATAGTCCCCGTCGTCGGCTCGCTCTGGTCCCAAAGGAGATCAAAGACACGCTCCGGTGCGCTGTCCATACGTCTGAGAGAACGAAGGGCTTCGTTGAACTCGACTGGGAAAAGGTCGATCCAGTTCCAACATGCCGTTCTGAGAGGTATGGCGACGGCGACTTTCGCTTCTCGTTTCATGTTGATCAGCTGGGAGCCGAGTTCTGGATGGATGAGGTAGAGGAAGAGTAATATGTTGGGTTAGGTCGCAAGTTGTGGATATACCAAGTCGTACCTTGTAGAATCTGAACGAGTCGCGTCTTGTCGAGTGCACTATGCTTCATCAGATGCAAATCGACAATGTCCGGGTTGTCCTCCGTCGTATTCGTCAAGAAAGCAATCTTCCACTTGATCTTGTGCAAGACAACGGGCCAGTTGGAGGCAGACAGGTGGTAGACGATGCGTCCCGCGAACTTGAGGATGAGAGAGTTGAGAGAGAAGTACGACTTTGCAAGGATCTTGTGGGTCTTCTCGAACTTGACGTTGAGTTGGGGGATGGACATCGTGCTGTACCCGCCAGAGTTCACGGAAGTGGACGAGTTATTTCCGATGGGTTTCTGAGCACGAGGGGTTTTCCCATTGGTGTTCGCCTCCAGCTCAGCTGGGGTACCGTCCGCGTTCGCTGGTGGTAAATCGACATCGAAGAATTCTGAAGGTTGCGCCGGCACCTCGTCCAGCTCAATACTCTCAAAGTCATGGAACGTCGCCTCGAAAGAAAGATTAGCAGAGGACATCAGACGTCCTTCTGGTGGAGAGGTCTGTCGGAGGAGAACGATCATAAGACTGAGAATATATTTTGCGCAATTGTCGTCTAACGGTGGGGGTTCCGTCCATCCTGATGGCGAGGCGAGGTGGTCGGAGGACGTCGCCTGGCGGCCTGATCCGGTTTTGGAGTTGGAGCTCGAGTTGGCACGACCGGCGGTAGAGGGGATGGGTGATTCTGGGGCGGAGAAAGGAGCGGTGGATTTGCCTTTATTATTGAGACGTGCTTCGTCCGCGTAACGGTGCCAGCGCGAGGCCATGGCGACGGAGAGGACTTTGAGGACGAAGAGTTGGGATTGGAGGACGTCGATCGTGCGCGGAACATTGACATCCGCTTGCTGTGGCGACGGTTGGCTAGAGCGAAAGTGGAGGGGTGCTGAACGCGACGTACCTTGGGCAGCTTATCCAGAAGCTCGGTGAGAGCGAGAGCGATGACATCGAGAGAATCTCGGGAGAGTTCAACGAGGCAGCTGATGGTCTCTTCTATTGCGCTGTCGTTCTCAATCAGCGGCAGTTCGAGACCTGAATGGCAGGGAAGCTTGAGGAAACAACGGGTCGCTTCAGAAATCAGAGCAAGGACAAGGCTGTACTCGGACGCGTACCTTGTTCTTGAGTCTATTTACAAGAACCTGGATGACCTTTTGTTGATGGGAGAGGCCTGAGGTGGAGGAGGAAGAATACGGGGTGGCCTGGGCAGTAAAAGCGTGATGTTGCGAGTCGTTACTCCTGTGTGTTCTGACGGCAGCAGATGAGGATGCTGCGGGTGTGGAAGATGTGGTATGGCCGACGGAGGCAGATGGCCTGCGTCCTGGGGCCATGAGAGATGCGTAGCCGACTACAGGCGGTGCTGTGGTCGACGGCGTGGACGTTAGAGATGAAGGGTGAGGAAGAGGACGTGAGGGGAAAGACAGCAAGTGCAGACGGCGCTGCAAGGGATATGTCCCACGGCAGTCAATGCACTCAACGGGGGCGTCTTTACGGCTTACGTCAGGCGCTATAGGGTCCAGGCGGCTTTATATTTCATCTGCTCTTCCACCGACGGCGGCGATGTCACCATGGCCACAAATGCACGACTGTCAGCGGTGGGCCTGCAATGTTGCTGTAGCAGCGACAGTGGACTCAGCAACTTTGCAGGGCGGCGACAGAGGCGAGTTTGTTTTCGTCTTAATCGCCTATTATTTAAGCTTCGCAAAATGAGCACGATAAGCGTCCTGTTTGAGCCGATCGCACTAGCGTTGGTCTAGTCTGTCTTGTGTGAGGTCTGCATTTGGAGACTAGTGTTGGTCTTGCCTCGATATCGAGTGCCAGCTTTCAAGCGACTCCCTCCACACGCACTGGCACGTCCGGGGCGAGAGCCGGGAAGCCTTTGTACTGTTTGAGGGCGCGTGAGAGAAGGAGGCGTGACCGGGGCGGCAAGCGCTGATTTGTACTTGTGGGTCCATGTAGACGCTAAGGACACAAGGAAAGATAAGCGGGCAAGTTGATCTTGAGAGAGTTCGCCACGGGGCCTGCCTGCGGTGGCACGGATTTTGCGAGTGACAGATTTAGGGCGGTGTGGACGGAGTCAATTGTGTCTGATACAGTACTTGGGCCTCGTGCCTCCGCATTGTCCCTTTTCCTAGCAGAAGCCGTCGACAGCGAGTGGCGTGCTAGTCGACAATACGGACTCCGCCCTTTCTCCCAACTCCGAACGACGCGAGGCCCTCTCCGCCCCCGACAGTCCTCACTGCGCCTCCTATAAGTTCAAGACATCGCCGCACCACCCACCTCTCTTCCCCCCACCACCATCTCCCTCGTATTTTTCCTTTCTCCTCGCTGTCGCTTCCTTCGCTCTGCCCTATCCTCGCTCAATCCCCATCGCCCATTGCTTTTCGCTCTTATCGACTCGCTCCTCTTTTTTTTTGTGATTCAGGCCTGCATCGTTGCCTGCTGCTGCCCATTTCTCTCAATTCACCGCATACAATCAGAAAAAAAAACAGAATAAGCTACTACGAACTTCGAGCATATAATCAGCTCCATCGATCGTCACGTCCGTCCGCCCCATCCACGACTTCACATCAGCACTCCCGCCCGTCCGCCGAGATGTCGCGCGCCGATATGCAGGACTACGACTACCCTCCCGGGCTCAACATGGCTCGCCCCAATGGCTACGCCGACACCGAGCCGAATCAGGCCGGCTCGCTAACCGGATACGGCCTATCCGACCGCGCACTCCCTTCGGGCACGCATTACTCGTCTCTCGGCGCACTCAGTCTTTCACCAACTCACTCCAATATGTCCCGCTCCGCCGCCATTCACGACCGCGATTACAATCTCGGAGATGGCTGGGCATCCGTCCCAAGCACAAACAGACACCAAACAGCGCTCGGGTCCCCCACGCCACTCTCCCAGCAGTTCAACCACCAGCTCCCTCTCCATCTCTCCTCCAACACCGCCTCTTCCCCTCCTCACTCTCTCCAGAACATCGGCTTGGGCTCAGCCGCCAGCGGTCCTTTTTCTCCCTCCTACAAAGAACGCGACTCTTTTAGCTCCTCGAACAGGCACTCTCAGTCCACCCCTAACCAGCCCACCTTCACGCACGCTCCCCTACCCGCCAACCCTCTCACCTCAGCTTCTTCTGCGTCGCGCACGACTCTCTGGTGGGGCGAACTTGAACCTTGGATGGACGAAGAATACGCAAAGCAAGTCTGTGGTCTGATGAACTGGGATCCCCTCAGCATCAAGGTCCCTCATCCCGCTCCCGACCCCGTCACTGGTCAACAAGCAAACAATCCAGGCTATTGCTTCCTCACATTCTCCACCCAGGGCCAAGCCTCGTCTGTTCTCAATCAGATTAACACCACCAACAGCGGGACCCCCATCACTATGCCCAACTCGACGAAACCCTTTCTTCTCAACTGGGCGTCATCCACCCCCATCCCGCCGTCTTTGTCACCGCCGGGAGGTGTCTCGGCTCAGCAGCAGCAGTACCCCAAGGAGTACAGCATCTTCGTTGGCGACTTGGCTCCCGAGGCGTCTAACTCCGACCTCGTCGCTGTCTTCCGCAACCCAGTCCTCGGCCTTCGCAATGACCGCGAGCCCAAGTTCATCAGGCCCTTCCTGAGTTGTAAGAGCGCGAAGATCATGCTCGATCCTGTCACTGGCGTGTCTCGCGGTTATGGATTCGTTCGGTGCGTAGACACCCCTTTTGTGACACACTTCCATTGTTCCTGATTTTCCTGAAATTTTCTTACACTAGTTTCACCGATGAGGCTGATCAGCAACGTGCCCTGATCGAGATGCATGGCCTCTATTGTCTGTCCCGACCTAGTAAGTCTCAATTCTAATAGCATATATCCACCTTTTTCACATGTCACACAGTGCGCATCTCCCCCGCCACTGCCAAGTACAAGCCTCCCCCCTCGCTCGACCTTCCCCAAGTTCAGATCCCTGGCTTGTCGACTGGTATGGACGGACAACCCATCACCGTTGCGATACCTATGCCCGCCAACGGGACGAGTAAGAGCGTGTCCTCTCCTGTCGCGGCTCCTCAGGCCGCCTCAGCCAACTCTACTGGGTCGATGCACGGCTCTGGTAACGGTTCCGGATCCTCGATGTCACTTCCGTCCTCCAGTGCATCCGCAACCACGCTCGTCTCGAACTCTGCAGACGACCTAGCCCACATCCCGCCGAACGTTCTCTCGCAGCTCGCTCAGTACGCTAACGGAAACACCAAGAGCGTGGCCAGCTCCACTCCCTCTATCACCTCTGCTTTCGCTGGGGGTCAAGATCCAAACGCTTCCAAGTTCAATGTCACTGAGGAGTCGTGGAAGCATCAGCAGCAGGCGCGTGCGATCTTGGGGAACCTTATTGGGCCGAATGGCGAGCAGCTCACTTCTACGGATCCGTACAACACTACGGTCTTCGTCGGCGGTTTGTCTCCTCTCATCTCGGAGGAGACTTTGAGGACGTTCTTCGCTCCCTTTGGAGAGATTCATTACGTGAGTATATATGTGACGTCCCCGAGTGTCGTTGACTGACCTTCTTTATTCTGAACTGATTAGGTCAAGGTCCCTGTCGGCAAGCACTGCGGTTTCGTGCAGTTCGTTCGCAAGGCTGACGCTGAGCGAGCCATCGAGAAGATGCAAGGCTTCCCTATCGGTGGGAGTAGGATCAGATTGAGCTGGGGTAGAAGTCAATGTACGTGCATATATCGACCTCGTTATCCTTCGCCGATATTTACTCTACGTACTCTCACAGATAAGGCTGCACAGGCGGCCGCGCAAGCCGCCCAGACTGCCGCCCTCCAGGCTCACCTTCAAAGTCAAGCTCCTCCCTCGTCTGGCCAGACCATCACCGCCGAACAAGCTCTTCAAATCCTCCAGAAGTTTGGCCTGACGAGTTTCCTCAGCCCCGCTGGCGGTGAGGCCGGTGGTGTGAACGATGGCATGAACGGTGGCAACGACTCCAACGAGATCAGGGCGTTGAGCGAGAGTGAGCTTCAAGACCTTCTGATGGTCCACCGCGGAAGTATTGACAGGACGGAACCCGCCCCGTACGAAGGCTTCATTCCCAGCACCTACCTAGCTCAGAACGGCCAGCCTGCGTCGGTCGAACCCCGCAGCCTTCACGACCACCGCTCCAGTATACCAAGCTTGCCGTCGTCATTCTCCCCTTTCTCCCCCGACCCGAACAGCTTCCAGGAGACCAGGGCCCGCGCTGACTCTCAGCCTCTGAAGTCTGAGATGCTCCCTCATCCTTCGAGGAGCTACGCCCCTGGCTTCGGACCTCAAGATGTCAACGGGATGAATAAAAACGGTGTGGGAGCCGAAAGGAAGACTTCGCCCACGGGCACTGGCAGGCCTGCCAACACGTCTGCTTCGCAGCGTTTCGGGTCGTTCCTCGAGCAGAGTGGCCCTACCTACGGGTCTACTAGGACGACCGGCAGTGGCGTCATCTCTCGCCCGCCGTCATCGACCATCCCGAGGCAGACTTCGCCTCCCGTCCGCGACTCGCGCGGCGGAGAATACTTCGAGCACGATGCTATTCACGACCTCAACGGGACTCTCGCGAGCCTGGACTTGAACGAGCACGCGTCCTGGAGGCACGCTGGTGAGAACGGACAGGTCCACGGGGGAGCCTGAACCTGGTCATGATTACGACTAGACATAACACAAATAACACGAGTATTTTCTTTTCTGCGTTGAAGCTTTCTTTCACTGTCTCATTGACCTCGCTTTGAAGTTTTGTTTGCTTTGGAATAAACTATCATAGTAACGTCCGCCGGCTCCCTCTTCCTCCCGTCCCTTCTGTCACTTTGTTTGTTTGGCTATTCCTGTTTGGCAGCAGTCTATGTTTCTCCTCCGCGTTTCCCATTTCCCGCTTCGCTTGTCGCATGCATCAGTCTGTTCGTTGTTTTGGCATCGGGGTTGATTGACGACCGCTTTGCTCGTCCCCGTCTTTCTCGGGCGGTGGCGCAGTACTGTGGGATTGTTCTTCCCCCGCATGTTTACTATCGTTTGTTGTACCCATGTTTAAACCTCCATCATGACGCTCGTGCTGCAACTTCATCGAATCTTCGACGTTCTCCTCCTATCCAATTATCACTTTGTCTTTTCTCCTCTCCGTACCAGTTCTAGTTCAAGTTACTACATTCCAGTCTCGTTGGTCGTCTGCTGTCCCTCCTATGTCTCTTACCCAGTTTCCAAAGTTCTGTTTTCTCTCGATATTCCACTTTTTTTGTGTCTCGCTCGCTCTATGGTTTCCCAAATGTTCAAGTTTTAGTCTGTCAGTTCTCGCGATCCCCGCTACTCCATGTCTCTCTTCTCTCTCTTTTTCTCTCCTTCGCTCAACTCAGCCTATAACTCGTCCTCATCCAGAAACTCAGAGTCAAGTCCGAAATATCACCTTTGTCGTCGGTTTACCGCTTTTGTCTTCGTTTTATCATTGACAGTTCTGTTCAGCTCAGCTCAGCTCAGTTTAGTATTAGTACAAGTACACAGTTGCTAGGCACGTAAGTAGCAGAAAGACTCTGCGTTGCCCGTCCGCTTTTTCCCCCTTCGAACTCTTTACTTTGTTCGCTATCGTGGCGTTTTGCCTTGTCGTCGTCGTTGTACCTCGTTTTCGAGAGATTCTGTGTGTGTGTTTTCCTCCCTCTCTTTTTGTGTTTAATCATTAGTATGAATTGCAATCACGTTGTCATTTTGTTCTGTGGAAGTGCCATGCTCGTTTGAGCTCCGAGCTGTCAATTTCTAGGTTGGAGGTGGGCCACAGTGGCGCCGAGCGTCTGGAGGGCACGTCAGAGGATTGCCCGGATGACAGAATGATGGACTTGCTTGTTCTCCACTCGCATCTTGGCTGGGATATCCTTTGAGGCAACGATCTCGACTCATACGCTCATCATGTCCGTCAGCTCCCCATGGATGATGCACTCTTCTGCCCGTAATGACGTCGGTATGCTTCATTAAAAACGATCCAGACGACTCTATCGCTCTCTATGGTCTGTGGTCAGAGTACTTAAACCTCTTCAGACTCGCCCCAACTCGAATGTCTTCACGTCTAGCTTGTGTTCGCCCCTTTCTGACTCTCTCAGCTCACTCTCGTAGAACTCTTGTTTACTCGAGACCTATACTTGCTTCACTCCTTACTAGTCCTACTAGGAGGAATCTCTCATCTTCACCAAACTCTTCGAAACTCAAGATGTCCAACGCGAAATTCAGCATCCAAAAACTCTTCGACGTCGAGGATTGGGTCGCCGTCGTCTCCGGTGGCGGCACCGGCATCGGCCTCATGATCGCCCAAGCCTTCGCCAACAACGGCGCACGCGTCTACATCCTCGGCCGGCGCGAAGACGTGCTGAAACAAACCGCAGAAACGCACGGGAAGGACCTCGTACACAAGTCCGGGAAGATCATACCACTCGTGTGCGATATCACGGATAAGAAGAGTCTGGAGAGGATGGCGGAGGAGATTGGGAGGAAGGAGAAGAGGGTGGACGTTCTTGTGAATAATTCGGGGATTAGTCAGGGGTCGAGCAGTGTGGAGATTGGGGACGAGAGCGCGGGGAAGTTGAGGGATGAGCTTTGGAGTGAGAAGTTTGAGGAGTGGGAGGATGTGTATAGGACGAATGTTATTGGGTATGTTTTTGTCTTTCTTTTGTCAAGTCTCTGCGAGCGATGCACTGACCTAAGTATTTGGCTCGTCAGTCACTTCTTCACCACCGTCGCCCTCATCCCTCTCCTGTCTGCTGCTTATAAGCCCGGCCACTCTGCCGCGGTCATCAACATCACATCCATGAGCGGTATCACTCGCACATCGCAGCATCATTTCAAGTACAACGTCTCCAAGGGAGCCGCTATCCATCTCTCCACCCTCCTCGCTCAGGAGTTGCGTCGTCCCGGTGTGAACGTCCGCGTCAACAACATCGCACCCGGTATCTTCCCGTCTGAGATGACTAGTGCGTACTTATTTGTTTCCCCGGTGAGTCAATGAATGATTAGTGACACTTATCACACTTGTCTTACTACAGCTGACGAGTCGGATGAGTACAACAAGTCGAACATCGACAAGGCAGGATGGGCGAAGGAGAAGGGCGTTCCTGCAGGTCGTGCCGGTTCAGACGAAGATATGGCGCAGGCTGCGTTGATGCTTGCCGTCAATCAGTACGCCTATGGCCAGGTGGGTTTCCCTACATCACCATTAACTGTGATCGACGACGAACTGATGCTCCTTTCTATCACCTTTAGACTGTCGCCATTGAGGGCGGATACCTCCTCGAACACCCTTGAGCTATTGTATTCTACCACGCCTCTTCGGCTTCTTGAAACGACAACATCACAGAACATATCCACATTCTTGTATTGTAGCACACACGCATGTATCATAGCTTGCCTCCCGACTGCCTCATTGTTTTCTTGCAATTGTACTGTTTCTTGCGTCCGTCCAACATCACCGTACTTGAACGTGGCGCCTCGTGGCATATCCTCGTCTCAGTCCCGGACCACACCACACTAACACGCCCACACTTGGGAGCTCTGAACATGCATTCAGCTTCAGCCCGGGCCACGAAACCGAATGAATAAGATTACTATACTTCCTACATACGTATTCCCGAAATCAAAACAAGAAAACGAACCAAAGTCCCAATAATATCCCCAGAGTCCCAAGATTACGCCGACAATAAGGGTATGCCACACAAATAGACTATAGTCAGGTATTCAAAAACAGTACGCACACACCTGCCAATGGTCATCCATCGGCGCTGACGTTGTGGAGTCAGTTCTCGAGTCCGAGGTACATCCGTCTTCTGAGTTCTTTTCATTTAAACGACTGATAAGCTTTGAGGCTCGATCTCGATTGACTGCTGACGGGTCCGAGCCGTGAGTTGTCAGTGAAGTTGCTAGCATTCATGCACGGGCCATTTTTCGGGCTGCGATCTCCATTCGAGTGCAGACTTCGTGTCAGGCTCGAAGTCGAGGTGCTGCTTTGCTGCGATGCAGCCAGGGGTGGAAGCTGAAGGGTAGATTGGGACCTGAACACAGTGGGTGGCGTGTGTGCATGTGACGGTTGAGTACCGTGGGAGGTCGAGATGAGGATGGATGTCGAATGGAGATTGCTTGTAGATCGAGGTGGCGAGAATGAGGGTGGATGAGATGCCCTGCGTGAGGTGAATGAAACAGATAGTTGGATATAGTCTCGGGATATGTGAAGGACGTCTGATACATACCGCCAGTTGGACCATGATGCCGTCTGTGTTGAGGTAATGGTTGTACTGACGAAGGATGGACGAAGCGATCTTGGGGAAGGAATATAGAAATTAGGGACGCACGGAGCGTTTAAGGGAGGCGGTGTAGTATTGTTCATATTTCGAACTTACCAGAGCCACAGTGAACACACCTCCCGACTCCGCCATCAACCAAAGCATACCTCTCCGATCCTCTCTCGCCCTAGACCTGAAGGTGTCACCGGCACGACATAGTCGCATCTCAGAGTGAGCCCAAGGAGCTCCCTCGACTTACGCCAGCAAACAAAAAACGATATGCTCACCATCCCTGTTGCACAATTGCCCAAGTCCCAACGGCATTCGCCAGCAAGACCAGATAGTCGGATGACATCGCCAATAACGAGGTGTATCGATGTGACCAGAAGCGAGGGACTGGATGATGGAATGCTTCTACGGTGTAGGCGCAATCGTATGCGTGGCTGAGAGACGTGGCTGGTGATGATCAATTTCGGTGAGCTGCATTCCAGTGGGAAAAAATCTAGTTGGCGTACCGGCCGTGAAAGACAATAAAGTAGCGGAGAGACAGGCGGACAGGGCTGCAGTCTTACTGGTTGAGGCGCGCCACAGTACGATGGAGCTCGTGAATATGGTCTGTCAAGGTGTCAGGATGTGATCATCATCAGAGATAGTCCCTGGGCGGGCGAAGAGAATCTGAGCTCACATTGAAAGCCAAGAAGTAGATCTGTGCGATAGCGGCAGGACTGGATTCGGCGACAACTTGACTGGCCTCTAGAGGCACGAAATGTGCGACGAGTTCCGCTTCGGTGCGTAAGATCCGTATGTTGTTGACGAGGTGTGAAGACGAGAGAACGAATGGAAGGGTGATTGTGCAAAGGAGTGTGGTGTAACCCCGCAGGGAAAAGTATCTTGACGAACAAGAAGGATGTAAGTGAAGACCTATTGTCAGGTAAGGCTGAACATACTGTACAAAGTAGACCGCAGTGACGAAACAGACGAGGTGGACACCTGGCAGTATCCGCATCTCGTCATGAACAGATTATAGATTGCAGATCGGATTGTGCGTACCATACAGGATTGCCTCGAGAAGCACCTCCATAGGAAGACCAGAGTCGAGCAGCATGGCGTTCATCGTTCGCCAGTGAGCACAAGACGTCGACGAGCAACTAGCCAGCTACAAGGGAGTGATCGGTGGCCCGACGCCGTCTGATGCCAGCTCGCCGTTTATATAGCACGCCAAGACTTGGAGATCCCCACGCGGGCGTACCGAAGGACGCGGGAGACAACAGAGATCTGATGTCGGACGGGTTTGAGTCGGAAGAGAAAAGGCGTGGCAGGGGGACGACGGATCAGCTGCTCTGGAACTTCGAGTTTCAATGAGTGCCTTGTTCCCACTAAAATACCCATATAGAACGGACAACACTAAACGAATAGACAGCAGGTATTGCTGAGACGGAACGACAGCGGGAGCTTGGACAAACAGACAAGCCGCAGTGAAGCGTGTGGTTTCCTACCTTCCGCTTGGAAACATACTTCGAGGCCAAGAGAAGAGTGCGGGAGGCTACAACTTCGGATTATATCTATTAGCACCCGAGTGCCTGACGCCTGAGCTGTTTCCCAAGCCCCGAGAATCCAGAGATGAGCCGTTTGTGAAGGCCATATGGCGCCGGTATGGTTGACCACAGGAACCTAGAACTTTTGCGAGGCAGCCGATATCGATGTTTGTCGCCACAAAGGCAAGGCCGGGCCACAGACACGGAACCGCGGAGAACACGGTCACGTGATGTTTGAAAGTCGAACTCGAATGCGCGCGTCTCGCGTAGGGATCCTCATTCCCTCCAACCTCATCATCTGCCCATCTACCTCGTCGCTCGATGACCTTCAACATCGTTGACTCGCCGGTCAAAAAGCGGAGGTTAGAATGGATACAAGAGACGAGTGACGAGAGCTTCGAGGAGAGGTTGTTCGCAGGTGGATACGGAGGCTATGGCAGCACACCCATAAAAAATGTACCCCCAGAACCCCACCCACACCCCCCATCAGAATCACAACAAGCACCACCATCACACCCACAAACACAACATACCGACACAAATCCACAGAAAGTCCCCCGCTCACTCCCGATCTCCTCCGCCACATCTTGGGGAAGTCTACCTTCCTCCGGGCTATCGAAAAGTACGCCGTCGGTCGATTCGGGAAGCGAGGTGGCGACGGATGCAGATGTTACAGACGAGAGGATCTTACGAAGACGACGCAGAATGGAAGCTTTTAGGCGCGGTCCGCTCGATGATGAACAGCAGGCAGAATTAAGAAGGAAGAGGCTGCTACCCGTGGAACTCGAGGGAAGGGGCCGAGTGTTGGTGGATTTGAGCGGGACGGGTGTACCCGAGTTGTTGAAGGAAGAGCTGTCGTCACCTTCGAAACGTCGAACGAAGAAACGGAGAGGCGAACCGCCGACGGACGTACAGGAAATGATTGGGTTATCGGCAGGGAAGAGGAGCAGACGAGGGAGGCATAACGGAAAGGATGGGGCAACACGAGCCGAACCTGTGCCTAACTGGCCCGACGAGGAGTTTCCGTGGGTTTTGAAGACAAGGGAACGGCGAGAGAGGGAGGAAAAGGAAGAAATCGAGAAGATGAAACGCATCGAAAGGTTTTTGGAGTCCGACAGTGAGGACGAAGACGACATCGAAGAGGAGTTGGATCCGACTCAGGAATTAAATCTCGTGCTCAATGTGGCGAAGTGGTGATGATTTATTCTGTATGCTTTCTTTTTATTGCTGTTGTTGTCCCACCTATTGCTATCATACCTAACATCTTTCTGGTTCATCGGAAACTGCATACTCACCCCTGGGACCATCGTGACTGACTGTATTCTTACTACTGTTCCGTACCACTTACGCATTCGGATTCGTTATTGCTGGATCTGCTTACAGTTTTGCAAAATTAAGAATATTCAAGATGACGCTTGAGATGAGTCCGAATATTTTGAAGGGCAAAATGACGAAGTCAGCCACACGGATAAAACAGGAAATCCTTTGTGGCCCAATTTGAAAGGCGCGTCCATGGCACGTGATGGGAATTTCCCGTCATATGTGCCACTTCGCATTTTCGAAGTGAAGCGCGTTTGGGCTTTGCACCTGTCTTCGCGTCTGCTTCTTCTTCCTAAAGGCCTCCAAGCTCAAGCTCGTATCTGTAGCTATGACGGCTCAAAAGATCCCTCAAAAGATCAACGATCTTACCGTTCTTCCTATCACATACTCGGACGAATGCCTTCATTTTCTCTACATTCGAGCGCACAATCCCGGCTCCTCTGCTAAGGCAAAAGCTAAAAGTCTTCCCTCTGGACGGACACTCTTCATCGTCAACCCCCCTCCCGATGCTACCGAGCGTGAAATCACTTTGCTCTTCAAATCTTGTGGGACAATAGAACGTGTCGTTTTCGGTTCGCCACAATCAGACGCAGCCGACGGAGGAGACGGAGAGAGCAGCGAGGACACCGATATGGAGGATGACGAGGAGGTCGAGGAGGATGAAGAGGATGAGCCGATGAAAGGACCAGCTTCTAAACGCAGAAAACTGGACAAAGACGGCCGGAGTGCTCGCCTGTCTGCGCCCCAGGTCTTTCCCCTTCCATCCACACCTCTACGCATAATCAGACCGACTGGTCGTTTCGCATACGTCGTCTTCCTCGACTCCTCATCCCTCGAGCGCGCCCTTTCACTTTCCTCTCAACCTCCAAAAAAGAAGTCAGCATCGACATCATCTCCACCATACCCTCGCCCTTGGCTCCTCGACCCAGAAGCTCCATCCGGTCTTGCGCATTATACTGCTCTATACGATGTATCACGGCCGCCTATGGATGTCATTCGTCTACATGCAGATTCTTCGATAGAGCTGTACGACTACAACCTCGAGAAGAGGAAACGTGCGCTACAGAAGGAGTCGAAGTACCGGAAGGGAGAGGCTATCGTGGATGAGGATGGCTTCACGCTGGTCACGAGAGGCGGGGCCTATGGTCAGGCTGTCGGCGGTGGGGTCGGAGTGGCGAGTAAAAAGTTCATGGACGGTACGGGGAAGAAAAAGGACGAAAGCGGTGGTACGAGAAAACGGAAGAAGGGGAAGAAAGAAAAGGAGGCGTTCTACGCTTTCCAGGTTCACGAGAAGAAGAGGAAAGGTACGCCTTTTGCCAGTGTTATCTGTGGTAACCCCATGGATATATTGACTGATTGTTCGTATTTTGCGACATCTAGACCTTATGGATCTGAAAGCAAACTTCGAGAAAGACAAGGAGAAGGTCGAGCAGCTAAGGGCTTCCAAAAAGTTCAAGCCTTACTGATCACTTCCACGACACCTTCGGAGGTGTGTTCGTGTATACATTGAGCTCTTTATATACACTTCCTTCGCTCAGTCACTGTCGACTCAGGTCGTGAGTTTATCTTGCGTATGCCCGTGTTGACCCTTGCAGCGGACCGTAATTCATGATGATTGGATCGTACGCTCCATCCGCTTTGTAAGCGCTAAGAATTCTTTCGAGACGGCTTTCGTTCTGTGGCCACTGACCTGTTTCGACACTGTCTCGCGGACTTCGAATGCCGAGCTTGGTTCATCTACATTCAACGGTGACAAATGCCGGCTTTCTCGAACAGCTTAGACCAGACTCTCTTGCATGTGGATAGGGATAAAACTCAGGGCCTCAGATTCTTCTACATCGACCAAGCGGTACCGCTATAAATACACAGTTATATCGAACACATTCAAATACCAATCTCTAATGATACAGGCTGACTTGTGGGGGAAACATAATGCTGCTGCTATGCGACTGGATACAACAAGCATCCTGGAAGCACTGTAAGTCACTAAGCGGAGACCTATAGGCTGGACAACTTACTTCGGAAGTCTAGCGTTGAGGTGCATGCTTAATTTCCTTGGCCAATACTGGTTAGATATTCCTGCGCCGCCATGGCCTTTGCAGCGCTCTTGGTGACTCCTTCTCCACGAGCAATGGGATGTCCGTTCACTGTGAAACAAAGAGTCGGGGTTGGTACGAGGTAGGAACGGTAAGGCAGAAGTGGACTCACAATTTGCAGTAACATAGTGCATTGCTGTGTTGGTCTGACCGGTCTGGGTGAAGGCCCAAGAAAGCCCCGCAGACTGTCCAGTACTTTGCAAGTAGTTGTTGAGATCCCTGATCCAGTCTGGACACGGGCAGTAAGTATCTGTGCAGCCAGCAGGAAGAGCTGCAGGACAAACCTCTGCCAGCCATCTCGAGTTATGAAAGTGGGTGGGTTGGTAGTGATGTGATTGAAAGCGAGCAAAAGCTGAGTGAGAAAGCGAATACGAGGGAATCGCTGAGAATGGCACAACAACATCCTTCGCTAGGTCTTCTTATACAATACCTCGCTGGAGAATGTAGGATGAAACGGTCATGTAATCCTAGTAGAGAGAGTTAGACACTCTGACCATGCCATCCAAACGGAATGAGGGTGCGGGAACGAGGCGAGCATACTCATCTTGTTTGAAGGAGGGAGAAGGCGGAATGCTGAGGACGAGCGCAGAGTCAACCGTGGCGAATTTCGAGAAAACACGACAAAGTTAGGTTTGACAGAAGATGCGAGAATTTCGTGAACACCAGAGGGGCATCATAGTGCACTTGATGACTATTCGGTGTTGGGGATACACCGATTCGCAGTCAACAGAGAAAGGGCTGCATAGTTCGCCGGTCGTACCGTATAGGGGTGGAAGTGTTTCAATGATGCCGCACGTTAACAAAGCGCATACTGATCACTCAAACGATATGAACGACGTACAGCAGAAAGCAAAGAAAAATGCCCTAAGTTGAGCGGGAGCGTATAGCATAAATTGAATAGACTTGTTTGAGCATTTCGTTTGGGGGAGGCAAGGGCGGATCGATTAAGGAATGGATACCTCTCGACAGAGCTAGCATTATCGCTAACAGGTATATGGTAAGTGAATAGGGCATGTAGGAACCAAACGGATCAGAACTTATGTATCGCATGTTCTGTTCAGCTCTGTCTCCGTAAAGCAGTGAAGACAAGGCGTACATCGGGGACGAGTCCGCGGATGTTCATCGAAGCCTTGATTACTACTCCGGGAGTGTCATATTGCTGTCTCCATAGAGGGTATCATTGTCCAGAGATCAAGAGCTCATACAGTCAGTAGTCGCGGATATTCAGAATTCTGTCTTGGATCTTGACAGGTGAAAATGGACCGTCACGCACCAGAGTGGAGCGCTGCTGATCCGCGCCATGGGGTCTGTACAGTATAGCGGACTGCGGGCTGACACAGCGCTTTCGAACGCGAAGCCGAAAAGAGGCATATAGCCAAAAAGGGCACTGTTATAGAGAGGACCCGGATTCAATCAAGTGAGAGGTCTGCGAGAGCCTGACATCATCTTCGAATGTAGCCTGTGTGCCAGATCAAGAGTGTCTTCAAAGTCCGCGGCACTGTCCGTTTCTACGAAGTGTCGGGATTTGAAACTCCGACGGTAGCCTATCATGTTCTTTGCTGAAAATCGAATACTATCGTGACCTCACGACCTGAGGCAAGATACCAGCGGACCCACACCATATCACCGATACAGTTTTTTATGCTTCGCGTTTCAATAGAGCAAGGGCCACTTTGCGTGACGCTTGCAATGATTAACCCCGCTTTTGTTAGGCCGGACGGCCATACTGCGTCGCGCGCCATTCAAGGTGTCATAAGGGCGCCTCATGACGGGCAACCCAATAGGGTTCAGTAGCTTGCGAGCTGTAAGATCCAAGCAGTCAACATTGCAACAATAGACGGGGACAACCATTCAGCCTATACCATGCTGACCGTCGTGCTATTGGCCGAGGGTACAGCGATCTTGACGCTTCAGACTCTTGTCAAGGAAGGCTTACGGGGGAAGACCCGCATAACAATGACGGAACGAAACTAACGGTAGAAGGAGCAGTGTGTTCCCACCGAGAGAATGAAGGGCATCACTGAGATATCCATCCCTTTGACAGGTGCCGCTAATGAGTCACTCTTCCCCATACAAAGTGCGTTCAACTCATCGCGGGGACATCTAGACATTTTTATATACACGCACCTCGGATATACCGTGGTTGGTCCATTGCTCCCCCTTCAACAGTCGCAATGGAACCTGCCAATTGAGGCTAGTGTGTAGCATCTCGCTGAGCTGCGTCAACCGCGCAAGAGGATCAATATATAATACAGTAGGTTTTGTCAGAAAGGTATTGAAAGAGTGAACAAGACGATAGCACAACTCCATGCTACGGTTCTACACCCGTGATAGACTGATGATTATCTGACTCGGGGGATACGCTCGGTGGTGGTCTATCCGACGCTACTGGACTCAGTTCGAACTGCTGCAGCCCGTCGTGATGATACGACTCTTCCCCTTCCGTTGTCGTGTCGTCGATGTCGCCCACTATCTGACCCAGACGGCCAGTGGAAAAATCCTGTTGACGTGCGTGTACCCTGCGAAGGCTAACTACCAAACGTTGTCCAGCGATGTTGAAGGCAGCAAGTGTGCCGACGGACGGCAGAAGGTTTAGGGGGCTCTGGAGTACGAAACTTAGTCAATCGGGATGAAGACGCGCAACGGATCTTGTACCGACATTTGGCCTGATTGCCCTGCAAGGAGGAGACGGATGGAGTGAGGTGAACCTGCCGTTCAAAAGCTTATGCAGAGAGCGCTACACACCATAGAATCAAATTAGAGAAACTGCATCCCATAGAACACTACATGATGTTAGTGATGGCGCCTATGATATGAACAAATATGAGCTCACAACGAAGTATATTGCACCTAGTGAGTACGAAAAGTGTCGGAGTTAAGCCCGAAGTCATTACAGCATATGCAAGCCACATACCGTCCCGATAAATGGCCCCCGCAAGGATAGTCTCTCCGTATTGCGGCATGGTCCGAAGTATGATGCCAAAAAGGGCTGTCTCTAGAAGAATACTGGATGACGGTGAGCCCAAGAACAAAGTTATTGAATAATCAGAATTTACCTTGGAAGCCACAGCACCCACTGGGACAGGAAAGGGCCTCTCAGTACGAAAATGCACGATCGAAAGGGAAAGTACGTACTCCAAAATCTTCGGCAAAACACTATCAGCATTCAACATGTATCAAGTCCTAGAAAGAAAGCAACCTACCTGGAATAGGGGAAACGCATGTCCGAACGAGATTGGCGATTGGATATGGGTTCGCTGATATGATTGTTAGCAAGTTACTAGAGGAGCAGTCTGAGTCGTGACTCACAACTGTAGGATACGGTCACGGTACCCCACAAGAGTAAGACTGAACAAACGATGCTATACGATAAGAACAAAACCAGTATAGCAGCCAAGACATGTCGTCGATGTATCCACAAAGCCCAAGCCCGGAGAAGTATAAGGACTGTTTCCAAGATGTATATGTTTCATTGACCACTGTCCGACGACGAGCAATAACTGCTTACCACGGATAGAAGCGAAGGAAAGAAGCATGCCCATATTTGTAACAAGAGTAGCAACAAAACAAAACTGTATGCCGACCAATAGTGTAAGTATTCAGCAGTGGAGGAATAAGGAGCTAAGGAACAAGCGCACATAGGAGGCCTCAGAGTATAAATCCCCAGCAATATGCCATGTCATAAGCCCCAGCATAGACAGATTGCCGTACCGATTGGCTAGGTATATGATCTTGACGGGTGACCATCGACTCGGCCATATATACGCGACCTCGTCTGACAATGTCAGGAGATAGTCGAAGACCAGCAGCCCATACCCGCTAATGGTGAACAGACTGCATCAGTCATCCTGAACGTCAGCACGGTTTTTGTCTATTCGAATGCTACGACGTCACCCTCCATGCAAATGCGACTTACCGTGTTACCCATAGGTCAATGTACGTTTGACGAGTGAGGACACTCACGTCGTCTGCTCCTCTTGCATTGACTCCAGAGATCGATCTGTTAGGTTCCAGCAGTGAGCTCTATTTCGACTTCAGTGAGCGGCGTGGTAGAAAACAACTCACGCAAGAGCGATGACTATTATGAGCATGGCTCGGCGGTGAAGCACCCCATCTATCATCCAATGATAAGCACGGGTCTTGTGAGCCACCTCCAGGTTGGCTATGTGGACAGCAACGCTGAGCAGACACCCTCACGGTCACGCTAGCGGACTTGCGAGAGCGGGCTGGGGATCAGGTTCTGAGGCCCGGATGAAGTGACAAGGAGAAAGCAAAAGTTGTGGTTGAACATCAACGCAGAAAGATAGGCCGCTTCCGCAAGTTATACTACTTCAGAGTGTGAGCGTGCGGTAAGTACTACGTACATGCAGTCACCCCCAAGCAACCGGGGTTTACCGACGAGCGAGATCGCGTGAGCTTGAACCAGATAGACGATGCACGCATCAAATAACTACGTATGGGGCCAGCTATCGCAAGGCGGCCATATACCAAGCACGATATCGAGGATCTGTCCAACTGAAGAGACCACCGGGCACAGTAATAGAAAGGGTTATTTATGGTAAAAATCGCACAGCGCTCATGTGCGTTTGCATGCTCAAAGGACCCAGAAGCCACAATATAGAAACAGCTGTGTGAGCATGAAGATTCAAGCGTATTTTTAGGCAACATGTTTTTATTTAAATATTGTGCCACTGAACAGTCGTGATAGCCCACCCCTGGTTCTACTAATACTCGAGATCGCTGTATGGATTCAGGCGACATACTGCTTGTGGGACCTATCGTTACATACCCTTGCAGGAGATGTGGTCCATCAGGGAAGATGAAAGGGACGATTGTAAACTTACGCGGTCATACCTGCTGCGGCTCAACAATCAACGGCTGCACTATACAAAACTTAAAAGATCCATGAGTCTCTAACAGCAAAGGCCTGAGCCATTCGATGTATCTCGATACCGGTGGGAAGGAACCCTGCTTGTGCTTCTGCGCTTGGCTGACTATCCGATAGCCTTGAGTGAGGGTCACCGGTCGAAATAAAGAAGGCTCGCCACTTCTATCGTTTGCCTCGAGGCTTGCGATACGATAGGATGCGAGGTGAACAGCCTGGAGATCGCGGATTGAAGGTCTATAGAGCGCTATGAGAAGGGGATATGACGAAAAACATTCCTTATCATGCGTAGAAGCTGCACAGAACAAGTACTCGTCAACCTTCGCCCAATGATGGGTGGTCAGGAAGAAGAGGATACAATGTGGAAAGGGAGAAGCTCCCTGAGCACTAGTTCTGAATCACGTAAATCTATCGATACACATACGTCCAAGCCAAAGGACGATATAGCAATAAATGCACTCGTACACCTTCTCTACTACGGTCCATATCATGATCACGCATCATAACCTGGCGGAGCGTCGCTGGGGGTCTCCGCAACCGGTGTACGTGAAGCGGATGCAGCGGGCGTAGAGGCCGAAGGAGACGCGTAGGCCGCTGTTAGAAATAAAGTCAATACAGTAGGTTCGGCGTACGAATGCGTGAGAGAGAAGAAAGGTAGATAATGAATGATGGACAGAGGCGCCGTGCGTCGAAGAACAGGAAAGAACACTCACGGAGGTCATCCTCCTCTATCGGTTGTCTCTGCATATAAACGGCTCTTTCCCTCGTCTTGTTCAACACGCTCACTAGCTGAAACAGGGGCTGATCCTTCAACCTGATCTCAGCCTTCGTGCCAGCCGTAAGCCCTCCGTCAGCCGTTGGCTTGATCTCCACAAGCAGGTAATTCGACCCGAGCAGTGGTTGCTCATAATTGGTCGAAAGCAGACAGTGAAGAGGCACCGAGAGAGATTCGAAGGCAGCCACTGTTCCCGCGGGAACGGGAGGTGCCACAAAGATAAGCTGTGAACAACATGTCAGCGGATGGTTAATGAGATGTGATGGAGAGGGTCGACACGTACACGCTTCTCGGTCACCCACAGCTTCCCGGTAGCCTTGAGTTTCTTTGTCCCACCAACCCCTCCAGCCGAATCAGCAGTCCCCGGAGGTGCATCTGGGATGGTAAGTGACACTTCAGCGCCGGATTCGATGGTCAGCACCGTCGTCTCCCCGAGAAGTGGGACCGGAGTACGGTCAGGGTTCAGCATTGTCCAGTTCAAAGCCATGTTTACAAGAGAATATGAGATAGATGAGATGTTTGTGGATGTGTCTTTGAGGACGATGGTGGTGTTCGAGATGGTGAGCTCAGCTGGGAAGGCATGGCGTTCATCAACGGCCAGGAACGAATCGATCGGAACACGATCGAACCGTCAAGAACCAGACAGGGGCGGACATAGCCGGTGGGTGGCACTCCCTCGTCATAATTATAAGCTAATTTTGTGGCTCTCCAGGACGCGAACGACTGTGTCGAAATCGTACATATACGGTCAAAACCAAATGTAGTCTAAGTAATGTAAGCGAATAAATCAAGAAGAAACAGTGACGACGACATCCACCCAGGCTACAGTCGAGAACAACCCTGGATACCTGTCTAAGCACGAAGTCCAATGATTCTCGCGGAAGGAACCTGACTTGAGTTAGAATGCGAGCGCGTTACTCTGCTGGACTGAGGTGATTGCTGCGTTGCCGGTGGACCCTGAGTAGTAGTCGAGCCTGGTCGTGAAGCAGAGAAAGATGAGGGTTTCGGCGATGGTGATGACGATGACGGTCGCTGAGCGACTGGAGCCGGCAAAGGAGGGGGTGATGACGGCGAGGGCGTTGATAGTCGTGGAGGCTTGACAAAGGCTGGAAGAGCTTTAGGTTCTTCCACGACATTGGTATCGCCAGAGAACCCTGTCGACGCGGAAGACGCATATTGTGGTATTCGCGGTGCTACACTGGTCTTTACGTCCTCCTCCGTCCGGGATGATACATCGCGGGAAGATGGACTCCTTGTACTGGATCCTCCTGCCGCAACGTTCCTTACAATTCTTGCCCCTACCCTCCACCCATCATTGTGAACCAAGCCAGGAGGCCCTGCGCTACCATTTCCGTCTGGCAGAATACTGAGCCTTGATCCGTCAGGTTTGACCGTCTCCTCCGAACTCAGAGACGCTGATGGACCCAAAGAATACATCCTCGGCCTCGGCCTCGCCCCCGCTTCCACAACCCTCTCGTAGTAAAGCATGAATGCTCCGCTACCCTCATTCAGAGCCTCCTCAACGCCGCACTCGCTCACCGAAGCATCGCTGATTCTCAACCAGCCTCTGCCCGTGCCCATCCTTCCCGGCTGTGGTTCATCAGCATCGCGCACCCAGCCATATTTGCGGCAGTTATCGCACTGGCAATCGAATGTATGAGGTGCAGTGGGTGGTGCAAACCGGTTCGAGTATGTTGGTGGTCGAGGTTTGCGGCGGTAGCAAACGTAATGGCCAAAGGAGTGTTGTCCGTAATGGCAGACGACGGCCGAGAGACGGTATAGCACTACTTGTGAGGGCGATGTCATCGGCGATGGGGTTGCGCTGAGACTGGAAGGTAACGATGATGATGATGCTATTGAGGGTGTCGCGGCACGAGAAGTGGAGGGTTCTGGGGTCGAAATAGGGACGGAGGGGACTGTGGAGAGCTGTCCAGAGGTAGTGTAGGGTGTGAGATCAAGGATCTCGGGGAAGCGAACACAGGTGTTGTTCTTCGATGCGTAGTTGCCAAAATGCATGGACCGGTTAATATGCAGGGCAAGAACTGGAGGTGGCTGGTAAGAAACAAAGTCAATAAACACGCCCAGTATCGTCAGCTTTGGGGATATACTTACTCGAGCGATCATGGCTTGCTTAGTAGAGAGTTTGCTGAAGACTTTCTCCATCTTCACGCCTTTGATATCATCCTCTATTCTGCCCTGCTCCAGAGCTTCCTTCACTCTCGTGGCAAGTTTCCGAGCCTCCCGTGCCCTCTTTTTCTTCGAAGACGAGGCACTTGGATCTGAATCAGCCAGTTCCGTTAGTCTCTGGGCCTCCTGATCCAACTTGACGTGTGTGGCCACCATGGAACACTTCCGACAGATGCAGTCCGTCAGGGGTTCGAGCCGTGTGTAGTCTCCCAAGCACTCTTGCAGACTGCATATCTGAAGATAACCCATCAAACCTGTGTTTCTCCGACACTCGAAAGGAGACATACCGTAGAGCGCGGCAGGCTGAGTTGCCAATTATCGAATGGAAAATGCATGACCGCCTCCGTGTACCCACATTCCATACAACTCCGACGATTCGCCGTTAACCCATCGAAAACACCCTTCGTCAGCTGACCGCGTTCTGCCTCGAGCAGGAGAGTTCGAGAGGGCAGTTTTCCTAAGCCACGGTCACGAAGGCTTTCTTTGTCAACGGCCGACGCTTCCTTCTTGATGCATTCGGAGACGAGTTGGAAGAGCTCCTGTGCATCTTGATGCTCTCGAGAGGAGAATAGTGGGCTGCGTTTGCCAGGCTCGGGGTACGATAAGGCTTCTATCATCGCGAGCGGTCGGAAAGAGAAGGGGCTAGATTTCGGATTGTTGAGAGCTGCATGCATTATGGACACAGATGAGAAAACGTAATATAAGCAAGGAGAAGACTGGACAGGCGTCGGGGAAGTGTTGTGGACGAACGAGAGGCGCACTTGGAGTCATAGACATTGTGTGTGCGTCGTTGCCACTAGCACCGCACCGTTGCCGAAACACTCATCATGGAAAAGCAAGATACCCACTGTGTAGGAGATCGTGGAGCGCGTCGGTAACGGGTGTTGGAACGTCAAGAGCCACGGCTTTGGCTTGTATAGCATCCACATAAGGTTGTAGATAGCAGAGAGAAGCGAATGCCTGTGTGGTGGCATATGAAGGAGATGAAGAGAGTTAGATGTGACAGACTTACCTGCATCGTCGAGTTCATGAAGCAGTAAGTGCCAGAAACGTTGACCAGTCCAGGATAACATGACGAGACATCCCAACCCTCCTCTCCCTGAACGTCTATATAGGATTCAATTATGAAGATTAAGCATGCATTCTTGATATGGGCGGCACGAAGTACGCACTCTGGTTGGCGTGTCCATTGGCTGCTAATTGTGCAGCGCGAGTGGTGACGTGCTTCTTCCTCAGCTTAGACCGTGGTGCCTTCGACGGGCCAGATGATGCCCAGTTCCATGGGAGCGCGTACGACAGTGTTTGGAGCATGGAGGACAGACAGCCAATACAAGCGAGGATCTGACGTTGTCCAGTGAGGATAAAAAGGGGGACGAGAATGAGAATGAGCAAAGGCGCGATCTGGGGCACAAGCGGATGCAGAAGAATATCAGAATACGAGAACATCGATCTGCATAGGGATTGTCAGACTCAGAGACCGTTCCGCAAGTCTTGTGGGCCTGGCTTGCGCCTGTTCGAGCGACGTCTGGGTGGTGGTGAGCAGTGAGCACGACCAACCTCAGCTTTGCGGCGTCGACGTCTGCATGACAAATCTTCTGGGTGGCGAATGCGACTGTTTGTGGCCCGAGCAAAATGGTCCCTTCATGATTCGTCCACGAGGCTCATCTCGACGATGGCTTTTCTACGAACATTTCAGTGCAGCAAAAGCTTTTGGCTGGCAAGAGTCATTGTAATTATAGAGGTACGCTATTTTGGAATTATGCAATTGACGAGAAATAGGTAAATTACAGTAAATGTACACGATACCAAGTTACCAACACGACACGTCAGTGTTCGACTTGTGGCACCAATTGACAACCCAATGACCCCAACTATCTAGTCGACCGATGGCACTCCAGGTGTTGTACTTGCCAGCTTCTGCGCATATCTCTGGAGACTATCTAGCAGTGGTGGCAGGTCGACAGCTTCGAGGGGTACTTGGATGGACCTTTCCGTTCCAGCAAACGTTCTCAGACTGTACTCCGTCAGAAGGACATCCCTGACGATATTCCAGCACATCTATACAACCCCCTCAGTCAGTACCAGAGAACGACCATCCCAAAAACCAAATCACTCACGAATATAATCGCATCCAAGAAATTATACTCTGCCTCCGCCAGAGGATCCGAGACGCGTACCACCTCCGTCGCAGCCTTGACTAACCTGCGCCTCGACTCTTCATGACCCATCCCATGTCCCAAAAAGCTGTACATATTGATGAGCGCAGTCCAGCAGATGATGCACAACCCTTTGCGCGTGAGCGTGCTTAGACGATCCATTGGCAGTGGGCTCGAGGCGATGTTGGGTTGCAAGGAGCGATAGACCTGCGCGAGCTGCGCTTGGATGCGATGGATGAGATGCGAACAATTCTCGTATAGAATCGGTGGCAACGGGCGCTGCTTTTCTGTGGTGGGTCAGTCAGCCACGGATAGATCCACATACATACATCAGTATTGACTAGGACTTTATCGAATGCCGAGAAGGAGCTCACCTGGGGTTAATGACTGCTGGGTTCCCCATTGCTGCAAGAAGGCTCTGCTCTCGAATAAAAGGGAGACGCATATGGTGCGTGTGATCATCAGATTGTCCGTCTCTTGCGCCAGACTGGCTGACTTTGTAGATAAGAATACGATGATGAGCGTCCGTTAGTCCAATCTGAACAAAGAAGTGCGACGCACCGTCCAATTTCGGAACTCATCATCGAGATGTTGTGGTGGCATCAAGGGAACTGATATCATCATACCACTGCACTTGTCGCGACTTTGCAGCCGTTTCAGTATAAGAAGTTACGCCACGATGATAGGGACATACTAAAGCATCTGAACAAGCGCAGTGGCCTCCTCGTCGGCCGCATCGGCAGCGGTCAACGGACCATCACCTTTTGGTACAGAACCGGCACCGTGCTCATGAATGGCGATATGCATATCATGGCGCCGCACGAATTCAGAGGCCTCCTGCATTCGCTCCCACGCATTCGGAATGTCCTTCTTGAAGAGGTGGTAGTACGCAAGAAGCGACTTGACCTGCACAAACGCAAACCGGGGCAACGCGTCCTCCTTCGAGATTTCATGAAACACCATGCGCAAATCCCTTTCTTCTCGAGCACGATTGCTAGCGCCATGTTCGGCGCCGTGATAGAATATGGAGCCGATGAGGTGCGCGATGTGCACGAAGACGGGATGGACGAGTTGGCCGGAGAGGTCCCCGCGGGCTATTGCGTCGAGCTTGTCTTGAGTCATCCGTACGCCCATCTTGACGCCGTGTGCAAAGAACCGAGTGCGTCTTCGTTATTGGTCAGGTCAGAGGGCGCACTTTGTCAATGGGACGTTCGGAATGGGAAGGACGAAGAACTCACAGTTGACGGGCATAATTCAGGTCTGCCAGTGATTCCGATGGCGGCGCTAACGTTTTCGTCGCCTTCACCACTCGGGCGGCATCCCCGGCCGAAATACATTCTTGTACGAAAGTTAACGTCGTAGGCCCGGGCTGACACGGCGAACAGTGCGCTGTAACCGATTCCACCTCACTGTCAGGTACTCGCCCATAGCTGCGTTCTGGCGGACACGGACAGAAAATCGAAGGCGAAGATATAGGCGGAATTGGCGGCGTTTCAGCCCACGAGCAAAGGTCAGGTGTCGTACAACTCGATCCAGACGTCGTGCTGCTAGAATAGACCGAAGACTCGGTGGTGGTGGTGGTGGTGCGGGAGGTGCCGTGCCGTGAGTCGTCGTCAGAGGACATGGAAGCACTCCGTAGCGGGTGCGCTGACGAGGAGGATGAAGCAGTGGAGACCTCATGAGCAGGTGCAGGATCGGGAGCAGGGGGAGGATGTGGTGCGAGCCGTCTTAGACGACCGTTTGTGCCAGTGTGCGGATAGAATTCTTCGAACGGGGCGAACGTGATCTGCGGTTTCTCGTGCTTGACATAGGCGCACTGATCGGCTTTCTGTGCTGAAATGCAGGTTTGACAGATCGGATGCTCTGCCGTGCATTTCTATGTCACCAAGCCCCAAAAAAAAACAAAAAAAAACAAAAAATGAGGACAAGAAACGGCGGATGAGTAGTCCCATTTTCGCTGACCTTCTTGCTTTTTCTGTCGATTCAGATTTAGATTTAGATTCTCGACCGATAAATGAGCGGGACGAAGTTATGATAATGATTAACTTACCTGCACGGGATACAAGCCGCTCCTTTCTGCAGAAGTTCGCCCGGGGCGATCGGGGTCTCCGGTGGAGTATAATCGCACGCTGGACCATCGCGTCGTCGTCTTCGCGTGCATTGTCCGCATTCAGGAGTTTGACCATCGCAGCGCTACACACATGAACGAACGAACGAACGAACAAAAAAAAATCGCGGGAATCAGCCGGGTAAGTTCGAGTCAGAGTGACAGGAAACGTTGTATGCTGTATTGGCATGGCGGGAAGAAGAAACACGAGATGGTACTCAACGACTTTCTTCCTGCGACAATTCGAGCAGGTAGGACGGGAAGTCGTGTTCGTCTTGTTGTCCCTCATTCGCGCGTTGACGCAGGCAGCCTGGAGGTCGGGGATCAGATTGAAGGCGAGGAAACAGAAAGGGGGAAGACGACCTACGGGTGTTTAGGTTGCATGTATCATGTATTGTGCGCGCGGGCAGTGCCTGGTCGGCGAGAGCCAAACAAGACGGCGCGGGCGCTCTTTGTGCTTCGACTGGCAGCACCGTTTACTTATATGGGGCAAGGGACAAGGCCAGGATCAACAACGTGATGGGGACGATTAGTCAAACGTCGCACTCACACACACTTGACCCGTGCTCTCCGACATTGACGAGAAGGAGTTTACGCGGCGGTGATCCTGCATGACGTCGAACGTTGATAAACCGAGCAGTGACAAAGAATATTTCGACGCTCCCATCAGCTTTAAATAGGGAATTGGATCGCTTTTGTTGCAGTCGGTGTTAGGTCGTCGATGCGTATTTACTATTCATTAATCACGAATAGTGGGAACAGGCGCTAGGACGGGCTGATGCTCCCGGGCCGCTTTTAAATCACGGTGCACGATGTGGGGTACGAGAAGATAGGTAGAATGCAAGAATACCGGCCATTAATAGGACTAGGGGGAGAACCATCATTGTGTCAGGTGTACCCGGATGGAAGCAAAGTGAAGCAATATGTTAGACGGTCGTTGAAAAGCAGTATTGCGGTCCAGACGGTCGAAGCTGCAGTGTGAACGAGACCGCATAACCATTCTCTTCATCGATGACGACTCGTCGAGTTGGCCCGAACTTGAACAGGCAGGAATAAGTACTTCGTCACTTACATCGACTTATAGTCCACGCACGATGACTAGCTTGTTCAAACCAGTCCACAGTCCATCAAAGCAGTTGTCAAGCAGAAGGTGGAGGATCTTTCCAGCTGGTGAACGTTAACGTTTTGAACTGGATGGGATCATGATCTTGTGGTGTGGATCAACGTAGTAAGTGATTGCAATTCAACTTCGGAGGTTTAATCGGGGCGTGAATTCGTTCCTACTTAGAGTCTCAGAAACGACATTGGATGTCGTACGAGGCCAGATTTTCATGAACACCACTAACAGGAATAAAGCCACACAGCACTTAGGAACTGTCTTGACTTCGACCTTGAGCTTGAGCGACCCAAACCCCATATAGCTAAGTGGTGCAATGGCGAACTTGGATGTAGCTCCACGATAGACGAGCAAAGACATGTCCGTCGGAGGAGGTCCGAGGTGGTCTTATCTGATATAGGGAGTTGCATCTTGATGGTGACATTATTGTACCTCAGCGTCTCAGTAACGAATCTCCTAGCGGTTCAGAGTCTCATGGCACCGACATATGAACGACGTACGGAAGGGACTGACTTGTTCAAACTCATTGTAGATGTTGCTCCGTTGGAGACAAGGGAATGATTGTATTGTCAATACACTTGCACGCCCTCACCCAGAGGACAGGGGCTAACACCCACTGTGAGGGTACTCTACTCGATAAACAATTGGTGAGCATAGACGCCACAGTGGCACTGGCGTCTCGTCCTGGGACACGTGGTGGTCAAACGTTTGAAGAGTCATGGAAGACCTCAACAAAGACACATTGGAACAGGGTATATGTTGAAAGGAGATTGACGTAGGGCCATGGCAGTTATGTACATCGTTGTACACGAATGGGGAGGGACAACATGATACGCCACAATGATGGGGATCGACCAACCGCAATTTTCCATCTACACGCCATATTCCAGACACGAGAACAACAGACCAAGACCACACCAGATGCACGTTCTCAGGGCAAAACGAAACACAGAGAAGGATGGATAGAGATGCAAGACGAAAACGCACCTGGCGCAGTGTATGACCACACGTAAAAGTATCATCAATCCTCACGAGTCGGTCCGAACGAGCGTACATTGGTCATTCGACACCATAGCTCATCGATAGGTGGGCGCGAAGGCGATAGCCTGCGAGCCTGGGGGGTTTAGGACGAGAGACACGGCCGTATTTGAAGGGGTTTGAGGTGGGAGAATCCGGGTCCGAACGCAGGATAAGAATGGGGGATTGGGCCGGGGTGAGAAGAGTGGAAGTGACAGCCTGCAGGCATCGATAGAACAGCAGAGTCGCCAGCTGAACAGGAAGAGCACGGACCACACTATCCGGGTACGCACGGTGTCGAATTGGGACAAGTGTTTCCGTTTGGGATGACGCGAATGGCGAGCGTTTGGAGAGGAGGCGTTGTGTCGTTGTCGTCAAGACCACTTTGCATCGATGCCGTTCAGTCGAGATGTCGACAGTAGAGGCAACAACGAAGAGCTGGAGGTGAGTCGCTGTAGCTGGCGGAGACGGAGTGTGGTCGAAAATGATGGGCGTAGGAAGAGGTGCATGCGCGGGGAAGCCGGCCGGTGCCACGAGAGCGAGCCCTTTCACTTGCGAAGGTCGTCGCGGCCTGGCTCTTGTCAAAGCACTCTTCGTCGACCACTCCCTCGTCCTCTTCCCCGTCTCTCCCGCTGGCTTTTCTCGCTGTTGTCTCACTCTCGCATTCTCACTTTCTGGCTCTTACTGTCGCTGGGCGGATAATGGCTTCAGCGACGCTGTGCTGGTAGGTGGTGTGTATTGTCTCTGCGCTGGGGCGACGGCTGGATATGCATGGCTGCGCCTGTCTTGAAAAGCGGCGCGAGAGACGCTATTGTCTGGGGCGTGTGGTCTGTGGGTGTGCTCATTGTGTGTGACGACGTGCTCGGCTACACTGCTCGGACAAAGGGACTGGGTCTGGGTCTTGGCTTGGGCTTACGTGATTTCTTTGGCTGGTGCTCACGTGCTGCGCGTTGACTGAGGGTCTGTGCGTGGGAACTTTGCGGTGCAGGCTGGGTGTGACAGGACGCGGGACTTGGCACCGGCCGCGTCCGCCCCTTGCGTGCTCCGCTTGCTTTGCTCCTCCACCACATCCAACTCCCCCTTTCCACCTCTCCACGTCCCCCGCCACACTTCCCAAGAATTAAAGCCGCGTTCGTCAGCAGCATCTCCTCTCGCTCTCTCGCGTCCACTCTCTAAGCTCTCGTCTCCTCTCGCGTCACCTTTCCACCAGCGCTTTTGCCCATCCTGGCGTCATCTCTCGTCTCGACGCGCTCTCCCTTCTCGCACGGCCCTCCCCCACGCCGTGCGCAGGACGAGGACTTCATCAATCGCTCTCTCCTAGACTCTCTCGACGCCCAGGCAGACGCCGAGCCGCTTTCCTCAGACTCTGAAGCAAATTCCTCCAACTTCCTTTCGCCGCTCTCCACGTCTTCAATTCGCCATCTCCCCTTCCAGCACGCTCCCCATCGTCCAGACTCTCCTCCGCAGCATCACGTCCAAGACAACAACTTCAATTCGATGTACAATAACATGCATTCCATTTCCGACTTCGCTTCTCCCACCGAATACGACCTACAGAAGCAGGCCCAACTCGGCGACTATTCTTCTTCGGCCCCATTCAGGTCGCCCCCATTCAACGCATATCCCAACAATCGCTCTCGTCAGCCTTCCATACCTGCTCCCGGCCCACATACCTTCCGCGACACCTCCAATTTATCTCACCATTACCCTGTAGATCTTTACTCCACTGCGCCTCCACCACCCTCTCAACTGCCCCATCAGAACCAACCCAACTCTTTCGATGTCATTCATCAGCCTCGGGGTGGCTACGACTTTCCTCCGGGCGCACTTTCTCCTCCATCAGGCTTTGCTGCTGGTCACAATAAGCCCGTTTTCAACGTCGATCCATTCGGCACCTCTGGTCTCCAGACCGTCAAACCGAATGGAATTATGCCCGCTCCTGGCTCCCAGCAGCAACAGCAGGTCCAGGGTCCCCAGACGCAGCCACCGCTCAACGGCTTCCATCCAAATCCGCAGGCGCCCTACATGAACGGCATTCAGCATCAGCAGCCTCAGCAGCAGCAGCAACAGCCCATGCAATCTCAGACGCCATATGGTCCTCATCTTCCTGCTACGAATCCATCGGCACCTGCGCCCACTCAGAGTAACGCCACGCACGCTAATGGCGCGACCCAGGCGGCCGCGCAAGAGGAGATTTCCACCATTTTTGTCGTTGGTTTCCCCGAGGACATGCAGGTATGACTCGTCATACTCTCCTGGGAAATGTTTACTGTTTTAGGCTAACGTCGTCATCATCTGCCATAATAGGAACGCGAATTTCAGAACATGTTCACTTTTTCTGCAGGTTTCGAGGCGGCGACTTTGAAGATTCCCAACAAGGAGCTCACGGCCTATGGCTCAGGAGCATCGGGCCCCGGAGTCGGCAGCGTTCGTCCCAGTGGTCCTCTCGGGTATCCTCACGTACACGGAGGGCCGAACGACCCGTACAACCTCGTTACGATCAACCAGGGCGGTGTTGTTGTCGACGGCGGGAGGGACGGCACGACCTCTTCCTGGCCACCAGCCGATGACCAACCATTCGCATCCTTCACGGCCAACGCTTCCGCCGGGGGCGCAAACGCCAATCTGTCCACCCGGAAGCAAATTATCGGCTTCGCTAAATTCCGGACGCGAGCCGAAGCCCTGGAAGCTCGAGATACCCTCCAGGGACGCCGAGTCGACATCGAGAAGGGTGCCGTCCTGAAGGCCGAGATGGCGAAGAAGAACTTGCACACCAAGCGTGGGATCGGCCCTCTCCCTCCTCAGCTTTCCAACATCATGGGCTCAGGTGGCGGCACGGTTCCGCCTGAGGCTCTCAGCGGTCTGCCGGGCATTCATGGGTTGCACGGCGGAGGGCCCATGCCAGGTGGTGAACCACTCGCAGCTAGGGAGCGAGAGCTAGGTACTCTAGGTGCAATGGGCTTCACGGGACTGAACGGGCGTCGAGACACTCGAGTGGAGAACCGGGAGGACGATAACGATATGCGCAAAACTAATGCGCTTGGAATGTCTGGAACTCGCGGTGCGCGCGAGAGGGCGGAGGAGGAGGAGCGTAAACGGAAGGAAACTAGTGAGGCGGATCGAACAGCTCGTCTTCGCTCCAACAACCCCATGTCGGCCTTCGACGCTTTCCATTCCGTTCCCTCTTCCCAGCAACCCGTCGGAAACTCTCTTTTGGCCGCCACTGCTGGCGAGAACCCATCCATGCCTGGTGGCCCCGGTGGTATCAACGGCTTCGCGACACGAGGAAGCGTTCCCAATCCTTGGAGCATGGCCGTGAGTCGCGAAAACGGTCTACCCGGGTTCCGCAAGATGTCTGCCCCCGCCCCGAGCGGTTTGCCCGCGCGTCCACTGTCCCCGGGCAAAGATCAGCAATCCCCTCCTCCGAACAAGGACGTTTCGATCTTCCCGTCGGTAGACGCGTTTTCTCCGAACTCTTCGACTGGTCCTCTTCCGCATCCTTCGCTCCCCACTCGGCCGCGACAGATCTCTCCCGTTCGGGAAGGGGAAGGGTCTGGGTCAATGCCCACTTCTAGTGCTTCAAGCGTGGCCGATTCGCTACTTGGCGGTAGTGAAGAGTCGATGCCTGACGCGCTTGCCTCGTTGGCCATCAGCACCGAGAGGAATATCGCTGATGGGTTCGGGTCGACGTCGCCACCCCTGGGTAGCCCCGATTCCGGAGCGAGTTCAGCACGAAGTGGCGCGGTCGACCAAAACCCACCCGTCAGTATTCACGTTTTAAAGTGTTTTACCCGGTCCAATCTGACGAGTTTCAAAGATCAACACCCTATATGTCGGGAATCTTCCTAGTTCACCCCCGCCGCCGGGTCAGCCGCCCAATCAATTAGAGGAAAGCCTTCGTGAGCTTTTTCAGCGTAGACCCGGCTTCCGCAAGCTCTGCTTCCGCCAGAAGAGCAACGGGCCTATGTGTTTCGTCGAGGTACGCATGCCCTCCTCGATTTTTGCTCGACCTATCTAATGACGTTGATTTACAGTTCGCGGACGTTTCCTACGCGACCAGGGCTCTGAATGATCTTTACGGAGCGACACTAAACGGGCTCGTTAAAGGCGGAGGTATCCGTCTGTCGTATTCGAAGAACCCGTTAGGTGTGCGCACCCCGACTAATGCGTCTAACGGGACCAACACCCCCGCTACTGACGGCTCTGTTCCGATAAAGTCGTTGGCTGAGTTGGATACGTCCGTTCGTTCTCGGCGAGATGGCTCGGGGATGGTCTCGCCGACGTCTTCATATCAGTTCAGCATGTCTCCACCACCTCCGCGTTTCGTCTCCCCGCCTCCGGTCAATGCTTCTTTCGGTCCTGGAGCGTTCCCTCGCTCCATGGGTGCCCAGAGCTTCGGCATGGCCTCACCCACGGGCAGCATGTCCCCTTCGTCTTCTACCCCTACTTTTTCACCGTTTGGCATCTCTCCATCTCCGCAACTCAACCCCATTGGCAATAACCATCTCACCACTATACCCGAGCAGTCGAACACTTTCAATAACCATAACCACGCAAGCAGTTACATTTCTGATCCCGAGCAGCATTCCTCCGCAAACGCCATGTCGGCCCTCTCGCACGATAGCTCATAGACGTCGAAGGCCGGCATGAGCGTCTTATCTATGACCCATCCCTTGCATGTATCAGTGTCTTGAACCGGTTTTGTCTATATGAATATTCACACTTTACAGTCTCTTCTCGATCCATCGCTTCTTTTGCATCACTTCGTATTTCATCACTTTATCCTGGGGATATTCCTGGGGCGGACATTTGTGTTTTTGGTATTCTTCGATGTCGCTATCTTCTTCTCCCTCATACACCCAAACATTTTTATAAGTCTGCCCAGTCTCGTTCATCCTCATCTCTTCCACTCCACGTTGCTCTTCAATTGCTTCCAATATTTGCCGTCGTATTTTATATCTCATTCTCTTCTGGTCTCGTAGTGGCACTATACTCGGAGTTGAAATCATCATAATTCTCCCACGTCTATCGCCTTGGTGGTTACCCTGTTTATATCTCACCTCCCTCTTGCCTCGCTCACACTAGTGCTGTCCATCCTCCCGACCCTTATACGTTACCTTACGCCCACTTATGTCATTTTGCGCTCTGCTTTTGGTTATCCAACGCTTATTGTCCCTGACTCTGATATCGACCCGTTCACGCCTCTCATTCAATCCGCATACCTCGCATGTCCATATGATGCTTGCTGTTTTGACGTCCTTGTTGTCTGTTGTGTTTATTCCCTTTCTCACGCACCCATCTTCCAACGAACTCATCTCCGACACACAAACGACAACCTCGTGACGTCTCCCTGCAGCACACATCTCCTCAATATCGCCTCACCTCCCTGGCCGCCATACTTATTTTTTGTTTTTTGTTTTCCCCTCGACCAACCGACCGTTCTCGTAATCAGGTTCGCGGTTGCTCCCAAATTGACTGTTCACCGAATACAATACAATACAAATGCCGACGTGACAGCATGTCCCTTCTTTTCCTTTCTTTTGAATCCCCCCTTTTTTATCGAGTTGCTCAATTCCTCGTTCAATTGCCCTCCATCATATCATCCAAAGTTTTCGAATTCGCTTCGTCGTTCGTCCCTTCCTCTGAATCCGTTGTCCTCCTTTGACCCCTCCGCAAGCTTCCGCACAAGTTCTAGTTCTAAACTATATATGATGTATACTACCATCGACGAGAGACCGAGACCGAATACATGCTTGCATGACGATGACGATGACGATGACGTGTGATGTCCGCTTGGTTTGGAGCCCCTGCGTGTGCGCTTTGACGTGGATTTGAACGACAACCGTGACTGGCAGAAGGACAAGTTGAAGAACGAGAAGAGTGCGGAGGTAAGTTCGGTGTGGTGTCCTTCGACGTTTTCTTTCCTTTAACATGCTTCTGCTCACCTAGCTACGTCCAACACTTGACACAAATTATCATCCTCTTGTCAAGCCCGCCTAGCTCAATCGGTAGAGCGTCAGACTCTTACGGTCTCCCTGGCGGGTTGATTGTCAGTTACGCAATCTGAAGGCTGTGGGTTCGACCCCCACGGTGGGCTAGTCTTAATGGTGTGTCATTTTGTTTTCCCCCTGATCCTAACTGGAGGAAAGCAAGAAAATTTTATTCAGGAGGACTGGCTGAAATTACACCCGAAATGACACCGGTTCATTTTTTTATCCGTCCTCCGCTGGAAGGATCACCATACGGTCAGGCCAGCCAACCCAACTGATGGTTTGTCTGACGATCCACAAAATGTGGAGGATGGGGGGACGAGAGCAACGCTATGGTCCACGGCCAAAGGCCCTGGCGTTTAGAACTTCGCCGGGAGATGCCGAAACCATTCTACGCCACAATTGTTTCACCGCATTGGTGGCGCTGGTTGGCATGCATATGCAGCATTAAATTCGGACAAATCATGATAGAAACAGCAGTTAAAAAAATACTGTCCGAGTCTCTGGGAACATACACTTTGAGGCTCTCGTCAGAGAACACCGTCAGTGAAAGGAAAGCGAGCTCTCCTCCGATTGCTGACTAAGCAAATTCCGCTTTGATGTGGATGGCGGACTGGGTCTGGTTGTTTCCTTGTCCTGTTCAGTGAGCAGGACAGTCAAATATGCGCGCGCCTTGTTCTTCGTCCTTACCTTTTCTCCGGTCGCTGACCGGAGTGAACCATCGCCTCGACCAGATCACTCTGCTTTTCGAGGTATAAAAGCGCTATGGGAGATCAACATGTTTTCATCATCGCTTCTTTTGCAGCTCGTCCTTCCTTGGCAGGCATTACTACATGATACATCTAGGCTTAGCTCCCCACATTTACAGGACTATGTACAATGTCTCGTCTCATTCGAAAAATCGGCGGGACCCCCGTGCAGGCCATTGGCTTTGGCGCCATGGGTCTGTCGGTGGGCTATGGCCAGACGGGTTCTACAGAGGAGCGTTTGAAGGTTCATCGTGGTTTCTTCTCAGGCTCGTCCCACAGGTCGCATTGATGCTAATCTTTTGGAATTAATTTATACAGTTTTTGGATGAGGTTTATGCTCACGGCAGTACGTTCTGGGATACCGCTGACGCGTACCAAGACAATGTTTGTGTTCTGTCCAGCGTTTCAGGACCCACCACAGGCTAATATGTTATGTGATACGCAGGAGGAATTGATTGGAAAATGGTTTGCGAGGACTGGAAAGCGCAAAGATATCTTCCTCGCTACTAAGTTCGGTCTCGCCGATCCGTTGCGGTTCCCCAACGCCGACCCAGCCTACGTCAAGACTGCTATCAAAAATTCACTGAAGAAACTCCAGACCGACTATATCGATCTATATTACCTCCACCGGTGGGTCTCTTCCCTTCTTTACTCCCTCTCGGACAACGCATTATTGACAAAAGTGTTCCCTGCACCACAGAGGAGATCCCCAAGTGCCCATCGAGAAGACAATCGCCGCCATGGCCGAACTCGTCAAAAAGGGCAAAGTGAAGCACATCGGCGTCTCTGAGATATCCGCGTCTGCGCTCCGACGTGCGCACGCAGTGCATCCCATCGCCGCGCTCCAGGTCGAGTATTCGTCCGTCATGCTCGATATCGAGTTCGAGAAGCTCGCGCTGCTCCGGACTGCGAGGGAGCTCGGGATCGCGGTCGTTGCGTACTCGCCGCTCGGTCGTGGTCTGCTCACTGGCAGCTTTAGGAACGCGGGGGATGTGCCTGATGGTGAGTATGAGTATTACAGCGCGACTCATCTTCTTTCATTTTTTTTTTGGTTGAGCAAGCAGAGCTGATATCAGTTATGCATGAATAGGTCATTATGCAAAGTATATACCGCGCTTCAACCCCGACAACTTCCCGAAGATCGTCAGGCTCGCTGACGATTTCAAAGCTGTTGGTGCTAAGCACGGTGCTACAGCCGGTCAAGCCGTCCTCGCCTGGCTACTTGCACAGGGCGACAACGTCTTCGTTATTCCTGGTACCAAGAAGGTCATGGTATGTGTATGCCTCCGTATTCTATCTCATTCTCTATCACGTATTCCTGCTCTTATTTATCACAGTATCTCGAGGAGAACTTGGGCGCAAATGACGTGACTTTGACGGAGGAGGAGGTCACTGAGCTCAGGACGTTGGCGGAAACTATTCATAAAGAGGCTCCGGGTGAGAGGTATCCTGGTGATTTCAACAACCTTTCCTTCATCGATACGCCTGCGCTCTGAGCGTATGTGGACTATGGAGGTGCAGTATTACATGGATCTGTGAAAAGTGCAGCTGTCTTCGAGATCGATTATTCACCGAGAAATATTTGCTCATCTACTCTAGATGGCTTGACACAGATGAACCGAGTGTCTCCTCTTCAAATCCTGATTATCATACTGGCTTGACGTACGCCAGTGTTCTGTTCTCGAGGAGTCTGCTTTGGTGAAATTCAGAGAAGCCTTGCAATTGAGGTGTGGCGTAGCTAGCCCTTGGGTAGTTGTAGAAGCGCCACTACGCCACACCAACCTCATTGTAGCCTGGCTTCGGGCGGAACGTAGATCCTTACGTTCCCGTTCTATTCTCCAAGTGTAGCTCCACTAGTTCTCCGTTTCTAACTGTGCTTATCACTCTGCTCTTACTCCTAGTAGTCCCGCTTTGAAAGGTCGTGTACCGCTGCAATCACTTCTAATGACTCGACCTTACTATCGCTCGGCAGACTCTGAAGCTGCGGACTAGTACTAGTGGGTTGAACTCAGTCATTGACCAGCTTCATTTCTTTATAGGGTGCATTTGTAGGGTTCTATTGGACCCTTGACGTCTACTACAACATTGCACGTAGCTTTGCGTACAAACGCTCGGGACTTGCTAGTGTCCGACTTCTAGCTCTTCTGTACGGTCTACAAACCGTAGAAGCCCCTCGTTCCATGCTGCGCTTTAGATCCTTACGCTGAGGCGTTGACACCCTTCAACTCCGTTCACAAGGTGCACTAGCAAAGTTTGATAGTGCACTACATCTCGGGGCTAGAGTCATTACTTATCGTGCTTCGATCATTACAGCCGGAGGCCGCGTAACTGTAATGGCCACCTACAAGGTTTTGTAGTGGGGCTTCGAATCACTACTGAGCGCCACTTTACTTTCATTACCGTTGGATCGGATGAGGACCTTTCAAGTCACCTCACAAAGTCGACACCTACGACTCAGCCGGCAGTACACGTCGTACACGGCGCCGCTGTGATGACTCCCAAAGAATTCGATTGTTTGATCATGGTGGAGAAACCATTTTGAGAAGCGCCTACCATTTATCTGGTATAAAAAGACATCTAACCTCCCCAATATCATCCAGCACCACAGCGACTCATATCTTCTCTTTCAATCCACCTTTAACCTACCAACTAACGCTTCAAACACATTCTCAACATGTCCGTGGGCTTTGGAGACCTCCCCGCCACCACCTATGCGGACTGGTGCCGCTCCGACGAATACCACAACTCCTTCTTGATCCCTCGCGACGAAGCCGTCGAGGCCGCGATGAAGAACAGTGCCGCGTCTGGCTTGCTCGATATCGAGGTCAGCAGGTCCCATGGCAAGTTTTTGCACCTCCTCGCGAGGACGATCAATGCGAAACGCGTTCTGGAGGTCGGGACGCTCGGCGGGTTCGTCTCTTTCGCCCCTCTAGATACTCGCCGCACTATTCGAGCATGACTCTGAGACTGACGATGTGGCGGTCGTTGTATCCCAAATTACAGGTTTTCTGCGACTTGTTTCGCGAGAGCGGTGCCCGAAGACGGCCAAGTCGTCACTTGCGAGCTGGAGCCCAAGCACGCCAAGGTAGGATGTTTTCCACGACCTGCGCACCTCATCGAACAGGCATGATATACTGACCACATACCTTCGTTCACCTGCTATCTAGGTCGCTGAAGAGAACCTGAAACTCGCCGGCGTTGACTCCAAGGTCAAGATCTTAGTCGGACCCGCCAGAGACACCCTTCCGGCTCTGCAGCCCGACGAGCCCTTCGACATGGCGTTCATCGACGCCGACAAGGTCAACAACGTCTACTACTTCATCGAGGCGAAGCGAATGGTCAGGAAGGGAGGCATCATCGTTAGTAATTCCTCTTCCTTCATCATCATCGAGCCAACATCACAAGAGACTTGTCGTGCTGATTAGTCGATTGCCTTTGATGTCGATGCATGTTTCGTGTCGGTCTTACATAGATCGTCGACAATGTCGTTCGTAACGGCACCGTCAGTATCCCAACGAACGTGGAGGAACCAAACTTGGGAGTCAGGAAGTTGCTCGCGTATTTGAAGGAGGACAAGGAGGTGGAGGCGACGACGGTGGGGACGGCGGGTCAAAAAGGGTACGACGGTTTCCTATATGCTCTGAAGCTCTGAGTGAGCAGAGAAGCACGGGTAACGTACGACAAGCGGCCCATATTCGGCTGAACATTGTATAAACGATTTGTCAATGTATACGCACCAGTTCAATACACATGTCTGAGACTTTGGCATCCTTTGCCTTGGAGGCACAAGACGATCACTGAGCTTTCGTTCCGTACGTCTGATGAAAATCTTGCGGGAGGCCCAGCAATAATGAATGGGACGCTCTGCGCCACATTACGGCTCGTCGCCTCGAAGCAGTAAATGTGAACTGATTGGTTCCCATGGAGGTCCTCCATCTGACAAAGCTTCGAGCTCTAGAAACCTGAGCCGACGCAAAGTTCTCGTACACCTACAGCCACAAGAACAGCGTTCATGGATCAGGAGGAGCGATATGTAATCACGAGTGCCCTTGAGATTGATCGCAATGAGGTAACGAAATCCGTCTATAATGATCAATTGAATCGCCAAGATAAACCAGCCTGGAAGGCAGCCACCAAGAAGAGAGTGAGGTAGATAGCTTGGAAGCTTGTTATCCATGCTTTAGAGCGAGTTGGACTTTTTCATCCTGTCCGTGGACCCAGTTTATCATACATTGAAAGGGAATAGTCCGTTGGGAAGGCGTACAGGTGTATGGGTGTGAAAGGAAGGGAGTAGAGGTGTGAGCATGTGGGCGGGGGTACGAACTCGGCAGCGTAGGTTACGAATTATTCCAAAAACCGGAGAATGAAGTTGACGATAACAGAGACTGAAGGGACAACAAAATCAGCGTCAGCCACCTTTGATGCTCTGAAGTGACAAACAGACGTACCAAGCAGTGCAATACAGAGAAGCGTCTACAACAACTAGGGTTAACACGGATGCTTCTTTGTGAGACAGAAAGGCGACTCACAGGTCCAAGACGGTCATCGTACGGCCCTCTACCTCCTTTGCGGATGGAGTTGGCGCGCCAGTGGAACGTATACAGAGCGTAGACCATGATCATGACAGCTATATCGGGACGATGAGCATCGACGTGGGGTATATGATGGTTTCTGCAGATTCAGATATTGGACTACATGTCTAGAGAAACACTAACCGACAATCGAGAACAAAGCGGCGCTGATTTTCCCAACCTGAAAGGCCGTATATCAGCATGAAAGAACATGATGGAAATCAAGGTACGTGTCGGCCGGCCAGAGCCAAAGATATAAAGGACGTACTTTGTCACCAAAATTGAGAAGACCGACGGATAACCCGCCGAGAATGACGGTGAAGTGCAACCACGATAAGAAGGTGCGCTCGTTTGCAAATGATACCTTCGGCTCGACCCTGACGGGGAGTGCAATTCGTTTCTGAGCCGTGCGTTGGAGAAGAGGTTGGGTAGACATGTTGGGTGGGGAGGGAAAGGTCGGGTTTAGACGAAGGAGGAGGTGGTGGTGAGCGCAAAAGAAGGACGGTCAGGAGCTCTGAAAAACACTCTTTTCAATAAACGTTCGCGGTCGCCGCGGATCCTCCGAGCCATCCCTCGGGGTCCAGAGACCATCGAACGTGCGATCACGTGCAACTGAAAGGTCAATGCCATGGCCCATTGCCAATTTCTTCACGCTCCAGTATTCCGACTTACCATCCATCGTCCATCCACTGCATTCTATTAGTTGGTAGGTGGTACTCTTGATTTTGTTGTCGCACTATGTACTCAATATTTGCTCCATAACAGCTCGACTTTCTGCACTTTGTCTACAATGACCAGCACTCCAACAAAAGCAGAGACACCTGCGCCACAGCCGACCCCAGTCACTGCTGAGGAAGAAGGTACGAGGACGCTCGACCACATTATTCGCGTTGTTCTTATGCACAGCACTAGATGCTATCATTCACTCTCGTATTACCAACGACGAACGCACTCTGAAGCGTGTAATCAAAAAGTTCCACACCTATTCCTCCGTCGCACACACTCCCATTGTGCCTCTCGCGTCAACATCATCTATAACCATAGAAGATGCACGAGAAGCATTTCTTGTCGAGTTAGCATCGTTCAGCTTGCAGTTGAAGAAGGCGGTTATGGTCTGCGAGGCAGAGGCGAGGCAAGTGGACGTGTACCACCGAGAACGACAGCGAATAGGTGCGTCCGCGTGGCACAATCCGTTATGACTTTGGTCTTCACGTGTTTCATGATAGAGGATGAGAGAGGTTCTCTTGTTGGCCAAATCGAGCAGTTGAAGACGTCTCTTGAGCATGCTCAAATGGAACGAAGACAAAAGATAGAGTATGACCTGGTGGCGGAGAAGATCAACACATTACCTAGTCGACAGGAGCTCGGGCGGTGCGCACCCATCCAATAACTAATTCTCTCCGTACTCATTCACACCTTTTTCAGCTCAATACTTCTTCTCGAAAATGACATGGCTGCCATCCGTGCGGAACATGACACCCAGACGCGACTCATACATTCCCAAAAATCAGCCCTCATGTCCATCATTGGTGACCTAGGCTCCCTTCGCCTCATGGGCAAGGAAACCGACACGCCTCGAGAAACCTCCCCTGTCCTAGATCTTACACAAAGCGAGACGGACGTTGGCCTACCACCATCGCCAACACCCGCATCTACGTCTCTTGTGATCGATCCTTTCCTTGACAAGGAGGAAGGGGAAGAGAAGGAGGAGAAGGAGGAGGGCGAGGAGGATGATGACCAGCTTTCGTCGGACGATGTCCCGCTTAGTGCTCTGGATAATCCCGCCTTCAACAGGGCAAAATCCATTATTCTATCCCGGCACGGGTCTCCCGCAGTACAAGCACTTTTTAGAGCTCAATCTTCCGCATCTGTTCTTTCGAGTGGAAGGGTCCATGCGAAAGCCCTCGCGGACGACGATATTGAGATGGGTGAGCTCGCGGAGGAACCGGTGAAGGCGAAGCAGAAGAAGGTCAGGGAGGAGGAACTTGAAGAGGGAGAAGCCAGTGACGAGAGCAGCGCTCTGTCAGAGTTGCCCGATGATATCTGAGCTGAATGGTCGCACAAGTCCTGTTTTCAAACTTCTTGGTTCTCTTTTCTTTCATCGTTGTATACTGAAATCTCGGTGGGATGATTGCATTCTCTGATGACACATCGACGGCGGCCTGTAATTTAAGCTTTCTGATTGTATTCTACGTCGACGCTCATGAAATCTCGTGCACAGACAACATCTCCCTGGTACTGCTCTACAGCCAAAGCTCTGATCGCCCCCATTATCGTTCTCGCCTCCTCATCTACATCATCGTTCCCCGCATATCTCGCCGAAAAATGATTCAGAATCAGCCTCTTGGCACCCACCCTCCTCGCGAACGCCCCAGCCATCTGTGGCGTCGAATGTCCTCTGGATTTCGCCCTCTCCTCCACCGTCTCATACGTATCGTCCTGCTTCGTATTCGGGTCCAGACCAGGAAGGAACGCGTTCGTACATTCATGTATGAGGACGTCACAGTCTTGCGCTAAGCCTGCGATGGGCGACGGATCGTAAGTGTCGCCGAGAATGCCCAGTTTCCGACCAGGTCGTTTCGCAGGTCCCTCCAACACCGTCCCGTCAACCAGCTGAACGGTGTCCCCTCGCTGTAACCTACTAAGGATAGACCTCGGCGACTTCGTGCGCTCAATGTGCGGGATATACTTCTTGGGGTCCATCTTCCCCGGGACCGGAGCCTCATTCACTACGTACCCCACGCATGGCACGGAATGTAAGATAGGCGCAGCAGAGACGGAGACTTCGTCGTTCTTGAATATGTCGTGCCATGCGCCATCGGGAGATTGTGTGATATTACGGCCAGTGGGAAGCTCGCAAGCGTGAACAGGGAGAAGGGTGAAGTCGCCCTCTTGAGGATCGGTGGGGAAGCGAAGTTCGTGAACGACATAGGGGGATCCAAGGTTGGTATAGGTGTAGGTCAGGCCATTACGAATATAGGCTCGAGTACCGAGCGGGCCGTATATCTCGAGAGGCTATGCAATGATTAGGGATGGCTGAGTGGTGAACGAGTCAACGAACCTCTTGAGCTTGTAATGGAGTTTCGAGGCGAACGTCGTCTGTGTCGTCTACCATCCCGCCCGACCCATTTAAGCGACTGGCTAGCAAAGGCAAGATACCAAATATATGATCTCCTGAGAATTGTATCGAAAATCAGCCGATGAGCGCGAGGATGTGCAAGAGACTTGGCGAAAAGGACGGTACCATGAGTATGCGTGATGAATACCTTCTGAATCCTGCCCATCTTTACTTTGCTCCTCTGTATCTGATGCTGGGTTGCCTCTCCGCAGTCGAACAACCAGACATCTCCGCTTAATCGCAGAGCCAAAGCTGAGTGATTCCTGGTGGAAGAGGGCTGAGCGGACGCTGTTCCAAGGAAGGTGATGTTCACGCCTGTGAGCATTTTCTGGCGGAAGAAACGTCGGGGAGTGTACGATGGCGCTTGGTTTGCAAAGATGGTATACAAGTGAACGTTATGAGTCCTTATGTCGCGAGTGGAATGTGGAAACCATCGAGAAAGCATGGACTTTCCAGAGTCATCGTGAGTCGCGCACGCACAATTTGACCCCGGCGCTGGGTGGCGAAAAGTGATGCATTGACGGGCCACACCGAATGAGTGGCCCACTATCTCGCCACCTTACCACGTCGGCAGCGCTGAGCGGACGCTAGTGCTGCCGCAACTCTCCCACTACTTTCACTGCTCACTCGACTTAAAATCCTCGCTCCTCTTTACATCTATGGCAAAAGGTAAAAGTAACGCCAAAGCTACTGGCAGTAGCTTGGGGACAAGCCCTAAGCAACGACCAACACCGGCGAAACCACTAGTCGAGATCCCTGAGGACGAACAGTGGCGTCTGATTCAAGAAAGTGGTGTTCTGAACAAAGTATCTGACTTGCATCCTACCGGGGTCATCCCTCCAAAATCTCCTCCGGAAGTGGCTGTTGAAGAGGATGGTCCGCTTACACCCTTCGAGGAGGAGATGTTTCGAGCAGTTACCCTCATCATACCGTTTTCCTTCCTGCTACTTTTGATGAACATGTAGGTGAATGTCCTGTCCGGATGTGATATGCCTTACTGATACTTGTGCATAGAATGATCAACTTCCAGTATAAACAACAACCAGACTATTGGGTCATAGGTGGTAAGATGATGAGCGCAGTCCCGAGTACGTCGATCTGCATATTTCATGTTGGGCCACACTGACAAGTTCTTTCACCAGTCCTTTCTATATTCATCTTCTATAGTCCGTATTCCTCTCGTTCTCCCTCTGAAAATGGAGCTGATAGCACTCCTTAGCCACTCGTCATAAGGAGAATCGAGGTACCCAGGTCGTCTTATTCTTGCTCTCCTTGGCTTGTGGTGGACGTCTGATCTGGCAAGTGAACCGAGGCAACTGGACGATGAACATGGAACAGGTTGGCTCGTTTAGAAGCATTTCACAATCTGGTCTTGACTGAACGTGTTCTTGCCAGAGCCCACCACTCGCCACCATCTGGGTGTACACGATCGTCCAGCTTGAACTAGGCCCTGCGGTTCTGAGTTTGTTTATGGTCGGGATGTGGACCTATCTGAAGGGTTTGCGGATCACATTCAATTAGATTCTCTCGACTCGGAGATGTATTCACTGATCTGGACGAGGAAATTATATTTTATTGAAAACGACGGACCGAACATAACAATAAGTGCCAACACGTAGGAATAATATACAACGTAATGTCTCCTGACCAAGGAAAGTATAAAAACAATCAATAGTGCCACCATCACATTAGAGCGGCCTATGAAAGGCCAGATGCATGATGGAAGGAGGTCAGGAAGGTCGATAGTCTCTTTTCAGAGAGCTACACGAGAGTTTGAATATTCGCTCGATGATACGCTACAACACGGGTTGTGGGTTTGCACCCGGGTAGCACCTTATACGAGCGTGAACAATAGGGTAGGGGATGTCAGGGAATTCTGTGCTCAGTCATGTCTTTCCGAGATAATGATAACCATTGTCCGTGTGAGTAATAGTACAGTAAGATGGTCCGCCACAGAAAATAATGCAAGTGAGAGAGGATAAATGCGGAGCGACGGAGGAAGAGCTGGTAGTGGGATACGTGCTGAGTGCCTTGATCGAGAGGAGTATGTGGTCCACATAGTGACCGTGGTGGTATTATACGCCTGCACCTTCATCGAGTTCTGCAGCCAGGAGTTCGACCTTGCTCTGAGTGGATAGAAATATCAGACGTTCAGTCATACAAGGATCATACGGACACTTCGTTACTCACCCTCCATGTCGTATTCCGACCCTCCAAACCTGTTCTGAGCACTCTGATTTGCCACTTCGCTCTTCTGCTGAGCGTACGTTGTATAGCACCCTTATGCCTGTCCAAGCGCTCGATGAACGCCTTATAAACACGATCATCGCGAGCAAAATAGTAATACTAGATGTGCGTGAGTCATGAGCTGACACCTCTGAGGCGAGGCAGACACATACCGGTAATGCATCGTCATCAATCGTGTCGAGTGCGATTTGCCACACACCCATCATCAGTAAATCTGCTGTAGCATTCGCCACACTACAATTGCGTGAGAAGGGAAATAAACGTGGAGAACAACATAGTGCTTACTAGTCCTCCAGTGCGGCAATAGATTTAGCTTTGCCAAGTTCTTTAGTTGCAAACCTTCGCACAGCCTTCTGCGCGACAGATACCGGTTTTCCAGCTGTTCCAGACCGCAGTGCAAGCGAAACATCTGCCACTTGATTGACAACCCACTGGTCTCCTTCGCTCATGATAAGCGTCTGCATGAAAGAAGCTATCAAGTCACTCTGTTCGACGTATAGACCAAAGTCAATGGCTTGTTTGAGTGATATTCCTGCGGACAGCTATCAACAAGTGGTAAATGAAAGCGGGATAGGCAAAAGTTACTCACGAAGACTCTTCAGCAAATCCTTCGTCGCTTTTGTCTGGAAATCCTCATCTGACAGGTGGTTGACGAACCGAGAGAAAGCACCAAGGAGAACTATTGCTACCTCGTTGTGCGACTTGCCTATTCGCATTGCGTGTACGAGAGGAGGTACGCCTCCTGATGGGCGTACAAGCAGCTGAGGACGGAGATGAGTTGGACAGAAGAAGTGACTAGTTTCGGTAGGTGAAAATGACGTACATGAAATGCTCGGTCTCGTATCTCCATGAGATACATTATATCCTTCTTCTCGATAGCTTTGAGAACTTCAAAGTACTACGCACGACATAGGAGACAGTGCGTGAGTAGAGAAGCTTCGAGATACTGTGGCTCGACGTACCTCAGGTTCCTTCCACTCTTTCCGGACAGTCTTAGTCGACCCCTTACGACTCATTGCCTGCTTAATGGAGGAAAGAGTAGGTGATGATGGACTCTTTATTGGAGATGCATCGACAATGGAACTTGAAAGTGCATCTTCAAGTAAGTGAGGACTTGGTGGTATAGGACTTTGTTGTGACTGTTTCAATAGTGACTTCGGAGCAATGCTATCGGCTTCGCGCTGCAGAAATCCTTGAACTCGTGTCGGCATGAGAAGTCATGAGTAAGGTAAGGACATACTGGTGGATGGTAAGTTTGCTGGAAGACAAAACTCTGGAGGTATCCGGTGCTTTATTATTGGGCTAGGCCGCCAAGGGTGGTCGTCCTTGTCGATGATGTGTGCAAGCATCATGGAGAGGTTGAGGGTCGGCATCTTAGGAAATGAAAGCTATCGGCCTACAAATACAACGAAGACTACAATAGCATTGGCCAGGAACGGTATGACTCTGTGCACTTGTTGGAAGCGCTGCAGGTTCGTCAATGGAAAGCAAGCGAAAGCACGAGTCTGGTCAACATGAGAAAGCATTCCGTTCTGGGAGAGCGAACACCGAGCACGTGGCTCTGCAAAGCTGTTGTTCTTGCGCTCTGCGAGCAGCGTGGCGCCGCTCTCTCCTTCTTGATTGTTTCCATCGAACAATAATCGAAGTATCGCTGTCTATGTTACTCGTACTATGCTGTACCAGCGCCACTCAAAACACTGCCACAGCTATCACAATAACTCCAGTCGGCTTCAAGTTCTTGTCTTCGTCGAGCTAACTTACCAGTATCATAACCTGTGTCTTGGAAATTGACTATCCGTTAATTCTCATCATGGATCCGGACTCTTTCCCCCCGCTTAGATGGCTACTTATGAGCGAAGGAGTGGTGCAAGTGCTGAGCTATCGGTACGTTGCAAAGGCCTGTCATGCCTCGAGATGTAGGAGATCTGGCTGTTGCGCCTTCCGGAGTTGCCTTTGCGGGTACTGGATGATATCGCTAGCCTCTATGAATGCTCCCTACCACCTGTTTAGTAGTTTAGCGTGTTCTGGTGGCTGCACGCCTGTGCGAGGACGTGCGTCGTGATACAGAGTGAACGTTGTCAACTCGCTTTGGGGGACACCATGCTCCGGCCTGGGTCAATACGTAAGTTATCTCATCGCTATGCCCAACGGTTCATTCTAACGGCCTCTGTATTCTAGCCAGTTCTGGACTGTTGACATGCCGCGAAGGTGTGGAGAAAGCAAGCACTGCTCGTCTGGCTGATGAACAATCAGCGCCACATTCCGAACCGTCCCGACTTTTGGATCTGCACTCCGGACACCCCCGTCAGCGAATCATCTCCATCGTTTCCTCTTATCCCCTGTGTTGCCGCGCACACGCACGTCGGGGCAAGATGTATATGCGAGCCTAGATTGCCTTCCGAGCGTCTACACGTTCTAGTACGCAGCGGTATAAAGGCCCACAACGACTACGACGCAGGTGCGCAACCATCTACAGCCCCCAACTTACAACTCATCCACGTCTAACCCTCGACAATCACAAGTCATGTCCTCCCCCACCCATCCTATCCGGGTAGCATTGATCGGCCTGCCTGGAACAGCACCCGAGCGCCAGCAAGGAACTGCTTGGACTGCGAACGCTCACCTGCCATATTTACTCAATTCGGAACACTACGAGATCGTCGCCTTGTGTAATACTTCCGTTGAACGAGCCAAGGAAGCCGTCAAGCTGCATGGCCTCCCCGAGACCACAAAGACATACGGCAACCCCGAAGGTACGCCTTCGATCCCGTCAACCCTGTCAGACCAATTTGACGCTAATACATGTTTTCTGCCTTCAGATGTCGCCGCTGATCCTGATATTGACCTCGTCGTCTCCAGCGTTCGAGTAGAGAGACACTTCCCCACTGCCGCACCATCTCTCCGCGCCGGCAAGGCCGTATTCGTTGAATGGCCAATAGGCTCCAACCTTGCTGAAGCCGAAGAGCTGGCCGAGTTGGCCAAACAACACCACGCGAAGAACCTCGTCGGCCTCCAGGGCAAATTCTCTCCTGTTGTTCAAAAACTCAGGGAGCTTGTACGGAGCGGGCGAATCGGGAAGGTGCTGAGCAGCTCTTATCTTGCTACGGTCGGTACCGACGTCCCAACTGCGAAGGACGACGTTTCGTATTTCGTGGAGAGAGCTGTGGGCACAAATCCCTTGACTACCACCTTTGGACATTCAAGCGAGTACATACAATACGGTATGCTTTGTCTTCTCTTTCACGCCGTTCCTCGGATTCTGATTGTTGTTCGGTTTTGATGTCGCAGTGCTCGGTGAATTCGCATCCTTCGACAGTTTGCTCCTGAACGGCCAACCTCTCGTTGACATCGTTGACCGCGATGGGAAACTCGACTGGGATGACGCGCACAACCAAGACGATCCCGCTCAGATCGTTGTCCAAGCGAAGACAGAGCGCGGGTCTGTCGTAACCTTCTTCCTCCGCCACGGTAAACCTCTACCGGGCAAACATATCATGGAGTGGCGTATCTTCGGGCAGGACGGCGAGCTAAGAGTGACATCACCAACCCCCTTCCTGAACGTCGGCCATCCAGATACGAAGATCGAACTACACGACCACAAGACGGGGAAGATCGAGACGGTGGACTGTGGCGAAGACGAGTTAGCACATTTACCGTTGGCGGCGAGGAACATCGGGAGGATGTATGAGGCGTTCTGGAAGGGTGAGGAAGGAGTGCGGGATTTCGACCTGGCGGTGAAGAGGCATCGGATGATTGAGGAGATGTGGCGTCGGTACGACGCGCATTTGTGATCTGGATGTTCGTTGGCATCGGCATTTTGCTTGTCTTCTTGGGTCGAGTCTCTTGTGGTGTATACCCTTCATCTGCGCGGGTCGCTCGATTGTACGTTAGTTCTTCTCTGGCTCTTTGCTTCCGATCTGGCCTGCTACTCTACTTGTATAACTGTTTCGGTAATAGACTGAGTCATGGCCGTCTTCACTAAACGTATTACGGGAAAAGGGCTGGGAAGCGACTGGATGGGAAAGGCCCACACAGTGGGTCAAAAAGAGCATCTAAATGTGCGAGAACAAGGTTAACCGATGGCCTTCAAAGAGGAAGAAGACCAAGCCACGATATCTCGCGAGGAACCTTGTGTAAATGTAAGGCTATAAGGTATCGTACCCGGAGTCAAGAGAACGGGGAAAGCAGAAGAGAATGAAACCCACAGGTATAGATCGGCAGACGTGAGTGAATATAGATATACAAACCACAACAACAAGGCAACAATGATACAGCACAAAATGACCAGGAATGATAGTCCGCATAAATGTTGACACAACATGAAAAGATATAGATTTAGGACATAAGTCCGTGTTCCCGGAGAAGAGCAGCCCACCTAAAGGGCCGTTAGCAGGAGAATTCACTCATGGTATAGGTATTGTGAGCTTACTCTTCTTTTTCTGACTCCATCTCCTGGAGTCGTAGCCTTAGGTGGCTGGATATAGGTGGGAATGTAAGCCAATTACAGCAGGGGGACAAAGGTAGGAGCGTACAAGTTTTCCTTATCGACAGCGTTCCGATGTTCCATGGCTCTTTGAAGATCTTCAACCATAGCGTCCCATACTTCGTCTGCAGGTAAGTTAGCATGATCGAAAAACCCAGCCAGCTCGTCGTTGAATGCCTGGAGTATATGTTTTGTGTATCAGTTCATGCGTGATATGGAGTGTTCGAGGGCAGTCCTTACATCGAACGTGATATCCTTTTCCAATGTAACGTCCGTGAGCAAGGTTTTCAAAAGTTCGCGCTGCCGCGCTGCAGCCCGAAGTTCGAATTGCTGCCTGGCCACAAGGGTCGCTTGCTAAATTATAAAGTCAGCGTCGTATTACCTCTTCCGTTCCGAACGCACTCACCTCTCGGAAGTCCTCGACAAGCTGCCTCAAGTCCGTTTCGAGTGTTTCATGGTTCGAGATGGCTCGGAGAAGATCCTTCTCTGCCTCGTTAGCCGCGTCGTCTATGAGCTTCACTTGTTCATCTAGTGATGTAGACGATGTAGATGCCGGTGCTGCAGACTCTACTACACTACGTGACCGAGCACGATTTGGGCCGTCACCAGCCACACGTCTGCTGATGAGGTTTCTCATCTCCTCCAGCCGTTCTTGCGCAGCTTTTGTCTAATCATACAGTCAGGGCATCATATCAGACCAATTAGTAGACTGGTACGTACCGGGGGTGGGTTATGCCGTGGAGGAGGAATACGGGACATTTGTCGAAGGCCAGGAGACTGTGGTCGATCGTCTGACGGTCCAGCAGGTAGTGGTGAGGTGGTGCGAATGCGCTCGGCGCCCGCTTTGATGCGTTTCATGGCTTTCCTTGACGACAGCATCTATAAGTAATAGACACCTCGACAGTCAGCAAGCATATCGAATACGCTTCGTTCGCGGCACAACTGACGTCTTCTTTCGCCGTCCCAGACAAACTCAGCAAGCGTTCGACATCCACAGACGTTACGGACTCGACAGGTTGGGAAGGAACTTCAGAGTCAGACTCCAGGTCGAGATCGAGTTCGGGCTGCGCTCCGGTCGTCTGAGCACGCCGTATCTGAGGAGGCGATACACGTCGCTCGGTCACTAATCTTGACGATGAAGCAGCCTTTGGTGATGTTCGAACATATGGTCTCCGTAAGGACGGCACGGACGAATCAGTCGAGTCACGTACGGAACCCTTTTTCTTGATAGAAAGGGGCTCGACAACACTGCTAGAGTACCGAGAGAACGTGTGCGAACGAGGTCTCGAAGTCTGCTGTGTGTTGTCGAAGGAATCAGGACCGAGTCGCGGGATCCTGGACCGGGATGCAGCAGGCGCAACGATAGGTTTGTTGATGTTCACCAGCGTGTGGTCCAATGCAGAGTGTAAATCGTCATCGTCACCTTCGTCATCGTCAGATGTCTCAATGACCTGGGAAGAGGGACGAGAATAAAGTGAAGGAGGTAGTGGTGATGGAATTCGTGGACCTCTTGGCCGGTCGTCCAGCGAGTATTGCGAGCCTGATCTGGGCCGGCGCGGAGTTTCGGTGTCCAAGTCAGGTGTCGTGGGTCGTGGTGTTGGTGTAGAGACACGCAAAACAGATGCTCTTGATAACGGTCGAAGACTTGCTTGTGGAGGCTCCTCTGTTGAACGTATGAGAAGCTAGATCGCAAGGATATACAAAAGCACAAACCTTCGTAGATCGTATCTTCTATCGGTTTATCCCAAGACGTCGCAGATAGTGGAGGTTCACCATGCTGATTCCGACTATTTCGCCGCGCAAGCTCCAAACGTTGAGTCAGATCCCACTCTGACTGATCCATCTCCTCTTCCTCTCGCCGGTACAAATGCCCTGGATCAGTCGTCTCGTCATCGAAGAGGGAATCCTCACCGGAGAACGATTGCGAGCGCCCATGGGACTGCGTCGGTCGCTTGGGAGTGGAAGTTTCGGGCTCGCTCATCGTATCTCCAGGTGATTTGCTTCGACTCTGTCGCCTTAGAACGTTCCGCGTTCGTCTTGAAGGCTTTTCGACGATGGACTCTCCGTCTTCGCTAACTAGGCTGGTACCTGCAGTTGATGCTGATCGTGCAGAGGACCTCAAACTGTCGGCCGTGGTCTGGGTCGATTGCGTGTACATCGATGAGCGACTGATGGTAGATTTGGCTCGTCGATGACCGTTGACTGAACCACCGAAGATGTCACCCTTGGATGACCCGGGAATCGCATGCCAGAGGTTTCGCGAGAGTACGTCAAGACCGAAGATCGCTGCTTTGGAGCGTGAAGTGGCGGTGGGTGTTGTTGGGATAGAGTTCTTGCCGGTTTGAAATTTGAACAGTCCGTACTGGTGTACTGTCACGACGACTTTGTGAGAAAACAAAGCAGGGCGAGCACGCATGACGAACTCACTTGTATGGACCACACGCTCAGGGATGCGCATCGTATGTACGATCTCCTCATCCTCTGGTTCCTCGTTTGGAACGTAGGAAGTAACGCTGTATCGTGATACTTCCCCAGCCATAGGCTGTACGCGAATTACGACCATGGGCGGGCCATCGATACCGAAAGGGATGGGATCTGCGGTACCCGTCACATCGATATGGACGACGACCTTCGTCTAATCTGCAGCATTAGCACGGTGTCTAAAAGTGACTGATTGGCGACTTGCCTTGTTCACTTCCCTCAAGAATGGCGTGCGCTCGTAAACGTTGAAATATGTCCGCGCTTTCGTGACGCGTCCACCTCGCGACTCCACTTCGCGCTCTGCGCCAAGCAGGACGACGGATTGTCCCAGCTTTGTTCGATGAACGGCTTGTGCGTTCCAAAGCTTCTCCAAGAACTTCTCCTTCACAGATCGGGCGCGTGTAGGATCTAGATTGGCAGGAGCAGGGGGGATGGCGACTGTGTAGGCACGGAATGGTCTGCCAGCCCATCGGTCGGATTGGTCTTGAGGAGGATTTTCGAGGTAGAGGTGGAATTCTGAGCGCGTGGCGTCAGCACGTTCAAAAGATAGTAGCGGTCAAGAAATTTTACTCGCCAGCGTTACCGACGTCGGTAGCAACGACTTGAGTAATGCCAAATATGCCTTTGTAAGACAAGCCGGTCTTCTTCGAAGTAGTCGATCGGGTGCTTGGTGTGAGGACCACCCTGTCCAGCTGATTTAACCCAGCAAGACCTTTTGCTCCCTTGTCTGATGGACGCTTGACGATCGCTATTTTGTCATCGAATAAGAATAGGGAGCAGGGAAGGGGATCCGGGGGGTTCGCTGATGACAAGGTTCCTGGCGTGAGTCCGTCCGTGCACAAGTCCTCTACGTCGATGCAATCGATAAATTGGCGGCCACTGGAGTAGATATTTGGTGGAAAGCCATCGATAGTGGTGCTTAGACTAGACAGGACAGAAGCTCGTACGGTCGAGACGTCCATCTCAGCCAAAGCAATCTTGCTGGCTATCTCGTCTGCTTCTAGCAATTTGGCGAGCTGAGGGTCGTTAGGATGCATGCGTTTGATCATCGTACGAAATAGCAATGTGTATCGGGGAATGCGTTGGACGGGATCCATGAGCAGTTCGCGCAAACCGACTCGGTTTTTGGAGTCCGTCGAGGAGTACTTGATGCGCTATACGAACAGTGCGGAAATCAAGGTGCTGTTAGGAAATAGGCTGACATAGAGACGTACGTCCACATATGAAGCGAATCCCGAGCCTCTCTTAGCCATCTCCCGCTCAAATATAACCTGGGCTTCTTCTCGTTTTGTATAGTAATTCTTGTACTGGTCAAATCCTCGAAGCTCCTTGAAATGCCGCAATGCTACGTCTCCAACGTATCCCACAGTTTCTGGCCCATCGTCTGCAACCATCTTCTCCAGATCTTCCAGGAAACGTTCGTTGACGGGAAGCAAATTGTCGACATTGCCGAAGAGGGTCTTCGCTTCATACGGGGGAATGATGGCAGTGTCTCTACTCCGTGCAAAGGATCGGAGAGGATCGGCATAATCGTATTTGAGTATTCGTAGACGCTTGACATATGATCGTTCTGTTGAGACGAGTTCGTTGATAACGTCCTGTATCGGGGAAGCATCTGTCGTGACTGGCTTGCGCGTATTGGGATTCTGGAGAAGAGCAAAGTCGCAAACTGTCAGCCCCGAGAGTCTTGTCCGCAGGGTGGGTCCATCTTGAGAAGATAAGGAAACGGATTGTGAGGGAGCAGCTTCCTCCACCTTGGCGGAGGAAAAGAACTCACTGATATTGATGGGCCGGCCTCGGACGGAGCAGCAGGAAGAACTTCTCCATCTGAATAGCTTGAAATGCGATCTCCAAAGGAAGCGACCAATTCTTGGACGTCTGGGACAGGATGTTTGAGCAATACGACACCACAGGGTGGCCGGAATCAATGACGCACCCTCAGGCAAAGGTTGGCCGGGCTCGTTCTCTACAACGACCCCACAAAAGAACATGCGCTTCGTCGTCGTTGTTCTGCGCGACGATGGTTCTGAATCGCTTGGTAATGCCAGTGGCACAACTTTCCGTGGAGATTCTGACAGTGGCATGGCTGGTTATAGTGGCGATTGTGGCGATCAAATGGGAGGCCGTGAGTTTGTGGGGGTGAGTGGGTGAGGTCGGAGGGCAAGTGTTCCAGATGACTCGGTAGATATGTTCGGTAGATGAAGGGAGCGCGCGGCGCGTCGTTCGAGGTGGGTGTTAAGCGTAAGCAGAGGCAGAGTCAACAAGACAACGCGACCTTTGTTCAACATAACGAGCGCGTTTTCCCACGTGACCGTTCCTTTCTCCAGCCACTTACGTCCTTCGCCACCTTCTCCTTTTGCAGTGGCGGGCCCGCCCGTGAAGTTAGCATTGTTCTGTTTACGGGTTCCTATTCATGGGTTCTCTATAGTAGTACAACACCCGGCCGATAACTATCGTACTTCTACCATGCTAGCGTCTCTTCTTCCGCAAACGCTCAGCCGCTAGTTCCTCCATCTTTTGCCGCTTCAAAGCCGACGAAGATCGAGAATATGACGCTGATAATGGTTGAGCTTGCGACGCTGTAGTACTCGACTCTGGCGCATCTGACGCTGGAATATCATCTGCTTGCTCTGCGGGTGCAGCTGGTGGAAGCTCTTCGTTAACCTCAGGCTCTCCCTCTGGTTCTGAACCCGCAAGTCCGCTCTCAGGAACAGCTGACATTGTGGAGCTGAAGGGTCATAAAGTAAGCACGCAAGGACGGCAATCCAAACCCTGACAAGACGGGAACGGGTACTCGCCTATTCTCCGGCTGATCATCATCGATGAACTCCTCCTCGGCCTCCTCCTCGCTAGTTTCTTGTGCGCCCCGAGTACTGTCCATCACGCCAAAGTCTTGAGCCAGTGATAAGAGATGATCCCATTGTGCTGTTGCTGTCATATCGACCACCTCAAGATCTTCTCGTTTACATTGCTTTCTGCATCCGGGGCATGAAAGTTCCGGAGAACCTGCTTGGTACTGAACCAAACAAGCAGTGCAGAAAATGTGCTCGCAAGGTAGGCTGCTAAGATATCAGAAATAGCGCGAATTGGGTCACGATGTCAGGAGCGAACCTTTGGCATTCACCGAGTACCATTTTTTCCAAGCATATCGCACAGTCCTGATCCTCTTCCAGACAGGCCTTCGCCATTGTATCTTGGAAGCTCCGTAGCATCTGATTCGGTCGCAATTAGTGGGAACAAAACAACAGTGGGAGTGATGCAGACTTTGAGCATATGGTGCGAAGTGTCTACGACTCCATGGAAAAGCTCGTTACCCAGCTCTTCGGCATCAGCCTTCACTTCCTTCATCCTGTACTAGAAGAAAGTCACACAAGGAAGTTTGAGATGGTCTGATGAAGGTCAAAGCACCGACGAAGATGGGAAGCGTAGGCACCTTTCGAAGCTTCCTCCTATCCAATTCTCGGGCCTAAGTTCACCGGTATTAGTACTATCAGAAATCTCATCCACTTGTGAATAGAATAAAAGGATTGGCCTACCTCCTCCAGTTTTTTGTTCTCCCGCTTCAGCCTTTTGACTTGAGCTTGAAGGTTAGCCACGGTTGGGCCAGCCGATTTTCCTTTCCGTGGTTGAATTGAGACGTCCTCAGCCTCATGCAGAGAATCGAGCTCAGCTTGTAGTTTGCTGTTCTTCCTTTTAAGTGTATGAATGGTTCGCCGGTAAGTATCGATGCCTTTTACAACGGCATTCATATGTGCCTGAAATTCAAAGCGATAGTGCCTATGTCAGTATGAGCCGTGCACGAAAGATTATTATAGAAGAACGGTTCATCGATGGTGCAGCGACAGAGTTAGTTCGTGGAAGGTAGGACAACGCACCTCTAAATCTGAGTCAGGAGCTTCAGTTTCCTCATGGACGCTTCGGTCCACGATCCTGTCATCGAGCTGAGCTTTGGAAGAGGATGCTTTCGCATTTGATCGTGTCGTAGGCATAGTGTGGATCTAGGACAGTCAAATAAGTAGTCGAATCAGACTCAGCCAACTGGACCTCCAAGATCAAGTATTGCGGGGAACGACCTCGTGTTCTCAGCCGGTACTTAGAACCTACACACGTGGGAATATTTTGTCGTGGTGAGGTGGCGAGGAAGTGGGCCACTCATCTGGCGAAACACGTCTCAAAATTCCTATCCAGTCCTTCCACCTCCTAACGCCTGCGATCAACTGTAATCACCTCCACACCCTGCAAACACAGTGCAAAAGTCATCCTAGACATGCCTGACGAATCTGACCTGCTCAGCATTCTCAATGCTCACGGACAAAATTTCCTTAGCTCGTTCTCTCAACCTCCACATACTGGCAACAAGAAACGAAAACGGGCCACGAAGGATGACCATACTGACTCGGCCAAAGTTCGCATAGTTTATGAGGAGGCTCAAGCTACTGATGGAAGCCAAGATGAGGACGAGGAGGACGAATGGACTGGTTTCGGCTCGAAAGGTGGCGAGGGCAACGCAGAGACGGATGAGGATGGTGAAAGCAAGGACGAGGGCGTCGATGACGACGAATTTTCAGGTTCTGGGGATGAGATTGAAGGTGCGTCGTACTTCCGTTGACCACGAATGATAACCGCTAAATTGTTCGTGCAGACGACGGGTACACTGCTAGTAGCTCTATTCCAATAAGAACTCCCGCTGTCGTTGTCTTTTCTGAGTCTAAACCCTCCACTTCATCCTCAAATCCTATAAGTGGCAAGGCTTTCATGGTGAGAACTCAGTCTCATATCTCAGCCTTGTTATTACTCAAACATCACAGTCCTCTAAAGTCTCTAAATTACGGGAAGAAGTGACAGGTACAGCCAGGAACTCAAAAGATTCAGACGGTGACCTCGACGATGAGCGGTAAGTGTCGCACATTCCTATCTCTAGGATAAACTCTCAACATTCGTCACCTGGACAGGAATAACACACAGAACGACGCTCTCTTACATCGACTCGTTCACACACAACTTCTGTCTGGTGTAGCAAACCCAGAGCTCAACCTCACACCCGCACAACGCAAAAAAGCGCTCGCAGGTCGAATACAGGAGTTAGCAGGACATTCAAAACTGGGAAAGGGTGAGAAATCGGTGCGCGCGAAGGAGCATAGCAGAGCATCGAAACAGATTAGAGATGGTATGGCGGAGAAGCAGGCTGAGAGACGAGGAAAGCAGCTTGCAGAGGTACGCGTCTCCTTTCTGACTCGTTCTCTCCCTGTTAGCTCGGCACTCATGGCTTTCGCTAGGCTAAGGATACAGGAAACTATCACCCTACGATCAAGAAGCTATTCGATGACTCCTCTGAACCCACTCCGGCGAAGAAACGAGAAAAGGGAATGAGGATGGGCGTGGGCAAGTTTAGTGGAGGGATGTTGAAGCTCAGTAAGGACGAGATTCATTCGATAAATGGTCCACCAGGAGGATTCGATCGCGGAAGAGGACGTGGCAGAGGGTCCAGTCGTGGCAGGGGATCTGCGCGTGGACGAGGAGGAGGAGGGTTTGGAGGACCAGGATCTGATGGCAGGAAAGACTCTGGCGCAGGAAGAGGGACTCGTGGTTCGAGAGGATCGGGAGGATCGGGAAGAGGGAGAGGTCGTGGAGGAAGATCGAGGTAGTGAACTCTGCAATGGAGTTGTGGTACTTTTCGCCGTATCACATCGCAAAATCGCTAGCTATCCTTCCTGGACCCTTGCTGTCTGCAATTGCACTGGCGTCATTGAGAGCACGGGTATATTGATCCCCTAAATCCGAGACGTACATAGTAACCTGACAACATAAGAATGGATACATAAAATCTTCTAATAATGTAGGAGGAATGAGGCAAAATTGAGCTGAGAATACTCAAATATTAATTACTCGTGCCTCGTCCCCAGGATACCTGCAACCGACCATTTAGCTTTCTGTGACGCCGGCGGAACTGCAGAGTGAGAGCATAAGAAAATCTCACCTGTGAGAGCGATGGCTGCGCTGGCTGCGAGCATCACTTGGGCGACTGTGATGAGTTGGATGGTGAGCGGTAGAAAGGGTTTGAGTTGAGTTGTTTAGACTCACGAATGAGAACCTCGATAGTCCAGATCCACGGTCACTGGCGCAGAGGTACTAAACGATTATTAACCAAACAGGCGTCAACACTAATCACTTCCATGTCGATAGAGGGGGCGAAAGGTATGGACCCTTGTGGCGGTACTAAATCTCCAAGATGAACCACATCGGAAGCGTCGTAAGGTGAGCCTGAGTCTCTGGAACCATGGGTCCTGTGTATCGACAGGTCAGTACGGCCTTTCAACAAGGTACCAGTATCGTCAAGCCCACCGGTAAACAGTGCGCCCCATGTCGTCTTTAACAACGATAGGCGCTTCGTGGTACTTGATCCGCGGTCTATTCCTGCTAAACTCCCCCACGCTAGTGCAATGCTTCAATGACGAGTTGTGCACGACGAGCATGGCAACGTACCGCGTGAGTTCGTTTCCATTTTTGTCTCGGAAGATGACGTCCATTCCGGGAGGAACAATGTAATAGGTGCTTTTTCTAGCGCCTATCTGCCCATTGTGAACGTCGCGGAATTCCGCTGGGACCTATATTTATGTTTGTTTCCTCAGAATAGATACTTTGCGCCTTCTAGAAAGTACTTGCCTGGACACGGCGACCATCTTCTGAAATGTATGTCACTCGAGCAGAGGACATGCTGTCCACAGGACTTGCAGGCTGTGGGGCCTGCAAAGTGATATCGTCATGGGTCAGTGGCTAACAAACACCAAGCGAGAGAGGTAGCAAGATACCGACATAGGTATAACTTGTACGAGCAGGACCTCCATGTGAGACGCTTCGAGTTCTGCCAGCAGTCGTCGGCCTATGCGACATTGGATTGTTTATGGTATGATCTACACTCGCAGTCCGCGACGGCCGAGTGCGAGTTCTCGCTGTCGCAGCAAACTCTGATTGTCGGGGAAGCGTCCCCGTCCTAGTGAGCGGTTGCTCCTGACGGTGGAGAGTTCCAGCCCTAGATGCAGCTGCGGACTCCTGACGAGGAAGCGTAGCGGCTCTGCTCCTTGCACCAGCACTATGGGATTGAGGGGTCCGACTGGCAGGAGTTCGGACGTGCTGCCTTGGAGGTCGTGCGTGCGAGTCGGCACGACTGCGAGGTGGAGGGACGTATAACGCCCCGCCTTGCATCGAGCTAGCCTGGTCATATGAGCGGCGCACAGGCGCGTCATACAACTGTACACCTTGGCGATGAACAGTTGGTACAACTGGGATCGCACCCTGGTCATCCGAACCGTCTGATGGCACGATATGCCTGGCTCTGGACAATCCTTCGTTAAGTGTATCACTACCCGCATCATCGTGAACACTGTCTCCACGATGATCAAGTACTTGCCACTAGATATGACATTCTTAGTCATCTGTAGCCGAATAAAAGGCGAATCAAAGATGGGCCACAAACCTCGTCAGGGCCACCATGAGGAGGTTCTTCGATTGGTTCCTCGATAGCACGTTGAGAAGGAGCCTGACAAGAAGTTGCAAGATAATAGACATAAGTCTTTGGAGTAGATCTTCCACTGCGCACGAGCCACCTTTTCCTTTCGTCTTCGAGTGAGGACACGCTTCATCAAGGAGGGTTTTCGCGCAGGCGGTGGTACGATCTCATCGTACGTTCCAACAACGCTGCTCCGGTCTTCAGGATCCGCATTAGAGTTCTTCCTTGACCTGAAGATGCTGAAGCGAGCCATCTGAAGTCGACGTGAGCTCAGGGCGAGGGGTAGGGAGGATATGAAAGCGCTATCAAGGAGTAGGTTGACGCATAACAAACTTCAACACAAGGACTTTGGCGTTTGGCGCCTAAGCCTAAGCGAGCACGAGACTCCCACGCGGATCGGTGCCGGAAATCATCTCGGGCATTGCCTCGCTGCCTGCGCCAAAATACTGGGAGATAGAATGGGGATAAAGCACTCCAAAGTTCGTCTCCATATCTTCGAGGGGCACACGAGGTAGTGGAAAAGCCGTTTGTAGATAGAGCTGATTTAATGAGGGCGCAACTATGATGAGATAAATTAATTGAGGAGTCGATGAAAACAAGGACATGTCCATAGTGTAGAGACGAGGACACAACGTAGCCGCAATAACATCAGGAGAACCCGGGACGCCAATCTCTGACAAAAATAGATGAAAACGGACGGAACGAAGAACGGACGGGATCAATGGCATGCTCACTACTTATACTATAGAACTTTTTTCACTATCGACAAAGCTTGGGCCACTTTTCCGATAGCTTCTGCGGTCTCGGCTATACGACCTGGGTCCACGATTGACTGACCGGAGAGACATGATAGCCTGTTCGACAAGACTGCCAGTGCTGATTCCAATGATCGTGTGGTTGCATCAATCACAGGCTGTGAAGAGGCAGTGGGTTTGGACTGGAAATCTAAGTGATGAGACGTGCTTCGAATTCATCAAGAGGCGTGATGGCATACCTCTAGAACTTCGCGGAACGCATTAGGAACAGCAGTAGCTTGAGAGGTGTCGAAGGAATAAGGGGAGCCCTAGGTGACAAGCTCGTGAGTCAGAGAGTCTGCGAACACTTGAGAGAGAACGCACTTGTAAAGGGTTAGCTGAGGATATTGCAGTTGGCTGAGACGAAGGTGCATCCTGCAGTTATGCATAAGCCGAGGATTTAAACATGAGAGGCAGAACACGGACCAGTGACGCGATACCTCTCACTGCGGCTTTTCCCTTATCTTGTGAGCCGTTGACCATGAGAGCAGAAGCAGATGTGGAGGGTTGACGTTTAGCAGAGACCGTCGGTGCGGTCTCCCCGGGGACAAGCCTTTCGAAACCATGGGCATCTTTCTCAGTGGTGAACATTCCCCCGCAAACCACGCATTCCTGAAGGGCCAGAACTGTTGAGCGACACCGAAGTCTCAAATTACAGGAGACGCACCTTTCTGGGATCCCTGTCGCTGCCTGATTTCGGAGGGCGGACCAAGGGGATGCCATAGCAAGTGGATACAGGACATTCGTCTGCTAACATTGCCCATCCCTTGAGTAGTCGTTTGCCGATCTCGTTGGAGGCGAAGTCAGATTGCTGGCGACGCTGGATCGACTCGGCGGTCTCAATGGGGGGAGCAAAGGTAGGGGAGCTCAGAGTACTAGAGACTTCAGTTGGAGGAGTGGACGGTCGCGAATAATGCGCGCTCGAATTTGAAACGGATTCAGAGTTGGACGGGGTACGGTGGTGTGCTGTACTATCTGTCAGTACAGGGCAGAGGAAGAGCAGTCAATACACGCACTAGTTTCATTCCCTTCACAGTTAGCACAGAACCACGTCTGTGGCGTTCGTCCATCCGGTGAGCGCATCAATGGAATTGAGCACTTTGGACAAGACTTGTCGGTTAGGACCTGACTTGAGGTCAGTAAAGTCAGTCTGGGATCTGACCAAGACGGCGTACCCAGCCCTGGAGCATGTACTCGCCCAGCTTGCTGGAGACGTTGATGACTCTGCTCATGACTGCGATGCTGAAGTGGAATGGAATCGAGAGTGGATGGGGGACAAAGGTGGTGGCGGCCAGAGAGATTAAATATACTTGGTCCGCCGCGTATAGCCAATCAGAAAAGATGGCAAAAGCCGTGAGCGCGTCATGAATGTTATTGCGTCCGACGCGAGTTCTTGGCCACCCCGCCACAGCGTCTGTCAATGCCACGTCTGCTTGAACCATCTGCTTTGTGAGCGTGAACACAACTTGGTTCAGTTCCTCACCGTCTTGTTATTGGCACTGCTACTGCATGTACTCGCCCATGCGATGGCCAGAGACGTTTCTCGTTTTATTTTTTCTCTCTCTCCAGGCCTATAGATGGACATTTGGCAACGCACCTCTCACCGGTGGCATCGGAGTTCATGCAGCCCAATGGACCTCTCAACGGAAGTTGGATACTCGGTATGTTGTCTCAGAGACTAAACCTTTGCGCGGAATGTAATGAGGCTATAGAAATCAAGTTCGCGATCTCTGGTACCATGGATACGATAATTACATGAAGCATGGTTCGTGCTCTCCAACTCTTTCCATGTACACGATCTAAAATGTCTCTTTAAGCCTTTCCGATGGATGAGGTACCTAGCGTTCTCGTTTCCATGATTGCATGGGTCTGACTCTCTCTGTCAGCTTGCTCCCCTATCATGTCGCGGTCGCGGACCTGATTGGCGTTCTCCGTGAGTGGGTCAGTGCTTCACCTCGGTATCCCGAAATATTGACCCTATCTGATGCCCCAGAGAGAACATTGCCTACAATGATGTCGATGGCAACTATTCTGTCACTCTTGTTGACTCACTCGATACGCTTGTGGTTCTCAACGATAAGGCTGGGTTCGAGGATGCCGTCCAAAAGGTAATCCAATGGGTATCCTTCGACGTGAACACGAAACCTCAAGTCTTTGAAACGAACATCCGTGTCCTCGGTGGTCTTCTTTCTGCACATATCTTCGCCAACCAAACGGGCCAACCATTCCATCTACCATGGTACCAAGGCGAACTTCTGGCGATGTCGAAGGATCTTGGTGAAAGGTTGTTAAGAGCATTTGCCACCCCGACCGGCATTCCATTCGCAAGGGTATGTCCTCCTAGTGCTTACGAGGGATAGGACCTCACCTCATCGATACAAGTAGATAAACCTGCGGAGTGGCCTTCAAAGAGGCGAGAGTATCGAGAGTTGTCAGTGTGTTCAGCGACTCGCCTGTGGCCCATAATCTTAAATCTTCATAACAGGTACCGCCGGGGCAGGTTCCCTCATCCTCGAGTTCGCCACCTTAAGCCGTCTTACGGGCGATGACAGATTTGAGAAGGCTGCCAAAAAGGCCTTCTTTGCCATCTGGAATCGTAAGTCGGACATAGGACTAGTAGGGAACACTATCAACATTTGGACTGGGGTTCATAATCATCTCTTTTCCTCACCTATCGACGCTGACCACTTGTTCCTCCATAGGCTTGGACATATCCAGAAGTTAGTGGAATCGGCGCTGGCATCGATTCCTTTTTCGAATATGCTCTGAAATGGTATATTATGAGTGGTATGCCCCATCTTTATCGTCTTCGTGTCTCCATGCTAACGCTCCACCAGGTGAACCCGAATTCCTCGACGTTTGGAACGATTCGTATGCCGCAATAATGAGATATGCGCGATCGGCAGACGGATTCTGGGTAAGAGCATCCAAACTCTAGCGAATCAACTTGCCTGACTTGCCTGTTAGTATCGTCGGGTCAACATACACACCGGTGACGTGGCGTATTTCACGATGGACTCCCTGGCCGCGTTTTGGCCTGGCCTACAAGTGCTTGCTGGAGACATCGAAAACGCTATCAAGTCGCACATGACCTGTAAGTCGTTGTATATTTTGCGAAATGTCGTAATTGTTCATGTATTTCCCCCTAGACTGGCATCTCTGGAAACGACATTCGGGGCTACCAGAGATATGGGATATGAATTTCCGAGTTGCCACCTCATTACAATTTCCACTTCGTCCAGGTCAGTTTTCGCTATCTCACCCCTTTCCGGGAAACTCCTTTTTGAATCGACAACTTGATGTTTCGCAGAATTTATCGAGTCCACATGGTACCTCTATCGGGTACGTCGGATGGCACGAAAGCGTACAGTCAATCACTAAGACTCCCCGGTATAGGCAACGCACGACACCATATACCTAGATATAGGGGAGCGGATCCTTCACGACTTTGCCCTCAGATCCAAAGTGGACTGCGGGCTTTCTTCGATTCAAGACCTTCGAGACAACACTCGCGACGATCGAATGGAATCATTTGTGCTTTCGGAAACACTAAAGGTAGGCATCCCTGACTATCTCGCTGAACTTACCACTATATGTCTGCACGGGGGCACTGACAAGTGCGACAGTATCTCTATTTATTATTTGACGAATCGAACAGTCTCCACTCGGATGGATCCAACTACGTATTCACGACAGAGGGTCACCTCCTCACCTTGGGCCACGAACATCTGAAGCCCGTCTCTCCCAAGGTCCGCAAGCTTCGCGGCAAAGAAAACTACCAATGCCCGGCATATCAACCAATGTTCTTTGGCGTCGATGCAAAGAACGGGCTAATGGTTGGCATCGGCTCCCGCCCAGACGTGGAGTACGTCAGGCATCTCATCGGGACGCCATTCCTTGCGAATGAAGAGTACGCATGGCATAGTAATGGCTGGTGCGACGTGCCGGGAGTCGACCTCTTCGTGAGTGCCACTTTGACTGCTTGACGTGGTTGGGGACTCATATGACCTTTTCTTGTCTGGAAAACAGTCGTATGACTTCATATTATCGGCAGACGGTCGTTCGACGGTTGAGGATCTCAGTCCTAGCATGAAGAAAGTCACTCCTGTGTCTGACGGTTACATCGTCCAAAACGTCTCTGGTCTCCGCGCGCGCATCGTCAGTCGTCTCGACGGCAAAGGCTACGATGTTACAAAACGTTCGTCAATCACACATTTTCTTCACGCGCCCAAGACTAACATACACCACGATTCTGTCCACAGTGGGACCTCACACGATCCACACTGGCCAGCTGGTGTACCTCAACGACTCGGCCCTGACTTTTGCCGCATCGAAGGACAAGCAGGATCAACCCACATCTCAGCCTCGTCTACCTGACGTCGACCTCCACTTTTTCATCGACTTCGTAGACCCCAAGCGACAACTCCAACCCGCCGTCCACCGAGCCTCTACAGATATGCTCATCACGGGCCACACGGCCATGTTCGGAGGAAACCCCTTCTCCGCCGTAGACTCGAACGGCTATCCACTCCGCTTCGCGCACGGAGAAGGCGTCGCTCTCGTACGAGCTCCTCTAAGCAACCCGCTAGGGTGTCACCACTACGATCAGGAATACTTGGACGATGCTATCGTCGTCCAGCGCGGTGACTGCACATTCCTCGAGAAGCTGCGGTTCGCACAGCTCGCGGGAGCGTCTGGCGTCGTCGTCCTTACAGATGAAGACCTACCTATCAACCCCGGCGCCGACGACGACGAACTAGACGCTATCGGGGATACGCTGGACGATGTGGTCATCACCGTGTTGCGGCGAGCGGACTCGAAGGAACTGAACGCGATGCTGGATTTGGCGGAGACGCATGGGTTGGGGCAGCCAATGGTCGTTCTAGAGTCGACGGGAGATGCACAGCCGGCCGGATGGGGGAGTACGACGAAGGAGGTTCCGACACCGACGTCATCATCGACGACTGCACCGAACTCTAATCGTGTTCTATATCTGAACGGGCATCCGTTACTCAATACAAGACTAATGGTATAGGCTCGATTCTCGTCTGCTGTCTGCTGTCTGCCGCCGCGGTTCTACATTCGCCTCTGTGAGCGGAAAATAAGGGATGGTACAGATAATTTATGACGAAGAGAACTATATCAGTCGTCTAGTTTGATGAGCGAGTAAGAGGGGCCGTTGAGCTTGCTGGTTCCTTGGAGGAACGTCAACTCGATGATGAAGAGGGATTCGAGCAGTGTGGCCCCTTGCTTGGTGATGAGTTCACCAGCGGCCTTCGCGGAGCCGCCTGTTCATGTCCATTAATTCCGTGAGGGTATAGGAAGGATGTCATATAACACACCAGTAGCGATGAGATCGTCGATGACAATGACGGTTTGTCCGGCTGCGATGGCATCGGCTTGCATCTCGAAAACATCCTATACACAAGGGTAATCAAAGCGTTCAAAATTTTCAGTATATGTAGCTTAGCGTAATAAATCACAGGGATGATACGCACCACACCGTACTCCTTCTCATACTCAGCTTGAATGCACTCTCCCGGGAGCTTGCCCCGCTTCCTCACCGGCACGAACGCCGCCCCAAGCCTCAGCGCAATAATCGGACCAAGCAAAAATCCTCGCGCATCAAGACCGACGACGACATCAATCTTTTTGCTGGGAGAGTTGGGGATGGTGTGCGAGGTGAGGTGGTGGACGAAGTTTGTGATCAGTGTTTCGAAAGCTATCGGGTCTCGCAGGAGCGGGAGGAAGTCGAGGAAAACAATGCCCTGTATTTTCGTGAGGACGCCTTACGATTAGGACGGCTGGCAGAAATTCTAACCTTCTTAGGAAAGTCGGGATATGGCCTCAACAAGCTCTTCAAGTATGCAATGTCGGCCATGGTGTAGGTAGGAGGTAAGCAAAGGTAGCATACGAACCGATGTCTAGCAGATCTTTGCAGATCTCTATTACTGCCATTCAGATAAGATCGCAGATCTGGACATATGGGATCTCAATTTTATGTCGTTGAAAGTTTTGCGACCAGCGTCGGATATCGCATCACAGATGCCAGATGGACAGGTGCAGAGCTCGTTGGAGTGTATGACCGCTTAAGAACTAATGACGCGGGCAAGAGGAGGAGACGATGGTCATACGCATGGTTGCTCATAGAAGGACACTACCGCCATAAGAAAAGGAAAGATGCATGCAATACAGATGAAACACAAAAAGACGACGATTTTAAACAGACTCGAGAACCTCCGGCTCCTTGAAGTCCTTCGCCACCCGTGTGCCAGTCTCCTGCAGCGAACGTCAGCAAAAGTAGGCAAATGATAACAAAACAAACACGCACATCAGTGACCTCCCCGTGAAGCTCCATGAGTTTCGACACGTCGAACTTGGGAGCCTTCAGAATCTTCGCCTTGTGGACGTAGACATTCTGGAGGGGGTAGATGGAACGTGCGGCCTTCTCGATCTCACGACCGATAGCCTCGGGAACGAACTTAAGGACCAACTCCTTCAAGTCGCAGCTCGACGCTTCCCGGGTCATGATCTCGAACATCTTCTTCCTGATCTCCCGGATCTGCGCTGACTGGGCGTAGGTGGTCTTGCGGACCTGGGTTTGGCGACGCTTGGTGAAGCCGATAGCGAAAAGACGGAGAAGGTACCCGTCGGTCGTCCGGACGTCGACGTGGGCCTCGATAAGTGTTTGCCACTTGCGGACGAGGGAACGAAGTTTGTCGGAGGTGAAGGACATTCCGTGGAAGTTGGTTAAGCAATTCCGGCCCTGGACGTCGTCGATGCGCAGCTTGACCTTGCGGAAAGACTGCTCCTCATCCTTGTTCAGGTCACCGAGAGAGAACTCAACGATACGGCCCTTGAGCGAGTCATTGGCGTTCTCTGGAGACAGCGGATGAGGTTAGACGATGGAACGGGAATGAGAAGATGAGATCCACGCACTCAGACCCGACGACCTGTTAACAAGGGTCTTCCCCACGTTCTTGACCTCGAACATTGAAGGAGCCTTGATATCATACCAGTCTGAAGAGCTCGTGAATGAGAACCAATGGGTAATTCGATAACGAGCAAGACGCACCCTTTCGGGAGAAGGGGTCCACGACCTTTTTCTTGATACCCTTCTTGCCCTTGGAAAGGCGCTTGTTCTACGAGACAACAACTCTGTAAGGGTTGGGCCTATCGACGTAGGAAAAAGCACGGTACCTTTCCTACAGCCATGCTGGGTCAAGGAATGTGTTGCGGTGAGGATGGAACCGCGAGCCGGCACTTGGACGGGCTTTTGTTTTGAGTAGCTTGACGGCGCGAGCGTTGGCGGCAGCAGCAACGTCCAGCCTGGGCAGCGGTGGCTGAGAACCTTATTTCTCCAGCTGTAAAGCTTAGTTCCCACGCCACTTCACCCTTGATGTTCTCTTCCTCGACGCTCACTCGCCCGGAATTCGAGCTCGCTGCAAAGGCGTTTATTTGTAAATACAACGCTGCTGGTCTTTCGGGTCTGATTGCTGCTCAACACCGAGGATGGGAGTGGAAAAATCATCCTGTGCGATTACTCTCCTGCTGGGTGTGGTGCCACTTCTGACTGCTGGCGTTAGCTCGTACCAGGATATGGCTACATGTTTCGAACTGTCCACCTTTTTACGCGCGCACGACATAGCGCCCTAGATGACGCGGACGAGGACTTGCTGCCCGAAACCGATGAGGAACCCGACGACACAGAATCCTCTGCGTCTCCGGCGCTTGATCACCTAGTTTGCAATCAAAGTGTCGTGTTCTCGCCAACGTTTCAAGTACCTGCATTTTACTTCACTATTCATGATTCAAGTATGTTCTGCTCCTCGGTCAACATCACAAATTTTGCTGAACCCCATGTAGCCGGCTCCCCACTTCCCCTTGCCGACATTCTGAAATCCAGCCTCTTTCGCCGCCACTCGTTTCCAGAGAATTCGGCCACGACGTCCTTCGCCCTCAGCCTGCCCGACCAGAACTTGCCCCTCCTGTCGCAGGGTGACCATCCGACACTGGGAACGCCGTCATGGTATATTCATCCCTGCGAGACGGCCTCGGCCATCGCCGAGCTGACGGAGGAGATCAATTCAGAAAGCACGATGAGTGAGCAGGAGATGTCAGAAGAGGTCAGCATGGTTAGATGGATGGAAGTCTGGTTTATGGTATTGGGCAGTACGGTCGACCTGCATTCGTAGTACAAATTCGAACTGTTCTTTCTCTCGCACTGTGGACTGAAATGTTCTAATTTGTCGAATTGAGTCTGTGAAAATGGAACCGCGTACGGCCGCAGGGAGAGGCGAGGCGATTCACATGTTGAGCGTCACCGGACGCCGGATGGGGATGCGTATAAAGCTGGTGCGGCATCCCCGCTTGCACTGCGTTTGTTGTTCAGCGGTAGCCAGCGGATTACAGCGGCGATATCAGCACTCCTGCTCAACCGGGCGTTGCAGTCGTACGATTGGTTCATACCACAATACTGAATCGTATCATTTCAATCGTTGAACCGGTTTATTCGCGTCATAGCCGCCCGCGCGCGTATAAAAGACGAATGTTCAGCTTACGCCTGGCCACATCATCCCCTCGTTCCTCCTCCCGCAAACTACTTTCTCTTGCCCGCACCATGGTGAGTATGGCCAAAGATTAGATACTCTACTCGCTGATTTCCAATCAATATATCAGTCCACCGAAGTTGTCATCGTCGCCGCGTCCCGCACGCCAGTCGGCTCCCTCAACGGCGTTCTCAAGACCCTGACCGCACCGCAACTCGGCGCCATCGCCCTCAAGCATGCTTTCGAGACTTCAAAGGTCGACCCCTCTGTCGTTCAGGAGGTCTACTTTGGAAACGTCGTCCAGGCTGGTGTCGGTCAGTCTCCCGCCCGTCAGGTCGCCCTCGCTTCTGGCTTGAAGACCACCTCCGATGCGACCACAATCAACAAGGTCTGCGCTAGCGGTATGAAATCGATCATGCTTGCCGCCCAGACCATTTCTACTGGCTACAAGGACGTCGTTGTCGCAGGTGGTATGGAGAGCATGAGCAACGCTCCGTGAGTCTCAGTACTTGTTCCTCTTTATCCGATGGCCTTCGGCTTATTGTTATGTTTGCCTCCGTGTCTCAGTTTCCTCCTCCCCCGCCAGAACCCCTTGTACGGCAAATTCCAGACCAAGGACTCCGTCGAGTCTGACGGTCTCTGGGATGTTTACAACAACTTCGCTATGGGCAACTGTGGCGAGCACACCGCTGAGAAGCATGGCATTACCCGCGAGGCCATGGATGCCCACGCTATTGAGTCGTACAAGCGTGCCGACCGTGCATGGAAGGCTGGCGCTTTCGATGCTGAGATCGCACCCGTCACCATCAAGGGCAAGAAGGGCGACACCATCGTAAAGGAGGATGAGGAGTACAAGAAGGTCATCTTCGAGAAGATCCCTACCCTTGCCACCAGCTTCAAGAAGGGTGGTACCATCACCGCTGCGAACTCATCTAACCTGAACGACGGTGCATCCGCTCTTATCCTCATGTCTGCAGAGAAGGCGAAGGAGCTCGGCATCAAGCCTTTGGCCAAGGTCGTCTGTACGTGTCTCAATGTTATCTCCGAAAGTATCGGAGCGTATCGCTGAGCGTCTCGGTACAGCTTACGCCGATGCTGGTGTCGACCCAATCGACTTCCCCGAGGCACCTACACACGCCCTTCCCATTGCCCTCAAGCGCGCTGGCCTCTCTGTAGAGGACATCGCACAGTGGGAGATCAACGAGGCCTTCTCCGTCGTCGTTCGGGTAGCAGAGAAGGTTCTCCAGATTGATCCAGCGAAGATCAATGTCAACGGGTGAGTCGAACATCATCTTGATGTCTGTCGTAATCTAATCAGTATCTCTTGTTCAGTGGTGCTGTCGCTCTCGGTCATGCTATCGGAAACTCCGGTTCTCGTATCATCGTCTCCCTCGTTCACTCACTGAAGTCTGGCGAGTACGGTGCTGCCGGTATCTGCAACGGGGTATGTTGCCGCCTTCTACCTTCATATTCTCCTGCTAATCGCACTTCTACGACAGGGTGGTGCCGCGTCTGCTGTCGTTATCCAGAAGCTGTAAAATAAGGAGAAGCTCACTACTGTATTTTTCGCTGTCGTCCGTCCTGTTCTTATAGAGCTCATACACCGGAATATTTAATGCTTTGCATGGTCTAATTGCCATTTTCTGCACGATTTGTGACGTTCTCGTTTCCAAAGCATGGGAACAGTTGAACACTGTCGTCGATGCCAAGATCACGGCTCATAATTCATGCAAGGTCGTCTCGGTCCTTCCATCGCCTTATCAGAGCGTCTCGGAATGCGGCATCGTTCGCGGAACACCTCCTTGCTCGATGAACATCAACACTTCCCCATGGCCGGACATGCTAGCTTCTCAGTGGTGGACCTACACCGCATGCTGATATTCCGCTCTGCCGTCTTTCTGCCGTGCGTTATCAAACACAAGTACCTGGTGAGAAGCAGCACCATTCTTTAGAGCTAGGTTATCTGAAGATTGAGCGCTGAACGTCATCACGGGTGCAATCTATGAAGGAGTGGGAGCATTGACGACGGAATAGCATGGACGACGAAGGATTTGAGTTCTTAAAAGCCTGAGGACCTCGTTTCCTGTCCCGTGAGTCGATTCACTTCCTTCTCGCGCTCCTCGTTCCTCGCTCTCCCGGAACCCCGTCGCCGACTAAGAATCATGTCTTCTCTCGCTGACCATGGTGTTTCTTCAGGAGTAGAGAAGCGGGGGCATTCGAAGGACGGATCGTTGGATGAGAAACATGAAGCGGATGTGACCGTGCTCGAGTCTCAGTCGGACCTGAGTCAACAGGACGAGGCGTTGAGGCTGGTCGGAAGAGAGAGGCAGGCTGAGTTTAGTGACGAGTTCAACAAGAAGCTGAGGAGGAAGCTGGTGAGCGCCTTCGATCCTGACACCGTCTTGAAGGCGGGAGGCTGACGTCCGTTCCCGTAGGATTGGTGGATACCACCGCTGTGTGCAGCAGTTTACTTCACGCAATTTCTGTGAGTGTTACTTGATTTTGGTCACGTATCGTAGCAACTCACACATGTGCAGGGACAAGACCTCTTTGAACTATGCAAGGTAGGAAATAGGTTGCATTATGGATGCATGAGCCAACCTTCACGCTCTTCTACAGCATTATGAACTTCCCTATAAGCGGGCAGGTATGTTGCTGCCTCCAAACTTTCTGAAGATGCAGTGACCCGGACTGACCATGGCTCTAGCAATACAACCTCATCTCGATGGGGTTCTACTTAGGTTCGTGCTAACAACGTCCCAGCTTTCGAGACTATATAGACAGATCAACGTTGCGACCTACTGTAGGTTTCCTTGTCTGGGAGTTCCCCACGGTGTACATCTCCCAAAAACTCCGACTGGCGAAATATCTCGGTCGGTATAATCTTCTTCGCTTGTGTCGCGCTTCGGTCCTAAGCAGCTCTTAATTCAGGTGGTAACATCATACTGTGGGGCATCGTGCTCATGCTGCACGCCGCAGCGACTTCGTTCAGCTCGTTCTTTGCCCTGAGGTTCCTACTTGGTGCGCTCGCATAATATTCATGCCTCTCTTTCCGCTTCATGACTGACTGAGTTCAATGTAGGAATGTTTGAGTCTTGCGTTGCTCCGCTTCTCATTCTTGTTATATCGATGTTCTACAAGAAGGACGAACAGGTCGGTGGTTTCCCTCCGCATCGCACAAAGTGGCAACTTCATAATTTACTTATACGCATGTACTTGTAGGCTTCCCGTATTTCATGGTTCTACGTGATGGTATGGCCCACTTTTATCACTTCGTTCTAATCGAGCGCTGATCGTCTACTCTAGAACGGCCTCACAGCAATATTCGGAGGCTTTGTAGCCTACGGCATCTCCTTCTACGACGGAAAGCATATCGCGCCCTATAAGATCCTATACCTCCTCCTGGGTGGACTAGCAATCCTCGTGGGCGTCGCTATCCTACTATGGCTGCCCGATTCTCCTGTTCATGCGAAGCGCTTGAGCGAGGAAGAAAAGATCGCCGTGCTTGAACGCGTTCGTGATGATCAGGGTGGGACGGAGAATAAGAAGGTGAAGTTTGAGCAGATTAAGGAGGCTGTGACGGATCTCAGGACGTGGCTTATCGTTCTGACGACGTTGTTGAGTGCGTTGTTTTTCGCTGTTTGTTCGGGACGATGAGAGGACTGATGCTGCATTCTCCAGCGAGTATACCGAATGGAGCCCTGAGTAACTGTACGTCTTGCGTGTCGACCCTGATTTTACGAATTCTGCTGAGCACTGTATAGTCAGCAACATCATTGTCAAGAGCTTTGGCTACACGTGAGCATCACTGCAACCTGAGCTGTTCGCTTGCTGATGTTTGTGACGCTCGTCGATAGCTCCAAACAAACACTAATCTTGAGCACACCGGGTGGAGCAGTCGCTGCTATAACTACCCTCGCGTGTGGCTATTACTCTGACAAACGAGTAAGTGACCCGTTATAAAACTCTTTGTATAACCTTTTCTGACGTCGCCCATAATCATCAGGGAGAGCGCATGTTGCCAATCGTGTTTGCGCTTATACCAACCATCGTTGGGACTGGTCAGTGGGAACATTGTTATGCGGCGCAGGGCGATATACTAACCCCGGTGTTTACAGCTATGCTTATCGGGCTCAACAATTCGGGGAAGAAAGGCGTGCTGTTGTTCGGTAAGTCCTCGTTCGGATCCAGTAAGGCATGTAAATACTAACTTCAGATCAGCAACATATCTAATTCAGACGTTTGGAAGTGCTCTGTCGACTGTCTACGCTTATAATGCGAGCAATACCAGTGGATACACCAAGAAGGTTTGTTCCTGTACTCGCGGAAAATGCGCTGTCTAAATGTTGCTCATCTCCTCCTACAGTTAACCATCAATGCCATGACACTCTTCACTTTCAGCATCGGTAATATCATCGGTACCGAAATCTTCCAGCCGAAGGATGCCCCTGCCTACATTCCCGGCAAAGTAGCCATCATGGTCCTCCTCACTGTACAGCTCTTCATCTGCTTCCTACTTCGGTTTATCAACCTTCGCCTCAACAAGAAGAAGCGCGCGGCTTTGGAAGCGGAGAAAGCGCGTAATGGGTGGACGGACGCAGATGTACAGAAGGAGCGCGAAAGACATGCGTTCTTGGATTTGACGGATGGACAGTGAGTGATTTCTTTGGTCGTCTTGATTTACTACGGAATCAATCTGAACTTTGGATGTCATAGGAACCCATACTTTGTGTACACTGCCTGAAAGGGTTCGCTTACTGGACTGCATGTACAATATGCTCATGACCGCATGAAATACAAGTGCCACACAGATACGACTATCCTGCGCCACAATGATGAAGTGACGTTTCTCGGCAGTATATTCCCACGCTGTGCGCCCGCCATCATCTTCGAGTGAACTCATCGCTGCTCTCTCAGCTACGACAAGCCACTTTCTTCCTGTAAAACTGAAGGTGGACTGAGCTGTATTGTTGTTGAAGAGGTAAACTCGTACTCTTTCCCTACAACGGCTTAGAACTCCCAGCGGGACTCATTCACCGCACGCCGCGCGAGGTCTTTCAGCGTCCGACTACTTGATTGCACTCACATTCACTTCATTTCTCTCGTGAGTCATCTATTCCAAACACACTTTGTTTTTGTGTGAACTGATCTGCCTTCGATGTTATCCACAGGTCAGGGATCTCACGCCCGCTGCGAGACAGTACCCGCCATCATCATGCTCACCTCCCCGAATCTGCGCGCTCTGAGCTCGTGCGGACAACACAAGGGACCAGATATACATTCATATCTTACATCACAAGCTCGCTTTGCCAAAGTTCACGCTACGGAAGGTCGTCAGGCTCGAGAATCCTGGGACACGAACGAACTGACCCAGGGCAAAGCAAACGCCCCTATCCCACCTATTGCCTCTGTCTGGACGTCTGGATTTGATACGCCAGTTCTAAAGGCTCGGACCATCGAACCAAAGGACAAACTCGGTACTCGTATCAATGCTGCGCAGGTGAAGGTGAAAGAATCTGAAGAAACCGCCCGTATCAGTACGAAGACGAGCAGAAAGAAGGGCACCTCCCCGCCGCGATCTCCGCCACCCGCGAAGGCCATATCACGACCAGCAGCCCTATCGCCCAAACGCATAGCAAACAAGAAGCGCAACTCGGAGAAGGAACTCAAGAAACGCCCGGCGCACGACACAGATGACGAGCAAACGCATCGTATGTTTTTCGCGTCCCGATTCCGCTATGCCATGCTCATACTCCTTCGTCGCCACACAGATCTCACTGAACGAAGGGAGCGAAAACGTGCGAGGCGCGAGATCATGAAGCCAACCGCTCCACAACCTCCATCCGAGACAGGGGTAGACGAGGGCGACGATGAGCGAATCACTCTGAAGAAATCCAAGGGCAAGAAGACCAAAGCCAAGGCTCCGAAGATGCCGGCAGGACTTGCTCTTATGCATGGTTTCTCGGCAACCAATGTAGGGAAACATAGGCTTACGGTGCGTTGTACAGAGTATATGTTTGCCCTCACTTGTGGTCTGATTGAACGCATAGCTCGATCCAAGAATTGCCCCGGGCGTATTCGGGAGGGGCAAGGCATCTGCTAAGGCTGATGCCAGGAAGCAGTCGTTTTCCAAAGGTATGGTCCATATTTCGGGCAACACCGTCTACATATCAATGACTTGAGTTTGCTTCAGGAAATCATCAATATGGGTTCTCCGAGGATCTATTTCTTCGTGGTACTCGACAATCTGCTTCTCGCAAACGCCGCCAGCCTTCTTCAGACGAGACGAACGACTCCGCGTCGACGACATCCTCCAGCTCACCAACACATCCAGACCCGCCTCTCTTTTCCCACAGGGTCGTGAAGCAGAAAGCCTCCGCACGTGCCACGAGACCATCGCCGAAAGCTAGGGTGTCTAAAGGACCGCCTTCTCAGTTTAGCTCAAGTGCTCCAAAGAGACACGCCGGCTCGCACACTCCTCAGCACACTCCTCAGCACTCTCCAAGTCGTCACACAGCCTCTGAAGTTTGGGACATCGAGATAGAGGACCGTCTCTTGCCTTCGGGATCAGGCATCTCCGTTGCAAGCGCTAATGCGGCCGATCACTCAGACACTGGAAATGCTCCGCCCTCTCCGTTGAACCACGTTTGCTCAAATCCTCTTGATGCTCTTGTTGCGCCTTTCCATCCAAAAACACTCTCCGAAGATCCTCAGCTTCCTGATACCGCTCTTCAGAATGCGGTTTTGCACGTAGAACATGTGCGGTCCGACTCTTCTCTAGGCCCCTCTGAATCTGCGTCTCAGGTCCTTCAGCATGCCCTACAGCAAAGGGCTACTCTGGCTACGCGTTCCAGGTTTTTCACAGATCAATCTCCCTTGGTGGAGTCGAAGACAGTGCCTCATAATATTCAGTCACAGCATTTCAATGAGCAGGCGTATCTTCCACCAACGTCATTACAGCCAACTCGTAATAACCTGATATCCACACCTTCCAAAGACAAGAAAGGCTCTTTATCTTCCTACGGTCATACCCATCATGTGCACTCTGTACGACAACCTTCCCCCATGGCAGCTCCACTCATTCAGCGCGCTTGCTCGTCGTCCCACTCTCTGGAGCGAGACCTCACCTCCCTCACGGATCTTGCTGGCTATCAGCCTTGCTTGGAAACATCTCTCTCGAGTATGCTTCGCTATGACAATTCATCCACAGCCAATGTCCTGCAGGATCATCGACGTCAATATTCACCTATCAGTCGCTGTTCTGTCTCTCCATCGTTGCCTATCTCCTATCTCTCTGCCGAATTCATGCCATCGAATCTGCTCGCCATCTATCCGGACGATTCAGCCGGGCACGCCTCAGAGGTCCTTCTAGACGACAATTTCACACCGTACTCCCTCCGTGACGACATCGAAAACCAGGGGATGCATACTGAATACGATTACCCTGCCCATGAGCACTTTTCCTCCGTGGTTTCCGACGACGAATATCACTATCAGCCCGGAGGCGTCGACGATAATTTTGATGCAAGCGGCTATGATGGCGTCGAATTCATGGACTATATGTCTGACCACGGCCAGAACTACACCGTTCCACCACAGGAAAATCTCCAGCTCACACAGTCTTTGATGACTTCGCGGAGTGATCATGGGGATTTCCTAGACATCCCTGACGCTTACAACAATAATACAGAAACCGAGGCACTGGAGGGGCACGAAGGACAGTGGGGCTTACAAGGAAGAGCACTTTTAATGGGATTAGACCGCGAGTCTCGTGGTGACACTCTGGCGATGGGTGGTACTCGCTCTGCGGGCGTTTGGCGGGCTGAAGAGGATGTTGCGCGATCTTTGAGAAACCATTGGCTTCCTCAGAGATCATGATCTGAGCTTCAAGTTGAACCTGATTGCGACGCGGAGAGATATTACAGCACGATATGATTGTTTCATCTGACACATTTCTTTCTCTTCAGGTTTGTTGCTCTCTGTCTTGTGATTATCGAGTACCTCCTGCAGTCGTTCGTCGTATCCTTATTGTGTCGTATCTTTGTCGAGGTGTCTCGCTTTGACTGTCGAATGCCGGATATTGCCGTTACATTGTCTGGATAAATTATTGTATCGATGGCACGTCGCACTGGTACGGTGTACTCATCTTGTAATCTCAAACAATGGCAGCCTCAATAGGGTATATAAGGAACCAGCTTTTTCCGAGTCGAAGGACCTGTTCATTCCCCTTAGCCGCTCCGTTACTGAGTGTTTATCGACACAGAAAGACCTCTCTTGCGTGATATTACACTTTACCGGTGAGTTTTCTCTCAAATTCATAGTCTGGAAATGCGCGGTGCATGGACCGACGGCGAAGGCCCAGGGTCTGACACGGACTGACACGTTGATCCGTACACGGACCGCGTTTGGGTGTGATCCGCCTCAGCCACAGGCGCGTCGGTGTACGTAATCATCGCCCGCCTAATTTACGGATATTGCGTATCGCGTCGCGGTGACCTTGACTCCGCTTCTTGCTTCCACACCACCACAGTGTCTTGTCTCCTTTGCTTACCGACACCTATTTCTATCAACTTCCCCTCATAGCGACTTTCAAGAGCCATGGGCTCCAAAGAAAACGCTTTCGCCACCGTGAGTTGCTTCGATTTGTCCATGTCGCGTATCCCGATAACGAGACGCGTCGCGTTGGTCGTTCACAGCAGAGCGCGAATGCCTTCGTCAAGCCGGAACCACAGGACCAAGCGCCCATACCTTTGGCAGGCTCACCCACGCGCCAGAATTCAACAGGCAACATCTCAGGTGCCGGACGCGTGAAGCCCGAGGGCAGCGATGTAAGTAGGCTCTATTGGTGCTGAGACGGACGACACTGAGTATCATGATGCAGGGTGTCATTGGCGCACCTTTAAAGCGGTCGGACACTCTTCCGACTGCCGATGCGCTTCAACCTACGAAGGCCGGCCTTGAACGGAGTCACTCCAATCTTGAACTCATCAAGCCCAAGACCTATACCTCATATGCTTCTGCTCAAGATATTCCCTACACCCCAGAGAACGCGTTAGGAGAGGGTGTTGGTATGGTCAAGTATCTCAAGTCCAAGGTCAAGAAGATGGAGATAGGCAGCAAGATGCGTAAGGACGTCTGGCTGCGCGAGATCGAGAGGTAAGTAATTCCAGGATCTTAGACCAAGTGGCGAGCCTGACACTCCTTCAGTCTTCAGGGCCAAGGCGCGCCGTCGACTATGATCGCTGTGTGCGGAGGTACGTGCTTTGTTTCGACTTCATGTCTAGATATCTAATGACACAGAACCATCGTCTCCACACAGCTACTGGCGCTGGGAAATCTTCTATCCTGAACGCGATTTTGGATGGTAATGTGTCTTTGTTTACTCACCATGCAAGTTCTTCCTGACAAGGGTTTCGTAGACAACATCGTCCCTACCAGTGGAATGAGAGGTGCGCTCAATATCTAGCTTAGAGAGACACTGAAATCTCAACTGTTTAAACGCATATATCCAGCTTGTACCGCCGTCGTGACGGAGATTGCTTACCATAAAGAGAAGACCATCGCTGCTGACGTTGCCTTCCTCGGTTTGAAGGAATGGCGCGACGAGCTTGGTGTTCTTCTCGATGACCTCGTCGACGAAGACGGAAGGTGCGTACATTCGTCATATGACATCGTTTCGGAGGCTAAGTTCCCTCCAGCATTAAGCGAACAACGAATTTGAACAGCGACGCAGGCATTGCCTGGTCGAAGGTGAGCACGAATGCAGAATGAAGCAAATGAATGATCACTAATAATGTATTGGTTAGGTCCATGCAGTATATCCTTCCATTACTCAGGATCAAATCGGCAACATGACGGTCGACCAAATTATTGCTCGTGATCCAAGTAAGTCTATTGTCGACATCAACTTCGATTCCGACATCTCATTCTCCCTCCAGGAATCGCTAAGATCTTAGGCACTACCAAGAAGATTGTCGCCAAAGACTCCAAGACTTTCGCCCACGAGATTGCTAAGTACATCGACTCGAAAGACCAGAAGCGGGGCGACAAGAAGGACAAGAAGAAGAAGGACGAGGAGAAGGCGAAAGCCAAAGAGGGTCCTAGTCTTATGGATACACTCCGCGGTGGGAAGGATAAGACGAAGAAGGACAAGGACAATTCGGAGGGTCCTGCCTTCTGGCCGCTTATTCGTCAGGTCAACGTAAGGTGCAACTCCCATGCGCTGTCAACCGGGGCGGTACTTGTCGACTTGCCTGGTGTGGCAGATGCAAATGCTGCAAGAAATTCCATTGCGAAAGGTGCGTTATACATCGTCACTGCTCCAAATTTCCCGCTAATGCTTTGCATTTGTCTAGACTACATGAAGAAATGTAACTGTATTTGGATTTTGGCTCCGATCACCCGTGCCGTAGACGACAAGACGGCCAAAGGTATGTCGGCTTTCAGAACAACGTCACAACGCTGTCATATTCATCCCACATCGTAGACCTCCTCGGTGATGCCTTCAAGTCTCAGTTAATGAGTGAGTGATTTCAGATCTCATGTTCAATTACAGCGTACTGACTTTCTTTGTAGTGGGTACGTCGTCGATGCTGACAGTAGGTAATGCTAATTCTGATCGCCCTTGACACTTTTGCCAATGATTTAGACGGAAAGTACGTGTCTTTTGCTCACGATTAAGCCTCCGTGTAAACATGCTAACGCACGTTCTTCAGCTACGATGCGCACACCATCACATTCATTGGTATATTATACTTTTCTTGAAAATTTCTCGATCCGTCCTGACCTATGTATCTTGATAGCCTCGAAGTGCGACGACATCTCCTGTTCTGAGGTCATCGGTGCTTTGGGACTCGACGAGGAGCCAGAGCTCGAGGCCATCGAAGAGCGTATCGACGAGTGTAAGGAGCAGACGAGCGAATGGAAGTCGAAGGAATCCGAAGCGAAGAACACGATCAAAGGTACGTCCACTGCCGCTCTGCACCGCATTTCTATGATGTTGACACCCGAATCTACAGATATCGAGGAACAGATGAAGCAAGTCCGAGCCATGGGGAAGGAGTACGAAGAACACTTGAAGGCTCTCAAGAACGGTGAAGAGTTCACACCCCGTCTTACTGGCAAAGCCTCCAAGAAAGAGAAGGCGAGTGCTGGTACGAAACGCAAGAACACCCATGGAGACAAGAAATCTTCCAAGCGCCGCAAGACAGGCGGTGATAGCGACCATGAAGACGAAGATGCTGACATGGACGATTTCGACGACTTTGACTCTTTCATCGCCTCGGACAATAGCGACTCCGAAAGCGAGAAGGGTGAGGATGATGATGGCTCGGACGCCTCGAAATCTGGATCTGATGCCGAGAATGACGACGAAGAGAACGAGGAGGCTGATGAGCCAGTGACGGAGGAGAGTCTGAAAGCGAAGATTACCGAGACGAAAGAAGCAATCAAGGCGGGGAGAGAGCGCCTCAACGAGATAAGGAGGGCGAAGAAAGAGGCCAGCGATATGCTCTCCAATCTCAAGAAGAAGCAGGTCAAGGCACAGAGGGACAAGAACGCTTTTTGCTCCTTGAAGCGCTCGGAGGTAGGCTCTTACGCCCTTGCTGCCTTCGTATTTTACTAATGATGGTTTCATCTAGTTCTCTCGTGACGTCCTCAAAGAGGACTTCCGTCAAGGTCTCAAGGAGCTCGATGGTTAGTTTTTTCCTAGTACCTTTCGATGATTCACGAAAGAGAAGCTCAATTCTGTCCTAGACGCCGCTGCCGAGCAGAGAGATCCCGATAGCTTTGACCCCACACAGAATCTCCGCGACTATGCTGCGATTGATCTTCCCGGTACGTCCCACTTTCCGTTCCCTCACAGCACTCATATTAATGGGATAAACGTTTTCCAGTTTTTACCTGTAGCTCTCGCGACTACGTCAGGCTCAAAGGCCAAGTCAAGGGCGATGGGGACCCTACATGTTTCTCGAATGCCGCTGATACAGGAATACCCGCCCTTCAAACCTGGTGCCAGACCCTTACCGTCTCGTCCCGCGAGCGTGCGGCACGCAACTTCCACACTCATCTCAAAGCCTTCGCCAAGTCCGTCCGCCAATACATCGAATGCGCGGGCGAAGTGACTGAGTCCGACCGGGCCTCTCTGAAAGAGAAATGGGAGAGCGGCTATGTCCGCAACGGTGAAGACGGCTACGACTCGGATGAAGAAGACCCGTATGGTCTCGGTGGAGGAGGCTGGGATGATAGTTCAGATGGCGGGATGGATAACGACTTCTTCCAGACACTGACGAACGGCGTTTATGGGAATGGATTGGGCGGACGTGGTCTCTTGACCATGGAGGACCGTGCGCCCAAGGTCGATGCCTGGGGTCAGCCCGTGGGGATAACGCCCCGCCTCATCAAGGTAATGTTTCTCTCGAAATGACTGAAGGCCGTGTATTGACTTCCTCTCAGGAATTCGGGGTTATCGTGGACAAATGTGTTCAAGACCTGAAAGAAGAGTTCAAGGAAGGCCTCCAGGAGAAATGTGAAGCCAGCGCTGAATTGGTATGCCCCTGACTTCCCTTCGAATAGCTGTTGACTGGCTGACGATAACTCTACCTGTCCTGATCAGGCCTCAAAAATGGCAACAGCAACTAGCGATGAATTTGCTGGCAGTATGCATTGGGCATCGTACCGTGCCAGTACGTCCTCTATGAGCCTCGCATCTAATCCAGCTCGCAAACACTTACACGCATGCTCTGCAGCCCTTCGTCGCCACGGATCGTTCCGTCGCGATCTGAACGTTGAGCTCATCTCCCCCATGACTCGAAACATCGCAGCCTCCTGGTCAAAGGTCTTCGAAGCCGATCTGTTTGCTTCCTTCGATGCCTCCGTAAATTCCACTATCACCAAGGTTTTGAAGGAGATCGAGTCCTCCGCCGCATCGGGGCTGAAGGATCGTGTCAAGACGCAGGCCGAGGCCTGTATGGAGGAAGCGCGCGTCGCGCTCAAGAATATCCTCGATGTCGTTCGCGACACTATGAATGCCGAGCAGAAGGAAGTGTCGCGTTGCATCGCACCTCATGTTCAGCAGCAGCTTGTCGAAGGGTATGAGGATGCTATGGAGGAACGTGGAACAGGAAGTGTGGCACGCCAGAAGGTTTGTCAAAGAATCGGCTGTGTTCGAGTCTCTTTTCCTGACGGATTCGGTGTTGGTTTCATTCATTCAGGCCGTTTTCCACAAGTTCATTGCTGAGAACAAGGATGGTATTTTCCACGACGGTGCAGACACCGTCATGGAACGTCTCTCTAAGGCCGCGGAATCCGTCGGGGCCGCTTTGAAGGGTTCTCTTCGCGATCTTGCTGAGAAGGTATGTCCTCGCTATGTTCTGACACAACTTGTCGTCCATCCGTCATGACTCATGTTTCTACTTGTCATCCATGTGTAGGTCGAAGTCAGTGTTGCTGTTCTTTGGGAAGGGGTTCGAGACGATGCCGGCCAAGTATCTGCGCGCGCCGAAGTTATAGAGTCTATCGAGGAGATTAATCGTCAGCTCTCGCTCTGGTCCATGGCGAGAGATATGCGCGACGCCTCCGCTGCACAGATTGAAGGTCCTCCAGCCGTTCCAGGGCCTGTCCCGCTCTTGGGCCAGGCTTGAGGCTACGAGCACGCTCTCTGCTATACCTTTTTACCTGCACCCTTCCCATAGCCCCTACTCATCTTCTCGTAGTTTCGCTCCTATCCTCCTTCTTGTGCTCGTACTTCGTTCTAACCTTATCTTGTATACTACCCGATTCGTCACATTCATACGGTGCTGTATGATCTAGACTTTGGATCTTCCGATCTCCCTTGCCCCTGCTCGCTTCTCTTGCTCTTCGCCACACTTTCTCCTTTCATCATTTCCATATGTCCGCTTGCTCACCGGTGTCGCGATTTTTCCATTACACTACTGCCTTCAGTTCGTTCTAACGTCTTCATAGAGTCGTTCTTACACTAGATCCACACTGCAGTACATTACTCACTTCGAGCTTCGGCTCATTGCTCATTGCTGGTTTTCTTTGTCAAGTGTGGCGCTCAGCCACACTGGTCCCACGGAAGCGCTGATCAATGCTTTTACTTTACTCTTGTCTACCAATACCAATATCCATTCTTGAAGGTCATGAATACGTGCATGTTTTGATTGTGTTTTGAGCCTTGAGGTTGTTGTTGCATTTAGGGTGCTGGCCGGGGAGCCAATGCTCACAAGGCCGGAGGACCAGACTCGGCGCTTATGGACGGTTATGGGCGCAGGCAGATACCCACTGTAACGCTTCCGAATCTCGAACTCGTCACCAGATCACTGTACTTAGTAGTGAACCCACAACGCAGTCTTGCGTGATCGGGCAGATCCAGTCGATGGATTCCCATGCTTCAAAGCAACGAACAGCTTGACTGTAGCGTTTCCGAACCTTCAACACTGTAACGCCAAGCCACCAAATCACAGTAGTAGTGAACCCACCACGCAGCCTCGAGTGATCGCGCTGATCCAGTCGATGCACTTCCCATCCTTCAAAGCAACGAACAGCTTGAGGTCAAGGCGACCGTGTCCGAGCGCGTGTGTAAGTTACAGATACACAGTTTCGAGGTTTCGATGGGTATGTTATTTAAAGTCATGTAGGCATGAAGCACAGCACGGGCATCGTGACGATCAGGTAGGGCAGTACAGTACGCGTAAGTGCTGGTAGTAGTACAAGGGGTAGGAACCAAGGAGGAACAAGGACTGGACTGGTCCACGACGATTCAGAAGCATGCGAGCGTACATAAGTAGGAGCATGAGTCAGTATCAGCAACAACACCACTAACGCGAGAAAGGCTAGAAACCGAAGCGACCTAGTCCACATCGTCGTACTCATAAGCATAATAAGAGAAAGGAAAGGAAGCCGTCCGTAGGGAGGCGTACTAAGTGAGGCATACATACTAAATAGTACCAACGTAAAGGCGGCGATGACGGAAATGGGAAAGGCGTGCATGCGACGAATGGCGGAAAAGGCTGCGAAGACGGGGCACGACGGTAATAGAACAACAACAACACAACAACACGCACATTGATGCTTGATGGGGAATACACTGGACAGTAGGGGTGGTTCGAGTAACGGAATAGCAGGACGACAATGATATGAAAAACACGAGGCGAAGGCCCCGGCCCCCAGAGAGCGTTATCAAAACTTCTCGGGCCTGAGACCTATGACGAACAACGAGATGCTCTTTTTGACCAGCTCGTCGTGATCCTCCTTCTCCGTTATGTGCGAGGGCGCAACCTTTCGGGACAAGGTCGGGCGGGTGTGAAGGTCACCAGCTGTTATTAGAATAGATAGGGGGTGATGACCGGAATGGAGGGATGCGAGTCCTCGAAAGGGGATGAGGAAGTTGGCGCGTCCCACTCCGAAGGTTGTTGAAGACGCGACAATTTGCTTCCACATGGGGATGAGGATGTACGTGTGCGAATTCGGTTCGTCGTTCGGACGCGAAAAGAAGATGCAGGGTCGATTTGAGGGTCGAGGGCAATAGGAAGTCAGAAACTGATGGTGGAGAAGGTGGACTATGTGGGATGTGGGATCTGGAATCGCACTCGCTTTACGAGAAGCGGTGGCTCGGGCCTGCCAAAAGGGAGGACTTGCTCAGTAGCGGACGACAGGCCTCCCATGGCGGTCGACTTCGCGTCCGGTGCGAGGGTCCACGTACCGTTCCTTGGAGTGGCCAAAGCCAAAGAAGTGCCGGATGCGCTCAGCGAGAGAAGGCTGGCGATAATGAGTGCTATGAATCGCCGACTTGCTCGCAGTGTAGCTGCGAGTGATTGGTTTGCTTGACTGAAGACACGGACAAGAAGTGTCAGTGGTGTATTACACAGCAGATACGGAAAGCTGAACGTACGCGAGACGAAGAACGGTGCCCGTGTGCACCTGTGCTGTGAGAGCGTCTGTGGTGACGGCTCGAACTCGAGTGGTGAGTTGGGTGAGTGGACGGTGTCACATAGTACGTCGGTGCGTGTCCGGTGTGTGAGTGCGATGCGGATCGGTGACGACTGTGACCATGAGCAGAAGAGCTGGTGGGATAATAATGTGTGCCACCGGAGAAGGAGTTGTTGCGACGATGGCCGCCATCGAGAGAGGAGTATGTGGCTCCAGGTGTGCTATGAGCTTGTTGGTAATACTGAAGATTTGAGCTGCCCGGGTACGGAGCTTGGTACGACGGCGAACGGTGCATGGCCGTTGAGTACGAGTAGCCCGGTGAGCGAGAGTAAGAGCGATGTTGGGAGGGGGAGCTGTGGGCGTACATGTTGGTGGATGTGGGGAAAGGAGGATAAGATTGGCGGCCGACGGGTTCTCGAGGACTTTATATGCAGAAGCGGCTCATGGCGTAATCGTGGAGAACCAGGGAGAACCTCCCATTTCAACGCCACCAATCTCCCGGGACCCACGCCGTTCCTCACATCGCCTTCTTCCTTTTCTCTTCCTTTCTTGTCCTTCATTTCCCACCTCCTTTGTCTCCCCACATCATCCCTCCAATTTTCTGATATACCTGCCACTCAGTCAACCCACCCGTTCATTGTTCAACGTCGTGCTCAGCCCACGCTCTCGTCTTTTTTCGCATCGTTGCTCTCCGCCATCCCACTTGCAGGGCTGTGTCAGCCGATCCCGAAATTGTTTTTCGGAATGCGCTCCCTCGTGTAGAATGCACGACAGGCGGTGCCTCGTGCTCGCAAGCCCGTACACCGCCCCCCGCCTCTGCACTCTTCGCCTTGCAATGAAAACTTTCTGGGAGCTGCTGTGTATCGCTTCGAAGCTTCTCAATTTTCTAGCTTGGGCTCTTCAGCCGACATTTTACGAATTCTGCAGCGCCTTTCATTGAACTCAATCCGTCGCGTCCTCCTCTTCCGCGTGTTTATACGGGGAATGATTGACGACGGAGCACTGCATCAAACTGATGCAAATGATCCGGCCTCACAAATAATCACAAGTATCGGGCCCGGGACAGGTTATCTGCTTTGTTGGGCATCTGTTCCGGGAGGCAAACGCGTTTATCTTGCGTGGTCCTTTGCAACAATACCATCTCTGGCAGTGCATAAGACATATATGCACCGTCCCCCTGCTTTTATTGATGGGCATCGAGGCGACCCCGCAATGTTGTACTCGGTCAAATAATCATAGGCATCCAGGCCTCCGATGAAAGTCGTCTATCCGGACGATGTACCCTCGCACCATGGTCCATCTCGGTTCAACCCGAAGGGCCAGAAAGTCCCCTGCAGGCAGTATGTTCTACTCGTCCAATTTTTGGGGGGATCTGCCAGCCTGCAAGTGGTCGATGTTCTCCACGCATGTCCTCAGATCCATTCTTTATGAAGATGTATACTTCCGTTCAAAGCGCCGTGCCTCCGTGCGCTTCCGCTTTTGCCTCCGATGGACACAGCGCTACTCTTCCAAGCTTACTCGGCTTTGCAACGGGCTCAGAACTTCGACTGCGAGTAAGGGCGCGCAATGTATATTGGGTCTTGACTGGACGCCGATGGGACAAACGACTCAGCGATACGGCGCTGTCGCCGATTACGGCTCACTACAGGTCATCCCCACCTGGCCAACTGGAACTATACCCATCGGGTCTGCTCACTCCCGGTGCGAACACGTTTTCTCACTGCATTGCCTTAGCCGGAACTGTAGTCGGTCGCGTGTCACTTTCACTTGTCTTTGGGGTGAAGCTCTTTGCTCGCCGCATCTCCTTGTAGTGAGCACGTATACCCTTGAGGAATTGTGACTCTAGCTGATCTGTTCAGTTTCTCAATGCATCTCAACCCCACCAAGGAGAGCGGGAACGCTTCACGGTCGTGTATTGACATGGACGGTTTCGACTATTGGGTCGCAGCGGAGACGTATGCCCCCCGACGTTTTCAAACCCCAACGGGTCCCGAGGCTTACACCGCCTCCCCCGGAACATTCAAATGGTAAGTCCATCCGTAACTCACAGCCCACATTATCGAGATGACTCGATGTTTCTTTACGCCTATTTGTACTCCTTAAATCGCATACGTCAGTGCCAGGCTGTGCTTGTCGTCGACGTCAAACCTTTGATAGAGCCGCCCGTTCTGAGGCGGTGGTGATTACGGATTCAATTGACTGAAGGCTTTCGGGTGAGGATAGGAGTAGGATCTGAATTGGCCGTCTCGTCAAGCATCGGGTTGGCCTCCTCAGGCTTGCAAACGTTCCGCACCGTACCCCCACTACTATCTCAAGCAGTGAGTTTTGTTACTGGATGCGTTCTCCTGGGTTGTTCCTGCACATAGTCTTTCGCCTGGTACCAGGTTGGCCGTTGTGAACCCGCGCCGACGAAAGCAGGCCAGCCCCTATCCTTCCTGTGAACACTCGACTCGAACTTTCCGTCAAGCACCCGGATCAAGAACGCTCAAGCAGTTGGGTGGCTGGATGCGTTCTGCTGGCTGTTTCTGCACATAGTCTTTCGCCTGACGCCAGGCCAACCCCTGTCCAGTCTGTGAATACTTGACTCCAACATCCCGTCAAGCACGCGCATCAAGAACGCCAGCATCAACATCACCATATTCATCAACCACCACCAACAACTCAACGCCACTACTACAACAACTCGCGCAGTAGGCTTTCGCTCAAAAGAGACCTCCTCAGCCAGGTACGCCGTCCTTTGACCTGCGTTCCCGTCTCACTCTCATCAAGAACCAGGATTTGGTTCGTTAGCCTACTTCTGCTCCAGAACCCAAACCACATTCCGCACGTCGATGTGCACAAGACTTTCCAGCTATCCCTTTCCAGCCTCCTCGACGACGAAGCCCATGTACCGTGGCCCGTCCCGCCCGTCCATATCCCCGGGTTTGGCACTTTGGTACCAGTACCAAGCTCCAGTTACTCCTCAACCATCACTTCTACCAGTCCCGAGGTGCAGTCACACTACGCACAGCACATTCTTATCCTTGCCACCGTCAATCTTTGCGCCGCAAATCCGAAGGTGCAGGTTAAGAACAGGCGCCACAGTGGCACACGACCAGCCCATGACCAATTGGAAAACCTAGAACCCAAACCTCATTCATTTAATCAAACATACAGCTGCAATCTCTTCTGTAGCGCTATAAAAAGGCACCGACTGAACCCTACTATAGGTACACACACACGCACCAACGGACGCCCACATAGCGACAGTCAGCAGAGGACAGCTGTCGTGGTGCCACGCCACGCCACGCCACGCCTCGCCTCTGCCATGCCCCGACGACAGAACCCGATTCAATTTAGCATCGCCGGAAGGGGTATGCCCAACCTATTCGAGGTCTGCAAAGTCGCCTTCGTCGAGATCATGGGGCTGCATGAGGTCGTTCGAAGGTTCGAGAGTTAGGATGGGCGAAGGAGAACGGTAAAGCGTGTGGATGGGATTAGACCAGAGATCGATCGACAGAAGTGTGACGAGTTGTGTGAGATGAGGTGTCGTAGGCCAAGGCCAATGAACGAAGGCGTTAAAGGATAAGAGGAGGACAGGAGAGCCGTCATCCATCGCGATATAAGCGTGGCAAAGGAACGCGATGACGGAGGCAGCAATGTAACAAGACCAGGACAGCTGTAGGTCAGCATTCATGTACACAAAGCATAGACCACAAAATGACCGCGGGTAAAAGGGAATGGTGGTAAAACGGACCTCCTTCGGCTCCTCGCTCTCTCCATACTGCATCGTATAATCGATGTTGCTCAGTACAATCTCTATCGAATCCGGGTTCGTCAGGTCGAGGGGCAGGAACGATACTAGTGGGTGGTCTTCAATCTATGTTCATGGCACGTGGTGTGACGATGGCAAAGGGACAGAACGAAAAGATGGGTATCCGGGATTGCGGCGCGGCGGGAGCGAAGATACGATGATACGAGGTTGTGGAGAATTGTGAAAAGATGGGATGGTGGATAGGGGTAGATGGTGAAGGCGATGGGAGCGAGAATGCACAGAACGGACGAACAAAACGACGTCATGCGTGGATGCCGGCGGTTCCAATCCATAGTTTGCATGACAGCGTGAGGTTACGGAGTGCGAGAGCAAGGAGGATGCGGACTCATCAGCGTTCTTCTCGGAGGAGATTACTTTGAGTGGAGAGAAGAAAGGGAGCATAGAAAAGAGGAGCGCGCTGTGCCCCGAATGAAAAGGCATCAGGAGCCCTTTCTATCGCAGATGGTGGGATCGAACGATTCAACCAAGACCACCGGGCATTCTACTGATTATATCAAGGTTTACACAACCCGACGAGGTCGAAAGCAGGGGTGCCCCACTAACACCATCCCATCGTATGCAAAATGTTGATGTGGCGCTCATATGACGCCTAGCGCAAGTTGAGATGCCCGTAAGAGAAGATGGTTTGAGACCAGAAGGGCGCCTCTCACGGACTAGAGGGGCGCGACTTTTGATAAGATGAGAAAACGAGAAGACATGCTTACAAGTTGGACGATAGCTTGATTCAATGCATGGAATCGAGGGTTGCCTGGGTTGGCCTCGCCACGTTGCCCGTGTGGTGTTGCCAGCAGAAGAGGGTCGGGCTCAAGATATCTATGGACCAATGGCAAACCCAAACAACATTTTTGGATGAGCGTTTGGACCAGCGGGCGGAAATGAGGGTGGGTAATAGGCGATCGTCGGGCGTCAAGATACCATACTTGACTTTGGTGAGATATAGAGGCGCGCAGATGGGGATGGAGAGAAGTAGGGACCAAAAGGAGGGGAGGACGAACCGTGCAATGTTTCGTCTTGTTCGGATCCCGTTGCGACCTCCTGCAGGATCTTCTGAGGTTCCGCTAACTAGATCCATCTTCGACATGATGTTGATCCACGGGATTTCGAGGTTGACCATTGCGGACATGGCTGAGAGAACACCGCTACACATTAGAAAGTGTTAGAGAAGGATGATTTCCGCAACAGAGGCAAGAAGAAGAGAAGGGGAAGCACGTCGTGTTGTGGCAGGCAGTTTACCGCACATTGACTGACTCGACAATGTTACATTCATTTCCGGTGCCCTATCTAGAGATACTGCAAGCTCAAGAGCAGGCCAGGCCGTTCTGATTCTCTCAGAATAATTTCGCAGCAGGCAGCCGCACATTTTGCATAGCGTTTTACGCAAGGAGGGACGAAGAACTCCGAAACAAGATCGAATGATGTAGATGACTGAAAATACGCTCACCTGAAGAACTTATATTTGTCCTCCATGAACTGCGACTCGAGCAAGTACACGGCACAAGTCCGTACTCCGAGGCGGTTTAACGTTTTTACAAACGTGGGTAGAAATGGATGGTGTGTGTAGAGCTCGATCTGACCTACAAATAGAGAAGGTCATCGTAAATCAGCCTAGAACGACTTATAGGTAGCAGGATGACGAGAAGGGGGTGTAACAGGGCGTACCAGGACAGTCTATTATGAGATAGTCGTCCTCGTACTCTCCGAGCTCTTCCTCGAACCAATCCATATTTTGTAAAAGATACCTATTTGCCAGGTGGTATATCACATAATCAGTTCCATCCCATTTTGAATGACTTGGACCTAGAATGTCTTTTCTTCTGCGCATTCTTGCATTCAAGAGTAGAGTGGCGGCGCCACATTTTCGCTCCTCCAAACATCCAAACCAAAGGACACTCACTCGTACTCACTCGAAACAGTACACCAGTCCACCATTTGGTCCATAACCAAGCTCATTCATCACATCTTCTAGCGAGATCAAGTCTTTGATATCGATAGACGGCGAATACTCGAAGCTGTCTGGTGAGGCGGCGGGGTCGAGGTTAACAAGGTGGGCGGTGCGTTTTGAGGCTTGTAGATGGGTCATGACGGCCGTGCTGAATGTCGATTTGCCTGCACCGGCAGGGCCTGTGACGAAGACTGCATAGCGCATTTTTAGAGGATGGTTGTGTTATGGAGAGGAGCAAGCGTGCAGAGCTGAGCGCGAAGATTGTGGCTGAGGGGCAATTTACGTAAGCAACCTGCAACTACCACCAGCCACCACACCGCCGCTGCTTGCACCTCTTGCAAATATCCACTACAGGTCATATAATGTCTCTGCCACCTCTCAACCCGAAGAAGACGACAGCAGGTATTGCTGTCGATCCCCGTACACTCGAGCGTGTCATCCCAGAATCACGCCGCCCAGATGGAAGGTGAGATCAGGTACTTCCAACACTACATCATCCTCCCCTTTGTTCGTTCTCGCCAGCCAAACACATCCACAAACTTATAATCATGCCTTCTATTGTTATAAACGGCGATCTCACTTCACAATACCACTATCGATATTCTTTCGGTGCCACATCGTGTTCGCGCCACTTGTCCGGCCGATGATCAACCCTACTCCTGCCTTCGCATCTAACTTGCACATAAAACGTCCTCAGTGTGCGTAAACAACTCAAGATACGCCCGGGATATACCCCACAAGAAGACGTCCAGCGTTTTCGCTCCACTCGTCAACAAGCCATCGAGTCTCGCGCCCTTCCAGCTGGCCATATCCCCGGCTGGGTCCCTCCGTCCTCCGCTTCCAAAAAGCCTTCATCTTCATCATCACGCGGGGTACCAGGAGCAGGAGACTTTCCTAGCCTTGGAGGGTCAGGCGGAGGTGGAGGTGCGGGTGGTGAGGGCAAGGCTCTGAGCAAGGCACAGAAGAAGAACGAGAAGAGGAGGCAGAAGAAGAAAGAGACGAATGATGATGAGCAGGTCAGGGATAACTGGGATAGCGATGAGGATGATAAGCCGAGAGGAGAGTCGGGGGCCAAGAGCGTCAGTGCTAGTGCTAGTCCAGCTCATACTCAGGATACGCCAAACACAAGCGAGAAGGACAAGTCGGATTCGGCGGATGCGGATGCGGTGGCAGAGAAGTTGAGCAAGCTCGATGTTCAATGAATTGATGCGGGATGGGAAGGAAAATCTGGACAGGCGAGCGATGTGTAGACGGCTGTTATACAGGGTCTGTTATGTATGACTAGGGATATATAAGCATGATATTACTCGGAGTATTGTAGACGACGGTCTACGTATGTGGGATGCAGATGAGGGGGTGATCATTTAAGCAAATGAGCGACGGGAGAATTCGTGAAGCGAGTGGACGTCAATCGCGTGGGCAGGAAGAAGTGGGGGTTGGCGAGAAGATTATAGGACATTTTACTATACACTGGACATAGTCTTCCACATTCCAAGTCCACACGGGTCTAGCATAAAAAGAACCGGACTGTCCGAGCATGCCCGCATCCTCGGCATATAAACAAGAGGTTATGTCATCGTGTCCATCTTGTCCAGGCCTTCGAAGTGAGGTTGAGGATTATGCTGAGTATTATACATGGTGGGAGGAACTTGAGCGAGTTGCGGAGGCACAGGCTTTGGCCTTGGTCGAAGTTCCATGGACAGGATGATCACGACAAGGAAGGCAGATAATGCAGCTATTGGCAAGGAACGAAGGAGTTGGTTACGGCTTCTTGTAAGAAACAGCGAACGACGGATTGAATGACTCACCAACAGACTTGCGCATATTGTCCCATCTCACTTCTTCCATGTCGGAGCGGAGTTCATAGAGAGAAACGAGTGACTTGTTCAAGATTTCCTGCAAGTCCATAACCAGACCTCAATACAATTTTGCTCTTTTCGACTGTACCAAGAACTCACCTCAATCGCTATGTCTCGCTTCTTCTCTTCATTCTTCTCCTCATTCTTTCGACTATCCACATCCATTTGAATCCTAGATTTCAGCGGAAGCAAAGAGAGAATTACGATATGAGCAACAAAGGCAGAAAGTTCGCGAAAAGACGGACTCGTGTCTGAGAGTCGACAGTTCCTCTTTCATCTTCGCGTCGAGCGCGTCAACCTCTCTCCGTAGAGCAGAGGACTGAGTCTGTATGCCGGCTGACTCGCTACGAGCACGCATGGTCACCTCAGTTCGCGCCTCTGAGAGAGCAGCACGAAATAGGTACGCTTGCTGTGAATTTCACGAAGGGTGGGCCGCAGAAGACAGTCCGGTGAACGCCAGAGGTACAAATATTATTGTCACGTTCACATACATGCAGGTATCATATGAATCAAAACTCACGTTATCCAAGTCCTTATTTGTGAGACCCTCACGCTGTACGCGACCAATACGATCCACAAGCAGAGCTCTCGTCGCGCGCATCAGACTTCGCGCTGTGGCGGTCGGGAATGTCTCCTCGAGCACCTTGAAGAACTGATGGGTATGAAACGGAGGGCTCTGGTACGTGGAGGGTGATATCGGTCCGGACGTCCTCGTATTTCGACCACCATTAAGATGGGGATGGTCGGGGGGTACCGGTAAATGCGACGAGGGTGACGAAGTGGAGGATCCGGCTGCAGAGGGTTGGGATGGATCATTGGGATGTGGGGTGAGAGAGATTTCAGCGTTTGTAGACGTCGAGGAGTTCATAGGTGGTTCAGAGACATTTGAGGAAGGAGAAGTAGCGGGATCAGAGATGGAAGAAGATGTGTGAGCGTCTCTGTGGACGGTTTGCGAAGGGGAGAATGGTGCTGGAGGGACAACAGATATCGCGGTAGACGAAGCGAGGTGCGCTTCTGTGTGCACCGAGCGTGCCAGTCGTTGAAACGCTCTCAACGCTAAGGACATTTCAGAACTCGAACTATTACGACGAGATTAAGGACAGAACCAGTATAGAGCCAGTGGAGGTCAGTGGACAGGCCGAAGTTGCGCGCCTTGCCACGCCTTGCCACGCCTGGTGTGCCACTCTGGGACAGTTCGTTACTTGTTCCCACGGTTGTCGTCCGCCAATCCCGAGGAATGTGGCAAAGCCGAAGACAGAAGGCCGTCATCCATCGATGTTGATCATGTGGCGGTACGCGGATTGGGAGAGAGCATATACAAAATGTATCGTCATTGTATGCAGCATCGTGCAAATCCAACCTCTAGTAGATGATCATACAAGGAATGCGGCGTACACGAGAGACAGTAGATGCGGGGTGTGCATGTAGGTAAGTATGCGAGAGCGAGAAAAAGTAGGTGCAGTGTGTGCGGAGGGATAAATACTACAAACTTCTTGTGGTCGAAACGTCGTCAAACATTAAAAGTATAAAGCAAGTCGGCATTATGCCTCCGGAATCGTAAATATGCGTAGGTGAAGAGAGGGAAAAACTGCGAAGACAACGTTCATGCCCGCGATGGAGAATGGGAACGCGAGTGTTGACGGGTGGCATAGCCTGAGTCGTGGCCGGACTTGGGCACATACTCGGGACGGAAGATAGCATCAAGGAAGACGCCGACGCCGCCCTCGTTGTTGGTGAGGGTCTGGTAGTCAGACGCGCCTGTAGGTACCGGCATGGCGTTGCCCATGGACACAGACATGCCTGAGGCGCGGAACTGTGAAGTAATAATAAAGGTCAGCCAACGGCTATGGAAAATATATAAGAAGGAGACTAACCATGCCAACATCATTCTCCCCATCGCCGAAGGTGATGATGTTTTCGGGGTTGACGTTGTACTTGTTTGCGAAGTACGCGAGGGCGACCGACTTGTCGATGGTGGCGGGGATCAACTCGATGATGTCGGGGAGAGCGCGCGTCATGCGGTAGTCCTCGCCGTTCTTGAAGTGAGCGTTCATCTTCTCCATGTGTTCGTTAACAAGAGCGACCTCCATCGGAAGGACTAAAATTAAGGGTAAAGGGAAGATAGTGATAAGCAACCCGAACAAATAACAACAAAGGAGGATGAGCACTTACACATCTTCGTCACAACTACCTCGCCACTGCGTACACGGTCCATGTAGTTTGTGCCACGCATGTCGCGGATTGATGGGTCGTAGCCGCGGGTGATGGCGTAGAAGTCGAGCGAAGGATGATCCTCGAGGTAGACGCAGTTGACGGAGTCGTGCTCGTAAATGAATACCGACTTGTTGATCCCCTTGAGGAAGTCGGTGACGGCGCAAACGACTTCAGGGCCGATACCCGTCTGCGACTCGATCTTCCCCTCAGGCGTATAGATGATGGAGCCGTGGCAGCAGCCAGAGGGCATGTCCTCCAGCCCGCACACCCGAGCGACGTACTCGCAGGAGACACGCTGCTTTCCGGTCACTGGGACGAATGGAATGTGGGGGTAGTTTTGGCGGACTAAAATCGTACGTCAGCAACTATACTGAGCGAACAGACAAAGGTGGAGACAAAGGAGTCTGGAATGCGGTAAAGGACTCACGGAAGCGGATAGCGTCGGACGTGCGCGGGTTCACGTCGTGAGCGTCGTCGAGGAGGGTACCGTCAACGTCGGAGAGGACAAGCTTGATGTCCTCAGCTTTAGGAAGAGGTTTCGTCGTACCAACGGCGCCCGACTTGCGAGCCTCGACGATCTTGAGAAGGTTTTTCTCAAGCTCAGCGACCGCTGGCTGGCGACAGAAGGTGACTGGAGAGTTGAAGTTGAAGAAAGACATGATAGTGCGTCTAATCGGTGGGATGAGAGTTGGGGTGGTTCGGTGGATGATGCTCAGCTCTTAGTAGCAGTTAAAGAGAGAAAGGGCAAGTTCTACTTGTTTCTCGAAACTGGAAGATATTGAGTAGGTGGAGCGAAGATGAGATGAATGGACGTCAAAAGGGGCGCTGCTCTAGTAATAAATACGGCAGAAAAAAAAACAGGAGATAGATGATGCTCGCCAAGATGGTGGTCACAGTTGTTTTGCAGGCACGAATGAACCCCAAATCTACGTAGAACGACATCGCTGCTTACGAGACGTTGGAGCGGCTCAGGCGAAACACCCTTGCGGAAGAGAGCGGTCTTCTCCGGCTGCTCAAGATAAACATTTTTAGCGCTCCGAGGGCGCGCCAAAGATCCCATCAGTCCAAATCTGTCCCGAGATTTTCGACTCACCGGTGACAAAATGCGTGGCTGTGTCGCGTAGCTGCTCGGTGCCTGTGACCTCCGCCTTGCGCCACAACGCTTGCCGTACCCAAACTCGTTTCTTCCTCGCACAAGCTGGCTCGAATGAAAAATTACTGCTGCATGCTCTCCGCGCTGGTCGCTAGGAAACTTTCTGCGCCTCGTGAGGGCGGAAATGGCTCGGGGAGCACAGGCGCCACTTCCTTACCTACACTGATTATCTATTTTACGGACAACTTGCTGAGGTCTCCACTTCGGGCAGGCGCCTCTATCCGTTTACCCGATCGCGATCCATCCGCACCTCAGATCCTTTTTGTACACGATTGCCGAGCGCGGACAAAGCGAGGAAAATATTTTACGGGGGTTGGATGACGTCGTGACAAACGAACGCAACGCCCCTCGACGTCCATTAATTTGCTAAGCCGTAACTACACATGCACATGCCGCCGTCGGCCGCCAACTCTTCAGCGCCACCAGCAACATTTTTTACGTGGAGAGTCCGCTCCTTTATCTTCAGCGTCATTCATATCTCGAGCACCCACTTATTTTCTCCTTCTCACTTCAACCGCCTTGCACGCAACTTCTCTCTCGACCACCACCTTCACCAATACCACTACTAGTACTACCACCTTCGCCACATCCCGTCTAACTCTATCACTATGGCTTCCTCTCTCGCAAAGATGGCAATGACTCCGGTCGACGGTGCACCACCCCGTCCGACTCCGCCCAAGCGCAGACTCTCAATTCCTTCGGTGGGCTTCAAACGCATCCTCGTCCTCGGGTCAGGATCTTTCGGTTCATGCCTTGCGGACCATCTTGCGGACGTCGGTCACGTCGTGCGTATCTGGTCGAGAAGTCAAGAGACCGTCGACACTTTCAACAACCACAACCGAAACAACAAGGTATGGCGGCTTCCCGCTCTGAGCGTGGCGCTGTAACTAAAATTGACCCCTCGTATCCGCTCAGTATCTCACGGATCACGCCTTCTCGAAACGCCTTCGGGCAGTCGGTCCTGACTTCCCACCTCTCGAAGACCTCGAGAAATTTGACGTTCTTGTCTTCGCCATCCCAACGCAACATATGGGGTTCGTTCTTCCACATACTGGTCTTCAGAACAAGACTAATTTTCTCGCAGTGGGATTCTCCAAAAATGTGGGGCTTTGTTCAAGGCCGAACAGACTGAGAACTCGCGGCTGCCCCTGCTCGTCTTCGCTAACAAGGGTATCGAGATTGGCTCTTGCTACCTTCCCATCGAAATCATTGGTCAGTCCTTCTTCTGGTGATATCATAAGTTGTTACTGACGTTTCCGTAGAGCGCGAATTGGGCAAGGAGGTCGCCCGTACTTCGACTTTCCTCTCGGGACCCAGTTTTGCCAAGGAAGGTTGGTGTGTTTTCTATGTCGTCATCCTAATCTCCACTGACGGCTTTTCTCCTTGTTAGTTTGTCAGCGCATGCCCACTCAAGTTACTATCGCGTCCTTCTCTTCGACTCATGCCGAGCTTGCCTGCGAGGTCTTCCACCAGCCCCACTTCCTTACATTCTCCTCTGCCGACCCAATCGGTGTTGAGCTCGCCGGCGCCTTGAAGAATGTTTACGCCATCGCATCTGGCGTCTCCACTGGTCTCGGTTTTGGTCAAAACACTCGCGCTGGCCTTGTCACTCGCGCGTCCGCTGAGATGCAAATGATCGGCCAGCAATTCCAAGCTGACCCAATGACGTAAGTTGGCTCTTCCCGCTCTCCCGCCTCGTTTTCATAGTTCTAACATGATGCTTTTGTTGCACAGGTTCTTGTCACTGGCTGGCATGGGTGACCTTTTCATGACGTGTGGCTCCGAGAACTCGCGGAATTTCACTGTCGGAAGACGTCTTGGACAGGGCGAGGACCTCAAGTACATCCTCGAGACCCTCGGATCTACCGCTGAAGGTGTCGAAACTGTCAAGGCTGCTCACGAGCTCCTGGAGCGCATCGAAGTCAAGGCGCCGATCGCAGAGGCTGTATACGACCTCCTATATGGTGACATGAAGTACGTCATCTTACTTTATGTACACTCCTCTTTTACTGACGAAAACACCTCATTCTTTTTGTTCTCTACAGAGCCGACGATCTCGCTCAACGTCTCATGGGTCTTCCCTCTATGCCCGAAAACCTTCGTCCAAAGGTTCGCCGCAACTCTCACTCGCAGCGCTTCTACGACAGCATCGGCCACATGTCCCCCCACGTCACACCCGATGCCTCTCCATTCGCCACTCCTTCTGGTTCGCCGACAGGCTCTCCCAAGCTCGGCGCCACGAAGGTCTCTGGCTCGCCAGGCAGTACCTCTCCGAGGAACTCGTCCAGCAACGGCTCTCCTACCGGCTCTCCTCCCAGCGAGAATGGCCCGAACGGAAAGTCGTGGCTCGCGAGCCGTGTGCACTCTGGTCGGGGCGGGAACTGATCTGTTCGTCATCTTGCCGTCAGCGTCGTCGCCTGCGTAGATGGTGTTCTCCAGTATCCATATAATGTATTCTTTATCCGGAGTGTTTCGTCGCTCATGTATCTTGTACCGTGTCCGCATCTCCGATTTGTTTTCATACCGTCGCCTTTCTCCACCCTTTTCATCACTAATCCGCATATCGATACCCGTACTTCAAAGACGATGATTAGAAACCATCGCACGCATCTCTATACGTCCATACTCGCATCGTTTTTCCTTCACCGTATCAGTATCTAAAAAGAAATTTTGTCGTCGTTGATGCGAACACACTAAGCTGATAGTTGTAGCCACTACAGACGTATACTTCCAAAAATGACATCCATAGAGATTCGTCTTCCACCATCAACTGCGTCACCGTGTGCCTTCCACGGTTAACATATGCCTTGTCTTAATAGAAGACTCACGGCTATAAACGCCGTAGACGAATAGAATCTTCTATGTACTACTCCGGAGTACCGGTAGTGGCTCACTCGTGTGAGAAGACGAATGTTTCATGACGCTGCGCCACACGCTATCGAAGATTTGGCGTAGCATCGTGCCCTACTTTCGCAAGAGCTCGTTCAACGTCCGTTCCTCGATCCCTGCAATTGTCTGACGGGTGGCTCAGGGGCAGATAGGACGACCCGTTCTTCCGCGGCTACGGGGAGCTACGGGCGCTATTGTTCGACCATTTGAGCTTATTTCGCGCACGTCCGAGTCAATGTTTCGAAATTCTAACCATCGATGTGAACAATCTTTCCATTCCGAGCACAACCCTCCAACTTTCAACAGCCCTTCCGACGACGAATATGCAATACCTGGCAAAGATGTTGCGGTGGCGCACGACGGCAGGTGGGTAACCGACTCCAGTTGCAGGCGGTCGTCACTTCAGAAAGGAAGAAAGGAAAAACGGAGATCATCGGAAGGCCCTGGAAGGCCTTCCTTCCGAATAATCCAACAACATCTCTCAGGCTCATGACCGTCAGACAAGCAGCGTGAAGATGCGACATTCGGAAAGTTGGAGCATGATATGACGGTGGTCGTACGTAGAGGTAAAATGAAACGTGGTGGTACAAGCGAAACATATGGTCGATGCTTCTGTTTCTGAACTTGTGAGTATGGGGGGTGGACGTTGCGGCATCGATGCATCCCGTGCCTTGCCAAGGGAAGAGAGATCTTTGGAAGAATAAGTGGCGTCGAGGAAGGGTGGCACAACGACCTGTAACGGTCGTGATCGTCCACCCCTCTTTGTGGCGCCCTTTTTGGCAAGCGAACATCCTACAAAGGTCGCCGTTCAAGTTCAACTTACAGAACCTAAACGACGGCCAGACGATCTCCTGAAAATCACACGCGCTGAGGTCAGCTGGCCTCATCCGAGGCAAAAGTCTTGACTTTCTCGTCGACGCCACATACCAAGACTGCACTGGTGACCACGACAAGCACCACAACAAGACCTCCGAGTACTGGTACCGGTGACTCTGCAATATAGCTTCAGATCCCAAGTCAGATCAGTGCCGCAGGATTGAGGCCATCATATGACCAGAATTATTGGCATTGGAGTCGACATCCTACACCTCCCACGTCTAGTCTCGTTGACCTCCCGACATACATCCGGTTCGTCGCGCCTCGCAGCTCGTATCCTTAGCCAGCAAGAACTCGCCCACTGGAAGGAGATCGATGACTCTAAGGACCAGAGAGATGCTTCCTTACGATTCTTAGGAGTCAGGTAAGTCTGTCCGGCAATCGAACCTGTGTTCCCGATTCCTGAGGCTCCTTTCTTGCACCGTGTCATTCTTTTCTATTCTTATTCTATGCTAGGTGGGCAATCAAGGAGGCAGCGTACAAAGCTGTGTATCCTGTCATGAAACCGACTTGGAAAGAGTTCACGTTCCTGAGGATACATGACGACGTCGCGAACTTAAAACCGGTGCTGGAATATCGACCGTTGAAGGTCGACCGAGGCGAGCCTGTGGACAACACTGTGATGAAGATGCACGCATCTGTGAGCCACGATGGAGAATATATTTTCGCCACCGTACTCGCTGAGAGGGTATGATGGGGAAGACCAGTTATAGGTTCAGCCTCGTTCAGGTTGATTCGGCAGACTAACAGAATCGCCGAAGTTCGTGTGAGTGAAGAACAGCATAAAGTTCACGACATGCATATGGATGTTAACTGATGTAGCTCCTGTAGGACCGGTGCATGAAGAACCACCATCATTCATTCCGTATCCAAACTCCCACTCTCCTCTGGCGGCTTCTGAGGCCACCAATCAGGCCAGTACGGTACGACACCCCATCTATTTTCCTCGGCCACCTCCTCCGTCTTGTCACGTAACTCGAACTTTAACCTTCCATTCATAACGCCATCCACATGTTCTAATCTCAGCAACGCAAGTCCTAGACCCTTATCCGCCACTGTACTGAGAAGTTTTCCGGTGCCCCGAGGACGAGCGACACGACCTTCCGTCGGTGCCTGAGTGAGGGAGGCATGAATGTCGAGGCCTGAAGGGAAAGGTGTCGAGGATGACGTAGGAATATCGGTGGGAACATCACCAGGGGATAATGGCCTAAATAAGGACTTTGTGAGCTTGGTGCTGCAGGAGAACCGGAACGAATGAGCGTACCGATGAAGTATAACAGGCAGTATTCGTTTACGAATGACGCCAGTATGATAAGTGCGGACGGTCAGCTCTTGACCAAGATAGCAGCCTTTCCTGAAGTCAACTAACACATGTCTTGATCAGCTGCGTGAGTATATTGTCCAGCAGCATCGAGACATACCTCCACCCATAAAGTCCATGTTCGAGTCCATAGGAAATGCCTGTCCTGGTGGAATATCTGTCGGACCCTCTGGCACACCGTGAATTATACGGTGCAGTGTGTAATCCTCGAACGGCACTTCGTCATGCGAAGAAGACTCCTGCGCTGCTTGAGTAAGATCCTGAACAGAACTCATTCAATGACAGTAAGGGCTCACGTTTCTCGCCTTTCTTCACCAGCCTTCGTGTTCCCATCCCAGGGGCTCTCCTGTCTTTGATGAACATATCTTCTGAGCCCCATGGCCACTCCTCGGTCTCCCATAATGGTTCTGCGACGCCACTCCGTGCCCACGACCATCTTCGTGCGGGATTATCCCAGGTATGGGAGTCACCCCATGCGGCCCAGAGATCATGTTCCTGAGTGACGTCCCGAATACGAACCTTTGACCGTAATACATGACGCTTCAACATTGGCAAGAGCTCTGGGATGTCTGTCTCAGTGGAGGATGGAGGAAGAGGAGAATATTCTAGGAGGTAGGCCGGTTGCGACTTCGCATCGCGGGTTGTATGAACAAAGACATCGTATATTACGCGTCCCTATCCGTTAAGAATGATAAGATACAACAATACCATGCAATTTCGAGGAAGAACGCACCTGTGCTTGCAGAAAAGCAGAGTAGAAAGGGCCATGGGGAGGATTAGTCACGGACGTTGTGAGAAGGCCATTAAGAAACTCAGACGCCTGTGAGCCCGACACAGATATAACAGCTCTGTTTGAGATACGAGCTAAGGTTGGTGTACGACGAATAAGCGAACGAACAGATGCTGGCGTCGTTGGCATTGTCGACGGTGGCGAACAAGCAGCCTTGGATTTCTCAGCGAAGTGGCGGGTGACATCATCCGGCATGCCGTTCCGTGGCCCGCCGTTCCGGTCTCTCTCGGACGTGGCGCTGCAACTGCAGGGGGCCACCGTTGTTCACCGTTTAACGCGATGTCCAACTACTGCGAACCACTCGTCCAAGCCCTCAAGGACTGCCTTCTTCACTCAGATTGCGTCCTCAAACAAAATAAACTCCCATCGGATTGCTTGAAGAATCATATTAACGAACTTCCGGAGCAGTGCCGCCAGCTACGGCAGGCTACCTTCGAGTGCAAACGGGGGATGGTGCGTCCAATGGGTTTCCAACACATTGATGTATGTGCTCATGCTTGGAAACTATCTGTTTGAATTAGCTGGATATGAGGAAGAGGTTTAGGGGGAATAACGGAGGCGCTACCTTGCACAAGACCCGAGAAGATTTTGAAGAAGATCCTGTCGCTATGAGCCCTAGTGGAACCGCAGACGCACCGATATCATGATACATTATCGGTGACGAGAATACCATCACTACCCTGTCCGTCACCTCAAGCACTGCATCTCAGGTTCAGAGACTTTGAATGTCCAAGGAGGATTGTACGTAGATACGAGAGGGCGTCGTTCAACCCGTCTAGATATACCTCGTCAACCCTTGTGCCAAGGCTCATGCAAGGTACATTATTCTACGAAGCTAGTGTGCGTTCGTGCGTCCAGCACTTGCTTGAACTCTGTGAGGCCACATCGAACAGACTCAAGAGAAACTGAGTGGCGAGTCAGATGATGCCCGATTGAGAGCACGTGCACCTCATTTTGATCGTGTTTTCTGACGCGTCTTGAGATCTGCGTTCACTCGCGACTTGTACATAGGAATCAGAGGAAGACTTTGTCTCAGCCATAGTCCACTCCATCTGTCTTTGTTCTGTATTCTTGCTTGAAATACCACCATCTTTACCCATTTCTTTCCGCATCGCTCATGACGGAGGCATCCGTCGAATACATCGCCGCCTCGGCGAACAGATTTCATCATGCGGCAGTTAATGACTCGTCCTCTCTCATCGTCTATGGCTCTGGAAAGTTTGTTGCGCTCTGGGATACTGAGGTGTGCTTATTATCAACAGTGATTTTACCGCAAAAGTCCTTTCATCATAACACACGCTACTATAGGATCCTTCCGACCGGGGCGTTTACTCCACTCTTGTTGGCCACACTGGCCTCGTAACCTGCTTGAAATTTATCGATGGTCCGCAGGGTAGGCTTGTCAGTGCAGATGACACGGGAAATGTTAGGATATGGAGAAGAGAGGGGACCAAGGCATGCTCGTTTACTGTAAATATGTTCAAATCATGTACTGAAATTTTACACTGTTCCCGCCTGTCATCTGTTCGTGGAACCAGTTCAAATCTACTCTGAACGTGCAAGCACATTCGAAATCGATATCTGCACTTGGATATCACGAAGGATGTTTGGTGACAGGGGCTTCAGATTCTTCAATCAAGGTGTGGCAACTGGGTCCTGATGGTTCGTTCTTTGCGTTTCACAGTAGCTGTTTTGAAACATAACAAAATAAATGATTGGGTAGATGACTTGAAGGAGGTGCAAACGATTTCACTCAAGAATAAATATCCCCTCTCTGTGGAGCTTGATTTCCTTCCTGGTACTAAAGGTACGTCTCTCTCCGTTCATGAGTAACTCAGCTGCACCCTTTGACCTCTTCATTGTGTAGCCAGAGTACTCGCTATCGGCACAACGAGCCCAAGCATCCAGATCTATACTCGTTCAGAGGATCAGGTATACCCCACATTCATTTGCCGCTCATCACATCCTTGACAGTAATCTATAGTTCGTTCTATCGGCGACGCTTTCTGGCCACGAAGACTGGGTCCGTTCGCTCTCATTCCGACCACCATTGACATCCCAAGACTCTGCTGTACGGTCAGACCCTCTGATTCTCGCCTCCGGTGCTCAAGATTCTACCATCCGTCTGTGGAATATCGAACCATTTTCAGCCCAAAAGTCGGATCGTCCCGACAACCAGGGAAAACCTCAATTGACGGATGAGTTGCTTGATGCCTTCGAAGCGTCGTTGGGTGAATCGAATGCCGAAGAGGGTGGAAGACAGATCTCGTTGAAGAAGCATGTACTGACCATCACAGGCGACGATGGGAGGTCAGTCCCATTCTCGTTATTTCTCTGGGAAAGCATTACCGACCAAACAACGATCCCAGTCCACAGCAGTTCTCAGTCACCTTCGATGCACTCCTCGTAGGCCATGAAGCTGGTGTAACTTCTCTATCATGGCGACCGGACCTATCATCCTCATCATCTACGAACGGATCATCACCCCCATTGACTCTCCTGTCCACATCAACAGACTCATCCCTCATCCTCTGGTCTCCCTCCCCCATCCTCACCACCCCAAATCAGCCAACCGAAACAACGACAATCTGGGTCAACCGTCAACGTTTCGGAGACGTTGGCGGTCAACGATTGGGAGGTTTCGTCGGTGGGATCTGGGCCAGGAGTGGGAAGGAGGCACTTGCGTGGGGATGGGCGGGCGGGTGGAGGAGATGGAGGGCCGACGAATCTTCTGGTGCAGGAGGTGCGGCGGAGATGTGGACTGAGGTTGGAGCGGTTACAGGACATGCGGGTCCTGTTAGGGGCATATCGTGGGCTCCAAACGGAGAGTATCTCGCTTCGACTGGGTATGGTTTTACTCGTTTCACCGAAACGAGAGTAACGAGCTGATCGGTTATATATTTCATGTAGAATCGACCAAACGACGCGTATACACGGCGCTATTCCCTCCTTGCTACCGGCTGGAACGAAGGCAGTAGCATGGCACGAGCTCGCGCGTCCTCAAGTACATGGATACGACCTCGTCGGGGTCGCCTTCATCGATGTACTCAAGCTCGTTAGCGTCGCGGATGAAAAAGTAGCCCGCGTTTTTGAAGGTCCCAGAGCATTTGTGAAGACCGTCAAGGGTCTAGATGTTGCTGACCTTGGAGTGGATGAGGTATGCGTTGTCTGCAGATAGTTTGTTCGTAGCGGATACGGAAAAAACTGAAGAGGGATTTGGCACAGGCGGATCGGCCAGTCGGAGCCAGCGTCCCACCTCTTGGGCTGTCAAATAAGGCCACCAACGATAGTGAGCTTCCTCCCTCAATGACTATCCTCAGGAATACTCATATTTTCTGTAGCCAACGCGCAGCCTTTTACCTTTGACGGCGAGGATGAACACCTCAGACGCCCATTCGAAGGAGAATTAGCGGCCATGACTCTATGGCCCGAGATTGAAAAGGTCTTCGGACACGGTTACGAGGCATGTTATCTCCCTTCAGCGCCTTCCTCTCGATACACTACTGACCCCTCCTTCATCACCCTTGACCAACTTAAACAGTCAATCACAGTCTCCATCTCAAACTCGCGCAAACTCATGGCCACAGCCTGCAGAGCCACAACCGCAAAACACGCCGTCGTCCGCCTCTACGACACCGAGAAATTCCACAGCGTTGGCGAACCTCTCGAAGGCCATGCTCTGACCGTAACTCGGATCGCGTTCAGCCCAGATGATAGACACGTTCTGACTGTCTCGAGAGACCGGACGTGGCGATTGTTCAGAGTCAAGGAGGAAGGCGTGGGTACGAACTTGCCCTTTAAAGAGCATGGAGACGTTAAAGCTTATGTGATATTCGTATTGTTGGACAGGATACGTCCCTGTCGCCGCGGACAAGTCCCACACCCGTATCATCTGGGACTGTTCGTGGTCTCCCCAAGGCGATATATTTGCAACAGCTTCGCGTGATAAAACGGTACGCATCCCATACTCCGATCGGCTGTCAAACCCATGTCAAAACTAACTCACAAACGTACCACAGGTGAAGATATGGACATTAAAAGAGACCACTGACGCAGAAAAGTGGACGGCGACGGCGACAATCAAGTTGAAGGAAGCGGCGACGGCAGTGGCATTTGGGAAGGACCACGACAGCCAGTGCGTCTGACTTGGAACTCACGTTAGTTGTTTGTTATGTGTTCGCTGACTGTGCTTGTATGTTTTTCAGACGCGTCCTTGCCGTAGGTCTCGAGACGGGCCACATCCATATCTACACGGGCGCCACTCCAGCCAACTGGACGCTCTCGACGATTGTCAACCCTGGGTGCGTCGCCTGTCCCACTTCTTTTACCTTCGCACCGTCTTATTAACTTCACCTCTGACGAAACTCTGGCAACGCTTTATCAGGATGGCGCACATAGACCAGATCTATCAGATGGCATGGCGGCCGGACGTGGGTGAGAACGAAGAATTGAGACATTTGGCGAGCTGTAGTGAAGATGGTACATTGAGAATACTAAGCATCCGGCTAGGTAGAGGTTGAGAATTAAAATGAGGACCTAACACCATCATTTGGGGAGGGGGGTGGGACGCGTGCAGGATGAGAAGAGGGTGCGGTGAGGTGTGGCGTGTGGTGTGGGCGTTAATACGTGGGAGCGTTAAAAGGGTGGGAGGGGACGAACGAAACACAATTCGGAAACGAAACAAGACGAGCATCCAAGGACAAAAGACAAAAGACAGACGGACAATCGAGAAAGCAAGCGGAGGGACAAATTATACAGTATGAGCGAAGCAAGCAAGCAAGATTGGATTGGCAGATGATGAGATCGATATCATCCCCCGATCTCGTAGCGAGACCGGAAGGGGGCTGGGTGCGAGTAAGGAGACAGAGTTTAGTTATGTTGTGGGTTGCAGCAGGAAGAGGGTATAGCACAGAATGTACGAGACTCAGGGTGATATAACAGCAGCGGAGAAGAAACGAGATAGCAAGAGCAGCTTTAGGGATACAAGAATCGAGACAAAGAAAGAAAAGTCATTCAAACGATATCGCGCAGACTCATGGGAACTTCAGGCTGCAAGGGGAAAACCATGTCAGCTGCTTGTGTGGGATTAAGGATGGTTAATCTGAAAACGTACGCATTTAATCCTATGGGAAATCAGGTCAGTTTGAAACGCGCAAATGTGCAACAAGACGATTGACGTACTTATAGAAACATTCTATGGAGCGAAGCATTTCAACGTCGCCACCGGTAGCGGTGACGAAGTTCACGATGACCCCTGCACGAGCATGGGTAGGAGCGATCGCAGGCGCAACACTGGGACAAGGTGATCAGCAACTGTTCCATTGTATCATCACAATAGTTGAACATACCGATGGGCGTACTCCTCAACCGCCTTGGGTAAATCTATTTGAATTCAATGCATTAGATTGAAAGGTGAGGGTGAACCATGCCTAAGTGAACTGACCATAGTTAATGATGAGTGGGATATGAGAAATCTCTGGGCTCTTGATCTGGACGTCGTAGACAACGAGGGCCTTGCTCGTAAGCGGACGCATAAGACCGCTCGCAGTGCCACGGAACTTGTTCAGGGCTGTAAGCTTAGCAGCTGCGTTCATATCACCGTGCTGTCGCCACTCAATTCAGTCTCACGCATACGACACACGGAAGAGAAAAACGCACCATCGGGATAGCATCCAAACCCCGACTCGCCAATCTATAGACGACAGCATCCAACGCGGCCATACCGCCTACGTGGACGATCGCCTGTCCTACCTCGATATCTTCAAACAAATCACTCAACGCGTCAAGCTTCCACTCGCGGGCTTGCACAGTTTCAGCGTTCGTCGAACCACGGCCGGAACCGATAATCCCGAGTCCACTACCGGACGACGAGGAGACCGAATCCGAGCGACCTCCTGCTGTGAGAGCAAGGTATAGATAAAATTGGCGAAGACCACGAGCCCCTTGGGTTGTGTCCGCATGTGTGACGTTCCCGTCGCGCCTAACGAGAACGCGTACAGGTTCTCTGAGCTGGATAGCGGTAGCGAGGTTGAGAACATCCTGAGGAACAGTGTTCGAGAACAGAGCGGTCTGCCTTTCGATTGTCCCCGATGGACCGGTAATTCCTTCGGATGGATTTGGTGAGGTGCTCAGGCCCGAAAACCTGCGTCCGTTGGATGGGAAAGGAGCTGACAACGACGACGGACTTGAGTCCATTGAGGACAGCGAAGTCTGAGACGAAGAAGTCAGGTTTCCAAGTGGGCGACTACGTGGTGCGGGAAGAAGCTTGACGATGTTGAAGATGAATTCATGCAGGTTACGAGCAATAAGCTGATCAACTTCATCCAGAACGAGCAACCGAACCTGGGATCCGACCAGTCCTCCAGGCGCAGTGAAGAGAGCGTGGAGCTTCTGTGGTGTGCCGCAGATAATATGTGGCATATTTTGCTGGAGCAAGCGTAACTCTTGAGTGAGATCAGTGCCCGCAGAGGGCGAGCCGACACCAAGAGCCGAGCGTATACCGATAGGACCTCCCAGATCGCGGATCATGCGTTGAGCCTGGGTAGCTTGGTCCACCGTCGTTGACACCATGACCACCACGGGTCCACGAGGGGCCGGACGGCCGGTTGTATTGACGAGGGCGACGTGAATGGCTGGGATCACATATGCGGCAATACGTTCCTGTGTCGGTGGTGCCTGCGCAATGATATCCGCTCCACGGAGCAAAAACGGAAGGGCGCGTTGCTGAATCTTGTTCGGAGGACCTACGCTGTTGAGAATCAAGGTTCAACGACCGTATGGACCATGACAAAAATCACAAGACTAACCCAAACTTAGTCAGTGAGTGAAGTAGCTCAGGAGCGAGAGCAAGCTGGTCCCACTTTGATAGTGCAGGGCCTTCACGGGAAGACCCCGACAAGACATCAACCTAGAGAAGGTTTTAAAATGGTGGACCAATAAGGCGGAACGGGAGGAGAGACGTACACCGGCAGAATCCCGTCGCATAAGATTGGACACGGAGCGACGTTTGTCACGCAATAGCGAGTCGGGACGACCTAAGGAGCCCGCACCATCAGGCGGCCGCACGGGAAGATCGAGGCTGCCTGCAGACCAAGTGCGTGCCGGAGGATTAGGAGTCCTAGACGGTCCACGAAGATCGGGCCGGTTGGGTAGTCCGTGGCCGATGATAGCATTCGAGGCGGGAGGCAGCATTTGATTCGGCGCAATGTCGATCTGAGAAGGACTGAGAGCAGAAAGAGGACCACCTCCGAGGCCGGCGTTGTTGGCTTGCATATGTTGCTGAGTCTGCAGAGCGAGGAGTTGCCCGACCGAGCTCGTAAGCGTAGTGAGGCGCTGCGATATCTGCGTGATATCGTCCGAAGGTTGATTGGGAGCCAGGGAGATCGATGGACGGGAGCCATTGAGCGGTATAGAAGGTGTAGATGGCGCGAACGGGTTCTTGAACTCGGGTTGAGAGAGGGGTTGCGCAGGAGATTGAGTCGCCTGATTCAATATTCGCTCCACCAGAAAATCCATCTTGACGTGTAGATCGCTTACTTCCCTCTGTATCTCCTTGGAAGTCATCTCGCTACGAGCGAGACGGTCCATCAACTCATTAATTAGGGGGGAAGACCTGAGCTGCGCCTCGAAACCCGACGAATGCTCGATGCTCGAAGCGGGCTGACTACCCGAATCCAACGACGACACCGGCGAGGAGGAAGTCACGATGACATGAGCTGGATAAGGCGACCGTGAGGTGTTACGGATGTTCATGGCCGAGCCCTGGCGCAACAGAGGGGTACCGGTACGTGGCATGAAGCCCTCGTCACTCTTGGCGTTAGAAAACCTGTCCTCCGCGCTAGAGAAGGTGTCGACGCTGCTCGAAAGACTCGATTCACGGACGAGACGTGTTTCGTGTGGTAGGAAAGCCTTGTCGCTGTCGAACGAACGAGGTGTGGGAGACTCCTGCATCCAGTCCGGACCTGGCGGAGACTGCTGGAAACGAATGCCCGCGTTCTGAGAGCCATTAGGAGCGTCCGAGTTGAAGGATGGGATAGGAGAGGACCGAAGAGAGCGGTAGTCGGTCGGAGAGATGGAGAGCGAGATACGATCCTGGTCGTGATTGCCCGTGGGTGAGGCGAAGGCCATGGTGGGGCCGCCGTCGTCGTCTACAGAGCGCATTCCGCCCGGGAAGAATGGCATCGACGTCGGGTTCAAAGCAGCGCTCTTTGCCATGATCGCTCAAGCGCGTTCAAAGGAAGCACGGCTGAAGACGATCGTGCGGTCGGATAGTGATGACGCTCGGTCAGTGTTCGCTGTCGGCTGGCAACATCTTCAGTAACGATGTTCTGGAATAGCGGTATCCAGACAAGAGCAAAAGAACTGACTGGTTAGAACAAGGGAAATGAGCGTGATCTTAGACAGATCCCATGTGCAGGCGAGCACAGACGAACGACGGCTCGACAATCGACCGTCAACTTGCAAGCACCGTCAGCACTCCGTCCGTGTGCCGGCTGCGTTTTGATGGATATTTCCGACCCCCCACCTGCCCTCCGTCCGACCTTGTGCGCGCCCTGTGTGCCCTTTATTATATCATTAAATAATGAGCATCACAGCTGTATTGATTTCCACCTGTCAAAGAAGGTCAAGACGAGCAGACCTGAAAGCCTGTGGCAAAGGAGCCTCAGAAGCAGTCAATACTTCGACGCCACACTCGGCTAACAAGGAACAGCCTGGAGTAGCTCGCGTTGCCACACTCGTCTTGTCCACCATGTCCACCGTCCCCCATATCCAGGCCTACCGGAAGGTCGTCAGAGAGGTCGCGAAAGCGGTAAACTACTCGTCTAACCTATCCCCTCGAAACCAACTCATCTCATGATCTTCCTGCTCGCATAGTCCATCTCGCCACCGAAAACACGGAGCAAAACCGTCCCCACCAACTTCCGTGCCATCTTCGAGCAAGGCGCCACGAAGGCCAAAACATTCGAATATGACATGGCTAACGCTATAACATTTCTGGAATCACAGAGAATGTACAAGGTGTCGTGTGTTCAGTATCTACATGTTGACAATGCATGCTGATCCTCCCTCCAATAACTGAACAGACTCTACTAGACCGATATAATCCTCTGATCGACCTCACAGGCGAGGAACGTATAGAAGCTACCGCTCGTCGCGTTGGATTCAACATGCCTATCACTGCCAAGGACGATGGCAAATCAGAATAGACGGTGACAGATTCTAGTGTCAGACGGATCCCAAGTGTCGTGCTTTCCTACTACATGAATGGGAATCTTCGTTACTGCTGTTGGATGCGTAGCCAGCATTAATATCATATTACAGTTCCCTTCCTTACTGCATCATCATAGATGAAGCCCAACAGCTCCTGACTCGTTGAGGCTCGAAGGTCCGAGTACTCTGGAGTGGGCTGGGCAATCCTGTGCAGGTCCAAGCATGGGAGCCGCCTGCCTATAATAACTCATCCAACATTAGGCGCCAATCATATCTGCCTCCCCAACTTCAACCTACACCTCTTCACTCAACCTCACAAACTATTCACACTATGTCCAAAGACTCCTCACACCATCCTTCCTCAGATATGGAGGCTTTCGCGAAAGTCCTCGCATCCTCGAAACACATCATCGCAGTTGCAGGCGCAGGACTATCTGCTGCATCTGGTAAGTATTATATTCTTAGAGGAAACGAGCTTCCTTCTGATAGACACTGTTGGATCGACAAACGCTTCGTGAATTCTTAGGCATTCCTACTTTCCGAGGTGCTGGAGGCATGTGGCGCAAATACGATGCAATAAGCATCGCAACCCCTACGGCCTTCGTGCGTGCCTGTCCCTCCTCCTGCATACCCTATATTGACCATGGACTCACTTGTCCGCCCAAGTAGGCCGCGAATCCCTCAAGAGTCTGGCAATTCTACCACTATCGGCGCGAGAAGTACATATCCTTCCATTCAAGTCCTCCGACTTCACTTACCAATCTCATATCACAGGGCATTATCCGCCAACCCGAACGACGCACACACAGTACTCACACTTCTCTCGCTCCCACCCCTACGGCATCAGCTAGCCCCTAGTTCTACCTTCACACTGATAACGCAAAACGTTGACGGTCTGAGTGAGCGGGCACTTTCCGACATCAGCGCCACCTTCGAAGCGTCCGGCATGGACATCAAACCCGCCCCTGGCGAACAGCCCCGCCTACTCGAGATGCACGGTAAACTGTTCGAGCTCACCTGCACTTCCGCACATTGTCGGCACTCTGAGCTCAACTTCGAGTCTCCTGTGGCTAAAGCGCTTCAGGGAACGGAGGACCTAGTTGAGGCGGGAGAGATGGAGCCTGATATTCCGGTCGAGGATCTTCCGCGGTGTAAGAAATGCGGGTCCCTGGCGCGTCCTGGGGTCGTATGGTTTGAAGAAATACCTAAGCATCTGGAGACTATTGATAAGCTCGTTGGAGAGGCCGATCTCTGTCTCGTCATAGGCACTTCCTCGACTGTAAGTATACCAGGCTGCCCTGCTCCTCCAGCCCCCTGACTCACTGTCATGCATAGGTGTATCCAGCTGCAGCCTACGCTGAAGAAGTCCAGAGCCACGGTGGACGCGTGGCCGTGTTCAATCTCGAACGTAGTCAGGGTGATGAGGCCGCGGATTTTCTCTTCCTGGGGCCATGCGAGAAGACGCTTGCGAAAGCTTTTCCTTTCAAGATTGACTGTTTATGAGATGTATCTCGCGAAGACTGCATAATTCGCTGTATGAGTAGTAGGAGTTGCTGGTCGTGGCGATCATATCTAGCAGATTGGAATAGCGGTGGTATTGCAAAATAGCATAGAGCCCCGAAAGAAAGCGCAGGATGACTGGTTCGAACTATCCAACAGCCACCCAAACGTCAGCTTCTGAGATGTATCATACAAAAGAGAAAACTACGCACTCAATGCTTCCCTCCCTCACCCTCACCCTCACCCTCAGCTATCTCACGCTCCTGCCTCAACCGCTCCTGCACCTCCGCCCACCTCTCCTGCAAAATTTCCAACCCCGGCTTCCTCACCGCCTCCGTCCCATACAGCGCCTGAAAGACCTGTTCTATCCTCCTATTCTTTTCATCCTTCACCTTCAACGGCCTCTCGCCCTCCGGTCTGCCAAACTTCGGCGCCAGCTTCTGTTTCTTGACCTGGTTGAGAAGGTCGAAGAACGACATGTCCTTCTGGCGCGTTGCAGTATGCTGTGAGGGCCCCCAGATGAACGCTTCGTCGATTGCGTCGGAGAGGTTTTCGTGTGTGATGAAGGAGTCGGAGCGGTGGTAGAGGGCGATGAGGGCGCGGAGGCGTTCGTCGCTCAGGGCGAATTCGGGTGCATTGGGAGTCGAAGCGGATGTGGATGGGGAGGACGACGAAGGCGTTGAGGATGAGGATGACGCTTCGGAAGAGACATAGCGTCGGAGGGTGGACGTTCGACGGAGGAGGCTACGGGACGCGGCTTTGGAGAAGGACATGGTTGGTGTTCGCCGTTGAGGTCGTTTCTTCGCGCGACTTGAAATTAGCGCGACTGCTGTCTTCGGCGCTTGTGGCGATGTGGCACTCATCGTTGTGGGCCACACTTACAACACAGCGTGCAACTCTTCTCATGCAATTTATCTCATGCTCCAGCACCAATCCATAGACATATACACAGAGAATAGCTAAATACAAGATAGCAAGCAGGGTTGAGGGTGTTAATGATAAAAGTACACAAAGCAGTCCGCAAAATCCCCTTAGAAATCCACCAGCATGCCTACACTAAATTACAACTTGATGTTGTACTTCTGGAGCAATGCTGTCTCCCTCTTCTTCTTTTCAGCGGCCTTTTTCGCCAGCTCTGGGGCTCTCTTGAGCTCCCGTTGTCCAACTTGCTGGATGTGGACCTGTGACAGTGAAGTGAGTTGGGTGTCAGTAAAGGGTTTTCTCCAAGGGATTCAAGTTCAAAGAAGTTGTCATACCGCATCAGGACCCTAAGAATTCGCAGGTTTGCTATCAGTGGAGGTCCAATTGAGCTGCGATAGTGACGTACGTCTGCAATCCGCAATGTGCGAAGGCCTGCCCATAGATTTGCAAGCTCAGTGTCTTGACTGACACCTTCAGCACCGAAAGACTGAATGGCCCTGTCGATGACTTGCAGAGCCATAGATGGCACCACAAACTACAGATGACATCTCACTTCAGCACCCCGTATGTCATGAAATACAAAACGGAATGGTCACCTTCGCAATGCCAATCTCCTTCAGAGCGCCCTTAGCCCTTGCTTTGTCGATCTTGGAGAGTAAATGAGTCGAACTGTTGATGAAGATACTACGAATACAGCTTACTTGATGAGCAGCGCTCAGTACGAGGAGACGTGCGCCCTCGATCTCTGCTCTGGACTTTGCGATATCGGCCACGACAGTCCCTACAGACGATAGCTTAGCCTTGCAACAGAGTATCTTTACTGAAAATGTATACTCACCGTGCTCGTACAAGAATTTTCCGAATGTCTTCCGGCTAGGATCAGTGACCCGCTCAATCATGGTGTCGAGAGCAAACTGAGCTGCACCGATAGACCGCATGCAGTGATGAATACGGCCAGGGCTGCACATAAAGGCGGTTATTTTAGCAATGCTATTCAAGCTAGTCGCCGATAATGAGCGTACCCAAGTCGACCTTGGATGATCTATCGTATACGAGTTTAGTTGTCGTATGGTAATTCCTGTGAGATTTCCAAGCCCACCTCGAAGCCCCTGCCCCAGCCGAGCACAAGGTTGCCCACCGGTACTCGAACATTCTCGTACACGATCTCACAATGGCCCTCTGGGGCATCATCGTACCCAAAGACATTCATCGGACGAATGATCTTCACGCCGGGCGCATCTGCAGGGACAATGACAACGCTCTGCTGGTTATACGTGTTCTTGTTCTTCGGATCGCTTTTGCCCATGACTAAATGAAGTCTGGTCCTGGGGTCACCTGCACCGCTAATCCACCTGTAATTCACGGTAACACCGGGTCAGAGAAGCACATGTCTGAATACCTCAAGAGAGAAAGTACAAGACCATTTGTGGCCGTTGATGACGATCTCGTCGCCCTCTTGAACCATAGAGGTTCGGATGTTCGTTGCGTCCGACGATGAGACTGAAGGACCGGCATGAGCTAAAGCCGGGTTCATATGAATGCGCATGATTGAACGTACCAAACCGTTCGGTCATAGCGAATGCAGAGCGAGTCTCCCCGTTCAACAGAGGGAGGAGCCATTTCTTCTGCTGTTCCGCGTTACCGTAACGTGCGAGAACCTCTGCAAAGTCAAGGCCGGTGAGAATATTGAAAACTTCTGCGCTGTGAGGAATGGCAACGCACCCATATTCCCTGTGTCAGGTGCAGCGCAGTTGACAGCCTCAGAACCCATATGTCCACTACGACCCAGTAACTCAGCCATTACACCATACTACCACCCGATGTCAGAGAACAACTCCGAATATAATATCCATAATCCTTACCTCCAAATTCGTGAGGGGTACGCCATGTTCTGGATAATGAGTTTTGCTGAGGAAGAGGTTCCACAGCCCCAGCTTTTTAGCCTTCGCCTTCAAGTCCTCGATGACAGGAATAACAGTCTTCCATCGCTGTACGGGGTCCGCTGGGAGCTGTGCTCGTGCGACTTTGGCAGCAGGCTCGACGTCTTCCTAAAACCAGAATGCTTCAGTATATGTCATCGTCTCGTGCGAGTCAAGAAATATGTGCACTTCGAGGAATGTGATGAGCTTCGTAAGTGTCTCCTTGCCATACGGTGAGAACTTGTCCTCGACCTATTCATGGCGAGGGCATTCTACACTTTAGCAACACTCATGGAAAAATCATGAACGAGCCGCACCAGAGCCCATGAAGCGGGTGATGTGAGCTGAGCGACGGGGTGGGTGGCCATAAATGTGAGTTACGAAGTGTTCAAGCAAAGATTCTGGTCGTGGTTGTGAACAAGGCGAACTTGAATGTGCTCTACCCCGCACTTTAGCAGGTTCCGGTGGCATACCCCGGTTCGGCTACAAGTTGCCGGCGTCTTCAGTTGCTTCCGTTTCTCGCCACGCGCTGAGCCTTTCTCCACTGTGGCCCACAGATTGTTAGCTGGAGCCTGAGCGCTGAGCACTCGACGAGCATGACGGAGTTACACAAGTCAAGGTGCGAAAAGAGAAACTGGCATAGAAGTATGAAGTACAGTAAACGAAGTAAAAGCAAGGTTATAAGGTAGTTCTAAATAACGTATACCCCGGCTGAAAAAAACCGTGGAAGTAACGCGTACAAGAACACTGACAAAACTAATGTACAATGTATTCATTCTCCCCCCTCAAAGACAGCAAAACAACATAAAACTTCCGCATACATATACGAGTACAGATATACGTAGAAGTGCAGAGAAAACAGCAATGTCCATGGGTGACGATTGTGCGTAAGAACGCAAAACCCATGCGCATGCACAGAACGAAGAGACGAGGCATAGGTCGTTAGCGTGTTATGGACAACACCTCACAAAGCGAAACGAAGCAAAGGTCGCAGAAAGGTCCATAGATTCATTACATACCCGACACAAGTCACTGTTACTGTCCGTTCGGTTGGTCAAAATTCGTATAATCCGCCAGACTGAACCCAATCTCCGGGTCCATCCTAAATGCACCAGCATCAAATCCGTGCCCCAAGTCCTGCGCCTGATATCCCTCATTCCCGGTCTCGAAGTTCCGAATGAAATCGAGCCCACGGAACGGCAGTCCTGGTGCTGGGAAGTGAGTCGAAGGTGCGATGGACGCCATGCCAGGAAATCCGACTCCAAGCTGGGATGTGTTGTTATCGTACGGGAAGAAGGAAGAGTCGAGGGCTGAGGAGGAAATATCATACGCTGCTGTGGGCTGGAACATGTTGTCGTTGCCCTGTCCGCCATTCGTAAAGATGCTCATGCCGTTAGTGCCATTGGAATGACCACCTTGACCGTTCCACTGCACAGTTTCTGCATTCTGTTGAGCGAACGGATTTGGATTCGACGCCGTTGAGGGTATTGAAAAGTCGAACTCAAAAGATGAGTGGCCAGATGGGGCCCGCGACATGGGCGATAATGGCGGGTTCATGGTGCCAAACAGAGGCGGTCCAGCCATCATCCCAGAGTTATGATCATTAACTGTGTCGATGTGCGCCATAGGAGGCGATGGGTAGGTCTGAGACGTTGGCGACTCTTGCGAGGTCAGGGTCTTCCCACCGTTGAACGAAAGAGGGAAAGATAGGCCATACGGACTCGAAGGGCCAGGCTGATCGGGTCCTTCGGGGTCGTCGTGACCACGTTTGCGAGACGTCGAGCGTGCACGCTGACCAGCTGGGAGTACACAGCAAAAATAGCGTTAATATAGCAACCCAGTTCATGAGAATGGGACTAGGCTTACCCTGATATCGTAGAGCAGAAGCAGGCTGGCCTTGTCTGGACGCACGTCCAGCATCGGGCGACAGATTCCTACTCAATTTTCCAGGAGTCTTGATGGGCCGCCCGGTCGAAGAGGTCCGTGCAGTTAGTGACTCTTTGCGACTGCGTTCCTCCATACTACGAGGTACGGAGAAAGAAGGTTGAGATGCCGGCGAATTGGACTGTCGAGATCCCTCGGTATTCGGGTTCATCTGCGCCGACTGGATGGCCTCGCGTGCGGTGGCCATAAGTTCTTCCAGCAACTCCTTGCACTTCCGAGCTCCAGGCCAATGGCCTTCCCATGATTCGAGAGCCGGCAGGCAACTCTGAGCCTCGTTCATGGCCAAATCTGCGGCCTTTGGATCTGTAACGTGCATAGCGTACAGCAAGATGATGACTGCGGAGCTGAAAAGATGCTGGATGAAGAAGGCCAGGTGATGGGATGGAGGCACGACACTCTTGATAAACGGCGCGAGGCGGATGCATGCACGGGCAGAGGATACTGCTTTGGCCGTGGAACGCGGGGCGATAGGCTGATCGCGTTTGACGGGAAGGAGGTTCCGATGCAGGGCAGTCAGAACGGAGTAGTAGTGGCTACATAGCACGGCTCCCATGGACACCTGGCTCTCGTTCACCGGATTCGACTTGAACACGACGGGCAGATCGTCCAGCCACTTGGTCAACTCCTTATCTAGGATCTCGACGTCGCGCTGCAGTTGTGCCCTTCCTTCCGGTTCCAGGTTGTCCGTGCTCATCAAGTTAACGCTATAGACCTGACGCATGACTCTCCCAGCGATCACATATAACGTTCCGAGATAGATAAAGCCCGTCATGAGCGAAAGTTCTTCGGACTCCTGGGTCATTGGTGCGCCTGCGAAATAGTCGGGGAGGCTTCCGTCGTCGACGTTGACCGGGAGCTCGACATCACAGTCGCAGTCCTCGATGCCTAATGGACGGCCTAGTGAAAGGGCAAGCATTCGGTCGAGAGTGTATACTCCCCACCAAAGCTTACGTCTAGTCTCCTTCTCGATTGAGCTGATCATAAGACGTCGTGGAGATCGCTGGTTCATAGTATCAGTTTCTCTGCATCACGTTAGCACTTCGTATAGGGACCACGTACGTGGTATCCTAGGTCTTGAGCCATGCGTACGGCTTGTCCTATCAAGAGCCACGCTTGGGGTAGACAGTTGACAGAGCACAAGAATGAGGCCATCAGAACAAAACACTGAACATGAGACATTTGGATTGATGCATGACTGATGTAGTGAAGGATGAGAGCTCTATCAAAGTAATGTAAGTCAATGTAAGAAGACAAATATAGGTCAGACCAACCGTTCGTAATATAGCATACCCATGCCTCCGTCGTCTGGCCTCTCCCCCTTGAGCCTTGGGTCCTCAACGAGTTGAGCGGCGCATGCGAATACGGCAAAAACAAGAGAGATGAAAGCAGTTTCAGTACGAGCAAGGTTGGGGTCTGTCGTCCTGTCCATAAGATATTCGTACTGCCGCATAAATGACGGCTTGTCGAGGACTGGCATTAGGAAATGAAGTTTGGAGAAGTAAGCTTGAACCTGTGAGGATATGAGCATTTACATTCCCCTCTGAATTTCGTGGCCGTACGTACCAGTGCATCCGCTAAATCTCGCTCAGGATATTCAACTTCCTCAGGACCAGGGAGCGCGCGGACTTTGCCAAAGAAGACAGAGGCCGGGAAGTATAATTTATTTGCGTTTCCCGCGGGTGTACTGGGATCGTTATCAGACATAGGCGATAGACGATACTGGGACGAAGCTGTCGCCGCCCTGAACGACTGTATGAGGGACATCGTCGAGGAACCCCCTATCCATCGCATGTGGCCATGCTCGTCGAGGGTGAGTTGACCAAGAGAATCAGTAACATCGTCCTCGATCTTGACAGAAGATGGAGATTCTGGATTAGAATTGGATGTCTGAACAGCTGGCTGACACTGTCGGTCGTTGTCGACGGTAGATTGGTGAACAACAGAGGTGCTGGCAGCGTTTGTGGCGGCGGAGATAGATAGACCTTGAGGCAAAGAGAGAACCGGAGTACCGTCCGCGTTCTGTCCCAGCTCGCCAATGACAGGGGCTAACTGGTTGAAGATGTTCTCCATGTGAAGTAAACGGGCCTCAAGCTCCTGGACATAGCTGATGGATTTCGTGTGAGACAGGCACTGAAAACAATAGGATGGACTTAGGCGCACTGTCTACTGAGAGCCGCCCTGTCTTTGGTCTGCAGCCAAACGCACTGAGAGTTTGAAGCCGAGCACTGAGAACAAACTGGTTCGGTTCCATCACACTTAATCTTCTTCCGCCTAAGAACCGGGTAGGCAAGGTTCAGATACTGAGCTGAGTAGGATAAGAGGGCTGACGAAGGTATGCGCACCTACAACTCTCGCAGGCTCTCCAAACCCTTCTCCTCTGCAACTGCACTGGACGTTGGCCGACGTCGACGGGGACTTGTTGGTCGTCGACGCGCTTCTTCTTGGTCTGGTGGGCCATGGGGATGTCGTGGTGGATGTCGGGAACAAGGACGGATAGGGACGAGAAATAATGGGTCGGTGCACGCGGAGTGGCCGGAGCGAGGGAGCAGTAAAGGAAAGGCACACAGCCCGCCCGCCTACTTATCCGAGTCAACCCCTCTACACACTAGTACTACAGCCACATTTAACGCTCAGATATCTCGTATTTGGCCGCTTGCGATTCTCACTCCATATACAAGTCACCACAGGTCTCAGAATATTCAGGTGGTCATAGTGCCATGGTACCCAACACCGCCATTTGCCCCTTTCCGCGGGCCTTATTGTGGCGAGCAATTGTTGGGTTCACGGTCGTCACTTGCGAGCGAACTCTCATTCCATCCAGCGCCATGCTATTGTGCTCACAATTTCACCCGCGCGTATCGTCTCCATAAGTGATCCAACACAAGGCCGTATCTTGTCTCATCCACACCGGCTACGCCGGTTCGGAGAATGGCACCCAAGCGTTCAACGTGGCATCTTGAAATCTTTGATGGCTTGGGAACATTCTCCTGTCTTTCTTCTGCCCGACGCTCTGCACATGTCAACGAAACGTCCAGATTGTACTCACTAGTAGGGCAGAATGCCAAAAACAAAGTCTGCCAAGTGGGATAAGTCATGGTTAAGCGCGTTGGGTTCACAGTCCAGTCAGCCAGCGGTGTTTCGATGGATCCAGTGACTTTTTGGCGTCTACATTGGCCCGCTGGAAGGGCATATGAAAGATGGCAGATCACGACGCGGGTACTTTGAACGCTGGTGTGGCGGGAGGATTGGCGGGAGCAATTTCACGGTAGGTGGCCAGCGGTTGGAAACGAAAGTTACCAGAGACGTACGGGCAAGCGTTGATTCACCAATTGGAAGAATACAGGGAGAACATCCATGCCAACACCACGTTCACCATCTCCAAGTATACTGATACATCGCCAGATCTCGACGATCCGCTTTTCGCCTCTTCGACATGCCGTGCCGAAGTGAGGTGGACTACCATGAGAGCAGTCGTTAGCATGAGTATTCGATGCACTGCGTTTACTCGGCTGGTGCCTCCCTGTGCAGAAACGAAGACGAATGTTAGTTGCTACACTCGTGCAAGATAGTAAATAGGAAACTTATAATGTATAACACGTTATTACACCTAGAAAGACATACCAAAACCACAATTAGAGACCTTGTTTTCCACGACATGAGAAGAAAGAGATATACGAACCGAATGAATACCTCGCCCAGTGTACCCGTCGACTCCCCGTTTTGGAACTCCTCAGTGTTCGCAAGCTAAGGAGCCACACTATTATTAGGCGCTCACGCTACATCATAAGATTCAGGCAGAATAAGACGCACCTGAAGATTCATGTAGCCATCTGTGCTGACCAAGAAGCCCTTGTACTCTAATCCCCACTTCAGCTTGACGAACACTGGCTTGCCCGTCAGCTCCTGCATGAAAGGTTTTGGGTTGACTGGGTTGACCTAAACGAAAAGACGAAAATCACCAATGAGTACGCGTCAGTATATATATCATATCGGTCCACAGATTTCTTTAGAGGAACTGGAAGAGAAAACAGCAAGAAGACACGCACGGCAGACATGATGGACGTCGCAAACGAAGGTACGAGACGAAGAACTCGTCCACGTGCGGCCGTGCGCGCGCGGACTTTGGAAATGGGACCCGTTCGGTGCATACTGATATAAACCTATATAAACCTTCCCCTCGGCCGTGAAGGCCTCCCATTTCCACCCCCGCGCGGCACAGTAGCCTTGTCCTATCATATATATCTATACTTTTCTTGTTGTTGAGCCATGTCCGACCGCGAAGGGCACTCCGGTCCACCGCCAGACGATGATTTATCCCTACCAAAGGCAACTGTCGCGAAGATGATTGCAGGTGCGTCTGAATACCCCGCTCCTTCTCAGAATATCAGCTTGCTGATCATATCACATTCTTTTGTTGGTACTTCCTCGTAAACTAATCATCTCGAACTCTTAGAACTCTTGCCAAATGATGTGACATGCGCGAAGGACACGCGTGATCTGGTCATCGAGTGTTGTGTAGGTGAAGAGGCCATTCCCCCGCCGTAACGCCTTTCCATACCGTCACTGACTAGTCAAATTCTGTGTTGTTCTTGATACAGAGTTCATTCACTTGATCTCTTCCGAGGCAAACGAGATCTGCGAACAAGAGTCGAAGAAAACGATCGCACCAGAACACATCATCGGCGCGCTCAAGGTTTGTCTTCTCCAGCTACAAAGTCACCGAGATAATCTTTGCGATGGAACGTCAATATACAGCGGCTGGGGTTCGACAAGTTCAAGGACGAGGTGGAGGATGTGCTGAAAGACCACAAACAACTGCAAAAGGTGCGTCAATATATCTTGCCAAACTGTAGGCATGATGCGGCATACTCTTCTAACACCGCCCATATCCAGGACCGGGAAAAGAAGGTCTCGAAGTTCGAGCAGTCGGGGCTTACAGAGGAAGAGCTACTAGCTCAACAAGAGGCCCTCTTCGCACAAAGTCGTGCTCGCTTCCAGTCAACGCAGCAATGATGAATAGACGAATGACCTTCCACTCCGCTCATGACATTCGCATTGGACCATTCCATAACCTCAGGCTGCGCCGCTGGCCTTACACACGGCGATTGAAACCCTACTGTATCACTATTCCGCATACGTCCGACAAGCCGCCCAGATGGCCCCCTGCACTTTCAGTACGTTTGTAATACCTGTCTCCTCTTGCTTATTATTCGTGTTATCATTATTCTACGTGTGCCTCTTGAGTGTTGTACACGAGCTTTCTGTAGCTCGGTCTCAGTTCGAGTGTGAGAGCAGATGAGGATGGTGCGCCCGGAGGTCCTCGAGCCTCCTTCGTGGAGTGTCGTCGTTCCAAGATTCTTCTGAGAACGAGGATGAGGGTGAAGAGGTCAGGCGGGGAAGGCCTTGTTGCTCGATGGTGAATGCGGCTGATATCGTGGCGTGGAATGTCGCTGTCATTTTTTTCGTGCGGTCGTCATTGGGCCTGGTGATTAAATACAAAACCAGTCACGAACGCACCTTGAACAACATCCCCACCCGTCAATGCCAACCCTGCACCAAGCCCTCCGAGGAAACTGTTACCCGCTCCTATTTCACGAAAACAACTCATCTCAAAGAGTTCCCTCCCACCCGCATGACGATGCGTCTCTGAACTCACCTGTCACATCCACCACCTTGCTCTGATCCTTCCAAAATGCTTCAATCCACTCTCCCTTACGCCCCCTAGACGCCACATACGCACCCAAGCCTCCGGAACGTATGATCACCCAGCCAGTCCCGTCGGCGCCGACACCGAGGTCGAGGAGCTTGGTAGCGGCGTGCTCAACGGTGGATTTGGATACAGTGGATGGTAGAGAGAGGAGTTCGAAGCTCTCTTCGGCGTTTGGGCTATAATAATGACGGACGAGTTTATGTCGGGTCGGAAACGAAAGCTGGAGGCGTAGATCCAGGTCGAGGTGTGGGTAAAGTAAAGCAGGCTCACCTGAGGATGGAGATCGCAGGTAATACCTCGGTGAGAGCAGGCAAATATTCTGGTATACAGAAATTCTGGAACCACAGCGTTCATTCAGCCTCTTGGCGGTCATATCAACAGAGTGAACAACTCACGGGCAAAGGCTCCCAAATCGTCGTAGGGTGCCAGTCCTCGACTAGTTTGATCTGACTCGTGATGTCCTTCGCTCGTGCGGGCGAACAGCAGAAGTGCAAGGCTTTGGGGCGTTCCATCCTTGTCCCGATGAGATCTCGTGGACTTAGCTGTATTCGTGGTCCGGAAAGATATTCGTAGCTGCAGAAATGCACATCATGTCATGCAAGTTTCCATTGTCAGCATATCGTGTGCCTCAGGTGTAGATGGCGAGACGGACCCTCTATGTTCTCCTCTGTAAATGCTCAACTCCCTCGTCGTCTGTCTGTCAAGATTCTCCCTGAAGAGCCACATATCTTCTCCATAGGTTTTGAGTTGCGCGTCTACGTCTGAGGGGAAATCATGACCCTTGTCTACTATTCCGCCGACTTGGTCGGCAGGTAACCTATGTGCGCAAAGGGGTTTAAGTTGTGATCAGGGATGAAGCAGAAAGAGCGTACCATATACGGGCGCCGACAGCTGCAAATGTGCCTCCACCACCAATCTAACCATCGTAGCAGTAAGTAGTACGTCTGATGTTGCAGCAAGCTTCCAATAAAATCGTACGGATGGTGAAGCTTTTCGTCCTGTTGGCTCGCCATTCTCGTCCAAGAACTTGAACTCATCGATGATGAATAACCCAAGCGTTACAAAGTCCCGGAAAGACATTGCTGTTCTATAAATGAGGGTGTTAGGACGTGGCGGTGAAGTTAATGCAGGCCACTTGAAGGTGAGTAAAAGAAATGAGGAAAGTGGACGGAGTTGAGTGCCATGGCGGAAGGACCAGGGCCATGAAATGACTGCTGCTATAGATAAGATAACCGAGGACGACAGGCACCGATCAAATGTTTAGTTGAGCGACGATCTAATCTAATCAGCCGGCTACGAAGCTTGTTCTTGACCATCTCGGGAGCAAGGCTGGGATCCTCCAGCATGGAGGTATGGGTCGTCACCCATCCTACGAAACTCTCGGAACCTGTTCGTACTTAAGTTCTCCGTCTTGCATCTGGCAGTGATTGAAATCGACTCCCTGTTTGCTGACAGCTTTACCAACGCGGCCTTAGCTTGGTGGATGATGACTCTGTGGCCCGCATTAAGCGGTTCTTCCGCAGAGAGGACTCTTGTCGTGCGTTTTTGTGGCCTCTGGAGACTTATGGAACAGAGCATGTGACCGATATAGAATACCACTAGGCTGCCTCATTGGTAGACTGCTCCCTCGAGTGCTCCTCAGCGAGCGAGGCGTCCCCGCCAAGTCCATAACATTCGACAAAACGGACGCTGGCAAACCGTACTTTGTGCGTCCTCGATCTTCGGGCCTCGCATCCTATCGACCATCTAGACACCTACGTCTTAACTTTCTTCATGAAGTGAACGCTAATTGCTTGGCTGTCAACCCAACCCTAAATTTACACCGTACGACAGACAACGCCAGATCTCAACCCCCGCCTTGCCTTCAACGTATCTCATGACAATGAACTCGTGGCCATGGTCCTCGGCCCACTGGACTCGAATACCGACGTGCATGGCGATGGCGATTCTGCGCGAGCCGGTCGTCTCGGCGTCGACATCATGAAGTGTCAACTCCCGCTGCGAGTGCCCTTTCGCAGCTTTGTACGCACCGTAGGAGAGGCGGTAAGCGCTCGTCTCATTCTCGTTCTGAATCGTTCACACCTCCTTCTTGACTCGGGCATATCGCACCAACCACGCCATACCCTCCCGATATCGTTCCATTCGTTCCGACCATACCTTTCTTATTGCCCCCCCTGATCCACTCACACTCTCATTCCTCACTTCCTCGTCGCCCCCTGATCTCTACCGCGACGCCCGTACCCCCCTTATCCCCGAGCTTCGGGCCTGAAATCCTGAAATCCTGAAATCGTATCATACCCAATACCGGCCTGAGCTAGTCGGCCCCGAGTTCCATCGCATCGCATTCGCATTCGCATTAGCGTTGCATCAATCTTCTGCATCTATGCCCGATTTCATTATCCCCATCCAGCCAAGTCTACTCCTTCCTTCCTTCCTTCCTTCCTTCCCCACTTCCCTTCACACATCACACATCACACATCTCTCTCCCTACGCCCCGCATAAACAGAGACCAACTAACCATACTCTTCATCCCACAAAAACCACCGCAATCAATTTTATGGTTCATTCACTCGACCTGTCGATCGGGCACGGACAATACATACTCCCGACGTGACACGCCACGAAATGTGCACACAAACACACAAAACACACAAAACACACAAACCAGCTGACCCCCTCCGAATCCGCCTTCCTCCTCGATCCATCCAAGCCAACACACGAAGCGCTAAAGACCTTCTACCAAATCTGGACGCTCAAAGAAGCATACACGAAAGCGCTCGGACTTGGGCTCGGTTTCGATTTCGCTCGGATCGAATGCGTTAGCGTTAACCATTCTAGTTCTAGTGCCAGTGTCGGTGTCGGTGTCGGTGTCGGTGATGCGGGGTCTTCGGGTGGTGGTGGGGGTGGGAAGAAGGTCGATGGGACGTTCACTGTGGATGGGAAGGTACCTAGAGGTTGGGAGGTGAGTCTGTTTGAGGTTGAGGTGGTGGGGAGTGGGGTGTATGTTGGTGTGGCGGCTCAGTGCACCGGTGGGGACGGGGAGACTGTGACGAGGACGGTGGGTTCGGAGGGAGAGGGAGAGGGAGGGTGTAAAGTCGTTGAGATTGAGGCGGGGATGTTTTTGAGGAGGGCGGTGAGGACGTTGACGGGGGAAGAGTGTACCGTTTAGGTGGCGTAAGGTGGGTCTGTTCAGGAAAGGCAGATGGACATCAATGTATTACGGATTACTATATAGATTGTACGGTTCGAGAGCCGGAGAGATAAGACGGATGGATTCCCAGAGCCCAGAGCAATAAAAAATAGCAATACAATCGACAAGAAGCCCTCGTATATGTGAACAAGCCATGCGGATCGGACAAGTAAGTAAAAATAGGAATATGGTGGAGGAAGAAGAGACTAGTGCGACGAGAACGAGGTATACTGTATGGAGAGGCGAATACGAAAGCGGTGATAAAATACTGCAGGCGATGCAATAAGTATGTTAGTAATAAGCGAAGACGACAGAACGAATATTCACAGCAGAAGAGGCTACAAAGCAAAGAGAGCATCCGTAACAAACAAAAAAAAGAAACATCATGACGGGACGAAGACGAAGGTGGAGCAAGGGGAGAAAAAATAGAGCGGTAAGCAGCTGACAGTGTCGCTCGCGGTTCCTCAGTCCCGATCCCGATCCAAAGACACTAGCTTGACATGCGAGTCAAAAGCCAAAAGCGAAATCATTGAAACCGAAGTCGGAGAAGTGCTCGAAATATTCGTCTCTGGGCGCTACGAGCGGCAGAGCCGGGCTGAACGAGGGTCGTTGCCACATGCGTCCGGGGCCCTTGTGGGCTCCCTTTTCGTGCACGGGAAGAGACGCCCAGTGCGTACCGGATAGTTCGAACTCTGACAACTCCGGCAGCATGGTGAGCGCGCTGGACACCTGCTCGTAGAACGTCTGCACGAAACACAAAAACAAGCAAATGAGAAGATCAGATATCAGCATCGTGTTCTGTCATGAGCACATGGATGATCATCCCTGGATGCGAAGAGTGATGGCAGGAGCGGGTTTTACGAGAATACGTACCGCGTCTGGTAGTGGAGACTGGGCGAAGCCACCATCTGACGATTGTGATGGTGCTGCGACGCGCAGATAGGAGAGATAGGGGAGGTGGTGGGCAAGCGACTGGAGGAGGGGGACGACGAGGGATGTGGTCATCGCGTCAAGCACAGCAATCGGAGCTGTGGACTGGGCGAAGCACGCCACTTCATGTTCGGTGATCCCCTCGTCGCAAACGTGGATTCTCTGAACTGGGCGACCTGGCACGATGACCTTGGCGGCTTGTGTAGGCCCAACGAAGTGGATGAGGCGAGGGAGAGATGACGAAGGCAATGACAGTGTATCAGAATGGGCAGAGGGTGGAGCGGACGAGTCTAGCTCAAGCTCTTCCAGAGCGGGGGTTTGTTGGAGAAATGTGGCGACGAATGAATCAAGAAGAAAGGAACTGGCGAAGTGGCGCAGACGTGGTCTTTGTGGCGGAGTAAGTCCGAGGATCCAGCTGACGCGAGTGTCGAGGCGGATGTTGAGGGAGGTGAGTTGGGTCATGCGAGAAAGAGCATGGGCGAGAGCGCGGTAGTAGGAATTAAAGACGACCGTCTTCGCTTCGATGACGATCGAAAATTCGCGCACAAAAAGAGCAAGATGGGGGCGAGCGGCGAGAGTGAGGACGACATCGAGATTGTGGGTGGCATGGGAGATGGCAAGAACGCGGTAGAGCAGACGTTGAGCGATGGGGGAGAGTGTGGCACATGTGCGGGAGAGTACGACGAGGTCGTCGGATTCGAGGTGCTGGCAGACGGCGTTCAAGAGCTCGACGGGGAGGGCGAGGAGAGACATGGGTATGACAAGAGGTGACTGCGAGTGGCAGGGGTTATAAACGAGCGGGTTGGCGCTGGCAGTGGAGGAGTATATATGGAACGAGGCCGTGCGATGGTCCCCAAGGAGAAAGAGAGTAGGAAAAGGGCTAGTAGCCCATCCGATTGAGAGCAACCGCTCAAAAGTCTGCACACAGACAGATCAGGGCACAACTCTTTTCATCTCTGTCCTATTCTCGACACTTGCTCATTTGATTACGTACACGCGCCCTCTTCTCTTTCTCCGCTCGTCTGCGACTGTCCTTCTTGCTTGGGTCGGCCATGAGCCTGCTCGTATCTTCATCAAGCCTACGTCTTGCAGCTCGTGCAATTGTTCCGAACGCCCGCTATCTCCTGAATAGGTTCGCACGACCGCTTTCGTCTCTGCCTCACTTGGCCTCAACATCCGAGTCCCACGGTTCAAGTATTCAACGCGCTCATTCCGGTGGGTGCTCATTCGCTCTTTGCTCTCCTCCTAATATTCATCATGATACCTCTTGCATGTTAATATAGCGCCTTTCCCTAATCGTACTCATACTTGTGGCGCACTAACCTCCAAGGATGTCGGCTCCAATGTCGTCTTGGCCGGCTGGCTTGTCTCCGAACGGTAACCTTTGCCACACTATGTGGCCCACCCACTCGGCCTGATCTTCATCCAAGCAAGGTCTCAAAAGCCATGTCCTTCTTCCAGCTGAAGGACTCTTTCGGCCAGACTCAATTAACTGTGTACAGAGGCTCTAACTCTGACCAACCTTCTCCTCTTGCGCCTCTATCCGACGTTCCAATGGAGTCTACTGTCCTTATACAGGGACAGGTCTCCTTGAGACCCGAGAACCAGAGAAGACCAGTATGTTTATCTCGTATCATTATTTGACTCGGCCAATTTGTCACCGCTGCCTTAAAGCTGCCAGCAGGTGACATCGAGGTCAAGGTAAAGAGCTTCACCCTGCTCAATCCCGCGGATCGTAACATGCCCTTCCTTCCCTCCGACACCCAAAATATGGTGAGTTCACGAACGAACATGAACGTGTCCTTTCCTTTATCTCAGTTCGATGACACTGCGGCGATCGTACGTACGCGCTCCTATGTTATTTTAGGCGAACGACGACCTACGTGCCCAATATCGTTACCTTGACCTTCGACGCTCAGAGCTCTCCGGCAATCTTAGGAAAAGAAGCCGAGTAGCCCATATCGTGCGCTCAGTTCTAGATGACCGAGGTACTTCCCACCACTTCCCCTGTGACCCTGTCCCGAGCATCCTCACTGCCCAATACTGCAACTGTTCATCATCGAAACCTTCGGGCTTACCTTCGGCGGCCGTCCAGATTTCGTTGAGATCGAGACGCCGATTCTCCTCAAATCGTCTCCAGAGGGCGCAAGAGAGTTTCTCGTCCCGACCCGGTTATCGAAATCCTCACCGTCAGCGTCAGACGACCCGAACGCAAACGCAAACGCCAGCCCAGCGTCTGTTGGGACCGAGCAGGCTCAGGTGCCTCTATTCTACGCCTTGCCGCAGTCGCCACAACAGCCGAAACAGCTGTTGATGTGCTCGGGCGGGGTCGATCGCTACTACCAGCTCGCCAGATGTTTCCGCGACGAAGACGGGAGGAAGGACAGGCAGCCTGAGTTCACGCAGATCGATCTCGAGATGGCCTTCGTCTCCTGGGGTCGTCGCCATCATGACGGCACGGAGTCGGGCGCCAAGCCGGATACTGAAGATGGATGGCGAATCGGTGGTCAGGAGGTTCGAGAGGTGGTGGAAGACATTATTCGGGCTATTTGGTCAAAGGTTGAGGACGTTGAGTTGCCCGACAGGTTCAGGGTCATGACCTACAACGAAGCGATGTCTCGTGTGCGTGACTCCCTTTTCATGTCTGTCTCCTTGCCGTTGCTCATAACATTGTCCAAACGTGCAATCCTGGCAGTATGGGTCCGACAAGCCCGATTTGAGATTCGGCCTTGAGGTTTGTCTATTTTCTGTCACAGCGCAAAGTTGTGCCATGTCTTATGCTCACTAACATATCGCATGTACCTCAACGTTGTCCTGTCTGGGCTTCTTCCCTAGATCACCGGTACAAACAAACACGACCAGCCCCCTGCCTCTCCCAAGGCAGAGATTGTGGAGTGTTTTGTTGTGCGCAAATCCGCAGATACACCATTCATTGAAGCGGCTCGCGAATGTCCGTTGGAAAATGCGGTAGTGAGTTATTCATACATCTTGCGATCGATGCCCGCTCATGCACGAACACTCATCGCCATCCATCTGTCGTGCAGGAGCGGATCCTCATCACAGACCAGACGCCATCTTCGTGGTTGTCCGAGAGTCGGACGTTCATGGATATGGCCGGGAAGAACCTGCAAACAGACTTACAGACACCCTCCGTGGACCCAGGAGATGTCGTATATCTCTCCAAAAGGCGTCAACGCCCAGAGGTAACTCTTGGTTATCAGTGTCATCCAACTCAGAACGGCTAAAATGTATCTAGGGTGGCTCGACCGCACTGGGACGCCAACGATTGCGCGTAGCCGACTTAGCGCAAGTCACCGGTACGCCCACTATCTCTAAATGCTGTTCAATTCTAGAAAAATACCCGCTCATGATTGCCTGCTTGTTGTGATGTGTGCATGTCCGTGTTTATATGATTGTGCTCTCGTGGGCAGGGACGTACGTGCCTCCGATATCGCCGTGCTTCCTCTGGATCACCGAGTTCCCCTTGTTCACGCACGCGGATGAGGACAAAGACTTCCTCGCGAAAGGGAGATGGAGCAGCTCGCATCATCCTTTCACCGCACCTATGTGGGAAGACATCGATAAGTTGTATGCAGGGCGAGTAGATGAGGTACGGCCTTTACCTCGTTCTTTCTCTACCGCATCAGCGATGAGCCGTGGGCGCAGAGGAGTCTACTTATCCAGTTTAATAACGATGCTTATGTTTGCTGCCTATACCTATGAATAGGTCCGTGGACAGCACTACGACCTCGTCCTGAACGGCGTAGAGATCGGTGGAGGCTCGGTCCGTGTGCATGACTCGTCCATGCAAGAACACATATTCTCCAACGTACTCAAAGTGAGTTAGAGTTACACTGCTCCCGCCCTCATCCTATATTCCTCCTAGCACGCGCCACATCTCCGCATACTGACGGGCATGGTGCTCGCCACTGAACCCCCGGTCCTCCGAAATTGAACTCAAAACAATAAATATAAATAGCTCGATAACACAGAAAAGGCGACATTCAACCATCTCCTCCATGCCTTGAAATGTGGCGCGCCTCCTCACGGCGGTATCGCTCTCGGTGCGTATTCTCGATTCTCCACTAGCCCTAGCCACCTTTGTCTGTTTTCTGCGCTCGTCGCTCTTCGCCCTTCGACTCCGTCCATTCGTCGCCCCTACCTTTTTCTTTATTCAAACCCCGACGCCCCCCGTTCTCGTTCTTTCCAATCAGGATACCCAATTCCCAATCCCCAATACTAACTTCTGGTCTCTTTGCCCCTTTGCGGTATCCACATCCTCGCCGCCTCACCATCCCCCTTCCGGCCGTCATGTTTTTCTTTCTTTTCTTTCTATATGTGTGGTGTATGTGTGTTCTAGGCTTCGACCGCCTGATGGCAATCCTCTGCAAGACCACCTCCATCCGGGACGTCATCGCCTTCCCAAAGACGAGTGCAGGCACGGACTTGCTGTTCAAGAGCCCGGCGGCCGTTGCCAGTGAAGACGTGCTACGACAATACGGCATTCAGCCTCGGGTTCGACAGTCGCAAACCCGAGCTTTTTCATTCGCGACATTCGATTAGTGAAGAGGGGCCCAACAATATCGAGATGTTGTAGGGATTTGGATTTGGTGGGAGGGATCCTTGATGCGGAAGGTGGGGACAATCCGCCGAAAAAGACGAGGGTTGTAGATACTTGGAATGTTTGTGTGGCGAGCGGGGGGTGCAGTAATGTTGAGTGGCTGGTCACCGTTGGTCAGGAGACAGACAGAAGATGGATGTTTATACAAAGCTACATTAAATAACGGTGCATATATGTGCAAGGCCTATCCAGAATGTGATAGGACGCTAAAGGCAGGGCAAGCATGTGAATGGCCGACGATAAAAAAGGCGAAATGGAGGACAGAGAGTGGGAATAGCGCATACGGAGGTCACTGAAAAGAGTCGATCTGTGAAGGTGGGTCTGGGAAGTGTATGTATGAAGAGCGAGAGCGAAGGTCTCAGCGGTAGCGAAAAGTACGAAAAGAAGATGGTTGGATGGATGAAAGCAGAACAAACTAGAGCAGCAGGACGATGCGTGGCATTCAAAGATGAGAATGGCAGGTGGAAGAGTAAGATAGAAAACGGTGCGGAACGGGCTGGGTGGGTGAGTGGGTACTGTGTACATCAATAAACGAACGGTCCGAGAACAACCAAGAACGCAGGAAGGAAAACCAGAAATACCCGAGGGAAGGCTAGGCAGCGAAAGAGTTGCTGAGCTGTCGCGGAATGAAAGCGGGAAAAAAAGCCTAATGGGGGTGGGGTGAGGTGAGCGTTTAACATTCAACGTTCAAGCAGGAATAGCCGTCTCGTCAGACTGTGGACTTCGATTGCGTTCCGGGATCTCAGGAGGTGGTAGCCCAATATCATAGAACGTCGAGACTCGAGGGGTGGTGTCATGATCCTGTTGGGTCCCAGCCTGGGAGTGCGTTCCCGTTCCAAACGGGAACGATGCCCAACTCGTTCCCGAACTTCTCTCCGCGACTGTCGAGGCGCCCGCAGTATCTAGACCATTACTCCCACTACTACCTCCACCACCGCCATCTGCTGAGGTTCCAGCCGTCCTACCACCGGCAGCAGCCTCATCGATTATTGAAAGCACACTTCGCAATTTGCTCTCCGTTCGCCTCCCTCCATTGGGAGAGATAGGCCGTGACGGCTTTTTCGATGGTGAAGGGGAGCGTGGCGTTGGTGAATTTGAGCCCGATGGCGGTGGGGAAGTCGGTGGAGAAGTCGCATCTGCCCAGTCTGAGGAGGGTTCAGAATAGTAAGGGCCGCCTGGGGAGCCATTTGGCGAGTTGAACTCAGGGGTGTGTTGAGTCCATGAGGTGCTGGTGGTGGAAAAAACGTCGGCAGTTTCGGTTTGTGGTGTGCCAGTAATGGGGCTGGGGGATGTGGAGGGTACGTTGGCCATGATGGAAAATGGAGGGAGTATGCTGAAGATTTGATCATCAGACGATGGCTGGCCGTAAGAATCGAAGGGGTCTGGGACGGATTGTAACATGGGTTCGATTACAGGGTCTGAACTGTAGGATCATGCCGGTCAGCAGTATGGGCGAAGACAGGAAGTATGTTGACGTACGCTTTCGCAGTGAACCGATCGAAGACGTCCAATGTTGACCTCACCACTACGCACGCCTTGCCCTGCACAACGTCCCAGACCTCTTCCTCATGCTCGATGATCTCTTGATAATGCTGTGCCTTCAAATCGTCGAGCTCGTCTACCTGACGCTGCAGGACATTCAACGCCTCTCGGAAGCTCTGCAAATCTTACCGAAGCTCATTAATCCAGGCAAGGGAGCTGACCTCGGGAGTGAAATAACTTACTCCTCTCCTTTCTGTTCATGTTCCGCTTCTCCGTGTCGCGAATGATATTGCTCTTCTCACGAAGTGCTCGTTCGTATGCAGCAGAGCGATCCTATGCTAGAATTCAGGAACGGTCGAGAGATGTAATGACAGGGTAGACGCACGTTCACTATCGTCCGATAAGTTTCTAGATGTTGCCGAAGGGGCTTCTCGAAGTTCTTGTCCAGCGTATCCGCCTTTGTTTTTCAGGGAGTATGGGTTCTTTGTCAATGTAACGCACGAATAATGAGACGAATAGCAGCATACCAAGACGTGCCAATGGTTCCCTATCAGGAAATGCAAGCCTCCCGCAGCCTGCAATCGTGCGGCCTGCTCATACGTCGGACCTTTCAGACTGGGTGATGACGGCCTTACGATGAGACAAAGGATACCACAACCACACAACGAAAGTGACGTACCCTGCACAAGTCTCCATCGCATCTGCGAAAGCAGCAGTAACCCTCGACATCGTTATAAGTGTGGCCCGATAATTCGCACAACAATTGAGCAACTAGCATCCATCACAGACCCAGCAAAATCATACAAACACAACCGTCAGCTTCCACTCCTCCATGCACACTTTCCGAGACAGAGATAGCATGTGGAAACGGACTCACGTTCTCGTATGCCTGCATTCCAGCCTTCAGGTCCATCCTCGTAATGATCTTCGCCGGCCCATGTTCACCAAAATTCATGGCCGAAGCGTTCGTTGCGTCCGAGAACGTAGGAGATGGGGGTCCGTTGCCAGTTGGAGGCGCATTGTGTTTCGGGAGATTAGTGGAGATGGCAAGCGAGCGCAGTGAACGTGGTTTCGGCATGAGCCTGACTGTTCGGGACTTGAATAACCTAGGGGTCGGATAATGTAATAAGAGCAAAGCTTCGACGCTTTGAAGGGCAAATCAGACGACCAGCTTGAGGAATGGCAGGGGTCCGGACGACGGACGAGGACAGATGAGGGAAAGGCAAAGACGTTGGCGGTAGTGATCAGACCTCCTTCGATATCTTCAGCGCGGCTTCGGCCTCGTGCTACCGTAATCTATGACACTCCGCAAGACACGCCCTCGGCTCTCTTTCAATTCACGTTCGTTCGTCTTAGCCGCATTTACAGAAGGGTCTTGGCCACAGTTGGGAGCAGCCTCGTTATATACCCATAGACCCATATCTGCCAGCTTTCAGCCAACAACATCATACAGCACCCTGCGACATCTTTACAATTGATTGCATGACCGAAATTCAGCTGCAAACAGGGACGCTCCCAATTGGCCAAATCTGTGACACGGTCAAGGACAGTTCCAAAGGGGATCACGTCATATGGTAGCATTCCAGAACGCTCGAGATGCAATGTATTATAGAGTAGAGTGAACCATGCACCTGCAGAACAGTCAAGAACGGCAGTAAAGTCAGATCAATTTCGTTGTAAACATAGCAGACGAACGACCACATACCATGTCAACGTCTATACCTTGACCCCCGCCGACAGCGCCGACATCTTGTCTGGCGAGTCCCTCAAGTAGAACAACTTGTTCAACCGCGGTCCCTTCACCTTCTTCTGTCCCTCTGCTGCCGCCTTCTTCTCATTCGCCCTCAACACCTTGATATCCTTCAAATGTGGCGAGTTCACAAAGAACTGCATCTCCACTCCCGTCCTCTGCACCACGTTCCGCAAAACGAAAGACGTATCCGGTCCACGTCGGCGCATGGAGATGAGGACGCCGGAGAACGTCGTCGGGGCGTGCGCGAGCGTGACGGTGAGGATCATCCCTGGCCGTAGTCGGTTTGGATGCGTCTTGGAGAAGTAGGTAGAGATGAGCGTTTGTTTCTCTGCTGTTGGGAGTGTTTTTTGCAAGTAAGCCATAAGGCCCTTGCCCTTCCGGAGGCCTTCAGTGGGCGCCATGGTGGGCGGTGGTGGGATGATAGCAGACGAAGAATATGGGTAGGATACGGCGGTGGATAATGAGCGACATGTCCGCTGTAGTTGACGAGGCAAGGAAGAAAACTTGAACATGGTGGTAGTGGTGGTGGCCAAGTACAAGTGCTCGACGCGTCTCGTCAAAGTCGACTTCGCGACTTCGACGCGGCACCAGCCGGAGTAAGTTTGCCAATAATTTGAACCCAATTCTGCACCGCGAACACGGTCTCGTTGATTATACGGTCGGCTCTTCACTGTAGAGGACGCGCAGATATTGTATACATTCAGAACATAGAGAGAGAGCAAGTGCTTATAAGTAAATACGGATAGGAGCGAGGTAACAAGATACGCGGTGCGAAGTTTGTCTGGCAAGGAACGCGAAGAATACATAGAGGCCACAGTCCGTATTTTTACCACTAAAAACCACGTCCTCGTCCCCTATAAAGCACGTCAGTGGATAATTCCTGGACATAATCCGCTGGCTACTCACCGACCCCGAGAGCCTCTGTACGGGCTGTATCCTCGGTAGCCACCTCTCTGCCCACCGCGATAACCTCCCCGTCCTCGCCCCCTGTTGAACCCTGGCACATTTGTCCTTTTCGCAGTCACCTGAGGTCGATCGAGAAAAGGAATCATGAGCAACGTGACACGATCGTAGGAAGAGCGAATATCATACCTTGATTAACCGTCCATGGAAGAGGGAGTTATCGAGCGCGAGTGCAGCATCAACATGTTCGGGCTCAGCGAACTCAACGTACGCATACCTACTCCAGACGGCTCAGAAATTGTTGCAAAAGATAAACCAATGGAACCCACCCTTTTGGATGGCCGGTGAACTTATCACAGAGGATAGTCACCCGATTGATAGTACCAGCTGCTTGAAAGTGGGCCTGGATGTCTTCCGGCGTGGCTGCATAGTCGACCTGGCGTCGATTTCACGTGAGAAACGACACAGGTAAAGTGGTCAAGGTGTTTAAAACATACATTTCCGACATATATACTGCGACTATCGGCCTGAGCCTTGTCGTCGTCCCCTTCCATGGGGGCGCCAGCACTTCCTTCCCGTCCGGAACTCCCGTCCGCGCTCTCAGCAGCGGCCTGCAACTCGCGCAATTTCATGGCCTCTCTCTCCATTTCTTCTACCCGTTGTTTCATAAGCATGATCTCCTTTGGTCCAAAATTCGGTGATGTATAGTTAAAAGGTGTAGGGAATAGGGAAAGGGCGTTGCGGAGGACGGGCAAGGACGTAGCATGTCAGCGCTATATAGAGGGGTGAACACGAAGGGCACGCACCTTAGACTCTGCCTCCTCGCTGTCATCGATGGATGGATCGACGACATTGTCTGGTGCAGGCGTGGATTCAGCGTCGTCGGCCATCGCGAAGTAAAGAAAGTTGATGTGATATTATTTCTTCACCAGCTCGCCGAATCCGAAGCGCTCCTGCGTCACCGTGACCGATCGTGACAGGTTGTGACCTTCCGCGCTGTGACAGCCTGGGCGAGCGTCAGCCTGACCGTCAGGTTTCCTCCGAGACCACCACAAAGCTTGGGTGTAAAATGCTAGACAGCCTCACTATGGAACCATATGCCTTGTTTCTGTGCAGGAATTGGCCTGAATGACTGGCCCATCAGTCTTGCCCTGCTAGCTAGCTACCGCAATTCCTATAGAGAAGAATATCTACCATCTAGTTGTCTCGCCCGTCCGCCCTCGTAACTGCTTTTGCCCTGTATGAGACAGTCGGATCCAAATTATTATCCTTGGCTTATGACGTTTTTACACCACTCAGTCAAGACCCGTTTTTTTTTTTTGCAGTGCAAAGGCGTCATAAACCAATGATGAGCCAGCATACTTTTATGTCAGCGTGCGGATCCGGGCTTCATCTTTTGTATAAGAAGGGGACCTCGACGCAGTGTTTGAGCCATCACCATCTTCTTTATCATGTCTTCTTACCAAACTCTCCCACTTTTCCTTGCCTTCGCTGCCTCTTCTTTCGGTGCTGCTTCGGCCAGTCCGGCACGCTCGCACCTTGCATCTCGACAAGAGTGCGATACGTATACCCTCAATGGTACACCTGGCGGCTTCACGATGAGGAACTTCACCGACTTCACTACCGCCACCGCTGGAGGTAATCTTACGGCATTCCTTGGGTTAGTTTTCCCATCTAGCGTGTTTACCCTCACCCTCACCCTCACACTCACACTCATTGTTTTCGTGTAGCAACAACTCAATGCATGTTAGCGATTACTCCGTCCCCAACGACCCGCTCAACCACACATTCACCCCCGCCAACGCCGCACTATCTACCGTCGATGGCTTCACCGTGTTGGACTTGAAAGTATCTGCGTATACTTCTGGGAACGTGATATGCGCCGCGGTCGGCACGGACTCTGTTTCGATTGAGTACGCCAGCGTAAGGACTATGCTCAAGTCCAGTCCCGTTGAGGGTATTGTCGAGGGAAACTTCTTCTATCGTGAGTCGCATATTCGCCACTACCGTCACGACATTCGCTCATGCAAAAATGTGTTTGCTTTAGTCAACAATTATCAAGAAATCGACTTCGAGATTCTGACCACGACCGCCTTAAAATCCAGCCCGAATGTTTCTATGGGGATTTGGGCAACGAACCAGGCCACTACTGAAGGAGGCAACAAGACATACGAGATCATCCCCTTCTCGTTTGATCCTTCTGAAGATTTCCACGAGTATCGTATCGACGTAAGTTCTACGATCATATTTCTTCGCACGGTCACGGTGGCTAAACCTTCATTCAGTGGACATCTGCTGCTTCAACATTCTTCATTGATGGGAACCAGGTGGCAAGCCTGACTGACAACGTACGTTTATCCTTGCTCACATTTTCCGATTATTTCCCCCTACCGTACCGCGTGCTTACCCATGCCCTCTCATTCCCGCCACACAGCTCCCTACGAACCCAGGCGGCTGGATCTGGAACGTCTGGAGCAACGGCAACCCTACGTGGTCCGCAGGTCCCCCGACCGAGGATACCCACACCTACATCAAGACGATTGACATGTACACAGGATATACGGACACGGTGAACGGGACGGCTTGTAGCATCTGACAGACTTCCGCAGCCGCTGGACTTGATTCAGCGAACTCTTTCTTGTGGACATTCGGACCATTGTTATCGTTGCTCGTTATTATGCTCTGACTTGCTTGATCCAGCGGACATCTCCTTATGACCATTCGGACTATCGTTACCGTCGCTCGTTATCATGTTCTCACTTGCCTTTGTAAAACCGATAAATTCTGTGATATTTATCGCAAAATGATGTAGCCCAGTATTGTAGCACTCTGTGACCTTAAAAAATTATTGACTCAGAAAAAAAAACGAATGTGGGCCAAGGTCACAGGAGTCAGCGCCACAGTGCGGCTGAAGCAGTGCGAATTACGCCACACTTGTCGTTTTTACTCACTCCGAGTCTTTTCTTCTCTACTCGAGCTCCTCATCCTCATCCTCACCTTCCACCTGAACCCCTTACACCGATCTCATTCTCCGGTTCATCATCGTCACCCAAATAAACTATGGCTAAATCCACCCGCTCAAAAGTCAAGCGCACGTACCGTGCCAAAAAGCGTGAAGATGGCGTCTACGCAGCCATCGAAGCCGCACGTCTCGCCCGTCTCAGCGCAAAACTCAAAGCTGTCGCCTCACTTCCAACTGAAGAAGACGTAGAGGAAGGAGGAGAGGAAGGGAGGGCAGATGCGGAAGGCGACGAGGTTATGGAGGATGCGGACGCTGAGGGCGTAGACGGAGAGAAAACAGAAGGAAAAGGTTGGTGTCGAGATTCGAATGACTGGGATGGTTGCGACGATGGCTTTGATTATCCGGCTTTTGGACTGTTGGGGCCGGAGTATATTACGCTTGAGGTCATGGAGCGGTTTCGTGCAGATGGTGGGGTCACGGCGCAGACAGCGACTTCAATCATTCTGGGGAGCGGCCCTTCGTCGGTTTTCACGTCTATGGCTGCTATCGCTCTTGGTGACCCTGCCTTTAGTCAAGGTGACCTAGGAGCAGGGCAATGCCGCAGAATCAAGCGCTCAGCACAGACCAAGGGCTGTCATTGAAGAGCTTTTGCGCTTCGTATGCCCTCTTACTCTCATGCTTTTCTTTCAGCAGTTGAGAGGGTTTCGACATGTCTACACTTCGATACCCACACACATTCCGATCTCTTTTTCTCTGCTCGTTCAGTCTCATAGCATCTTCAATTTTACTTGTGGCTGACGATGCGTTTTTCTCCTCCGATACTTTCCACTCTCAGAAACCATGGATGTGGACGGTGCCGCATCCTCATCAAAATCCACACGCGTATCCACACACGGACCCAGACAATCACGGAGAGAATCGTGGAGATCCTCGAAGGGCCTCGCACCGAGACCGAAGGCGAGGGGTATGAACAGACAGGGGACGGTCGCTGCGAAGAGAAAGTCGGGGAGGTCGCATAGGAGGCGATAAACGTCGGATTTTCCGCCTACGGCTCGCGATTCGTTTTTTCTTACTCCTTTCCTCCTTTCCTCTTATTTGTCTTTCCTTGCAGTGCTTCGTTCTGTATTGGCTCTGGTTTTGGCTCTTCGTGTCTGTAACGACCAGGTGGTGAGTAGGAGTTGGTGTCCAGCTTGTATGTTTGGCTTGGTAGGCGCTGCTTTTTCTTGCATCTGATGGCATACAATCATACTGTCGTCGGGCTTACCCACCCTATCCTTTGACTGACACTACTTGCGCGATTGCAAGGATACGACCATAAGAACTGGGTATTCACAACAAAATTTAAGCCGAAGGAGCGTAAGGTAAGAGAGAGTAAGGGGTAGCGCGCACCGCGCCAAATCAAGACAAGATACAAGACGGCAAAAAGACCTCGCAAGTAGTTTTAGTTATACAATACATCGAACGGGTGAACGTAATCACGGATGGAATGAGGGGGGTAAGCAAGAAGACATCAATACGCATGGAGACGAGACCCGAGACTCGACTCGGAAATGAACCACTGTACTCTATGCGGCACTGCTGCACATTAACTGGAGTCCTACATGGCGAGAAATAAGAACGAAGCGGGACGGTATGGATGTCGGCAATCCAATTCAACCTTGAGAACCAAAACAATACCACTTTTGTAAGGTATGGCGAATCAGATAGAGTCCAAAACCAGGAAGAACGTGTAGCATATGGCGGTTTTCGTGGCGGCGGGAGAGTCGGAAGGGGAGGCAAATAAATCCTGAAGCCGAAGGGAGCATTCACAAAGTGTCATGGGCCTCCTTGTTGCTGAAACCACCAGGACTGGAGTCAAGCGAATTTCGGCTCGCAGGACTATGGTCTTGCTGATTCGGTCGCTTCCTGCATGACATTCCGTCGAGACCAGTCGAAAGTTCGGTAAGATCAATATTGAAGGCTGCCAGACAGGTGAAATGAAAAGACGAACCCAAAGTCATCCATGACGAACTGCTCAGTCTTGACGCTGACCACCGGTCGAGTGAAGTGGGTAGGCCTGCGGTTCCCACCTCCGATGATGGCGGCGGTATGCGTGTAAATATCATCATGGAGGTCTTTGAGCTGGATGACTGTGCGACAAGCTGCGATGGCACTGGAGAATTGCGTGGTGAGCGTTAATGAGTCGAAGTCCGAGGGAAATAGGATAGCGAGGGCGTTTGAAGGACTTACGAGACTGTACCCGCGGGGACCTGGATGTGGACAATGGAAGCGCTCGTGAGACTTAGAAAGGTAAAGCAGGCGACTATTAGGAGCTTACGGCGGTGATGCTAGAAAGTTCGTTGCAAGACAGATGGCAGGGGTGAGGAACAAAATTTTGAACGCCCACGAGCTGTTTCAGACTCACACATTCATGACAGCTGTATTCCATGCTTGAGTCAGTCTCGAAAAAGACTAATGTAGGGAAATTTTACTCACAGTTAAGGTCCAAGATAGCGAATATCTAGAGCATTTGAATCCTCAATGAGGCACTGGCCGACAGCGAAGTAGAAGCACGTAACTAAGACTCACCGCAGGAAGAATGTTACAGGCAGACGCAGCGATGAAGAAAATCAAGCCATCCCTGAAGAGTAGGTCCCAGATGCTGACTCTGGCCGCTTGCCTGAGAAACTGGTACCCAGCAGCAACCAATAGTACGAAATCAAAAGCCATCGCTATACACGCGAGGTCAATGATCAGTATCGTCATTGATAGCAGTATGAACCAGCATGAACGCACTATAAAAGAAGGTGGCTTGGAGATACTGCGAGTTAACGGTCGTCACCGTGCAAGTTTGAACATCGTCGCTCCAACTACCGTTGACGAGGAACATTCCACGCCAGATAAGGCCCCATTGTGCGAGAGACAGCACAGTCAACGGGATCACGATAGACATTTTTCTCTTCCACAGAATGAACCTACACAAAGCATTATGAGCAAAGTGAGTTATCAAGCTTCACGAGGGTACCGACGTTCTAATCATTAATGACGTTGAAGCCGTTAAGATCGCCAATTGTCCTACAATCTAGGGGTGGGTCAGGGAATGGGTCACTCGAGCAGACCGGAAGATCACGTACAGTGGTGAAGGTATAGAGTGCCTGTAGGAAATCTGTCATGAGCGAGCCTGCGAGGCTCAGGCCAGGTGATAATCATGAGACATACATGACAGTGGATCTGCAGCATATGGTCATCAGATAAAGCTACGCGCTGAGCAGACAGAGGATGGTTACTCACGGGCTGCGTAACCGACGATGCGATTAATCTATGCAAATGGGAGTTTAGGTTCGTCCACGTCGGAGATGTTGCAGACAACTTACAATCCAACGAGTGACCACAAGATGCTATATCGACACAAGAAAAAGAAGACTGCATCGGAGCGGGTCAGGACACAAGCTACATATAGTTTCACAGTCAAAACGTACCCATGGGCCATTGCAACTTCCGACGACCAAGCAGAATAGATATTTCAAAGTCACTCGTCTGGAATAGCTCCCACACATAGATGCCGAAGAACGTGAACAAAATCTTGGTGAAAGCGCCTGTAGAGCAGATGCCAAGGTCAGTGTACACCGTCTACCAAGCCCACCACGATCGCGTTGACATACGGGCATCAGTAGCAAGCTCGGTTTCACTAGTCCAGTCTGTCATGTTGGAAACGTGAAAGTGGGTTCAAGACCAAGAGATGGATCGGGAGAGAGCCAGCAGTTGACAAGACGGCCTGAGGCGGGGAGGAAGGGGTGAACCGACGAAGGCTCGAGAAAGGACAGCGCTTTTGACAAGGGTGCGACGGCAAAAGGAGAGGGGGCAGCGCCAAACGGGTTTAGGATGACATGAGGATGTAATATATCTTGCAGTCTGACGTTGACCGCCGGCCCTTCGACATTCCCCGCCAGCTCACACCCTCTCCCTTCCTTTTTTGTCTACAAAGGGCCTGCAGGACTTCTTCGTTCCCGCGCTGTAACTTCTCTTACCTTATATCGGATGTCGCAGCCGCATCTTCAGTCCTCCAGGGCGCTCTGAAGAGATACCCGCATCTACATCTCCAAGCGCATCGCAAGGCAGCGACAGACTGACGATAGTGGGATAGCTTATAAGACTCATCTCCGTGTAGCCTGTGCCTCCGTGTGAATTCTCGGTGATATGGCGCAAGCGAAAGGTGAGGTGGAGAACCGGTCCCGTTGCACCGTAGGAGGTTCCATTCTCAGTACAAGGCATTTACCGAATATAGGTTGTTCTCAGCATCTGCCAATGCTCGTGGGTGAATCTCGAGTCTTGCGGCGCGTTGCGAGGGTCCTATGGAATTGAAAACATGACTTGGATGAGAGACGAAGTAGGTGATGTAAAACAGGACACGCTGACCGGGATGGACGGATGGACAGCGTTTAGCGCACATCAAGACGGATGAAGACGCCGGACGAATGGACGTTGCTGTGCAAGGACGGAGGAGGCCACGGAGGCAAATTGTCCATTCACCTTGATCAAGTCCATCGGAAGCTTCTTCGTCGCCGCTGAGATCAAAATTAACAATTACGAAAACGTCCGGAATGGTGACAAACATTTATTACGGTGGACGGGCCACCCGCCACCCACGGAGTGGCAAACACGACGGTTATCCTGACAAAAATGGGGATTTCACTCGCACAGGAGAAATAATTCATCGCAAAGGTACGTACAACGAGTCGAGCGGGCATCGACGACTCAATCACTCAAGCTCAAGCTCGCTGCATACGGCTGTGGCAATTAACCTATTAGCAGCGCACTTGTGAGTAGGATAGCAAGCTCTTCGGGTAAAGCTTGGAAAGAGGGCAGATGAATTCAAAATGTTCCCCCCTACAACATCACTTCCCAGAGATAACTGGGATCCGAACAAATCCCAGTTCCACTCACGGTCCTAACTACACCACACGCCAACATTGCTATCCGCCCCAGCACTGACCAGCCAAGGCTGCCTCGGGACCCACTTGATTTGTAGAACACCAAGGTTATCTTTAACCTCATGCCCTCTCAAGATCTTCAAGGGCACGATCAACGGGTCCGTCATGAGGTCGTTGTATACTCGAGAGTGGAAGATCTGGATGGAGCCATCGTCTGAAGAGGACGCGAATAATGGGTAGGTGGGGTGGAATTGGACGGAGCGGATTGCGCGCGAATGGTACCTATATAAGAGACCAGTCGAAGTCAGAAAAGAGTTGGCTATAGTAGAACCTCGAAGACCATACCGCATGATTTTGTAAGGCTTGTCGCTGAGCTCGAGATCGAACCAGCAAAGTTTGCGGTCGTAGCCACCGACAATAATATGGTCTCCTGAGGGATGCACGTCCATTGACGAGATCCATCGGCTGCCAGGCATCAGGGTCTTCAGCAGCTTCTGCTCGGCGAGGTTGTAGACCCGGACATGACGCTGGGTCTATCGGTACCGTAGATAATGAGTAACACGCACAGCACCTGATAGGAAAGAGGAACGTACGGCTACGAAGAATTGAGGTTTTGTCGGATGGAATAATACCAGCTGTACAGCTCCCTTGACCTTTCTGAAAGGCGCTTGGGAATGGCGACGGGAAATTTGGTGAATCCAGACGCCACCGACGCCCTCGCCGTTCGCTGATCCAACAACTCCGCATGAGAACACTTTGAGTAGAACAGGACATAGCATAACTCACAGACTGTGGCGAAGTAATCGCCCTTACGATGCCATGATATTTGTTTGGGCACTCCGGACGATTGCGGGAGACCGACGGACAAGATGGGTTTCTCGCTGGAAATGGAAGAAGCGGAAGGAGGATTGGTCCATTTGATTGGTGATGGAGCTGCAGGTGCTGGCGGCAGCGTTGCTGGTGCGAGGAGATTTTGGGTGGCGGTTAGAATTGTCTGAGGCACGTTTGGTGGTATGATAAAATGCAGTTTCTCGTCACTGTGAAGAGGAAGATTCAGCGCCTATGTTAATCCCATGATGAGGTGGAAAACGTACGTTCCAACGACGAAGTAGCTGACGTCTGTCCTTGGACACCATTCAATCGCACCAACCATCTCACCCATATTCCACCGCTTGAGTTCTCGGCCGACCGTCACCTCCCATAAACTGACCACGCCCTCCTCATCTGCGCTGACAGTCCATGCACCGTCGGGACTAACGCTCAGACACCTCACACGACCCTTCGTGTGGGGAAACCTCAAGTTCCTGTAATTAGGGAAAGGACGCAGACTACTCGGGCTAGGCAACTTCGGAATGAGACTATTAGGATCAATGTTGAGTTTTGCACGCTGTATCCGGGGTGCGAGGTAGAGATCCAGCTGACGACTGAACCGCTCTTGTATGAACTGGTCGTATCCGGGAACGAGTCGAAGCGAGGAGTACTTTTGTGGTAGGAAGTCACGTTCACGGTCTTCTTTGTCGGTGGCTTCCCATTCCTTACGTTCTTCTTCGGTGGGTAAGTACTCTTCTGGGGGATTATATGATTCGGCATTGGTAGGTAGGCGAGGCTTGGGAGCAGGAAGTGGTGGAGCGTGTGCGGACGGGGCTTCGTTCCAGATGGCGTAGAATTGTGGTTGGGTGGATGCGGTTTTTGGTTTTGAGGGGACAATACGGCCTTGGCGGATCGCACGCACGATTTTCATGATCTGTAAATTGCGCGTCATAAACGACCGAGGCCCATCGAGCTAAACGAAGACCAACCATACCTTCTGCTTTTCCCATTTACTGGCCACCCATCTCCGTTTGGGCTCAGGAGCGCCAGACAACGGCATAATCTCCTCTTTACCCTTACCCGTAAACCATTCGACGGTAGGTTCATAAGGGTCATACTCCGCATCCGGGTTTTCATGTGCTTGTAAACGACGGATGATGTCGAGTTCTTCCGCAGTGAGGGGTTTATCCATCTGCGTATTCTTGTCAAACGCCGAAGTCCTGAAAGGGACAGTTAGTGGATTAATTTCGCCTACAAAGCGGGAGAAACGTACCATGCGGAGGGATCATCTACTGTCTGCAAGAACTTGTCGAGTTCGTCTCCTCTTGCTGGTTTGAGCACTTTCTTCCCCTCAATACTATACCCTACATGCGGCAAGTCGTCATACCAGTGCATTGGAATGTCACCGACACGATTGGGTGCCTAAAATGCGTGATAAGAAACCTTGGCTAGGAAAAGAGGCAGTGTATACCCACATCCTCTGTGGACGAGTCTGAATCGTAGTCGGGCTCTATCTCCGGGTAGACCTTCTTTGGTTGGCCAGTGATGTCTGATATCACCGTTTTAGATTTGGGGAAGATGTGAAGATCGTCATCCGTCGAAGTATCGTCATCTTCTTCGCTCTCTTCGGGACCTTCGTTGTCTTCCTCATCCTCTCCCTCGATTTCATCCTCCTCATCTCCTTCGTCGTCTCCCTCACTATCACTCCTCGCATCTATCTCCGGAAACTCATCGACACCCTCATCATCCGAACCTTCCACCCCATCCTCCGCCTCCTCGTCGCTGTGCATATCCAGACCAACCTGAGGGAGAGCCTCGACGACAGGTTCTTCTACCGGCGCCTGCTTGCGCTTTTTGCCATTGGCAACGAGACCGACAGCCATGGAGAGACTATGTATGAAGCAAGGAGATGCCCAAGCTATGACCCAAGAGGGGTATTTTAAGTAAAGACCAAGCAAAGAGGGGATCGGAGCAGACAGTGGCAAATAATTTCCAAGTCGCGTCGGGCTCGAAGGAACTTTTGAGATTCCCACGCTCAAAGCCAATAGCTTTAGATCCGATCGGGCAAACTCAACGCCTCCTTCGATCTCTCTTGCCTTTCTTAGCCACTCATCCAACCACACTCACACCCCGACACAAAACCATGGTCCAATATGGAGGCGGTCTGTACATGTCATATTTATACGCGTATTACGCTGATTTCTTGGGGTGTTTGGTGTTCTACAGACGAAGTCTCCGCGCTTGTGCTCGATATTGGCACGTCTACCCTGCGCGCTGGATATGCGGGGGACGATGCCCCAAAGGCCATCATACCTACTTCATATGGTTACATCACTCAACCAGCAAGTTCAAATCCAGATGTAACAATGGACGACGCGACTGCAGAAAACGGTGAACAGCCACCAAAAGACGCCGCTCCTGCGGAGGAGACTAGACTGTTCATCGGGCAACATGGACCTTCGATTTGGAGGGCCAACATGGAGATTGGAAACCCTATGAAAGATGGCTTGAGTGCGTCTCCTTTCTTGTCACTCCCTGTATAGTACTTATAAGTCTTGTGTCGGTTCGTGTTTGTCAGTAAATGATTTCAAGCCCATTCCTGCGCTCATCCGACACGCATTCGAGGACGTCATGCGCGTAAATCTCGAGGAACATCCAGTTCTAGTGACAGAACCGGCATGGAATACTGTCGCGAACCGTGAGAGGATGGCAGAGATCATGTTTGAAGAGTTCAACGTCCCTGCATTCTACATCGCGAACACAAGCGTATTGAACGCGTAGGTATCTCTTCGAGCTCATGTCTATTGTGCCTGCTTGATGCGTCTATGGCTAGGTTTGCTTCTGGAAAGGGCTCCGCTCTGGTCGTAGATATTGGACAGTCGCAGGCAAGCGTCACTCCAGTTGTCGATGGATTCGTTCTACGAAAAGGTGGGCTTCTATGTTCATTTCTTTATCCATCACTTCAATAATGTTATCAGGCCTCCACTGGTCCACCCTCCCCCAACTAATCCACGCACGATCCCGCCAACATCTCACAAACGCCGCACAATACCATCCACCAATCGAGCTCCTCCCTTACCAACTCATCGCCAGCAAAGAAGTATGACCCTCTATCTCATTCGCTCCACCAAATATAGTCACTAAATATCTTGGAACTTCAGCCAGTAGAACCTAATGCACCACCGCGCTACGTCGCACGCGACGACCGAATACCCCACACGACCGACAGCCTCCGACTATACTACGAGACGCGCGAAGTCGACGAGTGGATCCAGAGTGTTGCAGGGGTAGTGGAACAGGGATGGAACGAACAGTGCGCTTTCTTGAATTCGACTGTGAAACCCTTCTGCGTTGATTAACGTCGGAATGTTCTGCATAACAGTCAAGCAGCAGCGTATCCACCAAAACAGTATGAATTCCCGACGGGCTTCAACACCTATTTCGGCGTAGAACGCTTCGCGGTCGGCGAGCTCTTCTTCAACCATGGTCGCGAACTCGTACGCATACTCGCACCTCCTTTCCTTACAACAGAACTGACTTCTCGAACTCCATGTATCACATCATTGACTTCTCGAACCACAGGAAACAAACCCCACCATCCCGCGACCCATCCCCAGTCTCATCGCCCAAGCTCTCAGCGCCTGCGACCCCGACATGCGCGGCGTCCTCACAGGCAACGTCGTTCTCTCCGGCGGGGGCTCCTCCTTCTCCGGTTTTGCGGACAGACTGAACGTTGAGCTCAGCCGTCATTATCCTCATGTGCGTTTTCAGTTTTCACATCCGACTCTTCCCCTTTCCCCTTTCCGCGTGGTATATCACCCTTCTCTCTTGCCTCGTTCATGGTGTTTATTTTGCTCCGGTCTGGCTGATCATGGGCTAAGGAATTTATCAACTGATCTGACTTTCTGATTTCTCCGATGACTTTTTGAATGAACAAAAATAGGTCAAGATCCACGCACCGGGGAATACGGCGGAGAGAAGATACGGCGGGTGGCTCGGGGGAAGCATCCTCGCCAGCCTCGGCACGTTCCACCAGCTTTGGATCAGCAAAGAGGAATGGCAGGTTCGTTCTGTCCTTCACTACCTTCTACCCCGTTTCTGTTCGGCTCTGACTCAACGCATTAACACTCATCATTTATCTGTTGAAATTTGCAGGAACACGGAAAAGCCATCGTCGGCCAACGGTGCAAGTAAAAACGCGGCAAACCGACGCAGGAGCTGTGGATCGATTCCGGTCAGAGGGCAGAGGACTCTTTTCTCTGTATCTGTTTGCATAATAGTTGTTTGCGTTCGTTTCTATTTCATGTTTTCGTTTCTTGACCTCGTCGCTGTTGTCATAAATATACACAACAACCAAAGAATACTTGTGCCGTCTCCGCACATCGATGCCCCAGCCTTTACAGATGCCTGACAGTATGACAGTATGAATTGCGCTGAGGACTCTATTCTCCTTACCCGAACAATAGCAGACTTGGATTCACATCCACCCCACACCTACTCACACGCACACGCTCACCATCGTCATCAACCAATCCTTCCTATTGAACAACAACGTACAAACGCACGAGAACGCATACGCAATACGGGTACGTCTACGCAAACGAAACCCATCCCAAATCCATCCATCCGACTCATCCGACCCGCTTCACCCGACCCGACCTGACCTACGAAAAAGGAAAGTAAAAGACAGAGAAGAAAAAGATCAGACTATGTAAACAGGACTTGGAAACCTCAACCTCAACAGGAAAAGAAAACAGACAGACAGGTAAACATATGAGATACGCAGGCAAACAGACGAGACGAGGCAAACAGACAAGGAGGGCAGATAAATAAAGGTTAAAACTGCACCCACTAGTAGGGCAGGTTTAAGTGAGAAGTGGATTGTAATTTGTAAAGGAACGAAGAGGGTTGTCGATCGAGCGTCGGACTGGCTTTTTTCTTCAAGAAGAAAAGTTATATTGAAAGTTGAAATTGGAATTTGAAGTGAGGGAACAGGAGAAGTGGAGAGGAGAGGCGGGGTGGTCGCTAGAGGACCAGCAGGAGAGGGTTAAGAAAACGAGAGAGTGGAAGAGAAAGAGTCCGCTCGAGGGAGCGATGATGATGGATCATATCGTTAGAGGAAGGAAAGAGAGAGAGAGATCGGAACGAGTAACGGAAAGCGCGACTGACTGTGTGCCCACTCTCAGCAAGGTGACATGTCGCGCGTGTCAAAGCACAGCGAGAGAATCGCACCGGCCGAAAAACGAAAACACATAAAAGTTCGCAAGAAGGGAAAGAAGAGACGAAAGAAACGTAGCAGATCAGAACGCCTCGATCGAAATCTCCCTCCTCTCCCTCGCGCTAGCCATGAGCGCTCCCAAACCCCCAATCGCCTTCCTCCTGATCCTCGTCGCGAAATTCCTCGGGCCCAGCTCGTCCGCACCGCTTGGCGGCCCTCGAGGCTGCCTCATCGGCTGGCTGCTCATCACGCGCTGCGTAGCGCCAGCACCATTCTGAATCGTAGCGGACACGGATCCCAAACGTCCCATCGCACTCGCACCTGCACCCGCACCGTTCACTCCTCCCGGAAGGGGCCTCCCGATCCCGAGTCCCTCGTAAAGCTTCTTCGCGGCCTCCTCGCGCGGCGAGAGTGACTGCTGATCGGCAGACGCGGTGGAGGAAGAGGCCGAGTCGGGTGTCGTGGGCGACTGTCCGGACGAAGCGGCAGACTTGGACGAAGAGGTAACGGAAGACTCGTCTCCCTCGTCTGCGCTCTCGTCAATGGCGACGTTGCTCATGGGCTGCGAGACCGCAGCGGAGAAATGGAGCGGCTGAGGACGGGTGCGTAACGGGCTGACGGCGGTCGAGGGAGGCGGGGAAGATGCGTCCGAGGGCGGAGGGGTGATCTTCACGCTGGGCCTGTTCGCGCCGTTGAGGACAGAGTTGTTGTTTCCCCCGCGCCTCCAGGACACAGCGGCATCGGACTTGGAGGGTCCAACGACGGGAGAGCCGCTGTTGCTGTTGTTGCCACCGAGGATGGGAGTACTGGCGACGGTGGGTGTTCCAAGGGACGTACCACCGGAGATGACGGTGGTGTGGGCAGACGGCACTTGGTATGCGCCATTCCTGCTGCCATTGTTGCTGTTGCTGCTCGTGAAATCCTCGTCGCTACCATAGCCGGTACCGCGAACGCCGAACTTGCCGCTGAGGGCGGCTGTCTTCGGCATGTGCTGCTCGTCGCTAGCGAGACCGAGCAGATCAAAGCGCCTCTGACAGCACGTTCTAATAGTCCTATTGTCTCCACTTCAGCCCATCTTTTCTTCCCCAAAGCCATCGAACAGCAGAAGAGTCGTCAGAGAGCACTCCCGCCAGCCCACAAGCACCCAAATTGTTTCTTGTACGTATTCTTACAATCTTTGCGATAAGCATCGACCCCTGATCTCCCATCCAGCCCAGCTGTATCACAAATCGTCGTCTTCATTTAGCTTTTCCCCTTAATTCAAATCGTCTTCAACCCCTTCCCAATGGCCACCACTCCAGCACCCAACCCCCGCGCCTCCCTCCTCTCCGGTCTTCGCACAGGAGGCGTCCGCTCCACCTCCGGGCCCACCCACAACTTCCCCCACTCCGCTGCCCCCGGCGCGTCCTTCAACGTCACCCGCTTCGCCTCCCAGGCCTACAACAACAACAGCAACAGCTACTACCCCGATGAGTCCGACGATCTCGCCGACATGCTTACCCAGAACATGTACATCCAGTCCGCTGCCCCGAGAATGCATCAGCCCCCGATGACCGCTGCCGTCGATGGCATCAACAGATTCTCCCAGCAGCAGTACTCGAGGGCGATGCCCAACACGATCGGGATGCAGCAGGCGGCAGAGGCCCAGAGGCAGGCACAGCAAGCTCAGGCTCAGGCTCAGGCTCAGCAGCAGGCCTTGCAGATGCAGATGCTCCAGCTGGAGATGATGCGGTTGCAGGTACGTCCTCTCTTTCATGTTTTGCCCTGCCCTTCGGCGCCTAACGTTACATCATCAACGCCTCAGGCTCTGCAGAATCAGCAGTACCAGGCCGAGCTCCTCGCTCAGGCTCAACGCCAGCAGCAGCAGCAGCAGCAGCAACAACAGCAACAGCAGAGCGTTCGCAACTATGCCAACCCTCCCGCTACCGCAGGGCCCACTTCCTCCTTCGATATTCGGTCCGCTGCGATGAACGCTCAACTTCGTCGCGCCAACCAGGCAGATCAGCTCAGGACTCAGATGTTTATGGATATTTGTGGCAGAGACTGAGACAGAGACACGGCTAGGCAAGAATATGTGAATATGGAGAGAGAAGAAAAGAAAAAGAGCCAGGAAAGCGAGAGAGAGTGAGAGTTGAGGACAAGAGCCGTGCCCCGTCCACATCCAGCAGCTCGCCTCCCTTCCGGGGTCTGCCCTCGTTGCCACCGCAGCCACCGGCCCTGTGCCCCATGACCCCGACCACCCCGCAATTGTGGCCCAAATATGCTACAACTTGAATACGCTACAGATACTTCTTCGCACTCGCTCGCACCCTGTTGTCGAACACGCTGCTCCGGATGGGCGTGTGCGCCGTGTGGAACGGGTTCAACATCGTCTGCCACAAAAACATCCATTATTATCTGTTCATGCCCGAGTACACCCCATACACCGCCATCCACGAGTGGCGCAGAGCATACCTTGACGTACAGCTCCCACACATCGTTGAAGAACAGCCTGATCGCCTCGTCGTTCTTGCTCTCATGCAGCAGCACAAACTTCATGTCTGTCCGCCGCACGTCAACCGACGCTCGCAATTGCAGGAGCTGTGGCACTAGTACTTACTGCCAGGGGTAACGAACGCCGAGACCGTCCACTCGTTGAACCTGTCCACAGACTTGAGGTACCTGCCGCAATAACAGAACCATTCAGCGCAGTCCAAGTTCAACAGGTGCGCAGTGCATTCCAGGACGAAACGCAGCAAAAAGAAATACAGACATCGCAGTATTCCGTTTCACCACGTCCTCAATCACGTCCAGACTCGCGTTCGCTATCATCTGTATCACATGCCGGTCCTGTCCGCCTCCCATCCTCGTCCCTCCTCCCTGCGCTGACGTCTGAGTGACCGTGGACGCGCCCGAGAGCGCCGTGAGCGTGCCTGCGAACGCGGAGGTCGACCATGACGGCAGATTTGAGGACAGAGGCGAAGGCGCTGACACTGACGGTTTCGCAGAGAAGTGGGTGAGGCTGTAGAGAGGAGTGTCGGATGGCGAAAGGAGGAAGAGATGGTGGGACATCGTCGTCGTCTGTGATGAACACAACTGTTAGGATGGCCGTTGTGGCGAACCTTGAACTTGAAGGCGTGAGATGCTCCCGCCACAGGAGATGAGAAACGCGTGTGTGGCGGCACCGACCGCGTGCAACGACGATGGCCTCTCTTACTCTCAACCCTCTCCGTCTCGCCAGAGCGCCTCTTTCTCTTCGTCCATATCGGCTCATAAGCACCAGAACGAGCCCCATTCTGTCTTGTCTGCTTGCAAACTCTTTCCAGACCCCTCGGCAGCCGACTCGTTTGATACTAGGCTTGCACCCTAAGCCCTTCAGTCTTTCCTCTCGTCTCAACGCAACCCACCGTGATCACAGACCAGGAAAAAATGGTCCCCCACGTCCTCCGAGACGGTCTGGTCTTGGATTCTTCACATCCCTTCGGAGGTTCCTAGACGGTATCCCGCCTTCGTTCGTGGTCTATGGCATCATGGCCCTCAACGGTATCGTCTTTGCTGGGTGGTGGGTCGCCATCGACGCTCTGGTCCGTATAAACCCTGTTTATATCTATATTCATGTGCTTACATTGTACTTTTACACAGAAACGAACGAGAGATCAGACTTTATACAAGTTCATGGCCGAGAATTTCACGTCGAGCAAGATGAATTACGAAGCAGGCCGCTGGTCAGTACCTCCGCAACACCTTTCTGACCTGTACCTGATCATGCTAACATGGTGTGATGTAGGTGGACGGCATTGACATCCTGCTTCTCACACCAGAGCTTCTCGCACATCCTCTTCAACGGCATGACTTTCTACTTTATGGCCCCCGCCGTCGCCAGCATCCTCGGCACCTCCAGTTTCCTCTTCCTCTACCTTGGCGGTACGTCTATCCATCCTCCCACCCTCTCCCACTCGCCCTCATTAACCCTCTTCACAACCTCTGCACCACCCCCACTCCATAACCAGGCGGAATCTTCTCCTCCCTCTTCTCCCACACCCTCTCCACCCTCCCCCAATCTTCCTACAAATCCACCCACCAAATCTCCTCCGTCGGCGCCTCCGGCGCCATCTTCTCCATCATCTCCTTCTTCACCTGTCTCTCCCCCCGCACCACCTTCCTCCTCTTCGGCATCGTGCCCTGTCCCGCCTGGGGCGTCGTCGCCGGCACCATCGCCTACGACGGCTATAATTCCTGGCGGGAGAGTAAAGGCCAGAAGGGCATCGGGAATACGGATGGGTTGGCGCATATTGGGGGGGTCGTGGCCGGGGCGGTGTATTTTGTGTTGAAGATGAGGGGGTTGAGGGTTTGATGGGGTGGGTTGGCGGGTGGGCGCTTCAAGGACTTAGGGGGATAGTACGAGACGGCTATTTGTGGAGGTTGATCTAATCCACGACACTCCCATCTCAACTGATTTTATTCGCTCGATTGAAGAAGACGAGACTCGAATTCAGGTATCATTTAAAGACAGTGAGTAGTCGACGGCCGAGCCGGACGGTAACGATACACAGACGAAGCGCGAGCCAGCTATCAAAGGGAATCAGAAAAGAAAGCTACCAAGTATTAGTAGTAGTAGGCAAAACTGGCAAACTTCAAGAAGAAGAAAGAAAAGCATAATCATCAAGAACAAGAACACAGGAGGCAAAGCAAACATATAACGAACATAACGCTAGAGGCGAGGTATATTTCTAAAAACAATGTCACTTACATCTGTAATGCATGCGTGCGCACGAACGGAACGGAACCGAGAGAAATACAATACACTCCGCCGGGGTAGAAGGAAAGATCAAACGACCCCCCTCGGCGGCGTACTCGTCCTCCCATCCAACCTCCTCATCTCCCTCTCCAACCTATCCACCCCACCCGCCGCCGCCAACGCGCCATTCCCGTGCCCGTGCCCATGCCCATTATACGGCGAATGCGCATTACCGCTCCCGTTCTCGTCCTGTCCCCTCGCCCCGTGCTTATCGAACAGATAAGTCAACAGGTTCTTCTTCTCGTCCGCCAGGCCATCCAGGAGCGCGAAGAGGTGCGTCTCGTCCCTGAGGACGACCTGTGCCGAGATGAGCACGGCGGCGGCGGACTCGCGCACCACGAGCGAGGTGGTATCATTCAGCGCCTGATCAAGTCGATATACATATACGTAAGCAAACACATCCATGAGGCGAGCAAGAGAGAGGAGAAACGCACCGTGATAAGCGTCATCTTCATCCTCGGCAGCTCCTCCTCCAAAATCTCAGCCGGCAGCCTCAAGATAAACTTCCCCAGTGCGATCAACCCATACGCATACGTCGCAGACTTTGTCTCCGCCGGTGCCGTAGCTGAGATGGGGGCCGGCTCGGCTTGGAACGCGAGGAGGGCTGCATGCATCGTCGTTAGACCGTAGACGGGCTCGATCTGTTGGGCGAGTGAGTCCCGGATAGTGTTGGTTGCTTCCATGACCTGCTCGGGAGAATGATCAATTTTGTGAATGAGACTGGGACGACGGACGGTGCTTACGAGTTGTTTGTTGGAGTATCGAACCCGGAGGAGAATAGTGAAGATGTCGGCTTCGCGTCCTTCAGCGTGCAGAGGCTGATGCTCCAACATCTCCCAAAGTGCGATCAGGCCGTACTCCAACAGTTCGTCAGGCTACACATAACCCCAAAAAAATCAACCTCGGAACTTCGTTCAAACAAAGAGAACAACGCGACTCACCTGCTCCGGTACCATGAACTTGTCCAGTCCGCTTAACAGCCTATCGAAATTCTTGCTCGCGGACCACACATCCTTCTTCGACAAACTACTGCCGCTGCCCAGATGCGAGCTTGATAGGGGCGAAGGACTGGATGGGAAGGAGAGATTCGAACTGAGAGGTGAGATGAGGTCCGTGGCGGGATGAGCGCTGCAGAACAACGCTAATTTCTGGAGCATGGCCACATCTGCCGTGCCTTGCTCCAGCTGAGAGATGTACCCTTGGAGTTCGCTAAACGGATCAGAAGATCTCGTTGGCCTCCGCTGAGTGACCACTGAAATAAAATGCCACAAGCGGTCAGTATCAAAGTCAAGAAGCCGTGTGCAGAGGATCGCAACAGCATAGGTCGTAAGAGGGAACTCACAAGCCATCCTCTTCCTCCACCACGCACTATCATTCTTCGACCTCGCAGCGGTCTTCAACTCCCCCATCAGCGAAGGCGCGCCCTTCCCTCCTTTATAAGCCGGGCTATCCTGGAACGCAGCCACCTGTTTCCAAATCGTGCTCTTCCCCTGCGGCGTCACTGGCGCCCTCACCGTCGTCGTCAACGGCCTCACTTGCATCCCCGACGTCGTCCTCGGTGGTGTCACCTGCTGCAGCTTCATCCTCTGTGTGGCCGAGTTACTGCTCAGCAGGAGGGAGTGCTGTGGTTCTTGATTGATCGTCTCGTCGGGTTCGACGAGCTCGAGGAGCCTTTCGGCGGCGCTTTCGGCTTGCTCTGCTCGTGCGCGCATGGCATCTTCCACGAGAGGTTGACCAGCACTGGCCGGAGGGGACGACATTCCGAGTCTAGAGCCGGTGGAACGTGGCGAGTTCGAGTTGTTTCGGGAGCGCGTCAGGGATTGTGGAGACAGAGGAACAGGCGGATGAGCTCCTGAAGGAGGGGGATATTTCTCGAAGGGAGATGAGAAAGAGATGAGGTTGGGGTCGTCCAGGTCCATGTCTGAGTCACTGTCGTCCTCGGGTAGAGGAATAGCTATGGCGGTGAGGAGCGATGGCTCGGTGGTGAAGTCCATGGCATCAGAATCTCTGGGAATATTGAAATTGAGACGGGGAGGTGGTTCTTGAGAAGCGATAGGAGGGATGTCGAAATTCTTCCTAGGTGTCGGCGTGGGCGGTGTGAGGACGGTAGAAGGTGGCGAAGCGGGCAAGGCGGTTAGCATCGCTCTTTTCAGTACGGAAGCTCGTGGGGGAGAGATCGGAGGGGGAGGTTGATGGGTTATTGTCGGGATAGGATGCCGCTGCACAGAAAACGTGGACGGAACGGACTCGCTCGAGGGTGTCCTCGAATGCGACACTACCCTCGATTTGCTCATCGTCGCACTCCCGCTCGACACAATTCGCTGCCTAGGAGACGACGGTGAAGCAGTCGACTGCCTTGAGACGGGAGACGGGGCGCGCTCGCTGAGGCTCTTGGAAGACATCGAAGGCGAGATCGCGCGTTTCTGAGGGGGAGATATCGTCCGTGCGGCTGAGGTGGCCTGGTGGCGCAATGACGGAGGATCATGGTTAATAACCCTCGCCTTCGCCCTCGTCGCCGCGATCTGCTGCGCCACAGATTTCTTCGCCACGGGAGCGGGAGTAGGAGGGACGGATTCGAGCATGTCAGGGTTCGGGCAGGCCTTCTCGAGTTGTTTGCGATTTGTCGCATCCTGAGCTGCCATGATAAGAGCACCTCGTTCGGGCCAAACAGCTTGGAACGCCCAAAAGGCCATCCGAGCGTTGGTGCGAACTCCCGGGTTGGCATCTATAAGAACCTTGCGCAGGGATTCGTCGAGTTTGTCGAGTCCGTGCGCTTCAATAAGATACTTCGAGCGTGCGCCATGCGTAGTGATATAGACATTGAGGTGTTCAGCCACGTATTGGCGTGCTTGAGCTGTCTTCTCCTTCGTGAATTCAGCCAGGAGAGGGATGATCACGCGGGGTAGAGCAGATATGTGAGTCAGAACAGTGGTAACACAGGCTTGTGAGGATTGAGCAGCAATCTTCTTCGTAAAACCGGACATCTTCAGCAGGTTCCTGAGGATGACTTCGCAGACTGGGTCAAGAGCCGGACCAAGAGCAATGGCTAGCTCAGTGTAAAGTGCGCAGGTGCTTGTGGCAACGATGGTTCGAAGACTCAACAGCTACAACAATCTATGTCAGTCAATGCAGCATAGGGCCAAAGAGCGGTACTTGCCGTCTTAATCGAGGCCTCTGCTATCTGCTTCAAGTGTGACAAAAACGTTTCTCGAAAGTGTACGTGAACTTCACCCTTGAGCATACCTCGTACCCGAATGACAGCTTGATCTCGGGCCGACCAGTTATGCTCGGTTTCTTTGCCCTTTGGAACTCGTCAGATATGTTAGACCAATGTTGTCACAAAGACGCTCACCTCAAATGCTGATCCAAAATGTTTCTCGATCTCATTCTCTAGATCCTTGCTTGAAGCAATCTGGCGGGAAATGTGTCAGACATGGATACTATATCAATGAAGTTTGTACTCACATAAACAGGCTGCACGTCTGAATTACCCTCTCCCACCGGAGTTGCAGGTGTAGACGAGGATAGTGCAGCAGCCCTACTGGGCGGTCTCGATAACCCGGTCCCTTGACTAACCGACCTCGACATTCCACCGCTCGCACCGCCAGGCCTCTCCAACGTGGACGTCGAAGAAGACGACGGATTCTTCCTCTGCTGCAAAGCCAGGCTCGGCGGAATGTATTCTTTCTTCGCCGGCGCAGGAGCGTCTCCATTCTCCGATCCCATCTCACTTCCATTTCCACTCCGCCCGCCGAGCACTTTAGCGAGAACATCGTCGATGATGGCTTTCCGGACGCCTTTCTTGGTGAGCTCCTTTTTGAGGTCAGAACGTGCGGCGTCGGTCACGCCGGGTCCTGTGAATAGTTCTACAACAGAAGAACGAGCAACTTCGCGGACAGTACTGTCACCATCTTCAAGTGCCTCAACCAGAAGCGAGAGATAAGGACGAAGAGGGAACATATGGTGATTGCGTCGGATATGAACCAAAGTCAGAATGGACTGCAGTGCATCACGAGGAGTGTCAACGAGCGAGCGACGGCCAGTACGATTAAGGAAGAACGTACCTGCTCGCGGACTCTCCAAACCTTACTCCCAAGCCCACTCTCTTTGAGATATCTTTCGAATATCAGCATAGGAGGCTCCTGCCCCTTTCCACTTCCGGATTTCGTCAACGAAGAGCTGCCTGTTCGAAACGCGAACCCGCCGAGGACGACTAGACTCTCGCGCGCCTTGTCTCTGTTCTTCTCTTTCGCATCACTCAGGCGCTCGATGATACCAGGAGAAGGAAGGAATGCCGCAAGGATTTGACGGAGAGTTGGCGTGTCGATGGAAGATGAGCCAGCGGAAGATGTGGATGCGGTTGAAGAAGCGGGGCCGGAAGTGGGCAAGGGTCGGCTGAGGGTATGTGACAAGATAAGAGAGAGGAAAGGGGGTATAGCAGAGAGCGTTGCGGTCTGAAGATGTTGGTTCGATGTGCGGAGGCATGTTTTGAGGGCTTGAATGATTGGATCCGAGTCCGTGACCTGCAGTACGTTGAAATGGATATCGGTAAGCCTACAAAAGCTCGATTGGGATGACAAGAGCATCACGCACTTCCACGCCGCTCTCAAAGAGCTGTTGTAACTTGGAGACGCCATTGATTTTTGCGTCAACATCTAGATATGACGCACGGACGTCAGTTCAACCTGTTCAGAAAACGAACCCGCCGGCGCGAGCTATGTGTGCATGTGACATTACCGTTCTTGTTTATCTTCTGGATAAACTCAGAATAGGGAGAGTCGTCCATGACGGTCTTGAGCAAGAAGTGTTAGGGGATGATTGAGAGACAGACGTGGTCGGGACGTTGCATATGGCAGACAAGTTCGGATGAGAGACCACAAGCACAAGCTCGGGCGCTGAAAGTCTTCCCCACAGCTCGGCTACGGCCGATCACATGTCTTCACGCCACTCGTCAGTTTGCCATTTCCATTTTATTGGTCCATATAGGTCCACATACAAGCAGAATAGAAAGAAACAGTATTGCTGCGAATAATACAGGCATGCAGACATGGCAGCCGATACTACAACTACGGAATTCTCTACAAGGTGTGGTCTATGCCGCTACCTGCGTGTGTTTGTCCGAATGGCCAAGAGACTTGCCAGGCTGTATCTTGTCCCGGATCCGTTGTTTCTGCACAAAGCCCATCTCAATCAGCGACATACTTATACGTATAACTTGAAAATCAGACACGTACAAGCACCTTCAACTCTGGGAATCCGCCTTCGACCTTCCTATCCCAGACCAGGACCGGTTGCGCCTCTCTTTCCACCGTTAGCCAAACACGAAATCGGCCAGCGGTCTCATCCGTGTTGAGCGGGATGGTAGTGATGCTTTTGATAGCAGGAGACGGGAAGGTCAAGAACAGCTCCGTCGCAACCCATTGGGCTCTGTGCAGCCTGAGGCAATTGCATATTGAGCAAATCGAGATGCTGGCTCTGAGTTTAGGGGCTAACGAAGCTTACCAGCGGCACTGGAAAAGAACAAAGGAGAAATTTAAGCTTTCTGCATAACCACGATAACCAGGCATGAGCGCACCCTATCACAGAATTCGATCGTGATAGCAGGAGCACTGGGCCCAGGGGGTACAAATGTTGTCGGGTCCATTGGGTCGTGAGGCTTCGTGGACTGGTCAGAGGTTGTTGGAACTGAGCTTGATTCCGAAGAAACAAAAGGATTCGAAGTGGGTGCACAGTCGACGCAATCACTGGTAGCGGCCATGGTAGTGATGATAGTAAGACAAGTCACTAGATCCAGCCAGTGTGCATAAGTACTGCATGGCGGCGTGCCACAGCGGATGGCGCAACGAATTCAAGGTTAGGGTTCTGCATTTCTCAATACCCATGTCGATAATTCGCTAAGTAGTACATCCAGATGACAGTAGTTCCGAGCACTCAGAGAAATCAGTGAAAACAGTGTGTCCGTTTGGTGTCCGTACAGGTTCAAGGAAATGGCGTTGTTGGCGACACGAGCACGTGGTGCAGCGCGTTGTTGACGCGTTCTGTAATTTCGGGACGCGTCTCCTCGCCACCACGCTCTGCTCTCTCAACTGACCTACGATACCGCTATGGACGGCGAAGACGACCGCAACATTGACGCCATTTGGCCCCTTCATAGTGAGTATCGCGTTGGAATAATGCCACCCCTTTTTCGTTGACCATCCTTTGTCAGTCGAGGTCCGGCTCAAGCCCGACGTGGTCACCCGCTTCGACACCATCCGAAACGCAGCCAACACTTACATCACGTCGTCCTACTCAACTCTCACATTTCCCACCACTCTCGAAGGCTGGCAAGACAACTCCGTCCTCTCCTCTTCCGTTGACCGCATCATCGCCTGTGAATCTCCCTGTCCCTCCACCTCACTTCCCATCGAGCAAATCGCTCTCCAGATTCACGTTTATCAATACTCAGAAAATGATACACCAGAAGAATACTCTAACGCTGGTGGTGCGGAGGGCGAGGAGGTCATGGCGGCCACGGTGTGCGAATTGCCGAGTAAGATGTGGGACGGGCTTTGGGATAGTTTGATCTTTTCGGATGACACAAAGTCGAGGCTGTTGGACTACATATATGCTACCGTCTTGTTCAGTGATGCAGACGTTGACTGTGAGTATCATTTTGTCCTTCGCGGCTCGATGCTGATACCTCTGTACAGTCAATATTGTTACCTGGAACCGAGTAGTACTCTTACACGGCCCACCGGGAACAGGCAAGACGTCACTTTGTCGCGCACTCGCTCAGAAGCTGTCTATCCGACTGTCCCATAAGTGATCTATTTCCTCCTCTATTCTAGCTGGAGATCTTGTCTGACGTCATGTTAACTTAGATACCCTCACTCCCGCCTCCTCGAGATCAACTCCCATTCGCTCTTCTCTCGCTGGTTCTCGGAATCCGGAAAGCTTGTCCAAGGCCTATTCAGCAGTGTCATGGATCTCGTCGAAGACGAAGAAACTTTCGTCACGGTGCTCATAGGTTTATTGTCTTTTCATCACGTATTGCATCTTGAAGCTAACTGTTATGTTTGTATGTCGCTGTCGTAGATGAAGTCGAGTCTCTGACTGCTGCTCGAGCTGGCGCCATGGCTGGAACAGAACCATCTGATGCTTTGAGAGTAAGCTACTCCGATGTCTACGTGCATGGACATTGCATCATAAAGCGCTGTTTCTGCTTCAGGTCGTCAATGCTCTCCTCACCCAATTAGACAAACTTCGGTACAAGAAGAACGTTCTCGTAGTCTCGACCAGCAATCTTGCCAAAGCCATTGGTATGCGCTCCTAACTTTCACGTATACTTCGTTCTCATCACAATAATTGTTCTTTGTCTTCACGCAGACACGGCCTTTGTCGACCGAGCCGACATCGTACAATATATTGATTTACCACCTCGAGAAGCGGTATACGAAATTCTCCGCTCATGTCTGCTGGAGCTCATCAACAAAGGCGTAGTAGCCCCTGTCGTGCGTTTCTTCTCATTTCGACTCATATACTTCTTCCTTTGTCGCTACACCAATATAGCATATATCCACCTCTCAACCTTTGCCTTGCACCATTACAAATCAACGTCCTAACCAATACCTTTTTTGTTTCCATTTGATATGACACAGGATGTTCCACCGATTCATCAAGCACTTTCCTACGTCAACACCTCTAATTCCAGTCTAAACCAATCCACCATCTCGCCACGAGAACGTGCGAGGCAAGTATCCGTACGCTTGCTTACATTGGCTCAGAAGTGTAGGGTATGTCTTCCTCACCGTCAGACCATGGAACTCATATTCTGCGTGATGTGCTGACCAGGTAGCCTTCTCTTCAGGACCAAGGCATGTCTGGTCGATCCCTCCGACGTCTTCCCGTCCTAGCTCATGCACGGTACATCGGCCTTAGTTACGTCCCCCCCGCAAAATCCCGGGCCGCTTCCTCCTCAGTCTCCGAATCCATGGCCACATCACCACCCACCACTCCCTCGCCAGCTCCCACCCAAAGGGTCAACGGGACGAGCAAGTCGAGGGGAGCACAGATCGTCCTTACGGGGATGGCGGGGCTCGGAACAAGGGTAGAGGTGTGGTTGGGGGCTATGGAAAAGGTGGTGGAGAATAGGGAGGCGGAGGTGAAGAGGTTTGAGAAGTGAGGGTTGTGTGTGGATGTGTCGTATGGTTTGTCCAGCTGCAGCTGCATGCCTGCATCCTCTGCTCTGAGTTTCTTTGTCGTTATGGTTCCTCTGCATTTTTTCTCCATCATTCGTCAACCAGCATACAGCAGTTTTTGTAGCATTAGTCTTTGTCGTGTAAATAATGGCACATTCAAGTAATGTCTATTACTTGTTGCGTTCTTCAGCACTTGTAAGTACCGCATACCGGAATTGCCGATATCGTTGTCTTGCTCCGTGACCCGTCATTTGGCACACCGGCGAGGCCACGTTCTCGCGACCGGAGCGGTACTCACCTTATGTCAGCTTCCTAAACAAGGCTATCCTCAGTCTTCCTCGGTTCACCGATGACTGGCGCGGTACTCTCCTGATCCCGATCCAGACACAGCGCCAACTTTTGAGTGATGACTGGGAAGGTCGTCTCCCGACGTAACGCGGCGTGTTCAAGATGATCTATCATCTTCGCATTCATACTGCAAAGCCACGCAACACGGTTGCCGTGACCGCTAGCAATACTCAATGACAGTGGTCCCTCGCCATAAAAGCGGCAGCCTCGGTTTCCCTATAAAAGCATGCCTCGGTTCACCAGTCTCATCCTCACCATCCTCATCCACTCTAACTGCCTCCTCACATCCATTCCTCGCTACCCCCAGCACTACCTCGGCTTCAAAGCTCTCACCACAATGTCTCAGCCACAGTCTCACACCCATGATCACCCACACGGCGACTCTGGCCATGACCGTGACCAGCACCAGCACGATGCGCAGGCCACATTCGCGAAAGCCAACGCCGAGCACTACGACACCGAGAAGGCGAAGAAATACGACAACAACCCTTTCTTCCAGAAATTCGGGAAGAATCTCGCCGAGACCATCACGAAGGTTTATCCTTTCGACAAAGAGAGCACCAAGGTGCTCGACTACGCCTGTGGCACCGGTACGCTTTCTTCGCCCATGTCATTGTGTGGCCGTCGTTGAAATTGCAATATTGTAGGCCTGGTGTCCCGCGAGCTCGCTCCGCACGTCAAGTCCATCCTCGGGGTGGATATAAGCCCGGCCGCGGTTGAGATATTCAATGCTCGTGCGGTCGAGAAGGGCTTCGAGCCTGATACCCTCCGCGCCATCCACAAGTTGCTCAAGGGCGACGAAGGAGAGCTCCAGAACGAGAAGTTCGACGTCATCTTGGTAAGTGCATCGCTGAACCCTGTCGCTCGGTTAAGTCGTTATAGAGCAACGACTAACAAACATAACACCAACAGTGTACCATGGCGTACCATCATTTCCCCGACATCCTCGAGAGCACGAAAATCCTCACCTCCCATCTCAAACCCACCGGCACCCTCATCATCGTCGACAACTGTCCCGCCGAACCCGACGCCACCGCGATCCCTGTCGATGTAGCCTCCGACCTCGAGATCAAGAAAATCATCACCGAACGTGCCAAACAGGGTTTCACGCGCGAGATCATCGAGACCACTTTCGCGAAGAGCGGACTGGCTGGGGGGTTCAGGTATATTGGGCCGGCGATGGAGCCGATGATGTGGCCGAAGGAGGGGGAAGATGGTTCGGAGGATCTTCCGAAGGCGATGTTGGGGCTTACCTTGAAGGTATTTTTGGCGATGGGTTCGAAGGAGGAGGGAAAGAAGGGAGAATAGGCTGCAGGATACTTGATGACGAATAAGCGTCGGGGCGGAATTTTCTAACAAGGTGTTAATAATATTCCAAGGACTTTCTTCTGTCTTGATGGTTTTGCTTGGGCGGATACATGGATGTGGGTTCACCTTTCTTCTGCGATCGACTGGAATCACCTTTGCTTCGAGCGATACCATACCATATGCCTTGTGGTTCAGTTTCGTATGCATCCGGTGGGCTGAAGGTCACGAAAGCAAAAAGATACTTGGTGAAATGAGAGCAGATGCAAATGCAATTAATCTCAGAAAATGTATAGAACAGTGTGAATAATTTTGGCGTGCACTAAACGGCCAGTCAACGATCATCAAAGATATGAATTCAACGACACGAGACGAACCTACTAATGAAGCAACCCAGCAGCCCGGCGGAGGATGGTGCCACAACGCCTCCGCCATAGCCACCACCACCTTCTAATTGCACGATCCGAATAAATATACCTGAACCGAATCAGCCTTACGTCGACAGAGTTGATGTGCTAGCTCAGCCAACTCACCATCATGGTCATCGTCCCCGGAATGAATTTCCTCCCCTAGGCGCCCTTAACGTGTACCTCCCTCTTACTTCCTCCCTTTTAGGCTCTTTAAACCTAACCACCCGTCTCCACTCATCCCTCTCAACCTTCACTCTGCTCTGCACCTCCGAGAGATACACGTCCCTATCACCCCACACCCTTCTACCCAACCTCTCCTTGACCCTGTATAGTGTCTTGGATAATGCATTGACGATGACCTGTTCGAGGTCCATGAGCTCGGCGAGATCACGGCGAAGGATGCGGATGTGTTCGCTCATGTAGAACGGTTTATGGGGTGGAGGAGTGTAGAATGGAGCGTCGATGTCGACGTCGAGTGCCTCGGGTGGTGGGGCTTTCGATACTGTAGAAGGTTGGGACGAGGAGGCCGAGGAAGAAGCAACAGGGACATCGTGAGGTAGTTGCAGAGGTGCTTGGGGTGGGGATGGGTCCTGTGACAACGTTGGTGCGGCGGAAGATGAGCTGGAGGAAGGAGGAACGGGAGGGAAGATGAGGCGTTTGATCAAGGAAGGAGATGAATCCGATATTGAGCTCGATAGAGTCTCGTCGCTAGCCGGATCCGAAGCTTGCGTGAAGAAAGTGGACGGTTGGGTAGCTTGGTCGGAAGAGGACACGACAGAGTCGGCTGGTGACTCCTCGGTTGGAGGAGAAGTCGAGGCCGTGTCCTGGACATAAGATTCTACAGAGGCAGACATGACACCGCCCTCGTCAGCGGGTACAGAATCCGACAGTATGGCCTCTTCGCGCGCCATCGCCGCAATGCGCTCGCGCCTCTCCCAATCAGCCTTCCACTTCGAATAGAACGCCACTTTTGCCTTCTTCCTCTTCAAAACCCTGCTCGTCATCTTCAGTATAAACCGCATAAGCTCCACATTTTTGTCATGGTTAGCTTCGTGGAACGCTGCAAGCAGCGTTCCTCGATTGATGTTCATGTGTGGCGCCTCGAGAGTCTCTGGAGGACGGCCGGCTAGCAGGCGAAGCTTCTTGCGAAGTTGGCTATCCTCGGCGTGGTCGTAGTATACGGCATGAAGAAGGTAGTGTCGAACGAATGTGGCGTGTCCTGCTTTGGAGGCGTGGCGGATGATGAGATTGAAAGTCGTGATGTTAGGTCTGACAGTCCCGGTATCCATCGGCCTGTAAGCTTTGAGGTGCGGGGGGTGTAGAGTTTGAGGGCCTTTGGGAGTGGGTGGCTCGGCGGGTGCAATGGGTTCGGATTCGCTTTGGACATTGGAACTGGATGACCATGATTCGTCGGCCACATGGGGCTGCTGAGAGGAAGAGCTAGGAGGGAAAACATCCTCTTCGTCATCTTCGTCGAAAATGGAACGAGGATCGTTTTCTCGTGGAAGGGGTTGCAGCAAAACTTCAAAGGCGGTGACCATCTTCGATATTGAACCCGAAGAACCCAAGAAGTCGATGATGGAGTTGAGAGACGAGGTAGACAGGGGCTGATAACTTTGGTCACCAAGTGCATCGGCTCGCTCGCCTATCACATCTGCAGGGGAACTATCCGGAAAGGATAGGTCGATCCCGTACCCAAACTTCAGTAACCTCTGGAACCCATCCACATCCGCCGTCTCCTTCAGAATCCGCAACGCGAGATCCATGTTCGCGGAAGTAAACGGGATGTTGTTCTTGCCCATAGAATTGATGACCACCCTGCATACCCTCGTCACGTCGTCCCTCAAGTACGACCTCGCATCCTTCGCGAACGGAAAGGTGAACCTATGAGCCAAAGCCTGCAAGACAAGTCCAAACGTTCGCGTCCTCGGCTCGACACCCAAAAATGCCATCTCCCTCAACACCTGTCTCGCACCCATATAGTGACCGACTACAGCGAAGTGCTCCAGGATGAAGTTGTAGTCCTCCAAGTCCGGGACATTGCCCCCCACACGGATGTTACGAATGACGGCTCGCATCCGGTTTTCATAGCCGTGAGGAGCGGTTGAATTATACCATGTGCGGTTCGGTTTCGAGATGGCAAAACGAATGTCGGCAATGGGGGGTATGCATTTCCGAAGAACGGCTTGGTGAATTTCTTTAGGGAGTTGTTCGTGGCCCATAAAGTCGATAAGGTCTAAGTAGTAGGCCCAAACTCGCGAGGGTTTAGGATCCTTCACGCGAAGACTGTCGGTAAGCTCTCGCTGTTTAGCTAGCAGAAGTCTATCTTTGGGAGCAGATTCCGGCGAGGAGTATGAGAAAGTCGAGATATAGTCATTGAGAGACAGAGAGGTCGACAGAGAGCGAGAGCCTGAGGTCACCGTGGCGGTCGATGTCGAAGGGAGTAGGACATGTCGATGAGGTGAAGGGTATAGGGATGAAGCTGATGGCGGCCTATTGAACCTGAGATTTCGAATGGCTCGTTTGGACATGGAGACCAGACGCTCATCCGCGTCGGCGTCGTCTTTCACGACGCGCTCTCGTCCGAGACCAAAAAATCGCGGAACGGTCCGTCACGTGTGAGCTGAGTTCCCGATCTTGAGTGGCACCAGATGTGGCACTTGACGGGATCTTCTAGCAACTCCATAGAACTACAACTAGCCGTCAGGAAGATAGACAATTCCAATAAATACCACGTCATATAACCCAGATAGAAGCGTAGCCATTGTACAAGGGTATAAATCATCGAGACTAAATCCTATTCCGCTCTGAACTTTCAATCCGCAGATTCCTTGTTCAAGCCCACCTTTCGCCACACCATCAATCGCTCCTCTCCTTCGTGACCTGGAGAGCTAGCCTTGGGCTGTTCATCAATGGCCCTCTTCCAGCCAGGCAATGCATCCTTGTAATGATCCCTGCGCATATGATATGGTGGTCCTCCATCCTCGGCAGTCACGCTGAGTGGATATAGCAGCGTCACCAGATAGGCGTCGGGCGTGGTCAACGCCGTTATCTGTTGGCCCCATTCTTTCCGTCGAGACGGTGGGATTGCACAGAAGAATCTTTGAGAAAAATCTTGAGTATGGAGTTGAACAGCAGATTATAATAAAGGCTCACGTATAATCGTAGACGATGTCAAAGCGTTCATCTTCCGGGACCGTAAGCTTGAAAAAGTCAAGTTCTTCAAAAGTCACCTTGCCCGGGTCCCGAATCGCTTGAGGATGCCTCGATAATTGTCTGAGTTGCATACAACTACCATGAGGGCAGGACAATTTGACGGAAAATAATAAATACTTACGCTTTCGCGGCCGCCACAGCGCTTGGCGAAATATCGATCCCGAGGGTATCAACCCCCAAGCTCGAGGCTATGTAAATGGCGTCAAGGCCCTATAAACTACCTTCATTGGCCTAATATCGCGAAAGTTGACAGAGGACTGCTCACCCGTCCACAGCCGGGTACGAGAGCCCGTCCGGGAGACTTGAACGGGACCCTCGCAGACACAATTAGATCTCTCAAAGGAGGTTGAGCCCCATCGAAATTCTCCCAAGGAGTTATGCCTGCGTATAAAGAGGCCGCAATATCAGAAAGCCAGATAAGCAGGACAAAACAGAGTTTCTTCCAAATGGAGTGAACGTACCACGCCTCCTACAAACCCACAAGTCAAACTCAGGAACTTGGCGGAGGACAAAAATATGTTCTTGAAAGTCACGTAGGCCGAGACGCACCATGCCTCTTCCCACCCATCCACCCCTTGTTCTTTGACGAACTTCTTGACCGCATATCGTTGCTCTGCATTGGATGGTCTTCCGTTCATTGTGATAGATTGTTCAGGGCGTAATCTGATCGAGATGCCTATATATAAGTCCGCACAAAACGAGCGTACAATGAAACCAAGTGTAATCGAAGGTGTTAGCGGGATCTGACTTGCGTATGCCAAGCGAACGCATCTCACCCTCGAAAAATCGGGAGGTCGCAGTCAAACGAAATGGTTGCTGGAAGCCTCAAGGATTCGTCGCGCTAGCACAAGTTCGCAGCAGCTTATGTAACATACTACACGATGACGCAAAGTGCTTGACAGGAATACGCATCATAGAGGAGTTTGCCTTGGCCCGAGGAACCATACATTGCCCAACCAGATAAAGTCGTGTTAAGGAAGTCAAGAAGCAATATGTAGTAGATTTTGGCACCGTGCTACAATATGTGTGGACACAAATAAAATACGAAGAGGAACACAAGCCAAAGCCCAAGTATGTGCAGCGGCAAAGCTGTATGTACAAATGATGCCGTGAATGAAGCAAAAGGGTATATCGTACATGATCAACCCAATACCAGATAAATCTCCCCGAAGATGCATATGGAGAGGCCAAAGCCCGACAATGGCCCACGTCGCAATCCATATGTCTATCGACGTCGCTAAATTATGTTCGGGTAGTATATATGAAAGATCGTCCGTGCCCGATAGAACTGTGATGATGGTAAGTTAAACTGGCAAGCGCAACGGACAATGACTCACCAATGTGAAATGAGTATCAGCCCGTGTTTTTTCGCCATACTACAATCCTCTCCCTCCCTAGATGACCATGTGAGGAAACTCTCGGAACCTGGTCCATAATCCTCGTCCAGCCTTCAAGCGGCTCGTTATAATGCTCAGGTGTCACGTAGTATGGGGGACCTGGCTCGTCTGGTGATAGACCTAATGGATACATGAGGGTGATCAAGAACGCTCCAGGTTTTGTTAATGCAGTGATTTGGCGGCCCCACTCTAATCTTCGCGAGGGGTTAATGTACGTGAAGAACCTGATAGACCCACTCAATCATAAGCAAAGGTGTGAAAAGAGAAAACACGCACGTGTAGTCGTATATAAGGTCGAAACGCTCCTTGTCCCCTACAGTCATGGTGAAGAAGTCTTGTGTTTGAAAATTGACTTTGCCAGGCTCGCGAATAGCTGGTGCTGAATAGAGAAGGCTTTGAGTGGAGAGAAGAATAAGGTCCCAAATACATATGAATGAATTAGTGCGAAAGCGCACTCATTGGCAGCAAGAATGATGGTGGAGGCAATGTCGATTCCTAGCGTATCCAGGCCAAGACTGCTGGCTATATGTATTGCGTCGTAGCCCTGTTTACCAGTCGCGTGTCAGCAAGGCAGAATACAAGCGAAATTATATTAAACACGCACCCTCCCACATCCTGGCACTAATGCTTTTCCTCTATTTCTTGGCAAATCGAGGACACCAGAGACAATGAGGTCACGTAGCGGAGGCTGTACCTCTGCGGGGTCATACTGAGGGAGGTCCCGCGTCCTAACCGCAAATGAGTACAGGAGACATCCAGAGAAGGTAAAGTACGCACCATGCTTCCTCCCAGCCTGAGTTTTGGATGTCAGAGATCACTCGTCTGACACCTTTAACGCCGTCATTTGCCATCCCAGCGAATAGTCGCCCGAACGAAGTCAAATCCATGCTCTGGGAGTCAGCAGTTCAGTTCCCTCTTCAGCTCCCCTTGTGCCGAAGAGCACTCACCTAGTGGGCCGTTCTGGTCGTGGCTGTTGTTGAAGTTGAAGAGTAGTAGAAAAGGCGAGAAAAAGTGGAGCAACGACGCAGTAACGGATTCCGTAGTCGAGACCCGGGACCGCGCAGGCACGACTGTCATCTTAGGCCATGAATGGCCATGATCGGCTCGCGGGAGTAAAAGGCCTCTCACGTGGCCGTTCGTAGATCGGGAAGCCTGGGACAGAGCGTCGGTGTACATCCGCGCTAACACAATCACCAAGTCGCGCACCGTCCAGCATCTGGTTTGTCGTAGTTGACCGTGGCGTTGCTGTCCGCCCTGGACGGCTCTACTGCGACGGGTATGCAGCAATCACTGCGGTGACTACCAATTTACGACATTCGGACCGCGACGGACTCGGAGCGTATGTTTCCCCTTCGAATCCGAGTGCGGGCAATATTTTTCTCTTGCATGCTACTGGTCGCACGAGACACACCCTGATCCATGGTGATAGGAGGTTAGCATGCTCAAGCGTTACGTTTGACCATGGTTTTGTCTCAATGGTCCATACGTTACACAGGACCACTTACTTATACGCGACCAGGATCATGGCACTCGAGCAATTCTTCATTTTCGTTCTTATACCTCGCCAAGTCATAATGGTACAGAACAGGCCAGTCAGCTAGCCGCAAGATTCCCCCCATAATGACCTGTCTTTGTCGCGCGTATAATCTGGCTATGTTGGCATGTTCTTTGGCCCTGGCAGTAGTCACGGTTCGCCTGTCAGAGCTGCCCTCAGTCTGAGACTCAGACGACTTCAAATCTACGTGTCGGGACGAGCATCATGCAGCAGCCAAAACTAGGTGGTTGAAACTCAACACGTTTGGTTCTGCAAACATCTATCTCTCCAGCTGACCATGGCGCCGTCAGTCGTCTGCACTTCGGCTACAGATAGCTGACCTGCTTTCGCGTTCGAATCGGAGAGGTGGAAGGCCTAAACTTACCAAAGTCATCCCTGCGCTAGTCCTTGATGGCGGAACATCACTCTCTGGCTCCTAGAAATCTCTGCTACGTGTCCATGGCGCCGATGACTACACTCGCCGCTCAGGTTGCCATTGTGATACCCCTTGTTCGACGAGAGCGAACCTTGCCACAAGCTAGCCATATCCTCCGCCTCACAGAGTTCGCTGCTGACGAACGGAAGGCTTATCGCTATTGTCCGACACTGCAACTGAGCAGAGCAGGTCAGGCGGCCGAATGGTCGGGTATCTGAAGGAATAAAATCTACGGACCAGCAACGCAATCTCTTACCCAAAAGGTAACTCATCACGTCGATTTTTGGACCTGCACCACTTACCGAGCTCTTCTCAGACAGAGAAAACACCTCCTGTCTGCTCTCGTCTCGTCCACCAGATGTCAAATATCATGTTTTCGTTCCTGAGCCCTTGTAGAGTTTGCCTACGTCTAGAACAAAGTCTCCCTGGCAAGCGAACGGTGAAGGTGATCACGCGCATCTTGACCTCTTTGCTTTAATTCCCCAAATGTTACTGAGTAGAGTGACCGTACCCTATCCGGCCACCCCGCGGATGTTCGACTTCTTCCAGTTCGCTATATTTCTATAACGGGGCACTCTGCTACATGTTATCCAGCTGACTTTCTCTTTCAGTAATTCATGACGTTGTAAGTGACTCCTAAAGCTTGTATTGCGCTCCAGACCACTGACTTGCTGAACGACGGATTCAGTTGGTGCAAGACGCCTCAAGGCAACAGCCCAGCACGACACCTCAACCAAGTATCTCGCAATAGCCTCTGTATTAGTCTTGAACTTGGTGTCGATGAGCACATACCAAACAATCAGTACAGTACGTTGTTCACTGCGCGTGCCTACGATTCCCGAGGACCAGCGTTCACGGTCCTACTCACACGATCCACCGGGACCTTCTCCAGAGAACCCTTTCGCCCTCATGGACCCTTGCCGGGATCCGACGGTTTGAGCCTGCTTCAACCTTGGACCGTGAATACAGTTTACTCAGGGGAGCCAACCTCTCCGATGGTCGCTCCAGCAAACATAGGACAAGCGGACAAAGGGACGCAGAGATTTCTATACCGTATAGAATCTCTGCGTCCGACGTCACGGTAACGCTTTGAGCCTTAGGCTTAAAACAACGCGTCGAAAGCAGCTTGAACGGTCTCGGTGGTGGGTGGTAGTTCGCCATCCACTTGCTATGATACTGACGTTTAGGGCGCCCCTGCAGAGGCATAGGCCTCTATCTATCTAGCATCACGTTTATCCCAACCATGAGCGCGTTTCTTGGCCTTACTTACCTGCCTCCGAATAGGTCCGAGGCAAAGTACGGCATCAATGGGATAACAATCCGTAGGCTTGCAACCCCGCCGCTGTCTCGACATGCTTTAGGCATCTGTATCTCGAACGTCTGGTAACGACGCACGGAAACATCCGTTGAATGTGCTACACAGAGAGTATCACAGCAGGAGGCCCTGGCGAAACAAGGTGTGGTCCGTTCTTGTTCACAGGGTGCTTAGTCCCTCACCATAAGCAGTCAAGTACGGTGGAGTACCAATAATTGGGTTGATCAACAGATTGCTGATGATTTCGACACACTGTTCATCCAGGAGGACATTACGAACTCTCGTCTGATGTTTGTGTGGAAGTGGGCCACTCGGCTTGGAAGCGCATTTTCACAAGGATGATGATGCGGAGGAATACACAGCGGTCGGCCGAGAGGGTATCGTGCTTTATGGTTCGGCTAGAGTCATAACTTGTCTCGAAGGCCTTAAACATACAATGCACCTATACAGTGAATACCCTTGTCGATGATGTAGGGGGCGCGAGCTTATTTTTATGCATCGCGGTCTGTCCGAGTTTTCGCCCACATAACTCCACAATCGATCTCGACGCATGTGCCCCAGGCGAGCGATGGAATACTAGCACTGCTCTGGCACTGGCCTGTAGGCCTAACTGACATCTTTGACCGCTACATCATGTAGGCCATCTTGTTCCTTGTTTTCTGTGGAAGATGGACGAAATCTGTTGGCTAGGCCCGGCTCGGAGCCAATCATCCATCGCCCGCGGTCATGATGCACCAACAAGATGGAATGGACATGGTACACTTTTTTTATATCCTTTTCTGTACATCACAGGCGCAGAGGGCTCTCTTCATCATGCCATACGGAATGCCGCGTCGATGAGCATGTAGCGGACGGATAACGCCACGACGCCATGAGAAGACCGTCGACCGAAAACGGTTAGCTCGGTAGAGGTTATACTACGCCTGCTTCATTCGGACGCAGCATTCCTCCTCGACTGCTCATCTCCGGTTCGTCCTCAGCAAGGGTGTCATGGGTCTCGTCAATACCTGTTGAATGCCGGACGTCCGTCCAGATTCCTATCCATTCAAACTTCCCTTCCAGAAGACAACAACCCTGATCGTCGCGAAACGTTTTCGATGACATGTCTCGCAGAGAGAAGCCCTCGTTTAAACATAGCAGTACTTGGAGTGTATATTCACAGAATGAATTGACCACCGTCATCAGCTTTGCGCGTCGAGCCACACCACTGTGCAAAACCTCGGATGGGGCTCTGTGAACGAGATCGCTGAGCATTCAGGGCGTGCAATCACTCATGATCCTTTTGCCCATCGTATGTCAGTCCAGGCGCTTTGTTCACAGCAGTTTTTAGGGGGATGTACGTACGATGCGCTTGGACTGGGATGCTATCTGCCGCCATCAGGCTCCGACTACCACAAAAAGAGGTATAGACACAACGCGCAGATTATTCGGCTCCGTATATCACATAGTCTCCTCGGGAAAGTATAGCTGAGGTGGATCAGTTTTGTGAAGAACCGGTACGACGGTGTCGCTCTCTGCTGAAGTTACTGTCATTCTTGGATAGAATTGGATGGCTCGAAACCTTCATCATCCTCGGGATCGCACGGCAGCGACGGTGGTCCAATGAACAGGGTTTACCCAAAGCGGAACAGATGGAAGTTCTGATGAGACGTCGCATGAGCTAAAGTTAGTAGAGTAGCGAGCTTTACGTGTCGAGGCTTGAGAGTCGCGTATACCATACCAGTTACATGAAACGCCCTCAAGTCTCTGATTGGATTTTCCGATGAGGACGATATGGATGGTCCGCGAGGGGAGGAGCTGAAGATAATGCATCATGCCTTGCATTCCGCTCTGCGTAGATGAACCTAGCTCGGAGCGCGCGGACTTGCAAGTCAGTGAAAAGACGCGTCTAGACTGAGATTGGCGAGGATTGGACGGGACGTGTTTCGTGACAAAGTGGAGAAGGCTCTCGTGACCGAGGGATGTGGGATCTGAACAGAACATCTGTTCCACCGGCGGCAGAAGAGCGAACCCAGTCAGAAGGAGAAGCCCCGCCTTTTCTCATTGGGGAAGGCCGCGGCCAGTGCAGGCTGCATGAGAACATTGAGAACATAGACAAGATTTGGAGTCATCAGCCAGCCATGGAACCCGGGCCATAAGCGCTGCACGGAGATTGAGGAGACGCGTTTATCAGGTTAGTCTCGGGCTGTGGAAATAAATCCATATAGGTCCTTGAGGGCGTTCAAATGACATTAATCGACGAACAACTAGAATCGCATGTAGGTCGAGTTGGGTATAGTCGGGGCGAATTATAGCGTGATGAATACCGGGTATAGTGTGTCAGCCTTGCGAGGGATACATGTTACACAGTCCGGACGGCGAAAGCAATGCAGATACATATGAGGGAATCCTGAAAAAAAAAGACCAGATAGCTCGGATGAACTGAGATTGCAAGATCAAAAAGGGGATGTACGTACGTTCACGAGGACCTCTTGTACAACAGTATCTGAATCTTCCCAATGGCATATCATGTCCGCACTGTGGATCAAGCAGGATGATCAGACAGGGGTAATGGTATCATGTGAATATTAACGTACCGTCCACCTTGTCCCAAGTTCTCGTTGATTTGTGTTAGCACGATATACTTGCTGGATGGATGAAGATCGATGTGAATCAGACACCACACAAATCCAAGCTAGACTCAACGAGAAACTTACAAGCCCCGAGGCTCGATCTCTGCAAGAAAAAAGGCCGATTCATGAACACGAAGTCAACGGACATGAAAAAGAGACGCACCAATCATCCTCTCCTTAACACGCTCACCTATCTCTTTCATCCACGCCCGAACCTTGTCCCGTTCTCGAGGTTCTGGCCAGGTCGCGCCCTGCAAAGTCATGGAGAGCAATGTCTTGACATAAGTCTTCAGCAGCTCTGAATCAAACTTCGGCCGTGGAGAAGGGGCCGATTCAGAGCGAGGGGTAGTGGGTGAACGCATTCCAGCAAGGAGTCCGCTAGACATTGTAGTAAGTGGTGGTGAAGAGGAATAGGAGAGAGTTGACTGCCATCGCGGTTGTCGTCGCCACCGCACTCGTTTGGCATCTTGTTTGTTCAAGACGCGCTAGCCACGTGAGCGCCACCCACCGTCGCTTCTCGTCCGTGCTTGATCCTGTCCACAACTTGCAGGCGGCGTACATACATAACGTTCACCATGTCGTCAGTCTCATTTCCTCAGTCATACTCGCAAGGTGCACCATCGTCTTCCTCTTCGGAGGTGGATGGACCATACTACAGCCACCTGCCGTTCGAGTCATCGTCCACTGGTGGCTTCCAAATAAACCCATTGTCTCCCCACCCACCACGAACACCCCGAACCTCTATTGTGGCACCAAATGCGACGGTATTCCACTCTGAAGTATTCACGAGCAAGGAGGAACTTGAAGAGAGACCGGTCGACTTGGAAGAGGAGATTGATGACTCAGACAATTCTCCCTTGGCCAAGGCTAAGCAGCGTGTACGGAGAGAGGATGTCTGGCGGGAAATGGTCTTGACGAGTAATGGCAGGGACAAAGCCTTCGTGAGATATATTGGTACTTTGTGTGCTAGATCATCCTTCAGTACTGATGAAGAGACGACAATAGAAACTGATCCAGTACGCCATTCGCGTGTACTTGGTCTTCCATTATTCTTTGGCCCGACGCTCTTCCTTGAAGGCTCCAGGTTCTTCATGGGCGGCCGAGGCTGTTAGGAGACTGGAGTCAACTGCTGCCGGGCTCTCCCTGACGAGGTCTGTCTCTTCAGGCTCGTGGTCAGTGTCTTTTATTCTGTCCTGAGCTGAGCTGAGCTTTGCAGGAAATGCCTCATCATGTTCAACTGGTTGACTCCTCTGACCTCAATATTGGCCGAGACGTCAGCCCCAATATCTCCTCGTGATGGCAGACAGATGTCGAAGCCAAGTGGAAAGCCTCTGCTTCACACATTTCTACATGCGCCACCCCCTGTTCTGCTGGAGCTGATGAACGGCTTTGCTGATGATACTGCGACCTTGTCCAAGCTTGGTCTTATCGGGAAGCGCACAGGCGAGCGAGCTGGCAACTTCGCCAACTGGTGCTGGTTTACGAGTACCCTGGTGAATCTCGTGGAGAACCAAGTCGAACGAGGCATGATCGTCAACTCGCAACGTGAAGGTATGCCCTCTTTCCTTGGTTTACAATCTCCTCTGTGCGACTTACTACCGAGTTTCAGTGGAGAATAGGGCGTATACTGAATCTGTCACGGGCGCTACGGCCAAATCGACTCCTCGCAATTCCAAGATAGACGAGCAGGAATTGCAGCTACTTAGACGGCAGGATTACTGGCTGCAGGTCCAGCGATGGAAGCTGTTGATGGATCTCATATTCGTCTGTAAGCTGCCTGTATCTCCCTTCCTCAATCTTGTGTGCTGACATATGACCTATTCGCTCAGCATACGATGTGTTCAAGATCAAGCGGGGCAGTGACTCCGTTAAGGCCATCACCGGTCTGGCATCGGCGGCACTCAGGTTGGTTCTCGCTATGAACACTTCCATGTCCCGCGTGTAGACTGACTCACCGGATTCACAGCTCCGCGAAGCTCTATGATCGACACCATAACGTTCTTGTCAAATCCAAGATGTCGAGCTTCTGAGTTGATAGATCTGACTTCTTGCTCGGCGTTCTTCCCCTTAGACTCTTCCTCTTCTCGTTCCTGTTCCTGTCCCCATTCTCCATTGGCGCTTGATCTCTCCATCTTAGGATTCTGTTATTTCGTCTTACTTACCCTATGCTCTTCTTTCGAATCTGGATACCCGGTGTACAACACGTTCCGCCGCCGAGTGAAAAGAAGGCCTGAAAGTCCCCATTGGGAGGCTAATACACTATAGAAAGCATCACGAAGTGCTGCCGGCGAACAAACATCAACATGCGTTGCTTGAGTCGTGTACTACCGTCCGGAGAAACAACCGTGTCCTTTCGTCGAGCCAAGCCATCCCATCTGGAGACATGAGAATCTCTCCGGCAACTCAAGTGAATCGGACACGCCACCCTGCCTGATGAGTCTTCTTCACCAAAACCTCCCAAACCACCCGTTCGATGTTGGCGCCGGAGAAGGATCAGCGACGATGCTTCCTGGAGTACTACGGGCTGTGCGCAGGGTGGCAAGCTCGGCTTCGAGCTCGTCAATGCGCACGAGCGCCTCGTCGAGATACTTTTCGTGGGACAGGCGTGACTGAAGAAGTTGCAGGCCCTGCGGCGGAAGCAAATGCATGAGCAACCATATGATTTTTGAATTTTATTTTTCCGTAGTTTTTTTCTTGTTTGATCACAGGACTGCGTTCGAGAGAATAGGAGAACGAACCATGTATACTGCGCTACCCAGCAGAGCGACGGGAATCATACCCGGGAGGAGGTCAGAGTAAAACTGAGCATGTGAAGTATGCTGTTGTGGTGGCTGGCTGTATCGAGTTGATGAATTTCTGAAAGTCCTCCTCGACGTGATTGTGGCAGATGTTAGCCTGGAGCGGAGGCTCTGCGGAAGAGAGCTGAACATGGTCTATGTTCCTTGTCAAGTTGCAGGATGTGGCAAAGTCTAGGCGCGATTGACAGTCCGCTGCCGGACCGTTTCCGAGCATATCGGTGGCGGTGGCGGGTCCCTTGACATATCTCATGCCCCTTGCTACAGGTCCTCCGAAGCTGATATCGTTGGAGGGTCAGAGCTCGTGCATTATGGCTGGTACGTTAGTACCCCTGATGACTTTAGGCACGAGACTTTGTGGAATGCATTCATCTGCTGTTCCTCTCGAGGGCCACACCAATCGCAGGAAAATATTTGAAGGGCTTCCCCACTCAGGCTGCGGGTCCGAGCCGTTAAAGGTAGATACGTCATGACGTAAAGGGCGAGTTGGCGAACTGGCAGATAACCTGGACAAGCGCTGCACAAGAGGTTCAGCCTGTGTGCTGTGTCTAGAATAGTTGGTTGCACCAAGAGCTGATTGTCGGAATTGACCTCCTCTGACTGACTTCACATTGAGAACGTTGGTGGCTCGTCGAGCTGGAGGACAAGATAAGTTGTGGGGAACGTGGAGGAGGCGTGGGAAAGATAGCCAGCTGCGATGCGGAGTGCCTTTTCGGCTCCCAATTCGCGAGTGCTGGCACGTCAACTATCTCAAATTCTACTTTCTCTTCTATACCTCCCGTCCTCTCCCTCCTCTTTCTCCTTCTCCCCCTCGAGCTCCCCCTCCACAGCGATCCCCCGCCCTTTCTTTCGATAGCGACTTCTTACGCTGTCGCTGCACCGACATTTCGCTCACTTATCTCATCCTAATTCGTTTGACTGGCTTCCGGTTTGCCATTTCATACATTCCCTCCTCACTTTGCCATGAATCCTCCAACACATAATTCCGATGCTCCCCCACATCTCCCACCGTCGAGAGGTCGTCCATCACGTCTCATTGCTCAAGCTGCACCCGCGCGTCCCGTCTCAACATCTCCAGCGCCACACCAGCACTCACAATCGCCCTTCCGCTATGTCCACTTCGAGCAGAGCAGCAGCGAGAAGCAAAGACTCGGAGAGACAAACCATGATCAGTTTTCTGGCTCACGATCAAATCGACTCGACTCTCTATCATCCGCTAGTCCCTCTCAGACATTCTCCCAACCGTCTTCATCTCGTCCATCATCTTCTCGTCGCAATTCTCCTGCGTGCAGACCAGCAATGCGTCTCTCAGCACCAGACTCGGCAAACATGTTCGCTTCGCCTCATCCCTCGCTTCATTGCAATCACCCGCACGCACGTCGATTGCGCCTACACTCGTTACTCAGGCCCTGGCTTCCTCTAATCCTGTATCTCTGCACATCTCTCGGATTTCTTTTGGCTATTGCTTTCTGGAAGGAAGAGGTCTTCCGAGGTGCGTACATCCCAACCATATACATTTCTTCTGCTGGCCATCAGAGTCTGCAGTCACCGCTTTCAGATGCTGATGCACATGTGGCGACGTATCATAGGGCTGGACGACTTATCTAAATGGCTCAAGGAAGATGAATCCTTCGGTTATTGTGTTTTATTCATCCTTATCTTCTTGACTTGTTTCCGTACGTATTCACAGCTTAACTTGCAAAACCCCCCGGAGGACTGACATGAACACATTTCCTGTCTCTTCAGCTCCACTACCACTCTATTCTACACTCATTGGCCTTTCGGGTTACACCTACGGCGCTTGGACTGGTGCCGTTATCTCCTACTGGGCTGCCCTAACCGGTGCCATCGTTGTGTTCTTGCTTTCACGCTACCTTCTGCGAGACACAATCTCAAGTTGGCTCTCTTGCGCCACATCCGTAAAGCGCGTCGTGCGCGCTATCGAGAAGCGACCCAAGCTGCTTTTCTTAATCCGCCTTGCCCCCTATCCATACAACATCATGAACTGCCTTTTGGGCGCTTCTCCGACGTACGTCATTCCTGGTATACGCGTATGGTACATGGTTTAGCTTACTCGTGATCTTACTCCTTTGTTCTTCAGGTTGACTCTGCGGACGTACATTTCATGTACGGCTATCTCTTTGTTCAAGGTTATCATCCACACATCACTCGGTGCCTCCATCCACTCCTTTGCCGACCACCACGTCAAACCCCGTCCAGACGGCAGCTCAGGCGAGGTCGAGTTCGTCGAACCCGAAGACGAAAGCGCGCTGGCACACTACTCCACTATCGGTGGCATCGTCCTCTGCGTCGGGATCCTAATTTATCTGTCCTACGTCGCTCGCAAAGCGGTCGACGAAGAATTGGAAGACGACGAAGTGCTGCCCACGCACACTGACGAAGAAGCTATCGCTTTCCTTTCGCCTTTGGCCGAACGCAATGGTTCTTGGGACGATGTGAACGAAGCTCTCGGTGCTCGGCCTGGAGCTTCGTTGATGGCGGAAGTCCCACTCCGGCCGGGGACCCCGACGATCCTTGTTGGCACCCGGGAGTGTTCGCCTTTCCGTGGAGGATCTTCTTCTTCTCTCGGGGATGGCGTGGGAGAGTACCGAGGGGACGCCTGAGGGTGATTGTGGGCGTCGATTTGTTCTGGTTTGCTCCTTCGAGGTCTTTGGTCGGGCGTTGATGTTCGTGGGGTCGGAATGCGGTTCTAGGAGGGTGCGTGCTGGCAAATGTGGTATAGCGTTATGAAGTCTTGAAGTCGAATCTCTTCCATGCATTGTATATTTACTCTCTCCCGTCCTTTTTTCTGCGTTGCGATTATCGCCGCATGGACCTTCTATTCGTTTGGACTTTCGGATTCGTTTGTTAATGATGATGAGCCGCCCTCTTGTTTATGCTTATACTTAGTACACCTTTTATGGACCGTCCGTCTTCTGGATCTTTCCTTCTCACTGCGACTTTTCGCACCGTCATTATCATCCCTTCCCAATTCATCCTCGCACTCGCCGTTCCATTCTTCCGCCAGCGTTAGCGTTACGCACGGACGGAGTTCATTAACGAACGGTCCATTCCCGATGCACTTTGGCTGTGGTCCGCGGGATAGGTGGGATGATGCGTTGCAGTCACTAGTGTCGCACATTTGCCACCAACTCGGTGCTTTATCGCTTTTTCGTTCGCTCTCTCACCCCCTTCACTGCTCACTTGATCATCTGCTCACCGCGCTCGTTCAACCAACCTTACTTTAGTCATCTGTTTGGACTCTCTTTGCTTGGGGTATCTTATCTTAATAGCTCTCCTCAATCGAGTTCCGGTAATAGTTTCGTCGCGACTTACCATCTCCATCTGTTTCGAACCCGACTGATTTGACCGAGTCGCGGCCGCGTCATGATGAAGAATCAATGTTGCAAGTACGGTTTCATCCCTCATTCATGGTTCAGTAGGTCGTCGGGGGTCTCGTGAATGAATGACCACCGCAGAGTAGTAGGACCGTACCGTGATGCTGAAACGTTTGGGCTTTTGCCCGAATGTTCAATGATCGTGAGCATGAGCATGCTAGCAACTTGAAGGTTTGAACGAGAACCTTCATCAGTACCTCGACTTTGGCTGCCAGCTGGCTGTTACTACTTGCTAGCTTTCAAGTGGAACCCATGATTGGATCCTGATACGACCTGCACCCCACTTTTTTTGTCGTCGCAAAGTGGTGTGGCGCTGGCGCGGCGTAACGTACGTGAGCAATAACACCACCGACTAAGTCTTGTGAGCTCTTACGGCGAGTAAAATTTTATGAGGGCCAGCTCTATGCACCCCTATACAACCGTTGATGATGGTTTGACGACTTTGGCCACGTACTACTGTAGTTAGCAGGTAAAGTTAGCATGCATTATGCCTGAAAAGCGGGGAAACGGATATAGGGATGTTGCACTACTGTGTACCATCGTGATCACTGACCACAGTCTACCTTATCCTCTTTCTTTCCCCTGTCAAATGCTCAATACAAATCCTTTCATAGCGCATGAATATAGCATGGAATTGAAATACGTCACTGCCAACTGTATCACTGTACCATTCGGGGAATTCGAAACCTCTACGCATACCTACGTATACCTTTGACGTGGTAAGTAAAGAACTTGTCCTGTAGGCTATGCAATGGCATGACACTTCGAGGGACTGTCGGGTGGCACCATCTGACGCTGGGGGCGTGATATCCGCCGAAGGAGATCGTCGTCGACACCACTGCGGCGCTATGGAGCGTCCATATGCGTCTAATGACAGTCATGCACAGGAAGGCGGCTCAGGTAGCAGCATGCAGCGTTAGACGTGCATCATACATCACGTCGTGCGGGGATTCCGTTCGAATTCAAAGCGCACAGAAGTCTGATTTGTGACCCGTGAAGAGCGTCGTGAAGTACATATGCGTGCATGCGAATTTCTGACAGCAGGGAGGCCAGTGGCGTGTGGCGCAAGCCTTAGGACGCACGCTGATACTCGCTACGTACGTCGTAGAGCCATATGAATCCGTTGGACATATAGTAATACCAATTGAGCCGCACATGCTCATCCGCTTCATGCAGAGCTAAAGCTTTGCAAAAGGGTGGCCCAACCCGACCAACCGTATGATGATGTCTGCTAGCCCCTATCTGGCGAGGACAGTACTAGCGCAGCGAGTAACACCGAGCAGGGTCGCAACGCAGTCCCGGATCCAATACGGTCCAATCGGTGAACGCATGATCCAGACATGTGCGATTGTTTAGTCTGCTCATGATCAAGTGCGAGTCAACGTGCGGAATACCAAATGGCGCACACGAAGCCTTCGAACTACGCCACGCTACGCCATGCCATCTGTCCTCCACGGTGACCTACTTGAGCATGCTTTGAAATGCGATAATGTTGGTTGATTAGACGGGACTTCGAGAGTCTTGGGTGGGTGCTTCGAGCTTCGAGAGTCAATCGCGCGAGGCTGATCTGATCTCGGAAAGGAGGCTTTATGGATGGCAGAAGAACATATGTAGATTGAGAAGATGCGTATGTCGAGATGGGCTTGGGATCGTCTGAGGCAAATAGGCGATTGAGGTGGAGTCACTGCTACCCAGTGAGTTGCTGTAACTTGTGGCGTAAGTACACCTGTAGTGGTCGGGTCTTCAGATGGATGGGGGTGGGCGCAAGTGTGTGATCCCCTTTGCAGCGGCGAGCTCCAGACCTCCCGTGATATTGAGTGTATCGCAGAGACTTCAAACTGATGGTGAACTTATCGATCCACTGACGCCATCCTCCCTCCTCCCTCCCGAACCCCGTCCAACACCTCCATAAGTACGCGGTCAACAAAAGGCAAGTGCATCCACCTTGAGCTCCATCACATCACAGTCCCGTTCGCTCTTCGCGGACCGACAGCACATTCAATCGTGCGCGAGCTTGATATTGATTCAAACTGTGTATCCAAAAACGAAACAACTGCACATCGACTCCCCGGGGTCCCCCCTCATTCAAACACCGGCACATCCTCGGCAAACGCAAAACCGACAGCTGTCATTCCCCCTCATCCACATCCCAAGCTTCTTACGTACGATTTACATGCGCGCGAGATTTTTTAATTTGGAAATTGGACGCTGGACAGGCGAGCGCGTCAAGATCCCATCGGGCCAGGAAGTAAAAAGAGAAGCTTCGATCGTACGTTCCAGCATAATTTGCAATTTAAGTTATATCTCTCTCTCTCTGCGTGCGTAGACGGATTACGGAACCACTTTTTGCATTTCATATCAACTGGAATTGCAAGCCACTCTTTGCCGGATTGGGAGGGGGCTTCGAGTCGTTTAGGTGGGTCCGGCGATTTCCGGGTATAATATCGTACACGGCGGACCAGAGCACGGTTTTGTGATCCATGAAAAAAAAAGTCTGCAATTGCAAGGAGGGGTCTCGAGTTTCAGGCGATGTTTGTCTCCCCGGCAGGATGGTGTTTCCGAGCCCGTCGATGCGTTGGTGTTCGTGCTATGCTATGCTATGGGCTCTATGTGACCGTTGCGGTGCTGCTGAGCTGCTTAGCGGTTAAAGCGGTACGCAAAAGCTGTCGCAAAGTTACAGTCGACGGTCGTCGACGTGAACGTGAACGTTGCTCGTGGACAACCGTGCTAGTAGCAGTCTGTGCTAGTCTCGATGATATGATGCGTCACCGTCACCGTCGTTGTCCTCTCCCTCCACCGACCGTCCAACCAATCAACTAACCACCCGTTCTTTTCAAATACCCAAATCTCCGTTTTTCTGTTTGCAAAAAGAGTCAAAATCGACCTTCCGACCATCGCCCATCGCCCATCGCCATCGGCACGCGACGCGATGGTCGACGAATAATTTGAAAGCCCAACGGTCAACGGTCCAAGCGCAAAAAACCGCGTGCACTAAGGGTATACGCATAGGTCCCCGTATTTGCATTTTCCATAAGCATGCAGGGTCGATATCTCGAATGCAAATTACCTCTAGCTAAGCAGAGGCGATTCGAGGGAACGGGGAACGGAACGAAGACGCACGCTCGCACGCAGAGGATTGAGAGAGTCTGGCCTCAAGTCCACGTATGTAAATATCACAGGCTTGAAGCTCTGCAGCATGAACATATGAACGCACGAGCATGTGCATGGCCACTGGCACATCGAAATTTCCATTACCATTACCATTACTATGTATCATAGGCCGTTTCGCCAGCTTACTTACCGGCGTTCACGTACGACCGAACGTCGGTGCGTAGCCCAGCTGTGTCGTATCGCAGTAAGTGCAATCGTATCTGTGCGCATAGCCATAACCATCGCGAGCCTTGAACGGAAAAACTGGGGCGACGGGTCGTTATTGGTCGGCGGCGAGCGGGTATGAACGAGCGAGACGAGACGCGGGTCAGGGGACAGGGGCAGTCAGGCAGGGCAGACGGGGTGTTTGCAAGGGCAACGGGTAGTACAATTGACAGGGTAAATCTTTTTGGACACACACAGACAGGAAAAAGGTATACTATCCCATACAGGTAGAAGGCAAAAAAGCGAGCGAGTTGAGCAGACGATGAGATCCATATTACACGGCGAGACGATTGTATGATTGGGATTGCAGTGGTAACCGGAAAGCGAAAGCAAAGAGAGGAGAGAGGAGAGGGGTGGGTGTGACGACAAATATACATAACAATTGCTTCGATGGAACCCCGCCTCGGTGGAGTCGGCGATGGGAAGGCCAAGGCAACGGGACGACGACGACGAACAAGGGGACGGACGGACGGAAAGCAACGGGCGACGAGGCAAAAACGGCGCAGACGACGGCCTGGGAATTGAACTCCTGAATACGGAAATATACCATGCCGCGTTCCATGACATTTCAACAGCCCAACCCGTTCAGTAACGCGGACGAGTCCAAACTCAGCATGAAGGGGGGAAACAAGCAACCGTAGCCGACGAACGGAGAGCCAGGGAAGTGGTAAGTTTATCGACGAGATAACAGAAAAGCGTCCTGGAAAGAAAGGAGAAAAAAGATTGCAACAGGAGAAGAAAAAGACAAAGATGGAGGACAAAAGAAATCACGCATCACGACGGTGACGGTGACGGGTATTGCGAGCATGCTGTAAACACTCTAAGGGTCCCCTCCGGCCTTCGCGGCGTAGTGCGCGAGCGGGTCGCTCATGGAGACGTAGCCGAGGTCGGGCGAGACTGAGTTTTATAGACTGGAAGTCAGCAAAGCCATCCCAGTCGTGAGCACATTCAAGTCGGTTGGGTGCAAAGGAGAGGATGAAAAGTACACCGAGAGGGTGGAGAAGCGGCCTGACAAATCACAGAATAGAAGGAAACTCACAACGATGGACGTCCGCCTCTGCGTATCCGTCGATCACCGGCGGGGTTCGCGCCTGAGAGGACGACGATTGAGAGGCTGCGGACACTGAGCTTGCAGACGTCGAAGGCCTGACTGACCGAGTGTTCCACGCCCCGTCCTCCATCGAGCTCATGCCACCCGACCCTCCTCCGGACGGGACCGTGTACGCAAAGTCAGGCTGCGACGAGTTGAAGTTGGCATATGGGTCGACGGAGGGGAGCTGAATCATACTGCGCGAGCGGTGCATGGAATGCTCCTCGTCGATATGGTCCGATGGCGATGAGGACCCCCGGTCATCGATGTGGTCGTATGGAGTGGGGTATGGTCCGACGACTTGGCTGTGGCGTCTTTGGCGCCGGATGCTAAGCGAGCCAGTGGTGGTCGAGTAGTTCGCCTTGGAGGACGATGGACGGGAGGAGGTGGGCGTCAGCGGCCGTGCGTAGCCAGACCCGGGCCGCGAGTCGTAATGGTGCGGAGTCGTGTCGTCGTACGAGATGGACCCCATGGAGGAGACAGAGTAGCCGGTCGCGGGGCGACTATCGGGCGAAAGAGACGACGCGCTCTGGGGCATGGAGGAGAAGGAAGGCGCGTAGTTGGTGTTGATGGTCGGACGGGTGGGCGGATAATTCGAGCTGCTGGGGTTGAGGAGGGAGGAAAGGCTGCCAGAGGTCGCGGACGAGCTGCCGCTGCTGACGGGCGAGAAGGACCACGAGTTCTGCTCGGCGTAGGGGTATTGGGCCGGGTTGACCATCAAATCGCGGCTCGAGGTCGAGTACGACGAAATGGAGTTGTACCCGGGGCCACCATTTTCCTCGCTGGGTATGGGGTGGAGCGAGTGAGGCGAGTTGCTGTACATGCCGTGGGACATCGGCGGGTCGGAGGGGACGGTGAGCGGTGGCAGAGCTTGACGAGAGTAATTGCTCGGGGCCCAGGAGTTGCCCGGCTGCGGGAGAGGGGTATACGAGCCGGGGGCAGAAAAGCCGCGATTGCGACCACCGGCCTTGTAGGACTGGTTCATGTCGACAGAGGGAATGGAGAGAGGGACGCCTGAGCCAAGACCAGTGGCGGAGCGGGGAGCTGCGTTGGGCATCTGTTGCTCATCGACGCGCTTTCTGGGCTTTGGGAGACGAGGGGGGACGCGACGCTTAAAGTTTGCGACTACCTCTGGGGGCGAGTGCCGGTTGAGGGTGGGGTGGGCTGTCATGCAAGCTGTCAGGACTTTGGGCTGACATCGAGAATGACAAGAGAAGACTGACACCACGTGGAGGCGTCGGGATCGTCGATGGCGGGGTCGACGTTGCGGAGGTTGACTTTGCGCATGAAGCCATAGATCTGCGGACGAACGGAGGTAAGCACGGACGGAAGGGGCAGGAAGCACGAAGCACGGAGGACTGACGTTTAGTTGCCGGGAGAAGGACGCAAAGCGCGATTGGCGGTAGATGGAGGGCAGGACATGGAGCGCGAGCTGCTCTGGCCGCTCGACGATGATGTGCTCGCCGGCGGGGTCCCAGCGAATCATGTGCTGGTTTTCGGGGCGTTCGAGGAGGCTGGGTGTGTGACTGGTTGGTGAATGGACGCGAGTTAAACAAACAAAAAAGACGTACGAGTAGAGCTTTGTGAGGAAGGTGGCCTGGGGCTTTGTGGCGTTGCTGTCGGACTTGTTCATGGGGGGCGGCTGGTCAGATTTTGGGGGGGAGTGGGGCGAGCCGTCTTCCGGCGAGGAGCGGGTGGAGGAGGTGGTGGAGAGGAGCTGGGGGGGATAGACGACCTGCTGCTGGGAGTAGTCGCGCTGGTACTGGGTGGGTGCGCTGCGCTGGGCGTAGTACGAGTCGGCCATTGTTGAGGGAAGACGTGAGCAGGCGTTGTTTAAGAGGGCTCGACGGAGGCTAATCTACCGAACCATCTGCGCCCTTTAACTGGTCCGCCACCCTCGGCGCCGAGGTCGATCACCCTGTCCGTCGCTCGCCTCTCTCCGCCGGCAACTTACGCGCCCTCGCCCAATCGCCCTCCGTCGAACCTTCCAGCTCACCCCAAATCGCAGATCCACCGCTGCCGTAACGCGAGCCCCCAGCCGTGCCCCAGCCGCTTTCGATATCAGCCTTCCATTCATCCCGGCCGCAACACTCGGCCACCCCCCGCTGATCCTCACCCTCTCCTCCGCCCACTCCCGGGGTCCCTCCTCTTGGTTCACCGGTCAATTGTTTTTGCCCTACCCACGTCATCAATTCCCATTTCTGCGATCGTTTCCCCGCGTGGCTGCCCGTCCCCGTTCCCCCGATTGATCAGCACATCGCCCATTCCATCTTCTAAGTACAAGCACGTCCTCGACGCTTTGCTTCCTCACGAACGCGACGCCCCCCGCCGTCCCTTCTTTCCGCCGGGCCTGTCTTCTTCGCCCCTTCGAGTCATACAGCACGACCCACAACGCCGCCACGTTCTCTCAACCTTCTTTTTCCCCTGACTTCAAGTTGTTCGTACATACAGACAATAAAACAATCATAATTATAACAATACCCAAATATACACCTCCGAGTCGCAACAACCCCACCTGCCTATCTGGGCCTCCGAACCCCCTTTTCAGGCTCCCTCCGCCTCTCCAGCTGGCCATGGCATATGGCCCCTGGCTTATGTTACATGTGTACATCTACACACAACGTTACTCGCCCTTATCTCATTCTAACCCAATCGTAAACCCGATGAAAAACAAGACCGTCATCCACATCAAACCGCTCATCGAATGATCCAGACCATGCTACCTCTCCGTGTATTTGTCTTACAATACCACGCAAAAACGCGTGGCCGCAGGCCAACTGTCCTCCTCAGTCAAAGAAGAAGAAAAAAGTATACGTAGTGACCTCGTGCTCACAACCCCACATCCGGACGAGTCCTCCCACTGTCCTCCGTGCCTCCCAACTTTTCTAGAAACACCGAACGAGCCCCTGTTCACCTTACCTTACCTTACACAACTCTTTCCACAGTTTCTTTCTGGTCCGTCGTACGTTTACATATACATACTTACCAGACGAGGGCTCCGCGGCTGAAGCGCAATGCAGTGGTGGTGGTTTGGAATGGATGAGTTAATAATAGGGTTGGCTGTATGTATACCTGTGTACTGTAACTTATATACGAGATACGAACGGAGATTCAGGATGCAAAATGAAAAGAGTAAAAATCCGACCGGAAACGCAACGAAACCAACGGACGAGGGGCAAGGAAAGTCTGTCGAGCGACCGCAACGAAAGGAAAAGTCTAAGCTGAAGCGCGATCCGAGGACCCGAACCCTGGCACGGGCACCCGAAGAGTGAAACGAACGTGGGGGCAGAGGGAGAAAAGAGACATAGAGGCAAGGCAATGAGCGTGACGAGGAATGAGTGGACTGGGGTGAGTGAGTGCATCGGTGCAACTGTGAAAATAATAAAGAAAAGTTCCATGAGATAATGCGGTAGGTAGCGGTATATTGAATGAATATGAAGGGGAATATGAATCGAATCGAATCGAGAGAGAGCTTGACGAGAACGAGAACCGGAGACAGACAAACATGCAACAGGTGAAACATAAAACCGGGCAGCTAAACGGTCAAAGTCTTTGGCTGCTTGGAGTGGAGTGGGGGTGGTGGAGATGTATGTGTGTGAGCGACGAGTCGAGTTCAGGTCAGGTAGCCTTGGAGTGTAGATAGAACGAAAAAGAATCAAAGAGGAAAACGAATGCGGTGAGACCGTGAACGGACGGACGGACGGTGAAACATGGACGGAGCCGGATGAGGCAAGATGGTACACGGAGAAACAAGACGAGACGATGCCGGATTAGTTAGGGTCAAGTGTGGGGACATCAGAAAGGAATCAGGAATCAACCCTGTGGAATGAGAGAGGAGTGGAAAGGACCCAGGACGGGAAGTGGAAAGTGGAGAGGAATGCAATGAGCGAACAAATGATTCCGAGTGAGGACAATAGAAGGGAGGAGAGAGCGGGGCCGAAGGAGATCCAGTACGCATACGCGTGAGCAGTCACGGAAAGCATTACACCGGGGTTCGAGGAAGAAAAGAGTAGAATGAAGGAGCGTATGGACGAACAACATCAAAAGGGGCATTTCAGAAGGCTATAGGGTCAATAGTACAACGCGTGCGGTCCACTCCACCCGGTCAGAGCTACCTCTGGCCGTCTTTCGTGAGGAAGGGCCGCGCACCTTTCCATCCAGACGAGATGGATAGCGAACGAGACGAGGCAGGGCAGACTAACTGTCCCCGTCATGGTGCAGCGTGATACTCGAGAACGCGCCGAACAAATCCGCGTCCGCCGCAGCCTCCATGCCATCGTCCATGCCCGGCGTACCCGGTGTCTGCGGTACACCAGCGCCCGCAACAGCCTTGATCTGCGAAGACTGGCTCTCGAGATGAAGCGAGTTCGACTCCTCCATCCTGCGAAAGTTGACTGCATCGACGCCATTGGACGAGGACGGCACGATCTGTGTCAAAAAAGGGACGGGAACGCAAGCAAACAAAATAAGAACCACACGATCAGTAAGTTTCAATGTCTCGCAGCCAGATCAGATGGGTCTCGGTAAGAACCGACAGCCATTTCATGCATTCTCTGCTTCTCAACGCCACAAAGCCCTTGAACTCGCCGCGTGGGAGGGGCAGAGAAGCACACGACGCTCGCTCGGAGCATGGCAAGAATAGGGGCCTAACGTACCGGAGGTTGTGTGTTCCTCAGCAGTCCCCAGTTGATTTTGGCGAACCACTTGGCCTGCTTAACCTCGCTCGCACCGCTCTTGCTGCCTAGCCGAGTGTTCTCCTCTTTATCTAACAGCCGCACAATGATGTCTTTTCCAGGCCTGTGCAGTTCACGCGATTTCGAGGGCAGATAGAAAACAGACACGAGGAAGCATGAGCTCGACGGGTAAACGTAGATCAAGGAGCTTATGCACTCACTGTGATACCTTCGGCGTATCTTTGAAGTGCACAGGCAGACTGAGGATGTTGTTAAAGGTATCATTGCGCTCACGTCCCTTGAACGGTGTGGTGGCGTACTGCGTGACAGAGGACAAGGCGTCAGTCATCATGGTGAACACAAGACACGCAGGTGAACGGATAAAACTCACGATCATCTCGTAAATGAGAATTCCAAGTGTCCACCAATCAACGGCCGAAGTGTGACCAGAGTTCTGGATCACCTCAGGTGCGATATATTCTGCAAAGAAGGACCGTCAACGAGCGATCGGGACCTGCAAGCGCCTACAGCTCGTTACAAACCTTCTGTGCCCACGAACGAGTTTGTCCGAAAGTCGGCCGTACAGGACTTGGTGTCAATCATAGGTATCTGAAAATTCGATCGAACGAACAAGATCAGTAAGTGTTTGCGTGAGGATGACGTTCCAGGTGATAGATAGATGGATGGATGGGCGTGTGTAGGTAGATACTCCACTACTCACTCCGTTTGGCTCTGACTGATGAATCGTGGCCGGTCTTCCCCCAGACACGCCCGACTGTTTCGCAAGGTCGAAATCAGAAAGCATGATGTGGCCCGAATGATGCAGCAAGATGTCTGTGTGTGTGTTTTGATGCAAAGGAAAGATGGGCGATTAGCGTTCACGCTCCTAAACACATGCCCCGGGACATTCCACGAATCACAGATCAAAAAGACCATACGCACTCTCTGGCTTCAAGTCTCGGTAGATGAAACCCATCAGATGCAAGTACTCTAGTGCTGCGACGACCTCAGCGGCGTAGAACCGCGCTGCGTCCTCCGGGAGACACTTTCCTGGTCGCGACTGCAGCGCACGGAAGAATTCGCCGCCCATGCAGTACTCCATGCAGAAATAGAGGTATTCTTCCGACTGGAACGAGTGATGTAGTGTAACGATGAACGGATGGTTCGCGGTGGCAAGGATGTCCTGCTCCGTCAACGCGCGTTTGATTTTCTTCCGCTGGATCATTTCTTTCTTCGATAACACTAGTGGAAAGTTGAACATAAGCGAACACAGAAACAATCGGATGGTAGCAAAACAAGGTTCAAGGGTCTGATAAAATGAATGAAATCCGCGCACCCTTCATTGCAAACAGCTTCGAGGTTTTCTTCTCACGCACGAGGAACACCTTGCCCACATCGCCACGACCGAGAAGCTTGATTTTTTGGAAGCTAGAGGGACCCACTTCCACCTAACGCGAAAGAGGACATCAGTCCCAGGCCCGATACCAGCATCGTACCCGTAACATCACACAGATCAAGGAGAGTGCGGTGCCCGAGATGAAGTGCTGTGGTACTCACGGACTTGACTTTGATAGAATTACTGGAATACGTTCGACGAAACGCGACCTTCCCCGGTCCTTGCAGGGAAGAAGCACCCTCCGATACCTTTGATAATGCGGAGGTGCTTAGGTAGCGCGGTGCTTGTCCACCACGCGAAGATGTAGACGATACGGTCTCGATGGAGTTGTTTCCGGCCTCTGATGCCACAGTCGTCGGTAAGCCACCTCCTGGAACGGGAGTCATTGCATTCGATGGAGCGAGGAAACCATTCTTCGTGGTGGAGGCCGATCCCTGCTTCAGGTTGAATAGGCCCTTGGCATTGGGTGCTGATGCGACACGACGGATGAAGCGAGTAGCCGATGCGCCCACCGAGCGAGGCGATAATGGGCCTCCCGAACGCGACGTCGTCGCCGGAGCCGGACGAGGAAAGCCTGAAGTTGATGCACTTGCAGGAGGATCTCGTTGGACCTTTATTGTTTGCCCGGCCTTCTCTGACTTTGTCCTTGTCCGCGACTGGGGTTGTGGAGCGGCCATTGACGCGTCGGTGGAAGTATGAGAGGAAGCAGCTGGTGTGCTTGGGGTTGCTTGCGAGCGACCATTGTTCGAGTCTGAAGAGCTGGAGGAGTTGTACGAGTAGGAGGAAGATTCGGCATGGTCGATGGAGACGAAAGAGGCGGGTGTAAGTGAGGCATTGGGAGTTGAAGGAACGGATTCGCCGTTGACAAAGCCGGTCTCGAGAGTGAGAGTGGACCCCCCTGGGCCTGAGCCGTTCATGACGAGCTTCTTTGACGAGCCATTCCCTATACGAAATATGGACTTCCAGTTTGGAGCTCCTGGGGATGTAGGAGAGGCGGGACCGCTTGGAGGCGACCGAGTGCCTTCAGGAGAAGCCGTGGGGCCCTTTTTGAGCGATGCGGTCGCTGGCATGGTCGGCTCGGGCGGGGTATTGGTGGCTAAGAGAGAGCGTGGGCGACGTCGACGACGGCGAGGGCGAGAGTTACGGGCGTCGGTCGTTGTCGAGAGCAAGGGACAGGGCAGCAGTGAGCTCGGTAACTTTACATCTTCTTCCGCCGCGGTCGAACCCATCCTTATGGAGTCCCGTTTACCCAAAACGGCCACCAGCTGACCAATTGGTCCTCGACCTCGATTGACTTTCTTTGCTTTCTGCTCTCTCTTTTTTCGCTGACATTTTTCTCGACGACGCTCTCGGTCGGTATACACTCTTTTCATGCTTAGTACGCTGTTCGTAAGCATGAGCAATAGCGGCGATGATGGGAGGCCGGCGTTCTCCGTCGCTTCGCCACCCACAATGAAATCGGAACGTTACGGTACACTTCAAATGAGCGCCACAAATATGGCACTAGGCCTTCATCGACATCGTCGACCTCCATTAGCCCTTCTGGAATCCTGGACCATCGCAGGCTCGTCTGGCCTCCTCATCTTCACTTGCATTCGCTCGTCGGTGTTTTTTTGCATTCCCCATCACTAGATGAACATTTTCTCCAAGCATTATTCTGCCACCTCCACCAAGCACTATGTAGAACAGGTCGGCAGCTCTCAAAGTCCGCGTGTTCCATCCATATATAGGACTATCGTCATTGCTTGGATTCTCTCAAGAAGGCTATGAGTATAAACGGGTAACCTTAACAGGAACTTACTAAGACAGGTCTATTGTAAGAAACTTCGGCACTAAGGCCAAGGCAATGACCGTGAAAACAAGCAGATGTCAGCTTCGTGGCGGGAAGCAATACCAAGCGGGCCTAAGATAGACAAAGAAGCGTAAGTCCCAAAAAGAACCCCGCTTTGGACAGACTTACCCAAAGTCAAACTAAATGAGACTCGATGCAGAGCTTTCTCACAACCGCGTTCCTTGAGAGTGAGAAAGACGGGCTCGAGTTGCGTTGTCGTCATGTCCACCCGTACGGCTGAGAGATAGTTTCCCGCACCCAATTATATCGTTATGTAGGCCATCCAAGCATCGGACCAACACCTCACTAACATAAATCATACGTCCTTACCGGCGGCACGGTGAACAGAACGTCTAAGAAGACTGAGACCCAAATGGAGTGTCGTTGACGCCGTGATTGCTCAACCCGGCGAAGAGCGTGCATAACAGAGGTCAATGATACCCCATTGGAGTATCATTGAAATAGATTCAACGCACGGCAGAGCGTGCGAAGAGGTGCGCGAGGACTTCGCCTTTTAGCGATGTAGAAGAATGAAAGCTGGAGAAATATTGACATGAGAGAGGGCAGTGTTAGACGGCACGGCAAAGGTTAGCTTGTGCGATGTGATCGTCTCTCAATCGCCTTGCAGTATACAGAAATTGACCGGACAACCTGTGCGAGTGAGAGTGCGTTATTTAATACTTAGGGTTCCATACGCTGGAATTGCTGGGTAAGAAGTTTGTGGCTCAAAATAGTTGATAGCAAAGCGGAAGGATGTCAACCGCACCTTCAAGCCTAACCGTCTTCCCCTTGATTTCGAAGTCCATCCAAGCTCCATTCAGCCCCTTCGTCTTTCCACGGTATGAATGTAGCTCGCGAAAAACTCGAGAGTCCTCGGAGTGGCGTCGACACTTGATGAACCTAGCCCGCGTTTGGTCCCTTCGTGATCCCCTCATGACGGGTGAAATGTTGCAGATAATAATTCGGGAATCATAGCAGGTTATATAGGCCAGCCGCCGGCTCTCTCGCACGACGGGCTGAACGAGTATGGAGGAAATGGTGGACAGCGAAGGAGACATAAACCGCTCAAACGCCGTCTTTCCATGCTCCTTTAGTTCGACTGGCTGAGGATGAACATCAGATGGTCAATGCCAATGCTGAGCAGGTATACCGCTTAACACCCGTACGAAGCGGAACATCGTTACATGAACAGACCTGTTTCGAAATCGATACCTTTCGGTATGAGATAAAGTCCTCCTTCAGACCCGAGTACAAGGTCGTTATTGTTTATAATGATGTCGGTGGACTGGTGGCGATCTGCGAGTGAAGCAAATTAGTTTGAGGTGACAATAAGAAGGCAGTAGAAACGAACGCAAGTTGTTCTAAACAACAACGTGAACGTTCTTTGAACAGCGACAGTAAGGCTGCAGAAAAGTAGTCATAGCTAATAGGGATGGTAGTACCAGTCAGATGCCAGAGGTACTTGCCTAAGTTCAACAATTCCCTATTCTGCAGGTCCATACTATGCGGATACAAACCCTTGTTCCCAAATAATAGGCAAGAACTCCTCGGAGACGCAGAACACGTCTAGGTCCTCGAGCATATCGGTGACGATGCGGCCGACGCTGTTCTGTCCTCGTGAACAGGTCGTGTTGGTGTGAGTGGGGGTAGCGGGGTGCGGAAGGGTCATCTTGCTGCCCGTCTGTTCGTTAGGGGTAAGCGTATGATGTTGTCGTACTGTTTCAGAACCATGGTCAGTGAAGAGCCCATCATGGCAAGTCTGTATGTCCATCACCAGACCGAGGGTAAAAAAAATTCGCGCAACTCAAAGGAGACTCGCGGCACGTTTCTCGAACCCATCTGACACGCTACCTCTCCTACAGGCAGTGGACCTTTGAGTGGCTGAGCGTCGTGAACGACCTACTGAATTACCTTTCATAATGGTACCGAGTCGTGATGAGATTTTACGGAGCGTAAGATGCAATTATAGCGCGATAGACGACCCGAATGCCCCAGCGGGTGAGCGCAGCATTCCGTTTGAACGAGATCCGTCCTACATCCAACCAGTATAACATCAGATCGTTTTATGGAGTGGGTCGAGGAATGGGTTACAGGTATGACTTACCAACCACATATATGTTCGGATCATCGCAAAAGAGGCTTTCATCGTGCAACTGCGCTCGTCGTATAACGGGGTTATGTGCAATAGGGTACCAGTTTGTCATAAAGAACGATGATTGTCTTCCCCTTTCGTGCAACATTGGCGCCCTTGCGTTGGCGAAGTTCAGCCTGGGCGCAGTTGTGAGCCTAATAGTAGGGTGTGAGTTACGTTGATCTGTGAAAATCTCCATGAAAGAAAAGAAGTTCATGGGCCTTCGGACACTGGGTGCGAGTTCTGCGAAACTTGACGTTCTGCAAGCGTGGCGCTGCATGGCCATCATCGCCCTCTATCTGCATTGAGATACTGGTCCTAGACTGGTATGGACCTATGTGGACCGTTCGTAACGACATGATCATACCCTGGACTGGACGGCGTTGGGTCTAACTAACGCGGGTGTGGTTTACTGCAGCCTTGTCTTGTGCTAAAGTCGAAATATCCGCCACTGTGTGCGTCATCTGGTCTTCGTGTGGCGAACCCGTGGCCGAGCGTGGAATCTCGTGGAATCGACTCGGATGTGTCTGTCCAGATCCGTGAGACGACCCGGATATCGCAGTTGAACTGGTATCGGTGAGAGCTATCTTATATGCGTTTCGACGATTTGGGAGAAACTGTATGGGAAACCAACGGAAAACCGAAGGAGCTCGAGGCAGGAGACATCCGCCGAAGTGTACGGAGGATGACGCACATCGACAATCGCCTTTTTGAAGTCTTTCCTCGGAATCTGTATTTCCCTCTGTCGTGCCTGCGAAGACAAACTGACTAGTAGCGCGTTGTAGTAGTATTGGAAAATCCACCTCGACAGCTTCATCAGAGCAATCGCGAACGCCTCCACCGCCGGGCAGCGTTTTATAAGCTAGGCCGAAGTTCCTTGCTCAGAGCGTTCTTCCTTGTCTTCCCCGTTTTTCGTCTCTCAGGCTGCTATGTCACCTCAATCTCCATTCGCTGTATCTGCATCAGAGACGCAGCCTTTGCTAAAGGACGCAACACAAACTACATACGAGTCCGTCGATGGCTCCGTAGACCTCGAGGACCACGAAGAGGAATCTCCGTCTTCGGGTCCTGCCACAAAACCAGTCTCCCGAGCAGATCTGACATGGATTCTCATCGGGCTCTGGAGTGCTGTATTCTTGGGAGCTCTCGACGGTAATAATTTGTACCTCCTACACGTCTTCGACTCTAACAAGCTAAACCACCACTATCCAGGGACCATCGTGGCCACGCTCATGACACCCATTGGCAGCTATTTCCACAAATCGAACCAAGCATCTTATATCGGAACTAGTTTCCTATTGTCCGTGTGTTGTTTTACTCCTCTATACGGTACGTAACCAACCGCAATGTCTTTTCTTAGACGGATACCGACTTACAGATCATACAGGGCGCCTCTGTGACATTTTGGGCCGACGAGGAGCGATGCTCCTGGGCCTCTCTTTCTTCGGTTTGTCTCGTAGTTCTACCCGTGTATAGGATGACTAAGACCATTTGTACAGGCCTGGGTACTGCAATGTGCGGCCTGGCACCCTCCATGGAGGCATTAATCGTTGCTCGTGCAGTCGCCGGCATGGGCGGAGGTGGGTCAGTAGACGAACACAGATCTTTCCATGGAAATAGCAACTGACGATGGTTGGTATTAGAGTTATGACAGGTAATAGCCATAAGTTTTTTAAAGGCGTCTACTGACCCAATACGTAGTGTCAAGCGTGGCTGTGACAGATCTTATACCGCTGTGAGTCAAACTTATTGCGGCTTACACGTCCAGTGTCATGCGATGTCTAATGCCTTGTCTTACAGCAAACAGAGAGGGCTATATCAAGGGCTTGCAAATATGTGAGTTATATATACTCGACATCGCAGCTGTTTCCTCTTGCTCACGCTAGTGAAAGATTATTCGGCTTGGGGGCGGGTATCGGAGGACCCCTTGGAGGATGGTTGAATGATGCCTTTGGATGGTAAGCAGTCCAGTCTTCGATATTGATCTCGTCCTCAACGCTCATTTTGTCTACGTACTCAGGCGATCGGCGTTTCTGTTCCAGGTTAGTCTTGGTATTCGTTTGGCAACGATGCTATCCTGGAATATATACCACCCTCATCTTCCGGACATCAACTCATTATACTGCTTCCTGTAGATCCCGATCCTTGTGATATCCTTCATTTTAGTTGCAGTAAAGGTCGACATACCACTGCCCGCTGCTGTTCAAGAGCAAAGCCTGTTCGATCGAATCAAGCGCATGGACTTCTTCGGCTCAGTCACTCTTGTCGGAACTGTCGGTTCTCTGTTGTTGGGATTCAGTCTTAAGACGACCGAGGACCTACCATGGTCAAATCCACTTATATATGGCCTGTTCATCGCCAGCGCGGTTTTCTGTGTTCTTTTCGTGCTTGTCGAGTCGCGATGGGCACCGTATCCGGTTATGCCCTTACATCTTATTACACAGAGAACTCCGCTCGCCGTGTCATTGACAAACTTCTTCGGCAGTGTGATTGCATTTTCCATGGTAAGTTACCGTACTCCTTGCATTCCATACCACAGCTAATTGTTTCTCCAGCTTTACAACGTACCACTGGTGAGCATCATACGCTATATTCCCGTCTCGAAGCTGACCGGGTGAGCATAGTACTTCAACGCCGTAAGACTGTCGACTGCAGCAAATGCTGGTACGCAGCATCAGTTTCAGATAGTCCCTCCCCTGTACTAATACAGTCACTTCATATAGGCTCGCATCTACTTCCACACTCGGTACGGGCGTTCATACCAACCGCGTTAAAGCTATCGCTGACATTAGTTACCCCATGGGTATCTTCTCCGAGAAGATCGCTCTCTCAACCGGCAGTGTATTCGCTGGATGGCAAGTCTTATGATCCAAGTATGCCCTAAATATTATCGTCTCAGTACTGGTCTCTCACAACAGGATGATGCGGCGAACGGGGAAACTTTATACCCTTACCCTTGTATCCGCCCTGCTCTCCGTCCTCGCAAACATCCTCGTCACGCTTTGGAACAACGACACGCCACAGTGGCACCTGTGGTTAGATATCGTCCCACAAGGATTCGGCATGGCAAGCCTCATCACCAGCACTCTCATAGTCAGTATGGGTCTATCCAGCGTCATTATTGGCGCACGAGAAGGTTCTGCTCACACGCTCGCTATTTGAATGACAGGCTATGATTGCGGGGGTCACCAAAGGTGATCTGGCGGTCGCCACAGGGATCACGTATCTGTTCAGAACGACAGGACAAGTACTCGGAGTCAGTCTCAGCGGTACTGTCCTGCAGGCTGTTCTGCTTCAGAAGCTTCGCGAGCGCATCACTGGCCCTAACGCTGGAGAAGTAAGTTTTCGGTCGGAACGACTTCCTAATGGTATAAGAAGATGCTGATGAACATCCTCGTCGGTAGATAATCTCTAGCATCCGGTATGTCCCCTCTCGAGTCGTCATTCTCGAGTCTTGTTTTATATACTGAGACGATATGTGTGTTACACAGACACTCAACAGAGGTGATACCGACATTAGACCCATACGACCGCCAAGCAGCTATAGATTCCTATGCAGATGCTCTGCGCGTCGTCTTCATCTGTCAAACCGCGTTAAGTGTGGTGATGTTAATATGTTGTGTGCCGATACAGGAGAACCCATTGCCGTATGTGTCTGCTCACGATGCTTGTTCAAGCCACTGACTAGGGCTTCCATGTTCCGCTGCTTTCCAGGGGTACTCACGAGGAACAGGAGGCACAGTTCCGAAGAAACGAGAGCAACCAGGCAAATGACACGGCGTGAACGCGCTTTCCGATTTAGTGTGGACTTGCAGAGATTGAGACGATTATGTTATATGTTTTGTTGTCGAAACATTCATGTAGCCCCGTCAGACAGCTGTTGTTTTCCTAGTGTATGGGTGGGGAGCAGTGTCCCACAGGTGTAAACCACACGAATTGCACCAGTGATAGAGCCCAGGATGATTCTAGAGTCGTCAAGTCTGAGCTGTTCCAAGAGGGTCTACTTCAAAAGAAGCATTAGAAGATAGTCAAGCACAGCGCATAGCACGAACTCCAGCTGCCTGATGCGGCTAACGGTCGAAATGTGGAGGGTGAAGGTACCTGGCCGTACCGCACTGATATTAGACAAATCTATTGGGTAGCATCCCTAGCCTATTGACCTCGGATGACCTCGCCATCTATGAACTCCACGAGCTCGGTGGTTTCTCCTCTATCCACCTCCTAGGCCTCTTCTCCACCACAGCAGAGTATGCCTTCCCCTTGTCTTCTCCGATCTGTTCACCGTTGTCCGCAAATCGGGTTCGTACGGGACGCACGGGACATGGTAGTACTGCAGAAGCAGAGACGGTGATGATAGAAGCGAGGAATGTGAGCCCGAAAAGGGACGATGTGAGAGAGCGATGGTTGCGGTTCGTAAAACGGTGTAGCGTATTGGACAATGCCATTCTCAGCCTGTGCACAACCGATGAGCCACAATAACTTTCCTCGACAATATAAATATATACCTAATAGCCCATGTCCTTTGGGGGGTAAGTCTTCGCAATGAAGGGAGGGGTTGGTGGTGCTTACGACCAGGAGGAGTTTTGGTTGGGTGTTCGCTGCAGCCGGGCTTGTCCTTCGGCGCCTCCATGGTCCGGCGACTTCCGATAGCCAAATTCAGTGCAGACGCGCCCGCCACAACCGTAAACCTCTGTCGTTCACCACCACCACCACCACCGTCTTGCTGCCGTACTCGTTTTCTCCCACGGTGCCCAAGCCATGAAGTGGAACGTCCATCTTACTCGCGATATGAAGGCACGAAGAGGCGTGGCCAATACCGAAGTCGTCCGCCGCGCTTACCTCTTCGTGGCCCGCAACCAAACTCTCCCTCCTCAAGTCCGGTATCAGGCTCAACTCCAGCTGAACACGTTCGACAGGTACACGCACCCTACTGTTGTCAAGAACAGGTGTGCAGAGACAGGGAGAGGCAGAGGTATTATTGGGGAATTCGCGTTGTGCAGGGTACGTCATGCTCTTAGTCGCCTTCGACTTCATGCTGGAGTAACCTCATTCGTTCTTTCCCAATCTCGTAGCATAAATTCCGCGACCAAGCACGTCAGAACCTCATCCCTGGAGTTAAGAAAGCCTCGTGGTAAAGGCAAGGACATAATCCCAGAACCCAATAATGGTTTTATATGTATGTACGTTACGAAACCCATCGACGTCCCCTGCGATCTCACTGTTCTCTATCAGTCCGTGCTGGTACTACAGTAGTCCGACTTTACATACCGTACAAAATCACACTTAGCCCATAGGCTGCCCGAGCCCACAGTGACCCATAAACGCTAGACATAACGATCCCCACGGGCCTGTTCTACGTCCCGCGTAACTCTCACATACTCGCCTGAGATTCGTTGGGAGCGATGTCACGGAGGCTCAACTCCTGCAAACCTCTGTCTCTCCTCCATCTGTTGCATATGTTCAACGTATTTTGCTCGAGAAGAAACCTAGATGGGCGATAACGACACTTAGTAAAACCGTCTTGGACGCGACATAATATGGCCGTAAGTGAAGTGTACGAACCCATATTTCTTCAACCACGACTCGTTGATTTCCCAGTTTGCGTGAGCAAGGACGTCATCTCCGTGAATGGTAACTGCAAGGCCATAGTCATGGATGCAATCCACTAAACTAAAGCGTCCTGCGATATTTGAAGTAAGTTCGACGCTCGACGTCCGTAACGGGATGACATGCTTACCTCGCAAAAGTATCAGTCTATCACGCAAATCAGGATGCACAATTCTGTCGATAACGCTCTCTATGTATATCGTCAGCCACCAAGTATGCCGACGAAGAGCGATGTCAACTAACCATGAGGAACAGTTCTAGCACATGAGAATTTAGCGTGAGCAGGTCGTTGATGATGAATGGCAGAAAGGTCATACCTCTGAACCAAAGTCGGACGCAGAGAGGCCGGGAGGTGGTAACCGCTGTTGCGCTTGTAATTGTCCAGATGATAACTGTGACCCCGAACTGTGAGCTCGTAACACAGTCCAGACTCACAATCCGCGAAGTTATACGCACGAAATCAGCTTTTGAGCCTCCTCGTGTTTCGGGTCCAAATCACGCACGTCTTCAACCGGGGTAGGTATGGGCGGAGACAGTCGCTGAGATGACTGTTGAGCGCCACTAGTGGAATACGGCATCCCCATAGGGCCGTCTACGTTCAGACCGACAGAGCCCATGTAGGGCGGAGGAAAGACGCCCGGTGGTGGAGGTAGTTGAGGTGTGCCCCCATAAGTTGAGGAAGAAGAATGAGTAAATAGGGGTGATCCATTCGAACCACGCATCAGGTCCGTGAAAAGACTGCTCTCATGCGGAGAACGAGTGGATGGTGGATATAGGCCGCTTCCAGAGGTGACGGGATCCATGGGCATGATAGCGGGAAAACTGCCATCATCTCGGTCGCCTGGTCCCCGAGAGCGTTTCGCATTACTCGCGCCAGCATCGTCTTCAGAGGTGCGTTTCCTGGCGTTACTTCCTGATCCAGACGAACCAGTGACGGTAGCAGCTTGTTTACGTGCTTGGTATCCTTCGAATGCTGTGTCGGTTTCGGACTTGTTGATAAAATGCTCAAAATCCTGCAAGTTCCAGCCGAGTTTTGGGAGGAGCCCGCCAGCACCATCACCAATGAACCCTCCGAGGCTCCGGAGGAGATTACGGAGTGTCTGGTTCTCAGCCATCAAATCTGACGGGAGGTGTTCGACAAAGTAGAGGAACCGAGCTAGACAAAAGCACGCACCCTTGAGAATCTTCCTCATTTCTCCAAGAGCCTCATCTTTGCCTCCTGAAAGGATCTCGACACGAGCTTCGAGGTCACGGATCTAGAAGACGCGAACCATGGATATAGAGAGGTCGCAGTGATGGAGCAAACGGCAGACATACACGCTGTTGTTTGCGCAGACGAAACTCGCGTTGGGCGATTCTGTTCTGGTCGCGCCGTGCGGCCTGTGAGCTGTGAACGCGAAGGTTTGGGGTCAGGGACAGGACGTAAGATGAGTGGAGAATCAAAGCAAGAAGAGCAGACTTTGGATTTTTCTTGCGGCCTGGTTTGCTAGATGACGGTTCCTGTGAACCTTCATTCTCGTGAGCTGAGCCCAACTCGGACTCCTGCAGGTCCTGAGTCAGAGAGCTGACGACAGCATATTCAGGAATATTCGGCAAATACCTCTATCTCGCCGGACACGCTTCGGTCGCGACCATGGGATGACATAGTTATGCTACGATTTTCTGTGACTGTACGACGCGGGTTGTTCGGAGATAGACAAAAGACACGACTCGCCCAGAGGAGTTCACCGTGAAGAAGAATATCAGCGAATATCCTTCAACGGTCACGGTGGGTCACGGCTCGGCTGGAGGCCAGCTCAGCCCGTATTTCGGCAGTGCCGCTTATGGGCTCGGCTTCGAGGCAAACAGCCGTAAATAATGTCCGACTTACTTTGTTCAACCTTCAGACGTCTTCTATGACTACTTTCACGTAATATCCTTCCTTCTCCCCCTCTCCTCTTTTGTATCCCTTGGCTCGCAAGCTCTGACGTCCTTCAGCTCAGCTGAGGATATCTCGTACCTCGTCCGTAGCTTATTTTGTGCGTGCCACGCAACAGCACCGCGGCAAGCCCTGTTCCGAAATCGCGGCGCACAGCGGTTCAAACATATGTAACACTCTTTGCGATGACATCCGCGACATATCCTCAGGCGCACTACGCAGCCTCCTTTTCATGAGGCGAGTCTATCTACGTCTTACGGAGATGGAACACAACAACCTCACAGGGGCCACACCCGATCCGCAACGGTCGGTAAGTCCATGCCACAGTTGCACTGCTTCATAAACACGTTCTGACTACGCTAGACCCGTTTTATCTGTTTCATCTCTATGGCGTTGTCCACAACAATTTTTCCTCGCAGTCGCATCGACTTTGTCCCTGGATTGTGGCCCATTTTAGAACCTCTGACACTTCACGTTGTCTGGTTGCACACATCATCGACACATCCGTGTAAGCGTCCTTTCGGCATTTTTACGTTCTCCTCCTCCCGACGAATTCACTTTTGTGGCCCATTTAGATGTTCTCGAAATCTATGTCGCACCTATTTGAGCGTACTTTGCGTTCGACTCAGGCGCATCCATGTCGTCAGAACCATATCGCAGGGCCCTCGCGCTCCCGGCAAGACCATCGATAACGCTAACAGGTCCAATTGCTCGTCAGTATATACAAATCGTCCCTTGGCTCCATACTTATCCTTTTGCTTCCTCATTATCTGTCCATAAAATATACATCTGTTGACCTCATGACATGACTCGGCCGTGGATATATCATCTCCCACTATATGTGGGTACTCTACGCCAGTCCTCGGCGCTCAACGTCCCCATCGTCACTCAGCTGGCTGAGCTGAGGACGCTTTGAACCGCTCGGCTAACGTTTTCGTCTTCCAAGATTCAGTATTCGGTGCTTGACCAAACCTGGGGAAGACTCTTATCCTTCTTTTTCCTCGCACGCCTTCGTAACCGGTGCACGCTCGGAGATACGTTTTCAACTGATTGCAGAGATCGAGGTGTGCGCAGATCTACCTCATGTTTCTGGATCTCCTGGCTCTGAGACTCTTCGGTTGTTGCCCCGAGCTTTCCGCTCTCCACAATGCGCACGAGCGATGCCGCCTTGCGAGATGTTCCGGATCTCTTATATTACGATGTTTGCGTACCAGATCACATCCACTCCGTTCCAGCATCCTCGAGCTCGCGCCACCATTCTCCTCAGGAACCCTCGGATTCCTGCCCTCCTCTCTCGCTTCGTCTCGTGGCCGCCTTTTACGCTCCATGCCAGACAGTCAACCTGCACTTGTCCTTCTATTTGTCTCTCCTCTGCCGGAGACAAATCCAGATCCTCGAACATTCACCGTGTTCAGACCAACAGACGACGGATCTGGACCCATCGAGTTATACAAGGTACGTCGTCCACGTATATGTACATGCATGCCTGCAGAGGTCGCTGACCGGATAGCGTTTGTACGTTTGTCGATCGCTCTCTCCCGACAGTTCTACCATCCGAATTCGGGACTCACTTTCGGCTCCACAACGTTCCACCGCAAGAACATGGCCACAGCAAAATGGGAGACCGCGGGGGAGATTGACTGGACATCAGCAACGAACGCCACTGCCCACTTTGGGATTGAGGAGGTGAGTCTATTTACATCTCAACTCGCTCATCCGGGAACCAATGCTCGTCATACCTCAGGTACCCATGAGAGAACTTCGAAAACCAAAGAAGGCGGATAGCAAGTCAGTCATTTCCAAATTTCCTGACCTTTCCCCAATTAACCTTCTGCATCGAGCTCCCAGGTCCCGGCGTTTCAAAGCATCTGGCTCGGAGTACAAGTGGAAGAAGGCGGACAACAACAAAGATCTTTTCGTACGTCTCATCACGCTTTCTCCGTACAGTCCCACGTTTACCGTTGGTTCCCGATATGTATGATATCTATTCAGTGCGTTGACTCTCGAGGTAAAACGGTGGCGTCTTGGAACCAGACCGCTCTCACCCTACGGGTCGAAAAACGGGTCGAACCCATCCTGGATCGAATCGTCGTGACCTGCCTACTCAATACGTGGATGAACCGGCAGGGCCAGTGGTAGAGCCAGTGTCTCGTTTGGTGGCTATTTCTTACGATTGCACGATCATATGATGACAGTTTTCTTACGCGTTTTTGCGGAGTGTGTTACTGTGTACTCGTGTCTCCTTTGTATTACCTGCGGGTTGGTCGACTTGCTTGTACGAGCGTGTATTGCATCGTTGCTGTCTGTCTACCTTAATTCTCTCTACTTACTGCATGTACCTTACAACGACTAATTCATTCATCTCATGCCTTGTGGCTCCCTTCATCGCGATGGGCGGCATGGGCAGTTTGCACGCGTAGACTTGATTTGTGCGAGATGTCGGGATAACAACCGCAAGAGACTGTGCAGCCTGTCCGTTATGGGAAAAGGCAATAAACCCTGGGACTCGCGGAGCACGGTAATGGGAAGAAAGTAGTCGAAGATCATCATCGTGGCGAAACAGAGTACAAATTCCGGCTATTGTTTGACGGTGTACATCGGCCATCCACGCACCCTAAATACACGCGATACCCTGATTGACGTATGATATCTGATCCATCGAAAGCAGAGATGAATAGCTTGGTAGTGGATGCAAGTTGGAACACACGCCATCAGATAGAATATCATAGTGGTCCATGTCAGAAAACCGGTCTTAGAGAGGAAACGCCCTGTGAATACCGCCACAATGGTCTGCACTAACCATGACCACGTTGAATGCATAGAAGATCGACATACCATGAAAGCAAAAAGAGATGATCGTAGAGCGAACGCCTAATCCGTAGACAGTGATGAGTGCACACCAAAGGGCGACGGTAAGCCGCACACATTGCAAGCTCCCGTTGAAGTGACCCCTCGAAAATTTATATTGATCTGTTGTGAGCGTGGAGTGAGTAGCGGATCTGGTCAAAGACTCGCAGCCTTGAAACTTGATGCTGGTAGCAATGAGTGGTGTTGCATTGGAGCAGGCGTGCGGTACGGTGGCGTTTACGCCACAAGGACGAAAGACACATGGATTCTTCGAATCGCAGCAGAAAGGTACAGAAAGAACAGACCGACCCAGCCCCAAGGCACCCAATGACTTCCCATCTTCCCATCTTCACACCCTCGAGCCTACCGCCTCAAACTGATTCATAGTCACCTCCATAACGAGAATCGACACATAGCCGAGGAGGAGGTCTATAGACCAATCAGATATATCGGCCTGGGAGAATGTATTTCTATGACAGATAAACATCGATTGTGGACCGTCGGATCGCATGCAGGAGGGTGGTAGAGAGTGCGGGTGTGTAGATTTTACGAGTGTGGCGACTCTTTTAGCGCGTCATCGCGCCTCAAATTGAACCACTATTCCATTATGTTAGACTTGACTATTTGGCAAGAGATGAAGGTACGTACTTCGTTTTGTCCTCTTCTTATACATGATACGATGCCCACACTCTCGACACCGAATGGGCTCTCGGGACTTGATTTCGTTCTTGGCTCCACAGTCTATCACTTTTGAATGAGACAAACGAACCTAAAGCATGAAAAGGTGCACAGACCAGCGCAAAGATACTCCATATCCTGCCTTGGAGGGGCCATATAGCCCGTATTCGACCCGTTCGTGTTTGTGGCGCCTTGGTTATTCATGGTGGTAAGAAGACAGGACGCGTGTGACGATTGAAGACGTGACGAAAAGTGACGAGCCACGATCTGTGACACGCACTTCTCTCACCCACACTCAAGTCGGGATTTTATGCTGTGCCTCGACAATCATTCTTGTACCTTGTGAACGAGGCTTTTCTGCGATCAAAACTACCTGCTTTGGCTTAAGGTAGCCATCGTTACCGACATACCACGCTGCTGGGGTATTTTCGGACCGCTATACTCAGGGACTTCCCCTTCGTCCCACTGGGATTCGCTGGAGGCACATCGGAGTTATATTCAATACAAAGATGCGTGTTCTACATTTGACTGTGCATCTAGCCTCAGATATATACATCTCTTGGCCGGCAGTTGCACGAATTGCTTTCATGACTCATTCTCCCGCCGAAGTGACTTGGTAACCTGGTGCAGTTCACTAGCACCCTCCTACGGATGGAGTGTATATTTCTAGCACGTCTTCCGCTTGCCTTCTGATGCTGTTGCGACCATCTGTTATCTCGCGGTCGCGACGCTCCTGGTGTGTTGGAGTTACAAGGTCACCTTGGTTATTTCGACGCTGACCACACTTTCTGCTTGTGTCCCATGGGGCGTTTGTGTCGTGTCTTCTGTCTTCGAAACAACAATCTCTTGGAGACCGGTGGTCAGATGAGCACAGTCGTTATCGAGGCACCTTCTCTGATGCAGTGATGCAATCCAACCTATTCCAACTCCCGACAATACGGTAAAGCTCAAGCGTTGTGCGCGGGAGATACGGGTCCGGCATTCTCGACTTCTCTGTAGGAGTGATACAGAGATGAAGCGACAGGTAGACTCGGGCTTGAGTAGCATCAAGAAGCTTGGAGATCAGTTCTCCAAGGGGATCTCTACCAACGTTGGAACTGATACCAATGAAATCCTGAAGTGTGTCAGTCCCTCCTGTCTGATGCTACAACACGTAGGGTTACCTTGGCGTTGGTGTGAGCACATCCTGTGCATTGGTTGTGCAGCTGCACGGAGCATAATGAACCTGAAGAAGTTTTAATTGGCTAGCCACAATGCTGCTTGGTGCCCTGGGAGGTTGTCTTCTGCTACCGCCGGCGGCTATCGGTCGGTAGGTTACATGTCTACCGTGCTTTTCTTGTGTTCGGAGCGGTTTTCCCATGCAATGCAGCAGGAGTCGAACGATATCGATTATGTTGTACAGGTGATTAGATCTGGTCGCCGAGAGGCTTGGAGGCGTGGTTCCGTGCGCCCCGCGTTCTCTGGCGCCTGTGTTGTGATGGGCGTAGCGTGTCTCGAAGGAGAATATGCACAGTGTTTATTCTACAGGAGAGACGGCGAACATACGCTCTGTGGATTTTACGATGACGAGGTCTGGGGTTGTCTGACGTTCCATAATGAAAGCCAGGGGCCGAGCCGAGGGTTGTTTACGCTCGCAGTCGGAACGCAGCAGTAAAATGGTGGGCGCAGGCACGCGGACCCGAGCGAGCGGCTCTTGTATGGAGGGATCGGCTTGACGACAATTAACTACGGGCATCGCCACCCGTCGCGTCGTCCCGTACCGCTGCGTCTGTCTCCACCGCTCGTTCGTATATATATCATCTGTCCCCTTCGTACCCATGTTGCGCCCTTGCCGCCCCTTCTTCAGAACCCTTAGTGTCGCGCTATCGAGCAATGGCTAGGACTCCCCTTCCTTCCTTCGTCGAGCTCATGCAGTCTCTCGGTCTCACCGACGAGAGGCGAGCGACCGGTCCGTTCTCTCACTCACGCTCGAGTTCCCTTTCCTCTACCACATCGTCCTCTTCGTATGCGGACGATGAACTTGGATCTCCTCGACGTCGCCACAATACTCATCCTGCCGGGAAATACCTTCTGGTTCCCTCTCATCATGAACGCATCTACTACGGCAAGGAATTGGATACCGAACCGAGTATCCAACTCCGTGGGAAGGGCAGATACTCTCCCTACGGCGTCTCCAGCGTGTGTTTCTTGACATTTTATGCTCCAACTTACTCTGACATGTTCTCCTTTCGTTATGCAGATTCCTCGAAAGGCGAGCATGCCATCTCTAGACGCCGTGGAGGCGTTCGACAAACCGGCGCGGGTATGTTAATTTCCTCCGTATCCATGTTTTGCATTTGTCGCGAAGGTGATAATAACGCCCCTGTCAGGCTCCCTCTTCCTCTCCCCTTCATTCCCCCTTGGACACCGTCTTCCCTCAACGCTCAACTCGGGCATCTCGTGCTCCACGATCTGAAAGACCCTTGCGACGAGGGCAGAAGCCTTGGATCGACTCCGATCTCCCGGCCATAACCCCTATTTCAACTTTCGTCCGACGCAAGTCGCCACGAAGTCCCTCTCCCTCACCGACATCCTTCGTATTCCCCGCCGACGTCCACAGTCCCGCTGCTCCAGTCGCAATACCCGCCCTTCCCACTCTCATACCCCACTTCCTTCTCGCTTCCCCCACGTCGACAGATTCATCATCAGAGTCGACCCACCTTTCTATGGACATTGACCCTAGATCCTACCACCGTACTGGCACCCGTATTTCAGCCACTCCCCAAGATTCGCATCGGTAACATATTCCCCTCACTGTCTCGATACCATGATGTGTGTTTCAATGGACATTGTTCTTTCTCTCTCTTACCTTCATCTACCGCAATCTGCGCGTCGCATCGGACTTGCACCATCATTATGCTGGACATTACTTCCAGTCTTTACCCTCGCATAATCTTCCACACTCGCTCTACACCCAACCTATCTATTCGTTCATCGGTGTGCCATGTTTTCGTGGTTGGGTCCCCTGTTGTCTGTGCTGTGTACTATTAGACATATTTGCTTCCGCCTGCCTTATGTTTATTCCTCCTCCCCCTCCTCTCTCACACTTGTTTTATTCTCTTTATATCCTTTGCATTCTGTCATTCAGTCCGTCAGCATCCAGTAGGTACCCTACCGCGTCCCCAAGTTCCAGTTCATCAGCCCAAATCAATGTTGCTCCTCGTCCGGCCCCGGACACTGTTCATCCATCTCTTCCGCACCGTCGTATTGCGTACCACACCAGAAGCAATACGAGTACTCCTCCCGTAGATACTCCACCACACGTCCGAGTCGTTCTTGAGGCTACCATCGTCCCGTGAGTCAAACCGACGAGAAGATCAATTCGAACGTGCGACTTACCCCCAAACGTAGAAAACGAGCGACCTCTTCGACAACCTCCGGATCTATCGGAGCCTCCTTCAGAGGCGCTTGAGGCTCTCCATCCGCATCTTGTTGAGATGAGAGAGGCCGTAGCGCGTCTGCTTGCATCTGCGCTCGAAGCCGTTCGTGGATGGTACCATCGTCTGATGACGGGACGAGATTGACGGACGAATCTGCCAGTGCTTCGAGCAGACCCTCTGGGAACGACTCGGGCTTGTTCACATTCACCCAGAGGACATTGAACTAAATGAACGCCAGGTCGTCTCAGTGTGTGTATTCACGAAAGAAAGTAAATGTAAACTACGCACCTGCTTCCCTACCTTCTCATCCAGCGTAACACACGTATTCTGAGCGGGAATCAACCTATTCTCCGCCCGTTTCTGCTCAAACTCTCTCCGCGTACGATCCCTGAACGACTCCTTGCTCGTCTCCTCGTCTACCTTCGCCGCTTTGGCAAGTCGCTCGAGATCAGTCGGTGAGGCCGCACGTTTGCCCAGACCTATGCCCTTACGACCTGATGCAACGAAATGTGTGTGATATGCATGTCAACACGGGTACATTCAGGGGCTACCAACATTCTGAATCAGTCGAGACGAGGACGCACCTGCCCACTCGTTCAAAGGCAGCGGCTCTGCCAGATGTTTAATATGCTCTCGTACCTTGCCATCTGGCGGTTCCACAGATACAGATTCTCGACCGTCTCCCGTAGGCGTACTCGACACCGAACGGCGCGACGCAGAGGCAAAAGCAGTGACGGGAGTCGGACTCGGTTCTTCCTCCTTCTCTACCTTCACCTTCGCCTTCTCCTCCTCACGGTCCTCCACATTCCCCAAAGTCTGTCCAGGCTTAAACCCCATCTTCATCATCATAGCCAAAGCCTTATTACTCCCTGAAGCCTGCTCCTCCTCCGCCCGCTCAAACAAACTCTTACTGAGCCCCTCTTCCCTCGCCTCGAGCTCACGCTCTCTCCTGCTCTTCGTCCTATTCTGTTCATTCTTCAACTGTGCCTTTCTCAGCGCTTCGCGTCGTTTATCGGAGTAGGTAGTCGGCTTGGCGCGGGAAGTGGAGGGAGCAGCTGCTGTTGCTTGAAGGAGGAACTTGTCTGACAGATAGTCGTCTTCGTCGTCCGAAGCCATGTCCGATCCTGAACTACTTTAGCGCGTGCAGATGACTTTTTGCTTTGATTCAATCCTCTACGGGGCTCAAATGAAACCCTTTCTCAGATCAAATATAGGATCGCCCCAGTCGCGTGACATCTTCGAACGGTGACGTTGCGGGGTGCGAAGCCACTCTAAAAGGTTACTTTTGCTTCTTGAACGAGACTTTAGACTTAGGCTCCAAGACAAGAATGAAACCGATGAACGAAACCGTCGTTGCCAAAATGTGTACCTAACGACGGCTATAACAAGTTATCAACAGTATGGACAACGCGCATTACGATGATAGCGCGGGGGCGGCGATGAACGGAGGGCAGAGCGCACAAACTGAACTATGAACTGGAGAACGCGCTACCGCCCGACGGAAAGGACGAGCGTGGAACTTGAAAACATGGGACAGTCGTCCTAACGAGATGGAGGGGGGGTTTAATACGATAACAAAGGCATAACAGGGTCGTGGAACGGGTGGGGCGATTATCGAATTACGTGAGATGATGGACGGCAACATTTAAGAGGCAACGACAGCGGCCTCAGGAGTAGCATCCTCGCCACCCTCAGCCTTCTCCTCCTCTTCTTCCGTCTGAGAGTTTACTGCGATCTTGACGGCGATGGGCCTTCCACCGACGTCCTTGCCCTCGAGAGCCTCGATGGCCTTTTTCTGCTCTTCCTCATCACCGACGTCGACGAAACCGTAGCCCTTGCTCTTGCGGGGCCTTCCCCAGCGCCTGCGAACAATGCGAGCAGAGTTAACCTTGATGCCGCTCTCGGTGAACAACGCGGCGAGACCGGCGTCGTCGATGTTGAACCCAAGGTTGGCGACGAAGAGCAGCGTCTTGGAGGGTTCACCAGAGGGGTCCTCACCCGCGGGACGAGCTGGGCGGGGAGCCTTCTTCTGACGAGGCTTCTTGGTGGTCTCACCGCCCTCGGTGGTGGTGGGGGCAGCGGCACCGTCAGCGGCGACCTCTCCTTCGGCACCTTCAGTCGCACGCTTTGGCTTCTTCTGAGATGATGGGAAAGAGGTGGATGAGAATGATGATGATGGAAAGGGATGATCTGAAACAAAGGGACTCACGGCGGCCTTCTTCTTCTTCTTCTTGGGCTTCTCAGCATCGCCAGCAGCGGGAGTGCCGTCAGCCTTGTCAGCGTCACCGTTGGCCTCAGCCTCGGTGACCTCGCCGGGAACGGCCTTCGCACCACGTCTGCCAGGACGCCGGGTACGAGCCTTCTTCTCCTTCTTCTCCTTGTCTTTTTCTTCGGCGGGCTTAGCGACCTCGACGATGATGGGACGACCGTCGAGTTCCTGCTTGTTGAGAGCCTCGACTGCCTGTTGTGCAGCCTCTGCGCTGTTGAGAGCGACAAAGCCGTAGCCTGCAGACCTTGTGCCACGCATGATGACCTGCGCGGTGAGGCTGTTGCGAGGCAGGCGGGAGACGTAAGAGAAAGGAACACGAGGACGACTGGCGGGGACGACTCACATGTCGCTCGCGACTGGCGCGAAAAACGTCTTCAGCCCTTCATCCGTGGTAGAGTACGCAAGATTGCCGGCGAAGACCTGATTTGGGCGGGCGGGATGAGCGGCGTGCAGGGAGAAAGGGAGGAGGGTGGAAACGGACCTTGAAACCAGGGGTTTCTTCGACGACTTTCTCCTGCGTAGCCGGAGGCTCGCCGTCCTGGACGACGGGGGCGACTGGGGCGTCAGACATTTTGAGGAGGTGGGAGCGGTGAATGTGAGCTTGATGAACTTGGGGATGAACTTGATGAACCGGTTTCTGCGTGTCAAACTTGGAGGTTAAGGAGAAAGCCTCGTTCGGGCACCGCCCATCCCTTTTCTACTCGCGAACAAACTCCGCTAAGCGCTCGCGTGGCGGGCATGTTCCTTTACAGTACTTGCCTTCTTTCGCACGGCAGGCGCGGGTTCGTTACGCGCAGAGGGCTGTCCTGTATATCTGATTTATGTCTAAGTACTGTATGGAAGTGCACAGAGAATAATGAGATAAAGCGCACAACAAGGTACTGGAAAGGGACGCTGAGGGGAGCCAAGCCCGGAGTGGGCAGCATGGACCAAGCCCAAGTGGAGGCTTATGTAATAATTTGAGGTACGGGGGTATATAGGCCGCCGTCGTAGCCAAGGACGACGAACACTTTTCCTCCCTCCCCCCGCCTCTTGCCTTCGTTCCCCAACTTGGCCTCGGCCGCTGACACTCTTTGAATCCCCGTTCTTTCTCTCCCCCTACCCTCAAAGCCTTCATCATGGTCTCCCACAAACTATCGAACCTCCTCTCCGTCGCCTCGCTTGCCGTCCTCGCCTGCTCGCTTGTCGCTTCTCCCGTCAACGCCCTCGAGGAGCACCACATCTCCCGCCGCGGCCACGACAGCATCGCGAAGAGGAGGCGCGACTCCGCTCCTCACGCTAAGCGTTGCAAGGTCCGCTCTTCTTCTGACGCAGAGTCCTCTACTGCCTCCGCAGCCGTCGCCTACGTCGCCAGCTCTTCCGACGCTTCCACCTGGACGTCAACCTCCGACGCTGCGTGGACCTCCAGCACCGACGCCGCTTGGTCCTCCTCCTCCGCCTGGGTCGCAACCTCCACCAGCACTTCTGCAGCTGTTGCCACTTCCACCGCTTCCAGCTCTTCCGGTGGCAAAGTCGGCATTGCCTGGGCCCTCGGAGATGACTCGTCCTTGTCGAACTTCAAGACCGACAAGACCAAGTAGTACGTCCACTTGGTATATGTTACGGTCGCTGCGCCATACTAACCCGACTTTTGCAGCCTCTACACATGGAGTCCCTCCATGCCCACAGGTGCCGCTGAACTTGGCTTCACCCTCATGCCCATGCTTTGGGGTTGGAACCAGGTTAGTGAGTTCCAGAGCACTGTGGTCGCTGGCTACGCCGAGTACGTTATGGGCATGAACGAGTACGTATCACTTTTTCTCTCCATAGCGATGATTCTGAGATTTCTCCGCTATTTTTAGGCCTAACGAGGCTGGTCAATCCAACATGGACGCCGCTACCGGTGCTAGCATGTGGCAAACGTACATCCAGCCCTTGGCCAACGAGGGCTACAAGCTTATCTCCCCCGCCACCTCTTCCGCACCTTCCGGCATGACCTGGATGAAGGACTTCTTCGCCGCTTGCTCGGGTTGCACGGTTCGTACATCTGCCTTGTCAAGCGATCCAATAGAAGTTGATAGCTAACCTGAATCTGCAGTTCGATGGTGTTGCTGTCCACTGGTATGACGTCGGTGCCGACACCTTCGAGACCTACGTCACCAGCTTCCACGATGCTTTCAACATGGATATCTGGGTGACTGAGTACGCTTGCCAGGTAAGACCCACACATTCGTCCTTTTTTCGCACTTTCTGACAGGAGCCTGCACAGAACTTCAACGGTGGTGCTCAGTGCTCTGATGCCGATGTCTGGACCTTCATGCAGACCACGAAGCAGTGGATGGAGGAGACTGAGTGGATTGCTGCCTACTTCGCATTCGGTTAGTCTTTTATTTTTCGTTAGTCTGTCTTACATTCATCTCATTGTTCTTTAGGTGTCATGACCGACATGTCTGGTGTCAACGACCTTGACCGCCTCATGGAGTCCAGCGGCCTGCCCACTTCCCTCGGTTACTACTACATCGATAACTAAACGCGTTTTGCACCCTCACTTTGGACACTTACGATGTCTTATACGTTGTTGCACGCTCCCTCTGCTCCTCATTCCGACCCTCAACCTACCTACGATATATACCCTCCCTCAATCCTGGGGCCTGTTGTGCGGGCGTCGGGGATTACCGTTTGAACTGCACCGATATCCTTTACTTTTACATAACTCTCTTGCAATCCCTTTGACACCGGTGATGTTTTCCCATCTGTTTTCGATGTATGGTACGGGGTACTATCATCAAATATCACCGAGGGTTTTTCTCGTTTTGCGGTATTGTTGGTTTTGCTTTACTTTCTTGTGGTATGGAATTGAGAATTTGAGTGTTGCTTTTTGCTTCCTCTGTAAATGCCCTCGAGATGCTAACGCGGCGTACGGTGAGCTGCGATGTTTAGAGACCGTCGTGGGGATAAGTCAACTATCCATCGCATGGCCGATGTTGTCCGAAGCGACGCTTGAAGTTAGATGCGGAAGGCCGCATAGCTAGAAGCAAACTCAACACAAGATGTCAATATAGACGAAATCTCACGGCCCTCTCCCTTTCACGTTCTCAACCATGGTCAAGCATCTTCCCCCAGCTGTCAAACAGCTCCTAACGCTTCGCAATCCAAACTCGTTCGCTGGGCCGCCAGCTGGTAGGTTGTATGGCGTTCTCAACAAGACTTTTACGGATGCAAAGCAACGCCAAGCGGAGACGGGATGGCTCGTTCTTAGCGTGAGCAGCTCCTTCTACTTCTCGCCGTATCATGCGTTATCTTCCTTTGGGACAGATATGATTCTTGATGGATGTGGACCTCGCCGTATGCTGACCGTGGGCTAATCATGCCAGACCTGCACACTCCTGACGTCGAATATACCCAGCTCAATGGGACATTTGTACAAATTCACGACGAGGACTGATCCGGCGGACGCTGCTTCACGGACGAGCGTCGCCAGCGCGGTGCAGAAGGCTGCTCTCATACGCGAAGCTGCTGTGAAGAGCTCTATCTTTGTTGGCGTGCCTCGGGTAAGCGAGTCTGTATCTTTCCTGCCATTGGGCCACACGCTGATCTTGAAACGGCATGGATGCCTTCAGACGATTCTTTCCTTAGCGGGTCTCATGGAAGCGCTTGAAGACGATGTGAAAGGCCAACTCAGGAATACAACTCATCCGGACAGGCAAGTCGTCTGAAGGAAAGGCTCCGAAGTTCTTCCAGTTCCCCCGCATGATCCGCGATGCCTGCTTTCTTCAGAATGCTAACGCCTGCTCGTGTGCTTACTTTTTGAACCCCATATAGGGCTGCGAGCGCAGAGAATATCGACAATGTCACGACACGCGGTAAGGAGCTGTGGAAGTCCATCTACGAGCCCCATGCGGTGAAGCTGCACGACAAACTCGGTTCCTATCATCCAGACTTCATCTGTAAGTTACCGGTCACTTCCTTCCCCATCCTTCATTCGTCCATCCATCGAACCTCCAGTCGAAGCCCCTCGATCCTCTCGTCCCTACCGATCGCGTTAATCAACGCCATCGGGTGGCTTCGCGCGATGGCCATTCGTTGATCCCACTGTCCTCTCATTCGTTCATTCTCTCCTTTTTATAGCATTCATCATCCAAGCATACGGCGCCGTGCTCGCCCCTCTCCCTGGTGGCGAAAGCGAGCAAGGAAATCTTAGCCGTGCGCTTGGCTCGGTCGTCGGTACAGCCTGTCTTCGCGCAGAGGGCAGAGTCGGCCCCCAGCTCATCAGCCACGTTTTCGGTCTTCTCAAAGCGCGGAACGCGCAGGGCCTGAACGATGAAGATAGATGGTTGTCCTCGGACGAAGGGACGGAGTGGGTCATCAGGACCGTTGACTCGATCCTTGACGTCGTACAGCCAGCCGCAGAGGAAGGAGGAAAGGCAGGTGAAGGCGTGTTGTCCGCGAAGCTCTGAGGAATCGCACACCCTGGCAAGGCTTCTCCGGACCTCGGTCTGATATATGGATTGACCACACCTACTGTTCACGGTCGGATGACCATATAGATGTGTGTACCGTTCGTCGAATGTATCCGTCCATAACGTATTGCTTTAGTTGCAGATGCCACGACAGGCCAGACACGATGCTTGGGTGGCGTTAAGATTCGCTTCTTTCAGATTCGACTGCTGCTCCGCGAGCGCTTTCTGGAAGACCAACAGCAGTTGCACCTGCAACGCGAACCCATGGTGTAGATGTCTCGGTCAGCAGTACTACCACTGGCCAGTTATGAGCTCGAGCCCGGATGAGTTCCTGTCTACCACTTACACGTGTAGAACCTTCCAAACCCTGATGCTTCTTGATTCCGGTAAACGGAAGGTGTCCGGCACCCCACTTCGACCAAGATATCGATGCGGCACCCACCCGTCCTTTCGTTCCCAGGCGCCGTGACATATAATGTTTCAAAGCGTGTTTTCAATTTACTATCGGACTTGACGGAATTTCGCCCGTCAGTTTACGTCGAAGAAAGCGATCGATGATGGCGATGATATCCAAAAAGGCGCGAACAATGGCAATCGCCTGGACCAGGACCGGCAGATGAGATAAAAGATGTGTTTCGCAAGCAAGCAAGACTGGTACTCGTACTCTTACACATGCACCCCCATACGTACACAAATCAAATAGCAGCGCGAATGGATATAGCGAGAGAGAGAGAGATGGATGGATGACAGAGAAAGAAGTATGCGCGGACACCACAGCAAATGAGAGATCTGTACAAGCTTACAGTCACCGGCGGGCCTGCCCTCCGTCTGGTTCATGGCGAGAAACGTTCGTGCCACGACCCTAAAAAAGTCAAGACGAGGAAACTCATAGGTTGTACATCTGGGCGAATCGGTAGAGCATGGCCGTGACGGTGACTGTGTCCATGAGTGGTGGATGCATCTGCGGCACGGGGCAGACGATAAGCGAGGGTGATGACGACAAACGATGGAACATGAGGCGTACCACAACACCTGCACCTGCAGAACGGACGTAGTGTAACTCTGCGTAAACGTCGCCGAAACCGGGGTATGAAACAGGTCGAGTGGGGCGGATGAAAGCAATGATACTGCCGTTGGGGTCTTGCAGCTGGTGGCGATAGCAGGGGTATAGATTAGAAGTCGACGCCACATCCGAAGGCCAGTCTTCTCAGTTCCCACAGCGGAAGTCAGAAAACTCACCACAGTGTCCGAATTATTTGTACTAGGCCTCCAACGATACAAGAACCCGTCCGGGCCGTTGAAAACTCTGCAGTCCTGAGAACGGAAGAAGAATGTGGGGGAGTGGGGGAGCAGGCGTGGGTGATGCTTAAGTCAAAAGGAGATGGTGTCGAATGCGGTAGAAACATACAGGGATGCGTGGCTCTCTACGGACAAGGTCACCCATAGGTAGGGTATTCTGTGGACAAAGCACTCGGGTCAGAACAGCTGATAATAGAGTTTCAACGAGAATAAAGCAAGACCTTTCCGATGACGGCGCGTCCTAGACCTCCGTTGGGCGCCCATTCGAGTTTGGCAACACGGTCCTCTTTGTTCGCACGAATTGCTCGCCACACGGTGGTGACGCTGACGCCCTGTCCATTTGTTTCCGTCTACGAACACGAGAGTTTATACGCTGGGGGAAACGACGTAGATTTGGGTAAAGGAGGACATACATGGAAGCGGTATACCACACCCCAGGAGCTGAAGAGTTGGCTCTGACGGGGGTCCTGAGCAGTCCAGGACAAAACGTCGTTGGCACCAGCAGACATGACGGCGGACGGAAGTGGCAGGTAAGAGTCGAGGGAGGTGAGGCCGATGGGGGCTTGGGCTGCTTAGTCCAAGACAACGAGCCCGCATTTATACCGCGACCGGGATGGCATTCTGGTTTTCACCTGATGGTGAATGTTCGATCGGGAACGTGAACGTGGGGTGACAGATAAAGGAGGACGCAACGCTGCGTGTCGGCACGAGAAGGTGGCCCTTGACGAAGTTTTCGTGGAGGCCTTGTTCAACGGAGGAGGGATCCGGATGGCATCTCCAGGTCGAGGTCAGCTCGATCGGACAACGACACGAGGGAGAACTAAGCGCTCAAAATCTCCTCCAGGTGTGAAGGATGGAGTCAAAGAAGGAAAACAAAACATAAAAGGCCGGAGAAGTCGATGGGCGCGAGCTCCCACCAGATCCCGCAACACGCAAAAGTACAAGCACGGATATATCCGCAAGCAGGTCAATCGAGAAATAAGGGGAGGCGAGAGGTGCCCATCGACAATGCCCCACGCGGTGTGGAAGCGCCTGAATTTGGAATTTCAGGAGCGACATTTTGGAGGTGGCCCCTCGATGCCCCCGGTTTGCGTCTCACCTGGACAGTGCGTGTAAACGGCGTGGCGGGAAGCACATTCCACAACGCAGCGGGTAGCGATAAGGGAAGGTGCTGTTTGCTCGCCCACGGGTAGGTTGGACCCGGCTCTGAAGCCCGGTGCTGCGTTGACAAATACATGCCACAGGCTGTCCGCTGTCAGCAGAGGGTAGAGGACGGGAGCAAAAAAAGGCAGCACCCTCACGGAAAAATGGTTAGCAAAGAGGAGACAGAGCTCGACATCAGTACTCGCATCTGCCTCGAGGTCACGAAAAAGCTTAATTTTGAAACCCACCAAATCGATCATCTTGATCTAAGGAAATTGAGCGATCTCTGCCATTCTTCGGCCAACATTTCAAAGAACGGGCTCGAGGATATGTTGTGCAATGACGGACGAGTCCAATGAGACGATACGACGGCCGACTCGACGGCCGACCCTTGCAATCCTGCTGGCGATCATCCACGAGCCTTGGAGCCTGGCAATACCGCACACACCTGAAATTACTGTGAACCATATGTACAGACTAGCCTAAAGACAGAAAGAGTCAAGGTGCCCCACGAAAGTGCGTCCTCGAAGGGAAAGATGCTGCGTGACCGAAAGAACAAAGATATGTGAGCCTGTAATCGATTTGCGAAGAGCGGGATCAAATGACGCACAATAGAAGGGAGTGCGAACAAATTATGGGACGACCTGTAGACCCAGAGTACGGGCTGAACCAACGACAGTGCTCGCGATAGCCTCCAGCGGGAGGTGCTGGAGATGTTGGTCGGTAGCCTTTATTTTTGCGATCTCATACACATGCTTGAGACTGACTGTGCCGACTATGTCGTGACCGGGACGGCTAGTGCCCTTCTCAACTCCGGCAGCTTGTTTAAGGAAGTAGGAGACGGGCGGAGTTTTTGTGACGAAAGAGAAGGTTCGGTCGGGCTGTATGGTAATGAGGGTGGGGGTCGGGATACCAGGTTGAAGGTGGGCCGTTCGTGCGTTGAACTCTTTGCAGAAGTCCATCGACTTTACACCACGAGCACCAAGAGCAGGACCCACAGGAGGCGTTGGGGCAGCCTTTCCCGCAGCGATGAGAATGCGCTGACAGCCAATATTGGGATTAGAGAGCGGCCGGCTGGAAGTATGGGACGGGACGCACCACGACCTGCGCCTTTACGTTCGCCGCACCCTTCGACATCGTCGTTGCTGTTGACCTCCACAAGCGCTCGCTAATTCTTACGTCCGACGCGACGCTCGTCACGTGCGCGCCGACGCGTCCTCGCGCGGCGAGCTCAGGCTGCCTGCTCGTTGCTGGCTCCTGTTCGTAACCACCATGAAGTCCATACTCGCCTTTGTTTCTCTTGCCTGTGCTGTCGCCGCGATTCCAGCTCAGTCTCCGTTGCTTGTGAATGAGCCTATAGATGCTGATTTCCATGTCGACGGCTTTGACATCGACCTCAGCAGCCGCAGGCTCGTCCAAATGGAGGGCCAGCCTCCTGTTTGGATGACGGAGTTGGATAAGGCGAGCATTATGTCTGGTCATGTACCCTCACAACTGACTGAACGGCCCCTCGTTCCGTATTCAGATTGAAACCAAGGCACAGGGGCTCAAGTTCTTTGATATGTCAGTGACAACTCATGTGCCCTTCGTTCTCCATTCTCAACTATTTATGCATAACTGCGTTGTAGCACCGATGCCCCCGACTTAGGCTCTTCTGCTCGTCTCCGGGTGCAACAGAGTGCGCATGCCGTTGTCTTTGAACGTTGTTCCTACTTAATAACACGTCTTATTAGGCTTCCCTACCCCGAACGCCACCGAACAGGTCAAGGGCGTCTTGAAGACTCTTTCGACCGACGGGCCTATCGAGAACCTTGAGAAGTTCTCCAGTTTCCGTACCAGATGTATATCACTTCCTTCTTTGCGGCAATCAATACATGCTGATGCGCTCCGTAGATTATCGCAGTGACGTACGACCATCTGATCTTTCTCGTCCAGATGTATAAGTTACTGAAGTGGGGTTTAAAGACGGGTCGACAAAGCCAACAATGGCTAGCTTCGAAGATATCGAAGGCACGTCCTTCATCTCAGAAACGTTCTCTATGTTGCTAAACGAGAGTTTAGATAACCGAAGCTAGTGCTCCCGAGAGCCTTCAGAATCTCATTACCCAGACTGAGTTCTCTCATTCTTGGGGCCAGAACTCCATCGTCAGTCAGCTCAGTGTTGTCCTGGTTTACCTAATACTCATCTTGTCGTCTCAGATTGTCCGTATCAATGGCTCTGCTCCGGTCGATGAGGGTATCGTCATCATCTCTGGTAGGTTTTTTTCAATGAATATTAATATTCGTTGGGTTGATAAATGGTCTATCTCCTTCAGCTCACCAGGACAGGTACGCTCTCTTCGATCGGGTACATTTCACAGGTCACTTACGGTATCGCAGCACCAATATGTGGCCCTTCTTGCCTGCCCCGGGTAAGCAGGTGCTCTCCATTTTCAACTCTGATTCCGATTACTGACTTTTCTTCCTGCATTAGGTGCAGATGATGATGGTGATTCATCTTGTTCTTTTCATCCTACATCCATTCTTCATCCAGATATGTTTTAGGCTCTGGAACAGTCACGATTCTCGAGGCCTATCGGGCTTTGATCACTTCGGACTTCCGTCCCGTGCAACACGTTGAGTTCCACTGGTATTCAGCCGAGGTATTGATTCCCACCTTCACTTTCTCCCTCTAACCCAGCTCCCGATCTGAAGCGCTGAGAACGATTTCATTTAAACAGGAAGGTGGACTTCTTGGATCCCAAGCTGTCGCCAAAGACTACGAAGCGCGGTCCGCTAATGTGATCGCTCAGAGTCAGGTGCGAAGCCTTACTGCTATCACCCAAGGACAAGGCTCCTCCTTCTGATAGACATATATTTGTCCAGTTCGACATGACGGCGTGGGTCAAGCGCGGTACCAAAGAGGAAGTGGGGATCATCACTGACTATGTTGATTCGGGGTCAGCGGAGTTCAAATTCGATCCAGTAGAACATAGACTGAGCGATGATCTTCTCTCTCTAGCTTGACCGATTTCAACAAGAAGTTGGTTGATTCGTACCTGGAGATCCCTTACGTCGAGGTGCGCTTCGCCTATAACATATGTTTTTAATTTTGTTCTGACGCCACCCCGTCCTACAGACCAAATGTCAGTTCTATATTTTTCTCACGCCAGTATTTCCACTAATCGTTCATTACTTGGTCCAGGTGGATATGCTTGCAGTGACCAGTATGTGCATGTTATCAAGGCGTATAATCATAGCTTGATAATGCTTTTTGTCTAGTGCCTCATGGGGTAAGGCAGGATACCCCAGCTCCTTCACCATCGGTTCGTGATCGTCCACCGTTTGCTTTGTCACTGTGATTTACCTTATTCTATAGAGAGCACCTTTGAGAACTCGAACAAGAACATCCACTCGGCTAACGAGTAAGTTCCTTGATGTACCATCTCCTCTTGTAGGTGCTCATCGTAGCATTGTAGCCGCATCGACGTTTCCGACGAATTCAGCTTCACTCACATGCTTGAGTTCTCTAAGCTCGCTGTCGCCTTCGCCATCGAGCTCGGCGGTTGGACCAAGAGCGACTAAGGTAATTGCTCCGTCGCTTTCGTTTGCTTTCAACGTGCTTCATACGGACCGAAACGTTCTGCGTCATGCTTTGTAGAATATACATGGATGGATCTCATGATAATGACCCGTGATCGGGCTTTGGAACGTCCTGGTGTGAGACCCGTGTCTTCCCGGTCAGCAAGGCCTGCATGCATGAGATCCGACTTTAAAATAATTGTGTCTGTTGCGGTGAATCGGAAGACAGGTCTTGTGCGTTAAGCACTGTATCCAGAGTCCATTTCCTACAGCGTCCTCGCAGCATCCATCGGCTTCTCGCTCCATCGTCCGAGCACCCGAGTATCATGAAAGCGCCTCGCAGAGTCCGTTTTGCATGATCGCGGCGCTATCGGTGTAGCCTTTGCAAATGCTCTATCGTGGGTTGCACGGAGAAATCGAGAGTGTTACTTCCAGCCGCTCGTCGACGCTTCTGAAGACAGCCCGTCCGTGTAAGGTGCTTCAGTTCCTTTCGCCACAGGGAATACACCGTTAGCTAGCGACAAACAGACTCACGCTCTGAGAGAGATCTAATCTCGTGGCGGTGACAGAACAACTATCACTCTCAGGCCCGGTCACCCTCTCGGATCATCTACGGCTTGTGCCAATTTCTTAGACATAAGACACGCCTGAACGGCGTGTTGCATGCAGGTACGCCATGACCAAATAAAGGCGGCATTGTCTTTTCTCGATACAGTCCTAGCAGAACAAGCCCTCTCCATATCGCCTGTGAGCGATAACAAAAGGCTTGCGGCCCTTTTCAGGCTTGTTTTTAATTCACACTTGGGCGAGGAGGGCTCGAGGTGGGGAGGGGATGTTGGCCCCACAAACTGAGGGTAAGTAGCCTTGTCAATCAGTCGACTGGGTCGATGTGCGACATGCCTCTTCTGCCTGCCTGGATGGAACCTATTGCACATGTCGTATCCACTATTCTTCTGTTGAGATGATCTAGATGGAAGGTAGTTCGGAGGTCGGAGTTTGCGAGATGCTCGTTTGTGAGAGGCATGGTTGGTTTGAGGGCTGCGGCGATTGAGCGGCAAGGAAACTCATGGCGGCGTGCTTCGTGTGAGCTCTCTGAAGCTCGTTTAGACGCACGATTGGTGACGTATGGTCGGATTAACCACAGTTGAAACGCTCATTTATGGAGTTTCAGGGTGTGTATACCCAGCCATAACGATGTGCTGGATATCCCATAGCGGGGAAGAGAAAGGTAGATAAGATCTACGCTGCTGCGAGGGACTATTACAAGCATGTGTATTCTTGCCAGCGCTCTCGTTAGGCGAAGAGGGCACGGTGGCCAGGCGGATAGTAATTGAGCGAGTTGAAGCCTCCAAGACCATTCTTCGGAGCATTCATAGTGCGGTTTGGGCACAGCAGAACGGCGGATAGCAATGAGGTACTTCTATAATCGCGACGGACAACGGTCACGGGTTGAGAATGGTCTCTACGCAGGTGTGGAGGCTCTCACAACGAGATGATCTAGGGCGGTCGTCCTCGCTCGAATCTCAAGGCCTGATCGATGATCTCCGACGGCAAAGTTGTGGATATGCGATAGGCAGCGAAAGTCCTTCGAGCAGACGTAAAGAGACAGCTGTATGTCATGCACACTCGGGCAAGAAAGTGGTGCAAAGGGAGCAATTGTCCCTGGCACGTCGGAATCTTCACTTGCAAAGAACAATCCATGGTTCTTCCACTTTCGCAGTATGAAAAGCGAGAGAGTGCACGACAGGTGCGGGCGGGGCGTATAAGTACTTGCCGGGCATCATGGTCAATGCATAGGAGAAGATCAGGTGAAGATAATCAACATCGATTGCGGGGAGCACGAACGGCGTGCTTTTAACGCTGAAAAGAACGGACAATAGGAAGACAGTTGACGTACATTGGACGCACACGCGCCGAGTGTGCGGACGGTTTCTACAAATGCGCCGTTCTATTTGAAAGGAAGTGACAGCCATGCAGGACTATATTCGGTCATTGAAACTCCGGCCGCCAGTGGCAGGAGAATATGCGAAGGCATGCTCGTATGATGGCGCTATACTTATCATATTGCTAGACGGCCAATTGAGTCGATTCTCTTGACTTGAGAGACATAGACAAGCGAGGGAAGCCTACCGAAGGCTCAAAGATGTATTGGAGATGGTAGCCTGCAGGCCCTGTGGCGACGCAGAAACAGAACAGGTCATGTCATGCAGTGCCTTTGTCTTCCTGTTGGAAGCTTGTTCAGGTCTTTTAGAGATAAACCCGTTTTGAATATACCTAGTGTGATATTAAACAGGTAGATATCGCTCCTCGTAGCAACAGATGAACGAGAGACAGCCATCCCATAAGTAAATGAAAGTTTGATGAAAGTTGAACCACAGAACTCTGTGGCGCCGCACGGGCTTTACCCACCTTCTCGGGCCCGATCCCGATCCGACTAACAGAGGTAAACAGTGCCCTGCGTCATTGAATATTGACGAACGACTAACCACAACAACTCTTCCACCGTCCGCTACTACTACAGATTTCCTTGTCCTATAGAGCAAACGGTCTTGACTACGGCATTCAATTCGGAATTCCAGTGGTCGTGGCTGTGACTGAACGGAGCTAGACGGAAGCACTGAGGCCACTTAGAGCCATTCAATACCTTGAATGGGTTGACGAACTTGACCACCTCAATCACCATTCTTTTTTGGCCCCGTACAAGTAAGTGTTCCATAACAGTGCAATAGCTGAAATGCGCTCACTTTCAGCGATAGATGTCTCGCTTGCAAAATCGTCGGAAGGAGGACATTGACTATGCACACCAGTTGCAAACGAGAGCAGGCCTCATGGTGCGTTTAGTACCCCTGTCTTTTAAAAAAAAACAATTAGAGGCCTCAACCTGTGACCCGTTTACGAAGGGTGCAGCTCGGTACTTCGCACTGGGCGTCGGTGTGATAACCGCATCGCACTATTACTTCCCCACATTTCGGTGCGTTCATATCGTCTAGGGTGTATTATATCAGTCGATGAACCCTCCAATTCCACCAACGAACCAGGCGCCAGACACTCGCCATCAAGGGATTCGCGGTAACTCTATGTTCGTACTCTCCTATTTTGTCGGCCGAATACCCTCTCAGACCTCACCTATTTCATCCTTGCAGTCACCGTCTTTGGTCTCGTCACATACGCAGACGATGCCCTTCTTGCATTCGAGAGACGTCAGAGAGTCACCGAGGGCGAAATACGGCGAGCCGCAGCTCTAGATCTTGCACGTAAGGGCATGGTGGCCACCGAGACAGAGATCGAGAAATGGAGGACAAGGAAGGAACAGGAGGCATTGGTGGCGGCAGCTTCTACGAAGGAACCCAGTACGCCACCATGAGCCAATCGGCCATCTTTTTTAGACGCTACGTAATCATACACGGTCTGTTTTCGTGCTCATCGCGCTTTCCTCGCCAACACGCTTGTTCTGTATATATGACTACGTGCTATGTGGAAAGAATAAATATATTAATGCTGGGCAAGGGATCACATTGAGAATGTCCATGTTTGTATGCAATGAGTCGAGAACAAGAAGACGGAGATAACGAAACAACAGTTGAGTCAAGTAATGCACAATGTCAACGACGGCGTATGAGTACGGTGGGCGAACATATTTGGGAGAGACGACGAAACGAGACGAATGAATGCAGGTCAATAAATGAATTTGAGAATACAAACACATGCTTTTCTAATCGTCATTTCAATGCTGGTAATACGCCTGAGGCTGCGTCACCCACGGGCTCTGAGGTTGGGGCGGTGGAGGTGGCGGTACTCCGTTGAGCATGGGTGGACGAGGCGGAGGTCCCGGGTTGAACGAGTAGCCACTATGAGAGGGAGTGATAGATGACTGGGTAGGGACCTGAGGTAGCGATTGTGAATGGGAAACTGGAAGCGCTGGGGGCATCGGCGGTGGCGGGATGGGTTGGTAGATGGGCTGCTGGATTTGTGAACCGGCGGGAGGTTGGGGCAAAGGTAGGCTTGACCTGTGCGACACAACACGTTGGTGCGTATGACCCGAATTCTGCGTAGGTATAGGCGGCGGAGGCGGCACCTTCAATGGACCGGATGGACTAGGTGTAGGCGCGTTATTCGTTAATTGTTGTTGATGGTAGCCCTGAGACGGAATTGACGACGATGACGAATTGTGCGGGAGCGGCGGAGGTGGTGGAACATTGTTGTACACGTGCGGAGGAGGCAGCGTGGAGCCACCTTGTTGTGGTGGACTATAGGAGCCTGGCTGTAGAGGTCCCGGTGGGCCTGGAGGAGTTGGGAGAGGATCACGCGGTGTATTCGACTGGCTTTGCTGGGTGAGCTGGCCATAGTTCGGTTGCTGTGAGGGAGGACCCGGTGGTGGAGGAACATAATGCGAGCCAGGTGGTTGCGTATAGCCATAGTTTTGGGGCGCAACTGGTGGTGGTGGTGCTGGAAGACCGTTGTGTGCATATCCTTGGGGCTGGGGTAGAGGTCTTGAGCTGGTACTCGTGCTCATCGACGAACTACTTGGTGGAATATTTGACATCGGAGGGTTCGTGGGTTGCGGCTCCTGTGATTGGTACCCATCAGGAGGGTAGCCTTGGTATGACTGAGGCGGAGCGGACTGCGGCGGCGGTGGTAATGGGGAAGTTGATGGAGGTGGAGGATAATGGCCCGGAGGCGCTGACGACGGTGGAGGGGGTGCATAGCCGTTGTATTGTCCATACGCAGCAGTGGGAGGCGCAGTCATGTACGATGATGGAACAGGGGTATGTGATGGCATCGGCGCGTAGTTGGCTGGCGTTGGCGTTGGCGGTGGGTATGGTGCTTGATACCCGGATGGAGGGATTGGGGTGTGCGCAGGAGGCGGCGCGAGTCCAGATGGTTCAGATGCAAAAGATGGGAATGGTAGAGAAGAAAAGCTCGAGGAGGAAGATGCAGAAGGCATAGACACGAATCCAGAAGAGGACGCCGGTATGCTGTAGCGACTGTGTCGTACGGGAGACTGATACGAATAGCTTGGTGCCAACGCTTGATTAGACTCATACGGTGGTTGGTAATTCGAAGGCGCAGGGTACGACCGGGAGGAAGAGACAGAATCCGAGTGGTATCGATGCGGCGCAGGAGGTTGCGGCGTCAGAGGACGATCATCCGTATAGGGCGGTCCTGTATCTGTCCACGAACTATGCTCAGACGCCGGATAGGCATGGGAGGATGAGACAGAAGATGTCATGTAAGACCCAGAAGACGACGTGGACCGTCCGTATGCGTGATGAATGGGCTGAAGAAGTTTCGTGAGTAGATATTTAGTAGTGACAAGCGGAATGCAATGCATACCGGAAAGCTTTCTCTACGATGACCTGGTGGATGGATGCCTAATTCTCCGAAGTCGTTGGCTATGCCCTCGACAGATGATTCACGCTGTTGTGACCGTGCTCGGATTGTGCTTTCGTAAGGAGGCACATAAAGATCAATCTTCGAGCTAAGACCAGATGGCCGGAGAGAAGCTGGTACGGAGTCCCGAGAGGCTATAGACAACTGGCTGTCCGACACGGACATAGGTCGACCGTCGGCGTCATAGGGCGAATCTGCTAATGGTACGAAGGATCCAGGTCCGCCGTATTGTTTACTGAGTTTATGCTGTTTCGTGGCAGCCTTCTTCTCTGGAGGACGTTCCTGCGAAGACGGTCAGCCGAAGTAGTTCGCTAATGCTGCCAACAGGACTGACATTGGACCAAAACGTCAACTCCAAATAGACCTCGCCACAGTACTTGTCTTTATGAAGGAGAGTAAACCATTCTATATGGCGATTAGGTTAGATATGCAAAAGTAATACATATATATGAGAGCGCACCATCTGTCTCGCCCTTCGTCAAAACCTCAGTCAAGTCCACCAGCGCCTCGCCTATAAGCTCTGGTTCCCTGGGATCATCTGCGTAGCATGCTAGTGCCAGATTTTTCCCTCCTTTGATCTTCTTTGGTCCCTTTCCATTCTTAGGTGGCGGGGCTGGTGGTTCTAAGCCAACAGCGATGGCGGCACGGGCTACTTCATCTTCATCATCCTCATAGATGTTGAAGCGGATCTCCTCGTCCCATTCTGGATGTTGTCCACCACGCTTGATGGCCTTCGTTCTGCGAGTCTCCCCATTGTGAACGACAGTGCAATAAGGGGCCTGTTTGCCGATGTGTCTTTTATTGGGAAGGTTTCTCTAAGCAGCGTTCGCCTAATGAGTACATCCTGTTCGAGGGGTGGGGGAGGATGAGGCCGCGTGCTTACAGCTTTGAGGATGACTGCAATGAGAGTACCAATTTCGCGAGATTCTGTAGTCATAGATCCGAGAAGAAATTATGGACGTGGCAGTAGCTGAGAGAACGGGTATATATACGAATGAAAGGCGTCCCAGACAAGACACTGCCCGCCGCGATGCCAAGACGCGCACCTTGAACAGCTCGTTTCGGGAACCATAACCCCTCCGTGGCACCTCTTTGCTAATAGGCGCCACACGCTCCCTTGCCGTTTATACCGCATCAACATTTCCATGCCGGGTAGTGTAGTCCGATCTCATATTTTTCCCCACATGAATCAACGAAATGTACAGGTATGACTGCGGCTACTGTCCTGGCACATAGCTCTCATTGCTCGTAAAGATCAAGTACGGCTTCCTCTCCGCCAGATCAAGCATCATCTCAGCGAAGTACGAATTCGCTACAAGACAAGGATTTCTCAGCATCTGCAGCTGAATCAGGAGCAAAGCAGAGGTGGCAACGTACCCCATGCGAACCACTGCCGAGTATAATCCGACCCGTTGTAGATGTTGATAGATTCGTGGATAAGACCCAATCCGTTCGTATTCTGTGGTACCACAGAGACAGGGATGGTCAGATGTGGTTTCATGGATGATGATCATGGGTAAGCTCACATTGGCAATCAGGTATAAGCTGTTTGTGATCTCATCGTCATCATCCGTACCAAAAATAGCAGATATTTGGGACATAGGCCAGGGGGAATAGGCATTGACGTGTGGGCCACTATACGAAGTATCGCGCTAATTAGACGGGCAATATAAGGTAATAGGAAAAGTTAGCTGGTACTCACCCAATTCCACTGAAGTTACTGCCGGCAGCGTAGTACGGGTTTTGGCGGGACAAGAGCACCTTTCGGGTGGCGACGTAAGCTGAATCATCCTTCTCGAGGAAGCCGATGTAGGGGAGAGCGAGCAACGACTGAACAAAGTATACATATCAGCCATGCACAAAGTTAGGATGTGATGCAAGGTCGTGATATCCTTACTGGAACGTTCGCATCATCCATCACATAACGACCTCCAAATCCGTTCGTCTCGTAGGCAAAGATATTGTTGACGACCTAGATATGCAGAACCGTCAGCCTGGAAATCATAGCAGTAAACGTGACCCAGAACGCGTACCGTTGTATTCCAGATAGCATTACTGATCACAGAACTATAGTTCCTCGCCAGCGAGCTGATATTCGCCAACTGTCCCGTCGAGTCCAACATATCGGCAAGATAACCCAATTCCACGCTCAGCATCGCATTTGCAGGAGTCAGGAATGCTACGCCACACGCATGGATGCATCAGCTTGAGTTACGAGAATGAACATCTAACAAATATGCAGTACATACCGAAAGTACTGAGGTCGTCAGAAGGCCTGTGATGTGTTCCCACCAGACCAGTGTACGCTTTAGGCTCTCCGTTGCCTTCGTTGTTCACGGGAGGGGAGAGTGAACCCGATGTGCCCGTCCAGTTGTAGTACGATATAAAGTTGAAGTCATCGTCGAAGGTACCCTGGGACTGCTCTTCGATGACTTGGAATATTTGGTCGACGGCGGCTATCCCTGTTAGGTTGCCTGGATGTTAGGCATACGGTATGCAGTTATTGGCTGGAATACGAACAATTGTCATTGATGATGCTTGAGTCGTTCGTGTTCTGGAAGTACGACCGAGAAAGCTTGATGAAACCACAAAGTGAGTCAAGCTCGTACTGAAGACAACGGCGCAAATGTCAGTGGTGGTCGGTGATGCTCAAGGAGGCTTGAAATTTACTTTGCACTCGAACACAGTCTGATTGTCGACAGGCCTTTGACGGATCTCCCGGTCAACAATAAAACATGCCACCAGCAAGAGAGTACTCACGGATTAACGGTGACGAGATCGGCGTAGTCGTTGTGGCTTGGCTCCAGTCCACTTTCGGGAGGAGGCTGGAACGCACCACAGTAGGGATACGCAGAGACATAACGAGCTTCATTGTTAATGACGCCCTTGATGAGTGATTGAAGATTAGAGTCTTGCGAAACGAGGCTCATATACACTGCGAGCTACTCCGTTGTCAGAACTCCAGTTGCTCAAAGAAGGTGTATCAAGGTTTGCACACCTGATTGGCAGTGTCACGAAGCCATTGAGCGCTAAAACCCATGAATTAGTGTCTGAGAAGTTGATTCACTGGAGAGAGCACACGAACGTGATGTCCTGATCCGGGAGAAGAGTTAGCGTTTGCGGAGTAGTTCAGACGACCAAGAGACTTACACCGGTAACGATGAAGGCTAAGTTCTCTGTCTAAGAAAGATCGATTGTCAGACTGAAGCGGATCCATTACGAAGAATCATAGCCATACGTCGTTGAAGTATTTTACGGTAGTATCTGAAAGGTTCCACATAGACTCGTCATCAGCTCCTCCAATTCCAGTAGATGAAGGCAGTATCTGAGTTACCGAGAGTAAGCGGATACGCGTTCTCAAACAATCTCGCAATATCCGGATCCTTCAAACGAGACCTCATATCTGAGATGACTTGCTATAGAAAACGTATCCTATCAGAACACAGTGCGCACCATGCAGAACCCGTCGCGAAATGACCCCACTCACCTCGACAGCAGAACTGTTGAACGTACGACACGTCTCATTCAATCTCATGTAGGGCAAAGCCAAGGGACCCGAAGACGGGTTCCCTTGAGCAGTCTATCGCCACACGCCCATAATTAAGATCAATACACGACAAACAAGCTGATGAAACGAGAGACTGACCAAAGAATAGTCTGAATAGTCAGGACAATCCGCTCGAACCACCGCAACGCTCACAGTCCCTATGACCCCAACCAACAACCCAACCTTCTTCAACGCACTCCCGATCTTCGTCATGGCGTCAAAGTAACACAAGCAGGCAGCTACAACGGGGAGAACAATGATATGAACAACCACTACTAGCCCGGGACGTGTCGAACCGCGGCAGGAGTGAGTCGCAGAAGTCGAAGAACCCTGGTCCTTCTCAGGAGAGGGTCGAGCGGTGCGCCCTTTTATCATCTCTAAATACTTCCGATATTCGAAGGAAATCATTTACGAACCAGATTAATCCAATTTCAGTTCAGTTCGCATCAAGAGGGGAGGGCAATGGGCCTGCTGATACGCGCACATGTGCGATATCGTTTCCGGACCGAGTAAGATACGTACACCAACGAGGATTTTCATCTGGTCACACTGCAAATGACCTCAAGAATTGAGCACAAAAATAGCCATGGTAAAGGTTTCCGAAGAGGTGCGTATAGGCAAATGTGCAGTTGCACGAAGATTCGATGTGGATAGGCCAGTGGAACTTGGACGAGAAGAGCAAAAAACGCGTAAAACGGCGGGGCGTTGAAGCCCTCGTGACCGCGTCCTCCAACGACGTCATCGGTCCTTATTTCCCGAACCCTGCACGGACTGTAACTGTGATAATTGAGGACGGGGAGGAGAATGTTCGGTTTGGAATTAGGGCATATATCGAGGGCAAACTTTCACGGACTGTGAGTATACAGATATGTACTATGAATGACACCGGTCATCAGTAAACTACACAGAAGGGTATCCGCGGATAAACAAGCAAGAGAGGGGGGCATAAGGAATGTTTCATAACCAGGGGAGACAAGAACGAGCGTCATTAGGACACGAGCAAAACGGTCCAAGAAGATAACCAGGAGAAAATATAAAACGAAAGTGTACATCCATAGGAAGCTACTGTAGAGGACGACACGACGTTGTGTTAGCCACGCGAGAACGATCACCAAAAAAACACACCAGTACACACCAAGGCCAAAAGCAATCAGCCTAGTACATCGGCGTCGATGGCGCAGAATGCCAAACATCCGTCAAACCATCCGTCCCAGCAGCACTGTGCGCTTCGTGTTCATCTCCGTGAGCAATAGCAGCAGGCATCTCGATACGTGTCGGGGTTGCATCCTTCTTCTCCTGCTTGGCAAGAGCGGACAAGGGGGCGGGAGCATCCGTAGACTCGGGGGGCACATCCGCCTTATCCTCGGTGGTTGCGTTCGGTGGATGTCCAGAGGACGAGATAGGGGACGGTTCTCCTTCATGCGTGCCGTCCTCCGACTTAGCCTCATCAGAGTTTGAACTCGACCCATCGCTCTCCACTGCACCACCCTCGTCCTTCGATTGCGGATCCGTGCTCACATCACCAGCGTCCATCTGGTCACTCAACCAACCACCTGTCCTCACACTGGTCCCAGTCCACAAACTCCTATCCCTCCACGCAGACGGTGTCCCAGGACGCAGACCCATCAAGCTCGAAGCAGCACCACCAGTGCCCCCCGGAACACGGGCACTCCAGCCACTGGCCTCGCTCTCCCAACTACCGCGCCTCGAGCTCCTGGGCCTCAATGCTCTCACACTAGCATCGACTTCCCTCTCGGCTCCCCCGTCCAGATCCATATCCCCGTCTCCAAGGTGCCCAGCATCTGTATCCCGATCCCCATCATTGTCCAGAGCGAAATGAAGCGACCTATCCTCCCCGAGGATGCGAGAGCCTGCAAAATGCGACTGATGGGATACCGACATGGAGTCTGCGCCACCGTTGAGCATTGCCGTGCGCGCGCCCGGGATACCGAATGCGGACGATGCGAGGGTGAACAGCGAGGCGTCATCGTTGGGTGGCGAAGATGGACGGGGGTTGTTACGAGGATGATGAGTGGTATGCTGAGGATAATGTGACGCTTGAGTGCCTGTCGTCACATGCAGGTGATTAGGAGTGGTGGGACTAGGAGAGGTGACGTTGGGTGAATTCTGCACGGAAGAAGGGCGCGAGGAGGCGGGCGACGATGCGAGAGCTGAAAAGGTTATGGAAGCAGGACCAGAGCTAGCTGCAGCACCTGAGCCGGAGCGCATGTGCGTAGGTACTCTTTGAGGAGCAGTGATAGGCGTCGGCGGAGCCTGAGCGATATGAGCCATGCCGTTCGGAGTCAAGTCGATACTAAGGACAGTGGTGGGCTTCGTGCTCGCGGCCATGCTCCTGAATGTCCTCGGGTCTGAGAGATACGACGAGGACGAGCGCGAAGGGGACGGTGAAGGAGGGGTGCTAGGTGGCAAAGGACGAACGGAAGCATCTTCATCGGCCTCAAGGTGGCTCGCGGGCGACCACAACGAGTCTCTGGCAAGAGAGGACCTGTATGTCGAGGCCGCACCTTCCTGAATAGCCTCGTGTCCATCGTCCGACGCGGTGCGTTCGTCTCCGTTTAGCGAGATAGGCGGAGGCGCAAGAGACGACCGGTTATCCTCTTGAACACTCCTTCGCACCTCTTTGTCTGCGCTCTTTCGGCCCCTCGAAGGAGTAGACTTGACCCTCGTCAACTCCTTGAACCCGTCCGGCAAGGGAGGCCTCTTCTTATCTCTGGTGGATGTGGCACCGCTTGCATTAGTAGCATTGGAGGCTCGTGCACGAGCAGCGCTTTCAGAGGCACGTCGAGCACGAACGGTCCCTCCGAGCTTCCGCTGGAACCAGTCGATGATGGGTTTGCTTGACCTGCGGCCGAGTTTCTTGTAGTCCTGAGCATGGGCAGACGGGCCAAGAGTCGACTGAAGTGGATCAGACGGCATGGAGGAGTCTAAGTCTTTGTTGGCGTTATCTTTCTTGGACTGTGTCGCAGGTGCGGACGAAGAGTGAGAGTCTGAGGGCCGGGAGACGGTTCGTGCAGATGGCTGTGGTGTCTTCTCCTTCGAGGAACGAGTTTGAGTAGACGGGCGCTTCGCGGTGCTTGTGTCGGCAGAATCAGGCTGTGAGGGTGGGAGTGTCATGACTGGTTCGTGAGCAGTGAGAAGAGACAATTGAGGTTGGGCAGTGGCGAGGCAGATGATGGTTGCTGAGCGCAGTGCAAGAGTGCGACCCTCAACCACGCGCTCAATGTTGGCCACAGCACTTGGCGTGGGCATTCTTTTCCAAATTTATCGTCTATCGCCACACAACCCTCATGTTCCACATATTTCGATTCTCAGATATAATCTAGGTGCTACATGGACTAGGCAGAGTGCTCAAACAAACACCCTTAAATCCTCTTCAGAACCGCGTCCACCACATCGTTCGTGCTGCTCTTTCCACCGAGGTCAGGCGTCAGCACCTGGCCCTCCCTGATCACCGCATTCACCGCAGTGTCAATTCTATCAGCACCCTTTTCGTACCCAAGATGACGCAACATCAGAGCAGCCGAACGAATGGAAGCCAGAGGGTTCGCGATTCCCTTGCCCTCAATGTCAGGCGCGGAGCCGTGGACACTGAAAAGATAGAGTCAGAAATGGGGGCAGAAAATACGTCGAGGGCGATATGTCAGAGAGGGCTCACGGTTCTCCCATGACGAAGTTGTCGCCAGCGTTTACCGAGGGCACTAAACCAAGTGAGCCGACGAGCGCAGCAGCGGCATCCCTAGTGATGTTGCTTCAGTTCAGATCTTCGTAACGGAAGCTAAATGTGGGGAACATACGACAAGATGTCTCCGTAAAGGTTAGGAGCGACCAGAACGTCGTAGATTCTGAAAAGTATGGAGTCCATCAGCTGCTGATTCGTGGCTTTAGTATTGACTCGAAGCATACTCTGGTTCCCGGAATAATCTGACACCCGGGGAAAGGTTTAGCTCGAAGTGAACATCTTCCATGAAGTAGAAGCAAGAAACACACCGGTATACCGCACTGTCGACGATCTGTTCCGCGACCTTCACACCGTCGTATTTTCCAGCGACTTCCGGAAGATTGGGAACTCCACGAACAGTCTCCCGGAAAAGACCGTCGGTAACAGAAAGGACGTTGGATTTGTGGATGATGGTGACCAACTGAAACCGAGATTTAGGGCCTTGCCACAAATATAGACACAGAGGGGGAGTAGACGGACTTTGCGGTCCCGTGCAAGAGCAGTCTCGAAGGCCATCTTTCCTATACGTCTTGATGCACGCTCTGTGATGAGCCGTGTGGCGCGAGCTTCCTTGCCATTCTCGCCAATGGTGAGATTTTCTTGCTTGACATACTGCGTCACGAAAGTCGATCAGGGATTCAACTTTCGCCGAATAAGATTCAAAGAGGGTAGACGTACCAAGCATTCTGTGTTTTCACGAACAACAACCATGTCCACGTTGGACTTTTCTTCTGGGTTAGCGGTGACCTGCGATGCGTCATAGTAAGCTCAATGATATCACACCATGGACGATGCGTGAGCGTACCGCAGCAACCGGACGAATGTTGGCATACAGGTCAAGGTGCTTCCTCAGCGCAACAATGGGAGAGCTGTATCCCACAACCTTGCGAGATGGCGAACTATCCAGATGATTATTCCTGACGCCACACAGCGTGGATGGAACGGCACAAACAAAACTTACCTGACTGCACCGAACAGAGCAGCATCACAATCGTTCTTCATGATTCTAAGTGGTTGGATATCCGGTTCATTGGGGTGGTTATTGCGAAAGGAGGAAAAGCGTACTCTATCGTCTCCTCTGGCAAAGCCTCTCCAGACCTCGTGAAGAGCTCGAATCCAGCCATAAGGTCATAGAACTCTAGCTTGGGAACATCGGAGCCAAGAGCCTCGATGGCCTTTCGGGCTGCCTATATGATATCGTTCCGACACTGCTCAGTACGTTTTCAACAAGATAGAATGTTTATTACGCACCGGAATGACCTCCTTCCCAATACCATCGGCCGGAATCAAGCCAATTCTAAGAGAGGACCGCGCAGCGGTAGCCATCGAACGGAGTGGTGCTCTGAATGCCATGATGACCAGTTGTCGACTGAACTACCTCTGTGAAGTCGAGAGGTCTATACCAAGTGAAAGTCGAGGATGAGAGCAATAACTAAATTCTAGTCAATTGCAAGCAAGTAAAGCCGAAGGAACCGGAAATCCGACCAAGCGCCGAAAATGCACGAGCTCGCGACGCGTTTTCCACGTGACTGTCGCGTCGTTTGTTGCTGTCCCACGGCACAGACGCGTCCCAATTTACGTCCGCGATCAGACGCGGTCGCTGTCTTCTCGCTACCACGCTCACCATAAAACACTACGACACTCACCATGGCTATTACTCCTAACTCTAGTTTTGCCTCGTCTCATGCTGTGCTCAATAACCGGACGAATACTACTCAAACCACTGTCTCGTCGTTCTTCTTCAGTCCGAGCACGTCAAATTCGAAGGATGGCAGCAAAGGCAAACGTCCTGCACCCGCTGTCGCGAAGGAGACCGCGAATAAACGCGCCAAGTTGGACGAGGAGATCGAAGAGGAAGAGGATACAGATGTTGAGACTAGTGATGAGGAGGAAGACGCTGACTTGATGGACGTTGACGCGAGCACCTCGAAGCAGAGCCGGAGGACACCCTGGAGAATGATGGGTGCGAGGGCGATGGGAAGACCGGGGTTATCATCACAAAGAGTGAACTGTGAGTGGCAATGCCTTAGTTGTTTGGCTATGTGACCAACGCCCTTTTAGTCTCTACGCGACCAATTCTACAGGCCTTCGTCTCCTCGCATAAGTCAGACGTGTATAAGTGTCAATCACAGGACGAAGACTCATATTTGACACCACCATATGCTTGTGCATATACACACGGTTCGTATGCATTGCTTATGCTTTTTGACTCCCGCAACCTGACTTTCGCGTATTCTAGCTGCCAAACGAGGAGGCAAAGCTGTCTTAGCTGTCGCGACGGAGCAAGGAACAGTACACATCCTTGATACCTCAAAACGCAATGACTGGGATTACGGTGATTCCTTTCCTTTTCCCAACTTCGATAGCCTCCTCATCGCGACACATCTACAGAACCCCAACGAGCGATTCTTCCTCTCCACGCCAACGGCATCTTCGACGTCCAATGGTCTCCTCGGGACACCCACATTGCCACAGCGTCAGGCGACCATACCACTGTCATTTTCGATCCCTCACACACCATCAATAATCCACTCCATACTCTTCGCGGCCACGCCAGCACAGTGAAGTGCGTCACCTGGGACCCTACGAATGAGGCCTTGCTGAGCACAGGCGGCAGGGACGGTGGTATTTGTGTTTGGGATTTGAGAGCGGGTGATGGCGGGGAGATGCATCCGGTCATGAAGATCGAAGCAGCACACGGAAAGGAGGCAACGCCCAAGGGGAAGAGAAAGTTCAAAGTCGCGGTGCCTGCTGCCAGGACAGTCACAAGCGTAGTGTACGGCGAGGAGCATCCGTACGGGCTTGTTAGCTCAGGCTCATTCGATGGGTGCGTATCATCCCCTGCACTGTCCTAGAATTTCACGCTGACTTCGACGTCAATTGCAGCATTTTGCGTTATTGGGATCTCCGCCAACCTACCCCATCCCGTCGCGCAAAGACCACCCGATCAATCAAAGAACCTCTCTTCGTCTCCCAAACCGACCCTACAGCACTCAACGAAACATCCCGCCGTCCTCGCGGCCTCGCTTCCCTCGTTCCTGGCTCAGGACCAACCGCAGGCCTCCTCTTCGGTCTCAGCACAGACTCGCAAATCTATACCTACCACCTGCCTACGCTATCCCCACTCTCGTCATCATCACCATCCCCACACAACAATACCACGTTCTCGGACGAGCGGATGCAGAGTAATTCGTTTTACGTGAGGCTGGGGCTTAGTCCCTGTGGAAGATGGTTGGCGAGTGGATGCGCAGGACAAAGAGGAAGCGCATTCTTGTGGGATGTGGAAAACACTGGAAGGATCGGTCGTGGGCCTGGTATTGCGCTTGGTGGCGGTGGGGATGATTCGAAAGCGGTAGAGTTGCGGGGCCAAAGTGGTGAGGTGGGAGCGGTGGATTGGGCAGATGGGTGTGTTGCGTCATGTGCGGACGATGGAACGGTGCGCGTCTGGAGGCCTGATATCGAGGCAAAGAGAATGTGTGAAGAGGATCCGGAGAGTGCGAAGTGGGATTGGGCGTGCGCAAATTGACAGAACTTTAGATGTAGCAAAGTGTTCTTTGCCTGTTTTGTGGAGCATTCATTCATCTTGTCTTTAACACGCATTATCCTTATGTAGCATAGTTATTCTTGATCATTGCCCATGTGACTTGGATGTTCAGCGAACCGCTGTCAATGTCAGCAAGGAATATGAGAAATGCCCCAGGAAGAACCAATGGAAATGATTATGGATTACAAAGATGTATATGTGGAGTCTGTGTCTGTGATGTGCAAAACTGGGAGATGCGACGGGTGGGGTATACATGCCTAGGCAGCATCCGAGTTATGTTACTTTTTCTGTATTGCGTTCACCAACCTGTGACCAACCGAAGCAAGTCAGATATGAGCATTCATATTCCCACTAATCACGAGGAGCATGACGAAGAACACGGAACGCACCAGTCCAGACCATCCTCCAGACCCTCTCCCTTCACAGCACAACTTCCTCTCACACTCCAAGCCCTGCCCTTCTCACCACCGGCTAGTCCCAGCTGTTCACTGATCTCTTCCGGCTTTAGTGCACCCTCGACGTCTTGTTTATTACAGAACACGAGGAGTGGTACGCCCGATAGTTCCTCCTCTGAAAGCATCGTGAGGAGCTCGGTTCGTGATGTTTGAAGGCGGTCGTGGTCGGATGAGTCGATGACATAAATGATTGCTGAGGTGTTAGGGAAGTAACAGCGCCAATATGGTCTGGATCACAGAGGGTTGTTTGAAGTTATGAGGCCCGAGGATCCAAGGGATGAAGAGTGTGTGTGCTTGGCATACCGAATGGATGACTGTCCACCAAGATCCCACACCTGAAACTTGATGTTCTTGTACTGTAGACGACGATGAAGCTAGGCATGAGGAAGGAAGAAGGAAGTCGACATACCTGTACTGTCTCGACATTGAAGCCGATCGCTGTAAGGCTGATTTAGCACGCTTCAGAGATGACAGGACGCAGGGGACGCACTTGGAATTGTTGAGACAACCTCGCCTATCTACTCGTGCAGCCCTTCTATGAGGTTCCATGACCGATATACGTCTATGCTGTGATACGTACCTGTAGACGGTACAGGATCGTTGTCTACCAAGAACAACGCATCAGCAACGCTGTTCACTCACTCGTCTGGCTCACGCGTCTGACAGCGAACAGAAGTACACACCTTTCCGGCTGAGTCCAGCCCGAGCATGAGTATACGGACGTCCTGGTCCTTGCTCCAGCTAAGCAAGGAAGAGAGCGAGGAGAATAATGAAGAGACTGAGAGGCCCATTTCGTGTGGAGAGTAGGTGGGGGTGACTTGGTTGGTGAAGGTGCTGAACAAGCTGGAACAAGTCGTTGCAGCTTATGGTCAGCATGCTTGGTCAGCGCCCTCTTGGCTCTTGGCCGGAATAATCCCGGCCAGGCACCAGTTCCCAAAACGGACGCGGCTTTGACCACCACCTTTAACGGAATCCTACGCTCGCTTTGCGAGACTCTCCCAGTCTTCAATGCATAGCGTTTTGAGTCGGAATTATGGTCACCTATAATATCTCTCACAAACCACTACAGTCCTTGGAGACAGTATGCTCCAGAAGCAGGCCTCGTGTTTCTCAATTCTTACCAAAACAGGCAATTTTCTGAATCAAGACAAGAGGTCGTACAGTGGCCTGTGGCGTGAGGTCTCACGGTACGTCCTTTTTTCATATTATGACATAAACCCGGTCCGACCAGCGCTGGGTATATATACGAGCGAGTCTCTTCCGAAGCCCTCGCTCTGCTTTCTGTTCTCTCCCTCATCATCGATCAATCTATACATCATTTTCTAGATTTAAGAATCTCCAGCCATGGTAAGTACATATGGCCTCATCCAGTCTTCCGAACTACGACTCTCCTGACCCTGAATGTCTCATATCCTCCCTGTTGGATTCTCGCATCTCTCTTTCAATGTTATTCTCCGCAGTCCGGATCTCTATTCCAACATTACTTTTCACAGGCTTCATCGTTCTTGCAATCCGGCCTTCGTGGCGTCAAGCGTGTGAGTATTTCATCGGCGATGATTTTGTCTGTCCACACAAATATGAACGAGAATCTTTATCTGTAGAAGAGAGATGATTCCGACTCGTTGTCAAGGCCCGTTCGGCGACCTCCAGGTCAATCCGACCACCCGGATGGGCGTATCGTTGGCAAAGACCTCACTATTCCAGCCTCTCCGGCCTCGCCGAAAATCCAACTACGACCTATTCCCAAGACGATCACAGTGTCCAGCACGACGTCCTTGCTACCGGCGTCCCTCTACCCTAATGAATGGCAAAGCCTACCGACCGTTCCTTTGGACGAGGTCTCCGCTATTGGTCTGAAAAAGACCATGGAGCGACCAGATGCCGAAAGGTACATACGCTATGCTCGATCACTAAGTATTTTCGACGAAACCAAGCGTGAGCGGCCACTCACGGACGATGAGAATGAGTTGCGAAGACAAACCGAATGGAGTCTCCTCGCCCTCTGCGGCGCTAGGAAAGCTGCCGCGCGCATTGAAGCACGACAAAGTACGCTCATTCTCTTGTACCTTGTATCGATGGCTGGGACTTATGATGCACTGTTCTTGAGTCCTCGACTGTCGATTCCAGTGGGCGATTGCCGTGCAACGAGAAGGAAAGAGGGTGACCTTCAAACGCGGGCTCGATCGTAAGCCCGAATGCAGCTTGAACGCCCTCTTCGACGTCCGGCAGGTATGAGATGTTATCTTTTCGAGGCGACGACATTCCGGAGGCTTACTTGTGTCTGAATTCTAGCATTCGTGCACAGCCTTTCTCTTGGTGGCCCAGACCTTGAGAGTTTACATGACTAGCTCTGGACGAAAGGTGAGTTCACCCTTTGTCTTGTTTCGTGCGTTGCTGACGGGTCTTCGTTCCTATCTCACCTGTCCAGCGATTGCTTAAACTTTGCGAGGATGAGCGCAACCACAACGCCAAAGAAGCTCGGGATGGAGCGACGTCAATGACCCACATCACCTGGAATGGGGAAAGCATTCCGTTTCCCTTAGGGGATCGCATCGAGGAGACGCACCGCGCCTTCCTTCTCCACGAAATCCTCAACGTATCCGAGCATGCGTCGAAGAAGTTCCTGCGCCTCTACCGTTACTAGGTCAGGGCTTTCCTCAAGCACGAACCATCGGCCACTGGATGAAGATGATTACTCTCTGTTCGCTCTGCCATCCTAGGACTCGCGGATCCTCATATATTCTCTGGTTGCTCTCGTATTGCTTGCCCACGCTCTTCACCGCGACACCTGTTTCCTCACTATGCATTCCTGTCTCACATATCTCGCTTTGTATTTGTTCTTCTTTATGCTCTTTCCTTATTGTTTTCCTATCGCGACGCTGTCCTTGTACGCGCTCTGTCGTGTTGTTGTCTCAAATTGTTGTTGTCGTCTTCGAGTTATGTAACTGTCGATGATGTATCACAATTTTTACTGTCATCGGAACTTATCGAATGCTCAATTGTGCTGCTATCGTGATCTTCTAACGCGTGTGACAGAACAGCTCTGACGCTTAGGCTCTGATAATCCAGTGCATAAGTATGTATGGGTCATCTGTTGGAACCATGAGCCGCCACAGATGTGCACAGCCAGAAAATACCAGCACAATAACGTTCAATTCTGACTTGATGCATAGCGCACTCTACTGGAAGACACGCACTACTCTGGAGTCGGGTCAACATTGTCGCCTCCCAAGGAGGCTCTCGCACGGACCATTAACAATATATTGAGCCGTCTGCGAACAGGAGCAGAAACAAAACCGACTTACTTGCGCGCTTGAACCACCCTCCGCCGCACGTTCCTGCTTTCCACCTCCATAAAGGCCCCAGAGCTTGTCAGGACCAAGTCTACGCTGTGGCATCCATTCACACCGTCAGCCTGAGTATAAGCAGAGTGCGCGAATTCCCCGCCGGATCATCCTATCACAATACCAAGTTAGAACGATAAGCTCCTGAACAACTACCTCGACGCGGAATTTGGGTGAGTACGCGATGAATCTGGACGACTCGTTGAACGTGCTGCAGACTCGCAACTTTGTGGCGTCCGAGGCTCGTGGCATTTGATGCTGCCCCTCCGAGTCAGAGCATTTCCGTAGCAACTGATCATCAAGTTTCAACGACGGAGCAAAGAAGTTAGCAGTCAAACGAGCGAGCGAACGGTCCCCTGAGGAGTGGGTAGGTAGCCACGGTAGTAGCCATCGCCACGACGAACGTTCTCCGCTTCGAGCAGTTTTCCGAGACATGGCGATTCAGAGGTTATTCCAGCCCCGAGTCCACCCGCCGATCTGAGCGTATATTAGCAACCGAGGATGAGTGACACGAACAAAAGTGGGTCGAACGAATTGAATTAATCAGGCCACTAATATCTGGTGGAAGAGGCCAGATGGGTATAGCTCTGGGTCGAACGTGCGAGGGCTGCGTCGGCTGCCAGCGGATAGCTATAGTTCAGGAGCTGAGCTGGTAGTGTTTCAGGTTTAGGTTTGAGGTATATTGCAGAAGAACGGACGCTGTCAACAACGATACAAGGAAGTTGAAGAGACGAGTTGGATTGCGATGGAACGGTGACAATTCGAAGATTTCTCCCGGGCCAATCTAGACTGGCGGCTTTGAGGGCGATAAGGGCAGAGTGAGTAGTGTTCTGGTCAGAGTAGTGCTGAAGGTGGCTCTAAGGAAGATAGCTTGAAGCATGAGCAAAGTCTGTAGCTGCAGAGGACCTACAGCAGTGCCGAGATTACGGAACTAAAGCGTACCAATACTGCCCTTTGCATAGAAGACTGAACGCGCACTTTTTTTGTGCGCGCGGTGCCTGGCGCTCTGTGACCGTGACAACGCCGTCCGAGGACACCGAGTGATGTGGCGAGATTGGGGGTGCCGTGATGAGAATTCAGAGCGTGCCCATTTACAGAGCCATCTGTGTCGACTTCAGAGGGATGGGGAATGTCATACAAGATGCAGACAATCACAATATAATTTGCTGCATCTCAGGGCATCGTGTTGACTTGGTAAGTATGCGAGTCGGTTGCGAGTCGGCTTGAATCTATTGGTGCCACAGTTACTTTGGTAGAAATTTACCTCTGTATCGAACCACAAGGATATAAGTAATCTCGTCTGATTGGTTTCGACGCAACCAGTAGCTTTTCTATGCTTTTGAGTCCTTAAACTCATGCTCCCTACCTCACTAGGCATACAAACTGACCGGCCTCGACAACGGCAGTCGTACTGTGGCCCAAGAAAGATGGTCGGCGCTCGACGGACCGCGTCGTCACGGTCACGTAGAGATCAGACGCCCGGCGCGAAAAAAAACGGTGCGTTCAGTCTTCTATGCAAACGGCAGTAAGCAGATGCCTCTGAACCCAGGAAAAGGAGATACATGTTCGATTAAAACCAGGCGGTTCCTCTCGATTTGCCCAGTCTCGTCGAGACAGCGGCAAGATTGCAGTGGTCGAAACTCGGGATCAGGATACTTACCTCATTAGAAGCCAGTGGCGCGAGCGATCCGTCGAGTCTTGCCTCCGAGTGACTATAGTGGCAAGCTCATACTCAGTCTTTAGCATTACAGTTTCATTCAATCGGTTTAACCTACAAAGACGAAACCAAGTAATCAGTAAGCTAGATAGGTAGATAGGGAAAGTAAGCTTAAGCATCCCTCTATCAATTTCGACGATGCGCAATCTATGAAGACATGCTGGTCAGCCCCTATGAACAGGACAACGTCAACATCAGCGGAAGACTGAGAAGAACGTTGCCCACCTGCCTCCCCGCCCGCTTGCTGGGCGAACGTTGGACCTGATAGCAATCCCCGGCCATGGATTATAGGCTGGCAAGTTGCAACATCTGCATCCATGCCCACATCATCCACGACCTCGTGCATCTTCCCGGCCGCGCTGCAGATTCGCGCAGCAGAAGCACGAGCAAATAAAAGATGGACCTACCCACATCCACATCCACATCCTCCGCGCCCATCCTCGTCCCCATCCTCCTCCAAGACCCCGGACACTGATACCATCGCACGCGACTCACTAGCACCCAACATACTCAAAGCAAGACCCCCATCCACCAGAAATTTGTATTCCACAAAGCTTCCTTCCTTCCAGGTTAGGCCTAGCAGTCTAAAAGCAGCATGAGAACGCGAGAACGACTCGGATAAGTCGCACTAAGTGGCCCTGGACCGGCCCGCGAAGCTATAGAGGAAGCAGTTAGTGGTTAGTGTTCGCGCAGCGCAGAAGGAGTACTTGACTTTGGACAAAGTTGCGATTGGGTTCCAGAGATAGATGGTAGATAGAGCTATGGATGGATGGATGGATGGAGATCTGCTGGCTGAGAAGGACTCACGATTTGGAATTGGGTGAACCTTGTTGATTTTCGGTACAATGGAGAGACTTCGGGGAAACTTGGTTGATGTCGATGCCACGAAGTATTTCCTGGTAGTACATGCCTCCATGGGAGAGTGGCGCGCGGGTTGCCGGTGGAGAGGTTGGAGAGGCGAACGAGGGGTTACGGCCAGTGGACGATAAGTAGAACGGAACGAGGCAGGCGAGAAACTTGTTCGAGATCAGGAAGAGGTACCTGGTTTAAAGATACATAAAGCGATTAGTCTTTTTTTTCCAAGGTGTGAGGAGTTTAGAATATCTGGTGGTTGGAAGTTGAACGGTTTATTGGTCTATCTTCGTTATATGTCCAACGACGTCTGACGAACGGAACGACGCATGCTGGATCCAGAAGTGAAAGCATTCAAGCTAACGATCCGCACAGACAAGCCGTCGTTGCACTATTAGCCTGTAGTTAGTACTACGTTGAAGCAGTGGTGGTCTAGTAGGGTCGAGTCCGTCCCAGTCCCAGTCCTTGGCTGGCTGAAAGATTCTGCACTTACCACCAACGAGATTGAACCAGACGAGAAGCTGTCCAGGCGGGTTCTCGCTTCCGCTATATGCAGGTCCATTATAATAATAATCCCGGCGGACACGACACAACCCGTGTGCGAACCAAATCTGCAGAAAAGACAGTCACAATAAGCAAGCCGGCGGCGCGGTGAAATCGAGGAGAATCGAGAAGGTGGAAGAAGAATGATTTACCTACATACCACGAGCGAAGGACTTCGTGCATGTTTAGAGGTACTTGGCTGTACTTGGTCGTATATGTGTGTGTAGGTAGGTCCATAATACGTAAAGTGCCTGAGCATGGCGTTTTACAGTGTCTCTAGTGTGGGTGAGAAGGATGAGGTTAAATTTTACAAAGTCGCGGGATCTGTCAATGCCAGTGTTCAAGTTGGATGTTGGAAGTTGGAATTTGGATGTTGTTGGTCGAGATTAGGCTTTCGCAGATCGAAGAAGAAGAAGAACTTAAGCTTGGACGTGAGAGCTGAGGTGAGGGGTGAGAGGTGCCGACGACCCTAGGACTATGCAGCTGCGTTGAGCCAGAGCCAGAGGGGAGCGAGTTGATATTGCATTCAACCCCAATGTGTACATACGTACTCGAGTATACAGGTGGCAGCTGTAATGCAACATGAACAGCAGCGCTTCGACCGTTGTAAAGTCAACGCACGACTCGAACTTCTTGGACGTTAGGCACCGTATCTACAAGATACAAATATGCTGAGAGAAAGATAGGACAGGACAAGGACAAGGACAGCCGTAGTGTCAGAAGATAGAAGATAGAGGATGAGAGAGGGGAGAATCGGTTTTACCTGGACTCTTGGTTCAAATCGTAGTATCCTCTTCTGGATCGGGTTTCGGTTTGGTAATTGGAACTTTATCAAAACGTTGTGCACTGTATGCGGTAAACGCTCGACGCTGGATGGTCAACGTTGATCATCCACCAAGGCTTCTCCAGCTTCTCAGAGGGATTCGCGAGGGGTTTGCGTCCTATACGGCAGCGTATGTACGTGCGAGCGTCTGCTACAGTTGATAGGGGGTATTCAGATAAGTGAGTGACTTGCTTGCTGGGAGAAGGAGAAAAATGGGCGTACGATCGCTTCAACTTGGGCCGCTGCGTCTGTATCCTCCATGTCCGATATGCCAAAACAAAAACAAAAACAAAATAACACAGAAAAGAAAAAGCAAAGAAACCGAAATCAAAAGCCAAAGCCAAAGAAAAAGGAAAGCACACGACTACGATACCACAACCTTAAAAGAACCCCAAGTTGCTGTAACGTTCAGATAGCAGTTAAAGTTTCGACTGCCTTGCCTTCGGACGAACATAACTCTAACGCGAACCGTGTCCTCCCCCTAACGAGATCCTGTGCAGAGAGCGTGTGGGGAAAAACTGAAGTGTTTTGAAGCCGACGGAGCCCAGCGATGGTCGGGATCTGCCAGATTGAAGTCGTGTCGAGTTGAGTCGGTAGGACCAGACTAGAGCGCGAGAGATCTAGAGTAAGTATGTGCGGCCAGTGAGGAGGAGCACGTTCAACAGATCAACAGAGCGGCGGTTTTGATCAGGTGGATGAGTGGCAAGCTTATAGAGTAGCCAGATGCGGGAGTTGTGTTTTATGAACTTGGGCTCTTAGAATGAGTGTGGAAGAATCGGGGCTGTGGGTTGTTTGCGGTATATATGGTGGTCAATGACGAGCACAAGTCGAGAGATGTCATTGGCGTATGATGCTACGCAGAAGTTTCATTTCGCAAGAGTAGCTATAGGGTGGTAGGTGTGACGAGTGCGCAAAGGTTATTTAGGTAGAGAGGCTCGTCGATTCTTTCTTGAAAGCGAACGGAGATGAGTTGATTCTGAACGGGATGGGTACGCAATAGGGAACCAGGCCGACAGAATGAGGCAGACGCAGGAGAGGGCGTTATCGATCCGTTCATGATTGCGTGTCAGCGAGATAAGAAGAGGAATGAGTGGGTGGGAAGTGAAGTTAAGGGCGGCTGGAGGGGACCGCGGGATTGCGCCGGAGAGAAGCGTGATTGAGTGGACGATGAGAGGAAGATATGACGGATGAGGGAAGCTAAGCTACCGAGATGGAGACGACGGAGGTATCGAGGGCGTTGTTGACGCAGTTAGAGTTGCGAAGAGGACATGAAGGAATGTGTGTGGCGATGTAGAACGCGGAGAGTCTAAGAGAGACGTGCAAGTGGTGATTCGCTGCAAGGAGGTGGAAAGGGGATAGACGGGTGATGAAGAAATGAGTGAGGTGGCGACGGGATGATGTGGTCGTCGGAGGATTGCAAGGGCCAAAAATACGAGGAAGAGAAGAAGGGAAAGGCCGAGAGAGGGAGTGGAGAAAGGGGGAGACGAACGTGCGATGTGTCTTGCATTACGCAAACAGCCACGCTGCACTGAGACAAACTCCGGGGCGGGTACGATGCTGGGGAAGATATGTGTGCTCGAATATTCAGTGGACTGCTGAGAGTCGAGCTGGAGGCGATGGAGAGGTAATTGGATGGAAATGGATAACAAAGGCTGTGGCCCAGAATATTTGCAAAGGGGGGCGGGGTGGGCGGGTATAGCCGGGCCGTCGGTGGCGGGGGGTCGGGAGGAGGACGAACGTTTTGTTTTGGGCAAGTCATCGTCACTGGCGAACGACGATATAGCCACGGCTTCCCACCCTCAACTCCTTTCCTCATCACCGTCCGCCGTGCCACAGCGGCCCCTGCGTTATATGGCCCCCCTCCAGGATGCTCGCAACTCCTCCTACCCCTTCCCCATCTCCCCTCCTCCCTCCTCCTCCAGCTCCCACCCCTCTTCTTCTCTCAGGCTCAACATTGGCTCGCACTCTGGCCCTCTTTGGGAACCCTCGGACCATAAGTTCTCCTCCTCACCCACTCTTGTGCGTCGGGCGAGTGCCAACGGGTGTGTGGTTTGCCTTTCATTCATCCTCGCTTTGACTCATCGTCTCTTGTTTCACCTCAGAAATGACAGTCTCCAGCCCTCGTTATCCACTCGAAAACGCATCCCTCGCTCGTCCACACATCGCTCCATGACCATGCCCTCTTCATCCAAATCATTACAAACAGACCCTATCCAAGACTCTCGAAAGTCACTTCGTACTCTATCCCGTCGTTCTTCCAGATCGTCCACTCTCTCATCCTCCTCATCCTCCTCATCGACTCCACCCGCACACCCTCCCATGCATCCCCCGGCCGGCATAGGTCGCAAGGTCGCAGACTCCCTCCAGCTCTTCAAAGAGTCCGTATCAGGCACACCCGTAACAGAGGACGCCGACCCCCTCGGGCTCCCCAGAGTCGGAACCCCTTCTCGCTGTAGAGCAGGCTCCCTTCACGCCCCAGAACAGGTCGGCCAAGCCGAATTCGAGTTTGTCAAACGCTCAGACTGGCCCGAACGGGAGCGCGAGGCCGCTGCCATCCGGCGCGACAAGAGCGCCAATGCACTCGAGAGGGTGCGTACGAGGGAAAGCGCGAGCAGCGCAAGAGAGATCTGGGACGACAACGATGTTCGTGAGTCGTCTTCCCCACAGCAGAGGAGGAAGGACAGGACGATGTCGTCCGTCAGGGATTCCGTCATGAACGACCTCGTTCACTGGCGCAACGATGTCATCAAGCAGCAGGACTCTCGTGGACGTCAGCGGGATAGACCTCAGTGGTCAGAAGACCCCGGCGTCCAAGTTCAGTCGCCGACAGCTGACGAGCCAGATAACTTTGCCACACCTTCCCTACGCAACTTGCAGAGCACCACACCTTTCCTCAGCTCACATTCTCAGACATTTCCCTCCTCTACGTCCCCGTCGCGTTCACCCAGTATTCCTCCCCTACCCCTTTCATCTGCGCAACTCGAACCTTCACCTACTCCCGCTCCACCGACCATCCTCTCTCCCCCTCATGAAACCCCACCCCGCGAATCGCATTCCCGTTCACCCACTCCCGTACGGCATACCGTCGATCCCAGTCTTCTCGCCTCGACCCGTGAACCTTCAACATTCTCCGTATGGTCCACAACAGACGACGACGAATCCCACTGGGAGACCGCCTCCGTGACCACCACGTCCACCACCTCAGCGTCTTCACCCCTCCCCGTATCCCCCGCCCAAGCGCTCGCACCGACCGACCCGGCGATCACCTGGACTCACGACGAAGACGAAGAACACGCGTTCGGCGACGATGTCTTTAAGGATGGCGATCTTCCGCTCGAGGGCGAGGAAGGGAGAGAACTCGTCGAGGACGATTACTTTCCTTCGTTCTCGCAGGAACACCTGCCTCATGTCCCGCTCAGGCCCTTTCGGAATCAAGTCGGAGGTCATACCTCTATCTATAAGTTCACGAAGCGAGCCGTCTGCAAGGTAATTTTTCTTCTTCTTTTCATATTCATGGACGAACACTATCGTGTAGTACTGCCGTTCGTAATGTGTTGCTCACTCTCACTCTTATATACATATCACTCGCAGCCTCTCGTATCGCGCGAAAACCTCTTCTACGAAACCGTAGAACGCGAAGCACCTCCCCTCCTCGACTTCATCCCGCGCTACCTCGGCGTCATGCTCGTCAACTACCGTCGCGCCCCTAAATCGACCGAATCCTCAAAACCTCCCGATCGCAGCCGTGCACGTCCGCCCTTACACAAAGCCATCTCCGACTCTGCCGCGGCGCATAATTCACGCAGTACCACCACCAAAGCACCCTCGCAACTCGCACATAACGAACTGTCACCCGTACCTGATGCGGAATGTGAGGGCGAAGATGGAGGTGGTGGAGGCGATACGGATCGTGCGGACGACGAGCAGGAGGAAGAAGCTGCTGAGATCCCGGAAGTCGCGCTGGATCGGAATAGGCATATTATTCCGGAGTGGATGCTTCGTGGGTCGCGAAGCAGAGCGATGTCGCAGTCTTCTGCGAATACGAACGGAGGACAGACGAGCCATCATGGACGTCATCTGAGACCGCTCAGGCGGTCTTTCCTAGGTGCGGCGGCGAGTAGTCCTGAGTTGGGTTCTCCAGGGGGAAGACGGGCGGGGCCTTCGAGTGGTCATGCGGCGGGACAGGGAGGTGAGGGTGGTGGTGGAGGTGGAAGTTCGAGTCCGAGTCCGAGTCCGCTCTCTAGGTCACAGCATCTCGGGGATCCGAGCACGACGCCGACTCAAGTCCGTGCGGTAGATCGCGAGTTACCGACCACACCGACGAACTCTCCGAACGTGCCTTCGCGCTGGTTGGCCGCAGGCCGTGCGTCGACTTTCAATAACCTAGCCATGTCCTCCACGGCGAGTACGTCGCCCACGAACGAGGACGGACGGCCGACGATGAGGGCGTTTCATTCGGACTTTGCGTACCCTCAAGTTCCGACTGCTCCGGGGTCGCCACTGGTGAATGGAACAGGAAACGGGTGGTTCGGGGGGTTGGGGTCGACGACGGTGAATACGAAATTGAAGGATCATGTGTTTAATACGATCATGAAGAGGTTCCGGAGGAGGAGGAGCGGGAGGTGGAATGGCGGAGTCAGGACGGAGGACGAGGGGGATGTGGCGGATGCGGAGGCGGACGGGGAGGCGGACAGTGATGGGAATGGGAACGGGAGGGGTGTGTTGAAAGTTGGGGGAGATCTGCATAGGAGGAGGAGGCAGAAGAAGTTGAGCAGGGTGGAGAGGATCAAGGCGGAGGAGGCGGCGATGAGTGGGGGCTTGTTGGGACAGCCGCTGAGGAGGGTGCAGAGCGAGGAGAATATGGCGAGTGCGGAGAAGATGAGGATGTTGGAATTTGAACGGGAGAGGGAGGAGGCGAGGAGGAGGAGAGGTGGCGGTGGCGGGGAAGTGTTTGATTTCGAGGAGGAGGATGCGCCGGAGCGGTTCGGGGCTCGTGAGACGGACAAGGTTCGGCGACGGAAGAGTCGGTCGCGGTCTCTGGAGGACATGAAGGGCGCCGGCTTGTCGATACATGGCTCACCTGAACGGCGCACGAAACTCGGTCCCGTCGTCTCCCGTCCGCATCCGCCGGACGAGCACGACGGCGCGGACCCGTTCACGCGCCAGAATCACTTCATCCTGATGGAGGACCTGACCGGTCGACTAAAGCATTCCTGTGTGCTCGATCTCAAGATGGGGACGAGACAGTACGGCATGGACGCGACCCCCGCGAAGAAGAAAAGCCAGAGGAAGAAGTGCGACAAGACGACGAGCAGGGCGCTCGGCGTGAGAATATGCGGGATGCAAGCAAGTCTCTTTCTCTTTCCGTCCATCTACCTCCTTTCGGCTTCCTCTCGCACACCAGTGGACTAAACTGACCCATGATCCCTTTCCTTTCTTTCCTCTAGGTCTGGAATCGGAAGACCCAGTCGTATGTGATGCAGGACAAGTATCGCGGACGGGAGGTCAAGCCAGACGAATTCCCAAACGTGCTCGCGTCCTTCCTGCACAATGGCGAACGGCTCATGGCCTACCACATCCCCGTCATCCTCACCAAGCTCTACGCCCTCGCACGCATCATCTACCGCATGAAGGGCTTCCGCTTCTACGGCTGCAGTCTCCTCCTCATCTACGACGGCGACGGCGACGTCCAGGACGCGTACCGCTCCGCAATGCAGGAGCACCCGTCCTCTCGGACCAAGCGCGGTGAGTCCCTCGAACGTCAGGCGCGCCGTACGGCCTCCGAGCAAAAATCGGACAAGCCTACGCTCCGGCGGTCGCATTCGGAGGACCTGCTCGGCGGTCCCGTCGCACAGCGCTGTGGACGGAGACGCAAGCGCGGGGAGGTGAATATCCGGATCGTCGACTTTGCGCATATGACGACGGGCAGGGACTGGCTGCGCTATCCGGCGGATTTCGACCATCGCGCGGTGCAGGAGATGACGAGCGGGAAGGGGTACCATGCTGAGGTCGACCCGGAGACGGGATTGATTTATGCGAGGTTCCCGCCGCATTATCCGGAGGAACCCGATCGGGGGTTTTTGTTTGGACTGAAGAGTCTGGCGGAGGCGTTGGAGAAGATGTGGAATGATGAGCGGATTAGGAGGATCAAGAAGAGTAGGGACGATCCGGAGGTGGTTAAGGAGCAGTTGCCGGCGTTGGAGGTGCAGGGGAAGGAGATTTTTGATGAGATATTTGGGGGTGGGGGGGAGGAGGGGGAGGAGGAGGACGATGGGATGTTGTCGACTTGAGTGTGGTGACTTCTCTTCTTGTCGGTCTTCTTCCTGCTTTTCTCGGCTCTCTCAGCTCGCGGCTTCGTTCTTCCTCACATATGGCTTTGGCCTTGTCTGATTCTATTTTTTGCGTCTTGTTTTTTTTCCTCGTCTCGTTCTCTGTTCACCATTTTATTTCTGTTGTTTCAACTCGTGCGGCACCCTATCCGTTTTCCTTTCTTTCCCACCTACCTCGTTTTGTCTCACTCGACGCACTCGGATCGAGTCCTCACCGTCTGTGTCTCACACGTATGTACATACATACTTGCATAACTCTAATTTTGTTTTTGTTTGCGCTCGATCGTCATTGGCATCTCTCTCTCTCTCTCATTTCTCTACCAATCGCATCTCATTATCGCTCATTGCTCGATTGTCTCGCTCAATCCAATGTCATTTCTCTCTCTCTCACCCTCTCTTCCTATTTCCTATCTCTCATTTTCCCATCTCTCTCTTCCAGTATTGTTGCATGCATGCCTCAGTGTCTTGTCTTGTCTTTCTGTCTCTCCTCTTCTCTCCTCTCTCCAAATATTTTCTGTTTCTCAATCTCAGTACTCAGTGCCCAAGTCTCAAATTCCCTCAGTCTGAAATCTTGGTTGTTACAGTATAGACGGTTCGAATTTTTCTCTGTCTGTGTGTGGGCGGGGCATGGTGCATGGTTCGCGGTTATTTGGTTGATTGGGATCCTGGGAGGGTGGCCGTCCACCGAAATAGTTTGCTTTTTTGTTTTTGTTTTTGTTTTATCCTGCCGTTCCGAACGATTTGCGATTCGTGGTGTTGGTTGTTTGTTTGTTGACGGCGGGATGTACATACATACGTAATATTGGGGACTGTGTTCGTTTCTTTCTTTTCTTTTCCTTAAATTATTGAATAGAAGGCATTGGGTTGCGTCTTGCGTCTTGGATGATGGAGGGTTGCGTAGGCTGAGGGGCTGGGCATCAATAGATGGTCGAAGGCTTGGAGGTATGTGTAGGGTGGGTGAGATGGAGTTGGTCTGCCGGGATGGGAAGGGTGCGCTGAAGTCGATGTGGTGGTCGGTCGATATGCTCGGTTCGTCGCGATCGCGGGATGTGTGTTGCTCAGAGCTCACAAGGAAGACATAACGATGCCAAGAAGAAAGAAAGAAAGAAAGAAAATGGATTCTCATGACCACATACAAGACGAGACGAACAGAGCCTAATCTAGTCAGACGCTCATTCCTCCGTGATGTATTTCGAGCGGATGTCTTTCCATTGTTTCTGTAAAACCGAATAGGCGTTCGGGCGTTAAGTTCCGCTCGTTCGGGGAAGTGAGAGGGTGGTAGTCGGGGGGGATGGGGTGGCAGAGGGAGGTGGAGGGGTGGAGAGGTGGAGAGGTGGACGTACCCCCTTGTTCCAGGTATCCCAGAGTTTAGTGACGCCGACGTCAAAGCCGACGCCGAAAGCGAATGCGCCGACGAAGATAGTGCTCACGTAGACACCTGTTCGTTTGAGAAGGTAAGGGAAGGATGAGTGAGGGCTTTGCGATTGGTATATTTATGGTTTTAGCGGGGCTCACTGTTTCGCTTGACGAAAGCGTTGTAGAACGCGTTGGAGAGCTAATCAAATGGTTTATATGTCAGTGACAGAGGTTCGACGGACAACAGAAGAAAGAACGTACCCCAGACATGGCTTTTAGTTGTGCGTGCGTGCGGTGAAGAGGTTCAGGTTGCTCGTCCTTGCGTTCCGCTCGCGTCCGAAGGTGCCCATCCAAATGGGGAAGTCGGCGGAGCCCGAACGGACGAATGGTTTCCTCGCGATTTTGACCAAGTCGAAATCTCAACCGGCCGACGCGTCTGCTCGCTCAGTACTCACCCTTTCACTCAATTCACACCAAAAAGCGGTGGGCCATGTCGTTGTTTGCTCTGCGGGCGTCGGCTCGCACTATCACACCAAGGACGACGACGCGTCGGATGCTTTCGACTTCGCTGTACCGACGACAGGAAACACCCGCGTACCCTTCTTCCTCGACTTCTACATCCACGTCTACCTCTACACTTCCACCACCAGCACCGACCCCACCCTTTGCCTTTCATTTAGCAACAGCAACAGGCGCTTTACCGGCCTCGGACGCAGGACCGCCAGAAGCCCCTCCTGGCGCGATACCCATCAATCCCCTCGCCCAGTCCTCCGGCTCTACCTCTCTCAGCGCACAAGCGACCAATGTGGTCCAACACCGTCTGTACGTCAAAAGCGGGCCTAACAACACGCAGATTGTGATCACGAACGAGCGGGGCAATCCGATTTCGAAGTCGGGTTGGTCGGGGGGCTCGGTCGGGTTCAAGGGCTCGAAGAAGGGGGACTACGAGGCGGGGTATCAGTGTGTTGTGAGGGCGTTCAAGAGGCTGGAGGATTTGCAGATTAAGATACCGACCCTGAAGGTCGAGATTTTGTTCAAGGGGTTCGGAGACGGGAGGGACGCGGTGTATAATGCGTTGATGACGAGTGAGGGGGAGATGGTGAGGCCGATGGTGAATAGGCTGACGGACCAGACGCCGATTAAGATTGGTGGAACGAGGGCGAAGAAGACGAGGCGATTGTGAAGGGGTGTGGTGTCTTTTCCTCTGTGCGTTATTTTTTCTTGTGCTCGAGTTCGTTTTGTGAGAGGTCTGACCCCCCTTTGGTTTATTTGGTGCAGGACTCGTTCTGCGTTCTATGTTTATTTGCATTTTAGTGGCCGTCATATTCATCCCTTGCTTTGCTTCTTGTATGGTGCTTCGTTCACCGTGCCTTCGAAATCTTAAGCCTGATTCACAACGAACGAGTCGTCGGTTCTTTTGGTACCGCCCACGGTTAACTTATGGTCGTTCTCTATGGTAGGACGTCAGTCCAGCGATCGGCCAAAGATTTCGACGTCATGACACACTGTTTCCAACTACAAATCTCCACGACATGCGATCCTCTCCAATTCCTCCAAGCACTGACCTCCATCACGAAACGCAAGACAAAGTTGGCCGCTCTCTCCTCCTTCAAGTCCCTCTCAAGCGAAAGAGCCGAATATCCTTGCTGGTGCCACTTCTGTGTATTCCGCCGACTCCTCTCTTTCTCGCACGCATTACCTCTAGTGAGAAGCAGAAGTCCGTTGGCCTTTGGCTTTGACTGCTACGAGAACGATTCGACGTGCATGGTCGCCGCTTCCAAACACCACAACATCTTGGCGCGCGCTTCACTATTGCCGTACGTGATGCTCGTATAGGAAGATTGGGATTACAGAGTGACATGAGGCGGCGATTTGAAAGTTAATGGACATGGGTGGAGATGAGGGAGTCTTGTTGCTGTACGATGCGAAGTGGTACGAGGAGCAGGACGGTAGAGGTATGTTCTGGCCTGGTCTGTTCTCAGGCTTTTGGAAATCCTGATGCAAAACTGGGGCAGCTTTTCATCCCCATCGTTGGAGTCGTGAGTCTAGGTTCACTACACAAGAATGGGGACCACGGTGCGACACTGATAATGGACGTGAAGAGGATCAGCGCGATGACTGTTATTCTACACAAGGAGCCGCCTGACCCGTTCAAGATGCAGCATGCTGGGGAGTAGGACAACGTGTTGGGGAATGGACGGGGTCGAGACTCAAGAGAATGTGTTGAGGACAGTTTGAAGATGGTGAGGTGTGGCGGTGGCACGAAGCTGTATCTAACGATTACATAACTCGATCAATCGCTGACGTCTGCCGATTGCCACAGCCGGCTTTGCGCACGCTCCGGCACGCTATATCACTTTGGCCCACTTTCACCTCTTTCGCTGCCTTCTCGTTTTCTCCCTCCGTCACCTCCCTTCTCTCCCAATTTACCTTCACACTCTTCCCACTATCTTAAACACCCCTCCTGGCTTCAGCAGCTGCACGCGCCCGTCTCTTCAGACTTATGGCTACTGCTACTGACCCTCTCGGCGACGGTGCGACAGTCTCACTTCCACCAGCCCGCGAGATCCCCTCGACGTTCGCTGCATCGTTCAAATCTTGGTACGCACTCTTGTTTGTATCGCCAAAGAGTTTCTCGCCAATGGTGACCATCCAGGTGGTCAGCTGGAGAGAAGCAGAGCGCACATAGTGAAGAGCGTCTTCTACGGTGCGTCCCTCACTTTGTCTAGCGTATCTATCATGCACTCATGTATGAACAGACGCCTACCATTCTTCAAGTCTTCTTCACAACAGTCTCTCTCCGAGGATGGTCCGGTCGTCGCCCGGAGTACCCAGGTCGCCCTCGACAATCCTAAACATTACCTAAACACCGTGTCCTTCACTCCCACCTCCCCATCTCACAACGGACCACCACCACCAGTCTTCCTTCACGGATATGGTGCCGGCCTCGGGTTCTATTTCCTCAACTTCCCAACCTTGGCCCAGTGGGTGTCTAAGCAAGGTACACCCGCCTATGCTCTCGACTGGCTCGGCATGGGTCGCTCCGCTCGCGTTCCCTTCCGCGTCAAGGCTCGACGCGACGATATAGAGGGGAGGGTCGCCGAGGCAGAGTCTTTCTTCGTCGACTCTCTGGAGCAGTGGCGGCAACGAATGGGGTTGGAGAAGATGACACTCGTCGGTCACTCGCTTGGCGCATATCTCAGCGTAGTTTATGCGTTGAAGTATCCCACTCGGGTCAGCAAGTTGGTCTTGCTTTCGCCTGCGGGCGTGCCGAGGGATCCGAATAATACCACGATGCCTTCGAGGGAGGTGACGGATGAGCAGATGAGTGGTTCTGAAGGGCCGGAAGCGGCGACGAGACGGAATGTGAACGAGGTTAGGCAGGAGCAGGCGGCTCAGAAAAGACAGGAGAGTACGAGGGCCAAATTGTTCACCTATCTATGGGAAGAAGGATGGAGTCCTTTCCAGGTTGTACGGTCGACTTTGTTCTGGGGACCCATGCTTGTTGGCAAGGTAATTTCAGTTTACCCAACATTTATTTTTCGACTCCCTATTAACCATGGTCATTCTCAGTACTCGTCTCGACGGTTCTCGGCGTTGAGCGAAGAGGAGACGAGAGAGATGCATGACTACATTATGAACATCACATTGGCAAAGGGTTCTGGGGAGTACTGCATTTGTAAGTTTCAGCTCCGTTTTTCGTCTCACAACTCCCTCGCTCGCCTTGTTCTCACCGATATCTCATATCACTGACACGGACCTGTCACTTCGGCCCTTCTCTACTCCCTTGCAGCCCATATATTAGCACCAGGTGCTCACGCTCGGATGCCTCTCGTCGATCGAATCGCGGCACTCGATATCCCAGTCACCTTCGTTTGTAAGTCCTGTGCACATCTCAGCCCCGGTCTTAACCGGATTCGACCCCGCCTTTTCATTTCATTTCGGAGTGCAAGCGCATCTAAACTAAACTGACTCTCGATCGTTTTGCGTGGCGATAGACGGCGAGCATGACTGGATGGACCCAGAAGGCGGAGTTCAGTCCATAGATAACATGCGCGCAGCTGGCAATGAGGATGGAAGGATGTATATCGTACCCAGAGCTGGCCACCATGGTACGTTAGCGTTCTATACTTGCGCCTACTCTACCCAGAGCGCACATTCGTTTGCCCCATACCCTGTGCACCAGAGCTCACACCGGTTCTTTGTCCCCTTGTAGTATACCTCGACAATGCGAAGGCCGTCAACAAGCTCCTCATGAAGGAACTCGACTATCGTGATTGATCGGTACCTCCATCTCGCTGTCGTCGGAGACCGTGGTAGAGCGTTGAGGGGCCCCGTTCCTCTGTTTGGCTCAACCATGGTCCCAAGACTTTCACCTTCTTTTTCTCTGGTTGTCGCATGTTGTGGTATGGATAGTGGGGAGTCTCTCATCGCTAGATCATCTTGGGACGTGTACTCGGACTCTATAATCTACGAATGTGTTGTTGTCTTGTTCTCTCTTGTACTTAATATGCTTTTAGGTCTACGCTTTAGCGGTTTTCAGTCTGTCTGAATTCTGCCGCCTGAAGGTTTTGAATTCTCTAGATAATGTGCCTCTGAGTAGGCAGAACTTTGGTGTGGCCCACTACGATAATCATTAGCTGCCGCCGTGCCGGGCGTCGACCTACAGTGTAGGCCCACTCCTTAATCCGCCATTCTAAATTAATTCATTTTCTCGCTTCCCTTCCCATACTCACTCAAGCTGTTGACTTTGGGGCTGAGAAAATGCATTAAGGTTCCCAGGATAAAATACACAGGATGCCCAAGATGAATATGCATTATCTGTAGAATTAAATTTTGTTTTCTCCAACGCGACCGTCGGAGTGGCGATTTGAAATTGCGATTGCGCGGAGTTTGAAATGGGTACACCAAATGGTGTGGCGTCGGTGAGGTTCGTCAACTCCTGCTTCGCTGCCACGATCATCGACGGCTTTGTGGTCCGCCTCGAGGCTACTTTGACTGCATCACTAGCTTCAGCTCAAGTTCGTAACCGCTCACTGCGTATTTTCTGGGTCCTTCGGTTGGTAGATATCGCGCTGTGGCCTGTTTACCGTTCAGCGTATCTTGTGGCGAGTTTTGAGTAAGCAGCTCCGGTGTTTCTCTTAGTCTGGTAGTCTGGAGACGACGTGCATGCGTCTCTGACCGTCTTGAACTTAATGGTCAAAACATACAAAGAGGATGAGGACTCTGACTACCTGGTGGTCGAGAATCCTATTGGCATGGCGCAGCCTGCCCACAGGGCGTCAGACCCTCAGAGCTTCGCCCGGCTTGGAACGTGGTTTAAATTCATGCTAGGTACACAGTTTGATCCCGTTGAAGCCGTTTATTGGACGAGGACGGTATGACGTTTTATAGCATGCGGAGAACCTTTTGGGATCGCTGACATCGCCCACAGAGAAATGAAGTCCTTGTCAAGATCCCCAAAGGCAATGACTTGTTCGCGCTTCCAGTATTAGGACAACATATAGGGCCGAGGCCTAATTTGCCTCCTTCGAATGTTTACCTCTATGACTACAAGGCGAAGGGAAATCCGGCGAACCGTAGGTCTCGACGTCTTCCATTTGAACCCGACTAACAATGTCAACGTTGCTTCATACAGGAGATGGCTGGACCGAGACTATACCGGACGAACTGAAACAAGGCACAAAGATACCCTTTTCTTTACCGTACCCTCGACCTAAGAGGTATAAGGGTCACACGATATCACAGCCGATTAAAAGGATGGGATGGGCTCTACCGTGGCCGCAAGATATGTTGCGCTCCCCTACTCCGGAACCGGTGGTCAAACCGGAAGCACCAGGAGACGCGAAGCCGAAGACTGAAGTAGACGTTAAGCCGAAGACTGAAGTAGATGTTAAGCCGAAGACTGAAGCGGACGTGAAGTCCGTCGTTCCTACCGTCAAGGCAGAGCACCAAGATCAATCAGGTCAGTCTTCGAGCCTGTGTGGTGGCATGCTTTGCAAACCAGGGCTGACACAGCTACTGTTCCTTGCAATAGCCAAACTGAAGTCGAAGATGGATCCATACGAGCAAGGTGACTTCATTCTATTTGCCATCCCGTGCGCAACATTCATTAACGAGTCACCCCAGAGGAGGCCTCTCTGCAGGCTCTTCGCTCTAATCACCATGTCAAACGAGAGCCGGGAAGCGGATCCGTCAAAGATGAACCGTCTGAGGGTATATTGCAATCTCTTTAGTGATTAGTCACAGCGTTTGACGTCGAATTCACTCTCGTACAGAGCACAAACCTTCTCCTGCTCTGTTGGAAGCTTACCTGCAATGGCGAGGATCTGCACCTGCAACGAACTCAGGTATATCGAGTACATCTACGTTATGGAGTCGTTTGGCCTCATATCTCATATCAAATTTTCAGCTGGAGCCGGGCCGTCCTCAACAGCGGCGAATGCTGTGAAAACTGAGCCTGTGGTCAAACCAGAGCCTGGCATTCCTCCGGCGCGACAAGATCAAAACCCACAAGCAGCCCCGTCATCGAACGTCTCTGGTGCGTTGCCTGCCTTCGTCTCACGATCCTTTCCCTCACTCATTTCGTCGTGATAAACATATTGATTCTTTAAGTAGGATATCCCCCCGTGAAACACGAGCCTAATCAGCCACACAACTTATACCCACCACCACCGGGCCCACGTCGTAAGTCCAAGGCCGTCTGAATGAGCTTCGTACCAAGTCGAACGTCATCATCCTGTACAGAATACCCATACACTGTCAAGTCTGAGCCAGGGCATGACAATCTCGGCGCTCAAGGATACCCTCGCCCACCCGGAATACCTCACGCACAACATCAACACTCAGGACCAGGTTTCGTTGATTCTACCACGGTGTGTTGTACTGGTACTCATGTATCTTTTGTTGTCTCGTCAGGAGGATACTCCTACCCCTCCAGACGCGATATCACTGGGTACAATCAGCCTCGGCGTGATACTACCACCCGTGGCGGGCCAGGGGCCTTTCACCCCCGTGATCTCTATGGCCCAGGTGAGAATTCAATGCTTGCAAACTATAATCACCCTCGTTCTCGAACTCATTTATTTGGTGGATTAGGACCAGGAACTCGTAATCATGGAGCTCTCCCATTCCCGCCTCCGGGCGCTCAATTTGTCGAACGCACTCGGGACCCCAGGGTGGCAAACAGAGGTACGAAGAGGGAAAATGACGAGAGCTATGACGGTATGTTCTTTCAATGGCTGACCGCTAGGATAATCGAAGCTGAAGGTGAACGGATGGATGGTTGACAATAGATTTGTCCAAGAGGCAGCGAACTTGAGATCTATCCGTGTATCTTTCGACCAGTGCTTCATCAGTTACTATGTTCAACTTCTGTATCTATCTCCCATCTATAATTCTGGTACTTCTTGCGAACGACATTGCTGAACTGTTGAAGTCTCAGTGGCGAGCCCAAAGCTTGCGAATATTTCGAGTTGACTGTGATGATTATACAGAGATGGAGCAGGTAGTTACACAAGATGATCGACAAATGTCCGAGGTGCAGTTCAAGAAAGCAGATAACAAGACGGAGGGACGGATGCGTGCCTCATTTGTCACGAATATTGGGGGACAGTAGATACATTCACCGCACGCTCAGGATACCTGGATGAATCAACCGTATTAGCCATTCAGAGACTGGTCATGATGTAAATACCAGCAAGAACGCACCTAGTCCTGATCCTCGTCGCCAGATCCTCCTCAAATATCTGGTCTCCGCCCAATTGGTTTCCCAAAGTCAACCACCTGGAGAGTCCGAAGTCACCAGTAAAAGTCAGCCTCCCTCAATCCACATCTCATAAACAACCACAGACTCACCCTGGTCGCACATTATGCTTCCTTCCGAAAATCTCAATCTTCCTCCCACCAGGACACATCCTCTCAATCAATCCATACGCCTCGTCCGGCTTTCGGCTCGTCTCCCTCACCTCGGAAACGATGACATCCGTATCGAGCCCCCGATTCACCCACGGCGGAAACTTCAGGTTTCCATCGGCGTCGATATTCGTCTTCATGCCCACCAACATGTGTTCCTTGGTGTGGTTGAGCCAGTGGCCCGTACGGCCTGTGCGAATGACGCGCTGAAGCTGAACGAGTTGTTCAGCTAATGGTCTATGCGGACGATTATCGAATGGATCAAAAACGAGCTTACCTGGTTGGTTTTCACCCAGACGACCTCGTCTATCCGAGTGTAGCCCCATACACGCAGGCATTCGCGTCCGACTTCCATGGCGCGACCTGTCACCCATAGGAACAGCAATCCCTCATCCTGCAAAGCTGGGATGGGCATAGCTCTCATCTCATCGTCCGTCATGGTTCCATACGGCAACTATGAGAAAATGTTTGGTCAGAGGATTGTCAGGACAACAGAACGTGGAGGACGTACGCTCATGTGAATATCCCATGGTGGATCTGCCATGATGACATGGAATTTACCAAGAACAGAGTAGTCGAACCGACGAAGGTCGCAATTGATCCACTGTGGTGGAAGCTGTACCGCGAGTGTTGTTCGTTAACTGCAGTGACGACAGCTTGAATTAAGCATCGTGACTTACCGTGGTCAGCCCCTTCCCCATGGGTCCCAAACCAATGCCCAACCTATAAGGCTTCTTCCTCATGGTCGTATCCTTCTTCACATCGTCTCCCTTCCCTGCATCTCCCGCATCCCAGTCCACCTCGTAATGCAGGTACCGGCACGGAGCCTTCTCTTTCCCTCTGCCTCCAGCTCCCAGACCTGACGGAAGCTGCGGCTTGGGCCACTGCGCGCTCATGTGGTTCTGCGACGACGGTAGGGGTGGTATGGACGGTGACTGAGCGTATGTGGGCTCCGAATAGCAGGTATTTAGGTAGGAGCAGTGTCCGAGGGCAGGGTCAGTATGGGGCCGAATGAGGGGTCTGAAGTGGACGCGGTCGCAGATGGTGGCGGGGGTGGTGGAGAACGCAGCAGAACGCGCTTTCAGACAGTCTGACTTGGTGATATGTGAGCATATGGGTTCGAATGAAGGATTGGCTGAGCGGAACTGAACATGAATAAACCATGAGTTGAGTGCTTCCAGAGTGATCCGAAATGAGACAGACCTGCTCAGCAAGTAGACGCCCGCGAGCCGTGCTCTTCTGAAGCACGGTATAGACCTCCTTGAGATCCTTCGTCAAGCTCTCAAGTGCAGACACAGGCATTTTCACTTCCTCGTAAGACTCCTCCGCCTCATCCCCGCTACCTGCTGCTGAGTCCGCATCCTCGTCAACCACTCGTTTGCGCTTCTTCCCCGCAGCTACGAAGGCGGCAGCGTCCAACTTGCTGCCCGAGCCAAGATGAATGTCCATGACGGTAAGACCATCATCGTCACGAGAAAGAGTGAGAGAGCCTTGGTCCCAATGGGTTGAGAGCCAGTCGAGGATACGCTCAAAACGAGGCAAGTCTGTGAGACGGAAAGAAGGTGCGGGGGAAGAGCTGAGCAAGCCGTGAGGTGTACCTGCGGCGATGATGGTAGTGAGAAGGTCGATGGAGGATATGGGTGCAGATATCTTCGCTGATGATACAAGAGAAAATATGGACGAGGCCGCCACAGTCCTCAGCTGGTCCTCAGACATGATGCTTGCGATGTGGAGGAGAGGCAAGTGACGCGCGGAGATCGAACAGGGGCAGCCTCGTCGCTTCTTAGACTGGCACCCGTCTCCCACGCAAAATTCAGAGTTGTCTGTTGGGATGCGGCCTTGCTCCAACGTTACTTGGTGGCTGAGGTCAATACAAACAGACAATTTCCTCGCCTTTTACTAGGAAATTCCGTGTACAGGCCTCATCTCAAAGTCACCTTGCGAATTTTTCAGACCTCAGCTCGCTCTGGGAATCTTGAGTCTCTTATTTTACCTTTTCCCTCCCGTCATGAAGGCTTCTTCTGCGCTGACAGTCACAGTGTTGTTGCAGGTATCAAAATTTTTATCGATAAGTACATCGTGTGGTTCTCTAAGGCACTATTTCCTTCCCAGCCCAGTCCCATATTCTCCCCCTCTGTTTCTCCTCCAAACCTGCAACCACCCCACTCAACTTCTCAGCCGCATACTCAGGCTCAAACAGCTTCCCCTCCGGTACTCCACCCCAATACCTCTTACTCAGATCCGTCTTCACCGTGCCCGGGTGCACACCCACGCACATCGCCGGTATCTTCTTCATCTGCAGCTGCAGATCGAATGTTTTTACGACCTGGTTGAGCGCGCTCTTCGACGCACGGTATGAGTACCATCCCCCGGTTTTATTATCCAAGACGGAGCCCACGCGGGCTGAGACGTGGACCCAGCGTGCTAACCCGCCGTTCAGGCTGTTACTCGGAGCAGAAGCGAGGGTATGCGAAGTAGGGAGGAACGTCGAGAGGTGCTTGATGAGGAGGAGATGTGAGATGACGTTGATCTGGAATGCCTGGATAAGCGATGCGGCGTCGAGGTCGGCGGGCTGTTTTTCAGGATGCAGGATACCCCCGGTGAAGAAGGCCGTATGTAGGAACGAGTCCGCGTCTTTGGGAAGTGAGTCGGAGAGCTGTTGAGCAGCGGATGAGATGCTTTGCTCGTTCTCGAGGTTTAGATGTAGAAGTGATAGTCGCTTGGGATCAACGTGTTTGAGAGGCGCGAGGATGTCATTTGAGATGGCTTCGGGCTTGCCTGAACGGTGAGTGGCATAGACGGGTAGGTTGGTTGTACGAAGGTAATGCCTCGTCAAGGCCAAAGACAGACCACGGGTCGCAGGGCAGATCAAGATGAAGGGATTTGCGCGGTTCATGGTGGGCACAACAAGAAAGTCGATGATGAGTTCAGAGGGAGATGCTCGCCCGAATCATCACAGCCTGTCTACCTCATAGAGCGCCTCTCTCGATCGCGACCGCACGATCTGACGCGTCTATGTTGTATTTCAATCACGAGGAGACAAAGTACCGGAGAATCACTTATACCTCTACTGGCCTTTCAAAATCCCACAACAGCTGGATACTCGACTCCTGCCGCGACTAAAGGAAAGGCATGAGCGATCCACAAGGATAGCTATGCCTAATTAGACTTACCAGGTTCTCCAAGGTACGCTGTCCTCTACCGACGGTCATGTCGTCCTGCTGGAAGATGGGTCCATCATCCTTTACCCACCATGCCTCGGGATCCAGTGGGACAAGGTCGGTGCCATTTAAGCCCATGATGCTAAGTCCTTCTGCCTTCTCATTCTTGGTATATATACCATCTCAGGGTTCTTTGGAACCGCTGATAGCCATTATATCCTGTCAACAAGAGAAAACGTGATGGGCCGCGTGCGATGCAGAACTATCGAGGGACAGTGACGAATAACACCAGAGAACGAGTATTTTGATGTCGACATTATATGCGCAAGCAGTTCACATGACATATCTACGAGCTCAGGCTTCGAGCGTGAGGATGTCGTGGATAAGACCCAGAGCAATTTCCGACATTGGTTCCCTCCTTTGATGACCCAGGATGAACCGCGTTCGTGCAGTAAAGATGCTGTATACGAGGCCGGAATAGCTGGAAGTATTTCTGTGGAGAGCCTGGTGGACTATTGCAGTATATTGCGTTGGATAGTAGCTCAGAAAAGGAGGTGAACTGTGGCAAAAGGAAGAGGAAGAACTTGAAGAGCCGACGAGTGGCGAGAACGACTTGAGACCCAACTATAGGGTTAGGTGTCGGTGGTACGACCAGCTTGCGTTCCTCCTGGCTCGCGATCGAGCGCATTGCACCTTGACTGGACATGTCTCAAGCCGTTGGCAACGTAGGTACCTTTTTCTTCTATCACATATACCAGCAGGATCCTGAGGCTATATTTTACTAGACTGCGCTCGCGTATGCACGCGTTTGGCATCATGTCGACGCCAGCGACCGCATTCTTGGGAAACTTGCTGAGCGAATTGCCATCGTTCTGATGGGCAAACATAAGCCCATCTACGATCCTTCTGGTGCGTTCGGTCAATTATCAAGTATATGTTGAACTACTGACACTTTTGACACGTACGTACACACTTAGTTGACTGTGGCGACTACGTCCTGGTGACCAACTGCAAGAAAATCAAAGTCACCGGAAAGAAGGAGCAACAGCTTGTCTTTCGTTCACATACTATGTTTCCCGGTGGCTTGAAGGAGGTCAAGTACCAGAATATGATGGCGAGAAGACCTGATGAGGTGCGTCTGTCATTGCCTCTTCGTGCCAAGTCCTATGGTGTTAACATGTCTTTTCCTCGAACCTCTCCATGTAGATCATTCGCCACGCGGTTTCAGGCATGCTTCCGAAGAACAAACTACGGGATCGTAGGCTGGAAAGGTTGCGGATTTTTGAGGACGACAATATGGGTGTGCTCCAGAAGAATATCTTGAAGCGGTGGGAGGATGGCACACTGCGGTAGCATCCAGCTTGTTTTCGCTTTCTCCTTTGTTGTCGTTGGCATCTTATCCATCCGCTCTTGCTATCCTTTCACCGGACCAGTAGGCTAACAAGACGATTGTGAGGAGCCAGCCATAATAGTACGGCGAGTGGATGTATGTCAAGACATTGAGTGGGACTCCTCAGTCTGTTTCTAGATCACCCTCACCCTCACCCTCATCACCGTCCTCATCCTCGTCTTCGCTCTCAATATCCTCTTTTCTTGCACCTCTACCGGACTCTTCTTGTTCCTCGTCGTCATGTTGTGTCTTGGGACCAACCCTCTTGACTCTCCGAGGTGGTACACTGTCCTTCAACATATGCGACATATGCTCTTGAAGTATCATGCCTGCAGACAAGACAATTTCGAAAACGTACTTCGTGGGCGAGTGGCAAAACGTGACGTACCAATAGCCATCAATGCCGTCCCGTCAAACTTCTTATACATATCTCTCCGTATCTCTTTCTTGCTATCCTTTCCCTTCCCTTTCGCACTATCCCTCATCGTCGCACCGTCCTCCTCATCGTCGGTGTCCTCTTCCTCTTCAGACTCCTTGCCTTCATTCTGCCTCTGTAGCCTCCTGGCCTTCCTTTCCTTTCTCTCCTGCCAGACCTCGGCAGAAGCGTTGAAGAGTTGGCCCTGTGAGGAGTAGTACGCGCTTGCAAAATGGTGGATGCATTTCAATAGATCCTAAGACGCAAAGTAAATACATCGCTTGAGTACACATCCTCTTTCGAACTGGAGGAGTAAGAGGAGCAAGGAAAAGATGCGTACGGAAGACGGCAAAGGCAAACTTGTACCAGCGGAGCCAGAACCTGAGGTTTCGACATTCACATTCTCATATCCAGACCCAAGAAGATCGAAATCTTTCTCTACAAGACCTTTATGTCTCTTTCTTGCTCTGCGACCATCCCCTTCCGTCTGCAACTCAGGTGAACTTCCCTCTCCTTCCCCCATAGCTTCCGGATTGAACTCCTCAGCCTCCTCGATATCCCCTTCTGCGCCCTTCCTCCGCTTCTTCACCTCCCTCGGTACCCCGACAAAACCCACAGCATCCCTCGCGATCCAATTCCCTCTCGCATCCTTCACCACGTATTTCGTCTTTTTCGTATGGAGCCCGCGTGCATGCCTGGGAACGTAGAGCAAGTCTTCGGGCACTTTGGGATCTTGAGAGACGGCCTTCGCCTTTCCCTTGGAGTTTGAGCTGTCATGAGTGTTGCTGGGACCTGGTGCGAAAGGGTTGGGTGCTACGCGACGACCGTCTGGGTGTAGACGGAGGGAGGTGAGGTCGTGGATGGTAGATTTTCGGCCAGCAGCCATGACGGTATATACGCTATGCAGCGGAACAGAAGAAAGATTTGGTGGAGAGGACAGAGCGGAGGAAGTTGAAGGCGCAACGCCACAAGAATTCGTGCGGCGAGGAACACGGTGGCGAAATCATCTCGCCCGCACAGTGATCCAGTTGCTTAGCTGCAACTTGCTTCATCGCTTGAACTTATTAAATGTACACGGACGGAAAACATGCCGACATTGTAACAAGCTGGTTCAATTTTGTTATTTAGCACCAATGCTATCAGCTCCAACAAGAAGAACAAGAAGTCATCGAACGCAGACATCCGCCACGAAGCCCTTTGACATCTACTCCTCGAACGTCTCAGACTCTTCATTCCAACCCAACGTCTCAGGTGCAATACCGAGCCTCCTCAGCATGAGACCAAGTGTCTCTTCCTCCTTCACCTCACTCTCAGCTTCCGTCTCGACTTTATCAACGCTCATATTTTCATCGCCTTCCTCATCTTTCTTAACCCCTTCTTCCCATCCCCATCCCCACTGGCTACCTTTGTTAGCCCCGGTGACACCTTCATCACCCTTCGTCATGTCTCTGACAAGTTCCCATAGCTCGTACGCCGCCTCCCTGCCAGCATCCCTCCATTTCTTCGCCAACTCCGCCAGATGGTCCTCGTCACCCTCTCGCTGAATCTTCACAGCACGTTTCAAAAGCGTCATCCTCCGCTCCAGGGCCTGTATCTTCGGTGTAGGCAAGATCACCGTACGTGAACCATCAGAAGGCTTGGACTGCGCGAGAGGTGACTTGAACTGATTGGCGGCACGAGAAGCAAGAGCTTGCTTTGCGATGGTAGCCCTGACATTTGGAACCGTCGGAAGGGGGGTTTTGCGTGACGGTCCAGCGGAGGATTGAGTGGAAGTCGATTCGTCCTCGAGCTTGACCTGGCGTTCCGCTGTGGCCGTTTTGCTCGTGAGAGGAGAGCGGAACGGCGTGGACAGTTTCTTGTGGGAACGTAGCTGCGAAGCGAGGGTCGGCCTCTTTGGATTCGGGGTGCTGCTACGAGGTGGGGAAGAACGGACGTCATCCATTCTCTGAGAAAAGGGATGAAGTCACACATTTGTGAGAGAGAACATAGGCTCGGAGCGTGAGAAGAAGCGAACCTGGCGTTTGGAAGGTTTAGATGCCTGTCCGTCCATTTCTTCGGCGTCGGTTTCGGTGAGGCTGACGGCGCGCTTTCTGGGAGAAACTTGTGAAGGTGACAAAGGCGGAGGGGAAGAGCTAGGTAGGCATTCATTGAGATGCATCGAAGGTCCAGGGCTCGACATTGTGCATCGAATGCGCGAGGAAGATGTGTCATCGGCATCGTCTGGGATATCCATAAGGATGCTATCACTGTGAACCTCTGGTAAAGGATCCGGAGGAGGGGAAGAAGCAGCCTGTGGCGAGGAATGAGTCCTAGAAGATTCATCAAAAGCGTCCGGGGCAACTTCAGAAATAGGAGAACCAGGCAGGGAAGAAGGCGGAAGTAGTAGGTCATGAGCATGAGACGGCTCCGGGTAACAAGGACTCGAAGGCGGCAGGATGGTAGACTCCTCATCGCGAGCAGTTGTGAATGTTTGAGAAATGGGAAACAGTGGGCGAGGCGAATGAACTAAGCGAGGGGAGTTGCTAAGGTTGGCCGTCTGAGAAACAAGTGCAGTAGGGACATCATTGAGATTCGAGCTGTCTTTAGGATCTGAAACCTCTGCTCCGCCATCAAGACGAGAGTTAGGAGGCGGAGTAAGAAAGTGGCCTTGTATCTTGGTGCTCTCAGTGGCCATAGCAGAAAGCAAGGACTTTTCGTCAGCGAGAGCAGACTGAGAGGCAGAGGGGATGGGGCAAGCGGCAAAGTCGGTCAAGTCAGGATATATGCGGCCATCCCGAGAGATTCCATCGGACTCCTTAAGATGATACATACCTCAGCATATAACCTTGGAAGATTGCTATTTCTACTGACCGTTGTTATCTGGGCATCATCAGCTTCCAGACGATGTGGTACGGGAAGTGATCCGTCGAACTCATCCGTTAAGCTGGGGGTCTGGACAATCGTGAAAGTGAGCATATATGCACCTAAAACAGCACGAACATAACTAGCACACCTCTTTGATGGTATTAGACGTCCCTACTGGCGCATCAGGTGGAGAGGTCGGAGGTGACGTTGCTACTGCGCGAGGAGGACTGGATAGACCCCACGGTGGAGGAGAGGACGAGGGTACAGAGGGGCTCGGATGCGGTTCATGTTGGCGGGTCTCGAGTGTTCTTCCAAACCAGGACCCGATTGATTCGTCAGGTTCTTCCGCACTTTCCTGGAGAGAAGAGTCGCGGAAAGGGATATCCTCGACGTAGGAGTCGTTCTAAGCAATGAACATATGCATCAGAGGAATGTGGATACGATGGGAAGACGAGACAAGTTATCCATTTATTCCCTTCCTCAAATAGTGCAGCCACGCTATGATTGCCCAAATGATGGACGGCACGTAGCCTTGTGGCCAGAAGGTAGCATGCCTCCACCGTGGACCGTGGCCGCACGGTCTGAAGACTCACTCTATGTTCCATGCTTGTGGGACGGGAGGAATGCACAGAATCCACCAAGTCCTTCCATGGGATTTAGGAGACTCGTTGTGAGCAGCATGCCGGAACGAGATTGCGAGAAGGGAATACCTGGACGTGGTCCCCCAATAGATCGCTTTCCATGCGGGTCGGTCTCTCGAGACTCACGTCGCACCGTTCAAGGAGCTAAGAAACACGGATTTTAGCATTTCTGCATAACGACTGGTCAAATAAACGTACTGAAGTGTCGTCGCTCATATATGCGTTTGAGAGTAGCGAGCTTTGTACGTTACCGTGGCGGTCAAAAGGAGATGGAGTGCGTGGGAAAGAAACAGAAAGGCGTAAATAGGGTCGTTGGATCGGCAGTGTCCGGAAGGGTTCTTGATGCCCAACGTCAACATTCGTTCAACAGCTGCAACATGAACTCGCATTTTGTCCCACACATAGCAAACCGCAGCTGCTCACTCTCATCAGTCATATCTTTTATAATACCGAGTGCAAGTCACTTGACACTCCGGGCTCGCTCGCTCACTTTCGATATGCTGTTGGTCGCATTGGTTCCACGATGAAGTGGAGTCGTCGTAGTATTAGGTGACTTTTTCTGCCGGACTGTGGCACATCCCTCGATAACCATAAGTACCCATCTTCACACCGACACGTACCACTGCGCCAGATACAGACACATGTTGATACGGTAGGACTCCTTCATCGCCTTCCCGTGCCACCTACGATGGATCTCCACTAGGATCTTCGTTCACAGCGCCATGCTCACTCTGAGTCCTGACGTTTTCTATTCGACGAGTCGTGGATACCTAAGTCGCGTCATGAGGAAGTTGCATATATTTACATACCCGAGGTGTGTTACCAGGGTGTGCTCAATTATCACTCCTTTCTCATGACGCGCAGCGTTGCATTCAGACTCTGGGTTTACAGCCATAAAGAGGGTGGCGGTCTACTCACAGGCCCTGTTTTCATCCCCATTCCCCTCCCGCCTAGCCATTATGAACACTGCGCTTGCTGCATTCGTCTTGGCCCTTCCATTTTTAACCGCGGCTGAACGTACCGCTCCTCGTGTCGGCACCGTCATACCGTTGTCACGTCGCTTCAATCTAGCGGACGACAGTGGTGTAGTGAACACGACCTTCATCCAGCGTCATAAATCTTCTGTGCAGAGGAAGATTCAGCGGGGCTTCGCTGCGTTTGAGCGAAACACAGGAAGCGTTCATCCTAGCAACATAGCGGGCCTTACAAAAAGGGCCACCGGCGCAGACGCATTGACTGACGATGAGGGCGAACTGTGGCAAGGAGATATCAGCGTTGGGACGCCCCCTGTCGGTTTCACTGGTACGGTCACTGTCCACTTTAACAGAGCACTGAGACTGAGTTAGACCTATTTCAGTTGATTTCGACACTGGTAAGGCTTCTTTCGTGTCCAGAATCCAAAGTGTTCTGACGATGCATATCAGGTAGTAGCGATCTGTTCTTACCAGGAGTCGACTGTACGGTGAACTGTGAAGGTCACACCTTGTTCGATCCCTCTGCCAGTGCTACGGCAGCCGACCAGGCCCAACCATATAGCTTAGCATTCGGCGATGGCTCTACGGTTGAAGGAGACGTATTCACCGACACAGTAACTGTGGCGGGCCTAACTGTGAGATAATCTGCTACCTCGAAGGTGCATAACTGAACACTAATATATCGAATTTCAGGCGACCAGTCAATCTGTGGGCGACTCCAGCCAGTACTCTGCGGGTTTTGCAATCGATGAATTTCCCCCGGACGGTCTCTTGGGTATGGGCTTCCCCGAAATATCTGTCTTTGGCGACAATCCCTTCTTCCAAACGCTCGTCGCAGAAGGCGTTGTCACTGCTCCTGAATTCGGGGTCAAACTCGCACCTACGGGCTCTGAGCTCTTCTTGGGAGGCGTTGACACTTCTGCCTTCACTGGAGACATCACCAACGTCCCCGTTAATCCCGTCGTATGTTTTACTCCTTCCACATATGCTCCCGCTTCTCACATAATTTGTTTTATAGGGGTTTTGGCAAGTCAATATGGATGCTGTGTCAGCGGACGGAACAGCTGCTGTCACCGACGTAACCACTATTGTTGATACTGGTACGGCCATTTCTCTGTTGTTGTGTGGTCTCCTGCTCAAGTTCTGAATAGGTACTACCCTGATCATCGGACCCACTGACGACGTGGCGGCCTTCTACGCTGCTGTACCAGGTTTTCAGTTTTCTCATGAACCTTTACAGTGATGTCAATTGATCACTGTTACCCAGGTTCCCAGGACGCCTCACAAACCCTCGGTGCTGGCTTCTTCACATGTATGTTCCAAAATCTAATTTTATCTAACAGTCGTGCTCAGAGTCCCTTCCTACTAGTCCCATGTGCTTCTGTGCCAGACGTCAGCTTGACTTTTGGTGGGACGGCGTTTCCTATTTCCGCGGACACGTTCAACCTCGGCCAAGTTGCTGTCGGCTCCCCCGATTGTGTTGGCGGAATCACCGGCGAAGATGGTATTCCATGTATGTCGGTTTTGCTTTCATGATCCATCATTTTTCAATTGAAATTTTCTTGTCAATAGTCTGGGTCGCCGGAGACGTGTTCTTGCAGAATGTTTACGCAGGTTTGTGTTTCCATACATTCTTCGAACGGCTGATCCACTAACAGAAAACGATAGTCTTTGACGTCGGCAACACTCAAGTCGGGTTTGCTACTCAGGCCTGATCGGACTCTGTCGCTTGGTCAGGCTGGGAGAATTGTACCCAGAACTGAATTTGTATGCTAGACATGTAGTGCTATTTCGGATAATTATTTACATCTGGCACCTTCATAAGTCTTGGAAATGCACCGGAGAAGAGCTACCAAAGGCGTTTGGATCATATTGGACGAGTCTGAGCGAATGTTGTCTGCTTCAAGTTGTGAGCTCCGGATTGTCCGAAGGAGCTCCGATTTCCCCCGCGGCATGGTACATACTCAGTCACGACCATTGTTGGCCGCTTTCGTGTGGTACAACCACTCCCTACAGAGTCGAGGCACCATGCCATCGTCAAAAGGCGGTGTGCATCTACCAGACTACCTAGGCCTCTGATCCAAATACATTCTCTGCTCGCCAACGAATCTCTTCAAGTTGATGTCAGTATAGTAAATTTCATCGACGGACAGGATAGCTTTGGCTTTCATCTCGATCTTCGTTCACTGAGACATATTCATTCGCAGTCCAACAGGCAATCTCTTCATCGAAATGGGGCCGTTATCTGAGGAACACTTGGAGATGCAATTCTCGATATTCGACCTTCTCTCCTCCATGTTTTGCCTACCAGGCGAACTCATTTGCGAACCTTCAATACCAAAATACATTGAGGAATTTAGGTCCACCCTCTCCGCAGAGTCACTCCCAAGCACACTGGACCTTACTCTGTTTTTGGATCTTGAATCACCTCGGGCCACCTCAGCATTACGAATCGATATACGGCTACCGTTACGCTACCCCACCACAGAACATGACCACAGTCCGCCCCCTGCACTATCAATTCGCAAACCATCATATCTATCTCGATCTGCCCTGGATTCTCTTACATCTGGGACTATTCCTCATGGACATCCGCTGGAAGACACGGACATATACGCCACAATAGATACAATCCGCGACACTGCTCTTCTTTTGTTGGAGGCGGAGGGTGTACCCGACGTTCCAGCAGATATAGTAGACAACCTTTTCCGGGTTTGGTTCTACTTTCCATCTCTATCCACAAGAGAAAAGCGGAAAGACCTTGTACAGTGGGCCGTGAGTTCGTCTGAACTACGCATACCGCAACCAAAACATTGACGTACTAGCATCATCTAACAGCCCCAATATGGCCTGACAGGCTTTGTTCTCGCAGGTGAGAACAACACATTGTCAGTTCTACTCATCTCAAAGACTTTTATGTCAGGTAAACCGGGCGTCTTGTGCTTGGAAGGTGGGGCCACACAGATCGACAACTACATGAAGGACATCAAGACGAGAAGCTGGGCCGACATACCGTCATAGTTCGTACCCCATCTCGTCGTATAACTTGTGATCCCCGTTCGTAGCTCACTGAACCATAACAACTGCCATCGCTCTCGGCCAGTCAAAAGAAAGTCAGCGAGCGATGGCGCCAAAGCCTCCCGTCGTCAACTGCAAGGAAGTTTGCAGATATGCAGGAGGTGGCCATCACTCGACATGGACAGAAGGGTAACCGAGGAGAGATGGCTGAGTTGCAGGATTGGTTGAAAGAGAAAGGTTGCGGGGAGGCGTTTGAAAAGGTGATCCTTGGGGCCGAGTCTGCTTGACATTGTAGGGCGCTTGATGGACGAGGAAGTATTGATATTCGAGTCTGGCTCCTGACGACGGGTGTACGCGGAGCACCAGGACATAAATATGGGATTTGTGCACAACTAACATGAGATGTCCACAATATACTACATCCCCTCATCGTCTTGCCTGCATCTTTACCCTGGGGTCTCCTCGTTCGCTTCGCTTCTTTAGCTTTTCCTGTCTCTTGCTCAAGGACTCTGGGGCAGCCGGTGCCTCTTCTGCGTTGCTCGAAGATCTTCCAAAGCCAAGCATGGGTCCAATGAAACCCCAGAACTTATATATCACAAAGGCGGGTATCTGAGGCAATACACGCGAGATGAAGATTGAGATATAGCGAAGCGTCACGATCAGACGTACCACTGCGTATAACCACCACAACCATTCACCCAGGAGAGCGCTGCCAACCTGAGCAGCCCCTGTTGCGGTAATAAGATCTATTTAGAGGTTGAGGGAAGGGTTGAGAAAGGTAAAGCGTACATGAGATATAGAGAACGTCGAACATCCATTCCGTTACTCCAGGTTGATTGAGATCCTCTCCAGGTGATATCATCGAACCACTTGCGTCCCGCTTTGGTGTTCCCATGGATTTCAATCGTGTATACAGATACTGCGAACCTACTCCAGTAGTTGTGTAGAGAAACATTCCTTTCTTGGTTTTCAGAAGTGTCCCGAAGAGCAGACGAAGAATGAAGGCAAGGACGACGCTAGCAGTCTGCCCATAGAACAGGTTCTGAAGTGCTGTTTCATTTTGTGAAGCTGTTGTTGTGCGTAACAGTCATTAGGGCGAGAACAGAACGTTTCGAACATAGCGCACCAATGCGTTTTGCGGATGCGTTGGCCATCGCAAAGGTTGACGTGGAGAACAGCAACGAGCGAGGCCGATTGTCAACACAGGTTCGCGTTCGCGTGAGAACGCCACTCATTCTCCTTTCTTGCCACCATCTTACATGCGATCATAGCATGTCTACTGAGGATAGGACTGTCGCGCAGAAGGTCTTGCAGAACAATAAGGATCACCAGTACGCTCTCAAAGTCTATACGGAACGATTAGAGGCTGAGCTTCAGACAGTTGACAAATTCCTGGTACGTTTTGTTTCACTTCGAGTCTTTTCATCAGCTCATATTCACAGGCACTTGCAGATGTGGAAGATGAAGCCGAAGAGGACAATCAGCCTGAAGGTCAAGGCTCGATTCAAATCCCAGGCGCAATAAGACCCTTGGGCGTTCTGTCTGCTTCAGAACTTCTTTCTGAGGTAAATGCCCCTTGCACAAGGCCTGTAGCTATGAGCGTTAACATTTCGCTGTAGAGCTCCCCATTCTACGATGATAGTGCTAGACGCCAACGATACCTCACGGCCACCGAATCTCATCCTAGTGAGCTTCTTCACTCTGCGCCACACTTACTCTCTTATTTATCTTGGCAGTGAGTCTCAAGGAACATGAGGCGTTGGCGGAGGCCATACGCATGGAGAACTATCGCTTGTACGCCTATGAGGCCCAAAGACGGTGAGTAGGCATCAAACATTCGACAATGAGTTGCTCTGACACATTGGTTTACAGTGGATTACCACCTTTCTTCAGCGCACACGATCAGCCTCAAAATTTAGAATTGAACAAGGACGGGATTGATTGGGATCGTGTTGCAGACAAGGTAGATGTCGCGTCTTTTGTATTCTGCGTCTACTCGACTAGATTCCTTTCTGATAGGTCAACACGAGTCTTGGATCCACCGGTACACGGACTGCCTTGGAATGCCAGATACGATGGCTCGGAAATCGGCACCCTCAGTATAATCATACCCAGTGGACGTTTCAAGAGGTGACTAAGGCCAAGGCTCTCATTGCCGATATTCCTCGAGGTCAAATCGACTGGATTGACATAGCAGACCAGCTTGGAGTGAGCACATACCTACTGCTACAGGCGTGCTTCACAACTCACCGTCTGTCGTGTAGACCCAGCGCACTGCAATGGATGTTATGCGGCGTGCAGTTCCGAGGGCCGTCCATGTATGGGACAGAGATGCTGACGAACGCCTCTTGGACGCCGTCAAGGTCTACGGAGTGGAGAATTGGTCCCTAGGTCCGTTGCTCTACACCCCGTACTTCTGCGCAGAAACTAATGCACAAGTGCTCAGTGGCCCGGCAGGTATCCGAGGATGTCACCCCTGCACAATGCCAAAATAGATATTATCGGTCACTTGATCCATCTCTCAGGCGGGGTAATTGGGTAGACGAAGAGGATACTCGTTTACGACAAGCCGTCGCTCTTTTCGGAAACTCGTGGGTTGACGTTGCGTCCGTCATGCCAGGCCGCAACAACGAGCAATGCCGAGATAGGTGGTCCGAGCGTCTTAACCCGAATGTCGCGAAGGGCAAATGGACTCCGGAAGAAGATGCGAAAATGCTTGCCGCTGTCGAGGAGTTGGGAGACGCTACTTGGAAGGCTGTCAGCGAAAAGCTTGGGACTGGTCGGACAGATAATATGGTATGTGCAACTTGGTTCTGATCAGTCTGTCGTCTTAACAAGCGAAATCTAGTGCCGCCATCGATATCAGCTAATAACGAAGAAACGTAGAGAGAAACCCACGTCTATCGCTGGTGAACACGCAAAAACGCCCAGTCCGCATACTAATACTACAGAAGCACCCAACATCGCCTCGACATCGACAGCCATTCCTCAGCAAGCGCCTGCGGCAGGCGTAAGTCCCTCTGAGGTCGACATAATCAGTGACGAACCCCCTCCTGTTCGCAAGCGTAAACCTCGCGCCCGTCCAATCAACAAAATCCCCGCCGCAGAGCTCGCGGAAAAAAGAGCAGCGCTTCCCGTGGGCGCTTCATCTGCGACCATGTTGGTTGAGCCTGCTACACAAGCCGCTTCTAAGCCTCGCGCCAGACGTCGCAGGCCGAAGCAAGTTGACGCCACAGTCCCCGATACTCCCACCGACGAGGCCACAATCCCTGAGACTGCTGATCCCGAGGTCGCATCAGCAGAAGATCCGTCTCCACCTGTTGTACCTCCTCGCCCTCTCCCGCGTCCTCGTGCACGTCCCCGCAAGAAGGTCGCAGAGCCGTCTGAGGTATCCCAACCTGGTCCTTCCGGTGGGTCCAATAACGGTGGGCCCAGCCAAGCGACGCCACACCCAGCGGTTTTTACCAACATCTCACACGTGGGAGCAGATTCAGACGAAGGGCTCGCTACTCCACAAACTGGTACACTGGCCCAGCATGAAGAAGAATCCATTGTTCTGCCCCATCCTCGGTCCTCTAAATCAAAGGGAAAGAAGAAAGCGGATCCTCCCTCGCTTAACCCCACTGCACTCTCTGCAGACACTTCGAAGGCCGGTCGAAAATCCCGAAAACGGCCAGCCCCCGATGAAACAATCCTTCCGAACTCTGAGCCTCCTAAACGACGACGAGTCCCTTCACGCGGGGCAGAACTTTCTGCGAATACAGGTAGCTCTGCAGACATATTGCCTAGCCACGGTATGTTGTCTGAACTGAAGTAAACTATTCGATGCTGATTGTCTTCTAGATGACACTCAGAACGCTGACGACAGAAGTGTTGTTGCTGAACAACCGTCTTCACCGCCTTCCCCACGCAAGGGGAAAACGCCACGGAAAACAGCCACCGCACCTACTCGTAGGCAACCTTCGAGGGGTGTACGAGGGACTGCAGCGTCCGATCTCAATTCGACGGAGGCTCCGTCTAGTGGCAACAAACACGACATGACCGAGCTCTCTGACCTGTCGTCGGTCGAGTAGAATACCCAGAGAATACATTGTCACTTTGCTGGGAGCCAGTAACAGCATCGTGTTAATCCGAAAAGATGCTGTATGGTCATATGTATGTAACGCATAGCAATGCGAGGGCAGATGCCGCAATAAAAATACAAGATCTCGCCTACCACAGCAGGCGAGGAGTACAATAACACATAGAGATCGAAAGCAGCTACTAGGCACTCAACTTCCAACGCTTCCTCTGTTGCCCTTGAGCTTCCCAATTGACAATCGCACCAAGCAACTCGCCATCATCTGGGCCCGACGTGTCTTCTGTCGCAAGTAAAAGGTTCTTGAGTGACTCTTGGACTAAACTTGCGTTCTTCAACTTCTTCTCTAAGGAGGGAAGTGCCTGTTTCTTTGGTGGTGAAGGCTGATAGAGGTGGATCATGTTAGAAGCGGCATATCCGAATGAAGGAGTAGACGTACAGGTGTCCGAAGATAGGTATGTTTGGGCGGGAGGGCGGGATGGAAGTGCGGTATGGCACGAAGCGTAGCAGGTATCACAGGGATAGAGCCTTCGTCGTCTGATGGCAGAAGGTCGGGTAGAGGAGGCTCCGGAAGAGCAGGAACAACAGTCAGCGGTTTAGGGAGGACAACGTTTTCTGTGGTGTGGGTTTAATTATGGACTGCACAGAAAGTAGGCAAAAGAGGAAGCACACTTGATTTTTTCCTCTCTTTCTCTTCATCCGCCAAAGTGCGCAGATCGTCACGGTTGAGTCCAAACTCGTCGCAAGCAAGGATAACGTCTTTGGCCAAAGGAGCAGCTCTACTCGCAAGATTGGCGTACTCTTGAGCTCGACGATGAAGATTGTCAATGACTAGAGAGAAAGTCTCGTGTTAATTCTAAGACGGTTTCGATGGTAGAAGTCACATACAAGCCACAAACTCATTCTCAAGCCATCCCATCGCAGCAGGCTCTGCTGCATCAAATCCCTCATTCTGTAGCTCAGAGGAGATCAGTCGCCGCAGAGCAGTCGATGCTACATCAGGGGTGACTTCCGGGACTGTAGGGGTAGCAGACGCGCTGGGCTCCGGATCGGGAGAAGTCTTCAGAGGAACGGGGTAGCCAGTATAAGGGACCACACCAGGCTGCATTTGCGTGTAATTTGCTGCTGGATAGTGAGTTTGTGATGGATAATGAGCGTACGACATCGAGTAGGAGCCGTAAGAGGACGACTGAGGATACGTTTGCCCAGAGGTGGAGGACATGATCGTGGTTCTGGTTCAAGAAGCGTTTGTGGCCAAGTTGTGGCGCGCCGTATTGCTTCCGCCACCGACACCTAACTTGACTCCGCCGACCATCACAGACCTTCACAGACCTTCTTATCGTACCTCCTTCCTGTTACTTATTCTTAACTTCTGACGGCTCTTTACTTTCTGTATCTATACACGAGTTTATACTGTGATGTCTCACCCTACTGCAGAGGCCGAGCAAATGCTTGCCGAGAGACCACATGCGCCTGTAAGGACAGAAACATTTCGCGCATCCCGTCCACCTATTGTCGGTCCAGATAGCCCCACGCAACCATTCCCCATATACCTGTCTGGTGCAGTCCAACGCGGATTTGGAAGAGGAGGAAAGGATCTTGGTTGTCCAACTGGTGAGCTTTCTGAAAGCATGAATCATATCCATATCCATATCTTCATACCGTACTATCTTGTAGCCAATCTGCCCGATGACTCCATAGCTCCCATGAGCAGCGTCTGCGAGACCGGCGTGTACTATGGATACGCTCAAGTCTCCCCATCTAATGATGAACAGACGGTGTTGCACGAGGATGACATTAAAGTACAGCCCATGGTCATGAGCTTGGGGTGGAACCCGTTCTACAAGAACGAACGCTTGACAGCTGTAAGTTCGTCTTTCTCTTTAACTCTGTCACCAAGGCATAGTGGCTCATATCCAATGCTTCTCCAGGAAATCCATATCATGCACGAGTTCAAGTCCGATTTCTACGGGCATAACATGCGGGCCATCGTCCTCGGTTACATTCGCCCAGAACTCGACTACACGTCCAGAGGTGAATATTCTTTCCCGACTTCCTGACCAAATCTCACCCAAATATGTCGATTTACTATCTAGAGGCTCTCATTGATGACATCGAAACCGACAAACTCGTCGCCATCAAGTCGCTTGAACGACCAGACTACAAGAAGTTTGCATCCGACCCTTCATTCCACCCTCAGAAACTGTGAAGCAGAACAGCACGAACCTCTCTAGAGGCCTTAGATGTAGAGGAACGTCATGTTGAAAAGGCCCACATATAGAGATTGTATTTTCATTCAAGTAGAACAGGATCTTCCCTGACCCTCGCCATCGGCAACGCGCCGGAGCTTTCAGATCCTTGAATCTGTGCCAGCGATCTACTGCCTCTCGTGAAGTCCTTGTCGACACGACTATTGCTACCGATATCCTTATAGATCTCGCAGTGGGTGTCGAGGCCTTAGCGGTGCTGATTGAGGAGGGAAATCCTATTGGATATTGTAGTTTACGCTTTCATAGGTCTGCTTCATTATATAGAACCATTAAACAATACTTAAGAATGAGATTGGAGACTTCCTGGGTGGAGACACACTCAGCTTCTGCGTATCCTACGCCACATCGTTGGGGCGCCACCCGTACAGTAATTCAAGCTCCGACAAGCGCTTCTTCAAGGGAGTTCGAATTCCCAACGATCCTGTTCGGAGTTTCCACTGCCAAACCGTGTTTCTCAACCAAACCAGTACAGAGTGCACGATGTACAACGGTATCGGACTAACGACTCCTCGCGGAAGGTAAGTAAATGTACAGGACATACTCTATAGTAGCTGACCGGATTATTCAGTGGTACAAACGGTTACGTCGTTCGCAACCTCTCTGCTCTTCGCTCTCGCGACACTGCCCAGGACCGTGCCAGCGCATGGGATGTTGCACCTCCAAAACATAGGGAACCGGACCAAGGGATCTTGGAGCATGAAGCGAAAAGAAAGGTAGAGGTCAAGTGTCTGGAGTTGCAACTCGAACTGGAAGACAAGGAGTGAGTCTCGCTTACTTTATAACTCAATTCAGGCGCTTACGAGTGCGCTCGACAACTCAGGTTCGAAGAGGACGAGATTGAACGACAAGTCGCTGCTCTGCGCGAAAAACTTTCATCAATGCTTCCACCTCCCACAAACGCGAAGTCGCTCAAGCCATCAGACACTCACGGCCTCGCGGCCGCCAAAAAGGCCGAGTTGAACAAAATGGCTATGGCTCTTGGGACACGTTCCGATTATGTGGAAGGAGACTCTTTTAACCAGGAGAAACAGGAGCAGGATCGCATGAAGAGGATGGCGGAACGCGAAGAGAGAGACCGAAAGCGAGACGAAGATAGGAAGAGATACGCTGAGCAGAGGGAGAAGTGGGAACTGGAGAGAAAGGAGAAGGACAGGTTGCGAAGGCGCGAGGAAGATCGGAGGCGGAAAGAGATGGAAAGCGTCGGAGGCAAGACCCGTGACGATGATGCTGGCCGTCGCAGAATGCCTCCACCACCACCGCCTTCCTACGGGCGAAACAGACCAAGGGACTCTGGCTACAGTCGTCGCAGCCGAAGCCCACCTCCCCGCCGTGGCCGTGACCTTGATGACTCTCCTCCTCCTCGTAGGCGCTCTCCTCCACTCGAGTACGATGACGAGCCACCTCGTCGTCGCCTTCCCAGCCGATCACCCTCACCGCCAGCCCGTCGTCGCCGCATTGATTCTCGCTCTCCCCCTCCTCGAGACCGACGTCGTGACTCACGCTCACGCTCGCCTCCTGGCCGTCCGTTGTCGCCTTCGCCGCCGCCTCGCCGTGGCCGTGATATTTCTCGATCTCGATCTCCCCTTTCGCGCTCTTCCAGGTCCCCCGTCGCCCGCCGCGGGCGGTCCTTGTCCGATTCGCCTCCAAGGAGGGCCCGCTCCCCAGCACCGCCGCACAAGACATCTCGCGATATCAAAGACGGCCTTGATGGAAGTAAGAGAGGAAGAAGTGCATCGAGAGGCCGCGATTCCCGTTCTCCCTCTCAATCACCGCCCAGAAGGAGAGCGAGGTCGGATTCAGCGTCTTCCATGAGTGTCAGCTCCAGGAGCGATTCCCGTAGCCGGAGCCGCGATTAGGACATGGCATGTTTCTCTGATCGTGATATCAATAACTGCTCCCAAATTCTCCGTCTGAGTTCGTTTCCGGCTATGATGATGTAGGAATATTTTGCCGGTCGTTTGGACCGAGAATCCACCTTGCTTGTTTGTTGTGCTTTGCTTTGCCCTCCCAAGTTGAACAACTCACAAAGTACCGAAGCCGAAACACGCAGTAGAGGATCAGAGACAAGACATCCCAACAATTTGCTCGGTCGATAAATCTGCCAACATCGGAAATCATCTACACTATCGTACATCACAATACAGTAACGTATATGCCTGTATGAGGGTCTCTTCACCGCGAACTCATCATCCTGAGGAACAAACAATCACACAGAAACAGGCGCGACCTTGGGAAGGGCAGGAATGTCGATGTCGACGGGGGGCCCAGCGATTGGGGTGCCAGTGGTGTGACCATTGGTACCATTCAGTCCGTTGGAGGTCGTGCCGTTCGCCTTCGCCACGTCCTGCTTGAGAAGAGCAGGGTCCATGCCGAGGTCGCCGTAGTCGACGAACGCCTGGGAAAACAACGTGGTAAGGATCATGTATCATGCCAAAGCAGAGAGAGATGCTTGCCTCGATTCCGTCACCGCTGCCGTATTTCTCCTTGATGAGGGCCTTGTGGACGTCGAGGGCATGGTAAAGCTCTTCGTAAGAAGCATCATTGACGAACACGCATGATCCATAAGGCCTTGGGATAGCAAACCGTTGCGCCCCATCGCGAGTTTTCCTTCGAAAAAATGTCAAGATCGTAAAGGTGATGCAGCGAAGCAGCCACGAACATGATAGCCTCAGTGGCCTGTACAATCATGTCGCGAGTGAAAAGCTCGTGATCCATGGACAACCCGACGGAGTGTGAGAGACGGTGGTACTCGTCGCGCTCCGTCTTCGTGAGATATCCACGAGTCCATCCGAAAGTAACGAAGTACGCCATGTCGATGTTGATGGCATGGCCGTGACGAAGAGGGATGACGGGAGCGAGCTCCAACGTCGGTGACCAGCTGTGACCGAATGCGATGACTCTGTCCAGGCGAATCTCGTGAAGGTTGGGAGTCTCAAGCTATAAGAATGCAAGGCTTAGAGTTCGTGCTGAAACGTGTATAAGTAATGTTATACGGACGTCGAGCATGACCTTGATACCTCGGGAGGTGATCTCGTCGGCTATCTTCTTGAGCTCGGGGTCGCTACCATCAGCACGACCAAAGCGAGTCTTAATCAAGGCAGGACCGTTGTCGACAAGCAACTTCCACGAACGCGCATCAGCGCAGGAAGTAATCTTCATCAACTCTGCAGTGGGGTTGAGTTCCCATGTTTTGGGGATGAGTTCCCAAATCTGTAGAGGAGAAGTGTGGGCTCGCCCACTAACCAGCGAAGCCATTGCGGACCTGGCCCTCAGGCAAGGTCTTGAGCATGTCGAAGTCAAGGAAAGTTACCAATGGCGCATGACTGTATGGCGTATGCGTAAACTCTGTCGAATTAGCTCGCGGGCAGGAAGAAACGACATACTATGCTCCCAAGCGGTTCTTCAGAGCACCATGGTTTATACCAACTGAGACAAGTAATCAGACTGCTGTGGTCGAACGATACACCCATCACTCACCCTTGATCGAAACCGAGGCATCAATTAAACCTATCAAGGTGGTGGGAATGCGGATGAAGTTCGTGGTGCGCCGGTAGGAGGCGCAGGCGTAGCCAGTGACATCGGTACAAAGACCTCCACCGACCACGAGAACAGGCTACAAGGATTGAGATGAGTTCGATATAAGGGAACCAATAAAATAAAGCAACAAACCTCCTTACGAATCAGACCAAAAGCGTTCATCGCATCGACGATGGACAGCATGGTGTTCATGGTCTTGTTCTTCTCACCACCGTTCATAATAAACGTGGTCAGAGGGATACCATGGTGGGCAAAGTAGGCGGACCATTGCTTTGAGTAAAGCTCGTTGACGTTGGTATCCGTGACGAGCAATACCCGCTTCCATGGCTTGTATATCTTCGCGAGATGGTCGTGCTTAGAATCGAAGATGTTGTCAACGAATTGAAACCCTATGAAGTCAATCATGGTACTATGAGTAAATGGACAATCGTGACAATAGATATAAGAAAAACCGTAGTTGATCTCCTCGTTGCCAACGACAGTAAAACCATTCTTCGTGGTAGTGATATCGGCGGTGAGCTCGCTCATGATGAATATGAGGGTGAAGAATGGACGAAGGTAGTTGTTGGAATAAGCCTACTGATCCATAAGTTCGCGCCATTGATATATGTCCGGCCAAACCTCGTGCGAGTTTGCTGGCAACCTATGGCAACTACATCGAGAACAAAATTCGAGGGTACCAATGTTTACTCGTACAAACGCAAAGCTCTCGTCCAGAGACAGGACGAGACGATGGTCGCAGTTGTTAGGAAATAGATGGTCAATCCTGGCAGGGCGCCGAACCACCGAAGGTCTTGATTGGGGTTGAATGAATACAAAAAGGCCCACGTATGTTACATTCCGATTGATTGTGGAGTACCATCTCCAATGCAGACACCCTCGATGCGTCCGAAAAGATTCGGGAGACACAGGTGGAGAAAGACGGCAATTGAAGAGATCCTTTTGGGGATCGAGCAAGGGGTCTGCTAGACCTAAATCGTTTTTATGGCGAAGATCGAATATGAGTTTTCATAGATGACGGCACATTTTCAAGGTCTGATCATGTCCAAGGATACAGAAGACCTAAAGGAACAGAGGGGAACGCCAGGACCCCTGCATATGCCGGAGGAGGTCCCATCCGAAATCCCCAAATTTTGCCCTTTTTGTCGCACGATTTTGGGCCCCTTTTTGTCCGCACGACGATGGGACCTCAGGATTTTGACCATTTTGGTCCGCAGAACGGGATGGGACCTCAAAATTTTCGTTTTTGGTCCGCACGATGGGATGGTACCTCAAAATCCGCATTTTTTCCTTCCATATATTCATATAAAATCAACGAAAATTTGCTCCAGCCGGTATTGAACTGCATATACTGGTGTACGTCCTTAATTTGCCCCCAATCGACCTCCTCTTCCATTTCCGAGCTATCCTCCTCTTGTGGCGCCACAGCGCCACCCTGTGGCACTGCAATGAAGACTCGAACGACATCGTTGATTTCTCCCGTACGCGCGCATATGGTCCGAAACAAAGCCAATACCTAAGGTATCAGTTTCATTGTCATGGGAAGGCCTTAGGTGTCGACGTCGATGTCTGTCTGCCTGATGACCTTCGAAATTGCTAGCGATAGGAGGGCATGGGTTGGAGGATTGAAACGAGAGAATCTGGCAGACCGAGTAAACAGAGACTACGCTGAACGTTGAACAGCGACCATCAGCGACCAACCTTAGTCTCCTTGAGCAGAGTAGCCTATCGGTTCAACCGGCGGGCGCGAGGATCAAACCAACTCATGTACAGGTACAGAGACTCGGACACTCTCGGACTGCACTCAGCGAGAGCTGGCGAATAGACAAATTCATGAAAGAACCTAATTTATGGTCTGAAATGCTTGACATTGTTGAAAGAAACAGCTCAGCAGGTACACTCCGCCGGAATGTAACTCGAAAACAATGCTGTCGGCTACGCAACGCGTCGAAAAAAGAAAATAAATGGCATCAGCCGCCACCGATATCGGGAAATGTGCAGCCCTATTTGGTCCGCATGCCGATGGTACCTCGCGGGCGACCAGGCGCTTTTGTCCGCACTATGGATCGGACAAAGGCTGATTTTTGGGCCAAAAATTGTCGCACCAGGATGGGACCTCCTTCCGCATATGCAGGGGTCCTGGAACGCCTTCATTCTAACTCGGAAGGTCCTCCAACGTAGGCGAGGGCCGGCTGTTTCCGTACTGGGACCACAACAAGTTCGTCAGCGTATCCATCGCAGTCCCATTTCCCTTCATCATACCTGCGATGCTCGGCATCGACTGGAGAGTCAGTCTGGTCATGGTCATGATACATCTCTTGTATTCTGTGGTGTGTCATTTTCTATATACGTCCCGCAAGAAGTAGCCATGCTTCTGGTTATAGCGTGGCCCGACTGAACACCACACGGTGGATGAGTTGAGGCAAAGATCGACCTTGAAGCTCGAGGCCTGAGGTCGTTGACGAACGGACATTCTCCCTTTTCCAGAAGAGGACGGTTGGTAAACTCATGTATTGCTCGCTTAGGTATACTGAAGCGTCTGAGCTAGCTGTACCCACTTTCCCCACCATCTGATATTCCTGCCGCCATGACCGACACTGTCTCAGAGCCTCCCGCGACTCCTAATGACCGCCTCTGCGAGATCATCACTCATCTATATCATCAGATACATTCTCTTCCACTTGGAGATTTTCAGTCTAATTCTACTCTTCAGAAACTCGTAGACGAGGCTAAAGGCATCGTTGACGGTTATGACACTTATTTGACTGCATACTCCTCTCCCGCCCTCCCGATTGTCCGTCGTATGGTCGATCACGGAATGGAGGTTGATTGGGACGATTTGCATGCGAAGGGAGAGACTCAGTTCCGCCTCATCCCAGAGATGTCTGCCGGAGGTTACGAAGCAGTCGTTCTCTGCCATTTTGCTCGTATGGCCAAGGTGAGCGTTCCGTATGTACACATTGTCTCCCCATTTCTCGCTGAATACCGGTCTGTATAGGCTAAAACTATCCTTGAACTTGGCATGTTCACGGGGACAACCACCATTTCCCTTGCCAGCGTGCCGACCGTTGAGAGAATCGTGACACTCGAGCTCGAGGCTTTTCTCGAGAAGCATAATCGACCTTACTTCGACGAGGCCACAGTGTCGGAGAAGATCGACGTACGGATCGGCGACGCCACGGTTTCGCTCGACATCCTCGCCAAAGAGGGGGCCACCTTCGATATGGTACAGCGCCTCCTATATTCTCATATCGAGCTTGTTATGGATGATTGTCATTCAGGTGTTTATTGATGCGGACAAACCCAACTACAAGCATTACTTCACTCGCATCATGGACCTTAACCTTCTTGCAGCAGGCGGTTTCATCGCAGTTGATAATACCACTTTCAAAGCAACACCTTGGGCTCCCGATATTGAGAGGTACGCCATGGGCCGCGACGTACACGAATTCAACCAGTTCGTCAGGTAAGACTGTACCTATTTGCTCGGCGAGTGCTGTTCGTAACTGACGCCGTCGCCATGTAACCTCACCAGGAACGACGCCCGAGTCGAGGAAGTATTGCTGCCTATCCGAGACGGTGTTACTTTGATTAGACGCAAGGGTGAATAGAGGCGAAAAGGCACCCTCCATGCTGAGCCTTTGGTCCCCGCGTGCTTGCGAAGTCGTGTTCCGTGCCGTGTCTTACAGCTGTGCTTTGTATCTTGTTCGGGTCATCACTGCCGTTAGACTCCGCTTATTTCCTCGAGGTATTCACATATGCCTTTTTTGACCGTACATCATCAGTAAGGCCGTCCGCGCGAAATTTGGTGCAGCTTGAAGCGAGCAGTTCTATGAGCCAAGTAAATGCATGTCGAATACAGAGCCAGGGACACAGGACATAACGATGCAGGCTTTTTTTTGGCTTTTTTGATGATTTGGTCATTGGTATGAGGTTTGCTGGTTACTTTCTCAGCAATCCTTGCGCCTTCCTTCATTCCGTTTCTAGTAAGTCAATATATCCATGTACATGTTATACATCCAACAGAGGCTGTTAAGAAAGTCTCGATCTCACAAGCATCCACAAGATGTCCAATACCCCACACACTTCTTCACCAAACCCAGACTGACCGGAGTTAGGTTCCTCATACTGTCCGATACCTCCATCACGCGCGAAGCATCGAAGACGACATCATTGTCCGAGATTCCGTCGTGCTCGCCATCGACCTTCACTATGCCGTACTTCATCATCACGAGTGAGAAATAAACTCAGCACGAGACATAAGTAGTGGGGTTCGGGAGACCATAATGTACCTGTTTGTTCCATAAATCCAAGAGCCTGAGATTCTTCCCACCGGATACACTCAGGGAGGAGTCAGCGATGCCGTTGAGACGTTCCAACCATTCTACTGGCGAGACAGAAGTGAATTCGAGCCCCGACTCTTTGAGGTAAGCCAAGATGTCGGTCCAGGAGGTGGAAACGTTAGTGTTGACGAGGTGGAAGACGGAAGGATCAACGGATGCACTCTCGGATTTCCAAGTTTCCGAAGTACAGATTTCGACGAGGACTCGAGCTGCTATATCCACGGGAAGCCAGGATGGATGCTAGTTGTCGGACAGGTCAATCACCAAAGATGCAACAAGTGGATAACACCGACCTCGTCTACCATCGGCAAACATGCAACATCACGGACGGTAGAGATGAGCATAGGCCACCCCTCGTTCTCGTTCCACACGCCCTTCTCCGTGTCGCCACATAACTGGCCGATGCGTGCCACAGCAACTCGCCCAGAGAGATAGCCACTTGAGTGCGCATTCGTGCAGATCTGTTCGGCTACCCATTTGGAGCGGGCATATCCCATAGGCTTTGCTGTCGCTGCATTTTGAGATATCGCCTCGGGGATCACCAATGGCGATTGGACTACACCGTCTGGGCTAGATGCGGAAACATTGAGGACTGAGGCAACCGATGAACAGAACACGAATCGCGCTGGACGAGTGCATCTGGCGGTAAATTCGAGGAGATTGCGGAGCCCTGCAGATCAACGAGGTTAGAGATGGGCGAAGCAAATGGTCATCTGAGCGTACATGCCTCTAAGATGTGTGTTCGCAAAGCTCTCCAAGCTCGCCACAAAATTGACGGACCATGCTGACTGACGTAAAGAAATTCAGCTTCAAAGGGGAGGTGGGGAGCTGACTTCACATACATGAATAATTACGGTTGCTTTGCTCGCAACCTCGCGGTAAACCCTATCCTGCAAACCAAGCTCGACTTGCGATAATTGCGAAGCGAGGCACTGAATGCGTAAGTGTGACTGGCTCGAGCTTAATCCTCCAAGGCCCCGACTCTTAAGGGCATCGTCCATACGTTCCATAGCATGAACATCGTTCTCCGCACGCACAAGCGTTATTATGTCGAACTCGGTTCCTATCAAGAACTGGTTCACAAGATGCGCTCCGAGGGATCCAGTGGCGCCAGTAATGACCTATACTCGATTAATCAGTGACTCGTGAGCTTGTTTTCCGACCAGTTCAATATAGGTCGGGCGGCTTACGACAACGGGACGGCTTGCATCGTCGATCTTGAAGGCCAGGGGATCCGAAATCTCGGGAAAGGTACCTATGCTTGCCACAAGCCTCCGCATGAGTCTCAGCTCGTCCTGACTGGCGGTTTTGGTCCCCTTCCCGCAGCGGAGTTGCCTCAAAAGCTCAGTGAGCCTGTGCAATTATAACATAAGTGATGGGACGGTCCAAGAGCGGAGTAAAGCCTACTTTCGGATGGAAGGGAACTCGAACACTACGTTGTGGGGCAAATCTGCCACACCCGGAGGTAACACCTGTGTCACGAATAGACTTGTGAGGCATCATCGGAAGGAAAACGTGTACGCGGCGTCTCACTTGGTGTAGCGTCCCCCGTATCTGCGAGGCTTTGAGCGACGTAACTCCCGCGACAAATAAGTCATCGTCATCCCTGATCTCATCCTCACTATTCGGTAACCCATGCTTGACCGCGTTTCGGACGTATTCTGTGAGGTCATTGTCTTCCACAGTGACATCTCCGGCATCACCTCGAACTCGACCAGATTCTAAACGGGAGTATACCTCCTCAATAACATCACGGAACTTGTCCAAAGCCTTGGGGCGCAACACCGTTCCCTTTGAGGCTTTTGGAAAGGTGGAGTCAACTGGAAGAATAACGATCATCTGATCCAGTATTTCTTGGTGACTTGCGCTAATCTTGTTTAACTCTTGTACGGCTTGGATGATGGCACTGTGGTCCACCCGAGGTAGTGCGGACGGGATGACGAGGACGCCCAAAGTTGGTCGCGAGGCACCAAAAACTATCGCTTCGTCAATAGCAGGCGCAGAACGAAGGGAAGCTTCTATGGGTCCAGCCAGCACTTTCTTGCCGTTCGTCTTGGGGAAAAGTGATCAACATCAACGACGAGGGAGATTTAAGCGACTGAACGAACCAGGACAACCATGTCATCAGAGCGACCAAAATACTGCCACGCATGCTGAACGGTAGGGTGCTTCGTGTAGAGATCGCCAGTGGCGAAGCTTCCATCCTCGCGATTTGACACAACCTACAGTTGTTTGACCGTAATTGAGGATTACGATGAGAATACAATAGTATGAGTGGCAAATGCGTACCCTTGTGGGCCAATCCTTGCCGACAACCAGCTCAAATAATCCGGAATCCCCTGTCTCTTCAAAACGAAGTAGCTTCCATCCCACGGGACTGCTGTTTCTTAGCCAAGTCCATTCTTCATCGACCGAAAAGTCTCTCTCGGAACTCATCAGGACTAAGGATATCAACGATTAGTGACCATAAAAAATCGATGAATAACAAGCCCACACTTACAGCTACACTCGCTTGAACCCAATCGGCTAACTAGCTTGACGCCTCTACGGACCATATCGTCTCCCAGATCTTTTCCCAATGGCGCTCCCCCCGTACTTACAATTTTCATGTCTTTCAACAGAGCTCGGCCCGCATCGTCTTCATTCAAAAGCTGGAGAATGTATGGGACGGACAGAAACCCGCCCACGTCCTTGCAAGCGTTCAGGGAGTGGACAATGTTCTTGGCGGTAATGGAGTATAGCGATGAGTAGAAATATGTCGTGGACATCGCATTGAATGAGCGCAAGAAATCGCACATTCCGCCCTGTATGTGAGGGTCAAGGCGAGTCCTTCGACTTATGACCTAGCCTGATACGCACATGAAAGAGAGGTGTAGTGGTGAAAGCTGCCGGACCGGGCATGCATGGAAGCGGTTCGGTCCATATCCTGTGAGATTGGTATATAGGCTGGGTAGACAACAGGTCAACGCCGTATGGTCAGCTCAGAAAAGCGAGACACACCTTGGGCATATTTGTCGAGCCACTGGTATGCATGATTATTGCCGTCCGATCAGCATCCTCTTTGAAGTCGCGAGCGTACTCGAGAGGTTGCCAAAAGCTGTTAAAGTACATAGAACGACTTGGCATCTCGACGAAGCTCAGCTCGGATAAGGCATCTCGTCGCCTGTGGGACATAGTGGGATGGTAGATGAGATGAGTGGATGATGTGCTACGGCATAAGTGTGCAATAGCATCTTGAGTGTTTTGGGGACTGTAAAGTGAAACCAGTCGTTAGTTAATATTCAAACCTAGAGGAAAAATCGAAATACACACGCTATCAAGAGTACACCGTAGCCCAATCGAGTGAGAGCGAAGAGCGTGATCAGGAAGTCGACACAACTTGGAGAGATGAGGGCTACAATTCTATCTTGAGTAGCTTCAGGGGAGCGCTGTGAGAGATCGCTAAACAAGGTGAAATAAGTCGCGAGCTGGTCGGCTCTTTCTCTGAGAGAAGAGTAAGCTATGGAACAGTGCTTGTCGTTAGATTAATCACATTGAAGAGGGTTCAAAACATACTAAGTTCTAAAACATTCCATGATCCCTTGGATTCGCTCAATTCCGGGAAACCAGCGACGACGACATCAGGATGAGAGACGGATCTTTCATCCAGCAACTGGTTCAAAGAGACAAAATGGTGAGGCAGAGTAGCATTGAATTCTCTTGCTTGCGAGACAGTGCAGGTCAGGTACGAAGACATGGTTGTAGTCCTGGAGAGCGAAGACGGCTATTGGTACCTCTGCCACGCCCTTATGTTTGTACCAAGATCGCGCATTAAAATTGCCATCTTTCTCGCTATCAAAGGTCTCAGCCAACACTCCCTTCGGCGAGGCACTGACGAAGATACAAATGGTACAAAAGAGGGCTGGGATAGAGCCCCATACTGTAATGTGACGATCCAAAAGCCATTCGCCGAGTTTGGAACGCAGCTTTACCCATGACAGACATCGTGATCTTGAGTCCAGATGATGAAGAGGTCGACAGGACTTGTCAGGAAAAGCCCATTACGACTAAAGCGGAGCGAAGTGAGTCATGGCGGTGATAGTGACATATGAGCAAGGGTGTGGTGGGAATCGAGTGGGTGTTGTAGAGCAGTTTGCGGAGTTTGATTCTGTTCTTTCTCGAACCATCACAATCTTGTCTCTCACGGTCAACTCACGGCCCCTCCTTGAAGCATCTATGAACCCTTCGGTCCTTCTTTCTTCTGGCAGTGGCATGTAGTAAGCAGCCCATATAGGAAATCTATGCGCTTCATCTTCCTCGACGTCATCCCCATTTATGTTTGTAGACGGGCTTACGGCGAGTCGACGTGCGATCCGGAGGCGCGTTCTAGCTTGCGGGGTGAAGGGGTCAGGAGGTTGATTCAGAGTATTAGACGGGCAAACCGACCAGGACACCCCAATAATCGTCCTCCAAATCAGGCGTCATGCACCAGACATCTCCGACGTACATCCAGTCTGCGCTCTGCACAATTCTCTTGGTCGCTCTATCGATGATCACAGCACCAGCCACCGCCATTCTTACAATACTGGCTGGCACCTATAGCTTTCTCATCCACACACATATATCTCCGACGCCCATCAGGAGGACAGTTCTCATCACAGGAGCCCGTAATACGAAATGCCTTTTTCTAGCTCGTGCATTTCACCGCGAAGGGTGCCGCGTCGTCGTTGCTGAAGAGCCAGACTGGTTTCACCTCAACATGACGCGCTTCTCCAGCTCCGTCGACAGCTACTACCGCCTTCCTGACCCTGGAGACTCCCCTGAAGCGTACAAGTCTGCCATCTTGTGCATCGTCGATCGCGAGAAAGTGGAACTTTTCTTGCCGTGTTCCAGCCCGAGTTACACCATCCTCGATGCCGAAGTCGCTCTCGATATTGCCCGGAATACAACGAAAGCCGCATGCTCATCATTCATTCCCCATTCGACCCTCACATCCATCCTTCACTGGAAGCATGACTTTATCTCTCTCTGTTCGGAGTTGGGAATGGTCGTCCCTGAGAGCGTACTCGTCTCATCAGTACGTCAGGCGGCCGAGTTCCTCCATTCCTCAACCCCGCATCGCCGCAATAATCAGTACATCACGAAATGTCTCGCATTCGATGATTTGGCGAGAACGGACATGATGCCTCTCCCACTCGCCACCATCAAACAAACTGCAGACCATCTTCACAAGCTTCCATTGCCGATCAGCGAGCGCCACACCTATGTCGTTCAGCGCCTACTTTACGGCCCTGAGTACTGCACTCATGCGGCCGTCAGAGATGGGGAACTAGTCGCGTTTGTGACCTGTCGTAGTAGCGATATGCTCATGCGATACGTAGACGTGAAGTCCCAATTTTCTGCGGGTTCAGAGCAGGAGAGGCGGAAAGAGTATGCGGTCGGCGTACAGGCCGAGGAATGGACCAAAACATTCTTGCAGCGGTGGAAAGCCAAACTTCAGCAAGAGGCGGGAAACGGAGAATCCTCGTTCACCACCGAGCTCACTGGCCATTTCTGCATGGATTTCATTTTGAATGAAGCGGATGGAAAGTTGTATCCTATCGAATGCAACCCGGTGTGTTCGTTCCAGTCCTACTTGTGACCGTGGCTGACTATTTTGTCTGGCAGCGTGCGCATACGGCCGTCACGCTCTTCTCTTCCGTACGGGGCCTGGCTTCTCATTACCTCGGTGCCACACCCGGTACCGCGCGTCCATCACCGACGACTCCTCCCCAATCGTGGATCGCACATAGTTTACCCCTCTCGCTTGCGTTGTTGCTGCCCACAAGTCTCGCCCGCATCCTTCATCCTTGCCTTTCATCTACCTCTACCACAGCCCAAACACTCGATCCGACGATATCACCGCAGCCCAAACATTCTTCACCTCTCGATGTCCTCTTGCAATATGCGCGGGGTGCGGAAGCAGACCCCGTTTGGGATATTCACGACCCTATACCGTTCTTCGTGCTCGTCCATCTCACATGGCCCTGGGAGCTGTTGAAGGTCATGGCGAGCGGGAAAGCGTGGAGCAGAATCAATGCGAGCACAATGAGAGTTTGGGGAGCGAAAGCGGAGGAAACTGAAACGTCGGACTTGAAGTTGAAGTAGTCACTGGCAGCGTCGAAGCAGCCCACAGAAGAGAATTGGTTAGGAAGATTTAACGTTTGTGATGAAGATATTTTGGATGTGTAGCACGCCGTTGACAGTAATGGATTCCCTCTTTTTGCGCGTATGTATGCAGTCGTGAGCGAGAAGCTCGTGCCCTTGGTGTCTGGCGGCACCTGGTGGCACGTACGTAAAAGAATGTCGAAAAATTATCTTATCAATCTTATCTCTTGATCTTATCATCAAAAGTTGCAGTCAGAGTCACCGGCGCTTTATGTACAGTGCTTCATCTCGACTCCTGTTCGTTCTACCCATCTTGACGGTTGAAGCGCCGTTCGCACTTGCTCTTGCAAACGTTTCGGTTCTTGTTGGGGAGTCAGGTGCATGCTTCAGGCGTCTTGAAACTTGTTTCCAGTCCTTGCTCGTCGGGCTACCCTTCACTGACTCTGCGGTATCACTATTCGTTTGCAGCGGAACACATACTACTCGCTTTACATTATAAAAACCTTCGTCTGGGAGGTACCCAGGATCAAGTACACTATGCTTCGCACAACCTCTCGTTTGGCGCGTCTACCACGCTCGCGCCTCATCCTCCTGAGGTATAATTCCACGTCCACCGAGATCCATTCGGAGGTGCGTTTCTCGCTCATCCCAAGCTTACCTCTCATGTAATTCCATCTTCTCTATCCCCTATTGGGCTGCTATAGTCGGACCCCAAACCCATATCAACTATTCCGAACACACCATGCACATCCTATAAGGAGATAACGCACCGCATGATCCCCCTCGAGGAAACTGACATACGCACGAAGGAACTGATCATGACTGCCGACAAGTACATTCTTCCCGTCTACGCGCGCCCACCAATGGTCCTGGACCATGGAAAGGGTGCATGGGTGTGGGATATCGCGGGACAAAAGTACCTTGACTTCACCGCAGGCATTGCGGTGAATGCACTAGGGCATGGGGACGAGGGTGTTGTCGAGGTACGTGAATAAACCGTGTTGCACTACTTTATGCTATATTCTACAAGGGAATGAATGACTGAGGGACTAACGCTATGTTATTTCTGGTGTAGGTCATGCGCACCCAAGCCAGCAAAATCCTACACGCCTCGAACGTCTACCATAACGAATGGGCTCCTCCGCTTGCGTCCCTGCTCGTTACTCTCACGCAGGCCGAGGGAGGTCTTGGCTACCCGGCCAACAACCCAGCGCCCTCTCCTGCACCTGGTGCCAAAGTCTTCTTCGCGAATAGTGGATCCGAAGCGAATGAAGGAGCACTGAAAGTTGCTCGCAAGGTCGGAAAATCACGAGGACCTGCCGATGGGTCCAAGTCCGAGATCGTATCCTTTGAATCCTCGTTCCACGGTCGCACGCTCGGTTCGCTCTCCGTTACGAACAACGCGAAGTATCAGGACCCGTTTAGGCCGCTCTTGCCTGGAGTGAAGGTGGGTAAGGTGAACAAGACCACGGGCGCGGAGCTGGAAGAGCTTGTGAATGAGAACACTTGTGCTGTCATCTTGGAACCGATCCAGGGCGAGGGTGGGGTAAACGCGGCTGATGTAGCTTGGGTGGAAAAATTGGTTACGCGCGCGCGGGAGGTCGGGGCTATAGTCATATTTGATGAGATCCAGGTGAGTGACTGTTCGGCTTTGTGTGATGGGCGTTTCTTCGAGCGATACTTGCTCTGCGCCCGCTGGCGATCCATTCCTTCCACCGCCCCGCACGGTCGGGGACCAATGAGACCCGTGTTATTAAGTAAGATGTTACACAGCCGTATCAGCTAAAGAATGTTCAAAGCGCTACATTGACCGACGGAGTATGTGCATGTACTTGCAATGGAGGTTTCAGTGGGTGCAGGCATGGGCGACGGTGACCGTTGTACACGGTGACCATTGCATTATGTGCGACTGACGTGGAACGTTTGGAATGCTCGAACTTCGAAATGTACCCTGGGCCTGGGCCATCCAATGCTACAGTCCAGATTACTGACTACAATTTATCCGACAGTGCGGGCTCTACAGAACCGGCTCCTTGTGGGCCCACTCGACATGGCCAATCTCTTGCCAACCTGACATCGTGACCATGGCAAAGCCTCTTGCAAATGGATACCCTATCGGAGCAGTCATGATGCGTGATGCCGTTGCGGAAGTTATGACTGCGGGTGAGTGTTGTAACTCTGTTCACAGGATGTTGGGTTCTGCGTATGTTTACTGATACCAATTCGCTTGTGTGGGACGGTCTGTAACTTTTATTAGGTACGCATGGGACGACTTTCGGAGGAGGCCCATTGGCCTGTGCGGTCGGATATCACGTCCTGAGTCGTCTGAGTGAGCGAGCGTTTGTCTCTCACTTGATGGAGACCTCGACGTATCTGCTTGGGCGGTTAGAGAAGCTGTCAGCTTGGTATCCGGAACTGGTGGCGCCGAAAATCCGCGGAAGGGGGATGATACTCGGGCTGGTGTTCAAGAGGGAAGGTGACCCAGGACGACTCGTCGAGCTCGCACGGGAGCGAGGGGTGCTGTTGCTCACCGCTGGGAAGGACTGTGTGAGGCTGGTACCGAGTTTGAACATCACCCAGGCCGAAGCAGGACAAGCGGTGGATGTGATTGAGAGCTGTCTGTCGGTGATGGAATAGCTTATGTAATAGCCAATGAGAACACGATGATTCCGAGAATAGCGTGACCACTACTCCGAATTGAGAAATTCTATATAAGAGGCCGGGCTCGGAGAGTGTTGGCACTTGACTTCATCCCCCTTTCTTCGTTCCTCGTCGTTTCGTCCACCATGGACAAGCTTTCTTCTCTCGCCAGGTTCAAGGCCTCTTGCCCCTTCCTCGGCCGCACCCAGTCCAACACTCTTCGCTCGCTGTCGACCAGCACATCCCCCCGCTTCTCCACCCTCACCCAACTCACCGAGAAGGCTACGGAATGCCCCGTCATGGGCCCCGCTCTCGCCAAGCGCACTGGTCAGATGGTCGCGGGCTACGCTAGCGTCGCCGGTAACATCGACGTCAACAAGTTCCACCAGGAGAAGGGCGTCATCATTAACTCCAACGACGTCTCGATGTGCCCCCATGCCAGCAAGGCTCTCGCCGCAGCGAAGATGGCCGAGGAGCTCGCCCAAGCCAAGAAGCTCGCCGATGCTGGAAAGGCTGCAAAGACTAGCAGCAGTGCGTCTTCTTCCTCCGCTGCGTCCTCGGCCAAAGCCGCCGGTTGCCCCTTCCATGCGGCCGCTCCTGCAAAGGCGGCTCCTCCCGTTACCAAGGCTCCTACTCCTGTCACTCGTCTCGGAGGAGGGTTCGACTACGAGAAGTTCTACGCCGCTGAGCTGCAGAAGAAGCACGACGACAGCTCTTACCGTTACTTCAACAACATCAATCGCCTCGCCGCAAAATTCCCAGTCGCCCACACCGCCAATCCCAAGTCGGAGGTGGAGGTATGGTGCGCGAACGACTATCTAGGTATGGGCAACAATCCTATCGTCCTCGAGACCATGCAGTACGTCTCCGTTTCCTTCTTCCGTTCCCACTTCTTCGTTGCTTCATCCGTAGCTAACTGCTGCGCAACAGTCGTACTCTGGATAAGTACGGTCACGGTGCTGGAGGTACTAGGAACATCGCCGGCAACGGTTCCTGGCATCTCAATCTCGAGAAGGAGTTGGCCGCTCTTCACCGCAAGCCTGCTGCTCTTGTCTTCTCTTCCTGTTATGTGGCGAACGATGCTACCCTCGCCACTCTCGGATCCAAACTCCCGGGTTGTGTCTACTTCTCCGACTCGTCCAACCACGCCTCGATGATCCAGGGCATTCGTCACTCGGGTGCGAAGAAGGTTCTCTGGAAACACAACGACCTGCAAGACCTTGAGACGAAACTTCAGCAATGGCCTAAGGAGACACCCAAGATTATCGCATTCGAGAGCGTCTACTCGATGTGTGGTAGCGTTGGCCCCATCAAGGAGATTTGTGACCTGGCTGATAAATACGGTGCTATTACTTTCTTGGATGAGGTGCGCATTACTCCTTCTCTAGCTCGTATGAAGTGGATGGCGTCTCTGACGCTATTCTTTCCACATGTAGGTTCACGCTGTCGGTCTTTATGGACCTCGCGGTGCTGGCGTCGCTGAGCATCTCGATTACGAGGCTCACAAGGCTGCTGGTCAATCTACTGAGGCTATTCCCGGTTCCGTTATGGATCGCATCGACATTATCACCGGTGAGCGTCAGCCTGACCACTGCCTCTGTTTACATTTTGCTTACCGTTCATGCAGGTACTCTTGGCAAGGCTTACGGCGCTGTGGGCGGCTACATTGCTGGCTCGACCCGTTTTGTCGACATGATCCGCTCTTACGCTCCCGGTTTCATCTTCACCACATCACTTCCCCCCGTCACGGTATCTGGCGCTCATGCTTCCATCGTCTATCAAAAGGAGTTCAACGGCGACCGTCAGCTCATGCAGTGGAATGTTCGTGAGGTCAAGAAGCGTTTCTCTGCCCGTGGCATTCCCGTCGTCCCCGGTCCCAGTCACATCGTCCCAGTGCTCATCGGCGACGCCGCTCAGGCCAAGGACGCTTCAGACTATCTCCTTCAACACCACAACATCTACGTCCAGGCTATCAACTACCCGACCGTCGCCCGTGGCGAGGAACGTCTTCGTTTCACCATCACACCCGGCCATACTGTTGAGCAGCTCGAACACGTCATTGATGCCGTCGATGACACCTTCGCCACTCTTGGTATCAAGCGGGAGGCCGACTGGGCTGCTGTCGGTGGACGATGTGGCGTTGGCATGGAGTCTCACGAGACGGTAGAGCCTATCTGGTCCGATGAGCAATTGGGTCTGACGAGAGGTGTTACGCCGAAGACGAGGAGGGAGGGTGAGATGAGGTTGGTGGACCAGAGGGCGATTAGGGTTGCGAGGAGCAAGTTCGATGGCTTGTTGGGCCCGGTCGTCGAGCCTCAGCACCAGACGAGGATGGTGAAGGTCGGACTTGGTCTCATTCGTCCAGCTGTTTCGCAGCCGCGCAGGGAGTTGCAGCCGGAGTTGGTTGTCCCCGCGTCCACCGCTGTCGAGGCTACGGCTTGAATGTGAAGTCCCTTCTTCCAGTTCGCTGTCCATTTATTGTTTGCTTGCTTGGTTACCGTCGATTTTGTTGTTCTGTTGCTTTTTCTCCAATGTCGTACGCACGGTGTTCATTGTTTCCGACATCATTCCCGTTGCGTCGACTTTTTGGATATACTTATTTTGGAGGAAGTCGTTTGTTGTACCACTCGTCGTGGCGGCGTTGCAATACACGTTGCTCATCTGTTGACGATCTCGTCTAGTCTGATAGCTTGCTCTACACACCAAAATCAGTCCAAGAACGATAGGTAGGAACTGGGTGCTGTCGCTGCGAATCGGAAGAAGTGGCGTGCGGACACACATTTACATAAAACTCCGCCAATAATCGAGCACACTTCGCCGTTCGGATCTCCGACCAAGTTCGTTCAATCTGCGACAGTCCTGGTACCCACTTCGATGAGCACTTCACCTCCGGCTCTTTGAAGTATATCAACCACGACCTTGAAGATGTTTTCATCACTTGTGAACTCCTTGGCACGGCCAGCAAAGGGAATAAGAGCGACAAGTCACAAACCGCCGCTGCGTACTGCCAGTATTAACGCCAACTTGAACTTGACAGAGAAACTTGTAGTCGCCCAGTACGTATTCTTCTTTCTGGTGGGTGGTATGGACTGGTGGGCCACCACGTAGCATCGCTCTTCCAGGTGCCCTGAAGTGATTTACTGAAGTCCTGACCATGGTTGAATTACAGTTTCATGGTCGGGAACACATACGTGAGCTCCGCTCCTTATTCATCGGTGTAATGCCCCACAATGAAGTTGCCAATCGTCCCTCGTACAAGACCTACACACAAGCGGATTGGGAGGTGGACATCTCGCTGGCGAGCTTCCATGGCTTGTGAGTGGCTGGCATTTCGATTGTCCCCTCCGTCTACTCAAGGTCTGCTCTCGGCTCTAGCGATGGTTTTGCGTTGAACGTTGGCAGTGAAGATTGGCAACTCGATCGCGTGGCGGATTGTTATGCCACTGCTGAGAAACTCATGCAGCCCGACCGCGAGGCCTTCAAGCTATTCTTCAGCTTTGACATGGCGTAAGTGCACTTTTGATGTCTCGACGATGACTTTAATGTTGAGGAGGCTATCGACGTCGCCCCCATGGATGTCTTTTGTTCAGATCCATTCCAGGGCACACCGCTGACGACGTCGAGCTTCTGCGGAAGTACGTGAAGAGATTTGCAAGTCATGCCTGCCAAATGAAATATAAAGGCAAGGTATTGATTTCTACGTTTGCTGGGGATCAATGCAGGTCAGAAGGGTGTTCCACGACATTTTATAAAGCGTTGCTCACCAGTAGGATCAGGTTCGGACACGATACCATGGCAGAGGGTTGGAGTTATGTTCTCTCCGTCCTCAAACAGATCACCCCCGTATACAAGTATTATCTCGTACTTCTCGAAATCCAACTGAAATGTATCCTCGTTCATTAGATCCATTTCGTCCCCGCCTTCTTCATCGACCCCGCCACATATCACAGTCTCTCGAAGCTCGACGGAATATTCCATGTGAAGTTCTGCGCATATTGTATTCGTCGTCGCCATCTTCTGATCGTGATACTTTTAGTGGAATGGCTCATGGCCCTTACACCTATCGCCTCGTTCTCCTCCGTCGGATATTCATTGCCCTAAGCTAGATAGCGACGACTATCACCTCGCTAACCTTGGCGATCGAACTTATATGGCCGCTCTCTCACCATGGTTCTTCACAGTAAGTGGCACACTTAGTGACTGGCTGCGTAGCGACTGCTAACTGGCAAACAGCATTATGGAGAAGACTCGTGGACCAAGAACGTCTGTCTAACTGCTGCGACTTCTCTCTATGCTGTTACTAAACTGTAATGGCTGAATGCAGTGGATCTATCATTCTGACGATTGGCTACTAGTTCGCCGTTGGGAGTACATTTTGAGCCGCCGTTCGCAGATCGACATTGTCCAACTTCTGTCCTGGAACGGTGCGTTCTTTGTTCCCATTTCACGCACTTGGCTTATGTGCTGCTGTCCGGCTGACCGTGTCGGCAATGTAGATTACGGCGAATCGCACTACATGGGGCCCATCCACGGTTCTCAACCAAACAGTCAAGCCTGGGTCGACGGGTTCCCTCATACCGCATGGCTAACGCTCAACAAGCACTTCATTGATGCATTCAAGGATTCGCAGCGAGGCAGAGGTAACATGCCTCAGGTAACTGAAGACAAGATCTGGGTGTGGGGCAGGCCCCACAAGAGAGATTCCGACGCAAGAACAGACACTGTTGGCAGGCCTGCAGGCTGGGAACTCGTACGTTATTCCAATATTCCATTGTCGGCACTAGATGACGTGAACTTGACTAGACGAAGGATATGTTCTGGGTTGTCATTCTTGCGAAGGCCCCATCGGATGTCGCCCTATGGTCATTATCAGATTCAAGAGGACCACATTGGGTAAAAGTGAGGCAGGGAGTGTCGAAATTATCGTGTCCTCTAGTAGTCGGTGGGGGCATACATGCAAGAATGGATCGTGACGAGGAGCAAGTGGCAGAGATTCACACCACAGACTCGGACTTTTGCTTCACGGATCGACCGAACGTATACAACTTCAACGTATTTGTAGCCGAATCGACGTAGATGATAATCATGGCTATACGCTTGGCCGAAGGTGCAAAAGATGCATGATGCATGGGTACATTTAGCTGACACCGAGGGCCTCCAAGATAGTCCTCGCTCGTGAGTGCATTGCCTCCGATGTTGTAGAGAGAGTGGTCGAAGCTGGTTCAGTAACATTTTGAGGTGCCTCAGTAGGTGAGGTATCGACTTCCGAGGAGGTCACCGCGACTGGCATGGCGAGGCGGTCTTGGCAGGTTTTAATAAGATTCTGCGAGAGTTCTGGGGTGAGCAGATGAAGAAGGCAGCGTAGAGATAGATAGAGGAGGGATTTCGAGAATTGCACTTGCCTCCCGGACGCCACCCTGGACCTTCGCAAAATATTTGCTGAGGAGCGGCATGAACTTGTCCGGCATCTGCATAGTATGATGTAGATTAAACTGGAGCGTATGAGAAGGGAATATTGGTGGACAACGCGTACGTTACTCTCTGCCCACAAGTTTCGTAACAGCCAGTTTTGTCTTGCCTTGTTGAACTTCCAGTTTGTCTCATCGGCGAACTGAGCATAGGCATACGACAGCGCTATCATCCAGTACATAGTATCAGAACGATCACGTATTGCCTAATTGTGAATCCAGACACGATAAAAAGAACGCACCTTTGCGAGCTTGTTCGGGAAGCTCAGAATCTTCTTCGGGATTGGGGATATCCTGGGCCACACCAGTACTAGTACGCCGTTTCTTGGGTTTTTTGACGGCTTCGTCAGATTCGGGTTTCCGTTTCTTTTCATCCTTGTTTTTCTTCTTCTCCACGGAATCGGGTGAATCTACAGCCGCTGCATCTTTAGACGCAACACGATCTGCTTTCTCTTGCCTCCTTGCCTCCTTCCTCGCACGCTTCAGCTCCTTCTCGGTAGCCCTCTCATGACTCTCCCCAATGTCCTCCTCCTGAACAATATGTTCTTCGGCGTCTGACTTCACGCTCCCACTGTGTTTCTTTCCCTTCTTCTCTTTTTTGGAGAGTTCGGGCGTATCCACACCGACGGATTGTTCAGCCTGAGTGGGCTCACCAGTCTGCGCGCCAAGCTGCTTATCCTCCTGTTTGGCCCGCTTTTTGGCCTTCCTATCCTTCTCCTGTCCAGGATTTTCGGCCTCCGCATCCTTCTCTTTCTTTCTCTTCCTTTTCCTCTCCGCCTCAGGCCCTAGCCCATCCTGGTCGGACTGTGGCGTCTTGGATGACTTTTCAGTGCGAGCGTGTTTCTTCTTGTGCGTAGAGTCCTTGACACGGACTTCGGCGGTCTGTATCGTCAGCACTTCCGTAGTAGACATGTTCAAGATTCAAGCAGGTAAAGCACAGAGACGTGTATGCAAGAAAATTAGATGGTGAAAAGACTTTGTGGCACTGAGGTAACGTCGCCGCGTGTCACGGGACTCGGCACCGAAACTCGCGAGGCGGCGACCTTTGGGCAGCAAAATGCAACATCCTCCATCTCGCACGAGACAACATTTTCAGCCATTTCCTTCTCATTTGAATTACTCTAAATGAACCTAAGAGTCGACTTTGTTATTGACCTGGACGACAACAACAATTTCTTCCACCTGCAGAGTGTAAAAAAGAGTGCCCAAAACGGAGAATGCCGAAAAGAGCCCCTTCGCAATGGCTCGTCCCAAGAGGTGTGCGGAATTGCAATCCCGGACATGGGAAGGTCTTCGGCTATTTGATTCCCACGGGGGGGAGGTTGTCGTAACGTTGCCCTAAAAGGCAGCTTTGCGCAATGCGAGCGGCGGGGCAGACGCGCATGAAGTCGAGTGGCACTGCGATGTTTGTAAGTCTGGAGAGCCACTCATGAGTATTTCAGCTCATTTAACTTTTCAGAACCAATGTATTTTGATGTAAGACACCGACATTAGGGCTTATATGTTAGTGAAAACTTGGAATTTTTCGCGAAATCTCATTGGCAGATCGGACAGATCTTCCGCCAACGAGTTTCAAGTAAACTTGAAACATATAAGGTCTATTGAAGTCCTAGAAGGATATTTCTGCATGAAGCAATGGTTATATCACAGAACGGCGCGGGCCACATTGACGCTCTCGGATCGGCCACGCAGCCCAAAATGGTAATTCAGAAGGAGCCGAGGCATGTTTACGACAACCCCCCTCGTGAGAATCCTGTAGCCGAATGTCCGAGCTGTGTGCCCGATTCCAATTCCGCACACCTCTTGGCTCGTCCTCTTATTCCGCATGCATGTAAAATTGGACATGTTTGGGGAGCTTTCGATGCTTCCGGATTTGATTTTGAATTTTATTATATTTTGTCGTAGGCCGGATGAAGGCCCATGGCAGGAGCAACACTGCCCAAAGGAGTAGTGGTGCCCAAAGGACCGGTGGATCACTGTATGTAACGCGACTCAGCTCAAGCCTCTAGACATCCACGACCTTCCGTCTAATTTCACCGGTTACTCCACACGTAAGTTTCGTTCTTTCTGTCTTATTGTCTACCAGCCATTAACTTCAACCACTGGTACTCAGCTGGCCCTGCTGTCTGGACTGGGTGAAGCGGTCGAAAGAGTGGCGTGAAGTGCGAATCATGTAAGTATCATCGCATACAGAAATCTTGCGTGAGGGCTGCGGTTCAAGGTACAAGACTGTTCTTCTGAAATGCCAATGAAGCGAAGTGGATATGGCACTTCAGACTCCAGTGTTGAGTAACGAGAAATACAATGAGCAAGCGCGGGTATACCGAACAAATACAGACAGTGCAGAGAGCCTAAAATACAAGAGTACGAGCAACAAGGAACCTGTGTCTCAAATAGCGCTGACCTGGATCCCAAGCTTGTTTGCGAGCGTTTCCATGTAGACCTCTGCGGTAGCAGAATGGCGAAAGTTGAGTAAACTGTAGTAGGTAGACAGCAAGAAAGAAACAAACCTGTCTCGTGCCGTAGCTTCCAGTATTGAGCAAGCAGACCGTTGATCTCCGTTTCACTTTCTTTCAGATGTGCGGCCATCTGGCGTTCGATTTTGAATCATTCGGTCAGCTGAGACTGCAGTAGAATGACCGTGAAGAATAGAGCATACCTTGCGCTCAATATCATCCGCTTCTCCTCGTACAGCCTCGACTTGCTTATCATTATCCCTACGCTCCAACACCATTTCCTCGTATTCACGTTGTAGCCGCTCGATAGTTTGCTGGCTCGCTGTCCGTTTATCCTCGGCGTGCCTCTGAGCTCGCTCGAGCTTCTCCTGCGCATTCGACAATTGCTTGTGAACGCGCTTAGAGTTTTGACTCGCGGTCAGTGAGGTGCGGGAGGGCTAGAGAGAACGGATTGCATACCTCAATCCTAAGTTCCAATTCTGTTCGCTCAATCTTCTTCTGGTCAACGAGGTCTTTAGTCGTCGTAAGATTCTTCCTCGCGATCTCAAGCGCTTGGATATCTTTCTCCATGGTCCTCAACTGATCGAGACATGATGCGACGTCCTGAAAGTGACAGAGATCGTTTAGCGTCGACGTTCAGTTGAGTTGGGTGAAGGTGTGCAGCTATGGTTAGAGTGTTACAGGACGCTTACCTTCTCAATGGAGAGGAACGCATTATTCTTTGATCGCAGATCATTCTCCTTCGCCTGTTGTGCTGCGAGAGTTCTCTTGTCTTCGGACGCAGTCGCACCCATGGTCGTAATGGTTCGCTTAATTCGCTCAGGTGATTGCACTATCCGCTGACGCGTGCGGTTGACGGCGTCGGCCGCAAGTTTGCTTTCTTTATGAATGACTTCCTGGACCAGTACAACCGGACAAGATGTGGGAATGTGAACGTGAGTAAAAACGGCGCAGGAATAACATAGGCCGGACAGTGGACTTGCCTTCCTTCTTATGATTGCCTTCTTCTCCTCCTTTAGCGAGTTGCAGTCGCTCATAAGTGCCACCTGTATCTGCTTTTTCGAGATCATCTGGGCGCTCATTTCATCGTTTTCCTTCTCCAGAGCCTCGCACATAGGCGCGTCCTCCGCCAATTTGGCCCTGAATGACAAGAAACGCATGAAACATTAGATTCTGAACTCTGTAAACTCAAAAGGCGGTGTGTCGTCTTTACCTCGCTGCGGCCAGTTCCCGCCTTGTAATATCCAGCTGTCTCTGCACAGTGGCCCGTTCTTCTGCCAGACGTGCGGATTCGTTTCGTAGGGAGTTAATGAACGGTTGGCGTTGTTCTGTAAACTTTATGAAGTTGATAAAGGCTGAGAGGATGTTGCGGGTCCGAGAGGGATCGGGAGCGGTGAGGTCCTTTGCTGTAAAGTCCGGAAACTTGGCAGCGTCCGCCAGCCGCATTCTGCCACGATTGAGCAGTTAATAACAGGTCATGCCAGATTTGAAGTCCTCGAAAGACTGACATGTGGAATGTCATGAGATTTGCGCTCAAAGCACTCCCGTACAGGTCCTACACTCGCAATTCACGAAGATAATTGTCAGTTCTACCACATGTGCTGGTCAGAACTTCAGCATGAACGTACTGGATTGGGATCGTCGCTTTCTCTCAGTACATTCGTGACCGCCTCTTCCAGATTCTCCTGCAGTATTCCAGTGACTTGACGGACGCACGCGGCGTAAATGTAGGTGACGAAGTCGGCGGAGGGTCTTGAGAGTTGTTGTTGGGTGATGGAGATGCTCCAGTCGGCAAAGGATTCGATGATGTCAATGGGATCCATCAAAGGATACATATATTGTTGTACCAGAGTCATCTTGGTTTGCAGAATGGGTATGCAATTGAGAATAGGGTATAGTGACGGAGCGACCAGTTGAGCTGCCGCGCAACGGTCGTCGGACGTCCTCGAACGCGACTTCCTTCGGCAGACCCCGGTGGCCCTGCAGTGGCGCTTGTTCAGTTCTCAAGCGGCTAAATTTATTTGTGTCACAAAATCACTATTCCTCTACCCCGAGCATAGCGCAAGAAAACGGCTGTTTGATCATTTGCGAAGGTTCACGCTGATGTGTCGGGATATTCCATCTGGCTTTGGTATCCGCATTGGTCCCAACCATTCTGAATATGCAAACGTTGTGAGAACCTGAGTCCCTCTTCAATTTGCCTCGCAGGAATTGTCAATGAGCGGCCTGTATCTCTCCTGCGCATTAAGGAATTCATGCATTTGAGTGTGGTGTTGATGGGATCCCAGTGGGAAAAGTGGCAAGCATGAAGCGCTCAGACCATGATAACATCTTACCGCTAGACCAGCGGCATTGTCGACGGCCGCCTTAAACACCGCGATCAGGTTTGAGACGATGAAGAAGGAGTCGTAGCGGAAATACGATCTCTTGTGTCGAGATCACGGCATGTCAGGGATGTATTGGGTTCTAGTAAAACAAAGTCACTGAAAGTGTTGAAAACCGTCCTTGTAAGATTGGGTAAGTCTAAGGGAGACTTTAGCCTCCAGAACAGAGTAGATCAGACGTCCTTCGCGTCCTGACGTGCAGCGATCCTGCGCTCTATCCATTCGAAGGCACGATCTGTCGCTACTTCAACTGGGTGGTCAAACAGATACGGAAGGACGGGGACGATAGCGAGGCCGGTGAAGGTGGGACCCCAGACTCGGAGTCGAGTGTTTTTGGATTTGTCAAAGGCTTTCTTCGCCTGCTTCACTGCAGTGTGTATGGTCAAGGCAGGAAGAGCCCTATATGGATGTGCAGTCAGAAAAATCCTATGATGCGGTGATGACGTAGGCGCTTACATGGAGGCAATACTCTGGAATGCCGCTCTTTTCACAGCGACCATCCCTATGCGTGTTGGTTCTGAAAAGTGAACAGCCTCGAGAGGAGTAGGGCCTCGTCTGCGTGCCTTCCAAGACTCGTAGCTTACATCTCTGGAGAAAAGGTCGAACCGATAAGTGGCAGAGATGGCGGCAGGCAAGAAAAGGGAGCAGACCCGATGAGGTACATCCAGGAGATTCCGTACGCAGCGGAGACTAATCGAGGAGGTACGATGGGGCGGAAAGCCTCTCCGATATCACTGGTCTGAGTGTGAGTGAGATGTGAAGATCAAGGGATAATGGGAGGAATTAGTGTACGAACGTATGCGACGTATCGGTGGGTGGCCCTCAACGCGGTACGAAGCCGAGCACCGTAGGCGGCATAGCGGACCTGAAGCAGCTGGTCAGGACTTAAAACCAATGAGTATAGTTATGAGTCGTACATCGGATTCAGTACTGTCGACATTGCGATCTGCAAGGTCGTTGACTGTGTCTGTCGCAGAGTTAAAAACAGCTTCGGAGGTGGACATGACGGAGGAGGGAGAAGGGACGCCTGTGTTCGGCAGGCGGACGGAAGAGGCAGGACTTGCTCACGTGCTCGCCGTTTCGGGACGAACGTGTAGAGTCAACGGTCATTTGTGTCTCTCGTCCGCCACTGACGAACTTGCTCCCCTCCACCACCACAGAGCTGCCCTATAACACATAGGTTCCCGTCTCAACAATGGATACCCGCACCGCCTCTCCCCCGGACGCTCTTGCTGCCACCGCTGTCATTGGCGACACCCCCTTTGAAGGCCAAGAAATCATGCCAGACAAGATCAGCGCCTACTACAGTCTCGTCTTTCCCAGCTTCACCTACTACCTCCAGACACTGACCGTCACCATCGGACGTCGATGCATTCCCAACTCGACTGCCTCCTCTTCCGAACAAGCCCAGGTGGACGTTGATCTGGGTCCCTTGAAGAGCGTCTCGAGGCTTCACGCGAAGATTGAATATGAGGAGGATGAGGAACGTTTTGTTCTCGCCGTATTGGGAAGAAACGGGGCTTGGGTTGATGGCGCATGGTCTGGGAAGGGCAGCAAGGTTCCTTTGGGAGAACGGTACGTCACTATCCTCACTTGCCCAAGACTCAAGTCAACTCATTTGTGGCCATAACGCCAGGTCTCAGATACAGATAGCATCCCGCACATTCCACTTTGTGCTCCCGCCGCCACCGATACCGGAAGACTCTCCCTCACCGTCATCTCATGCATCTTCCTTCAACCGTCCACGCTCGCCATCCGTGGACATCACTTCATTCTCGCCACCTTCCTCCATTCCCTCCGTGTCACCTCCTCCAGTACACGACACGCCCGCTTCACCAATCAAAGCTCCGCCCATACCAGATCCTCCTCAACTCCCTAATTCGAACATCATTGGCAAGTCGAAGCAGGCATCTAAGAAACGCAAGGCCTCAGATGCAGATGTCTCTCCACCCCGTCCAAAACCCGAGGTTATGCCACCAAAGCCGCAATTCACTTACGCTCAGCTCTGTTATCGTGCTATCAAGACTCTTGGTGGCAAGGGAACACTGCAAGACATTCTCAGTTGGATCAAGGACCACTACGATTGGTATCGGTTCAACGAAGATAAAGCCTGGGAGGTGCGTTGTTCATCACATGTTTACCGTTTCCCGATGTAATGATTTTTTTCTCTCGCATATAGAAATCCGTCCGACACAACCTGTCTTCGAATCGCGCGTTTACGAAGCAGGAGCGGTCTGCTGGAGAACGGGGCAAAGGCTACTATTGGACAGTGTCAGAGGATTGCGAACGCTTATTCGAGGAGCAAGAGGCTCGGGCACTTGCGGGAAACTCTGGCACGTCCTCTACAGCCGGGAAAACCAGCGGGAAGAAACCCAAGGGCGGAGCTTCGAACCTCGAGCCTGCTTTGAAGCGGAGTGTTAAGGGTGATTTGAAGGGTGCACCTCTCCCCCCGCCTTTAACTTCGACGCCCCTAGCGTTCAGACCTGCTCCTTCTCAGATACCCCCTATCGTGAAGACGGAACCCGTGGTCAAGACAGAACCCATCAGTGTGCCACCCAATCTGTCCTCAGCGCCACAGGCACCGCCAGCGGCGAACTCTGCGTCCGCATCCACATCGGAATCATTGTCAACGGCAGCTTCTTCACCGCCGCCTGCTGTTCCGCACACCCTCTCGACGGCAGCAGCAGCAGCAGCAGCAACTGTTTCTTCGAACAATGCCTCACCATCGACAAATTCATCTTCTGCCACCGGGATCCCGCCCATTCCCGCTTCTGTCATTCTTCCCATCGTCGTCGGCCCGGTTCCCGGAACGACTGGCGGCTCTTCGACTTCAGGCTCATTGTCGGCACATCTTACCACTCCTCCGATTGTCCTTCACGAGAATCAGCTCTACCTCGATCCGACCATTTTCGCTCATCTTACACCCCAGCAGCTGAAAGAGCTCGAAGCACTGGGCGCTCAGAAGGCTCTGGATATATTGCACAGGCACATCGTGCAGTATTTGAAGGAGAAGATCAAGTCGAAGGATGGGAAGGTCAAGGGCAAGGGCAAGGCAAGCAAGCGCGCGGCAGGCCAGAATGGCGCTGGTGTGAAAACCGTCAAGGAGGGCGTAGAAGCTTCCAGCGGGCCCGGTGATACGAAAGTGGGCGTGAAACGGGAACGGGACAAAGACAGGATACCGATGTCAGGCCCTTTTACAACTGTACCTTTGCCTATGCGCAGACCCCCTCAGTACATTCCTGCTCAAGCATCCGGTACACCAGCCGCTGCTCAGGTGCCCGTGGACCCAGCACCACCAAGCCCCCTTCTTGTTGTGGACGATGATCCCGAACCTTCAGACGGTCCAGCGGCGAAACGAAGGAGACTGGAGGTAGAAACTCAGGCGACCCCTGTATCGGTCGGCGTTTGAGTTATGGTGCGGCCTGCTCCGTCTCGACCTGTCCTGCCCTATCTACTCTCAGATTAGTTGTACGTTCGTTCTGGATGTGCCTTCTTACGCGACCTATTCTTTCCTACTCGGCTCACGTCTTTTGACTCTGGATTCTTGTCTTCACAGACGCGGTACTACTTACACGTTTCTCCTTCTTATTCTTTAGCCCCTTCTCATCCCACTACTTTTCCATCTCTGACATTGTCATTCTAGTGCGTTATAGCATCCTAGTCGCCGAATTGTGCCATCTCAGGCCCGTTCGCGTTCTTGTCATTATACAGCGTTTTGTCCCTAGCCATGTGGCGTAAGGACGGTTCTATTTGTGAGGCGTGTCAGGCGGACTGATCGGAAAGTTTCAAGACGTCTGCGACTTGACTTGCTCCAGAATACATTCGGTTCGTATAGTAAAAGCTCTGTCGATTTTACCCTTGGACTAGCCGACGGCGCATCAGGACTGCCAGCGAAACACGGAACATATGGATACTTTGACTACACCCGCAGAACTTTTCATGAGTAATCTATTCTATGTCTTCATGTTACTGATGAGATTGTTTTGTGAAATATGACCCGCGACCGAGCGCCTCCAGGGAGACTTCCAGACTTTCGTTGACCCTCGTGTTGTTTGTCTACCCTTACCATATCTTATTTTGTTCGGACCAGTGAAAATGCCATCCCGAAGTGCTTCCCGCGTATAGCGCCTGTTCAAACAACTATTCATGCCCTCCTTGCAGTTTCATAGACAACGCGCCTCCCTGATGAGCGGGTTGAAGGTCTCCGGTTTCGAAGCTCGAAGGTTTTGGTTGAGCTTCGGGGTGAAACGATGCCAAGCCGAGTGTCATCTGGATGGTTCTATGGTCATTGTAGTAAGCCAACGCTAAGCTCGGGATTTTCAGACTTTCAGCATTTGATGGCTCGTCATGATCATCTAGGTTGGGAGTGACGCCTAGTAGCTCCCATGGTCTCTCCTCCTGGGTACGAACCAGTTATTCTCCACGCATTCGCTCCTCTCGTTGCTGTTGGATCCACTTGTTTTGAGTAATGTACTCGGACAAATCTACGGTTCATATACTCACTGTGCTATAACAGAATTCTATCTCTTGTCCCATCTACGGCCTCTTCTCGTGACAGACGCCTTCAGGGTCCTTCAGTGGTGACGAGACAGCCCGGTAAATCTGGCCTTTAACTATTACTCGTGCCCTGGCTGCGGCTACTACGACCTGGGTGAGCCCTTTAATCAATCTAGACTAGCAAGCTTCAAAGGTGGCTCCTCATCATACCGCTCTGTAGACCTTTCTCCGGCCGTTTTTACCGAATTTGAACCCGAGAGCGTTGGGGTACTCAACGGTATCACCTGGCACTTCAACGCCTGAGCTACGCCTGTCTACAAGTAGGAGACATAGAGGACCTGATCTTCTGTCATTCTTCAATTTCTTTCCTTACTACAATGTAGTCTTTGCGGGAGAACTTGTTTCTAGTGAAGTATCGTGCTTGGGTCTAGTGTATGTCTTATCTGGGTTTTACGGACCTTTTTACGTGGTCGAATCTCATCAATGTATGGTCATCCTTGACAAGGTGCAATATCGATATTGACCCTTTCTGTTTGCGTTCTGTGGCGCTCGCGATCGCTGTGGCGTAAGGTTGAACCTACTGAAGATTCCGGAAGATCCCGAAGTGTGGCGCGCAAGGACCAAGGCTGAGTGCTGGCAATAAGCCTCGTTCAAAGTTGAAGCTCAAGTGGACCGTCGAATAACTACTGAACAAGAGTCTAAGAGCATTTGTTGTGGGCTCAAGGCCCGCGCTTGAGATGCCGTGCGAGTTATCGAGCTGTTTTTCGGCATCTCCACGAAAAGCGCTCTTGAGCTCCCATCAAACGCTCTTCGAAAGTTATCGAATAGTCGTTTGCTGATGTCGTCGACCTCAACTTTGAACGAGGCTAATATAAACGATGAATTCTGGGAGATTAGCGCGCTACATTATAAACTACCATAGAAGGCCAGATGGCAGATGTCGTTTACAATCAGATACATTTAGAGACTTCTACCGGCTATAACAACACTATCGACTGCAACAATGCGATAAGTTACATGTCACGAACAAACTCTTGAAGATGAATACAACTCCTACAATTTGATGCTCTGACTATACTACTATTGGGGACAACTTTTGGTAATTGAAGAACGTGAAAGCAAAGGAACTCTGTGGAAGAATGACGAAGATAGCGCAGATAAAAAAGGCCGAGATACAAGCAGAGCCGGGATCAGATGCTCTGACGGCCGAGTGCGAGGGGTATGCTGCTGATAGAATCCGGGGGAATGACGCCGACTTCGGTAACAACAGCGGTGATACTTGAGGGTGGGGTGAGGTCGTATAGTGGGTTGAGAATTTCAAGGTTCGGCCTGTTGTGAAGGACGAGGGCCTCGGGCGATTTGTTAAGGGGAAAAGAGGAAAAGATGTCGCTAACTGGAGCTATCGAGGACGGATGAATGTATGAGATTAATTATATGTTTGCGCGGAGATAGTCGGGAGCGACCATACCAAGCTCGTTCTTCGTGAAACTGTCCAATTGCACACCCTCACTGAATTTGTACGTCTCGCAGCACACAACGACCGGGACGGAGTGTTGTTTGGCCATCATAGCGACCAGCGCGGTCCCGGCTCGCGAGTACACGGCTCCGTTTGAATTTATTGAATGCGCACCGACGAATACCGTGGAAACTTCCGTGATGATGGAGCCCAGCGAGGGAAGGAGAACATAAGAGCAAGGAAGGCCAGCAGAAGCGAGTACCGATAGTAGACGTTTGCCTGACGTGTTGCGTGAGTGGGATCCCATAGAGAGAGAAGCGACGTTGCATACCTTCCAGCATAGGTCTTGAATCGACCACGACGACAGAGAACTGCGTTCCCTCCGACCAAGCTTCCAGGAGCACTTTCTCAACAACTGATGAGCTGTTCAAAACCGATACGTTAGCGTGGTATGAACAGGCGCGCGCTCGCAAGACGTACCGTGCGTAAGTTAATATAACATCTCCGTTGTGGATTTTCTTCACAGCAGTTTCCTGGATTACTTGATCTGCGATAATGATTCGATCCCTGATGTAGTTGTCGATCCATAGGCAAATTTCGTCTTTAGCCTGTACGTGAGCGACATCAGTCAACGATGATAGAGGATGATAATCTACGATCACGAGTACATACATCTTGCTCTGGAAGGTCTATGTCCGACCCGCTGATCTCTAACTTCAGTTGTCGGATAGCATTGCCCATAGTGACCGACATAGGTCGAGCAGAAACTAGATGACTGATTTGTGCAGACAAATGCGTCATGAGATGCCGCGAGAGTGTGTTGTTTTGTGGCGTAACGTAGTCTTGTACGACCTAATTCAGAAAGAAGTGGTCAGCTATGATCGTCCAAGTGAGCTGAAAAAAAAAAAGACGAAAGACGCTGACCTCTTTGAAGGCAGAGAGCGTCGCTATACACCTTGCATTTGCGCCACAAATCTTAAACTCCGCGAACTTGAGGCCGAGTCTCGCGATGGCAGGATGTATATCGCCTTTTGGCACATGCGACTGAGTCTTTTGAAGCGCAAAGTGTGAAAAGATCCGTAGACCGCGCGAGCGCCCTATAGCGATTTCCGACCCAGCTGCCGCTGCCTTTGAAGACTCTCCCTTCCCAATTTTACCAGTTGTGGCGGCCGTAACAACTACGCCACCCTTCGTAGATCCTACACCCTCTCCCCTACCACCCTTCTTCTGCTGCGCTGTACTGGAATTTGATAGTTGTTGTTGTGCCTGTTTTACCCCTGTAGTCTTCCCTCCACCTCCCTGCTGGCTTCCTCCGCCGGCAGCAGTCTTCGCCGCTTTTGCTGCTCGCTGAGCTTCCTGCATTTCCCTTCGTTCGGCTTTGGTCATTTGCTTTTGCGATTTATTGGCGGGTGGAGGATGGGAGAGATTATGTTGAGAGATGGGTTTAGACATGGAGGGCTCGCCAGAAATTTCTGCGCCATTTAGTCCGCTCGATCCATTCATACCGTTCGTGTGCGAATGTGAGGTAGGGGGTGTGTGGAGTGGTGACGAGACGGGTGCGAGCAACATTCTAGATCGGTATAAGAAACAGAGATCGCGACATAGAAGCCATTGACCGACTTACTTTGAGTCGGCGTACCTCGAAGAGCTGAGATGTTGACAAGAAATGCTTGACTTTCTGTTCCGGCTTTCGAGTCACTTACAGCAGTTACCATACTCGGACGGAACTCTCACGTGGCTGGACGCATCACGTCAGATTTCCCGCTTGCCTCAGTCCGAGCCTTGCGCTTGAACACCCATCGTCTCTCAACTTCTTTCTTCATTCTTTGACAATCGAGCGTTTTAAAAGTCTACTTATTTGGCGCTGCTTTCTGCTGTGTATTAATCTGCATAACTCTCTGTAATTCATCATGGTGCGTTTCCAATTGATGCGCTTTCGAGTCTCGTTGCTGAGCCTACATTTTACAGGGCGTTCCCGCACTCTTTAGATGGCTGAGCAAAAAATATCCCAAAATTGGTCTGTTTAAAGCCCTCAATACAGTTTTCATATGGACTCATGAAACTTGTACTCTAGTTCTCCCGGTAGCTGAGGAAGACGACGAGAAAATAATGGACGAAGACGGGAATGAGGTCTCAGTGCCTGTCGACATCACGAAACCGAATCCCAACAAGGAGGAGTACGACAACCTATACCTTGATATGAACGGAATTGTACGTGCTATTTGTCTCCACGGATGCTAGTTCTGACATTTCAGCGCTTGTCCCCAGGTTCACCCATGCACGCATCCGGAGGGCAAGGTTTGTGCGCGCAGCTCTGTTCTTCCTCGGTCCATGCCAACATATATGTTACTTTCGTCTAGCCTGCTCCGGAGACTGAGGCCGAGATGATGGTAGAGGTGTTCAAGTACACAGAACGTGTCGTAAACATGGTCCGACCACGCAAAATCTTGTTCATGGCAATTGGTACGGTCTCAAGCTCTCCCCCGCATCCTTGTTATCATCATAACGGTTAATGTACTATCAGATGGTGTCGCCCCTCGTGCGAAGATGAACCAGCAAAGGTCGAGACGATTCCGCTCTGCGCAGGAGGCTAAAGACAAAGATGATGCTCGGAAGGAATCCATCGCTATATGGGAGTGTGAGTCGTCTATTTTTTGCAACAACAAAAAAGCGCCCCTAGTTGTTTTAGACATATATTGACGCATTTATTGACCTTTGAAGCGATGGGCAAGACTTTGAGCGAAGAAGAGAAGAACAAGAAATCCTGGGATTCCAATGCCATCACGCCCGGTACACCGTTCATGGACTTCCTTGCGACATCCTTGCGTTACTGGGTCGTTCAGAAGATGAATAATGATCCTGGGTGGAAGCAGGCGAGTCTGAAAACTTGGCGCGTTAGATATGAGTCTGATTTCTGTTGTTTAGCTGGAAGTCATCATCTCCGATGCTAGTGTTCCCGGTGAAGGTGAACACAAGATTATGGACTACATCAGGCGGCAACGGTCTCATGCGGGCCACGATCCGAACACTCGTCACGTCATCTATGGACTGGTACGCTGTCACTCGTCTACACAGCGACACAATCTAACTGCAGCCTCTATTCAGGATGCGGACTTGATTATGCTCGCCCTGGCTACTCACGAACCTTATTTCAAAGTCCTCCGCGAGGACGTATTCTCACAAGCAAACAGTCAAGCGTGTCGCATCTGCGGCGAAGACGGTCATTATGCGGCTCAGTGTCCTGGACCCAAGCCAGGCGCTGTCGCAAAGAAGGCCCCGGAGAAGAAGCCTTTCATCTTCCTCGACGTCGCTATTTTGCGCGAATACCTAGAAGTAGAGTTGAACGTCCCCCAGGTGCCATTTCCATTCAACTTGGAAATGGCGATCGATGATTGGGTACTTCTGATTTTCTTTGTCGGAAACGACTTCCTGCCCCATCTGCCTTCTTTGGAAATTCGTGAAGGGGCAATCGACACTCTTTTGGAGATTTGGAAGGATGAGTTACCCAGGATGGGTGGATATGTCACCAATCACGGAGAACTCGTTCTGTCTCGCGCTGAGATCATACTCGAAGCGTTGGCAAGACGAGAGGATGGAATTTTCCGCCGCCGCCGTGAAGGTAAGCACATCACTCACTGTCCTACAGGCATCTGATCTAATGTCCGTCTTGGATACGTTAGCGGAGCAGCGTCAGAAGTCCAACAATGAGGAGCGCGAACGACAGAAACAAGCCACGAAACGGGCAAAGATCGTACATGTTGGAACCGAAGGACCATCCCCCAACCTACAGCTGACCAGTAACCCGAACTCCGTCGTACTTTCTGAAGATTTTGCTGCGAAGGCTGATTCCATTGGCCTTGGCGGCCCAAAGACTGAGGAAGCGGCCCGCAATGTATCAAGCGCAGCTCAGGCATTAGCTGGCTCGGCTAGCGATGTCGTTGCTAATCGTGCAGCCATTCGGCTGGCTAACATGAGCGCCGCTGAGACATTGAAGGCCGAAATGGCCAACTTGATGCCTGCAAAACGTCCTTCGTTGCCGGCAAAGCCTGCGGTTGCTCTCCCTTCTCTCCCCGCGCCTGTCACGAAATCTGAACCTGTCGCTGATTCACTGCCTCTCGTGAAACTGGAGCCAGTCCAGGGCGACGTGTCTGGTCTCGGAGGCGCGCAACCTATGTCCGTCGATGACGCTGGTTCGGAGCACACTGGAACGGATACTCCTATGGATCAAGACGATCTGTCTGTTGTGGGTAAGAAACGCTCTTTCGAAGAGGTACAACAGGATCAAACACAAGCTACCGACGATATCATCGACGAGGACATCGCGAATGCGGACGATGAGCCGGACAATCCAGAGGACGCTGAGGTGGCGAAGAAGGCTTTGGCCCTAAAAGTGAACAATGATGGTACGGTCGAGCAGGAGGACACTGTAAAGTGAGTCATGCTGTGCCTATCTACCACTGTCGTCATCGTCTGAACATTGCCTTGTAGGCTCTGGGAACCCGGGTATAAGGAGCGTTATTATCTCCAAAAGTTCGGTGTCGACCGGTCGGACTTAGAGTTTAGGAAAAAGTGCGTCCCAGCTCGACATCTTCCTGTCTAAATCACGACTGACTTTCGCGGTTTTCCAGGGTGACATATTGCTACGTCCAAGGACTGGCATGGGTTTTGTGTTACTATTACCAAGGGGTGAGCTCCTCAACACCCCCCTCCCCGGTATGATCGGTACTGAGATAAAATCGTCAGACGCCCTCGTGGCAGTGGTACTATCCTTTCCACTTCGCGCCATTCGCGGCCGATTTCGAGGATGTCGCATCCATGACCATCACCTTCGATAAAGGTCAACCGTTCAAGCCATACGAACAACTCATGGGAGTGTTCCCTACCTCAAGGTACGGATTCATCGTACTACAAATAGCTTAAAGACTAATTCTTGTCAACGTAACAGTCGGAAGCACATTCCTTCGGTCTTCCATCCATTAATGACTGAAGAGGACTCTCCCATCATCGACTTCTACCCTCTCACCTTCGACATTGACATGAACGGCAAGCGGATGGCCTGGCAAGGTGTTGCTCTCTTACCTTTCATCGACCAAGCTCGATTGTTGGACGCCATGGCGTTGCACTATCCCAAGCTCAGTGAAGACGAGGTACGTCGTAATCAGTGGGGCCATGATGTCCTCTTTACGTCGGAAGAGCATCCTCTCTACCCATTCTTGGAGACCTTGTATGGGAAGAAGAAATCACAGGAGGTGAGTTCGAGTCAGTGAAAGCCCATTGCTTAGTGCTGACAACTCACCCTTCTCTTTTTCAGCCAATCCCTTTGAATCCCAGCACGAGCAAGGGTATGAGCGGCTTCGTCCTACCAAATCCTGACTGTATCCCGGGGTCGACGTACACCAGCCCGCTGAGTTCCGAGAATCTGCCTGATATTCCTCATGACCGTACTCTGTCTGCCCTGTACATCTTCCCCTCGCAAGCAACCCCACATCGCTCTGTTATGCTCTCTGGTGCCCGACGACCTCCACGAGTTCTTACGTCTCACGATCTTGAGCTCACCAGAAGAGGCGGCCGTGGCCGTGGCCGGGGAGGTCCCCGAAACGACTTTGGTGGCCATGCTTCAACATTTGCCAGCCAGGCGCACTACGGCTCTATGCCATCTTCGTACAGTGCGGCTAGACAACAAGGAGCACGTGGCGGAGGTGGTGGCGGCTCCTACTCTCGAGGGCCATCTACGTACCAACAAGGTCCTCCTTCATACACTCCCCGACCCTCCGGCGGCTACCCTTTGCCTCAGAGCTACGGAAACCGTGGCGGTTACGGAAACTACGACTCTCGACCACCTGCGTCGACCTACAATGGAGGCTATCAAAATGCTCGAGGAGGCAGGGGAGGCTCTTCGTACAACGGTGGTGCTTATGGTGGCTCGTCAAGTGCTTCGTATGGTCGAGGAGGTCCGAGAGGGGGATACAGCGGAGGAGGAGGAGGAGGATATAGCGACCATGATGGTTACGGTGGCTACACAAACGATCGCAGCAACGGATCTGGATACGGAGCTTACTCTGGCCGTGGGGGATCGTCCACGTATGGTGCTTCCTCCGGACGGGGCAGAGGTCGTGGCGGTTACTACTAATTATGCCCTCATGCTATCTTCGTGGCTTCAGGATGTATTTATCATGTCTCGGACCCCATCGTCATTCACATCCTCGTGGTATACTACCTTGTGGACTCTTCATAGCACGACTCAACTTTGTTGATGGAGGAAGCTTCCGTTTGCTTGCACTATGACTGTCCAGATGAATCATAATTCTAATATGTACATCGATCCTAGCCGTACAATTCCGCGCATACAAGACATTGAGAAGCAACAGAGGTCCTGAGGATAGATAAACCAAACAGTAGGGCAAGACATGCAGCGAGTGGCATATAATATACAACAACATCATAGCTGGCCGACGCAGGTTACGAACGAAAACGTACAAGATCGTGCTGGATCACTTCATAAGCTCCTCACTGGACCGTTCAGTAAACTGCTCCGCCGTCTCTGAGGGGAACGCAGGTGATGTACAACGCATACTTCTTTTCCCTCTCCAAGGCCTTCTTCTTCGCCTTCTTCTCCTTATGCCTACGCTTCTTCTCCTGCTTCCTCTCGCGGCGCCTCCTCTTCGCATCCCGAACCTCAGAAGAGTACGGGTCCGGTTGGCGGCCGTACGGGCCATAGGGTGACGCCACGCCTCGACCATACCGATCGTCTGAAAGATCAGAATCAGACTCGGAGGACGACTCAGAGGAGGAATCTTCGTCGTCAGAGTCGAAGCCAGGAAGACGAGCCTCGACGATGCCGGCGTGTGTTCCGGAGCGACGCTCGCGACCTTTGAAGAGCACGACCTCGACACCACGCTGGATGAAGAACGAGGTGTTCCACAGGTCGATCAGCTCCGAGGTCATCCTGGAGCGCCTGGGATTGTGGCCCGCACGGCCGGGATCGGCGGTGGGTAGCTTGCCAGCCCAGGCAAGACCAAGATCCTAGCGACATGTCACATTGTCAATACATATATTCTAGCTCTGGCGGTGAACGAAACGAGGACGAACCTGCATGAACCGGATCCAATCCTCGTGGTACACATCGTGTGGCACCAAGACGAGGGGCATCCTGGGCATAGTATCGAAGAAGTCGTCCATGTCTTGAATCTTCATGATGTCGAACCAGGTATAGGCTTGGGCAAGGTTAGGTGGACGGTTGAAACCCTCGGGAGGGCGAAGTGGTTGTTGAGTGTCTTGCGGGTAAGACATCAACGCGGCGTTTCCGCCCATGCGAGGAGAGGGACGAGGAGAGGGACCACGACCGGGGATCGTGGCCTGGGGCATCCCAGAGCCGTATCCTCCAGCACCGTATCCTGGGACGGGAGAGGCAGCTCTGGAGCGAGGAATATAGCCGGGGTTGGGTGACGCAGCCCTGGAGCGAGCATAAGGGACCGCACCAGGGATGGGGGAGGCTGCACGCGAACGCGAGAAACCGCCACCACCTATACCACCACCTATACCACCTATACCACCTGGCATGGGCATGGGCGACGGAGCTCTGGAGCGCTGACCACCATCGTTATAGACGCTGGGGATGGTGCTGGGTCCGTGGTAAGGCGAGGCAGAACGCTGATAGATATCTGTAGCCGCACGCGAAGGCGAGGAGGGATATCCAAGGGGAGCAGAGGCCGCCCTAGGAGATGGAGGCCCAAAGTTGCCCGGCATACTGTAAGGAGAGGCAGGGCGCTGTCCAGCAGGGTAGCCAGCAGAGGTGTAGGGACCTGCACTCGCGCTGTAGGGTACGGCGCTGTATGGCTCCCCGCGGTCATCGACGCCATACGAACCACTCTGGCGGTTGCGACCATAGCCACTGTTCCTACGTTCACGTTGGTAGTCCCTGCGTCCGAGACCGTCGAAATTGTCGAGACGCGATTCGAGTTCACCAGTGCTGTAGGGGTTAGAGTAGCCTCCACTTCCAGTGGAACCAGCCACCGCGGGTACGGCGCTATAATTCCCGCTGAGCCTCTGGCCAGCACGGCGGTATTCCCTGTCTTCTCTGTCGGTTCGACGTTCCTTGTCCCATTGAGCAACTCGTTTGGCTGCCTCTTTTTCCTCCTTCCTTCGGCGCCTCTCTTCGTCCTTCTGCCTGGTGGTGACGTAATGACGTCAGTACATACACCTACCCGAAGGCAGAGGGTACTAACCATTCCCTCTGGGCCCTGTCGCTTTGTCTGCTATGACTTCCACCCCTCCAGGAGGCTTCGAATTCCTAAAACGTGCGTCAGCTCAATCCATTCGCAAAGAAAGAGGGTGATAGCTACCGCGTTCGCTGGTACAGCACCTTGAGGGACCACACTACAAAGAACGGTGTTGTGAGCAAAAGCACTGCAAGCTTGCCGTAGAATCTAACATACCTAGTTGCTTCCGCGGGGATCCACTGGATGCCCGTCACGACACCATTCGGAGTCTGATAGCTGCGCGGACGAGATTAGCTTCCGTCGACGGCGTCTAACACAGGCCCACCATACCTCGCTGGGACAGCTCTGAACATATGATAACGATCGTACGACGACGGTTAGTACGGCAAATACAAGCACAAAATCTAGTGAATTGTGCTGACTTGAAAGGATGGTAGATGATCCTGCCCTCAGGGGTGGTCGTCGATGTATAGGTGATTTGCCCCGCCTGGATCGGCTGACCATTGTTAGGTGAGAAAGGCTGTGGTTGCTGCTGCGACATCATCAAAGGACTCGACGGTGCCATGATGGGGCTGCTGGGGTAGACATTTGGAGCGCCATACATCGCCATGATTGCTTTGAATCCTCCGAAGGCTGGATCACGATTCTTGAGTTTGTGGAATGAGTGGGTATGAAGAGAAGGGAGTCAAGAGACTCGTCGTGGAGGTATGAAAGAAGAGGGCACGCCTGCGATGGCTCCCTGCCTAGCGGATGCCTCGTGTGTAGATGGCTTCTGATAGTACCACACACAATACATTCGGAGCAAAGTGCGGCTCCTTTCGAGCGATCTCCTAATATATATCATGCTCATGACGTGCACTAAGATTAGATTAGATGCACAAGATTGCGCGGGCGAGAGGTGAAACGGGTCCTGAATATTGAATGATTGAACAAGGTGGCACGGTGAATACTTTCAAGCAAGCGAAGCGGTCTGCAACGAGTCCAAGGTGCGAGATATATATTTACAGAAGCACAGTGTAACGTCCACGGCCCGAGAGATCAGAATAGTATGCAAAAACAATACTCTAGAAGAATCGCCACCATAGGAAGATCAAGAGAAAGAGGACGATACCGCCAATTGGTGCGTATTGCCGCAGAGCAGCCTGCCAGTTGATGTTTCTTGCAGCCTTGCGGTATTTTTCCGACTCTGAACGCAGCGAACTTGACAGATGTGACATTCCTGAACGAAGAAGTTTTGCGGCGTCAGTGCTCTATCTGCGTAGTGCATCCCATAGAGTAGTCAAGTGGGTAACATGACGTACTGTCGAGTGAATCGCCTCTCCACAGCAGTTCCTCCATGTTCTTGGTCATTATTCTCGTCACATCCTGCAAGTCATCGTTCAGCCTATCAAGACCGTTGCCGGCTGCGTTTGCTGTACGCGTATCACTGTATAACCGCGCAGTTTTTGACATGAAAGTATCTTTATATGGAGAGTGTCAGAATTAGTGGCTGACTGCACGGAAAGAAGACATTTGACGCACCGAAGCCGACAAACGCATATGGTTTCCGTACTCCGTCCACCTTAGGTCCGTATGAGTTGGCGAACTCCTTGGAGAGTTCATCGAGGTATGAAAAAGCTAGCTTTCGTGGATAGGATTTATCGGCTATGGTGAGGTATACGACATTATCCGCTATGAGGTAGCTGAGCCACGTATACATTCCGTCAGTACATTGCGCTCCACAGACAGCAAGCATAAGGACGAACAAATGTGACGCACTGTAAGGTATACGCGGCGCTTTCTATTGACAAGCGAGGTTCAGAATTTGGTGTAATGCGTCGAAAGATGAGTTTCGCCTGCTGCTTGTGCTCTTGAAGCGAATGCTCCGTCTACGTATCCTCCGTCTCGCTCAGCCTTCGTGGGACCGTGTTACGGCTGAGCATGAGGCTCACCTGTTCGTCGTCGACGCTGGCGGCGAGAGGAAGAGCATCTGACGCTCGGACTATGATGGTTGAACGAACCATGATGGTGCACTGTGTCCAGAGGGACCTGAGTTGGGGTTTGGTGAGTGCAGCGAACACAACGAAGCAGTGACCGCATACGGGCCCACGTGTCCCATTCCACGGTCTCGGTCACTTCTGGCCACTCACCCGGCCCGAATTTCATGCCCCCCCACAGGGGCCATAAAGTCTGTGCATTCGCTTGCTGTCTCTCCAATAATACACCCCAACACCCATACTCGTCGCTATCCACATGTCAGCCTCTAATTTGTTCAATATTAGGCATCAGGTACGTCGTATACTGCTGTCGATCTCTGCGCTCTCAGGTCTAAGCTTGGAATATGTAGTTGACGTTCTATGGTGCATACCATTCGAACAAGACAAATATTGCTATCCATATCTGCTTCGTACCCCTCATACTTTGGTATATATCTTATTCGTTGCACCCTCTCCACACGCTGATCTATCATAACAGGACCTTCCAAGTTCTTGGAAGCTTATTACCGGTCCCTTCCTTCTTCCCCGACTTCCACTATGTTTTCAACGACTACATGTCCTTCGAAATCAACTGGGCTACTATCGCTATGGCACTATATCTCGCGTACTACTACGCCCTTGAGCCACTAGCCGCCGTAAGCTATCATTTCCCTCTTCTTCAGGATGAGCGCTGACAGTCTGATGTTGTGGTTCAGCTCATCTACACGCCACAAATGGTTCTCTTCGTGTTGACGGCAGTCCAAGCGTCCAAAAATGCCGACAACTTCAAAATCGCAGCCGGCTTGAACGTTCTCTCGTGGATTATGCAGTTCATTGGTCACGGAGTGGCGGAGAAGAGGGCACCGGCCCTGTTGGACAATCTTCTTGGCGGTACGCAGTATCAATCAAGATTTCATACCCTGAGACTGATGGTGTATCCTTCACGGTTATAGCCCTCGTCCTTGCTCCCTTCTTCGTTCATCTCGAGTTGCTCTTCAAGGTCGGATACAAGCCTCAACTACATCGGGACCTGAAGAACGATATTGGAAAGGAGATTACGGCTCTCAAGAAGGCGCAAGGCGAGAAGAGGCGAGCGCAGGAGGCGAAGGAGCTGTAAGATGTTGCTGTCTTTCTCCCCGTTGAACATATCTATCTCCGCCAGTCGGTCGCTCCCAAAGGGCTCCTCGTAATTGAGCTTTTTTGAGGTCTCGTTATGACTTGGTAATTTGTAGGATTATTTGTACGGTTTGTGATTTCGAGCAAGTCTCTAGCTTTCGTGTCGAAGACTGCTCGGTTCTGGTCCCTGAAATCACTTTCGTCTACACTGGGTGACTTGGGATTACAGTCGTACAAGTGCTCCGGCGAGCTATATATTGAACAAGATCACGTCTACATTTTGGCTGTCGTTCTCATTATCTTCTCTCCGTCCACTCATCCCAGCAAACAAATTCTAAACAAGGCTGGAAGGAGGTGGCAGGACGGGTTCACCCAGAGGGGTAACGTAGGCTGACGTCAATCCACCGTCGACCTTCAAGTCGGTACCCTATGAGCGCAAAGATGATTGTTAATGAGCAAGCAGTCGCACGAACAACAAGTGGGAACATACCGTCATGTAGCTGCTCTCGTCGGTGCCCACTGAGAGTAGACAAAAGGGCTTTAGCGCCGCGCGAAAGAAGAAGGAATAAGGTGAACGTACAGAAAAGTGCAGCCTTGGCGATCTCGACGGCCTCACCAAATCTGCCCATGGGGAGATGGACTACGCGGCGCTCCTTCTTCTCGGGTGTGTTAAGGAAGTCCATCAGGAGGGCTGAAGGCGAAGTCAGTTAATCGCTCGGTTCAAGAACATCCATGGAAGAGACTCACGGGTCTTCAGAGGACCACTAGACAGATGTCAGATATACATACAGTTAGTGAGGGAGCTCTGGAGAAGAGTGACAATACGCACGGGCTGACGGAGTTGACGCGGATGCCTTCACGAGCATGGATCATGGCCAATTCACGGGTCATCGCAAGGACGGCACCCTATATAAGATTCAACAAGCCGTCCCCTGATTTGAATATTCAGCCGAACTAGTTCACCTTAGACGATGTATCTGTAGGGTCCCGCCACAATTAGCTTGAGAACAGAGGTGAGCAGCCAAGAGAGCGACATACATGCGAGTTGTGGCGTTGCGGCACCCATTGAACCAACGAAACTCGCGGTGTTGATGATGCTGCCTCCCACATGCAGGCCCTTGGCCTCATCGGTGGGGTTCTGGCGCATGGCGAGGATGGCGTACTTGCAGCCCCACCAGACACCCTTGACGTTGATTTGCATGGTGAGGTCCCAGATGCGTTCTTCCGTGTTCAGGGCGTTGTCGTCTGCTGGATGCATAATACCTGCACGAGACCGAGAACAAGTATATACCCAGTCAGTTCGAGCACCAATAATAGCACCGTTCATGTCGCTCACCAGCGTTGTTGAACTATAGAAGTAGAACCGTGAGCATAAAATTAGCACAAATTACCGTCCCACTCGGACATTAATATAGTAGCACGCACTATGACATCCAGACGACCAAACTCCTGCACGGCCTTATCCACAGCGGCCTTGATATCCTCTTCCTTCCCGACATCGGCCTTCACAGCGATGGCCTTCACGTTTGGCGACTTTTTCGAGATCAGCGCCGCTGCTTTCTCTGCGGCCTCAAAGTTGATATCGGCGAGGATGACATTGGCGCCTTCTGAAGCGAAGAGAATGGAGGTTTCGAGACCGATTCCACTGGAGGGGCCGCGGAGATGTAAGACATATGATGCAGGAGGCCATTCAAGATGACTTACGATCCAGCACCAGTAATGACAGCACTCTGTCAAGAAGTGCTAGTGTGAGTATGATTTAGATGGTTAACAAGGTATGTCTGACCTTGTATTGGAGACGACCGGGCATTTTGTGGATAAGCAGGTAGAGATGAGGAGGTGATGGGGCAAAGATACAAGTGGCGAAGATGGGATACGATGAAGGGTGCTCAGAGGTTATGTACTTCGGCGGGGTGCGATTGCATCGACTTTCCGGCCGCGGCGTCCAACCTTGATAGCATATCGACGGGACCTTCGTCTTTTTCATGGCATTCCGTTCCAGAGCACGGCCGTCCGTGGCGATGGTAAAATTTATTGGGGCATATAAACATCTCGACTTCGGCGTACTGCACATGGACGTCCTCCGAGTCCTCTTCGCAATCATTAAATTAGGGTGTGGGCCACAATGATCGGCATACAACCCCATGACGCCACAGGCCAATACAAATCCACGTGGGCCCGATATGAGTAATCCCCCGCTTCCGAAGTCGCGACGCGTTTCTCCTCCGCGCCCTGTTACTTTTCGAAAGATATTATGTTCTCCCTACTTTCTCGCAGAGCTTCGACATCGGTACTTTGGTCTCGTCCGTTACACTCCAGTGCATGGCGTTCCTCGGCCGCGGCAACATCCTTACCACTACCGACAGGACTGGATGACGGTGAAAAAGCAATATTCCAGAAGCTGACAGAGCGGTTCAATCCTTCTGAGTTGCTCGTGCAAGATGTTTCTGGTACGTCCCAATCGTCGGTTAAATTTAGGACGAAGTTAACCCTTTATGGCCATTCAACTTGGTTGATAGGCGGTTGCGGATCGTTCTACGCGATCCAAATAAAGAGTGAAGCGTTCAAAGGCATACCTATGATAAAGCAACATAGGATGGTGAACGACACTTTGAAGAAGGAGATTGAGGGGATACATGGGCTGCAGGTGCGTGTCTCATGAGCTTCTGCAATTGGTGGCGTAGGATGCTGACCATGCACTGCAGCTAAAAACCATACCCCAATGACCGACAGACCTTCGATTAGACACCCGCTAGACCTACACTATTTGTACGATTTGTTCCCCATGGATTCTCAACTACTACGTGATACTGTGAGTTTCTGTTCTTGTTTCAGAGTCTCGTCCGCTTCTCGCACCTGGGAATGCTACGGCGAACACAGCGACTACGTAGCGTTTCAACAGCGTTGTGCCAAGCATTGAGAGAAGACCTTTGTGGAATTTTCGAGTGCCGTTAAAGTCTCCTTCTCTATGTGTGGTGTTATAAATGGGTGCGCTAGTACTCTAGACTCCGTCCGGAAAGCTGGTGGTCTTTATGCCCTATACCTGATGCCGACAGACTATGTTAGCTCACCTCTACGTCGTCTGCGATAGGCGCAACGCCGTACTTTTCTATGTTGACGAAGCTACTGGATGTTGTGCACCATCTTTGGACGGCCATTCCCGTCTGCTTCTGCTTTGTAACATTCAACAGTACACAAATAAACCCACCGGTGTCTTCTTTGCTCCTACTCCAACGCGTTATCCTTCCTGCCAAACTCTCTTCAAAAATAGATGCCATCGATGCGGGTGGATTGGACTCTAGGGTGATGCGGGATCGGCATCGGTCCGTTAGCTCTCGGTGCCCCCAAGCACCCTCCACGGTAGCCTTTCGAGTTCCACATCACTCGATGAAGATGGATGTTGTTCTCATGAACAGCGCCCGGCGGCGATTGAACTCTTCGTAGGACAGAATAGAACGCGAAGATGGCAACGGCCGTATCGTTGCCTGCAGATTACCATAAGCATCGCTGGCTCACGATATCGTTGTTTATATCGTGTACGTCCATATTCTACGATGTTAGCTGGCCATCTACTCATCCTTGCCTTGTCGTTCTACTCCGCCTCCGCCAGGACACGGTTTCCTATGCTGAAGGACACAATTAACGACTCACCACTTTGACACAGTGTGCTCCCATACTCTCCGATCTTCCCATTGATCATCAACATCGGTGTTCTTGTTTACAGCCGGTGTGCACGGTGCAATTTTCTGAGCTCACGAGGGTCTGAGACACCGCTATTTCATTGTAGCCATGCTTCCCTGCTTGATGCACATCCACAGCACAGCGCTCGGTGTGAGCCTGTCCGTGCACCGAAGGTACCACCTACGGAAGAGTTCAAGAGAGCTCCACATTGTCGTCGTGTTCTGATATGGTCGTTGGTCATTGGTCAACCAGGAGTTCCACTTTGGGCTACTCTATTGTTTGGGAAATACGTACCAGTGCAAAAGAACACGTGGATCTGAATCAAGAGAAGGCTCTGATTATCTTTTCCTCTAAGTCCTCTGGTTCTATTTCTCTGCCCACATCTGCGAAATGCTGGGACAATGCAAAGTCCTAGAAGAGTGACGCATGGGGTGTGCAGACTACACGATGCTACGAGGATATCGTCAACGTCGACGATTTGTTCGGACATGATTCGCCATCCTCCGTTCACCTCTGAGGTCCTTAGGACTGACAAGCCTGCAATAGGAGCGAAACCCCTTATAACTCTCTGTCGGCGGCCGTATGTCCTGTATGTCCCATCATACATCACCGGTTCATTGTGCATTGTTGATTGGACGCCTATGGCGGACAGATCTTATGCTATATAGCCACAACCCTCAGGCCTCAAGTCCCGAACACGGTGCTATCGGTATCGGATGCGCTCAGGGTGCTCTATTCGGTGAGTGTGATGTCTTTTCCGTACTCATAGGTTCCTGTCATCTTGGACCGAGCCGACGCCCTTGTTCCCTTTGGTTATAGACATGCTGGTGTCCGTAATCGTGAAGCCCTGTGACAGATATGATTGTTCCAGCATCAATGCACTATGTCATTCACTTTTCTAGCTCTCATCTCGTACTCCCTCGACGGTCTTTCATGACCTGCCCGTTAATGATGAAAATCTTCTGATCCTGCTTGGTCCATCTCGAGGACCTACGTATTATGCTCAACTTCAGGAGAGCATGTATTCCAAACCGACGCTGGTAGCGCTTCAGGCCAGCGCCTGCCAATTGCTCACTTTGCGACGCCCTCGCACCTCCACTTGACCTCCACATGGAACCGTCTACGCACCGCGAGCATGTGCATGCCGCACTTGCGTCAACGGCGCGCTGCCCCTTGTCATAATCGGCGCTTAAGGAGGATCTACCGTTGTGGCGCTGGTCGAGCGCTGTCGAGAAGTTCCTTTAATTAACAGATGGTGAGATGGTGACTACACGACGTACGTCTCGAGAACTCGCCTGAGCTCGCCCCCAGAAACTTTTTGACGCTGAACGCTTTTTCAGTTTTACCTGTGTTTTATTCTGGCTGTAGACGCTCGCCAGCAAAATAGCGGCAGGCCGCTGCGCTGCGGTCTTTTCGGATGGTGGCGCTCGATTGTGGCTCTTGTGGCACATGCACGAGTATCCGTCAAAATGTCGGAGGCCTTCGTCCTTCGACCTCCGCTGTCAAGTCTCGACGCCACTCTCGATTGTGACGGGCGTACCACGCCATACATCTCTCGCCGCAGAACGGACGGTCCGCGCGACAACACACCCAATATATGTCTTCATTCCACCGCGGTGTTCTCGGTTGTCTATCCATCTCATCCTGGAGCTCAACTAAACATATCGCGAACTAAATCCGACAACAATTTCTCTCGAGTGGCTCCTCGTCTCTCATTCGTGGGGTCCACTGCACCTCGCCGTCACGGCCAATACTCCACACCGCTAATACCGGTCTGATCCTCAAGCAACCAACAATACCAACAATATCTTCTGTCAGACCCCTTCTGACTCTCTCCTACAGTCGTCGTCACTCTCATCACAGAGGGACGTATCCTCACGGCCATACCTACTGATCAGCCGAGGAGCGCACCGGGATCAGGACCCCAAGGCACTTGGTGGCACCAGTCGCTCTGCGAGTACACCGGCATCCATCTAGAAGACCGGACGAGCAGGCGCCCAAAGGCTCGAGGTGAGCAGGCTGTACGGCCTGTGACTCTCTTGCTCTATATACTACGCCCGTCTGGCGCTCAGCTGTGTGTGTTGTTTTTGGTGTCTTCTGGTCTATGCTAGGCCTTGTCTTGCGAGCCTGTCTGAGGTTCTTCTGGGTCGCCGTGCAGGACTACTGTACTGTTGTAGTCATTGGGCTGTGGATGCGAGAGAAGGATCGGCATCGACGTCGCTGACCGGGCTCGAGCGCTCGCCGTTCAAGGAAGTCTTCATCTTCCATCGCACCCGACGAGACTCAGACTCAGATGGTGGAGCAGCATTTTCATTTTGCACAGTGCTCGGAATCAAAAAGAGAGACAGACAACACTTGAACTGGTATGTATGTACTGTGGTCACGGGCCAATCACATCCTCCTGTGGCGCAGTACATACATACATGCTAACCTAACCTAAACTACTCCAATTCTCTTCGCATGTACCGTCCCAAGGCAATTATGCCCTGCTCCAAATGCCATAGCATGAAACATACACGGGTTTTGGAATGGGCAATGGGCGTGGGCAATGGACATGAAGCCGTCTATGGAAAGATAGCGCCCCGCCCAAGGCCGCCTCTCGGAGCTTCTGAATCTAAACGGTTCTTGGGCACACGCACACATATGGTAAACGACGGCGCCGTTTCGCAGCCCGTTCAAAGCTTCAGGCTTCAGAATTCGAAGCAAACGTCAGTGGCATGCTACTGCTGTCGCTATGGGCGCTTGCGGATCTTTTGCGCTTCTTTGGACTGACTGCTGTGTGTATGTGACACTTACATATTAGGTGACGACACCGAGTAGAACAGCTGTGAGACGAGGGAAGTCTAAGGGTGACGGACGTGGAAGCATATGAGCTTATTATACCCAGTGGGAAGGACGGCCTCCGAACAGGCTCGCTATGGGCGAAACGGCGGCCGTCTGAATCCTTCGAGTTTGTGTGTGTGTGTGTGTGTGTTCATCTGGCCATTATGCATTATGACCTGAATGCGGAAGCAGTATGTACATACGCACCAAATGTCCTGCTTATCGTAACGCTACAGTTGGTGACTGCCACCGTCTCTGCCCGTACATACGGTGCCATGAGTAACTTACCCTTAGACGCAATTGCTCTAGCCCAGCTTCCATACTCCTTCAATCGGACAAAAGGTTGCTTAAAACGCCCTCGAGGCTCGTCTGGTGGCTAGAAGCCCCTCTCGAGCCCGCACGTCGAACGCATCCGACTACGCCAACCAAGTCCAAGCCAAGACCTGCTTGACGCCCAACGAACCATCGACCGAGACGAACAAGAGAGGCACACTGGAACCTGGACTGGCACAGACGCACAAAACTCACGACACAATCCAACTCAGCTCGCGACTCTAGAGTCTACATAACAGCTCACGAAAGTGTTGTCGGATTCAATATAAGAATACCGGGCGTTTGAACCAGACAAACTCGAACGGGTGAGCGGGCGCCTAACTGGAGAGGAAGGAAGGAAAAACACGATGCGCGGCCAAGGTTCCAAGCAAGGAACTCTCGAAGCGGCTTCAAGCTTCAAAGCCAAGCTCGGAGCTTCCTCCGGAAGCTGTCCCCAGTTATCTTCGCTCCCGATTTTCCGAGTCCGGCATTCCTCGCTTGCTGGCTTTGGGCGCCATACGCCGAGTGTGTGTGTGTGTGTGTGTGTGTGTGTGAGTTATGATTCTGCAATTTATCGAACAGGGTGCTCCAGGTCGGGAGCGGAAGCGGAAGCGGTGGGCGAGGTCGGAGGGAATAATGGGATCGGTATTACCGTTTTCGGTGTAAACGGAGGAGGGAGATGGAGTCGCGGGTGTAGTTGGCGTGCTCGGGGTCTTCGACCTGTTTGGAATGTGCAATGGTTTGCGTTTCTGAGATGAGTCAGGAACGAATACGGAGTACGGCCGGGATGGATGGAAGAGGGCAGCAGTGTGGGGGTGGTGGTGGTGGTGGTGGGAGTGTTGGGATAGACCGATGCGGAACGGGAATGTGTGGAGGGCGGGATTTATTTTATGTAATTCGGAATTCGTGGGAGGAATGAATGGAACGGCAGGCGGAATGAAAGAAAGAAAGAACACGATGGTATGTAGGGAGATAACGAACTCGTGAAAGAAAGTACGCACGTCGCTCCAGGTGAAGTGTTTTTTGAGAAGGGCAAAAAACCGCTTGTCAGCCTAGCAGCAGCGGAAATAAATATGAACGGGATGTATAGAGTTGAAGATCGTTTAACGAAGGTCAATATTTCACCTTTCGTCGTTTCTTGTAGCAGAAGAGCACTTCTGGATCCTCTCCTTGCTCGAGCTTTGTCGCGGGAATAAGATATGCTAGTGTTTGGACGAGCAGAGGGAATGCTGGTTCGAAATATACACAATCTGCGGCCAGGATTAGCTGTGGATGGGGAATGCTAGGAGGAAGTGGTTCGCCCCTATGACACACCAGCATGAAATTAGTAGTTATTCGATAGGTTGTCGACCTGGAAAACAGGGGACCATACCAGTTTAGCTCTGATGCGGTTACACGATCCTGGAGGCCATTCAATTCGATATTTCGCTGCATGATTGGGAGTAATGGCCTGGACGATCGTCGACCAGTCAGAACCGAATCAGAAGATGCGTCAAAAATCAACCAAATCGCATCGTATCCAAGGCGGGAGGGAGGATGTCAGCGCACGTTTGATCCGTAATCCATACGTGTTTCGCTCCCAGCAACGCAGCGACGAGTCCCACCAGACCTGTCCCGCTTCCCAATTCCAGCACGTTTATATTCGCGAGCGGGGATTTCGTCGAGCCGAACGAGGCCCCATCGCTGCTGGGATCAGCTCGTCGAGCTATATGACGTGCGAGAACCTGTGTATTTTGTCAATGGATTGATGAACAGTGGTGTTAGTGTACGCTCCATGAACACTCATCACGACACCCTTGCCCCAATCATAGGCTGCGGCGAGCACTTCAAAGTGGCCCTAGGTGCTCTAGCAAGCGAGTCAAAGCGGAGGGTTGGAGAAGGGGTGAGAGCAGTCTCAGCTTGATGAGAAAAGCGAGAGGATATTATCATGCAGGGTCAATCGCGCTCTGATCGAATGAACTGATGATGTGGCAAAGCTCAAATAGGGGCAAGTAACATTAAGCGTGCAGAGCATCGCATGGTGCACTTTGTGGTCGCAAATGGCAATAGAGAAAGAATGCGTGCGGCAGAGCTGATGGGTCGAAGTGGACTAACCTCCCCAGCAGGCCAGGCGATGCCGCCACACCCGGGACTCGCATCCACAGCAAGTTTGATGGAAATGGGCCGTGATGGCTCGCCATTAGATATAGTTTTGCCTGAGCCAGCCGGGAAAGACAAAGATATTGTTTCGTTCTGTATCGAGTGTGGCTGTTCTGGCAGAAAGGTAGCATCATCGGAAGAGCTTTTGGACTGCGAGTGGGGATGATCAGAGCCACGAAGATGTCTGAGAGGATCGGCGAGATCAAGGGCTTCCTCCTCAGACAAGGTGGGGCTTGGAGCCCTTGAAGAGGGTGCGATGGCCATGCTGATAAAAACGAGAGCAGGTGGGAGTAGTGGTATTAGTGCGTGAGACGGTGTGCTCGCTGTCGCGAATACGGGCAGTACGCGTAGATGTGGCGCGAGGCTACGAGGCGCGCTTTGAAATATTAAAGATCGGCTCTGGCTGATAAGATATGTGGCCCTCGATCGTCTGGGTCGACGTTGAGATCGTCGACCCTGACTTTTACTCGTCGATGACACTCTTGCTCACCTGTTGTCATCATCTTCCGGACTCGCAGGCTTTTGCACCTATGCGCATTATGCGATAGCAATCGGGGATCGAGAGCGGGCGCTCACGGGATATGAAGGCTGAGACTAGAGTGCGTACTATTTATCTGTTCGTTCACCGCATGCACATTGGTGAACGAGAGGTGCTAGCATCGGCAGAGAGATGCGCTATTTCCTTGGTACAGCCGTAGGCTATCAACTAGGGATATTATATCGGGCGAATATAGTAAGATGTGGATCTTCCGCGGCTTGCAAGTCGGAGATTGGAGATATGTGGGCAGGCACAAGCGCTGCACATGCGAACCGCCGAGAGGGTGCCCCGGTGCGCTATAAAGGCAGATTCGTGAATGGCGGCCCGCGGTTGTGCTTGCAGGCCAGCGCCGGATCCACAACTGGCGCCAATCAGCGCTTCGGTGGAGGACCCATAACACCCCTCGCGCTGCTGTTCCACTACTTATCCCTTCCACGTCCTTCATCATCTCCCGTCCCCCTTCCCCCTGACGCCCCCCACGAATGTCGACCTACTCGACATCCCACGCAGTCCTCCTCCCCTTCGCTCCCCGCAAGGACTCCAAGTCATCTCGCAAGCACCCGTCCCCCAGCGCCCTCCCGAGCACAACCGACCTCTCGTCCTTGGCCCACTACGGCTCAAAGCGTGATAGCTCCTTCTCCATGGCAGACCAATTTGTACTCGATCTCCCCACACGCTCTCGAACACGGACACGCACTCTTACCCCTTCAATGTTCTCCGAGTCGTCGTTTGAATCCACCTCCTCCTCATCCTCCTCAGCCTCCTCATCCGCATCATACCCCCCTCCATCAATTCTGTCCAGTCCACCGTCATCAATCGCTCCATCACCCTCGTACGTCCTTCTCCGTCATCTTTCTTTATCTCATACACTCAATCTGACCCCAACCCTCAGACCACGGACGCAAACCCATCGGAAACTGCGTCCGCTACCAGTGCCTCCGATGTCTCCCCCACCGCATGCGACGGTATCTCCCATTGCCCCCTCTCCTCAACGACCCACACGCCTTCCACGATCTCACTCCCATGATGATATCCACTACGTCCACTCTCCAATAACCACCGCACCAGCCACGACCGAGTTCCCGGCGCCCCCTTCGACGCCCGCACCGCCATATTCCCCACGGCAGAATATCTATCGTCTGCCCTCACCGCCTCCGATACCCACCTTCACGAAGCTCTGCATTCCACTCACGACTCAGGATGATTCCTCCTTCTACTCCGACGTCAAGTCAAGACCATTACAGATCGACCTCTTGACGCCGATCATCGAGTCACCGGTCGCCGTCCCCGCCGGACAACGAACGTACTCACCCCTGTCATCTGTACCAACGATCTCCCCCGCTTCGGCTATTTCACTATCGTCATTTCCATTACCTCCGCCCCCGCCTTTCGAAGAGGCCGGCGCTTACGACTCCGAGCCCTCTTCTCCACATTCCTCCGACTCAACACCAACGCCCACAGGCGCACCACGAGTGCGTCCACTGCCTCTTCTTCCCGTCGCCCCGGGACCCCCGAGCGAGTGCACGACACCGATCGCGATGTTTCCTCGGAGGGCGTCATTCTCGACGGAGACGCTCGGCAGCGCTCTTCAGGATACATCTCTCGCTGCCAGCGACCGGAGAAAACTTGGGGACGGCGGCGAGGACGGGTGGGCGTCGGAGAGTCGCCTGGATACGAGCGACGTGGATGGCGAGATGATTGATTGGGATCTGATTGGTGAGGTTATGGAGACGGCTGCATAAGCTGGCTTGGCTGTAGACGCTCGCTCTCGCTTTGTCAAAATCGTATCTCTCCCTCCGTGTTACCCCTTTTTGGGCCTGTGATCCTCTCTTTCTCTCTCATTCCCTCCATTCGATAAAGCTTTGCATCCCCGCCGCCCGCTGCTGCATTTTGGTTTCCGTCCGTGCTTGGAGCTTGTTTGTGCCCCTGTTATCCCTGCCTGCTTCTCATGACCGCTGTTTTACGCATTATCTTATCCTGTTTTCTTCATTCGCTTGCATTGAATCCTCATTCCCACTCCCGCAGTACTGCTCCTATTCCTCTCTCTGCTTCTTCATGATACGGTCGGATACCTCTCCTCTCTCCTGTTCGATATCTGATCTCATTCTTCCTTTTCTTTTTCTTTGTTTTTGGTACTCACTCTCGAGCGGAAGCTACTCGGATACTTACCCACTTCACCGCATGGTACATAGCAGCAGCCAGCGCTCAATGTCGCATTTTCCTTTTTTTTTTGTGTCGGTCGAAAGGAAACGGAAATTATGACGCGCACGCATTTTACATATGTTTTGTATTACTGTACCGTCCCGACGACAACTTCTGTCTGTCCGATGTCCTATAATGTCAATGATAGTAGTAGACTCACTCTTGGAATCGTTTCCCTGCCTGAGTCTAAGGTGCACTGTGAATCGTCAAGGCACTTGCCCTTAGCTGTGTTTCAGGGCGTTGATGGTGTGGGGGGAGAAGAAGCCCACCCAGCCACCTTCCTTTCCGGGAACGCCCACCATCACGGCGCGGCGCGGCCACACGTGGCTCGCAACTCCGCCGCGCGTCGACTTGGGACGCAAATTCGTCCAAGTCCCGCCGTGGCCCTTCAATCTGTGGCACCATTGGTGCTTTCACGTTGATACTCGGCCATTCTAGACGAACTCTTTTACATGCTCTTTCATATGAACAGTACATAGATAGGAATATATGATACCAAACATCCCATCTGTATAAGTAGCCCTACAGCCTGCTCAATGGAAATGCCGTCGGCCAACCCTCGGCGGCACCGTAGCTGTCAATCAACACTGCGTGCTACGATATGTGAAATAATTACAGCGGCCCTCGAGACCGTCTTCTACAGCGAGCTCCCCCGTCCAGTCACCGAGACCCACGATGAGCCTTGAGCAGTCAATCCAGCCGCCATCAAACAATGCTCCAACCCGTAATTCTAACGCTGAAAATCCCTTCGTCAACTTGTCTCCAAGCAAGTTCGGCGGGTCAAAAGGAGGCTTCAACAGCCTGCATCAGGTAGAGTTCTAGTCAAAGTCTCTCTACTACCACACTCAGACTGATAATTTGACTTGGGGCGGGATGAATAGACCCACCATGCTACATCCAAGAACACCAATCGTGGAAAGTTTGTTGTGTACTCGCAAGCCGAGGCAAAGGGCGAGAAAACGAAAGGGCTCTCTGCCCGTGCAATCGCTTCCACTATCCCGACACAGCGCCTCGTAACATCCTATGAACAGGCCCTCTCCGTTGCAGCACTATACCGTGATGGAAAAATACAGGATTCTCTGTATTTGCCCGAGAGTGCTGAGAATCAAGCAGAGGCGAAACATCAGCTCACGGCCAACGACCTCGATATGGAGGCAAGAGGAGACTTACCCAGCCGTTGGAGTATACAGTGGAAGGATACTACAGGAAAGAAGAAGGGTGGATTTGAGAGGGTCCTGTATCAATGGTGCGCCGAATTCAGCTCCTTACGACATCAGAAGGACGGTCATTGACCACAGTAATGGTTCAGCAAATGCGGGTATGACGATGAGAGCGCGGGGACCAAAACTCGGCGTGTTACCTTTCCTTATACCGGCTGTCTTGCTCACGCCGAAGTCACCTACGAGCTCGATTCTCTCAAGGTCCTGCGTATTCGTGGTTTCCTAGACCATAACGAAGCCTGCCGGTCAGCAAAAATGTCGAACGAGCCCACACACGCTGTGCACCCCGCCGTCTGGAAGGTCGCGTTAGATCAACTTGGGGATGGTTCGACGTGGAGCGAAATCATGGCGAAGAATCGAAAGTACGTACTGGGGTGTCTTTACCCAGGACAGACTGCGGACTGGGCCTATTCGCCGTATCGTTGGCTGCTCAATAAAAAAGATTCGCGCTCGCTGTATCGTCAGGCGCAGCGGAAGGAGGGGGTTGATGTAAACGAAAGGCCTCACCGGAATATCGACTCTTGGCTCAACCCGTCGTCTCCCGAGTATAACCCCGTCCTCGCAGAGGCAGTTTTCTTCTACTCGGCTCGTGCGTCAACGGAGGAGCGCTTGAAGATATGTATTGCGACACCGGAGATGAAGGAGGCGGCATGGCGGTATGGACATAACCAACAGATCCTTCTTGACGGCACATTCGGGGTCTGTAACAGCAAAATTCTACTCTTCATTCTCATGGGATTGGACGAAGAGAAGAAAGGTGTACCACTTGCCTTTCTACTGTTCTCTGCTCCGTCCGGAAACAAGTTCACCCCCGCCGGATATGACACTGAAATCCTCACCGAGCTGCTTTCACAGTGGAAGTCATCACTAGGTCTTCGTGATGGATCGGCCTTCCACTCTCCTGTTGCGATAACCGACACAGATCTCAAAGAACGCAATGCGCTCCTCGCGGTCTTTCCTAACATCTGGCTTCTTCTCTGCAAGTTTCACGTTCGTCAGGCCTGGAAGAATCACCGAAGCCAGCTGCTCAAGACGAACTCACCGGCCACCGGCGTTGGTGAGGTTCGCATCCGGCTTTCTCGACTTGAAGACGAGCTGATACGCACGAAGTCACACGAGGACGCCCTCCTTCTTGTCGCTACCGAGCGGTCTACGCTAGAGCAGCTGAAGACTGTTGATCCCACGGCAGTGTTTGCAGCTGACGGCGGTATCGCACACTTGGACTACCTATCAGTTCACTGGATCAATACAATCGAGATCTGGAAATCTTGGTCGGACCACGGACGAAATATCGCAGCCGGTATCCTCGGCTGCTCATTCGACTGGGTCCTACCGACCACCAATCACCTTGAATCGTTCAACAATCTCTTGAAGAACAAACACTTACGCCGTTGGCAGCGGAACGGTCGTCGCGTTCGGATCGATGTACTCGTCAACATTCTCATCACCAAGGTCCTCCCATCCATCTTCGAGCAGAGAAATCTCGACCAGATACAACGGCGGGCCTGGGAAGCGCGCTTGCGGCGTGCGGGGGCAGAGCATCTCATCAAACGCTCTGGAACCGCAAGCCTTCGAGGTCCTGGAATAGCGTGGCTCAGCCCTGACGAGACCCGAGACGCCGCTGCCACCGCTCTATTCGAGCGCAATCAGATCGGGGCGCCAGAACTCGATTTCAGTGAACCGACTGCGAGGCTTACCTTCCAGTGTAACTCGGCCTTTGCTTTGGACGCCGAGGTATTACCCACAGTCTACACCATAACGATGGAGGTCGATGGTGCTGCCACCTGCTCTTGTGGCGATTTCACTCAACGCGGCGGTTCCTGCAAACACATACGGGCGGCGTTAAAACGCTTGGATGCACTACGCGATCAGGGAAAGAACGTACCACATGTTCCGATTCCGACAAGCATCGACGCCGCACGAATTCTGGAGGCCACGCGTGTGGCGCGCAGCGTCGAGAAGGCTGTGGTGACCGCTAATGGCCAAGCTGGGCCGTTGATACGTGCAGTTCAGGTCGTCGATGACCTCCTTCACGTTGGAGACGGAATCTACGAGGGAGAAGACGCACGCTCCGACCGTGAGGAAGAGGGCGGCTTTGATGGTTCCCAGGATGAACTATTGTCAGACGACGAATGCCCGGATCCTACTATACCGTCAAGACTCGAACTCACCAGTGACATGGACATCTCAGAGTACTCGAGCGCGGTCGACGGCCAATGTGGAGATGAAGATGGTGGTGGGAGTGATGAAGAGGTGGGGGAGAGCGAGCGTCGTTGTGATGGGAAAAAAGATGACGGTCGTGGGAGTGATCAAACGGTGGTGGGAACGGGATCGAGCGCCGTGTATGAACACCGAGCTGGGGACGCTCAAGCAGCTGTGAACGCGCAGGCACTACTCCGAACGTTCCACGACCTCGAGAGCGTTGGCCCCCGTCTACTCGATATTGCCGAAAGGCTGCAGTACGCCCACCTCAACAAGAAAGATGATGAGGATCGTCACCGAGCCGAAGTAGCCTTGACACATGTTGAAGCCCTAGCCGCCCAGCTCAAGCGCCTCGTAATCGAAGCTCAGGCTGAACACCAGACCAATGCCGTACCAGAGATATGTGTGGCCCGTCCACCTACGCCACCAAAGAAGACCGTGAAACGCACTGCCCGTGATGCAGATTTGTCGGCAGAAGTAGGGAGAACCAAGGGTTGGGATACCAAGCGAGAGATTTATGCTGCAGACCTTGAGGTGAAGCAGAAGCGCAAGCCGTCTCACGGCTACTTCTAAGTTTGTAATATTTATCCATTACAATATGTATCTAAAGCTTCAGAGCAACAGTACGAGCAGTCAGACAGGGCCACGTTGGGGCCACGGCGGGACTTGGACGAATTTGCGTCCAAGTCGACGCGCGGCGGAGTTGCGAGCCACGTGTGGCCGCGCCGCGCCGTGATGGTGGGCGTTCCCGGAAAGGAAGGTGGCTGGGTGGGCTTCTTCTCCGGTGTGGGGTTGGGGACTTAGCTCTAGCTCAGGATGTATGTATGTACCTGCACAGAGATGAAAGACTCGGACCCCTGGCAATCTAAGGGTCCATCAAAGAAGGGGTCGAGTTTACATTACCACTCCAATCCTGGGTCTCACGAATCGTGGCCCGTGGGGAGGATGTACGAGCTCTTGACGATAGGGAAGGTTCTACCGGAAGAGGGGGGTGATGCGGTGGTTACGATGCAGTTGTGCATTCGGACTTGTGGTGAGTAGCTTTACAGTCATTGGACTCTAGAGCGAGCGAACATACATGTGCCACAGCGAGCGGAGCCGAACTGTTTGGTGCAGCCCAGTCGGGCGCCACACGTTCGTTTTGTGAGCCATACGCTTGTACATGTGTGTCAATGTGTCTGTGTTGCACGATGTTGACCTGGACGTGACCTCGAATCCCTCATGCATATATGCAAATGCGAGGACATATAGTCTACGGTCTACGGTCTACGGCATAGACTCGGATTCGGAGGATACGGCGTATACGTATACGTACTACACGGAGAAAGTTGCAGGCCTGCCGCGGCCAGTCTGGCAGCTTGGAGCGATAGTCATTATAAGTAGTTGCACTAGTTACAGTACTTACACACGGCAATGAAAAGAACATCAAACATCTGGGCGTGATTGCAAACTGGGATGGTCACATACTTCATACTTATGTACGAGTCGCTAGGTACATACTACATGCTGTAGACCAAACATGGGGAAAGTCGGGAGGAAGGGACGGGTACGGTGTCAGGTGACAGTAGTAAGTAGGAACGTCCAGAGGGAAGGGGAGTTCCTCCATCTTTCCCACTCCAGACACGGGCAGCAGACTGAAGCGCAGGCAACAATTACCTGAAGTCGACTCGACAGCCCATTACCGTAAGTAGAATCACAGGATCTCTCCCGAAAAATGAATCGCACAGATGGCCAAGACCTGGACGCGGTCTCACCTGGACTGAGAGCTGAGCACGACGCCCTAAGGAACTTACTACGCACTGCGCGCGCAACGTCAAGAAGGAGTATGTATCAGAAAGAGCGCCAGGAAAGGGCATGTCGATGTCAATAATATGAAAACCTAACTTATAAATAGGATTCAAGTTCCTAGGAACTGCGAGGAGGACCCCAGGGTTGCCACCCAAGGGCGACAAGACCTCGATTCACGGCGAGGGGCGAGGAGCAAGGAGCAACAGATGTCGATGAGTCCGGACGGAGCGTAAGCCCAGACATGTGTGGTTTCCCTTCCTGGTCTTTCCGAGAGGTTTCGGCGGCGGGAGAGCGAGGGAATGAGGTACAGTCATGCCTATTTCTTGTTTCTGGAGCATAAAATCCGATTCTTTTCGCCGCAAAAACATCGCAGGGTGTAAGTTATAGAGGAACGAGCCACGTTTGAACTTACCACCGGCACCCTGAAGATCTCCAATGCCATTACATATCGTAGCGCCACAAAATATATGTATTCCAGCGCCACAAAAACCTTGGGCAAATCGGGCTCATAATCGGGCTCATAAATATACATATGAGATCTTTATGATGTCGACCCTTTGGGTCTCTAAGCGAGACAGAAATGGACAGGGCTCGAGGAGGATCTGGCGGGAGTGATCGGCAGTATATGATACTGAAGATCATCGGGGCTCTTACTTACATCCATCCATGATGATACTGGCAGGGTCATCTCTGGCATAAGGCAATCCTTCGACGCTAGCCCTGTATCCTGTGGGAGGATAGAACGTTTGACGGGGACCGTATCGGACTTGGGCTCGGTGAAGTAACCCAGAGTACTCCGGTGTTCGCGAGGGTTGCGAGGATGAACTCGAGATTTGCATTTTGCAAAGTCAAATGGGCACGGTCAAGTGTGGTTGGTGGCGCGTCCGAGTCGATATGCAAAGAAGTGCTTAGCAGCTGGGAGTGGATCTGATGGCGTGCACGAGTGTCGTATTGGTAGAAAGCTATGGATAGGACCTAGATCGGAACAGCTTTGAAGCTTTAGAGTGTGGAGAGGTACGGAACGCTGCACCGTGCGGTAGATGCATACGTACGTGCGGAATGTATGGTCCAGCGGTAGTTTAAGGTAGGTTGAGATGGTGACATACGCCATGCTGATCTGTTGAGACTCGTGATGATGGGGCCTTTGGTGGTACATAGCGGGACTATCACCATGGAACCGATGTGAAGCATGGATTGAGCTTGTGCGTGAGGAAAGGACCGAGAAGAGTACTAGCCATGGCGAGTACCATCGTCGTACGGATCGATGTTTGCTATGGGTAGTTGAATCTCACGGAACCAACCTCCACGGTCAGGAATAGCGCAAGTACGAAGAATACGGCGGCCGGACAGGTTGGTGCATACGACCGAGAAGGTGCGTTTTGAACAAGACCATGTCGAACGTCTGCTTGACTTCGTCCTTCGATTTGAAGTGGGGACGTCTTGGATGAGACCGGAGGCCGTGACAAGTTCATGCGGGGCGGATTGAAATGTAAATGGACGACGTACGTTTCTGTATACAACATAACTTTGATAACCGAGGCACAGCGTCCGCTGTGGCATGTATCTGACTTGAGATTCTTGTCGAGAAATGTATGTTTTGGGTGCATCAGAGCTGAAGACGGCGGCCGCATGGGGCAAAGAGATTCGGTTCCGATATACCTTGTGTTCTAGTCGGTCCCGTGCAGCAAGAAGCGTATGCGCGACACTAGGAATGTGGTGGTACCATCGTGTACGCGCAACTAGCTATTGGGCACGAAGGGCCAAGATGACGCGTTAAAGATAGTACCAAAACATATACATCGTCAATGATCAATCTGCAATGGAGAGAAGAAGTACAACGACTTACTGGTCTGACTTCAACATGGAATTGTAGAGCTGTAACGAAAATGAACGAAACAAATTTTGACAACGAGTGAGCTTGCTCGGTAGTTATACTGTTGGCTAGAGAGTTCTCACCCACCAATACTAGGAGCCCGGCTCAAAAAATGGCTTACGACAGTTGGACCTGCAGTTCATAAGACCGCGTCGTTCGTCGCGGTTCGCGTTTGAAGTACTCTCGGCGTTTTCCGCAAGCTGAACAGAACGTGAAATGAGGTCACGATGTTTTATTACACTTCACTTCGCTTGTACCTCCGATCACTATCCTACAAAGAGCTCCCATCCTCATAATTTCTGTATCAGACTGATCTAAATGGCATCCTCAACGCCCGCGAAGACGATGCAGGAGGAGAAAAACCCTCGAGGAATCCCCAAAGCTCTATTCATCGTGCGTATACGATCCATGTCTTTCGAAAACACATACTGACATACCCAACCTTGTACTCAGAGCGACGTGGAGGAATATCTCGGGAGTCCAGATGCCGACATTGAAAAGGTTCTGACCGCATTCCAGGAAGCAATAGCGTGTGTACACTCTGCTCTGCTCATGCGATCTTACACTGATCCTCGCCACCCTTCATCATAATGCAGGAAGTACCGATATATGGACGGTAATCTCGGTCAACGAAGACAAAGCTTGGAGGAGAAGATTCCGGATATCAAGAAGACGTTGAACATGGTGGAATATCTCAGAGAGAGACGGGTGCGTCTGACTCTTTTCCCTTGACCGCTACATATCACAGCGTCTGATCGCGGCTACTGTAGGAAGGCAAAAAGGCCGAGAAGACGGATGAAGATGATCTGGATGATGACTTAGACGAAGCCGACGAAGGAGAGCCTAAAGCTTTGCGGACGACCTTCGAGCTCGCCGACACTCTGTACGCGGAGGCTGAACTGGAAGAGACGGACACCGTGTACCTCTGGCTAGGAGTGCGTACATTCAGTCATGTCTTGATAATTCTTACTGAATGTATCTAGGCCAATGTAATGTTGTCCTACAAAATCCCAGTGGCCATTGAGCTCCTACAATCGAAGCTGCAGGTGGCGCAGACGAGTCTCAACAACACAACAGAAGACTTGGAGTTTATTCGAGAGCAGATTACGGTGATGGAGGTAAATACGGCCAGGGTGTACAACTACGATGTCAAACGAAGACGGGAGAAGCGCGAGAAGGAGCAGGCAGCGTCGAAAGAAGTGGCGAAGGAATGAATGCTGCAATGAATTCTTAGTGACCCGCGCCCGAAACGTACCATGTCCCTATCATGATGGCCTTGTTCGCTGGACACCTTTGACGGCATTATCTTGGTGGGTTGGAAGAGACACTTGAAGGCCGCAGCCAGGACAACAGGTTTGTAGGTATTATCGAGGCGAATCCTGCTAACAGAGAATTGTGGCCCCTGTTACGAGGCACCAGATCACTAACTTCGTTAATGATCCATGATATGCATGAGTCGGTGAACTGGTGGTAATAGATTGAGTCAAGCGGCTCATACCAGCATCCAGATCAGCTGTGTTGACATGAAATTAGACAAGGATCGTCGTAACCGTTGAGGGTGGCGTTTCAAAGCGTATTGACTTCGTCGAGTTTAAATTCATGTGAACGGCGAAGCGGCATCTGCCGAACAAAAGTCTGACCTGCCTTCGGCGGATTTGGATGTTGAGAAGATTGACTCGATTACAGGCGTACACCCACAACCCTCATTATCACTCTCATCTTAGTCTTAATCGCCAGCGTCCTAGCTTCCCCCCAATCGTCGTCCGATCTTTCAGAGCCACTATGTCTGCAGAAGCAACTCCTCCGGCAGCGGGGACTCACCTCGATGAGGTTACGGGCGAGCTGGTGTCCAAGCAGTGCGTGTGATGTCTTGTTTTATTGTTTTATATATTCTGTTTCGGTGAGGGTATGGGCAGGTGAATATATGGATGTGGAGGCTGACATTTTGAACGGTATGATCTGTGATAGGGAGTTGAAGCGTCGTAAGGACAGACGTGAAAGGGAGGCCAAGAAGGCCGCCAAGGGTCCTGCACCGGAAAAGAAGGGAGCAGCCGTATCTAAGAGCGCTGCTGCGAACGAGGATGACTTGAACCCCAACGTGTGTTTTTCTCGATTCAGAAAATGAAGCCTGCGGTGTTTCCTGAGTGTATACTGACAGTGGGTTTCTCTTCGTTACAGCAATACTTCGAGCTTCGGTCTCGACAAATCCAAAAGCTACGAGAGACTCAGTCTCCAAACCCATATCCTCACAAGTTTGAGCCCTCTATCTCTCTTACCGAATACGTCGAACTTTACGGGTTCAACGAGGAGGAGGTCAAGGCCGAGGAGGAGAAGGTGGCCGCAGAGTTGAAGGAGAAGAAGGTCGGCGATGAGCTGCTCAAGAAGGGTGTGGCGTCGGTGAGGGCGAGACATTCAATCATCAAGCCTGGAGAAAAGCTGGCAGGCACGGTGCAGGCTCTTGCTGGTCGTATACACAACGTACGCGCTTCTGGTCAGAAGTTGCGTTTCTACGACTTGCACGGCGAGGGCACGAAGGTGCAGATCATGGCCACCCTGCAGTACGTCAACAAATTTATTTCCGTCTTCCACCTTCGTTTGACTTTTTCCTCTTAACGTGAAGGGATGCGGAAAACCCTGACACCTACGTCGAGACGCACGATATCTTCCGTCGAGGTGACATCGTCGGTGTCGTGGGCACTCCCTCTCGTACCAAGAAGGGTGAACTCTCCATCTCCCCCTCCAAAATGGTTCTCCTCGCTCCCAACCTTCACCAGCTTCCCTCGGGCCACTTCGGCCTCAAGGACGTCGAGACCCGCTACCGCAAGCGCTACCTCGACCTCATCCTCTCCGAAGAGACCCGTCGTATCTTCGTCACTCGTTCGCGCATCATCAACTATATCCGCCGATACTTCGATAACCTTGGTTTCTTGGAGGTTGAGACGCCGATAACGAGCATGGTTGCGGGCGGAGCGACTGCTAAGCCGTTCGTCACGCATCACAACGACCTTGATCTCGACCTCTACCTTCGTATCGCCCCCGAGCTCTATCTCAAGCAACTCGTCGTCGGTGGATTGGACCGTGTATACGAAATCGGTCGTGTCTTTAGGAATGAGGGTATCGACATGACGCATAACCCGGAATTCACGATCTGCGAGTTCTATATGGCGTATGCGGATATGTACGATGTCATGGATTTGACGGAGTGTTTGGTCGAGGGTATGGTGAAGTACCTGACGAACGGCAAGACGACGTTGACATATCATCCGGAGGGGAAGGGTGGGAAGGAGTATTTGTTGGAGTTTAAGAGGCCGTGGAAGCGGTATGACATGATTGAGACGTTGGAGGAGAAGTTGGGTGTGAAGTTCCCGGCGGGCGACCAGCTTCACACCGATGAGACCAATGTCTTCTTGAGGGATTTGTGCAAGAAGGTACGTTTTATCTACTTAAATTGTGATCCGAACATAATACTGACTGATCTTCACTCGACAGCACAACGTTGATTGCAGCGAGCCCCGAACGAACGCACGGTTGCTTGACAAGGTATGCCGTATAGTCTGAAAAGGCACTCGATTCCTCCTTAATTCAAAATATCTTCTCTTAGCTCGTTGGCGAATATATTGAACCACTCTGTATCTCACCTGCCTTCATCGGTACGTCTCACTCATCCGTGGCACGCAACCCCCTTACCAATCTGACCTTACCTTAACTTTCATTATCAGTCGGCCACCCTCAAGTCATGTCCCCTCTCGCCAAGTGGCATCGCTCCCGCCCCGGTCTCTGCGAACGTTTCGAGGGCTTCCTCTGCGGCAAGGAGATCTGCAACGCCTACACGGAGTTGAACGATCCCTTTGAGCAGCGTGCGAGGTTCGAGGAGCAGGTGAGGCAGAAGGCACAGGGAGACGACGAGGCGCAGGATATTGATGAGACGTTCGTAGACGCGTACGTGTTTTTCGCTGTTTACCTTGCTCTATCTTTGGCGCCCCTCCTGCCTGCCCTTTCATTGTTGAAGGCTCTGAATGCGCAAGTGATCTGACCATCTTTTTTTTTTGACTTCTATTTGTCGACGCTATACAGGCTGGAACACGGTCTCCCCCCGACCGGTGGATGGGGTATCGGTATCGACCGTCTCGTCATGTTCCTCACCGACTCTACCAGTACGTCTTCTGTTCATCTCACTGCCCCCCACAACCACACGTCTACATACATCTTGCAATCAATTACTAACCCGATTCAAATCACATAGACATCAAGGAAGTTCTCCTCTTCCCCGCCATGAAGCCCGTCGAGAACGCCGCAAACACCTCGACCGCGAACCCTGGTCCGGGCGGTCAAGTCTAGAGAGGATAGAGCGGTGTTCGTGCTGTTGGTATTAACTATCTCTCGGGTGTCCTGCGAGAGTGGGTGGAGAAGCCAAAAAATGTATAGAATTCTGTCTTGCGTGTGTAGCTTACAGTACCTGTAAGTTCGTGAGAAGCACTGATATAATCTTCTGAGGTGAACGTTTCGGATGAACGCGGACAGTGATTTCTTGCCTCATAGATAAATTCGCGGCGGAGACTCTGGACATTGCGCATTGCGCATTCATTCGATTGGTGCGACAGAAGAAAATACAGAATAGCTACAGGACAGTGATCGATACCGATACTAGTACAAGGTTGCCTTGATACAGTGCAGATGTGTACACGAACAGGATTAGACCCCCAAGAAAGAGGACTCGAGAGGAAGGAATCGGAATTGTGGGTATGAAGCATAAGAGAGGATGAAATAGGCTGAAGATGTCATACTTCCACGGTCGAAGAAAGAAAAAGAAAGAGAAACTTCATAGGTAGCAGACGGAAATCCACTGCATCACGCCACACCGTTAGTAGGGTGGTAGATCGAAGTAGGAGACTCAGTCGTCGGCTGAGTGGGCGAAATTGCGTTTCCTTCTTCGGCGCTCTTGGGGTGCAGCACCTTATCCAGCGTGTTGTTGCGCTGGAGCTATTCGGGGATCGAAACCGGACCATCAGCATAAGATAGCGAAACAAGACAACGGAGGTGACCTACGTCGGCGGAGGCCTTACGCTCCTGCACCTGTTCGAGCTCTGTTTTCCTGGCGAGAGTTTCCTGGTGGAGACGTGCTTCTCGCTCATGGGTCATCTATTCAAATGACAAGGTGCGCAGGATATATATCATTTACTGTGCCAATATTTGTGAGGGGAGAGAGAGAACAAACCTTGATTTCTTTCTCCGCCTTCTGCGCGTTCTGGACGGCGACGTTGTGGGCATGATCGGCCGCGTTTAACTTCTGAGCCGTCTTGTGCTCTTTCTTCTCTGTTTTCTCGCCGGTCGAGATGGCGTGGTCTACGGCCTGTGTATGAAATGAATAAAAGTTCGCCGCAGTTGGATGGGTGGAGGGGAAGAATAGAGGGTCCTCGAACATACCTTGTGGGCCTTAGTCTCTGCCTTCTCGGCAGCTTTGAGATGCTTGATGGCGCCGGAGACCTGCTTGTCGTCAGCCTTTGCTTCTTTGACGAAGGCCTTTTCGAGTCTCTTTGCGTCGTCGGAAACAGACATTGTGGTGGTGAGAGTTTGTGAGTGGGGTGTGAAGGATGGATGGGTGAATGTGCTCGGGTGGGTTGCAGCCTAAATTATCTGTCTGGAGGACGATGACGAGGGTGTGAGTGGAGCGTTGCTCGCAGCGTCAGTGTCGATCGAGGTGGCGAGTGGCTGCAGCTAGTTGACAGCTGTTGGCGCCGGGGCCACCAACCACGAAGATATCCCGGAGAACATGCACAATGACGTCACGCGCAGACAAAAAAACCGCTTCCTGTTCTATTTTTTTTCTGTTGTCGCCAACTACATCCGAGACCGAATGTCTCGGTCGCCACACGTTCAATTGTCGCCACAGACGTCGGAACGGCGATACAGAGCACATATCCCGCGATAAATGGAGTCGGAGACGATAGCAATGAGGGTGGTATGAAATATGGAGTGCGGGGGTGGCTGTCATGAATCGGGGTGACGGCTCGAGGGGAATGCCAAGTATGTACGCAGCGACCCCGTCGAGGCTGCGACGGTCAGTGCCTGAGCCCTCGCTGTCCACGGACATAAATCCCCATTTATTTTCCTCGTCGTAGACCTCGTCCACGACCATCAACATCAACACTTGACGCGACCTCGCATCGAGCGGCACAGCGAGCACGGACGGGACCCACTAGCGACAGAAGCCGGACACGATGACGAGCAGGCCAGAGGACAATTCCCATGCGAGTCCGATACCCGAAGTCAGTCTATCATTAGACCCCGCTGAGCAGAACGGCCAGCCTGCGCACTCCGCTGATCGTCAATCACAGTCAAATCTCCCTCCTAACCAACAGTCACATCCCCGTCCCGGCCCCCTTCGTCTCTCCGACCGTCTCTTTGACACAGACGACCTCGCTCCTCCTCTCCCTTCTCCCCCCTACAAGCGTGTCCCCAGCACATCCAATCTCAAGCCGGACGCACAACCGACTCCGCCCTATCGCTCCTCTTCTTCCATTGACCTCATGGAGAAGCCCGTCTTGGACGACAAGGGCCGCTTCCCAGAGCAGCACGACGCGTCGAACGAGCAGCAAAACGCGAAACCTACAGTGCACTACCACCAGGATACCAACAGTCCTGCTCCTGAGTATGCGGGCGGTCCCTCGCGCACGAACTCATTCCCGCTCCAGCATTCGAGGCAGCCGTCCTATGCGACATCCGACGACGGCGAAGATGATGACGAGGACTATGATTGGAGCGCCGAAGAAGATCTCGTTGATGAGGAGGCAAAGTTCGAGAGTCAGATGGGCATCAAGCAGAAACGCAAGGGCTGGGGCCCTAAACGGTCCGTCGTTTTATTGAACATGCCCCCGTCGCGCCGAAGCGACCTCTCCCTCCGTGCCCTGTTTCCGACTACGCGACTTACACGTACTGATATTTTCTATCGCGATGTTACAGGATCTTCACCCTTCTGTTCGGCTCCTTGATCGGATCAATGTTCGTTGCCGGCCTGCTTGTGGCGGGACCGATCCTTGTCCACTTCTTCTGGTACAAACCGAACCCGACCGCTCATCGACGCTACATCCTGGACAATATTGAGGCATGGCTCTTCTGGGCTGCCGCAAATGTTCTCATCTCATGGTGGCTCGCTATGATCATCGACGTCGTCCCTGCCATCTTTCGCGGCATCGTCGCTTTGTCTTGGGGTCATGTCTCCGAGAAGATCAAAACCCGCATCGAGATGTACAACTCCGTCAGGGGAAGCGTCAAGCCTCTCTTTTATGCTGCTAGCGGTTGGGTTAGCTGGATAATCCTCTTCGAACACATATACAAACTCTACGACGGCGACGATCCCTCGCAGAGTCAAGCTAGTTATACTGAACGAGTACGTCTTGCTTTATGTCCTCCCGAGGAAACTCTTGCTGACCTCTGCTTTTATTCAGCTTTTCGATGTCATCGAGTTCATCTTCTTCTTGGCTCTCGTCTGGTGTGCTCAGAAAATGTTGTCCCACATGATTGGTGAGTTATTCCGTTCTATTTCTTTCCCCCTCAAGTTTTGACATTTCATACCTCCATAGCTTTCGCATTCCACCAAACTGCATTCAAAGACCGTATAGACTACCTCCGTGAGGCCCTCGTCGTGATCGAGCGTCTGCGCGACTACCGTCCAAAGCACAAACATCGCAGTGGCGGACGTACCCCCAACTTTTTCGGCTTTACGACGCCCGCCTTCGAGCGAGATCACATGAACTGGGGCATGCGCAGCCGTACTGATACGCCTGAACCTCTTCGCCACACCCAGGGCCAAACTGACGAGGAAGACCACCTGGACGCAGATGACGAGGACGCTGGCGGGAAGGGTAAGGCGAGGAAGGGCAAAGCGAAGGATAAGAAGAATAGGATGTCGGCGGTCTCGACTAGGACGGTGACGCCTGATCCGGAGGCGATGGCGAATTCCAGAGGTACGATGGACAGTCCGTCGAGTCCGCATAGGTATCCGCCGGTGTCGCCGGACGGTATACAGAGAAGGACGTCGGATGGGAGCGATGAGATGGTGGTGATGCAGGCTGCGAAGGCGTTGAAGAACGCGGTGTTGCATGATGCGAGGAATATTCAGGGTAAGGAGGGCGAGACTGGTGGACTGGTATGGGATGTGACTTCTGCGCATGAGGCTAAGGTTTGTTTTCCGTTCGCTGCTGCCTCTCCTACCGAGGACTGACACTGATTTGTGGTTGTAGCGTCTGGCCAGGTCGATCTACAACACGTTCAAAGATCGCAAACGTCGTTTTCTTCTGCCCTCCGACTTCGAGCCGGCATATGGCACTCCCGAAGCAGCCCAAAAAGCCTTCCGCGTCTTCGACACAGACAACAACGGGGACATTTCCCGCGCCGAGATCAAGACCACACTACTCAAGATCTACAAGGAACGTCGATTCCTCTCACGGTCGATGCGCGATGTCGGCAACGCGCTACACACTCTCGACAGCATCCTCCTCTTCTTCGCCGCTATCATCCTGTTCTTCATCTCGTTGAGCGTGTTCGGAGTGAATTTCACGGAGTCGTTGACGAGTGTGTATACGATTGGGATTGCGGCGAGTTTCATATTTAGTGCGTCGGCGAGTAATGCGTTCGATTCGGTCATGTTTTTGTTCGTCACACAGTATGTTACTTTCACTCAGCCTACTTTCGTTGTGACGTGTGCTAACTTACCGTTTGTTTTTGTGTTCAAGTCCTTTTGATACCGGTGATCGCGTCTTCATCGATGGTGAGTTGCCCACGGACTTGTCCAGTTTTGACCTCGCTGACTGAACGACCTCCCTAGATGAGAACCTGGTTGTCAAGAAGATGGGTCTGTTCGCGGTAAGCATCTGATACCCTGCCGTGGTCAATGCAATGTCATTGATTACGCTTCTTGCAGACCATTTTCGCCCGTGCAGACGGAACGGAGACGTATTATTTCAACAGCATTCTGTTCAACAAGTTCATGTACGTGCATTGCATCCACTTTTGCTCACATCCCGTTAATTGATGTGCCCTATTCTTCCTTTCACGACCTTGCAGTACCAACGCTCGTCGTAGCGACGTGAGTCAAAGATCCTTATGGCTATGGCTTGCTCGTCGTCTGACCCAGTTTCCTTTGAACGTATAGAAAACATTCGAGAACCTTACGATGCAACTCTCCTGGCGTACGCCCATCGAGAAGTTGGACCAGCTCGAGAAGTGCATCAACGAGTGGCTGCAGAAGGACGAGAACCGGTGGTTCCAGCCGAGCACGTCGATCATGTTGCAGAACATTACGTTCCAGAGGCATCTTGAGATCACCATGGGTATCGGCCACAACGGGTACGTCTTTCCTTCTCTTTCTCTCCCTTCGTTCTTCCCTTCTCTCTTTCTCCCTTCGTTCTTCACTTCTCAACCTTGGTTGGTTACACTTACGTAGGACATGGCAAGATTGGGGCCTCCGCCTCGCACGAAAGACGGCCTTCCACGCAGCAGTGCAATACTATTGTCGCGAGCTCGGCATCGTGGCCTACGAAGCACCCATCCCTATCGTCTACGCTGACCCCGATACCGGTACCTACACCCCAACGTCACCCAACATGGGCTTCGAAGACTTCGACGTCATCCCGCCCTCGCCTTCCGTCCGTTCGGGCAACTTCGAGTCTTCGCAGGTCAACCTCGCCGTCCCCGGAGCCGCCGCTGCTGCACCAGATCAGGACAGGGAGAGTGAGAGGGAAAGAGATAATGGTGGATGGGTTCCAGAAAATGAACGACCGATTCCTATTGGTGGGTTGGCGGCACCGGCACCGGCGGATGCGGAGGTGGCGGGGGTGAATGGAGCGGGTGCGGGTGCGGGAGTGAGTGCGAGTGGGGTGAAGAGGACGTGGCTTGGGTTTACGCCGTTGGAGGATGGGAGGGGGAGCGAGGTGAGGGCGAGGAGGGCGATTAGCAAGAAGGCGGTTATGAGGGGGATGGGGGCGGATGGTTGATTTTTTCTTCTTCGCTCGACTCTTCCATCTAAAATGCATATATGCTGTGGGTTTTGATTTACTCTTGCCCCTCCTAATCTTCCTCGTCTTTGAATCTGCTCGGTCGTCCGACGGCCGACTTGCTTCGCCTTCGCCTTCTTGTACTTACTCGTGCGGGGGCGCAGTCCGACTAGGACGTCGCACTTTTCGTAGATCGAGCCTTGCGCATGATACCTCACTTCATCCATTCACCCATCATCGTCACGACCCTCCATCGATCATCCATCCACCCATCTTCTCCGTTCATCCATCCACCCGTCTTCTCCGTTCATTCATCCATCCTCTTCGCCTCGTCATCATGATTATCGGCGCATTCAGACTCCGAATTCATCATCCTTTCAAAACACCTCCATGCCATGCCTTGAACAACCTATTCATAGGAACATAGAAACATACATACATCTGCGTTGTTGTCGTGTCTTCTCCCCCTTGTTGTTGTTGTTTTGCTCGATTTCGGTTGTTGTTTGTTGTTCGTTGTGATGGTCGGTGGGCGGGAGGTTGGAAGTTTCACGTTAACTGACATTTTATGTTTCACGTTCAGCCCATATCTGCTTCATGCTCACGACTATTCGACTCTAATTGCACATCTCTCACCCTCATCATTCTCCTCATGTCATCGACCCGATCCTTAGCATCCAAGGTGTCTTCATCGCCTTCAGAATCCACATCACCCTCGTCGCATCATCCATATCGTCTCGCCTCGGCCTCATCCATCGCCACACATTGTTTCATCTGAGTACATTTATTCTGCCTTATTTTCTTTTACATTTACGTCCGCATCCAGTTTGTCCTTTGCTGATTCTACTTCGTGCTAAGGCTACCACTTTCGCAATTGACCATCTTCCCATCACATAACTGCAGGATCGTCGTCTCCCGCGCTCCAGAGGATCAGGAGTAAGGTACGCCTACCGTGGTGAGGTGAGAAACTTAGGAATCCCAAAGGAGCCTGCTTGTGAAGAGTCCGTTCTGCGCATCAGGAGAAGCCGAGATAAGTAGGCCAGGACACAACCCATCTCTGAGGACTCTAACATCGCCGTCCGTGCGCTCGAATCCCCTCGGACGAGTCTCACATACTCGGAACGCCGTGGGTAGCGGTGGGGCTTTTACGATGCTTGCATACCTCTTCCAGATCGCCGGCGTACCTTGTATCTATTTATGTTTAAGGTTGCGTTATTCGATCTTGGTCGGTGAGAAAATGAAGGATGATAAGTTAGGTGCGTATATTTTACCCCATTAAGGATTCACTATTTCTGGTTCGATATGTGTCTCTACTCTTCAAAACTAAGCTTTTTTTTGACATCCATGCTAGGGCGTTCGAAACGACACCACTCGAGCTCGCCGCATAGTCTCATCCGAGTGGAGGGTCAGATTAGATTAGATTGGATTAGATCCAAATGCTGCAGCCGCCCTGATCTAATCTGACTTCTACTTGCTTTCCGAGCTTACAGCAACCCTACAACGAGGACGCCCGACGTCCACCAAAAGGTTCGATGCGTAACTTATGTTTGGCGGCGCGTAGCGCGAGTAGGTTGCGGTGGGAAAGCGGATAAATTATGTCCGTTACACCGTGCGTATGCGAGGCAAATGCGAGGTATGGAGCGCAATGAACCCTGATTTTGGGCCGTGCAAAGATATATTTCGACCTGGCAATATCCCTACAAGGTAAGAAATCCCCCAGGGCCCGTTAGAATCGTCATCGAGAGGCTTTGGGGATTTATTCCGATTTTCTAATGCGATCTAATCTATGATCCTCTAGAAGCGCAACAGGTGAGAATCTGTGAGACTTTGCGCAGCGGACGAAGCAAGATCACCAGGCTGGTCTCGAGGCCTACCGCCAATCACGGTGTTCATCCACTACCACCTTACAGCTGGGCTGGTGACTTCTTACTGGTTTGCGCGCGCGAGGTCGGACGGCCAGGATTAATCAGATGATGTGTTCTTTTGCGAGTGTCTTATAATTAGAGCCTCTCGGCCGCCCATGATCCTTGGTTCTTCAATCCCTCTCAGTTTCCAACTCGTTCTGTCGGGTATGTCCACTTTATCGGTTCAGTAGGTCAGCGGGAAGTCTGACATCCTAGCCTGCTGCACAGAAAGATGTCTTTACCAGAGCCCAAGGGTGAGGCTGACTATTGTACGTAGAACGTTCTTGTTCCTCGTCGACTGCACGATTGACACTCGTGGACAATAGGCGATAACGCGAGTGGCAGTGGCCGTGAAGAGAGCATTGAACAGAAGCTCGACAAGAATGGGTTGCCCTTAGTGCCTCAGCCATCCTCCGATCCCTCCGACCCTCTCAACTTTCCTCAATGGTTGAAGGTCGTCATCCTGATTCAAGCGTCCGTCATGGCACTGCTGGGACCGTTTAATACCGCAGTAATTAACCCAGGTAATTTCTCGGTCGATTCTCGTTCAAACATGGGAAAGCTGACCTGAGTCTACTTTAGCCCTTGTTCCTCTCGGCGAGCATTTCGACGTGTCAACGGTGACGGCGAGGTGCGAATATTCTATTTCCGCCCCCTACTATAACTTATCATGCTTTGGGTTTCTCTACAGTTATCAGACTACCATTGCCATCGCCTTCGCGGGATCGGGAGCATTTCTATGGGTACCCCTAGCAAACAGTTAGCGCTCTGGTCTCTTCATATAACGACGTAGAGAGTTGACCTAGAAATCTTTGGTACAGCCTATGGGCGTCGACCAGTCATGCTTTTCACTGCCTTGGTCGCTGCAGCTTCTAGCCTAGGCTCTGGAAAAGCTGAGACTTGGGGCACACTCATTGTCTCCCGGGTACGTTCATTTACATGGTGTAACGTAGCTCTACCACTCACATTCTTGCAGGTGTTCAACGGCCTCGCCGTCAGTTCATTCTTCACGCTTGGAGCGGCTCTGGTATCGGACTGTTTCTTCCTTCATGAAAGGTGCGTATCTGTCAGGTTCATGACGAGACTGCTCAAGTCGAATGCAATTTATCCTCAGGGGGCGAGCCATGGGTCTTTTCACCGTCTGTCTAACAAACTCAGCAAACATCGCTTATATCCCTGGCGGTGTGCGTGTGTTTCATTGCCTGTCCTCTGTTCCATGACTCAGGGTTTTTTTGTCTAGTTTCTCGGGCAGTATGTCAGTTACAGATGGTGCTACTACCTTCCCGGCATTTGTGATATCACGCTGTTCGCGATCATGCTCTTTTGCTTGCCGGAGACCCTCTATCATCGCGGGTCAACTACAGTAGAGACTAAAAGACCTATCCTGAAGCGCATGAGGTTGTGGGGCTATCATCAGAAGGGTCACCATTTGAGGGTAGTGGATTTCTTGAGGCCATTCGAGATGTGAGCGGCCAGTATAACACTTCATGGTGTGTTTGTATACTGAACATCCTACCTTTATGGTGTAGGTTGCTATATCCTTCGGTCAGCGTCTTGGCCGTGTACTACGCCTTCTTGTTCACCATAAGTTCAATCTTGCCGGCCGTCACCTCTGCCTCCATCTTTACGGAGTTATACAATTTCACTGCCTCCCAGGTCGGACTCGCACTGGGTGTTGGCACTTTGATCGGAACGACGCTGGGCGAGATGCTGGGCGGCACCGTCGTGGATCGCACCATGTATATTCACCGGAAACGGCATCCCGACGCTGAAATTGTCCCAGAGGTTAAGTTACACGGGATTTGGGCAGGCGCTGCCCTCCAACCAGTAAGCCCTCCACTCATTTGAAGCCGCCGTAGCGCTACTGATCGATCCCTTTGAACTGACTAGATCGGCCTTTTAATATGGGGCTTCACGATAAACTACCATACCCCATGGATCGGACCCACCATGGGTTTCAGTATCATGTCCTTCGCCTTACAGTGAGTTGGATCTGCGCATACCCGGCCTGTCATGTCTGATCTTGCAACCTTCTCCAGAATTGTCACGACTGTCGTCTACAGCTACGCTACAGATTGTGAGCCATGCTTTGCTGCACTCCGGTGGACGTACCTAACTGCGATTTTGGCAGGCTACAAACCACAGACTTCAGAGATATCCCAGATATTCAACTTCATACGTCAGACGTTGGGTATGACCGGTGAGTGGCCTAGAAGCAATGGTACCGTTCCTCCATACTGACGCAGCCATGGATCAGTTGGGTTCTGGGCCATGTGAGTAGCTTTGGTGTACCGTATACAGGCCCACATTAATCGCTGATCCCTCCCTTTTTACAGCACAGGAGGGGAGAACCTAGGGTATCACCTGTTCAGCGTAATGCTTGCATTGATTGGACTGGTTCTTTTCGTCCCCGTCGTCTGGCTTATGTTCAAGGGCAAGGCTGCTCGGCTCAGGTTGGGGCAGCCGATTTCAACGCGGAAGTGAGATTTGTATCGAGTGGAAGGATACAGCGCCTATTGACGAAATGGACCTGTACTGTGATTTATGTCTATATGTGTATAATGATCTATTTTCTCTCCGTGGTCCCGAACTACGCGCTGTGAGACAACGCCCCAAAGCTTGCAGGTCGCGTGTAGTAATTACGATTCATCATGGATTACTTGCGGGATTGCTCCAAGCTGTTGTTTAGAAGGGTATGCATAGACGCTGTTAAGTACGCATTAAATGCCCAGCTGCGTATACAGAGGCGGCCTCTCCTTGAAGGTTCGAATGGTGCCACACAAAAGAGCCACGGTGTCATGCGCCACTTTTTCAGACTGAGTGGCACTTTCGGGCTCCGCTTCTAGCGTCTTGGTTTCTTCGATGAGCTCGAGGCTCCTTTCGACCACATTTAAGCCCTTCGCGCGCAATAGCTCTTTGACACTCCCATTTGACCTGCTGCTCCTCTCTGAACGCGCACCCGAAACGCTCTGTTTATCTCAGCTACATCATTATGGAGAGCGAGGTGAATCAACTCGTAGAAATGGTATGTCTACGGTGCTCTCGCAATTCATTTACTATTGTTGACACAGTATTAGGGGGCTACCGCTGCCCAAGCGCGAGCTGCCCTCAAACGATACAAAGATGTCATGCAGGCCGCTGAACGTATCTTTGAGGGCGCTTTCGATGATGTCGTAGACGAGGATGGAGACGCGCAGATGTCTGTTGTCGGTGCTTCGACCAGTGGGCGCGATGTGAAGTTGTCCGGTCTGGCGGTGCGTGTAGTAATGGATTGCTGCCCTGAGAATCCTGTTCATCGTACCCTTCAGACACCCGACGAAGACGAAGACGGTCCTGCTGACTCCGGCGACATGGCGGAGGACGATGATGAAGACGACGACGACGGGGATGAAGGTCAGTTTCTATCATGATAGTCTTGTACCAGGTGCTCAATCCAGGCTGTTGTGAGGTCAGATGACTATGTGGACTACGACTCGGATGAGGGTGTGAAAGTCACGAACGAGTCTTCTAGGGCGGTCAGCGATCCCTATGCAGGTGTGCATCCTGTTAGGCTGCTTTCGCTGTTGTATCTAAACGCCGGACAGGTATATTCTTTTCGAAGGACAGACGAGAAGAAGTCATTGAAGTAGAAGAGCCACTCGAGATTTATCATATCCCCGGGACGAGCTCCAATCTCAAGCTCATGCCGCAAGGTCAATGGATGAAAGGTTGTCCTGAAGGTGGCGAGCAGAACTACTTGTTCGGTCTCTACAATCAACTATCCTACGAGCCTTGTCTTTGTCCCCACGGTTGTGGGACGAGTGTCGCACGCAAGAAGGCAGACTTTTTCGCACTTTATGTGAGTGCCGCGTTTATGTTCGTTCTGTTTATCACACTCACAGACCATGTCTCAGCCTACCTTCGCAGAATATATTGAACATGTACGCGACGTCATCCGAGCTAAATGTCGAACCTGCTCGAAGGACTTCTGTCTAGCCTGTGGCGAGCCGTTCAATCATAAGAAAGTCCGACGATCAGCGCCCTCGGATGAGGATATCGACTTACTGCATTGTTCGAATATCCAAGGAGTCACCCTCGGAATCGGCCTTGCAATGCTCGAACAGCTCTATCATGACCAACTTAACGAGGTGTCGACGTTGTCAGATGAAGCCTCTCGAAAAAGCAAGAAACGAAAGGTTACGCCGACTGTCTCCCTGCCTCCGAATTTGGATTTTGATGACGAGGACGATGCGTACCCACTCCCCGTTGGCGTCGTGAAGAAATCGAAGGGTGGCATCGGTTATGCTGGCGATATGAAAGAAGATGTAAGGCTCTCATACGCACTGTAGGCCATTTTCTGATCTGGCTCTTTCAGACAACTGGACAGGCGGAAGCTTTGGCTCAGCAGAAAGCCAAGGATGAGAGTCTCGGAGCCCTCATGTCCCGTATTCGAGTCTATCTGCCTAACCTCCACCGAGATGGTGGCGGACAGGCCAGTGATTATCTCGTCCATCCCACAGCACTAGCTCATCTTCGTCGACGCTTCAACAATATCTGCAGCTCTCTCCTTCGAAACGACTCTCTCACTGATATGTCCGAGCGATCTGCTGTGTATTTCGAATTGTTCGAGTGGCTAGAGGTCAGTCAAATCCTTTATGCTCTTGTGTCTATACTCAATCCTACTCTCGCAGACAATTTCAAATCACGAAGCTCTCGCGAGCATGATGGCCATGCCCATCATGGTCGTCCAATCTGTAAAGACCACTCCGAAGAAGGCTGCCAATGGTACTCCACCTCCCCGCGAAAAGGCAGTTGTCTATGAAGGCAGTGCCGGCCCTCGAGAACTCTTGGAAGCCATCGTTATTCAAGCGCAAGCAGCTATCAAAGGTTTGGAGGGCGCGAAGCAGGCTGAGCTTGAGCCTGCGGAAATGACGGAAGAGCAGAAGCGGGTGACCAACGACACGAAGGGCAAGACCAAGGAGATCCCCGCCGTTGCCCTTTCAGAAGAGAATGAGAAACTCTTCAGTTTCTGCAATCGTATTCTAGCCACTGCCAACGCCATTGACCGTGCTCTGCGCGAAGTCAAGGGTGACAGCTTCGTGAAACGCCTACATGACTCGTTACCAAGGATCCACAGAGCCTCGGAGGACAAAAGCGAAGAAGTGTATGTTGAGGCGGACGCAACCGATGAGGCAACACAGAAGGCGTACGTCGAATGGGCCAATCGTGTGCGATTCGAGTATTGCGACCTCTCAATACCTGCACCCGAATCCGATGTCCGACGCTCGTCGGATGAGCCACCAAATTACAAGTTTTATTTCAACAACGAAGCCAGGATGCTCGCGTCTGCAGATATCCCCAAACGTTCACTTGCGATTGCAAAGGAGGTGCGAACTAGCACTACAGGCTTATCTTGCGAAGCGTAGCTGACTTGGCCCGCGTTTCAGCTCGCTGTACTCACTACAAACTTGCCCGTTGCGTGGGACTCATCGATTTTCCTTCGAGTTGACGAAAGTCGGGTCGATATCATCAAGGCATTGATCATAGGCCCAGAGGGTACACCGTAAGTACTGTCCGCCTCGCGAAAGTCTTGTTCGAACAACGTTTATATCGCCTTTCTATACAGATATCAGAACGGCTGGTCAGTGTAGCTTCCTTGGCCTCGCCTGGTGCAGGGCTAACATGTCTGCTTCGATACAGCTACCTTTTTGATATCTTCCTTGGTAACAGCTATAACCAGTCACCGCCTTCTGTCAAATATATGACCGTAAGTTTTCATGTCTAACAATCCTCGATGTCACTGTTCATATTTCCACCTCGCAGACGAACGGGGGAAAGTATCGGTTCAATCCTAATCTTTACGCGGTAAGTGGTTTGACAATTGAAGCATTCTAGTCAACAAAATTTTATCCCACGCATCTTCTTCAGGATGGCAAAGTATGCTTGTCACTGCTTGGTACCTGGCAAGGTCCTGGATGGGTTGCAGGAAAATCAACTTTGCTGCAGGTAAAGTCTAAATTCATCCCCATTCTTTTTGTCGTTGACCGTCTTTCTTCGTCAGGTTCTCATATCCATCCAATCCATGATTTTGTGCGACGAACCATATCTTAACGAGCCGGGCTGGGCAAACGCTGCTGGGACACCTCCTTCCATCGCTTGTGCGTTCTACTGTTTGCCGCACGCTATATCTAATTCTTAGTTAACTCATCTCAATTTATAGATTCCGCAAATGTGCGAAGGATGGTGGTCCGTACAGCGGTCAGTACACATGCTCTTACGCTGAGAGCTCGTCACTCATGGCATCCCTCCATTATAGATGTTGGGCAACATCAGAAATCCTCCAGAGCCTTTCGGGGACGTCATCCGAACCCACTTCCGTCTTAAAGCCCGCTCAATTACGGCACAGTTGGACAAGTGGTTGGCCCAGGACGACGGGAAGCTTACTCTAGCAGACGGCGCAGCCAGTGCTCGCGGACCGGCTGGTGCTAGTAGTGCTGCATTCCAGGCGGATATAGATGAGATGAAGCGTGTGCTCCAAGGATTACAGAATGAGAAGATTGGGGACACTTCTGCTTGAGCAGACGCCTGACATTTCTTGCTCCGACTCAATTCGATGACATTCCACATATATCAACATACGCACGCACCCACTTGTATTTTACAGTTGTACATCACGTAATTAAATTCCATACTTCGTGTATAATCAAGGCGTATTCAAACGTACCTGTTCTTCGAGGATGATGACGCGATCCTGTGGAAGCGAGCAATATCGATGTTCGAGTCAGCGTCGGGAGTATAACGTCCGCGCCTCTTGCTTCCTTACTGTCTACCGTCCGCTCTTTCCTCCGTCCTCGTTTACTGTCAACTACTTTCGGCGAAATGACACTTGAAGATGATTCACTCGTCTTTGTGGATGGCCTGACTTATCATCATAACAACTCCACTGTACCATCACTCAAGGACATTTCCATACACCTCCCGCCAGGCTCAAGGACTATCCTCGTTGGTGCCAATGGCGGTGAGTTGCCGTTCGCTGAGTAGCTCACGTCGATGGGCTCATGCTATCCGGGTCTACAGCTGGTAAATCTACACTTCTACAGATCCTAGCTGGGAAGAAGCTTGTGACGGCCAACGGGGCCAAGGTGTTCATTAAAGAGCGGGATGTGTTTAGGAACACCCCACCAGGTGTTACCCATCTTGGAACAGAGTGGTACGCTCCATGTTCTTGTTGGGTATATCTGATTCTCATATGGTGGATTTGGCGCGAAGGGCAATGAATCCTGTTGTTCGCGGCGATATCTTGGTCTCAGATTTCCTGGATAGTGTCGGTGGATACAGACATAAGGAACGAAGGGATCATCTGCTCGACATCCTCGATGTGGATTTGGATTGGCGCATGCACCAGATATCCGATGGTGCGTTCTCCTTCGATCGCGCTGGTAGTTTCCAAGAACACCGTGAGTAACTGTATGGTCTACTCTTGTACAATTCAGGTGAGAGAAGGAGAGTACAATTGTGTATGGGCCTTATGTCGCCGTGGGATGTGCTCCTGCTCGACGAAGTGATTCCTTTGTCTTGTCTCGACAATCAGGCCCTTAACACATTCTTATTCTAGGTCACTGTCGACCTGGATGTGCAAGTCAGGGATGATCTTCTCACATTTCTTAGAGAAGATAGTGAGGCGCGGGGTTCGACGATCCTTTGTAGGTGCTCAACATTACGGCTACGGCAATATCTACTAACTTTTGCTTTCCAGATGCGACCCACATCTTCGATGGACTATCCTCCTTCCCAACTCACGTCGCTCACATGCGCTTTGGATCATTCGTCACGAACCCGACTCCTTGGCCTCTTGTTCCTGTCGGGGGCACGTCTGCAATCCATGACAGTCAGTCATTGTATCTGGTCGCCCTCCAGTGGTTGAGGGAAGATCGTAAGGAGAGAGCAGAGCTCGAGAAGTCTGGACGAAAGGTTAGAGGCGCAAGACGTGATCAGGTGCGTACCTCGTGGGTGTCAATCCATCTTCATATCTAATCGTTAACGTCGTTTTGCAGGCTCTCCCGTCCGATTCAGAGACCTTCTACAAGAAGTATGCTTTTGCTATCTTCCGATGAGACACTTACTCAACCGTCTTTTTTGAAGATACGATTATAGCCATTGAGTGTAAAGAATCTCAGCGCCATGTTGAACGTAACATCTCACACGATAAGTTCAACATCTACGCCCCTCTATCTCTCATTCTGTTTCCTCTTCTTCTTTTACGGCTGCATCACAGTTTCTTGACAAATCCTGGGCTTGCTATCACTCGTTGGGTTCAACCTCCATCATACCTATTCCTCTCATTCTCTGCACACTCCAATGGAACTTCTCCCAGGGTTCAACATCTCTGTAGCTATATGTGTACACTAGATCTGTGTTTTCAACACCTCGACGGCTCGTCGTTATAGTTCCTATCACCGCATTCCATTCCACTCTGGACCCTCGCTCTCGCAAACTCGAATATCTTTGGGTCGTCGCAAGGATTACGCTATGTTCACAATTCCTTATTCAGAGAGAAGAGGATGTCAACAAATTTGCTGTTCAGATACGACCAACTTCGAGAAGAAATTTACAGCAGAAAAGCAATGACGATAACAATGTGGAGGTAGCAAAGACAACGAGCTACAGAGCAGAAAGACATCAATGCGAAGAGAAATAGGACGCGACTGTCCTAGGAAAGCATAGGGAAAATATGGGGAAAGCACAAGGTGAATATAAGATCGGGAGTGTCGTAAGTCATCTGCGAGCAGCGAGTCCGTTATGGGGATTCGATTATCCATGGTACGCGACATCTAGCGCCAGACTTGCGCAGGCCAGATCGGGAGTAACTTGCCAGGCTATCATACCGCGAGTACGTCGAAGCTGATACCTAGCAGGTCATCATCTTCGTCAGATGTGGTCGATGGGTCAAGGTCGGCAACGATGTCGAGGAGGAAATCGTGGGCCTCCTGACGGAGTTCCTGTCGTTTGTGACTGGACAATCCGTGTAAGATGTTCAGGGGAGCGGGGGGCAGGGTCTCATCGTCATCGGGCTCTGAAGTATCTTCATGAACTCGTTCGTCCGTCGCGGCTGCTTCTGGATCCTCGTAATCTGCAAAGTAACAAGTTCCCTGGTAAGTGATCGGCGTACACTGGTCAAAGGGAAGTGTTGACTGACCGTCGAGGTCATCTTCATCATCTACGAGGACATTTTCGACTTGATTCTCGTTTGGCTGTTCCTCGCTTTCTTGTTCAATACACGCCGGGTCGGTACTATCCTGGGCGACAGACGAGACCTCGCCGCTAGCATGACTGGGGTCGGCAGCTGCAGTGGGAAACCCGTCCTCCTCCTCCCCCGACTCGGCTGGTCGAGGCGGACACATGTCGGGTGCTTGGTCGTCAGCGTCAGATAATCTGGCGAGATCTGGGACCGCAGAGGTGGGAGAGACAGCTCCCTGGTTAAGCTCAAGCCCACCATCTTCTTGTTCCAATGTGGATGGCGGGACAGCGATATCGGACATGGGTCGAAGATCTATCACCTCGCTACCTATTGGTTCAAGGTTGACCTCGTCTACACTGGGGGAGCGATCGATTTCTCCTGTGCTGGCGTACGGAATAGATGGAGCGGGTCGAGAAAGAGAATCCCAGAAGCTATACAAAGCCTGCTCTGCAAGATGATTCGGTGTTGGTGCACCTGTGCCAGTAGCAGAGGGTCCTATGGCGACTACCTGGTCTATTTCGAACGCACGGTCTTCTTGTTCGGGTGCAACGGACAAGATAGCGACGTCGGACGTCGCAGAAATACCTGCCAAGCTATCTGAGGCCTGGTCTAAAGCATGCTTCGACGCCGCTGGTTCAGTGGGGTAAATACGCAATGCACAGATGGCCTGCAGAGGCAATGCGTTTGATTCAGGGAGGGGCGAGGCAGACAAGGCTTGCGAGGAGAAGACTTGGTCGTCGCCTATGTCTGCAAATATGTGCAGCTCGGGGGATGCAGACAAAATATTATATGGGAGTATGTCGTTATTCCCGAGCGAATGGTGCAAGGAAGAATCAGACTGTTCGGCCATGTCGAGCATAGGGACATCGTGGTGAGAAGATTGGACGTTGATCGTAGAAGGAACGGGGGACTGGTATCGGAACGTAGGCTGGTGTGCCATTACCCACGGCTGAGGGCCACTGTACGAGACTGTCGACTCAACATTGAGCGGGGCCGCTACCTGAGATGATCCGTCGGTCATGTCGACGTCGTGTGATACAGTCTGTAGGTGAGTCAGCCAACGGAGGTGAAAGATCGGTTGACTGATGAATACCTCGTCGTGGCGGGGTGACCAGAGCCCGATGGTAGTTGAAAACTGAGGGCAGACAATTTCTGGTTATCTACGGGTAGAATTAGAATGGTGTCATGTACGCACATATCCATCCATCAAATCCTCTCTGTACGTCAGTCTTCTCTTGACGAATGGCCGTCGCTCGATGAACACGCCCCAACCGCTCCCTGCCATATCGATGATGATCCTCCTCTTGTGAGTCGTCCAGAAAAGCGGTCCTCGTGGAACTGATTGGTAGATTTCTCGATCCTCGCCATGCAGGTACGCTCGATCCTGGATTTTAGCGTTTGTCGTTGATCGTTTGTATCGTGTGGTCCGATGCTGGGGGCGAGGATGTCGCTCGCGATGTGGAACATAAGTTGTCGATCGAGTAGGCCTTGCCGGTGATGCAGGCCGGCGCAGACACAGAGAGGTAGGCATGCAGAAAGTGAATTGAGGGCACTCGGGTTGGTGAGTCATCTGGAAGGTGTAGGTAGATGATGAGTTTAGGCTCGTTGAGTACACAATCTAGTGCTACTGGATATGACAGATCAACGCTCCTTGCATGGGGCCCTGTTGTGTCGCATATACAATCGACAACATGCAAAGCGAGCTCACTTCGACAAGAGCGAGCTCGGGAAGGAGTCACAGCGAGGGGAACAGAAGAGTCCACGATCAGGCCCGCAGAGAATAGATAACACACCTTCAAAGTCGGTACTTGGCTTCAAGACGGAAGCTCTGTATGAGTGAAAGATGGCGGTGGATGCCTGTAGACGAGCGCGCGGCGAGCAGACACAAGCAGCAACAGGAAAAATGCGCTTCGCGTCGGTCACGAGACGACGTCAGATCAATTTCAAAATGAGAAGGCTTTTGTTCTCCCAATGGTACTTACCGTCCTAACAGCAATAACAGGCCGTGCCCTAGTACAGCGCGGCCAGTGGTGCTCTGCGCATGATTACCCGTGGCAGAACTCTGCAGATCGGGAAACAGTCATTATGGTCATATGTGTAGACCAAGAATTTCTCTGATCTTACTGGAAAATATCAAGTCACTTATGGACTGCTATATACACAGTCCAGAACGCGCACGATTTCGAGTCGGTACAACTCATCGAGTTTCTCAATTGTACATTTGTACAACACTTATGGATCTAAACTACTTTGGATAATCAGACACGTTTGTGCAAAGAGTGTTTTCAGCAATTGCAAGGGGCACGTACTACATGGCGTTCATGCCGCCACAGCAACCGGAAGGGGTGGCCACAACTTTCATGACGTGGTTCAAATTGCGGATCTCGCCGAGCTCATTTCTCAATCAACAGGCGTTGTTTGCCTATGTTTGGCCTTGTCGAATTGAGAAGCTTCCAAGTCACGAGATCAATCTCCTTTCGAGTCGGGCTTGCGCCTGTTGCGCCCCATCCAACGTCAAAGGCAGGCCCCAGGGCTGATGATTCGTTGTCCCTAGAACCGCTGAGGCGAGAATGAACTCCAGCGATTGGACATGACTCAGTCATTCACATGCTTTGCCCGTATCTCCTCTCTAGACGCCGCCGAAAACATTGACAGCTGGACTTGCAGCAGTGGATACCACACAACCTCTCAGCAGCGGCCTTTGGCACCAAAGTCGAACAGTGAATATACCCAGTGTTACTCTGGTTAATCTCAATCCGGGCGGCAAGGCCTCACAATACGCTCCAGACCCCTCTTGTACGTCGCTGAAGTTTCTTTTGAGATTCGTACTGAAGAAAGTCACTCCGACAGGGAATAGAGTGGAGCACAGAGTTTTCCCCAAGGAAACTCACAATGACTATAGCCCTTCCTCCGGAACTCGTGGATCAAATCGTCCTTGCGACCTTCGCTTCCTACGCTGCACTCTCCTTCCGCCCTCAACCCACAAAATTTACCATCCTAGCCTCCTTCGTCCTCGTCCATCATACGGGCCCACCGGAGACCACACGGATACAAGTCATGTCGCTGGGGACAGGGTCTAAATGTCTGCCCCGGGATAAGCTGCCGGCTTCTGGGGACGCGCTGCATGACTCTCATGCTGAGGTCTTGGCCAGAAGGAGCGCTATACGCTGGCTTGCGCAAGAGATTATGCGGGATTGTGATGCGGATGAACAGCCTGAGGCCTCTGATACTTCTCAGGATACGCCGACGAGTCGTTCTCGGTCGCCGTGGATTTGTAGAGAGTCGTGTGGCAAAGGCAAGTACCGCCTCAGAGACGGTGTCAAGCTCGTCCTCTACGTCTCAACTGTTCCATGTAAGGCTCGGTCGCTGTACGAACAGAGAACTTTTTTGACTGTTTTCCGTCATTTTCCCCTGCCAACTTGCACGGACTGTATGTTCTGAAGGCGGAGATGCCTCTACCCGCCTCTTAGCCTCACTCCAAGATCCAACCATGGCCTCTCTCAAGGACGCAAACTCCTGGCCTACGCTCCCCTCAGAAGCCCCCTCTAGAGGTCGCGACGACTACTCCCGACTGGGCGTCCTTCGTACGAAACCTGGACGTGCCGATGCACCTCCTGTGTTATCCATGACTTGCAGCGATAAAATCGCGAGATGGAACGTGTTGGGGATGCAGGGAGCGTTGATGAGCAGGCTCTTTGAGCCTGTGTACGTTGATGGGATCGTCATCGGGGAGGTTGCGGAGGAGATGAGAACCGCTGTTCGCGAGGACTGCAGGAGGGCGTTCTATGGCCGGTTGGGTGACTTGAACGGTAGACATTATTCCCCACTCTTCAATTGCTTTTCAGTGCGTTGACGTGCTCACATTTGTACAGGCCTACCTACAAAATATCGGATCTCTCGTCCTGAGATTTGCTTCACTGACCGACCTTTCATACACTCTCGACCAAGTATCCCGGGCGCCTCAACCTCTTCGAACGACGGTGCGTGCCGTCACCTTCATCCATGCATAGTCGTGCGCGCACCTGAACGGTGGAACGTTCTTCAGCTCTTTGCCATGTCCACGGCGACCCACAATCGCCCGAAGTTCTTATCAATGGTCTCCGAAGAGGTGTAGCACCAAAACATAGATCCAACCCAAAATACTGGTGGGCCCCATGACTTATCGATATGCCGTGACGTTGACTCTTCTAATACTCGTACTACTCGCTCATATGACGTCCCCTCAAGGCCCCTCACGTCCAAGACATCGCTCCTGAATCTACATCTTCTGACACTGAAAACCCTAAATGTTCCAAGACCTTCGTACGTTTCTGTACCTCTGCCCCATCTCGCATCTCCATTGACCTTCTTCCATCATCAACAGTCCTTCCGACACCTACCATACCATCAAACGTGACGCCGACGGTGCATACCAGTTGGCTCGCAAAGCCCTCCTTGGTCCTGGTGCGCCGTTTGCGGGGTGGCTCGTCAGTGGTGCAAGGTTCGAGAGTTTTGATGCAGGAGGACAGATAGTCGGAGTCGTTGGTTCTACAGACTGACAGACAACGGGTGTTGAAACGGGAGAAACACCCCAGGCCTGCTAGTACCACACATAGGACACCACGAATGACAGACAGTACACCACAGATCCACTATTTTCATAATGAAGTCTACTTACTACTGCGTGTTTCCTCGATAAATACTGGATCCGTTCTAATTCGTGAATTCCTTTCGGTCTATGTACTATGGTCCACCACGAGTCTATGTCTTTATCGTAGAGATGAGGGGTAGAGCAGCTGGGGGGACCGCTGGAGCAAGGCTGCACGGGCTACACACGCTCGTAGAGTTAAACAAAAATTATGAATAAAACAACAGTGGCGACGACAACGACGAAGACAACAATAACGGGACACCGGCGAATATAGATGATTGAAACAAAGTGGGCGGCGAAAGTGGATAGTGGCGAAGGTGGAGGTAGGGGTAAGGGATGATTGAGTGGCGTGACGAGTGGTTGGATCACAGACGGCTCAACAGTAGTATTACAGTACAGTAACATTGTAGTGCGGCGAATTCTTCTTCTGCTTCTTCTTTTCTTGATTCGGATACAAATATACTTTCCTCCGACTATCTTGCGCGAAATAGAGATAAAGATCATGAGTTGAGCTCCTTCTTCGAGACGAGGGCTTCCTTGGTGGCGACGAGCGCACACAACGCGGCTGTGATATTGTAATGAGGATTCAGTTCGCTGGTGTTGGATGGAGAAGAGGACTGGACTGCGCTTACCACCGACACCACTTCCATCCTTCGCCAATCCGATCTCCACTTTGGACTCGAGATCCTCGCCGATAAGCATCCTCAACGAGTGTCGCATCCTCTCCTCGAATCGCGGATAATGTTGGATCAAACTATACAACGGTCGTGGGTAAGCGCCCACGGAACGTAAAATAAAATAAAATAAGAATCGAGATTGCGTACCTTCCATCCACACCAACAGAGATCCATCCGCCTCCTTGCTCAAGCTCCTCCTTCAGCCTATGCTCCAAGCCCATCTGCTTAATGACCGTCGCCACCGCACACCCACTCAACCTCGCCGCCCTCTGCACCACAATCGCACAGGCCCATCTCACAATCGCCGCATCCCTCAACGATACCTGTTCGGGCTCATACCCCACATTCTTGACCAACACGTCCCTAATCTTCTGCAACCGATGGAGCGTAATCGGCCTGATCGTCTCCGCCGTCAGCGGTTTCTCGAAATCGAGCAAAGACTCGTCATCGATCGTCTTCAGGTTCCCGTTCGACAACTTCTTCTCTGCGAGCTTCGGCCCAGATGCGCTTGGATCCGAGGATGGTTCTTCCTCGGACTCCCAGGCCGCCTCTATTAAGGACATGTATTCGGTGTCGAAGCCGTAGTGGGTGTTCATGATCTTACTGGCTCTGCCGGCGAAGAGGATCGGATGGGGAGCGGAGTCGATGAGGGCGAGCAGGAGGTTGCGGGTGATTTCGCCGAGGTACATCCCTGAGATGAACTTCTCGAAGGCTTGGAACCGAGGATTGATAGATTCTCGGTCGACTTTATTGTCGAACGGAGTGGAGGGAAGGATGGTGCGCTACAGGTTTGCGGGTAAGTATGAGCCAAAGGTTGAGAAGTGAGATGGGGAGGGACACTGACGGTGTTGTTGAATGCTCCCCATTCGGTGTTTACGATCATTTCGCCGCCCTTGGCAGCGACGGGGGAGTTCTTCAGCTTGGTGATGTTCTTCACCTGCTCGACGTAAGCGCCGTTCGTTCCCGTACCGAAGATGCATCCGAGAATGCATCCACCGGCCTGGTAAGCTCGGGATAACAGCGCACCAACAGTCTAATTGGGAAACGATAGATACGGTTATCAGAGGGCGTTGGATGCAGTGAGCAGAAAAGGCATGCGTACGTCGTTGACGAGCGCCACGCACTTGACATGCAAGTGTTTCCGGTCAAAGGCGTCCTGAAGAAGTTTGACGACGTCATTGCCGATGGCGTTCTTGGCAGCGAAACCTTTGGTCCAGGTGAGAATCACACCCTCGTCGAGGGCGGTTTGTTCGACGGGGAAGGAGAACGTGAGTCCGAGAGGGATGTGTGTAGCTTCTGAGTCGGAATTTGCGGACGGGCCGAGGGAGGTGAGGAAGGCATCGACGGAGTCGGCGAGGTAGTCTGTATTGCGATGTTAGCGAACGAACGACTAGTCGGAGGGTAGTAGACGCTCACCAAATAATACGGTGGCTTCTCCTGTCTTGAGTGCCTCGGAGACCTTGTACTTTTGCTGGCGAAGGCTGAAGGTCTTGTCTCCGTTGAGGGTGACCTCACACACTCGGCTTTATAGAGGAACAAGTTAAGTCAGACTGAGGGCCGATAGAGAGAAAGAGTATGGCGTACAGGTTTGTTCCTCCAAGATCAAGTGCAAGGAAAGTACTGTAGATTATATCAAGGCATCTTATGAGACCTTGGTGAAAGAGTGTTAGGAAGGAGTATTACCCAGTCTCTGTACCATCTGGTACGCTGGTGACGAAAGTTGGACTGTGATGCAGACAGTAGGTCAGATCAAGAAAAGAATCGGAGATCAGCGCACGTACATCATGGCCATCGGCTCGCCATATTTTCCTAGACCGGTATTGAAGTCCTCGAGGAACTTGTTAGTGATGACATCGAGCGCATGTTGGTCGAGATCGAACTGCTGCTCGATGTCGTCGAGGATGGCTTTGAAGTTAGCAGGGTTAGCGTGCATGAGAGCGGTTGTGGGGGGCATGGGTGGGGAATGGGGAAGTGGAGAAGTGGAGGGTGGGGGATATAAGCAGGGAAGAATTTGAGCGACTTGATAAATCCGGACAGGGGACCGACAAAGACCGTGATCGGCGAGCGCACCCGGAGCCCTCCTTAGCATTCGACCACACGCATGGCCATCGACGGCCTCATCGTGCTCGAGAACACCGGCAGGCCTATCGTCCAGACCGCATTTCGCGCATTCTCGGCCGCATATCCTCTCCTCCACATCGATGCCTTCATCCACGCCGTAGACAAGGCAAAGCGCAGACAGGACGTAGACCCCGTTCTCTTCGTCCCCACCTTTGAGAACGATGCACCCAGCGCATGTTGTCATCTCGAACACGGAGGCCTTACTTTCTTGTGTCCCGTTAGCGGTGACAGTGCGTTGTGTTTTTGACAATCACAAACTTGTTCGACTGCTGAGTTCCCGTTTGTTCGTTCAGTCGATCCGCTATACGCCTTCGCGTTCCTCCAGACCTTCATCGAGATTCTCCAGGATTATTTTGGAAATATAAGCGGCCCTACCATCAGGGACAACTTCGATGTCGTTTACCAGCTCCTCGAAGAGACGTTGGACTCCGGAGGGCATCCTCTCACTACGTCGCCCAACGCACTCAAAGACATCGTCTTGCCGCCCTCACTCCTCCACAAGATCCTTTCCGTGGCAGGTGTTGCCGGTCTATCGACGCCCGGAGCTCAGGGAGGACACAACATGGGCGCTTTTGCTAGTCCTATACCATGGAGAAAGGCAGGCGTCCGGTACAACAGTAACGAGATCTATTTTGACATCGTCGAAGTGCTGAAAGCGGTCACGAACAAGTGAGCACCCGTCTCAGGCGTCGTCTCCGCCTACGTCCTCATCGGGCTCACCAGGACTGGATCAGTGATCAACAGCACTGTCCTCGGCAAGGTTGAAGCCAACTGTCACCTCTCAGGTGAGCCCATCCACCACACCCGCCACATACGCCACTCAGGCATGTTCCTGATATTCATATGCATATCCAGGCACACCGGACCTCTCCCTGACCTTCACAAACCCGAATGTCATCTCAGAGCCGGCTTTCCATCCTTGCATACGGTACGCAGTTCCTATTCGTACCGTACGCACTAGCGCTGAGCCTAGACGGACACCAGCCTCACCCGTTTCGCCCAGTCCAAGGTGCTTTCGTTCGTGCCTCCGGACGGACATTTTACCCTCATGGAATACCACTATTCGCCGTCCGCTGCATCACAGAGTTCCGGTTCCAAAGGATCATCTGCACCGACCCCGACTACCGGACCTGCGCCGATTCCTATTACTGCCGCTGCGCAAGCGCAGACTCAGGTTCAGATCCCGTTCATCGTGAAGCCCAACCTGAGAGTACATGATAATGGCGGTGCGTCGATATTTTTGAGTGAACATGCACGACGAGTATGTGACTGAACGAGGGCGTCGACGATGTAGGCTCGCTCGATATCACCGTCACGTCTCGCGCTACGACACGCACGATAGATGATTTTGTCCTGGAAGTTTATCTCGGGGAGGGTACGACGAGTGCGAGCTGTACAGTTGGTGGAGGTGCGGAATGGACGTACATCCCGACCAGACAAGTGAGCCGCTTTACATTCCGTCCAGACTACCTTTATTTTATTGTTACTCATTAGATCCTGTACAGGTCCTGCGCTGGACAATACCCATCATCCATCCTTCATCTGGTCGTTGGAACCTCCAGGGAACCTTTACATCGTCGTTCGCACCTCTCTCTACTCAGTCTCCCCCTACTGCATTCTGACTCTCATCTTCGTCTACTCCAAAATGCATCCAGAGCGTCAAGTCCTCGACCCTCGCGATCCCTTCTTACAACATTCGCATTATCCTCTCACCTATTTTCAGCTTTGAAAGTAGACCAGCTGAAGGTTACGGGGGAGACGTATAAGCCTTATAAGGGGGTGAGAGGGAGGAGCGAGGGTAATGTAGAATGGAGGGTGGATTGGCTTGTCGATTGAGAAAAGAAGAGTCAACGGACTTCAAAGAACTGCTACTTCCATGGTCTTTGTGCAGAAGACCACGGTAAGATACTTACTGTACACTATACTCCTGACTCAAGAAAATTCGACGTCAATCGTGAACGGCAAAGAGAATCATGGTCAGACGCGTCAAGCGCGATATTTTCTATTTCTATCCAGCGACAACAGCACCGACAACAACATGAAAGATCACGCCTTCTACATAATCGAGAGGTCGCCGAACTTCTCCTTGTAGCCTGTAGGCCCACGTGAACAAAAACGCAACATGAGTACAGGAAGAGGCCGTGGAGGACGGAGCAAGAGCAGAAATAAGGAAAACACGTACCGGGCACGGTCCACTTGCCCTTCTTGAGCATGGTCTCGACGGCCTCGACAATGCGAGGGTGGGCTTGCGCGACGTCTTCGGCCTGTAGCGTACGAGGAGTACGACATGTATACATACGTTAGTAAGGCGCGAGGCTGAAGATGTAGGCTAGTGTAGGGACGAAACGCACGGTGAGGTCCTCGAAAGGACGGGCCTCCTCGATGTTGGCGAGGGTAGCCTGAAGCTCCTTGAGCTCGACGTCGATCTGAGCCTCGGTCTCCTTGGCTTTAGCAACCTATTCACACCATCACATCACACCCAACGAATATCCCAGAAAAAAAAACCGGAACGCGCAACCATCCAATCCATCAGTCGCGTCTCGCAATGGAGGTAGACGGTAGAAAGACAATGGATAAGCAACACTCACCGCCTTGACCTCGAACGTCTCGATGGCCTTCACATGCGAGCTGACATCGTAAGTGACGGGCTTGAAGTCCGCGAGGATCTTCTCGGCCTCATTGACGATCTCCTGGTTCTTCAAGACGGACTTGTAGTGCGCGATGTCGACCGTTGTGGGTTGGGCGGCGTATGTCGCGTTGATGCGCTGGGCATCGGAGTGGCGTTTGCGGAAGGCTTGGAGGGCCGCGACGGTCTCTGGATAGATGTGGAGGGTACGTGTGGACAGGGAAAGGGAAGGAAGAGGTGGTCAGGTTGGGTGATGTGAGGTGAAGAAACGCGGAGAGGGTTGTGAGGCAAAAAAGAGAACCTTTTCCAAGACCGAGCGAGGAGTAGATGCGGGTGAAGTCCTAGTAAAACGAGGGCAGGTTCAGTCAAGGGATACAGCTCCGGGAGGATACGGCAACAACAAACAAACGGCACTTACGACCGCTGCTGTCGTGGCTGCCTTGGATGCCATCACGCTACGAATAGAGCGCAAAAAGTGTAAGTAAATTACTATCGGTTCATGATAAAATATATGTCGGATCTCACGAGAAAGTATGGAGAGAGCGAGCGGGTTTGTTGTTGGCGTTGGTCTCGAGGTTCGGACGAGCTTGCCTGTCGCGGCAATGGCCGAGTGATCGCTCCTGCCTTTTCCGACGCTCGTGTTGACGTTGAAGTCATGGTGGCGCGGAAGACGTGTTCAGCGTCCGCAACGACTTTCTTGAGTTTGGAGCTATCTTCTTCCTTCCTCTGTTGAGGCCGGCGAGGTATGTCTGTCCTGCTGAAATCCTCCTGCATATTGACCTTGCTCAAGACCAGGTTCATTCTCGACAGGGGTTCCGAACTTTACTTCACTGCTCCTTCGAACTTCTTGTCTTGTCGGCACCACCTCATATACTTGCATGTACCCTGACGTCGGTCGAGTTATATCACCTAAACACTCGTCACTCTCCAAGTCGTTCCCTATCGTGACCAAAGCCGACCCTATACACACGGGGCACACGTTTTCTTTTCCGTCACTGACATGTCAATGGGGGTGGCCATGGCCAACGCAGCGGTCCGTTATCGTCGACATCACACACACAGAATGCCTTCCCGCATCCGCCTCCATTCCGTTTACATATCGTGGGCCGGAGAGCTATGTATGTATCCCACCTCCTGCTTGCTTGCTTGCGTTGGTTCCCAGAATAAATACCCAGGGTACAGCAAGTAGTCTACTCGGGCGCTTTCCTGACCGTCTTGACGCCCGAACCACGAAGTTTCGGGTCTATACCAGTCCTGTGAACATTGGTCCTCCTTGATTCGCAACTCTCATCATCTCTGCTCCTCATCTCTGCTTGAGAGTCTTGTATCCAGCTAGTCAACTATGCTCTCGACACTCCCGGAGGTTTCGCTCGAGGTTGTGGGGCTGGGCGTCGTCGCGGCTTGCTATTCCGGTTTCTTGTTGCGAAGATGGTGGATTAGTCGAAACAAGCAGGTGCGGGTATTATCCCCTTCTGGGGAGGCGGTGATAGTGGCGGAGAAGGAGACGAAAGTGAAGAGCAGGGCCGCACAGGGTCCATTTGGAGGTTCGTCTCTTTCACTGTCTTCGCTGTCTGCGTTCATTTGGACTAACGAACCATGCTGTTCATTCTATTGTGTTTCAATGTGTGTTCATGTCGGCCGTGCTCGATAGAATGGACGCCGGACCCGTTCGAATATCCTTCCATCACACCCGTCGAGACGAATATAGAAGACATGGCCCCACGTCCATACCGACCCTTCAAAGAGGGAGAATATCAGTTCGTGCTCCCACACTCCATCACCCCCTCCCTCTTCACTACCGCCATGATCATCATCGCCACATCACCCTCCCCACGCCCTCCACTCTCTATCAAACCCATCCCTCCATTCTAATCCTAATTCTAATCACAGCATAACCATGGGCATCCGTAAAATGCCCTTCGACGAATGGATCGAACCAGACGACCAACTCGCGACGTACCACCGCATCCGCACACAGCGTGTCGCCGAGCGCAAGGAGCAAGTCGTACAAGTTCTGCCTGATAGGCCCGGGGTCGTGAAGGGCGGTTTTGAGGCCGGTGCGTTCTCTCCTCTCCTCTCTCCCCTCTTCCCTTTTGTATGATTGTATGATTATCTCGCTGTGTACTCATTCTTTCGGGCTTTGCGGACTGTAGCGGAGGAACTCGCGCACGAACTCGCTGAATTCCTGAGCCGTCGCTATCCCAAGGTCTACTCTGTTACTCGTCACGCTCCTGGTTCAGAGAAAGGGAACGGGTGGTATGGCGATGGACGCATCAAGGAGGTCACGATCTTGCCGCTGGGCGTGCCTTATAATCTGGACGAGGACGAACCGATGAAAGTCGCTGGACTATTGTGCGTTCTCACATATCCCATGCGCACGCCGTATAACATGTGTGTTCGTGGCACTAATGGAAATGGAAATGGGGATGCAGGACGCAGGACGATATGGCGATCATGATTGAAGGAGAAGATGGGGAGTATTATTTGCAGGCTGGGGCTATCCTCGTTCCCGGTACGTCCCGCCTCTGAACGATCCTTGACTCCTGCGTCCGATTATTGACTATGATGGTCCTTCGTAGGAACGTGGCGTCTGGACGATAAAATCGGGATGCCGCTCGACGAAATCCATTACACAGGCGAAGTCCCACTCTGTAAATTCTCGTCCCCCTCTCCCACCGTGACACGCATACTAACCATCAACAAACACCAAAAAGACAAAGAAAACCTCCAACCCTCCATGACGCGCTTCTTCCGCCGCCTCACACCCTCGTCCCCCGTCGTGCGCAACAACTGGACGATCCAGAATATCGATTCTGAGCGGTACAGAGGCTCTATCGACCAGACCGAGCTATCATGGGCGACGACGCAAGTCGGAGCAGAAGACGCGTTCCAGCATCCTCCGTCATCTTACAAATCGTCTCTTTCCGCTTCCTCCTCCTCCGCCTCCTCCCAGGGGGCGAAAACGCCACACACCCCCACACCGTCGACCTCAACTTCCGCCTCCCCAACAAAGATCGAGAACCTAAGACTGCGAACCGAACGACAGTCCCTGAGACGACTGCCCAAGTCTGGCGCGATCGTGTTTAGCGTCCGGGTGTATACGCTGGGCATGGAGGAGTTGGGGAGGGAGAGGGGTGTTCCGGGACGGTTGGCGGGAGCGGTGAGGGGGTTGGCGGGGAGTAAGGGGGAGGTTGCTGCGTGAGTGAATTTTTCTGTTTGCTCTTTCCTTCACTTCGGTTTTGGTTTGGTGGTTCGATGCGGTGGTGGTGGTGGTGGTGGTGGTGGTCACTTGGTCACTTGGTTTGGTGGTGCTTGGTTCTGGATTCGGAGTCCGTTGTGGGTTGACCGTTGTGGGTTGACCTGAGGCGCTGGGACACAGTCCTGTTCCGTTCACGTTCCGTGAGCCTATGAGCCTAAGTTATGTCTGTTCCGTCGCTCCAAAGAGCGCACTGGACTTCTGGTCGTCTGACCAGTGCATGGCCTCGGCATGAAGTATGAAGGGCGGTTTTCGGTGGTCTGTGGTCTCTGTGGGGTATTTTCGGTGTGCTTGTGATCCGTCGAGACGGATATGGGATAGGCTTCCTGCAGGAGGTATGGCTCGTCATGCATTCATAGCTGGGAGAAATGACTCGACCTCGAGGTCGAAGAGAGGTCCCTTCATATCGCACATCTACATACCATCCATCCGCAGACGCAGGCAGAAGGGTGGTCATTGAATTCTCATCGCTTGGGGACGTGTGCGAGCTCAGGCCCGGGGTGTTCAGGGCAGGATGGGGAACGGCAGCTGGTACGCCCTCGTGGCCTATTCGGCTTTACATTGGTTTGCCTCGCCTCGCTTTGCCATCTGCCTTCTGCCTAGCCTCCCCAGCCTCGCCGTTTTTATCTACTACCTCGAGCTAAGTATTGTGTGGATACATGATTTTTTCGAGGGGTGCGCAAAGGTGGTGGTGGTGGTTTTCATGTCACACGAATGGGAGATTCGGACCCTTCAACGCTGTTTCGGTTGGTTCTGTTGGAAACCGTCCGCCCTTTTGTGTGCATGAGACCAACTCTGTGTCTACGTCCTCCTTGGTGAGCGTAACGGGAGCAGTGCTTGTTCTTACTCGTTCAAGTCCCTGTTCTGCATAGAAAGAAAGACCGTTCGAGACCCGCGGCGTTGCGGCTTCCTCGAGTCTGATCAGTTTGCCGTCGTCGAAAATAGTGATGCCGCCGGGTGGGGCCTGTTCGCAATGATTTTTTTCTCTCCTTTGGTGGCATGCGGGATCTCAGATGACGCTATCGGGGCGGGTCCGATATGCCGATTAAAGTACCGCAAGCGCCGTATTGCGCTCCGGGGGGTTTATCCGTTGATCCGGTGTGCGGGAGGCGGATGTGGATGTGTTTTTTCGTTTGTGGTGCTTATCGCCGTTCGTTTGCGGTTTGCTTTGAATGATGGGGAGGAAGGACGAGGGAAGGGGAGGACAAGCAAGCAAGCGAGGGAGGCGCAAAGGAGATGGCGTTCTGGATAAGGATCGCGATCTCATCTCACAGTCAAGCCTCGGGATAATTGCTAAGACGACTCTGATTCGTCGGACGGCGGCATCGTGGACTGAACTGTGGAGCAGCAAGCGGCAAGGGGATTGCGAGGCTTGGTAAGATGTGGACACGGAGGGGGTGCTTCCAAGATTCGGGGCGTGCGAGATTCGGATGGACAGGGTGGAAGCTGACCAGGTGTTTTATTTTATTTTATTTTGTACCACAGGCGCAAAAGGCAGGAGTCGTATGAGAAGGAACTGCTGGAGTACCTGGATGGGTGTGCGAGGGCCGAAGTAGAGTAGATGTATGGATGTATGTACACGTTGTGGACTAGAATGCGAGCAAGATGAGCATCGGGGACGGAGGACGGGGAGAGGCCGGTGGCTGGCAGCCGGGGATTGAAAGTCCGCTGGTATATGAGAGGTCTACGTCAGAGCTCGTCATTGCAGAAGCCCCGTCATCGTCGCCCTGTGAGTTAGCGCGCCTTGGTAGGTGAGTGCCCGTTGACCGTCCCTCGCTTGTGATGACGACTGCCCGCTGCTCATAACACGATGCTCGAAACGGCAGCTCCTCGTCGTCGTCATCGCCATGTCCGCCAGCCTCTCCCCGCCCCCTGACGTCAAGCACCAAGCCCTCTCCCCCTCCTCCACCACCGACACCCCCAGCGACCACCACGACCGTCCCAACGCCAGACCGAACCAGCCCCGCTCACAGCGCTCCAACTTCGACCAGGAGCCGAACCCGTTCGAGCAGTCGTTTGCGAGGCCGCCCAACCCGACGTCCAACCTGCGCTCGTCACAACCCCGCCGCCGCGACTCGGAACACAGCGCCCAGTCCGGCCACGACCAAGAGAACCGCTCTCCGCCGTCGCCCACGAGACATAACCATCCAGACCGGAGCGCGTCCCCAAAGCCCGTCCTCCCGCCTCTCGCCTCCCTCTCCTCGCCTGCAGACCAGTTCACATGGGGCTTCAACAACAATTCCCTCGCAAACTCCCTCCGCTCCGGGCCCCTCTCCCCCGCCATGCTCGCCGGCCCCCAGCACAACAGCAGCAACACCAACAACGGAAACCCCTCTGACCACCCACCCATCACTTTCGATCCCTCCACCTTCCGCACTGGTCTCACTCCCCGCACCGGTCTCACCCCCGGCACCGGTCTCACTCCTATCCTCGGTGGTCCTGTCGCCTTCCCGCCTCCTTCCCCCAACACCGCAGCCTTCCTCCACATGATGAACAACCCGGGCAGCGGCTCCGCCACGATCACACCCAACACCCTCAGCGCCATCACCGGCGTCCTCAATAACAACAACCCGCACGGCCAGACGGGCCAGTCCCCCCATCCCCTCTCCATCTCCCACGTCCCGCAGAACAACTATGATCGGCCCAACCACAATCAGTACTCGAATGGGGCTCAGCAGCACAACGGCGGCCACCCTAACGGCGACGGTGCCCAGAACTACGCCCTCAATGCCGCCGATGCAGCAAACTCCGCCGCGAACGGTCTCTTCCTCCTCTCCCAGGCCCATCAGGAGCTCACCAAGCGCGAGGAGGCCCAGCGCGCGGGACAGGGCGGCGCACCGAACGGGGGTGGGGGCAACAACAAGCGTGGTACGAAACGCAAGTCATACGACATTGGGAATCCGCAGGATAATAACGTTGTAGGTCCCGACTCTCAATCCGTCCAATCGAAACCAGCAGGCACGAAGCGCACCAGGGCGAATACTGTCTCGAGCAACGGCAGGGGCTCCAAGCGCAGCGCGGCCTCTCCGCCCTCTCCGATGGACGACGATGATGACGAAGAGGAGGAGGAGGAGGAGGCACAGAATGGGAAGAAGAACGGAAACAAGAAACCAGAGACGGAGGAGGAAAAACGGAAGAACTTCCTGGAACGCAATCGGCAGGGTATGCTTTCCTTCTCCTTTTCTCTCTGTACACTATTCAACGTTCTCCATACAGCCGCGCTCAAGTGCCGTCAGCGCAAAAAGGCTTGGCTCACGCAGCTCCAAGCCAAGGTCGAGTTCCTCGGCGCGGAGAACGAGAGGCTGCAGCAGGCCCTCGTCGCCTCGCGCGAGGAGATCGCACGTCTGACGGCGGCTGCGACGGTCAACCCAGGTATGCTACCACCGGGTGGTGTACCCCTCGTGCACCCACCACAGCCGGTCAGCGTCAACGTCAGTTTACCACCAGCGAGCGCGGCGGTGAAGGGCGTCGCGGCGTCCAATCGCGGATATGGCTACTGATTCACCCGTTGTCGTTTGCTTTCTGAGTTTTACTTCACTTTTTTTTTCGTTGTTGTTTTTTCTACGCACTGTTCGTTCCGTCCGATACACGCACCGGCGAGAACGAGCCCCGCCGACTCATATATTACACAAGAGTCGTACCCTCCCTGCTTCGACCGTTCTTGTATGTCCTTTAGCATCCTGACTGCACAACCCCCTCGCATGCCATACTCTACTCCGTTGTGCGTGGTACCGTCCGACGCCGCTCTATGGCCTACACATCCAAGAAATATCATGCCCCCTATGCGACCCTGAACCCCGATGGACTCGATCTTCCCATGTAGCTTTTTCTTCCTTTTCTTTCTGCCTGCTTCCCTTTCGAGCCTTGTTCTTTTACGCCGCTCGCACCTGCTTCACGTCTGAAATCTCCCGTCCTGCCGTGCCGTGTACGCTGTCGTTTCTAAATCGTCACTTTTATTGCTTCGTTGTTTCTTTAAATTCTCCTCATCGCCGTTTGTAGTATGAGGACGATTGCGTCGGATCACTCGTCATGCTCATGCATCATTTGTTGCGTCTCGTCCGTCCGTCTTATTCATCTGACGTTCCCCCACGGATTCCGAAGTGCCACGACCTTGCGCCCATCGGGACGCGGACGCCACACTGGCCATGGGTCGTGGGTTTTTGACATTGACATGGACAATGATCGCATCTGATGTCATCGACTTGATCGGGCGCTGAGGGAGGGCTGGGGATCTGGATCAGTACTTAGGGGTCATGGACGGTGATGCATGGGCGTTTGGATGTCGATGTCGGGTCGCTCTGACTCTGAACTGCCTTACTTCGAGAGGTGGCGTTTTCTTTCCCTCTTCATTTCTTCATTTCTTCATTCTTCTGATTCGAGACGAGACAGACGAGATGAGACGGCACGGCACGGCACGACAAAACAAAAGATGTGTACGCTTTTTTTCTTTTTTGTACTACTTCTTTCACCCCCCTCTCTCTCTCTCTCTCTAAAGTTAAAGTCTTAGTTTTAGTTTTAGTTTCGTTTTTTTTTTACTTAGTACAGCCGCGCACATTGAGACATACACGGGGGTGCGTTACGGCGAGGGGATATGATGATGTTCATGTTCATTGCATACATACATACAGATATACGTGCATATATACATGAGATGTGAGACGTGAGATGCCTGGGATACGAAGGATATGTGAGATACGTGGGACATGTGGGATATATGGGATGCTGTTTGTTGACTTGCTCAAGTGGTATGTCAAGGAGCGAGAGTCGGTAGCGATTGATGTTCTCAGTGAGTGTTGAGTAAGTTGAGTGGCTGGCGTATATGGATGAGTCGATATGAGTAAGCCTCGTCGAGAGACAGTGAGGTTACTTTGATGTCCAGTGAATCGATGTCCCGGTCTATCCTATAGCTAGTCCCAAGAGTGAACAAACTTCGGAAGAGGACCTTCGACGGGAAGCGGCTGATGAAAACTTTTAAGTAACGGCTGTCAGTACAGTAGCATGGATCGCACTGGTACAGTGGTACTTAGGTCAAGAATGGGCGACCGTTGTGCGGTGTGAAATTTTCGGAGTGCTGGGACTCGGAGGCTGGTTCCGAGTGGTACATAAGGCTTTTAGGAGTAGGAGTCCTGTTGAGGTTAGCTTGCAATTGTGCGGTGGGGTTCCGTTTCGTGGGGTTGTGGATGAAATTGAGATTTGAGATTGATTGACGAGGGGGGAGTCGGATGGATAGGTGACTTTCTACTACTACTAGTTGCTAGTGCATACTGCATTGACGAGTCAGTGAGTTGGACGTAGCACTGCGAGACGAGACACGTCGTTCGTCGTCGGGGTAAACCTGTGGAGGAGAAGGAGAAAACACGGAGCTGGATCATCATGGAATAGACGTGGCTGATGTGGCGTGAGGAGTTTGGACCTGTTCCTTGGCTGGAAAGCTGAGACCGTGGGCCACAGTACTAGTGCCGCTCTGGAGGAACGAACGATTCCGGCCAAGTGTGAATGCAATTCCGTTACACAAATAGTGACCCGTGTTACTCCATCATGGAACCTTCCTCCTAAGGCTGAGAGAACGCAAAGTGGATAAACCGGCGGGACGTTCTATTCGTCAAGCTTTCGAAGTTCGTGGCAGGAGAGGTAACAGAGAACGACAGGGATAGGAAGTAAAAACTAAAAGGCGCGCGCGAAAAGTCGAACGTGAGCGTCGAGAAAAGGCGAACCAGCGAGCATCAGTCGAACACGTTCGATCGGGGGAGAGACGATGAGGCAGACTGATGTGTCTCTCGCTGTGGCCACGTTCGCGAGTGAGTCGGTGGAGAGCCTCAGCTGAGAACGGTCCGAAGCAGCGATTGCGAGAGAGATGGCGTATCGTGTGTATAAGAAAAGAAAGTAACGGCGGGGGGGATGGGGGGAGCTTTCTCTCCTGCCGTCGTCGTCGTCGTCGTCGAGAACAGCGAGCAACGGCCCTCGATTGCCACGCGTGAGGCTGGAGCAAGGCTCTGAATTTCAAACGTTCGCGTGGACGCGACGCGACCTGACGTGAGTGGTCCAGCCTGCTTCCGTCTCTGTCGTTCTTGCCTCCCCCGCTTTCACCACCCACCCCGTAACACAGAGCTCTCCACGCATTGACGCGGCTTGCCCGTCCTAGCTTTTTCTTTTCTTCTCTATACCGATCAACCTCTTTGTCTGCCGCCTTGATCTCAACAGTTTTTTTGCTATGGCCACAGACGACGACACAAATTCACGACCGCCTTCTCCGACGTCCCGCTTTGACACCCTCTTCACCATGGGCTATTTTACACAACCGTTCGAGCGCTTCGTGCGTGACGACAACGTAGACATGAGTAGCGCTTTCACTTTGCTGGGTGAGTGAAAGTCTACACTACACTTCTTGGACAAAAGACGGATCTCGAACTCGCTCCACTTTTGTTTGCAGACACAATGGAAACCTATTGGGACTCCCGCATCGATCTCCTTCAACGAAAGCTCTCCCAGCGAACAGATAAGCTCAAGTCAAGAGCTGAGGTGCTCGGAGACTATTTCACCACCATCAAGACTCCGAAGGCCGATGTTGCAAGGGAGAATATCGACCGCGAGATCAAGAAGTTGCAACTCAAGGTTGGCTCTCTCTCTGTCCGTGCTCTCCGACTCGCTCGTACTCATGTCTTGTGGCAAAGATGCAACTTCGGATGACGTCCTTGGCTACAGCTTGGAAATCCGCCAGAATCGTCCGAACGAGGGAGAAGATCACATTCTTTATCGGAGTCATGACCGTGCTATTTACTGCCCTCCTCTTCGGCATGGCACCGGAGTAAGTTCACTCCCTACAACATAATTGACCGCTTCCTATTTACGTCCCTTCTCCCTTGTTCTGCTCGCAGATGGATGCACATCGCCTACACTGTCCAAGCAGCCTTCCACCTTCCCTTGCGCATCTACAGATACAAGAAGCGGATGTGGCACTACTTCCTCTTCGACCTCTGCTACTACGTCACCATCCTTAACTTCGTCTACATCTGGATCCTCCCCCAGAGCCCTGCCCTCTTCGTGGCGTGCTACTGTTTATCACATGGGTCCGTCGCGAGCGCGGTGATTACATGGCGGAATAGTCTTGTCTTCCACGATTCAGATAAGAACACGTCGCTGTTCGTGCATATGTACCCGCCACTTGTCTTTACCGTCATCAGGTGCGTTTGATCTGTCCTTTTCCTTGATTCTGGACGGCTGAGCTCACATCGGTGTACAGGCATTATTATCCTGGCGCAACGGAGCGTTTCCCTGCACTCAAGGAACTCCCGCATCTTAACCCATGGAAAGCCCTTTTACTGTCTAGTTTGATCTGTATGCCACGTTCAACCACCACATCCCCATGAAATTCACTGATACTCTGGTTTTTCAGACTTGGTCTGGCAGTTGCTGTACTGGAGGGTAAGCGTCCTCTTTCCTCATCAAATGTTCTTTCTTCGTCTTGATGTTGTATTTCTGGGCATGTAGTTCGTCTACGTTAGCCGCCGCGCCAAGGTCGAATCTGGCGAACGTACGACGTCACTTTCATTCCTCCTGAACAACAAACGAGGGCTCATCGGGCGGGCCCTCGCTGCCATCAAGCCCGAGTATCGTCCAGAATCTTTCATGGCGGGCCAGTTCGGTGAGTACAAGCCTTCCATTTCATGATGCTTTTGCTTCACCAACTGACTGTTCGATATGTTCTAGCCTACGCCGTGATTACGGATATTCCCCCGGTCTTTCTCCTGTACGACAGCGCGTTCTGGAGCAGCGCCTACCTTCTTCTCATCTTCGCCGTAAGCGCATGGAACGGCGGAGGTTTCTACATCGAAGTCTTCGGTCGCAAGTGCGTCTCCCTCCATTCCTTCATTCCCTCCACATTCTAGTTCTAGTCACAATCCCAGTCCTAATCTTATACTTATACTGGCCAACCACGTAGATTCGAACGCGAACTCGAAGCGCTCCGCAAAGAGCTCGCCGAAGCAAACCTTCGCTCCGCCGGCGCATCGCCCACGATCATCCCCGATGACCTTTCCACGCCTGTGTCGCCCATGCTCGAAGGCAAGGACGGCAACGGCATGATGAACGTCCCTGAATTGAAGACGCCTCCGCTGCTGGCATCGAAGGGTGTCTCAGAGGTGCCGAGCATGCCGGAGGAGGCGAACGGGGCGCCACCTGTGGAGGAATCGAAGAAGGCGCAATGATCATGATCTTGCCCGTTCTCGATTACTGGTTTCTTGAGTGGCGATGGGAAGGTAGTCTGTCTTGTTTTTTACTCGAGTCCCGTCTAGATGGTGTGGATAGATTCCTCGTTTTTTTGGCCTGTTTTGTCAGGCCCTTACTTTACGCTATGCGTGATTCCTCGTACGGTCTGAGGAGGTGGAAGTGGAGTTGGTGGTGGATCGCGATTCTAGTTGAGTTGCCCTTCGAGATGCGAGATGTTTTTAATGACCCTATTTACGACCTTACATACACATGAACACTATGCGCTATCCTCTTCCTCTTCGCTTTGTTGTATTTCAGACCTATCTCCTCTCCCTCTCCCTCTTCCTACTCCCATCCCACCGCATTCCGTCCTATCCTGGATGGATTCCGATCCCCCCTCATTATCCGACCGACTCGTGTATACCTAGTAGTACATGCATACATTTTCATACATACGGCTCTTTACACGTTACCGCTTTTCGTTATAATAATTTCTGAGTGGTGTTGAGCTACATGATCATACATCTGTGGCGTCGACGGTCGTTCGAGCCAGAGTAGAGCCAGAGTATTATCGGCCTGGTTCAGAGAGTCGTAGTTTCGAGTATTTGTGATGGTTCATTCTATTCATTTTTATTATCACAAGTAATGACCTGACCGTGCGGCAGGAGCAAACCAGAAATGCACCTCGGCCTCAGCCAGAGAAGGAATGTGGCGTGAGCTATTGATACACGGCCGAGTTCTCGGCGTCTGGACATTCTGAACTGACCGCCACATCAATTCTTTTCTCCACGACCTGTACCACCGAAGTTCAACGTACATCCTCCTTGTGCACCTTTCGACGTCGTTGCTCAACTCGCTTGTATCTCCGCTTGGTTTACATGAAAAAGGGAGAGCGTGCTCATCGCTCCTAAGTAAAGCGGCTGTCAGCCTACTTCTAGAATTCTGCTGTGCCATGGACTTCACCAAGATTAACGTATGGCTCATCCTGGTTCATATTTTTTCTGAACGTTGAGAAGAAGGTTTGTTTTGTCTTTGAATATTGTAGGACCCCGCCGGGGTACAAGCCCTCCTTGAATCGCTCCGACGGTCACAGGCTTTCACCGATTCTGTCACTGGTACTGAGGCCAGCTCGAATTCGACCTCGTCCCAGGTATCAGGCTCTCACTCACATTCAGCAGAAGATTCTTCTCTGGCCTCGACGTCAAAGGAGATCGAAGCCGTGGGCTCGAATCCTTCTGTGGCGTCTTTGTTGTCTCAGCTGCAGTCCTCGACAGCTGTGGCGTCTGCGGTGCGCCGGCCAGCACCACCACCACCATCACCACCTGGTTCAGAAGGCTTCCCGACGACTGTACGTGTGCATCCTCCATATGCATCTTTACCCGTGATTACAGCCAACCCGAGCCCTCCACCACGGGCCTCGTCGACCTCTTCTGAATCGGTGGCCCCCATACGAAAACAAGATGCTCGAGCGATGTCGTTCCAACAGGCGTTACCGCGTCTTGCCCAGATGTCTGAAGATGCGGAGTTTGTTGATGCTGTGAATAAGGTAGGGTTGTTTTATACTGTGGAGACTGGACATGTTTACTTCTTACGTGTCTATAGATGAAGGAAGAACAGAATAAGTTGGAGAGACAATTGTTGGAGGAGAGACAGGAGATTCAGAGGAAACATCAGGAGAAGGTGAAGTTAGCTAGGACCAAGTGAATAAAAAAAACCCCTTTCATTCATGCCCGCGTACTAGCCATATATACTCACCAATATGGCTTTGTTTGATTCCTTTTTTTGCAGAGCGAGTATGATTGGCGCTGGCCTGTCAAAACATGAAGCCGAAGTATATTCGTCTATCATATCTGTTCCGCCATGCGTCATACGGAGATTATACTGAATGGACATCTGTTCAGATGATGTCGACCGCGTTCCGCAAGGAACTTCACAAGTTTGATGTCGAAAGAGCACTGGTGGCGTGGGATGGTATGGTCGCGAAACAGCAGATGGCCCTCGAGGTTCTCGCCGTCCCGACGATGTTTGTGGGCAGCAATACGTCTGATATGGAGGTGTGTAGCGTCTTCGACATCTCCTTAACGCACTAAAAGCGAATCGGTCACCCTTTCTTTCTTTGCAGAAGCAGAAGAAGGTCATGCGAGTGCTAGAAGGCATTGTTGGTGGCGACAACATCGAATGACGGTGCTTGAAGCTCGCCTCGCCTTGCTGGTTGACAGGCGCCCCACTCGAGAGGAGGGATCGACTTGGTATGATAGATAGGAGAAGAGACGACCATTTCTGTGTGACTGAAGCCTTCCTCACAGGTACTCAAGCTTGTGCGTACTGTTCTCCAGCTCGAAGTTGGATACTGGTCAGGATGCCCATGCTTCCAACGGCGTTCGTCGTTGTGGTCGAATGCCATGATGTGGACGCTCGCTATATTTCAAGATATATTGACTCTTCCTGGTAGAACATTCTGTTCTAATGTCGTTTACTAGCGAATTTGATACGAGTGTCTATCTTCTCTCTCTCCCGCTACCCCGTGGTTAAGAACCCGTTCTGGCCGGGCATTCGAAGTAGCGGTTGGTGTTCTCCTAACCTTCGAATTCACGGTCGAAGCTGTTAGCTCTTACTTACGCATTTTTACGCTTTGCCCTCACTTCAAAGCGTTTCCTCCCCGTAATGTCGCCGAATCGGTCTCGACTCACTAGCTTATCTCTGTGTTGAGTCCCTCTGAGCAAATTGGTGATTGGTAAATAGCTGCTTGTTTAACGTCGGTATCTTAGATGCGGTCCTTAGACGGCGTTTGATCGAGTTTTGGAGAAGATTTACCGCATCAAATAATAGTCAGACACGAATTATTCCCCTTTTGTGACCGGTGTTTTCCTCACTGCGCGAACAAATACCTCTCCTTTTTTTCCTGCGTATATACATAGAGCCTTCTAGGGATAGAAGTATGATGCCGAGCAAGTTTCTGGGTGACGTGAAAGAGGGACATAAAAAGTCTAATTTTGTTGACAGGAGAGGTCTTTTTGTGTCGTGAATAAACGATTCTGCATTTTTGACGCGGATGAGGCCATTTGGGGACGGCCCATGGGCGTCTAACCGTCGGTTATCGGCATTTACGTGAACTCGGTGGGTACCTGGACCTTGTCTTCCTCTTCAACATCATGCTTTCAGTTCCCGACCACCGTCATCTCCCCTACACATCCTCCTTCCCCACTCCTACCTGCCCGTGAGGCTTTTACACATGCCCTATGTTGACCTCGTATCCACAGACGACTACGCCTCTATCTGGTACACTACTAACAGCTTCACGAAATATGTCAGCTCCTTCGATGCCGACAAGCCTACTGTCATGATGTTGCATCCTATGGGCTTTGACTCCAGGTGGCTCACTACTCAGCTCGCCGACCCCAGATTGAATGACAATTACAACGTCATCGCAATAGACTCGCGATATGCGGGCAGGTCGCATAGTAGACCGAGTGGGAAGTTGGACCATTGGGTGGAGGCTGCCGATTTGGCTTTTATTTGCCAGGTGCGTATCCAATGGTGCTGCTTATACTAAATCTAACTCACGAAGGGCTTGGTGGATGATAGAGTCTACAATTACCCTCTGTGCATGTTTGGGCTGAGGAGCCGCTGGCTACAAACGTTGCCCTTCGTTTCGCTATACTGTGCGTGACGCGCTTTTTCTCCATTTTACTTTCGTGTTTGACGGTATCTCTAGGTTCCCCGAGATGTGTCTCAGCCTAACGCTCGTCACCGTCGCTCCTCCAACAGAGTAAGATCTCTTTGACGCGCCCTTTGTGGCCCAAAATTGATTGTTGACCCGTGCACAGACTCAAGTCGTATTTCGCTTCGTTCGACGAAATGATGAACATGTGGTCCTTTGCGGAAGACTTGGACACGTTCGAGCATGCTGTAATGGAGTTTTTCGGACTGACTGTTGGCTCGGTGAGTCTCATGCTCAGACATCTATTCCGAGACCTGTGTTCTCATTTGGCACAATCAGGACATCGAGGATGACATGTCAGACTCTGTGAGTGCTTCTTGATTCGTATCATCGAAGTTCGTTGCGTGATATTAATACCTCGGAATGGCGACCATTAGATTGTCGCCTATTGGCAAACTAATTACCCACCCTTCCGACGCTCAAGATTCGTAGAGCTAGCCAACCTGCTGATGAATGTGAGTTCCCTATCTCATGTCATATCCGAAACTGCGGACTCTAATGCGCTGTGTTCAAAAAGAGAGTGCCGTTACAGTCTCATATGCTTGATGCAGTCACACAGCCCGTACTGATCATCCATGTGAGTTGTTATTGATGATTCTCCCGTCACGATCTTTCTGATTTCGTCGCAGGGAGACAAGAACCCTTTGCATCCAGTCAAATATGCCCAGGACCTTGCTTCAAAACTCCGTAATGCGAAGGGCGGTGCCCATGTATTCATCATGAAAGGTTGACCTACTTCTTCTCGGCTTTGTTTAGTCAACTCACTCGTCGCGCAGGCTGCCAGGGCTACCTCAGCCTCTTCTCCACATCATCATCTATATTGGTCCAAACGTTCACCAAGTTTCTCCAACGGCTCCCTCGTGTTCGTTCTGATCTGGTCCGACCACGGAAATCAACTGAGACGCGGATGGCTGCTGCACTCGAGACGCTCGCTGATTTGGTCGGTAATCCCGCAATAGCGGAGAGAAACGCGATGTCACCACTCTCTTTCTCGATGGTCTCCTTAGACGTCGAGACATCCCAATGTAATATCCTGAAGACCTTCCATCGAGGACAGAATACCGCATTCTCGCCACTGGGGCCGGATGGACGACCGGTTCGAAAGTATGTCACCTTGGCACTGCACATTTATATAACTTCGATACTTATGACCCGCCATCTTGTTGCGACTTAGATTCTCAGAACGGAAGATGGGGCACTGGTTCCATTCCGAACCAGACGGATCATCGTATGCCGGTAAGAAGTCGTCCTGTCCTTTGCTCTTTGTTCCTGGATTGAATCCTTGTACAGCACACTAAGACATTCGTCGTACCGTAGGAAACATTTCTGTGTCTGGTCATGTGGCCAGCGAGGCCACTTTGGACGCTCGTGGTGCGACAGGCAACAAATCAACACAGTCAGGCTCCAACAAACGACATTCAGATCTCCCTACCCTCGATCTCGTGAAGGAGTCAAATCGGAAACCGATGAAGTTCGACCCCAGCTGGGTCGACAGGTCGGCCGTCGCGGGTTCTCTTTCCAAGGTCGTAGCTTCGAGTGGAATGCCATTGAGCAAGTTTTTGCAGTGACCGGACGGACCCCTTTGCATGGTTGTTTATGCCGGAGGAGAACCACATAATACTACTCATTTACCCTGCCTGGGGCAAGGTCAGCTTAATAGACTCACTTTGTGCTATAGTGCTTATTGCTTTTCTTTCTATACTTATTATCATCTGTATCTGATTTGCCGGAGCTCTGGGCGGATGTACACTCTGTTAATATGACATGCACATGTTCTAGCTCGTATTGACTGGCCAGAAGGCCCGAGATCGTGACCGTTCTGGGTTCTTTGCTTTGACTATTGCTTTGACTATGCCGCCGTCTTCTGAACTAGCGAGCTACTCCGCGGGCTTCTGGACGAACGACTTTTGGACTACACGTGCGCCAGCTGCGCTCCCACAACAATAGTAGTTGTTGTCAGATAAGTGGAGGCTGCTCTCGACCTCTTGTGTAGGGCGATCATTGATTGCATTGCAATAGGAAGACTGTATCTGCTGACCCTGTACCTGCTGAAACGACCAGTCTGGGATGTTTGTACTCACGGAGCAAGCCCCTGTGAGTCGGTTTGATTTGGATGTGGCGCCTTCCCTCCGCAGAGCTGATGCCTGAGACTTCGACTTCGCTGGTTCAAACATTACACTGTCAAAGCTTGTCAAGGCTTCCTTGGCTACCACCAGCGATCCGACATGGCTCCTCCGCGGGCGCTGTGTGAGTTCTTAGAGCCACCACTCGACGAATTTCTGGCGTTGAGTTACAGTATGGGCCACCTCGGGCTATTATACGTATAGCCATAATTGTTGTGGGTCCAGGCGTGGCCGACCATACAGCCGGTGTCTGTATGGTGTGAGCACTTTTTAAAAGTGCTCAGCCTGAGCACCCGGCGCCGCAAGTAAAGGGAGTAATAAAGCAGGTACCTCGCTTACGAGTACACGTGGGCTTCAACAAGCCGACGAAGATGCTTCCTTCCGGCGCTATCCGTCTCTGTCTGTTTCCTCTTTTTATATCTCGGAGGTGATGGCCATCGCGGGGCCAATGAATGGAGAGCTTCCGAAGCTTCATAGCCCCACGACTTTGCTCTCCAATTTTGAACAGAACCGGTCGAACGCTTGGGAGTGCGAGCCTGCAGTCAAAGCACGCCGTATATCGGTGTACGTTGCCTCAATAGAATCGCGGTAACGTTAACGTGAGTACCATCAAATGCTCACAGGGCTTCTTCCGTCATGCAGAGGCGGCGACCTCGCCTGACTCCAGGGTCTGACTGTAAAATTGAGCAATTCTGCGCCTACTAGCCCGAGACGCGGGGGTGACCCGTCTGCTTATCCGCATTCTCTCTTCTCACTCCTAACTCTCATGTTCCTCACCCATCTCCATTATTAACCGCCTTTCGACTGCCAGCGTCTCCATATTCCCTTTCTGCATTCGCTGTACATGCTCAGTGAGGAAACTGCTTGTCTATATATCTCGTCCAAATGCCCTACGTCGATCTCGTGACTGGACAAGATGACTATGCTTCGCTGTGGTACACCACCAACAGCCTCAGCGGGACAGTCGGTGACTTCGACCCTGACAAGCCAGTCATCATCATGCTACACCCTATTTTCCTCGACTCGGAATGGCTATACCTCCAACTCCAGGATCCAAGACTAGACCACAACTTCAACATCATTGCGTTCGATGCTCGTTGCGCAGGTCGTACCCACTCGCGGCCAAATGGAAAGCATGACCACTGGACGGACGCTGCGGATTTGGCGTTTGCCATCCAGGTGCGTCTTCTCTCCCTATACCTTTCTTCCTTTCCGAAAAGCTCACAAAAATCGCACGACTTTGTCTTCCCTCGTCTTACCCCTCGGTACATATTCGTTTCAGGCCTTGTGGTTGCCACCCGCTCACATATGGGCCTCAGAGTCCTTCGCAACGAACACCGCACTTCGCCTTGCCGCACTGTACGTCTATTTACTCCACTCGCTTCACGCATGCGCACATTCCGTAACTCATGCACCGGGCGCGCGGACACATTAGCTTCCCCGAAATGTGTCTAAGTCTCGTCATTTTGACCGTGCCGCCACCGACAGAGTGAGTCCGTTGACGTCGGATGTTCCCCGTCCAATGTTGAATGCTCCAATGACACATTCGCTAACGAGCTATGGCTTATCGTGCCCGAACCGTTGTGCTGTCCTGTTGGCTGCTTTACCCCACTCTGTTTTCTTCCTCCCGGCAGACTGACGGCATACTTCGGCCGTCTCGAGGAGTTGCTTCACACCTGGGGGTTTGCGGATGATCTGGATACACTCGAGCACTCGTTAGCGGAAGGAATGAAGCTCCTGATTGGTTTCGTGAGCACCGTTTTCTCGGCTTTCGCACGCCTATGGACTTTGCACCTGGTCGTCTCGGGGTTTATGGCATGATATTGACTTGGGCGATCTGACCCGAATAGGACATCCACGACGATATTCTTGATGAGGTACGCACGGAAGTTCTTCTCTGAAGTATATATCCCGAAGTCCGGGTATGCTTCGCTTGAAGTTCATGGCTACTGACCTGCTTCTCTTTGGTTTACTCAGTTGGTAGGGTACCTGGAGATGCATTATCCTCCTTGGAAGAGGGTTCAGATTGCAGAGATGAGTAATCTCGTCATGAACGTGAGTGCTCCTGTGCCGTTTCGTTCGAATCTCATCCAGAGTTGACAACATTTTCCCTCTCAAGCGGACAGCGCTCACCCCCAAAGAGCTAGCAGCCATAACATGTCCAACCCTTCTTATCCACGTACGTCCCTCCACATACACCACTTCTCTACATCGAACATCACAGCTAAGGCGCGAGCGTCGTCGTATAACCCATACAGGGCGACCGGAATGAGCTACACCCCGTCGACTTTGCCAAGAAGATGAAAGACGACCTGATCAACGTCGAAGGCGGTGCCATGCTCTACATCATGAAAGGCGCCTCAGGCTACCTCTCCGTCGACCCCTCCGCCGCGTCCATCGCGAACCAGACCGTACACAAATGGATCTCTCGGTTCCGGCACGAGCGCCAGGATTCCTGCAGGCCTGCGGAGCCCACGGACGAGCGAATGAAGCGCGCGTTGCGCAAGTTGGGAGAGTTCGCGAAGGACGTGGATGGGTTTAAGGATCGGAACCCGTGGAGCTCCATGAGCTTCTCGAGGGTGACGAGGGAGGTGGAGAAGGCGCAGATGCAGATGATCAAGAGGGTCGCTGTTGGGGCAAGTATGGCTTTCTCGCCGCTGGGTTCGGACGGAAGGCCTATGCGAAAGTAAGTTTTGTTCTCTCTTTCGACTGTGAGCCATTGTAAAAGAGTTCTGCGAGCTGAACAATGTTTACTCGAACATAGATACTCAGAGAGACTACACGATCATTGGTTCACGGGTGATCAAAACGGCTGGTCCTACGTCGGTACGTCTCCGCCTTTCCCCTTCTTCGTCTCCCTTTTGCGTGCGCTTCTACCAACGGCGCCAACACTGTCTAATGATGCCACGCATCCACCCCACAGAAAAATTCAGACCTCCTACCCACCGCAACAAAATCCCCATTATCGAAGAAAGAGCACACGACCTCGCCAGTCCAGACGTCTGCGCCCATGCACCAGAAACGATGTCCCAGGAGCTCATCACGGATAACGCGGCGAGGCGGATCGCGTTCTCGCCGCAGACGGTCGCTAGTGTAGAGAGGACGGTGATCAAGGGGAGCGTGAGCAGGGTGGCGAGCGCGACGGGATTGCCATTCACGAAGTTGCTCAAGTCTTGAGTGGGGACTCATCAAAAATGGCGTCCGGTTTCTTCTTCTTCTTCTTCTGAGTCTTTCTTTCGGATGCACTGGTGATTGATGCTTCCGAGGAGGAAGACGGTGGCCGGTGTTATTCGCGGAGGCAATGGTGGCGGGAGAGGGGTGGGTTGAGCGGTGTGTTCCACCACCCATGCGTCTGATGGGGAGAGGTCTGGAGTATTTATATTTGTTGATTGATGTTGGTCCTGATGATGAGAGTGAGATGGAGTGGGGAGTCAGGATCAGTCTCGAGAGCTTGGTGGCGGGAGTTGCATAAGATGCGATACGGGACTCTGTTTCAGGCCGCCATTCCCTTCTGCTGCGGTTCGCCTACCTGGCTCCTTCACCGTGCTTGGACATTCGTGCTCATACCATCCTCACAGTCATTTCTCCACGCACGTACGTCTACGTCGTACATAACTTAACTTTAGATACACACACATCCACTCTTTCACGCCACACGCCACACGAACACACACACACCGCTCAAACTTGCATTTGTTACTGTACATACGACCGCGTTCATCTTTCGTTTCTTGTCCACTGGCATCGACCGTCATGATCTCTACGATAATAAGCACATATATCCCTTTTTTTCAACCTTGGTCTACGTAGACGATTCATTTGGAATTCGTGTGTACTCTATAGCCGTTTTTTGATCTTTTAAACCTAGTATACCCCCTCTTCAAAGCTTCAAATCCCTTACACTTTCACTTTCACTTTCACTTTCGCTTATTGCATTCGCTTTCGCTTTTGATTTCTTGGGCTGTATGCCACACCACATCGGAGAACAATTCCTCATCTTGGAATACCCGGAAGTTCGACACCAGGACGCCGCATTATCATGGATCGACAAAACCCAGCACGGATGCATCACGTCAGTCAAAATCTCGAGAGGGTGATGAGTTTTATTGCGAGTGTTCGACAAGACTTTACGCTGCTTTATGTAATTGATGTATATACGGACACATTTCAGAAGAGGGAGGAAGCGGCAATTGCAAGCAAATACTGCGAGTCTATATATAGTGCTCTATGTAATCAGTTGCGAAACAACAGGCAATTGTATGTATGGGATTATCTAGGGGAATAGCGCGTACGCGACGACAACAACAGCCCAAAAAAACAACTGAAACAAGGCAGAGAAGAAGCCTGAAAACACCATCCTACCGACGCGTCCATCCTCCACATTTTAAGTTAAGCCAATCCAAGATACCAAGAGAAAAGAAGACCGAATAGGGAGAAATAAAAAGAAAAAAGAGAAACGCGGAGGCGACGGATGACACGGCTGGGGCCCGGCGAGCATCTACAAGCTCCCCTCTGCCATCTTCGCCTTATAATACCTCACCATCTCCTCCAAACCCATCTTCACCGTCCACCTCGTCTGCCAATCCAAGCTGGCCTTCGCCCTCGTCGTGTCCGCCCTCCTCTTCTGCGGGTCGTCGGTCGGCATCGGGTGATAAGTCACCTCGACCCTCCTCCGCTCCTTGTCCGGCACGCCGTCCTCCGCCTGCACTTTCTCGACGATATCCCTGACGAGCTCCGCGAACTCGCCGATCGTGAACTCGTCCGAGGAACCGATGTTGGTAGGCCGGGTCTCGTCGGAGTTCATGAGCGCGATGAGACCGTCGATGAGATCGTGGATGTATTGGAAGGAACGGGTTTGTTTGCCGTCGCCGTAGACAGTGAGGTCTTCGCCACGGAGAGCCTGGACGATGAAGTTTGAAACCACACGGCCGTCGAAGGGGTTCACTAATGATGTAATGGCTTAGAACAAAACCTTTAATTCAGTTCTTGGATGCAACGTACTGCGGGGACCATAGGTGTTGAAGATACGGGCGACGCGAACGTCAACACCATCTTGTCGCTGGAACCCGTATGTGAGGGTTTCAGCAACACGCTTACCCTCGTCGTAACAAGCACGAGGACCGATGGGGTTGACATGTCCCCAGCTAAAAATAAAAAGAAGAAGCGGGTCAGCCGTGGTCGGAAGGACGTAATAGAAGGGTACGAACTATTCTTCGTGCTGAGGGTGGACCTCGGGATCACCGTAGACCTCTATATGTTGCATAAGTCATTGTGCCACTCAAATAAGATGATGTAAAGACGCACCAGAGGTGGAGGTGATAAGGAAACGGGCTTTTGTGCGCTTGGCGAGACCGAGCATGTTAAGGGTGCCCATGAATGAGGTCTTGATGGTCTTAACAGCATTGAACTGGTAGTGGGGAGGAGAAGCGGGGCAGGCCAAGTGGTAGATTTCTGCATTCAAAGCAAAGACGCGTCAAGGCACGGATAAAGGTAGATAGAGTGGCTGAACGTACGATCGCACTCGATCATGAACGGCTCGACGACATCGTGGCGGACCATCTCAAAGTTGGGGTGACCGACCCAGTGAGACAAGCTGGTCTTGGACCCGGTGAAGAAGTTGTCGATGACAGTGACATCGTGGCCCAGGAGCATGAGACGGTCGACGAGATGAGAGCCGACGAAACCTGCGCCACCGGTAACGAGGACGCGCTTGCGCTTTGAGGGAGGGAGGAGTTTGACCGGGGGAAAGCGAGTGAGGGTGGTGTAGGAGATGGACTGCGAGTCTGGGTGATAGATCGACTTGGACTGGTAGGCTGCGTGGCCCTGAGTGAAGCGGGCGTGCTCCTCGTCTGCCTTTGCGTCGAGTTCCTCGGTCTTGCTTGAGCTGGCGGTGGTGACATAGTGGGGACGAAGATAGAGAGAACGGACGACGTCGAGGGGGACCTCGCAGTCAAAGCCGAAACGCTCAAAGCCGACGGTTGTGATCTCGTTACCGTTCTTGTCGACGGTCTTGATCTGTGGTGGATGGTGAGTAGGATGGCTAACACGCGTCGGGACCGGGTCGGACAGCATGGAGGGCACTCACTGCTTCGGGGTTTGGCTGGACAGACATGTTTACGATTGCGGAGGAGGAGTGGGAGTGGGAGTGGACAGAGGGGCGCGACATGGAGGCGGCGGTATTTATACGGTTCGGCGCTGTCAAAAAGAGGGCAAAAATTGATTTGCGCAAACGTCGAGCTGGGACCAGATGCGGCTATATACCTTCTCAATCCGGCCAATCTCCGCTTCCCTCGTCGGCCTTCCTCCGCCACACCCAATCACCTAACACAATATTCTCCTCCATATCGCCCACTACTCAAACACCTTCCGAACATGCCCCGCGCAACAAAGCCATCAGGAAAGTCCAGACACGATCCCCTCCATGTGCAGCTCAGGCAGGACGAAGTCACCGCAAAATACGGCAAAGTCTCAAATCCCACAAAACGCTCAAAGGCCTCCAAGAGGTCTCACGGCGACGAAGAAAATGATGAGGTGCGAAACCTGTGCTCTCTTCTTGTGCATGTCTCATCTCTTCCGAAACTTGTCTCCGTTTTCTTTTTTTTTCTCGCCACACCGCCACAGGTCATCCTCGATCCCAAAACTTCAAAGCGTATATTCGAACTCGCAAGAGATCAGCAGGAGGAATTGCAGGAGCAGCCGGATGACGATGATACTTTCGAGGATGAATTCACAAGACCTCGCATGAACGATCTGGAGGATGAGGACGAGGACGAAGTCACAGAGGAGTACGAGGGTTTTCTTGACCTCGATCATGAAGAGCATGAATTGGTCCGTCTGCCCCTCCTGTCCCCTCCTCCTCTATGTCTAACCGTGCGCACAGCAAATCGACTCCGGTGATATCCGAGCACTCGATTCACTCCTGCCCTCCAATGCCGGCGAGCGAAAGACACTCGCAGATCTTATTTTTGCAAAACTCGATGCGGCACCGACAGGATCCAATACTGCCGTAATAAACTCTTCCCATGAAGGTGCACATTCCCGTTTCATTCGCCAATCAAACATAGCCTCAAGTAACCTCTGACGCTTTACTTCTTCGCGCTAGGCGGTCGTGCACACACACCAGATCCCGCAGAAGGCCTCGATCCCAAGGTCGTCGAAGTATACCAAAAGTTCGCCTTCTTCCCCTCTTTGCTCGTATCCCTAACTTAACCTAACTACACCAGAGTCGGCCTCCTCCTCCAATCCTACCGCTCCGGCCCCCTCCCCAAACCCTTCAAAATCGTGCCCTCCCTCCCCGCCTGGGCCCGCATCCTCGCCCTCACCTCCCCCGAAAAATGGTCTCCCCAAGCCTGCCACGCCGCCACCCGAATATTCATCTCGAACATGAAGCCTCCCCAGGCCCGCGTGTTCCTCGAGGGTGTCGTGCTCGGTGCGATCCGCGAAGATATCGCGAATCCGATCAATAAGGGCAAGAAGGATAACAGGAAGCTGCATGTGCATTATTATGATGCGTTGAAGAGGGCGTTGTATAAGCCTGCGGCATTCTTCAAGGGGATTGTGTTCCCTATGCTTGACGTGAGTTGAACTTGGAACTTGTAGGTTGATGGAGACGCTGATATTGATTGTGTGCGCGCCTGGATAGAGCGGATGCACGTTGAAAGAAGCGGCCATCGTCGCTTCCGTGCTCGCCAAAGTCAAAGTACCGCTATTGCACTCCTCCGCCGCACTTCTGCGTATCGCGAGTATGGAATACACCGGTACGTCCTATCTCCCCTTCTATTCCACACTAACTCCTCCGCTCACCACCCACCATTCACCATCCACCATCTAACAACAATTCCCCAGGCCCCAACTCCCTCTTCATCCGCGTCCTGCTCGACAAGAAACACGCCCTCCCCTACAAAGTAATCGACGGCCTCGTCTTCCACTTCATCCGCCTCTCCAACACACACAAACACCCCACCTCTTCCTCCACCATCTCCCACGCCCGCGCCCCAGAAAAGCTCCCGGTACTCTGGCATCAGAGCCTGCTCGTGTTCTGCCAGCGGTACGCGGCGGATATGACGCCGGATCAGAAGGACGCGCTGTTGGATGTAGCGAGGGTCCATCCCCATCCGCAGATTTCGCCGGAGGTGAGGAGGGAGCTTGTGGCGAGTGTGGCGAGGGGGGAGGCGGTGGTGCCGGTGGGAGGAGAGGCGATGGATCTTTCGTGAGGAGTTGTGGTGGTGGCGAGGGTAGTTTGTTGTGTTTTTTGTGTGGTGGCGGTTCTTTGCTTAGTTGACTTTTGTGGTTGCATGTGCTATTTTACTGGGCTTGTGGGTGACGAGCCACCCACTTACAGCGCAACTCAGACATGAGACGTGCCCCGCGTTTCTCAGTTCATGCTTGACCAACTTTTTTCTCAAGATGCTGCGTGCTCCAGAAAGAGGTCACCGCGCGAGAATAAAAACTTGGTTGTACGCGTGCACGAACGAGATCGTAGTCATACTGTGGCAAGCTAAGCATCTAGACGTCAAACACGCAGTAAAGCACGGAAGCCCAAGGAAAACAGCCATAATCAAGGAGACAGCATCTATCCAACAGAAGCGGCCAGCTCAGGCAAGATCACCGATCCTTGTTCTTCTTACTCTTCCCCTCCCTTTCTCCTGCCCCTTCGGTGCCGCCTTGATCGCACCCAACACACCCTCGAGCGTCTTATCCTCACCGCCACCACCACCCTCATCCCCATCCCTCTTCCTCTTTTTCTTTTCCTTCTTCTCCTCCTTCTTTCGCTTCTTCTCCGCGCGCTCTGCCCCCTCGTCTTGATCTTCTGCCTCAAGAGCCACGTCATCGTGCATGGAGGGAACGGGAGCGTTTACAGCCGCCAATGAACCTTTCTTCATCTTCTTCCCCAACGCAACCTCGAACAACTCGTCGATATCGTCCGCTTTACCCTTCCCGCTCCTTTTACGTTTCTTCCCGACATTCTTTTCCTCCTCCTCCACCGCCTCCTCCTCTTTCGTGGCCACATCCCGCACGGACTCGCGCTTGCGTTTCTGAGCAGGTGCGGCGGCAGTGGTGGCGGTGTTGGTGGGTTTGGCTCCACTTTTGGCCTGTACGTGAGCCTGGGCCTGTTGTGTCCTCCACTCGTCCGGGCGACGTTGGAGGAGGTATAGGTTCAGATTCCTCGCGAAGTATTTTCCGTAGAACGAGCCCGCGAGTTTCGACTCGTGCGCGAAGAGCGAGCGAGCGATTTTTTCCTGTGTTTTCGTGAAATGACAATACCGTCAGCATACAATACACGTCAAAAAGAGGGGGGAGGAGTGAGGTGAAATTTTTGGACTAGAAAAAACATACCTTGAGATACGGATCGGCGACCTTCCAACACCTATCTCCCACCCGACTCCCGATCCTATCATCCACGAGCGACTGATAATGCCCCACAAGACCCAACAAGAACGTTCTCTTCGCCTTCGACGGCACCGCTGGCGAATCGAGCAACACGTCGAGAACGCGGGAGCTGGTGGGGTTGTGGGCGAGCGATATGGTCTGTTCTATGGGCAGGCTTTGGAGACTGTTGAGCACGAGCTGATTGTGCGGATCTGGGAGACGGAGGAGAGATTGCAGGAGGAGGGAGCCGGCGGTTTTGGGTTCGAGGGGGGAGTATGGGGAGTGGGCTGTGTCTTTGCGGAAGCGCTTTTTGGGGGGCTCGGAGGGGTGGTGCTGGCCTGGGGAAATTTCGTTGGCTGTTGCTGCTTCTGCTTTGGATTGGGCTGTCTTGTACTCCTGAGAATGGTGACATTCAGTGGCCGGGAGTGGCGATACAGAATGTTGCAAGGACTCACGGAAGGCGTCATGAGGCGTAGAAGGCACGGCACGCTTAAAAGCTGGTCCTCTGGAGATACGAGACTGAATGCATCGCAGGTTGCCTGTGTCGTATGCGCTCAGGATAAACGCATCGAGAAAGATGGTAAAGTATCTCACCTTGCATACCTCAGCCTCCATGGAGTTCAACACTGCCGCACGGTCCACCATTGCGACCAGCACACCTGGTCTCGAGGCTGCCAAACAAAAGGTACGTCATATGAGCCTTTTCTTACTCAAGACCGAGTGCGCCAACCAGGGCGAATCCTCACCTCGGATCTTCCCCCATACATCCCCCAGCTCTTCTATAACCTCGGCCATCTGCTCTGCGCTGACCCTCTCGATCGCTTTCGCGACGACGAAGTTCGCCACAGGATGAATGGCCAATTTCGCGAGGTTGCCCTTGAAATAGACTGACCAGAGGATGTTGAAGATGGGCGGTGGAGAGCGAAGAACGAGAGTCTCGAGCAGATGAGAAGAGGTGGGATCGCGAAGGAGAGTGGAGAGGAAGTCGGAAGGTTCGGGGATGGCAGTGAGATCGTTCTCTGTGCGTGATGGTGAGGAAATGCCTGATCACAGTATACAGAATGAACGAGACGCGTACTATGAAGAGTAATGAGACCGACTAGGACACGATCCATGAGGGAATCGGGCTCGTCAGCCATACCAGCGTCGGTTTCTACCTCGAGCAACATCTTTAAAAAAATGGTTTATTGGTAAGGCCACTCATAAGTAAGCGGGCATATATAGAAGAGTATAGGAGATACGTACCTGCAACACAGGACTAGCCACCTTGTCGGCAGACAAAGCTCTGACCTCATTCTCTCCCAAGGCATTCCGCACCGCCATGACGATCTTTTTGGCAGCATCACCAAACTTCTTCGGTGTCGCCGTCTTGGTGTTGGAGGACTCCGACAATTTCCCCTTACCATGACTTCCTTTCTCGTCTGTAAGGACAGATTTCATGGGCCCCTGCTTCACTTTCCATGCGGTGCTCTTCTTCGAACGGACGGTGTTTTGGGACTTCTCCGATGTGAATAGGGCAGGGCACAGAAGGACGAGGAGCGAACGTATAACGTGGGATGCGAATTGATCCATGATTAGAGAGGATATTGACGGAAGGATTTCCTACACCGAAGAACGTGTGAGCTGGGGGTGATTTGTTACTGGACGGTAGCCAGTGACCTACCTCGCAGAAGCTGAGTACGAGCTGTGTTAATGTACGAAGTTCACCCTTGTCTTGAGAGTCTTCCACTGCGGGTAGAATGCCCCTTGTCTGTAGTGAATTCTTTAGCAGATTTATGCTTGAACGTGTATCTAGGGACGTACTTCTCGCGAGATGGTGTCTTGGGCCACATCTAACAATGTTTGCACAACATGTGAGGCGAAGCGATGGCGCGCGAGCTGCTCGTAACTAATCCACCCGTCATAAGTCACACAATACAAAACAATGAAGTCTATAAGCACGGATCACTCACGAACCAGCCAAACTGTCCATGAAGACTCTCCTCACGAAGTCATCCATGGAGTAGGTCATGCGCTCCAGGACTCCCGAACAATCTGGATCAGTCGCCAGCTCTCGTTCCTTCCCTGTCATCTCCTGCAACGAAGCAAGCAAAAACATTCTCCTGTCTTCATAAACCAACCACAGGAAACCAGCGACCGTAGGACCGTCAGAATCGTAACGCCACACTGAACAAGTGGAAGAACGTACTCTCATTCGGGTCCACATCCTCATCACCCTCCACAGCCTGCTCCTCATTGTCTTGCCACTCCCTAAGCTGCACATCCACGGTCCTGAAATACGCCTTCACATCCACGTCCACAAATCCGAATGGTGCTTCCGGGTTCTCCTGCGGTGCGTCGCGGTTTGCGGGAACAATCCATGAGGGGCCAGCTTCGGGTTCTTCTTCGTACTGGGTTTCCTCGACTGCAGCCACTTGTTCCTCGGCTGGCTGTTTCTTATGTTTCTTGCCTCTTTTCCTGTTTTCGCGTGGCATTAGAATACACGAACGCGGAGTAGTGGAATTTTTGAAAAGAGAGTTGACGGAAAAGGAAGGACGACCTTTCCGGTCAGCGATCGAAAAGCCAAAATGGCCCCGGGATCCGGCCCGCGGAAATTTCGACTCAGTTGTCAGCTTTGTGGCCCAAACTCACTCATCGCACTCCTCCATCTCCACATCTCTACTTGCTAATCACTCATATACTCATGGCGCCACGGAATTGTGCGCTCTGTAATAATGCGCGGGCTATTGTGAAGAGGCCGAAGACAGGCCAACAGATATGCAAGGATTGCTTTTTCTATGTCTTCGAGACAGAGGTGCATAATACTATCACCGAGGCTAGCTTGTTCAAGCGCGGGGACAAAGTAGCAATCGGTGCTTCAGGAGGGAAGGGTGCGTCTCTTTCACTTCATATGCGGGGAAGTGCGTCTGTTAAAACGAAATGGATTACATGTTCAGACTCCACTGTCTTGGCATATGTGATGAAGACACTGAACGACCGCTATGACTACGGCCTTGAACTTTTCCTTCTATCAATAGACGAGGGCATCACAGGTTATCGAGACGACTCGCTAGAGGTACGCTCTATATCGCATTTTTATACATATTGTTCCAGCGACTTACGCCACACATCCAACTCTTCGAAGACCGTTAAACGCAATCAGCAGCAATACGACATGCCGTTGAAGATCCTCTCCTATGACGAGCTGTATGGGTGGACAATGGACAGAATCGTCTCAACAATAGGCAAGAAGAATAACTGCACGTTCTGTGGCGTATTTAGGAGGCAAGCGTTGGATCGGGGCGCGTCTTCACTCAATGTGGATCACATCGTGACGGGACACAATGCGGATGATATTGCGGAGACAGTCTTGATGAACAGTAAGTTTCCTGTGTTGCTCCATCATTGCAGTCATGGTTTTAAGTTTAATATAACGACCAATAGTCATGAGAGGCGATATTGCAAGGCTGGGACGGTGTACGTTGATATGTACTCAAGGGGAGGATACTATCAAACGGTCAAAGCCTTTCAAGTACGCGTACGAGAAGGAGATTGTTATGTGCGTATTTCCGTCGTCTTTCTATCAGCTCTAACATGTTCACATATTATATTGCGTGTTCTATTCTACCCAGGTATGCGTACTTCAAGAAACTCGACTACTTCTCCACCGAATGCATCTACTCCCCCGATGCTTATCGCGGACACGCACGAGCTTTTCTAAAGGATCTCGAGGCTGCACGACCTAGTGCTATTATTGACATCATCCATTCAGGAGAGGCTTTTGAGGTGAAGGACGAGGTGAAGGCGGCGCAGAAAGCTCAACGTCAGTGAACCATTATTTGGATCGAAATCTTTTGATCTGACGACTGACTATCTGCGGACACGGAATAGAAACATGCAAGCGATGTGGCTACATGTCAAGTAATGACCTCTGTAAAGCTTGTACACTGCTCGAAGGCTTGGAGCGCGGGCTAGCGAACGTTGCGGTCGTACGTACCAAACTTCACCCTTCCCTGATCGATCTATCGTTTACTTTCACCCTTGTGCATGTTCGCAGACAGATCGAGGACGACGAAAGATGGATGCCGAGGGTCCCGCATCCAACGAACTACGGACTATTCCACTCTTCCAGCTACCTGCGGGTACAGCTGCTACAACAATACAGGCGACAACATAGAGGCCTGCGTGGCCAACTGTCTACCACGCATCATGTATCCTGCTGTACGCTGTATTCTCTTGGTTTGTATTCATCGCACACGCCCTGTATCGTTATTGTAATTTCACCCATATCATGCCAGGTCATTTCGTTATCCACGTCTCCTGGCTTAGCTTTCTACGGATATTTATATTGTCTAGTCTTTCGAAGACAAGCCTTGCTAGATCAATTACCGTCAAAACAACCGACATCCACTGTAAATCCTATAACTCGTGCGGATCGTTGTTGTACAATTCAGTCATACAATCCCTTCGACCTTCCCTCTGGTGAGAAATAAAGAGAATAAAGAACTTCGTCGAACATCAACCTCTCACCAGTGCGCTCTGTGTGTCGGGCACTGGTACCCACTTGGGTTCTTGAACAAGTACTCCTGGTGATAATCCTCCGCATCGTACCACTTCTTTGCCTGCTCGATGCTGGTAACGATCTTCTTGCCTACAGGATCGAAGTGTTTCTTCTGGACCTCCTCCGTCACACGTTTTGCGATGGTCTCCTGTTCCGGAGTATTGAAGAAGATAGCGGAGCGATATTCTGAAGATCGTTTGTGTCAACGCAAACATGTGAACAGGAGAGTGTTTGTACTTACGCGTGCCTGTGTCCGCTCCCTGTCTGTTGGCGGTGGTAGGATCGTGTGTTCTGTAAAAGTATTCTACGTCGCGGAGAGATGTCAGTCCACTTACATACCAACTTCTCCAAATCAGGATGTTTACGCACCGACAAGTTCATCATACGATACCTTGCTGGGATCAAATTCAATCCTCAGCGCCTCAGCATGTCCCGTCACTCCAGTGCACACAGTCCTATAGTCCGGCTCCTTGCCCCCCAGTTCCTCCGCATCTTTGCCTCCTGTGTATCCTACAGCAGTCTTGAGAATGCCCTTATCATCCTTGATGGGCCACTGCTTAAGGAAGATATGTTCAACGCCCCAGAAACACCCAGCCGCGAATGTGGCAACTTCGGGAGTGGTAGAGGACATGGTAGACAGGTTGGAGATGCCTTTGTGGATGTTCTGAGGGGTGTAGGGAGCAGCTGAGAAGACAGAAAGAAGACGAGTAATCAGCGCAGACATGCAATGCGGTGGTTCAAGTATAAGTTGCGAAGTGGGAAAGTACAGCCTGAATTCGTGATGTATCCCGACCGAGAAAGATGACGGTGGCGCTCGCCACACAACGCGTCGATTCCGTCATCGGAATCGCCCAAAAGTCTGGGAAAGTATGACATAAGCGTTGACCATTACCCTCGACGCGAATTTTCGTGTAACTTTTTTCTTCATCCTTCCACGATCAAAATCGCCAGTGATGAAAGTTGCAGTGCAGAGCGATGAGCGCAGACCCGAATCTTCCTCTGGAGGAGACGGGTCTGGCGGTGACATCGCCCGTTCGGCACACCTTACCTTGTTACTCAATAGGGACGGGCTAGGACAGCTCTGATGGCGTCCTCCTCTCAAGATTCTCGCGAGAGGAGGGTTGATTTGTGTGGGGATGGGGTCGGGAATTGGATGGGCCTTAGAATGATTGATCTTGGTCTTTGCTTCGCTCTTATTGATGTTATCGTCTGCCTCGCTCTCAAACTGCCATCAGCTGTGCTTCCTCCGCTACTGCGTTTTGTCAATCAAGTGGACTCATACACGATCATCCAGTCGAAATGTATGTTTCTTCCTTCCATCTGCATATCGGCCGCGTCGAATAGAATAACGCTATATTTGTTCGACTCTTTGACTATTGATGTTCAACCCATGTCCACCAAAATCATCGATTGCGTTCGGTTTACTTGACCTCGTGCTGGACCACTCCCTCACTTCCAACAGAATGGTGTGATGATGCTCGAATAACGTGACAAAGCCTTCAAAAAAAATATAACTTCGTTCCGTTCTTCTGATCCAAATCCCATGACATGCCCATATAACTTACTCCACACAAAACTCCCAGCAGTAGGGAATGTTCACTCCGACACTGGCGGCGCCGCACCACTGCCCATCATGACCCGTACACCCTGTAAATTCGCATGTTAGCCTCTTCGTAGTCAACTGAACAAGCGGAGAGCTTACTGGAGAAGACACATCGTCCACTGTCAAGAAGATAGTGGCGGGCCCAGGAGGGTAAACTCGTCCGTTCGGAGGAGTCGTGAACGTCAATTCGGTGCGGTCGCTTGAGAGCGTGGCGTTCATGAAAACTAGGCGGGCACTGGAATGGAACGCATGGCTAGAAAATCCGAGGTCCATCAACGATACTGTCCAGCAAACACAAGTCAGCCGATAGATAAGCAAATTGAATCCGCGATGGACGATGGGGCATGCTGACCTTGCAACGAGCTCGCCGTCAAGTTCGACGGGATCGTCACCGGCACAGTTACTGACGACCCGAATGCCAGCTTTTCCGGCAAACTTCCAATCGTTGGCCTCTCCACGAACATGAACGGTGGGTTCAAGATCTCAACGCGGAATTCCGATGGGAATTTCACGCCTGGGCCAGGAAGTGTTGTGTTCCCGTTCGGGTTGCTGCCCGCGACCAAGAAATTGCCCTGTGGCGTCAATGTGACGCTGGAGTGGTAGACACGAGCGATGTCTGTGGTGGGCATGCCTTCATTGCTGATGCGTTGGCCAAGAGGGAGGTCGGGCGTGTAGATTGAGGGTGTGAGCGCTGGGTGGTCAGAGTTGGAGTTACCGATAGGGTCTGCGACGGTGTGGAGTGCGGCGAAACCAGTCATAGCACCATTGATGATCAGAACCTAGTAAACCAGAGTGTGAAAGCTCAGCGACAAGCATTACTGAAGGTCCTCGCGAAAATGAAGTATACCTGGCCATTGGGGAGATGGACGAGCTCAGGCATCGTCCTCGGCTCCAACATATGTTCAATTTGCCATCCAGCAGCGATGCCTTCGTCCGTCAACATGATGCGGCTGCACTGTGTCGTAGCGGGAGTCTGCGAAGACAGGTTGGCAGGTTGGATGGCGGGGTCAGTGGGTGATCCACCGCAGACGAGGACCTCTGGGACGAAGTCCGGAGGGGAAAGAGGGAGGAGAATAGCACTCCCGTCCATTGGGTTTGTCACTTTTCAAAGAGGAAACAATGGTACATACAGCAGTCAGAATGTGGAAGCAAGTCAAGAAGCCTGAGAGGTACCTTGGACGCCGTTCGGGATATCGGGAAGGATGGTCTCAGTCTGAGCCTCGATATCGTAGATGATAGACTGGTTGCCGCCGACCATGAAGACACGGCCATCCGGAAGAGCGAACACTCTATATCCGATGATTGTCAAACCATTTCTGACCGGGACGTAGAAAACAACCAACCTTGGGAAGAGGTTTGATGGCAGACTCCTCTCTAAGAAAGCCGACGGACGTGGTACACCGTTGTCCTTCGGTGGGAAGAACTCGAACGAGTTAGCAGGGTCGACATTGTAGAAAGCGGCGTTCGTGTGTGTTCCACCTGGTCGAAGTAAGTGAGCGACAAATTTGAGAGAAATGGAAGTTCCAGATATAGCGGACATACCGACGATCATCAGGGAACCGTCAAAGATGCGGAGGGAGCTAGGGTACCATCTCGGTTCGGCGAGGTTGAGAGTCTGGGGATCCTCAAATAGAGTACATCCCGTCCCGTCGGGGCTTGCGCACGGCTCGAAGATGCGAATGGCCGTCGTCCCATTTTCGATCGTGGGGTTACCTGGGAACCCACGAGGATCACCACCAATACTCGCCTGTCCAGAGCAGCAAACACAGAAAAAGGTCAGGTTCCTGCATAAGGGATATATACGAGTGACAGTCAATAGAACTCACCATAGTGCCGTTGCTCAATAGAGCACCAGAAGCGCAGAAGGAGTTTGTTACAACGTTGAGTGGCTGCACCGTGCTGGTCTCGAGATCCCACAGAGCGCCCCATGCCGAGTGATTGTCAATCTGCAGCGGGTCATCGCTCGCCCTGTCGAAGAAAACAACGAGAGTAGGAGAGACGACTATGGCCTCCAATGCCACGATACCAGACGTCGTGTTTTGAAGTTCAAACGTCCATGACGGCTCAGCGATGGCGAGACGAGCTCCGAGAAGAGCAAGAGGCAAGGCACGGCGGAGGGTTGTCCACATCATGTTGTGTGCGACTGGGCAGTGCTGAGTACCAGGGACGTCGTTGGAATGCTTAAGTATTGCGACCGTGAGATCGAATGGGACATAAGTTCGAAAGGTAGCAGAGTGAAAGAGGCCCTCATTGGTCGTATTGATCCAGTGGGGACAACGTTAACTTTTTTGACTGCGTCCTGAGAGTGCGCTCAGCTAATGTCGGAGAGCACCAACGTTCCGCTTGGGTGGGTCCTGCTGAAAATCGCCCTCTTCTGGTAAGAAAGCCGAGCGAACATTTTACCGGGCGGGTATCTAAGAGATCGAGCATGGTGCTTGCCACTATGAGACACCGAAGTCATCTCGTTATCGGCGGTTCCTAGCATAATGATGCAAGAGAATCGTCAAGAGCAGTCTTGGCGAGTCAAAGACGACAATAGAGCGCTATGAGAACAGGCATCTGCGGGACACCGTATGCACAGCGGGCCAAGGCTCGTTTTCGTCCGAGAGTCCGTGTCTACGTCTTTATCCACATAATATCCCAGGAGCGGATGCAGAAATAACAGGAACGTAGGATTTTCAAGGGAAAGAGACATTGCCTCCTCTTTTTTCCCAGAACCTACGGGAGAGATTCACAGGATGGTCTCCACGGCACCCCAAGCTCACCTTGGCCCATAGAACAGCCTTGTGCTGAAAAGAAGAGGTGAGGTAAAGGTGCGAGCTTGGCAGACAAGCTGATGAAGCATTTGGAATTCGTGGCTCCTTCGCCAAAGTATCCAAGGAGGGACGAGCCAGTGAGGCGAGATGTGCGAAGAGCCTGAGTGACATACATGTCCCGCCCACGCCGCACTGGGAGAGGGACTTGTCGCCAGGATATTCGCATCCGACACAGTACTGTGAGTATCTCGTCATAAATAGATGCGAGAGGCAGAAGTTCTGAGTGAGGCAGTTCCGCTCGGTCTAAAAACGAAAGTAAACCTTGAGTGCGTTATATCCTGACCTACTCTGGACTCACCATGATGACCGTTCGGTTTATGGTGAACTCTATCCGCATAAAACCGGACCCGCGGGTTCATCTCTTCTCTTCGCACGCCCCTCCCTCCGAATGGATACGGTGCACATACTGCACGAAAGTGATCAAATTGAACGATAATGCGCACACTGGAGGCAGAAAAGCAAGGACACAGCGGCGGCGTAATCTACAAATACAAATTTGTGGATCTCACGTTCTCCACTCGACCTTCAACCGCCGTAAGAACAGTTTCTCTACCCCCACCTTCTACTTTCCTGATAAACTATATCAAAGAAGAGAAAGAAAAAACCAAAGCAAAAATAGGTCTCAAGGGAAGGGAATGGTGCAGGAGGGAGGGAGGGAACCAGGAAGAGGAGGCAGAGCGGGGATACTAGGCGAGAGTCCGAAATAAGAGTAGACGGCAATAAGGTAGACAAGGAACGTGAAGGTAAGTAAATGTTCGTCAGAGGTGCACAGCAGATCAATACGACATGGATGAGGACAGACGAAAACGGATGGTATGGTATGAATGCTACAACGAAGGCGAGACGTAAGTCCTCAGAACAGGGTATATACAAAGGTAAGAGTAAGGCAGCAAGCTGTAAAACATGCGAAGGAAAGCAATAATAAAAAGTCACGTTCTCTAATACAGAGTTGAGAGGCGGGAACGCGGCTACATCTCATTAGGAGGTCTCGAAGGGGCGACGACCTGACGTAGGATTAGGCGGGTGAAGGGAAGAAGGGGTATCGGGGCCGAGACGATGACGGGGAAAGGTGGACGGGCAACATGTAACGCGGTTACGCATTGGCCACCTAAGCATCAAGCGGGTAGAGGAAGAGAGGAAGAAAGACGATCAGCAAGGACTCAGATGACAACGATAGAGGTAAAGGTCAGAGGGACACATACCGTCAGACCACCGGGGGTATAACCAGCACGTTCGTCCACGCTGGCGGGTGCGCCACCGTAAGCCGTAGCGTTCGAAAGCCGAGATCCCTGCTCAGGTGCAGCCGCGTACGCCAATACGGGGGTGGAGGGCTGGCGTTCCACAGAGTTCGAGGGCGAATGTCTAGTCTCGCTGCTCGCGTTACCGGCGGGCGCCCTTTCAACTGGCGTGTAAGAAGCCTCTTCGCTGCTCTGGGCCTGCCCCGGGTAAAGAGCCGGGGCTGGGAGGGGTTTCTCTGACGCGATGTTGACGAATTGGGGGCCGGTGGACGCGAAGTTCAACTGGGGAAGCACGGGAGCACTGTATGGAGCGATAGGGTTGGGAGGGGATGCAGCGCGGGCGGGGTCGTATGCTACAGCGGGAGAACGGGGAGGAGCGGGAGCGGGATATGCTTGGTTTTGGGCAGGAATGTTGTACCCCTGATACGCCTGGTTTCCTCCATAGCCCGGGTAGCCGTTCTGGGTCATTTGCTGCTGCTGACCGTAGGCGGGGCCGTTGGAATACCGGTTGGTGGGCATTGCAGCGCCATATCCAGGCTGACCGTGAGTGCCGTCGCTACCATTGTGGATAGAGCCCTGGGCAGTGCTACCGGTACTGTAGCGTGCGGGCCAAGCGCCACCAGTGGTACCGTCCTTCTCTCCATAGTGGTCGGTCGTAGGTTCGAAGGAGACCACTTCGTCGATCTCCCTATCGAGCCGTTTGCGGCTGCGACGGCGAATAAACATCGTCCCGATGATGACGAGTATAACGAACCCGATGATACCTACGACGGCGAAGACACCACTCGAGAGGGATTTGTTCTCGAGGAAAGAAGTGGCGACCTGCGGAGAGCTCGAGGCGGTTGGCGTCGCTTGAACCACGGACGTCAGGGTAACGACTTGGCCCTGGGAGCTTGTGACGATGATCGACTCGGAAGACGGGCTAGCGGTAGGGGTGATAGTGGCTGAGGAGTCAGCCACAGTGGAAGATGGGGATGAAGAGGTGGATGGTGTAGTAGACGTGCTACTCAACGTGCTACTCGAGGAGCTGGTCAAGGAGCTACTCGATGAAGTACTGGACGTTGTACTCTGCGTACTACTCGACGATGAACTGGAGGTGGTGGAGGCAGTCGTAAGAGACGTGGTAGACGACGTAGTAGATGTAGTTGTAGCAACACTACAAGTCAAAAAGCATGTGCAGCGAAATGTAAGAACCATCAAAGCAGCCAAATATTTACAACCGACCATCGGAGGAATGAGAAACTTACGAGGATGTAGTCGACGCAGTCGAGCTAGTGACAGGATTCAAGGCACTCGTGAGGCCACTGAGCAGACCCCCGTTGCTGCTGGTAGTCGTCGCGGTCGTTGAGCCGGCGTCGCTGCAGAAATCCGTTCATATCAGTCTGCGAATCATCTGAGATGATGTGCTCCTTACCCATCGAGAGCAGAGCCCACTACAGAAAAGTCAGCTTCCGGTGTTCAACGAAGCAAGGAAGGAGGAAGTCTCACAGCCGTCAAGGAGTCCACGGCGTTCGACGTCAAGGACGGCCATTGGGTGCAAGTACAGAAAAGAGATTAAAGAACGTGTAACTCGAGCTTACGCCGAGACTAGGTTTTGAGGATGTCCGAAACGCAATGGCGGGTGGCGATGAGGACGAGGATGCGGAGGGTGAGTTGGTGAGGGTACTGGGGAAAGAGGATAAAAGAAGGGTCGGAAAGGGGATCATGCGTTGAAAGGAGGGTCCGATGTGTTCCCACTCCACCAGTGGGCAAGACAATATGGCCGACATCTTCTGTCCGCGTCTTGTTGACAACGCAACGCCGCCAATGACGAGGCTAACAGCTGGCAGGAACACGTGCTCCGGAACAATTGTGCTTCTTCCGTCGCCTCCGTCGCCGCCGATCATCCCCGATAATGCGTCCGTCCATGTGGCACTCCCGAAGTCCACAATGCCCGCTCCGTGTGGCGGTGTCTAATCAGTCAAACAATGGATTCTCCAAGAATAAAAAGAAAAACAGAACGGCTACAGTAGCGGGGGAAATACGGACAATGGTATGCAATACATCAACTTCTCAGTAGCGTTGTCCAGCGTGACGCTCCATCATATCCCGCAATGGTCCCAGCAAGCGAGTGAAGGCCTGCGCGTCCAACGCCGCAACCTTTAACTTCGGCAAAGTCTGATCCTCTCGATACACGGCGCTCACCGTCGCCGCACGCGGTGCGAGCTTTAAAAGAGCCAGTTCTGGGGGACAAAGTGTATTAGTTCGTGTGCCAAGGACCGGCAGCGCGTAGCCGGAAGGTTACCAAGGTAAATACTGACCTCCAAAGTACTCTCCTCGGGCAAGCGTCCCGACTTCAACATGTCTCACCTCCCCATCTTCCCCATCCTGCTGAACCTTCGTGACAACAGCAGCCCCTTCCTCGACAAAGAAGAACGTGTGGCCCATTTCTCCTTCCCTCACCACCGGTTCTCCGTCCTGGTATATCTCGCTAACCAAAGCATCCGCAACCTTGCTCCGTTCCGTGTCCGATAGAGACGAAAGCAGCGGTACCGAGGACAGGAACTGCTCGTACATCGTCCGTCTGCGATGGGCAGCCTTCAGGATGATGGTCCGGAAGGTAACCCGGTCGAGTGACCAGACCGTGGAGTCCTCCATCGCCACCAAGCTCGCCGCCCGGGGTGCACCGTACATCAATGCCAGCTCTCCGAACGAACCCCCAGGCTCGTACACCACCTCCACCGGCGGCCCAAATAACGTGGACATGTCTGCATTGTCCACGTCAATCTTGCGAGGTCTTCGATCGAAGTTGGCGGGCAGAGGTTCGGGGTGGACGAAGCAATGGAAGAGACCAGACTCGACGACGTAGAACCATTCGCCCATCTCGCCCTGCAATATGATGACCTCTCCCTTCGGGACATGCACCTCGCGCATGGCATCGAATGCTCCCCTCTCCTGTTCTTCGTCCAGCTCACTAAACAGAATGTTCGGTCTCGAAAGGATGGAGGCTCTGATCCGTGAGAGTTGCTCGTCCGTCTTTGGGAAGACGGGGAGCGGGCTGCCTGACGGGGTGTCGACATCAATTGGCTCTGCGCTGATGGACGTACGACGACCGAAGATGCCAGCAGGAGCGAGGTAGGAACCTGGACCTGGTGGTTGCATTGGTGTAGCACGATCGTGTGGCGGGAAGGGGTCGTCGTCGAATTGGAACGCTGGGAGTGGCCCGTCGACGACGGTGGTGGGGTCGGGCATGCCATCGCTCGAGAACATAGGTCGTCCGGTCACACTGCGAGCACTATAAGTGTTCGGTGCGATAGGATCGTGTTGCACAGACGCTCGCCGGGTGGCTTCGAAGGGGTCGGTGAATATGGCGTTGCCGTGAGGATTGGAGAGGAGAGAGCCATTGCTGAGGCTGCTGCTGATGGGGATGTCGACGAGATGGTCGATAGGGAGTGAAGGATGACGGGCGAGTGTATCACGAAGGCGAGCTCGTTGCTCTTCGAGACGGGATTGGAACCAGGACGAGCAGAACTGGAGAGCGTCTTTTGGCTGGACCCTTGTCGCGTCCCTCGTGAGGTCCGCTATGAGAGCCTCAAACGTGGAGGACATGATCTTGACTGAAAGCGGTTAGCGTGTTATGAAGTGTTGCTGTTGTGCTATCTAGCAGCTTTCGACGTTGGATGACGATGAATGGTCGTGAGATGGTCGTGAGCGCGCTGCAATCTTCTTCCTGCCAGACATGGACGGAGATATATAGAGTCAGAGGAAGACCTAACCAAGTAGCTCAGCCACAGCGCCATTATCCCGCGTCCTTTCACGTCCAAAACGGTAAAATGGACCGTCCAATGGAACTCCGAAGCGGTAAGGGCAATGATACATACACCGAATGAAACAATAATTACTACACTCCGACCCTTTCACGAAAGCAAGAACACTAAGCAAACGAGTTCATTCGTCCACCCAATCACCCTCGACGACCCGCTCAACGTACTCTTTCACCCACCCAGGACGCCTGTCGTGTGCAGCAACTATCTCCACCCTCGCCCTCTCTCTGGCCGCTGCCCGCACATCTTCCTCGCCGCCTTCACCACCTTCGCTCTGAGGCGAAGACGCCGGTGGGGCCACTCGTGCATTTGCCTCAGTCTTAATCCGCCCCTCTCGCTGCCTCAGTGCAGTCCTCCGCCGATTCCATATCTCCGGGTACAAAGTCAACGCCATCAGCACGAAGAAAGACCTTACTCGGTGCCCTATCGTTGGCTTCGTCGCTGGAGTTCCCCTCGAATCTAATGCTGCCGCCTCGCTCCGCAGATTGATCTTTGCGAGATAGTCAACGATGGGATCCGACTGTTCCCGTAACCAATGGAACGGAGAGTCTCTCGTGCCTGCCCTTCCAGCACCACCTCTTCTCAGCCTATCCTGCTGAGCCACCTGTCTGTCTCCATTACCGAAGCCTGCTGCCCCACCCGCCCCATCAGCGTTCGCACCATCCCGTGCTGCGCGATCACGCCCCTCGTTCTCCTCCGGATCCCTCAAAATGACATTATAGATTGTCAAAGCGGCATCGAGAATGAGATACAGCCCGAGGAGGATGCTGATGACTGGGTTCTGGAACGGTGAGAAGAAGAGCATGAGGAAGGATAGTCGGAATGCTAAGGCAAGCATCGGTGTGAGGAGCGCTCGCAGGGGGATGATACGAATCTCGGGCACCATACGAATCTCGGGCATCGCAGCATGCTCTGGCTGGACGTGTAATTGCGGAAGACCGAGTTGCTGGAGATGAGCGTTGAGAATGCCAGGCGGCATTTGGAAGGATTGTGATGGTGGGGAAATCGAATGCGGGGGCACAATGTTGAACGGAATCGAGAGTAACGGAAAGGTATGGGATAGCACATTGAGCGCGTGCACTTGAAGTGGAGTCGGGGTAGCCGAATCATCGACAAGTTGTAGATAATCCTGCCCACTATGAGAGAAATTGAGTGATCATGGAATTGGACGTGGTATAGTGAGACGTACTCTATTCGAGTTCGTTGATAAGTGACGCCCTTATCACTCTCACGGTGCGGGGGCCACAATTCATCGAATATTGCAGGCCACGAATAGCCGTGCTGGGCGAGTATGACCTTGGCCTGTTGCTTGAGGAACTCGAGATAGTCAGCGGTCACCGATGCGGAGATGTGGCCTGTGGTAAGTGCTGAGAGGGCATTCTGGTGTTTCATCGAGATATAGGGTAACGGGGTAGATGTGGGCATCATCGGTGGTTGACCATAGCGAGATGAACTTTGAAGTACAGTGACCCAAGATGGTCGCGATGGAGTGCTCTGTGCTCTCCGCGTGAATTGCAGGGGAGAAGGCCCCGGCAGAGTAGGCCTAGTAGAGGGAGCAGGAGAATTCTGCGGTATAGAAGACGGTTCGGTGGGACTGGTGGTCCATGACGTGGGACCCACGGCGAGCAGAACGACAGGAATATCATTTGGGTTCTGTGCGTATTAATGTGGATTAGAGAAGGTCAGCAAAGCTAGTAGAAGAAATTGCACCTTCCAAATATCCTCGACGCGTTCGTGGTCTGCCAGAAGCCTCCCTCGACAGAGCAACCGCTGACCATCCACACGAGGAGCCCCTGGGCAGGTAGAGAAGATAGCGTGCTTCACATCAAGCACGGTACAAGAAGACAAAACGTGAACATGGAAAGTGCGGGAGTATGTAGGTAGTTCTACCCTGATCTCTACGATCGACATGGAGAGAGCGACGGTGAAGGACTGAAAGAATGGCTGAGAGCAGAAGAGGGGGAACAATGGGTGGCGGATCGGAGTCGCGTCAACGCTACGTGGAAGTTCGCTCCGGTCCGGCGAGGTCCGGGTCTGTTGCGTCAGTCCCGGTATTTTGGCGCCGGACTTTCAATTTTGGTCGTTGCCTTTGCGCGGCCACGACGTTGCTTCCCCTGCTCTTCTTCGCACCACCGCGTCCTCCCTAGTGTCGCCCGTTCATCCCCCATCGCGCAATCAAGCATACATTCTCCCTCTAAACGCACCTGCCTACTCGCGCCGTCACTTCATCGACATTGTCTGATTGTACGGAGTCTTCTACCTCAGACTATTCGATCACACTGTCAATAAGTTTTCACTTCCCACCACTCGACGATTCTTGCTAAGACGTGAATACCGAACATGAGCCGCCATCATCCGTACGCGACGCCCTATGATGCACCGCCTCGTAGAGGTGATTTTTCCGGTCCCGGCCCCGACAGATCACACCGCTATGATGGAAGACCCCCGCGAGGAAGAGGATTTGGTGGACGTGGCAGAGGTCGTGCTTCCTACGGCGGTGGTTATGATGCTGGTGGTCACTCGGCATATGATCAAGCGCCTCCCCAGGGAGAGCCGTATTACGACTCTGGTCCTAGTCAAGACTATTATCAGACCGTACCTTATGGAGCTTCCTCTCAGTACCCACCCGGAGAACACAGTCAAAGCAACTATGGTTATGAAGGTACGCTTGACTACTGAGTTTGAACATTTTGAGGCCATCTCGCATGAAAGAGCGAATATCTTCTTCCTTTCTTTGCCCTGGGCGCTTGACTTTCATGCTTCGTCTGGAACATTCAGAGAAGGCCATCTTCAGTTGCCCGCGCGCGCGGCCCCGCCATGGTTGCTTTCATCGTTCACCTGATGTCAATAAAGATCTTAAGCAGCTTAAGTGCGTCACAGTCAGGAAGTGCTTTTCAATAAATTTTCACTAAATTCTCAGCATCATGGCGGCTCCGCGCCATTAACGTCTCTTGTCAGTCCCCTGGTTCTCGGTCATTAAATGAGAAATCATGTCTGGCGCGAACGGGTCAAAGGAAAGCACTTTCAATCCTCACCTCGGTGATACAGCTTTCCACTGAGGCCTGAGATTGCAAAAGACGTACTGAGTTCTTGAAGCAGTGACGGATTGACGCACCGTGGACAACATGATCTGCCGTTACGCGTCTTTTCCTTTTACGTTTTTGAACCTCATCATCTCATCCTATCTCCGTAAATCCACCATTCTGAATTGTTTCCGTCACCACTGTATCAGGTCCCGGCTATGACAACGCACCCGGAAGTCGCCCCCCAAGGCGCGGCCCACGCCGAGAAAGAGACGATAAAGTGCATGACTCGATAATCGAAGAACGCATTCAACGCGAGAGGCCCTGCCGCACGCTGTTCATACGTAACATCAAGGCAAGTTCGAAATACAGCGCTTTGAGTCGGCGCGCATTTTGAGTCCGGTCGAGCTAAGTGTTTATTGCTTGCAGTACGAGACGAACAGCGATGAGGTCCGAAGACAGTTCGAGGAACATGGTCAGATTAAAACCTTCTTTGACCTGATTGCGAACCGTGGTATGGTCTTCGTCACATTCGTAAGTTTTTGAGTGCCATGATCTGTCACCGACTCAAAGCTTTCCTTTAGTACGATTTGCGCGCGGCCGAGAGGGCAAGGGAACGGTTACAAGGATCCGAAATTAGTGGTAGACCTGTGAGTCGCCATGGTATCTATAGCGTAGACTTTGAGTCGCGCTGACACGTTCGTAGATCGATGTTCACTACTCGCTGCCCAGAGACGACTCGCAGAAGGGCGGCACACAAAACCAAGTAAGCTCTCGCTACCCCGACTACTGTTCCTGTGACTGAGTGCCGTAACACCCATCAAGGAAATGCAAGGCGCCCTCCTCGTGACCCTCCGCAACTCTCCCTCTGGCCAACCAATCGATGAAGGCGAAGTTCGCCGCAAGTTCCAGCAATTCGGCGATGTCAAGTCCGTGAGGCCTGCCGGCGACCGTCCGGATCAATGCTACGTCGAATTCTTCGATATCAGGGTATGCACGAAATATTTGATCATTATCTTGCTCAGAGCCTAACTCTGCTTTGGATCTCCAGTCTGCGGAAGAAGCTTACGGACGGTTACGGCATCAAAGCCTGCAGGATGGGACGGTCGATATCATGCTGGCGTGGGATGAAACCGCGAATCCTGTTCCTCACAGTGGTGGTGGTGGCGGTGGCGGTGGCGGTGGTGGCCGGTGAGTGCCTTACAACTATTCACCGTCTCGCTTGCTGAACGCCTCCATACAGGCGTGACGACCGAGAGAACTTCAGAGGAGGCCAGGATTATGACGATCGTGGATTCCGAGGAGGCAGAGGGCGTGGGCGTGGCCGCGGCCGAGGCGGATACGGTGGTGGTGGCGGCTACGATGACGATCGTCGGGGAGGAAGCGACGGTGGTGGTTACTGGGAAGAAGACAGGGACCGGCCTCCTCCGAGGAGATATAAAGAGGAGTATAGAGGAGGAGGGAGGGGAGGCCGTGGAAGCTATGGCGGCGATAGATTCGATAGTCGCAACGGTGGTGGCTACGGTGGTGGAGACGGCTATGGTCCTCCGCCCGGTCCTGGTGGACCATACGGTGGGCCTCCTCCTATGGCTCCGGTGAGTCTTGGGCTACCTCTTGGATGAACTATATCGAAGCTGACATCGTTCGTATAGCCGCCCGTCGATGAACGTCTTGACCAAGCACGAAAAGTCCAACAAGTAAGATCACTTCTAAGTCATTACAGCAGGACGTGATCATTGACTACACCCTTACACTAGCTCCTTGCAGCCCTGAAACAACCCCAAGGAGGTCCAGGAGGACCTCCCTCATCTGGACCACCCCACGGAGGACCTCCAGGCCCAGGCTACTACTCAACACCTCCCAACTCTGCCGGACCAGGCGGCATGCCACCTTACGGCTCTGGTCCACCTCCCGTACCGGGAGGCTACCCATCTATGCTCCCTGGTCCTGGTCATCCCCCCTCGAATGGAGCAACACCCTTACCCGGTGGCCCTCCCAACTCGCAAGCCCTCTCCGGCCTGCCTCCTAACCTCCTGGCGTTATTGCAGAACGCTCAAGCAGCCCAACACCCAGGGTCTTCGGGTCCATCGCATGCACAGGGTATGCCACCTCCGCCTTCTTCTATGGGTGGAGGACCGCCTGGGCCGGGAGGGTATGGGATGCCGCCGCCAGGTGGAGGGCCTGGTGGTCCGCCTGGACCTATGAGCTATCCGCCGCCGCCTAATGGAAATGCGGGTGCGCCTCCTGGAGATTATGGGCAGTTGATGTCGTACTTGGTGAGTCTTTCTCTCCAGATTTATTGGAGGTTGTCGGTATCGGATGGGTGCTAATCTCGAGTCTCGTAGAATGCTGCGAAGAGGAACTGAAGGTGGTTATATGACAGGTTAACGAGATGCTGTCGAGACGAGCACATAGGCGGATGTATATGCTGGCTTCAAAAGTATGCGGGCTGGTGTCACTTGGTGCCACCGGTTTTGTGAATACGAACTTTTCCCTCTATTAGTGCCTATTCTGTCCTGTGTCTCTGCATGCATATACGCGAAGCAGGGAGTGAACCCCCCGAATGCCACCGCTAAAACGGCTATTTGGTAGATCGATTAGAGACTCTAATGTTCACCTAGGGGTTGGGATTGTATGACACCGAGCCGAAGAGACGCTCACAAGAGAGCCAAATACGATCACCCGTCTTTCCCAAGTCACTCAGCATGAACCGTGTAGCATTATACATATTCTACACCCTGCTTTATCCATCCCTCTATTCGTACGTGACAAAGGTCTTTATTCCAGGTTCTCAGGAGAGCTCGATCGTCCTTCCCTCCTTCGAACTCTTATGCGCCAACTCAATCACTTCGATTGCACCCGCAGACTGCTCCCACTTCACCTCTTGCTCTGCGGTCCCTCGGATCGTAGCAGCGAGATTCTTGAACAGATTCACGTATGCACCTGGCTCTTTCGACGGCCACCTACGGCGACAAAAAGTGAAGTAAAGATCGCAGATACAATGGCAGCGATCAGTCATCAACTTGGCAGCGGATAAAAGGATACTCACGTAGATTTCACAACGGACCCGTCCTCCCTCAAACTGTGTAACTCGCCCCACATCGATTCCGGTTCGGCCCCGAAATCAGCCTCGAAGATGGATTCGGCTTTGGGCATGACTCGTAGTCTGTCTTCTTGCCTATCGAGGCCGTATTTGAGGTAGGTACCCTTGGTGCCACGAACGATGAAACGAGGTTGAGAAGTGCGGACGGAGAGGATGTGTGCGCGGAGGATGGCGGTGAAGGGGTGTGGGGAGACGGCGCCGGCTGGGTAGCGCAGAGTGATAGTGAACTGTGTCAAGGAACACAAAGTCGTAGTTAGCTAGATGTTATGGTAGATGACGGAGAATATCACGAACAGAGTCATCGACGGCGGGGTTTCCAACGCCTCGGATGTTCTCGATGAAAGCGGTCACGGACTTCGGTCTACCAAAAAGTGTGAGGGCTTGATCGATGAGGTGGGCACCGAGGTCGAATGTCTGTCCCGCTGCAGGCTTGGGTTCGTCTTTCCACGTACCCTTGAGCGAGGCTCGGTAGCGATCAAAACTTTACATTTGTACGGATTTCTAATTAGTATAGAGGAAACTCATGAGACGGATAAGAAAACAAGACCTACTGAGACTCAAACTCAACAAGATCTCCAAGAGATTCTGGGGAAGATTTGGGGAGGCTGAGGAGACTACGAAGGGCGAGATAGTCGGAGTCGTAGCGACGATTTTGGAATGGGAAAATGACAAGGCCTTTGGATTTTGCGAGAGCCCCGAGCTCCTGTGCTTCTTTAAAATTGGAGGTGATAGGCTTATCGACTAGCACTACACCCTGCGTGAGTCTCGCCAAAATCCAATGTTACGGGAGTGTATTCACTGACCATTCTTCCCGGCCTCCAACGCTGCCTTCGCAAAAGCATAATGCGTCTCGTTGGGCGTACCCACGATAATCAATTCGATCTCAGGATCGGCGAGTACATCCTCGAGAGACCTGTGAATCTTGACGGTAGCACCAAACCGTTCCTTGACCTTGCCACCTTCCGAGGTGGGGTTGCGTTCGAGAACAGCGTAGAGAGTGAAGACTTCAGGTAGAGCGAGGATGAAGGGGACGTGGAAGGCGAGACCAGCAAGGCCGACGCCGAGTACACAGGTTTTGACGGGTGAAGACATGGTTTGGACTGAGACGGTAGGGGAGAAAGTAACGAAAGGAACTCGGTTTACGAAGCTGCTGACTCTTATACAATGTTGCTATTGCAATTATCGGGGATGTGTGGCGGAGAGAGCAGAGTGTGGCCCAGATCAGCCCAGGTGGCCTTCGATGATCGACGCCGGTGCGGGAACCTTACGCCGCGCCAAGCCCAAATCCTTGTTGGTCGCGAGCCAAACTGGCGTTCCCTGTTCAACCCCACACGTTCGCCGAACACGAGTTTGCAAGCTCTCTCCTTCCAACCCTCTGCACAACGTACACGACCCTCTACTACCACAGCTCTTTAGTGCTTCGAGTGAAACACATGCTCCCATATGTTATTCATGTCCTAGTCATAGTGCTTCTTGTTCCACAAAATGCTATCGCTCAGCTTTCTCTTCCAAGTTCTCCTTGGCTGCCGCCGAACGCTTCTTCCGGTGCCGTGCCATCGACCACAGACAGGTCTCCCAACCCACAATGGATAACTCTCTTAGGAGATCTCATATATTTCTATGAAGAACAACGCAGCGGAACATTACCCAGCACGAATCGAGTGTCATGGAGGAATAGTAGTGCGGTCGACGATGGAGAGGACGTCGGGCTCGATTTAAGCGGTGGTTATTATGACGCTGGAGGTATGGAACAAGGTGTTAACCACTTTGTAGAGGTATTATATGCTGATGGTTCTTCCTGTAAGATTATATCAAAGCTACTTTTCCTTTGGTACGCTGTTCACGTCCTCAAAAGACACCATTACCAACTCACACGAAATTAGGCTTTCACAGCCATGTCAATTTGCTGGGGTGCAAACGATTTCGGCCAAGGCAAGCTGCTGCAAAGCATGGATCAAAGCTCGCGCTGACATTTTTTTCAGGGTACGATTTAGCAAACCAGACTGCCTACCTCGATGACATGATCAGATGGACTATGGACTGGCTGATGAAGGTTTGTCAGCTATGAGCGTTCACAGGCAGTATTCATCATTCATGCAACCGCTTATAGGCTCACCCCTCGAATAATACACTCTATGTGCAAGTAGCGGATGGTAATTTGGCCATTCATGTTGACTGTGTCGTTTTATCTGACGCAACACACTTCGCTACCTTCACAGGGAACTTGGATGATGCGTATTGGGGTGGCGATCTAGGCATCCCTACACCAAGACCTTCCTACCAGATCAATGACACTGCCCCAGGTGCCATTATATTTTCTGTACCACCCACCCAATCGTTGGTTGACCATCCTCATTGTCTAGGTACCGACGCAGCTGCAGGGACTGCAGCAGCTTTCTCCGCTTGTTCCGCCCTCTACGCCAACCGTGCATTGGGTGGCACTTCTTCCAACACTACCAACACCACCACGAGTCCTTTCTCCGCTCCTGCATCATTACAAAACTCAACGTATGCTACACTCCTCCTCTCGCACGCCGAAGCCTTGCACGAATTCGCGACAAACGCCACTGCCGGCCTCCAAACTTATCAAACTTCCGTCCCAGAAGCTGGTACAGCCTACGCTTCATCTTCCTACGGCGACGAACTCGCCATCTCTGCACTCATGCTTGCATGGGCGTCCAATTCGAGCGACAGGTACGAAGAGGCGGTGGGTTATTGGCAAGATTACGGCCTCAGCGGGCAGGATCAAGTGTTCAACTGGGACTCGAAGGGTCCAGGGTTTGCGGTGTTAGCGACTCAGTTGTCGTTAGTAGAGCCGGGGCTAGTGGGAAATCTGACGGGGTGGCAGTCAGAGGCCGAGAGCTATTTTGATACGATTGTGAATGGAACTGGAAGAAGTAGTCAGACGGATGGTAAGCTTCCGTCTCATCGAATTACGAACTCGCGCCTGAACACAGCTTTTTCTCGGATGATTTTAATATTCAGGTGGTCTGCTATGGTATCCTGGCGATTCGGACGAGGTGTCTCTGAACCCAGCGTTGAACGCAGCCATGTTGTTGGCGCGTTATGCACCAATTGCATCAACAGACGACAAAAAGACATCATACCTGGTGCGTGGCTTGGGCGCACTCTTCTTCATGAGGTGTATCTCAACGATGTCTCTAGAATTTTGCAAATCAACAGCTGAACTATGTTCTCGGAAAGAATCCCATGAACGGTATGTTCGATCCCCTACCTTTTTACCTCTGTCTAGATATATCTTTCGCTCAACTTCCTTCACTCACAGCTCCCTACATTGTCGGAACGAACCCGAACGCGCCGGCGAATCCTCACAGCGCGATGGCAAGCGGAGGCAACGACATCTCAAATATCGATACAGACCCTGAGACAGAAGCCTATGTCTTGTACGGAGCAGTCGTCGGCGGCCCTGATCCTTCAGACAAGTTCTGGGATATCCGAAGTGATTGGGTGGAGACTGAAGTACGTCCTTTCACCATGTTCATCCATCCATGCTGCCCTCTTCTTATTCTAATTGGTGGTACTGTAGGTTGCGCTGGACTACAACGCTCCCATGCTCACCCTCGCAGCGTGGCATGTCCTCAACGACTCCTCGGACCCCTTCTATACCTCCCTCGCAGCCGGGTCCTACTCGCGGCCAAAAGGCTCGCCATGCGACGCTGCGCTCCCTTGTCCTATACCGCCTCTATCGTGGAAAGGGAAAGTTGGGATGGGAGTCGCCATTGGGGTTGTCGGACTTGTCATCGTGGGGTTGACTCTGTATTTACTGATCGCCGGGAGGAGGAATAAGGTTGGTTGAGGACTTATGAACTATGTTTTGGTCTTCATATCATGACTACTCGACTTGCTTTGTTTAATGTTTTGTTGTGTTATACCGAGCTAAAGCATGTATAATGGCTACGATGCTCCGAGGATGTGGTTGTAGACATCTATACACACCTACTAATGGAAGGGCTACGAGACATTTGGCTACGAAGCACCTTGATGGACACTATTGCCTTTTTGTAATGCTATACGTGATCATCTTCGATGAGAGAATACTTTCAAAGCAAGTGCTCTCGATAAGACGCAGAGCGTATCCATAGAATAACTGATAAAACGAACGATAAATCCCGACAAAACTTTACAAACTAGCAAACCACACGCTATAGCCTAGTACACCTCCAGCACATACCTCTCCTCCTCCTTCAACCCCTCCAAGAACTCACCCGCAGTCTCCGCCGTCATATCATGATGCTTCACCAAAGCGTTCACCAACGCCTCGTACACATCCGGCACCGGCCACGTAGGACCACAGAGGTAGAACACACCCTCCTCCTTGCGAAGCATACGGGCGAGGTCTTCCGCGTCTTCGAGCATCTTGTGTTGGATGTAAACTTTCTTCGGGCCGTCACGGGAGAAGGCGAGGCCAGCCTTGGTGATGACCCCATCTTCGATGAAGGCTTCGAGCTAGGATGAAAGGGAGCGATGGAGGTCAGCGTATGATCAAAGGGCAAGAGAGTCAGGAGGATATAGAAAGAGAAAAAGGGATCAGTTGGCTGTTCTTAGTATTTTTGTTTATGGATTTCCGCATAATGTGCTCGGAATCATGGTATGGTTCACATCATATAAAAGTGCAGGGACGTATGATAACGAAGTTGGATCAAGTAGACTTACCTCCTCTCCGTAGAGATATTCCTGCGACTGGTACCTAGAACCGAAATAGTAGTATACGGGGCCGACGGGAACGCCTTGGGTGACGAGCATGGCTCGGTGTTGGAGGAAGGCGCGGAAGGGTGCAGCACCCGTGCCAAGACCGGCCATGATGAGGGGTTGCAGGTTATCCGGGGGCAACTGTAAGAACGGTCAGTACCGGGGATAGGAAAATATGGATACGACGGAACGAACCTTCATGACACTGGGCTTGAGAGAGACAGTGACCTTCTGGCCAATCTTGAGGCCGGAAAGGTAACGAGTACACTGACCGTAGCGAGGAGAGCCTGGATGTGAGACAAGGTCAGAGGACTATACAGCTCAAGGAGAAGGGACGACGTACCAGAAGGCGTCACCCAGTCGACGGACACGATGAGCAAGTCCACACGATCGCCCACGACGCTCTGCGCACTAGCGATACTGTAATGTCTCGGCTTGATATCCCCAATCAGCTCACAAAGCACCTCAATCCCGGGCCTCGCGCTCGCATACCGCTTCAAAACATCCGCAAACGTGACCGTGTCCTTTTCCGACAACTTCTTGAAAGTCGAGTTGCCCTCGGGAGCACCGATGAACTGCAGGGCGAGCTTGTCGGTCTTCAGCGCGGCGTGTTCGGAGAGATCTGCGTAGAACGACTTGGGAGGTTTGCCGAAGAGGTCGATCTGTTGCTGCATGGCCTGGAAGACGGTACGTGTGTGGTACTGAGTGTCTGAGCCAAGGACAGGGATGGTGATGAGACGGTTGGGGTCGACGCCATACCAAGAGCAGAAGTCGAGAACCTCCTGTTCGTCATTCCATCCGTGAATACCAAGCGCCTCGCCGATCGAGTACTTCAGCCCAGTACCGGAGGTGTCGAACTCGAGGTGGAAAACGTTTCGGTCGTATTCCAATGGAGTGAGGCGACGGTTGACGGTGCAAGTAACGAGATATGTGCGATCCGGGAGGTCGGGGCGAAGGTTGGGTATTTGCGGGTACTCCTCGCCTGGGGCAGCATCAGGAGCAGGAGGAGTGAAAGCATTGGAGAACATCAAATGCTTCGCAGCATCGTGCCACGAGACGAGCTTCGCACCATTCACGATCGTGTCTCCATCGTCTGTAGAGACAGCGATGGCGTTGAACTCGAAGTTCTTCAAGTCCAACTCGCGCGTGTCGTCGGAGGATTCAGTAGCGGTGGAGAAGTCAACTTCAGCAAGAGCAGCCCAAGCATGGGCATTGACCTTTGACAGGTCGACTGTCTGGACGTTCTCTCCGTAGATAGTACGAGCAACCTTCTCGACCGCCGCCTGGGTAGCCGCTTGACCGAGGTACAAACGAAGGAATGCGAGGTGAACGACAACGCTCTGCAAATTGTCGAATGTAGAAGCGCCTTCACCAAGAAGCTGGGTGGCGACCTCCTTGGTATTAATGATGCAGAAACGAAGCCCTCGTTCCTTGATGAGCGCGACGACGTCCCAATGAAGGTTGGAGATCAGTTCCGGAGCGGTCCACGACGTAGCGACTAGAACGGGTGAACCAGGTTTGGCATGCTCCAGGACCGAATGAGATCTGAGCAAGTTATGGTCGAGAACGGCCAGGAAGTTGGAGACGCCCTCGCTTCCCGGGGTGACGGGTAGAGCGGTTGGTAGTGGGACGAAGTCAGCGACACTGTCCTTTGGTGCAAGAAGTATACGATCCACGGTAACGCCACCTGCTCTAGAGAAGACATCGTGCTCTGTGAGAAGGCGGGCTGAGATGGAGGACGCCTCCGCAAAAGTATTCTGCACAAGTTGAGAGACGTTGGACAGAGCCGCGCCAGGGGAGTTGAAGAACAAGAGCTTTGTCGTCTTCGGCGCGTCCAGCGAAGGCCCGGATGGAAGGACCACAGGGACGAAGCTGGAGAGGAATTGGATGAAAGATGCGGGCTTGTTCACGTACTCCAAGGCGTTGGCCGGTGAGATCGGTTGAGTATGGACGGTCGGACCCGTGCTGATGGGATCGAAGAGGGTACTGAGGACGGAAAAGTGGAGGAAACCTTGGCCGCCGTTCGCCACATCGTCCAAAACATGGACGCGCTTGACCGAAGAGGGGAGGACTGCCTTGAAAGCAGCCTCATCCCACGGGCGAAGAACGCGAACGGTCAACACGCCCAATCCCGAGGTACGCTTTGCGATGGCCTTGGCCGCCAAAGAGAGCGGGCCGTTCAACGCGACTAGAACAGTCTCCGCGTCCTCGGCACCGCTGTAGTCGAAGAACTCGTAGCCCGCCTCCGACAGGACATCCCGGACGCTGGCACCGACGGCACCTTTGGCAGGTGTGGCGGGAACCTGGAGCTCGCCGTGCTCGCGAGCGGAACTATGGTGGTCAAAGAGATGGATGGCATGAGTGGGGAGCTTGTAGGCAGCCGCAGCTAAATCGACGGATTCTTGAGGGGTAGCGGAGAGAATAACGGTGAAGGTCTCCGGAAGAACAGAGAGCGACGGGTTCAGGGCCGCGAGGGTGGAAGAGAGCGCAAATTTCTCCCCGACAGGGGTGACGGTAGGAACCTGGATAATGAGTCTGCTGGTGGGCGTCGGTGCGGGCAGGTACATGAGCGATGGAATCATGCCCGCCAACCCAGTCGGAGTTGTGTAGGATGTGAGGACTGAGCCATTGGCAGCATCCTTGCTGGTGCTCTACAATAAACAACCCAGGCATAAATTTCCTGTATTTTCGGAGGAAATGAAATTTTGAAAATTTATAGACCTACCTGAGAAAGCCTGCCGACCAAGCTAAGACCAGCACCTGCCCTGGTCTGAAGAGATACAACAGGTGCAGTCTGGTCATCGGAGTGCGACCAAGACTCTGTCAAGGAGCCGAAGCCTGCCTGCAATGCGAGGTCATAAATGAAGACGGCAGAGGCAGTGGCCGAACGGGAAGAGATGAGCTCGACGATGTCCGACGCAGCGTGCAGGGATTTCTGTGCGTTTCGTAAATCAGATTTAGGAGAGGGGGTAGGATTTTCGATGGCCATCGTCGTCGTCGGAGAGGAAAACGAAGAAACTCGACATTTTTGGTTGGATGATAAAAAGCGACGAAAAATTCGGAATGAGAAGGATGACCGTCGATTGCACCATTCTTTCGCGGCCCTCCCTCGTGTTTGAACGGGCATTGCCGCTGAGCGGGTGTGGCACCAGTCGCCACTCATTCTATCTGCTCAATCTTCTTGATTCTCGGCCGACTCACAGCACACAAGTACATCTGAAGCTACAGCAGGTGTATACACTACAGACAGAGTCCACATTTACCCCAAAAGAAATCTCATGCCTTCGTCATCATTACGCGTCCCGGAGCGTGTTGTTGAGACGGTCACCCTATGGAACGTCCATTAGCCATCATCATATCATGAACAGGCAATAAACACGCACAGTGTCACCCAGCCCTGGTGAAATCAACCCTTGCTCAGTCAACAGCGGGTCGACCCCAGCGACCCAGATCTACAATGACCGTCAGTATCTCCTACCTCCTACTTGAGCGAGCGGAACGCTTACCTCGACGTCTGGGAATTGCGCCTGGACGTGCTTCAGGCCGTCCTCCGAGGCAAGCACACACAACAGCTTGATTTTTGAGACTGGTAAAGCAATGGAAATTAGCATACACATTTCTTTGCATAATAGAAGGAAGAACGCACGAGGAACGCCCCATTCGACAATCATGTGTAACGCAGACAGTGCCGTTCCTCCAGTGGCGATCAACGGATCCAAGATCCAACACTCATCGATAGGCGGCTCGCTGGGCAGCTTCGAGTAGTCTATTATGAAAGCGTCCGCCGGATGAGCATATCCCTGATGGCTACAATGAAGATGACGGGTGCCTTGAGCTTTGGACTTACATTCTACGGGCTGGAGGGTGACTTTCTCGCGATAGAGGCCGAGGTGGTAGACTGGTGCATCACTTATATGCCAACGAAGGTCAATGACATGACCGGACAATTTTTTACGAAATACGCACGGGTAGAGTTCCAACAAGGCTTCAGTCATACCAAGACCTGCACGGAGGATAGGGGTAAGGCCGATTCTGGGCGTGATGACCGTGCCAGTGAATGTGGCGATAGGTGATTTCTGAACATGACGGTGGTAAGTACACTTCGTCGCTGAGCTAGTGCGATGAGCTAGACGTACCCCTTCATACGGAGCAGTCTCGAGTCCACGGCTGGCCTCATAGCCTAGCATAGAAGCGATAGCATGGATGCCCTATACAAACACACATATCCGACAAGTCGTCGATGAGATGACGATCCGATTATAAGTCAAGCAAGAACGCACCTCACGAAACTCTTTCGCCGATGTCGAGGTCAGCCTCAGCTTCGACAACCTGGCGCTCACGAGCGGGTGCGAGAGGACATGGACTTTGCTAGACATAGTGTTTTAGTTCAAAGTTTTGAAACTGTAAGGCCGTTTGTGTTACAAGTGGGCGACGTGGAAGATAGGATAGGCTAGCACCCGGTCAAATGCGAGGCGATGGCGAGGCGAGGAGTGTGGTAGGGGGTAGGGTGGCGAGACGATAAGAGGGAGACTTTGAACATAATAGCGCTCAAGGGGTTTTAAGTCATTCGCCTTGCGGGAACCGTCCCGCCTACGGCCTGTCTTCCGTCGTCGGCTCTGCCGTCGAGCGCAACAAGTCCGACGACTTGACTCGAGACCGAATGTAGACATCTGTAGTACTCAGTGTTATCAGTGAAAAGTTAGGCCAAGCGGAGCGGGACTGGATCAATTATTCGCGCCACATTCCGTTGCCTCGGCCTTGGACCACAACGGCAATACATTTTTATTCTATCTTATTCTCGATCAAGTCCAACAAACACAACACTGGTAAAGCAACTAGCTATCGTACATCCTTCTACACATGGCGATATCCGACAGAGGGGAGAAGACCGCTGGGAGTTGGTTCAATACCGAGAAGACGGAAAGATCCCTGGACCATCTCTACACCCTAATCTCGCGGAAGATCACTGTTAGGATGCCACATCTCAAGGCACAGCACAAATTATAAAACTCACTTCGTGAACCATCCTCCGTAACGCCTAAGCACTCTCTCTTGAGGTCAGTGGCACTCCAGCCTCTTCGTCCCCAACTTCCGCTTCAATCCTCGAGGCATTCGCTGTTCCGTTTCCTGGTCCGTTACTGCCCACGGTATCCTCACTATCTCGAAAGCCACTCTCATCGACCGACCATTGGCCAATTTCATCGAGAGTCCGTAGCGGGCCGCCGATATTTCCTAATAGCCTGCTAGTCTTATCGGGAGCGAACTCAATGCCGGTGAGTTGGCCTGTTCGGCGAGACGATGAGTCCGGATCCGGGGCAGTGTGCCAGGCTTTGAGATTGAGGTATAAACGATTTACGAGGATATTGGGAAGGCTGTAAAAATAGATGAGAATTGGCAAGATCAACGTGCTGAGCACGGAATCAAGTGTCAGTGATGATGGGGTTCGACGGGTGTTGAACGTACGCATTATATAGGGGTGTGAGTAGCAGGAAGAAGTTTGACGTTAATCCCGTAGGCTGTGTCGTCGAACGAGATCAGTACAGGCCAAAAAAAAACAGCAGGTAGAATAATTCACTTACGGCATTATCGTGTGTCATTGAATACAATTGTGTTCCTGTTACAGCGATGGCAATCAAGAACGAGAAGCTAACCGCGCGGGGCCACCTCAGTCTCATCCGTTCCGGAAGATGAATAGGGATACCCACAAGAAATACAATGTGCCTGTATAGTAGAGTAATTAGAGAGTGTGGCAGAAGTTGAGAATCGAACTGACCGTCGCGTAACAGAAGGTGGGTGATACTCGACTCCCCCATCAATCGCATCTGGCGAGCATGCTGGTACGTCTTCCTCAGCGTCATGGCGAATATGAGACCATCGAACAGGAGTTCCGTCACCACGACTGTGAACTGTACTACAAATATCACCCAAATTCAGCTTGCTGTTCTCGCAATCATGTCCTTGAATACTTACTTCTGAACTCAGCACACGTATTAGTAAAACAAATTGAATGTCATATGGCTGTGAACGCACCGTGAAAACAATTCGAGCTGCGAGTCCAGTCTTGTAGCGAAGACGCATACCGATACAGTATCATCCGGAATCCCAGTCTGGAGTATATCGTTTGTGGCCACGCCCACAGCCAGTGACAAAGACCACTAACAATGTCCGAGGCATGAATAAAGCATACGAGGAAGTGGGGAAGGAGGCGTACTATGGATTGCACCTGTGCGCCGATGGTGATCACCACTAGTACGACGAGCACCGTCAATGACCTCTCGTATAGAACGTACACCCGAAACACGAAAAGGCCTGTTGGCAGATAAGAGTAAGCTTTTCACCGTAAGACATATACGGCCTGAATGGTCAGACAACTCACAAGAGGTACATAACGAAGCAATAGTCTGAAATGTCAAGGGAGCGTAGAAGAAGTCATGGCAGCTGCGTGGCCAGGAAGTAAGCAACGAGGATGGCATGCCTAAGGAAGACGTATGATCGAACCAATCACTTACAACGATTCAGTCCGGCCGGGAAGTAGCAGCATGATAGTCTGACCGACACAACTGAAGAAAAAACTGTATCTGTTGACGAGATACAACACCGACATCACGTTCCATGGCTGAAGCCAGACGATGGGTATCTCCATCGTCCAGAACGTGAGGTTATATTCGTATATCCATATCGCTGGCGAGGACAGAACCGTTAGCAATCATGGATCAACAAAGGAGGTTCAGGTTAGTGCTCACCAGTGGCTGCCAGAACGATGTAATTGGCAAGTTGGCTGTGTACCAAGAATCAACGAATAAGTACTGGCCATAAGTCAACAAAAAAACATTCATACTCACGATGTCTCGAAACTCAACACCAGCTCCTGCAGACTAAGTTCCGAGTCCGACATGCGAGCTGACGTTGTCAGAGGTCGATGGGTCTTAGCGCAGGGGGATCTTTCCCATACCCCTCTTTTATTTCCAGTGCACAGCGTTGGCACCCCTGTCATCGCAGGGAAGGAACTTCTCTTTGAGCTATCGGCGAAATCCCTACAGCGGACGGTAAGCAGCAAAGACTGGTATGTTTCCTTAAGGACATATGTTCATAAAAGATACGGTTCCACCTATCTCTGGGCGCCGAGTCTAAGCGCCCCCAGGGCCACTCATCCCGCCGCCCGTGTCCTCTCCGTAAGTTTCTGAACTTTCTATCACAGGGTATCTATGTGTGCGGTATGCGTTAGATTGTATTTTGACCGACGAAGCTGCTCGGTGAATGCAGCCATGGTAGCACAGCAAGATTGACAAAAAGCAGTCCTGAGCATGTCGACAGAACGCCGAGATGATATCTCGTATTGTAAGTAGGCGGTCTCGATCACATGAGGCTCTGAAACAGGGCAAGATATTCATCGTGCCTTCGTGTATGCTGTAGACCTTTGATGAGAACTGTGATAAACTTAAAGGATGATACCTGATGGCAAGGGGCAGACGAAAAAGATAGAAAAGGTTCGGTGCCGGTACCTTGCAGTGCGAACAGCTTATGCATTTCAATTGGCATGGAGAAATATCGCTGTTGGTTCGTCGACCACATATATTGTGCAATGCATTCGCAGAGGGAACCCGAAAACGGGCAGAGGGAGCATAGTGAGAAGCACAGAAGCTACCGTCGTTTGTACTCGCAAGGCTTCAAGATCTGACCTTGCTGGAGGAGCTTCTCCCATTCACTATCTGGCTTCGGTTTTCGGGCGATCTTCTTGAAGTCGAACAGTGTGAAATGAGAGTTGCTATCATCCTGAAGAACCATGTCGGATTAAAGGTCAGATCATATGCAGCTTTTACGATGAAAGAATAGAGTTCGAAAAACCTACATGAGTTTTCAGACGAAACCCGAATGACGAGACAAATGACTTGAACCGCTCGACATCAGTGAAACGGCTGGAGACCTCGGCGATCTTGAGTTCCCCACTGCACGGAGGAGTGTGAGCCACACGCTAGATCCTTGCAGAAAAAAAGGCTTACTCAGGACGAAGAACCCTCCAGGCCTCCCGGATACAGTTTGGCCAGTTCGTGCCCATCAAACTGAGAGCGCATACGACCACGTCACAGACATGGCCATGTCCTTCGGTTTTGTTTACCTCACTGTTATCACCCGCGACCTCCGAGCCAGGTAACGGGAGCCGTCCAAAAATATCGGCCTCGAGGACGAAGACGCCGTCGCCAACAAGGTCAAAAGAAAGGACGGTGAATCCTTGAGGGATGAGAGCTTGAGCTAGTGCAGCATCACCACACCCAAGGTCTGCGATGACGCTCTTCGGAGGATACGAAGCCAATGTCGCGATATAATGTGAGACAGGATTCGAAGGCCAAGATTCGACTTGGTGACGAAAGCCCTTGTGATACTGATGGAGCAGACGTTATATTGAGTGGGACTGGATGATACATATGAACTCACCTCGTCGAAAACGTTCTTGTCTTCTCTCATCATCTTGTGTGCGCTCTCACTATCCGACTTGTACAGCACCTCGTTGATCCATCTGTCTCACAGCTGTCAGCGGAACTACACCATGGTAAAATGTAACACCAAGATAAAAGGTAACTCACCTGAAACGTGCACCGTCTAGACCGCTCTTCATGTTACTTTGAAGTGCTGTCAACCCTCCATTCGATTTCTGTGGCGCATTCTTCTTTTTCGAAGGCGTAGGAGGTGTGCTCGTCGGCGAAGAGGCGGGAGCTTTGCCTTTCTTCGAGGACTTGTTTTTCTGTGGCGGCGGGGATACAGCAGCGTGTGGACGTTCCTGCGACTCCTTTTCCTGATGCCCTGTCTGTTGCTTTGCGACAGACTTCCCATGGTCAGCCTTGTCACCACCTCGTGCCCTCTTGTTTTTCTTGTTGGACTTTGTTCGAGGAGAGTCTGATGTCTTGGAATCGTCCGTGTGCAGCTTCTTCATGAGTTTTTCGAAGTTGACCTCCGCCCCTTGGAGTTTGTCTGCATCGTCGGGCTGAGGCCGCTTGCGTTTTCGCGAGTTGGAGTCTAGAGCAGGCTTGGTGGGCACAGACCATCCAGGAACCTCAAAGAAAGACATAGTCAAGGTAATAGTGTTCAGCAAAACAGGAAATCAAAGTTAGCAAAGACAGACTGAGGTTCATCCCACGGTTCTCACGCCACGACTTCTCCGCCACCTCAACTGTCACCACCTCCCCGTTCGATGTGCCGAAATAATACTACCCATTCCTTCAACTCCTTGCTCACATGCCTTTACTGCGTATTCGTGTCACCTTTGTGAGCTTTTGTTTACCTCTAGGCTCCGTCGATTATGAAATATCAACTCATCGTGGACTATTTTGATGGAATTACTGCCTCACTTCGCCTTTCGATCTCTGCGTCAAAGTCATATCGAAGGTTAAATGGCGGATCGCACGAGCATTTTATTATAATCTGCAGAACTTATATGGGTCCCAGTGCCGTCCATAAATAAGGCCCTCGCCTTCATGTTGTTCACAACGGACCTCGACCTCCCCCGAAATGCCTTCCGCCGTGCGCCACCTTCTCTCCTATATCTGGTCGATATCCATTGCTGAACTCTTTTTAGGCCTTCTTGACTTCTCCAAAAGTGAATGGTCGTGGTTCCGCACTAGTCCTAGGCGCACTTGATGTGAGCTCAACTTCCCTTTCTCCGTCCACCAAGCTCTAACATTGTCTGTAGGATGAAACGCACTTGCTCAACGATAAACCTAAGGATGGCCATAATCGGGTTCACGAACTCAGAACAGCTCCAGTTCTTTCGCGCGAGGCCTTCAACACCAGTGTCATGAAGGATGCAATCGGGCAACATGGCGTCCTCGGATCTATGCAGAAGCTGCAGCAAGTCTTCGACTGTTCCTATCCGGTTGTACTTATTGTCGGGCTAACTACGATTCCAGTCATGCCAGCGGTGTCTACTCCACTCCAGATGACCCTTCGTTCTATCTGAACACTGTGAGTTTATCTCTCCACACCAACTTGAACTGCCCGCACTGAGTCCGCGATAGAATACGCCCTTCTCCGCCGTCGTCTGTGGCCTCCAAGGCGCAGGGAAATCCCACACCGTCTCAGTAATGCTAGAGACAATGTTCATCCCCGCTTGTCCCGCCGTCGGCTCCCTCACGAACCCTTTATCTGGCCTCGTACTGCACTTTGGCGAGACAGGTTCCTGTGCCAAACCCTGCGAAGCAGCGTTTCTATCCATCAGCTCATTCCCGGAGGTCCAAACGCCCAAAATCCACGTATATGTCTCTCCCTCTTCCTTGGATAAAATGACAAGACTCTACGCCAGTCTCGGAGGCCAAATCGTGGTGGAGCCTCTTTACTTCTCCGAATCAGAGCTCGATGCACAGGCGTTTCTGTCCATGATGGCCATCGGCTCCTCCGACTCAGCGCCATTGTATATGCAGACCGTACTTGTATGTTCTCCTTCACCCTACTTACGCCTTCGTGGCTAATTTCAACCCCATTTTCACAGGCTATTCTACGCAACATGGGCGAAAAGTACACCTACAAAGCCTTCATGGACGAGCTCGAGATCAAAAAGAAGGATCTGAACCCCGCGCAATTAGGGAGCCTCAAACAGAGGTTAGACCTGCTCCAGACCTTCACTCGAAAGAAGAAGAAAAGCCCAACGGCAGAGGCTCGCTTCGCGGGTGGGCAGATCACCATCATCGACCTCTCCGATCCGTTCATTGATCCTGCTGCGGCTTGTGGGCTTTTCGAGATCATCATCCGGTTGTTTGAGCGTGCGGATGTGGGCACTGGAAAGGTCCTTGTCGTGGATGAAGCGCACAAAGTATGTTCTAGTTTGACTTCTTCCACGAAATTTCCTGACATTATGTTACTTAACTGATATCGCTGTAGTACCTCTCGCAGACAAAAACATCTTCGGGCCTGACAAATGCCCTGCTCTCACTTATCCGCCAACAACGACATATGGCCATGCGCGTCATCGTCAGCACACAGGGTACGTTTCTCATTAGGGACCCTAGCCGCCATTGAGTCCGTACTGAATTTACGCTCACAGAACCCACCGTCATCCCTTCCGTGTTCATCGACCTATGTAGCGTAGTGATCCTACACCGGTTCTCCTCTTCGACTTGGTGGGGACACCTCACGAAACACGTCTCTGCTGACTTCTCACAGCAAGACGGGTTCGATCGAGTCGTTAATTTGAAGGTAAGCATCCGCTCGTGCACAACAGCCTATCGAAGTTTGCATGTTACGATAACTTCGACTCACGACATCTACGTATTCAGACAGGTGAAGCGATTCTCCTCGCGCCATCAGGCCTCGTGACAGTCCCTTCGACCTCGGACAAGGATTCCAACAAAGATATCGCTCAAATCGGCCGCGGATACATCGTGATGACGACCCGAAGGCGAGTGACGACAGACGGAGGAGCATCTATACTCGCCGTTGCATAGCCGTAAAAATACCATTTTCTTCGAGGAAGTGTTCGAATCCGCTTTTGCTAGTATCATGTTCTTGTTATTCGCAGCCGTTTCTTGTCAATCGAAAGGCTGATATCCAGACTACAATATGTGGTACTGCGTATAGCGCTATCAAAACACGAATGATACACAACTCATATACAAGTAAGACCACGAGTACAAGGACGAAAGACCGGACTTGTCGGTCATGGAGGAACCGACTCAAACTGGAAGCTGAGACGAAACGGACGAGATCGGAAGCGAAGATGTGTATGAGCGAGAACCAAAAGAAAAAATGTCGTGTGCGTGCGGGAATAACAATTATTTGAACGGACGGGAGAAAGGCGAAGATCCGAAGGCGGGGAGTGGAAAAAGGTAAGAACGCAGGAGGAAGCAAGGAAGAGGGAACAGTAAAGTCGGTGTCCATGACGTTGGGTGGCCTACTACATTGGATGGCCCGTATGGACAGTATGGAAACATATGGGAGCGGGGAGACGAGGGGGAGACAATGGAAGAGTGAGATATGAAATGCGATGCCCGAGAGAAGATGGCACGAAGATGATGGGCCAGGAGAGCTAGCTCCCTGTAGCTCAACCGGTATTTAGCCGCGCAGCGACTCTGAACGAAAGAGAGGGCTGAGTTCCTCAATTCCTTCGTCGGAAAACAACGACGGCTGCGACGAGATCCAAAGTGAAAAAAGGTGAACAAGGATGGGTAAGGAAACATATAAGCTAAGAAATCTCAACGGTTTACATCCTCATCGGACTTTGCGGCGCGTCGATCGTATCATTGTTTACGACCTGCCTCGCCAACGGACTCGGTTCCATCTGCCCCCTAGGCCCGCCCCTATTGTGTCGCCTTCCGAGCAACGTCGCACCGTCCAACGTCAAGTCGAAAGCACCTCCATGCGTGCGTTTCGGCGCATCGCGCTGTCCGGCCCGTCCATCGTACACTTCATTCTGTCCTTGACTTCTCGCCGCCTGTTGTTGCTGACGCTGATGATTCTCGTGGTCAGATAGTTCGTCATCCTCGTCATCCTCTTCGTTGAGTCCCTGGAGGAAACCAGCTTGACCAGCCCCACCACGACCCTTGTATGCTCGTCTCCGGGCGCCCTCTTCCTCCATCCTGTGCACAGCGTAGGTAATATCGAACGCCTCCTTGAGCGTAGCGATACCGGGTGACCGTACGTCGCGACCACCTCCTCGGGCGGCCTGCAACAGAGGAGAGTCCAAGGGAGCGGCGCGGGGTGTAGGAGGAGGCGGTGGGGCTGGGGCGGCGTTGCACCAGGGGTGTGCGAGGAACTCGTCGATGGTATATCGCTGGGCCGGATCCACACAGAGTAGGTGAGTAATCAGGTCCTTGGCTGAAATACGATTGTCAGTGTGGAAGTCTACAGGAAACGAGATTCTGAACAAACCTGTGGAGCTGATATCATCCCACCACGGACTGAGGAAGGTGTAATAACCACGGGCAACTTTCTCGGTGAGGACGTTGATGCTTTCGTCGTAAAAGGGAGGGAAACCGCAGAGAAGGGTATACAGAACGCAACCCATGGCCCACATGTCGACGCTCTTCGAATACCGCTCGTCCTTGACGATTTCTGGAGCGGTGTAGCCGACCGTCCCACATGGCGTCATTGTCTCCTCATTCCAAACGACCTTGGAGAGGCCGAAATCTGCGATCTTGACTCGGCCAATTCCTCCTCCTCCGACGCCGGGTATAAACTCGCCCTCATCTTCCTTCTCCTCGTCATATTGCCTCTGTACTGGGTGTTTAGAGGGTATGATTGGTATCCGGTCGAAAAGCAGGTTCTCGGGCTTGATGTCGCTACAAGCATAAATTAGGTGTGAACTGAGCGGTGGAGCGCTGATCCAACCTACCGGTGAACGACGCCACGCTCCTCATGGAGGTACCGGATACCATGCGCCACCTGCAGGATGACGTGCCGTGCGAGGTTCTCACTGAAGTAGGTTAGTTTAACGATCTGGTGGAATAGCTCGCCGCCTTCCATGACTAAGCAGGAGGGTACAAAATCAGAAGCTGCTGGATACTCTGCCAGCGGGCAACTCACGCTCAAGGACGAGGAAGTAGTGTTCTGGCGATTCTGAGAACGAGATAAGTTTGACAATGCCCGGGTGACTTGTTGTGCGCATGATTTGAACCTCTGAAAAAGGTATCGAATGTGGTCAGCAACCACACTTGCTGGAAAAGAGATAACTGGTTCAACCTTTGAGGATATTTGCGCGCTAAAAACAGGATAAACCCCGTCAGCAACCGACGAGGAGGTAAAGGTTTAAAAATCGAGAAAAAAAGAAAGAACGACGAAAAAAAGAAGTGCACTGCACCTCTGTGACGCGGGGGCGTTTCTTAAACTGAGGATTTAGATGTTTGTCGCCAGCCTGTATAGAGTAATGTCGTATAGTACGAGTACGGGACGTACAGTAAGGGGAGCGGAATCAGCGTGGAAGAAGATATACAGTAAAAGAGAAAGAGACAAGGAAACAAATGCTAACCTGAGATGATGTCAGTTCGTACTTGCGAACGACCTTAACTAGTAGCAGCAGGAGGCGTGAGCGTTAATCGAAGAGTGCAAAATGAAGAATGGGCATACCGGCGACTTTCTTTCCGGTCTGAGCATCTACGGCCTTGTAGACATTGGAAAATGCACCGCTGGAAGAGGGACGTCAGCTATGAGGATCATGTCGTCATCGAGATGGATGGGGCGGACGTACTCTCCCATCTTGTCGACGAGCTTGAAGCGCTCGAGTCCCTTGTAGACCGGCATCTTCTCCTTTCCGGCGCGTTCCTCCTGCACTATTTGTTCGATTTCTTTCGAGTATTGTTGAGCCGTGCTGGACGACTTTTGCGCAGCAATGACGGGAACATTGGCGGCTTGCTGCTGTTGTACTTTCTCAGCCTGAGCACGGTCCTGCTGGCGGGTCTGCGACTGCGGTGTAGACTGACTCGTACGCGGCGTTGGCTCTGCCGATGTGCGTGAGGATGTTGAATCTCGCGTTGAAGAGACCGTCGAGGGGGGTACGGAAAACTCGTCTTGTCTGTGGTTGTGGGCCCTTCCATGGCGGATAAGGTCTGAAGCGAGTAAAGATGAGTGTACAGAGGAACGGTGAGCGCAGGGTGCGTGCTCACTCTTGAAGGCGTCGACGACGGTACCGGGAGGCATGGCGGGCTGGTGGTTGTGGATGAGGTGCGTGAAGGATGGTGTGGGCAGAGGGAAGGCGCGCCGGTGCGGGAAGATTCTGAGAAGATGGCTGACCGCGTTCCTGTCTCCTTTTCATCCTCCGACTGACGTCATTTTTTCGTACGTCATCTCCACTTCGCCGCGTTCGGCCCTCTCCGAGTCCACTCCATCCCTCGTCGTTCCTGCCCTCGCTGTCCATCTTCTGCCCTTGAGTACTTCATTCAGGCCCTTCATATCTCCAGGAGTAAAACCACTGACCTTCCACAGACATCTTTTTGGTATACGTTCTGTCACCTACCGGACGTGTTTAGCAGACGAATTTGTGCTCTAAATCCGTCACCAACTCTCCACTGATGTGCACTCCATAAGATCAAACGCTAGGCAAGACCTGGACATACATCCATAACTACCGCACAGCTCCGCTAGGCGCCTCAATTTCCTGAGTAAGCAGTGTCTGCCCAAGTTATGCCTCGAAGAATGATCCCATCCCCCGACGACGAGCCGAATGAGCTCATCATCCATTGAGAACACTCGCACCAACTGCTGTAACGCAGCACCACGATCAGTAGTGAATAATGTATTGCGTCTGGAACATACTATACTCCTACACCTCTAGTACATCATGCATTCCAAGGTCCTTGTGCCGCTACGAAAGTCCTAGCTCCTCGATCTACTACTGCGCCTACTCCCACCCTCGCTCCCTTCTGCCCTCTCTCTCGTCGAAGACCTCGTCCGCGTCCTCGTAGGCTGACCGGGGCTCCCAACACTCGCAGTTGCGTTCCTCATCCCAGCCGGAGGCGCAGGTAACGACGACCGAAGCGCCCTCCGGCCGCCCTGTCGTCCGTACGCATGTGGGCTGTTAGACCCTCCCCGTTCCTCTCCCACCCAGCTAACCGCCCTTCTTCGCGACTCCAACCCTTGGCCTGACGTGCTTGGAGTGGCTGTCACCCCGCGTTCGACGTCCTGGTGTGGTGAGGAGCCGGAGTATGACCAAATGTCGTCGTCCCGCGGAGGAGTGTGTACGAGGAGCAGCCGCTATAATAAACGAACCGAACAGAACCTGTCAGCTCTACGTCCCGTGAAATGGCAACGGGCAATTATAGATCAAAGAAGGAGGAGCATTGGTAGCGATGCGAACCAAAGCCTCCGCCAATCACAAAGCGAGCTCCCTGATAATAAACAGACTCGAACCGAACTGTGAAAAAACGTACCTGCGCAGGCGAAATTCCCACCAAACTGATCGCCGAATGTCTCGTCCTCAGCACGGGCATACTCCCGACCGCTCCAACATCGAGTTCCTCCCCTTCCATCAAATCGAACACACCCATAATCCCCTTCCTCCTCCCCATACTTCCCGTCCTCTGCCTCCTCCCATAGCTACTCGCCACGCTCCCAGGCGCGGTTTGCCCTGCGCCCGCACCCGCACCCGCACCACCATCCGCCCCAGCCCCCCTTCCAACGGCCATCGATATCTCCAACTCCGCACCCCCTTCCTCAGCCAGTCGATCCCCGTCTTCCGCTCCAGAAGCAGGCGCAGTCCTCGATCTGGAATTATTTGACGCGCTCCTCGACGACGACGACGAATTCGGGTCCCAAGCGATGACCCACACGCCGGCGAAGGTGGCTCCACACCCGTAGACGAACGTCACGAACTGGTGGAACTGCGCTTTTTCGAAATCGCGGTAGAGGATGGCGGAGCCTGTTATCGCGGAGAGGTTGAAGAGGACGAATTGGATCGGGATGACGACCTGTGGGTGTGTGGTGTTGATATGAGTGTGATACGGTGGTGCGGGATGTGCAATTAATGAATTTGGGGGGGTAAGACGGAGTTCCACAGAAAAGAAAGTAATGGTCAACTCAGTGAACGAGGGTGAAATTGTGTTAGAGAAGTATTGTGCGCACTTTCGCGTCGAATCGCATGAGTGCACGATTAAGATACTTGATTTGACCGACTCCAGTACCTATCAAGACCTGTTACAAATGTGTCGTACCCATATTTAGATCTTTCAGTAACTTCGCTGAAATGATAGTTGTTTTGCATACCGCAAGGATAGGATACGTTATCCATTCCGTGAAGATTTTTATCCACTCCATCGTGAGCAGTGTCGATACGCCCTTGGTCGCCAATACTGTAAATCCACCTGTGCAAATATGACCAAAATATATACACAACCGAGTCAGTCAAATGCATAGAGACCAAAAGTGCCTCCCGAGTACTAGACATACCGAATAGAGCACACAATCCAACGTCCACAAACACATACTGCCTCCCTAACCGTCCCCTCGACAGGCCAGCAAGGACGACCGCAGCCGTGACGTATACGAGGGAATATACGAGGAATGCACGTTGAGAGATAGCTTTGATGAGGCCGGAAGGTGAAAGGCGGGTTTCGGAGGTGTTGGAGGAGAGGACGACCGTGATTGCACCGATTATGGCGAGAGTTATGCCGAATAGGTCGCGCTGTGTACGCGAGTTTGATTCAAGGAGGTAAGACGTGAACTTATGACAGGAGTTATGAGCGGACGGTGGAAAATAGAGTCCGTACCTTACGGAAACGTTCTTTGAGGATGAGAGGAGCGAAGACGCAATTCGCTATCAGAGCGAACTATCGAGAAGATGCATCAGAGCATGATTTTGAAGAATGGGTAACATTATATGTTCAACACATACTGTTCCGAGTGGGGCTACGATAGACGCAGGCGCGTACGCGTAGGAGATGAAGTTGCCACATTCACCAATGTTCATGAGCAAGAAGCCGCACCACCTAGACACGCACAGAACAGTTAACATAAGATTACAGAGTCGGTACTTTGAACGGGATAGAATAAAGACATACCAGAGCTTTGATTTTAGGTATCTCGATTCTGATTCCCTACCCTCCTCATTCATAACATTCCCGTTCTCACCTTCCTCTTCATGATCCTCAAGCAGAGGATCCTCTTCACCTACCGTCTTCAATCTCTCATGCGTCTCTCCGTTCCCATTCACTGCTTTAACTTTCCGTGTCGGCCTCCACCTCAACAAAGTTCTCAATCCCTTCCTAGCCTGTCCCCTTCCACCTTCATCAGCATCATGACCATTTGACGCAACACTGACATTTTCGGTAGGAACTTCAGTGACGATGGCACCGTACGAGCGGTGTCCATTTTGGGGCTGAATGGGAGGCGTGGCCAGGGGCGAAGGCACGACCGAAACGGCAGGAAATGGTTGTGAATTGATGTCGACGTCCGCATTCGTTATAGTGCCCGGTTGAAGGTGAGACGGCAGCGGTGAGAGTGTCAACGATGCAGTCGAAGGTGGCGACTTCCAAGCTTCCGACTCTCTAAACAACAACTCATCAACACTCCGTCTCTCTTCCTCCTCATTCCCAGCCCTATCTCGATCATCAACGTCATCCCTCCTCACAGCTCTTTCAGTCCTCACACTACTCCCCTCACTAGCCCCATCCACACCGTCACCCTCATCTTCTTCACCATCACCATCTAGCTCCATCCCATTAGCATGTTCCTCAGCCCAGGGGTTCCGCTCCTCCCATTCCCTCTCCAACCTCCGATGCGCCAGCTTCTGTAGGTTCAACGCCAGACTAATGAGCATATTGCCAGCGATTGCGGCACTGATACCCGCGACGGTGCTTCTAGAGAGATTAGGGAATCCGAATCCCGCGCCAATATCTTCCAGGCCCGAGAAAATGTGCCAGGATGTCGAGTTCATTAGTTCGGGGAAGGGAGCGCGAGTGCTATTGCTATTGCCGATTATCAGGTTCATAGCATTAGAAAGAGGCGACATCGTAGCTCGTCAATCTACGAGCTCGGACAAGAGCTCGACTATAACCGGAGTAGACTAGCGGGTATAGGTATGTAGACTGCAGGGAAAGGACAAGGGAAGGATAGATAACCCGAGGCAGGAACGGAGGAGCAAGCATGCAAAGCGCGGTTGCAGGAACGTTTGCGTCTGCCAAATAGCCGGTCCATGACATTATGACCGTCATTGCCTCCGTTTACAGAACAACGCCATACGACGGGAACATGGCGATCGGGAATCATGTTCTGGTCCGTCGCGACTCGCCGAGCGTGACGTCGACGACGTGGACGCGCCTTCCCTCACAACAACAGGCCAACAACACTAACCTTCGCTTCTGCACATAACTGCAACATAGTCTCTCTGCTCTCGTGCAGAATAATCGGTTATTGAACTAGATGCGCGCCCGACATGTAGCCCATGCGCTCGCGAGCTTCCCCGTCTATTCCGCTGCGTTTCTCTCGCCGTATGAGCTCGTTCTCGGCGGCGGAGGTGGTACGACGAAGAGTGGTATCAAGAATAAGTTGGTAGGTCCCTTCCATACTCCATTGACGTGTCTATGGTCCAGATGCTGATTCTGTGCCGTTTAACGTTGCTTGAATGACGCGATAGAGGCTCTACGCGATGGATGAGACTCTCAACCTGAAGCTCGTAGACGAGACCGAACTCGGGAGTGGCGAGGACGCGCCGATGAGCATGGCTGCACATCCAGAGGTATATACCATCTGTTATCCTACAGTTATGATCTGCAATGTCTCTAACGCGTCGAGAAGGAACGGAAAGTGGTGTGTGGCGTGAATAGCGCGGTGGACAAGGTCCAGAAGGGGGAGAATCAGAACTGTCGGTTTTATAATATCGAGCGGATGAGGTGCGTATTATATTGCTACCTGCTCTAGGTTTGTGAGCGTTGTCTGATGGATGACTTATGTTCTGCTAATGAAGGTTGAAGTTTGACACTATGCGCGGAACACTGAGTATGAAAGACGAGGAGGACTACCAAGTATGTTCGTCTTCTAGATATGTGCATTAACGATTGGCCTGAGGTTCCACCCAGCGTGTCACCGCATTCTCTCCAGATGGTCGTTACCTCGCTGTGGCGGGTACACAAGAAGTACGTGACTTCTGTTTCGCTCACAGATGTCACTCCTGCTCACCGAAGTCGACTTTATACGTACACTACACAGTTGACGGTATTCACCTTCCCTGAGCTCAAACCTACATCAATCCGCCTAGACAAAGGCGAAATCTACGACGTCTCCTTCTCAGATTCCTTAGTACGTCCCATTGACGCATCCTGCTCCTCGCCCCCATCCATCAACCGTAATGACCATCCACCTCCAACCACATAGCTCGTAGTCACTACAAAGCTCAACCTTCTAGTCTACTCCCTCCCCTCATCTCCGTCCCCTCCTTCATCAAACTCCGAAAAAGGCAAATCCAAAGAAACCTCCACCTCCTCGGACGCCGACCCAGCACCCTACACCCTCCTCCTCACCATCGCCTCCCCCAAACTCCCCGGTGCCGGCCCCGACGCCATCGCTTCCTTCCGCGCCTCCGCCTTTCACCCTCTCGAGCCCCGCGTATTCTACACCGTCCTGAACGCGACATTACCGAGGAAGAAGGGAGTGAAGACGGCACCGAAGAGGGCGTATATCGTGAAGTGGCATGTGAATGCGGATGGGTGGAAGGCGGATAGGGTGAGGAAGGTGGGAGACAAGGGGGTTGCGTCGTTTGATATCAGGTATGCAACTCCTTCTACCTTGGAAGTTCGACGTTACGGTCATGCGTGAGTAGTTATTGACGGCCGATGTTCTATGCCTTATTACAGTCCGAACGGTAAATGGATAGCATTCGGTTCGTCGGATTGTTCAGTCGGTGTATTGGACTCTTGGACACTAGTCGTGCGTACTCTTCCCATAAATCAACTCCTCTTTCTATTTCTATCGAGCTGATACACTTAACGTTCTGTCCAGCCTCTCCTAACGATCCTCAAAGCCCACGAACTCCCCTCAACAATGCTCCGTTTCAACCCAAGCTCGAGTCTTCTCGTCTCAGGAAGCGCGGACAGCACGGTGCGCGTAGTCTCGATACCGAACGGACTCGGGGATTCATGTACGTTTGCTCTCTCCTACGCCCTTTACCTGGTGATTTGGCCGTAATGCTGACGTATGACGTTTGCAGCTTGGCCGACGGTGTTGATCGTGATTATGGGTGTATTTGCGGTGTTGTTCGCGATTGTGTTGCAGATGTATATTGCTGGTGTTCTTTGAACTGCAGGGAGCAAGGATTTTTATTATTTGGATCGCTGTCTGCTCGGGTAGCTTTGTTTTTCTTTTCGGTCCTGTGGTCGGGGGTCGGCGTTTTATATATCATAGACCTTTCAAATATTACAACATGGATCCGTCTTCTTGACGAGTCGTCGATAGTTGAAGGCCTAGAGCGCCGAATCCGCAAGATAAATATATAAATGTACAAGCACGAACATCGACAGAATAACACAACACAGCGCAGACTCAAAGAACTTGATCAATCATAATCATCATCCTCCACCAATTTCCTCTTCACCCCATTCGGAGTCGGTGCCCCACCGGGCGCAGGCGTCGGAACCTCCTCCAAGCCCTCCTCACCGCCACTCTCCTCATCGTCCCCACCCTCACCACCGAACAACCCGTCCTCTTCATCACTTCCTTCCTCCGCTTCTTGCGGAATGGCCTGCACGCCGCTTATGCCCAACCCTACTGCTCCGGCGTTGCGCCCACCACCGAGCACGTCCTCCACGCCGATCATATCAACGTCCGAGGGCGTATGCACCGCGCTCACGGGATTCATCATAATCCCACTATCCTGCCTCTGCATCTGCGGTGGAGCCTGACCCATTCCCATCCCCATCCCCTGACCTTGGCCATACCCATACCCCTGAGATTGAGGGTGTGGATGCGACGGAATCTGCGCAGGCTCCATGTCCTCGTCGTCGTCTTCCGAGCCTGACTCCTCTATTTCCTCGATCTCCTCGTCGTATTGTTTGATGGCGGGAGGGGGCCGGTTGGGGTGGAGGTCGAAGTCGACGGAGGTGAGGCAGTCGGGGGAGGGTGGGAGGCGGAGGCCGAAGGTTTCGGGGACGGAGGGGAGGGGTTGGGCGTTTGTTTGGGTTGCGAGGGAGGTGATGAACTGTTTATTATCACGCAATTTAAATTAGCATTGTTGTATAACGCATGCATAGCTCGGAGAGAAAGGAGAAACCCAGATGACATCAAAAGGAATGGAGAAAGGATACGAACGTCTTTCGGCACTCTGCCTCCGAACTCCCAGCCTACCCTTGCCTGCACCGCAAGGCTCACGTCCTCTGCCTCGATCTTATTTGATCGTCCCGCATGATCCGCGTAGACCAACGCGTCAGAGAGCACCTGGGATGTGTAACGATGGGAAAACTCTAGCAGCTGCTGCAGGACGCCTATTTGTGCGTCTTGCACTGCGGGGGTGGAGGCAATGAGGAGTGCGATTGCACGTGCAGTCGGCGGGATGTCCATGGCTGAGTTGTTGTTTCGAGACATGGTTGACGATAGTAGCTGAAAATGGGCCACACTATGTTCGGATTGACACGCGAAGGTCGAAATCAAATACACAAGCAACAGTTCCAGCCTTTGTTCAGCAGAGAGCGCAGTGATTGGCCGCGAGTATACGCGTCGTTGAAGAGCGGCAAGGGGCACCGAACGCGTCGGATTTCGGTGGTTACTTATCAGATAACGGCGACTCTCGGCAGGACAGCGTCCCACATCCCATTGGCTGTGTCCCAAAGAGGCAGGCGGAACGCTCGTTCGCAGCCTCCGCTCGCGCTGTGATTGGCTGGGAGTGCCGGTGCCGTGCGATTGGCCCGAGCTCCACCGCCGCGTCTTATATACCATCACGTTCTCCCAAACGAGCTCAGCCCTTTTTCCCGTCTCTTCCACCGCAACCACCAACTCACTCCGCCATCACCGCATTCATCCCACAAATGTTTCGCTCTGCCGTCGCAAAGTCTGTCCTTCGCGCGTCTGCGCGCCCCTCTACCTCTGCAGCTGCAGCTGTAAGCAGAGTAGCTGCCCGCCCTGCGCTCGCCCGTGGATACCACGAAAAAGTCATCTCACACTATGAGAAGCCACGAAACGTGCGTCATCCACCCTCGTCTCTCTTTCTAGCTCTGTTATCTGACAATCTCTCTCTCGTTTGTACGCACAGGTTGGCTCATTACCCAAGGCTGACAAGGACGTTGGAACCGGTCTTGTCGGTGCACCTGCGTGAGTACACATTCCTCGCTGAAGGAGCCCCATCTCTCGCGTGTGATAGCGACCGCACCCGACTTCATTCTCCTTTTTTCCCCCTGTCGTCACACGCTGACTCATCTTCGTCCCACAGATGCGGAGACGTTATGAAGCTCCAAATCCGCGTCAACGAGGACGGCATCATCTCCGATGTCAAGTTTAAAACCTTCGGCTGTGGCAGCGCCATCGCATCCTCATCATACATGACCGAGCGCGTCAAGGGCCTCTCCCTCGAGGAGGCCGGCAAAATCAAGAACACAGAGATCGCAAAAGAGCTCGCGCTCCCACCAGTCAAGCTCCATTGTTCAAGTGCGTTTCCTTTTCTCTCATCCTTTCTCACTCCTCTCAGGGGCTAGGGGGCATGGTCACTGACTATATAATCTCAAATTGCAGTGTTGGCCGAAGACGCAATCCGCGCCGCTATCAGGGATTACCACTCCAAGCGGTCAAAGATGTCGGACCCGAAGAAAGCAGCGGGCTTCATCGATGTCTCACAGAGCGTCGTCACCGGCGATACCGTCGCCACCGCCCACCCAGGGCAGGCCTAAACCCAATTTCGTCCTTCTCGCATCTTTGTCTCTTTTTTTCTTGCCTCGTCAGTTGTGTTAGTCCGCATAGTATGATACCGCTGTGTTCTTCTTGAGTCGAGTTGCTGTTGACGAGGTCGTTTTATCCATCCGTTGTGTACGATTATAACCGAGCATTTCATCCGCACTTTACACCGCTACATTATATGCATCATGTTTCTCCATGGTTCCGATCAGGAATCAGCACGTATAACATTACAAGCGTGAACATAAGCATCCGAGTCGTCACATCAAAGAAACAACAGCGAAAGGAGAAGACAGCAAACGAAAACTCGAACCCGAACGGACGAGCGGAAAGGCGCGCCGGGCACACCCGTCTGGCTCATGATTGGCTCAAGACCCCTTCTGCCCAACGAACGAGAACGTCCCGCCGCCGAACCAACGCTCGTTCGCCTCTTTGACGCGCGCCGCCCTCGCCGCAGGATTTGAAAGCTCGAAGCCTGAAAATAGATCGACCCAAAAAGTGTGAGGTCGGAACTTGACAGAGATGATGGGCTGTATCGTGAGCTTACCTTGGACGGGGGTGACGACCAAGGAAGACGCGGTACCCGAGGTTTGTGCGCCCTGTGCGGCCCTGGTGAGCGCCGCGGTTCGTAGCTTGTTCGCTTTCGACATTTTGGCTACATACGACCACGAAAGAATAAAAATGAAAATGCAAGTCAGTTTCAGTTTCACGGGATGGAGCGAGACAAAACAAAGGTGACGTGAAGTGAGGAGAAGTGACGTGAAGTGAAGGAAAGTGAGGAGAAGTGAGGAGAGGAGAGGAGAGTATATAAAACGCACCCTTGCTCTTCGTCTCGCCCTGGCTCGCGCGCACTTTGCCCGTAGACACCCCAATCATGCCCAGTCCCTTCGTCTCGTCGAACGCGCCGACCTCTTCTTCGGCCTCGCCGAACGCCATCCGGTTCGAGAGTTTGCGGAGCTCGGTCTGCGCGTAGGCTTCTTTCGCTTTGCGTGCTCTGAGGGCAGAAATCAGTACTCGAGGGAGGTGCAAGTCGAGGAGAGGGAGGGAGGGAGAGAGGAGAGGGATTCAAACGCACCGTTTACCGCCACGACGTTTCTTGGGGCCGTCGTTAGGCAGTGGGAGGGCCTTGACGACTTTGGAGGGTGGAGGCGCGGTCAATCGATCCAAACGTTTCTCGATCTTCTCTCGTAGTTCTTCACCGTAGCTCCCTGTATACCCCGGCCCCAAAAATATAAATCACGTACATTAGTAAACATAAACGACACAGCGCAGGAAGAGAAGGGGACTCGCCGTCGCGTTTGTTCCTCTCCAGGTCCATCCTAGCGGCCAGGACGGCCTTGGCACCGATTGTGCGCTGGAGCTTGAGCTGGTATTCTGCTGGCGTTTGTTGGACGAGTTCGGACTGGTAGACGAAGCCGGTGTGCCGACGTTGTGTGGCCGTCGAGAAACCGGCGGTGATCTTCCTCTGTGCGCCCAGAAGCTGTCGTACGCGTGGGTGTCAGCATCGCGTGGGTAAATAGAGAGGGAAGGAGAGAGAGAGAGAGAGAGAGAGAGGGATACGAGAGAAAACATACGTGAACGTTACAAGCGGGCATCTTAGCGAGTCCGCTGAGTCCGCCTGCGACACCGAGGAGTTTGGCCGCTGTAGTTGTGCCCACGATGGCTGATAGGTTCGGTGCGAGAACGTTCATTCGTGAACTGACGTACATGAAAATCTATCACGTCGAACACGGCAACAAAGTCCAATTATATGAGTGTTTCGATTCCAAGCTGGACGGTGTACTATGACATGGAACAGCATGCAGAAGGAACACACCTTTTTGCGCGCCTCCTCCAGTCGATCGGCCAGGTCACAGGCTCGTTCGACCGACTTCCAGTTGGCTTCCTCTAGTGGCTGGCCGGAGGTGGTCGTCGCGGTGACGAGGACACTCATGATAATTGCGGGAGGGAGGACGCCTTGCAGTTCGACTTTCGTTGGGTCCTGGATGAGCACACACACCATTAGCTACTTCCAGTCTCGTTTCGCTGAAGAGTGCCTTGGTCAAGAAGAATTTGGACGCACCTCGTGGTTAGCCAGGACGCGCACGGAGCGAATGTACATGGCAGGATCGGCGACCAGCTGTTCCAGCTCAGGGAATTTGGGAGCATAATGGTCCCGGATGAACTGTGGAGACCGTGGTTTCAATGTGTGATCTGTTTACTCGTTGGGAAGGGCAGGAGAACGCACCTTGTGAACGACAAGAATCTCGTTGTCTACATCCACTGACAGGTTATTCGCCTGGACAATTAGATTGTATTCTGGATTGGAGTGTATAGGCAATGAAATCGTGTCCATTGAAGACGGGTTGGCCTGGTACTTCTCGATTTCCTAGACATGCCGCGAAGGTCAAGACTTCGCTGAACTCTTGACGGTAGCAGGTAGCACAGACATACCTTCAAAATATCATTCATCCTCTTACTCCCCTCCAACTTCGCCACCTCCTTCACGTCCTCGACCCTCCCCAACTCCATCAACTGCACATCCTCCGCATCCAGTTCTTCCGCAGGCTTCACACCTCCATCCAAAACCAACCCTCCTCCTCTGGCCTTCCCCTCAGCCTCTTCGTCTGGAGCTTCTCCATCGTCTGCGTCCGACATTTCGGCGTCAGAGCCTGAGGCCTTGCGTTTGAGGGGGTTGTTGCCATTGCTGCCAGTGGGCTGTGTGGCGAGGTCTTCGAGGGCTCCTTCTTCGACGGGCTGGTCTTCGTCATCATTGTCAGAGAGACCGTCGAGGTCAGCAAGGAAGTCGTCTGCGGCGCTCATAGTGGTGCGGATGGCAGCAAAGTCGCCGTGGTAGAACGAGGAGGTAAAGGCCTGACGCAAGTCAGTCGCGCTCACCGAGAGCAGTTGAGTGGCACGGGCTGATTACATAAGCATGTAAGTAAATCCGAGCGTGGCACCGCTCTAAACCGTTTGTCCTCGTTCTCTGTCGGTGGACTTTCCAGCCCATCTCCATACTACTGCTTAGTCTACTCGAATAATTGAGGCAGGAAAGCTGCAACACAGTGCTCTATCTCATTCTATCTCTACCGCACCCAGCTGCCCATGCGATTCAGGATACAAACTCCAGGCGCCACACTGCAAACATCACGATGTAAAGTCCTCTGCTGAATCGACGACTAGAGCTACAAAAAGGTGCGCAAATATTCCGTAAGTGCCAGTAATGCTAGCGACTGCCCGTAAGGCATCGACGTCAACGGGATCTTCTTGTACTCCTCTGCATCATCAAACACCGGCGTCCCGAACGACACCTTCTGTAACTCTCCCTTCTCCGAAATATTATCCATCACGCCCTTCACCGCCTTCTCCGCCGCCTTCAGATACCGCTCCTCCTTAGGTATCAAACGCATCCTCAGAGCCTTCAGGATTCCGTACGCAAAACCGGCCGTCGCGGATGCTTCTAGGTACGATGTCGGGTCGTCGAGGATGGTATGCCAGAGGCCGGTCGACTGGTCTTGATACTTCACCAGTGCGTCGATCTGGGCTTTGAGGGCTGAAGTGAGGAAGAGGCGAACACCATCCGTTGGTGGTAGTTTCAGGAGCTCGATGAAGTCTGGGATGGAGACTGTGATCCAGCAGTTCCCTCGCCCCCACAGGGCCTTTCCGAAGTGATGACGGCCGTCGAACGTCCAACCTGCATAACAGGGCATGAGGATGTTTGTACGTATCGAATCTGCTTTTGGAGACGTACCATGGAACCATAATCCGGTCTGCGGGTCAGCCAAATACTTGATATGAAGCAAGAACTGCCTCTTCGCCTCTTCGATGTATTCCTGTCGCCCCAAGACGAGACCGATCTTCGTCAGGGGAAGGACAGTCATCATGAGCGTATCGTCCCATAGTTGCTGGTGGTTGTCGACGAGGTACGTGATGTGTTGCAGACCTCCCTCTTCCGTCCGTGGCATGTCGTACATGACCCACTCCGCCCATGAATCGAGATGTGCGAGGTAGTCTGCATGCTTGGCTTCGTGGAGGTATGCTGCAGTGAGCAGGGGAGACATCGTGTTGACGTTCTTCGTCGTGCCGATCTCGAAACGGTCCTTGAACCAGAGAAGGGAGATGCGTAGCGCTTCTTCATCTCCTGTGATCTCGTGGAACTTCAAGAGGCCGTATAGTCCTACTCCATGTGTCCACTACAAAGTGGTGTGGCGTCAAAGACGAGATCTGTTTGGAAGGTGAATAGGGGCTACTCACCTCCCAATCGTTCCAACCCTTCGTGTCGATGACTCTGCCATCCTCCAGAGTCATCAAGAACTCTCCAGTCTCATCCTTGATATTGACTAAACAGTCGATGAGGCCTCTGATCTGCTTCAGCAGTGCGACTTTCTTCGGGTTGATGTTCGCTGCGGACATGGTGCGTTTCGTGTGATACTATGAAGTCGGGCGCGGATAATAGGGCTGTTCAGAGATGATGGTTGCTCTTACTATCTGGGCGATGTCGTTGATGCACCTCATACTCGCCTCATTTCAGTGTACGGGAATTTGCTATCTAGCAAGGGCCCCTGGAAGACATGACCGTCTCAAGAACATGTTTGCCCTGCGAGACGGACCGCCGCGGACCGCATTGTTGTGAGGCAATGGACTCGTGTTCGGGAAAACAATCTTGGCAGGTTGTGACAGGCGAGAGCCATAGGTGGGGGCATTATTCTGTACGTCGTCTTTCTCCTGGCAGATGACCGCGCTTCCAGTGGAGGAATTTTGAAGCTCGTTTTACGAAGCGGTTGTGTCTAAGTTGCTTATGTTCGTCTATGTCAATGATATGGAACAACTCAACTGCGCTAATATTTTCATCATCCGTGGTGGTCCGGTTTTGTGCGGACTTTATTCCTTCGCTTCATACCTTCAACGACCTGAGCCCGGATGGTAAACATCCGCGATTCACTTTTTGTTGATTGGCCGTGCCAGGAACGATCGCGTGTGGGGCCCCACGGGGTCACACTGGTCAGAATTTGTCGGCATTCGCGGACCTTTTGAGAAGACAAGTTATAAGATGGGAGTCTTCTGAGCGTTTTGAGCTTGTTGAGGCTTCTGCAGGTGTCCTATCCTCCTCCATCGCAGACACGTCGCGAGCTGCACGTCACTCCTGTCTCTTTCCTACGTATCCCACAATTTTTCACGACCTCAAACCACGAAAACACGACTATGACTTCCCTCGACAAGTCTAAGGATCAGTCGGAGATCCCTGTGCATAGGGAGAATGTTGACAGCAAAGACACGTTCTCCTTCCGCAGCGGTTCTCCAGGAGTCGATGAAGGTATGTTAGCTCCTCGACATCCTATCTAACATGGGATGAAGTGTTCTGACCGCTACTTATTTGCCAGCACCCATGAAAGGGATTGATGCAGAGATCGCTGAGTTCTTCAACGAGACAGCGGCGGGTGTGACCAAACCCATCGTTGTTATCGACGACGCTACGAATCGGCGCTTGAGGTGGATGATCCATAAGCGCGTCTTGGTGGTTATGGTGGTCACGTACTTCGCACAGACCTTGGATAAGGGGTACGTTATAACCCTCTGCGACTTCGATGGCAGACCCCTCATTTTGAGACAGGACCTTGAACTTTGCCTCCATCATGGGGATCCAACAAGACACGAAGCTTCACGGGCAGCAGTATGCATGGCTGACCACATGTGGTACGTAGACGTTTTCTCGACTTCTCATGTTTTACGAACTCAACAAGGTCTCCGTCATTCTAGTCTACATCGCAATGTATGTGATGACTCGCACGTTGTGTAGTGTGCTATACTGAACTGTTTTGCTCAACAGCCTCTGCTGGGAATTTCCGGCCAATCGGTTAATCCAACGGCTTCCTATCGCGAAGCTACTGGCGTTCAAGTCAGTATCTTATTCTAAACTTCAATACGTTGCATTGAGCTCATCTATGGGGCCATCTGAACATCAGCATTACCGCCTGGGGTGCCGTCCTAGCCTGTACCGCCGCATGCCACAACTTCACTGGCCTCGTTATCGTCCGAACACTCCTGGGGATCTTCGAATGCGTCTGCCAGCCTGCCTTCGTTTTCATGTGGGTGCATCTTTGTGACTCCACTCTTCCGTTGTCAGTCTCATAATGCTCATATACCTTACACAATGGCTAGGTCAACGATGTGGTACACGAGGGAAGAGCAGGCCCTGGTCATCGGCGCTTTTTACTCGATGAATGGCTTCCAACAATGCGTCGGCGGTCTCATCGCATATGGGATCTACCACATCCAACATGGTGTGCTCAAGAACTGGCAGATACTATTCACGGTATGCAACACTTATTTCTGTCCGCTGTCTGCCACTGGCTGATCAACTCTTCGTAGCTTCTCGGTGCTATCACTGTTGTTTGGGGATGCTTTGTCTTATGGTGGTTGCCCGACTCTCCCATGCGTGCTCGCTGCTTTTCGCTTGAGGACCGATTACTTATGACTGAGCGGGTGCGGAAGAACGAGACTGGTATTCAGAACAAGACGTTCAAGGTATGTGGTATGCTGTTTGTATTGCCAATGTCTATGCAGCTCTGACATTCACGCCCTCGTAGAAATACCAAATGAGTGCGCTCCTCATCTCCATTCCTCTCGAATATCAAAATTCCTGACGTGCTGTATTTTATTATCTAGTTGAGGCTCTCACTGATCCCACCGTATGGGCCGTTACCCTCATTTCCTTCACGAACGCCTTACCCACAGGAGGACTGGGTGCTTTTTCCAACTTGATCATCAGTGCCTTTGTACGTGGATCCCCATGCCCCAATCCATATTACGACTAACTTTCAATGAAATGTCATAGGGCTACACAACGTTGCAGACGTATCTACTCGCGATTGCCCAGGGCGGCGTCATTATGACCTTCTTGTTCACGGCAGCGTATCTTTGCAAGAAGAACAAGCTCATGTTTGCCTTCGTGAGTCTATCCTGGCTGTCGTCCTGTCTTCTGCTAGTGGTCTGACTACCATTGTAGCTGTATACCATACCGAATGTTATAGGAACGATTGTGTTCATAAGTGAGTGTGTATCATACATTCGGAAGTAGTCCTTCTGACCCGCAACCTCTAGCCGTCCCTACGAATGACCACACAAAAGTCGGACTTCTAATCGCCTTCTAGTATGTACCTGTATCCTTCACTGCAGTTCGTTTGAACGACTGGCTGATTCGCTATGCTTGGCTATAGCTGCACGCAAGGCTTTGGAGCGGTCGCTGTCCTCAATTTGGCCGTTATGTCGAACAATATTGGCGGTCGTACGAAGCAGGTTATGGTTTCGTCTATGGTCTTCATGTACGCGACTCAGACCTCTCCTACATCTAACGCATTACTCATTTACTTCTCATCCCGTCTAGTGCCTGGGCAGTCGGAAATGCAGTCGGACCCCAAGGTCAGTGTCATATCCCTGGCCCTCCTTGGCTGTCCTTCCTGTGTACTCACTCATTCGCTCATTCCATTCAACCAGTCTTCCAAAGCAACGATGCACCGCGCTACGTCAAAGCCTTCATCGCCCACATAGTCGTCTACGGCGTCCAGCTCGTCACCATCGTCTTCCTCCGCCTCCGTCTCATGCGTCTCAACGCGCTCAAGAGGCGGGCTCAGCTCGCGGCGGAGAGCGAAGACCCGGCGGCAGAGCGTATCGAGCATAGGCATGCCTTCGATGATCTGACGGACAAGGAAAACCCGGACTGTGAGTGTTTACAGTTGTGGTGAGACCGCCTCTTCTTTGCTGACTCGGTTATTTGTTTGCAATGTGCAGTCCGTTACACCTACTGATATCGAAGTCGGTGATAACGTGGATGAGGGGACGTTGCTCTTTTTTATCATTTAGGACGTTTTGTGCGTGATTGTGGTGGTTACTTTCGCACGACCTTGTACTTTAGTTTTGTCGGACTGCCGATATGTACTTTATTTGCATGTTTTTACGAGTTACGCTACGAAAGAATGAATCCTAGTGCGCAGCTGGAGATTAAAGTTGTTCTTCCTGAGCCGTTGAGACTCCGTTATCTTCGTGAGCAACATAAGACACTGGCTGTTGATTTTGCGAGGCTATTTTTGGTGGTCAAAAGACAAGACTGTTCGCGGCCATCAACAATGTTGCATCCGGAGAGTTCAGAAGCTATTACTTAGAGCACGTCTAGGGTGTCAGGACCGACTGATAGCATAAAATCAGACATGAGGTTGTGGCCGTTGTCCTAGTGTGAAGGCAGAGACAGAGAGAGCGAGGCCAGCAGTACCGGTGGCGCGAGCGCTTGTGCAGACTTCACGTCGGTAGAATCCACGCCACAAACTATGAGCATGACTGCAGAATGGAAGTGATTTCGGGAGTGTGATACTGCAGAAACAACAAGATGAAGTGCAGAGACATCGCGGCGCTGCCAGAATGCAGGGAGCAGGGTGATAAATCGTACAAACCGATGGCTATTCGGACGCTCCTTGTCAAAGCGAAGATATACATGTGGGCAACGAACGCTCTGACCCTCATCAGTCCAATTGCCTGGTAGCACTTTTGTCAGGAATGTCTTTCTTGGGCATCGTAGAATTCGAGGAATGTGAAGATCGCTATCGGAGACTTTCCAGCGTTTCCATGGATGTGACGCTGTTTCCGCGAATTACCTAGGAATAAGAGCATGATCAGCATTGTTCGCGGCGGGAAAAGATAGCGGGGCGTACGACAGTTCCAATAGGGTGCTTTTGTGCAGGAGTTGTCTCCTCAATCGCGTCGTCGATGACGAGGTTGAGGAAAAGATCGTAACCGCGGAGGGTACCACTGACCTTGCGGCCGCCCTGTAGATGGACAAAGAGCTTCTTGTCCATAAACTTTGAAGGGCGAAGACATTAGTTCTGCATGCGAGCAAATTATAACGATAAATGAGCACCTTTTTGAGCTCTGGCTGGGATGCTTTGGACATGATGGTGGTGGCTGCAAGAGAGCTTGGAGGACGCGAGCGTGGGCAAGAAGCGAGAATGCGGCGCGTGCTTACCTGCTTTGGCAAGTCTCGTGTCGGTCCAGCTCCTCTCTTTCCCTCCCCCCACAGCCTTCCCCATTACTCGCCCAGTCTTCCTACCCACAACTTCTATTCCTCTTGTTTTTTTTCTCGAATATTTCAAAGTAACTTTGTACCAAAGCCAGTGAGTAATTCTCCGAAGGGCCGGGTTCGGAACGTCTCGGATGTTTACCACAAGTGTCGTTTCTTGAACCAGCAGCCCATATCGCTCTACCTGCCACGACCGTTCCTAGTACTATTTTTCTCCCCGTCTCCTCCCTATCTCGTCGCTCTACCAGGCCCACATAATGGCCTCTCTTTCCTCGCGTCCGCCACAGACAGCCACGGCAACCGTCACCCCAAGAGCGGGATGGGGCGGAGGCACGGACCAAGGGTCGGCCTTTCGAGGGATGGGCAGGGGACGAGGTGGGAGAGGCGGAGGAGATAGAGGGCGAGGCGGTCGGGGTGGCACTCGTGGCGGGCGAACCTCTATCTCTGAGACCACACCGCGCGGGTTTTCAAACTCCAAGTCAGACGGTGCACCAAGCGATGGGCCTGTCGTCTCGTCGGACGCAGCAGCCTCAAAGCCCAAACTTCCCTCCCGACGTATCTCCCACCAGAACTCTACACGTAAACCCCCCGCCCTGAACATCGAACCCGCTTCCCCCGTCGATGGGCATCCTGCATCCGCGTCTTTGGGCTCTGCCAAGTCACCTCGTCGCAAACGTTCTCACCAGCCGAAACCTACCCTCGCTTCGTCCGTGAAACCTATCCCTATCGAGGCTGCTATGGCGGCACTCAGACCCCAGATGACTCGCAAGGCCTCCAGTGGCCCACCATCTCCTCATGGCCTCGTCAAGGACGCGCCACCTCATTTGTCCGCTGGTCCGAGCGTCCAAACCTTCGACATCAAGTCCAACATCGATACTCTCGTCGAGCGCGTTCGTGCGATCGCCATGGAGCGCCCACACACCCCCGGGAGCCACATCGACTGGGCAGGAGACGACGACGATACGCTACCCGACCTGGATGACTGGGGAGTCCACTCCACGGGTACACTGGGGACGACCGTGAGCGAGGCCGGTATGCTGGGGCTGATGTCTCCTATTCTGGACGACTCGTTGAAACAATTGCCCATACACGACGACAAGTCCAAGTCACCTTCCGTGAATGGGGCCGCGCTTTCTCCGAAGGTACTCCCGGCAGACGTTGCTGATGAGAAGTCGAACGTGCAGGCAGACAATGGTGTCAAACATGAGGACAACCCTCCCAAAGCGATCGAAAGTGTCTCCGAAAGGACTCCCCAGGCGAAGACCGTAAACAATGGATATCCCAGCAAGCCGTCTCCAGCGTCCACACACACGCCCTCCACAATCGTCTCTTCTCGCACCACTCTTCACCCCTCCCTTCCGCCGAAGCCTGAACCGACTAAGGCGGAGTCGCCATCGGCTCTCACAGGCAATAATACGGAATCCAAACATCCTGCTACAGCTACCACATCGCCATCCGTGAAGGAGCCTGTGTCTGCTGACAGCGCCACAAAGTCGACCACAGGATCGGCGCGGCCACCGCGAAAGGATCTCTTTGCTCCAGATAGACCCGGGCTTGAAGCATCCATGCACGCCCCCAAGGCGCTCTCGCAGCGTAAAGAGGCGGAGGCTCGGGATGTTGTCTCTTCTTCCACGAATACCACTTCGTTCAACCCCGCTCATGGTCGCTCGCGTACTCTCGGTCGTCCAGCACCAGGGCCAACGCTGACTAGACCGTTTAAATCCGGTCCTTCCACGCCTCACACCTCGAACATGCAGCATGCACGTACGCAATCCACTCCGCCAGCTGCTCCGACCGTACGACATGCTCGTCAGGGCAGTCGACCCGTTATCGCAAGTTCTGCGATATCGAGTATCATGAAGACCCTGGGTGGCTCTGGCACCTCGCCTAGGAAGCAGCCAGCTCCCCCTACCTCGAGCTCGGCGACGTCCTCAGAGTGATGTGTTTCTCCTGTTTTCGTTCACAGCTCCATCATATGTATAAAATCTCATATTTCGACGATTGCTCATTGCACTTACGTCCTTGGAAACTATCTACTGTATATCTCTGTTTACCTACGTATCTCTATTGGGAATGTCTTGAATGTCGCCTCTTACCTATGAATGACCATGCTTTTGTCCTTGCCTTACTCGGTTTCTTCTTTCAGCCAGTCTACCTCCTCTCTCCTGATCTTTGAATCTCTATGCCTCTATCGCGTGTCTCTCTGTCTCTGTCTGTTTGTGAAACGCTTATTTATTCAATCTCGAACCTTTCTCGCAAAATACCCTTGCTATATCTCGTCTGTTCAAATACTTTCTCTCTATCTCATCTCACCCAATGCTGTTACAAGGTACCTCCTGATAAATCATCTCCTGAAATACTGATTCACATCCAAACTCGTAATAATGATTCGAATCTCTCCCCCTGCTCCCTTCCCCCTGTCGTCTCTGGTCTTGGATTCTTCGCTTTTGCTATTGCTTGTATGTTCCACCGGGCCTGTCTCTCATTCTGACTTCACACATGCATCTCTTTATTTCGTCGATCTGGATCGGGTTGTAATCTAGCAATTGTTTGCTCACCGTGACTTGACTGCGACGAATCGAAGTCGTGCATTGCTCGTGCACAAGTTCAGACCGTTGCTTTGATACACCTCGAGTGCGCATAGAAAAACAATTGATTCGTACCCAGAGACTGCTACACGAGTATGTATCCTTAGCATTTTGAACCAATACGACACTAGCAAGTGGGACTAGTCTGTCACGAGAACCCGATACAAAGGGAGAAGTGAGACGAGAGTGCTAGCAACTACCCCCAGCGACGTCGATTCCAGTCAACGTCCCGTTCGTTATATCCTCGTCCGTGTAGAGCCTGTAATTCGTGGCTGGGACATCAATGAATGCCGCCGCGAACCGCGCATCAGTGTTGTTCGCGCCGTCGACGAGGTGGATCCAGATACACGAGACGAAGGATGATCCGAAGAGACGGAATCTAAACGCACGGACGGCGATTTGAGTCAGTTACATTCAACCATCGTGCTGCACCTGAAAGAAAAGAAATTCAAGAAATCACTCACGCAGCGCCATAGGTCTCTGGGTCCTTCTGCGTCGAGTCTCCGATGGTGAGGAACGTGCGCGCGGGGTACATCCCCTGGATATTGTCGATCTGACTCAGCTTGTAGTCGAAAATCTCGTCGTCGTCCGTGATGAAAGAAACCAGTCCCGAAATATCGCTGAACGACAGGTTCTGCAAATAACTGATCCGCGAATGGATGATTGTCATGACCATGATCCATGATAGGCGTATCAGTTCATGTGAACGTTGATCATGAACGGAAAGGGAAACGAGGTCACGCACATAGGTCCGGCGGGGTATGTGCTGTCGATAAAGTCGTGCAAAAAGGGGTATAATTGGAAAGGGGAACCAGAGATGTAGAAGACGGCGGGGTCCGAGAGGGAGGATTGGAGAGAGGAGAGCACGTCGGGCATTCCGGCGATCGGTTCCGGGTCGTTAAGGAACGTGTTCTGGAGAGCCGTTGCTGTGTCGAGGACGCCTGTGATTTTCAAAGTGTCGTCGATATCTGGAGTGGGTAGATTTTTTGAGTACGGAGTAAACGCCATCGGGAGCAAGCACAGTCGCCAGGGCCAGAACAAAATTAGAGGATGAATATACCGGAGATGACACCAAATCCAGTGGGTGCATGGTTGAAGATGGTGGTGTTGAAGTCTCTGTTATCGAAAGAAGCCACACTCGCCGTCGCAGCAAAAGTATCGCTTCCATCACAGCTCCCCAACGTCACATTCCTCTCCACCATTCCCAGATTACTCCCCAGTCCGTCCGTCTTGCCCAACACCACATCCCCACACCCAGTCACCGTCAAATCTACACTTTGTCCCGACTCCCCAATGGCCGTAAAAAGCTCTAAACGGCTTGCGAGATTCGTGGCACCGTCAGAGACGTCGAGACCGAAGGTGTCCGCGAAGAGCGAAGATGCGGCGGATACGAGGGAGGAGATATCGATCTGGCGGAGGTAGACGAAGGCCTGCAATTGTGCGACGGTGGTGCTACTATCCGAGGGAGACTGAAATGCGGCGCCATCGAAGAGGACGGCTGACTGGAGGACGTTGATGCGAGCGTCGAGAACCGGAACAGCGAAGGCTTTGGCCCCGAAGAAAAGGAGTGGCAGGGTATTAGTGAGTGTGGTCGCCTTCATGGTCGCGATGTGCCAGTAGATGAGCTCGAGAGAGGAAAACTGGCGAGGCTAGTTCATAAAAGAGGAGGTAGCTGGGAACGAACGTGCTTTGCAGTGTGATTATTGACGAGAGGTCAAATCCCGGGAGAAGAATTCGAGGATGCCGGCGGAGGACGGAGATGACAAAGACGACAGGAACAAGATGAAGAACGTAAAGACGGGGTGAAAAGGAGACCAGCTACAAGCACTACGAGTCCTGAGATTGGTATTTGTATCATGTTGCGCGTGTGCCAAGTACCATGAGAAGAGCTGCACGACTCCGATGTGCTATCCAACTTCGCTGTCCACGGTCGCCTAGCCACCGACAGTGTGGACGCTCAAGATTTGGAACTCAGGTCGCACCGAACAGAGCGCCTCGGAGCACAGGTATTGATGCAGTATAATGAGAGTGAGTAGACAGCGGTAGGATGTTATCTTGGGATGAACGTGGGTCTGAGGAGGAGGTGGGCTTGGCTGGCCCGTGAGAACATGTTTCCTATGTCGCCAAGTACAGTATCGCCGTCGGGCCACATGTGGCGGACAATTCTGGATAGTGCGACTCGAATGTTCTTGACGTTGAAGCTTATATTATTCTCCAGGAAGAGAAAGTACAAGGCAACATAATATCATATTATACAAACACCGTGTGCTTGGGGAATATGGCATGGGGTAACAAAACACAACGAGCGGTCATGACTATTGATACAGAGGGGTGGAATATAACTTCTCAATCATCCATAAGCAGCGCTCAGATCCCACCAGTCGGATGAAGAGCATCGGCACGATTGCGGTGGGTAGCAGCCTGGTTTTCCAGGAGATCAGCCTGTCTGTGACCGGCAGCTGCTTGCTGCTCCCGCTGGCCAGCGATGATTTTGTTCTCGCCTTTCACACTAGAGCAAGGCCAAGAATAATCAGTGCGTTGTGGCGTGAAGGGGGAAAGAACCAAACTCACGTCATGTTGGTGCTCCTGGTCACTTCACCGACACCGCGCTCCATCTTTCCACCAATCTCCTCGAGCTTCCCGTGTGCCTTACTGGGGTTAGATGTGTGGACTCCCGACGTCGCGCCCCCTGGACCAGCTGCACCGGTCGCGCCGAGGCCAGCTCCCGTACCGGCTGTTGTCGCACCTGCACCATGGGCGTTGTGTCCCTGATGGCGACCTAGCGCTTCGCCACCGACACCGCCAATAGCAGCATCGCGTCCGGTGTCTACAGTTGAAGAACAAGGTCAAACGACGTTCACCTCAAGAGCCGGAGTAAAGGAAACTTACGGCCTCCATGGTGACCAATCGCAGCTCCAGTACCAGCTCCGACTAGGCCGTCACGGTTTCCGTGAGTCCCTGTAAAATCAAGCAACTCGTCAGTGTCGACCAGGAAGAGCGTATATCGATGGACATACCTGTCGCGGTACCATTGCCATGATGGCCAAGCTCTCTGCCTGCCAAACCACCAACGGCAGCGTCACGGCCGGTATCTAGATACAAAGCAACAGTATGTCAAAAACTTGAACACGAGAGATAGATGTCTATACTCACGACCGTTATGACCTTCGTGGCCCACAATACCGCCAGTTCCGGCGCCTAGAGCGGTGTCGCGGCCGGTATGGTCGGTGGCGGTGGTGGTCTACAACGGAAAAGTCAGCCCAGCTGAGATTGAGATCACCCAGTCAGAAGATGAAGCATACGTTGTCGTGCTTTCCGAAAAGAGGCATTATAGTGATTTCAAGTGGTTGTGAGTTTGGGTTGGAGGTGTTTGTTGGTATGAGTGGGTTGTGGGGAAATTTGTTGTGCTGTCAACGAACAGGACAGGGAGCCTTATATACTGACAAGGACACCCAATATTCACGGTAGGAAGGACTCCTGCCGTGGTTTGGAGACTCGTCGTCATAAAATCGTCACCACCCACCGCAGTCATCCACCTTCCTGAGATAGAGTCGGCATAACTTGGTGGGGTAAGTTGGTGCGAGTCAGTATGGAAATGGCGATTGAGTGGAGATGATGCGTTTGTAACCCGAGACGGTGAACTCTGTGATGACGTCATGAGCGAAGTTGTGAGTAGAATGCCGCCACCGTCACACCACCATACTGTCGGAACCGCATGAACAAGCATAGACACCGTAGAACAGTGAACTTGGTATGCAATTATTACGCCGCAGGCTATATTGCCAGACTACAAAGTAGACAGTGGAGGCAGAGACGGCGGAACAAATCAGAAGCCCTTGCGCATCCCGCTCCCTGTTATCATCTGACTGACAAGCAGCCCTACCGTCACTCCGATAGCAACCTCCACCATCCTGACTCCAAGCGCGAAACTGCTCAGATACTGCTGTGCCGAGCTCCCTTCCGTCTGCTGTAACAGCGCGCCTGTCTGACTCAACGCACTCGGCACGAGGAAAAGCACGCCAGTGATCATACTCGTGAACGCCGCCCCCTTCACGAACTTCGCATACACATTTCCCAAGATCCCGAGCACGAAAGCCCCAGCCCCAGAAGCGATGTCCGACCGCGCGAAAAGGTACATCCCGGCGAGTTTGTTGGCTGTGTACGCCGCGCAGGAAAAGGCGACCATGGCGAGGAGGCGCCATGATTTGTACGCTTGAAGGTTGAGGAGCGAGGAGCAGAGGGAGTAGATGGGGACAAGGACAAAGACGAGCCACCAGGGAATACCACGGCGGTACCAGGACCAGGATGGATCGTGGTAGCAGCCCTTAGCGACGTGGGAGGGGTTCGTGGAGGCGGTGGCAAAAGTCCAAGTGCCTGTGAAGTCGAGAGGTGATGTGCCATTGGCGGTGTCGAAATAGCCGTGCATGATGTCGGAGGGACCAGCGGGAGTGGAGATTGAGTATTGCGCACTAGGGACGATGACGATGAAGAGTTCCGATCCCAACGTTAGGGCGAAGTTCTAAAACGATTGTGTTAGTCAACATGCATGTAGAGTCTGCTATGCAAGGGAACTCACGAGAAAGAAGGTGTAGATGATGGCGTGGACGAGTCTGACGGCGCCACAGAACATGTTTCTCGAGGCAAGCTCAAGAGCACTGATCACTATTATGAACGAAACGATCAAATCCATGTCATTATACTAGAGGAAGAAGAAGCGCACGGATGGCGAAACCAGGCAGAATCAGAACGACGCCGGCGGATGAGATGGCGGAATAGCAGAAGTAATGGCCAGGGATCGTGGCCAGACCTCTCGCCAGAAAGGAGATAAGCATTGCAATGGATATCCTACAAAAGACGCCGATCAGCTAGTGAAACTGTTATGAGTTCACTTAAGACACCCACTCGAAGATATTCGCCGCTTCCTTATGCGGCGCAAAACGCAAGCTGAGGAACTGCAACGCGCATGCGCAAGCACCGGCCACCCACATGTCCAAAAAGCTCCCTCCAAACGACAGCAAACAGATCACTGCGCCACAAATGAAGGCAAACATGCACCGAAGCCATACTGGGTAGATCGGAGCGCGCTTCATGATCCTGGCGAGCTGTTCTACACCAGCGGTGGCGCCGATTTTCTCTTTGACAACGGCCTCATACACGTCTTGTACACGGTGAAGGGCAGATAGTGAGAGTCGCCCTCCGGCTTTGACAAAGTGGAGGTCGGACGTTTTGCTGGAAAGGTTGTGGAAAGAGAGGATGATGATCGAAGGGAGGTAGACGAAGGACGTTTTTGTTTTCATCGTCTCGGCGGCCTTGTTTAGCTGGGCCTCGATTCTGTGTGACGGTGCTCCAACACAGAGAAGAGCCTTGCCGAAGAAACGAATGAATAAACGTCGTTGGGATGCAACTGAATGAGAGACGTTGTGAGTGTGTGCCGGAGGTAGGAAAGCGGGGAGTAAGGTACGCACGCTCGAGCTTTGACTTCTGCTCCTGAAAGACCGGAAGTTCTGTTGGAGGTTCTTCTCCGACTTCCTCGTCCACGATATCTCTATCGCTGTCATCACCATCGTCGCTGCCAATCGGTGACAAGGTGTGCTCCGAACTATAGCTGTTATTTCTGGCCATATGAAAGCTAGGTCGGCGCTGGGAGTCCATCTTGAGGGACCAGACACTATGTCTAAGTGGACGGCGTGGCTGAGGCTGAGAACGGAGACCAGATGATCCCGATGCGAACGAGTACGAGTCGGACGGCATGGCAGTGAGTGCTTGGGCGTCGGAGGGGCGCCGTGCGAAGAAAGGTTGTGTTTCGTAAGGATCTGGAGTATAACGTTCCTCGTGAATTTGTTCTTCTGTGTATGGGGCCATCTTTGCTTTCTTGACCGGAAAACGGACGAAGTGATGGTGGAGAGGAATCAAAAAGGACTAGAGGAGAACTCACTCTATGAAGCTGTATTTATTCACTAACGAATGAGGCCGGCAGCTGAAACCTGACCACCTTTCTGCCTCCGAGCCTCGTATGACGCATATGCTGAAACATTGAGTCAGTATCGAGACATGTCTCATACTATACCAGAGTGCGCAGGACTTGGAGTGGAGGAAGGAGACTTGGAACGCAGAAGTCATGTAAGTGGGCGTTGTCCACACCTGCAAGGCCGTAGAATCCAAGGCAGGTGTTCCTCGTAGACGATGATTACCTGTATAGTTGAGCACAGAAGCGATTACCAAGACGATTAACCCTCATACAGGGGATGGATATGCAAAGCAGGGAATTTGAATAATACTTGAATTGAAGTAGGCACACATGTAGTGAGTCAATAAGTGTGAGTGGACAACTTTCTTTTGCAGGTCACTGCTGGAGATAGATCTGTCAAGAGGAACATGGCAGTCTAGGGGTGAGCAGGTCGGGGTTGAAGGTAGGTGATATTGCCCTGAGCTCTAGTAGGGATCTGGAAATAGAGAGGCTGATGTCCGTCTCGTAGGAGCGCGAGCCGCGAACCCTCGGGGACACTGTGCCTCTCTTCTCCCGGAGGTGTGTCCCTACGACTGACACCGAAGGCCCTCTCCCAAGGAGCCAGCTGTCTTCCAGGCATTAAATTACCTGGTGTTGAGACGTAAGTGATTTTCCAAGCCCTAAGAGTGTTGACAGCTTTGCCATGACCACGTGGGTCAAAGAAGTCAAGGCAGTAATGCCCAAGGTCATCCACGCCGCCGTCCCAGATACGGACCGTGAGTTCTGAGTCTGGAATGTCGTAGTACATGACGCTTCTGTCATCTGCATCCGGGTTACGCTGGCGAAACAACTAATCAGCTGCTATGCAAATGGTCATAAGACTAGCGCTACGCACCCCACTGATCTGCAAACGGCCACCGCATCTGTCAATCATCTCCTGGTTGTGAGCTGCCATAGCCTCTCCAAGGGTATCCTCGGTCGCGCCTGTTTCGGACAGGAAGGTCATGAGTAGTTCTTGAGACTCGGGCACATAGGAAGGGTCTACAGAAGCCGCCCACTCTTCGACTACGCTGTGGAGCACAGGAAAGGGGCGGGACTATGTTTTACGGGGAGACGAGTACGAGGAACATGGGTGGCATAAGGGTCTATAGTATCGTTGGGGTTGAACCTTCTCGCACATTGATGGTATGGGTTGACACGATACGGGTTTTAATCGTGTCGGGCAGACCGTGAACGTTAGAACAGTGATCGATTGTCATCACTATAAAGGTCTGTAAAGGAGACTGTGAACGGTCGCCTCCAAGTCAATTTGAGCCTACCTGACGTGGAGGCTGAGACTTCAAGGCAGTTAGAAGGGTAAATCGTCGTAGGAAAGATATAATGACGCACTGTGCGCGCAGAGCGGGGACGCTGAGACATTCTGCTTTGTTGTGTTGGTTGGAACGAACGATGGTGGTGGCCGCGTGTCGCGTAGTCGCGTCTTACAGTAAAAACAGGTAAAAACAAGGGAATGTACTGTCACGTGTAGCGCGTTCATGATCATGGCGTAGCGCGCAACAGCGCCTCTCGTGTACAACTACCTGCATCTCGACTACACTCCACGGTGTCCTATCTAACTTAGAGGGTGCTGAACTACTGTTGGACTTCAGTTTAGCTTGTAAGGAGTTGTTTCGCTTTTCCGACACGAAGAAGAAACCACAAGGGTGCCCTGCTGGTGTGACGAATCTTGGACGAATCAGATGCGAGCCCATTTTTGCAATGGGGCCAACAATGGGGACCATCAAATTCCACAATGACTTTACTGGGATTGTGTCCCTATCCACATGCGTTGAATGGATCTAATAGACGAACACATATATATTGGCCTACACTATGTTGGTAGGAATGTCGACGGACTCATTACTACGACCACAGCGACAAAATGGCCTCTCATGTAGGCACCAAAGCCCGCGAGAGTCCTGCTAAGGGCCACCGCAACTCTGTGTCTCATTCGCCATCTTTATTCTCCCTAGCCTCCCGCTCGAATTGGTCTGTTGGGATTCCAAAATCTAGAGGCTTCTGGGATGATTTGAAGACATCCAGATGGGTCGTCATTCCGAGTATGTATTCTTATTGGTTATAATGACTTTTAGCTCTGACTTCGACATTTGCAGCTTCCTCTCTTCGTATGCTTCTCATACCAATCGCCTTGCACCTTCAATGGACGTATATTATCTCGCTATTTATTGATGATCCACCTCCAAGTCCTTTCGCCCCCATGCTTTTTATATCCCATCCTACTCCGTCCCCGACCGATGACCCCAACGATCCACACTATCGGAAAGGATATCTCGACATCGTCTTCGTCGCCTACTATGTCATCTTCTTTTCCTTTCTTCGACAGAGCGTTATTTTGTATCTCTGTCGTCCTTTCGCCCAACATTTCGGTATCCACAAGGAAGCAAAGCTCGCTCGGTTCGGCGAACAAGGATATGCTGTCTTCTGTGCCATCATTGCTAGTTTGTGGGGTATGCATGTCATGTCGCAGCTGCCAACTTGGTGGTACCGTACGGATGCTTTCTGGACTGGTTCGTCTGCTCTCAATCTTAGGCCGAACGTCCAGAGCTAACGCCCGCTTTCAGATTACCCCCATTGGCAGATGAAGGCTGACCTGAAACGCTATTACCTCGTGCAGGCTGCGTTCTGGTGTCAACAATTCGTCGTGCTCGTTTTGGGTCTTGAGAAACCGAGGAAGGACTATTATGAGTTTGTCGTTCATCATTTCGTTACACTCTGGCTTATTGGGTATGCTGCTATCCGTTTATTCCTCTCACGATTTACTTACACCCTTTGACTAGTTGGAGCTACATTTTCAATCTCACCTACATCGGTAACGCCGTCTACTTATCCATGGACATCCCAGAAATCGGCCTCGCCTTCTGCTCGATCCTCAACTATCTCCAACTCGAGCGCACCAAAGTCTCGTGCTTCGTGGTCTTCATCGGTATCTGGGCCTACTTCCGCCACTATTTGAACATCGCCATACTTTGGTCTATCTACTCCGAGTTCAATCTCATTCCGTGCGTCTTCTTTTGTTTTCAATTCTGTGGCTCATTCCGATAGCTGACTGTTTTATGTCGAATTCAGGGAGGCGAGCAAGCGTTGGGCACCCGAAGACGGGGTGTGGATGGTCTGGTGGATGAAGTGGCAGATATTCACGCCTCTATTTCTTCTGCACTCTCTCAACATCTTTTGGTTCTACCTCATCCTTCGGGTTCTCTATCGGTACGTTCACATTCCTCAGGCCCACACTACTTTTGTCTAGCAGATACTAACCCCTGCATGGAATCTAACTCCATGTAGTGCTCTCACCAAGGTCAAAATCACCGACATCCGATCAGACGATGAAGATGAAGGTGACAACAATGGCGACGAGAACGAGAAAGAGGATTAGCACGCGAGAGAGAATGTGTCTGACTCGGAATTCACCGGCTGCGAAAGTGAGTACATACGCGTATCTATACGAGTGTGGTTTCATAGCTAACCGTGCAATAGAGACTAGATTTAAACTATGCATGGCGGCTTCGTTTTCTCGGACGTTTACGCCCTCATATCCTATGCCAACGTGTTTCCTTTGACCTATGAGGTTTATCTCGAACTACCAGCGAACTTGCGAACTATCGGACGGACAAAGCAACATGTAACATCACCACATAGATGCATGGTAGATCGTGTCATTACATACATGACTCGCAAAGCGGTCGGGTCTGTCGATTAAACGGTGAGGGATAAGGGCGAGAGGAAATGGGGTGTCGCGGTGGGAAGTCTGAAAGGATGAGGTATCGCACCAAAATGAGGGAAGAAAGAGCGTAAGTAAAGCGACAGCGTGCGAAAGGACAGACAAAGACGAGCTGCGGATGATCGGTAAATAAATGGCAATACAGATGGTCAAAGAGCACTGAGAGAACGAGGAAGAAAGGCTAGTTCAACAGGAGTCGAAGTGGGGAATGTGGGGAAAGGCGGAGAGGAGGTGTCAAGCATCGAACCCCCAACGACCACGTAGGCGACGTGCGAGTTCGATGTCTCGTGTCATTATCGTTACTCGTTTCGCGTGAATGGCGCATAGATTTCTGTTAATCGTGCGCAAAACAGGGCAGCAGCAGCATCAGTCGGGATTTCGTATTTTTGCACGTAGTGGGGCGTGAAACTCGACTCACGCGTCCTCGAAGAGATGCACTAAATACGCCTCAGCAGCTTCCTGCAGGGCCATGATAGCAGTACTCTGCCACCTCAGACCCGCGTCGCCATACTGGTTGAGATCGGTCGTCATATCCAGCGCGATTTCGCGTACCTACGCATGAGAAGTGAGCCAAACGTCGTGAATACAATGAAGAACATAAAAAAAGTAAGTAAAGACACGTACCACTCGCGAAAAAGGAAGTCTACGCAGGAGCAAGTCCGTGCTCTTCTGGTATTTCCTGATCTCCCTCAACGCCACAGTCCCAGGCCTGAACCTCTTCTTCTTCCGTGAATCATCCGCTGCAGTAGCCGCAGACAATCTCCCTGCACATTTCGACACAGTATACCAAAAAAAGACATACCCACATCATCCGAAGATAGAGCCACAATCAAAACAACAAGCATGAGTTCCTTCTGTTTCCCAGGGAAGAGCACTGAACAAGACGCACGACGTGATGGTCCCTCTGCACGGTCCTCATCCCTGTCTGATACGGCCGATACACGAGCCTTGGGGGGTCGCCCACCCGTGGATTTACGCGCCGTACCGGTCTTGGCGCGTTTTGCAGGCGGACTCGAATCGTGTTCGTCAGAATTGTGGCCGGGTTTGCGCTTGACCTTCTTCTGTGTGGTTTGAGCCATCCTGTGCGGGATATCAAAATTCCAGAAAGGAAATGGAAAAAAGGGACAGAGTATATGAGGGGGAAGGAGATGAGGGGGAGTGTAGAATGCAGAGACAACCAGAGATGTCTAAGGAGGACAAGTCACAGGAGAAAGTTGAGACAAACGCGACCACGTGATCAATGTGCGAAAACGCGAGCTCGTGGCAATTGAAGTGGCGCAGATAAAGTTCCCCGCGTTTCTTGCTCAAAGCGGACATCTCCATCTCTCGCCCATCGACCACCATGAGCAGAGCGGATATTATGACCATCAGTGGGTTCTATTGCTTCACAGACATCTGGTTGGAGTGGTGCGTGCTCCGACAATATCAATGATACGCTTCTGAAAGCGACGTTAGGGAAAAGGTCTTGACGGAGGAGCAGAAAGAGCCAACGAAAGCCATGTTTGCGTTCGAGACCCTCGTCCATCCAGACCACCCGCTTCGACGCAACGGTTGTGATGGCATCGAACTGAGCATCGGTGCGCTGCTGCATACCATATTTCTCCCAGCCAGATACATCGGACTGATATTTGAAGAGATCGTGTGGCGTTATGATATGTGCAGGCACTTTGAACAACGGCGAAGCCCGTCTGCTGTACTCCTCTGCCCAGATCGACTACATCAGGCTGTGGCTCGTCAAGACAGGACTGACGAAGGAGATGATACCGCTTCCGTACAACGCTTGCATGCTCACGTCCTCTAACCTCCAAAACTGTGCCCCTGCCATATTCAAGACCGCAGCGGAACTTAAGAAAGCCACGAGAGTAAGTGATCTCAAGTCAGGATGTACTTCCTGAACAGATCGTGTAATTCCTCTCTCAATACTCCTTTGCATGTGAAGGATATCGACAAGAACAACAAACGACTGAAAAAAGGCGTCGCGCTAGCCACCTCCCTCCAGAACCGTCGTTTCAATTTCGAACGCATCCGTGCTCTCTGGTCCGAGAAATGCGGCTCGTGGTGCGCCATGGACTTTGAGGCGTACGAGTGGGAGCACACGACGGTGACGGAGTTCGGCTGGAGCTACGTGACGTTCGTGAATGGCGAGCCGGACGAGCAGTCGGGACATTCGATCGTGAAAGAGAATCGACATCTGATCAATACGAGATGGGTGCAGGGCAATCGAGATGTGAGTGTATATTTTGGGTACTCATGCTAAGATCTTGGCTGTCGCATAATCATACTCACTATACACAAACTCTTATAGAACTATAGCTTTGGCGAGAGCGAGACTATACCCAAGAAGGCTTTCGCAAAGCGGATAAACGACATGATAGACACACTCGCAAAGAACGGCCCAGTCTTCCTCATCTTCCACGACCACAGCCAAGATGTCAAGTAAGTCTTCTTCTACCTCCGCCTTCCACACCCAATTTTCTGCTCGCAAATCATATCTCCTCCCCCTTTAACTCCTGACCAGATACCTCCGCTCAAACTACGTCAACGCCGCCCTCCTCGGCCTCTCCTACCAGCTCCCCAGTTTCTGCGAATCAGCGTCCAGCGGCGCCAAAGCCGGCCAACCATCGCTCTACGTCGTCGACACAGCCGACCTCTTCGCTGGCTTGGAAGGCGAAGGGAGCACGCAAACAAAGGGTCTCGAGCGGATATGCAGGCATCTCCAAATCCCGACGCAATACCTCCACAACGCCGGGAACGACGCAAGGGTACGTCCCTAGAAACGTATCGTATCAGAAACCTCCATTTATATTTCTACTACGTTCACCTATCTCCGAGAGAACTGATTGACCGTGTTATCAAACATGAATTAACCAATGCTCCTCGCAACACCACACTCAAACATCGACAGTTCACTTTCCTCGCATTCAGGTCTATGGCCGAAGGCGGTCCTCTCGACGCCCAGCGCGAAATCCGCTGGCCTAATCATACACCGGCTGAAGCTGTGAAAGTCGAGTGGGGAAAGTATGAGGCAGATAGTAATGCGAGTGTGATAGATGACGATGAACTCTTTGACCATTTCTATTCCGATGAGCCTGAGGGGGAGTAGGTAGAGGCGGAAGAGGGGACGGGTGCGGCGTACGCTTGGTCGTGGTGCGCACGACGCTCGGTCGTCTGCCGCGACGGACACGAGGGTTCGAATTTAACGGTGACTCAGTGTATGCAGAAGCCTCATATATGAAGTCGTGTAGGTTAGAGGTATATGATTTTTGTACTTGTATCCTGCTGTTTTTTTCTGAATACCACACTACATACTGTGCATATTCTGTGTGATGCTCATGGGTATTTTGCAGAAAATGATGAAATGCTATGGGAGGTGGTATTTGTGTTGCAATTTTGTCACATACAGGGAGCCCGACCGACATAGACATTTCGACCAGTCTTCGATACGAACATATTTGTCTGTACAGATATATGTTAGGTGTAAACATAAGCTCAATGTGAGCCCCAGTTATGCTGGTAGACACTGGTTGCCTACTTTTGCGTATGCCATCATTTTGTCGAGAGGCTCCTATAGCTGAGGCACCACAAGAGGCACCCGCCTGGTGGGTTCCAGCTCAAGCATATTTGCTATTCCTCGTATAACGAGTATATCAACTTTGAGCCACAGCTGTAAGCTTCTTTCACCATGGTCTGCTTATTTTTACCAGACTGTTTGGTTTCTAGAGAGCACGATTTTATAGAAGTGGCAACTTTACACCTCTCAAACAACCGGAGAGAGAGAGAGAATTGCAGTCATTAGCGAGGCTGTCAAACGCGACCACGTGATCGATGTGCGAAAACGCGAGTGGCGGCCTGTGGCGGCGCTCGTGGCAATTGAAGTGGCGCAGATAAGTTCCCCGCGTTTCTTCCTTTGCTCAAAGCGGACATCTCCATCTCTCCCCCATCGACCACCATGAGCAGAGTGGATACTATGACCATCAGTGGGTTCTACCGCTTCACTGACATCTGGTGGGAGTGGTGAGTACCTCAACAGTATCCTCAATGATACATGCTTCTGAAAAGCGACGTTAGGGAAAAGGTCTTGACAGAGGAGCAGAAAGAGCCCATGAAAGCCATGTTTGCGTTCGAGACCCTCGTCCATCCAGACCATCCACTTCGACGCAAAGGCCACGATGGCATCGAGCTGAGCATCGGTGCGCTGCTGCATACCACTATTTCTCACCGCCAAGTCACGGTCGGACTGATATTTGGAGAAATTGTGTGGCGTTATGACATTGTACAGGCACTTTGAACAACGGCGAGGCCCGTCTGCTGTACTCCTCCGCCCAGATCGACTATATCAGGCTCTGGCTCGTCAAAACAGGTCTAACGAAGGAGATGATACCGCTTCCGTACAGAGCTTGCATGCTCACGTCCTCCAACCTCCAAAACTGGGCCCCTGTCAAATACAAGACCGCGGCGGAACTCAAGAAAGCCTTGAAGGTAAGTCACCTCAAGTCGGGGCGCACTTCCTGAACAGATCGTGTAAATCGTCTTTCATTTGCTCCTTTCTATATGAAGGTCATGGACAAGAATAACAAACGACTCAAGAAAGGCGCAGCACTGGACACCTCACTCCAGAACCGGCGTTTCAATTTCGAACGCGTCCGTGCGCTCTGGTCCGAGAAACGTGGCTCGTGGTGCGCCATGGACTTTGAGGCGTACGAGTGGGAACACATGACGGTGACGGAGTTCGGCTGGAGCTACGTGACGTTCGTGAATGGCGAGCCGGAAGAGCAGTCGGGACATCTCATTGTGAAAGAGAATCGACATTTGATCAATACGAGATTCGTGCAGGGCAACCGGGATGTAAGTGTATCTTTCGGTCATTCGTGCTCACCATTTCACACACCCTCGTAGAACTTTAGCTTTGGCGAGAGCGAGACTATACCCAAGAAGGCCTTCGCAAAGCGAATAAACGACATGATCGACACACTCTCAAAGAACGGCCCCCTCTTCCTCATCTTCCACGACCAAAGCCAAGACGTCAAGTCCGTCCTCTTCTACTCCCTCCCTCTTCCACCCAATCTCTTACTCACTTACCTCCCACTGAACTCCCGACCAGATACCTCCGCTCAGCCTACGTCAACGCCCCCCTCACCGGCCTCTCCTACCTCCTCCCCAGTTCCTGCGAATCCGCCTCCAACGACCAACCCTCCGCCCTCTACGTCGTCGACACGGCCGACCTCTTCGCGGGTCTAGAAGGCGAAGGAAGCGCGAACAAGAAGGGTCTCGAGCAGGTGTGCAGGCACCTCCAGATCCCGACGCAATACCTCCACAACGCCGGGAATGACGCACGGGTACGTCTCTCTCTCTCTCTCTCTGTGCCTACTTATCATCATACCACAAATACTCCATCTCCATCTCCATCTCCATCTCCATCTCCATCTCCATCTCCATTTCCCTTCTATATTTGTTTATTTTATCTCCACGAGAACAGAACCGAACCGAACCGAACTGAACTGAACTGAACTGACTATACTATCCCCAGTTCACCTTCCTCGCATTCCGCTCCATGGCCGAAGCCGGCCCCCTCGACGCCCAACGCGAAGCCCGCTGGCCCGACCACACCCCAGCTGGCGCCATCGGGGCCGAAGGTGTGAAGGTCAAGTTCAATAGGTACGAGGTGGATAGTAACGCGAGCGTGACGGATGATGAGGATGAGTTTGAGGGTTATTATGAGGATGAGGATGAACCTGGGCAGGAGGGGGAGGGGGAGGGGGAGGCGGGACAGGAGGGGGAGGAGGGGACGGGTGCGGCGTAGGTTGGTTGGAGACGAGGGTTTGAACTTTGGATTTGCGTGACGGTGGTTCGGTGTAGGTATTATAGAAGGCTCAGACTAACACTAGTCATAACGGAATCGAAGAAATATCGCAAGTCGTGTATCGTGTATCGTGTACGTTACCGTTCTACGCATGTAACCTGGGGCTGTAGTATCATGACCGTGTCCATGTACTTGTATGTATCTATCACTGCTCCCTTTCGCTACTGCTTTGCTGTCATTGTTCTCGAAACATCCAGCCAATCTATTTCACCATTATAAACAAAGAACACTCCAATCCGCCTTCCCCAACCCCACTCGACCCTTCTCACACTCGAGGTATATACTGGTACAGTACCCACCCACCCCTCCATTGCGTCCTCAAGGTACGGTACGATAAATATATAAATAGAGCCAAAACCCAGTCGCTTTGATCCGGCGACTGAGAAGTATGCAAATTAAAAAGAAATCGAAAATTTGAATCTCGAAGGTCGTTAACTTTGAAATGGAATGGTGCGAAGAGAGCGAGAGAGAGTGCGAAGAGGGAGAGAAAGAGAAAGAGGAAAAAAAATCGATTAGCGATGTATGTATCCGACGAATTGTGTTCTTTTGCATATATATATATACATAATAACGTTTTTCGCGCGTTCTTCCCGGCCCCTGCTCTGCTCTGCTCTGCTCACTCGGTGGACTGGTGATTGATGAAAGAAAGCCGAGTGAGTGGGCGTCAGAGCGGCATGATCTCAACGAGTTCAATCCTCCTTCTCGTCTCCGTCGTCCTCGTCGTCCGACCGCACGTCGTCGACTACCACCTCAGTAATAGCGCTATTGACATTATATGAAAAAGAAGGTGGCGCGTAAAGCACAAGTCAGATCATCGAGTCGAGTCGAACGCGCGAGAAAGCATGACAACGTACCGATAGAGGATGCGCAGGATGAGGTAGAACCAGAACAGATTGATACAATGCAGGAGGAAAAGCGGCGTGAAGATCTGCCACTTCATCCACCATTCCATCCACACCCCGTCTTCCGGTGCCCAGCGCTTGCTCGTCTCACTGCCATCCCCCCAAAAAAAACAAAACAAAAACAAATCCGCAAAAACATCAGAATCACAATTGCTTTTGAGGTGAGAGAGAGACGTACGGCATGAGGTCAAACTGTGTGTACACAGAATAAAGCATGACGATATTGAGGTAATGCCTGAAATAAGCCCACACGCCGACGAAGATCCCAAAGGATATATTCTTCGTGCGTTCGAACTGGAGGTAGTTCAATACCTTACAGAACGCGAGGCCGACATCGGGAAGGTCCATCGAGATGTAGACGGCGTTCCCTATGTACGTGAGGTTGATGAGGTAGCTCCAACTGAGCAACACGAAACATCAGTACTCATTACGGCGCAGAACTTGAATATGCGAGTTGCGACATACCCTACGAGCCAGAGCGTGACGAAATGGTGCGCGACGAGCTCGTGATAGTCTTTCCTCGGTTTCTCGAGCCCCAAGAGGAGGACGATGAGCTGTTGACACCAGTATGCGGCCTGCATGAGGTAGTACCGTTTCAGATCGGGCTTCATCTGCCAATGGGGGTAATCTACGAACGGCGGTCAGTTCTGCACGACCGGTCTAAAAGCTGACAATGACAAAAATAAAAATAAAAACGAACCGATCCAGAATGCTTCCGTACGGTAGAACCATGTGGGCAACTGGGACATGATATGCAGACCCCAGAGTCCCGAGATGACGAAGTAAAAGACGGCATAGCCCTGTTCGCCAAAACGAGCGAGTTTTGCTTCCTTGCGTATGCCGAAGTATTGAGCGAAGGGACGACAGAGGTAGGACGTGACGCTCTGGCGGAGGAAGGAGAAGAAGATGATATAGTACGCGACGAACACAAGATCGAGATATCCTTTTCGATAGCGAGGGTCGGCGGAATCATCGGTCGGGGACGGAGTCGGGTGAGATATGAAGAGCATGGGCGCGAACGGGCTCGGAGGTGGATCATCAATAAAGAGCGGGGTGAGGTAGGTCCATTGGAGGTGGAGGGCGATCGGGACGAGGAGTAACCGGAAGGAGGAGGCTGAAAAGTGTGTGTCAGCGTGCCGGGACAGGACTGAAGCGAGAAAGAGACAGACATGGGACGACGACCCAACGGGAGGTCTTTATGTCATCCCAGAAACCCCTCGTCTGAGGGATGCCAACCGCCCACTTTGGACGACGAGCGGGCGGACGCAGGGAGGGGGAAGGGGAGGCAGAGTGGCGGGTGCCATTAACGGGAGGGGGAGTGCCGAGCGGCCTGTTTCAGTGAAATTCAGTGAGCACCGGTGGGTGAATTGGTGGGGAAGGGGCGTACGTCTGGGGCAGGAAGGGGCCTGTGAGATGGTGGCCTGCGTCGGTCCTGTAGAATGTGAGTGATATTGTCGAGAAAATAAGAGAGAGGATAGTTACTCGACGGAGAGGGAGCCAGCACGGCCTCTGCCTTTGCGGCTTGTTTTGGAGGACATGGTCGTGGTAAAGGAAGAAGACGCGACGCGAAGGGACGCGCGCCCTCGCAACTGTTCCGGTCATGTTTTCACCCCTCGGCCTCTTCCACAGCACGCCCTGTCCCCTCCGTGGGTCTTGTGCTCGTCCAAACTGCCTCTTCTCGCACAGCCAGCACGTCAAGGAGAAGCAGATAATCATCGCCTACGATGAGCAGCCCGTCGCAGGCCCATCCAGCAGTGCTGAGCCACGCCAGGTCGTCCCCGCAAAGCGTCCCGCTCTTAATTCTCCAGCAGGTCTATCTGCGTCACCGAGTACCGCACGTACCACACCTGTCTCAGCCGAACCGCCACGCAAGATCGTGAAAACTGGTACAACAACTGCCAGACCGATAGCACTGCCAGCACCCTCGACGGTGCGCCACACATACCTACAGCAGTGGCACTGAGACTGACCACCCCCTATACGTCCCTCTTCAGACAGGGGCCCCCGTCCTCAGAGTCAACGCTGCTCAGTCTAAGGTCCCCGTCTCCACTCGACAGGTACTTCCTCCTTCTTACCATTCCTCCATAACCCGCACTCAAACAAACTTCAATGGACTCTCCATTCCTGTACCATATCATTGATATTAATGTATGTCTCTCTACTAACCCAGGCCCTACTCAAGTCGCTATACGAACACTTCGTTATCCTATATGACGCCATTATCCCCCTGCAGCCGTCCATCGCATCTGAACATGCCCTCCGTCAAGAAGAGGAGGTCTACGCACGCACCACCAAAGCGACCTACCGCAACGTATGACCCCTCACCTCTCTCCTCTCCCATCCATCCATGCCTCTAACTATCCCATATAACAAGGCCGTCATATCATCCATCGCATCCCTCAAATCCCGCGCTCCCCCAACCTCCATCTCCCACCCCTCCGTAGGCACCTCCTCCGACCTCGCCACGCGCGCCTCCGCCGCCAAAGCCCTCACCTCCCTCACTCTCACCCCCGCACACCTAGAGCCCCTCCTACTGACCCGTGAAGAACTCGTCCGTTGGGGCTACATCATCGACGTGCCGGAGGAATGGGGCCCGGGCTCAGATCGCCCGAGCGCGGTGGACACGAGGGTGAAATGCGAGAGATGCAACGTCGTGTATGTCGTGAAACCTGTGGGCGAAGGAGGCGTCACGGGCGAGGAGTGCACGTTTCATTGGGGGAGACCTTATACCACGAAAGTGAACGGTACGTGCACATTATAATCGACTACCCAGCTCACTTAAGGCCGTTCAGATCGCTCACTTTTAGAGGTGTACAGGCGAAAAGCATAGGAGATATAACTGCTGCTCACGGCTCACCTCCGAGAGCGAAGGCTGTTCCCGGGGACCACACGTCTTCTATGAAGCCGAACACTCCGACCTGCATGCGCGCCATGCATTCACGACGACCCGACCCGCATCGGATTCGGAGGACGACAAGGACAAGGACACGGCACTCGATCTCGTCGCGCTCGACTGCGAGATGGTGTACACGACGGGCGGGTTCCGTGTCGCTCGCGTGTCCGTCGTGGACGGCGAGGGGAGGAAAGTGTTTGATGAGCTGGTGAAGATGGACGACGGCGTCCAAGTCATGTTCGTTCCCCATCTACGCACTTACTTCTCATCCTACTCCGCTAATGAACACCCCACAGAGACTTCAACACCCGCTTCTCCGGCATCTCCCCCGCAGACTACATCTCCAACGCCGTCCTCACCCTCGACGCCGTCCGACTCTCCCTAGACGCCTACATCAACGCGCACACGATCCTCATCGGCCACGCGCTCGATAATGACCTGAAGACGCTGAGGATGATGCATTATCGTTGTGTGGATACCGCGATTCTGTTCTTGCATAGGAATGGGTGGCCGTTTCGGAGGGCGTTGAGGGATCTGTACGTCTCTCCGCTTCCCTTACTCCCTCACAGCTCCTTCCTTCCTTCCCCCCTCCTTCCTTCTTTCCTTTCTGTGGACTTCGGACTTTGGAGAATCAACTAGATGACTGACACCCCACGAATAGCACCCGAGAACACCTCGACCGCACCATCCAATCCGGAGGCGGATCCTCCGGGCATTCCTCCATCGAAGACTCCATCGCCACCCTCGATCTCGTCAAGTTCTTTGTTTTGAACAAGAGGACGAAGCCGTTTAGTCTCGCTGGGGTGCCGCCGGAGTTGCGGGCTGGGGCGTCTGGTGCTGGTGAGAAATTAGCAGCGTCTGGGTCTGGGTCGCAAGTACCATCGGGGGCGGCAGCTGGGTCGCAAGTATCATCGGGGACGGGGGCGGGAGGGAGGAGTACGGGCGCGGTGGCGCCGGCGCATGGTGTTAAAGCTACAGGGGATGGAGAACCGAAGAAGAGGCAGCCGTTGTTCGACGATACGTGGGGTTGATGCACGTCTGGACATATGTACTGTACTTTCCCTGTCTTGATTTACCACCGTGTTGTTTATCCGTCCGTCCGTTCGTGGAGTCGTGGGGTCGTGGTCCCGCATCGCTATCGAGTTCGTTGTACGCTGTATTCTGAATCTGACATCTTGTGTTCTGAAGTTCCGCATTCTGAGTCTTGTGTTGTGTTGAGTTGAGTTTATCCCATAAAATGACGCTTCCCGCAATCCATCCATCAGCCATGTATACTGTAAAAATCGTACAATATCCCCGTCCCCGTCCTCAGCGTGTAAGTAAGTATATACGTATCGACCGCATGAATTCGCCAACTCTAAACCCAACGGACATGGTCTCGCGTGGAGAACCAGCGACTGAGGGATCAAGTCCTCCAAAATGTAATAGTGCGAGGGCGAAGTATGAGTCGGATCACGAGAGTGCGCGCGAGCCAAGACGGGCCATCGTATCCTCGCTGTTCTCCTGCTCCTCGACGCTATCCGATTGTGTGACCTGATGTTGCCCGGATGGATTAGAATAGGACGAGGGGGGTGTGGTGACTGAGGAAGGAAGGAAGGAGGGAAAAGGGAGGAGAGGGACGTACGACTCTGAGCACAGACTTCTTCGATGACTCTTGGAGCTCGCCTGCGATGATGAGCTCGTCGAGGATCTGTAAACAGGATAGCGCGAATGAGTCTAGTCTGAGTACGCGAGGAAGTATGTGTGGGTTTGGTGAGTAGGATTGGGACGGGACGTACAGCGTATGCTTTTTGGAAGTTGAAGATCCTATGAAGTCCAATACCCACCCGTATCTCAGTAATTACATAGTAACTCTCATCCATCCCATCCAGACAAAAACGAAATGCGAACAAAACAGCGACTCACAAGTCCAATTCACAAACCTATCACCCCGAATACCATCCAGTGCGCATCAGCTTTCAATATTTTGTTTGTGTTTTCAAGGGGCGGAGGAGACCAGACAAGCGAGGGGGGAAGACATACGTTTCCAAAGTACCGATCCAACACCTCAACATAGCGATGCACGATCTCGAGCGTGATAAGCTCATTATCCATCTGACCGATCCCACAGACGAAGAAGAGCGAGGCATATCGGCGGTAGACGACCTTCGTGTCTATTTCAGCCCAACCCACTATCAGCACCCTGCGTCGAATCACTCCAATTCCCTCCCATTTCACGACAATGTTGCAAACGGAGGCGAAAGGGGAGAAAGGGTGGAAAGAGACGGTAGCGGCGCACCCTTGTACTCCAAGAAGTTACACATCCGCGTCCGGCGAGCGAGCACGAGCTGCGTCACGTCCTTCACGATCTTCGCTTTCGCCTTTGGAGGCATCGTCGTGAACCATTTCGCGAGGCGGACTTTGCCTAGTTTCGGTTTCACGTCAAGTCATGATGAACAAGGGACATGGACCCGGGAAGGAGAGGAGGGCGAGGGGGCAAGGAGGGTGTTAGTTGAGTCCGGTCGTAGGGCAGGAAGAGGAGGAAGAGGATATTGTCAATACCTTGCCGAGATACGAGCAGAATATAGTTGATCATGGCGCGCCTGCCTGTGCAGAACGTATGTTCAACGGCGAGTAAGAAAGAAAGAAAGGTTCGTAACGTTCGTGGTTGGGTGCAAGTATGAGAGGCTGCTGAGAACGCCACAGCGCTTAACCAGGCTTCCGTGGCTCCGTGGCGTGACTAGCAACTCGAGACCGACAATTCGGCGCCTCGGAGTGACACACCCTGTTCCAGGAAGCCAGCGCTTGTAGTAACGAAAGTGGGCACGGTCTTTGAAGGGACACATCTCGCGGGAAGTATACATACAACACACCCAGCAGAAAGATCACACACAATGCACATCCCAGTCCAGGACCACAACCCACCCTTGCCTTACACTAATACTCATTCTGAATCACAACCACACCCACGTCTCTAGTCACACTCACGATCCATTCAGGCCAATTCCGAGTCATTCGATCCGACAATCACGACTAGAATTCTACAGACGAGACGAGTACGAGAATGAAACGAGAATGAAACGAGAACGAAAACGCCAACGAAAGAGAAACTAATAATTATGGATGGATGGATGGATAGCTGGATAGCCGTTCATGTCAATGATGGGATCGATCGAGTACTTCCGAGTCCTCAAATTTCAAAGTTCAGAGTGTAAGAGTCAAAGTTCAGGGATTCAGGGATTCAGTAGGTGGACCGGGACCGGAACTGGTGTTGTGGTGGCGGTGCTGTGTGGGACTGGTGGTGGTGGTGCTTGTTTAATCGTTAATGGTATGTATGTATGTCAGCAGCAGTAGGCTCGAGCGCGTGCGTAGGACGGAGCAAATATGGGTGGATGACGCGCAACGAAAACAAAAAAGACAGAGTATGTAGCGAAAAGTAGGGAAACCATAAAAAACCGAAACCGAAACGCAAACGAAACCGTGGTCATAAAGAATTCAAGATTTCACAACAAGAAAGGCTGAACTGAAAAAAGTGAACAAGAAAAAAACAAGAAAAAAACATACACGGAAATCCTGAAGAGTGAAGATACGTTTGTGTGTGCGCTGTGCACTGAGGGCGAATTTTGACTCGACTCGGAGGTATGGTGATGTCACATGTGAAGTGCGGGCCAAGATCCAAAATTGCGGACGTCAAGAAACGAAACGGAGCAGTGAAGGTGAATGCGGAGGGGCGTAAGGTTAACGAGGAATGAAGAATGAAGAATGAAGAACGAGGAACGAGGAAAGGAAGAACGAGGAAAGGAAGGGGGGTAATATTTAAGAAAGCCTGTGAAAATCGAGCCAGTGAGATGGAGATGAGAGGGACTGCTGCAAAGATGCGGGAGAACGGGCGAAACGGTGAAAGGGACAAAGGGCGGGGAAAAGAATAATAGAGATGGGAAACCATGACACAAACACCACAACACGAAACCCAGACCGACAGTGAGCAGTGACGGCGGAGGAATGCGAATCCGCAAGCGGCTAACCGTCCAAAGAAAAAGTTCAGGTGAGAGAAAGGAAGAAACAGTAAAAGCACACAGATGAGGATCAACGAACACAAAACAACGAAAATAACGATTGGTATTAAAAAGAGTGTGTGCCCTACTTGGGCAAAACGAGAATTCCGAGAATTCAGGGACGTGTGAGTGTGAGCGTATAGTGTAAGGTGAGCGGCGCGGAGCGATAAGTAAGTACGTATGATGGGGCGAGGCGATGGATGGCATGGCATGGAGGACGGGGGGTGGGGATACTTGAACACAGAACTGAACTAAAATGTCATGAAAATGCAGAATCAGAATAATTGAAAGCGAAGTTGAACGTCCTAGTGTTTTTAGTCCGATGTAAAGCGATGCGATACGAGATGCAATGACACGCCCGACACAAACCCAAACCCGCCCACTCACGAGAACGCCGTCATCCTCCGACTAGGATACGGCCTCGCATTACCACTATTACTGTACCCCGAATGCGCAGACAAATTCGCCACGGACATGTTCATAGCCGACGGCGGCGGTTGCACGCCCCACGACCCCGTCTGCTGCAGCCTCGTCGTCGGCCTCCCCGAACGATGTTGTTCACGGCCACCAGCAGACGGCGTCCCCGTCCTCGTCGGGCTATTGCGTTCGTCTCCGCTGCTACCTTGCCTTGATCCGTGCCCATGCGAACTGTTATACGAAGACTGTCTTGGTCGTTCCTTGCTGCCCCCACCACTAGCACTCGTATGGCTCCCCGAAGTCGTCCCGCTCTTCCTCCCAGGCGAAGATGACGAATCCCTCGACCTCGACCTTCTCCCAAATTGTTGTCCCCCCATAAACGGAGGATTGGGCGGTAAGAGCGGCATGTCCATGACATATTGCGGCATCGCCATGATGGGCATCGAGGGTATCACATTGACTGGGAATGCGGGTATCGGGGGAACGGGCACGGGGACGTTGGGCCAACCATAAGCATAGAGCGACGATCGTGCGTGGTTCTGAGAGGCAGCTTCGGAGACCATGGATCCTCGACGACTGTTGGTTCGGTTTTCGCGGAGACGGACGTCTTCCATCGAGGAGTGGACGGAATATGTCGAAGCGGGACGAGAGCCTGTAGTACCGCTGTTGGGCGAGTAGTAGGTGCTTCCGGGTCTTGAGCTCGACGAAGACTGGTTACGCGAACGAGATGATGATGAATGTTCCTCGGGTTTACTCTTCGGGTCGTATGCGGGACGATGATACTTGTTGACCCGACCTCCGTCTCCGTCCTGCGGCAGCGCAGGCGACGACGACGGAGGGAAATGCATCATCGAGCTCGCTCTCCTCGCCCTAGCCGCGATCACCTCCTCCGCATACGCCTTCTTCCTCTTCTCGTCCTCAATCGCCTGCATCTCCCTCTTATACTGTTCTCTTTCCTTCTGCCACCGTGCTCGCTCCGCCTCATGTTTCTGTCTCTCCTCGTCATGAGCCCGGAGCTCCTTCTGGCGCTGCAAGAACTGCGCCTTCTCCTCCCTGTTCTTCTTATGGCGGAGGACGTAACCGAGCGGAACGTTCTCCTCTTTGTCGTCTTCTTCTTCGGCAAACCGGACACCGCGGCGGTTCGATGATGAATTGATGGCGGCGGCGGGCGTGGGGGATTCCGGCATGGGTACGGCTGATGGCGCAGTCACGGATCGTGCTGAGAGCGACGGTTTCACGACGGTCCCGGTGGTAGGATCGCTCTCGGTCCGCAGGGGCGAGGGTGCAGCTTTATAAGGCGCTTGACGCCCGGTGACGGGTGTTGGTGGCGAGACTGGAAGCATCAAGATCAGAAACGCAAAAACACGATGCGGCAGAAGCTATGAAAAGCACTGGATTGGGAACTCACTGGATCGTTGAGACGAGCTGCTGGATGGCGAAGATGGCGCGTCTGGGACAAATGTCGGTACAGAAGCAGGCGAATGTGGAGGTGAGGATTTGGAGGGCACGGGCACGGGCACGGGCAGAGGCCAGTCACCGTCTTCTAGATCTTCAGCGCCAGCCATTTCCTCTAGTGCTCTCGAAACGTCCAAGGCCCACACGCCGAAGCCAGAACCAGTGACGGGGGAGTAGGCGACAGAAGAGCCGTCAGGAGAAGGCTTCCATGCGACCGTCCTCTCCTCGAAATAACCGCGTGCGAGCCAGGCTCTGAGACCGCGGCTGGTACCGCTGGGGTCAAGCGCCGCGACGTCCGGAAATGCGCCCTCATCGGGCTGTGGCAATGTTCGTTTCGGGCTAGGCGAAAGACGGGGCCCGAAAGAGGCGAGCATGCGTCTGTCTGACTTGGACAGGGAGCCTGATGAGCTGTCCCGTTCTAGCCGGCGGAGCAGGCGGGACCTGTGCATTGTGGACTCGAGGGATTCCCGAAATAGAACTGCACGGGAGGGGTTACACGAACGTGGGAAGAGAGGCTGGCCGCGAACATGTTGAAGTGGACACGGTGAGAACGGGGGAACAAGGCCGGTGCTGGTCAGGAAGGTGAGGTGCTCGATTGGGGAGAGCGCGTGATCGTGCGTGACAGGTGGTTTGTGATTTGAAGGTGCGGCCTCGTCAGATTCGGAAGAGGAGTCGGAGGTGGCGTCGTCGTCGGTGTCGTGATGGGCCTCGCGTGGACTGCGGTTGTTGGGAGCAAGAGGGGTCAAACGCGACGAGGGAAAGGACGACGGTGGGAGGGAAGATGGAGGTGCTGTGGGAGCCTTCTTTGCGTTCGCCCACGGGTTCCAACCCTTTCTCGACACTGGGGTAAGTGTTGCCGGGTCGGGTGGCAAGATGGGGCTTGCACGGTCGTCGTCCGGGGTCTGGATAGAATTCGAGCCACAAGACGAGGAGGAGGAGAGACCCTGGTCGAGTGGTGGCACAGGCTGCTCTGTAGAAACCGTGATGCGGGAGCGGGAGACAGCGGCGAGAAGACGAGAAGCCTTGCGAGCGGGCTGTGGCCTTGCAGAAGACTGTGGCCTGGCAGCAGAAGAGCTGGGGTCTTCTTTCGACTGCTTGTCTTTGTCTGCACGCCTGGAGGCGAGGACAGAGGCGATCCGACGCATAGTTTAGAGGATGAGGGATGAGAGGGGCGTAGACACGGTCAGAGTCTCATAACCGGACAGAGGCCGCTGGACTGGACGGGTTTCGGCGTCTGTACAGGCCGTAGACGCTCTTGCAGCAGAGGAGGGATGAAGAGGGGAGATCGGAGAGAGACGGCGAAAAGAGCGACGATGGTCAGACGTGTTTTGAGAGCAGAGCTCATCCTCGGCCAAACCTGTACCTTGTTCTCCCGCCAGCGCTGACTCAGCCCTGCACATGCCCGTCCTCGTTCCTGTCCCTCCCGTCCCATCACAACATCACATAATATAATATCTACATCTACCTCTCGCTCTCACAAAACCCTTCCCCGTCGTCGCATCCCGTCCCACCACCGCACAAGCCGCCGCTCGTACCGCTCGACCACCCCATAGATGTACTCTGCGTCCACCCCCGTCCACTGCGCTGCCCGTCCAACCACCAGCGCATAGTCCTCTGGCACCGTTCCTAGCACGTCTTGCGTGTTGTAAACCGTATATCCTTCTCCAGCCTTGCGTCCCTCGTTCTTCTCACCCTCCTCATGTCCCTCCACCGTCATCGTCATCGCCCTCCGTCGCCCCACCACCAGTTCCTGTCCCTGTGCTCGTCGTCGATCGCCCTCCACCCTGCGGTCTTGGTCTCCCGTCTTCAGGGGAAAGTACTCGTCGAGGATCCTCCGTTCTGCGAAAGGCAAACAGAGCGGTATCAGCTTCTCCACTCGCCGCGTGCGCGTTGCGTTGCGTTGCGTGGGCACATTTACCTGAACCTTCTCTTTCCCCCGCTGCTCGCTGCTCGTGCTCGTGCTCGTGCTCGCCCAACAACGCCCTCTCGCAAAAACCTAAATATAAATCCAACTCCGAATCTCCCATCTCCGCCGTCGACCTGTCCATCCATCGCATCCATACGATCCGATCCGAAACATGAACATACGAACAACACAAGTCAGCCGGTGCATCCAAACGTCCCAACGTTCATATCAAACACGAGCTCAAATCACCGCAATGCCCGCCCGCACCCCAAAACCGGTGAAGATGGATCGTAAGTAAGCATTGCATGCATCAAACGAAACTTACACGTTCGTCCGCGCCGAGAATAGATGTTCTTCGCTTTGGCTTTGTCCGTGATCGTTATCGAGCTTCGCGATCGACGAGAGTAGGTCTTCCAGCCGAGGTAATGCGTATCCCGGATCCGTCGCGTCCGTTGCCGTTGTTGCTTGGTTCCTGCCATGCCAAAGCAAATGTAAATGTAAGAGCAGACGTCACCGTTCATATTCGCTTAGCTCTCGACGCGTCAATGCTTCAGAGCCTCGACACGCTCGAACCCCTGTTTGCATACTCCATCCCATTTCTCCATCCCATCCCATTCCACAAACCGCAACACCCCGTCCATTCCTCATGACTCATTACCTCGCATTACACCGACCAACCGACCCAACCACGAAAGACCACAACCCGAAAAAAAACCCACTCACCTCCGTGCATCTCCCTCTCCCTCTCCATCCCCATCCAATCCATAAACCATCTTCAGCACCACGATCACAACACCCATCAACGCCACCTCCGGCGGCGCCCCATCGAACTTATAGCTCCCCGGATCGTCCGACGCACCCGCTCGCTCGCGTCGTGTGGCGTGTGTGAGGCCGGGGGGGTGGAGAGAGAGGGGTAGCGAGAGGGGGTGGGCGAGGGATTTTGTTAGGGTGTAGAGGACGGCTGTTGGATGTACACATGGATGTATCAGTGTAGGGTAGGTTAGTTTTGAGCAATATATCGTTTTCTTTCTTGTTTGTGTAAGATAGGGGATAGGATACAGGGAAGGAGAGAGGAACGTACGCGTTCCCCCCAACGCACAAACCACACGCCACATCAACGGACCCGCATTAAGCTCGGGCGTGTAGACGCCATAAGTGGCGTACATGCGCCGCGCTAGGCGAGAGGCGAGGCCGTGTAGCAGGAGGGCGGAGGGGGCGTGCTGTTTCGGGTTGGAGGACTGTCAGTGTGAGTGTGGCGGGTTGAATAATTAATTGTGAATTCGGAGGAAATGGAGGTAGTGAATGGAGTGAGCGATGCTGACTAGGTCTAGGTTCCGATGATGACGAAAGGTATGATGGAAGAGTCTGGTGGATCGTGATGAGGGACAAATGATGAGGGACAAGCGGACGAGTGGATCGGGTAGTCAGAATTAGGATGGGGACGAGGATGGGTGCATATAGTCGATGGGTTACGTGGGTCACGTATGATGACGGGACGGGCGAATAAGATGGACATGGACATGTCGCTGCAACGGAACGATGGAAGGATGAAACGAGGGAACGAAAAAGATATCTCCGCTCGTGCACCAGGGAACTATGGAACCACAAATAGTGCACCATGGAACTATGGAACCACAAATAGTGCACCATGGAACAGACGAGAGCGCAGCATGAATGGAATTATCACTGAACCATTCGATGGATGGGGTGTTGGGCGTTTCACTCTAGCTAGCGCCAATTTGTGCATGGAGAGAAAGACAAACGAACGTGTCCATGAAATTGGAATGACGAAATATTGCACGGTGCGGTGAAGTATGGGCTCAACGAATAAAAGGGGGGAGTGGGGATAAAAGGCGAACTGGGAAATTGGGAAATTGGGAAATTGGGAAACTTGGACTGACCGGCGGAGAGATCGCCTGCAGGGCGTGTTTGTTCAGATGGTGTGTCATTTCCGGAGGGAGATGGTTCGTCGGGTCGAGGTAGGGGAGAGTGTATGAGTCGATTAGGCTGGGAGTGTAGCATCCATCATCGGCGGGGGAATCAGGTGGTCGATTGGTCGGCCAGTCGGATATAGAGAGGGGCATAAAGACGCGAAAAGTTAGCGAAGGGCTTCGTATTCCACAAAAATATCCAGGAAGAAATGGTGATGAAGGTCAGAGATACCCACCGTATAAGATCCATAATCGTAACAGGCACCCGTATCGTCCAACAAGCCACAAGCAACACCGCAAGCGTGCACGTAGGGCTCTCGTACCTCCCACCACGATGACCTTGTCGTTTCTTGCTCTTCGATCTATCTTGCTCATGCTCATGCGTATTATCACCTTGACCTGCGTGGGCATTGGGGTCGGGTTCGAGCTCGTCATCGGAGTCGGGTTCAGAGTCGGAGAGTCCACGGAGGAGAGAGGCCATTTCTTCGTCCATGATACTTTTGCGATGTTTGTCATCAGCATCGTCATCGTCGTTGTCGTTCGATTCGGTGTCCGAGCCTGAGTCTGAGTCGGAAGAGGAGGCTTTATTTGAACAGGCATCCGATTCTGGGTCCGACTCGTCCGAGGGTTTCTTCTTTGTTTCTTCATCCTGGTGGTCTCTAGCCGTACTTGTCTTCGTCTCCGCAGAGTGTGCCCTGCGTGTCGTAGAGTCTTCTCTATGATTATTTCCCTCGATGTCCTGTTCGTATAGCAGAGGTTCTGGCGGTGGCGGTGAAGGAAGCAGACATAGGTAGAGCGTCCATATGTCCCTGCATATCACCTACAATCCAAAGTAAGAAGGAAACGTCGGTCAGGATGTTTTATTTTGTTAGGACAGAGCGATACTTACCTCGAATTCAGGTGGCAGATCCCACGCCTTAACCAGCGCCGCGACCTGTTTCCTTAACAGCAGCTGCAAGCACTGAAAATAGTGGTACTGTGCCCGTGCGCCATGGTACACTGCATCAACAAAACATACGAGTCCCATCATATCAAATATCAGTCGTGAGTTAGAGCGATGATACGAAAAGGGAGGAATGATAACGAACGTTTGGGATCGGCTTTGGATTGCCTCTCGCCTTTTTTGCGTCCTGTGCGGACTTTGCGTTTACGTAGAGTGTGAGGCCCGAGTTCTTGTGTTTCGTGGGTCTCGTTTCTATAATTCTGTTGCGTTTGAAGATTTAAAAAAAGCGGTCAAGTCGGCGTACGAAAACGATTTTTTTAAACATGAAAAGTCGTGATGAAGAACATAAGAGATTGCAGGGCCTAGAATAGTAAAGAGTACACGGTTGTGGGCAGAATGTAACATACCTGGAGAATGTGGCCCTCGCTACAGATGACGAGCCCGCTCGACGGCTCTTTATGCCATTGTTTCGAGCCGCAGACCGTGCACTTACGAGGCATGGCTGCTGTATATAAATCAGTAACCGTGCGCTAATTTCCGGATAAATGTATCGAGCGATAGCAGCACAACTACGCCACCGAGTGGCGATCGAGGTGGAAGATGAGAAGGAACACACAAACACGTGCCATACAAAGAAGAATGAGTGGTCCAAAAAGGCAAAGGCTTCTCGGCCCGTCGCATCCGCACCCAACTTTGATCTCGACGAAATTTCAAATTCGAATAATCCTTCCGGCCGGTGACAGCGCGTCTGGCTCTTCACGTCTCCTTACAGCTCGCTTTTTTCCATCGCGCGCTGCGAGCCATCTTCATTCCTTTGGGCTGATCTGAGGCTCAGTATAGACTACTTATGAGGGTCCTCCTTCTTTTTGGGCTCTTGGCGGTGTTGGCGACGACGGTGCTTGCGTGCGTATACTTACATGTTCCTCTCCGTTGCGCCTTTACTTATTGCATGCTGAACGTTATGCGGGGATTGTAGATGGACTAAGGTACCTATTATTCCACATTATGGCCCATACCTACATAGCTTTCTGACATGTACACGCTCAATCTGCAGGAAGACCACGAGATCTTCGACCTCGTGAGCGAGTTAGAGGCCGCAGAAGGTACGCCACGAATTCCTGCTCGAACCCTCATTCGTACCGTACTAACCACCACTATGACGATGATATTCTTACTCGTCGCACAAATAGGAAAGAAAACGACGTTCTACTCATGGCTTGACGTCCCCGATACCGCTACGACGGCAGAGATTGCCCGCGCGTACCGTAAAAAGAGCATGTTGCTCCAGTCAGTACCTCTCGCTGTTTCCCCCATGTCGCATGTCGCGCCATATAATATTCATGCCCCGGATTTCTTCCTGCGTCACAGCCCGGATAAGAACCCTGGCGTGAAGGGTATTCATGAACGGTTCGCGAGGCTTGGCGTCATTTCGTCCATCCTGAGGAATACGGAGGGTCGGAAGCGGTACGTCTTTCATTTCAGCCCATATCCTCATACGCGTAACATCACTCATTGCAAACAATATATCGTTTGCAGGTACGACTTCTTCTACAAGAACGGTGTCCCGCGCTGGCGCGGTACGGGATACTATTACTCGCGTTTCAGGCCTGGTCTCGGGGTGCGCACTTTTCTCTTCCATACATCCAATATAGCAACATCATAGCTGACTAGAATGGATCCTTCCTGCATCTGTGACCTCTCCACGATATTGGGCCACACGACATTCGACAACCCCTTCCTGCGTTGTTGATATACAGACCGTGTTGGTATTCCTGACCATGCTGACCTCGGTGTTGCAATATATGGTGCAGAGTATGAACTACAAGAAGGATACCGCTCGTATAGAACACGTCGTCCGCGAGGCGAAGCTTAATGCGTGGGGACAGAAGATGGTGCCTATTGAAGGGCGGAGGAAGGTAAGTCTACCTTCGTCGATTCTGCTTCCACATCAAATTCTACATTCACCTTTGCGTCAGCCTCCACCTTGATTGGTCGTTCATATTTGCTATTGAATATTGTGCTCATCGAATATGTTATGTGTCTATAGGTCAAGGTGAACTTGGGTGGCCCACCCAGATTGGACGACTCGGGGAATGTCGTGCTCGGGAAGTCGATAGATATGGTGGTGGAGACGGTGCAAGGAACGGGACACGTCTACATGGTACGTATTGCGCCGTGTCGACCCTCTCATTTGTGTTACTGATAGAATACTCACAGCTCGAGCCCGGAGGCGACATGATCCTCATTGACGCTTCGACCGCGACCCCACCATCCTTTAAACGAACCTGGTTCATCACCCTCGCTACCTCGCTCTACCACAAAGCCTACTCCCGCCTCTTTCCACCTAACCCGAAATCGAACGGACGGGCCGAACCATCGGAGGGGGACGAAGGCGAGAGCACAGGCGTCGAGACCGAATCAGACATGCTAGACTCGGACGTGCCCGAAACGAACGGCGGTGCGAGAGCGAGTGCTGTAAAGGCCGCAGGCGCAAACGGGAACGGGAATGGGAAGAAGAGAAAGAATAAGAGACGGTGAAAGTGCTCGCATTGCCCGAACTATCTCTCTTCTCTTGATTGTGCCTCCGCCGTGTGGCGTATTACCGTATACCTTTTGCGCCGGTCTAGAGCCGGCCTAGTTTTGGCCTAGAGAGCGAAAGCATCTCTCTTGATCAGTCTTGGGCTGTCGATAGACAAGCATCGATGTGAGGTCCGTGGGCAGACAGGACAACGGAACGGACCCCAGACAAATCGTCGACTGTCAATTTGCAAGAAGTCTGCGATGGTGCAGAACGGTATGAACTTTGTCCAAGTGCCAGAGGTGCTCTGGGCAATGGTCAGCCGAGGCTGGAGTCTTCTGTGATGGCACAAAAGCTTCGAACGGTGGCAGTATGAGAGCCGGCATGGTCATAGTCGAGGGTGGCGATGGTGATCAGCTGACAGAAAAGGGAAAGACAAGGAACGACAGGAACATATCAGATGGCGGCGAGGAGGAGAATGTAAAATTTGCTCTGCAGTCTCGGATATGGACCGGGTCTCGCTCGAGCTGTTGAGAATGATACGAACTGGATTGCTGGCGGATATACCGCGAAAATAATTGGATAGTGAAGGACGGAGGAGGGCCGGAAGGCGGGCCTGGAGAGTGCAAGGGGGCGACGGCAAGGCACGTGGCTTATCGGCCCAATGAGGGGCCCCCGAAAGCGCCGGTGTAAACAGCCGTACACAGCGCTTTTAGATTCAGAGAAATTGACTCGGAATGGACAGCAGCCATCAAACTCCCTCTCCGCCTTCCATCACCTCCATCCATCCACACAAATGGCCTTCACCTACCGCCCAGATCTCCTCGCCCCCTTCCTTGAGCTCCCCCAGGGCGAAAAGGTTCAGGCAGAATGTACGTTTTATTGTCGGCGACGCAATTTTGGCCGTGCTCGACGCTGATCTCAATTCGCCGTCTTGCAGATGTCTGGATTGATGGCGATGGCGGTCTCCGTTCGAAGACCACGGTATGCCTTACTTTACTTTGGCTTGATCCCCTCGCTCGCTCGAGCGAGGTGCTCATCCGCACCCACCACAGACCGTCCAGAAGAAGGTGACCGATATCGGCCAACTTCGCGTCTGGGACTTCGACGGTTCCTCCACGAACCAAGCCCCCGGCCACGATTCCGACATCTACCTCCGCCCCGCTGCCATCTTCAAGGACCCCTTCCGCAAGGGCGACAACATCCTCGTCCTCGCAGAGTGCTACAACAACGACGGCACCCCCAACATGACCAACTACCGTCACCACGCCAAGAAGACCATGGACCTCGCGAAGGACGTCGTCCCCTGGTTCGGTATCGAGCAGGAGTACACCCTCTTCGACGTTGACGGCACTCCCTTCGGTTGGCCCAAGGGTGGTTTCCCCGGCCCTCAAGGTCCTTACTACTGCGGTGCTGGTACGTTTTGTTCTCACGTGACCCCTTAATTCATTCCTTTGGGGTGGTTTTTTCTGACACCTATCCGCTTCCGCCATTCAAGGAACTGGCAAGGTTTTCGGCCGTGACCTCATCGAGGCTCACTACCGTGCCTGTCTCTACGCCGGCGTCAACATCAGCGGTATCAACGCGGAAGTCATGCCCTCTCAGTGGGAGTTCCAGGTCGGTCCTTGCGAGGGTATCTCCATGGGCGACCACCTCTGGATGGCCCGCTACCTCCTCGTCCGCATCGCCGAGCAGTGGGGTGTCAAGGTCTCCTTCCACCCCAAGCCCCTCCAGGGCGACTGGAACGGTGCCGGCTGCCACACCAACTACTCGACCAAGGAGATGCGTGAGCCCGGAGGCATGAAGGCCATCGACGCTGCTATCGAGAAGTTGTCGAAGAGGCATAACGAGCACATCGCCGTGTACGGAGAGGACAACGACCTCAGGTTGACCGGTCGCCATGAGACTGGCCATATCGGCGCTTTCTCCTCTGGTGTGGCCAACCGTGGTGCGTCGATCCGTATCCCGAGGCACGTCGGTGCGCAGGGCTACGGATACTTGGAGGACAGGCGTCCCGCTTCCAACATCGGTGCGTATTCTATCACCATCGCGTCATTTCTACGACATCGTCCTTTTTTTCGCCTCGCGTGACCTCTAACTGTGTTGCAGACCCGTACCGTGTCACCGACATCATCGTCGAGACCACTATCCTCGACCAGTAGACGACGCGGGGTATGGAGGTAGTCTGCGGGGAAGTAGAGCATGATGCGGTCGGAGGTGATCTGCTTGGATAAATAAAGAGAAGCCTTTCTTTCTGTTGTATCTTTCGAGTCCTTTTACGTGGTTCCCTCGGAGTGGGAATATGACATCTAGTACTATCAATTATGGATCATGGTTTCGTGCGAACTCTACCTTGCCCTTCAGCCAGCGTGAGTTTTTTTGAGTTATGTTGACGCGGTTCGAGCCGTCAAAAGTGTTGCGGCGAGGAATGCGGAGTTTATGGTGCCCGTCACGAATCGCGATCGGTACTGGAGGAGCCTCGACTAACCCCAGATATTTCCCTCTAACTTGAGTACACAACAAGCCACCACCGAAACCATTTCATCGGAAAATGACAGGAGTGCCGAATATCGAAATGGGTTCTCGAGGTCAAGTCTAAGTTTCAACTGGCTGCGTGGTACTGGGCAGACAGGACGTTGGGACAGGGACGAATAACTGGACGTAGGGACTCAGAGGTTGGAACCAGAACAGATGAGTGGTACTAGCTCTTTCATGCGGATTGTTTGTTGGCAGTAGAGGCTTATTGGCAAACTACCGAAGAACCTGAGGCAGACACATGTACAGTCGGACTCGGACCCGGCTGTCAATGGGCAGGACATTCTGCTTACAGTGGACCCAGCCATCCAATAACGCAGTGACACTATGAGATTCAAACTTCATAGAATACTAACGAATGTAGATATGGATGCGCATGAAGTGACGAGCAGGATAGGTAGAGAGAACAGACGGGTGAGGTGATGAGAGGACTTGGGGGAAAGGGATTCAGAGCTATGCACGTGTTGTGAGTACCGGAGCAGCGAATAAATAAGTAGATGAAACATGCACATGGGGAGGGGCGATATCGATGGGGATGGGAGTACTAGTGACAAGACCGGGGCGAGCATTAATAAACATGGAAAATGAAGATGGCGAGAGGGCGAGAGTGCTCGTCGCCGTAGTAGACAACGATATGTAATATCATGAAATCAAGAACGGGATTGGATGCAAGGACGACGAAGTGATAGGAATCCACAGAAAATTATACAAGAGGCAACAACCAACACGACACCCCGATTCCAAAGGAAGAGCGACGCACGAGAATTGTGTCTATGGTCATGAACATCATTAACAAACAAAGAGAACCCACCAATTACCGCTCCGCCCACATCATACCACCACCACCAGGACTCAACGCACCCTCCGGCTTCTCGCCCACGTCACCCGCATCCGCATCGAACACACCTGAATCCAAAACTACCTCATCTCCCAGGAGCACACCCTCATCTTCCACCATCTCAATCTCAGCTTCCATATCCATCGCCGGACTCGCGCCCCTCATCCTCATCTCCTCATAACTGTACTCCCTCCCCTCCATACTATCCCTCCCATCCCGCACATCCCCATTCTCGTCAGCCCCCGAAAACATGGCGCTCAAATTCACCAAATTATTCACCGCCACACCCTCGCCACCACTAGCCTCATCAGCAACGTCTCCATCTCTGTCTCTTTCCCTCTGACGCTCTCTTTCCTCCCTATCTCTCGCCCTCTGCTGTTCCCTTTCTTCCCTATCTATCTCCCTCTGCCGCTCTCTTTCTTCCCTGAACCTATCACTCTCAGATCGCACCTGTCTCATCCTCTCTTCCCTATCTCTCTCCCTCTGCCGCTCTCTTTCTTCCCTCCACCTCTCATCCTCAGTTCGCACCTGTCTAATCCTCTCCCTCTGGCTCCTCCTCGCCGCCACTTCCAAAAGCACATCCGCACCCAACGTCGAGCCCCACCCCGTAAGCTGCGTCTGCGTCTGCGTTTGCGACTGCGCGGTAGACGCCGACGCCGACGCCGTGCCCGTACCAACACCCCCAATAGCACCCACCATCGGCGAAACAGCGCTCGAAGCAGGCGGCGCCGCAAAACTCGGCATCCGCGTCCTTCCCCTCCTCGTCAACCTTATCCTCTCCCGATCCGTATCCCTATTCCTCTCCCTGTCCTCCATTTGCTGTTCTAGAGAACTGCGCGCCGAAGACGAGCCGTTGCCGTTGGGGATATTCTCGAACGCGTCCCAGGGGAGTAAGACGTCCTCTAGAGCGTATGAGGTCCACCGACGTAGAGGCGGGAATCGTGGGGCTGGAGAAGCCGCAGAGGGAGGTGGGAGTGACGGGGGAGGTGGGGGAGAACTGGCGTTGGAGAATAAGTTCGACCATGATTGGGTCTGCTGAGTCTGATTCTGTGTTTGTGTTTGGGTCTGTGTTTGGAGTTGCGATGGATCAAACGCGGAACTCAGTGTTGGGAGGGGCTCGGCTCCATTGGTTGCACTACCATTCTCGCTCGTGACCGTGTTCTGGCGCTGTAGAGGAGCAGGCATGCGGGGTGTGGGCAGAGCCGGATCCGATACATTCACGGTAGACCCAGGAGCAGACCCGAGTGAAGTCGTCGATGCGAGCGTTGTCTGAGACTGTGATTGCGCCTGCGACGCGTAGGGATAAGGGGACGGGTACGGGTAAGGGTACGACGGTCGGGACTGCAGTTGTGCGCGGGACTGGGATTGAGACAGAGACAGCGACTGAGACCGTGACGGTTGGGACTCGTTCGAGCGCCCGAAGATGTTTGAGCTAGACGTCAGCCTCTGTGCCCCGTACGGATACACAGAGGGCCGAGGGCCAGCGCCATACCCCACTGCCAATATCGATGACGAGGAGGATGCTGCCGGTAGTGCAGTATCGTATTGCGATATTTGTGCTGGTGCACGTGTCGGCGCAGGTGTGGAAGAAGAGGGCGGAGGTGTGGGAACAGCAGGGAAAGTATAGGGGACTGTAGAACGGACATGGGTGGAGAAGAAGGTGTAGATTGCGAGCCGCGGTGGACTCGACGATTTCTTTGATGAAGAGGATGCTGATGTTGCAGGAGCAGGATGGTTATTCGATGACTGGGATGGTGGGAGCCAGTATGACGGCCCAGAGGGGAAGAATGAAGGTTCCGGAGTTGTCGTGGATGGTGAGTGAGCGTGATTCGTCCTTGTGGATGATGAATTTGTGGTTGCGCTTGTGGGTCGGGCGGTAGTGGGCGTTGGAGGCGTAAAGAGACCGTCGGCTGCGGCTTGACAGGGAGTGTAGATAGTGCCCAGAATATTCCCACTGTAGCATAATGCACGAGGCAAGCGATATCAGAAAATGAATTCATATCAAGAAGAACCGAGGGGCGTTATGTATCATGAAAGTATGGGGTTTAGGCGAGGTGAACACAAAGGGTACGCGTAGCGAATAGAGGCTGTGGACACGAAGATTAGTGGACGTACCAAACACTACACCCTACGCCCTCACGCACGCAACCGCACGCACTCTTCATCATCTTGGCTACTGCCGTGCAGTCGAAATAGGAGGTGGGCATAGAAACAACATCCGGTGTCGCAGCACCACGAGCTATCCAGACACCATGACGGCGCCGTGGTATACCGGAGAGATGAACTATGGCGCCACACCCATTGGTCCGTCGTGGACGGGGCGGACGCTGAGCGGGCGAAACGGGACAGAATGCAGAGGGCTTCCTACGCGGTGCATTGCTAGTCGAAGCGAAATGGGACGAAAGATCCTGGGCGTCGGGAGCAATTTCGGCGCCGCAGAGGAGTATGAAAGAACCAGAGGAATGATCAGTGTCTTCGAGTCGGATGTCTGCTTCAAGAGCCTGTCGACGACCCTCCCTCTCTACATTTCCAGCACTGTCCATCGCACCCTGCGTCCTTCCCCACTGCCACTCTCCATTCGCATCCTCATCATCGTCATACTGGTAAACATCATCATCCACTCCCTGAAAGTCTGGATCCCTCGACTCCTGGAAGTCATTTCGCCAGACAGGAGACAGTGGTCTGAATATTGATCTTGATGCAGTAGCGGCAAAAGTGGGTGCTGGTGGGGAGAAGACTGGTGCTGAAGACATGGATGAAGTTTGGCGATGGGAGGAAAGGGGGCCGTCGCGGATAGCGCCTCGGCGGCGGAGTCGGGAGGCTTCGCCGGAGCGAACGAGGTCGGAGAGGACGATAGAGTCGTCGGCGTTGGTGAATGCAGGCTCTGGAGACGAAGACGGACGTGGTGGACGAGAACTAAACGTTACCGGCATCGGGGATGGTGATGGCGGTCGGTGGAAGAGATGGGAAGAGCGGTGAGGAGGTCACCGTGCGAGAGGCATGCAGCGTCTGTTTATGTCAGCAACCTCCAACGAACTTGTGGCAGCTTGTGGCGTGCCGCCCGGTCCTCTTCCCAGACGCCCACCACGACACAGACACGACCTCATCATGATCCCCGATAACAGCCCTCGTGCACCTATATTTTACTCTTTCAGATCACGATAATACCATCTCTTTGCTGGCTGTTTCATCTCGTTTTCATCCCGGACTCTTCACATCGGTTCCGCATTGCAGTAACACAATGTCGGCGCTCAACGTTAGCGCGTGCGCAGCGGGAGGAGGACATATTGGTCGACTTGCTTCGAGCTCTGGGATGCCTTGTCTTGTGGTGTCTACTTCTGTCTTCGTTGCACTCATGGGGAGGTCATCGACCGCAAGACTCGAGTCAGCTTCACTGTCATGGCCAGCTTGGTACTCGGCTGGGGGCCCGATACTCTTGCGCTCGAATCATAAAGGCGTCTCGTGACTGTCTCTCTCGGAGCTCTGGCTATATATTTAGTTGACTCTGGCGACATAGAAGAATAGTGGGTAAGCTCCGTATGGTTATGACGGTGGGCCCCTCTCCAACTCCAAGGCATTGCTCAGACACAAAGCCTCTCCATGCCGCCACACCGATGGTTGGAAAACCTCCTTTGTCTCTATTCTCACTCTTATTCTCTATCAGCGCTCCACGGAGATTGCGCCGAAATCAACGTCGAGCGCCTTCTGCTTTGGCCCCGGACTCAACACGAGTCAACGTTCAACGTTCAACGACTCGATGGCGCAGCCGGTCAGCGTATTCGTGCCGATAGAAAGTTCTCTGCTTACCAACATAACTGTATGGACAACATTAGTTTCTACGTAGTCTGGGCCGAGCTCTTTGCCTGATTGAGGTCTTTCATTCTTTCGACGGCGTATTCCAGTCGTGGCTTTTGGTGAAGCGTTGAATATGTATCTTTCTATCTCGACACGATATGCTCCGCTGCTCTGAAGAATGATGTTGAGGTCATGGATGGGACGTGTACAAGGAAGAGGCTGATATCGGTATGCATGTAACAAGACGGGAGAGGGAGCTACAAGAATATTGGGTCTACGGAAGACTACTTACTACGACTACTACAACTACCTGCTCAACTCTAACTGCGATATGTACTGGCCGTCACACGAAATCATGCTAAGTATATGTGGGTAATAACACAAACAAACACGACGGCGGATGCGACATACAACGAACAACGACAACAATGAACGAGGCAACGAGCGAACCGTGGTCCGTGTAATGATACAGCGGCGATAGACTTCAATCGATGATCGGACACTACTCACATACACACCCATCTCATCTCTCCGGACCTACAAACCTACAACGCGCCCAGTACACACCAACCATCTACTCAATTCACCCCACCTCACCCACACCTAAACCTAAACCTGCACCACCTAGCCCCGAATCACCCAACCCCGCTCAAGCCTTCGACTTGGTCATATTCTTGCTGAACAACTTCGCCTTCTCGATGGCCGCCATACTCTGCTGCGCCAGCTGTTTCTTATACGTCACGATCGAGATATCCTCCTTCGTCAAATTCCTGATCTTCCTGTCCTTGACCTCCCAAAGCTCGTCCCCAACCTGCGAGATCAGCCTAAAGTCATGGGACACGATGACCACCCCTCCCTCGAACTCCTTAATCGCACGGGCGAGCGCATCGATCGACGTCATATCCAAATGATTCGTCGGCTCGTCGAGGAGCAGGATATGCGGGTGCTCCATCGCGATCTGCGAGAACACGACCCGGTTCCTCAGACCGTCCGAGAGCTGCTTGATCGTCGAGGTCTGATGAGTCCCGGACAGACCGAACCGGCCGAGTTGCGCCCTCCACGCCTGGAGGTCCTTCTCCGGGAACTTCTCGGCGTATTTGGCTTGGAAGTATTCCAGAGGCGATTTGTCGTACGGCAGTTGGTCGGCGGAGTGTTGAGAGTATTTTGCGAGTTTGAGACTGACGTGCTTGGAGACGGTGCCTTGGGTGGGTTGGAGGGCGCCGGTGATGAGGTTGAGAAGGGTGGATTTCCCGGTACCGTTGGCGCCGAGGATGGCTATGCGGGAGTCCATGCTAGAAGAATAAGGATGTTGATGAGTAAGGTGGATGAGGAGGCAAAAGGAGACACGTACTCGATACCGAAAGACAGGTGCTCATAGAGGTAATCCTCCTTCTTGCCCGAGTAAGAGAAGGCGACGTTGTCGAAGGCGATGATGGGTGGTGGGAGTTTACTGATATCCTCGAAGTTGAATCGAAGAGGTCTCGGTACCTCGATTTTCTCGACAAGGCCGGCGGCCTCCATCTTGTCGATGATCTTCTGCTTCGACTTGGCCTGCCTGACGAGATTGGCGTATGTACCGGCAGAGGCAATAAATCTAGTAGCGCAGATAGGTGGTTAATGTCAAGCAAATGAGGAGCAAGGATAAGCGCTCACTTCTTGATGTGTTGAATTTCCTCCTGCTGCTTGTGGTACGCCTTCATCTGGTTGACCTCGTTCTCGCCCTTGGTCCGGACGTAGGTTGTGTAGTTACCGGCATAGTAGACGAGCTTCTTCTTCATAGTCAGATCCATGATGTTCGTGCAAACGCTATCCATGAAATCCTGGGAATGCGACGTGATGACCAAGATGTGGTTGTAAGTCGAAAGATAGGCCTCCAACCAAACGACGGCGCCCAAATCCAAATGATTTGTGGGCTCGTCCATAAGCAGCAAATGCGGCTTGACGAACAGCGCCCTCGCGAGCGATACACGCATACGCCAACCACCAGACATGTCCTTCGTCGGTTTCTTCATCATAGTCTGACTGAAACCGAGACCGTGGAGGATGGAGCCCGCCTTGACTTCGAAAGTGGAGGGGTCCATCTCTTCGAGCTCCTCATAGGTGGCCTCGAGAGCGAGCTCATCGATGTCGTCTGCGACGGAGAGTTCTTCGATGCGGGCCTCGAGCTTCGCAACCTTCGCTTTGGCGGAGGCGACGATGTAGTCGAGGGCGTTCACGTCGGAAGGCTCGGCTTCACCGCTGACAAGGTAGATATCGATATGAGGTGGGATAGCGATATCCTGTTCGGCGATTGACTGGAGGAATGTAGACTGGTGATGCAGGACGTAGATATGGATCAGAAGATGTGGGTCGAGGGCAAAGGACGAAATGACGCACTTTTCCAGAGCCGTTCTCGCCGAGAAGACCATACCGTTGACCGTAGTTGAGAGCAATCTCAGCGTTCTCGATGAGTAGCCGGCCATGGAAAGAAAGGGTGTAGGAGTCGATTTTAATGTCACGGCCCTTTGCGTCGGATACGAGCACGCCGGACGCACTCCTGTGAACCGCCCATCATCCGTCAGTTTCTTACTTTCTGATACAAAATGTGGCGAAAACGAAGGTACCTATCGGTGGAGATCTTCAGCTTGGCCATCCCTGTCAGGTCTTCCTGACTGGTGGCAGCAGACATGCTGGTCAGAGGGGTATTGAAGGACGAGCCATTGGGTGTAGACGTCGATGTGGAGGCGTCCGTGCCCTTGGAGGCCTGCTTTGCGGCCTTTTCTGCGAGACGCTTTTGCTTTGAGGCTGAGGGGGCCATCTTCTATATATGTGCTGATGAGCTGTGGTCGTAGACGGTGAAGAACGGTCGGACGGGTGAGGGCCGTGGGGGGAAGTGGCAGAAAGATGGTCGTGCAGTAATCGATGCAGATAAATAAATTCGGGATTGGAGACTGGCTCGAAGTTTTGGTCTCCCACGCTTTGCTCTGACGCCTGACCCTAACCCACGCCACTTCTCCCCGCGCGTGCCCAAAGCGGACTCCGCGTTTGGTTCGTGTGTGGCCCGTCTTGTTCTCTTTCCGAACACCGCTCCGCGATCCTTATATATCCCCACCCATGTCCTTGGTTAGGCGCCACCCGCTGCTCTCGTTTTGTCTGTACTGCTCTGTGGTATAGTGCTCTGACTTTGTCGGAAAAGTCTCTTGAGATCGGCTAACGTCGTCGTCCGCCGCGATGCCTGACAGCGGTTCCTCCGGCTCCTACCTTGAGTGCGCTGCTTAATATTCCGTCGTTGATATAACGCTCAATAGCCTGTTATCTAGTGAATCATACATTCATATACAAGCTGAATCCCCAAGTGATCGTTCTACGGCAGCCTCCTACGAACGTTTGGATGACATCCCCATCCGGGAAGACATCGTCCATCCGAAAGGCATACCCTTCCCTGCACGACGCACACCCCACACTAGTGATGCACATACTAAACCACATCAATCGCCTCCCATCGAATCTCCCCCAAAAGGCCTCCCCGACGAACACATCCAACACAACCGTCACTCGGAAGTAAATTCCCAAAGCGAATCTGCTTCCGCACCGCCCTCCCCACCTCGAGGTCCTGCAGACCTTCGTCTCTCAGTGAGCACCCTATCACTCAGTCGTCCTCACGGACATCACCACAGCTCAGACCGCGACCGTGATCATGACCGCCCGCGTCGTCGCCACACATACGACTCCAACCATGACCGTCAAAGTGGCGGGAGCGGCCAGCACGGCCGTAGCGGACGGCGCCACACTAGTTCATCCTCCAAACAAAAACAATACCGAGAGTATGAACGCATCCTCCTCTCCGTTTCATCGCACTCGAAGGACATGCGTCAAGTCCTGGCTGCCGCCCTGGACCAGCTCGAGGACTCTCGCGCTCGTGCTACCCGCGCTCAGCGCCTCGCCCTTGAACTCACACAACGGACCCGTGAGGCAGACGATGAGCGGTTATCTGTCACGCGTCAGGGAGGAGTGACTCGAGAGGAGCTGGGGATGTACAAGGTCCAGTTGGCCAATGCCCAGGCGCAGCTTGATAGAGCTCAGGAGAGGCTGAAGCTTCACGAGGAGCAGCGGAGGGATGCAGAGGCCGCGGCAGCCAGAGCAAGGGATACGGCGAGGAAATTGGAGCAGGAAAGGCTGGTTTGGCGAGCCAGAGAGGAGGGTAGGAGATTAGGATTCAACGAGGGGATCAGGGCGGGAAAGAGAGTCGGGTTTTACAATGGTCGGGAGGAAGGGTATGACGAAGAGCGGAGGCGGAGGCCTCTTCGGGTGATTGACGATGATCGTAGCATTCAGGACGACGGACTGGTCATGGTGGAAGGCGGTGGGCTCGAGGAGAGATATGATGGCTATCCACTCTATGACGACCCCGTCCCAGAAGAAACAGGCCCTCCAGGTCTCAACGACCGAGAAATCCCATCCCAGAACGACCTTACAGTTCCCGGCCCTGCTGACTCTGAAATCATCGAAGAAATACAAATACATCCTGACACCCCTCCCTCACGTCACCAACTCTATCGCCCTCGTCGTCGGGCTTCCGGGTCTGGTTCGGAGTCTGGTGCATCCACGACAACGCTCCCTATCGCGTCAAGAGACTTCAACCTCAATAATCTCAGCGCACAGACTCGTGCCCCGCGTATTCCGACACCCAACATACCTTCGGTGATCCCCGAAGTCGTTAACACGGAACCAAGTAGCTCAAGAACTCCGTCGAGGCGCGGAAGCGGTTTCGTGGACGATGATGGCGTAAATGTCCACCGAACATCCTCCCAACGCTCACATCAATCTCACCGTTCCCACCGCTCTGAACGTGGTGCTTCTTCTATTCCCGCACCATCCGATTCATCGCAGCCTATACCCGTTCCGATAACGCCAGAGAGCATGTTTGGGTATGATGATCAGGAAGGTGGTTATGTACGAGGGCCACCGCCACATTCTTCGCCTCCAGTTGTAGTCAATGATCGAGCGAATGCTGGCTCTACTCCGGGACCACGAATGGCTCCTCTCCGTCGTGAATATGCGGAAGTTGCTGCCAGTGATGGCGGAGATCTGAGTGGTGATGAGTCTGTGAGGAGAACGAGGAGCGGGCGGAGAGTCGATGGAAGGGATATTGCGGATTATATACGAGGAGATGGAGCGAATGAAGAGAGGAGGGCAGCTGCTGCGAGGGTCTGTTCCCATTTTCGTCACCTTATTCTGCGTGATATTCTTCACTGAACCGACGTTGTGCATTTCACAGGCCGCTCGTTCTCCTCCACGCACTGGTCCTCCGCGCCCCCGTCCGGTCAGACTCAGCGTACCAGCACCGCTCGCACCTAGCCAAGACTCCGGTAGCGCGACTGAGACTCCACAGACTCAGCACCGCTCAAGGAATCAGTCTATGTCGTCGACTGGTAGTTGGAATACGCATCGACGGCATCCCTCGGCCCCTCAGCCTCATATGGGGGTTTCATCACCGCCACAACAACGACGGGCTCCGCCACCATCCGTGCAACAGCAGATGCCTCCGCCTCCACAGCCGTATGTGCCTCCATCACCACAGCAGTACGTTCCTCCACCACAGCAACAGTACGTCCCACCACCGCAGCAACAGTACGTTCCACCACCACAACAGCAATATGTTCCACCGCCGCAACAACAATTTGTTCCGCCCCCACAACATCAACCGATGCAGTCGACTTCCCGGCGGCCTTCCGTGAATAATGGTTGGAATCCGTATACGACTCCCACTGGAGAAGCTTCTGCGACGCCGGGATCTGGGCAGTCTACTGAACCTATCGCGATCGCGATTCAGACTCCTGTACGTTCTTTCTGCGCTCTTTACCATCATTCGATCACACTACTCTGTCCACTTCCCACATCTTATATGTAACCTCTCTGATATGTTCATTTTTCATTTCTGACACTTTGTCTTCGAATACATACGTCAACCAGTCCGGATCCACACCAAGTCAACCCCAGATGAACTCCGACGCCGACGAGGAATACCTCACCTCAAAATACAAACCGCCACAGCTACCCACGCCTTCCTCCACGGCCGGCCGTTCGCCCTCCGCTCTTTCGCACCCGTACCCACAGCGGCCCGACGAGTCTTCGTCGACATTCTTCGCTGGAGCAGGACCGGACCAGAGTTTCAGAACACATACTCCTGATGGTTCAACGTATGGTAGTGGCAGGGGTGATGGTGCATGGAATAATCCTGGTCAACGGAGAGATTCTCGTGCGGATGTGCCGAGTTGGGAGAGGGGGTACGCAGGGAGTCAAAATGGGGACAACACGAATTACAGCAACCATTCGGGGAGTGTCAATGGTCCTGGTTCTGGTTCCCGGTATCCAGAACGGGTCCAACCATCGAGGTCATCTGGACACCTACGCCAAAATTCGGTGCCTCAAGCGACATCATCGGGGAACGGTAATCCTGTCCAAGTTTCTCGGTCGGCATCGACTTCGAGTGCGATGAGTGGGAGAGGGTATCCCCAACATCAGCAGGCGCAATATGCGCCGTCTGGCTCGAGCACTGGGAGGCCTGAGGGTGCGTTTATCGTTTCTGCTGCTCGTAATTGATCCGGAAGCTATAAGGCTAAATCGGGCTCGTCCCATGTAGGAAACCGACCTAGGTCTCCTTTCTATGCCGAACCCGGTCCTGGCATGAATGGGTACGGTGGTTCGCAGGCACCAGCACCAGGTTCAAGCGTGCCGCCCCCACATTCTCCGTCCCAGCAGAGTTTCTCTCAACAAGGCTCTTACCCCTCGGGCTTTGTTCCTGCACCATCGACTTCCTCATCTCATCATTCCCGTTCCAACTCTCGTTCCCAAGCTCCTCAACCTCAATCATCGCAGCCATACCCACAACAATACTCCCAGCCTACTCGGGTTCCTGTATCCTCCTCCAGCAATCACTCTGCACAGCAATACGCGGGATCCGTAGGAAACAGCAGTAACAACGGGGCTGCAGGTTACGCCCCTTCATCTTCTCGAAGTCGGCAAGATAGGCCTCCTCCAGGTCCTGGACCACCCCAACCTGGCAGGCCATCTTCGCCCAATATTTACGCACCTCATCAAAGCCAACCGCAAAGCCAAAGTCAGCATCAGCGTTATCAGATACCGCCACAGGGTTCACACCCATCTCAGCAGCCGGGTCCGCATCAATATGCAGGGTCGATGACGGGTCCGTCTTCGACTGACGGGAGGGTTCATTATGGCAACGCAAATGAAGGCCGGAGAGCAGCTTCGCCTTCGAATTTGTCAGCATCGGGAGCGGGGGCATCGACATCGAGATTTTATGGCGGGAATCCACAGGTACCAAATGCGAATGGAATGCCGGCGGGACAGCAACCGGTGTCTTATGCCTCGCAAGGGCCGCCTCCGCCACAGAGTCATCCGATATATTCTGCTCCGCAGGGCCCGGGATCTGCGCAGGTACGTGCTCGCGTTCTATTTTCTAGGTGGTGTGTATATTGCAGTGTGCTGATTGTTGACACTGATGCAATTGTGTTTAGGTTTCAGAACCTTCGCGATCTGCTTCGACGCGTTCTCGTTCGGGCAGTGAGGCTCCTCTCCCTCACCCTGAGCCGTCCGTTCACAGGTCGCCCTATCGCGGACCTACTATGGCCCCCCCTTCACCCAGAAGGCAGATGGCACGCTCACCTTCACCTAGACGCTCGCCTCGTCCGGCACCTCCTGTCCTACCAATACCCGTACCTGGGAATGCCTCAGCTGTCAGCCTCGCTCAAACAGTGCCCTACTCTGGCCAAGCAGGACCTTCATCGTCCGTCTACCCCGATCCCAGTTCTAACTCTAGCCCTCCTAGGGAAGGGGGTGGAATCTTCCGTCGCTTGAGTAAGAAGGACAAGAAGAAGGACAAGGGCAAACAGAAGGTTGACATCAATCGCATCTCTGCGCCCATCTCACCCGTCATTGGTGCTGCGGGCGTGTATCCCTCTCCACGCGCTTCTCCGTCTGGTTTTGGGAGCAGGTCACCTAGCCCTGTTCCAGGGCTGGGAATGTCACTGGCAGCGGGTGGATCGCCCTTTGGGTCGGATATATCGTTGCCGATGAGGCCGGGAAGTCCGTATAAGCATTACAATCCAAACGAGTCGTTGGATATCTCAGGGCTGGCGAGCGCGAGCGCTGAGAAGCTAGCGATGTATCCGTATCGGTGAGCGACACTCGTTGAGATGTGTTGTCCTCAAAGTATATGCGCTCTGAATGTCGGCGCTGGCGCTACTCCATTGCTATCCAAATGAGTCTCGATTCTGTTACATGTTTCACAGTTCCGTACAGTAGTACTGGCTTATTTATGCTCAAATGTTTGTCTACCATGTATCATGATGTACTAATATCCTTCAGTCGGCAATTCGTCCAAATGTATATCGTTTACCTTTTCCCACCGTGCCAGTTTGATACCACCTGTAACACTTTCTGTCCCAGTTACTATGACAAGTGCCTTCCTTCACGCTCTCCTGCTTTGCTACCATGTTTTGCTTTACGAGCTGCCGGATTACTATATACAGACTTTTGATAACGAGGATGTTGTGCTTCGACGGCAATTCGACGGTGAGATCGTGATCGAATCAGACTGCCAGTGCCACACGGACGCCACCCCACTTTTGTTAGGAGCCATTCGGAGAGGTTCGGAAGCATCCGGAGGTGTGTCTGCTAGACCATTGTTCGACCATTCGGTGTCTCACGAGCTCATCGCAGTATCCTAGTCGGTTTTCTCTTTGGAAAGAATGGTTCATTGAGACCAGTGCGGTAATGGTCCCTTGATAAGGACTTTTTTCATGTCTTGTTGGAGTCTGTCTTGCTAGTCCTCAAACATTGAACCATAAGGGTTTGCGACAGAAGACAACAATGGTGAAGAACAACTGCTACACCGATCGTACGTGACTTTTACTGCTTCTACGCTCGGTGTCGAATACAGACAAATGCTGATGTCAACATTATATGTTTGAGAAAACTCCTCAGGTTCGTCTCCCTCTCGATTGGATCCCCGAGCATGTTGAACTCTGAGCGGTGATTTACGAAGTGGGTGGCCGAAGGGTCCCGCCGATGATATGTGTTGTCAGAAAAGCTCTGCATGACTTGATAACCTATCATCCTCAGGGGTTTGCAAACAAGAACGATACTAAAGCAAAGGTCGACGAATTGTCCAATGTATGGATACGCATGGGAATTTTGAAGGTCCGTGTTTTCCGCTGTTGTTCGACCTGGGACCGAAGTTCGTTTGCTGTGGTCAGTTCTTTCCTTATTCACATATATCATGATGATCAACAGAAGGACTATGTACTCCTGACAAGTACTACAACAAATCGTTGCAACCATTGATCAAAACCGCGTTCTCTTGCTTGTATCAAGCCTCGAAATTTTATACTCTCACAGTCATCTTTGATGCGCGATGGTCTCGACTTATGATGGGCACGACCCATACTACGCCACTTTAATTACCATCCTGGACACCCTGTCTGACTTCCTCTCTTCTCTGGATCCCCTGGCAGCCGTTTGTCTTCAAGGCATTATCGATCGTCGGTCTCTACCCAGAGCACAATAAGGTCTTCGATCGTCCGGCTTTCAGTTCCTTTCTGAACAATGCCGAGGATTTATAGATCGTCGTACCATGCGAGGACGGCGAGGACTACGATGAAAGCGTAATGAGGTTCTGTGGCCGCACCTCTCGTCTACTCAATTCGACGTACTTATCCTTCCTCAAGGCTTACAAGCCTGGTCAGCCACATCGTCTTCATGGGCGTTGGAATCTCTCCCAGGTTGTCCTTCTCCGAACTCAAGTAGAGTCCGCGCCTGTTTTCACCTACCCTGTGGTGCGCCCTCTTCGATCCGACGGTCGAAATCAAGATCATCCTCAGGAATAATAATCCATCCTCCGCGTTGTCGTCAATTCCGAAAGTGGGGGTGATCATAAGTCCTGGGCCCAACTATTGAGATACCTTTGCCGAAGAGTTGGACGCTCTAGTCAACCTCAACGTCATATTTTTCACGACACAGTCCATCTAACGCCACCCATACAGATGAAGAACAGATAAGTCACCGATGTCGTGTACTGGCCGTCAACTGCCGAGGTGTAAGTAGTCGTCGATAGCCTCCACGATAATTTACCCAAATCACCCAGACCCTACAGAAGGGGGCTAGTGGTGAGAAGACTTGATCGTGCGGTGCGAGTCGAACTTTACGTCGTAGGTACCAACGCCACACAACCCGTTGAAACCGGCGAGCTAGGGGGCCTTCCCAACACTAAACCGCATGGCAAATGAAACGCAGGGCGTCATGCGAATTCTTTGACCCCATTGTTTTAGATTGCAGTGCGACTTCATGCGGTTACGAAGGTGAATTTGGCTTAATGCGTCAAAGCGTTGATATCTGACCGCCTATTGGTTGGTCCCTTCTACTCGTAGTAGTCTGAGGAAGCTGAGTTTGTCGATCGCTGTAGCCGCGGGCCTGTTGGACCACGATACCTATACCACCGGCAAGCTCATATGGGGCAGAAGACACGAGGAGAAGAATACACAGAAGCGACGACACCAACTCCTAGGTGGACAAGCCGTTGAGCTAGAGAATAGACTCTTCGGGAAGGTTATTAGGTATTTCTGATGAGCCACAAAACCTGCTAGTAAGTCTATTCAGAGCTAGTGATTTGTAAGTCTACCTGACGAATTTCAGACAAAAAGAGGAAGGTGTACGGTGGCTTTCATCATTTCGCGCCGGTGATGATTGCAACAGCTGCGTATACGTACGCTGCCGTACTGGAGGCATTACAAGGTAAATGATGCACATTTTGTGGGATGAACGTCGGGAGCCTTGTAAACCTCTGTTCTGGCTGGCGGAGAGCCCGTCATGGCACCCACAATTTCTTGCTCGTGATGGAACACTGATGGTGGCGGGCTGATACGGGGTCCAAATGACAGGAGTGCAGAAGGTAAACGCCGCATCGTTCACACGAATGTATCAGATAGTATGATGATTGACAACCTGGTAGCTGAAGTATATCCTTTCTGAGAAAGCGATGGTGACCTCGAAGGCTAACCGGCGGAGATGTTGATACATGGGACCTACACGTAGATGACGGATGTGCGCACCTTCACACATCTCTTCAAAGACACACCTTGAGGAGTCTGCGTCGCACAGAGTTCTCTGGCCCGTTAGAATTCATTTCAGTTGGTTCCCTCTTTATTATAAGATGGACGGTTAGTGGGCAGCAAAACACCTTTGGCAGGTGAAATTTCTAATGACAAACGGTAAAGCAATTTCGGGAAGAACTCACCCCTTTGATAGTCCTGTGGGACAAAGTCTACCGATATCATTCATCAATGGAGTCGATCCCATGTTGAGCTGAAACACTTTATCATCTTTCAGTCGGCATTGCGGAACACAAAACGGTATTAGCGTGTCAGAAGGTCGGCCTCGGCTAGAATTGTCAGCAACGGCTAGAGAGATGTGCTATCATGTACTTAACACAGCAAGCTTTTTGCGGTCATTCTATGGGTCATATTCGAGGGGTAAAGTCCCATACGCAGGTTACCTAGCCGGAACTTTGATTCCAGTTCACTCCAACGGAAATATCGCATGGGTCATGCACGAGAAGGCGCGTAGTTGGTGGCATTTATGGAGTGGTGTTGTGCTAGACAGCGAAGAGTCAGCGATATATGCTTGGCCATAATAATCGCCAACGGTACTTCCAGTGCGTCGGACTGTAGTGGATTGTCCGGGTGATCGGGGCTTTCAAACTAGGTTTTGGTCGGCTGAATCCGGAGTGCCACTGGTAAGCACCGGTAAGATTAATCATAAAGGAAGATCATGATACCCTCTAGAGAAATCGAGTGCCTCACGTAGACCAGTTCGTAAACCACGAAGCCATATATACTCTGGAAAGCTCCGAGAAAAAGCAAGATGACAAGGCTAAACCGTCATGCCGAGACAAAGGCCAGATTGGTTACGGTACGTCCCTCCAAGTAAGCCTCAGGCTTTCTAGATGGAGAACAGAAGTCTGAGTTCTCGTGATTTACGAGAAAATCCCAACGGGAAGGACGTGGGGCCTTGCGGCCTGGCTCAAACGGCTACATCACTGGCATGGCTAGTATATACGGCGAGTTTCCAAGTATAGTTGGCAGCAGAAAGTTGTCTCCTGTCAGCCATACTAAATCGCTTCGCGGAGCGCTGACTAGCTGCGAACGAGGGTTTCTAAGGCAGAATAGATGCATGAGCTGGGAGCATCGTTTCTGGTCTGGTAGTGGGCATCGCCGTAAAGAAAGCGCCCAGTGAAACGCTAAGTTAGAATACAGTGCCCGACCTCCCGAGCACGGTTTGTCTGGAAGCCCTTGTTTGTTCGAGTACCCATGCCTGCAGAGGACGAGGGAGAACCTCGCTCGAATTGGGAAATCCAGATTGAATGCGGAACTCGAAGTCTGAGGGGTCTGCTGGCGATTCAGATACAGACATATAGAGCGCTCTGTACGAGTGATCGCACGCATTGCCGATCTCACGAATAATAGAGCAAAAGTCCGTTTCAAAACGAAAGCGTCTGGTCCAAGCATGATAATGGAACAAGGCAACGCCCCGCCGCCACCTGACGGAAAAGTCCTGCATGGTCAATCAAATCCGTGCAACACGACGAAAGGAATGGAGACAGGGGTGAATTGGCAAGAGTTTAAATCGGGATGGGGCGTGAGTCAATCCGGGCTTCTGCGGCGATCCTCGCTGTAACAGCAAACCCGTAGGGCTCATACATACGTCGCTAGAGTTGTCCAGGTGACTTCAATCAAGTTTCAGCGCCGGTTCTATGGTTGGTGTTAGAGCAGGATTAATCTGGACAATGAAGCAGGAAGCCAATTCAACTTAACAATAATGTCTAGAGTAGATATATCACTCACCGCCATCGTGAAAGCTGAGAGTTACTCGAACTCCGAAGGAGATGATACTGCGAGAGAAGGTCATGGCTCTACATGCGGCGGGAACTCCTCTAGAAGTTCCTCTCCGATCCCGGTGCTTACGGAAAAACAGTAACTCGAAAATCGATTCCCTCCCTGGGACTCCTTCGTCCCGTATTCATCTTGATCTGTGAATGATAAAGCACTCTGGACCCCTCGAATAACACGGAGTGCTGAGAAATAGTGCTACAGTTTTGGATCAAGCAGAACATACGACAGCGACGAGGAGCATAGAAAAGTGTCGTAGAAGCAACAAGGGCGGCGTGAAACACAGTAGTCTGGCAACATAACATCTTCATAGGAAATAATCTGACGGCGGTCTTTTGAGCGGGACTGATCGGACATCCTGAAAAGAACGACGGGAAGAAAACAGATAAGCCCACGAGTTAGTTAGTATTGTGGAAAATGTCAAATGGGTCAAGAGACACCCGAATGTGATTAATGAGAAACAATAATAATAATACGATTGGTTAGAGATCGCCGATGGGATGGGAAAGACGGGATATTTCGAGCGCATTGCATTGTGAAAGGAGATGGAACGCAGCCATGGACTTGCCACTCACGGATGGGGCATGCTGGAAAACCTTATATTCTTGGGCTAGATGCTCGTCGAGCTCCAGTATGGACGCTACGTTCCCGCATCTGTATGTTTCCATGGTATATCAGTTGACTCATTCAGCAAGATGGAACATGATTGCGGGAATTGAGAACAAGGAACGGTGATTTCGGGGAGTTTGAGCCAAGTTAGAGTTACGTAGTACGGCACGGTAATTGACAGTGTACCACAGCACAATGCAGTGCAAAGGAAGAAAACTCGAGATGATGTCGCGTACACCATTATCAGGAGCTCGGTCGTCTGGACTCGCAAGAGAAACGGAGGAGAATTTGAACGTGTGCCGAGGAGCGGATAGAAACGTACCGGTAGCAATAATTAGGTGCGCTCCAGACAGTGACTATTGTCTGATCGAACATCAGTTTGTAGCCTTCCATAGCGAGCTGATGTGCGCGGGCAATGAGGTCAATCGCGTTATTGTGGGCAAAGCCCTTCGCGATACTGGGTCCGAAGAGGTATCCCGCCCCACGAGGAGAAACGCCCCATCCGTCAGGTGTTTCTAGAGTTCATATGAGCAGGAATGCAAAAAAAGTGAGTTTAGCATATGGCATAAGTGCCGCGGATAGGGAGAAGTTATACAGAGAGATGTGTAGTAAGAAAGATATACCATCTGGATCGGACCACAGGAGGTCACACATCGGACCATCATGTGGGACCTCTTGCTTCCTGTCGATGGCTCGGATCTACAAACGAAGAGCACAGATGTTAGTGCCATGTCCGAGATAATGCGACCGCCAATCTCAACAGACGGCCTTGCACCCCTAAACGCGAAGAGATACCCCTCCACTGACGCAACTGTAAGCATGGACGTACCTGATCAATCCTGTTCAATGCCGGACTCAGGCCACCATGCACACAAAACACCCTTCCATCGACGATCGCCCCAAGCGCGAGATAGTCAAACACCTCACAGCACCACCGCCACACGTTACTACTGCCGTACTTCCGTTGGCATTCGTCGTAGAAGCCATACACCTGCGTAATCTGCCGCGACTCATGGTTTCCTCTGATGAGAGTTATGCGGTCTGGGTGGCGGACTTTGAGAGCGAGGAGAAGGAGAAAGGTCTCCACGCTGTAAAAACCTCGATCGACGAAATCGCCTTGGTGGGTGGAAAACACGGGGAAGCGAGTATGTGCAGGTAATATGAGTGCGCGAGATATGGAAGTGGCACTATGAAACATACCCATGAAGATGTAATTGGTCTCAGGACATGTCCCCCCAACCTTGAACAACTCCATCAAATCGAAGAACTGTCCATGGATATCGCCACATATCTACACAAAATTCGATCAGCTCACACAGAACAACGCGTCAAACAATGGTCAAAGACGTGTTAGAGGACGCACAGTTACTGGGGAGTCGACGACCTGCACATTGCTCTCCTCAATGAGGATCTCACGCGCCTTGATGCACAGTCTTTTGACCTGCTCTTCTGAAATTGGTTCGCACTGGACGAGCTGTTCTATCTGCCTATCCGGCACAATCACATAAAGATAACAATCAGTTGAGTGAATGCCTGGACAATTGGCCACCTACAGCGCAGACTGTTTGTGCCGCTCACCTATCTAAGTCGCTAGGCATCCTTGCTCTTTCGGACGTTTGCTTGTGTTCGTAACTGACGCGTGTCTTGCGGTCTCGACGCAGACCAAGCTGTCGAATCACGTAATACGCTTTGGCGCTCACTCGGCGATCTCCGAAGACTGGATCTGCTTCCGTCAACGTGCCATGCCGCCGGAAAGCCCCCGGAGTACGTACTTGATGACAGCCTCCATGTACTAAAACTCTCATCCAAACTGACGTGCTTGCGCTCGTAGGTTGCACAGAGGGATGGGGACCTGACTTTGAGGCGAAGGGAAGCGAGCATTGCATCATATTACACGAAAAAGACAACTGGACAAACTTTCTAGGAGGCGAGAATGTTCACAAAAGATACATGGCACGCAGGCAGACTCGGCCGAAAGTGGAGAGATATAGAACGAGAACGTACAGTTGACTGATAAATACGTGAACACGATAATGCGACGAACGACAAGGCAAGACAAGCAAAAGATATAGCAAGGGGCAGGAAAGGAGGAACGTAGACCCGAGAGGACAAGGAACCGAAGATCGGAAGCGAACCAAGAAGGAACAAAAGAGAAGAGAAGAGGATAGCACGAGAAAGAAGAGACCTAAGAACGGTATGGTTGAATTGTCCGTGATGGCCGTCTCTACATCGACGCATGTGTGCATATTCATAATCAAGGTGAGGCGTCATGAAAAGGAGACAGGCGGCCCGCATAAGGGGGTCATTCAAAGGGACAAACGCTTGCCAAAAACAGGAGAGGGGACAAGAAAATGGAATGGAAGCAATATCGACTAGCGTAAATGGCAATATGCATAACGAGAAAAAAAAGATCTCACAACCATATTTACCCACTCAGTTAGACCATTTCCGAAGGCGGAATAGATGAGTAGTGACCGTGCAGATGGGAAACACCGGGCATTGGCGATGAATAACGCGCTCCCGTAGGATAACCTACACGCCCGTAGTGCGACGAATCATATACTCCGCGAGTGTTCATGAGCGGGCTGTGATTCATGGCACCATGCATCGAGTACCCTGCGGAAGACTGCGTCGAGCCATAAGACGAGTAGTGAGAGGAGGCGGGCGAGGGAGAGTCAGAAGGAGTATGCGACGCGGGGTACGACGGGTGGTGCGAGTAGTGCTGTGAGGGGATGAAAGAACTATTTGTAGCCTGTAACAAGACTTGTTCGCCGTCAGAGCTGCCGTGGATGGAACCTCTCTGGCTAGGGACGGAGGCGGGGGCGGGAGCAGGAACGAGGTTCGAAGTTGAGTATCCATTGTAGCTTTGGCTGTGGTACGTCCCTCGGCTCACGGGGTGCGACTCCGTATAGTATGAGTATTCGCCGCTAGAAGGCTGCTCGAAGGAGGGCCCATTCACAGGAGCGAAGGATCCGGTATAAGATGTCGACCGCCTGTCGATGGCAGAGTGAGGGTGAACAAGCGGGGATTCAGACTCATAACGACTGTCGGGAGATGACGAGGAGCCGTCGGAATGAAAATCATGCGCCGGAGGTATGGAGAGGGGCACGGCCACATGCGAAGTCGTGACAGGGGGAGGCAAATCGAGCGATTTAGAGAGAATGGGATACGCCTGCTCTAGGGGCGGCGGCGTAGATGGAGGGGACTCAGGCGGAGGAGGGGGAGTGAAGACGGCATACTTTGAGCCTCGCTTCTTGACACCGTTGCCGTCTGGGCCTTGCGCGCGCGCTAGTGCGGAGCGAGTTGACGAACCCGATGTACGACGAGAGCCAGGAGAAAGGTGAATGCGGTAGCTGTGACGAGAGGAACAATGAAAATACGGATGTCAGAACAAGCTCGAAAGGTTAAATATGACCAAACAGGAAAGTCGCCATTCTTTCCTGCGCACGGAAGCAATTCTCTGAGACGCGACACTGAAAACGGGCACTCACTGTTGTTGAAGATTGTCTTGCCTCGAGCAACGCGTCTCGCAGCCAGGGAAAGGACATTTGTGGTTACGCTCTCCCGTGTGCACGCGTGTGTGCCGCGAGAGATGACCACTTGTGGTAAATGATTTTTGGCAGGCTGAGCAGACATGACGCTTTTTTGTGCCGGGTGTACTGCTCGTGCCGGAGCTAGGCGTAGGTGACCCGCCTAGGTTTGATGGCGTGGGCGAGTGTGGCAGAGGTGAATCATCAGTTGCATTGGTGGATGACTGTCTACGGTGCGATGTGAGGGGGAGGGGTCTGACATTCGAACTAGGCGAGGTGGAACGGGAGGAGGAGGACATGATAACGTTGAAGAGAGCAGGGCCAGAGCTGTGACTTGAAGGTCTGAACGGTTTTTGTAACGGCGCTTGGGTCTAGAGGACAACTCAGGGACGCTGGGGGTAGGCGTTCAGCAAAGGGAGGGAAAGACGCCTGGTTATGTATCTGCGGGCTCGGGACTGATGCCGTAGTCGGACTCTCACTTTGTGATATAAACCATGGAGCAACCGGCGGCCTGGCGGGGAGTGCTGGGGCTTCTCCTGATCTTCAGAGCCAATATCTCCTTCCATCAACTTCGCTAAACTCTCGTCTCGCTAGCTCCCGCGTTCTATTTCTCGTCCACCACCCCATTTCTGCCCATTCTTTTTCTCACGCCCGCACATCAGATTTGGGTTGGGACGGCGCGGATCAACTCCCGGTCAGTAGCTCTCCACGTAATTGACACCTAATTCTGACAATAAATAGATGCATGTTGGACTCAAACTTACATCTACTATCGCAGCAAAATGGTTCGGCAGAGATATGTACATGGCCGCCCGGCCACAGGCTTGTACGTTCGGGATTCTCCGAAAGCCCCTCCCCCTTCCCCGGTTTGCTTCCGTTCAAGTACGGTGCTGTGGTCAACGGCTTTTCAATTCGCTTCGTGGCTTGCCGCCGGGAGAAATGACTGGGCGAAATACCGAGGTTCCACAGGGTTCCACACTCAGTCGCAACGATCTGATGGATGTCACGATGAATGAATCATTGAATGCCTCTGTACTCACGAGTCGAGGCACGGACGAGCAGGCTGTTCGACCTGCCTCAACATGGATCAGTTGCCTGTCAGTATCGGTCTCCCTTTGAAAGTATAGTCGCGCTACCTTTCTAGCACCAATTTCTTGCGTGAACCGCGCCTGTCCGACTGATATACACGGACCACTATATGATATCCTCAAGATGAAGGAGTGCGCTCAAATCGTGACCGCACCTTATCGAGTGCACCACAAAATTACGAATATCACGCACCAGGTGATATCTTGTCCGCTCGATCGGCGCGTTATCGTGCCTGAGCTGGACCGCGGACGGCTCCCGACTCGCAATTGATGGAAGTTGAGAACGCAAAGCACCGAAATGCCGCTCGCCTCAAGCTGGCAATATTTTGGCTGGTACACGACCGAGCGCAGATGTGTCGATTCTCAAACCCAGACCGTAAGTTGACATGGTCGTAACACCTTGCATGGGCTATATAAGACATCTGACGCGGATGCGAGACACAATTTGTTGGCAGGGGATAATGGCAGTACGAATACTAGTGATTGCTAGTGATCGAAGTAGGTTAGATCGCCACTCGTGTATTACGTGTTCGCATGATGCTTCGCAGTCGCGAAAGCCTTACCCGAGAATGCAACAGCCCCTTCTGTGTTGAGCTCGCATCTTTTATGAGCACAGCACTTGTCCTATCGGAACTAGTCCTCTCGTAGTGCAATGTTCGACCGTGTCACAGATAAGTACACTACAACAAACCACTCGACCGATTCCGGTGCTGATGCTGCCACTGCAACTTTCATTTGGGCTACAGAACATGAGTATAGCTTAGTACGTCTCATTTTTATTCGGCGGGTCCAATATCGAACAGACACGGACGAGCGCCGGCAACTCAAGCTCGTGCCCGATTCGACTTCGTTACTTGCCGGCCGATGATTAATGAATGCCGCCGCGGCAAGAAACGTCTGTTCCTGTGATGGGCCTGCCCCTGAGCATTTGCGTCCTCGTCTCGTCCTCGTCCTCGTCCTCGTCACCGTGGTTTTGTACTGCTCACTAACGCTCGGTTTTATCTAGCTCTCACGAAAATGGGTACATGATGGTGTGATGGTCCCCCACCGGTTGTCAAAATGTTGTCCTATGGACTTCGAGAAGCGGTTATGCAGATGAATCATAAAACATGGAAAAACTCCACTATGTCTCCGTATACTAGCCTCTTCTCCAAGGTTGCCTTCGAATCCAGCTGCTCACTATGAATTCGATATTGCCTCATAGTTCGGGTTGGATAAACAGAGCCGGAGCACCCTGTGCAGTACTCAGCCTAAGTCGAGCCGTGAAATATCTGAATTCTGATATAAATATGCATAGTGTACATGGAATCTCGCTCAAGGTTCGAATATCCGTCTAGATCACATACTTATAAGATCTTATGCGCTCATGATCGCCACACTCCTTTACCCTGAAGCTGAAGAACATACCGAGAGGCAACCCTGCTCCCTTCGCCAGTCCTGAACCTCTCCTGCACCTTATAAGTATGATGACCATGCCCCGGGCCTGACTACTATGCCACGAGGTAAGGGTCGAGGGAAAATCTCAAGTGTTCTGAGTATGAGCCATATCTCATCTCGTTTCCCCGTTGGTGTTCAGATCACCGGCATATCAGTGTCAATTGCCAGGGCAAGGAAAAGAACCAAGGGCGGTCCTGGAGAACCGCGAGACGATATTAGGGCTTATATGTTAGTGAAAACTTGGAACTTTTCGCGAAATCTCATTGGCGGATCGGACAGATCTTCCGCCAACGAGTTTCAAGTAAACTTGAAACATATAAGGTCTATTGTCTCAGACATGGTGAATTCAGGCAAAAGTGTTCAAGTGACAAGACCTACCGGAGCTACGCCCCGTTTGTCAATAAATATATCGGACAGTCGGCCTACAGAAGCGAGATGATCAGTGTGAAACTCAGACTGGTCTCACCAAAAGAGGGCAATCTTTACGGCCAAAATGGTTAACCGCCGTCGTCGCTTGAAAGCACTAACCTTTAATTGCAGGATAAACGTCGATGCCTTCAAAGTGCGTTAGCGCACTGGCCAGAATGGCAATACCTGACTATTTTAGTTCGAACCTCAAGAAAGCACCTCAAAAAGAAATGAAAACGGCAAACACAACCAAACGAAATGGAGACATCTGCGTTATAAGAGGGTTGATCTACACCTGCACCCCGATGTCTGAAACCTTGCGACATGTCTATCAGTCAGCCACCCCTCAGCATATGCATCAACGGCAGGTGAATCTACCGGTGAAGTATACATTGTACGCTAAACAAAACTGAGCGAATTAATCACAAACCCGGTACGTATGTCCATGCGCTTCTTGGACCTCCCAAGACAGGACCATGGAAGTTCACAGCACAACAAATATATGTAGTTCCGTATGTCACGAAAGATCAGTCAGCGTCCTCGATCTTGGAGTATAATGAGAGAAATCGTCAATGGCACTTCAAGCACACTACCTTGGCTCCAAGGCTCAAGACGCCTCTCACGTTGAAGTCTGCTGAAGGCCGGTATCGGTGTATAGACGCGATGCCTGCCGTCTCTCAGTAAGAGGGGGTATGGAAAACAACGGTGTCCGAGTCGCCACAATACTGGGATTGCTTCCGTCAATCGAACTCGTGCCACACTATCCCACGCGCTCACGAGACTGCCTCGTTCATTTCCTGTTCATCTCCTTCCACCGCGTCTCTGGCTTTCGCGTAGAGCGCTTGTCCAAACGCCTTCGTTGTTGGGGTATCTTTCGCTTTGTCCTCGGCTAGCTTCGTTACTCTTACCTGTATTATACCTATTGACTTGTGAGGTACCCGAAGACGAGACCGGATAATCGATTTCCTTGCTGAACAACGCCGACGTACGAAATTCTGGCCTACTGACAATGTGTATTCTCATCGATACTTATGTTCTATAACAGACCTAATATCTCGATCAGCACTGCACCTACCTACTTGGTGTGTCATTTAAACTCATTGTGTGCGCAACCACGGTCTGCTTACAGCTACATTTAGATTCATCTCGAACGATGGACTCCGAGTCACCTCCGCTATCACCTCTCATCTCTCACGCGACTCGTCGAGAAGCAGTGGACAGACAACGAAAGGCTCGACGTTCTTCTTCAGACATTCAATCTAAGGACCTTCATGTGACCTCTAGCCGTGACCTCGCACGCTTGCTGGTCAACGGAGAGCGTGAAGCAAACGAGCTTCGGAAGATGGTCCTCACTGTGACTGAGCAGTTGAAGGAAGAGTCTCAGCGCGCAGATGAGAACGAGAGACGGGCCAGAGAGGCTCTCTTCCGATTCAAATCTGCAGATGAAGCCAGAGTGGCCGCACTACAGGACGCCGCAAGGGCAACGGAAGAGTTACGACTATACAAGATTCAGCTCGAGTATGCCCAGAAAGAGATCTATAGAGCCCAGGAGGTATTGAACTCTATCGAGGAGCAGCGCTTCGATGCTGAGGCCAGCGCAGCAAGAGCACGTACCACGGCTAGGCAAATCAAGGAGGAGAGACTTATTGACTTGGCCAGGGAGGAAGGTAGGAGGTTGGGCCTTCAGGAAGGTCTCACGAGAGGACAACAACTTGGATTCACCACAGGACGCTATGCGGGGTATGAGCAGGCGCGGAGCGATACCAGTCGTCCCGTCTATGCGGACGACGAACAGCTAGAAGAGGAACCCCCCTATGAGCCACCTATCGACCAGCCAGAGGAAGATCAGGGCCTTACTCCCATTGAAGAAGACATGATCAATTTTCCACCACCACCACCTCCTCCACAACGCGCCACACCACCTAGTCCTCCACCTCCGCCACCTCACGACTCTCCCCGCTCTTCTCGCGCTCCGATAATCGTTGTCGAACAGCCATCTAGACAACCTACTCCGGTACACAATATAATGTCTCCGGTCCGACACCCGGCAAACGCGATCCCCCCTGACAACTGGATTCCCCGTGTCGATGAGGACAGCCAAATTCGACTTCCTCCACCACACGAGATGCAGGTGGCACCTCCCACGCCTGAAGCCCTCCGTCCTCTTGTCCCAGAGGAAGACCCTCCACTCATGGTTCCCAATCCGGCATCTCGTAGATCCTCAACTTATTTTATCCCACCTGAACAACACCCACAGGCTCGTCGCGAACACCGCCAGCACCGTCAGCACCGGCCTGCGCGCGTCTCTTCCCCTGAGAGCCAAGGGTCAACCACTATCTCTCAGTTCGAGTTGGTTAGCGAGCCTTATGGGACTTCTTCTAGTCAGATGCGTGGAAGTCATCTAAGCCCTATTCCGGAGGCTATGAGTAGCCATACAACCCCTGCGTACGGAACTCGCAGCATCTCAAGTTCTCGCCCAGGGTCTGTGGCACCCCAAGGCGTACGTGTATAGAGTTTTGATCCTACATTTGGGTCTTTTTAACATTCTTTTCTCTTTCTTACAGTCAGGCCGTGGTAGTCCTAATCCCGTCCCGATGAACGTCCCGGTTCCGCAAGTAGCTCAACCGACTTTCGCAAACTCTGACGATCGAGACAGCCACCATATATATCGTCGCCCAAGCATGTCTTCTACCAGTTCTTCACGCAAGAGTGAGACGCCTTCCCGGACGCCGTTAGGTTCTTCCGGCACCTTACGCCGCAAAAGTTCATCGTCTGTTCCGGACATCACAATTCAGCCGCCGGTAAGCTACACATTGGCATTCAATGCCCTAGGCTTTTTACAAGCGGTAGAACTGATTGCGTGGTATTTGCGATTTATAGTCTCGCCCTTCTTCACAGACGCCACAGCAAACGCCTGTTCCGTTTACGGGCGAATTCCTTACCCCCGAGACTGCTGCACGAATGCCTTTACCTCCCGATCCAGCACCACCCCGTCAAACGCCATCCGTAGATAAAAGTCCTGCCCCGCACATGTCTTACTCCACCTACTCGCCATCCACCGAACCTCGACCCTTGCCCGCAGACGGGCAACTGCCGCCTGGTTTCATACCGATCGGAGGAACAATGCCCAGCGCCCCGTCGCCCTCCCAACACTCACCTAGGGCCAACGCCACCAACTTGCCTGGGATGTCACCCCTCTATCAGTCTCAGTCCGAAAACAGCTGGGGCACGCCACAAGTCCCTGTCGCGTTTCCAACAGCCCCAGTAGCGCTGGCATACCCTACAGCGCCCGTCATACCAGGCGAAAATGTCGATATACCAGGTCAGGGCACCCGTTCGAGGAGAAACAAATCACGGCTTGAATCTGACCCGACTGTTCCATCTACGAGCTCGACCGCCAGATCCTCAGTCGTCGTACCTGCCCCGAGCCTCCTTGGACGACCCGAGCCAAGCTCGTCCGACTCCGAAGATATAGCCGTTCGATCTGATATCGCAAGCTCCGACGATACTCTTACCACGCCTCCTCCCTCCCACCACGCTCGTCGTGCCCCGACCACTGCTTCCAGCAAAACAAGGAGCAAGAAATCATCCTCTTCTTCCAAGGGTGCGAAAACGCCTAAGAGGCAGGCTTACGCGGTTGCAGACTTGCCTCCAGGCCTTCAATACCCAAGTTCGCCGATTGCGGGAGGGGCAAGGTTGCCCGGGACGCCTGGTACGACGACATCGGTTGCGGCGGCGAGGGTACCATTGCCTTCGTCTAGTTCGGCGGGAACGGCGAGGACAGTGAGGTCGCATGCCACTGCCGGCGCAAGGGATGCTTTGAATGGGAATGCAGGGATGACTCCGGGAATGCGGAGCGCATCTCTGCGTGGAGGTGAAGGGAAGGTGAGTTTTTACACTTCTTCATCGTGTAGAGCACGAAGCTTGTCGGAGTACTGATCGACTTTTGCTTTGGTAGCGTTAGCGACTTTTAGAATGATTAACGAACGTACGAACACGCTCAACGCCGTTGGGGCTTTCGATTTCTCCTCGGGACTTTCTTGTTGTACTTATTGTGTATATATACGAACCTTTCCTTCCTGGACAATATGCAAACTACTCTTATGCTTAGATGCTTCTCGAGTTCGCTGCTTCCAAAATATATTGAATTGTGCATAGACCATACCGCGGCGATTACATGACAGACAAGCGAATATGAAACAAAGCAAGTGACGAGCAGTAGATCACAATCACATCCACAACGACTGCGAGGAAAAAAGGGGACGAGAAAGAAACAAGAAGAACACTATCATCGCTGCCAAAAACCAACATGATCATATTCCGTCAAAAGTGTTCCACAGTAAAGGTCCATGTACCTTTCTCCGCGTCGTAGCTCTCAAAGTTCGTGCCCTTCATATGGCTGAGCATCTTCACGTACCTCGCCATCGCAGGATGCGACTCGTCCTTGATCGGCTCACGAGTGGCTTTGTTTGTTGGCCAACAACGGAAGAGCATGATCCTGGTAGGCACGTTAAGACCAGAGCCGACAGGTGGCTTGTCGACATCGTTCGTGTCTGGATAGACGCTGCATTCCATGGGATCGAAGCGAACCTGATCCCCGAGTAGATCGCTGAGCTTCCCAAACGCCGTGAGGTCGACGGGTTCCAGGAAGTGGACCTCTCCGAACCCGACACGCCCAACGACGAAATTGGAGACCGCGCTGAGCTCGGGGTGGCCCATGCCCTGGAGCACGTCAATGGGTGGGCTCGTCCAGTACTCGCCCTCCTGAGGCTCGCTGTTCTGCGGCGCTGTAACATTGTCCGCGATCAAACGGGTTCCTTTGCCACGAGTCGCAGGCGGAGGAGTGGCAGCGGGTGGAGGAGTGGACAGAGCCTCGTGTTGAAGGGCAGCGTGAACCAGAGCGGGTACGAAAGTTGGTTTGCTGGATGGTCTGGTGGATACTGGCGTGCTGGAACGACGCATCAAGTCGGATGGGTCGACCTTCCTGTCGAGTATGAGTTTCTTTACGCTACGGCGCGACCCTGAGCCTAACACAGAGCTGGCACCGGCCCCGTCTGCACGCCCGTTCATCGTGCTCAGGCCAAGGGATCCGGATTTCCCGCTAGTAGATGTCCCGAAAATGCTGTTTGATCCATTGAAACCATTGGTAGATACCGGCTTCGAGGACATAGAGGTATAGCCACGTAGTTTTGTGGCGCCGGGTACATACGAGAGCGGCCTTGGTGGCAGTACTCGGTTTGGTATGTCGAATGGCGTCTTCTTCCTAGTCAAATGAGAGAGTTGCAGGCTCGGGGCCGTAGCGGGAAGCATGGTGAAAATCGGCAAGTTGGCGGACTGAGGCTGCGCAATGGACGCCTGGAGACTACCCTGACCACCAGCACCAACCGAGGGAGGATTGAGAGCGGAGACACCCAGCGAATTCCCGAATAGCGAACCGCCTAGTGGTTGTGATTGTGGTTGCGTTTGAGTCGCGGGTTTCGCGCCGAAAAGGCCACCGCCAAATAGGCCTGTCGATTGATTCGTCGACTGGCCCAGAGAGTTACCGAAGAGCCCAGTGGATTGTTGTTGAGGGGCAGGGTTGGTGTTGGTGGTCGACTGGCCGAATCCCCCGCCGAAGAGGCCCCCACCTGTCGCAGGTGCGGCCGGCTTGTTCTGACCGAATAGTCCAAAGTTGTTCTGAGCAGGTTGCTGCTGCTGCTGCTGCTGCTGTTGCTGGTTGTTACCGAACAGACTTCCACCGGTGTTGCCGAACAAACCGCCACCCGCTTGGGGCTGCTGGGTGGGTTGAGAGTTTCCAAACACTGCGAAGTGGATCGTCAGTATTGCTCGACAAATAAATGATGGAAACACGTACATCCTCCGCCCTGGGCGGGTTGGTTTTGTTGTTGCTGGGGATTCTGGCCAAACGCTGACCCCCCGCCAAACAGTCCACCGGCAGGCTGCTGCGGCTGCTGCTGTTGATTCTGTTGATTCTGAGTGTTCCCGAACAGTCCACCACCGAAGCCAGTAGACGGTTGTGTGTTCTGAGCAGGCTGGCCGAACAGACCAGGCTTGGGAGCATTGTTGTTGGCTCCTATTCAGAACGACAGAATTTATTAGTTCACGAAGAAAAAGAATGATTGGACGATAGCTTACCGAACGCACTACCGAACGTCGATGTGGTCTGTTGAGGTTGACCAAACAAACCGGTGGTAGGGGCCGGCTGTTGTTGTTGTTGTTGCTGCTGTTGGGTATTCTGGCCGAACAAGCCGCCGCCACCACCACCGAAAGCATTGGTGTTCGTACCGGTAGATCCTGCCAATAGAGGTCAGCCAGTACAACATATAACTCCTTATTATGATCTTACCGAAGGCACCAAAAGGCTTCTGCTGATTTTGGTTGGTATTTGCCCCGAACGAGCCACCGAACAAGCTCGCAGTAGGTTGCTGTTGTTGTTGTTGTTGCTGCTGCTGCTGCTGCTGCTGGGGTTGGCCGAACGCACCGAAGCTCGAGGCGGGTTGTTGTGGGGGCTGCTGCTGCTGCTGCTGTGGTTGGCCAAACGCGCCGAAGCCGCTCGCACCGGCAGCTGGTGCTGGGTTGGGTTGGCCAAACGAGCCGAATGCGCCGCCTGGGTTTGAAGGAGCTGTAGATCCGAAGGCACCGAAGGCAGGAGCCGCAGGTTGCTGGGGATTCTGAGCAGGTTGTCCGAACAGACCTGTCGCTGGCTGTTGTGGTGCGCCAAATCCGGAGGGGGTAGTCTGGCCAAAGGCTCCGACGCCAGCGCCCGCTGTTTTCCGTCCTTGGGCATAGTCTTGTACGCGGAGTTCCTGGTTCGATGCAAAATCATGTTAGATCAGGTGTGACGTGGTGCGTCCATCGTCTTCACGAGTCGGAAAGGAGCCGATGCTGAGCACCTATCTCAGTCCAGCGTTGGACGATAGACACTGGATCAGTAAGAGTGACTCACTTCGAATGATGTGCCGCGATACTGTGGCATGCATGAGATGCTCTGATACTGCAGAGTCACGGATGAATTTACGCCATCCTTCTCGGTGAAGACCTGATACGGGGGATTCGATGAACCACTCGTAACGGGAGGAACACCATCGTACTGTCCAGTCTGAGGATTTGCTCCTGAATCCAATGGTGAGCTGATGGCAGTGACTTGATGGAAGAGATACACACCTGGTGAACCAAACGCAGACGCTCCGGCTGGCTTATTCCCAAACAATCCGCCTGCTGAGCCAAACACGTTCCCTGTGTTGGTGTTGGTCTGTCCAAAAAGCCCTCCTCCGGTAGGCTGCGTGTTGGTGTTGGCACCAAACGTGCCACCACCGCCGCTGCCAAACGCCCCAGCCCCACCACTAGTACCACCACCGAAGGCCCCAAATCCTGTCGCAGGTTTTGGCGCACCGAATGCAGAAGCGCCAGTATTTGCAGGAGCTCCAAATGCGCCGGTACCTGATGAAAAAGTCAGTAAGGCCATTACAGGAGAACAAGGGAGAGAACGCACCAAACCCACCGGTTGTGCCCGTCGATGTAGACGCTCCAATGCCTCCAAACATGGGATTAGGGGCTTGCTGTTGCTGTTGTTGTTGTGGTGGTTGACCAAAAGCCCCACCTGCGCCGAACGCTGCGCGGCAAGAGCGATGTTTTATACGCGTGTCTTGACGAGTCGAAGTGAGCAATTGTACGCACCTCCTCCAGCGGCTCCGAACCCAGCAGTAGCGGGCTGCCCAAAGAGACCTGTTTGCTGCTGCTGTGGCTGTTGTGGTTGCTGTTGATTCTGCTGTGGGTTGCCCCACGATGCTCCGAACATGAGGGAAAGAGGAAGGATTGGGATGGATGTTGTCTCGGACAACGAGCGCGGGCAGATCGTTGAACGCTGCCGACCAGCGGAGTTTGAAACGCGTTCGAACGCGTTACTTACGTAATCCACATTTTCGAAAAACTTGAGTGTGGCGAGGGCGGTCTTTACCTGTCTTTACTCCCTGCTCACTCGACGGTTCGCTTGTCCAGCATCATTCACCATGCCCGACGGCTCTGGTCCCTCTACATCTACGTACAAGAATACATTCAATACCGTCGAGCGGGAGAAGACTTTCAGAAGGCCGCCTTCGAAATCCAATACCGTTCCTATCCTTCAGGAGTTCGTTGCACCCCACATCGAATCCTTCAATGCTCTCTTCGACGACTCAGGCTTGCCTTGGGGAGACGGTAACGGCCATGGACTTCTGTCTTTGGGACTGAAAGATATCGGAGAACGGGTCATGTTTGACCGAGATCCATCAAAAGCAGCAGCCGGTTCATGGGGTAACCGTATGAGCAGTGAGCGGCCTTTCTCTGCTTTGTCGCATTCCTCTTTTCCAATGCGGGAACCAAGTATGGATCGAACAGGTGTCTATTGCGAGGCCGATGGTTCCGGACAAGGACAGGCAAGCAACGGAGCGTAAGGTATTTCCGACCGAGGTGTGTACCTTCTACCGCACGACGCCACACTAAGACCTAAATCACTAACTAGCACTGAATTTCCCGCCGCTGACCTGAAACACTAGGCTAGAGAACGACTGACATCGTACCGTGGTCGTATGACGATCAAAATATGTTGGAAACTGGACTCTGACCCACAACCGCGTACGCTCACACGGGATTGTGGCCTGGTCCCTATCATGGTTCGGGTAAGAACACCTTTTTTGAGCTTTCGGATATACTACTGTGGCTCTTCGCGTGGAAATTGACTTTACACTTTTCAATAGTCCGTTCGGTGTAATCTTCGCTCGATGTCGTCTGCTGAACTTGTCAAGCACCACGAAGAGCCAGAGGAGTTTGGCGGATACTTCGTCATCAATGGAAACGAACGTCTCATTCGATATCTCATTCTTCCCCGACGAAATCATGTCGTTGCTCTTTCTCGACCTTCGTTCGTCGGCCGGGGACCATCATACACTCCCTACGCCGTTCAGATTCGTTGCGTCCGTCCGGACCAAACCGCTGTTACCAACACCTTACACTACCTGTCCAATGGCAGCGCAATGTTCCGCTTCAGCTGGAGGAAACAAGAATATGTCATCCCAATCATGCTTATTCTCAAAGCTTTGGTCAGTGCGTCGGACATGGAGATCTTTGAAGGCGTCATGATGCAGGATTACGACAATACCTTCCTTACCGACCGCGTCGAATTGCTCCTACGCAGTTTCAAAATGTACAGTCTGTACACCGGGGATCAGTGCTTAGACTATCTAGGCGACAAGTTCAGGGTCGTACTCGGATTGCCGGAGGACTGGAATAACCAAGCCATTGGCGCATGGATCATCCACAAATTGGTGCTTGTGCACTTGGACGATGTCCGAGAGAAGTTTAGGATGCTTCTGTAAGTAATGGGACTAATTCCGGAGAGGATGTTTCTCATTTCATCTGTAGGTTTATGCTACGCAAATTGTACTCAATCGTCTCCAAGTCATGCTGTGTCGACAACCCCGATTCTCCTCAGCACCAAGAAGTTCTTCTCCCTGGTCAACTCTATGGCATGATCATCAAAGAAAAGCTCGAGGATGCATTGAACCAGATTCGTACTCAAGTCGCTCTTGACGTGAGGAGAGGAGATTCTTCGGTGGACTTTCAGAATGGTTCGTTTTGACCAAACGAGATACTTTTTCACGCTAATTTGAAATCCACATATAGACCGTTACATCACCAAAATTATCAATAAAGTGAACTTCGACATCGGCGCCAAGATGTCGAACTTCCTAGCCACTGGCAACCTTGTGTCACCCACAGGTCTGGATCTTCAACAGGCTTCTGGCTTTACCATCGTCGCCGAAAAGCTCAACTGGCATAGATACATCAGTCATTTTAGGTGTATCCACCGTGGAGCATTCTTCGCCGAGCTCAAAACTACTACAGTTCGAAAACTGCTTCCTGAAGCATGGGGTATGTCATATGCTTCTTCCCCACGACGTTAGATTGACTATGCATCCACTTTCTAGGCTTTCTTTGTCCTGTGCACACCCCCGATGGTTCTCCCTGCGGTCTCCTAAACCACCTTTCCCGCACTTGTCGCATCGTCACTGCTCCTCTCGCTGTTGCTCATCTTCCCTCCCTCCTCATTGAACACGGCATGACACAAGCGTTCTCCACCTCCGTTGACGGTAGTAAAAACCTTTGCGTCCAGCTCGACGGCCGCGTCATCGGCTGGGCAAGACCTTTCGTCGCCAAAACTCTCGCAACGAACCTACGAATATGGAAGACAGAGGGAAAGCATAATGTTCCATTGGACCTAGAGATTGGTTTCGTACCTGCCTCGGAAGGAGGACAGTATCCTGGCCTGTTCCTCTTTTCGTCTCGCGCCCGCATGATGCGGCCGGTGAAGTATCTACCCAACGGACGGGACGATCAAGTCGGCTCGTTCGAGCAGGTCTACATGGATATCGCCGTCACGCCAGAAGAGATCGAACCTAGCGTTTCGTCGCATGTCGAACATTCGCCTACGAATTTCCTGTCTATCCTGGCGAATATGACTCCATTCTCTGACTTCAATCAGGTGCGGCAAACTACTTTTGCCATATTTTTTGTCTCCGTCTTCTCACTTGTCACCCAACAGAGTCCCCGTAATATCTATCAATGTCAGGTAAGAAACTCAAACTCATTCCTCCCCTCTTTTCCTCATCATACTATCCTAGATGGGTAAGCAAACCATGGGCACACCAGCGACGGCGTTGAGGCATCGAACAGACAACAAGCTCTATCGACTTCAGAGTGGACAAAGTCCGGTCGTGCGCCCAGCCCTTCATAACACTTACGGCATGGACTCCTTCCCGAACGGAACCAACGCCATCGTCGCCGTTATCTCTTATACTGGGTATGACATGGAGGACGCCATGATCCTCAACAAGTCGGCACACGAACGAGGCTTCGCCTACGGTACGGTCTACAAGTCGCAGATCATCGACCTGAAGGAACAGAAGGGTGCAATCAAAGCGACCAGTGCTCCCACGCTTCATTTCGGACTGGGGTACGAAATCAAGACGGAAGGGGATAAGAAACACAGCTGTGTTGAATTTCTTGATCTCGATGGGCTGCCTAATATTGGCGCGAGATTGAATCCCGGAGATCCCATCGCTGCATACACGGACGATACAACTGGTGGACGAACCAAGTTTGTGAAGTACAAGGGTGATGAGGTTGCGTATATCGAAGAAGTTCGACTTCTGGGTATGTGACATAGCATCTCCGAGGCCGTAGTCTTCAACTAATATTTCCAAACCTGCAGGTTCCGACGCTGGTGATGCTGAGCTGCAGAAGATCCATATCACGCTACGGATCACTCGGTCCCCCGTCATCGGCGACAAATTCTCGTCTCGACACGGTCAAAAAGGTGTCTGCTCGCAAAAATGGCCGGCCATCGATATGCCGTTCAGTGAGAGCGGTATGCAGCCAGACGTTATTATCAACCCACATGCCTTCCCTAGTCGTATGACTATCGGCATGTTGGTGGAGAGCATGGCGGGAAAAGCAGGCGCGATGCACGGCCTTGCGCAGGACGCCACGCCATTTACGTGCGTCATTTTCTACTCCTGGCTCTTTTGGTCTTTACGCCCATGCACACACTCGTACCTTTCCTGATGACGTTGTTTCGATACCAGATTCTCGGAACAGGACACGGCGATTGATTATTTCGGAAAGCAGCTACTCGCCGCTGGGTACAACTACCATGGAAGCGAGCCAATGTACTCTGGAATAACTGGCCAGGAGTTCGCTGCCGACATCTACTTTGGAGTGGTCTATTACCAGCGACTCCGACACATGGTTCTCGATAAGTTCCAAGTGCGGACGACTGGACCCGTCGACCCGTTAACGCGTCAGCCCGTGAAGGTTCGTCGTTTATTTCTCCAGATGAGATCCACGACCACTCCGCCCTTCCGATCCTCCGTTTAGCTTCACTCACTCAAACTCACTCAAACATGCTCGTCTTTTATTTGGGATGTCTGTCATTCAGGGACGTAAACGGGCTGGTGGTATCCGTTTCGGTGAAATGGAACGTGACGCTCTCATCGCCCACGGCACCTCCTTCCTCCTCCAAGACCGTCTCATGAACTGCTCCGATTACTCTACCGCCTGGGTCTGCAGAACCTGCGGTTCTCTCATCACCCTCGGCTACGATGACGTCCAGCTCGGCGAAATCGTCCTCGGTGGTCCTTCCTCACACTCACACGCACCAAAACCTTCGGGCCCACAAGGCGAATACTGTCGCGTCTGTCGAGCGGCGGCAGAGCAGGAAGAAGAGCGTGAGAGGAAAGCGCTCGTGACGGGGCAAAACCCGGAACGGGTGGGTAAAAACGATGTGAGGGTGGCGATTCCGTCACAGCATGTGTTGGGCAGTAATGGCGGAGGGAAGGGAGGGGATCTGGATATTGTCGCGGTTCCGTATGTGTTTAGGTATCTCTGTGCGGAGCTGGCGTCGATGGGTATTGCGGTGTCGTTGGAGGTGAAGTAGTGTGTATGTACTACATACGTGCTGCTCTGCAAGCTTTCTTGTTGTATCGTCCTATCGCTATTTTTATCCGTTGGGGTCGTCTATCCTTGCAATCAGCGTGGCGGATATAGACTGGACAAACTCACATGTCGAGCGCATCTCGATGTGAAAACAGGTGAACAAGGAACAAGGTCGTCGTATTAGAGAAGTGTCACAGGTTCCTACTACTAAGACACTGCCAGAGAGAGTACACCGTCCATGTCCATAAAGAAAGAAGCAAGATCGATAATATGTAACTAACGCGTACCCGAAGCGAAGTAACTGTTCGTCTATGCGCCTTCCCACCAGACTCAAGCAATAACGGAACCAACAACGACGCCCAAAGCCACAACCAACCCAGTCATCGACACCTTCATCATCTCGACCGCACCGCTCGCAGAAGCACTAGCACTAGCCGAAGCGCTCGCCGAAGATGTGCCAGAAGCAGCAGCGGGGGCGCTGGCTCCGGTGGGCACGCCGAGTCCGGTGTCGCTGTCGGTGAAGGGTCCTGGTCCAGTAGAGGCCGAGGCGCCGACACCGACGAGACCGCCTTCATCTTGCTGTTGTACGAAAAGAAAACATGAATTAATTAGTGAGATGGGTGGGTAGAAGGGGTGGATGGGGGGTGGATGAAGGAGGAGAGAACGTACGCCTGGGAGACCTTGAGATTGAGAAGCGGCTGTGACGAAGTTTTGGAAAGTGTTCGCTCCGGAGGTGGGTGCGTTGATAGCACTGACAATACATTCGAATCAGTCCTTCCTATTAAAAATAATATAGAGGTCGGCGATTTTGAGAGGCACCCACCCAACCATTCCGGCGTTGCAGTGCGGCGAGGGTGCGAGCTGCTTGCAATGGAACCAGATCGCTATATTAATTGTGGACAATTTAGCCTGGTGTGACTAGAGCGTCGATATCTAACGTAGAAGAAGCTTGTACTCACGCACGGACCCGTTCGTGATGGTCAAGTTGAATGTAGGCGTGATGCTAGGTTCACTGGGAATCAACACGAAGCTGTACACATTGTCCAGAACCACCAGTCATCATTAGCTCACGGCGGTGAAGGGCATGAGTTAGGCCAGGAATACGCACCCAGAGTCAAACCCACCGGACATCGTCTGGCAAGGTGCGGCGAAAGTCGACTGAGTGATCGTGTGGTTCCCAGGCCTACACACGAAATAACACAGATCAGTGGCATGCACGGCTATTATATAACTTTTACAGGAGAAAAGAGAACACGCACACTCCGGTGAACATGAAGGTTATGACGGAGCCCTCAGAAGCGTTCAAGTTGTTAGGCGAGAAGATGAACTCGGGGTCTCCATTAGAGCCTCCGACGTTGACCGATATCTACAGACAAGCAACATGTTAAGCAAACCACGCTCGAGGATAACGAAACAGCTAGTGAAAGTGCAGGTAAAATTGAGAGTAAGAGAGGGACCGGGGGACATACAGTCTGATTCTGTGCGACCGCGACAGACACGAGAGACAAGAGAGCAGACGCGACGGTGACAAAACGCATTTTTTAGATTCGACGACTTCAAAGGATTATAGCTTGGCACCAGGCAGAGCTGTATGTGGTTCAGCAAGGACGAATGAAAAGATGCGGATGAAGAAAAAAGGTCTGGGCAGGAACTCTCGTGGTCGGGACCTCCTCCTCTCCTCCCCCACGATCCAGCTTATATACCATCCCACCCCTCGCCCCACTACACACAGCCTGTCATCGCAGTGATGAAGATGGAGACGGACCAGACGGTTGGGTCTTGGGTTCTTGGGGTTCTAAGACTTGCTTAGCGATCACAATCGAAAACCTGAGGCAATCGCGGTTGCACCGACGACAAGGACTCTCGCTCAGTGTAGAGCCTGTGCGGGATGGAAAGCCTCTTCGTGGGAGGACCCTTGCGCCATTTAGGCCTGCGTATGAAACTTCATGAAGGCCGTCTGAAAGCTTTCAAACTTCTCCGTAGTGTGTATGGTCGGATGTTCTCACTAACGTGCGAACGGCGAGGCAATTATTAGACTTTATTGGCGGAACGGGGCTGTACGTCGCGGGTGCTGTGGGATGTGGATGGACGAACACGAATACGGGGAGATGTGAATGGACGGAGAGGAGATGAAGTGTGTGAGGATGGGGTATGAAACCGGTATGGAGTGAGATGGGAGGTTCGTGCTAGGCTGTTAGACCGCAGCTAAGAGCGGGTTTCAAGTTCTCAAGCGGGCATGTTTCGAAGAACGGTGTCCATGAAGCATCTACAACGAACAAATGCCTAGCCTGTCGGCATGGAAAACATAGAGTCAGCGTTGTTCAGAGGAATGAGAACAAAAGCCTGGCTTTATCGAGTGACTCTGGGTGTTGTTCCGACGCGAGGTTTAGTGAGGTGGACCACGCTGCAGATGGCGTGAAGACTTCTGCATGTTCGTGAGACTCCTCGGGCTCTCAGGCGCTTGCTAGTCAGTTTTCGTTTGTCACGAAATCTGCAGAAGTGAGAACTCTTCTAGCTCATGCTGTAGTGTGCGGTGACACAGCGGCTACAACACAAGATAGCGACTCTGACACTGCGATAAATAGATATAAACACTCTAGTCTGCCAACCTATTGTTGGAGGAAAATCAGATCTACACGGGAAGGTAGAATGATGATAATAGACTGTTACCTCTGGGAATCCGTGTACTATTCTGATCTGAAAAATGGGCTTGATTCAGCGACTCCGTCCTCCTCCGCGTCGTGTTCGTGGGACTCCTCGGACTGGTCGAACGCGCAGTCGGTCACATCTCTGGTCTTCGTCTGTAGATGCCTTCTAATCCATACTATTTTGTGGCGGCGCAAGGGAGATGAAGTAAGGCAAGGTGGGGAAGTAGAAGTTACCCAGCACGGTTCGTGGACTCCGCGGACCAATGACACTCTTGGCACAAGATCTGTGTTGGTCAGGTCTTTGCTCGTGATGACTTTCCTCTCCTGACGATCTCCCAAGACATTCCAAAAGTTGTAAAAGGACAAGAAATACTAAGTTGACGTGTATGATCATATGAGGTCAGAATACAAATGCTGAGACAAGTGTGAACACGTTAGCCAGTACTGCGCGTACGACAGTGTCCCAAACGTTGCAAGTCTTACCGTGTGTGAGGAAGAAAAGACAAGAACCACCTAGCACACCCTCCCCCTCCCCTCCAAACCGTATCTAAACACCTGTTATTGCTCCTGCGGCAACACCTTCTTCAACCACCCCCTCAAATCGTCCAACTCCTTATCCGTCGTCGAATGCCCCAGGCCACTATACGAATTGAACGAGATGCCCTTCAACCCCTCCGCATCCGGCGCATCGAGCGACGCCGTCCCGATCCCGATCTGCGACCTGAACGCGGCGACGGACTCGACGCCGAGGTGGTACTTGACGAGCGGGTCGTGCGTGCCGTGTCCCCAGAAGATCGGGAGCTCCTTCGCGTGGCGGCCGGCCATCTAAATGCGGATGGGGCAAGTTGACGAGTGGATGTATAAATAATTTGTGCATAAGCATGGCATGAAATCGAGGAACGCAGAGAAGTTGGGACGCAGCGGATCAGGAGCGCCATGTGTTATGACGGCGTTCGTCGTACGTCCAGAACACGAACATCCACTCTTCTTGGTTATGTACTCGATCCGCAACGGCAACGGCGCGAATCTCGACGGAGAAGCAAAGCAAAGCGACAGGAAGCAGGGGTTTGGTAAGTACTCACGGCTTTGAACGTCCTCCTCATGAGCAGCCATCCGCTCAGCGACGCGATCCCGGCCAACCTCCTCTCGTTCGAAAGACCGACGGTGAGACTCATGGCGGCGCCCATACTGAAGCCACCGAGGACGATCCGTTCAGCAGGAGTGCCCGAGTCGATTTCGTCGGTGATGAGTTTGTCGATTTGGTGTACGGAGCGTAGGATGCCGGCTTCGTCTTCGTCGCAGTCGAATCCGAAAGAAATGATGTCGAACCTAATACGGGCACGGGGAGGAGGAGAGAGGTTGAATGGAGCTGGAGGAGGGGTTACAATAGGGGCTTGTGGGTGAGCAAGGCATACCAGGAGGGCATTACGATCCCTGAGTTTGCAGTCACTGGGATTGAAGGTCTGAGTGAGGGGATGTCAGTAAGTACACGGTGAGCCAAGGCATGGACGGACAATACTCACGAATGGGGAAGCACCCATTTAACATGGCTTAGACCCGGGTCGGCTTGGAACATGTTCGCCACTGGCTTCCATCCGTGGCCGGTGTCGCCGAGACCCTAGACGGATCGAACAGGTTAAAAGGCACAGAGCGCATCGCTGAGATTGCAACGAACGTGGACAAAGATGACGGTGGCCGTATGATCCGTCAGTGCGTCGACCGTCAATTTCTGAAGCGGTGCGATCGGCATCGTCTTCGTCGTGGTCGAGATAAATCGAGCGAAACCGTTCTTAGCGCTGAAGACAGATAGACGTGCAACAAACTGTACAAAAGGCGAATAAGAAAAGAAAAAACGAAGGCGAAGGGGGAGGGCGAGCAAGACCCAGTGAGCAGAACGAAAGGAGATTGGGGCGAGATCCGAGGACGTTTACTAACCAGAGTCATAACGGTCACTGGCACGAACGCCTTCACTTTCCGCCACCAGCAGCGATCCATCTTTCTTCTTCTTTCGCTGACCACCACGCTCACATCCGTTACCCGACCCACTCGCACACTCACTTGGCTATGGCAACGGCGACTACAAATTCACAGTTGCCGACCCCTGACGTGGACGCACCACCTACCGCCGAAAATCAGCCTCAAAATAATGCTCAACAGTCCTTAACGGGCACTGACGAGCCTCAACCCGAATATCAGACTCGATCCGAGCCCCAGCCCCTCTCCAAAAAGGCTCAGAAAAAACTTCGCAAGGCAGAGTTCCTCGCGGAACGCAAGCTCGAGCGGCGCGCGCGCGAAAAGGAGAAGAAAAAAGAGAAGAAGCGTGAGCGTGCGGAGCGGATCGCTGCTGGGGAGGACGTCGACACTGCAGCTGAAGACGATGGCAGGGTGAAGAAGAGGGCCAAGCTCAGTCACGGTGCTCCGAGGAACGCATTCGGGGCGAGGGTGGTCGTCGATCTGGGGTTCGACGATAAGATGAGCGAGAAGGTGCGGTGCTTTTTATTCGTTGACCCTTGCTCCCCCTTCGCATTTCCCATATCCATATCCCATTTCAATTCGTGGAGCCTCCTGGTCAAGGCGTGTAAGTAGTTATTTACATGCATGCATTCGTTTGTTATGGATATGGCTGTGGTCGTGGTTTGGTGGGGTGGTGTGTAGGAAGTCAGTTCGCTTTGTTCTCAGCTCGCGTACACGTATAGCGCCAATCGACATGCCGACACTTTCTTCTCCAACATCCTCTACACTTCGCTCAACGGCCGAACATTAACGCGTCTTGAGAGCATGAACGATGCAGGATACAAGCGTTGGACGGGCACGGAGTGGTGGACTGAGAGCTACGAAGATCTGTGGCGCGAGACTCCCGTGGCATCAGACGAGGTCGCTGTGACCGGGGAGGAAGCTGTAACGGCTGCGCAAGACGGAGCGAAGATAGCGCCTGTTTCAGGGAAGAAGGTAGGAAGGAAGGGGAACAAGCAAGTAAACTCCAGAGGCTCTGCATCAAAAGACACCGTCGTATATCTCACCGCCGACTCGTCGGACGAGCTGAATGAGCTCAAAGAAGGCGAAACATACATCATCGGTGGCATATGCGATCACAACCGTTACAAGGCACGTTCCCTCTCTCACTGCCCACCCATATATCCCAAGTCGCAACACTCCTCCTTTACCTCTATCCATGCTTACATTCATATACAGAACCTCTGCCTGAACAAAGCCACCACCTCCGGCATCCGCGCCGCACGTCTCCCAATTGGTCGCTACCTTACCGACTTGCCCACCCGCAAAGTTCTAACGGTCAACCAAGTCTTCGAGATCTTGCTAAAATGGGTCGAGACGAAGGATTGGGAGCAGGCGTTTTATGCTGTTATCCCGAAGCGCAAGTTCCAGCAGGGTGGAGCGGGGCGGGCGAAGAGCAATGATGGGGGTGAGGACGGTGAAGGTGAGGGTGGTGAATATGATGACAAGGAACAAGACAGGGACGAGAGCGGCGATGTAGAGGCCAAGGGGTTGACGAGCTCAGTGGCAGATGATGGAGCAGTGTTAGAGCCGGAGGTGGGAGTGGATGCAGGAGCAGAGACGAGTGTCGTGGATGATGGTATAAGAGAGGCAGATGCTTGATGTCCATATATTATATGCAGTGGTGATCTTCGACAACTTATTAGAGCACTTCCTTCAGATTAGTTTTGCCTGAGCCTCTCTCGAGGGGCTTGGGTTGTGTAGGAGCAGGTTTCCAGCCGATCTGTTGTCTCGTGAGTATGAGCCCTAGCTGGCTACGCAATCGGACGTACCATAAAGATGACCTGGAAAGTCGCTGGTATTGTCCCATTTTCTTCACCGTGCATCTCTAAAGAATGCAGTCAGTTTTCAGATCATATATATTCTCAAGAAATACCTGACTTACCCTTGTATATAGCGGAGGCAGCAGCGAGCGTGTCTCTGTGAATGACGTTTCGGCTAAAGAAAGCACTTTCAGTCATTATTCTGCGTTGCTGTGATAGCGTGGCGCCACAGTGGCCCGGGGATGAACGACATTGGCGATACGCACCGACCGACAACGGCGTTACTCTCGCCCATATCCCTCAAATCATCAAGCAACTCCCACATAGACGGGTATCCCGCCTTGACTTCGTCGACATCGACGGTAAGAAGCGTGAATCCTGCTCGGCCCATGAGGTTCGACATATCTCGAGGATCTGAGCAAACATGAGCCGTTCAGTATCACGGCAATGACGAAGACATGGTAGGGGAAGCGCGTACCGGCCATGGGAGAGACGTGCGGAGAGATACCGCCTTCTCGCTCTATTTCTGCGAGCTGAAGGGACGTTCGGAGTTCGAAGAGGGTGTCGCCGCCGAAGAGAGCACCGATGAAGACGCCGTCGGGTTTGAGGGCTTCTCTGATTTGGATGAGGACGCCTGTGTGGTGGGCTATGTGAGACGGGATACTGAAGGGGTTTGAATCAAGAATAGACGTACCTGGGAGGTCATTCACCCAGTGTAAACTGAGACAGGACACAATGGCGTCTTGTGAGTTTGGGGGGATGTTCTCGAGGAGTTTTTCTTCGTCGGCGTGCATACGTTCGACAGGGACTAGAAGGCACTCATGAGTCTTGCACACGTAACTGGGCGAGCGAACGGCGGCTCGAACCTTCAAACTCTGAATCAGGATCTCTGTGTAACATCTTCTCTGATAGCATGTCAGGACAATGGTTTCGAACGAAAGGTAATGAAGCCTGCGTACCACTCATATCCAGCATGGTCACCTTCGACGTCTGGTCCTGCTCCAAAAGCTTCGAGAAATGTCCAGAGCCGGATCCGATATCCAAGACTGACGAGAACTTGCGTTTCACATCCTTCAAGACCAACCCGACCATACAATGGCCCCTATTCAGCTCTCCAACCTCCTTGTCCTAGCTACACGGAAGTACGGACATACCATGAATCGTTCAATCATCCGTTCTGCGACCTCGTCACGCACGTAATCTACCGTCCGACTAGCCTCACCGTCATTACGAGTAGCGGCTCGGTCTTTTTGGATACGTTTGGCGTTGCGGTCGAAGACTTGGAAGGGGCCGACGCTAGTGGGGTTTATGGGTGATGAAGTGAGTGATGCGTAGGCCCTGGTTGAGCAGCGGAACTGGGGTATACGGCGTGATAGGTGCTGCATTCTGTTAGCCGGCAATTTCGATAGTTGTCGCAAAGGATGCGATGGGCCACATGAAGACGTTGATTTGTCGTCCCCATAACGTGACCGTGAGTGTCACTTGTGACCAACGCGCTTGAGTGACCGCTCGCCGATCACGACCGTCTCGAGCGTACTTGGGTGCCTCCTCCATCATCCTGACCACCATGAACAACGGCGGACAGCCCCCAAACCCTAATTACCCCTACCAGAATGGACAGCGGAATGTGCAGAACAGATCTGCACCGGCCCAGGCTGGGGCTTTCACTTTTTCGCGGGAAGAATTGATGAGGTTCTACCAGCAAGCATTCTACCAAGGACAGCAGGCACAGTAAGTCTTTTGGCTATGCTGTACATTTTGTTTGACCCCTGACAGTTGAGATTTTTTTAGACAAAGTATACATCTGAGTAACCTCCAGTGAGTTTGGTCTTGGTGATCCATCCCGCGCAATACTTATTGATGAATATTCCAATCAGGATGCTTGAACACGCCACGAGCTCTTCGAACGGAATGATAGGTCAGGCTACACCACAGCTTCCCGTTGGGACAGAGGTTGCACGATACCCAACCCAAGTACGTTGCAGAACTCATCACCCCTGTCGTGCATTTCGTTTCTCATCTGTGGTGGCGCGAATCAGAATCAGCCTGTGACCGGTTGGTCCCACCAGTCATCCGCCAACTATAACGCTTTGCCACATCCAAGTCAACAGCCATACAGCGCCATACAGAGTCAGGCAGCTCCGGCTCCAGTGCAAGATCACTACCGTCATACGTCCCAGTGGGCTCCTCAGGCAACGAGCAACCCAGGTCAAGTTTCTGCACCACAATATGTACCAAGACGACACCAGTCGACAAGCGCTCAATCTTCGGTCAACACGCAGACTCATTATAACTCACAAGCTCCTACTCAACACCAGCCGCAGGACACGACTAGTATGCAAACAGCGCAGTTCTCAAATCTCCAGAGTGCGTTTTATCTTACATCTTGGTTCGCGTTCTTTTGTTGACTGCCGTCGCCAGACCAAGTGCAGGCTGGTTCATCCGTTGCAGGACCTAGCACCCTGCCTACAGCTCAAGCACCCACAGGTACGCATTCCCATCACCCTTCCTGAGAATACATTTCCCGAACATCCTTTGTGTGATAGCCTTCACTGCACCAAACCCTGATTCCGTTCAGCTTGTTCGTGAGTGACTATTTTGATGGATGGAATCACCTCTTTCTCCTGTCGGTCAACTTACGTTGTTTTTCTCAGACCGTCTGCAGAAGGCATTCAACGACCGTACTAAGGTGGGACACCATAAACTAGAGCCCACGTCCTTTTCGATCATCCATTACTCACGTTTTTTGTCGTACCCGTCTTTTCAGTCTGATGGGTACGAACGCGCTCGAGAGCAGCTTGCAAATGTTCTTCAACTGCAAATCGAGAGCAAGACACTCACCCGGCAGACCGCTCAGAATTGGTTTGAGACGATCATTCGGGTATATAAGCAAGAACATGGGATAGCCACTCCCGACTCATCTACCAACGCTGCTCAAGGTGGTTCTGCCTCCGTCTCGGGGTCCAATAAGGAGTATTTACAAAACTTGTTGGGAGAAGCAAACGCTTCGGCTGCAGGTATTCCCATGCCACAGGCTCAAGCCACGCCTACTGCCCCGACATCTACATCCACTGCTCAACAACCATCCCCGTCATCCTCCAACCCACAATCTCGACCAACGAGCACAACCTTCAATCGACCTCCAAGCCGACTCCAAGAAATGCTTACTACAGCACAGGCGGCTCAGACGAAAGCACAAACCCCTCCGAACGTACAAGCTTCATCGAATGGCGTACAGCTCTCGCATCCTCCTACATCGGCTCCCGCAGTATCGTCAAGTACTTCTCGTCCACAACCAAGCTCCCACTATCGAGATACTACGTCTTCGGGGACTTCATCCACCGTTCAGCCCCCGCTCGCTCAGCCTCCCTATGGCGATTCAACGTCTTCGCTTGCGACTTATGATGGGCCAGTGCAGGCGAAGCCTCTGCCGTATGCGAACGCGCATCTCAGCCCGTACCTTACATCCTCCCCGTCCGCCTCTTCAACTACCGTCCCCATCACATCGCCACATACCTCCTCTTTCCAATCGGTTCCTGTCACTGCACCACAATGGTCGAAGCCGACGGCCACTGCTGCAACTGCACCATCGAAGGGAACGGCGCCAGTGCAGGAGAAATCAATCCTTCAGCCCCAATCGCCGCCTCAGTCGAAACCAACGTTCACATCTTCGCTGTTACGCTCACTCAAACTCATGCAGGCCGCGAATGCAGGTTCAAAGTCGGGTTCTACACCCTCCGCATCCCCCTCGGTCTCTACACCAGCACTCGCGCCACAAACGTCAGGGTCGCCTACTCCCGCCGCCGCTACTACCAACTCTGCTATCGCCGCTTCATCCTCGACTACGATTCCAACTGTGAATCATTCTGGCCAGAAACGTAAGCGGTCACACGAAAACGAGAAGGAAGACGACAGGTCGAGTGTAGGCAGCAGAGGCGGCGATGGCAGAGAAGCGAAGAGGCACTCGATGTCTGTGTCGAGGGAGAGGGGGCCGCTCGTGCAGGTCGGGAACGAGAATGGGATGAGGACGGAGGGTGGAGAGCCAGAGCCACTACTGCAGTCGGGACAAGGACAGGGACAGGGACAGGGAGCGAAGAAGGCTTCGGTGGATGTGATTGATCTGACGGAGGATGTCGAGCAGTTACACGTGCAGAGCGATGGGGTGATTGAAACGACCGGACCCGAGGAAGAAGAAGAGGAAGAGGAAGAAGAGAGGGAGACGTCGATGATCCCCGAGCTTTCGTACCCGCCTGAGGAAACAGCTGATGGGACGCAGATGGGTATGGATATGGATCTGGATATGGATATGGGTATGGGTATGGGTATGGGCAACGTACCGCCGTTTATATTTCCCCTTCAAGACGCGATCTTCATTCCTGGTGGTGCGGTTGACGACGGGTCGGGGCCTAGGATCGAGGAGGTGATCGAGGACGAAGCTCAGACCGAGGTTCATATTGAGACGGTCAAAGGCGTCGTTGAGGAGGAAGAGGAGGAGGAGGAGGAGGAGGAAGAAGAGGAAGAAGGTGTGGCGGATGTGGCGGCGGTAGTAAATCCCGTGGACACGAGAGTCGTCCCACAGCCTCCAATTCGCGACGCCCCAATGGATATCGACGAGCCTTTCGTGCACAAACCGGACTTGCTGGTGTCTACCTCCGCCAAGAAACCACATTCGAATATTTCGGGTCCGTCGTCGTATACGGTACAGAACGATTCAGACAAAGTATGGACGACGCTCGGCGGGCCGCCCGTATCACGGCCAGCTCCCCTCCCTCCCACCGCTTCTGGTTCCGGTTCCGGCCTTATGTCTCGTTTCACTCGGGTCCAGGCAGAAGCAGAAGCGGGTCCAAGCGTCGCTTTTGACGACTTACAACCCGATGCTGTTCCTGTCCCGAGGTCTATCTCCTCTACCATCTCTACCTCCACGTCGAAGAAAGTCAAAGGCAAGGCTAGAAAACAGGCGTACGTGCTCATACCATCGCCTCCGGAGTATGTCAAGAGGGCTAGGGAGAAGGAGAGGGCTTTGAAGGCTTCTGTCAAGAAAAGGAAGGGGAGGTGGATGAATAGGGTGGAGAGTAGCGACGAGGGGGAGGTGGATGTACAGGTGATGGAGGAGGTGCGAGAGGTAGACGGAGAGGACGAAGAGGCTATCGGTATGTCTGTTTAGTGGAGTAGATCTGTATTCTCTTGGTTGAACGCGTTCTGATTATCAATGATTATTTTCTTGTTTCATGACATGCCACGCCCCAAAATCGACGTGACCTCGTCCACTTTCAAAACTTTCGGACGCTGGGTGTAGACAAGGCGGCGAGGCAGGCGAGGTCGAGGTTGAGGCTGAGGCCATGTAAGTGGCACGAGTGTAGCGTTGTGGTGGATTCGGAGGAGAAACTGTTGGAGCATTTGAAGGACGTGCATGTGGAGAAGGCGAAGGCGGAGAAGGGACAGATGGTGAGTTTCACTGTTTCACTCCCTGTCCAGGTTTCGTTCGCCCTTGCCACAAATTCTGTTGCACTGGGTGGGATGGTTACTGATTTTACTTTGGTGTTGACAGGGCTCCGCGTGTGAGTGGAACGGCTGTGAACACAGAGTTCCGAAGATCGAGGCGCATGTCCGAGAACATGTCACTTCCGGGTTTTATTGTGCATACGAAGGTAATGAAATCCCCATACACAACACATCCCCTATACCCACCAAACCAATAACCCAAACAGAACACTCATTCTATTCATCCTCCTCCCCGCAGGCTGCGACGACTTCTTCGACCAAGCCCCCGCCCTCCTCGCGCACCATCGCCACAACCACCTCCCGAGCGCTGAGCGCCCCAACGGCGACACTCTGCGCAGATCCATGAAACGACTGATCAAGCCAGACCTGCAGAGACGGCCGTTATCGGAGATGAGCGAGGTGTTGCCGAGTTTTATGGCGGTCACGTTGAGGGTGGGCATGCCGAGGATATCGAAGGAGAGGCATGAGACGTTGGGGCCTTGGGTGCGTGTTTTTTTCCCCTTCCTTTTGCTATGTGCAGGCGAGGAGTTGTTCGCTGTGTGGTTGTGTGCTGATGTTCGTGTCGTTGTTACTGGCGTAGGTGCTGAGGAAGCTGTTCCCTATGGAATCGGTCAGTCGGGAGGCCTTAAGACCCGTCATGTCGCCCATCCGACGCAGTTACCGGCGGAATAATCCCTCCTTACAAACACAGGCGGACGAGAACAGCGCGATGTCGGCGGACGACGAGCTGCCGCGCGCGCACTCGAATTCAGCTTCGAACGCGGTCGACCATCTAAAGCTGAAACTAGGGGAGCAGTACGAGTTTTTGGATAAGTGGACGCCGAGGAGAGCAGGTGGGAGTGTGGGTGGGTTCGAGGATTTGGTGCATGTGGATGATGGGCTGTGGGAGGTGGCGCGGTCTGATGAAGAGGAGGAGGAAGAGGAAGAGGAGGATGTGGATGTGGATATCGAGGTGACAAGTGAGGAAGAGGAAGACGTGGATATTGAGGTCGATGAGTTGGAATCGGACGACGACCCAATCGACTCTTTCTCGGACGTGCCGGGGCGGAAGAACGGGTATGGGAGGTTGACGTTGAAGCTGCCATCATCAGCTTGGAGGTCGACTGCATCCGCATCAGGATCAGCACCAGTGGCGGGCCCATCATCAGCAATAACATCAGGATCGCCGACGCATCGGGTCGTGCTCAAGGTTCCTCCTAGGCCTGATCTTTCAACTCCGTCTTTTTCCACCAGTGTCAGTCCGACGACGAGCAAGTAGCGAGGGGGAGGATGAATGATTAGCCGAGCGTGGGTAGGTTGAGAGCCTTAAGGTTGCGTTCGAAGTCGTTGGGTGCTCAAAGCGCGTGATTGTTGTTGGTTCACATTCAAAGCGTAGGGGCACGTCGGGGAGGGGCGGTGGGCGTCGTCAACGCTGTTGTGCCTGTACTGTATGCTATGCTGTTCATATCTGCTGTCCTCGTTGCTATCCGCTGTATGTACCTGCATGTACGCCTTCTGAACCTAGTTTTACGGCAACTTTTGGATTTTCACACGCTTTGAATTTCATGCCACATTTCATGTCAGTGGATCGACGTTTCCGGCGGGGTGCATGTGCATTCGGCTTCTAATTCAGCGGGAAAATCGTGGGTGTGCCGGAGCGTGTGTTTCATACGGCCAGCGTTGACGTTCGTGCTTCTGGTGCAGGGACAGAACTCCAAGGGCTGTTTCCAAGGTGCTTTCCATCCTGATATCGCTGCGAAAAAGGGCAGGAAGGCTGTCAGCTGGCGTAGCCGGCGTCCGCCGGAGGTTGTGCGCCGACCCCGCGGGCTCTCGGTTAGGGCTAGCAACGGGCGAAATAATGTCGCGCAAGTTTATTGCTCACGGTCGTTTCGCCATCGCCTTCGCGGTTGAGCGTCCGCATCCGTTCCTTATCCCTCTTCCTCACTGTCCATAACATCCCGAACGACCATGGCTGCTGGCATCGGTGCGCTCCTTTCCTTCCTAGGCTCACCGTCCATGCAGCGTCTGACGTTTCCTCCGGTGTTTCACACGTACAACAGGGCCGAAGTACATCTCCCCTCGTTCCGCAGACGTCATTCTCTCCGACATACGTCCCATAAAATTCAACATCGAGGCCCTCGGCTGCCTCAATGTCCTCCTCGACGAGATACTCACATCCATCATCGTCGCAGCACATGCGCTCACCACAGAACGACTCAAGCTCGGGCTCCTCAAGGTCCTCCCCACCACGCTCGGCAAGGAGGCTCTGCTCGAGGCAGAGGTCGAGCTGAGAGCCTACTGGGAGCGCACGAACGCGTCGAGACCGGGCTCTGCGCAGACGGCTGCCGAGAATGCGCCAGACCAGGACTTCAATGCTCAGTGGGCCGTCGAGGTGCGTCCGCACATGTTCTCTTTATCGCGGCTAAGGACTCATGTTTTCCCTCCATCAAATACAGTTGATGCGGCTCAAATGCGAGGCCTACTCGACACTGAACGACTCGGACGAGGACCCGCAGACTGAGGCACGTCTGAATGCTCGTTTGGGGAGCCCTTCACCGCGCAAAGCGGCCCTCGTAGCCCCCGCGGCACTGTATCTGACAGCGGTGCTGGAGTGCGTCTCATTCTCGTTTCGTTGATGGTAGCGGGCAACGGTACTGATCGCATACGGGGCACGTTCCAGGTCCATCTGCGAGTAAGCACTTCATGGAACGCGTAGCTTTTCTGATAGATTGTCCTGACCTATGACTTCATTGCCCTCTTTAGGCACATCCTCTCTAACGTCGGTCGCGTCGCGACCCGCGACAGCAGTACGACGACGGCATCGTTGGAGGATCTCTTCGTGGCCCTCTGCGAGGATGATTCCATGTTCTCCCTATTCAGAACAATGAAGGGTGAGTGTTTATCCGCACGGTTCAACATTCCGGTTCCTGCTCATGACTTTTGCTCGATGCTTCCGCTCTTGTCACAGTATATGACCAGATCGAGACTTTGTCAAAGATGTCAAAACCTCGCAGGAGTCTAAGCAAATCCAACTCGAGACCCGGCCCACCTTCAGAGCACGCTCCCTCACCCATCCCCGACGTCTCCTCCACCGCATCCGGCATCTCAAATCGCTCCAGGGTCTCCTCCGACGCACCTCCACAACAATCTGGCAGACCCTCCCTCGACAAATCGCGAGCCAAAAAGTTGTTCAGGACGCACAGTCGGACCACGAGCGATCGGGACCAATCCCAGGCGGATCCGTCATCCCGGCCGTCATTCGCCGACGCGCCGAGACAGAGTGGACAAACTGATAGTTTCCATAGCGGGATGTCCGTGGATGGAGAGGTCCGTACCTTTTCCTTTTTGGTTCCCCTTTCTCTTTCCTTGCTCTCTACCCTTTCCTTCGCTCTGGTCCCTGTCCGCGTCTCCGTATGTTTGACCTCCTGAGTCCTCACCCTCACCGTTCGTGGGTTTTCCAACCTCATCAGGACGAAGAGTCTGTCGAGTTCGATAACCGAATGCGTGCGGGTGATACGGTCAAAATGTCCCTCACACCGGATAGACTCAGGACCATGGACGTGCGTCCTTTTACCACCCCTTTGTTATACTATCGGCGCCGTTCTGATTCCAACTTTTGATTTTGTTACAACAATAATAATAGCAAGAGAAGAACGGCCGCGCAGGCAAGCGACAACCCGCCCTGAAGAACTCGACAGAACGTTTCCCCGCGACCGACGGATCCGGTCTCTCCCCAGTCGCAGCGACACCCAAGACGCCCAATGGCGTCCGCAAGACGTCGTTCCGCGAGGTCGACTCTATCTACGAATATGAAGAGTCCAAGAGCAAACCTCACGCTAACCACAGCCTCACCACCTCTCCCAGCTCGCGTTCCGGGCGAAACGCGTCCGACCAAACTTTCGTTCCATCCCCGACTCCTAGTCGCAACCGTTCGCTGTCCACCTCTCATGCCAGCGGCAATAACAACAATCGCAGCGGGAACACGATTCTACGCAAAGCTTCCATGCAGCACAAACCGGCTCCTATGCCGCCCCCTCTTCAGAACAGGCAACCTCGAGTGCCGCCGAAGAACGACGATTCTGTGTTTGGCGGAGGGATGCCGAACCGTAAGCGGAGGATCCAGCGCAATATCGACGATATGGACCTGGACGATATCATGAACGGCTCGGATGAGGACGAAGGCCAAGACGTCGTCAGACCTCCCTCTGCTCCGGTCTCGATGGGGCGCCCGCCTGCTACGCCCCGGTCGACCGCAGGCGGAGTCAAAGTCTCCGCTTCGACGCGCGAACTCATGGATTTCCTCTCTGAAGGACCCCCGCCCGAAATGATGTCTCCTCCTCCGATGTCCATGCACGACGACCTCTCGACCTCTCAAAGCTCCAAACAGAGGGGCTCAGGTCGTTTGCAGCGCATGATGTCGAAGTTGAGCCTGGGTGGTGATAAGGCGAATCAGGACGGAGGCAGCAGTGTAGGCAGCAGCGGCCGTTCCATCCGTCGTATGCCTTCCACGAACACGATCAGCGCACCCAACACGCCCTCCATGCGCTCCCAACATTCGTTCAACAACCTCGGCCCGCTCCCTATGGCCGTCAAGCCTACCCCACCGCGCATGATGCCGCCCCCCGGAGCCATAGCGACACCGATCTCGCCACCCGCGTCTCCTTCGAGGGACTACGATCCTCCCCATCACGCACAGCACGGAGGGTTCGACAGTCTCAGGGCTCGGTCCCAGTCCGTCTCGCATCAGCATCGTAGACTCAGTCCGGCTAGTATGCCTGGTCCGTACGGATCGGAATTGAAGACGAAGGCGAGCGAGGGCGATTTGGTGAGTATGGCCGATGCGTTCAGGTCGAGGCCGCCACCGCCTAGGGCGGATACGAGGGATCTTAGGGAGCGGTCGACGCCTTCGCCTCGGTTGGCGCCGTCGCCTGGGGCGAATGGACAGGTGCAGAGCAATGGGCTTCCGAGGGTTATAGCGAGGAAGGAGCCACCGATGTATGAGCCTTCGATTACCAGTAATAGCGGCAAGGCGGACGGTTCACCTACAACGACCACGGCAACCTCTACTATTGCGCCGAAGTCGTCTGGCCACACACACTCGCATTCGAGGCCGGGCTCGCGTTCACGACAGGGAGGGGGCGCGAGACCTGGTTCGGCCGGCTCGTCGGAGAAAGGGGTCAGGCTTGCACAGGCGTCGAGCGCGAAGAGGGCGGAGGCGGTGGCTGTGGTTGTTCCGAGTGCGCCTGCGAATGGGTTGACGAGGGAGATGGCGTTGGATATGAGGAGATTGATGGGGAATGCGACGAACGCGGACGAGTGCAGGTTGTTGGTGGATATGTTTTTCGCCAGGGCGGGGATCAAGGTTCCTGCTGCGACTACCCCTGCCTCTGCCACTGCGAACTCGACAGAACAGGCGACACCGGTGGGAACGCCTACGTCTGCGAGGTCTGCGTCTGCAGCGTCTCATTCGCCTGTGGGGACGGAGACGTCTTCGCATGGCGCCGCCTCTTCGACGACTATGCAGAGTCCTCCTGCGCCGGTCAGTAAAGATGTGCAGGCCGATACCCAGCCCCAAGTTCCTATCGAGTCGTCCCTCGTGGAGCTGTTCCTCGGCAGTGGCGAGAAATACCCTTCGCCACCCAGCAGTGCTGAAGACGGTGAACGCACTAACGCTACCACTGTCAACGCCAAAGCCGCTGACACCGCCACCCCGACCGCCGCTGCCGATACTCACGCTCTTTCTACTGAAGAAGTTGACGACGCACCTAGACCTATGTCTCCTCCGGTCACTCCCTCGGATGGACCATATACCCACGGGAGAGCCAGCGGAAGCGTCAGTTCTGGTTCTGTTTCTGGCTCTGGTGGAAATACAGGGTTTCAAAGTCTCTTAGAGAGGGAGAAGGGAGCGGCGGCGAGGGCGTCGATTATGGTTACGCCGCTTGCTTAGATTTCTTCTCCGGGGGGAATGACTTGTTGTTCCATTGTTGTTGTGTGTGGACGTTTACCCTGTTTGCGTGCCTAGTGTCCGCGCCTGTTTTACCCTCAGTTCTGTTCCTGTTTCTGTCTCTGGTTTTGCTCTCTCACATCCTAGCTTCATCTATCTGACTGTCGCTCTTTTCTGCGTTTTTATTTCGTCATCTTATCTCTGTTGATCTATCGACTTTTGCTTGATCTCCGTCCTCTTGCTTATATTCTCCAGGCTTGATGCTCCCATTTGCCGTGGCCTTGCTTTATTTCGTCCTTCTCTGGTACTGCCTTATTTCCTCCGCCTTTCCCCGGTGCTGTATCTCCTCTCTCCTTGCTCTCCATTCGTCCCTTTTATTCTTGGCCAAGGCTTCCTATGGGTCATTGCTAGCCGTTCGTTTCTCCCGTCTTCATCCCTTTTCTTCATGCCTGTTCGTGTGGCGCGTTCGTATTTCTACGTAGGTATCTACTTTTTTTTTGGACGGGTGGATGATATACATTTTTGGCCGGATTTTCGGTGTCTGGTGGCAAATTGCATACGTTCGTTTCCTTTCTTTCTATTTCTATTCCCCAACATATGTTTACCCCTCTTATTTCTTAGCCTATATTATTGCTTAGTGGACTTTCTCATTGGCGCAATATAACCTGAGGTGTCTTGTTCTATTCTGGCGGCGATATGGAGAGACGACGGCCGATTCACGCTTCTCGTTTGAGAGAGATGTTAAATGGGTAACAGAGATGGAGCATATATTTGTGACGTGCATCTACCGAGACTAGATACATCAAATGCACCACCTCTCAACCCTCTCCCTCTCCTCCCCCGACGCGCCCCACAGGCCCTCCCAACCCCTCTCAAACCCAAACCACCCCGGAACCTCCTTCCACATCTCCTCCCTCGCCCTCTCAACCACCTCCCCAAACTCCCTCTTACACCCCACGCACATCCTCAACCCCTGCACCTTCCCGCTGCCACTCAGATCCGAGAAATCCGTCCGGTGCAACATATCCTTCGCCTGCCGCAGCGTGAAAAGCGGATCGGCGTCCCTGCCCGCAGCGATCCCGCCTATCGAACGCAGCACGTTCAGATGGATGAAGTAGAACGACTCGGCGCAGCGCGTCGTCGCCGCCGATGCTGTCTCGTGCTGCCGGTGTTTGTGCACCGTCGCGGTGCAGGTGCCCGGCGTGGGCACACGGTCTGCGAGTTCGCGCGCGAGGAAGGAGGCGATGGACCGTTGGGCGGTTTCGCGCCCCTGGAAAGTCGTGATGAGGTCTGCGTTAGAGACGAAGATGTGGTTCGTGTGCATCTTTCGGTGGCCGTCCTCGGAGTCGGAGGAGGTACTGCTACTGCTGAGGGTGGGAGAGGGCGGGGATTCGTCGCGGAATGTGGGTTTGGGGATTCCAATGGCCGTCTTGGAAGGACTGTATCGAGCTAGATCGTAGAATGCTGCGGGGAGGAGCGATTCGATGCCTAGCTCCCTCGCGAGGTTGATCACCGCGATAGGACTAGGGATCACATCTCGAGGCATGTAACGACCTCTGGCGGTGTTGCCGTTGCCTCCTGTAGTAGGGCGGTACTCCGTCGCCGCGTGTTCGCGTTGGTCCCAGCCTACCAGTGTAGGAGGGTAATCACGCTGCAGCCGCGCGATGCATATGTCCCGGAAGGTATCGAGGACGTATTTGGTTGAAAGACGGAGGACGCCAGCGAGGAAAGGGAAGTCCTTTGGGAAGGGATTGCGGAAGTGGAGGCCGTCGTAGATAGCTTTGAGCAGGAAATATACGTCGGTCGGGTCGTCGAAGAGCTCGACGGACGGGCAGCCGAAGAGGAGGTTTGTGGGGTTGATTAAGTTCTGTGGAAGGTTGAAGAGTCCCTTGAAGAATTCAGAGTGGCGAGAGAGGTGGCCTTGGTGGACTCTGAAGGCTGTGGTGTGAGCGACAAGTATAATGTTTCCGTCGGAGAAACAGAAGTCCGGACAGAGGCGGTAGTTACAAGCTTCGAACTCAGAGTGAGCGGGCGTGGCTGAAGATGCGAACATAGTGAACCAAGACGACTTAAAGTGACAGAGCAATAATCTTGGTGAGCTGAACACTGGACGAAATTCAGGGGGAAACACTAGCTTTATATACGCATAGTGAGGAGGTTTCACCTTGCCTCAGCTGCCGGTCAGGACCAAGATGGTTTGCGAGTTCCCCCCCTGCAGCATCCGTGAGCAGGCATCCAGCTTCCGGCAAAGGCTTTGTGAGACATAGCAAAACCACCAGCTACCCCGACGAGTGTCCTCAGGCATGTCGCTAGTATAAGCTTCAAAGGGGAGATGCAGCTACCGGGCCATCGGAAACAAATCTTGATCGCCTGGAGAACGAAGTAACAGTCGAGCAGAAAGACGCAGCATCCAGTATACATTGAGACAGTCGCCCTATACAGTCCTGTAACACAGTAGTCTGGGCAACAAGAGCGGCAGGAGGATACCACCGGGAGGTTATGGTGTGAACGAAAGAGATGCGGAGGTGGCGGTGTCAATGTGGCACGGAATCCGAACCTTCGGACCGCGCCGGAAGTCATGAAAACCCCGACACGAGCTGCCGCACTTGTCGAGGGACGGATTGTATGCGTTCGAAGACAAACTTGGAGTATACATACACAAACAGCGTCGATAATAAAGGATATATATATATTACGGAAATATGGGTGCTTTATATAAAAGGACGAGATACTTATGTAGTAGTGAGGTCAAAGTGAGGTTACCAGTCAGATCTGGATATTGGCTTCTACTGTTCGACTGTGCAGATATATTCAGCACAAAGCAGGAAGTATATAATACGAAGAAGCTTACACATTATCTCAAAGACGGGCACTCTGGGACCATCTTCAATTGAGCCATAGGGAAAGGACTGATCAGACGAATTGCCTGCTGAATACCATGACTCCTCCTTCAGTCTTCCGACCAGCATAGACTCTAGCTGCCCGCGCAGCGATTGAAGAAAGTTTTCCGGGATAGAGGGAGGGGGGTACCATGGATAAATGGTAAAGTGAGTGCCAAAAAGAACAAGGTCGGGCGGAGGAGGTCCTTCGTCGGGGCGACCCGCCGTGCGGTTGAAGTTAAGATGCTCATATAACTTCCAGCAGCACCAGCAACATTTTTTGTTAACGGAGATGAAGTGCTTATCGACCTTTCAGATTGGTAGGCAACAAAGTCGTCAAATAGGGGAACAAGATTCGCAATTTGAGAGAGAGAGGCCGACGGACCGAGAATATGTTCAATAACACATCCTCATCCTTAGCTTTCATGTCTCATGCTCTGCTGGTTTCTTGCGCAATTTTGTCAGAATAGAAGGAATGTGCGAGAGCCATCATTGTCGCCTCCGCGTGCAGCGTGCCCTGTTGCCGGCATTTTGAAGTTTCTTGCGTAAGTTCGCCATCGCACCCTCCGCGCAGAAGGGAGGAACAATACGATCCATGAACTTCTCGATGTGATTGTCGACGCGTTCGGAGTCGGGGTGATGCATGCGGAGAACATGGGCGCGAATACGGTACGTCAAGGGTCTCGTGGTCAGAGAGTCGACGGCTTCAATCCAAGACACAATCGTCTTGAGGTAGCGTTCGATTGCATGGCGAGACCGTGATGACGAGAGATCGTTGGCAAAGACTAAATCAGAAATCAACACCCACAATATAGAGCAAATCGTCGGCAGACTCTTTACCGTCGTTTTCGTCTGATGCATTTTCTTCATCATCCTCTTCCTCATCCTCTAAACATTGCCACTTGATTAGTCAACGGGTAAAGACGGAACAGACGAATCTTCAAAGAACGCGTGCTCTAAACTGCCTTTACATGCCGTCCTAGCATAAATGATCACACTCAAACAGATGCACGCATGGATACGTACCATGGCCTGGCTTCGCGTTCATCGCCTCCTCGAAATCTTTATCCTTCAATAATATATTGACGATACCAGACTGCAATAGGCCCTGAAACCTATACAACCACAGGGTTACTTTCTTGATTTCTTCCGGGGGGAGCCTCCGTGGTCGAAATAAGTCAAAGCGTTCATGAGTTCTGCAAAGGCAGCTGTGAGGGCCTGTACCCATAAGCCGATGGTTTCCGTAGTGAGTCGAAAGACAAAGTCGTAGCCAGCCTGGGAAGACGAGTGCGATAGTGCATGCTCGTCATGAAGCCACTGTGCCACGTCCCGTTGAACAATTTTGATGTCCTTAGGCAAACAGACGTTGGGACGAATTTGTTTATCATAAGCAGCAAGCGTGTCCATGGGATGACGTTTCCAGATCTTGTGGCCATTGTTTATGCGACTACCGATCTTTCGCTGAGCGTGGAGTACAATAAACAGTTTGAAACGAGCGCAGCGAAAAGCGAACTCTCTGGGAGGTGTGGAGGACATCGGTGAATCGCGGAACGTTTCCAGTATAGCGAAGAGATTCTGGTAATAGGTGGGATAACTGACAGTAGTGAGTTTGTACGATGTCAACTCCCTGAACCATCTAGACAAAGAACTATGAGAGGCACGCACTCGAGTTTGTCCCACTTCTTTAGAACCTGCTCGTCATTCTCGGCTTGCTCAATGATGTCCAACTCGGGCCTCAAAGGATGTCCGGGATCGAGAGCAGAGCGTCCCTTCCAGGTTGGGTTCTTCGTAACGATGAGCGTGTCTATTATTTCACGCTGGATCTTCGCAGTGACTGCTACAAGACGAGCAACATATGGATCGTCGAGCGTCCCGGTCGTGAGGAGTGTGGTGATGTGCTGTAGAATACGATTGGCATTATCGTAGACATTTGTTGATTTATTAGGCGCGCCTGCCGGACGGTGGTCCTTCAAGGCGCTGGTGGCGAGAGCAATAGAAATACAACACTCATCGTATGATGAGAGTGCGATGTTGTTTGGTGCTCCTAAGGTCATTCTGACCTTGTTGTGGCAGGACGAGAGTACCAGTGCCAGTTTAGGGGCTGGCATAAAGGTGGCGCCGGCCTCGTGGCGTTCGTCACCATCACCTTGTTGGGAAACTGTCATGTTCAAGTTCGCCGTCGCACGGTCCTCTACCAGTCTTTGCAGAAAATCGTGGACAACGGGGCTTGGACACAGATTTATATCGAATGAACCTACTCATGGAGAAGCATATCTGCGTCCGGTCGCCACACACCCAGGCGTCGCCGCTCTTCTTCTGAATCGCCCTGCGAGCAAGAATGCCATCTCGACTCGACTTCTGAAGGTAGGGCACGGATGTAAAGCGTGTTCAATTACTTGGACTGATATCTCTCCGAAGGAACTCACTCAATGTCTTGAAGAGGTGCATTATGACAATAGGTCATTACTTTTTCCAAGCCTTTACCAGTTGGCGCCTCGCGTACTGAACATGAACATGAACATTTGGCAGCATCCGCGTACTTATTCTCGCCTCGAGTGTACCGGGCTCCTTTTGTGCTGGTGCAGACCTCATCGAACGACGTTCCATGACACAACTCCAGGTCTCCAGATTCCTCATCGATCTTCGAGACGCTCTTGGAAAGCTAGAGAATCTGCCCATGCCTACCATCGCTGCCATTGACGGCCCTGCTCTAGGCGGCGGGCTTGAACTCGCGCTCGCTTGTGATTTGCGCGTAGCAGGTAATATCGTCGGCTACACAGATGTTCGCGTCATGAACCCGGAGTCGAGCTGATCTTTGGTGCCTGCTACCAGGACGCACTGTAGCGCACATAGGGCTGCCCGAGACGAAGCTGGGAATCATCCCTGGTGCGGGTGGCACTCAACGAGCGACTCGTCTGCTAGGCCTAGCCAAAGCGAAAGATCTTATCTTTACGGGTCGTTCACTGGATGCATTGGAGGCGAAAGAATGGGGTTTGTCTGCTACCTTCCTACATGTGCCACATTGCTCATCAACGCTGTATTATCTGTGCAGGTCTCCTCAACTACGTTGCTGATGAGGGAACTACAGGGATGGATCGTGCATTGGTCTTAGCCAAACAAATAGCCGTCAATGGTGACTTCCTTGCTCCTGCATGTCGCAATCGTTGCTGAGCATCATCATCATTTAGCTCCGTTGGCCCTTCGTTCGGCAAAGCTCGCTATCTCTCGTGCGCCCGAGCTTGCTTTGGGTACTGGTGCGTATCTTGCTCACAAACCTTGCAAAGCACCTCAATGACCTTCGTCATGATCACAGGCCTGGACTTTGAACGCGCAGCATACGAGCCTCTATTGAAGAGCAAGGATCGCACAGAGGCGCTTCAGGCTTTCAAGGAGAAGAGACTGCCTTCATTCACGGGCGAATGAACAGCGTGATTACTGACGCAGCATCAGTATACCCCGTAGTAACGGTTGAGACTTTATCTGGGAGGACATGTATTATATGAATAAGGTGGCAATTATGCTCATGCCAAAGTGGCATCCATCCAATGTACAATACATAATACAATCACAACCACGGTCATAGTCCGTACCAGGCCCGCAGGTATATAGGAACAAGAAGACAACAAAACAATCACGAAACCGGCGTGTCGCTCCTCCCAAACGCCCTCGTCGAGATTGAAAACCCACTCGGCAAACTCGGCATATTCATCCCCATCCCAGTCGGCATATGCATCTGCATGCCCTCTCCCATATTCCCCAGCCTCAGCCCTTCGAGATCCTTCATCATCATACTCAACCTCCCCATCCCGAACCTGTCTCTCAAGCCCTTCGTGCCCTCGCTCGTCGCAACCAAGCCACCCGCCCCGCCGTTCAGGCCTCCATTACCATTGACACCGTCAGCGCCAGCGCCATCGGCAGGGACTAATTCTCCTGGTCCGTCGAAACCCTGGGCGAATTGACCCCAATCGGACCGTTGTGCGAGATATGGACGCAGGAGGGCTGAGTCGATCCGGCCGAGGTAGTTCTCTGTGATGTAGGACTTGAGAATTTCGGGTCGGACGAGGAAGATGTTGCCGAGTTGGCGGATGAATTCGAAGCGTTCGTGGAGTGCAGGAATGGCAAAGGTAGCGATGGTATCTTGATATGATTTGAGGTCCCTGCAGATGAGACACTCAGTCGGCCATCCGGTACGCTAAGATGACGGGAGTTGCACAGGGGGAAATGAGGTAAGAAACATACTTTGCTAGCATCAGTCCTCCCGTTGCGCTCACGGGGAATTTCCTGAGATGGTCCAAAAGCAACCTATACGCAAGGCACATGTCTCCGTCAACGCTCGTGTCCACTAATACCGAGAGTAATGAACATACCCATGAAACGAGACGCCGATCTCAGTAAGGAAAACCTCGAGATTCTTGCCACTCAAGTTCTTCTTTGCCGCGTCTCGAGCCTTCTCGAGAATGTCGCAACACGCCATACATGGTTCTGTATTCACCCTCGCGAACGACAGGTCATCATTACGAGGTTTGAAGTCTGTCTTCTTCTGCTTTGCGAGTTGAGTTGAGATCCACGAGAGCACAGCTATAAGATTTGATTTTCAGGCCAAAAAGCACAATATGATCAGTGATGAGGCCAAGCGATATTGAACCAGTGCACGGACCATCCGTCAGCCTTGACATCAAGCTGTTTGCTGTTCCCTCGATCTTGCTGACAGCCTGATTGTTGAATACGACCATCTCGCGTCGGATAGTCACGGAACTTGCGGCGAGCGGGAGGAGGGCGATGTTGACGTACTGCTGCCAGAGATGACAGATGAGATCCACGGAGCGTAGTACAGTAAGTGATTGGAAGTTGGGCTCGTTCTTGGTATGATCCACGGCATCGACACGATATTGTGCACTGTGTTGTTGATGAGAGCGGATGAGTGCGGCGTAACGGAGCCAAGGTAGCCTGGCAAGGCTGAAAAGATACACACGTTTCGAGAGCAGTCTCCATATAACCTTCTGCAATGGCTTCCGATAGTACTCGGAATAGGGCGTATGCATTCTTGGGTCTAATCGAATATTGATAAGTACAATCCCAACACCTGGAGAATGATTAGACTCACACGTCGTTCGACGGACTTAATTCAACGCATCTGCCGATAGCCTCTGCATGCCACTTCAACATGATTTCTGCCGAGTCAACACTCAAAAGTCCATCTTCCTCTCTTAGCTGTTCCTCAGCAGGTTTCTCAACATTCTTATCTCCTCCTGTGATACCACCGAACCGCATGAACGCAGCTGCAGCAGTTGACGAAGGTCCAGAGGACCCCGCTGCCGTCGAGTTGAGTTGGTTCATCATACGGTCAAACATCGATGCTTTCACTGTATGTGATTTCTCCTAAATGCAGGAGTGATTGATCGAGCGGTGAGCGAACGGGACGAAATACGAGATTGATGGACGTACATGAAATTTGGTGAATGTGGCGAGATAGTTAGAGTAGAGCTGTCCAAGACATTTACTCTCCCTCTCGAGGTACCTCTGCCCTTCGGTATATGGTATGAACAGTTCTTCCATCGCTGTCTCCAAGATTGTGCTAATGGACGCCGTCGCGGAGGGAGCTCCTGCCGTCGGTGCGCCACTCAGTGACCTCGAGAACTCTGAGCTACTCCGCGAACTAATGGCAGGCACTTCGTACGCTTTCAGGTCCTCGACGAGAAGAGATGTCTGGATGTGGACCAGTTGTAGGACCCTGAGGAAAGCGAGGTCAGAAATTCCGGATGCGCGGGTCAGCAGCTTTTCCAAGCGCTCTTGGATCTAGACCAGAGAACGAGGAAACGTGAGACTGTGTTTGAAGAAAAGACCACAGCGATATCATACAGATTGTGCAAAGACGCGCTGAAGGAAGACCTGCATAACGAATGGCGGATTTGGGAATACAGCTTGCACGATCTGGGCCTCTTGCCCGACCGTGGCGCGGATCTCGCCAAGGAGTTCCTTCAAACTGGACTCGTTCTTTGGTGGTATCTGGTCCGGATCTGGTAGCGAGTCCCACCTGCAACCATCAGCCGTGAGGAAAGACAGGCGCGGAAAACGACGTCTGAAACGCACAATGTTTTATCCTCCTGCTCTGTCTCCTCCGGGACTCGGTTAATGAAGAAGTCATGCTGGTTGACGTAGACCTGGACGCAAGACGCGCCACCGTTGAAGTCGAGCAGGGTTTGAGCGCAATGCTACAAAATTGTCAGTATAATGACCATGTTCAACGTTGAGCGCTCACGTACATGCATCATCTTTGGGTCGCCCTTGCGATAACACCGGTCGAATAGGTGAAGCATGTCTTTCTCAAACTTCTCGCAATACTTATCAATATTCTCCTTGGTCTAGTGAAGTTTAAATGAGTGACAGGCGATGAGTAAAACCTAGATGTTGAACGCACCTTCTCTGCGGTCGGGAGGTCAACTTCTTTAGCGACAGTGCTCAGACGGCGTAACAACACAGCGACCTGTCGTCGACCCTCCTTTCCTTCCTTCTTCAGAGCGTCTAGTCGTGTTGTATCATCCTTGGAGAACTGGTTGTAGTAATCTATTAGATCATACGCAGCTTGCGCTCTCTGGCGCTGAAGATGAACGGATTCCAACTGTTCACCTGCGTGACCGTTTAATTCCTTAATTCGAGTGAAATACTGGCATGCCGCACCTATCCGGATAGCTGTCCGTCCAACCTCACTCATCTTCGTTTCCATTCCGCCAAACGATGTCCCTACAGCCTGTGCCGGCACGGAATGATTGCAGCGTTATGTCGGCCTTGGGGCTGTGGTGACGTACCTCAAAACCCCTGTTCAGATCCGCCATTTTCTTCGAGTACTCACGCTCAGCTACTCGGACGCTCTTCTCCATCTGTTCCGTCTTAGCCTGCACGTCTTTTCGCAAGGAGATAAGTTGATCAACGGAGGCCTCGAACGTCCGAATGAATGGCTTCGGATCGAAGGCTGCCGGCAACATTCTGAGCAACTATCCTTGGTGCGCAGCACAACAGTATACGTACGACCTGCCTCTTCTTTGGACTGAGTGATCAGTTTCTCTGAAAATTGTCCTATGAATTCTTTGACGTCGAATTTGCCCTTGATGACCATAATGGTTACGGATAGGTCAGACCGAGTGATAATTCGACATGTACCTGGAATGTTTGGAGTTTCAAAGCTTCCTGAGCGGCAGAATCAAGACCAGATGAAGAATCAGAAGCCATGATGTGGCTAGATTTGAGGCGACAAAGGCTTCAAGTAGTATAAGTCCCCAGCCAGTTCGTGTAGTGAAGTGAAGCAGAATGTCGGAGACTGCCGTGTGTTGGTCGCGTGCTCTCGATCGAGGTTGTTTGTGCTTGTTGAATTTAGAGGCCTCTGCCAGGACCCCAGAGCTTTGACTCTGGCACCGTTTATCATTCTCACTTGCCACGCTGAGTGTCATCGCTCTGCACGATCCTGCCACTTACGATCGTCACGTCGCGCGATGCTCTTCTGCCCAACCTGCGCCAATATTCTTGTCATCTCATCTGAGACAGGGTACAATAAATGGGCGTGTAATACCTGCGCCTACGAGTTCCCTATCGCAAAACAGGTGGGTCAGGTTTTCGGTCTTATGTGGCCCACGTCGCTTAATCCTTTCGTATTTCACACCGTCAAATACTAGATGACATCACGCACACGACTAAAGCGCAAGGAAATTGACGATGTTCTCGGAGGTGCTGATACCTGGAAAGACGCCGACTCTACTTCAGGTAGCACTTGACTTTGTTATTTCCTTTTCTTTTTCCTCGACATGGGCTTACACGCGCCAATTAAGCGACCTGTCCGAAGTGCGACAATGGACAAGCATATTTCTATCAGCTGCAAATTAGATCCGCTGACGAGCCCATGACTACGTGTAAGCTCTCATCATCATCATGCAGTGCTTTCAGTGAGGCTCACCTTGGATATCTTCTTAGTTTACCGGTATGTTGGCCCGTTCCTGACTCTGGATTTGCCAGGGAGACGCTAACATCGCCTTTGAATAACATACAGCTGCTCTGCTTGTACCCACCAGTGGCGAGAAGGATAGCCTAAGGGCACTCGTTGCACCAGTACTGTCCTCGGTACGAAGTTTCCGTTACGTCACGGCCGCTTGTCAAAACGGGTTTAGACACCATGGCTTGCCGCTTTTTCGGGAGTTTACGTTCGAGGACAATCAGCTCTCCTTGATCTGTTTAAGATCATCTCGTCATGGCACAGCGTTTTACAGTCTCCATGAGCCATATCCCTTAGATGGACGCAACCGATGGAGCGCTGGAAGATGCTCAAGAAAAGAAAAGTACAAGTATTACAAGAAATTAGGCACCCATATCCATAATTTCATTGACGCTATCGCCAACCTCCTCGAAAACGAGGAAGCCTTGCTGTTCCTTCAACCACTGAACGCTCCGCTTCTCGTCCATAAAATATGTGTACGCTCTTCGTAGGTCCTCAACGTCGACTTTGTCCGACTTCCGCTTCCTTGCCAGAGTCTGTGCACAAGAGATGAGATTGAGTGCGTAGCGAAGGGTCGTCTGAAGAGCCATAGACGTTAGAACAGCCATCGCCTCCGAGGTAAGGATAACGTCCTCCTCTTGACACCTGTTCGAAAGATAAGTTTCAGCTACGAGACCCGAAATCGGGTGGAACTAGACGCGGTAAACTAACCGAATCTCGATGATCTGTTTGACATCGTCCTCCTCGTACGCTTTTGTGCTGACGATGAGCACACGGTCCAAAAGGTCAACGGGCAGTCCGTGAGGGCTTCGGAATTTCGTTCCACGAATCCGTGCCATGCCACGATTTGACGCCATAATCACAAGCGGTGACAAGTCATTTTCAAGCGCTCTGTTCAGGAAAGAGAAACACTCGATATCCAGCATATGAACCTCGTCGATAAATAAGACCTAAGCGCCCACAATGACGGACGTGAGCTGCTAGCATGAGTTTTGAATTCAGAATAAAGCTCCACGTACGCCGGGGATGATTTCGGCCTTGCCTTCTTCTCGCCACTCCGCCACCTTGGTGTTGATCTGGTTACGCAGTTCGGGTTTTATTTCGCCTGTATCGCCAGCGAAGAGGGCAAGGAAGCCCTGTGTGCGGCTATTGATCACGTCTATCTCGTGCAATGAGACAGTGTGTACAACTTCTTTGCGCTTTTGAATCTCGCCCTCTGGGCATTGGACGAATTTTGTCTATCGGGAAAGAGTGGTCAAGCGCTAGATCGGGATCAAGAGGTAAAAGAAAGACCTACGTCTGCGCCCATGGCGTCGTAGTCTCTTGACCGCGTAAACGAGCGCCCGAGTTTTGACACCTTCCCAGACGCCTTGTCTATAGAAATGACATCTCCAGCCAGGACCTTTTCTTTGGTGAGAGCGTCGATCATCTTTGTACCCAAGTCGTATATTGTCTCCATGTCTGTCGTTTTGATAGTCAGCTTTCCTGTTTTTGTCGCCTGTAGGCATAGTGAGATTATGAAGATACAACAGAAGTATATCATAGACAGTACGCACGCCTGTGAGGCTTCGGTCAATCTGTACCTCAACGACTTCTCCCTCGATTATTTCGGTCTCCTCCTTGATCCTGACGCCAATACTCCGCCGGAACGCCTGTGTCAGGGCTTCTGTTTTCGACATGGACAAAGAAAACACCTCGGAGGCAGCGATCATCGTGAAGGGCACGTCGTTCCCGAGCGTCTGGGCCATGCCTGCGAAGAAGCGCCACCTTTCATGTCAACTTTTCCACAGCCGTTTCGCCGACCGCGTGCCCAAGGATGATAAAACGGCCATACCTAGAGCTATAGCAGTCTTTCCCGTAGAAGGCGGCCCAGCGAATAACATTGCTCGTCCCGCAATCCTACCCTCCTGCACCATCTTCAGAATCATCCCGGCCGCCTTGCGCGCTTTTGCCTGTCCGACCATTCCTTGCGAATTTGCGCGTGGTTCGAGCCGGTCATCCAAGCCTAAACCGCGGATATGAGAATGGGCACCTGTTCATCTTGATTTCAGTTTCAGTTCTTGACAAATCGACGGGAGGGAGAAAACAATGTGGCCATTTCGGAATTCGTGGGTTTACCTATGCGCTCCATCTTTGTGATGTCTCGTAGCTCCGAAGTCCCGGTGCTAATTTGTGCCTGTAACATGAACTTGGTTGAGCATCATAGAAATATAAGCTAGAAGCATACCATGGTGAAGAAAAGGGGTGCGGGGTGAAGGTGAAGGCAAGTTGCAAGGGCAGACCGTGGCGGCGACGAAGTTTGGACGCGTCCGTTACATAAGCAGAAGTGCGACAATTCTCAGGCGTTGAGTGGCGGCGCTATCATTTCTCTTCCTACGGTCACACCCCAACAATTCCTCCATTCTGGTATGGCTCTTACAATGCTACAAATCAAACGGTGTTTCCCGGGCATGGCAGGGAATACCCCTTAGAAACGGGGTACTGCTATCGAGCATGGTCTGCTGTAAGTGTCGCTTGATCCTGTTTTACACAGTAACTGGCAGCCAGTCACCCTACTCTGGTCAGCCCGATATGATAGCCTATCAGCAGCTGGCACATCCTTACGCGGTATCTTTCTTGGTCCGCGATCCTCAAATCGCAACTCGCGCAAAGGCACGGTGTATTTACAGGAGACCAAGCCATCAGAATGGATTGACTGTAACTTGTTACTAGCCACGTTGTGTTGCTATCCCTCTCGAACAGCCTCAGACGACGCACTCCCTTTAAAGTTTTCGACTTAGCGTTTTAGGCGAAGCAAGTGGAAAGATTTTCTTGAATCTGGTCTTGCAATGATGGTCTGCAAGATATCCGGGTCCGAGCGGATAGAATCGTTCACGATGCGATGTTCATATGATGACCGCTGTGACCTTTCAGTGTTTCCTGGCACCATGAGCCTTACGTTACACAGTCAGTATCTCCTTTCCGCTCACCATATCATCCGCCCCAATTATGTATCGCCTGGATGCTGTTATCTGCGCAAGCGACCGGTGGTCTAACCAACAGTGCAGGTAAAGGCCCTTACGGACCGTGAATACTTTTGACCCCGCGCGTCAAAGTGCAGGGGTTCGAGCTGCGCTTCATTATTATGACGCCGCGTCGGTGGACGTCGCCTTTCTCGAGTGACTCTTTCACGTTGCCCCGAAATGCCTTGTCGCTGTGCCGTACTGCTGAGCGCCGTGGTATCCCGCGCCTAGCGTAGTGAACGCCCTACGCGCTCTTCGCCAAAACGCCTAACCAAGGCGTACTACTTTGTATCTCCATGCATTTTCTCAGACTGTCATCAGGGCATCGCCGAGGATGACCATCTCCAGGATCAGGCCGTGGAGACGTATATCTCCTTGACTCGAAATGATTTTGACGACACCTAACACAGACATTTCGACGCACAATTTGCAGGTCTGATCATCTTAGAGTCACAGCGCCATCGGGCATCATCGTAGCGCCTTCGCTCTCTGTTGACTCTTGGAGCAGTGGCGACGGAGAGCGCCAATGGCGCCAATTTCCTCGTGCGCTTCATGCTATGTACTCTGTCTGTGTAGGTCGTAAAGCGTCGGCTTGAGTAATATCCGTTTCGACCACCACTGAGACGACCATGGATGCCCGTATGGCACGCTCTCCTGTGATCTATCCGCGTTTGAGCGTCCAGATCCTGTATCAGGTCAGATTTTCAGAACACCGTCCCAGAGGGACCGTGGCACATTATAAAAGGGTCTACGGATGAAGACCGAGGACAGCAACCAAAAGTCGTCTCAACAGCCGTTCTACCGCACTTTCCAGCCTCTCCTCCAGTTGCCTATTCCTGGTATTCTTAAGCCATTTCGAGCTTCACAGTCTAGCTTCAATCCTCATAACAACCAGCACTTTCGACCTCGAGCTACCACCGCCCACCCCCAACTTATTCTACCCCTACCCGTAACACACCCCCATCCTATCGATTACCACAATGCCTGTCGCTCAACGCCAATTCCGCATTCCCGACCTCATTTCTATGTCATCTGCCTTCCCAGATGCGCTCAACCCCCACTGGAAACGCGCCTCTGAAGAGTCGAGGGCATGGGTCAACAGCTACGACGTCTTCTCTGACCGCCGTCGTGCCTTCTTCATCCAAGGGCAGAGCGAGCTCCTCGCTTCCCACACATGGCCATACGCCGGCTACGAGGAGTACCGCACCTGCTGCGACTTCGTCAACCTTCTTTTCGTCATTGACGAGATCAGCGACCTCCAGGGCCCTGACGGCGCACGCCAGACGGGTCAGATCTTCATTAACGTCCTTAATGACCCCAATTGGGACGATGGCTCGAAAGTCGCTAAGCTTACCAAAGAGTATGTGATCGATATCATGACATTGTGTCTCCATTGGGATATTAATCTTGTTTCCTGTCCGTCTGTTTAGTGTTAGGAATCGCTTGACCTCTACGGGGATAATGCCAAATAGCTACCGCCGTTTCGTGAAGTACGCTACCGACTACATTGCGTCAGTCGTCGAGGAGGCTGGGCTCCGGGAGCGTGACGAGGTCCTCGACATAAAGTCCTACGAAGATCTCCGTCGTAACAACAGCGCAGTACTCACCTGTTTCGCCTTGATCCCCTACTGCCTTCACATCGACCTGCCCGACGAAGTCGTCGAGGACCCTGTCTTCGAACGCATCAACTTTGCCGGTGTTGATATGGTCTGCTGGTCTAACGTATGTCCACATTTCTGTGATATGATAAGCCATCGAAGGTCCTGACCACGACGTGTCTATAGGACCTCTACTCCTACAACATGGAGCAGGCCAAAGGTCTCGAGGGCAACAACATCATCACCGTCCTCACCAAGACTCACGGACTTACCCTCCAGGCTGCCAGCGACCACGTCGGAGAGCAGTACAAGCAGTTTATGGATGGTTTCGTTGCCGACAAAGCCAAGATGAGGTCGTTTGGTTCGGCCAAGGTCGATGCCGACGCCCACCTGTACATCTCCAGCATGGCACACTGGTGCATCGGTAATCTCGTCTGGAGTTTCGAGACTCCTCGCTACTTTGGGTCGAGGAGAGAGCAGGTCAAGGAGACTGGTATCGTGGTGTTGAAGCCTCGTGAGGAAGATGACGAACTTTAAATATTTGCGGCTGCACAGGCTAGCATTTCCCCTTCTGCTATCCTATCATCTTCATTATTTTCTGCAGGCATAGTTCCACTCAATGTATTTCTAACTTAGTGAGCTTAGTGACATGCTTATCATACGACCCTAGGTTTAAAACTCGTACCACCTACCATATTCCTTCTTACTTCGTTCGCTATAGCTGCTTCAATATTGGCGGTTACTAATAAAATACATGTCTCTTTCTGGGATAGTCCTCCTTACCTTGACATCTTACTAGTGCTTACTTAGGTAGTCTCCAATATACTGCTTGGTATTTTCAGACAATTGTTAACATGTGTGTTGGATCCGTAGAGTAGGGCGCCACACTCTATGCCCGCCCGGGTGGCACTCACAAGTTCGTACTAGCGCGGAGTTCAAAATTTCCCGCGATCTGCTGCGCCCTGGTTCGAACGTTTCATGTTCTCCGGCCTCCACCGCCACCTTGACCAGTCGTTTCCACGCTAGCCTCAGGCTTTCAGGCCATGCATCCTGCAGCAGCGACATAAAAAAAATCCTACGCTCTCTGACAGACTGGCATGGCCGACGACTCGAACAATTTCCTCTTCGCATCTCTCGGCGACAAACAAGGGTCTACAGCGCGTAAAGTGCACATCCGGCGGCTGTACGACATCCTCCAACTTTGTATCCTCCGGAACGACATCCCGAGAGCTAAAAGAGCATGGAGTATCCTCGCAAGGTGCAAGGAGATAGATTGGAAGGATCTTTGGAAATACGGGCTTTTGCTGCTTGGGGATGCTCAAGCGGACGTCCATAACACTGGCGAAAGCAATGGCAATACTCGGGCTTCAGAGTCGAGAATCGAGTATCTGAGAAAAATGAGAATGCAGCATCCTAGCGAGGTGGGCCCCTTAGACTGCCGCAGTTCGTTCCTGTTTCCGGTGCTAACTACTGTCCCGCTGCGTACCTTGTAGTGTGAGACTATACTGATGGAACTTGTGTTGTTGCTCATAAGTTTGGAGCGCCAAAGGGAGGCTCTTGAGGAACTCGAATTGTAATCATAAGAATTCATTTTTGCGTTCCGTTGATCGATCATTACGATTGATATTGTGCTCTGTTCAGATGGCTTACGACATTCCCCTACCAAGATAATTCGGTTCTCCACACCTACCGAGGCTTGCTCTCCCTCTATCTCGCACAGCCCTCTAATGGTGCATCATCCGGTATGGCTCTTTCACCGTGCTTTTCGTATTTTTGGCTTGTATCCCTGACTTTTCATACCAGTACTATTTGACCCAAGCGGCCTAAGAGACGCTCAAGTTCATTTAGAGCGGGCAAAAGCTCTAGATCCCGGGAATGTCGTCGCGTCAGCTTTCCTCGACAAGGTATAGTCCACAATGAACTCTAACCCCTTTGCAAGCCGACCCATGATTGTCTTGGTACTCATCTTCATTCTACTGCATCTACTTAGCTTCCCCATATAATCAATAATTCCCCGGGACGGAAGGCACAGCCGAACGAGAATGAGTCTGAGGACGATGATCATGGGAGCACGATGACATCCGGAGTCGAACGCAGAAAACGAATGCGCACGTAGTGCTCCATGATGATCATAGCGGCCATAGAGCAACGTGTTTTAGGTATGGTGTATTTCAACGGAAAATACATCGCACCCGTTAACCGATCACTTTTTCAGCCACCGCTCTCAACCTCCCTCAATCTGAATCCGAATCCATATTAATAGTCGGCATCGGCTCGTCATCATCATCATCTTCGTCCATCGGAGCAAAATTCTTGCCAACACCACCACCACTTCCGCTTCCACTGGCGACGGTCGGGGTGACCACAGGACCAGAACTATACGATACTGATGTACTTGGCCTTTGAAGGCTGGTAGAAGAGACCGAAGGGAGTGGCTCCGGAGGCGGTGGAAGGACTGAGACGTTTGTCGACCCTATTGGCGCAGATGGAGTCATGAAGGCTGTAGTAGTCGTACTTGACGAATGGGCGACCGGGGGCGCTGTGTCGGCGAAAGGGACCGGAACACCCGCAGTAGACGATGTCCTCAGTGCTTGATCCGTCTGTTGTCCAGTATGATTGAGACCCCAGCTCAGAGCAGGCGCTGATAATGATGTTTGTTCGTCTTGCATCGCAATCGAAGGTACGGCGGCCGAGAGAGAATCAGTCATAGATCCGATATTGAGAGCTGTACGGGCCTCAATTTCTTCGTTGCTTTCTTCGGCTTTGAAGAGTGATAAGGTTTCAACGTGAGGGAGAGTCCTGACGAGTGGTGGGATTCGGGGATGCAGTAGTAGATCGATGGTGCGTTGTGCACCGTCCTAGTGCAGACATATAGTTAGTCGATGCTCTAGCTCAGAAAAGTAGGTTGTGATGTCGAGGCGACTCACGAGATGGGACAGATCTCCACTATTGAGCACTAGATTTAGACTCTTGCTCATTGCGCTGGATGTGCCGGTACCTAGCTCGAGGCACAGTTTTTGGATCTTCTCACGGACATAAGTATAGAGCGTAAGGTCCGGAGAGAGGTGTGAGGGGGCCACTAATGGTAAGGAGAGGTTGATGGAGAGCAGAACTCGAGAGGCGATGGAGTGGGTTGTCGGTGAGACGGAGGGGTCGTGGAGAATGAGCTTCAGGACTGAAAATGGCAAAAGAAGGATCAAATATCAGTGCCCGGACATACATTCACTTCCAATTAGTAAGGTAGAGGCCTACCGTCAAGAGCTTCTAGTAGAACTTCTCCCTCCACATCGCTCTGGCAGATCACCTCACTAGCAATCTTAAACACTTCATCCCCTTCATATGTCCGGGCCCTCTTCTTTCCCTTCTTGCTCTTGGTTGAACCCGTACCAGCGGAACCGGCAGACGAGTCCGTAAAGATATCGAACTGATTAGGAAGGAGGACCGAGATGATGGAGAGGAGAGCTTTTGTGAGGCGAGTTGGGGTGATCGGGTGATGGAGGGGAAGGGTAGACTGGAGGATGGTGGTGGCGAGGCGGAGGAAAGGAAGACGTTGGGTACTGTGTGTATTGTATGAGCTTTTTGATCGCTGAGATGGTGCAATTGTAGAGGACACTTACGGGGTGAGCGGTTGTTCGAGATGATACGTGACGATGGCCATAACACGCGGCGCATGGGCGGATAGGTGGCGTTTCGAGCTGATACCCCAAAATCAGCATATAGTTTACATGGAAACCAAGGCCGAAGACATACCACGACGACATGTTGATGAGCAGTTCGCAGCCCAGTCTGCAAATGTCAGGCGAGACTGATTCTTCCATGGTTCGTGTCGCCACATCCACATGCCCGTCTCTCTGAAAAAAAAAGATACCTCTGAATGAACAAAGAAAATTCGATAGGATATAGGAGCAGGGAGTACCTGATCTTCGTTCGTACAACTGAGGAGCGCGATCGACAGTTGCACTAGAGAGCCTACAGGGACTGTAACCGGTCGGGAGTGCGAAAACCTAAGATAAAAAATACCATCAGCGTTGAGATGACGTCCTAATAAGCGAAAAAGTCATACTTCAAAAGATCTGAGAGTGCTGTGACGCCACATCTCAGGCGGTCGGCATTGAGAGGGACATTGACCAACGGATCCTCGTTCGAAGGCTGTTGAAACTGCTGCGCAACTTTCCCGAGCCCTTTGAAAAAAAATTCAGAGGGCATCCACATACGCAAATTGAAAATGTTCTGACCTTCAAGGGGAAATGTAGTCCTGAGAGCCGCAAGTGCGGTCCAAGTGAATGCAACAGTCTCGTCCACAGACTTACGCCACAAAGCCGCAGCACCGACTTTTCCGCCCGTGACAGGAAGGACGGCATACAAACGCGAGCAGGCTTCGAGGAATTTCGTGCTGGTGGGTGTTGGAGTAGCGCCGTTCAGGGAGCGTAGGCAGAATGCGGAGAGTTGGGTGTGCAGGGCGCGGTGCAAGGTCGGGAAGAGGGGGATGATGTGGGTGAGAGTATTGATAGACAATATCTTTGAGTGTGCCCATTATCAGAAACTCTACGCAATGGAAAGGAAATACGATAGGAAAGCAACTTACTTGCAGTTCTCGGTCGTGGTGTTTGTCCGCCAAAGTTAGAACCGCAATACTAAACTTTGGTACGTTCGGCGTGGCCAGTTGTCGCTGGAACTCAGGAATGTCCGTCGCCGCAGAGAATATATGACACAGCAGGCGAAGTGCGGCTTTCAGATTAGGTACTGGTTCCGCTTTCTTTTGTGGCACAGACGAGAATATATAGCGAGCATTTTTTATGAGGACGATTGGTATAGCATGAAATGTAGGATAGATACACAGACTGAAAGTGATGGTAGTGCGACACCTATCCACCCCTGCGCATTCTCCATCATCACTTCCCTCGAATATACAGCTGTCTGAAGTGCAAGTATCAGGCCAGCCCATCGCGCGCCTGGATCCTTCGAGTGTATGAGAGAGTTGGTTCGCGTAGTCCATTTTTGAAGATGAGGTGAAGGTGTGAAGCAAGCTGGGGAAAGCGCAGGTACGATCCACGGGATGTGTAGAACGGCGGAGGTATCTGTGGCGAGCTGCAGTTGCAGTAGCGTTTTGAGGAGGTGCGGAGGTTCTGCCATGGTTGTGGCGCTGCGCGAAGAAATTTCGCTGTCGAAGTCAAGTTATTTGCATTCGGGGTCTTGCCAAGAGCTTTCGATCCTAACACGAACAAACAAACCCGTTCACCCGGAATAAAGAGTATCTTTCTGAATGCATTTCATGCAATGCTGGACAATAAGCACGCCAGAGATCAGTCATGAATAATTTTAACACCCTCATTTCAGTAGAGGGCGCTGACAATTGAGCTCGAGTTGTGAGTTGAGGGAAAAGGTGTCATGATTTCACATCACAACTGGATGTGAGCAATGTGGCCCACGGAAAAAACAAAGACAGATGCATATGTAGAGGGTGTCTAGGTGATGAGAACTTGTCCTCTGCGCTCTCTTCCTCTTGGCCTCTCAGAAATGACCATCTTGTTGCTGTTCTTGGGACCGTCAGGACCAGGTTTGCGCGTACGTTTACCCTTGGTGTTCCAACCCCAGGGTGAACGCGGGTGCTTGTTCGATTTTGACTTTCCACGACCACCTCCGTGAGGATGTTCATTGCTGGAGAGAAAGACAAGGTTTCAATGTAAGATTTCTACATTCAGAAAATCTGGGAAAGGAGACTAAGAGAGGAACGTACGCGTTCATAGCCACACCACGGACTTTCGGCCTGTTTCCCAGCCACCTGTTCCTTCCAGCCTTACCCAATATCCGACCCTTCCACAGAGGATTGCTGACCTTCCCGACGGTCGCCACACAATCCAACAGAATCCTGCGCACTTCGCCACTCTGCAACCTCACCCGCATGTGCTTCCCGTTCACGTCCGGCTCCATGACCTGACCCCAAGTACCGGCTGAGCGAACGAGGATGCCACGGCCGTCTGGATGGAGTGCAATACCGTGGATGATAGTTCCGTTGGGGATGAGTCGGAGGGGAAGGACATTGCCTGGTCGGATAGTGCGTGCGCGGAGAAGACCCATGGTGAGCGAAGACGATGATGCGGATGTATCGTTCGTAGATGCAACCACGCCCTTCTTGCTCGTGTCGTTCACGAAACCTGGCACCAACCCATCCGGAAACCCACGCCTGAAACTCTCCACCTGCGCTCCCGCCCTGATACCCTCCGGAGCGAGAATATAACTCCACTTCTTCCTGCCCGTCGCGTCCGGATTCCGGTTTCGAACGAGTGCGATATGTGCGGAACGGTTGGGGTCATATTCGACGCGCACGACATCGTGGATGCCGGGTTCGTCGCGGACGAAGTCGACGATACGGATTCGACGTTTATGACCACCGCCACGTCCACGAATGGTCACTCTGCCGTGCGCGTTACGGCCACCTTTTTTTCGTAGTGGGACGGTGAGGAGACGGACTGGACGTCCTGGCCAAAGATGTGGGTTTAGAGGACGACGAAGATGGCGAATGCCTGGGGTGACGGGTTTATATGTTTTGAAAAGAGCGGTGGAACGCTGGAGGGCGGCGTTGATTTCGGTGGGGGCGAGTGAGGTAGGGACCTCGGTGGCCATCCGGCGCAGGAAAGTGTTATGGGCTGGGTTGCATAGTGTCTGGGCTGAAAAGCATGTCCGGAACAGATTATAGCTGCTCCGAACGGAGAACATCGAGACGGTCTGCGCGAGGCGTAGAGCAAGACGCGCGAACTTGGTGCTGTTTTCAGAGTTACGCTATTTGGCAACTGCTTTACGCGGCGATAGCCTTTGCTACGCGCTCCTCAAGCCACTTCGTTCGTTACTTCATCGTCCCCCGTCCGTGCTTGTCAGGCTCTCGTTCTTCAGACCCTTAAATACTGTATAACATGGACGAGGATATCACTTTTGGCTCGTCCGTATGGGCAACTCCTGCCACCGCGCCCATGACGCTTTCACCCCACGCACACGAGGACGCGCTACCACCACTGCATCCTCCTCCAGCCTCTTCAACATCCTCCGAACAAAACGACCAGTTTGAAGACTTCGACGACTTTGGTCCTCCAGCAGACACCACCCAGCCAACACTGGCTCAAGACGACGATTTCGGGGACTTTGGAGACTTCGGAGATGTGCAGGATTCATCGACGGTGGCACTGGAGGATGGTGGAGCTTTCGGAGGCGGGTTCGCAGACGACGTGGGGTTCGACGAACAAGTACGGATGGCAGGACCATCTACATACCGAGATTGGGAGCCACTTCATCTCGACCCGCATAACATGCCGTCGCGGTCGGAGCTGGAAGAACAGATCGAGGAGATCCTAAGCCCATTGTGGGCAGACGATAATCCGGATGAGGTGTTCACGGATGAGGATATCAGGGAGGTTGGAGGTATAAATCAAATATTGATCACACCGGCGAGGTAATTGTGCGTTTTTCTGCCTTGGATACTCGGTGTACGACTGAATATCTTAATCGCGTTCTTCCTTCTTTCCCTCCTTTCCTTGGCATGATGCGACACACGTACATTTCCAGCCGCTCTTTATACCAAACTCTCTTCCCGTCCACACCACCATCCGCTCAACCTCCAAATTGGACGCGTTCGCGTATCCGACGCCAGCACCTCCTCACGCTTGGCATCCCCCTAAACCTAGACGAGTTCCTACCGCGAGCGAACGGGAAAGCGTTGCCTGCCTTACAGATCACGACGAGACCGATGTCTGCACCCCCAGGTCCGAGACCTGCACCTGGGGGTGCTAACGCATCCAACGCGTCGGCGAGCAACTCGAGAGCAGGGACTCCGAGGGCTGGGACACCCGTGTCTGCTACCAGGTCGTCTGCTGCAGCCCAGCTCACACTCGGTCCCAAGCCGAAGTTAGACGAGGCGAGGATAGCAGAATTGATGACTCTCAGGCCAGGTTCGTCTCAGTTGATTATTACTCTGACTTCGGAATCCTGACTCCTATTTTATCGACTAACAAACGTTGTGCAGATAACCTCTCACTGCTACCTCTTCCAATACTCGAAAAGCATCTGGCGAACCTTCGCGCACAGACATCGAATACCTCCGCCCTTCTCACACATCTGCTTCAAACGCGAGACGCACTGCAGCAAGACTCAGAGACGTATAACAACCTCATCGCAGAGTTGGTGGGAGAGGCTCAGAGAATGAAGACGGGCAAGGGACGAGCGCCTCCCAGAAGAGGCAGTGGGATGGCTTGAAGTATTGAGGGAATGGTCTGGGTTTGGATAAGGGCGGAGGATGTTTATATACATTCGGAAGAATGTGAAGTTTGTATACCTGCATCATGATGAACTGCCACAACAGTGGTGTAATGGCTTGAATTGGTATCATATGCCGATGCGAGTATGGTGAATGGACCTCAAGCCATTATAAGGGCAACTTTATGTCTGGATTCTCGGTCAGACTCTTCTTTTGAAGCGATACGAAAAGGTCGGCTTGTGCTGAACTCGACGGCTATGTGGCGCGCCACACATGCACAGCTCGAAACGCGACGCGGTCAATGACCGCGAGCTTGCTTCAAGCCTTCATTCTGTACTCCTTCCTCTCATCACCCATTTTCGTTCACATAGATTGAACGCTAGAGGAGCCTGCTATTATCCTGATCTGACAACCACTCGGAATTCATCGCTTGTTGTTCTTTACCGAAGGCTTTTCTCAGCAAGTCACAAACTCTCTCAGTGGAGTCACCTGTAAAGTCGGAAACCACGACCATAACACTTCTTTCTTCATCGCGCGCATCAATCCTTTGAATAACTATGCCACCAGCTGGGCAGAAACGCAAGCGCGAAGCTGGCGACAATGGGGAGTCTGAGCCCATGCAGAAGCAGATTCTCCCTGTAGCAAGCCTCCCCTCTACCTTCAATGGCGAGCCTGAGGATGGGTTGCAGTATTTGTGGACCGTCAGGTGCGTATCTCCACGCCTTCATGGCCTAATATTCCCCTGAACGTTTTCTGCTGCCTTTCGTAGACGGGATGCCAGACGACTGCCCAACCATACACGCGTAGACAATCCATACAAATTTCCTTCTATTGACGTCGAAGCCGCCGACCCGAACCGACCACCACCTTCCGATCCAAAACTTCCTTCTGAAGAATGGAGGCAGACGTTCGAACGACGGTTCGTTAATTTTCGTAAAGTACATCCCCGTTCAGCACTTCCACTTGTCCCCTTCGCCTTCGCGACCAGTACTCATCATAACGCTGTCCATGATATAAATTCACAGAACATGGCACAACCGACCATCAACGTCTCTCTCCCTAGTGCCAATGGTCAGAAATTGATGCCTGAAAAGAAAGACCGCGACGCGTGGTGGTCCTTCCTCTCCGGTGCTCCAGCTTCTGTATGGGATCCTCCTCGGCAACCTAAAGCGGTTAAGAAGATGGGTAGGTACGGTAGTGCTGGTTCTGGGTATGGATATGGTCAGAGCGACTATGTCCCGTACGAAGAGGCCGATGTTGTGAATGGGGTTTCTGAGGTGAAGAAAGAGGCCGTGCAGATGCAAATAGGGGTCTTCATGGACGGGGTGGTCACGGGTGGAGACGTTCCCGCTCTCCCTTCACCTCCAAAACCTCCTCCTCCACAAAATGGCACTCAAACACCAGAATGTGACGGCACGATGTCGAAACCCGTCAGCGATACGCCAACTTCGATACCACGGGAACCGACACCCAGTTTACTTCGGCAGATCGACCATGTACGTCTGGCGTTTGCTCTTTCTCCCTCCGAAGTATCCAAAAAAAACTGATGAGAGCTTCTCGGTCCATATAGCGCACTTCTCTTCACCTCCTGATGTATTTCACACATTGGCTCAATCTATATATCCAATCACCGATGTCTTCATCGGCACATACACCATTGGACGCACACGCACGCTGGATATTCGCACTTCTAGCGCGCGTAGATGATTTTTGTGTTGCAGACGAAGTGAGCGGGCTTCGTTCGCTAGCGCGGGCATGTATATCATTCGTCCAGGCCGAACGGAAGCGTCGTGAGTCAGAGGACGACGCCGCACGGACTAATGACATCTCGGACGAGAAGGACAAGAAGGATACCAATGAGACAGAAAAAGAGGGAAGAGCGATATCGAAGGATGGGAGGATGAGTGAGATCTCGTGTTGGATGATCGTTGGAGCCGTCGTCGGAGTGTGGGCACAGAGAGATTTATGGATGGACGCGGAGGAGCAGTTGAGCCGCAGCTCTTAGGCTGTCGTTGTGCGTTGTATACTTCATCTTCATGCAACGTGGACTTCTGACTTTGACGGTGACGAGAACATATATCCGTGCTTTTTGATTTGGCTGCTCCAATACTCATGAACATTGCGCGTGGATGTGTTGAGCAGTGAAGTAGCATTTTAGAAGTAATTGGCTGTCCACGGCCCAACGCTATGACACCCACGAGACCTCTGCGCAACGGGAGGCGGGTCTAGCCTGCAGTAATCATCAATATAAGATCCTCTGTTAGCATTGTTAGAAGACTTCACCGCTGCTACGACAGCTCTATAACAACAATTTTAGTTACATATGTATAAAAACTCCCCAATGTCATGAATACAGCACTAGCCTCCCCCATTTCTTCATAATCGATCTACGTCTGGATCAAGGAAAACTCGTAGAGTATAAACGACCCCGGTCTTGTTAAGTGGTCTTCGGCATCTGGATCTTCAGACTGAAATCGATATGCTGCACGGATTGATGCACCGCACTCGTGCTCAGGATGTCGATCTCTGCATTCAAGTCCAAGCGTTAGCGCGACCTTCTACACTCAAACAATACTACAAAGTCAGAGGAAACAAGGGAAAGAACAACGCACCTTCGACAGCCCTATAGTTCAAATTACTCTCTGTGATATTCCCGCTCGACTCCAATAAAAACTTCCTCTTTCCACTCCAACGCTTTTTCAGCCTCCTCGCTACATCCTGTAGCTCAGGGCCGTCGATATTATCGAGCATGATGACATCCGCGCCAGCGCCGATGGCTTCGTCGGCTTCAGCTTCGGAGCGAACTTCGACGTCGAGGAGGAGGGAGAAGCCACCGACGGAGCGGGCTTGTTGAATTGCAGCAGTGATGGAACCTATAGGAGAATAATTGGCCGAGCGACATTGGAGTTGAGAAGGGATTCGGCTGCTTGAAGAGGGAACGATGGAAGAGTGCACGAACCGCAAGACCAGATGTGATTATCTTTGAGCATGATCATGCTCGAGAGATCATGCCGATGTGGATCGATTCCACCAACAATCATGCCATATTTCTCGACCAACCGAAATCCTAGAGTGAATACAATTGAGCTTCCGTAACAACTGTGGTGATAAATCAAAGAAAGCAGCCACACTTGAAACGTACCGGGGGTAGTCTTCCTCGTCCCAGCAATGATACCCTTGTACCCATGCCCCCTCGCTATATCGCTGATCCTCTTCGACCTATGGACGCCCCTCCATCACTTCTTTGGTCAACAACTGAACAAGTTATGGACCAACGTACTTGGTCGCAATTCCACTGCATCGAGCGAGCAAGTTCAAAGCCACACGCTCCCCAAGCAGTAAATGCCTCGCCTTCCCGCGCACAGTGGCAACATGCTTTACAGGCTCAAACGTCGAACCTTCCGTCACATGCCATTCTACTCTGACACGGCGAGTTCGTTCACAATCAAGTCAATATGAAGGGCGTGCAATGATAAATAGGCAGAATGATACGCACTCGCATCCCAGCTGAGCAAAGATCTCCGTGACGAAGGGTGAGCCCGCCAGGACAGCCGTCTCCGACCCTTTCCCGAGCAAGAAAGCCTCGCGATGAGCTTCACCGACGACGAATCCACCGTAGTCGAATGAAGGAGTATCCTCAGCGAGCCATGCCGTAACTTGGGCTTTCCAAGAGGGTGGAAGTAGGTGCTCGTATGCAGATAAGGCCATGGCTGGGATGCACCTAAAGAACGAAGTACGACCAAGCTGTACTGGTAGCTGAGAAGAGCCCGACCTAAGCTTACAACTTGAAGGAAAGATAAGACAGGCCCATCCGAGATCTAATCTCGGCCTTCTTGATTAAAAACTGTCGGCCCCTGTGGCGTAAGTTACGTAACCAATATTCCTATTTGGGCTAGGTCGTTGTCTTTTCAACACTCCCGACCAAGTCGCGACGGGGCTTTCTTGTACGTGAATATCTCACTAAATATCATGCGTGGTCCCGCATAGTACTCGCCGCTGAAATTTCTTGTAATTGTTTTCTTTGAATATAACGAACACAGCAGACCATGGGCTCGATTGTTCTTACCATTGTCCTGTTCAATGACACCCAACCACCGTTTTGATTTGTGCCAACTCAGGAAAAACAAGGCGAACACGAAGACATGGCTCTAGCGCTGGCAAAGGGTTGTTGTCGTACTGCTAAACAGATGGACATCTTTCAGTCCAACCACCTCTAGCCCTTGACCCTGCGTCCGAAGGGCTGGTGGTATACTCAACAACATGATCGGACTCAAATAATGATGTTTGTAAACATACCGCCGAGTAACGGGAGAGGAGATAGGCGTAGAAGTATGTATATAACACACGACGCGCTAACAAAGTCCAATACATCGAACAACCCAGTACGAGCGTCGAGACTGTATCGTAAATCACTGAATACCCAAAAAACGCGTACGCACTAAGAGAGTGAAGTGGCATACACAAAACAACAGGCGAAGCTGAAACCAACCAAAAGAAAGGAAGAATAGTGCTGAGGGGAGGGAGGTACGTCAAGGTCCGGCGATCGTCACATCGGGAAGAAAGTCTACTGAATCAAGGCTAAACAGACTAGACCTCAAACAATTCTCGTACGTACTAAAAAGAACACGGATGAGATATGTGAGGAAATTAGGTGAATAGTGCGTTTAGAATGCGAGCATGGCAAGGGCACCAGCGAAGACGGAGAACAAGCCAGCCTCGACGCGGCCAGCACCAGAGCTGCTGGTGGTAGCAGAGGGGCTAGCGTCACTGGAGGTGGCGGAGCCGCTAGCGGAAGCAGCAGAGCCTGTCGCCTTCGAGGAAGTGCCAGTGGTAGAGCCGGAAGCGCTATTAGAAAGATGAACAATGAGCATTCAATACATTTGTCAGATAATAAATTCTAAAAACCTACACGGAGGACTTCGAAGCAGACGCAGAGGCGGAAGTGCTGGAAGCAGCAGACGAGGTCGATTGCGTAATGTTGAATTGGTTCGACTGCGCGTAGATAGTACTCAAGCTGGTCGTGTCCTTGACGAAGTTGACCTGGAAGCCGCTACCGGTAGGCCATCCTGCGCTGGGCGCACTCGCGGTGACAGTGCCAGCGGTGCCGTCGACATAGGCAACCAAGACCTCGCTTCCCGAGGGCATGATGCTCGTGTCCTGACATGTGAGGAGCATACTTAGCAACGATCAAAAAAAGTGATAGATTCAGTACGCCACACACCTGGTTGACGAGGACGAGGGTGAAGTTGGACGCGTCAGTATCGACACGCTCCCAAGAGACTACGTTGGGGCCTGAGGTCGTCCAATCCTGAGTAGAAGTGGGCTCGCTGATGGAGTAGGCGAGAGCCGAAGCGGCGAGCGAGAGGGCGGCGAAGACAGAACGCATTGTTGTTAGTGCGGGTATGACTAGGTCAAAGAGTTGAGGAGGTAAAGTAGTTTCTGAAGAACACTCGACGACTGCGAGAAAGAGTGAAGAACGTTGAAAGAACGTGTAAGCGTCGAGGACGGGCGAGACGGGGCTCAGACGGACAACGGGCGTGAGACGTGAGGAGGAAAGAAAAGAGCGCCGGGCTTTCGACGTTTGAAGTACTTCGGCAGACAGCGGGTACGGCCTGAATTTACCGCATCAATTGCGTTCATTGACATTTCATGTTTCCTTGGCATGATCGGACTGAGCTCCTTCCAAATTGCTCACGCGAACGAGGACAGTTCCTGTGCTCGACGGCAACATCGGAAGAGATAACAACGGCGTCGAACCCCGCGATGTGTGGCGACTGGTGTGGCGTGCCCGGCTCACCCTGGCTCGCCGATCGCGAAAGCGACACGTTCATGCAGGTTCATGCTCTCGACACTCACCATGACCATGTCTTCACCCAAGCACTCGGTGAAACGTCACCTAACTCCTATGCAGCTCGCCCGGTGGTGATTCATCATAGCGGTCGCAAAACTCAGACTTCAGGCCTTCTCAGCTCAGAAGACAACATGTACGCTGGCAGATCGTCACCGTCAAGGCCTCGTCATCTTCTAGTAGAGTCCCCAAGGCCCTCGATTCTTTCTAGACCTTCCTGCGGTACAAGCACAGCTCCGAAAATACTCAGGGGGTATTATGCACCCTATTTGCCCGTGCGTCTTTGCTCGGCTCCCTGTGGGCATTCCGGAGAATTCTCTCTTCTCGCCTTTGAATCGCAGCAAAAACAATATTCACATGAGGCCTAACTATGGGTACGAGACACATTCCGTCATTGTCGCCGGACCCCCCTGGGCTGCTGAAGGGCATGCGTGCTCATGTACGCTGCGTAGCGCAGCTAGAATAGCTAGTCTGTCACACAGAGATCGGCCCATACCGTAAGCTCTTGCTCTCGATTTATCACTGAATACACAGTTGCTCGGATTACTCGGTGACGCCCAACCCAAAGCTAAACATCGTTCTATCTGCACAGGCAGGTCCATGCTATGACGCCTCTTCGGCTGACCCAAAATTCTTCTTAGTGTCTCTTCCTCCCGGTCCCCAACATCCGAGTCCTCGCCCGCCTTCTCCTTGCACCGTACCTCTTGTCATTGTCTTGTCTACGTGCGAAACATATCCCGTTCAACGTGATAGCGCTATCTCGCTCTTCCGCCCCTGCTATGTTAACGAACATGACACAAGCCGCCCAACGGCCTCCCATTGGATATGGTGTCATCTGGCTCTTCCGTGGTACAGTTCTGATTATCATCTCTTGGGTCTGCCGCGCTATGGTCAAACTTCTCCGATTTTCCGTCCCATATCCATACTTCCTGATGCCAAATTTTCTTGTCAGGTTCTCCATGCCCTACCCTCTCCACGACTTCTGGTTATAGCTTTGTGCTCACTCTGAAGCTTCGGAGCTGGACACAGCATGAACAGCTCTGCACCTATCTGTAATACCAATACGACACTGAATACACGCTCTTTAACGTGGACTATAGATCAATGAGCCCAATTGGAATGAGTCCACAGAGCGTACGTAAGTCTAACCGTTCGTCAAGGAGCTATCAGTACCACCTGCCCCATATCCGCTTTCTCCTTCGCTACCTCGAACGCCTTCTTCCACTCCTTCAGCCCAAACTTCGCCACAATCTCCACACCATCCAGCCTCATCACCCCGGAGTTCAGCAACTGAATGAACGCCCCAATATCCTTCCTCTCGTACATCAATTTCCCCTTCAACTGCAAATCCTGCGCCACGATCCAAAAGAACGGCAGCGGCACCTCCCGTCCAATCCCTCCCATCAGACTCACCCTCCCTCCATGCCTCAGCGCACGTATCCCACTATTCACATGCGTCGAGAGCTTCGCCTCCGGTGGTGAAATATCGAAGAATACGTCGACGGGGCCGTATTGTTCGAGTGCTTCTGTCTCCTTCTCGATATCGCCCATGATCGGTACGATCTCAACTCGTCTACTGATGCTCTTGATCTTCTTTAGTTTCTCTTGGTTCCGACCCATCGCGATCACCTTCCCCGCACCCATCGCCAACGCCACCTGTACCGCCGCACCTCCATACGCTCCCGTCGCCGGCGCCACAATGGCCGTCTCCCCCGCCTGCAATCCAACATCCCTCAACCCTCCATACGGCACCAACAACGTCGACAGATACGACAACCTCTCCAAGTCGTATCCCATCCCTCCCTCTCCCACACCACGCGTCAACTTCGCCTCGTCCAACACAAAACAATTCTCCAATGGCACCTTCGCATACTCTGCCAACGTCCCGTCCCTCCACTCACCACTCATCAACTTCTTCATTCCCCCCGCTCGCCCAAGGCCCTCACTAAACCCCAACAAGATCCTCGCACTAGGATCGTCCCTTCCTCTAATGAAACAATCCACATAGACCAGCTTTCCCGGTTCGAGTTGAGTCGCGTCGGGACCGACGGCGGCGACGCGGCCTATGGCGCTAGTGCCGGGGACGAAGGGGGTAGGGAAGGAATAGCCGCATTTTCCGGCGTAGACTTCGCCCGCGTAGGAAATGAGGGGCGAGAAGAGGATGCGGACGAGGGCGCTGCCTGGTGTGGCGGTGGGAAGCGGACGGGTTTCGACGATGAGAGGGGAGGAGGTGGAGGTAACAACGAGGGCAGAATAGGTTTTGGGGAGTTGGGGAGTTATTGTGGTTGGAGCAGACATGGTGTTTATCTGGATGCTTGGGATGAAGGTTTGGAGTTGTGAGAAACATTTATGGGTCAAGGTGCATGAGCTTATATATCTCTTCATATTTAGGTCCACTTCTTTATGGCCATTTTAATTCGTTGTTCGACTGCAGAAGCGTGCGCATACTCAGTACAAGTCATAGCAGCTGAAAATGAAGATCAAGATGCCTTTCGACCTCCTGTGGCGGCATGACCATGAGAAGTCTGCATTTGGCAGTGACCCACATCTACATTCGGTAACGAGGATCTTGTGGGTCTGCAAGGGTGGATGTATTCCACATTCAAGTCAGATTCACTTGCGCACAGTATGTTATATTGCGACACTTTTCCAGAGATAAATGCTCAACATACTCAACTGAGATTCCGTGAACTGTATCCGCAATACAGATGTATATGTCAAGGTAGCCGGGCCTGGTGTAACGAGTGGGTCAAATCCCCGTGCCCCACCATCCCTGGCTCGCCAATGACCCGCTACTAGTCCACGATCCCCACTTTCAGCGTTCGGAGTAATAAGGCTATCGCCACTATGATCCCACACATTCCCCTTCTTGATCATTTTCTCGATGTGCGGGGTGCGTTGAGGTCTATGGGACGCCTCGACGGGTGGGGTCGGATCCCATTGTTAGTCTCGGTGCTAGAGAAAAGAAAACCCTGCACTATATTGTGCATTGTCTGACAGAGGGAGTCTTGCATGCGTTACTGTGCTGCTTTGGAGAGTTTTGTCATGTAAGGTTCGGGGAGGAGAGGCGAAGGAGAGAACGAGGCGGCATGGCGATTGCAGCGCCGAGAATATTGGGGACGCGGAATTCGATCCAGAGCCGGGATAGTCCGATGAGGCGATTTCTTTTTTCTTACATTCTCCCGCACACTGACCTCAGGCGACCCTCACAGCTCGCCGAGATTGTGCATATACATGTCGACGAAATCATTACTGCACGGAGAGGTTCGTTGGCCCTTATCTTCATAGATAGGACGGTTGTTGACGCTAGTCTCCTAAAAGCAGAGTAGCCCCTATCTCAACCGGCAAGCAAGGATCATACGGCCTGACGTCGACGCCAGACATCCGCAATGGGTGTGCCACACAGGTTGGTCGAGATTTACGTGAAAAGAAAGGATTGGGGAGGGGATAAGAATAACTGAGCATGTCTACGAGGTCGCCGCTATATTTCTGCCCGTCCGATCCAGAATAATTTACAGAGCACAAATCCACCAATCTGCTACCTCCACAGATTCTGAAGGAAATGAATATCTGTGAGTTCTCGTCCTTCTGCGATGCTTCATATAACTTTGAGTAGCCTGACTTACCTCGTTCCTCGAGTCGCCTGATGTTGACCGCACCGAAGAAGATCTATTGCGTGTGGTTGACGAGCTTGATTAAGTTACTTTTCGACCTCTTCCAGCCTCGTTCAATCACGCTGGTACGGTGGACCTAACATAACAAGTTTCGGTGCTTGCCTTGTATGAGAACGCCCTTTCCGGGTCCGGCGAAGTCAACATGGAAGGTTCGAGCGTGACGGGGCGAGGCCAAAAGGTGACCTGCGTCGACCGTAAACTGGTCTTGAAAGCCTAAGGTAAGTTGGATCAGTCCTCAAGGCCGCATATAACTTTGCGTTAATGGATGTTTTCAAGGTAAATTGAGCTTCGGTGGACCGCAAAAAGAAAGCATTCAAGACGTTGACAGCAGTAGAACCGACCGGTCTTTCTTTGCCATGTCCCCTGCTGTATTCGGCGACTTGCCCGAGTCATTTCATGGGCGACATGATTCCCATATCAACTCCTGAACTTTTGTATAAGTATCTGGCAATCGCAGTTGTGCCTGTAGGGTACGGATCTGACAAGTCGACAACGTCGAATATGGTACCACTACAAGACGCACTCACTGCACTTATACTTATCATCGCGTCCTACGTCGCGCATCTCATCTGGTCGCGTAGACGAGTACAAAGGGGCATAGCGAACATCCCCGCCCCGAAGTCCGTTTCATTCTGGACCGGTATATCCCATCGAAATTATATTTTCCGTCCCCGAATTCTCATAAAGTCGGCGTACGTGAATATTCAGGGAACCTGCCTTTGTTATACGACCCTCAACGCGGATGGCCTTTTCTCGACAGCATACAAGATGGTAAGCCTTGATTTTACTGGTGGGAGATGCAGTCCATGATACAGATAGACTGACGATGCCGGGCAACCTGTATGGCAGCTTGCAGCGTTTTCAGGCTTACCACCCCGATTGGTGTAAGTGATCATACTGCTGCGATATTTCAACCAAACTTCGTACCCTGACCTCCGTTCTTGCATCACTTAGTTCAATGACATGATCTACGTGGCAGACCCCTCTGCGTTGTATACCATCTTCAAGAAGGTATGCTATTTGGGCGTCTTGACTTCGTGTACGATGGTTCAATTTCGGGGTACTCTTGTCAGGATGAGGCTCTATTTGAGGAGAGAGAAGGTTTTATGCTGTGCGTCATATTTCGCTGAAGATCGACATCGATCCGTGCTCTCTAAGAGACATGACTGTAAATAGCATCAAGCGTATTCTCTTTGGGGCCCACAGCGTCCTCGTTACGGAAGGTAAGTCCATTGTGTCTCTCTTCATTATAAGGTTGCTTACTGACATTTATCGTCCGAAATTTCATCTTATACAGGACATAAACACCGAAAACAGCGTAAGTTTCTGAACCCCGTGTTCAGTATGGGCAACATCAAGAGAATGTTGCCCATATTCTTCGGCGTGTCTCATACGGTACGCTTGACCGTCGCCTTGTTGTGTTTACAATATCTCGTGATAACACTCTGGTCCTTTTCCTCTATAGTTACGGGAGTCTTTACGCTCATTGACCACTAACGGCGCTGTGGAAGTGAGCAGCCTTTCATATTGCTACGTTGGTCGTACACCAAGGGAAATACTTATAAGTTATCGACGTGTTTGTCATCTACCTAGGTCGACATGCTCAGCTGGCTCACGAGGACAGCATTAGAGATGATTGGACAGGCAGGAGTTGGGCAGACACTCGATTCGTTGGCCATCGAAGAGACGTCAAGTGCTTATGGTACTGCAATCAAGGAGGGGATGTGAGTGCCTTCTCTGTCTCAAAAAAAAACTCTGATCTTACCCTCTCCGGAATTTGTTCATTCTATCCACGTAGATCAGCTCTCTCGTTACCTTCCCTTCGGATAGGCGCGGAGTACCTCCTACCCCTCGCTTCACGTATGTGCACACCTCGAACTTGGAAATATATAATCGACCGGCTTCCACTTCAAGATGTTCGAAGGACTAAGAACATGGTAGATGAGATTGAAAGAACATCGAGGGAGATATATGAGGCAAAGAAGATAACCCTGGCCAAGGGAGACGAGAGCACGTTACAGCAAGTTGCGGAGAAGGATTTGATCAGTCTGCTCAGTGAGTTATCTTCATAATATATGACGGTTCATTTCCTTATACATCATTATCTTGAAAGTGCGTGCGAATATGAGCGCAAGTGGAGAGGATCGGTTGGAGGACGAGGAGGTTGTGGCACAGGTATGCAAACACCATCTAGACCATGCTTCCCCTGTCGATAGTCACTGGCTGTCCTGACACTGTTATCATCCTTACTAGATCTCGTCAGTTTTTCTCTTCTGTTCTGCTATCATCAAATATCTCGAGACATTAATCTCATGCCCCAGATCGTTCGTGTTCGCCGCCACTGATACAACCTCCTCGGCACTCTGTCGCACCTTGAGCCTGCTCGCCGAACACCCTGCTGCTCAGGAACGCCTGCGAGAAGAGATAGTAAAGGCACTGCACATTTGTGAGGGCGGGGAAAGCAGATATCTGAGTCATGATGAGATACAGGCATTGCAGTTCTTGGATGCTGTTTGTCGGGAGACACTACGATTGTGAGTGCTCATCTAGAACTTCACCCCACTGGACGTGTCCTACGCTGGCAAGATGCGAACGTTGACGCATCTCTTTTGATATGCCGCGCAGGTATACCCCGACACCTCATATCGACAGAAGGTCTGTATAACCCTCCTGAATGCTTCGCTGAGACCACAACTCGTCGTAATGGTTCACTTACTCTTCTGCAGGGCCCTCGAAGACACCGTTTTGCCGCTTGATTCCCCCATAACTGACGTTCATGGTACTGAGATCCATGAAATATTCATTCCGAAAGACACGGTGTTGACCATCGGTATCGCGAGCATGAACCGGAGTGCAAAGCTCTGGGGGCCGGACGCGATGAAGTGGAAGCCAGAGCGATGGATGGAGGAGCTACCAGAGAGTGTGTTATCCGCACGGTTACCGGGCATATATTCGAATTTGTACGCTCCCTTCTTCACTTCGGTCGCCATGTTTCTCACAAACTTGGGGTACTGCAGGATGACATTCGGTGCCGGAAAAAACTCCTGTCCGGGTTTCAGGTTCTCTCAGTTCGAAATGAGTAAGTTGACTCGATAGTCATCGTCGGAAGGGCCTGCCTTCATCTTTTCATGCATTTGCGAATCGTTGATGAATATGTTGTCTCTTGCAGAGGCTGTACTGTGTGATCTCATCAGCGCCTTCCGTTTCTCTCCCTCACCCAGACACTCCAAGGTCATATTTTCGATGTCGATCATTGCATCTCCGACAGTGGATGGAAAGCCTTCTTTGCCCCTTATTTTGGAAGCCGTCACCCCTGTTGTGTGACGATTCGAGGTCATTGCGTAACTGTGGCTCCAGCATTATAGAATGAACCGTAGATTCAACTATGTACTTGTCGTTGCTTTGGTACAACAAGGGCTTCCAAATCGAATACTCACTTGTGATGGTCAGGCTAGTCCGTACTTTCGACAGATAATGGTATTAAAAATGAGGCTTAACAAGATGCAGTATAGTACGTTCGAGTAAGCCGATACAACACAGACTGTGGACAACAAGACAAAGCAGTAGCAGTAGCAGAGCAAAAGGGCAATTATAGGTAAACAACATAAGAGGTGAGTGCGTAGCGGTGTATAAAAGAAATAGAGCATGTACGATATTGCGAGTAGTGAAGGATTCAAGAGAGATATTATGGATAAGAAGACATTCAATTAACTGAGCCTACAACCTAAAATATGCACTGAAGAACATGTTCAACGTCAGCAAGATCAGAATTGTCCAGGAACGGGGTTGTACGTACCGGTCCCGTCAGGACTACCGATGCCATAAACCATTTCCAGAGGATGAAAAGCGAGAGAATGAGCTCGAGGTCCAAATGTCGGCAGAGACCTCGGATTAGTGATAGGCGATATGCCTGAAGGGATAGTGACACTGGAAAGAGGTATAGTTTTGGAAGAGATTGCATGGACAGCAGTCCGTATGTTCCTCCTGTTCGAGGGAGAGACGACAGAAGACCTGAAAGGAAAGAGAAATTGGTTCGTCAAGTATGCAGTAATCCAAAGACTCCAGCACTCACGCAGCGAATACACCAGAATTGGGATGTACATCAAATGCTGAGAGACCACCTGCAACTGGGTTCCAAGTTCCTACGGATTTCTCGGAACGGCGGATATCCCATAAGTGTACTGCACCGTCCAGACTAATGAAATTTGGGTCATCATTGTGATAACAGTTCGGGGAGGTGAAAGGACGACGTACCTGGCTGAAAGAAACTGCCGGTCATGCGTAGGGCTCCATCGCGCGTTTTCTACCCACGATGCGTGGCGGATATATTCATGCACAACGGCTTTGTCCTCTCTCAATCGTTTGTCAAAGACTTTGATCGAGCCATCGCCGAAGCCAGTGACTAGGAGAGACGGATGATGATTCTCGGAAGCTATCGTGGTAACAGGACTTCCCGAACTCGTTGTCAGATCCTATTTGCATCGTCATTAGCTCACTAGCTGAATCGGAAAAGGACATGAGGCAGCGAGAGGATACATACCATGACTTGCATTTCATTGTGTGCATCCCATATTCTGATCAAACGGGAATCTCCGCTGACATGCAAATGGCCAGTCAACTGTTGCCAGTCTACGATCGTCCCGACTCCGTGAGGAACAGGCCGGACGATCTCGCTGAGCGCACGGAAGGCGCTGACAAGTTGCACCGGTGCATTGCTGGTGGCGGGGTCATAGTTGCGATACAACCGAAGTATACCATCCGCTACGAAAGTCACATTCAGTGAAACATGCAGTATATTCTGAGCCCACGAGAGACGTACCTGATGCCACAAGGATGATGCCACCAATCTCCTGGTTGATAATGCGGAGTGAGGTGATGGCTGTCCCTTGAGGATTGCCGTTCATGAAGGACGCCAGTTGTTGACGTCGTGACCAATCCCAGACGCTGATAGTGGTATCGATATGAGCACACCGAACTGAGCGAGACCGCGAGCAATCGTACCTGACAGCATCTGGTCCGTTGGCCACTACGATGTGAGGATCAAAGGAATGAAAAGCCATAAGCAGCGGAGCGCCAGACACACGGAAATTCGTGACGGTTTTATCCCATTTGTGCTCAGCTAGACATCACACATCAGTAAGACCACTACGAAACTCTGCTAGAGACGTGAATAGACGTACTGGATACCTCATCTTGGGCCGGAATTCGCGCAATCATCTGTTCATTACGCTGCAGACGCCACGACTGATGATTATACTCGATACTGCCTGGTTCGTCGGCCTCCGCTTGCTAAAAGCACCACGAGAAGCCAAAGAAAGAGTTAGTCCTGCCACGACAATAAAACAGATATAAGCTTACTCTCATCTGAGGTTCCCTGAAATAATCACAGCAGGATTCAAAGTACGTGCTCTTCAAGGGTAGCATATCTCGTAGTCCTGTCCCCGTTCCAAGACCCAGTATCACACTACTCGCATTTGAACCCTCTGAAAAGGAACTCTCTGAAGGGCTTGTTCCCTGTGAGGTTTGGTGTCGCTGCCCTTTGCGTCGCCGAGTTCTCAGTCTCTCTATATCCTCCTCGATGAGAGCTTCAATGACATCCGAAGGGGACAACTGCGGCTGTGAATGCGTGTGTGGAGAGGAGGAAAGAAGTGGGGATGTCGGCGAGGGGGGAGAGTCCGAGTCGAGATCAGACGAAGATGAAGATACGGGATCGTTCGCATACGGCGAAACGTATCGTGTAAAGTTGAAGTTTGGTGATGGTGGTCGAAGAGGCGGAGGATAGGAGCCAAGCGGCGAGTGAGAAGACCGAGAAGAGCTACTAAGTGTTGGCGAAGAGCGGCCCGTGGTCACTATTGGAAGCGTCATCTTTCTGAGTGCTTGGGTCAAGTTGGATGGTTCCTTGCTGGTAGGCACGCCGGTTGTCGAGCGTAAAAGGGATGGAGAAGAGGAACGTGCAAGCGACTGCGGTGATTGTACTGAGTTACGTCTCCCTAACCCACTTGCGGGGCGATCATACGGTTTCGGTGGTGGTTTGAGCGACGAGGTCTCTAGTTTGGTGAAGGGCGAGTCGAGAAGAAGGGCCATGATATAGTCCACGACGGTCTTCGCGAGCGTCGCTACCTCTTGATAAGGGTCGACGTAGAGCTCCAATAACGTCGAAAAGATGGTAAAGATGTATGAGAGTAGGACCCGATTTTCCTCTCGTAAAATTTCATCATCCCCACAACCTTCTAACCACTCCTGCACCGCAAACTTCGAAAGAGTCTTCCGAGTAGAGGACTTCTTTTCTGGACTGACCGACCTCCACCGCCTATCCTCCTCCCAATATAGCCAGGCACAAACGACAAAATGCCCCTTCCACTCGTTCACCAAGCAGCTTATGAGAACAACCAATTCCTTCCGTGCCATTGGACTTGCATCGTCCTTGATTGCGAGCGTTGCACTCGTGGCGACAGCGACCTCCATCCTACAATGGACCCTCTCCTCGAGATGAAGCATCGCCCCTGTACCGACGTTATCGCACTGGCTCGATTGCGCAGACCCTGACGCGCCCAAAAATGTTCCAAGTGCAAACGCCGCTGCCGTCCGTACCTCCGGAGAATCGTCCAAAAGCGAGGCGATGAGCTTATCCTGGGTCCCGTGGTCCACACCGAATGCCTTGATCTCGTCGTTAGTGGCCCATAGTTGCGCAATACAGAGCGCGGACCACTGACGAAGCAGATAGTCGTTTGCGTCGAGACACTGAAAGCATGCGTGGAATACCTGTTCACGGAAGCATGCGTTTTGGCCTTGTGGAAATCCCCGAGCGATGACGGCTAGAATGAACGCACACATCGCCTTGTGCTCCGAAATATTAGGAATTATGGCCCGGAGTTGGTCGTCTGGCATGCGTAGAACGTTGGAAAAGTAGCGGATTACTTGGCCATTATAGAGATCCATTTGACAGGTTGGGTCTACGGCCAGTATGCGGGCCCAGATGAATATAAGTACAGGCTGTAGATCTTCCCTCGGTGTCACAGGTCTCAGAAGGTTCATCAGTGGGCCAAAGAAGCCCGCACGAAGGACGTGATGAACCGCCCATGACCCGAGATCCATGAATTGCGCCAGCAGAATAAGAGTGCGGAGACGATGTCGGTGCGTCATGAGAGCCTGCATGACAATTGGAAGATGTTCGGGTGGGCGCGGTATGAGAGGAACAGACAGATCGCCTGTTCGAGAACCAAGGTCGAGAATAGTGTCTGTGTTACTGTAGGTATGGTGAGTTGATGAGAGGAAAGATGGGGCCTTCGGCGCAATACCGCCGTGCGAGATCCATACTTCAAAAGCGGTAAGAGTGTCAGCGAAGAATCGAGTGGGCTTGTATTCGTATGGTTCGTACAAGTCGGCACGTGGGTACAACACGTCCCGCAACTGCGCTCGACTGTACGGGTCTCTTGGTATGGCCGACGGGTCGGGAGTCCTTTCTGGGTTCTTCAGAAGGTCAGGTAGTTGACGGAGGCATGCATCGACGGCGAGGTCCCATGTATCCCACAAAGGATGTGTATTCATCGAAGGGATGGGAGGATAGGTATGTGGCGTGCATCCGTAATCCTTTAGAATACGTTCCGCGAGCAGATAGTTGCGGAAAAGAGAGGAGACTATCTTGTCAGCCCTATATAGTCGATTAAACACGTCAGGAGGTAATGAGGTCCAGGCAATAGCGTCGGTGATCGCGATGAATATCCACTCGAGCTCTCCAAGTGGCGTTTGTCGGTTGCTGGCGTCGCCAGGCAGCTCCTTGACCGAATCTATCGTAACTCCAACAGGAAGCACGAGATTATTGCGGAGGATGAAATAATGTAGTGCCATCTGTATCGGAGATGTCAGGCACGACGTGAGGACGTCGGCAGGAAGCTCTGGGCATGAGGGCAACTGTTCGTCCGCGGCACAAGCAGCCAGCTGTAGGCAGTCCGCAAACGGGCGTGGGGGGTTTGGTACCGTGGCGTTTATTTTGTCATTCTCCTGTGCAGAGTGAATGAAACCAGAAAGTAACCGTCCTGCCGCCGCACAATCCCAAATATACACGCAAGGAGAATTTAGCCACAACTGCAGCTTCGAGATTGAGACCGCACTATACTCAGTACGATCCTCGTTGAAGCACCATAGCTCCCCATCGATGGTGGGTTTAAGCACGCCATGACCGTTGTAGTAGAATACGATCGCATCGCGACCAGCTTCGCGCCGGGCTGTCACACAGACACGGCGAAGATAGGCCATAGTCGGGTCCGGAAGATCGCAATATTGAAGCTGTTGATTCTTGGCCTTGAGAGTGTCGAATTGTCCCCTTAACTTAGCATTGATGATTTCGAGGGCCTTCTGCGACTCGGAGTCGAAGATAGACGCAGGGTCGACCCAGCATTCCAGCACGGCGCGTGGATCCGTGGGCACGATGTCGGGGGGCAGCGCACCAATCTTTAAACATTGAACTAGTAGGACGTGGGATGTTCTGAGTCTGACTGGAGATGAACGCCAAGGGGTTGCCTTTGCCATCCAAGCAGGTGGCGGAGTTGGGTGTCCAGCGCTTGTATGACGTTTGGCAATCCAGTAAGGCATTATCGTTAGGGCACCAGTGTCGGATACAGCGGATTCGTGGTCATCATCAATGTCGTGGGTCTTGTCCTGGGGAAGTTTAGTAGCAAGGTTTTGGATTGAGTCTCGGCGACCAGAGTCGAACGTGCCATTCATGTTTGTGGCAGGATCACGGCCGTCGGGGTTGCCATCTTGTACAGGTAGGGCCGAGTCTCCATTCAAGCCTATTTGTAAGGTCATTCCATGTCAGTACTGTGGTAGAAGTTGAAGGGCCTTGAACTCACCAACCAACAGCGAGGCGTCTCTAGACTGTAACTGCTGACTCGGCTTGGAACCGGTACGTGACGGTGGCGATGGCATGCCACAGCTCTCACCCAGCTCCAAGTCAGGGACGATGCTGCAGAAAATGTTTCAATGCATTCATCCAGATAACCGAATAATCAAGTGACTGACAAGTATGCACCAACGCCCCGAACTCTTCCAACACTCGCGCGGCAGAATGGTACTTGACAGAAGATGTTGACTCGAACAGAACTGTTCCAGCAGTTTAAGGTTTTAGCTTCCGACTGATCCGTCCCCACGTGGCTCGGAAGCAAATTGCCCGATTTTGTGGCGTTCTTGCACGCTACGGTACGCAAGTCAGCGTAGTGTTGGTGCAGTACAGCTGTTACAATCTTACAGGTATAAGCTATCGCGCACAGCTGTCTATCACTGTCCGGTGCTGAGCACGCTCAGCTAAATAGATTACACGGGTACAAGGCAAGAGTAGGACCAAGACACATCATTCACGCAGCAACAAGCGCATGCAACCCGTAAATCTCCTTCCTAACCCTGAAATAGACATCACTCACACCTCCCTCCAACTCAACCCTACCTCTCCCAACCTTCCTGACCGCAACACTCTCCCCCAAGCTCTCCCCGAGACTCAATCCACCTCCACCCTTGGTTCCACAAATTAAAACACCCTCGCCGACGAGCTCAGACTGGATACCAATGGAAGCGAGTCTCGATTTCAGAGCTGTAAGCTTCAGTTCGCCGATCATTGTTGAGTGCGGGAGGCGGAGGGTGGGCAGAGAGCCAATAGGGCGAGGACGGTCGGGAAGAGTACGGAGAGGCATTGGGCTAGGTGAAGACTCGTCCTGTGGTTGTTCGGGTTTGGTGGAGGGAACAGTAGGAACTGTAGATGTTGATGTGGTGGTAGAGGGCGAAGTTGGAGCATTGGATAAGGGCTGGAGAATAGGCACCGTCGAACTCGCGGTGATGGCGATACGCCCTGTAACGTACCCCACTTCATTGTCCTCGAACTGGGAAACGCCAACGGTCAGGGAAAGCCCCATTGGAAACAGGTAAACCTTCGAGGATAGCTTACTCGGGACATTTTCATAGACGCAAGCAAATCATCACTGAGCGATATCGAGAAACTGCTTGTGTTCTGGCCGATCTGCACAGATTCTCCAACTGACGGCGCAAAGACGTCCTTCGTCATGGCACGAATATTTGAGCAGCTATCGATGAGGGCCTCGGTGGCGCTCGGAGAACCGTGTACTATGATCTACAAGAATATGAGCGTGAAAAAGCAGGACGTGAAGAGCTTCACTGACCATCTTTCTGGGGTTAACCTGAGGGATGATCGTCTTTGTCGCTCGTCCATCATTCAGGCCCTCCAAATCAACAAAGAGAAGTCGGCAGGCGAGCTGTACTTCCACAATGCGCGAAACAAACTTCGATGGTGGTTCCCTCGGAGCCCTCTGAGAGAAATAGTCACGTCAAGGCACGGCAGAAAATCATGGCTAGAACATAAACCAACCTTCGCCTCTTCTTCCTTCTCCTTCTCCTCTCTTGCATCTTCATTGCTGTCCTCCTCTAGAATTTTTCCTCGCCTCACCCACATTCCAACATCCAACACTTCTCCGTACTCGTCGACCTTCCTCCTTTTCTCCACATACGGAAACATCCTAAACCTCTGTGCCCCTTCCTTTCCACCTGCACTTTTAAAGAAACTAGTCGTTTTAGATACATTCCCCTTGAGGTAGATATCGAACGACAGTAACTGCCTAGTCCCACCCTCGTCTGCGGCGTCGAGGTCCATCCCGAGAGTCAACGAGCGAGACCAATCCTTATTAGTGTCCTGACCGTCGCCGTCTAACGATGACCCTTTTTGTCTTCGTCGTCGTGGAGCCTTGACTTCTGGTGGAGGTTTGTCGACTTGCATGCCATTAGCATCATCGTCGCCAGCGTCATCACCAAGAGCGCGCTCCACGTCCTCCGCCTCGTCCTCCGAATCGGAGTCGGATTCAGAGTCATCAGAGTCGTCTTCATCAGCTTCGAGCATCTGGCGGTTGCGAGCCATAGCGGCCTGTTCTGCGGTCTGTTTTTCTTTTGCGGCGCGTTCTCTTTGCAGGAAGATCTCGAGCTCGGTGCCCTGTAAAGCGACTTTCGATCGCAGCTGCATATGGCACAAAGAGCCATTGTTTAGCGAGTGACCAAAGGTAGAGATGAGAAGGTATGGGTAGCGTTGACTGACTTCGATTGACAGCGAGCCATCCATCATCACATTACTCCCTATCTTTCCCTTGTCCCATTTATCCTCCGCTCTCTGCGCGTTGTTCCATCTATCGAACAGGACACGGGATAACGTTCCTTCTTCGCCCCGAGAGGTGAGCAGGACAACATTATCGGGTATAGAGGCAAAGTCAGCGAATAGTGACCGAGACGGGCCGTGAGAGAGGGATGCAGGCACTGCGAGAATCAGCTTGGGATCTTTGGAAGAATAAGTCTGCTGAAGAGCTTGTGGGTTGAGGAAGAATTCGAGATGCCTGGATTATCATGCAGTAAGATCAATACAATCAAAAATTATAGAAGTAGATGTGAACGTACTTGAAGCGTAGCGCAAAAGCGCCGATAACATCATCGTCCTCGTCGTTGTCCTTTTTCCTCTTTTTCCCTCTCTTGCCACCATCTCTACCACCACTCGTGACCTCCTCGCCTACGTCTTCCTTACTAACTGTACCGCCCAGCCATTCCATCATACTTCTCACGAATGTGAGCATTTCGCGTCCAGAACGAGAGAGGAGGCAGATGGGATATTTGAGGCGCGCGAAGGACCAATGTTGGTCGAGAAGAACCAAGAGTTCAAGTACCCGAGTGCTAGCATCGCAAGGGAGAAGGAGTGATGAACGAGAGGACAGTGCCGCGGTGATCGTGTCTATTGAACATCCCGAATGGATGAGTACATGAAAGTACAGAGAAATCAGACTTGCGCACCAATCAGTGAAGCATCCCGATCCTTCCGTCGACTGCTCAACACATCGGCCCTCGCCGCATCCGTGATCAACAAGTCCGGCCTAGCAAGCGGTTCAAATACTCCGGGCGCTATTCCTCCTCCCTGGCGCATGAGCACGGTTCCATCGAGGTGTCGCTCGCGCATATGGTTCATGTTGACCGCATACATAATCGTCCCAGCAGAAGGGGAACGTATTTTCCATATAGTACCGCCGAGAGTATGGCCAGCGTTGAAAGGAGTAATGGTCACGCCTTGACATTTGCCTGTGAAGAGAGACGTGAGCAGAGTTGAGTATAGAAGAGCCAAGGGTGCATAGTACAGACCTTGAAGATGGGTAGGTTGAGAGTACCGGAGTGTGTTGATGGAATCGAAAGCTTCCTGCACCTCGGAAGGAGTCGCAACATACTTGGCCTTCCGTTGAACGGCTGATGAGGGACCGCTCTCGTCCACCCTCTCGCCTGAGTCCTCTACCTTGTCCTCACCATCTTGCGGTTGGTCTGATTGGTATCCAGCGTCTACATCCTGCTCATCACGAATACTCTCTGATTCTTCGGTAGCAGCAATTCGGGCCATAGCCTGGACAGGCAAAGTCGAATACGCAGGAGCCTTCAGACCCCATCGTGCATAAGCGTAGGGATAAAGACCAGAATGTGCAAGGTCTCCATGAGAGAGAAGAACAAGGTCTATTGTCGGTGCAGCCCTGCACAGATGTAACCAATGAGTAAACATGTATTATGAGAACATAGCGAGAACACGAACTCTTTGAGAGACTGGCAGTATGTCTCCCAGTGGGCCGACACGTTCAAGCCATCATCGAACTCTGGACACCAGTCTGGAGAGCCACAATCGAGTAAAATATGAACGTCATCGACCTGAAGAAGATACGCGAGTGGAACAAGTCTGTCTGACTTCGCTGCACCTGACAATGGCTTGAAGGTGAGCATGAGTGTGAGGGTCAAAGGCAAGATCGCAGGCCACCTCCATACGTGTGGCCCTACGCCACAGCAACTGCAGACCCTAACCCTTGAACTGGGTTGCTCCGTTTAGAGGCTCCGGGAGTGCAAGTACTAGCACGGAACTTACGCAGAACCTCAGCACTGTGTTGTCTGTTAGAGAAATCAGACGGTGAGATTTGGATTGTATCTGTAACAAGGTGTGAATAATTCTGTGCTTGTTTCTAGTTTGACCGTTGACCTTTCAAAGTCTAGGGCAGACTGCACCCTACACCCTCAGGGGAAATGTACATGCGATCCGCTCAGCGTCAGGAGAACCACTCTGGTTTGACCTCCTGGTTATTCTTCGACCATACTTCCAGCTGACTCCCCCAGATAGGCGTAAATGGCTGGAATCATAATCATGTAGGACAGAACGGCAGGTCACATTCGGACGACGACTCGGAAACCGAACGCGACGTGAACAGCACCTCCCTCGGAGATGGACCAGGTGCAAATGGCAGTTCAGAATTCGACCGTCATGGAAATGAGTCCACTATCACCGTCTCCGACCCCGTACCCATCATGCCATACTGGTCCGCGAAGCGACATATCACGGCCGGTTTACCCACTCCTCCGCCACCATGGGCACCCAAGATGACCCCTTGGCGATCATCTCCCGGGAAACTCAAGACGTCAAACGCCGCTCTCGTATTGTGTCTCAATATAGGTGTTGACCCTCCGGACATAGTCAAGACGAGTCCATGTGCTGTGCTCGAATGCTGGGTCGACCCCTCCACCATGTCATCTCACAAAGCTCTCGAGGTCATTGGCACGAATCTCCAAAACCAGTTCGAAAGTTTGAGCCCCAAGATTCCGTACAAACCCATTCTCGACCCATCTTACGAAGACCTTCGAAGGTTCTGCACGTCATTGCGCAAGCAGGCGAAGGACGACGCCATCCTTTTCTACTACAACGGTCATGGGGTTCCGAAACCTACAGCAAGTGGTGAACTCTGGTGTTTTAATCGAAACTACACGCAGTACATTCCTGTTTCACTCGCTGAGGTCCAACTATGGGTTGGAACACCATGTGTCTACGTTTGGGATTGTTCCGCCGCAGGAAACCTCCTTCTAAACTTCAATCTTTTCGCGCAGAAACGCGACAAAGACAACGCAAACGCGCCAGAACACTCAGGACTCTTCACCGATTCTATCCAGCTCGCAGCGTGCGCAGCGAACGAACAGTTGCCGTCCTGTCCCGAACTCCCTGCCGACCTCTTCACTTCCTGTTTGACCTCCCCCATCGATATTGCTCTTCGTTATTTCGTCATGCATCACCAACTTCCGAACAACATCACGGCAGATATGGCTATGCAGCTACCGGGAGACCTCAAGGATCGACGGACGCCTCTCGGAGAACTCAACTGGATATTCACCGCCATCACGGACACGATTGCTTGGACGTCCTTCTCGCGCGAGCTGTTCACACGACTATATCGTTCAGATCTCCTCGTGGCGTCACTATTCAGGAATTTCCTGCTCGCAGAACGTATCATGAAGAACTACCACTGCACGCCACATACCTCTCCCTCACTTCCCCCAACAAATACGCATCCTCTTTGGGCATCCTGGGATCTCGCTGTTGATGCTTGTCTTCGACAGCTTCCGGAGCTGCTAAAGCACGTCGATACGGTTCCGAACCCTGGCTCCGTCCCCGGTGCCACATCTATACGAGCACGTAGGCAGGCTCAAGCTCAAGCCTCGGTGCCTCGCGCAGGTGCGCCAGGAGAACGACCCTACAACTACGTTCCTAGTCGTTTCTTCGCCGATCAATTGACCGCCTTTGAGGTTTGGATTTCTCGTGGCGGGTCTGCGCTCACGAAGCGAGGGCCACTGTCCCTGCCCGCGAGCTTCGGCGAAGGAGACGCCGATAGCGAACCGGCCAACGGAGGTTTGGGTCTCGCACAGCCAATTTACAATCTGGACAAGAACGAGCATCACCTAGTCCCGAGAAAACCCCCAGACCAGCTTCCCATCGTCCTTCAGGTCCTGCTGTCGCAGCCTCATCGCCTGCGAGCACTTATTCTTCTGTCACAGTTCGTTGACTTAGGACCATGGGCGGTACATCTCGCCCTGGCTATCGGCATATTCCCCTATATATCCAAGCTGCTACAGGCCGCGGGTCAGGATCTACGCCCGGTCCTCATCTTCATTTGGGCACGCATCCTCGCCGTCGACCCGACATGCCAACTTGATCTGTATAACAACCAAGGTTACAAGTATTTCGCGAGCGTCCTCTGCATGCAAGACGACCAACAACACGTCTCTATCCCCAATATCTCCGAACACAAAGCCATGTGTGCCTTCGTTCTTTCCGCTATCGCCCGCGACTTTGCACAAGGCCAGAACGCCTGCTGGCGGGAGAAGGTTTTCCACGCATGTTTCGAGCGTCTTGACGAGGGTGACTTCCTCCTGCGCCAGTGGTCTGCCTTGTGTATCGCGCAGATGTGGGCAGGGAATGACGATATCAAGGTCTTCGGAGTCGACCATGGAACACAAGATAAATTCATCGCGCTGCTCTCGGATGATTCACCCGAAGTGAGGACAGCGGCGTTATTTGCGCTGGGAACCTTCATGGGCGCGAACGGGTCGACTGATCATAGCAAGTCGGGCGGCGGAGGGACAGGGACGATGCTGCATCTTGACGAAAGAGTGCATTGTAGGATGGAGGTCGCTGTCGTCACCGGTGCTACCCTCGCAATCAAGGAAGACGCAAGTCCGATGGCGAGGAAGGAGCTCTTGGTGATTATCAGTTGCTTGGTTAAGGAGTGGAGAGGCTATTTCGTCGTTTGTGCGTGGTTGTACTGGGAGGAGGACAAGAGATGGAGGTCGGGCAGTTTGGGTGGGAACTCCCTTTACGAGGAGGACACAACAGGTTTAGCAGTGGAAGAATGGTTGGAAGGCTTTGGAGATGACGAGGACCTCAAGGCCGAGAACAGAATCTTGCTGTCTTCGTTCTTCATGATCCTGTCGACATTGCTCGAGCTTTACGTGGATCCATACCAAGAGGTAGCGACCCATGCGAAGACCATCGTGGATTATGTCATGGCCCTCCTGCTTGAATCACCTTTCTCCAAGCTGGAGAACTCATCTCTCAACATTCCACCCAAATTTGAGGGAGGATCATTCAGCGGACGCTCCAGACGTTCTTCACTCCAATCCTCACCTGCACTCACACGCCCTCCATCACCCACCCAACCGCGTCCCAATATCAGCCGCGCAGATACAATGACAAGCACTATCTCTTCTGGAGTTTCCAACACCATCAGACGCACCTCTTCATTCGCCAACGCACTCAAAAGCCTTGGAGGCATGGCCTTCCCTTCGCTGGACGAGAGTCGACCATCGTCACCATACCCCCAACCGGCATCCTCCTCTCACCAACCTACAAACTCTCCCGCACTCTCCGACAAGACCCAACCTTCAAGACCACCTTCTCCTAATTTGAATCTTGCACAATACGTCTCTCCATACCTGCCTCCCTCCGACACTGGCTCGATATCGTCAAGAGAGTCGAAAGAAAAAGGCGATGCTTCCTCTTCACGCTATGCGTACGCTCGCAGTGCACCGGCTTCACCAACCATGTCCGCCCATTCCACCCTTATGGAATCTCTGCCAGCACCCAACTTCTCACCGTCCAATGTCATGGAAGCTCTTATCGAGGAGGATATGGAGCGGCTCCGAGCACGGAGACGGGCGGGTCAGAATCCTCGACGACAAGGCGGTGGGGTGAGCATGACTATGAGTTTGGGGCCGAGTGGTGCACTGCCGAGCCCTTCAGAGAGTTCGTTCTCGGATAGTTCTAATGGAAGTAGCGTGATGTTGGGTTTGGGGACGGGTTCTGGTGTGCGGGATGTATTACCCCTGAAGAGCCATTTCTTCGATTGGTGTTGTGAGTACTTCAAGGAACCACAGATGAGGGTGAGTCAACATTTTCAAGGTCTCATAAAGGCGCTCTTTGTAACCTGTGTATGATGCAGCAAGCGGAAGCAGACGAACCAGGGAGCGTGGAATACAACTACCAGTCCTGGAGGCAGCAGCGGAACGAGCACGTCATTGCTGAAACCCAGGCTCAGGCGGAAATTGCTCGTACGTGACTTCACGCAGAATACGCACTTACGATCATCACTTAAATCTTCCTCCTTAAGACGAGCGGAGATGGGACAGGCCGGTTACGAGTTTCCATGTCCCAGGTACACCACTGCTCATGGCCTTCCATTCGTTCGACCCCCATATTGTGGTGGCAAACGAGACTGATACTGTGACGTACGCGATCTCCGCTCCTTCTCGTGCTTGAGTAGTGTTAAACAATTATGGGCTGTGACAGGGTTTGGGACTGGTCGCGTCGACAGCGTCTAACCTCATTTATCAACGGCAATCCTAAAGCAGCATCGATCACCTCGTTGAACATCATCAACCAGGATGTTGGCGGAATCATCTTGGTCACTTCCGGTGCGCATTTGACAGACTGGCGATTCGTCTGATGTATCGTACAGTCAGAATTGACTCGCTATTTTGTTTTGATAGCGGATGGTATGGTTCGCCTATACCGAAACTACGACCCGGCGACAAGCAATACACCAGTACAGCTCGTCAGTTCGTTCCGAGGCCTAGGTCACCTAATCTCAACACCGCGAGGAAGTGGGGTGGTCGCCGAATGGAAACAAGCGGGCGGGCAACTACATCTTGGTGGCGATTCACGGACAATCAGGATCTGGGACGCACACACCGAGTCGCAGCTCATGGTTCGTTCACACTTTTCTCCTATCGATTTGAGGACTTCGCTGACACACAAGACATAGGATCTTCAAACGGACTCAGACAGCCCTGTCACTGCTATGGCGACGGAATTGAACTCGCTCTCTCTGCTTGCATCTGGTTTCGGTGATGGTATGGTCAAAATCTTCGATAAACGGTTAGAGGAAGACGAGGCCGTGGTTCATCTTTGCGGTGGACATGCCTCGTGGGTGCAGAATGTCTGTTGGAGTCCGACACATGGGAAGCAGTTCCTTTCAGCTAGGTGCGTGCTTTTCGCTTGCACCCATTGAAGGCAAGAAATCCAAATGCTGATTCATGGGACGTGCACTTGCAGCTTGGATGGAGAGATCAGGCTCTGGGATATTCGCAACTCAACAAGGGTCGTAGAGAGCTGGCAGCCGTTCTCAACTGGCCTGTCAGCATTCTCTGTCCACCCAGGGACGGGTGTGTTTGCAACGTTCGTCCCCTCTCCTTTGACTACGGCTGCTCTCCTCTGACTTTTTGAATTTATTATCGTTCCATTTAGGTCTTCCGCGATATCCTCGACAAATTGGAGACACATTCGCACAACTGTCCACCCTATCACGCGGGATTCAGCCTCCCTCTCAACGGTCAACGTTCCTACTGGGTTGACCGCCATGCCTACGCGCGGATACCCCTCGCGGTTCATACCTCGGTCGAACTCCCTTGCCTTCCATCCCATGGAGATGCTTTACGGTGTCGGGAGCTCTGACGGGACTGGTACGTCTTCACGAGTTCAACTTTGTTCAATCAGATACTGACAACGTGTTTTGCTCGAACAGTCCGGATTCTAGGCTGCAAGCTCGTTTGATCCCTTTCTTCCTTCTATTATCCGTGCATTTATGTTCAACTATCTCGTTTATTCATCGAACCTCCTCCACGGATCTGGACCTTGAATCCGTCAAAATTGAACTGTATGCCTCCGATTGTTTCATTTTAACCACACTTTTCTCTCCTTCCACACTGTGCTATTACTTCGGTCCAAGATGTTACTTTGTATTACACTGTTCGCACTCTCTGTTGGCATAATCTAGTTATGTGCCCTTTGCCATGGTCTCGTGTCTTAGCCTGTTCTCGGACCGTGAACAAAAAGCCAGGTGCGTCCGATGCTTTCACTCCCGCATGTCTGCCAGCTGAAGACGGTTGACCATGCTTAGGCCGAATAGTGTTCATACATACGAATACAAAAAGACGTCCACCAAGGTACACCGTTAAAAGAACGGCCGTCTAAGTATTTTTCGAAAGGGGAAAAAAATCATTCTTCGGTGTCACCGTCTGCCTTCGAAGAAGACCTGGTCTTCCTTGTCGTCGCTGTTGGGATCTTGCTTCCTCTGGCTCTACGGCTCGGCGCGGTCTGACGTTTCTTCGTGTCCTTCGCTCCCGCGTCCGCGTCCGCTTTGTCTCGCTTGCGTTTGTCCCCTATGTCAACCTCCTCATTCTCGCCACTTTTGGCCTCGAGGTCCACTTCTCCGTTGGCTTCCTCGCCATTTGTCTCTTCGTCTCCTCCTGCAGCTTTCACTTCTTCATTCTGCTTGGCCCCAGTCTGATCACCTTCTACTTCGCTATCGGTCTCGCCCTCTCCGTCCGCTTCTCCTTCCTCTTCTAGCGTTTCCTCAGTTTGCTTGTTTGCAGCCCTGTCGTCTCTGGTATTCGAAGTGCCATCCTCTTGTTTCTTTACCTTCACGGGGTCCTGGATACCGCTCAGCGTCTCTGCGTATGTTGGTCTGAATCATGCACTTACGTGTCCCCAGTTCCGCAAGCTAGAAAGAGACAGGGAATTAGTAAGAGACTCTTATCGACTACGGAGCGAGAGAACTACCTGATGGTGCTCTTCGTCTTCTCCAACTCGTCTAACGTCTTGGTCTGCTTCAAATGGTCTTCCTGTGCGAGGTGACGTGAATTGTATCTGAAAATTTCGGCCGAAAATACTTTTCAGTCGCTGCCCTCCATAGCATCACTTCCAGAAAGTACGTGCACACGTACGCGACCACCTTATGCATATGCTGCAAGTCCTCCTGTTGAAGTTCAACCATCTCAGCGAGTGCCGTTTCTTAAACACTAGACGATGCTGCTAAGACGGACCTCATCATACTGTTTCGGGTCCTTCCCAGGGTTCTTCTTCAAAATCTCGACAATGCGCCGCCCGCTGTCATGCCCGACGCCTGTACCAGCTTTCTCGCTCTCTGGACTATCAAGCCATGCCTCGAGCTCTTCGATGCTCATGTTCACCTGTTCATTGAAGGCCTCGATGACTTCGGCGTCGGATTTCAACATAGTTCTGTCAATGGATATGAGAAGAATGTTACCGCGGTGACTCGGATGGAATAGAGAAAAGAGAGAAGGGGAGGAGGAAAGATTGGATGCGAGTCGGTTAGGTCGGTGAAAGAAAAGTGAAAAGCGAAAAGCGAAAGTATTGGGGGTGTCAACGTTGTCGCGGTCGCTGAATTTTGAGGTCGAATTTATAAGTACTCGACAGGGGTCATGTCATTGTGGCGCACGTCACTCCTGTCCAGCTCCTGTGGCGGAGAGATGTGGCGGACGTCGATCTCTGTTTCCGACGATCATGACGTCGTCATACCCGCACCCCAACGTTCAAAGCGTTCAAGACTTCAAGCTCTTCAAGTCGGAAGTACGCCCTATGTTCAACCACCAAAATTAAGGTCGGGTCGTTTCTCTGCAATTGATGAGTACTATTCAGCGTTGAACCCAATCACAAAAGCCTCCTGGCGATGTCTTTGAACCCGCCAACACTGCCAGGGTGGTAACTATTTTATTTAGTGGGCCTCGCAATGAGGATGACCTTCTGGAGTCTAGTCCAAAAAAAAAAGACTGCTTGCGAATAAGCACTCGCTTTCAGCGTGCGTTATGCTTGTTGGATCAGGAGTGCAAATACGAAAATGTAGAGGAAAAGGGGCAATAATGACACCAGAGGGAAGATTGTTGAAAACTTAGAATACATACACGTGTAGCTGAGTACTTATGTACAGGCGGTTCATAATGTCATGCTCGAGAAGCGAGAATATCGATCCCATGGGACTCGAAGAGCCTCACGACGTTCCCCCGCCGGACCCCGTCGAGCTTCTGCTCGTCCTCGCCACAATAATCTACCAGGTTCTTTTTGAACCACTCGATCGTTTTTATCGACACAGCTGTTATATAGAAAAAAATTAGAATGGTCAACGTTGCCATGAAAGTCAACACCGCGCGTACCAGGATAATCGCTCCCGTACACCACCCTTCCCAACCCTCCTCCCTCTCCTCCCCCCGCAGTCATCGCCTCAACCCCCCTCAAACTCCCCTCCCCACAACTCAACCCACAATCCAACCAGCACCTCCCAAACTCTCTCAAAATCGCCTCCTCACTCATCTCCGAACCCATATATCGCGCCAACGCCGCAACGCGCGGCGCGAGCGCGGTGAGGGTTCCGCCAAGATGGGACAGGAGGAAGGTGAGCTGGGGATAGTGCAGCGTTTTAAGGGAGGTGACGAGGTGGGAGATGGCTTTTGTTGTTTCGTTGGGGACTTCTGTGACGGGGACTCCGAGGAATTCGTTTGGACAGGGAGTGGAGGAGGGGATTTGGGCGCCGTGCAGGAAGACGATCGCGCTTCGGCGGTTGAGGTCTTCCCAGATTGGATCGAAGATGTCGTCGCCGATGTACTCTTCAGGCGAACAATCGTAAAGAGGAAGTCAGCACAGGACTGCGACTAGATACCCAGATATGGAAGGATGTTGAAAAAGAAGCGCTCGAAGGAGAATGAATAGAATCGACATTGAATTCTCAGGGCAGGCAAGGGCAGCGAAGAGAAGGACAGGGGCGTCCGAAGAAGGATTTGAGTAGATACATAACTCAATACTCACTCGCGTCGCTTCCATTCCCATAGCACGACGCGACCGCGATTCCCACCGCTCCCAGCTCGTCCATCGAGTATTTTATCATTTCCAGCGCCACTAAATAAAACGCCACTTCAGAACGTACTTTCAAAGAGTCGTAAAGGGCCGAACAGCCAACCTTGCGTATCCCTCATATCCCCAACACACCCCCAAAACCGAAACCTCCCCCTCCACTCCTCACACTTACATATCTCGCCCATCTGTGCATTCGCCTCCCTTGTCTTCTTCCTGCCCTCTTCGCCCTCCAGATGCGGATACCCAGCCGGCGTAGAAAGTATAGCGAGCTCGATCCCGAGAGTGTCCATGGCGCGGAGAGACGACGAGGCGGACCATGGGAAGTTCTCGGGTGGGGTGCGGAAGCCGAGGGAGTGGGAGAGGGTTTGTTTGAAGAGGGTGTAGTTGGGGGGGAAGAAGTGGTGGTGGACGTCGATGAGGCCGGGGTCGGGGGGTGTGGGGTGGGTGTGGGTGGAAGACATGGGATGAGATGGATGATGAAAGGTGAAGAGACAGAGAAGAGAGAGGACTGAAGAGAGAAGAGCGTGTGGTGGAGGATCAGTTTCCGGCATGGTCGGCAGCGAAGGAGATCACCGGAGAAGATGATGTCGAAATAGCAAGGCTTTTTCTGGACGGACGCGGATCTTCGTGAATCGATCGAGTTCGCCGCAAGGTCAAGTAGTAGTATTACAGCACTCTCATACAACAACCGTACAAACCGCACACTCTTCTATACACTTACAATTCGTGGCACGCCTACTTCCTCCTGAACGCAGCACACTCCGCCGAGTCCCAAGAGACGAACGAGCCTGACATGGCTTTGGGAGCGTTCAGCGCGAGCGAAGCGATGACATAGCCTGGGTCTTCGGGTTTGTTCAGTTTACCTTCGGCGTGCTCGCGCACGAACATGTCGTAGTCTTGCTTGCTCATGTGGCCCGCTCCTTGGGTTCGTAGAGCACTTTGCATCTACGACGATATGAGAATCGTTGCGCAGTCAGAAAGGATAAGAGACAGACCTCAGTGTCGACCTTTCCTGGCCTCAACGCGACAGAGACGATGCCCGGTTCCTCTTGCGCAAACGTCCTGCAAAGACTATTCAACGCAGCTTTACTAGCTGACGGAGATATCAGCTTGATGACCGACAGACAACAAGCGCCATGTAACAGTAAGTGGCCAACCATTATAAGCCGCCCAAGCCGGAGTCGCGCCCACAGCAGAGCCTGAGCTCACAAACACGACCCGTCCCCCGCGCTCGCTTTTCCGCAGCGAGGGCAGGGTGGCCTGCAGAGTAGCGAACACGGAGAAGAGGTTGATGTCGAAGTGGGACTTCCAGGCGTCTACGGTGTTCTCGGGGGAGTCGATGCGGCGGAGAGGATCGAGGGTGCCGGCGTTGAAGATGATGCCGTCGAGAGGAGCATCGTATTTCTGTTCAGCCTGGAGGAGAGCTTGGGTTACAGCAGATTGGTCGGTGCTGGTGGCGGAGGAGGAGGAGGAGAGGAAGAGTTTGAGCGGGGATTATATGATTAGGTGGATGGCGACTGACACACTGCACTGGGCGATGGTGAGAGCTTGGGGGTAGGCCTTTGCGAGTTCGTCGAGCTCTGGAGTGCGCGAGCGGGAGACGGCGAGAACGTTCGCGTTGAAATCAGCGAGCAATATTCTGGCGATGGCAAGACCCAGCCCTCTATAGAAATATAGAAATGATACGATACCATACGACAAAATCCGTCAGCTAATCAAAACCAACGAGGGCGCTGATTGATTATGAACGACCGACCTTGACGCGCCGGTCAGTGCGATGAGAGGACGATGCGGCATCTTGAACGCGGATTGGCCAACGGCGTTGCGGCCGCTGAAGAAAGCGCGTCGGGCCTTCGCGGGACGCGTTCAGAGTCGGAACTACCCGCGAGTTCTCCCCAAAAATCAGGACAGCGCCCTTGCTAGGTGTATCGTCCACGTCGACCAGCTCTCCTCCTCCCCCCCACTCATCTCATACTTTCGCAAAATGGCCGCACGGGCTTTCTCTCGTCTCGCTCCTGCGCTCTCACATGCAAGGCCAGGTCCGTCCGCCGCTGCACGCCGTTTCGCTGCCCGGTCGTACGCCTCAGAGGCAGAGCAGCATACCGTCAGTAATAAATCCAACAAACAAACATACATACATTCTTACGAATCTAATGTCTGCAGATGACCGTCCGAGACGCTCTTAATACTGCTATGGAGGAGGAGATGATCAGGGACGACAAGGTTTTCATTCTCGGTGAAGAGGTTGCCCGCTACAACGGCGCGTACAAGGTATGTCCTCTGGCTTGTGCCATGCCAGGACAATACTCATCGGACTTTGGCTCGTAAGGTCACGAAAGGCCTGCTCGACAAGTTCGGTGAGAAGAGGGTGGTTGATACGCCCATTACCGAGATGGGTTTCGCGGGTATTGCAGTTGGCGCCGCACTCTCTGGTCTCCGTCCCATGTACGCACGCCACATCCCCCCATCTCACCAACCCGTCTTCACGTCGTTCTCATCATCTCTCTCTATTCGTAACCCCCTCGTGCAACCAGATGCGAGTTCATGACGTTCAACTTCGCCATGCAGGCCATTGACCAGATCGTGAACTCGGCCGGAAAGACATACTACATGTCCGGCGGGAACGTCCCCTGCCCTGTCGTCTTCCGTGGTCCGAACGGTGCCGCCGCTGGTGTCGGCGCTCAGCACTCGCAGGACTACGCGTCGTGGTATGGTCAGATTCCCGGTTTGAAAGTCGTCAGCCCGTGGAGTGCGGAGGATTGTAAAGGTCTGCTCAAGGTATGTGGCGTCCTCACTACTCTTCCTCGTCCGTACTGACGGCGCGTTACATCGGACAGACCGCCATTCGTGATCCTAATCCCGTCGTGTTCCTGGAGAACGAGATGCTCTACGGTGTTTCGTTCCCCATGTCTGCCGAGGCCATGTCCGACGAGTTCCTCCTCCCCATCGGCAAAGCCAAAGTCGAGCGTGAAGGTTCCGACGTCACCCTCGTCGCGCACAGCAAGATGGTCACGCACTGTCTCGAGGCTGCCGACATTCTCGCTAAGGAGGGCATCAAGGCCGAGGTCATCAACCTCCGTTCTATCCGCCCACTTGACATCGACACCATCAAGGCTTCCGTTAAGAAGACCAACCGGTGAGCCTCTTTTTGTGATTATTTAGGTAGGCGATTGCTCATGTAGTGTTGTCTAGTCTCGTCACCGTCGAGGGTGGATTCCCCGCTTTCGGTGTCGGTTCTGAGATTTGCGCTCAGATCGTTGAGAGCGAGGCTTTCGACTACCTGGATGCCCCAGTCGAGCGTGTCACCGGTGCCGATATCCCCACACCCGTACGTTCTTTCTTCCCTTTACTCTCGTACTGCAACGAATGAAATCCTGACGCGACATCGTAACCAAACCAGTACGCCGCCAACCTCGAGGCACTCGCCTTCCCCGACACCCCACTGATCGTCAAGGTCGCCAAGCGCGCTCTGTACCGGACGAACTAAGCCTGCCTCTACCCGTCTACCCGTCGCCGACCCCGTTACTTTCTTTCACTTATTCTATACTTTGGGCAACGTGGCTTTCGTATTGCTAGTGCTATAGAGAGAACGATTTTTCCCTTCTTCTTTGAATATATATACGGACGGCTTGTCGCCCGGTGAGCGATGGCACTACATATTTTGTTGTCAAATAATGGTCCAAGGAAGAGAGGAATGTGGCCCGAACGGAAGAAGGTGCCACAATTGCAAATTAATTTTCTTGACTCGACTCCGAAAGCAGAAGCACTTTTCAGGCCGGAGCTCGTTTGCCACAATTCCTGTAATCCTGGCAAGATGTCCGTCTTTCTGCCTCTCCTCGACAACGAAGCCGACGACGAGCTCGTCGCCGCGCTGTCCCGCATAGGCCCCGTCGCCATCCCTGGTCTGCCCAACACACCAGACGATGCCCACACGGAGTACACGAACCGGTACATCCTCCTCGACCACGATACGTCTGTTGACCTCGAGCAGCTCATCGCCTGGCTCGACCACGGCGCCCAAAAAGTGATCGTCCCACTCTCATGGGCGAGCGAACTCATAGGCCTCCTCCCCGCCTCTCGCATCCTGCTCCTCCTCGACGTCGCCTCCGCTAGCGCCGTCTCTGAAAAAGTACGGAACGGCGTCTCGGGCGTGCTCCTCAAATCGCCCTCGCTCGAACTCGACCTGATATCATCCATCTCCCGCTTCTTCACCGGTAAGGCCATCCATGTCCTCTCTATCTCTGCTGGCTTGCCTTCGCCGTCGACGATCAGGGGACTTAAAGGAGTGGGCGCGACGCTCGTCATTCCGTCAAGCCAACTCACGATTGGGCCGTCGGACGCCACACACTTGAATGTTGCCGATGCGTTCCTCGCACCCGTCACTTCAGACCGCCCAGACGGCCTCTTCCCCACCGTCGTCTCCTCGCACCTCCAAAGTGGCCGTTCTCTCGGCCTCGTCTATTCCTCAACCGAATCTGTCAAGGAGAGCATCATCACCGGTCGGGGAGTCTACCAGTCGCGCAAACACGGTCTATGGCGGAAGGGCGAGACGTCTGGGGCTACGCAGGACGTCGTGCGGATTCGGCTTGATTGCGATGAGGATTGTCTAGAGTTCAGCGTCGTGCAGCATGGAGCTGGATTCTGTCATTTGGAAAGGACGTCCTGTTTTGGGGAGATAGGCGGGCTGGCGGCGCTCGAGGAGACGTTGCGGTCGAGGAGGGCGGAGGCGCCCGAGGGATCGTATACGAGGAGGTTGTTCGAGGACGAGGGGTTGTTGAGGTCGAAGATCATGGAGGAGGCGGACGAGCTTTGTAGAGCGGAGACGAAGAAGGACGTCGCGTTCGAGGCGGCGGATCTCATTTATTTCGCGCTGACGAAGTGTGTCGCGGCGGGGGTAGGCATCGCGGATATCGAGAGCTCGTTGGAGGCGAAGGCGAGGAAAGTCACGCGTAGACCGGGGAACGCGAAGCCTCAGTTCTCTGCTGCTGCTGCGTCTACGTCTACTTCTACTTCTAACGCAGATAAACCACTCCCCGCACCTCCTGCAGCTACTGCTACCCCGCCTCAGGATCCCGACGCCCCGATACGCATGCGTTCCTACGACTTGTCCACCGTCACCCCCTCCGAACGCGTTCAACTCCTCCTCCGCCCCGTTCTCGCCTTCGACGAAATGATCGCCAAAGTGAAGCCCATCGTCGACAGCGTCCGTACCGGTGGCGACGCCGCCCTCCTCTCGCTGACCGCCAAATTCGACAAAGCGCAACTCGAATCGACCGTCCTCTTCCCCCCTTACCCGCCCGAAAGCATGGTGCTCGAGGATTCTGTGAGGCAGGCGATCGACGTCGCGTACGCTAATGTTTACAAGTTCCATGCGGCCCAGGCGGAGGACGCGGCGCTGGTTGTGGAGACGATGCCGGGTGTTGTGTGTTCGAGATTCGCGAGGCCGATCGCGAGGGTGGGGTTGTACGTCCCTGGGGGGACAGCGATCTTACCCTCCACGGCGCTCATGCTGGGTATCCCAGCCCAAGTGGCTGGATGTAAGGAGATCGTGCTCGCGACGCCGCCGAGGCCCGACGGGAGTATCTCTCCAGAGGTGATGTATGTCGCGCATTTGGTCGGGGCGTCGGCGGTGTTGAAGGCGGGCGGCGGACAGGCGGTGGCGGCGATGGCGTATGGGACGGAGACGGTGCCGAAGGTGGATAAGATTTTTGGGCCGGGGAATCAGTGGGTGACTGCGGCGAAGATGTTGGTGCAGAATGATACGGCGGCGTTGGTGTCGATCGATATGCCCGCTGGACCGTCTGAAGTCCTCGTCAGTCTCTCTCTCGCACCGGTCTTGGGTCCATCTATGTTGACCCTTTTTATTGATTTGCATACGTGTAGGTCATCGCGGATCACACCTGCAACCCCGCATTCGTCGCCGCCGACCTCCTCTCACAAGCCGAACACGGCATCGACTCCCAAGTCGTCCTCGTCTCCGTCTCTCTCCCTCCTTCAACCCTAGATGCAATCGAGCACGAAGTAGACGCACAGGCGCGCGCGCTGCCTAGGCTCGACATCATGCGGCAGTCCGTCGCGAAGTCGATCATCGTAAGGACGGAGAGCGTGGAGGAGGCGATGAAGTTCAGCAATGAGTATGCGCCGGAGCATTTGATTTTACATTTGGAGGGGGCGGGGGAGAGGGTGCGCATGGTGGAGAATGCGGGGAGTGTGTTTGTGGGGCCGTATTCGCCTGAGAGGTGCGTTTTTGCTTTTTCTTTTTCTTTTTTTTCTTTTCGTTTCGTTTCTATCTGTTTTTTTTGTGCTCATTCGTGCAAACACTTGTAGTTGTGGAGACTACGCCTCGGGAACGAATCATACCCTGCCCACGAACGGATACGCACGTCAATTCAGCGGCGTCAACACGCTCTCGTTCCAGAAACATATCACGTCGCAGGAGTTGACCGCGCAGGGGTTGAAGAACCTCGGACCGGTCGTCGCTACGCTGGCGGATTGTGAGGGACTGGGAGCGCATGCGAATGCGGTGAGGATTAGGCTCGCGGCGGGGATTTAGGGGTTGGAGGTAAGGGTGAAGTTAAGGAGAGGAGAGGAGAGGGATCAGAACACGAACCAAAAGACGAAAGCGACGGGACGGGTGCGAAGACAGAAGTGCGGAAAGGAATCCAAATTCGAAAGCGAAAGTCGAAGGCCGTTGTACGTGTTGAAGCTTGAAGTTGAACAAAAATGTTGTTGTGCGTATATGATGCCAGCCAGCCCAGTGTATGTAACCCCTACTCCTTATTATCTTGTTTGAATTATTTGCGTTCTTTTTTTGCTGCTGCTTGTTCTGTTTCGATTCAGCCGCCGCTCGTCGCTTTAAACGGTCATGCAAACGCAGTGGCACGTACAGTACAGAGACAGTCAAAAATAGACATATCTGCAATCTGTTATCGGGAGGTACTACCGCAGATCTGCGGCCTCAGGCTTGCCATCTTCATTCACCTTCATTTGTCTTTCCAAGTCCATTGTTTCGCTAATGGAAATTAACCCGAGGGCCATCACATCGCGAATCCGAGCTATATCAGTATAACAAAAGCAGCCCCTGTTGAAACAAAGCGTCTCGTCGTGATGGACACGTCACATCTCCTGGGGGACCTTTCAACCTGGTGGCACTGCCAAAGAAGGATGAAGAGAAGGCTGGTCGTGAATTCCATATTCGTAAAAAGGAACTCGAGAAGACTCGAGATCTAAGGGTGCGTACGTCCTGCAACCGCTTCGAACACTTTGCTGAAATCTATCAGCTGTTGATGCGTCGGTGGTTATCAGCGGTCAGATCGCCTCGCTATAACGGCATTTAAATTCACACCGAGCGGAGCTCTCAGGCGCACGAGAAGCACCTGAGAATTCTGGACCTACAAGTGACTCGGATGCTGTGACGGACTTTCTGCTGGACGACTCGGACTGGGCGCGATATTCGAGGAAGAGTAGGACGCTTTGTGATGAAGCAGATAGAAGAAAGGTGTGAAGGCCGGGCCGCGGAGCTTGAAGGTGGCCGAACAGCCGTCGCCCGTCAAAATGGGAACAAAGCGAAAGTGGCTCAAAGCAGACAACGACGCGTCAATCGAAGCACGGAACAGGGCCACGTGCATGGCGTTTGGACCTTCGACGCGTCTCGCGACGGAAGTATAAAGTTCGCGCGTCCTCTCTTCGTGCTCTCCCATTACTTTTCTCCCGTCCGCTCTTCTCTCCAGCCTATTCCACTCTCACACACCTTTCTCCTCCCTTATTCAACATCATATTCATGGCATCCCCTCTCAGTCTCCGCGGTCGAGGACGAGGACGAGGGGTTGGAGGGCCCGTGCGGGGTGGCGCGCCCCTGCGAGGTGGACCTCCCACAAATGGGACCTCACAGATCGCGTCGCACGTCGAAGCTATTGGAGTCAAGAGGCCTGGCTTTGGTGTACAGGGCAAGGTGATCGAGGTCAACACGAATCATTTTGCGTGTTCGATTCCGGAAGCTACGATTCACCATTACGACGGTTTGTCCCTTTCACTATTTGGTGTCATCCCTTTCATCCCTTTCTGACTCGAGTCGTTTTCATCTCGCTTCGCTGCGAATAGTCGGTCAGTGTTCTCTCCATTCTCTTTCTTTCTGGGGTTGAGATTGAACGTTGTCGCAGTCATCTCCCCTTCCGAGAAGGTTCTACCCGCCGCTCTCAATTTCGAGATCATCAAAACTTTGCAGACCGTCATCGCCCCGAACGTATTCACTCCCCACGGTGTCTACGATGGCCGCAAGAACATGTTCTCGACTAGCAGATTCTCGTTTGGGGCCACTGGGGAGGTTAGTTCAATCGGTTCCCCTTCCTTTCTTCCGTATCCTCAATATTGTGGCTCCAGTTCGCAGTGTGTCTCGCCACTCGGACTGCTCAGCCACCCCCGTCCACGGGAGGCAAGGGCCCAACTGTTTACAAGGTAGGTTATGCCTCGTAGCTCGGTTGTTTGTTCGTCACTCATGTCTTTTGTAGATCAGGCTCACCCATGTCGCCGAGATCAACCCAGAGTGAGTGTCTTGAGACGGTCACAAGAGTCGTTTGCCTATTGCTTATCATATTCCTAGGACGTTGTCGCGCTTCCTTCGTGGTCAGCAAACGCACGACAACGATGTTCTCACTGCTATCACGGTCTGTCCTAACATTCTACATCATCACTTCCTTTGTTCTGACATTCTACATATTTGCTTCCTTTGTCCTTATGTCTCTCCCGTGAACGCTCTAGGCCTTGAACGTCGCGGTGCGCATGGAGGTACGCTCTATACTCTACATCTTCATAAGCATGATCCATCCTCAATATTGGTGACGCGCCAGCCGAACCTCACGTATCCGTTCAATATCCGGTCCTTCTACACTCCGGACGAGACGCGAGACATTGGTGGTGGTATCATTGTACGTCTCTCTGCGATACTCTCGTCGATGTTAGCGTCGAATCTAATCGCATTTCACAGCTTTGGAGAGGGTACTTCCAGTCGGTTCGCCCGTCGATCGGCAGGATGCTCATCAACGTCGATATAAGGTAAAAAAAAACCTTTATATTTGTGTGACCAACGGTACTGAATATTATGGTCAGTACGGGCGCTTTCTATGCAGCCGGGTCATTTCTAGCCCTTTGCGTCGAGTCCTACAAACAGGACGGACGACCGAACGACCTTTCCCCGAGACACAACCAACAATTTACTGATCGCAATCGGTTGCAGCTCCAGCGGTTCGTCACAGGCATAAAGATCACCACCAAGTACGGCAAACCCGGAGGCCCGTCTCGAATGGTCCGCAAACTCTCGCGCGATGGTGCAAATGATATGAAGTTCATGAGCAGTGATGGAGAAATGACGGTTGCTGCGTACTTTAAGAAACTCCTCAATCGGCCTCTTCAGTACCCCGATGTCGTATGCGCTGAGGTACGCTCTTCCTAAGCTCCTTTTCCCGTCTCTATTAGTTTCGCCAGGACTTATTTCTTGCTTCAGTTGAGCTCTGGCGCGCTCATCCCGCTGGAGTTGTGTGATGTCCCTCCCGGTCAGATCATCAAGAAACAAATTCCTGCCTCCAAGACAAAGAGTGTCTTGGAGTTCGCAACCCAACGTCCTCAGCAACGCTTGCAGAGCATCAGCAACGGGCTTGGGGTGAGCCTTTGTCTATATTCCGCTCGTGTTAGCCAGTAGTGCTTACAATGTGCTTTCCAGGTCCTTGCCTACGGCCAATCCGAATACGTTCGCCAGTTCGGTATGACGGTGACCCCGCAGATCGAGTCCATCAAGGCTCGCGTTCTTCAGCCTCCAAGGCTCAAGTATGGTGAAAAGAGCAAGCAACCCTTGATCGTGAGTCTCTACCGTGTTCTGGACTCGAATCGTTACTGATATCATTCTTTCCCTAGACACCAAATAACGGTGGTTGGAACATGTGGGTGTTCGCGTTCCATTGTGGCGTTTTCTTCGTAGGCTGATAAAAAAAAAATTAAACAGGATAGACAAGAAGGTGTACAAGCCTGGGGTTGTAGTCGATCGTTGGGTGGTAGTCATCTACGAGAGGGAGCAAAGATTCAATATGCAGGCCGTAGAGGACATGATTGCTGGCTTCACCTCCGCGTGCAATGCTTTGGGGGTGTTCATGGCCAAGCGGCCCGTTGATATCAGGTATTGTCCTGCTCTTCAGGTTACGGAACAGGTTCAGGTATTTGTGTTCCTTTTTCTCGTCATCATTCCAGTATGCTGAGGCCGTTTTGTTAGGCTCTCAAAGCCTCGGGGGCGGCCTGTTTCCAGAAGACTAAGCAGCATCCTCAGGTAGAGTTTCCCTTCAGCCTATGAGGTCGTATTCAGTCCTGACCATCTCTCAGCTCATAATTGTCGTATTGCCCGAGGTAGGCAACGACATATACACTGCCGTCAAACAGTGCGTCCCTTTCTTATATAAAACAGTTCGTCTTTAACCCGCTCGTGGTGCAGCTTTGGAGATATCTCGGCTGGCGTAGCCACGCAGTGTATGAAGAGTGCGAAGTGCTTCCGGGCAAATGTACGTGCCTCATCCTCTCAAGATCCTCAACATGTACTCACGATCATACGATCAATAGCATCAGTACTACAGCAACGTGATCCTCAAGTAAGTTCGAATCGAAGGGCAAAACTCACATAGGCGAATTGACTGTCTTTGGCTTTTCAGGTTGAATGCCAAGCTCGGGGGCATCAACACCATTCCTGACCCTCGGTCGGTTGTCGACCTTTCCGACCCTAACGTACGTCCACCTGTTTGTCCGTGTTTGATTCTATCTTATATACCTCGTTTCATCATCGATTCCACAGATGCCCACCATCGTGATGGGTGCGTATATATCTTATTTTGTTCACTACAAAGTACAACGCTGAGACTGTATGGCGCAGGTGTCGATGCTATGCACCCCGCTCCTGGCTCGGACGGTCGACCGTCGTTCACCGCAGTGGTCGGAAACATCGACAGTGACACAGCCAAGTACGTGGCGACCATCGACGTTCAGGCTTCGCGTGAGGAGATCGTCCTGTCCATGCAGAGGATGGTAAAGGTATGTTCCAGTCCCACATTGTTAGGGTTCGAAATTTCGAATCTGACTACATCCATGACGTGTCATTCTTTCTACCATCAGGAAATTTTGGAAAAGTACATGGCGTACCGCAAGGTCGTTGAGAAGAAAGCCAACCCTGCTCCGAAGCGAATTATTCTCTACCGCGGTAAGAAAATGATGAAGCATTGCGTACCTTATTTGTACTTACCTATATTTTCTAGACGGAGTCTCAGAGGGACAGTTCAAACATGTCCTCGACCGCGGTAAGTCGACGACGACGTGTCTTCCTTGACCCATTACTGACTCCCCCCCAATTTTTCCACAGAGCTCCCCCTCATCAAAGGTGTGTAGTTTTGTTTTAGGACTGCGGGCCTTCCTCGGGCCACACTTACATCGTAATATATTTTAGCTGCTTGCGCGGAGCTCAAGATCAACCCCAAGATCACGATTGTCGTCGTCGGCAAGCGCCACCATGTCAGGTTCTTCCCGAAGAACCCGGCTGATGGCGACAAGAGTGGGAACTGCCCTGCTGGGCTTGTAGTGGACCAGGCGGTCACCAACCCTGTCGAGTTCGATTTCTACCTTCAGGTAAGCATATTAGCTTTTCTCCTCTCCTTTCCAGGTACGTTGCTGACGATTACCTGTATTTGCTTCATTCAGTCGCACGGCGGTCTGTTGGGTACGAGCAGGCCATCGCACTACAACGTCCTTCATGATGAGAACAATTTCACGTCTGTAACCCTCTCTGTCAGATTACCTAGAAAGTTTCTCATGCGAGCTTTTTAATTCAACAGTGCCGACGGTATTCAGTCCCTGAGTTTTGCCCTCTGCCATGTCTATGCGAGGGCGACCCGTTCCGTGTCTATTCCGGCACCCGTCTACTGTGAGCATTCCCAGAATCTGATTTCTTCTTATTTTTGACATTGCTCATTCACCACGGTATTCCTCCAACGCTAGACGCCGACATCGTTTGCTCTCGCGCGAAGCACCACTACGATCCTCAGCAGGGTTTGGACTTCTCCGGTGGGTCCGACTCGCTGGGGGACATCGACCAGCAGAACTCGATGGTCCAGCAATACCGTGCGGCATTCAAGCCGTTGCATGCAAACACGGGCAAGGTCATGTACTTCTGTTGATTCAGGTGTTGTGCCAGTGTGGCTGCTGCTGTGAACTCGTGCCTTTCTTTCTCGTCTCCATTTCTGCATCTGTACAATGTTTCCGTCGTCTTCCATCTATGCTAACCAACCTCGCCATTCCATCTCCTCGTCATCTACCACAATCACTCAATATAAATACTTCCCGTGTTACTGTATCCCTGCCCAATCTGAATGCCGTCGTATGTACCATATATTGTCCGTTTGTAGCCGTCTAGAATTTCCATGATCCATTACCTACTTCGCTCGCCGAAGTACTTACGCATGCCCCCAATTGTTATACCAATGTTCTGCACAATGCCGTGACTCGAATGCTCCCAATTTCGACATATCACCTATGTGTTGTATCGTGTTCCTGTCAGTGTCACTGAAGTTGGTTCGGATGAGGGTGCCACAGGGGTTATCTCAGCGGGCCGCTTCCGTGTGGCGCATCTCAACCGGTTTTTGCAACCCGGAGCAAGGTCGGAAGATTCCTCGAGGACGTGCTCTGCACACCTGACAATCTAAAAGTACCTCCTGTCTAATCTTCGACACGAATGGCATATAAAAGGGTGTACCATATAACGTTCGATTCCGATCCTCTTGCTCGCTCACGCCCTCTCGTACAACTTTCATTGGCGCGACTTGAAGTCTTCCTGTAGAAAGACGTCATATCCTACAGTCTCTTCGATAACGCGGTTGCGCCCAGGTTATCTTCTACCATAAGCCAGACCGAATCTAGTCTCTGTCAAGGATGACTAGCTCAGTCCGTACTCTGAACGACGGCTGGTCGTTCACACAGGTGGGAGGTGGGGAGGGTACTAAGAACGGCGAATGGTTGGCTGTCTCTGAGTTCCCGACGACGGTTCATGTGGAGTTGTTGAAGCTGAAGAGGATCCCTGACCCGGTGAGTTAGCGCACTTATTGTCTTGGCGTAGATTGTTGACAAAACCGTGATGTAGTTCGTCGGGCTACATGAGTGGGACCTGCAATGTGAGTGGATTTATCGTTGTTGGCCTGTTGGCCGTCCTAGTGAGGTAAGATGGCTGATCGACCCGCGTTAAATGGGTTATGCCGATGACAGGGATCGGAGAGGTCGAATGGGCCTTCAAGTGCTCCTTCTCCGTCTCTGAGCAAGAGCTCGCTCTGCCGAACGTCGATCTCGTCTTTGATGGCCTCGACACTTTTGCTACCGTCGTCTTGGTAGGCCTATAGCACTTTTACGCTTCCCCTACTGTCAACTATCGCATCCTCGTTTTCTCTTTCCACGGAGAAGGAGTCTCACGCGCTTTTATTATGGACAGAATGGGAAGAAGATCCTCGAGTGAGTGATATCCTTTTCAGAGCGTCATGTTCATACTAAGATTGGGTGTGGGGTGATGACTTCCATAGCACAGAGAATCAATTCGTCCAGTACCGGGCTGCTGTGAAGGAACATCTCAAAGTCGGGGCGAACGAACTCCTGCTGACGTTTGACAGCGCCTTCTTGAAGGTAACGTCCCTACTTCTATCAGTTTACACTCTTGGCAGTTCTGAGCAGGACTCGTCGACTGTAGGGACGTGCGTTGGAGGAGGAACATGGAAAGCTCGAGTTATGGAATGGTGACTCGAGCCGTTTGCACGTGAGTCTCAGGACGCGTCCGAGAAAATGTTTGCTAAATCCAAGGAATGGATACTAGGTTCGGAAGGCTCAGTATAAGTAAGAACATCGATGCCCCCTGACTATCATCACACATTGCTAAAGAAACCCACTGTGTTTCTAGCTATGGTTGGGACTGGGGTATGCGCGCAGTCACCTTATTCGTTGCTCTCGCTGACTATAATATTCACCAGGTCCCATCCTGATGACCGCTGGTCCATGGCGCCCTGTCCACCTGCACTCTTATGCAACACGAATCAAGGACATCCGTATATCTTCAAATGTCAACTCCGACTTGGCTGTCGATCTCGATGTCAGCATTTCGCTCGATACCCCATTCTCTGGGGCGGCGGACATCGTACTACTAGACGAGTCTGGAAAGGTTGTAGTGAAAAAGGACGATGTGGATCTAGGTAACGGAGACATCAAAGAGCACTTCCATCTGGAGAAGGAGGAAGTGGAGCTTTGGTATCCCGTGGGGTATGGCAAGCAACCGCTTTACTCAGTCAGAGTGCAGATCAAGGACGCGGTATGTCCTCTATCCACAAATCGAGGTTCTTCATAGACGGTGCTCACGTTCGGCTGCGGATCCTAGCACGGGCAAGTGACGGCAGCCCAGACACAGAAGATCGGCTTCCGTCGTGCGTTGGTGGTGCAAGAGCCACTTGCCGACCAGGAAGGCCTTACATTCCTCTTCGAGATCAATAATATCAGAATATTCTGTGGAGGTACGCGTTCGTTGCTAGTCACCCACAGTGCCAGAGATATTCAGACTACTTCGCTGCAGGTTCGAATTGGATACCGGCAGATAGTTTCCTGACGACGTGCGCGAGGACTTTGTCTACCGCATCCTGTTTTAGATGCTAACGCTCCCGCACTGCAGCATGACGCCTGAGCGATACCGCGCTTGGCTCCAACTGCTCGTGGACGGGAATCAAAATATGATCCGTGTGTGGGGTGGTGGGATCTACGAGGCCGACGCTTTCTATGAGATCTGTGACGGTGAGTGTTCCACGTTATTATTAGCCAGACATTTCGTTGACTTCGTTACCTAGAGCTTGGGATCCTTGTCTGGCAGGACTTCGCCTTTGGCTGTGGCCAAGTGTGTTTTCGCAGTTACTTGACGCTACACAGCCATACTGACAGATCGCGGCTTAGTATCCGGCGTACAATTCTTTCCTTGAGAACATCACTGTCGAGGCGGAACAGAACGTCAAGAGACTGAGACATCACCCGTCAGTCGTTATCTTCGGTACGTAGCGCCTCTGCCTTCGTCAATGCCCTCGGGGCCACTCACTCACCGTCCGGTGCTTCAATCGTTCCTTAGCGGGTAACAATGAAGGCAAGCAGTCTTTCACTTCCGCTTCATTTTCGCGCCTTATCTCTCATACACACCGTGGCTTGACGTCGCGCTCCACTGAAACTTCATGTAGACTATCAGCTCGCCGAATCCTCTCACCTCGAGCTGGATTACTCCGACGAGAAATCTGATTTCCGCAAGACGAACTTCCCAGCGCGGCATATCTATGAACGGGTCCTGCCGTCCATCGTGGAGAAACATTCCGACATCCATTACCATCGCAGCTCGCCGTACAGTGGGAGTGGCAAGCCGACGACGGACCAGAGATACGGGGATCTGCACCAGTGGAACGTCTGGCATGGGTCGCAGGAACCATGGCATAACTGGGATATCCTCGCGGGACGATTCGTTTCCGAATTCGGGATGTGCGTTTGTTCTATTCTGTTCTCGGAGACGTCCCGAACCCCTACGAACATATGTATTGATGCATCTTCCGGCACCGCCATTGTCTGCCGCAGGGAAGCGTATCCTGACATCCGGACGGTCGATTATTGGGTTGGCGACGACAAGTCCCAACGGTTCCCGCAGTCGCGGTACGTGCCCGATTCACTGGGTATCCCCCCTTATTTCCCGTCCCTGATCTTCGCAATGACAGAGTGACCGTGAACCACAACAAGGCATCTGGCTTTGAACGCCGTTTGGAATTATACCTCGTGGAGAATTTCAAGCATGCTTTTGACATGGAGAGGTCCGTTCACGGTCTTATTCTTATTATCGTTGTCGTGCGACGTGATTGATCGGTCTGATAATTCGATTCGTTAAGTTATGTCTACTACACGCAGATAATGCAGGCCGAGACGCTGGCAGCAGCATACAGATTATGGAGACGAAACTGGAAGGGAAGAGGAAGGGAATACACAGCTGGTGCGCTCGTCTGGCAGGTAAGCACTCATGCATATGCCCTATACAGTCCGTAATCCGTTCATCACCGGCTGAACTCCGCGCATTCGTACATAGATCAACGACTGTTGGCCAGTCACCTCCTGGGCCATCGTAGACTACTTCCTCCGCCCCAAACCAGCCTACTTCTCCATCGCGCGCGAGCTCCTCCCCTACACCGTCGGCATGACGCGCAAAGACCACAAAACCTACGCCGACACTCCGAATCACACCGCAGCGTTCTTCACCATCCGCTCCGTCCTCGAAATCTGGGCGACCAACAGCACACTCGCCGCCAAACAAGTCACCCTCCAAGTCACGTCGTTCGACCTGGATGAGACAGCGTGGCGCGATGGGTGGGAGATGGAGATCACGCTCGAGCCCAACGCGTGTACGGAGGTCTGGAAGGGTGATGTGCCCGGCCAGGGTGTGAGGACGAAGGAGAGCGAGGTTCCAAGGCCGATTATCGTGAGCGCGAGGTTGATGGATCCACAGAGCGGTGTCGTCCTGAGCAGATACTCGAACTGGTAAGCACGTTGTCTAAGTGTGTCCGAATCTGCCACCGCCATTGCCATCGCGCCCGTTCCCAGACGTAGCCGCGATCGAAAACGCTGCGCGGATCACTGTGTTTTCTCCTCCTCACCTGCCTTCCTTTTTCGTTCTTCCCTTTGTTGACCGTCTGATTGTCTGATTATCTCTTATCGTCCCGCACAAAAAAAAACAGGCCAGAACCCTTCAAATACCTCACCTTCCCGCCCGTCTCAGACCTAGGCCTCACCATCACTCCCCAGCAGGACGGCGAGTCTCTCTGTCTATCGACTGAGAGGCCCATCAAGGGAATCGTGCTCGACGTCGAGGGCGAGGCGGTCAAATGGAGCGACCAGGCTATCGACCTCGTTCCGGGAGATGACCAGATTATCAGGGCGGTGGGGTTGGGTGGGAGGAAGGTCAAGGCGCGGTTCCTCGGAGATGGGAGTGCTTGAAGCTTGAACTGCGAGATGCGAGAACCGAGAAGCTAGAAGCCAGAAGAAAAAAAAGGTGGGTGGCGGTGAGCGTGTGGGCGTATGTGGGCGTTAAAGGGTTAGAGGTTAGGTTATCTGGGCTGGCATCGATCGTGTATCTTGTAAGGCTGTAAGCTTAAGGGTCGAGGGGGTCGAGGGAGAGAGATAGAGATAGAAGGAACGGCTGGCTATGCTATGAAGTAACGCGCGAATTGTGATGAGACGAGAAGCCGTTTGTGAATGTGAAAGAGGATCAGATATAGCCAAGACGGCATAATTTCTGGTTTGGTTTGGTTTGGTGTAGTGATATGATGATGACGATGATGATGATTGATGGTGGTTGGTGGTTGGTTGGTGGTGCTGTTGAGTACACATATACCCATAAATAAGTGTGAGGCGGCCGCGTTGTGACTAGAGGTGACAGTAGTGACAGACGCCGTGTTATAATTCGTCGATAGGGAGGACTTGAACGAGGACATTGCATCACCGCGGCTTGTCCATTGTCAACACGTTGTGCTTGCAGGCGTTCCACGTTCATATTGCGGTCGCACACACCACGGCGAGGCAGCGTTCGAGGCTCGATGCGGAAATGCAGGCAGAGACGGAGACGGAAGGAGATATTACGAGCCGCCGGGGAGGGAGTACTGTATGAGTAAAGGTTACAAGATATACACGGGACGAAAGAGAATTGGGCGACGAAAACAACAAACGAAGAAGGTGATAGTCTAGGGAGGCAACAAAAGCCGCGACAATGCGAGTCCGCGCGACGATAAGTGAGCAGAAGGAGAAGAAAGGATAAAGGAAATACTAAAACGAAGATCCCAAAAAAAGAGGGGGTAGTTTGTATAGGGAGACATATATCGGAGGAGGCGGGAGGCGAGAGACGGATGACTTTGCAAAAAGGAAGAAACGACAGTCCAGAGCGGGAAACTTTCGTCACTGAATCGAACATCGGCTCACTGGAGGCTCGTCCTGGCTGTGTGGCGCGTTCCGCTCGATTTCGCCCAAACATGTTTCGAAGACTTTGGCTGTAACGAATGAAACGATAACGCGAAGGTGGCCGTAAGCGACATGAGAGATTGTAGATGAATGGGGATTACACTGACCGACGTTGATGTTATTCTTCGCGCTGGTCTCCACCCATGCTGCGTGGATCTCATTGGCGAGTGCCTGTCCTTCCTTGGGGTCCACCTGTCTGCTGATTCTATGAGGTTGGAATCATGAAGACGGTTTGGGAAGGCGCGGTCGATAGCCCGCTCCGACGTCGACTGCATGAGATGCTTACCGTTGTTGGAGGTCCGTCTTTGAACCGACGATAACGCACGGAATCTCCTTGATTCCACAAAAGTTGATGATCTTGTCGTATATGATCTGGATCATGTCGAACGAATTCCGCGAGGTGACGGAGTACACGAGGACGAAGCCGTGGATACCGATAGCATGCTTAGAATTGAGAATCGAGTATTCGTCCTGTAAATTGGGGATTATGGTGAGTTGACATCGGGCGTGTGAGTCCGAAGGAGGGCACACTCGCCTGGCCAGCGGTGTCGATGATGTCGCAGTCGTACTCGACGCCCTTGAAGTTTATGCTCTTCGAGAAGGTGCTCTCGATGGTGGGATAATACGACTCGACGAATTCGTTTTCGATAAATTGGACGACGAGCGAGGATTTGCCTGGGTAAACGCGAGCGTGTTGTGAGAACGGTTGTAATGCTCAGGAAGGATGACGTAGTGGACGAAGCGTACGAACCGACCGAGCGCGAGCCGAGGACGGCAATCTTTCTTTTTTTGAGGATGTCGCCGGGCATTTGTGAAGTCGCGGGGCGTGGAAGGAGAGAGGAAGGAAGGGAAGGGAGGGCGAGGGGCGGCGGATGCAGCAGTGGCGGTTATAAGCTGAGCGTGAGCAGTGTTATGGTGATCGGTTCGACCGACTTCAATTCGAATTACTGGGCCCGCGCCCGGGCCAGCTTACCCCCCCGCCTACTCAAATTCTGCCTTCCCGCAGCAACGTTCACTTCTTTCATTACACCCGCCGGTTTCCCCGTATCCTCCAGCTTTTCTCCATACCCATAAAATTGTTTACAGCATTCCTGCGCCATCCACCCCACCCGCCACCACACCCCGGTCCGGGCTCGCCGGCCTCCATCCACCCCTCCATCCCATCTGGCCAGACGCCCACAAATACGTCCTCGACACGATCACTTTATTCACCGGAATTTCAGCCCACGAGACAGCCCTGCTTCATTTAATAACCCGCCACATCACTCCCACCGACGACGCTCCAACCTTCCTCAACCGGTCGCTCACTAGTGTCATCTGAGTGCCTCTTTACTGTCTGATTCCATCGATAATTTCACGCCCGAGCGCGTACAGTGCTAGCACTACCTAATAATCGGATTTAGAATCACCTGGCCCCTTCGCCCCATCTCTCCATCGGTCCACGCTTTCTCTTCCTGGAACTCGGCATTCGTTTTTCCTTTGCCGTCCTCGCTGCGCCCTCGTCGCTCGATGAGCCCACTCTCAGCATGTGACGGACGACGACTAATATTTGACTCACCATACCACTATTCTATCGCCATCTTCCCTCCACTCGTTTCTGTTCGATGCGTGATTGAAAACCATCAGTACGTACCGGAGTGCCAGTGCCTTGCCTTCTTACCAACGGCCGTTGTCGTCGACCAATCTTTCATTTTCGCCGTTCCCCACGAGACCTGCACAAGCCAACGACCACACGGAACTTCGTCCAATTGTCCAATGAATGGCCAGTAGCACGAGATCCGGTCGGCTACGCTGTGTCCCTCGATTCACGGTACTCCTGTCGACACTCGAGCTTGTTGCATCGTAGATCTCAAAGCGTACGCCCTGAGGCCTGAGGAAACAGCAAGGGGAATTATTGAATATTGAATATTCGAGTATCACAAGTGAAATGCAACAACGTTAAGAGCAGTTTGACTCCACCTACATATGTAACTTAACTCTGGATCCGCCCGAGCAATGAGCAATGCACCTGAAAAATGGACAACAAGGACAGCTAGAAATGTTGCCGCCGGCGGTGGGCCCGCCGTGCCAACATGTCCAAGAACGAATCCGAATCCCAAGTCCCGAGCTGTCTCAGGTCGCGAAGGGCACGCCAACGTTGCATTGCCGCGCGGAGACCAAGTATGACTGGATGAGACTGGATGACGATACATCACCTTTCGGTCCCCCCTGGTGCCGACGTCGGAAGAAGTATGAATGACGATAGCATATTCCGACGAAGCACCGGCCATACCTAAAGGTGAGCCCTTGCCTGCCACCCTCGAGCGAATAGAGCTGTGCGCAAGGACAAAGAAAGCAGAGTTGGCCATGGGTGGCGCCGGAGCGTAAGTATTTCGGGGTTGTGACATCAAGAGAGTCGACGGCTGTCGACGGCCAGAAGCTGAGAAGAAGTCGGCCAAGCGTAAGGTGCGGAGCGAGAGTTGGTGACTGGAAGAAGGAAAACCGTGACGGACGTCGAGGTGATGTGATGGAGAATTTTCCCGAACTCCTGCGCGCTTGGATTTTCTCGTCACGATCTCGCCACGGATATCATCATATGAGGGACCTTGAGGCGGTTGTATCATGTATGACGCCGGTGAGGTCGACGGGGAAGCTAGAACGTTCGTTGGCGACGGATACGATTCACATAAACGAGTAGGATTTTGAATCAAGCACGAGAATGTATAGGATGTCTATTCCCACCGTCAGAAGTGGGTAGCGTCGAGAGGATGTCGAGAGAAGATTGTCTAGGAATGTCCGGATCTCCGTGTCTGCTGTTGGGCAGGCTAATGTCGTCGTTGTGAGAGAAGTGCGGGTTAGAAAGGGAATGTCTGTGGATATATTTATCAGAGTTATAGGCTTTGGCAAGACCAGTTCATAGGCTACCCAAAGAAGACTGCAGGCACAGTTGTGCCTTCATGCTTAGACATGATGAATGACGCTGGTGGTGTCAAGAGGTAAGACCTGAGGACCTTGAAGTTAAGGTGAAGCCTGAAGGCGACGAGGGCCAACTCGGGCCACTACGATTGCCTGTGCCACCTTGTGCCACTTGCCCACGGTAGTGGGGCAGCAACGGTCACGTGGTATGTTCAGAACCGAACATTGAAAACGCGTTCTTTTGTTCTCGTTTCTTCCAGCCCACCACCTGCACTCACCTGCACGCTCACTCACATTCGCACCTTCATAATGTCTGCCACGCCTTCTTCCACCGAGTCGCCCATGCAGCCTCTGCATCGTCCTAACGGCGGCGCACGCGTTGCTGTCCCGCAAGCACCGTTGGGCAACGCAACCAATGGTCCTAAGAACATGGGGCCTGGAGCAGGTGCGAGGGCCTTGCTTGCGAAGAGGATGGCTAAGGGACAGTGAGTATCCTCTGTTGAGAAGTATCAGTGTGCTGGGCGATTGCTGAACTACTTGAACAGAAACCCAACGTATGTCTCGCCTACGGACAACATGTTGACACCATGCACCAAGAAGCTTGACGCTGCAAAGAAGAAGCATTTCACGAAGTACGCTTTCATTTTACCTTTCATGGAGGCTGCCGATTCTTATGCTTCTCTCTCATTCAGGGGTACCGCCAAACCAATGGGTAACCTTCTGAGCGCTGCGAAGGACAGTGCAGAGTCCTCTGACGACGACGACGACGACGACGACGACGCGGAGGCAGCACCTTCATCAAATCTTCCGACTCCCGCCGTTGAACCATCACAGAACAAGATGGACACAGACGACAATCCTTTCTAATCTCATTACGATTTATTGTCTTCACGCACCCCCGACGAACAGCATGCGATGCGATGTACACGCCGCCATAGAGCTGTATTTTCCATCACTGTTGTTCTTGGAGTCTTCGGAGATTCTTTTTATTTGCGCCTCCTGGAGTTTGTATAAGGTGTTTTTGGTACGATTACATAGAGCAGGCGTCGCTCATCTTCATCTTCATGACCAGACCTTTTTTTATTATTCACGATCGTCTTACCCCCCTCCGCCTCCACCTCGTCGCACAAGCTCCCGCCCATCTCGCTATCCATTTATGCTTTGAGCCTCTCCCTTCGTCGTCGCCAGCATCGTCACCATCCACCACCATCATCTATATATGCCCCTCCTTTGTACTATCTCGTCTCGTCAATCGACCTCGGCGTCAGCCTGAGCTTTTTGATTGTTTTTCCCCGCCATCTTAGGATGAACCGACTTTCCCACGCCTGCATCGTTCGGAGTTGCGTCACGCGTCTGTCCTCCGGAACCGCGTCATCCGCGTACGCCGTACTCACCATCCCACCCAACAAGTGCATCCATCTTATCCTCTCACGTACTGACGATGGACATCTCAGACCTTCCGTGGCTTTCCGCTGGCAGAGGCATGTCTAATGCCGGTCTTGACGGTAACAGCTACGAACAGATGACGAGGGACTTGCAGACCATACTTGAGCATCAGGAAGGTGGTGGGAGGGGACGTCTGACGGCTCAGTCAGTGCATATGCATCCTTGTACTTTTGTGTATACCTGCTGAGAGTCGTGTCGTCTCATGATTTTGATTTTGATTTTGCGTAGGCAGATTCGGGAGTTGACTACAACGTTGCCCAAGCTATCTGAGGAGCAATTAGAGAGCCTGGGACATCACGGTACGCTGATGCTTACGCGGCCTTGTAACTGTAACTCATCCATGCTCTCGCTCAACCCGTATCGTATTGGCGTTTGGCTCGAATCGAACTAGAATCATCATGCCCGATCTGCATGAACACATTCCTTGCTTCTCTCGCTGAGGAAGAACGTACGTCCAAACGAAACTTTGTTCTCTGTCTTTGACGGTGGTGGTCATCACTCAGCCATACACATTCCCATATTATCCCATTCGTCCCACTATTGCCGTGATCATTGCGTGTACAGTCGCTCTCGTCATGGACTCGCCCGCTCATCCCGTGGAGGATCTCGGCGTGACGCGGCTCGTCAGTACCTGTGGCCATCTATTCTGTCGTAAAGAGTTGAGTATTAGTGTTTATGGTCATATCCACCTATTTCTCTATCCTTCTTGTATGACTGACGTCGCGTGACGATTGTAGTATCCTGACTTGGATCCGAGACGGCGTGAGTCTCGAGCTTCATCGATCATCGTCCATCCTTCGTCTTCACAAGGGACCTAACTAGAACTCACGATCCATGCTGCATGATGTCTATCACACAGCACCCTTCCTGTCCCCTCTGCCGCACCTCATTCTTCAAATCCCGAGATATCGACCCCCCTCCTCGCACCACCACCGCCACCGCCCCCACCACCGAATCCCCACCAACCCAAACAAACACAGACCCACCAACCGACGACGAAGACGACGCGTACGACCAAGCGATGGAACGCATCCTCGCCGCCTACCGCGAAGAACGCCAACGGATCCGTGCAGCGCCCGCTTTCGATTTTCTCGGCAGTGGGGGTGGGGGCGGCGGGTTGAGCTTCGAACAGCTCCAGGCTCATCTTTCTGGTGGAGGAACAGGGGAGGGAGGAGCGGGTCCTTCGCCTTTTGGGTTCATGTTTGGGTCGTCGACGGGTGGTGTGGGTGGGGGGCGTGAACGTGAGGAGGAAGGTAGGAGGGAATATGCGGGGATGTATTCTTAGATTTTTATTTGGATGTGGTGCTCTCCTCCCCACCTTATTTATTCGATAATTACTTGCCTATTGAGCCCCGAGCTTGGAATTGGATATTGGACGCTTGCTTGCTTGAAACCCTCGACACGATTCGATCCAGGTCATTCATGTATGTGGTATGTACTACCAACGCAGCACGGATTAGTCTGAGTGAGTCCATTCTTTGTCCATTTGAGTATGCACGCGATTAAAGAGAGCGAGGTCGATCGAAAAGAGGGGAGAGGGGAGGAGTACCAGATCAGAAAAAAAAATCAACGAGAGCGAACGAAAGAGACCGGGAAGAAGCGGGTGGTGGTGGTGATTCATACAGAGGCGCGAGCAAAAGGTTGGATGTTGGATGGTGCGAATTCATGTAGTTAACTTGTCAAGTTCATATTCAAGGAACGGAACGGATTAGAGAATACTGAATCGCCACCGCAACGGGAGAAGAAAGACGAACGGGCAGGTTTTCAGACGTAAGAGGGCGGTAAGTAGGCAAGAAGAAGAAAAAGTGAAAGTTCAAGAGAAGAGAAAAGGAAGGAAAAAGGAAAGAAGGAAAAGGTTTCCGTATGCTCCGTCATGAGAGAGATGGTATCGATACCGAGGAATCACAGAGGCAAGTGGATAGCGGAAGATGGGATATGGTGTAGAGCTCGTTGTACGTGAACGTCCATGAAAGAGAGGAGGGAAGAAAGCGTGACCCAGGACGTATGAATTAGGTACGTAAAGATGCTCATCAAGCTCTCCTGCACAGGCGGAACAAGTTTCGCCTGAAGAAGTACCACAAACACTGCCCAACACGAACCCGTCAGCATCATGTTCGTGACAAATGAAAGCAAAGTGAAGAGCACACACCCCGATGAATCGAACCAGCGAAAGCCCGAATGTCGAGTACAAGATGACCGCGAAGTAGATGTTCTGCTTCGAGCGGAGCGACTCGTTCTCTTCTTCTATACCCTCCGTAGTCGTGTCGTCCTGCAGACCGTTGATGTTCTCGATAGCGACGGCCAATGCCGCGTTACTCAACATCCAGGCTGCGACCAAACGAGTACGGAAAGTCTTATTCTCATCGTCCATGGTCGGCTTCTCGGGAGCCTCCTCGACGTTGATCTTCGTGACAGCACGGGTGACCGTTTCCTTGAACACGGCATCGAGATCCTCTTGGACACGAGCGGTGTCTTCCACGACGGGTGAGTCGCCTGTCTTGGGCTTGGAAGACGAGACTGAGGGCAGAGCTTCTGCCTTGTCGCTACCCTTGGTACCCCAAGACCTAAATGCGATGGTGGATCAATAAGAATAATAGACCTCGAGCGAAAACGGAGACTTACACATCGTGCAAGTTACAGAAGGCGTAGACGTTGAGGACGTTCGTGAAACTGGGAGCGAGACACAAGTACTGGAAGAAACTCGAGAACATGTGCCACGGGTCGCGCTGTGCACTGCGATTCAGAGATGAATCTCAAACAATTTGAAAATGGAACGCACGTAGAGGAAGGACGCGAAGAGATAGATTCCCAAGGTAGACGCCATGGCGGCGATCAAAGCACCAACGGGTGGTTCGAAGAATGTCGCGATGATCTCACTCGTCGTCTTGTTCTGTAGTTGACTTGGAATATTCTACACGCTGCCGATCAGTATACCTCCAGAGGAAATATTGGACAGAACGGATTGCCCACCAAAAACGCCTTGATTGTCAACGCCCAGGAGCAGACGATTAGGTAAACCGCCAGAAGAGCGTACACCCTGTGGAACAGATCAGTTGAGTTCTTTGTTGCAAGATCGCAGGGACGTACCAGAGCGTTATGGCGTATGTCGCTCGTTCACCTTTCGGTCGATTGCCAAGAGCAAGAACGAACTGAGAGTGCGAGTCGTCAGAACTACGCGGCCTAGAGGAAGTAGGGTACACTGACTTGTAAAGCGAGGAAAGCGAGATAGATCCATTTGAATGCTAGGTTAACCCAATGCGTCTGAAAGATAGGGAAAGTCTGAGCACGGTAGTTTTCTCATGGAAGACAGTATAAACTCACGATTTCTTGGCCGAGGCTGTTGTTGCCGCCGAAAATGACGATGCCTTGATCGGGTAGTAGGTCGATGATGATACTGAAAGTCAACCAGATGTTCGCCAGCGAAAACCAGGTGAAGATCAGAGATAAAACGTTGTACTGAGAAATACAGACACAGTGAGCCATCCATCGCATGACCATGGAGAAAAGGAAAATACTGACGAGGCCCTGAACGTGGAAGAAAAACATGCGAATGATGCCGTGACCTGACTGATATAACCGGAAGAAGTGCACAAGGGAGTACTATGGCACTGTGTTAGTAATCCCAATTTTATGGGAATGAAGAGGTAAGCTCACGATAGACGCAGCGAATGAACCGTTCAACCAACGACGACGCTGACCGATGAGTTCAGCGGCAGTCTCTGGTACATCAGTCTCTGCCTTCGATGGCTTGACGTATGTCAGAGTCCATCGAGCGCCAGCCTTGGCGACGAGCTCGAAACAAAGGATACGATCTTCGGCCAAGAACATGTTTTTCGTGAAAATGTTCATTCCGTAGATACCCTTCGCTCCCAAACGGTCCGCCAATGAGTGATCACCATGGAAGTATTGCTCGAGAGGACGGCCAAGGATGGCACGGAAACGGTATGCAGAGAAGGCACCGGGCAACACAGAGACATAACCGAAACTGCTTTCCAGAGGTTTGTCTAGGGAGGTGTTTTAGTACGGCTGGTCGGATGAGATGGAGAGAATGTGCTCACCCAAAATGTTGGACATCTTGTACTCGAAATTCTGAGCAGCAACGAGGGGGTTCAGGAGCTTCCTGCCCTTATTGATCATAGCGTGAATCTCTCCACAACATCCTCCAAGGTTCGCATCGTTGTAGAAGGCATCCTGATTTAAACGTCAAATTTGAACGTGGTCAACTGCGTAAACCTGGATATGGTGCTTACCCAGAGGTAGAAGATACTCTTGTGACCTGGAAATGGTGATTTAGTCACAGCAACCGAAAGTCGACAGAGACGAGCCTACCTGGCTTTGTTCCAGCGTCAATAAGAACGCAAATTTCCGGCTGTTTGCTACCATTAGACGACGAAACGGCCTGAGAGATTCTAACGAACGTACGTTGAGCATTTTGCCGATAGCATTGAACAGCCAACGGTGAGAGTTGATCTTCTTCTGGTTCTTGGCCTTCAAGACGAAAATGATCTGAACCGGAACCAAATTATTCGGGTCATCGCCATGGGGAAGCACGAGCGCCGGCGTCGAATCAACGGAGAGCTGAGTTGTGTACTACACGTTGGTGATGACATCAGTCTCTAAACGGCGGCTATGCAGATAGATGATAAATATATACCTCAAAGATGTGAGCCACGGTGTCCTTGCCGTCGACCTGCTTCTTCATTACACCATCCTGGTAGACACCGACCGTCGCCAAGATATCGAGGACGGTTTTGTCCATAGCCTCAAGACCATCGACGATGAGGGCGACTGTGATCCTCTGCCAACCTGGGACACCCTCCTCTGCGCTCCTCCTCCAGTACTTGGACTGCTTCGTCTTGCAGATGTCACGGATGTTTAACCTGTGACGGACGCTTAGCGACAAGGCACGCGTAATGAAGAGTGAGGCACAAACATGACACCGTGCAAGGTCCGTGCGTAAAGGGTCTTGTCCTCGTTATACGACGTGACTGCGATGAGAAGCTCCGTCTCGCGATTGTACATCTTCGTCCGCAGAGACCAACCGTTGGCCTCGTTGAACTCATCGGGATCAACAGTTGCTGCGCTATAACGCATGTGGCTATATTTAGGACAAAAGGGGCGACTCAGTTTTTGTGACGACGAGGGCGAGAGGGGTATCTATCACTGACGAGAACTCAGTGGTATTCACACTGGAGGTCCATTTGGATTCGATAGCGCTGTACACCGGGGTGGGCACGGCATACTCTGTGATGAAGTTACCGTTCGTAAGCTTGACCTTCTTGGTGACACCACGCTTGATGGTTTGCCGACGACGCCAAGCGGTGTCGACACCACCCGAGAGGGACGACACGGACGACATGGGGCGCGATCCGTAGGGGTCTCCGAACTCATTGGGGTCAACAGGCCTGTGGTCGTGGTGTGAGAGGCATCAAACGGACAGCATGAATGAAATGCAACGCACCCTGGAGGATAGAAACCACCAGAGAAGTTTTGTCCGGACGTCAGAGGGAGTTTCTCAGTAAAGTCCTCATCTGAATAGTTTCCAGAGCGGTCCTGTTGGAGAGAGACGGTGGAGTCGTACGGTTGGGGCTGCGGCTCGCTGAACTGGAGGGCGCGAGGCCTGTCCGCGAAGGGGTCCCCATAGGGTTCATTATGGCTGCTAGAGGAGTTCTGGGACGAAAGAGGGGGACGGTTATCCATAGCTACTCTAAGCGATGGAGAGGGGAAGAGAAAGAAAGGAGAGACGGGCGACGGTCGCTGGCTCGCTGGCTGTTTGGTCTTGTCGCGGCGACCCGCTTGTTATGGTTCGCTTGCGGGACTGTAACGAGGCGAGCCTTCGACTTCCTCTTCGGTGGCACAGCTTTTGCGCCCGCCACTCCGCCGTAGCACTCGGTTCTTCCGTCCACCACTCATCTTTGGACACTGTGCAGAAAATATATATACTCAACAGATAATCCACGTATTTACAAGTGCACAAAACCCGCAAATTTTAGCATGTTCGTACGTCAACAAAGTCCCCGACGTCGGTCACCGCCCTTCGTTAGACACACACATCCTTCAGCAACAACGCGAGCTTCCGATCAACAAACACGGTGAACTTCTCCAGTTTAGAACCATCACCCCCATCAAGTCAACAGTAAAGATCACCTAGCGCTAAGGCGGCAGCCACCACGACGATAGACAGTATAACTCCTTGCGGTTCCTCTAGCGCACAGATTCGAATTCGAGTCCTACGACCTCGGGCAAAGTGGCATTGTGGCGATGTGCTGGCGTTTATTGCTTACACGCAGCGCTCATCTAATTTTTGAGGTTCTGTGATACCCTTCGACGCTGCCTGGCACAGCGATGACGCGCGTCGCGCGGTCGACGCGTTGTTGCGGCCAGCTGCGGGCCGGGCGCCTTGTTCGATCACCCCCGGTCTGATTCGCGGTGGCGAGGCAGACGTCGACGTCCTGTTCTCTCCTTACGCGTCCTCCATCGCCACAGACTTCGGGCACACATCAGCACAACATTCACTTAGACTTTGAGGTACGCTCGCGTTCTGGTCAATGCTCTTGCTCTACGGACTGTTGAGCCTTCAACTGTGGTAATTTCGGCACTTCCCATCATACAGCACTAAAACTGTGGCACTCTCATGGATTCATCTGCACCTGGCATCCAAGAACCATTCGATCTCATTCGACTGTCCCTGAGCGAACGCGTCTTCGTAAAACTACGGGGAGATAGAGAGCTCACCGGTATCCTGCACGTACGTGAGCCTCCACCGTCCGTCGTCCACACACCGAAATCTTTCAATGGCATGACCGTTGGTGACACTAGGCATATGATGGGCATATGAATCTCATCTTGAGTGATGTCGAAGAGACCATCATGATCGTTGATGCTCCAGAGGGTGTCCCACCGTCGCAGAGCGTGGTCAACGTACGTCCATCATTCTCTCTATTTATTCTACTGTCTTTCGCGGCGTACCTGTAGCTGATTTCGTCCAAACGACACGCGTGCTTTAGATGGCGAAACGAAAAGTACCGATGCTGTTTGTGCGAGGGGACGGTGTAATCCTGGTGCGCATCGTCCCACGTTCTCCTTCCACACTCTTCTCCCAAACCATGGAGGAGGCTATTCTGATCACTGAAACACATCCCAGGTATCGCCACCCTCCCGTACATGACGAAAAATCACACAGGAATCTACCTATTCTCATCCTCCTCGCCATCGCCACTCTGACCCATCCCATCCACCACCAGCATATAACGCTCTGGATCGCTCGAATTAATTTGAACCCGGGCGGAGACAGTTCTGGCTCTCAGATTCTCGTGGGGCTCGTGTGGCGCACGCGCCATCTTGCAGTTCGCAGTTCGCAGTTCGTCATAGTTATACCAATGGGTATCCGACTCCCATCCGTCCTTTGTACTCTAGAAGGGAAAAAGAGCAAGGCCCGTCAACTGTCGGGCTATCTCACGAATACTTTTTTGATTCCCTGTTGTATTGCCGAAGCCGGTCATGGTCATCTATACCGCCCAACGCGCGCTCTCTTCGTTCATTAATGCGATCCTATACGGAGAACTTCAAGGTCGAAGGCTCTGTGGTGCGTATATGAGCTGTCGCCGTGCTCTACAGTCCAAAAAGGTTAGGATACACTCGCCTTGTCCGGCGCATCAACGGTGTCATAGAGCTTTCCACTTCCTCGCAGTTGCGCGTTCGTACACTGCTCATCTGAATCCACTGTCCTGGTCGGATCAACCATTGAAATAATTCCCGTGGCACCGAGTACTCGTATGTATGTGCTTATGAGCCTCGCAAGTGCCAGTGGTCGACGTTATTCAACGGCTCACGGCTCCAGCGCGATTGAGCTCCATCATCCCCGTAGAAACCCATCAATATCTTGCTTCCAAATCGGTTAATCTTGTCTGGACCATGAAAGGGAATACGGGATGATATTGGCAGGTTTTGAGATCGAAGGTCCCAAAGCAGAGCGGCCCGGTAGATTGGATAGGGGAGGGAGTGGGGTCCTAATAAAAACCACCTGGATCCTTGCGGATCTACAGGTATCAGGCAAGTAAGACGAGGTCGGATGTGAGGTTATCGGATCGGTTATATCTTAAGATGCTACCACCACTTCTCCGGCTGTGGAATAAGAACTGCCTGCTAGTAAAAAGGTGCCAGTGTTCAGACTGCGCAACTTTTCTGTCGGAAGATTATGTCCCTTATGGCACGGCAATGATCATGAAAAATCACTTCCTTTTCAATGCCTTTTCTCTTCTCTTATTGGACGGGAAAGACGAGCCAATGAGAAAAGATGACCCTTCCCTACATCCACCACGAAGACCACGATGAAGGCATCAGGATACTTCGGAGTTTCTCATCAAAGATTCGGTCAGACAGACTTGAACGGATCAAAGATGCACATTATAGGAAGCTACACATATATGTGACACGAGAAGGGCGAAAGCTAAAATCGAATATATGGCTACAGGAGGACATTATCCATCAACATATATACGGACGGCTGAAATATGTCCAAGGTGGCGCCAAACAGCCCAGAATAAACAAGCGTCCGGCGAGGAAAGGGGAAGTACTACGTAGGAGACGAAGATCAAGAAAAGTCCGTATTCGAAATGCACAAGAAAAATACTCTAATTCAGAAGGATAAAAATGTTGAAATATCACGTCCGTGAAGGCCGTGGTCCATCGGAACCGACGGCGATGTGAATTGGGGATCCACACCGCCCGCCTAACCGCTTGGCGGGATAGAAGTGAGGAATCCTGCCATGTCTCTCGCCACGGTCTTCGCCACTCTACTAGTCGGATGGAGGTGGTCGAACCAAATCGGACCACCCATGGCCCTCCTCGCGTTCAAGGGGAACCCATTAGTGAGCGGGTCATCCAGGATGCGAGTGAATGTGGCCCAGGCGGAGAAGACGAGTACGGTTGCATCGGGATGGGCGCGAGCGAACGCGGTGGCTGCTGTGGCTAGTTCTTGGTTCCAATTCGTGAACGGCTGTGCGGACTCGGGATTCTCGTCGGGTGGACCTAGAAGAGATTGATGTAACACGAAGTGAGCATGGACCGAGTCATTGAAAGCACAGGGCTATTGAACCACTCACCGACCGGTGAACGGTGTATCGGGGGACAGTCGACGAAGAGGAAGTTTCGTGCACCAGCTGTGTATAGTTCCTCTTGTGCCGCGAATAGAGCAGTGATGATGTAGGTTATTTCTCTCCTGTCATTTGTGTACCTGGGGGCTGAGCATCAGCGACTGTTGACACGAACTGACGCCCAATCACCAATAGATCTCTGAGTCGACGTCGTTCAACCACACTGTACCACAAATGCTGTTTGCTTTGGGCATGGTAGATGAAACGAATGACGGCTGTAACCAAGGGACTCACAATAGCCTACAGTCTTGGACGCCAATCCAAGTCTGGGTCAAAAATCAGTGATTTGCGGTGTCTATGATTGGCAAGAGCATTCGATAAGGTACTTACCACGAATAAAGTATCGTTTGCAGTCCAACGAGCCCAATTCGGTCTGCGCCCAACGGTGGGCAGAAAGTGCTCCCTGATCTGCCGGGCGACTCCAGGCGCAGTATCACCTGCAGCGAAGTTCAGATTATAGTACAACCTGTTAAGAGGCCGGAAACACATTACCGCGAACTGCATAGTCGTAGACGAGCAAATTGGACTGGCCATGCGCGTAGGTGGTGATGAGGTGGCCCACCCAATTTGGCTGTCCGGGCTCGTTGACGACCGTTCCAGGAAAATTGACACCAAGGGGGCGTGCGGCGGTTGGGGGTGGGGCTTGAGAGTGATATCCGATGTAGCTATAGGAGTCACCACTAATAGCGTGGTAAATCAACACTGCCATCAGCATAATGTCTGCGCGAAGTAGGTCGTGCGATATGTGTGGGAGGATAGAGTCACTCACAAGATGACTAGCCTCTTGAGACCAGCGTATCCGCGCCAGTGAGGACCAACATGGTATATAGTCGACATCGAGCGAGTACACGGCAGATCACTGTCGGTGTGTTAAGAAGATGCCTCTGGGTGCTTGTGGTTTTCAGAATTCCTGACCCGGCCTCCTTTATAACACGGCGGGATAGTCCCATACGTCAGAGCGATGATTGGAAAAAAGAGGGAGATAGGACAGGCGAGCCAGAGGCGATTCATGCCCATCGGTGTCTACAGCGTACGTGGGCAGTCGTCTGGAGTCGGCAAAGACAGCCAGATGCAGAGAAGCTGGCGCACCGTTTCATTGATGAGCATCCTGAGATGGTCGGGACTTCGAATGGATCTGAAGTTGATCACTGAGTTGAGCACTGTGAGCCTGTGAGGGAACAAAGAGCAGCTCCAAGGATCAGAGACTCGATATGGTGTCCGGTGCTTTTTCTGCAAGCCCGTCGTGGACGCATTGGGCTCAGGGATGACTCTTGGTCGGTCAACTAATCCCCAGACGAAGAGGTCAGTATAACTCGAAGAATGATGAAGGATCGAACACGGTCGTTTTCACCCCGAACGAGCTTCCCGAGAAAGAACAATGGCATTCTGTAGGCCGTCGGTGCACGTTGCACATGCGCGTAGATGTTCGGCCTCCAAGCCATCGAACCCTCGCGGAGCTGTAAGTGACCGAGGCAAAGGCGCGAGTTGAGGAGATCACCTTTTCCCAGAGCTTCGATTGAATAACGGCGATAAACGCCCGAGCCCGCCGTTCTGAGAGACGCATGTACAGGATGACCGTGACGACGTCGCCCCTTTTCGCTTCCTCAAAGTCACGGAACTCGTTCTCCGATAGTCCCACGAGCGCTCAGAATAAGCCGTACGCTATTGTACGAAGTTTTGTTTGGATATCTTGTCTATGATCTGAAATGGAGACATGAGAGAGGAGTCGGTCCGCATGGATGTGATGGCCGCTTACTGTCAGTGTGCTGCATGTGTGGTTTCTGGATGCGGGCCCGGAAATTTCGTGTGCAAGCCTGACTAGGAATCTAAGAATCAGATTTCAGCGAAACTGACTTGAATCCTCGGACGAGACGATATCGGAGGTTCGCATAACCGCCACGATGCGCTATATCGGTTGCACTAACTGAGTAAATCTGCATGAAAGCAAAGGCATAGGTTGTAGACACTCACAGTGCATTGCCTGTAACTGGATCACCCCTGGAACTCTTTGTGGTGAAGATATAGAGCTAGGCGCGCTTTCTCCTTTTGACATCACATCTACTTGTCTAATCCGCATGGACACGTTGGTGACAGACAGGGAGTGGGCGTGTGGCTCTGCACGTGAAATGTACCTGAAGGTGTCACAGAGGAAAGGTGCATACGTGGCTAGGTGAAGTGATCAACTTCCACCTCCACCGGCATAAACCAAGCTCAAGACAACACGACTAATCACATCCGTACGTGATAGCAGAGCCGACACGAGTTCAAAGGTGATCCTCGCACCTGGAGATTCATGGCGCGCAAGTACGCGGTCCGTGAAGTTCGCGGAAGTGAGGCTGGTACAGGGCCCTGTTCTTGCAGTGATACAGTGATGCAACGTACTTTAACTGGCACTGCCGAACCGAGTGACCGGGTGATGCGTGTTTGAGAACGCATACTTATCCCAGTGTTTCCTGGTGCCAAAATAGACGGCGTTAACAATCATATCCACTCGTAGACATCGGCCAGCAACAACTGTACCGTGTAGCCAAAATTAAAGGCAGATGTTGAATGGACAGACTGTATAGCTGAATGATGATCAGTCATGTAGTACGTGAATGCAGATTTACCGCACTACAGGACCTTACCAGGCAGTCACAAAGCATCTTACGAGGCTTCATGGGCTTAACGACGATCGGGGTACATCAACCAAACTTCATGAGAAGCATTTGATTCCTGCCAAAGACCACGTCTGGGGGTTTGCTATCCGAGGTGAGATCAAGACTTGCCGTTTAGATAGTGACAGGCCCCTGGGACGACCTTGCCCAAGTGAGGGCAAGGAGCTATGTGCCGTATTCGTGGCTTATTCAAAGCGAGGCACACGGCGGACGCGGTTTGAAAGTGTAACAGTGCGTTTCTATGAACGAACAGAACAGGATAGTGACGCTGATCCTGCGGAAGAATCTGGCGCTGCCTAGCGGAGAGAACTTCCTTTCCCGTCCAGATTCCGGGGCAGGACCTTTGTTCTCTACGCGGTTGCGATTGCTGTCAGTCGACGCTGGTCAGCAAGGAATTCAAGAACAGCATATCTACTCACGGTTTTATGCAAGGTGTTGTTCTCTTCAGGTACACCAGGAAATGCCGGTGACAGTGGCCCGCTTGATGAGTAAAGTCCGTCTGAACACGTAGCCGCTGTGGTGTGGCGTAGTGCGATGCCGCTGGAGGCGCAGAAAGCGTAACGTTTCACTAGTACATTATGAATACACTCTTGAGTCGAAAGTAAAACATACACATATAATTCAGGGTGTCATATCGTCAGTCATCATCGGCGAACCAGCGGTCCTGGGCGTCTTCTCCGTCTCCATCCCACTGCTCGTCCCAATCGACGACATCATAAAGGTCAGACTGAAGAGGAACCGGGTAGATGTCCGCGAAATGAGATGATAATTGACAGATGTTGTCAGCATGGAACCATAACGAAACTGCCGGGAGAAATACCTGTAAAAGGCCATAGATAAACTGCTCGCGTACACGACGGTCAAAAAGACCTTGCATCTCCTCTATTGAATCATTTTGCGGTGGTATGCCGCCAGAATTTGAGCGTCCTTCCATTCTGCTCGGGACTTCTGCCTCTTCTTCCTCTTCGGAGCTCTCATCCTCCTCGGGGACGAACTCTTCGGCTGCCTTCGCCGCCATGTCCCTTCGAAGTCCCCGAATCCTTTCTAGTTCCCTTTCTTCTTCGTAGCCTCCTAAAAGAGAGCCTAACTTTCCCACATGGTGCCTCTTCTCTCCAGAAGAATTCGTGGAGCTCCCGCCAAGGAAGTTTCTCTCCACCCAGTCATGCTCTTCCCTCGCGCTGTCCTTTCCTACCGAGGTTGGAGGTTCTGGAGGTCCTTCCCATAGAGCAGGCCATGAGCGTTTGGCATTAGAGGTTTTAAGTTCAGATGGCTTTGATTGTGTGTAGCGAAATCGTCTGTTTCGTATAGCGGGAACAGTAGATCGTTCGCGAGCGGTGGTTAGAGCCGAGAAAACCGAGAGAAGCTCTGGCGGTAGTTGGTGGATGTGCAGCGAGAGAAATGAGACAGGCTCATTAGAAGGTGAGGGCGAGTAGTCAGATGGAAGGCCTAGATATAATAGCACACGAGCAGCCTCAGTAGTTCTCGTGGTAGCCATGGCTGTGGAAGGTAAACATCAGAGCTGATGAAGCCGACGGAGGCACAGGAAGGCGACGACCTTTGAATTCAACAAGGACAAACAACTGCTTCGCTCAAGGATCTTATCTTATCTCATTATTCCAGCATCACTTGGTTCTCGACGATCGTCATGGCTCTTGCCGCAAAGTCTCCAGGAAGTAAACAAGAAGGGCAGAATATCCAATCTACAGAATCCATCGCCCCGCAGTATGTCACAAGTGATCCAGCGAACGGCGGCTCTGACCCTCCAGATGTGCTGCTCTGTGTATTCATCCATGGGTAAGCGCTAGTACTGGCGTTTGACTTCAAAACATCCGTCGAGCTGAAACTTGGGACATAGGTTCAAAGGCACGGATTTGACGTTTCTCAACTTTCCGGCTCGCCTTCAGCACATTCTCTCCGAGACGCTTGATAATGTCAAGGTCGAATGCATCGTATTTCCTGCTTATGAGGTACCCGTCCATCTCGTTTTAGTTGTCGATCACTCTGACAAATGTGTTATGCACTTCAGACGAAGGGAAACCTAGTGCGCATAGTTTCCACCTCACTATAGAAGATTGTCATAATTAATGTCGGAATGTAGACTGAAGCTGTCATCCGCCTTGCGGATTGGCTTACTACATTGACCGTGGAGCGTGAGGTAGCGAACGGTGCAGGAGGCGGAGCAGGCAAAGCAAAGGTCGTCCTCTGTGGTCACAGGTTCGTGAGGTCACTATCTGTTTCACGGTCATATTGGTTCATTCTAACAGCACATATCTGTCCCCCTAGCATGGGTGGTTTGTTAGCTGCCGACTGCCTCCTGGAGTTCATCAACACGAGACCAGACAAATCAGCCCCTCTGTGGCCAAACATCATTGCGTGCATTGCTTTTGATACACCCGCAAGTGTCTCAAGGTGCTTTATCGCCGGCCCTTATACTCACGTAATGTGTGGTTAGTATCTTGGCCTTCATCCCCAGGTCTTCAAGAACAGTGCCACCAAGGCGTCGCAGTACATCCAAACGGCTCACAAAGCCGCTTCAGAGTTATTTTCCACGTTCTCATCGGTTACATCCTCCACCTCTTCCGCATCCTCCAACAAGGCGCCGCTTGCTATCCTGCCCGCGCCCTCATCCTCGACTGTCTCGACTTCATCTGCAGGGGGCTGGAGCAAATGGGCGCCTGCTGCGTATGCAGTAGGTGGTGCACTGCTTGCGAGCGCCGCTGCTGGCACTGCGTACTATAAGAAGCAGGAACTCGCGACAGGGGTGGGGACGGTGGCTAAGGGCGTAGGTAGCGGATATGTGGCATTATTGGATCATATGAAGTATGTTGGAAATCTGTGGGATGAGAAGGCTATGTGGGACAGGCTGGAAGGTCTTGCGAGAGCCGAAGAGGATCTCGGTGTTGTTTTCAAGACGTGAGCTCGTATTATTACGAAACGGGACTACGACTAACTATCTATACGGAACAGATTTTTCACTGCTCTACCACCGCGCCAACCTTCTTATCCCGGCCGTCGCACTTTCATTGTCCTGCCTCCTGCGCCACAGAAGCGACCTCCGGTACCACGATCGACTTCGGTCCCGTCCCATTCTGATTCTCCTGGCGCTATGACTACCATTCCTCGCTCTCCGACCACCAAACCATCTCCTCCGTCTCCAACTCCCTCACCAAACCCCCATTCTCGATCTCAACCCCAGTCTCGTACCTCTTCACCGGCACCAGCACCACCAAAACCCAGCTCGCAGCCAGTGCCTCCCACTGCACCGTCCATGTCGGCACTGACTCGCCACAGCCATGACTTCCGCACCAACTTCATCGAACAGCGGAATGGAGCGGCACCAGACGAAGTCCAGGCGCATATGGGAATGTTCGAGGCCGCCACGAACGATGGATATTATGAGATGGGGCTGAAGGTCGCGCAGATCGTGAGAGGGGCGTTGGATGCTTGGAAAAAGAGGCAGGTCGAAGAGCACGCAAACATAAGCAGGAAGAGTGAACCAGGACTAGGCGACAGGTCATCCTATCCGAGTGATGATAATTCACAACAGGAGAAAGAAGAGACGCAAGGAGACCTGCATACGGGTCAACTGGCCGACGAAGTTAATCTGATATCGCTGGGAGACAACGATGCGACCTCGAATGATGTATTGAAAAAAGCACAGCCGACAGACGTAGACGATCTGTATTTTAATCCTTTTCGTTGATTTGGAGGAGGGGTGCCACATGCCACACACGTCCTAGGGAGTCGTGTCTTTCGATCTGGAGGCTGTATGTGTGTATTTTATTGAGTATGTACAACAGTGTATGATGATACTGTCGGATTTCGACGGGATCGACTCCACACATGATGAACGACGAAGTCGAATCGCGAGACCGTGTGTTACTTTAGGGAGAGTCGCATTGCGTACGCGTCTTCGCCATCCGCGTCTATTGAAGGAAATTCGGAAAAGGAAGGTGTTCGGCGTCAATGTAACGATTTCTCCCGTGAGGAGTTGAAAAAATAAGACGCACAGTACTTCTTCTCAATATCCTTCACCGTGAACCCAAGCGTGTCACGGTAAAGCCCTAAGGCTGCACGGTTCGAACGGCGAACGTGGAGGGAGACGTAAGAAGCTTTGTATACTGTCGCCATTGCTTCCTCTGAGATAATATTTCAAGATTGATACATGAGTATATGTGGTTGGGTCAGGATTTATTGGGACATACGGGATTGGATCATAAGTTTCTTCGCAAGACCAAGCCGTCGATATGATCGTAGCACAGAGATGGACGTAACATGTCCGTGCATTTCATCCTCTGGACCGACGTCTTCCTCCCTGCACGAGCACGATATTGGTCGAGAACGAGAGAATCAAGGTTGGGTTGACGTACATCTTCGCCAGAATATACCCAACCACTCGTCCTTTGGGATCGACCGCAACGTAGGAAAGAGATGGCCAGGTCAGAGCATGATACAGGTCTAGATGCAGACAGATTCACTAGGAGGTCGGATGAATATTGTCGAGTAGTATGTACGGACAGTATTTCATGGTGTAGTTCTCGGGAAGGTTGTGCAGATTGCAGGCCTGCATGCCCATGAGGTCGTCTACCTTAGTGCAAAAAGAGTCAGCAAGCACGTAAGTATATGAAAAGAACAATATGCTGACTGTGGCTGGCCGGATATTCATGGTGGTGTACTCCAAGCAAGATAGACTCGAGGCAAAGTGATGTTCGTCAATGACATTGATGGAATTTCGAGTGCTTCACCTGCGGCGAATGCCGAGGCTGGTGCCACACCAAAATAAATCCAATTTATGGATCTTGCTGTGCTCGACGCTCAGTAGGTCGAAACTTCTGGTCTTGTTCGATATTGGAACCACACAAAATATGGGAGGTACAGCAAGTGTATTTGTGTAGTATAAAATAAGCGAGAGTGGGCGAAAGCCCGCCGAAGGCGAGCCTTCCGAATCCCGGCACAAAGCCACTGTGGCGCGCCACATACGCTTTGAACCGCGAGAATCGCCGCGAAGATTGATTCTTAGAAGACGCAGACATGAGCACACCTCGCTCAAAGCATACAAGTAACCATTAAAAAGGCGGTATAATGATAACGACAACAACCATCTAAATCTATGCATGCATGCAAAGTCCCGCCCTACCTCTAATGACTCTAGGAGACGGTCAGAGGGGAACACGAACATGGTCCGGGCCAAGGACTAACGAGGTTCAGCAATTCTGACATATAACGGCGGCTTCGGACTCAGGACCATAATCAATCAGACCTACGAGATCCTCAAGACTTCAGGATCCAGGAGTCCGCGCAAATGGGATTGGCAATACTTAAAATATGTATATGTGCAACGTCGCGATGACGAAAACGAAAGTTGGTAGTCGTGTGGGGGTATAATGCAGTTTCTATCTAAAAAAAAGTGCAAAAGATGAATAAAGAAGAATCCTATGCGCGTTTGCGTATGACGATAATGTAAAGTTGGCAGTGGACGATGGATGGTGGTCGGGATGGACCAAAGTGGGACGTAGGAAGAAATGTATAGAATAGAATAGAAGATGTTTTACTGCGAGGACGGCGATGGTGAGGGATCCGCAGCGGGTTCGGCCAGCCAAGACATGAACCGTTTGTAGCCTTCGCCACCCGCGAGGAGCGCCTGGCCATGTCTTCCTTCCGGGTCGAAGAACAGGCCTTTACGGACGCCGTGCTCCGTGAGGTATTTACGGACGCGCTGTAAATTAAATGCCACAGAACAATGAGCACAGGGTTCTCAGACATTCATCCTTGCTGGGGAGGGAAGGGACGTACCTCGGCGTTGATGATGGAATCTTTACCGCCCAGGAAGAACGTCGCCCGGGATGGATCTCTCGCGTTGGGGATCTCTTCGTACCAGAGAGAGTTTGAAGACCAGTCGAAGTGGCGTTGGAGGGCGTTGGCGACTCCTAACTCGCTGCCGACAAAGTACCGCATGACGAGATGCATACCCTAAGAAACAACAGTGGCGATAAGTGGACTGACAGAACAAGACAATAAGCAAAGATAGAGAAGGGGAAATGCATACCGTTGTCGCTGGTCTGTAGAGGAAGTTATAGCATACGTCTACCAAATATGTGTTAGTTCGTGCCATCTTGAGCGTGAGCATTTCAACGAGACTTACGTCCTTCCCAGCCACAGAACGTGACAGGATCAACGAAACACGAACGCGTAACGCTATTCGGGAAAGCCTTGAGGAACCACGCATGGGCATACGACCCATTCGAATGGCTGACCATCGTCACACCCTTCCTCTCCTCCATCATCCTCTTCTCATTCTCCAAGGCTGACTTCTCATCCTCGCTATCACTCGTCACCTGGCGCTCTTCCGCGGCCCAACCGAGATCACGTAAAAGTGCATGCATGACCTGCGACGTCTCTCTCCGGTTCATAGGCCGAAGGAAATTCGGATGCCAGAATTGCTGACTGATGTGTGGTTGGAGCGGGACGAGCAACGGACGGTCGGGGAAATTATGTAGGATGCGGGACAGAATCATCTTGTACTGCAGGAGTCCGAGTCCCAGGCCATGCAAGAACACGATAGGTCTCGGCCCGGTCTTCGAGTTCCATCCTGCAGGGATGCGAAGGAGATAATCGAGACCATCCTTGGAACCGAAACGCATGTTCCAGCGGTGCATGAAGTACCGTTTGAGGATGACGTTAGCGAGCGTGACAAAGGCATACCAAATGAACGGACGCTGGTGGACGTTGACGGGGTCGATGTTGAGGAGGAGAGGGCGACCGTGCGGGTTGGATCCTTCAGGGAAGGTCTTGCCGGCGCGCTTTTCAACCATCTTGAGGGCTTCTTGGAGGACATTGCGGTGCGATTCTGGGAGGGCGTGGGGTTCCGGCATATTGCTGTTGAAGATGGCCCAGTAAAGCCATGCATCGACGTCGGACTTGTGGATATGAGACCAAGGGATTTGACGGAACCTGTAGTGATGAACGGGGTGAGGTACGGACGTAAAATGGTTTACGTTGCTCGCCTACCATGTTCGAAGATAATTACTGAGTGGACGAATCAGTGAACGTCCTGGTACCGCGCATGATGTACTCACCGGAAGTCGATAGCTCGAGGGTCATGAGCTTCGAGTTGGACAATGGCCTCCTCCGGACTACAAGGTCTGCTTACATCCAGCGTTTCCTCGTCCGTATCACCAAATATGTCACTGGCCAGTCCGCTTTGAAGGACTCGACCGAATGCTTTCTGCAGTTCGCCTAGATTGCCAGAGCCGATAGTCGAAGGTCCATCGACGTGGCGAGCGAGGAAAAAGTGGTGTATAGAGAAGACAACCTAACGTAGATGTTTCGGTCAACGTCGTTGAATACGATGAGCTGGACAGACGCTTACTTCGAGACTGGCAAAGGCTAAGCAAAGGGTACCAAGCCATGTATATGAATGTGCCGCACCGGTCCAGAAAGCGTGGACGACGAACAACCAGGACAGGGGCGCAACGCTCCAGATAGGCACAACGGTGAGGCAGAGCACGATGTAAAACGAGAGATCGCGCGGTAAAGGAGGGTGGGCTAGTTCTGAGATGCAGGGAGCAGGCGCAGGTGCCGCCTTTTCTTCCTTGCTGTGGTCGACCATGACTTACCACTCGACGTGAACACGGTCGCCGTCTAAGTCGAGTCTGCGGGGACGATAGGGAGATGGTTAGCAGAAATAGAGAGCCGCGGTCACCTGACGGAGTATCTTTGAGAGCTTCAACGGCCGATTCCGCACGTGGCGAACGGTCTGCTTTCGGGACGAGCGGAACAGCTGCCGGTTCTCTACGCTCCAGTTTTCTATCCGTCTTCTCCTCTTCCTCCTCCTCATCCCTCTCTTCGTCCTGGCCATGATTCGCAACGCGATCTCTGCAGCGGCGCGCCCGGCTTTCTCTCAGGCTGTACGCTTTTCTGCAATCTTTTTGCGTGTTTTTATGTCTCATATATCACATGTAGCGTACGGCCACCACACTTTCAGCCGGCTTCCCCAAAGTCACTGAGAGAGTACGTAGAACTTGTTCTATTCGTCCTAATTTTCAATGGAATTGAACGAAACCCCTATTACCCCAGCTCCCCACTAAGTACGGTGGCGTGTACACTGCAAGTTCTTCCCCAGACCGTTCCAGATCCACGACTAGAACCAACCCGTTCTTTATTCGATCTTCAGGTTACCCTCATCCCCGGTGACGGTATTGGTAACGAAATTACCGACTCTGTCAAGGAGATCTTCGAGGCAGCAAATGCTCCCATTGAGTGGGACCAGTACAATGTCTCTGGAATGTCTTCGCAGGGTGAGGACCTCTTCAAGCAGGCTATGGAGAGTTTGAAGCGTAACAAGGTCGGCCTCAAGGGTACGTTCCGTATTCATTGCTGCCTTAAGAACGTAATGTGAAGATAAACATATGGCGGGTAGGCATTCTCTTCACTCCAATTTCCCAGTCCGGCCACATCTCGTGGAACGTCGCCATGCGTCAACAACTCGACATCTACGCTTCCGTAGTTCTCTGCAAGTCTCTTCCTGGATTCCCCACTCGCCACAAGGATGTCGACTTTGCTATCATTCGTGAGAACACGGAGGGAGAGTACTCCGGTTTGGAGCACCAGAGCTTCCCCGGTGTTGTTGAGAGTTTGAAGGTTTCCACCCGCGCAAAGGCCGAGCGCATCAGTCGCTTCGCATTTGACTTCGCCCTCAGGAATGGCCGCCAGGTACGTCCGTCCAGACATTATACTCCGTCCATATTCTGAAAGAAATACTCTAATTCGTGTTCTATAGAAAGTCACTTGTGTTCACAAAGCCAACATCATGAAGCTCGGCGACGGTCTCTTCCTGAACACCTTCCGTCGTGTTGCTGAGGACTACAAGTCGTCTGGCATTGAGTTCAACGACATGATTGTCGACAACACTTCCATGCAGCTCGTGGCTAAGCCCAAGCAGTTCGACGTTATGGTCATGCCTAACCTTTACGGTGCTATCGTTTCCAACATTGGTGCTGCTCTCGTCGGTGGTCCTGGCATCGTCCCGGGTTGCAACGTCGGTAGGGTAAGTAGGGTGGCTCTGCTAAATATTATCGGTCCAACTTATCCCATCATATTGCTTCTAGGATTACGCCCTCTTTGAGCCTGGATGTCGTCACGTTGCGAAGGACATCATGGGCACCAACAAGGCCAACCCCGCTGCCATGATCCTCTCCGCCACCATGATGCTCAGGCATCTTGGGTATGGTTTTTAGAATTATTCCATCTTTCGACTCACACTCACTCAATTGCGTTGCCCAGTCTTGACCACATCGCAAACAACATCGCTAGCGCCACTTTCGAAGTCATCAACTCCACCAAAGTGCGCACTGCCGACATGGGCGGTACGTGTCTCTGTCTCGCTTGACTCATTGTCAATGATGATGACAACGACGCTTTACTGCTGTGCTCACTCACTCATTCTCTGCGCCTGTCTCGGCGGTTTAGGTTCTGCCACGACTTCCGACTTCACCTCTGCCGTCATCAAGAACCTTGCCTAAAAGTAGACATTTACATTGGTTATATGTGTTCTCTTTCTTGTAGCCCTACTTTGCGATACAATCGAGGTGTTTTCCGTCTCGACCGGACATGCAATCTATACCGGGGTTTCCTTGATTTTATCTGCTCCCGCCAGGACCTGGACCTAGACGCGTATTCCTTTCCGCTGTCTGTTGTCTCAGAATGTCTCATTCTTTGTTGATTTTCGCTGGCTCATCGTTTTACGCGTCGCGGGAGTTGACGTTCAAGTTGAAACCTCCGAAGTGGCTGGACTCCCGAAACTTTCCGATTGGTCGGTAGTGGCCGGGCTGCGTTCTACACTTAGACTATGCCTCGTACTGGAGGCCTATCATGTTTTTTTCGTAGTATCTAACCGCTGCGTAAAGCTGCAAAGATCCTATATATCTTAACACCACTTCGTAGGTACCGTTGCTCGCCGAGTTATCCCAAAGATCCACTAATCAAGTCCATTTTTTGCAGAACATGCCGCTGTTCGGCAACATCCGTGTCTCGGATGTGCCAGTCATTCGTCGACTCCTAGATGGGCCAGCCTTTACTTCGCGGGGATCGGTCGTCTCTGGTGATGCCTCCGCATTTATGCGCGCGAGCCGCAGAAAATACTCCTACAATACGGCTTTACAACCAAGCAGTGCAGTTGACATGGCCTGTGCCGTCCCCCTATCTTTTTTTTTTCTCCTCTCATCTAAGACGAGCGTAAGTTCAAAGAGTATATATAAGCCATGCTAAGTTCCGTATTCCAAGCATTATCAACCTCATCCCTCACTGCGTGCCTCCCCATACTTCGCATCCACTCCCCCTATACATCTATCCACCTCAACTCCTTCTATCATGTCCACTTCACAATTCACCAGCCTCGTCGGCACCGCCCTCGACAACGGCAGCCTTCTCTTCGTCGACATCCTCGGTTCTGGTCACTCCGGAGTCGTCTACCGCGCCGTCGACCTCTCCACACCCAAACCTCACGCCGAATACGCCGTCAAATGTCTTTCAAACGTCCAGCACTCAGCACAGCGCGACAACGAGATCAACCTGCACTGCGCCGTCGCCGCCCACCCGAACGTTCTCAGCATTTACCGTGTCATCGAGACGGAGGACTTCGTGTTCTTGGTCATGGAGTTGTGCACGGGAGGGGATCTGTGGACTGCTGTCACGGAGAGACACGTTTTCTGGCAGAACGACGAGTTGGTGAGGCGCGCGTTCATCCAGCTCGTCGACGCGATTGAGTATTGCCACAACCTCGGTGTATATCACAGGTACGCTCGGTCCTCTTTTTGCCCCTATCGTTCTTGTCCTCATGTATATTGCTTCTTTAGGGATATCAAGTTGGAGAACGTCTTGTGCTCGAAAGACGGCTCGAAAGTGTTGTTGGCCGACTTTGGTCTGGCTACCACGGATCCCGTCAGCTTCCAGTTCGGAGTTGGAACGCAATACTACATCAGTCCAGGTATGTAGTTCTTCCCACTCTTCCTCGTTCGGCACTCGCTGACGATCTTCCTCCCTACAGAATCAATCGCAGGTCAAGAACACGCTGCAGGCCCCTACTCCCCCGCCCACAACGACGTCTGGTCTCTCGGCGTCGTCATGCTCAACATGCTCACCGGACTCTGCGCCTGGAGCACCGCCTCCATGAAAGACGACCACTTCCGCCGCTACCTCGACCCTAACTCAAACCACCTCCGCTCCATGCTCCCCATCTCCCGCGAAGCCGACGTCCTCCTCCGTCGCGCCCTTTGCGTTAACCCCTGGAGCCGCATCAGCCTCGCGCAGTTGAAGAAAGACATTATGGGCGTCAAGACGTTTTTCATGACGGACGTTGAGATTGCGCTCGCGCCGCATAGGGTGGCCCAATCGGCCGCCGCACAACAGACGCCGTGGGTGCCACAACCTGCCGAACGCGAGGTCGAGGTTCAGCGCGACGAGGTGAAGGAGGACAGCCACAGCTCTGGGTCGTTGTATTCGCAATCGTCTCGCGGAACAGGTAGCCAAGTCATTCCTGGTACACCACTCTTCACGGCCTCCTCCCGCGGCACTACAGTCGACAGTCGGGACGTTCCAGCAACGCCTGTGTTCGCCGATACTCCACCAGCGTGTGTGGTTGCGGAGCAATCGTTGGGTGATGACGTCGAGCAGAGGAATGCGAGGCCGGCGCTTGGGGTGAGGCGGAGTACGAAGAGCATCAAGCAGGGCGCGTCGAAGAGATTTCAGGCGGTCATGACTAAGTTGAGGGCTTTCTGATTTGTTTTCTCTTTGCAACTTTCCCCTCCGCATCCATTTCCATGATCTTGCATTGCATTCGACGCACGAACATTTTCCTTTTCCTTCTTTTGTGGATACGCACCTTCGCACTATATTATACCCCAAACCACTGCCCTTTTATTACATGACTTATTATGCTCCATCTTACATGCACGGACATTTTCACTCGCGTTTCTGTACTGCTCTCTTTGCTTGCTCATGCACATAGCATCTGTGCCACGCATTTGTTCCCTCAAACTATCTTCTGTAATCGTCACACTGTATTTTCTCATATGCACACAATCAGAACATTCGTATACACTACGGCAGTGCACTAAGTTCGTCCGCGTCGAAGTCCTCAAGTGCTGCCTCGTACTCCTCAACACTCGTTGTGGGCTCTGGCGGGTTTGCTATTGCATCACTCTTGGGTCTGTCTTCATCGACGGAATCTTCATCACCTCTCGCCTCTCCCCCCTTAGAACTCAAGTCGCTTTCTCCCTCCTCCTTCATCTGCTCCTTTTTACCACTCGCCAGCCGCTGTTTCTTCCTCAAACCAAGTATCCTGTCACAACTAACCTGCCCTCTCTTTCCCCAGCCATCCACCTCTGGCCTAAAATCAGCATACAACTCCCATCCCACCTTATTCAACTCGTTCGCATAACTGTCCGCCAATAATCTCATCGCGCCCATGATGGCCGGTGTCATCTGTCTTAGCGATCTTGTAATGTACGAGCATGTCGAGGCGGGCGATACGGGCATTCCCTTCTCTGGAGAGAGCGCGCGCCATTGTCCTTGTCCTTCATTGCCATCTGGTCCAGATGTAGCGTTGGAAGTGGAGGGAGAGGTGGAGATGGTGCCGGAACCGTGTGAGCCGTCGACGGAGGAGATTTGGATGAGTGGGATCCGGCGGCCCATTAGGTCGACATACGGTTGCGCTCCGCCATTGTGTGGTGCAGCCTTGCCGTTTGGTAAAACTGAGAGGGAGTAAGTGGACGATTTGGGATAGATGCCGAGGGAGGCGCCTTTGCTGATGGCGTTCATTTCTGTGTAGACGGAGGCTGCACGGGAAGTGATACAGGGATGAGCACCGTGCTGATAAGGGCAAGGTGGGCCGATGAGTGGAATGGAAACGGACCTATGCTCAAAGCTTCTTCGCGCTGGAAGCCCATTCGTTCGGCGACTAGGAATGACCAGGCCATCATGATCGGCGCGCGATTGATGACCACGAATTTTCCTTTAAGCATCTATAGTTTCAGAAATTTCAGACCAATACGACCATAGAAGGAGGACAAGCACTGACCTCCTCATCCAGTATCTCATCGAACTCGAGGCTGCCGACTTCATCGCCTTGCTCGTGAATTTTGTCAGGAAGGAATTCGTTCTGGTCGTTCTTCTTTGCAACCTTGCGCTTCTTCGTGGGAGGAGGCGTGGCGGCCTTTTTAGTAGGATAAGACTACGAATAGATGTGTATTCATGAATGCCTTCCGTAGTACGCAAGCAGCGACCCGGATACGAGTACAGTACTCACCACGGAAGACCCAGAAGCAGTAGCCGTCGATGACTTCGTTTCTTCGGCGTTCCCAGGTGGTAAAGCACAAGGAATTGAGGCTTGGCGTTTCCGTCCTTCCTCAGTCTTCACCTTCTCCACGACCTTCGCACGATATCCTGCTTTGGAGACGGCACCCAGAACGAGCTTACGATCCTCCTTATCAGAAACGCCAAGAGAGACAAGCTTCACATCTGTTAGCTCTCCCAATGAGTTCGGGGTGTTGACTTCCTTGTATCTATAAAGATGAGGACCACACACATTTTGCCGGTCAGCAACTTGAAGATAAAGCTGGGAATGGCGGGAGAGCACAGCATGACACACGTACATTTTTCCAGCGACCGCCATAGACCTTTTGACTGGTAAACCATTGGACGTTAATAGTTGGAGGAAGGCCTGAAGGCTCAGCTTTCGCTCAGGTTGGGCCATGATTGCAGTGTTATGGTTCAGTCTAGGGTGGTTAGGGAGCCGGGAGAAGGAACAACTTCAAGTTCAAAGCTCGAGAAACTCGGACGCAATAACGAAGGGCAAAGCGTAGGTGTAATCAGATCCAGCAAGAAGGACGACAGTGAGGCTTTCCCGGTGGTGAAAGCTAGGAATTCGGCCGAGCTCTGTTCATTCGCAAGTCATTCGTCGTCACGATGGTTCAGTTGTGAGACAGTGCCACGGTCGTGTCCGAGTCAGTCGTGCGCCACAAGGATCAAGCCGGAGAATTCCGAGCAGTCGAGTATCTTTCTTCGAGCCACCCCTTCGGGACGTTCCTCTGGTCATTCTCGCATCTCCCAGTCGTAGATTGGGAGTCGGGAAAAGCGGGTTTTTTGAAGTACATGTTTCAGATACTGTACAAGTACAAGAGATATTACATGCAGAATGGCCCTCGTCGTAATACGCCTTAATCATACACCGAAACTGGATACTTAAACCAACTGGCATAAGCCTATCGTACATATGCTCGGCCTAACCACAACTATTCACCGCTTACCACCCACCTAACACATAGCGCGTCGTTGCACTACTCTGTACGCTCCTATTCCTCTCCTTTCCACGCCTCGTCCCATCCCAATCCACTCCTGTCCCATGATCCTTCTTCGTCTCCTCCACCAATATCCTTCGGTCCAACCCATCCCATCGTGTCCACCAAAACACCCGCCGCCCTCACAAATACGCTCCCATCCAACTTCGATGCGCCAGGCAGAGTCTCCTCCAACCCCTTATCCACTTCCGCCCGACTCTCTCCGCCCAATTTCGTGCAGAATGCGCCAATAACACCACCAGGAGGCACACTTCCGAACCTCTGCGCATACACATAAAGAGATCTCCAAGCCTTGAGGGTATGCGAATCCTTGGCAGGCAACACATGCGGGAGCATTCCTGCCCACGCATTCATATACTCTCGCTTCATCGGGTTGCCCAAAGCTCCGGGCAACTTCGCTCCTTCTTGGACTCCCGCCGGCGTACTATTGACCTTCTCGTTCGAATTAGACCTCCCTGACTTCGGCACGGGGTACGCCTCATATCCCATGATCACCTCACATCCCACCCTCGGCCTTCCCCTCATAAGCATATACGCCACTGCCACCGGCAAATACGCAGCAAGCAACATCCTCCGACTTCTTCCTTCTTTCAGCACCCCCATCAATGGTTCGACGAAGAGGGAGGACGTGAGGACGTGCATGAGGAAGAAGTCGAGGCGGGGTTTACGGTTTGGTTTAGACGTGCCGGCGAAGAGGAGTGTAGCAAAGAACGCGAGCTGTTCGAGCATGTCTTTCGACTCGATTTCCGAGAGTGCCGCAGAGGAATCAGAAGAGTGAGAGAACGCCTCTGGGGCCAGGGCGGGATGCCACATTCCACATATCCTCCTGATCTCATTTATTCTCCTCGGTGTCAACGCATCTTTCCTTCTCTGGCTCAACAGCGCATCTGGGTCGTAAGGGAGGACTGGCGTAAGGATATCCGAGGCGTAGATTTCGCGAAGGATGGATAAGAGTGAATGACCCGACGACGGTAGGCGAGGTTCAGGGGAGGAAACGTTAGGGTTAGCATGAGCGATACTACCAGTTGTGTCATTCGTTTTCGTAGTGGAAGAACGTGATGAAGGCTGGTAGTCGGTTGGCGTCGGTTCAGTAGACGAAGGGGCGGGGTTCCAAGGGAAAAGGGATGGTTCGAAGGCATCGTGGACAGCACATTGGGCAAGAGCTGTATGGAGAGATGCGCAATGCAAGAAATAAAAGTAACGAAGAGAAAGGTTTTGAGCGAAAACATGTGAAGGGCTTTGAGATATTCCAATTTGCGTACCTTGTGCGACCATAGCATTGCTCTGAAACGCTATGGCGTACTATTGCCGACCAACATCCGTTCAGCATGCACCTTCGCAGAGGAAGTGTCACGTACTTACCCCCATCTGAATCATCGGATGAAGCCTGCAATATAAGAAACACCATCAGCCATCGCCATGCTGAGACTGGTGAATCTATGCTAGAGTAAGAAACGACACTTACGCTCCACCGACAAACCGTTCAATCATAAGTCCCCGGTCGCTGTTTGTCTCTTCCGAGAAGATGTAGTGTTCGAGAGTAGCGGCCGCACCAGTCTGTTTGATCTCGTCTGCGAAGAACTCGACGAAGTTGGCGTAGAATCTGGTGACAGAAGGTAGCAGAGGGGGTTGGTCAATATATATGATGTTTAAACGTCAAATGTAGCGAGAAGTAGCGGTATGTAGGCTGCACCATCCTGACGGTATAGGCTGTTCTCTTCACGCCAAATAAGGTGAACTAAGAAAGCATTATGCGGACCAACCACTTGGATGGTGCAACGAAGACGTTGAACACCGTCGCGTGGATGAAAGATGGCATGACATTCACTGTGGTTGTAGCAATGGCGTTTAGAAATTATCACATCCAATGTATCCTGATAATGGCTCGCTTTGACCATTGTATCGAGAAAGGGAGTGAGATATCGGGAAAAGGGCGGGTAAAATTTTGTCCCAGGTCCAAGACGGGTTGTGATATCGGGAGCAACGAAAAGAAATATGGCCGGATCTATAAAGAGGCATGCTTACTTTTCCTGTCCGACGTACTGCTTCCAATTACCTCGGTCAAATTTGACGTCCTGCCGTTTGATGGGTGCGTCCTTCCTTCCCTTACTGAACACCGGTGATAGCCCCACTATCTCAGTATCATATATTGCTTGAAGTAGCGCAGGCGGTGCACCTAGGTCATAGGCTGCTAGAAGGCTTGAAACGAGCCAGTCAAGTTCGCGTCTCTGGAAAGGGAAGCTGGCGAGAACATACTTACTGGTGACTGAGGTGGTTGTGGAACCCTACACGACCCCAAAAGCAGTGATGCACCTGTCTGTCCTTCTCGAGCAGACTCTCCAGGAGCACTTTAGACTCCGGATTGGCTCCAGGGACGGTAAGGACAGGTTTATGGATGACGGGCGGGATGCCCGTCTCGATGGAAGTCGCGTAAGAGGCCATACCGCGAGTGAGCAGCCGGAGTGGGTTCGTGAGAGTGCGCATGGGAGGCAAGCGTAGCTATAAGAGCAATCCTACATTACAGTTTCTGTGGTGAGAGTGAGACAGTATGACCAGGAGTGTGTGTCATTCTCATCGTCATGAGAGTCTGATCATGAAGGAGAAAGACTGTGTGGCGCAGGGCCTCTTAGGAGATGTGGCCCAATTGCTTGGGCCACGTGCCATGTACCTTGACAGAAGTTGAGAACAAATCGTAATTTACCTTTCGTCGCTGGCTTCTCTCACTTAGGGCCCCTTCGGCAAGTCGAGTCGAGTTGGGTTGAGTTGGGCTTCCCCGCCAATTCTCGTGGGAGCTCGAGTTGCTCTTGCCGTCGGATCACAGGCCCGTTGTCACTCTTGGACGGAGGAAGCCGAGGGGACTTCAGGAAGAGTCGTCCGTGCTTTGCGTGATTTCCCGACCATTTCCGCGCATTGTCCGTGATAGCCCACACGCACCGGCACCATCTCCGGATGGCACTAAGGTGCACTTACTGTAGATCTGAATAATACAGCAAAATGTGTGGAATAATCGAGGCTTCTCCATGATACTTGCCTCGTTCAGTTTCATTCGGTGGACAGAATTCTACAAATAAAGCACCTTCCCCATCGTTGAGCTCATCGAGGGCGGCGATGAGGGAAGATAGGCACGGTGTAGACCGGCCCCTGTTTTACCGGGTGACCCTGGACCCCATCACACACTGTCACTAGGTGACTCCGCATGGTCACGAGGCACAACTCGATCCAACTCAACTCAACCCGACTCGACTCGACTTGCCGAAGGGGCCCTTACATGTACGACTCGCGGCAGTTCCGATATGTCTTCGCCATACCTAGAATGCGATCACACTAGCCACGGTAAGTACTTGTTTGTCTTGCGAGGGATATCCTACTCTTTGGCCACCTCGCATTCAGACGCCTTCACTGTCGTTGGTCCGAGACATGAGCGAGCTTTGACTTCATGACGCGTGAAGCTCGAACACATTTCAGCTATTCAACTCTGCGTAGGACCGAATGATTGATCCAAAACAGGACTGGTCAAAAGAAGAGAGGTAAGCATCAGCTTTACGGAAGGCGATGATCTTTGCGATGGTAGAGTTATGGGCGCTGTCGGTGACCGAGGCTCTCTTCTCGTATCCAGCGGGTCTCTTTGCCCGGCGAATAGAGACTTGGTGCATGTCTTTCTCCTGTGAAACAGAGGTTTTTGACTCCACATCGCCGTTCCGTCAGCGCATCACTCGCTTCCTCTTTCTAACGGTGTCCTGTGCCCGAATATGCTCAAATCTATCGGTAGTGCAGAAGGCTTGTTAGCACGAGAATCTCTCCGTATGGTATTTTCTGATATGTTTCAGCTTTTTGCCAAGCTACATGCAGTCGAGGTATCCCGCACATACAGCGCCGACGGGTGAGCATTGCACCCAGGCCCATCGACATCGTGCTCATGCGAGCACTGAGTACTTACAGAGCAGTGAAGAGTAGTGACCGTTTTGGCCATTAACCGATCCCTCATATATAGCTTGCAACAGCTCATCTTCTCTCAACCAAGCAATCTCTCATCTCTCCTGCTTTCCTGCAAAGTCCTCACCGGTCGGTACATACTTCATCTATCAGTCTCGAGATTCCTGCTGCCCCATGTAGCAACTATATGATTCGCTGACCTCGCTCAACTCTTCGTAGACCAGCCACAACTATCGTCATGAGATCCGCCATCCTTCTCTCTCTCGTCGCCACTGCGTTCGCCGCCAACACCTACGTCGGCGAAACGACCGGTACCAGCTGTGTCGGTTCTCTTTCCAGCTTCGCCCTCACTCCCGGTCAATCGACATGCTACCCTCAGCAAGGCGCCTCCGTGTGGCTCTCCACGGACGGTTACGCCTGTACGCTTCAGCTCTTCGCCTCGGATGCGAACTGCCAAGGCACTCCTTACGACCAGAGAGTCAATAACGACTCGGAGGATACATGCCTCACTGAGCAGGGCACAGGAGGTTCTTTCTTGGTTACTTGCGACAACTAGGCGGTTTATGGTTGGGTGATTTGCTCAGTGTCGGTGAATCGGTATGTCCACGCAACAGAATCCTTTTCGGTTCCGAATGTTTGTTTGCTGAATCACGTGTCTTTCAGGCGGGTCGTATAGCATACAAAGCTCGTGGTGCGGTTGGGTTGGTGGTTTTCAATTGCATTTGGGGCTCACAGACTCGGAGTCAGGGTTTTTTGTTGCCTTTGGGTTTTGATCAGTACCTCCTATTCTCAAAGTGCGGTTGTATCTGCTTCAAAAATGATTCTTCTGTTGAATTTCCTGAGTCGCTGACTCATATCATTAGCGCTGCGCGCTCGAGTGAGTGAACAGAGGCTCCGCATCTTTCTTCGATGCTGCGACAAGGTTGTGTCGACTCGTCTTGAACGCTTTGTTCTCAGGCTCGGGTTATTTCTCGTTTCTTGTGGGCACTGCGCTAATCAGATGACAGAGGCGGAATGTCAACATCAAGCTCTTCCTCCTGCGAAACATTCCCTCTAAATATAACTCGTCGGCGGAGCGCCTCCCGGGCCAAGACTTCAACGCTGGATGCTTAACCGTCATTTCGAGGATGACATGTTTTTGACTCCTTTAATGCTGTAGGTGTGGCCGTCTGCCATGCCCGTACGATACCATAAGGCTTGCGCACTGCGTACGCGCAGCTCCGGATCTCGTTGTGCTCGGCGCTCACGCTCAGCAAAGTATGGACAATCCATGACTCGAAGAACTTGTGTACCTGTTAACCCACTGTCTGCTGCGCTAATTGCGGTGGCGTGCAAGAATCTCATAAAAGGGATGTACCAGTTGTAGCCGCCGCCTTCACCACGCATACGCCACCCATACCCTCGCGACATGCAGCTACCTGAATTCGACCTTGAACGTGGTACAGTATTGAAGGATGATAATGAACCTCTTCCTGTGAAAGAACATGTCTACCCGCCCGTCAAAGCTCGTCCAATGCGCTATGGTTCGTGGCAGGCTTCATTTCCTAACATCATCTATAGACAGACGAATCTGACGAGTCAGATAATCCAGCCGACATCCCTAGAGGTGTCCAAACCTGGAAGGATGCCTTTGCGACAGATGGACTTCAGAAGTACATCCGAGATACACCGGTATGTATTTTCTCTTGAAGTAGGCACTCCAAAACCGTTCGCGGGCCATCTCACATTACTGTCTATCTTTGAATGGCACAGGACGCAACAGGATGGCGAAAGGTTTTGTCCGACTTTTCCAGAAATACCCGGATCCGTAAGGAGCTCCTGTACAACATATATAGAAGACCAGTCTCAGTAGCATGGACGGTTGAGGATGGGGCCGCATGGGCTCTTGGGTGGGTGACTCTGTTCTCATCAGGATTGGCGTCTGAAGTTAACACATATAACTATGATCCATAACAGAAACCATGAGTTCCTACCACAGGAGGGCCTGTTATACATTCTAAACCGCCTCCTAGATCAAATAATTAGACGGCTATACACACCCGATCAGATCGAAGTGAGTCTGCTTTCTTACCTATTCTCTAGCTCTTGGAGGCACCCAACCTTTTGGGTATTCCTTTAGCGCGGGAACGAACTCACAGAAAAGATCGCTCGAACCCTGAATAGTCAATTAGGAGACAATATCCACCACTTCTACTCGCTAGATGGTCTGTGTACTGCCCCCGAGGTTCAAGGTCGTGGATACGGCTCAGCTCTCGTTCGTGCTGTAGTCTCGCAGGTAAGTCGCCATCGAGCTTTATCCGATGAGTTGAGGCGCAGTATATGTTTCTGATCGTACTTCATTCCTGGTACCACCTTGACCAGGCCGACAAGGATAACAGACATACCTGGTTATTCTCGAGCAGCGTCACTAACGTCCCATTCTATCAATCGCATGGATTCGAGGCTGTTTCTACGTTCACCGTAGGAGAAAAGAATCCGCAATGGGACAAGGATCCCATAGTAGTGACGATGGTGCGTTCCTCTGGGAGACATACCTCAAGAACCGAGACTGACTGAGATGGGTTCTGCAGATGATTAGACCACCAAAGGGAGGTGACGGCCATACCGCAGCGTAGAGCGTGTAAACGTCGGTCAACTCGCACGCTTGGATGCTATATATATTTCTCGCACTGCGGCTTTTCCCGAGCCGAGACGTTGGCTGGGCGTAGATTGAGAACAAAGGCCGCTTACGTAGCTCGGCCATTGGAATGTGTCGAGATTTTGTACATGTTGATGGATCCTTGGTTGGATGGATGAGAATACACAAACGAATTTACCCGACCCATCCCTGATATTTTTACCCGTCTAGAAGGATCTACATGATTGCGCGAGACTGTCAACGACTCCCGAGTTCAGTGATCGACGTGACGCCCTCATTCAAGTCATTGCGATAGTCAAGACTGAGGAGAAGTCCCGATGACTTCGACGCAGCCCTTGCCAAGTAGCGAGTCGTGGTAAAAATCTGGGAGTCAAAGAACTAGATTCCACAGCTTCCGGTCAAGGAATGGTCGTACAAATAAACACATGAGCCAGCATAACATGGGTAACAAACGTCGGTAGAAACGTCAAAAGTCGTAGCTAAATCGAAGGCATCGTAGAAACGGATGAGGGAGAACAAACGTACAGACGGTAGTACAAGGTAGAGTAAGGGAATATGACGCAGGGAATCATTAAGGTAGGATCCACAAAGAAGGCGAGGACAAAACACAAGCAAGAGCAGGGCAAGGCATGGAATGAAACAGAAAAGAATACAGCAGCACGAAGGTGTCGCACTGATTCAAGTGATAATGACCTCCTAGATATCGGCCATGCTGTTCAACAGCCCTGCCCTTGCAACCGAATCCACGCCCTGTCCTTCCGCATCCTTGATTGTAGCCCCTGATGGCCCAGCTCCCGCACTCTGCTGAGCCAATTGCCCTACCACATCACTCTGCAACTGCATCGGCACGAAGATAACCTTCGAGTTCCCGCTCTTCGCCATCTGCTGCAAAGCCTCCAACTGCCTGATCTGCATAGCGGCCGGACTAGCGAGGATATCGGCTGCCTGGCGCATGAGCCGAGCAGAGTCGACCTCGGCGCGTGCGGCGATGACCTTGGATTCTCCGAGACGCTTCTGCTGGGCGGCAGATGAGAGAGAGGCGGAGACTTCGGCAGAGAATATGATGTCTTTGATGAGGATGCCTTCGATTGCGACACCCCATTTGTCGGCTACGTCGCCGACGATTTCGGCTATCTCAAAGGCGATGGCTTCACGCTCGGTGACGACGGATTGGACAGCGCGGGCACCGACGACGTGACGGAGGGTGGTTTGTGCTCGCTGTAAAGAAAAAAATAATAAGGTGTGAGACAGGTCAGGGAGCAAAAGTTGCGGGATAAACTAACCTCAATGAGGGCCTGTTTCAAGTCTGTGATACCGAATGCAGCACGATACGGGCTCACGATCTGATAGTAAATCACCGAGTCGCTAAAATCGGGGGCACAAGACATAATTAGCCATGCTTCGTATGGAAGGGGCAAGATACTAACATTTCGACGTTGACATTGTCGCGCGTGATGACGCTCTGGCGACCGATGGGCGATATTTGGATCTTTACGTCGACGATTCGAAGAGATTCGGTGCAGACATTGACGTTCACAAGGCCGGGGTCTGTGGCTTTGTAGAACTGTCCAAAGCGGGAGACCAAACCGACTGAGCCTGTAGCACATCAAGGATGCTTTTTCAGTGATCCGATCCTTGTTTGAATCTGATGTGATGGAATATATACCTTGCTTGACTTCGCGGAAAGGGTTGGGGAACGGGCAGCAAGCTAGATATTGGCCAGACGAGCGTTAGAGGTCAAATCCCAAAGAATCTACATTCCGCGTAAGAACATGATACTCACGAATAGCACCACAGACCCCAACGCAGGCACCGAGTGCTTGCAAGCATGAGCCGTAGAGACCGTGGGTAACCTCGCCGGTACCCAGGTCTTGAGCATACGAAGGCTACAAAGCGGTAGATGCCCAGCGTGAGTGTCGTGATATCATTTCACACAAGAACTGAAGAGCTCCTGTCCTTCTGGTACTTACCTGCATCTCGGACCTCTTCAAAGGCTGCACCTTGATAACATGCTTACCAGGCTCTCCCGGTGCACGCGAAGTGGTGGCCACATCGTCAGTCACTGTATAGCGCCAAGGTTCGAAAAGACGTCCGTCAGTTAGGATAGGTTCGAAGTCAGCCTCGCGCGACGAACCATTCGGAGCTGAATGATCGACGACATTCCCTCGGGAAGACGTACTCTCAGTAGGAGAAGGAAGACGGTCCTTCCTGTCAGTGCCACCGTTTACAGCAGAGGACATCGTTCGACTTGTGGTAAAGGGGGTGATGGGTCGAGAAGAACAGGGGGTGGGAGCGCGCGTTCGATTGTGGTCAGCTTATATATATCGTCTGAGAATGAATTCGATGTAGCCTGGGTAACGGATACCTGGAGGGAACTCGACGCTGTTTATAGGCAGGTGCAAGATACTGCGGACTGAATGTGGTATGTGGGTGTGAAAAGGAATGATACAAGAGAGAGCAGGCAATGATGTGGGCGTTTTATATCTGGACCCGTTCACTGCTTCAATCGGGGCGCCTTTGCGGCAAGGTCAGTTGATGCACAGCCTTTCTACTTTCATGCTATAGCTTTCCCACGCTCTGCCAAGATCACGCGTTTGCACTCTAGCATCGTAAATTGCCTTGAAATTATCACAATCCGGGTGGGCGAAATGCACACAATTTCTTTCGGAGCAAATCATTCTTACTACATTGTTGAACATATTCCAGGGTTTTTGTCTCTGGCCTGATAAGGGCTGCAGCCCGCTGTCCATCAATGCATGACAGCATCGGACCCCATCTCGCCTACTACGACTAGTATAGCTGCTGCCTGACATCACTGCTGTGCAATGAAAGCGCTTTGGACCAAATTCGGGAACATAGTGCACAAGAGTGCATTCTTTGACCAATCGTTGACTGGTCTTTCAGACGATCTGGAGGCTCAGATCGAACATTCATGAGGCTTTGCGCAGAGGCCAGTATGTCGAACTTGAACGAGTCGGCCATTGTATACAGATACTATGGCCCTATATTTTGAACGCATAAAACCAGACACAGCCAGCCATGACCACAGAAACTCCCTCAGACGCGGTCCTCCGTGCCCGTCGTGTTACATTGACTCCAATACAGCTCGAGGCTATGGCCATCCGACATCTTCCGGGTACGCGAATAGTACTGCTGCGTAACTTGTTCTCCACCCCACATAAGCCCACATAGTATTCCTCTGACATCCCGTGCCCGTGTGCTCCAATTAGAGCCACTAACGTCGGTCGATATCATGAGTATTAGCCTTGGCATAGTCTTCGAAGGAGTCGGGACAAAAGGGATCAAATAATGCACAGCAAGGAAAGACGATTCGACGTCCTCGGAGGACATTGCTAGTGTCGTGCTGTAGCAATAGAGGTCTACGAGTGGCTATAAACATGATAGAATGGGGGGTCAGGAGGTACTAGGCAGCCACAGGTGATCGGTACATACGGCGCGATTGAAACTGTGTTCAAGGAGGAAATGTGGCTGAGACGACAAAGACTAGAATAAATTTTGAATCAGACGGCGCTCTTGCTATCGCTGCTCAGTGAACCAGCCGTTAGCCTTCCTGATGGAACAGTGCGCACTGTGCCAGTCCCATAAAGAGCTCTCCGATTGACGATGGAGTCAGGACGTTTCGCCGATATCTTGTATGCACGGCGCTGCGCAAAGGCACATCGTTCGGAGCTGCATCTGCGATTGGCCAGGATTGGCCATCATTCATTGATGTTTCTGGCGGGGTGCACAAGGGGAGCGAGACTCGAGGAGAGGGTTCGGGAAGTCAAGGAAGCAAAGCGAAGAGACGGTATTGTTGAGTGGCCGATGCGCAGTCCATCTTTTTCTACTTCAGCTTCTGAGTTTCAATCGGAAGAGGAAAGTGTAAGGTTGAACTTGGAGAGCGTCGGAGCTTGACGCGCAGTCAAACATATAGACGCTCTGTGCAAGTCACGGTGTTGGTAGCCAGCATTTTTGCGACTGCTGCATGCAGCAATAGACTGATGTCCTGAGCGCACATGTTCAAAACAACAGGACGACTTCACCCGCGCATAGAATGAGCACACTCGAATGATAATCAGCAATTAGCTCCAATATCTGCAGGGGAAAGAATTGAAGTGACTCGAATACGAGGATCAAACGTACTTTAGCTGGTACGAGAAAAAGAAGGGGACGAATTTTGAACCTGAAGCATGCGTCGATAGATAGACAGCATCGACGTGACAGCGCGGACGTGTTGAGAACAGCCGACGCACAGCTGGCTCCAGCTTTCAGACAGGTCATTATGAATATCTTGATGGAAGCCACAAAGCCATACTTGTGTGGTGAGGCATCACCGTCGTTTGGATGTTTGGCAAACTTACCATGACACAGGCGATGTTCCAGTGACGAAGGTCTATTCCCAGCAGTGTGGGACGCCACCACCATCATATTTGAAGTCTATATCCTGCCGAACAACAGGGTTCACCATTTGCCATGAGCGCTGGCTTGCCAGAAAAGATTCCCCCCTTCGTTGACAAGCGTCCAGTACCGCATAGTATAAATGTAAAGCGCGATACCCAGCCCATAGGCGATCTTTATATCTGTTGAAAGCACGCGACGTCAAACATCAACGACCGGAATAAAAGCACCAGGACCATCGACATCAAAGACGTACGCGTTCTGTGATGGACATGCCTCTTCAGCTCGGCCTGTAACTGTGGCACGCCCATGACGTTGCAGAATATATGCGCAAGGAGTGGTGGGATCACGGAACCTGAGCGTACGAAGAGAAACGCGCAGTGGAAACCAAAGAGTGTTGTGTAGGTGAACTGGAACACTGTGCGGCATCAAAAGAGGAGGTTAAGTACGACGGCTCGGACGGTCTTTCAGAATGAGATGCGGAAATGTGGACGAACCCGTAGACAAAATCGCATTTTTCAGGGCTTGTGATGTTCGACCGAATTGGTTGTATACCTCCCAAGCATGGTGAAGATGAGCTAGAGAAAGTTCGTAGATTAGGATGAGGAAAGAAAGTCGCGGAAGACTGGATATCGGGCTCACCAGCTCCAAACGAAAGTGGCGTGAAGAATATCAAGAAATTCGTCGATGCCCCAGCGAGGTGGTATACACATATAACGCAAGACCTCCACGCGAGTTCTTCGGATAGGGGGCCCTGAAATTCCGTTACTTTGATGCTGGAAGAATAAGGACAAGAGCATAAGACGCACCACAAGGAAATTCCTACACCCTCTCCAATGGAAGAACGTGTCCGCAATGTGCTCTCGGTAACTCCAGTGCGCCATAAGGGGCAGCTCCTTAGAGAGATATTGGGCATATAGAGGACCGAGATATAGAGCTGGTGTAATAAGACAAGGCCATATTAGGCTAGGATGCCAGATGAATCCCAGTCGAGGGTAAGTCCAAGTCCATGCTGAATCCGGAGCCTATGCATTGGTCGCGGGTCATATCATCAGCACAGTCGCGTAACAGATCAACAGAGTGGACATTGCGCACCGAATGCACCACCTCATTCGAGCGAAAGATGAGATACACGTATGAACACACAGCTAGTGTACTCAAAGTAACCGAAGCCATTCTTGCTCTGATCACCTTAGGATCGTCTCTCCAACGCCAATTTGGCTCCTTTGAAGAGTATGCAGGCATGGTGTATTTTGTGAGGTACAGTGGGACAACATAGGCGAGCGTGAAAGCAACATTGAGAATGTGAGCCTTCTCAATGCTCAACGGAGGGTTATTGAATGTCCCGACTCGGAGGTAGTTGGACATCAGGTGTCTTATTTGAATCCAATGACCGTAAGACGCGCTAGCAGTAGCAATGCAACCAAAGACAATTCCGAGGTAGATAGAAACTACGACCCGTCCAGGTTCTCCACGCACAGACTAGTACACGAAGGCAGAAGAGGGCAAAGGATACTGTGGTCGGCCACGACAATTGCAGCTTTCTTGCAAGGTCAGAAACACCCCAGTTCAGGGTTAGGTTTATAGGCAACCCTGTTGTGGCGTATGCGTGGCTCATCAGATTCAGACAGAGCAAAGAGTGACATACAAAGAACGACATACAACATCTAACACGGCGCTAGAATAGGGGCATACCGCAGAACATACACGAGAGCATGGGTGACAGCAGTACATACGGTCGTACACATAAATAGCAAGCAGAAAACGCTTCCAGGGCACAGCCCTCAACCCTTGTCAACCCTGGAGATGGTTCAGATGAGGCGGGGTCAAGTTTACCAACGAATCAACAATACAGTCGTGATGAATACGAATCCTCCAATCACACCGAGCACCGCCCAACGCGTATAAGGCTCGAAATGACGAGCCACGGTGCCGACGTTGGTGATGTCCATCCCTCGGAAAGCGTACAAAGTGATACCGGTGATGAATGCCACGATTGCCCATATGAGGAACACGAGGGGAAGGGATAACAAAAGGCTGCGTCTCTACAAAAAGAAATCAAGAAGGTCAGTTTCTCTTCGTTACAGAGGAAAAGGCTATTTACCGTGACGAGGATCATGCCTTCTCCAACGAACGTCGAGTGGTGGCGCCCGATGTCGGAGTTGTAACGCAGGAGGGCCACGATGGAGGAGCACATACTCGAGGCCGAAAGGATGATGGCCATGAATCCTGCGAGACGAGCGAAATCGTCTAGCCCAGGCAGTGAGATGAGCGTGACCGATGCGCTGAGGATGACGGCAGCCTGGAAGGCAAGAGAACTGGGGTCAGACATCTGGCCGTAACGAGAGGGAAAAGCACTATTGCACTCACGATCAAACAAGCACAACTTCCGATAACGAGCATGGGTCCAGCAGAGCTTGGTCGTGATCCGCTTTCGTGGTCACCCCGGTGGTAACGCGAACGTTCCACGAAGAGGTAGGGAACGCCGAGGCATACGATAGAGATTACGAAGTCAAGGATGGTCCTTCGAAAAGGGATGCGGCGCTCGATATGCCCGTTGGTCTTCGACGAGCCGGCTGAAGAATCCTTCGGGGAACTGGGAGAGCCCAAACGCCACGCCGCTGTTCGAATAGACAATGAACAAAGGATAGGGAGGAATCCGATATTCGACTTACTGATACGGAGGAGGATCTTGGCTATCATGCGGGTGCGAATGGCGGCCTGCATGTCGTACTGATTCGCAGGACCTGTATATACATGAATGAGCACGACACAGTAGTGTGGCGGAATGATCACGGCGCACCTTCAAGAGACCGAAGCAAGCTCATTAATTCCTGGCATTCCTCTTGACTGAACGGCGGAAGTGCAAGCTTGGAAGATGGAAGCAGACGGTCTGACAAGCGCTAAGTCAGGAAAACAGCAGGTAGTCGCGACGAGAATGATACTGACCTGCGTACGACCATTGTAAGATGTTGATGGCCTCCGACGCCGCACTCGGGGGAAGAGGGGCATGGGCTGGGTGTGCTTCGATATAAGACCAGTATCGATGCTCCATGTCGAGACCTTGTTTATGACGTTCAGTTATATCGGTTTGAAGTCAAAAGTGAAACAACATAGAACTCACGGCTCTCGTCAAAGACATGCACCTCGCTCGTCTCCACAACGGGCTTCTCAAGAGAAATGACACGCTTGGCGTGGTTCACCCAAGCCCTCCCAGGAATGAACTCATCCTTCGATAATGCCGCATCCTTCAGCCACAACTCCCACCCCTCTGAAGGCAGAACTCCTTGATCATCCGTATCACGTCCCCCAAGATACGCAGTGACCGCCTCCATCTTCACGTAGTTCCTCATATCGATGTCGGTCGTGACGTGCAAGTCGGGGTGAGAGTAGTAGAAGCTGCTATCGGGGAGCATAATCTCCTTCCATCCGAACGCTTCGAAGTTACGAGCGGGTGTGGGCCAGATGGAGCTGTTGCCGGGTTGGAAGTAGACGGTGACGGGGTGGGCAGGTTCATGCTCAGGGTCTTTACCATAATCGGGAACCATCGTCGAGGATGAGCGACCGAGAAGAGGCCTTGTCTCGCTATGGCACGATTAGTTTCAATATATGCGGGCGGGGAGCAAGGGAGGACGTCTGCTCACTCGGTGTCATAACCGGCATTGTCAGGGACCGGCATCGTAGTAGGAGGGGGAATGGTGGGAGGGGGAATGCCGGTGCTTGGAGCATTATCCGCTACATTGAAAAAAGGCCTGGTACAGTGTCAAATATGCACTGTTGACGAGAAGCAAGCGGCATCAACTTACCTTGAGAACACGGGCTCTTCCGTCTTTGGCTTAGGCATGACCGTTGCACTCGCTTGTTCTGGTGGATGAGGAGCATTATCCGCTACATTGAAAAACGGCCTAGCACGGTGTCAAAGATAGACTGTTGACGAGAAGCAACCTGTATCAAACTCACCTTGAGAACACGGGCTCTTCCGTCTTTGGCTTAGGCATAACCGTTGCACTCGCTTGTTCTGGTGGGTGAGTCGGCGAGTTAATCACGGACGGTCTACGAGGATGTGTGTGTTAATCCAGAGCAATCAACAACAGGGGGACGAGAAGCGTACTCAGGCATGTTCACCGGACTATCCGATCGCGGAAGCACAACGACGGGGTCCTCTGGGTCTGCGAATGGATCTTGACCGAAGACGCTACATAGCCGTATGAGGAACCTTGAAACGGATGAAAGAAATGAAAATGACCAACCGCATAACACGCGAGGGTCTAGGGTCACGACCACGCTGCTCGACGATCAAAATACGCTTGCCCTGGTCGTCCTTAGCATCCTGATCCTCCGAGAGCGCCAGCGACGACCGACTAACATTCGCAGAATCCCTACCGTTGATTCCAGGAGGCAGCACTGGACCTGCCTGAGACGACACGGTCGAGCCCCTGGCCCTCGGCTTCCTGCCCACACTGACGGAAGACCTCCTCCCTATCATAGCCTGCTGAACACTGGGATATGGGTGGCGCTCGTCGCTCTGACGAGGTGTCGTCTGAGTACTCGTAAATTCCTCGTGTCCAAGGTCGCTTGTGGATGGAATGTCAACGTTGGTGGGCGCGTTGGCGGACGACGAGTCTTGTTGGCCGAAGTAGCCAGAACTATTGGCGGCGGACGAAGACCAGGGATTATGCTCAAGGGGCCGCTCGTGTAGGCCTTCGGCGGGAGGTTGGCCTTGTGGCTGCGCCTTTGGTTCGGCAGGAGGCTGGGCGCGGGGAGGATTGACGGCTGCACGAGCGACACTTGACATCGACGTATCCCTTGACGACATGGAAGGCGCGTGTACTTGGGACTGCGGGGGTATGGGTGAGGTCATGGGTGTTTGCTCTGCCGTTGCGGGCTGGACATGAACTTCCGGGCCCGGCGGGGATTGCTCCTCAATAGTCTTCGTGGGGCTCGTTGCCTGACTCATCTGCGCAGGAGTCTCTGAGATCGGATGTTCTGAAGTCAAAGGTTCTGGGTGCTCCTCAGCGGGCTGCTCTCTTGGGCTCGGGATGTCAATGGGCTGCGTCTGTCTGGGGGTGGCTTCGACTGAAGGTGAGGGTGGAGTTGGATCTGCCTCTGGAGCTGCCTCTGGAGCAGGCTTGTCGGCAGAAGCCTTTGACGCTGGGCTTGGATCGACGGCAGGGGATTCTGGTACAGGGCTCGGTATGGTGTGAGAGGCATTGACGCCCGGGGTGGCGAGGTTGGTCGAGTCGACCTTGAGAGAAGAACCAACGGAAGACCTAACGGATCCAGCCTCGGAGGAGCTTCTCGAGGGTGAAGAGGGTCGAGGGAAGCCAAAGGAAGAGCTTCGTCGTAGGACAGAGCCTACGGAGCCCATACGAGAGCGGAACGTTCTTGGGTTGCGAGTGTCGGCCGACATGACGGGCAGAATAGAATAGACAAAAAGTTGGAATGTGAAAGAAAGAAATCAAGTGAAGAGTTTGTCTGAGGTGAAGCACCAGGCCTGCGCAAGTGATGAGATGGGAGTCTGAAGAGACGAACGAGGGCGCAGTGAGCAAAGCGAGGCCTCATTATCAAGGGAGTGGGGTGCCTGCAGGATGCATGACCGTTGAGGCGCGCCGCCTCTACTTTCCGGCATAGATGGAGGTACAGTACGAGAGCACTCCATTCCAAAGAAGAGGGTGCCGACATACACGTGTGGTGACGAAGTGAATACGAAGTGATCAGTAATGCGTGTTCTACACGAGATGCAATCCTTCGCGCAGTGGAAAGTGGTACCCAGAAGAAGTTGGAGAACAGGTCCATGAAGAAAACCTCCAACGATAAAAAGCCCACAGTGTACTGACAAAACGCGCATCGTACTGACTACAAAGTCATAGGGTGGTTGAAATCTTGCCTGAAAGTTGTTGGTCGTCGACCTGATCCGGTCCGTCCTGAGATGAAAAGAGCGCGACCAGCAGGATGATCACAAGCGTGGTAGATACACAGCATAGGAGGGATCGAGCCCAGAATGAGGAAGATAGTGAGGTGTTGCTGTGTGTCTCTTCAAGATGCAAAGCTCATGTTCCAGCCTTCCATACGACCGAAGACACAGCAGCTAACCTTGAGCTAACCTTGCGCACAGAGGCAAAGTGCTATGGAGGGATCCTGGTTATTAGCCTTAGACCCGTGTTGATGCGTACCATAAAGTTCCCAGAAATGGCAGACTGCTCATCGTGGGATAACATATTGAAAGACGCGGCTCAAATATCCAGAACAGTTTTTGGTGAATATAGATAGAAGATGGTGATGGACGTGTTGCAGGGGGGACGGTGGCGAAACGCGAGCTGGCCACGCCACGTTTACAAGCTTTCCTTTCCGAGTGGCAGTAACAGACCTCATCCATCCCGTCCACAAAGTATACCCCGCCCGCGCTGTCCTAATGTTGCTGGACGTGACAGTGAGTCGAATATAACGTATCCTCATCAAATATTCTAATACCACGGTGCCCACAGCGAAAACAATTCAATCGGTCAGACCGCGTCAAGGCCGTCGACTTCCACCCTACGGAACCATGGCTCCTTGCAGGTCTCTACAACGGCACCGTCAACATTTACAACCACGAAACTGGTGCCCTCGTCAAGACGTTTGAGGTTGCTGAGGTTCCCGTCCGGTGCTGTCGCTTCATTGCGCGGAAGAACTGGTTCGTCGCGGGCTCGGACGACTTCCAGCTACGCGTCTTCAATTACAACACGCACGAAAAGGTCACCGCATTCGAAGCGCACCCGGACTACATTCGATGCCTTACGGTGCATCCTAGTGCGAGCATTGTGCTCACCGGGAGTGATGATATGACGATCAAGGCTTGGGACTGGGATAAGCAATGGAAGTGCATTCAGGTGCGTCTGCCATTTCAGTTTCTATCGCCACACACGAAACTGCGGTATACTGATGAAGGTGGTGCTATAGTCGTATGAAGGCCATACGCATTATATTATGAACATTGCCATCAATCCGAAGGATGCCAATACCTTCGCGTCTGCATGTCTCGACCGTACCGTCAAGATCTGGTCTCTCGGCGCTCCTGTTCCTAACTTCACCATGGAGGCGCACGACAAGGGCGTCAACTATGTCGAGTTCTACCCTGGTGCGGACAAGCCATACCTTGTCACTACCGGCGACGACAAGACGGTCAAAATATGGGACTACCTCAGCAAGAGCTGCGTGCAGACTATGGAGAGCCACACGAACAACGTCTCATTCGCCGTGTTCCATCCCAACCTCCCTATTGTCATCAGTGGTAGCGAGGACGGGACTGTGAAGATCTGGAACAGTGGAACATATCGTTTGGAGAACACCCTGAGCTACGGCTTAGAGCGTGCTTGGTGCATTGCCGTGCGGAAGGAGTCTAACGAAGTGGCCGTCGGATTCGATGAGGGTTCGGTGGTCATCAAGGTATGTGTTTGCTTTCAATGGCATTGTACAAGTAACAAATTCTCAATCGCTCGGTGTAGCTTGGTCGCGACGAGCCAACATTCTCGATGGACCCCTCCGGAAAGCTCATATACACCCGCAATAACTCCGTCCTCTCTGCCAACCTCCAAACGGTCTCGGACGAGGGCTTCACCGAAGGTTCCCGCATATCCCTGTCCATCAAGGAACTGGGCTCCACCGAAATATTCCCCACATCTCTCACGCACTCTCCGAACGGCCGGTTCGTTACCGTCGTGGGTGACGGCGAATACATCAACTACACTGCTCTCGCGTGGCGGAACAAGTCGTTCGGCAACGGAAGTTCCTTCGCGTGGGCAGGAGACTCAAATACGTATGCCGTTTTGGAGGGTAAGCTGAAGGTGAGGGTGTACAAGAACTTCAGGGAGCGTGGTGGGCCGGGCATGAAGGGCGCGGGCTCGTGGGGCATCGAGTCGTTACATGGTGGGACTTTGCTCGGGGCTCGCGGAAATGGGTTCGTTCTGTTTTGGGATTGGGAGAGTGGAGAGATTGTGCGGAGGATCGACGTTGAGTCGAAGAGCGTGAGTTCTCAAGAAATCGACTGCGTGGCATCCTATCTAATTCGGGCATGCTATTCTTGATTAGCTGTACTGGTCGAGTACCGGCACGCTTGTGGCGGTCGCGGCCGAAGAATCGTTCTATATTCTTCGTTTCGACCGAGATGCGTATAATGCTAAACTTGAGGAAGGCGCGGATATTGGTGATGAAGGTGTTGAGGAAGCGTTCGAGGTCATTGCTGAAGTTCCCGAAAGGTGTGTATTCACTATTTTGAATTGTTGCGTTCACTCTCTGACCTGGTCATAGCGTCCGCACCGCGAAGTGGATTGGCGACTGCTTCATCTACACCAATGCCGCCAACCGCCTCAACTACTTCGTTGGCAATGAGTCGTATTCCATCACAAACTTTGACAGGTAAGCGTTTTTGTCATCTCTACGATTATTTCTGCTAAACGTGAGTGTAGGCCGATGTCGTTACTCGGATACATTCCTGCCCACAACCGAGTTTATGTTGCCGACAAAGACATGAACGTATATGGCTACGCGCTGGCTTTGAGCGTAATCGAGTACCAGACGGCGGTGCTGCGCGGTGACATGGACGCGGCTGCTGAGATCTTGCCCACGGTTCCAAAGGACCAACGGAACAAGGTCGCAAGATTCCTTGAGGGCCGAGGTCTGTTCTCGCTTGACTGGAACGCGCCACAGATCCGCTGACTGATGAGTTTCGTCACGCCACAGACCTCAAGGAGCTCGCGCTCCAGGTGACGACCGACCCGGACCACAAATTCGACCTGTCGTTGCAGTTGGATGATTTGGACTCTGCGCTTGAGATTGTGCGGGGGGTACCAGAGACCGAGGCGGAGTCCAAGTGGAAGGCGGTCGGAGATCGCGCGCTTGCTGTGTGGCGGTTCGATCTCGCGAAGGAGTGCTTTGACAAGGCGAACGATCTCGGCGCATTGATGCTGCTACTGCTCTCAACGGGTGACAGGAGCGGGCTGGAAGACCTGGCCGCCAAAGCGAGTACGTGTCTCGTCAGCGCCGTCGCATTGTCACGCCTCTGACACTGATGATTTACTCCCCGGATAGGCGAAAAGGGCCAGAACAACATCGCGTTCGCTACGCTCTTCCAGCTGGCGGACACGAAGGGTTGCATTGACATTTTGGTGAAGACACAACGTATACCTGAAGCAGCCATGTTCGCGCGTACTTATGCCCCTAGGTACGTTTCAAAAACCTGGTTTCAATCCGCGTGTCTTGATTTGATGGCTGACATCGATGCACCACAGCCATGTGCCGAGAGTGGTGGAAGCATGGCGCGGAGACTTGAAGGCTAAGAACCGCCCAAAGATTGCAGCTGCCATCGCGTCGCCAGACGAGCAGGCTGATCTGTTCGAGGAGGGCTGGGAGGAGGCGTTGAGGCGTGAGGAGCAGGGTGGCGACGAGCCAGCGGCAGACGAGCAGGACTCGCCTGTGCATGTTGAGGCACCCGCCATCAACGGAGACGCACATGCAGGTGCGCAACATTGATACTGCTCCTGTCCGTCATGATATCTAACCATGTCCCGCTGACTACCTGGAGCAGAGTCAGAAAATGTCCCGAACGGGGTTGTTGAGGAGGATGAGGAGGAGTCGTGATTTGTGCGATGTGATATCCATGGGACATTTCTTTCTGTGTCTGTTTTCGTCGTACCCCTAAGTTCCACGCATGTAGCACTTAGAACCCGTTTGTTTTTCCGAAAAAGAAATGTGATGGTTGTTTCCTGGGCAGTACTGCGATGCGGGAAGGGAGACCGTCGCCGTTGCGGCAGCTTTAGAGCGACCGGAGAATGCCGCGTGGGGAGAGCGAGGGGATGACGGGTTGGGCAAGGACCACACCCACACGTCCGATTCGATTCTCTTCCCAAGCCAGCCAGCCAGGGTCTTCGTCGCTGCCAGCCTCGACAGCGCCCGGCGCACTCTTCTCTCCTTTCTTTCTTCTCGACGGCCATGGCCTCTTCCTCGTCGTCGTCTCCGGCCGTCAACTCTGGCGACCTCGTCGACCTCGTTTCTTCTTCCGCGTCTGCGACCGTTTACCCCTCCGACGATGCCATTCTCGCCGTTCTCCAGGCTCGCTTTAGAGCTGACCTACCTTATAGCAGACTTAACTCATCCCACCTAGTCGTCGTCAACCCCTACAAAGCTTTGGCGAACACCAACGATGTCAGCGCACAAGAGTACGAGGAGCGGTGTTACAAGGACACTTCCCTCCCACTCACTGGCTCCTCGCAACCATTACCACCCCATCTCTATGATCTCGCGGCCAAAGTGTATTTGCTCATGCGGAGGCGGACAGAGTCTCAGGCGGTCGTTTTCCGGTATGTCTCCTTTCTCGCCTTGGCCACTGGAAACCAGCGGGCTTAATGCCGCCACGTTCAGAGGAATCACAGGCTCCGGGAAGTCATTCAGTCGTGACCTGCTCATCAACCAAATCCTTCGACTCTCGACACACTCCAAGCGCGAGTTGAAGCTCGCAGAGCAGGTCAGGGCTCTCGCTCCTGTTCTCGATGCGTTCGGCAACGCCAAGACCCTTCTCAACCCGAACGCCTCACGCCACGGTCGATACTTCGAGCTGCACTTCAATGAGCGGGGTCGTCTCAGTGGCGCGAAGGTTCTCACGTATGGTCTCGACAAATCACGCCTTAATAGGCTCAGTCACGAAGAGCGAACGTACCACATATTCTACCAGCTCCTGGCGGGCGCCACGCCTGCCGAGCGGGATGCGTTCAACCTGGAGGATCCTTCGGACTATGCCCTCCTCGCTTCATCAGGTTGCTATCGTCTTCCTTCAGGGCCGTTCAGCGACGATTCAATCGCTATGGAGGATTTGCGTGTGGCGTTGCGGACGTTGGGTTTCAAGGCGAAGCACATCTCCGCTGTTTTCAGCCTCATTGTCGCCATTCTCCTCCTCGGGAACCTTCAGTTCGGTGACGGCGACTATAAGGACGCCTCTGCCTACGTGGCGAACGTCCTCGTCCTCGATCACGCCGCCCGTTTGCTCGGTGTGCCTTCGGAGGACCTAGCCCAGACGCTGACAAACAAGACGAGTTACGTCCGCAAGGAGCTCTACACCGTTCTGATGAACGCCCAACAAAGCGCAGCACAACGAGATCATTTCGTTCGCGACTTGTACGCCATCCTATTCGCATTCGTCGTTGAGACCGCCAACCACCGCGTGGCCCCGAGCGCTTCGGACCCGCCCCCGCACACTCAGGTCGTGCTCCTTGACCAGCCTGGGTTCCAATCCCGTGGGCCCGCCTCGACTGCTTCGATGATGTTCAATGCTCCTCTCATCCACGCCTACGGTCAGAACGGGTTCGACGAGTTCTGCATCAACTTCCAAGACGAGATGGTTCATTCTTATGTTGTGCGGAATATCTTCGAAGATAGTGTGGGCTACAACGGACACCTCGTTGGCGATGGCATCTCACTTCCAGCCATCACTGTCATGGATAACTCGGCCTGCATCGAGCTTATTCGTGGTGCTCAGCTTAATGAACGGGCGCACAAGAAGCCCGCGGGAATGTTGGGGGTGATGAACAAGGCGTGCTCGTCGTTCAAGTCGGGCAAGAGCGGCGACAAGAGGGACGAGGACCTGCTGCAGGAAATTGTGTCGAAGTGCGGCGGTCATGCATCCTTCGTCGCCAGCACCGGTGCCGACGCGAATACGTTTGGTATCAATCACTACGCGGGTCCCTGCAATTACGAGACCACCGATTTCGTGGAGAAGGACACGGACATGCTGGACTCCGCCTTCGTCACTCTCCTTCGCTCTTCATCCGATTCGTTCGTTTCCAAATTGTTTTCCGGACCGTCACTCGCCGCGGAGAAGCATAGCAAGGACGAAAACGCCATTGTTCAGGCACAGGTCTCCTCGCGGCCGTTGCGTCATCCAACCCCCGTTCCTGCCTCCGGCTCGAGCTCTCCCACAGTGGAGGAGCACCCCCATCTCGACCCTACGAAGGTTTACCCCGTCACGACTCAGCTCAATTTCAACCTTTCCGAGATCATCTCCACTCTCGACCGCACACGACTATGGACGGTCTCGTGTATCCGGCCTAACGACTCTGGTTCCTCCAATTCGTTCGATAAGAGACGAGTGAAGGCTCAGATCCGCTCTCTCCTACTTCCCGACATCGTCGCCCGTCGCAAGACGGAGTATGTCGCCGACTATGAGCAACTCGCGTTCTGCGACCGTTACGTTCCCACTATGCGTGGGTCCGAGGAGGAGCGAATTCGACAATGTGCGTCTTCGAATGGGTGGAAGGAAGGGACGGATTACGTTCTCGGACATAGGATGATTTGGCTCTCGTACGGCGCCTGGAAGTCGGTAGAGGATGTTCTGCGGGCTTCGGAGAAGGACAGGAAGGAGTCGGGCGAGGGCGTGGACGACAGTGAGAGCGCATATCCGGAGGACACTACCGAGTATGACCATCAGGACCCACCCACACCACGACGAGAAGAGTATGGTGACAGTGCCGACGACCTTCTTCTTGCGCGCACTGGCAGCCACGGCACGCAGTATCGTGCTCCCAACACCGCGACCGGCTACGCGGCGGTGGGCTACTCGGACGTCAACATTACGCCCCAGTATGAAGGTGACGGCCAATGGCACGACTACGGCTCGGACAAGAAGGGTCTCACCGATGAGATGCCCTCGACGCCTGCGGCTACGAAGGAGCTTGTGCCTAAAGAGGTGGCGCTCGACACCCCGCCTGTCACGACTGCTCGTAAGTGGTGGCTGCGGGTGTGCTGGCTCATGACTTGGTGGATTCCGACGTTCATGCTCACGTATATCGGTCGGATGAAACGCCCGGATGTTCGGCTGGCCTGGCGCGAGAAGTTCACCATCTTCCTCCTCATCTTCCTCCTGAACTGTTTCATCATCTTCTACATCGTCGAGTTCGGCCGTTTGCTTTGTCCCGATTCCGACAAGGCGTGGAACGTGGACGAGGTGGCCGAGCACACTGGTGATAACGATTATTGGGTTGCGATCCAGGGCAACGTCTACGATATCACGAACTTCGTTAAAGGCCAGCACAGTGATATCTCCGGCGAGGACAGTAACGATTCGGACACGCTTGAGGAATTGGCTGGGCAGGATCTTACGAACTATTTCCCTCCACCACTCATTCTCGCTTGCCCCGACCTCGTCTCCGACGATACGCTCACGCTGTCGTACGCCAACTTTACGGCCACTGTCACTACCGCGGTACATACATCGGGCGCCTTGGCGACGGATTCGTCGAGTAAGCTTTCGGATAGTGATTGGTACACATCGACGTTCCAGCCTGTGATCAAGAAGTATATCAAGGGACCTTTGGTGTACACCAAATCGACCATTGAATCGCAAGCTACGAGTTCCGACGATGATTCTTCTTCGACAGACACCAAGTCAGTGTATCACCTTCATTCGTTCGTTACTGTTGGATCCTAACACATTTGACTTTTCTTGTGGCCTATAGGACTTGGGCCATCTACAACGATCACCTCTACGATCTGACCGACTACTTCTACACCATCGACCAGAACTCTGCCACGACCAGCTATGAGTTCCTCGATTCTTCAATCACCGACGTCTTCCAACAGCAGCCCGGCAATGACATCACGAAAACGCTGAACAGCGTCATGGAATCGATGGACGCCACGACCGTCGCGCAAAACTTGGCTTGCTTGAACAACAAGTTCTATATCGGCGAGGTCGACTTCCGCAAGTCGGCGAGGTGTCAGGTCCAGAATTACATCTTGTTGGCGGCATCGATTATTCTAGCGTCTTCCATGGTGGTCAAGTGTGAGTTACTGATTGTTTTCCATCTCCATTATCACTGGTGCTGACCATCTCTATCCTTTCATTTCAGTCTTGGCCGCGTTGCAGCTCGGTGGCAAACGCAATCCCGAGATGCTCGACAAGTTCGTCCTGTGCCAGGTTCCCTGTTATACCGAAGGCGAAGATTCGCTCCGTCGTACTATCGACTCGCTCGCCAATCTGAACTACGACGACAAGCGAAAGCTCATCTTCATCATCTGCGACGGAAATATCATTGGTAGCGGCAACGACCGCACTACGCCTCGCATTGTCCTAGATGTTCTCGGTGTCGACCCTAAGCTTGATCCTGAGCCTCTCCTGTTCAGGTCGATTGGTGAAGGTTCGAAGCAGCTGAACTACGGGAAGGTTTACTCCGGTTTGTATGAGTTCGAGGGCCATGTCGTCCCGTAAGCTTTTCTCTTTGCTCTTCGTTCTACATATTTTGTCATACTGATTGTATTGTAGATACATGGTGGTCGTCAAAGTCGGCAAGCCGAGCGAACGTCAAAAGCCTGGTAACCGCGGGAAACGTGACAGTCAGATCCTTCTCATGTCGTACCTCAACAAGGTCCACTTCGACAGCCCGATGGCACCTTTGGAGCTTGAGATTTACCACCAGATGCGGAATGTCATTGGGATAGATCCAGCCTTTTATGAGTATATCTTCACTGTTGATGCGGACACTGTAAGTTCATGTTGTGTTTTGTCTTGTTTGCCATGACTGACGAAGAGCTGCCCCATATAGACGGTTACACCCGACTCTATGAATCGTCTGGTCGCGTCGGTCGCCGATGATTCGAGTATCATCGGTATCTGTGGCGAGACGAAATTGGAGAACCCTGAAGGCTCTTGGTGGACCATGATTCAGGTTCGTATAAGCGTTCTTGTCCTTCTGCCCATTTTTTCTGAATTTACTCTCCAGGTATACGAGTACTACATCTCTCACCACTTGTCCAAGGCCTTCGAGAGTTTGTTCGGCTCCGTCACCTGTCTTCCCGGTTGTTTCTCCATGTACCGTATCCGTACCGCCGACAAGGGTCGTCCCGTCATCATCTCCAGTCGTATCATCGATGAATACTCGGAGAACCTGGTCGACACGCTCCACAAGAAGAACTTGTTCTCCCTCGGTGAAGATCGTTACCTCACTACGCTCATGATGAAGCACTTCCCGACTTTCAAGACCAAGTTCACTCCGGATGCCGTCGCGCACACTGTCGCTCCTGAGTCTTGGCGTGTGCTGCTGTCCCAGAGGCGTCGGTGGATCAACTCGACGGTTCATAATCTTTGCGAGCTGGTGTTTTTGCCTGAGTTGTTTGGTTTCTGCTGTTTCTCTATGAGGTTCTTCGTCTTCATTGATCTTTTGGGAACTTTGGTGAGTACTTTTGTTCAATGCAGTGCGGTAACGAAATTTGGCTGATAGTGTCGTTACTTTATAGATTCTTCCGGCTACGGTCGTCTACGTAAGTTGACTTTACTGCCGTTTGAGCGGGTTGAATCAAAGCTAATAGGTGGCTCACAGCTCCTCTACCTGATCATCATTGTCGCCATTGGCGGAGCGGCCATCCCCATCATCTCTATCATCATGATCGCCGCCGTTTACGGTCTTCAGGCCTTGGTCTTCATCATTAAGCGAGAGTTCATGCTCGTTGGGTGGATGGTTGTTTACCTGTTGTCGTATGTATCCTTCCTCTCGCTTCTTGAGATGTTTTCGACGCTGACCCCTCGGCCACAGTTATCCTGTCTGGAGTTTCATGCTGCCAGTGTACTCCTTCTGGTGCATGGACGAGTTCGGTTGGGGTAGCACACGTTTGATCGTCGGCGAGGGTAAGGACAAGAAGGTCATTGTCAACGAGGATGATGTGTTCCACGAGAGTATGATTCCGCTCAAGAAGTTCAGCGGTACGTCTTTTAGTTCGTTGGTTTTGGTTGTTCCATCCTCACTATGTTTCCTTTAGATTACGAAGCCGAGACATGGGAAGGTTCACACCAGGGTGACATGTACAGCAAGCCTGGGTCGCACCTTCCACCTCATTCCAGAGCGCAGTCTCGAGCACAGTCACCGTACGGATCCCAAGCAGGCGATTTCTACCGCGATACAAACGTCATGGACTCCAAGAAGGACCTTCGTAGCCACCCGTCGCAAGGCAGTATGTCTCAGTACGGTGGTCATCAGCAGCCGCCGATGTCACAGTACGGTGCTATGCCTCAACTGCCATTCATGCCTTTCGGTACGGGCTACGCCGGGTCCGCTGCGGGTTCAGATTATGGTGGCCACATGCAGATGGGTATGCCTTACCAGCAGACCGGAAGCGTCTACGGAATGATGCCACCTGGTGGGCCGAGGAATACGATGATGTCGTTCAATCAAAATCCGTTCGGCGGAGGTATGGCTCCAGGAATGGGGAATATGTCTTCAGGGCAGTCAATTGCAGGTGGTGCTCCTCCTTCAATGGGGGGTGGGATGGCGCAACCGCGGATGTCGACGTTCTCGTTGGCGACTTCGGTGAATCCGTTCGCAGGGCCTAGCAACAGCACGGATCCGACGGACGATGAGTTGACACAGGCGTTGCGTAATTATCTCAGCACCCAAGACTTGATGACCGTTACAAAGAAGTGAGTGGCCTTTATGCTGAGACTCTAGTAGTGGCGAAACTGACTTCTTCGATTTTTTTCAAGAACCGCACGCGAGGCTATCATGGCTCGTTTCCCGAAGGCGGACCTGGCCCCACGGAAACAGTTCCTGAACGACTCCATAGATGCGATCCTCCGCGAGGCGTAGAGACACTTTCATCTAGTCTTCTTGCCTTTGTACGAACTTGACGCTGTCTCCCTCGCACACCTATCATCTCTTCCTCTGGCATCGCATCTCTTCTGATGGAATCGTATCGTAATGTATACTTGCATGGACTGTGCCGTCATGGACATCAGACCCTATAATTCCCCTTCGTCATTAGCTCGTTCATTCCGTTGGTTTATGTCCACTCTTTAATTACGCGCGCACCTGCATTTTCAGACACTCATCATAGCTCGGACTTTCTCTCCATCCCCACAACCCCCCAAGTCCCATATTCCACTCCCCATCTCATGGTATATCCTTCTCTTTTCAGCGCAGAACTTTTATCCCTTTCTTTCTCTCTCGGACGCCGCTCTCTACTACTCGATGTACTGCTCGTTTGGACAATGGATAGTTTACGTTCGAACGGTCGTAACTCTAGTCTTATGCTTGTTTCATACCGTTTTCTAGTTGTCCTTCTTGTTGACGCCTTTGCATCGTACTTCTGCATATCGGACGTCGTGTCGCAATAGTACTTAGGAATCGGAATCTGTCGAAGGAATTTATGCAATCTAAGTGGATTATGGATTCTGCCAGTGGTCGTGCCACTGCTGAGGGATTAGAGTGGTGCCACGCCGAGTAAGATGACCGCGAGAGCGATCGGCCCGCGGACGGACGCAAGCAACCTGCGGAACGAATGTCTGGAGGAACGCTCGCTGTCCCGCACCACTTCGTGCACCACAGCTTGTCCCATATTCCCCTCCCACCTCTTTCCCGAGTCAATCACTCTTTAGTCTAGAAATATGCCTGGGCCAGCGATATATATTGTCGCCGTTATTGGGACAGTTGCTGCGGCCTATGCTTTCAAGGAGGTACGCACAGTTTATATCCGTCTGTCATCGGATCCTAGGATGTATACTTATGGACCTACTGGTATCTGGTCAAACAACGTCCATGACGTTCTCTAGTTTGTGTTTGAACCTCATCTTCGTCCGAAGATGGATGCCTGGATGGAGACTATGGAGGCTCGTCTCAGGGAACGACGGAACAGGGGCCGACAGCCCATTGCTGTGCCGCTGACTAGTAGTTCGCGGTCGTCGTCGTCGTCTTCAGGAAATGGTGAGGGTCAAGCGAAGAGTACGAGGAGGCGTCGAAAGTCCTCATTGGACTCAGAATATTCGACTTCCCCGATTGAGCTTGAGAAATTGGCTGCCAGGGAGATGGACGAGTGGAGGAGTGGGGCCGACATCGGTGGGGACCAGTCCGGGCTTAGGTTCAGGCATGGTAGAGGTCCCAGTTCCCTAAGCCGGACGGCGTCTAGCCCTAATATTATCGACGATGTGCGTAATCCTTGTCGAATCCGAGAGAGCTATTGTTTCTTACGATCTGGCGGCTATCAGCAATCCACCTCTTTAATATCGACTCCCGCCCTTGAGCCCTCTACCAGCGAACATAGAGATGTTCTGTTCCACTACCCTAGCTCTCCGGTATTTGGGGCGCAGTCATCCTCGACATTGTCGACTCCAACCGCAGACGAGCCAGGGTTCAACTACCCATCTCCACCACCGAGTACATCCTCGGACACCTTGTCCAGCCCTATCGATCTCCCAGCTGTTCGTACTCCGAGCCCCTCGACTCCTTTGGCCGTGGATCTCACGTACTTAGCTCCTTCACCTATTCCTTCACGTTCTTCTACACCCGACTCTGACCTCCTCGCCTCTTCCATGCTCACATCGAACTATCTCACGCCCCTTGCTGCCCCTCGCTCGATCGCACCCTCGCCTTCACCGTCCCCTAACCGTGCACTCTCTCCTGAGGCGAACTATGATATCCTCTCCCCGACCTCCCCCCGGTCTGGTGCCATGTCACCTTTCTCGGACGTCGAACGTGCCGGGATGTCGAGCCCAATGAGCCCAATGGGAGGCACGGATCTGTTCTTGTCGCCACCGTCCATGATGGATGATCTCCCGAGCGATATGGAGTTCCAGTCGGCGCTGAGCGATGATGAGGTATTCTCGTTGTCTTCCGAGTCGCGCGCTCCGACTGAGGTTGGCGACGAGCAGTTCGAAGTTGGGTCTGATGACAGTGACGATTGGACCGGTGTCGATGACGAAGTTATTCCTCCGCATTAGTCGATGGCATCTTTATTTTGCACATCACGTCGGTCGAGGAGTGTATATCAGGCCTGTACCTTATCTCGCTTTCTGCACCATCCATCTTGGCACTCTGCACTGCACCATTCAGGACTTCTCGTTTCCCTTGTCTTTCCTTCTTCTCTTCCTCGGTATCCATGTCTGTAACATAATCGTTCGCCACGCTCCTAACCTTCTCACCGTAGACACGCTTAGGTATCTGCTCTCGCACACGCTATCTTTGGATACGGCCCTGCTCTTCACGCAATGTACAGAGTCGGTGACTTGGCAGGTTGTCTGGACCGTGGACAGGACTGTGTAGTCTCGTGTTCCGTTTCTTCGTATAGCAAGTTCAGCTTTGTATATTGTCATGTCCTTCTCCTTTATGATCAGAGGTTATGTATGTATTGACCCGGCTCTTTGTTTTATGTTTTTCTCCTGGTGTTTATCTCTTCAGCTCGATCCACTACCTCGTTTTGTACAGTCAACTCGGCTCATAACCTGCCTTATACTTAGAACGGGTGGCACTCACGCCCTATACACGCGTCCTTGAGCCCCTCTGCAACCTATGGTCTTGTCAATGCACAGGAGTGTGATATATATGCTAAAGACATGCTATGTTCTCGTTGCCGTTGATCTTGAAGACAGGATTCCACACATGCGGCCTCAGGTAGGCTGGAGGTGAACCGACGCCACAAGAACGACGCCACACACCGGCAAACAAACACGTTGAAGTAACCGGAAATGCGGGGTACACGATCGTCATTGCTCTCCTCCGTTCACCGAACAACGGGGACGTCAACTCTACACCAAGGTCATCCACTCTCTTCAAACATTCTACCAAACTAAACTCATTTGCACGGTAAATAATGTCCAAGAAAGCGACCTCCAAATCTTCTCCCACCAGCGGCCGGGGCACACAATCCTCAGACTTGTATAAATTTCATCGACCGAAGTTGAACCTGCACGATACGCCGCATCCGCTCAAGCGCGAATCGAGGCAGTGGGTGTTCTGTAGACTCTCCCTGTGCATTTAACACTAATTCATCTTGCTGGTTACATGATATAATTGTGCACAGTGCGCTACGGAACCTCGCGTCCTGTCGCTCGGTGAGGCCAAGTTCGCCGTTACCGTTCTATCCACGGTCACAGTGCGCTGCGGTACTTGTTGCATTATTCGTAGGTGAGCGTCTCTCTATGAACAGTCTTGTATCTTGTGAGAAATGCTAGAGACTTTTCTCCGTTTGATACTGCATTTGTTTGCATGCGTGCAGGCCGAATGGGTGACCTCTACGTCCTCCTGAGTCGGTAGGTACGTTCACTCCCCAGTGTCTCTGTGTCATCATAAATGCAAACTAATCGTGTGATCATTCGTCTGCATTGTCAATGTATTGCTGGAGAATAGACGAGCGGAAACCCTAAGGTCGTATGCCGGAGATACAGCACTACCTGGAGGGAAAGTCGAACCAGACGATAGGACGATCGAGGATACGGCTGTGAGTTCTCAATTTTGTGTTCGCTTTACATTTATTTCGTATTGATTCATTCAATGTTTCTCAGAGACGGGAAGCGTTCGAAGAGGTACGTCCATTATCGTTATTTTGTTAGTATACTATGGCATTTACTCTATACAGATCGGCTTGCCGAGAGACAGGCATAAGGTCCCGCTGCTTTGCGTCTTGGAGCCCTTTCTGGTTGGAAACAACATCCTCGTGACCCCGTATGCCAGCTTCATTCAGCCTTGAACTTATAGGGCCGTTTACTGACATCCCGTTTCAGAGTAGTCGTTCTCATCCTTGACAACACCCTCCGAGTAAATTCTTTGTTCCGTCACCATCTCCTCTATATTCCAATGCTCAAATCGCATTATTTGACTAGCCCATTCTAAACACACCCGAAGTGCACACCCTCTTCTCTCACCCACTCGCTTCGTTTCTCTCCACTTCCGCACCTTTCACCTCCACCACGCCGTCAGCCTCGTCCGCCTCGGGATCAACATCACTGAAAGATGCTAGGGAGGAAGCCTCTGATACGCAGCTAGAACAGGCTTCGTTCGAGCTGTCCTATTATACGTATCGTGATTTAGCTTGGCCACCTGGATCCGGTGGATGGAAGAACGCTATGACGAGGAGACGGTGTAGCAATGACTGTGGCGGTGGTGTTGGGGTTGGGAGTCGAATCCAGGATCAGGATAGAGATGATGGCCATGTTGGAAAGGGTGAAATGCAAGGAGAAGATACCGGTGACGAGAATAAGGAGCATTATATACGGATGCATCAGTTTTTGACTGGAAGGGAGCAGGGAGGTGTTAAACCCGTTTATGGCGTGACTTCGTACGTCTCCCATCCCTCCTCTATCTCACGTACCACATCGAATATAACACCCTTATATTTGTTCCATAAGTGCGATCCTCATCCACATAGCAGCGCAGGCCTATCGCCACCCACCAGCGTTCGACATCCAAGCTCCGAATCAACCCTCGATGCATGAACGAATAGCTTGGGCTCTTCTTCATGTACCACAACTGCGAGAGGCATGTGAGAAGGAGGGTGTTGACCCAGTGTTGGCGGCGGACGGATGGATTAAGGAAGGTAGGAGAGTTGGGAAGGAGGAAAGGAATACTGATAGGGGAAGAAGGAGGAAAAGTGCGGCGTTGTGGGCGAGGTTGTGATTTTATTTGTCCATGTTTCGTTACCCCAAATTTCCACCTACACGATTCATGGATCATCTTCCACGCAATCGTTGATCCTAGAGGAATGTGGCGAGGAAGCTGAAAACTTGACTGTGGCAGTGTGGCGCTAAGACACAAGCGCGTACCACGTGATATGTTTTAGCAAGACGCGTCGGTGTCATGACGCCACGCGTAGGTTCAAACTTCAAAAGTATTTCTAGCAAATGTTCCCTCATTTATGACCACGACGTACCGATAATCACCGCTCCTTGCTCCTACTTTGTCGACTCAACTCGACTTGTTATAATCATGGCTATGGCACTATCGCATCACTCTTCGAATCCGCTCGAGGTCCCGTCGTCCGACGCGCGGAACGCGACATACAAGAGCTCTTATAGGAAAGCTAATGCTAAACGAGGCGTGGTGGACTCGGATGCCCCCGTCATTCGGTGCGTCCTTTCTTCTTTTCTTTCACAATGGAATGTCTCATCCCTATAATGTACGACATCGTCTGTGACAGAGCTCCTGTGACTAATCAACCGAAACCCCAACCACCACGAATGGTCGACCTGGACGAGAGCGAAGAGGAGGAAGATATGGAGGCAGAAGATGCGGAGCCAGAGGCAGAAGTAGAGGCAGAAGCAGAAGCAGAAGCAGAGGAGGAAGACCTGGGTGGTTTCGGAGCTCCTGGTGACGAGAAGATGGAGGAGTGCGAAGAGCAAGACGACGAGAGCCAATCTGGAGACGACGACGAGGACTCCGACCCTGACTCCGATTCTTCCTCTATCGACGAAGAACTCTCCATCCATCTTAAACCCCCAGAAGAACGGGCTAATATCCGTCAAGAAATTGATGACCTTCATGCAGCCATGCCTCGCCTCTCAAACGACTACAAGATCGTAGACAGATTGGGAACCGGTACGTTCTCGTCAGTGTACAAGGCGATCGACCTCCACTATCATGAGAAGTGGCACAATAAGCCGTGGCATGCCAGGCATCCTGTAGAGTCGTCAGCCCACTATCAAAGTGTGGCGCATCCGGAGGATGCGAAGGTCTTTGTGGCGATCAAGAGGATCTACGTGACGAGCAATCCGGAGAGGATTCGGAATGAAATTTCGATCTTGGAGGATTGTAGAGGCACAAGGCATGTCTCGCAGATCATCACGGCGTTCAGACATGAGGACCAGGTCGTCGCTGTTATGCCTTACCATCGGAACGCAGACTTTCGGGTACGTCAGGCAGTTCGTATATGCTCTTGTCATGACTTCTGACCTTTGTCTTGTATACGCATGATGCAGGACTTTTTCAAAGTACTACCGTTAGAAGGCGTCAAAGCGTATTTTCGCTGCATGTTCCGTGCCTTGCGTGACATACACTCGAGACGTATAATACATCGAGACGTTAAGCCAGCAAACTTCCTGTTCGATCCCGAGACTGGCGTAGGGACCCTATGTGATTTTGGCCTGGCATGCGTAAGTCTTGTCACTGCATATATACATCTACCTCTGTCTTGGATCTGACTGTTCTGCGACCATAGCGAATGCCATCTAGTACGAATCAGACATATGGTGTCTGTCTTCATGGACCTCCGTCTCCAGAACACCCACACGGTAAACTACCCGAATTTCGCCGTGATGTGCGTGATAAAATCAAAGAGGGACAACTTGATGCGAGGCAGAGGAGTAAATGGCCCGCAGACAGAGTGGGATATCCAGACAAAGACAATCGGTGCGTTCGAACCTTCTGAATCTAAGATGATGTAAAGCTGATGATCACCCAATATACGTCTCAATTGGCATTATGAGGTAGGCCACACTCTAAAGCCAATCGAGCAGGGACGCGAGGCTTCCGCGCTCCTGAAGTCCTCTTCAAGTGTGGCGAGCAAACGGGTGGTACGTGACTTTGTTTTCTTACCATAGAATTCTTTGCCTTGTGGGGATTGTCGTCGAAGATCTATCCTTCTCTTGTTATCTTAGTGTGGCTGACGTTGTATATTTGCTCTTAGCTATCGACGTATGGTCTGCAGGCATGATCCTGCTCTTCTTCCTCACCGGGAAGTTCCCCATTTTCCAATCCCAGGACGATATGGAAGCCTTAGTAGAAATCGCCACTATCATTGGTTACAAGCAAATGGAGAAGGTCGCAACATTACACAGTCAGTCTATTTTTTACCGCATCTTCCATCGCTCAACGATGATTGACGATACAATTTAGGCCGGACTTTCATCACCAATCTTCCAACGATCAAGAGAGACGGCATGCCTTGGCAAGATTTTGTTGAGCGTCAGACTCCCGACCTACGCATCCCACGTCCTGCCGATCCTCGCTTCTATCCATATCACTCGCGTTCTGAGCCTGCTGTGACACGTATACCTATAGCACCTTCCCATCAAAACTTTTCTTCCTCACAATCTAGTCACGACCGCAACAATGACAGTCGTCCCCCTCGGACGTTAACTTCTCCATCGACTGCCACAACGTCTTCATCGAGGCAGCTCCAAGTACCCATGTCCGCACCCCCATCCACCTCCTCGCGCCGTCTGCCACGAACATTAAACAAGACCGTCACCGTCTCATCGCCACCTCCTCCCTCAGCCAACTCACGGTCACGTCAGCCGCATAATGCCGTTGCTTCATCGTCGCGTGCTCCCTCGTCCTCACCATCGATAGACCCAGAACAAGCAGCGTACGAGGATGATATAGACAACGCGTTGGATCTGTTGAAGAAACTTATGAATCCGGATTCGACGAAGAGGATCACCCCGAGGGATGCGCTTTATCATCCGTTCTTGAGGGAGTATCGATACATTCCGACGCAGTCCGAATTACATTCTGGAGCGCCGAGCTCTTCGTTACCTTCATCTGTTGCTACGGCTAGCCCTGCTACTGTTACTGCCAATGTGGCCTCTGGGCGTAGGGGTCGTGGGGCGGCAAGTAGGCGTGAGGAGGATTCAGAGGGTGAAGGTGAAGAGAATGAAGAGGGTGGAGATGATGAAGAGGGAGGGGTCGAAGGAACATGGCACGCCATCAGCGACGATGAATTCTTTCCTCATCCACCCGGCGAAGGCGTTTGTGCCGCGTGGCACTTCGAGGACGAAGATACAGGGAGTCTTTATGTCAAGATCAGAGTGCCTGCTCCACCTTCTTCTGTTGGTTCTGGGTCTTCTTCCTCTCGGACTGGGCTAAGTAGAAAGGGTAGGAAAAGGATGCGTGGGGATGGGGATGAGGATGGAGAAGCGGACGACGTAGAGTTGAGGAGGACGGAGACCAAGATGAAGAGATTGGATGCAGGAGAGGGTATGGCGATTGGGAGGATGCCTTGTGAGTATCATAGGAATCTGCCGGAGTTTTCTCGTGGGGTTGGGGTTTCTTAGCTGTGTGGCGTACCCTCTTCGATGCGCTAGATGAAGCAGGTATCCTATAGATGGTGTGGTCATCGGCATAGTGGACAATAGGATTTCTACGCAGCATCCATTCCGACTCTCGTACATAGCATTCATTTCTCGGCTTTTTTTACAATTGTAAAAGTAGTGCGGCATCCAAGCATAAAAACATTCGATAGCTACGCCAGTGTAAATAAATGCTACATCATTATGTCGACTAAATTATATTGCCCGGCCAGACAGTCATAACTTCGCCAAAGTCTTCTTCCAGTGAGCCACCAGAGCCCATACGCTGAGCATTCCAACCTGTAAAACCTCATCTCCATTCTCCCAATTCATCAACTCCTGGTAAAATTTGGTGATTTCCGGGTCGCGGTGGTGATAACGTTCGTCTTCCTTCTCCTTCATGAATATCGTCCCCGGCACACTTCCCCGAAAGACGCTCGTCGTTTTATCATACTCCGAAGAAGGTGGTATATACAACGCTCTGCGAAGAGTGTCGGACGTAGCGATCGTTTCTGCGATGAGTACGTGTGTTTTACTCGGTGGACCGTTTGATGGAGGGAACTGGGGCGAAGGATACACCATGTCCAGCTCGAGCGCTATAGCGCCCAAAGTACGACAAACACAAGCAGTATTCGTGAACCATATTTTGCGCAGGCCGAGTAAGGCATCGACGTGGTTTGTCAGGTAGCCTCGGAGTAGCCGACTGGTCAGTCTTTGTGTGAGGCCATGAGACAGCGCTTCGGGGCGCGCACACATGAGCCCCATGTGGATGACTGGGTGCTGGAGGCCGGGTATAGGGAGGAGGACGGAGGAGAGGAATCCAAGGAGGTGACCGGATGGGTCGCTGGCTACGACGATGATTTTATCGTTGAGGCCGTCGTAGACGAGGCATTGGTATTGCGGGAGAAGGTCGGGGGAAGTAAGTCCGAAAGAGAGTGTGGCGACCTCGCGGAGCTTGTCGACGAATGTGACAGTTTGTTGTCGACTCCAATGAAGCCCGGGGCGTTCGTAGTAAGAGAATAGCATCTATGAGCGAGCGTGAGTGATGCTGTTCAATGGCCTGCAGCTAAAGAAATTGCGTTAATCAGGACAATGCACTCTACACTCTATACAGGAAGGAAAGTCGGGGTATGCACTAATTCGAGGTAATCCGTGCTAGCTCACCAGCGTCCGAACTTCAAGCTTCAAGGACCTGGAGACGACGCGCCTACCTTGTGTCCTGGCCTTTTATATCACGGAAGAAAGCTTAGCGCCGTGAGCGTAGCCGCCGACGAAGGAGTCTGATAGGTCGACCAAGTATTTGACCAGAAGATACCACTGTCGGCTTTCCGACATGAGCTAAAAACTGAGGCCCGTCAATGCGCGAGGCACGCTTGGCAAGAAGATCCTGGTAAATAATTAGCTGTGGTCAGGTCCTCTAGACGCCGGCATAGCTCATGCCGCCTTTCGCTGGCAATAAATTGTCTGAGACCATGAGCACGTCGAGCTGAGAGGCAGCCTGGGCTCGAAGGTGGTGTTTGGAGAAAACGCAAGCGAAGGGTAGCCAGCCTGATGGGCCACAAGGATAATGACCCACGCCACTATTGCTCTGCTCTTCTGCACGCCGATATGAAAATAAATTCTTGTTTTCTATCGATTTGCATTATGTTGGCTGGACTAAAATACTGAAGAAACCCCGACGTCTATCCTCTACTATCATCTAATGCCGTACTTACTCCATGTTCTATCGTAACTCCGTCATTCTCCAAGTGTTCGCTGCAGGGCCCATATCGCTTGTGTCCTCTGAATCCATATCCCTCATGGCAGGAATACCCTGAAAGTGAGGTACGACCTGACAAGTCAGAGGACGATAAAGAGCCTAAGTTCATCACGTACCGTCGTGAAGTCCATCTCTGAGAAAGATACCTATCGGATACGTACACAAAGTCAGAGTTCTCAATGTTTAGTATATGTATAAACAAAGACTCACAATGCTCGTTCCCTTGTAGATCTTCCATCCGAAATAGAGGCCGGCAAATATTGGGAGGTTGATGTCTGTATAGCGAATAATTCACTTTCAGTCAGTTTTCAATTCAAGGAGACGGACAATGATGGATCGGTTCACATGCAGCTACGAAGTCGGACGTGCTTCCTGTCCAGATTGTGGACAAGCCACTAACGAGGATGAAGAATGTTGACCTTTTGTAACAGGATGATGCAGGACCAATTCACCAGATAAGTTATGTCAGTGCTGGCGGCGATGTGGTGAATGCTTACCAGGTAATAGTCCATATTGCGGCGTAAGGCTGAAAACGAGAGCGATAGATGCCGCGTAACTCGCCTTCCATCCCCTGAGCCTTTAGGCCGTTGTCTACGTACAGATACGATTTCGATTTAGAAAGTCTGGACGACAAATCAGGCAGGAACCTAGGTTGCAGAGCTCACAGAAGGCCAAGTAGCTGACGCCAATCATTAACCAGCTAGTGTGATAAGGAGCGGTCAGGCTTTGAATTGCAGAGCATGTTGAGTGCTTCAAAAGGAGAACGTACTTGAGTAGTCCTCCGACAGTTGAGAGGCTCAGAAACCAACTAGGATATATTTGTTAGTGGCATGTCACGTTGCCCAGCGGAGAAATCACCTGAAGACAGTCCCAGCCTCCGTCTGGACATTCAAGAATGCTAGAACAGAAAACGATCCCTGATTTGTAGTTTGCAGAGTTATCTTATCATCTACCAACGTCACGTCCATGGACAACGCCCGCGCCTCAGACTCACCGCAACTAATGTGGCCCTCAGCGGAAGACCACTGGCTGTAACAGTAGCAAACCATTTCGGAGCCTGTCCTTGCAGAGCGAGCGCGTAAAGTAGTCGGGAAGAGCTGTAGAGCATGCCGTTAGCGCTCGAGAATGCGCTCGAGAGGACTACGGCGTTGATAATCGAGGGAAGGACTAGTGGGCGACAGTATATTATTGCGTTAATGATATGAAGTTTCCGGGAAAGCGAGTGTCCAACCTTTCACTCCCGCGCGATGGAATGCGAGGACAAAGGGGGATTGGCCAGAGCCTTCGTGTACGCTATTATCGGTGTAGTAGAGCAGTTCGAGTTAGTACGCGTATTGGAACTTATTACTGCTCGTCGAAAAATATACCTGAGGAGTTCCGGGTCGTTGGACGGAATGAGTAGTCCTATCACGAAAGCTGTGAGGATCTGTGGAAACAAACATGTTTGGCATAAAGTCAACATAGTAAAATCATCAATGTCGTAGTGGGATAGACACGTACATAGCAGAAGAAAATGCGAAAGAAAACTGTCTTCATCGCTGTTACGATATTCTTTCGCGGATTCTTTGTCTCTGCTGCAGCTCTGCAGATGAAACTCTGTCAGAACGACGCATGATGACCAAGAAGAGATAGGTCATGTTGAGGTATGCGACGGCTTACACGGTGATGATCTCCATCCCTCCCATTGAGAACGCGGCCGGTGTCGTGGCTAATAGAAGACCTAGGAAGCGACCGGCGGCACCGGGCTCGAGGGCTACCAGTGAAAAGGGACGGGTCAGCATATGCGAGGTATCGTTGAGCGAGTGCGACCTACAGGAAACCATGGGTCCGGGATCACGCCAATACTTTCTGGACGTTAGGTCGTGTATGGGATGATATCGTGTCCCAGTTATTTACCTCGAATCCGTGGCTGTGGCTCATGAGTTAGTTTACAGGTCACTCTGTTATTAGAGAACGTTGGTATCGTGTATTGCATACCTTGTTTGGTCCGGGCCACCCCCGAGGTCAATTATCAGTCCTCCGATGATCTATTTGAGGAGAACATCCGTGCTTGAATTGATCATTGTAAACACATCGAGAATGCGTACCAGTCCCGCGATAAGAGAGACTAGAGGGCTCGGATAGATCATTATCAGAAACATGCACTGTATGTGAAGATTCAAACTCACGTTTGAGGGCGGAGAAGACGATTTCAGCTAGTTGACCGACATGAGTTTGGAATGACATGTCGAATACAGGGTGCCTTACTGTTGGCAAACGCCCTACGAACATGTAGTGGATTCATCAGCGACTCAGTAGTAGAGGGCATCGGGTCAACGCTCACCGTGCACCAAATAAGTTCACTATAAAGACCATGACGACGAAGAGAGAAATGTAGGCAGCCATATGACTGGACTGGGTATAGACTGCGTCAAAAAAATATACAGGACGTTGAAAGAGGAAACAAACAGTACTCACATCTTTGTCCCAGAAACGTACAAGTACGGCAGCAGCGGAGATCTCTGCGGGAAGAGTGATTGCACAAGCCTGTAAACCCAAGAACAATTTAATGGGATGACTATGTTGTAAGGATGCGGTGTCTGAACCCACATAAAAGTAATTCTGGTATGGAAGAAATGTAAGTCATGGATGCTGCCGTCGTAATTGTGTTGAGGCGGACTCACCCATCCGACCTGTAATAGGTGTACTCAGTAGTAATACTGTCGAAAAAGGGTTTATTGTATTCGCACTCACAGCAAAACCAAGAGCAGGATCCACCCATCGTGCGGCTTTCAAACCCACTCTATCAGCGCAACGCTACGTCAAGGAAGGTAACCAGACCCCTCACCGAAGTGAGAGAAGGAGCCAGATACCGGAGCAAACGCGGTCATCTCAGATACGGAAGCCAGAGAGCTGCAAGAATCATGCATGTAAGAACCCCTTTGCGCTTTTGTCAACGAAAGAATTGTTCTGCTCACGCAAAAGCGACTGTGCCGACATGAGCGAAGACTATGAGTAGGCCCAGAGGTCCTGTGTAGGATAGCGTCTTGCCAATGGCTAGAAACAGCCCTGTACCTATAACGCTAGCAATCTTTCAGGGCTCATTGTAAGCGAGCTTCGAAGGGTGTCTAGAAGAACTCCGTACCGCAAGCCTGTTGAGACGTTCAGCAAACAATGATAAGCGTCAACCACATGTAAAGGATTACTCTATAGCCTACATTTGGATATGTGTACTACCTAGACGTCTCTGTACCTTGTCTAGCTCAGGCTTATAGAAGTCAGTTCGTTGAGAATCCTCCGCATCGTTCATGTCGGAGACGGGATCGAGTTCAGGCTTGAGCAGACGCTCATGATCCAGGTCCGTTTCGGAATCATTGCTCATTGCAAGCGTGGAAGTAAATTAACGAGTGACTGGCAAGATATAATCTTCAATATAAAAGCAGGTTGGAAGGTTGATATGAAGCGAGTGTGGAGGAAGAGATGATGGAAGTGCAGCAGTTGAAATGATCGGGAAATGGTGACAACGGAGGCTACTGCGTCGGCGACACGTATGAACGCCGGACAAATCATTGACGAGCGTTTGCTAGAACAGTATAAGTGTCCTCCACATTTGACAGAGAATCTCACTAATAATCCTCCACGAAACTGAAGAGTCAAGGAGAGTACCTTGTATGGGTAGTGAGCGCTAGTGAGCTCCGAGTCCTTCAAGTTGTATCCCGGGTCCCCGCGATCGTCATCTCTGAGCTGTAATTATCATCAATCTCTAGTAGTAGAAAAAGTTGATCTACGATTATGCATGGAATTATAAGGACCAGCGGGGTAGATAATTCTTTTGGTTGGTCCCAAACAGGGGTAAAAGCGAAGCGGCTGGGCTTTATGCAGTGGAAGTTGAACGAAAGAAGGTGCCACACTTCTCACAGATCATGCGGAGCTGGTGCCACCCATCCGAAGATAAGATTAGATCCGACCAATGATTCTCCTGACCCACCAACTTGGCGAAATTTTCTGGTTTGCACCTCCTCCCGCTCACGCTCGGACGCGGTACCCTGGCTTCAGTCTTGGTCTTTGCAGTCTTTTTATATGTTCTAGTCAACTATATTTGTTTTCGACGCCATGAACATCTCACGCCCCATCCCGTCGACCATCACGAGTCTTTCCTTTTCTTTCCTCACCACCGAAGACATTCGCCGCATCTCAGTCAAGCAAATAGTCAACCCCGTCTTGCTCGATGACCTGAACAGACCAAACCTTGGCGGTCTTTATGATCCTGCTCTTGGGCCTTCCTCAAAGGAGGATTTGTGCGCACCGCAATATTTTTGAGCTTTGAATGTCTACTTACATCCTACATTCGATACTTCCAGGTGCTCGACATGCCACCTGAACTACTTCGCCTGCCCAGGCCATTTCGGCCATATCGAACTTCCCAATCCCGTATTCCACCCCCTCTTCATGATGAACATGTATAACCTCCTCCGGGCCACATGTCTCTTCTGTCACAGATTTAAAATGAGCCGACCAACGGTGCGTGTGCTCTCTTCTCTTCATCTCTGCGATAGCCTAACTTTGCTTTCCGGAAAGTAGCTTTTGAAATACCAGGCAAAATTGCGCTTACTTGAAGCAGGACAGTTGGAGGCTATCCAGATGATTGACGAGATGAACATCGTTACCAAGACGGATGAAGACGCAATGGACGATGACGCCCCTGGCGAAACCGTCGATGCGTATGAAGCCCGCCTGGAACTCTACATCAGGCTCACGCTCTCGCGCGCATCAGGAAGCAAGAGAGATGCGTACAAAGACAGCCTGGTCTTCCAAGCTCGGAAGGACCTGATCATGGAATTCTTGAAGGCAGCCATTGTGAAGAAGTGCACTCCCTGTGGCGCGTGAGTCCGATTTCATTTCTGTCGTTCTTACCCCAAAGCCGACAGGTAATTTCATTGGGTTAGGCACGGTTATACTTTCCGCAAGGAGGGCCACACGAAAATTATTGAGTATGATCTCACTCCAAAACAAAAAGCTATGCACGACGCACTTGGTCTTCGACGTGCCAACGTTCTTCACGAAATCCATACCTCCAAAAATTCATCCGCACCCGACTCCTCTACAGTGGAAGACCCGGACGTCGATATGTCCGAAGACGAAGGTGCTGGCGACGCTACATTCTCCGACGACGAGGAATCCGATTCCGCACAACAGGAGGACCGCGTAGAAGGTGTGGCCCGAGCGGCCAATGGTAAAATCAAAGGCGCCCGCGGTCGTAACGAGCGCATCATGCCTCCTTCAGAATGCCGCGCCCATCTACGTCGTCTGTTCCATAAAGAGGCGACGATGTGTGCTATGCTCTATGGACGGCATGGGCCCCTTGCACCCGTCAATGCCGCAGGACTATCTATGGCCTCCGCGGATATGTTCTTCATGGAGGTCGTACCCGTTGCGCCTACCCGTTTCCGTCCTCCAGCAATCATGAACGATACGATCTTCGAACATTCACAGAACGAGCTGCTTGGCAAGGTTCTGAATACGACTTATAGGCTGCGGGACGTGAACGAGAGTTTGAAGGTGGCGTCGGTGAAGGAGGAGGCGTTCAACGAAGAGGAGAGGAGGAGATTATTGGGGACCCTGTTGGAGACATTGGTGCAGCTGCAGATCGACGTTAACAGTTTTATCGATAGCAGTAAGAATCCGGCACCGGTGAAGCAGGGGAAATTGCCACCTCAGGGTGTGAAGCAGGGGTTGGAAAAGAAGGAGGGGTTGTTCCGAAAACATATGATGGTATGCCCTTCATTATTATCACCCTAAAATATGAGAATAAGATCTGACCGTCTCGATAATATCAAATCTTAGGGTAAACGAGTGAACTACGCTGCTCGATCCGTCATCTCTCCGGACGTCAATATCGAGCCGAACGAGATCGGTATCCCACCTGTATTCGCTCGAAAACTTACATTCCCCGAACCTGTCACCACTGCCAACATCCACGAAATGCGGCAGCTCGTCATCAACGGGCCTAAGATATACCCAGGCGCTTCGATAGTCGAGTATGAGGACGGCAGCCAACAGTTCCTCGTATGTCTGCCCTCCTTTCCCTCTCACTCGGATATCTGAGATAAACAAAAACCTTAATGATATTTACCGGATGGTGTGCAGGATAAACTGACGGTTGAGCAAAGAACGGCCATCGCGAATCAGCTCTTGACGCCACAGGGTAACACCAACGGTCGATCCGGCTTCGGCTTGTCTACGCGGACAGCGTCGGTCAACAAGAAGGTCCATCGTCATCTGAGGGACGGTGATATGTTGATATTGAACCGACAGCCTACGTTGCATAAACCGAGTATGATGGCGCATAAGGCGAGGGTGTTGAAGGGCGAGAAAACGATTCGAATGCACTATGCTAATTGGTGAGCTCGCGATTTTATATTGGGTGTGTGTTGTTGAGCTTGGGCATGTATTGACGCCTTTGTATGTAATTGCAGTAACTCGTATAACGGTGCGTTCGTGTTCTCTTAGTATATGTGGACGCGACTGACTTTTGGCGAATTGGGGTTACATAGCTGATTTCGATGGTGATGGTACGTCACTTCATCTTCCTCATGATATGCCCCATTCTGACATATCACTGCAGAGATGAATATCCATTTCCCCCAGAACGAGGTCGCACGAGCAGAGGCCATGCTCATTGCCAACACAGACAACCAGTACCTCGTCCCGACTTCGGGAAAGCCTCTCCGTGGTCTCATCCAGGATCACGTTGTTGCCGGTCTTTGGATGACGAACCAGGAGACGTTCTTCACCCGTGAAGAGTACTTTCAGCTCCTTTATGGAGCACTACGGCCTGAGGACGATACGTTCCATGAGAGTGGGAGGCTGAGGACCTTGCCGCCGACGATATGGAAGCCAAAGCCTTTGTGGACCGGAAAGCAAATTGTGCGTTTACCTCTTACTTTTTCTACAAATACCATTTAAGGACTGTCATTACCGTCAAATAGATCTCGACCGTCATGCTCAACATCACTCCGACGCACTCACAAGGGCTCAACCTCTCCGCCAAGGCCAAGGTCCCTCAATCGGCCTGGGGACCCGGCTCGCAGGAAGGCGAAGTCATTTTCATGCACGGCGAACTCCTCTGCGGAACACTGGACAAGTCCGCCTTCGGTGCGAGCGACTACGGTCTCGTGCATTCCGTCTACGAGCTCTACGGAGCTGACGTCGCCGGCCGTCTTCTCGGTGTCCTCAGCCGCCTCTTCACCAAGTTCTTGCAGCATCGCGCTTTTACTTGTCGTATGGACGATCTCACGCTCACGGACGCGGGTAACGCGAAGCGAACGGAGTTGATCAGGAATGCAGCGAACTTTGGTACGGAGGGTGCGATGGACAATTTCCCTTCGCTCGCGGATACGCCTGCGCACGAGAAACATGCCGCGCTCACGAGATTGCTCCGGGACGTTCTTCGCGACGATAACAAGATGGCCGGGCTCGATATGACCGTCAAGACCAAGCTCGCGAAATTGACCAAATCCATCGCAGACGCCGTCATGCCTAACGGACTCTCCCGCAAATTCCCGCACAACCACATGCAGGCCATGACCCAGTCCGGAGCGAAAGGTAGCGCGGTGAATGCTCAGCAGATCTCGTGCGCGCTCGGACAGCAGGAGCTCGAGGGTCGTCGAGTGCCGGTGATGGTGAGCGGTAAAACGCTCCCTTCGTTCAAGCCTTTTGAAACGAAGGCCATCGCGGGTGGATACGTCGCCAGTCGGTTCTTGACCGGCGTGAAGCCCCAGGAGTTTTTCTTCCACTGTATGGCTGGACGGGAAGGTCTCATCGATACGGCTGTCAAGACTTCGAGGTCTGGGTACCTCCAACGGTCGCTCATCAAGCACTTGGAGGGCATTCGCGTGCATTATGATAATACTGTGCGCGGGAGCGACGATTCGGTCTATCAGTTCCATTACGGAGGGGATGCGCTGGACGTGACGAAGCAGAAGCATTTGTACCAGTTCGCGTTTATGGCGCAGAACTTCAAGTCTTTACTCGAGAGGCTGCAGATCCATAGGCCACAAGGTGTGATAGATGATAAGAAGGCAGTGAAGTATATGAGGAAAGTGTTGAAGAAGTCGGCGGAGAGGAAGGATAAGGACACGCCGGCGAAGAGGGACGCGTTGGAGACGCCGATGGAGAAGTATAGCCCGGCCTTATTTTTGGGCGCTACGTCGGAGAAGTTCGCGGAGAAGTTGGAAGCGTATATGAAGGCGAATCCTGACGGGTTATTGACTGGCGCTGACGACGAAGACGAGGAAGAGGACGAGGATGCGGAGATGGAGGATGGGACGGCAGAGAGAAAGATCAAGAGGAGAGATCCGCTATTAGCGCCGAAACATTTGAAGAGCTTGATGCTTTTCAAGTATCTGAGGAGTCTGGTAGAGCCCGGAGAGGCCGTGGGTTTATTGGCTGGTCAAGGGTATGCGATTTTACGTTTTCACTTATCGTGCTTTCTTTTCGCTGACACTTATCATGTCCAGTGTTGGGGAGCCATCGACCCAGATGACACTCAACACTTTCCATTTTGCCGGTTTGTAGTCTTCCGCCGTCTCTCCGTCTGTGTACATACTCACCAAGCCACGATGAACAGGTCACGGAGCAGCAAACGTCACCCTCGGTATCCCCCGTCTCCGAGAAATTGTCATGACCGCCTCAACAAAGCCCAAAACCCCTTCAATGACAATGACCATCCCGGCCTCCATCCCCATTCCCACCATCGACTCCTTCTGCAAAAAAGCATCCCGGTTGACTCTCGCACAAGTCATCGACGTCGTCACCGTCACCGAATCGTTGATCGTGAACCCCAACGACCGAACTACGCGTACGAAACATTTCACCATCGACCTTGCGTTTTTCCCTCCGTCAGAATACACAACGGAATACGACGTTACTCCGAAAGATGTCTTGGCGGTGTTTAGCGCGATGTTCCCGTTGATTTTGAGGAAGGAGATCGTGGCGGAGATGAAGAAGTTGGACGCAGATCTGAAGAGCCAGATGGCAGAGCTGGGGAAGGGAAAGAAGCCGAGTGGGGATGGGGCCCCGGGTGCTGGAGACGACGATGGGGAGGTGGACGATAGTGCAGAGCCGAAGGGGAGGAGTGGAAAGGACGATGATGAGGAGAGTGAAGTTGGCGATGGGGATGCGTCGGGAGAGAAGAGGAGGAGACAGGCGAAGCAGGTGGCGACGTATGAGTCGGACGAAGACGAAGATGAGGATGCAGGAAGTGAGGGTGAATTTGGGGATGCAGGCGTCGAGGCTGCATATGCAGATAAGGGCGACAGTGAGGACGAGGATGGTGACGGAGAGAAGAAGTCGAAGAAGTCGAAGAAGTCGAAGGTGTCGGGGTCATTGAAGGCGGCGGTGGCGAAAGTCGAACAGGATTTCTTGCAACATTTCCCGCAGGCTACGTCTTTCAAGTTCACCGAGTCTGGGAGCACAATTGAGCTTGAGGTTAGTTTGAGGCCATATGTTCTTGTTCAGTGACCGTACTCACTACTAATTTTCGCTTCCAGTTCGGCTCTGACTTGCCCAAACTGCTTCTTGTTGGCATCGTTGAGCGTACTTGCGTCAAGACTATCGTCCGCGAAATTCCCCATATTGCAGACTGTTTCCGTGTGCGTGAGGACAACAAGGATGGTCGCGTTAAGGTATGCTTTCTTTTCCTGACACCTATCATCTCCGTCTCTTGTCCTCATACACTTTCTTCCGCAGGTCACGACAAACGGCTCGAACTTCAAGGGCATGTGGCGTTTCGCCTGCAGTGGTGTGGAAAGCATGATCGAAGAGGACTCAATCTACTCGAACGACATCTACGCCATTCTGATGACTTATGGAGTCGAGATGGCTCGTGCGGCCATTGTGAGAGAAATGAGTGGCGTGTTCGACGTGTACAAAATCGACGTCGACAGTCGCCATCTAGAGCTCATTGCTGATTACATGGTCAGTTTCTTCCCCTTACCACCTCCCAACCTATCATCATCATGTTTTCATGTTTCCTGGTCGCTGACGGAAGAGAACGACAGACATTTGAGGGCGGCTACAAGCCGTTCAACCGAAAAGGGATCGGGATGCATCCATCACCATTACTAAAAGCATCCTTCGAGACGACAGCAGCGTTCTTGTCGGAGGCAACCCTCTACGGAGATTTCGATGATCTTACGACGCCTTCAGGCAACCTAGTCGTCGGGAGACCCAGTCTGAGCGGGACGGGTGTGTTTGATGTGGTTACACCGTTGAGTCCTGTTGGCGTCGTGGGAGCATAGGCTTGAGGGTCTGCAGAAATGTACTTTTTGTCTTGGGATGGGTTCGGATTCGGGTTCTATTACTCGCTTTGTGTTGCTTGTCCTATTGCTGTCTCCGAGCATGCTATTTAATCGTATTTCTACTGTTTCTCTGATGATAGTTTGTGTGTATGTATAGCAGGTGTGGCCCTTGGGCTGGCATGTGCGTATACATCTTCAATAGTGACGCGAACATACCGAACTAGTGTCCAGGATTTGCGTACCAATAGTGCGCCGTTATTCGATCCAATCACTTCCTCATCCAAAGCCGAGAACAATGCAAACTCCATGGTTGGTCGACGCAGAGTCCGGTGGCGGGTAGTGATGAGTATCCCGCCGGGGTCGGCGATCCATATGGCATCACCGGTAGCCGGCTGGCCAGCTTGCGTTTCGTCGCTTGCCATGGAGGCATCCGAAGCACCAAGCTGACGACGTCAAAATTCGCGAACGACGGCCGTCGATTTGCTCGTCCATCAGCAAAACCCGGAGGCGTCTGACGCGTCTGACGCGTCTGACAGGAACCCGGAAGGACCCGTCAGACCCGTCAGAGGTCAGACGCACAGGGGCTCCGTCAGAGACCGTTCCAAAACCCCGTCAGACGCATCAGACGCGACAGACGCAGACGGCTTCAGACCGAAGCTTCGAGTCTGTTCGTCATAACCTCGCTTTCTACAAACTGCAGATCCTTCCATTGAAAATATATATACATAATTAACTAGAGTGGTATTGAATCATGCTCTGTGTGGTGCGTTACTCAGGCAAGTTTAGCCTCAAGCCTTCGCAGATCATGTTGCACCGGTGGTATCCCCGCGTCTTCTTGAACCTTTTCTCGCCACCATCGTCGTAATAAGCTCGCCGGCCATTAATTCTGAGATGTGATACAGATAAGAATGGGATGAGCCGAGGCCCACATCGCCAACTGAGAAGATGTACTCACGAGGAATGCTTGTTCGTGAATACAATCCTGATCTTGTCGCGCCCCGAACCGTCTTCAGTTGAGTTCACGAGGTCTGCCATCACATTAATAATTATTGAGTATATCGGAAGGAGGAGGCAAGCAATGGTATCTTACATGAGAACCCTTCACAAAACTCGTCTTCACGGCGGGTGTGCATGTAGTGGCCAAATGCATCCAGAGTATCTTTGATGAGAGCGGGCGGGGCGGTTGCTGGACGCTTGTGGGCCGTCGAGACGGAATAGTGCTGCAACTTTTTCAGCTCGATGAGAGCGCAGCACCGAAGCCATATCCTCCGCACGTTGCACCCAGGAGCTTGAACTTCCTCGGCAATGTCGAAGTCACACACCGAGAAGTCTACGGTAAATGAATATGCAAGAGGTCAGGAAAGTTTGTAAGAACAGAAAGGAAAAACTTACCAGTAATCGTAAGATTGTGTTCCATGGCGGACACCCGAAACTCTTCCGCATAATGCTGAAGGGTGGTGTAATGGCAAAGCTCGTTTATGGCCATGCTCTTGGGATCGAAGCCCTCGTACGAGAAGACGTTCGGCTGGTACAAAGTAGCGTGCTCGACATACTTTGGAAACTTTGGGTCGACAGCTTCGGTCTGGAAGGCGGCTCATCTCAGGAAGGTGAAAGGAAAAGCCAAAGAACAAACGTACCAAGAAAAGTGTATAGCGACCAATGTCGGTCACACCTTGACGGCGAATGCGAACGTTCAGAACAGGAGCATCGGCGCGAGTCCACGTTGAGGCTACTGGCATTGGTTTGGGTTTGGAGTGTTCCCCGCCGTTACCGTCTCCTTCACCCTCTTGGCCACTTCGACCATCGCTCTCATTCTCTGCACCCTCAACCTCATTCTGTGCACCCTCAGCCTCATTCTCTGCACTGGCACCCTCGTCCTCCGGCGGCACTGGCGGCAATTCGGGCTCCTCCATCCTCCCTGTCGTCAACTGTACACGCAACAGTTCTGTTCGCCACTCCGAACCTGGTTGTCGAGATGAACACTAAATTCAACGGAGATATGATTAGACCGAACATACCTTCCTGGCTGGATGCACTGCTCAACGACGACGACGTCGATCCTGAGCGTCTACGGTCGACGTTGACAGGTGGCGCCTTATCTTTGCCCGTGTGTCCAACGACGATGTCCTTTTCGCCTTCCACATCACCAACCTTCCCTCTCTCTACGACGGTTCTCGTGTTTGCCACCCCCATCCCATCTCCATCCGTACCAACCCTATCTTCCTTCGCCTCCCGTTCGCCTGCGTTCACCTCAACACCGCTTCCGTTACGTTCAACATCTCCGTTCGCTTTCGCAGGACCTCCAACTGGGACCCGTTCACCACCAGGCCGAACTTCGATTTCGTTGAGTACCACTATGAAGGCGAGCAGACATCCCGGCCCTCAGTAAACCGCCTTCTCGACATTATGAAAGCACAGCGCATCCTGGACGGGCAAGCTAGCTCAGAAGGTGGTTTTTTCAACAACTACGACGAACTCCTTGCCGCGATCGACGCCATCAAGGTCGGACCGACGCCTTGGACGTCCTTCATTGTTCGTTGGAATGGCCCAATCGACGACTCCTCACCTTCCTGGAAGCGCGAAGAATACATTGTCCACTGTCGGGATATCCGGCAGGCTTATCACAGCATGATCAGCAGCCCGGAGTTTGATGGAAAATTCGATACACGTCCGTACAAGCGCTGGGTGAAGGGGAAGCGAACATACTCGGATTTAATGTCTTCAATTTGGGCATGGGATAAAGCGGTATGCGATTTATCTAGCTCGTCTTTCTTTTACACGAGTTTATATCCATCCATTTCAACTTTAGTCGCAGATCGCGGAGGATCCTGCGACTCACGGCGCGATGCTGGTCCCCATCATCCTCGGTGCGGACAAAACAACTGTATCGGTGGCGACGGGTAATCAAGACTATCATCCGCTTTATACCTCCCCTGGAAATGTTCATAATGATGTACGACGTGCGCACGGTGAGGCGCTTATACCGATCGCGTTTCTCGCTTCACCGAAAGGTTCGTCATTGAAAACTGTCTTAATCTTATTTGTAGATCGATCTCTGATGTGTTCAATTGATCATGATAGCTGAGCGCGAGAGTGATGACGATGCAGAGTTTCGTCTCTTCAAAAAGCAGCTCTACCATGCGTCCATCGCTCAAGTGCTCCTGCCTCTCAGAGATGCAATGACGACACCTGAGCTCGTCCGCTGTCCTGACGGACATTATCGGAAAGCCATCTACGAGATCGGGCCCTTCATCGCTGATTATCCAGAGCAAGTCATCCTGGCGGGGATTGTGTCGGGCTGGTGTCCAAAGTAAGGCAGTCATATTTTCTCTTCGCGGCTGTTTCTCTCTGCACACGCATTCGCTTACAATTCATATAGGTGTCTTGCATCGCCACAAGAGCTTGACGATATCGGTGATCCGCGCTTTCGCGAACACACACATCTCTTGAAGGAGACGTACAATCACGATCATGGGTTGGTGTGGGACGCTTACGGTCTTGTGTTCGACGTCATCGTACGTTTCATTCTTGCCATCGCGTTCTCGCTTTATCTGACATAGTGGACCGTCCGCAGCCTTTTACAGACCACTTCCCACGTGCTGATATACACGAACTCCTAACTCCCGACCTGCTTCATCAGCTCGTGAAGGGCACGTTCAAGGACCACCTCGTAGAATGGGTCGAACAGTATGTGTACGCAACCAACTCGGAGAAGGATGCAAAAGTCATCATGGACGACATCGATAAGAGGTAAGATATCCGCATTGCTCAAATTACAACCGACTGATTTCCATACGTACTACAGAATCTCGGCTGTGCCTGCATTTCCAGGCCTTCGCTACTTTCCAGTTGGTCGACGTTTCACGCAGTGGACAGGTGATGACTCAAAGGCTTTGATGAAGGTCTGTGCATCAACGTTCAAGTTTACCGCTGTTCTTCACGTCTAATTTATGGGTTCGTCTCATTAATTAGGTATTTATTCCGGCTATCGTTGGCCATGTTCCCGACCGGGTCGTCAAGGCTATCGTCGCTTTCCTCGACTTTTGCTATCTCGCACGCCGCCCTTCCCACACTGAGGAATCTCTCGCGGAGATGGATCGGACCCTGGCGAGATTTCATTACTACCGACAGGTCTTCGTCGACGAACAGATTCGCACGAGCTTCTCTCTTCCACGCCAACACGCACTGGTCCATTACGTTCGCAGTATCAGACTCTTCGGTTCACCCAATGGCATCTGTTCGTCGATCACCGAGTCCAAGCACATTCGCGCTGTCAAGGAACCATGGCGCCGTGGAAGTCGAAATCAAGAAGCTCTTCACGGGATGGTTATGGCAAATGTTCGGATGGGGAAGATCGCAGCGGCGAGAGCAGATTTTGGTGCTCGGGGAATGCTAAATGATGATGTGGTTACGGCGGCGTACAAGGATGTCGGATTGTATGGGGACCATCGCCCGGGAACGGGCAAAGGTGGGGATGAGGAGGACGAGTCAGAACTGGGTGATGCTTACGAGAATGGTGATCTGGTAGTTGATGTCGACGACGACGACGACAAGCCTGCACCCATTGATGTCGAGCTGGCAAAGGAGCATTGTAAGCCTTGCCTTTTTAGAATTTGCATTACACTAATCTATGTCGTTCAGATTCTCGTTCATTCGCCGAAGATCTCGCCCACGATACTGGTATCCCTGAGCTCGTCACCCTCATACGCCGATTCCTCTTCGACCAACTATATCCCGAACCAGAACTGAATGCCGAAGACATGCCCGTGGGCGACTGTCCGACGATCGACGACAAAATCGCCTTGTACCACAGCGCACGAGCGAAGTGGTATGCTCCCAGCGAACTCGCAGGCCCAATGGGGATGCACTCGGAGATTATACGGAGCACGTCCTTATGGTTTCGTCGATATGAGCGGCGAGACACGGTGCTCATCAACTATGGAAGCGATGACGAACCTATGCAGGGTATGGTGGTAGGAAGGGTGTTGAGGTTCATGAGTGTGCCACATGATGGGGAGGACTACCCGTGCGCTCTCGTGGAATGGATGTTTCCTGTTGGTGATAAAAGAGACTCAGTGACGGGTATGTGGATAGTGCAGCCAGAGAAGGAGGATGGGAGACGGGCGGTGGGTGTTATTCATTTGGACTGTATCGTTCGCTCGTGCCACATCATCGGTGTTTATGGTGAAATGCTCCTACCGAAGGACTTCAAATTCTGGGAATCACACCGTGCTTTCAAGGCATTTTATCTCAATAGGTACTCAGATTATCATATGCATGAGAGTGGCCCTGTATAGACAGCTTAGATGTATCTGTATTTACCTCACTCTTCCGGGTGCTGAGACTGACAGAAAGAACAATACCCGAACCATGTTGAACTGCGAGAGCGGTAAACGCGTCTGAGCTCTGACGCATCTGACACGTCTGACACGTCTGGTGGGAATTCGGGACTGATCGCCGGAGTTCCGTCAGACCGGTCAGACGCGTCAGACGCGTCAGACGCCTCCGGGTTTTGCTGATGTCGTCCCTCTGATTCCATTCGCCGAACGTCTTGTTCTTTTTTTTTCTTGGGCGCTTGGAGCACAACACGATCTCTCCATTCTACGCGGGACTCCATTCTGTCCCTTTTTCTGCACCATTCTAGCCTGCTCGAGATCGTTATGGAGCGGATATTAGGCTTTCTCTCCACTCCGTAAGTCAGCATACCTGTGATCTATGCTACTTTTCATCGAAGTACGTAGGGCATTGATGTCCTCGCCGGATGACCTGTTGCAGCTGCGGTGACGTTCATGGTTGAGCATAGGTCTTAGATCACACCAGTACCAAATGGGCTTGCACGGGAAATCGGAGTCTGTCCATCCAGCTGGAGGCTTCCGCAGCTACAAGACGATATCCGCGTTCTTTTCAGATCCAGCCAAGTCCAGAGGATGGTGGTTTGGGAACGAAAGGGACCGAGTCATATGCATGCCGTGCTCCGCATATTTACTAGAACAGGTGCGGTCGAGTCAGTCATTTCTCGTCTCACCACACGTCTTCGGGCGAACAGAAATCTGAGCCACTCGAAGTCTCGAACCACTTGTCACGCTGTCCCTATCAACCCTCGGCCGATATCGAAAAATGGAGCGAATTTAGTAGGATAATATACGGTGAGCACAATCGAACTGTATGTGTACAATGGGAGAACGAGTATGCGTATGAAGTACCCAATAAATTGGCTGACCGACAAGGGAGGAAAGCGTGACTGCGACACGTCAATAAATTCCAAAGAAAGTCAACCAACGGTGTGACGGATGTTACCGGACGCGTTGTTGTGGCTTATTTGGTGCTTGTGCGCCGCGTTGCTCGGGTGTCTGTTGGTGTCTCTCCGTGTCGCTTTCTTCTCTACTGCCATTATAAGCCTCCTTCGATATCCTTCCTGGCCGTCTTTCTTTCTTTCAGACCGCCATCACCATCATCAACAACCTCACAACTCCTCATCCACATATACGAGCCATGGAACGCGCCCCTCTGCGGGATCTCCCACTCGAACCCTTCGTTGAACCAACCATTGAGGGCTTCTCAACTCAACTGGACGACCCCAAACTCCGTCTATCCATCAAACGTCCCCTCTCCCCAGATGGAATGAAGTTCAGCCCAGACAAACGTCGAATTCTCGCTCAAGCTGGAGTCATGGTCACCCCGAAGTCCAAGAAGAGTTCGTTCGGCCACCCAAGTTCGTCGACGCGACATACCGGCACGTACAGCGTCAGGCATACGCCCTTCCTGGCTAGCCTCGATCGCAGCCGTGGGTCGACTAGCAACGTTGCCCGTAAACTCGATTTTGGAGTTGCGCCCTCTATCGCCACCGTTCTCAACAGCGATATGAACAATCAAGCGAAAGACGACACTTTTACGGCATGCTCCACTCCCGTGTCTCCAGTCGCCACTTCGCCCTCACGACCCTCCATTTCTGCGCCCGTACCCAAAATGACGCGCAGCCCTGGTCGTATGTCGTTCAGGCCTCGCTCCAGCTCCTCTTCGTCTTTCGTGTTTCCGTCGAGCGCTTTGCCCGTCGCGGTCCCCGTCTTTGTCGACGTGGAAGCAGCCGTCGCATCCATGAAACTCAACGATGACGATGAGGACTTTGACGCCCTGGCCAATTTCTCTACGGTTCCCAGAGAGCTTCCGCCTCCACCGGATCGCTCGTCCATTCACTATCCTGGCTTCGACATCTACTGCGACCCTCATCTTTACGTTGAGCGCCCTCGTGGCGTGTCGTCCTTAGCGTCAAAGGCCGAAACAATTCTGAACGATGCAGACGCCGACAAGGAGAACACGGAGGTTACACCCAGGCTGCAGATCAAGAGATCAGTCCCTCGATCTCCTGTCAAGCCCACCCGCGCCGAAGACGCGATCACAGAAGCCATCAAACAACCCGTCTTTGCGGCGGCCCCGCCATCCCCCTCCAAGCCCAAGACTGCTCGACTCATGGATGTCGACGCGGAAAGCATCAAGAAACCTGTGTTCGCAGTCAAGTCGATGCTTCCAGTACCTCCGACGCCCCGCAAAGGTCTCAGCACCAATGCGAACACGATCCTGCAGAGAACGCCTACTAGGCCCTCGCCAAAGCTGGATGGCTCCAAGGGCAGTCCTTCGCGGTCGACGACTAAGCGGCTCAATGTTCCATCTGATGACGGAGAGAACGATTGGCTGCCGGAGCCCATCAAGAAGCGCCGCCGCCGGGCGGTGTCGGTGTCGGATGAGATGAACGTGGATTGAGGGAGAGGTTGAGAGGGGGGAGTCGTCGATGCGGGATTTGGTGCGAGCATCCAGCGCGGGCTTGGTAGCGTCGAAGGGCGCCATGGAAGGCCGGAAGACAGTCGCCGGAAGCCTGATCTAGGAGAGGTCTGGTTGATTGATGCCGTCGTTCAGTCAACTAGCTTTTTCGGATAGGCGACGGCGGCTCTTCGAGCCACCCTGCGTTGTATATTTATGGGTTCATGGTCGGGATCGACTGAAGACATTGTCATGCGTAATTCTCTATGTTATCTTTCATCCCCGTCATCCAATTACTGCCCGTCTTTTCTTGTTCTTGTGCCAATCAGTCAGCTACAAGCTTCTCTGCTTTCGATGCTACGCTTTTTGGTTATCCTATCTCTTCGGTTTTCGATCATGGTCAGCTTTCAGGTTCATTACCCCATCTTGGTCTCCCGATCCCCAATCATCGTCTACTCTTCCATTCTATTACCCTGTTTCCGCTCGCACACAAACCACCGGTCAGCTTCGCACTCATACACATCCTTATTTTACACGGCAAGGACTTTCCATCCATCCATCCCATCCCAACTCATCCCATCCCAATCCATTCCCAAAACTAGTTGCACACATCCCATCCCCAGCCCCGCTTTGCCGCGCCTCGTCATTCATCCATTGTTCCGCTATACAACCCCAAATGTCTCGATGTTTTCTATTTCTCCTTTCAAAGTTATCTTTCAACTCGTAAACACCATCGTCATGATCATAACGCTTTCAACCCTCTTCTACATCTTCATTTCGCTGTTACAAACTTTCCTTCTCTTTCTAAAGAAATCCATAGTAAACCCACGATGCAAAACCTTCTTTAACCAACGCTCTGTCAAACTGTTTTCTTTTTCTTTACTTCTGACAGCTTTTGCCTTGCCTGTCTGCCGTGTTGTTCCCTTTCCTGCTGGCTAGGGTCGTATACGTTAGGTATACCCTCCTCAGCCATACTGTACAAACTTGTACCCCCACTATAAACATATACATACCTGCAATATCCCTCAACCCCATCTCCACCGGTCCTTCATCACTCCGCCCTTCATTCCACCAACTCCATCTCGATGCGGACGGTTGCTGTGCGCTATCCGTAGGCCTCCAAGTTGGACGACATACATATACTCAGCCAGTGCGAGAGGACGTCTGCTTCGAGGCAGAGGCGAGTAGGGTGAGGATACGAGCTAGGATTGGGATGAGGATGGGATTGAGTTCGCTTTTTGTCTCGTCTTTCCGGTATTGGTTGATTGCATAGTCAGACAGTAGGTTACATGTTTACTGCTGGACGGGATCAATATATAGACGTCACAAAAGTGAAAGTGCCTCGATGTGCGGTCGCTCCTGCCAAACGCGAATAGGAGTTACTAGAACGAGAAAACACGAATATATAATCCCAGACGAGGGCTCCGCACGAAAGCGCGACGACGAAGACGGATAGTGAAGAGCAGAGATACGCAGAACCATAGTCGACGATGCAACACGGAGCTGTGGAAGAGTCAAAAACAAGGAATCAAACGATACGGAGGTCATACACTGGATATGTAACGGTCGTGGACACTAGGGAACATACTGCATTCGAGATTGAGGGTCGCCCATTAAAGACTAATGCCCTCCATCGGCTCCTGTTCTATTTTTACATTACCCAAAAGCCGGAAACATGCAGCGATAGTCCATTCGGTATACTCTACCTTGCGCAGTGAAGGGAATACATGAAATAAGGTCTCGATGTTCTTCAAACCCGCGTCCGAGAAGGTCCTGTTCGGTTCAACACAGACCATCATGATATCACTGGCCGGCAGTACGCTCCAAATGATAGTCTCCAAAGCAGGAAGAACCGTGGAATCTTGATGACCAGCGGGGACCTCCAACGGGCATGGCACAATGGTAGCCCTCCCTCACCATTCGATTCGAAGACGGCGTAGGGAGGGTGTCTGGGGTAAGATATTAAGGATGATCCAGCCCAATCTGTCTGGGGGCTCCCGATACTCGGAAAGAAGTGACAGTTCGACGAGATTGGCGCCACAACCTGCGAATGCAAGTTGGAGGAATTGGCGTGGTCGAGTGCGACATGAGGGAGCAATATGCTCAAATGAATGAGACCGGTCATGGATTTTAACACCTCGAAGAGAAAGCCGAGATTGCGATAAACGAGAGTGACGGTGAACCGGCGGAGACGAGTAAGTCCGGGCGACTCCAATGCCATGCGCACGTCCTGAGCCTGTTTGAGCGCCCAATCGCGCCCGGCGTCATCCCATACGATGATGTTAGGGTGAGTGTCAATGAAGCGAACAAAGCGTGGAAAGGCATTGATTCCGACTGTTTAGAGCTCTCGGAGAGTGTGAGCTACAGCGGGCAGGATGTGCTTGCTAAAGGCATTGTGATTGCTGTTGATAAGCTGGTGTATCATCTCGATTTTGAGGACAAGAAGGTTGCGCATTGCGAGGAAAATCGGGATCAGTTCTTTCCAGGGGACCAAAACGAACAAGGATCGTATGTATAACCTCTTGACGAGGGGCCCAAGGTCGCGCTCGTGGCTGAGCAGCGTGTTGTGAAAGCTACGGAGGCGAGACGGATTCGTGTAGTCTGGTGAGTGGACACTACCGACCGGAATGTCATGGACTTCGACGTCACGGTACAGGATGGGTTGGGCAACGGCTAGAAAGTGCTTGGACGTGCGCGCGACGGAGGCCAGGTCGTTCCTCGCGAGGTACTCGCACACGTTAATTTGTAACTCGACGGCAAGACACCGCATTGTGTCTGCGTGATTCGATGTTTTCATGCGAGCGTCGTCATCAAGAACGATTCAACATGTAGAAGACAGAGAGGAAACTGACCGTCGATGCAACAGAAATGCTACACGCCCTCCGAATGAGGGTGCTTACTGTTCGAGGAGTTGAAACCTTTGTATGGGGCGATGTGTCGAAGGTTACAAGGCTTGTGTTCCTGTTCCGTTAGGACAGGTCTTGAGACGAGCTTTGTCACAGCGTCACGTCACGCCTCTTCGGTGGCGGTGGTGTCTTTTTCCTGGGAGCGGTCGCTGGAGATTTTTGTTATTCCACGCCCTCCGGGCCAGACCTGTTCCTTCAGATCGAACAGCGCAGACCAACTGGTTATAATGCGCCTTTCGACCAACTTTATTGTCCAAACATCTCTGGAGAAAAAACCGGCGACCCTTGTTGTGGCGAAAACGCCACAAAAGTTTAAAGCTCACAACACGTTCACCTGCGTTCAAAGAAAGAACGAGCACGGCATACCCGTGGCTCGAGATAATTAAATTCCTCACACGGGTGGAAGAACATAGGCTGCAATTAGCCCATGTTTGCTTGTTCAGACTTGTCAGGCATATTTGAGTGGCCGGAACGAGACGGAAGGACCGGGAAACACCGGGAGCCGAGAGTGATGGAGGACGAGTGACCGTAACAAAAATCTCCAGCGACCGCTCCCAGGAAAAAGACGCCACCGCCACCGAAGAGGCGTGACGTGACGCTGTGACAAAGCTCGTCTCAAGACCTGTCCTAACGGAACAGGAACAGTCACTCGTCTCCATCACTCCCTGGTCCCGGTGTTTCCCGGTACTTCCGTCTCGTTCCGGTCTCTCTGGGTCTTGCGTCGTGCAGCTCAACGTCTAGCATGCACAGCTCAAATATTCCTGACAAGTCTGATCAATTAACTGTGGGCTAATTACAGCTTACGTTCTCCTACCCGTGTGAGGAATTCAATTAACTCGAACCACGGGCATGTCGTGCTCGTTCTTTCTTTGAATGATGTGTCAGTAAGCGTGTTGTAACTTGTGAGCTTTTGTGGCGTTTTCGCCACAGCAAGGTTGCCTGTTTTTTCTCGGAGATAGGCTTTGGTCATGAAATATAGTAGAAAGAGGCATTATAATAATCAGTTGGCAAACACCGTTCGATCTGAAGGAACAGGTCTGGCCCGGAGGGCGTGGAATTACTGTAGGTGTGACAGTTATTGCAACGTTGTTGAAGGATGCCCTCTCCGCGGCATCCTGCGGAGGATCGAAAAGCGATATTCATGTGGCGGCTGTGGCCCGTCAAGCTTTCAAGACTGACGCTGCACGCATGGGTTACTTTCGTAACTCATATCTGAATCTTCAACGAGGTGCCGCATCCCATTTTCATTCGCACGCCCAACCCCCTAAAGCACAACACAGAAGCCTGAGAACACAAACAAAAAATCATGACCCTAACCAAACTAATACAAAGTAGCCGAAATATTAAAAGTATAAAACCGGTAATGACAGTCGCAACTCGTGAAGATGTTTTTCAATCTAGTCCGTGAGAGCACAACGGTCGACCGACTTGTTGGCAGGGTTACCCCACCTATTTACATTTCCATGAGATAAACGACGGTCAGTTGGGTCGATGAGAGGGACGCTTGAATGGGATGACTACGAACCAGTTTGGGAAGTCAACGGCGTTCCCGCTTGCACCGAACACGGCGAAGCTCTGGAAAAACAGGGTATCGTGAGCACAGGTATGTCTATCGTAGTAAACCGGCAGGACTTACGAGAATGAACATAATGACTTGACTTCCACCGTCGAGTGCGGCAGAGGCTAAAAGGTTAGAAAGGTCGTCAGTATTCGCGATTTTCCCGCTTGAAATGATGAGCATCGCGCACTAAGGTAGTTGTACTGCAGAAAAAGGAGACAAATTTTAGTATCCAGATAGATAAAAAACGCATATATGGAGGGTGACGAACCTTCTTGAACCAGCCTGGACGACGCTTACGTGCCCACTGCTGGGACATATAACCGATGACAAGACAAGACCACCACATGCCGTTGACCGAGTATGGAAGGTACCCAATGTAGAGACTAAAAGAAATCGGGCGAGAACGCATCAGTACAAGATGAACAACTACCGATGGGTGATGATAAACTCACAGAATGATGGGCGTGTGGATGTACTTCGCGGCGTTACCGATCCAAGAGCCCTTCGGCGAGAACTTGTGCACGAGGAAGAAGGGAATGGGCATGAACAAGCCGATAAAGATCGCAAAGGCAATCAGCCAGTATTCCTTTCCGATTGTGAAGAGCTCCTTTCCAAGGGCACCCATGGCGATAGAGTTGCTGTTGTACTGCTGGACGATCCATCCACTCCACTAAATGACAGAGGCCGATATATATGAGAGGGATGAGCGATGTGACGGTCAACTGGGAGGCGGGGTAAGGTGTGGAAGACTACGCACAACACGGGTACCGACTGGGTCTTGAAGAACCTCACGGTTGTTGGTGACGATGGTGTTCATCATGGTATAATTGAAGATAGAACCGACGATCGAGCCTGCCATCTGAGCAGCGAAGGTCATGCGCGGCGGCAGCTTGGTGTACTGGCCCAACTTGAGATCTACAGGATTCGAGTGAGCAGGCATCAAGAACGAGCACTGAAAGAGGACAAGCCTTGGAGTAGGTAGAGCGTCTGGAACGTAGACGAGTTTCCGTAGAGATTGACATACATGACCGCACTGAAATGACGTCATCAGGATCGTTGACTGTCTGAAAACACTGTCGAGTATAAACTTACATGGGCTGCCCTGGATGCACAAAGGCAGCGATGATCTGGATGGCGTATTTGACACCTAAGGAGAAACGAACGTCGTTTAGCCATCGTAGGGTACCAGCAGACAATTCGACTAATAAACTCACTGATATTGAAACCTGTCGTCGCGGTAACTGTACGAGAATACGGTAAGCTCACCCATCTCCCGAAATATCAAGGAAAAATGGCTCACTGAAGCCGAGAGCGATGGCGAGGAAAGCGCTGATCACAGAGAAGACGAGAATACTCCACCAAGGAAGCAGAACTGTGCCGCCAGCTCCGTACTGTGATGGAAAGATCCTTAATAACGGTCCGACGAAGCAAAAACAAAAAGATGTACACTGCAGCCGATGCCAACACCCAGACTACAAAGGAACAAAACCAAGTACCACCACTGGGGAACCTCCTTGTACTGAAGGAGTATCAAGGCGTGAGACAGAGTTGATACGCATATCCTTCATTAAAAAAATGCTCACCTTGCGCATTTCAAGGTAATGAGGATCATCGATTTCATCGGCAGAGCTCTTGAGGAAGCGCAACCCACCGAAAGCTTTATTCGCGGTAGCATAAGCATCATAACCTGGAAATGAACTTCGTCGAAAAACATACCTCTCTTCAAGTCAGACCAACTCCACAGGATGACGTGGGTGACAGCAGCACCCATCGACAGATTGTACACAAGCTGCGAAACGCTGTAGGACGTGGTATACCGGGGAAGGCCAATTTCCGCCAATTTCGAGGGATCGAGCCTGTTGTCGGTGAGCACAGCGGTCTGGTTGTACGTGCTACCATCTGATCCGAAGAGGGAGGTGGACATGAAGACGAGGTCCCTGCCATTGTAGATGTTGGCGTAGTAGCAGGTCGTCAAGATGATATAACCGAGAGCCATTCCCACTGACAAGGACAAGGACATCTGTTAGACCTCATAGGTTTCGAGACTCGTGATGAAGAGAAATTCTCACTGTAAGAGTTGATCTCTGTATAAAATAGTCAGTAACGTAGAACATAGGGTTCCAAGGACGGATGGACGTACGCGTCTGCCAAGGCCACACTAGCGGGTTACCCTGCGTGATAAGGGTCCACGACGTGGAGAAAGAGAACAAGCCGATGCCCTCGTTACTGGACCCGGCACCAAACAGATTGCGGACAAAGGTAGAGCGGCCTTCGTCGATAAGGCAGATAATCTAGGTGTGCAGACCGGTTTAGAGCGAGAAACAGAGGTTGGAGAAGGAAGAACTGACCGAGATGGCGGAGAGGAGAGGGAACGGGTATTGGGGAATCCTGAACGGCGGACAAATACGTTGAGCAAATTGGGTGAATCAGAATTGATGAATATATAGAAATTCACCATTCCCAGAAGAAGATCGCGGCGAACTATCAATCAAGATTTGAGACGTTTTCTGACTGCAAAATCTGCGAAATTACTTACGACGATCCAGAAGTAGCGCCTGTTGAGGTGAAGTGACCGTCAGAACATTGTATCGGAGCGAGCTATGATAAAAAATCTTACCTCTTCTTGTGGTTGAGCAGACCACCGAAATGCAGACTCTGCAGGAGGTTGACCACGGAGATGTAAGTGGGGTAGAATGCGCTGGACAGCCATAATGAGTGCACGGTCAAGGTTGAACTTGGCTTGAGACGGAACGTACTAAGTCGGGTAGACCAAGAAACTCCGTAGCATTCCAGCAATACCATAACCAATCATTTGAGAGGCAAAGATTTGGAAGATAGCGACGACGGGCTTGAGCTTGATATCGTAGAACAGATCCAGAGCAGCAATGATTTCCATCGCGATTGCGACACTGGCGGCGGTCGAGGACATGATCGTGATAGCCGTGTGCTCTATTAGACGGTTAGCCAGATGACACTGTCGAAGATGATCTGTACGGTATACCTTTGATGTTGAAGGGTCCCGGGTTCAGGTATTTCCAGTAGCCATGACTTGGCATGATAGCTTTAAGATGAGAGTCAGATCAGGTATATTCTGAGATTGCGGAGAAGTAATACTCACAGTGCATGGCGGTTCCGAGGACGTAGGCGATGATGAGGGTGAACAACCTATCGACGAGCACAATAAATACAAGTAGAGCGGAGTCGCTACAAAGTATACATACTGAGAGACGGAGGCGTTCTGTGGCTTGAACGTGTAGATTGTTCCCAAGACCTGATAGCACCAGTGTAAGTCAAGAACGCTGAAGATCACTCAAGGCAGAAGATGCTTACGGCGCCGAATGCGCTCAATCCGATACCGAGGAAAACAACACGGAAGGTGAAGACAGGAAGAGTAGGGTCGTCCTGCGTGCTGATGACCTAAGGAACAAACCATTGTCAGAAGGAGCGGGATCACCAGGAAAGTGTATAGAACGGACCAGCAGGGCGACTTCTTCCGCCTTTTCGATGACCTTCACTTCATCGACGTCTTCGCTAGATCGAATCGACTTCTCCTCATCAACGACGACATCATCGTCTACAGGCTTCTTGTCAATGGAAGATCCCTCCGTGGGCGTTCGCTTGAACTCTGGAACGTCCTCCATGGTAGGGTAGGAAGAAGACCACGGCAGGCGAGAGCTCGAGGACGGGGCGAGCGAGGGGAATTAGCTCGAGGATAAAAGTGCCTGTGACGAAGTCCACCAAACATATATGATTCCCAGGAAGAAGAAATCTCGAGGGCTCCTTATCTCTGTATCCACGAGAACAGCACCCAGATGTCAGGGCCTGAAAACTTGCGGAGTCTGTTATCTTTCAGTGACAGTGAGTTTGGCTCCTGACTTGGCAAGGGGAGGCTTACCACGATACGCGTACGATGGCATGCGTATCAGCTCCGTGGTAGGCTTCCCGAACCCGTGGAGAAGTTGTGAATATACCAACTGGGGTACATTGGCTCTGATGCTCGTTATTTTTGTAGTGACCCAGGATACTCGACGAACCTGCGAGCACTGCAGGAAACACCTAATAAACCTGATGATGGGCGATAGCCAAATATCGGCTTTTGATAGGCTGCGCAACATACGCCGGAACGGCCGAGGCAACTCCATTGCTAGCACAGAACGTCTGCGATAACCTTTACAGTGGAGAAGGACCCAGCGAGCATCTTCATGCAACTAAGATCGACGTTGCGCCAAGTGCTCGTCCATGTTTGATGGGCGTTAGACGGCTTTTTCGAAGTTTTTCGAAGTTTTTTTCGAGGAGCATCTGTCGAGATTGATCGAAAGCCCGTGTCCTCCCGTATCTCAACCAGCAGCAAGGGTCATACGGCCAACATCGGGGCGAAATAAAGCAGGTAGAAGCGGAAGATAATGCCCCGCTGAACGAAGTCTCCACAAAGTAGACAGGCCTCCTGAACGTCCGCTTATCATAAAAGTCGAGATTTTTGGCGCGGTCTAGTTTCGACTGGGTGAGCGACAGCGCCGACAGAGGCGGCACCGCCTGGCACCGCTAGCACGCCGGCGTGGATAGGGTTAGGTGTCCGAGCGAGGCGGCCGCGGCGGGTTTTCTTTTGTCTCTTTCACGCTCATCTGGTTGCATCCAGGTCCACCATCCAGCATATCTATCCAGAGCCGACGATCGCATCTCTTGGTTCTCTTTATTTTTTTCTCTCTTCTGTAGTAGGTCTTCAGCACTGGTGTTTCACGTGAATGAACAGCACCAAAACTTACCATAGCTTCAGTCATGCTACTCTATGCCGCAGGTTCGAATGGGCAAGGTCAACTGGCCAACGGCACTCGAGACGATGCACACACATTCACACTCTGTTCTTTCACGGGATATCCTGCTGGTGAATTACCTCCATCGACGACCTGCATCCACTCTATTGCCAACGGAGGCAACCATACACTCGTCCTCCTGTCTCGACTTGGTGTCTCTTCCGAGTATCTTGAGCTATGGGGCTCAGGTGATGGCTCGAAGGGACAACTCGGACCTGGGGTAACCGAGCTCCACACTTTCAATCGAATTCACCTGCCGCTGGAGGAGCATGGGTTGACGGATTATACAGTGGCGAGGGTGGGAGCCTCCTGGGAGACAAGCTTCGTCGTGCTCGTGAAGGATGGGGAGAGCGACATTCTGATCTCTCTGGGAGGCAATGATTTCGGTGATCTGGGCGTCGGGACGGCGAATGTTCAGCCTGCGCCTTTTTATGTTGTCTCCCTATCGCATATTGTGGATCCTCAGCATCGAATCTCTATACTGGACCTCGCTACTGGACCCCATAATATCATCCTTCATGTCCGTGAAAGCTCTGAAGATGGTCGTCAGACGGATCATATCATCGGCTGGGGCAAGTCGAGACATGGTCAACTCGGAGCTATACCACCATTATCCACCGGACGACCAGTGCCGTATCTTACCCTACCACACGCCCTGTCGCTTGACTTTGACCCGTCTCATGTCCGCGCCATAGCCCTCGGCCACCAACATTCTGTGTTTCTGCACTCGGATGGCTCGCTCTATGGCCTTGGATCTGACCAAAAGGGCCAGCTCCGTGGTTTGCCTTCGGTACGGCGAGCCACATCTGTCGGATGTACATGGAATGGAACCTATGTGCTTGTGAGCGAGGGCGATAATAGGAGTATGTTACTCTCTTCTGGGAGTTCTACGAAGGGACAGCTTGGCCGTACCGCTGCCTTGGACGACGCGGGAATGAAAACAGTCCAGTTTCCCTTCACTTTGTTCACGGATCGTGTCGAGGGCCTCGCTTACGGGAGCGAGCATCTACTCGTCCTTTTGTCTGGTGATCCGACGTCAACACCACGGACGGGAGAGGTATGGGGTTGGGGGTGGAACGAGCATGGTAATCTTGGGACTGGGTCTCTGGAAGACGTTCATACACCCCGTAAGGTGTGGCCGCCATCGTCGCCTGGAATTCATGGGCGTGCTCTCGGAGTGTGGGCTGGTTGTGGAACGAGCTGGATTGCTGTGGCGGATGACGATGACACGAGATAAAAGGAATTATTGAACTCTGCGATGCTTTGTGATCGGACTGGTGTGTATGCTACAGACAATTTATGTTGTACAGTTTACAGCGCTCAACATTATGACTATTCTTCCAGTATGAAACCTTCGACCCTATTACGCGTTGTCGGACCTCAATATATGCGCTTTGTCTCTCTACGAATCGTCAAGAATCGAAGCTGTCTTGTCTTGTGCTCTTAGTCGACATCCGTGAGCCCCAGGTCTTCGTGGACTTGTCTGATGGTCGTCTGCTTGTGCGACGCGAGCTGGATATATGCGGTCAGATCATTGTACGTTCGTCTTCACCATTGTCACTGACCTTTCCGATCAGAAGCTAATTAATGGTGCAGATATTCTGTTATTGAGTGGTCGGGAGGCAGGACGACCGACGAGATGAAGACACGACGTACTTGGGTGGCATCTTTAGCTTCGTTGTACCGATGCAAAAGCTTGATATGACGGGAAACTATCTTATTTGCGTCTACTTCTTCCCTGAAGATGGATCGTTTAGGAGACTGAATCCGAGAGGATGCGATAGCATATACTTACCCCAGCTCCTTTTGTAACTGTTCTACTTCGACCTCGAGCTCTGCGATGCGAGCTTCTTGCTTCTGTGTAACAAGTGAGTTAACATAGCCTTGACTCGACATGCAGGACCTATACCTTTGCAGAGGTGAATGCATGCATATTCGTTATGTACGTTGTGAAGACGTGGTCGACGGGGTAAGAAAGAACGAGAACGATACTTTAACCGCCACCCATTTCTGGGGGCGCCACATTCGGGCAGTGGCTCACGTGGCGTTAGACGCCGTGCTGTACTGCCTAAACCACGTTGTGCGTGAGAAACCTAAATGCTCTGGTCAACTAAACGAAAGCGCGCTCGTGTTGAAGTTCGTTGAGTTCTTCGAACCGAACTCCCACAAAGGGCAGACGTGTTCGCATCCTTGGCCGTATGCGACATGCCTGGGTCCTCTCCACAATCCGACGTTGAGTGGGCGAAGCAGGAGGTACGCGCCATCATACATACCCCTTTCGGAATTCAGAACATTCAAGCTCATCGTTGCTCAAATTGCCATGTGGTCTTGTGTGGGGGGAATGAACGCGCCTTTCCAGCTATCGGGCGCCGCGAGCTCGTTGCTCCTTGTTCAAGAACGACTGACGCAGGCTGTGCGGACACTTGAACAGGAGAACGATAGTCTACGTGCGCAGCTCGCGGATAGGTCTTGGACGTCGCGTCGCGTTTCGGTCCTGATCGAGGAGAATGAGCGACTGGTGCAGCAGCTGGGGACTGCGATTGCGGCAAAAGCTGTGATGGAACAGGAGAGGGACGATGCCTTGTCGAAATTGGCTAATACTCGCAAGGTTATACGGGATCTTCTCGGTGAGCAAAAGGTAAGGTTTTCCGTGGCCGTCATAATGTTCGAGCTGCCCGACTTACTGTTACGCCACAGCAGGGAGGTGCCACACGGGAAGACCCCCTTGAGGACTGGGAACATGTATCTGCGAATAAGCCTGACAGTCCCTTGGGTCACACTTTATCTCGTCCTCTGTCTTTCTCCGCTTTATCATCCACGTCCCAACCACCCAACAGCGACGCGACGATACGCTTCCCAGGCCTTGGTCATCGTCATTCATCCACAAATCTTAACACGAGCGCCAGGCCTTCATCAACGCTTCATGCCGTGCCGGAGGGAGATACCCCTTCACCTTTAGGCGAACCCTTCCAGCTTCGAATGCCTTCTGCTCCACCAACATCCAGGGGCACCAGGAGACGAGTGCTCAGCGCAGATGGTAGGCCACATCTGCATCGGCCATCGCCGACTACGTCGCCTGGGACCATAGGCAGTACGCGTCGTCATCTTACAGCAGGTGGGGTGGCGAGCGTGGAGGCCAGTCCCGGTAGTGAGGCCGGGTGGTCAGTCCATTTTGACGCGGATTCAGCTGCTGCGATAATGAGGTGGAGGATACATTTCGGGAAACCACCCGTTTCGGCAAAGACTGTGGTTGGACCGTTGAGTTTTGAAGATGTGGTTAATCGGTTGGAACTTGATGAAACTACGGTAGGCCGAATATTCTATACTGTGGATGTATATACTCACGTTCTTAACGACGTTGTGCAGGTGTCTATCTTGGATAGGTATTGTGCTTCTCTGACGGCTTTCCAGGCTTCCACCTACTCACTCTACGCGTCCTTTGCTCTCCTCTTGGACTTAGCCTAGCTAATGCCGCCAACGATAATATACGACTACACGTCACACAGAACATAGCATTTATCTTCGATCCCATTGTCCTCGAAACGACTAATTCTCGGTACATCGTCAACTGGAGCCCGCCCAAGGTCAACGACCGTATGCTAGACTATATTTCAGAAACGAGCAAATCGCGGCCATTGTACACCTTCATATCATCCTCGAAGAAGGTAGGCATATTTTCTGATTCATCAACAAAACGGTCGCTCATCGCCGACTTTTGATTAGAAGGGATGGTTCTACATCGGGCTATACGACTGGCGGGACGCGAGCGCGACGGTCTCATCTGTCTGGCCTGCACTATCACCCAAGGTAAGCTTTGAATCCACATCATCCCCGCTTGTCAGTCATATCAATTTCATTCCATGCACAGGCCCAACGAGCTGTGGCAGCTTGTTGCAACACTGGTCCATCATCGCCTTCCGGCATGGACTTCTCTCGCCTTCTCGAACGAGGGGAGTTGGCGCAGTGCGCTATCGAGCTTACAGACGTGCTGGAAGGGCAGCAGGCTGATTTGTCCGAGAAGATGGCGGCGATTCTGAGACGGTGAGGAGCAGCGCTGGTCGTTGTGCTATTCCCAGTACAGATGTTCTCCGAAGATTCCTTCTGCTCCATCTACGCACTCTTACATTATTCTTGGTTTCAATGCTCCCCAATGGCAGTCTTGTGATTGCTTTTCACCCCTGAACATCGGTTGTGGGTCCCTGGACTTGAGCAACGAGGTTCAAACTCTCGGAAGGATGTCGGAATAGAGCCTACCGTCTCACTCGGTTGAGGGTCATCGTGGCCGTACACGACATGAATGCCTGTGATAACTGGATAAAAATGGCCTAATATATGGGTATTCGCCTTGGTTCAAGGTGATATAGTATAAGTACGTGTAGACAGTCCGTGCGCTATGGAGAGGTTCATTCTAAAGAAAAATGCTCTATATGTCTAACTATCCCAAACCCAGTGGTAGCTCATCATCAACGCCGTATCATCTAAATTGCCTCTCAGGACTCCGCATATGCTCTAGGCTTCCTCGCCAACATCCCCTCCATCTGTTTCGAGAGCGCGTCCACGTTCGCATCGGAGCCCCAATGTCTCACGTAGACGTCGAGCCCTCTGTCCTGTTCATCTGCTGAAGGATGTTCGTTCGCAACCCTGCCGATGGTTGTGTGGGTGGCGGAGAACAAGGCCCGATCAGTATCGGGGTAGCGTAGTAGGTATTCCTCTAAGGGCAGCGATTGGAATTTGACTTGTATGATGTCTATAATGCGCGAACGGAGAGCTGCCGAATCTAATCAACACACTGCTAGGTGATATCAGACAAGCAGAAGAATGCTCACGTTCGACAGTATATTTTAGGGAAGTCTGTGAGACCGAGAAGAAAGAGTGTCAAGATTAGTTTCAGGTAGCGGTTGACGTGGAGTCTTCTACATACCCATATATGTAATGGATGCCCCCATGGATCATCTGGAAATTCGCGATTGTGTTTCTCGATGTCTGTAAAGACACGCATACGGGTGGCGTTGATGGAGAACGCCGCACGGTCCTGAACTTCCTGTCTGTCGAATGGAGTAGCGGATAGAAATATCAATGTGCGGTCTGGTCAAGACCGGGGAACGGATGAGAATTAGCTAGTTCCGAGATACGATAGAATGGTGGGAATCACGAACCTCTGATATTCCATTCACAGAACCATTGAGCGCAAAGAATCGCATTCGGAGGCATTAAAGTATCTCCCCAGCGGGTATTGAATGCAATCCTACATCACCAGATGTTAGTTATTTGAGACCATAAACGGAACAAAGAGAAACGGAGATACCACTTGTCCATCGACTTCTCCTCCGAACTAGACTTGGTCCAATCTGCTGCAGACTTGTCTCGCCTCGCTCGTGTCTTTGCCCATGTCAGAGCCGTATATATACGGGTATTCGGAGTCATTGGCCCTTCTTCCCAGACCTTCCGCCCCAGATAGCCCCTTTTCATACATTTTTCTTCGATGTCTTTGAAAGTGCGCAAGGATGACGAATGCTCGAGCACCTGTTCGTTGGTCTCGCCGTGTAAGAATGGTGCGAGCTGGATAGGTAGGAGGATCATACCTCTGGCGTACCGAGCCGAGCCATGTAATGGTCTTTCCATAAGCTCTCACAAGCGTCGACTACTGCGGGCCACTCTTCCTTTCCTTCTACGTCGCCAGGAACCTCCCACACTGAAAGCTCCATGTCGCGGGCACCTAATCTGTCTCGCAAGAAGTTCAGCTCCAAGCACGCACCAGATCGAGGATAAGTCAACTTGCCTGTCGTGAGAGAGCCTACATGTTTTACGATTGCCTTCAAATAGCTCCATGCACCTCCACTTGCCGATGCCCCCTCTGCTTGATCCTCCTCCGCAATTTGTGCATCTGAAATACAATGTCACATATATTGGCGAAATTCGGATAAACTATGACTTTTACCGTTTATATTTCGCGTTGCAAGCAGTGCATATGACCTGAGGAGGAATGCGCATCAGTATACGAAATTCTAAACTTGAAGTAAGGATGACTTACTTCGACCGTAAAAGACAGCGGTGTTCTTCCCTCCTTCGCTACAAAACCTCCCTGGCCAATTATCTTCGTGCATACACTACAAATTGTCGAGAGAGTGATATCTTCCAGCTGATTCGTCCGTTTCCGGGTGGTAGTACGGGTATGAGAACTGGACGAACAAGTATCGCATCGAAATTGCGGCTCGTATTGCACATCGATTTCGGATGGAGTGCCACGAAGGATAAGCTGGGCCATAGATTTGGAGCATCCAGAGCATATGGCGTCGCAATGTTCGGATAATAGAGCCTGCTTCCTCACCTTGGGCTTGGGGGAGGAAGACGGGCGGTCGGGGTTAGCTCTATCGGAGTCTTGCGATGAGGAACGCTCGCGAGATGAAGGCATATTGTCTACTGTGCTCGACAAAGACGGGGCAAGAGGTGTGGATAATTCTGCATTGACGCTGTTGTACCCAACATTGTCAGTCGGAGCGGGAAGATATTGAGGCAATCCCGAAGAGGACGATGAGGCGTAGTTGGAAGAAGGGTGAAGTGAAGAAGTCAGAAATTGGTTCGATGTCCGATGCCTTTCAAGGGTGAGGATAGCGAGTTGTGCTTCACGCTGCAAGCGAGCTTCCTCAGTCTCGCGGCGCCTCTGAGCAACAAGCTCGAGTTCGGATTGTCTGAGCCTTCGCTGTTCACGGAGGGCCTCCAGTTCGAATTGCGCATTCGTCGGCGAAAAGGATGATCCTTGGGTTTGGGAGGATGTAATAGCGGAAGAGGTGGGGTACGATGGATACTGTTGGTATGATTGAGGTGATTGATAGTGTTCGGGATAAAGTGGAGCGAACGGTGATGGATCATACACAGACGTCGGAGGCGTGTGAGAGTGGGACAAGGAAGAGAAGTCGGTGATGGTAGCGTCTGGCGTAGTTCGACCATATACATCTGTTTGGTACCCGTGGAGTGCTGGATGTAGCTGCTGCTGCTCCGACTCGGACACATCGCCACTAATATCATTGATCGACGTGGAGGGCAGCGAGTAGAAATCCTGGTCATCGCCCGAGAAATAGAAAGGATTCATGATGCGACGAGTCTGAGTCGAGCCTAGAAGCAAGTACTGGGATCTGCAATCGCCAAAGCGAACTGAGGATCGGCGCTCAGGAATATACGCGGAGCCAGTGCCAGTGGGGATGGGTTGTAGTGAGTCTCCGATCATCCTATATATGCTTCCAGATGTTGAGCTTGGACGCGTACAGCACCAATCTGGGTTTGATACGTATATTCAGACGGACTGGTACAAATAAAGCTTCGCATAGTCATCCAGGGCGTGTTCGGAGACAAGAAAGCAGAGCAAGGATCAATCAAGGAATCATGCAATGTTCGCTTGGTACCGTCGATCCGGCTATTTCCATGCCTTACTTTACCAGTGTTTGTCAGGCTGGACTTGTCCTATTCGGGCGCTCGGAGTGTGGCGGCACTTTCTCCGTTCTTTCAACGCCGTTGTTGCTTCCAAGAAAGTACCGTAACTTGCAGACCTTCGTTTTGTCATCAAAAACTGCTGACCAGGCCAATAAAACTACCCAACGGCATTCCAGGGAGAGCTGTCGACGGGTTGCCGTCGAATTTATTTGTAATGTTCTCACTGGACTCTCAGTGCTTACTGACCATCCCCGAACTTGAACACCATAGATTTGGCAGCAGACCTCATCACCCAATATATTCCTGGACCGACCAGTAATCTATTTCTCATGATTCGTGTTTATAACCTGACTAGACTGTCCAAGCAAACTATAGCGGGTGGGTCGACCAGTCAAACATGCTACTTCTCATCGAACCTGTAAATCTCGGCTGCCTACAAGCCGTCCAGTTCACGAAGGATCGGGTTAGGACCGGGCTGCCAAGAAAGGCAGTATCTACAACGATAGCAGGACCCACTTGTCCAGGCAACCGCCTCACTCGCACGTTGGCAAGCACACCTGATGAGTCGCTTCATAATTCGCGTAATACAAGGACAGCCTCCTACAATTATCCTCCGTACCGTAAGCAAGCTTCCTTTTGTACCAGGTGGATACGATGATGGGGCGCTTCACGTTTCAAAATCGCGTTGCTCCTACTGTCTGCCGCGGCGAGCCCAATGGCCCTGACACAGGTAAGTTCATACTTACAAAGCTCAGTCTCAATTTGCGGTGAACTCGCTTGCATGCACATCGAGTGGATAGCAGATTCGTGCGCTGTTGCAGGTTGGGTAGGTCTCCATTCCTGTCAATGAATGTCGCTTTCGTTGATGTGACTGATTGACTTGCTGCATAGCTTCTGCTATGATCGCCTCGTAGACATCATCTATCCATGCTCTCCTCGTCCACCAAACTTCGTTGCACCTAACGTCTTCCTACCGCTGTTTGAGCTGTGGTCAGTGTCTTCGCGGTCCCTGTGAAGGACGGCGTCGGGTCTGCGCGGATACGTACGTAGAACCTCCAGTTTCACTCAGAATAAATTTGGTAGGTCCTTCGGCTTCCCATCATGCGAAGAAGGGACTCTGATCGTAGTTAAGCTTCCTGCTATAGTGGCCGTTGTTCATCTCTTGTATCAAGCTGTACACACCTGCCCACTCTCGATCTCTTGGATGACAATTACTGGTGAGCTACCGGCCAAAACTAGCGACACTGTGGTCAGAGGGAAAGCGTGTGTATGGCAGAGCACAGGTAGAGGCAACTCGACAGCTATGACCTCCTTGCCTGGTACTTGGTGAAATATTTCCCAAATTACTAGATCAGTAATATCGCTAATCGAGTCGTTTTATTTATCGAAAAAACAAAGGCAGAAAGGTCGCACATTCAGCTGCTCGTGCAGGCTTCAATATCTAGGTATTCTCCCCACTTTCCCTCAAGAATACCAGCAGTAAATGTCTCTCGCTTGCTGGGAAGCGGTGGCGGCGAAGACACCATCTTCCTCCATTCTATGCATCATTGGTTCGGTACCCGCGGTGGGACGTCACTGACACAGCACTCCCTTCACCTTCCTTCCACCCCGTCTTACCTTGCCCTTCGTCTCGTTTGTCTCGGATGATCCGCTGGATTCCGTGTAACTTGCCCGTGTGCTTCCTGCTTCTTACCTCCCCCCCTTGGTGTCTGGCCGCATTTTTGCGGCAGACGGTGCCTAGGTCATGAATTGTACGGTTTCTTCCTTCCTCCCTTACCGCTCTGCCCTGGCTCATATGCTCTCTTACGATTCACAGGTAACTCAAACTCAAACTCCGGGTTTCCGTCACCATGCCAGACAAATGCCTCCCCATCCTCTTGAAGCCCAGCCCCGTTGTCCCATCCGCTCGTCATCTCCATGCTGTGCCAGGACCTGCAACATCTTCTCAACTTTGCCGCAAAATACCTTAGCGCAGGGAGCGTGTATCGCTATTCTCACGTGTATCCACAAGGGCTCCATTACCTGGTCATCGACCGTCTCATCCACGATCGTCGTCCTCAAATCGTATGACCTCGTGGTGGCGTGAAGATATCAAACCTATCGAGAGTTCAGGACGCATATCCCGCGATCCGAGAAAGGCTCCGAAATTGAGAACGTAAGGATGTTCGAAGCGAGTGCGATGCACGGAGTACCGGCGACGTATCGCTGTGCTCTTTCATCGAAAAGCACAGGTTGGATGGATAGCCTCAGTCTCGGATATTCAGGAAGTGTGTTGCGAGGAATAAGAGGGAACGTAAGGTGGACCTTGGCTGTGGCCGTCAGCAAAGGGTGTGGGTTGAGTAAGAGATTTTGAAAGGTATGCTTCCGTGGAGCAAGCGACTTTGTTTCTTGGTCTGGCCCATCGATGCAATGGAGCTGTGGGGGACAAAGGATGGAAAGCTTCGAAAGCGGGCAATACATCCGATGAGGGTGAGATTGTGCCCAGGACCACCGGTGGCATCTTTCGCAGGGTCCCTGACCGACGAGTGACCGTGAATTCGAGAGATTCCAGCTAAGAACATGATTCAGCCAGAGAGCGTAGATTATAGCATAAATCATTAGGAGTCTGGATTTCAATGTACTGTTTGAGTAGTCGATAGAGTATAGAACTAGAGTAATCTGAAGACAAACGGAAGAGAATGTGCGCGCATGGAATCTCTGAGCGTTCGTCAACAACACGCTGAAACCAAGCTTCTGTAAAAATTGGAATGCACCTGGTTTTCGTCCTGGATTGTTTACTTGTCATTACTCAAGGTGCTTCTACTTTCGACGGCGGGGAATAAATGCAGTCGATTTTAAAAAGTCAGCATCGGGCCCTGCTCGAAAGAACTAAGGTCATATGAGTCATCGGTGAGGACTCGGACACGGGGAAGTACAGCATTCCCACCCTGTATCTGAACTCCGTCTGCGACCGTGGATCAATTGAGCAGCCTAAAGACGAACATAACAGCGATAAAGGAGCCCCAGTAGCATTTCCGGTGGTCTCTTAGAGATGATTCTGCACTGGTGTTAGTCTTCGATCGGAGGCATGAACTGGCGCATGCTAGCCTCAAAAATGTATATCACTGGCAGTAGTACGAGTGTCTCGAGTGGGCACACAAATTGAGTCAAACCTGTGTCTGTGACCGTCGAGATCGTCCTGTGCGCCCTGCTAGCGACACAATAATGATAGGCATCGGAAGTTGGAGAGCTGCTTTAGCGTGAAAAGGGTGGATCCGCTCGCCTACTTCTCGCCGCACTAGATTGTCATTGAGAACTGCTTTTGTCTACGATTGACAGACACGTATCGTTGCGGGCAATCGGTGAGCGGTCAGTCTAGCGTTCGAATGAAGCAGACTGAGTGGTAGACAACTTGAACGAACAGAGTAACCGGGTTAGCGCGGCCTGTTAGCGCCCATTCTCCTGGTCACTCTCCTGGTTGAACTAGGAGATTTCGTCCTACTCGAGATGCTGATCACATTATCCGAATCACCGTGTTTGCCGATATCGTTTCGACCAATCACAGTCGCGACCCGAGCGTCAGAAAGGTAAGTCCTGAGGTGCACTCACTTCCTGATGGAGCTCTGAATGGCGCCCATTCGAAGTTCACGCGTGAGTGCTCAACCCGGCAACTGCCGGGCGTTAGATTGTTGAACGTTCTTTGCATTCGGATTTGGGAAACCGGGGTCCATGATCCACGCAGGACCTTCACGCAATAAAACGTCTAAACATCCTTCCCAAGAAAAAGAAAGTCCATATATATCATTTTAAACCATCCGTCCACCACATCACCCATGCACTCATACATCCCCATCCCTACAATCTAAACAACCTCGTACTTCTCGACCGCAACGACCGCGTCTTCCGAATATCCCACCTCCTCCCCGCTCTCTACCATAGTAATGCTCCCCACCCGAACGCCCACTGTATTCCCCTGTCCCACGAACTGCACCTTGACAGGGAAGAAAGCGCCGACGTCGTCGCCTCCTACGGAGAACTCCATCGTCCCGGAGCGGTCGTCTGCGTTGACGAGGGGGATGGTCCAGTCGAGTGAGTGTGAGGAGGGGTTCAGTTGCCAGTCTCCGGTGTGAGATGTGACGGTTGGATAGGAGCCGGCGCTGATGAGAGGGGACGGTGTCGCGTGAGTGAGCGGGTAAGGAGTGGACGAGGAAACTATGGCTTACGGGAGAGGAATGGAGATGACGAGGTCGTAGAGTGAGACTGTCTCGTTCTCAAGCTCATATTCGATATTCACGTCACACGTCCCGTCGTTCGATGGCGTTGGCCAGCAATTGACTATAAACAAATCACGCGCCATTAGCCACCCGCACTCGATGACAAGTATCAAAATGGAGAAAGAAAATACGTACTCGACAACGGCACATAACTCTCATCCTTCCCCGTATACCTCCACTTCAACACCGCCAAGCTCTGATTCACCGGGAACTGTCTGCTCGGATCCTTCAACGCGATCACCCTCTCCTTATTCGCCACAAACTTGCCCACGTTCGGATGTTGCTTGAACTGCAACTCGTGGCCGAAATCGTTCGTCGGAGGGAGCAGTGCGATCTTGATCCGCGCCAGGGCAGGGTCCGACACTTGGAGGTTCATGTCGCCCTTGAGGTCCATGGACTCGAGACCACCTTCGCGGGAGAGCGAGAGGTTGATGGTCTCCTTCGTGACAATGTGGATACTGTGGCGAGCAAGGTCAGATATTGCACCTCGACGAGACGTGAAATGAAAAGAAGAAGTACGTACCTCTCCGGTGTGACGGCTGGTACACTACCTCTCCCCGCATCTTTAGGCCTCGACGCCGGCCCACCACCCATCGCCCCAAGCTCAGGCGACGTCGTCGGCACCGGCGTCGCCGGCTGGCTCATATCCTCCGAAACCAACGCCTCACCGCCCAACGCATCCAACAACTCCGCCTGCTTCGTCTTCTTACTCCCCAACTTCATCCCGCTACCCTTGAACGCCGGCGCCCTCAACGACGACTGTGCAGGCGAAGCGGTACGAGGCGCGGGCGAGGGCGCGTCGAACCGTTGTGGGACGGGTGCGTAGCCTCCTGAGGACCCGCCGCCGCTGCCCATGCCTGAACCGAAGCCGCCACTGTTACCGCCCCCGCCCATTCCTGCGGCTGCGCGTTTTTGTTGTTCGCGGCGTTGCATTTCGAGTTGTTTGGCGCGGCGTTTGAGTTCTTCTTTCGCTTCCGCTTCTTTGTTCTACACGACCAGTCACCAAGACACAAAGAATCACCCGTGAACGGAGCACGGTTTGTGATAGAGAGGACGGTGAATAAGTGGAGGTAGAGAGGCCCTGGAAGGAGATAAACCGGTATAGCAAGCAACGCTCACCCTCGCAATGATCTCCTGAATCTTCTCCTCATGACTCTCCATCTCCAACACACTCCTAATCTGCATCAAATTAACCATCTCCCTATACCCCAAACTGACGATCTCATCAAACGCGCCGAGCAGTTCAAAGCTGTTCTTCAATATCTCCCTCTGGTCCGCGCTCCTGCACATGTCCGACACGACGCGCGCGAAGAGGTGGAGCGTCTCGATGTCCTGCAGGATGTTCGACGCTTTGTTCGTGATGAGGACTATGTAGAGGTCTTCGAGCGGCTGGTAGACGTAGCGCACGTCGGGCGTCTCGACTGAGGTGTGTTGCGTGTTTGTGGGGATGAGTTTGGGGAAGGAGGCGAGGAGGGATTCGATCCGAGCGCGCGACATTTCGCGGAATTGACGAGAGATGACGGCTATGTGCGATAGTCATTGGAACGTGCACATTTATGAGTGCATAGAACAAGAACGAAAGAGTTGAGAAGGGATGTCGGGACGTACCTTTGCCGCCTTTGGTACATATTGACGCGGCGAGTACGACCTAGACAAGTCCGCGTCGAACACGGTTCATTCACCAGAGCAAGCGCAGGGACATACCATGATGACTTTTAAACGGACCCGACGGCCTGTGAAGTACGTTATGGGTAGAAGTGACGGAGGTGGTGGCGAGAACGGAAGGTTGCTGCTAACTCTGTACCGAGGACGTGGCACGTAATTCACTCGCCACGTGCCACAATCACCGTCGCGGTTGGGTGCCACCCGGTGCGGGCCACATCTGTAAGTTCGGACGCCTATCGTCGAACAATTCTGCTTCGAATCTCATAAATCACCGCAACCAACTAGCATTCCCATTGGTATATACCTATCGACGCCCAATGCGTACGTACGTACACTTCACCATTCACCTTTCATCCTTTCACCAGTACAGTAGTACTCAGAATTGGCACAACGTAACATCGCACAGCTCCGTACCATCTGCCAACAAACAAGGACAGATAACCGATAAATGAAGCTATAAACAGCCAAACAGCCAACCAACCAAACAGACAAACAAAAAACATTCAAAACCTAACCACAAAACCGAGCATTCAAAGCCCAGAAAATGAGAACAAGAGCCCAAATAGAAATACGTACGTACGTATATGGCGGCCAAGTATATAAGTAAATGGACCCGGACCGGAAAGAAGAAGGGTAAGTAAGTAGAAGAGAGGCAGCGCGACGGGCGAAAGAATATGAACTCAATAAAGCGGGAAACTTGAAGGTGGTGAATGGTAGCGCAGAGTCGCGGACGATCAGGGTCAGGTCAGACGAAAAAGGTCAGGTCAGGGGGTCAGGGTGCACGCACGGAGACGGCGGACGTTCGAACAAACGGGAGGTAAGACAAACAGCGGACAAGACAAGGACAGGAACAAAACACAGAGGTTGCACAAACGACAGACGAAGACGCGGGACAACAACGTATGTAAGTATGTAGCGTATGTACGGGTTGGGACCGACTAGAGCGGTGGGGGTAAGTAACAGGAAGGGGAGAGGGGGAACAGGAGTACAACGACAGCCTGCCTGAGTGCGTGCTCGTAATAGATAAGATATAGGGAAAGAGTGCGTGGTGTGACGTGGTGTGGTGTGATGCGATGCGATGGGTTGAGATGGGATGGTAAGCGACGAGAGGACGAAGAAAGACAACGTAAAGACCGGACAGGCCTGCTCAAAGCGGGCCAGGACTCCGCCTCATCACCCCATCATCATCACCTAACCACATCAACCACCCACTCACTGCGCCATTCCCACCGCACCCCTCGGCCCACCCGCACCCTGCCCCGCGAAATTCATCCCATAAACCGACTCCACCCTGCCTGCCTGTCCCTGCTCATATCCTCCATACGCGCCCTGCACGCCATCATAGCCTCCCCCATACGCGTCCTCCCCCGTCCAAGCCCCACTAGCACTCTGTCCCCTATGTATCGGATCCGCAAACGGATGCTGGGCCTGACCCTGCCCATGAACCTGCTGCAACGCCGCATCGCTCCCATACGCCGGCTTCTGCGCCTGCGACAATTGCAACGGCGGCATCCCAGCAGCGGCAGTCGCGCTCGGATACTGAATCTGAGCCGTCTGAGCCTGCGATTGCGCGGGGTACTGTCCCTGGCTCATGTCCGCGTACTGTTGCTGGTGCTGGTACTGACTCGCGTCAGGGTGCTGCTGGTACGCGCCGTCGGACTGGCCGCCCTCGGGGAAGTACGCCCCAGGGGGGAACTCGACGCCCGAGTACGTCGGCTTGCGGAACAGGTTCCCACGTGGGACGGCAGCAGCGAGCGCCTCGTCCTCGTCGACGTACATCCCGTTTCCGTCATATCCACCGTGAGCGGCATTCGGATTGCCATGACCGTCGTAGCCCCCGTTAGGTCCATAATGGATCTCCCGATCTGGATACGCGCCGTCCATGGCGGGCGCCACCGCGTCGTCCTCCGTCAAGTCGTGTCCATGACCCGAGTTGGAATGCGAATGGCCTCCATTTCCGCCGGCGCCGTTGGTGGCGGTGGCGTATTCCGGCTCGGGGCCGGGCGCGACGTTCTTCTCGTAGTACGCAAAGTCTTCGTCCTCGAGCTCGCGTTCGCGCGCGAGGCGTTGTTTGCGAATGAAGTAGTAGACGAAGTAGCCGATAATGCCTGCTGCGATCACACCGACGGTAGTGAAGACACCGGCGACGGCGGATTTGTTCTCGAAGAAGCTAGCCGTGCGATGAGAGATCGGGTTAGCGTTGGAAAAGCTCTTTTGGGAAAGCGAAAGGCAGAAGATGGAAGAAGACGCCGGACGTGACAGGAAGAGTGAGAAAGTGCGGGTGAGAGTCGGGGCTATATTTAGATGAACATGGAAGTTGGACTGGGATAATTCCCAGCTCTTGACTCTTCACGACGTTCTCGAAGAGCTTCGCGTCTTCAGAAACTGATAAACAACATACCTAGTGGTGTCGGAGGCCGCTGCAGTCGAGGAGGCACTGACTGTGCTTGCGGTCGCGTCGCCAGACGCAGTACCGGCATTAGAGGTGGTAGAGCTAGCCTTCTTGGTGGTCGATGTGGAGGTCACGGCGGCAGCGATAGTAGATGTAGTAGCAGCCTTAGTCGTGGAAGAGGAGGATGTGGTCGTAGAGGAGGAACTAGATGATCGTTCGTTTGAGTTGAGATGTTTGTAAGTCAAAGAAAAATAGACGCACGTTGTGGAAGTAGACGATGAAGATGTAGTGGCCACCGAGGAACTAGAAGTGGACGATGTCGTCGAAACGACAGACGAGGAAGAAGAAGAAGAAGTTGTCTGAACGACAGCAGAGGAAGAGGTAGTGGCGGCAGCCGTTGAACTAGAAGTAGTTGGTACGACCGCAGACGAGGACGAGGTTGTCTCCGCAGCGGTGCTCGTAGGGGTATCGGAGGTAGACGTAGCGGCTGCCTCGGTAGACGAGCTGGTAGTCGGAGCTGTCTCGACAGATGTAGAAGTAGTAGCGGGCTGGGTGTCCGTATCAGCGGCTGAGGAAGCAGCAGGCGAAGCGGCGGCGGTGGAGGACGCGGCTCCAGCGTCGGCGCCGTCAGCACCGTCGCCGCCGAGGAGGTCAATGCGAGGATGGTGCTGGAATGCGCGCTTGTGGGCAGCGACGTGGGCATCGGTGCGTTCTAGGACATCTTTTGGATAGGCGTGGGCGAGGGCGACGGTGACAAGGACAGCGAGGACGGAAAAGAAAGTGAGGACGCGGGCAGCGTTGGCGTTGCGGCGCATCGTTTGGATATGTTGTCGTCGTGCACGATAATGTTTGTTTGTTTGTTATGTATATGAGGCCGGGGCCTCTGGAAGGAGCGGGCAGGGGAAGGAGCGGCGGGCGACGGGCGTCGGGGTGATGGTCGTCCTAAACAGACTTGGTCTTCCAATATCCACTGCGCGGCAACGCTTTGCCCAGGCCCAGAATATTCCCGTACCTGACGGACTTCAACTATTCGTCTTCCTGTCATCCTCCTAACTTCGCGTTCAAATATTATTCTCGGCATGCGCGATAGCGTCCCTGTTCAATGCGCCATACGACGAGCATGCTGTGCTTTGAAGCTTTGACGTTCCCGCGTGGGAGCGGTTCGACCGGCGGCAACAGCGACGCCTCGAGGCACCGAGGGGCACTTCACTACGAACAACTTATTATAACCTTCTGTTCCTTGTTCGTCCCTGTCGATACCCCTCCAAGTGGAGTCAGTCATCAAGTTTCAACTTTGTTTCAGTTGCGGCGCCTGCCGCGACATAAGTGTCAGGCGAAGGGCTAGTAAGTTCGGTGGGAAAAATAAGCAAAACACAGTATGCACGTATGTATGTAGATAGCGTCAAAACACTTCGACGAGTCAGAGAGAAAAAGAATACCAAATACAACATGGAACGAACTCATTCACCCCATCACGTCCGACCCACAATCCGTTCAGTCAAAAATCCAATCAAGACCTTCACAACATCCACCTCCACCTCCTTCCCTTTTCCCTTCCCAAGCACCATTTTATCCTTCTCCCCGCCACTCCCCACCGCATCCCTACTCCTCTGCAACACCGGCCTCGCCTTCTCCATCAGGCTCTTCAACTCGTTCGCCATCTCACCCGTCATCCCCCTCCTCAACCTCTCCGCCAAACTCAACGACTCTCTCCTCTTCCCTCCTTTTTTATTCTCTCCTCCTCCACTACCACCACCACCGGGACCGACGCTCCCACTCTCCACCATCTCACTCTCCATATCCGCATCCACCTCCGCTCCCGCCCCCGCGCTCTCACCCGCGCCCATCCCCTCCCCATCCTTCTCTTCAAACAACTCCGGCTTCGCGAGCCACGCACCCAACTGTGTCGTCGCATAAAACAGCACGCATTCCAGCGTGTGCTGTGTCGTCAGCATAGCTTGCTTGACGTCGAGCGGGGACGTGGAGGTAGCTGTGGAGGAGAGGGAGAGGGAGATGGAGGGTCCAAGGGATTGGCCTGCGGGTCGTGAGACGAGATGTGTAAGGATGTCGAGCGTGCAGTTCGCTAGTTCTATGAGCGTGCCCATCGAGGCCGGTTCGCCCAGCACGACTTTACTGTGCTAAAGCAACCAAAACATCACAGCGTGAGAATCAAAGAAAGACAGTTCGACAAGAGAAAAAAAGACCGACCGGAACGACCAACGCCACACTTCCCGGCAAATCCTCCACCTCACCCCTCAGCACCAAATCCGACTCCCCCGTCGCAATCAACGCACAAACGACCCCACTCGTCAATCCAAACAACCTATGTACCACCCTCGCCAAAAACGGCCTCTTCGTCGGATCCAACACCTCCGCGAACCCACCACTATTACCCATCCCCGTCGTCTCCCGCTCCAACTGTGCTCTCTCCTCCAGCGTGATAGGCTCCAGAATCCCCGCGAGCTGGTTCGGATGCGAAAGTGCATAATTGAGCTGCTGAATGAGCAACAGCGCGCTCGACGAGAACGCAGAGAGCACCTTCGCCGTCACCTCGTTCCTATTCGCCGACGCCGGCGCGCTCGCTGCAATACTCCCAAACAGTCCCACAGTCCTCTCCATCTCCTCCAGCCCCGGTAACGTCAGCACGTCGCCCACGCCCCAACTCAGCGCGCGCTCGATCTGACTCCCGTAGAGCTGGACGAACCCGCAGGCTTCTTTATCGAAGAAGTGTTTTTGCATCCCGAGCGCGGTGATCACGCCGGAGACGACGGAGAGCATGACGCAGTAGGCTTGGTGCGCTGGGTTTCGTTCGCCTGGGAGGTCGGAGGGGAGAGAAGGGTCGAGACGGCCTGATGAGGCGATTGATGTAAGTGAGTTGTTCGAGTAGGCGATCAGGACGCCTTCGGAGGCCAGACGTTCTGCGGGTGTGGGAAGCGAGGCAAACGAGATGTGGAAAGTGAGTATATGGGGCGTGTAGAGCGGTCGTTTTCGCGCACGGAGAACGGGGAGCTGCGAGAGCCCGATGATGTCGGATTGGACGAAGAGATTGAGACTGGCCCGGAGCACGTCCGTCTCTTGACATCGGGTCAGCCAGAGCTGGGTGGACGGGTTGATGTCGGTCCGGGTGGCCTGTTCGAAGACGGCGACGAGGAGTTCCATGTCGGTGTCGAGATCGACGTCTAATCGGCCGAGAGCGCTGTCGAATACGAACCGGAGCGAGTCGATGACGAAGAGGAGGGTGACGTCGACCATAGCGGAGATGTTCAGTCGACGCTCTGCATCCAACGCTTTCGGTTTCCGGGCGAGGTTCCGGCATTGGCGAAGGCAGAAGTAGATGATTTGGAGGAGGGTGCGGTGGAAGGGCGTGGTGACGGAACCGCGAATGGAGAGGATGGGGGATTGTGATTCACTGACGATGATAAGTCGAACGCTGTCGACGATAGCAAGGAACCATTTGATCTCAGTCTCTGAATCCGTGTGCGAGAACCAGGCAAGTTCGAGCAGTGAAAGCAGGACCGAGAGTCGGACGCCATGAATATTCGACATAAGATCACCTCCCCTCTGTTCCGCCGCGATCGTCTCCGCGACGGTGGAACCGAGCGAAAGGATAGTAGGACGAATGGCCGGGTCCCCCTTGAGATACGGCGCCACCTTCTGCAACAAGAGTTGCCACGATTCCCCCAACTGAATCTGTACGTTCGACAACGACAGATTCATGTTGACCGAGTAGAGATTGTGCATAAGTAGGGTTGCCTCGGCATCGCCCTCGTCCGCATATGCCGAGGTCATGCTCCCAAGGTTCGTCTTCCTGAGCGCATAATCGTCTCCGAGTTCCTGCAATCCAGGCAAGGTCTGCCACTCGAGCCATTTGAGCGAAAGATTCGAGAACGACTTCGCGATTCTCTGCGCGAATTCTTCGAAAATGGCGGGATCGTATGAGTTTGCGTTCGCATCGTTCATGTGGTCCGTGAGTTGATCCACCGACTTCAGGACACTCTCGATGGATCTGTAGCTCCTCGGTTTCTCTTCCACTGCGTCCTTCTTCCCTACTCCTCCCTTGGCCCTCCTCATCCCGATGTCCAACGCCACGATCCTCGTCGCGTACGACTTCACCAGCACCCTCGACACATGATCCGCTACGCCGTCGTGTAACGGTGATATCCCCTCCGGTCCTTCATCACCCAACTCTGCACTGAAGTACTCCGGCGCGGGAGGCAACTCCTCCTTCACGATCCCACTCAGATAATCCCAAAACTCCCCATCGTCCTTCACAGACTCCATAACATCCCCGTGCTCCGCCCCATGCTCCCACACCGCTGCCAGGAATCGAAGCACCCCAGCGAGCAAGCGAGGATTATACTCCCACATCTCCTGCCACACTTCGATGGTCATCTGAGCCATCTTGAACCCGCTGACTTTCTCCACCTTGCCCTTGTCTGACGTCCCAGCTGGCTCCTCGCGAGGTTTGTGCACGGGGATTTGGAACCGTCCGTTGACGAACAGGCTTCCCAGGGCTGGTTCCTTGTCCACCGCGAGAGCCATGAATTTCCAAACGGCCAGTCGGTCTTCGAGGTCTTTGTATGGATCGGAGGCGAAGGAAACGAGTGAAGAGACGGTGGCCTCTGGGTTCGACAGATGTCCGACGATGGTAAGTGCCGACGAAGGTGTCGATGCAAGTGAAGAACAGAGACAGTAGAGCACTCTGATGGCTTCCTTTGGTAGATCTGTATCCTGATCTGCGGAGCTGACGAAAGTGGCCAAAGCATCCAAGGGGTCCGCTCTTGCCTTCGCCGTACCTGATCCTCCATTAGCCGTGCCATTCCCGCTAGCCCTCGAACACAGCGCCTGCTCCAGCAAACAGTGTCCCTCGTTCGCGTAAAGTCTCTGCTTATATGTCAAACACAACCTTACGACCTTCAAGTGCGCTTTCAGCAGGTACCACAGCGCGCTCAGGTCGGTGAACTTTCTGAGTGAGGACGCGTGTCGTAGGACGGCAGTCGAGGTCGTGATAGCGGTGATGAGCGGGTTGATACTCGACGTCGTAGCCTTGAGGACCAAAGCTTCGAACACTGCTCGGCTTATACTAGCGAGTGGCACGCTCGGGTCCATAGGGGCCACACGGTCGAGTATGTCCCCATAAAGCGTCGAAAGTAACCTCCCGACCTCGAACCTCTCACTCAACTGGACGTACTTCCACCCTACATGGTCCAGCCAGATCTCGCCATGAACGAACCGCAAAGCCCGCATCAGGACGTCTTCCTTGTACGCTTGTAGTTTTGGCAATTCCTGGGAAAGGGTGATGAGTACGCCGGAATAGGCTTGTGTGAACATGGATTGGACGAAGAGAAGGAGGGCGCGGGTGATGGGGTATGAGCCAGAGACACGTTCGGCGGCGAGTACGCTTGAGGTATACATCTTCGTGTTGTCGAATAGCGTCGAGGACCGACAGAACAACCATACCTGTCGTGCGTAGTCCCGAACGGACATCATGGACGCCAACAGGCCGAAAGCAGATGCGATGAGTGGCGTCTGGGCTGGTTTAGGTTTCCGTGATTGAGTCCCAGAGCGAGCGAGTGCATCTTCGAGGATGACGAGCACAAGATATGCGAGATCGGCACGGGATTCCTTGGCTGGCTTTTCTGGGTCGAGTTGTTCGATAACGCCCAGTAATGTGTTGGCGTCATGAGGGTCAACGGCAATGACAGTACGCAGAAGCTCGAGGATGTCGGCGATGATGGACCCCTCTGGATCTGCGTCCACTTCCACTCCTATGTCTTTGAGGCTGAGTGTGACGGGTTGTTGCGACCCATGTGCGCGGGCCATAACGCCTTGCGATGACGGCGTTGTCGTTGATCCCGGTGGTATTAGATGTCTGCCGACCGCGTAGTCATACAGTATGTCCTTCAGCAACAACCAACCGCTGTGCTGGTGCTCCCATAGAATGATCATTTGCTCCTCTCCATCCGTACTGAGCAGCCTCCCAGCTGACTTCGCGGGAAGTAGTGAACCTCCCGGTAACCGTATTGGCTTGATGTTGGTGTACAGTGGTCCACTCGCCGCCGACGAACTGCCGAATCTCTCTGGAACCTTCTCGTACAGTGCCCCTTGCCCCGAACAATGAGCTGCAGGTATCATTTGAGCGTACGTGGTCAGATTCTGGAGATAAATGACCGCATTCTTGGCGCACTCTGCTCGGACTAAACCGCTACGCGCATCCAGTTGGTGATTTGTGATACTGGCGAGCGGATCACTATTCGAAAAACCCGGGCCGCAGAGGGAGCGAAGAATTTGTAGGAGGGGTCGATGTTGAATGGGGAAACGAGTACGAGGGAGATCCAGGATGTTACGAACGGCGGGGTGTCTGGCGTCCTCTCTCCAAAACTGTTGGCATAGGTCGCCCACGGATTGGCTTTCTGAACGGCCGAAGAGGGAGATCCATACATCGAGGAGAGTCTCGAAATCTGGGATCAGCTCGAGTGAGATGACTCTCGAAAGGGAGATGAGGAGACCTAGAAAAACGCGGTTAATTAAAACACATGGGGATGGGATTCTCAATATACCTTTGAGAATGGCGCGATACGATAGGGCATTCGGGTCGGAAATGGCAGAGTCAGACTTCCATGCGATGGAGGTGACAAACAGTGATGTGCCCGTCAGGAGATTCAGCAGAACGTTGAATGCCCCGAGATCTGGACCTAAGCTTTTCTGAAGCATAGCCTGAGGCACCGAGCGTCCATCCCTTGAACGCGAAGGGCCAAGGCCTAGCGAGTCGAAGAAGGCTTGGTGCGACTCAGGAAGGTCTTCGAGCTCCGCGATCGCAGCTTCGAGGCGAGTAAGCGTAATAGACCATGCAAGAAAGATACATGAATAGTCCGGAACGTTCTGGTGGTCCATGACCATCTTGTGTATTCGGTGAAGAGAGTCGGGGAGGGAAGTGTAGAGATCCTTGTTCGTGAGGGCATTTGAGATGTTCCAGGTGGGAATAAACAGGACATCTAGTTCGAGTACTTCGATCATTATGAGGAGCCAAACGGCTGCGATATCTTTCTGTAATTGAGAAGATTCGAGATCGAGGAGGAAAGTTTCGTTCTCTTGCTTCAACCCGAGGTTGGTGTCGAAGGCCGTCTTGTAGAGCTCTTCAACGAGAACACCACGACCGGGAAAGAAGCTGATCATGGACGAGAACGTTAATTCCAGTAACACGAGCTGGTCCTTCAAATTCTCCTGGGCCCATCTCGCGGCCCCACGAGGATCCGCGGCTAGTTTCTCCGGCAAAGGGGCGTTGGTCTTCTCCTGGTACAAGGAGACGATGGTTCGAGTGAAAGCGATGCGGTCGGGGATGATTTTGGGGAGGAATTTGGTGGAAGCATCATGTAATCCCTCGCTTTCCAACTCCTCGACACGAAGCAATGGGACGAGAATTCGGTATACGGCTCGGCGCTCATCGTAGAAGAAGGGGCTGATCTCCTTCAGTATGGTCTCCACAAACTCTGCATTATCTCGTGAATCGGTCTCCTCTGGAAGGCCTTGGTTGTAGATGAAGGAATGGAAGAGGATGAAAGCGTTTATCTCATCAATGTCGAAGTGAGAGCTGATGGCGAATATATATTCCCTGGAGTTGGGTTCGACAGACACGAGGACATTGTCCGGGAGGAGAACGGCATCCTTCGACACTTCTGCTCGAGACTTGGCGTTTGGCTTGCCAAAAGGGTTCTTGAGATCCTTCCAGGTTTGCAGGCGAACTTCAAGGAGAGGGGGGAGCTTTTCTTCGGTCGTGCCTATAGTATAGACCAGCAAGTTTTGGCTGATCTCCTGTAGGCGCCTGTAATGCACAATATGAGCGGGAGAGCTAACAATAAATCAAAGAGAGATATACGTTGAGACCACCTTGGACGAGCTCGGTCGTTGGGCAGCCCTTGGCTTGCTGCCTGATGGTTCTGCTCTCGACATGGTCAATGAGCTCAAGTTTGAGACGCGTTCGACTCGCTGTGGCGCGTCTTCAACGCGTCCGTTACGTAATCAGTCTATAAACAGTTCTCGCCACTCGCCCGTTGGGCCACCCGCCGCTCATGATGCATGATGAACAACCACCACATGCATTGACGCTCCTTGACGACCCTCTGATGCAGGATCCCTCGCTGTCTGACTTCTGCGAACTCGCGTAGACCCCTTGATTCTGGCTGTCATGTCTGTACATTCCAATTCGTCAATCTTAGAACGCCCAGCGCACCACAAGGATACCTCTGAAGGATTTCAGAACCCATGGCGGCCTTTAACGAGCTTTTCCCAAATGGTCCTTACAGCCCTCAAGCTACCCGTCAGTCGTATTACTCCGTATGATGATGATGATGAAGAAGTGAGGGAGGTGAAAGTTATCGAGCCAGACTGGACTTTATGTGAACGAGAAGCGGCGGGGGGCAATATCTGCGCGACCTGGTTAGGGCATGCGGTACGGTTCTGTTGCATTCTGGTATACAGCTGTCTGAACTTTAGTAAAATAGGGATATCTGGTGCATCTTCCTAGCAAAGGTGGACCTGTCACAGTTCTATTCGACCCTATATTTGCGGAGAGAGCATCCCCTTCATCATATTTCGGGCCTCGAAGAAGGCTGCCACCTCCGTGCACCATCGAAGACCTACCAGAGGTCGATTATGTCGTCTTGAGCCACAATCAGTGCGTTGCAATTGCGGTTGAATGTACAGTGTTGTCAATTTGCTGAATGTGGTGCTCGCTGTGGGCAGTTACGACCACATGGACGGAGATGCATTACAACGCATATGGAAGAAAGCGCAGAACGCGGGTGGTCGAAGTCTTTCATTCCTCGTACCATTAGGTGTGAAGGAGGTATTGACGGAATTAGACCTACCAGACGCCACGATATATGAGATGGATTGGTGGTCCACTACCTCATTCCCTCTCCAGGGTGTTACAGATGATGGATACCAAATCGAGTTTCTTTGCGTTCCTGCTCAACATAATAGCGGTCAGCTTTTCTTACAACCGCATCATCTCTCAACAGTAACTGATAGATAGATGGGATAGGCAGGGGAGTACTAGATCAGAACGCCACACTGTGGTCGAGCTGGGTAGTACGAACAGTTCAGCAAGATTCCACATCACCAGAACCTTCCGTGTATTTTGCTGGGTGAGTATCAGATATTGACATCTAATTTACCCCCTCCGTATTGTCGCTGATGTTTATCCTCAGCGATACTGGGTATCAGACTGCGGACGGTCCGTGCCCTGCATTCAAAGGCAAGCGACTTTGCTCGACTTGAAACACAAATATTCGTCCGTAACATTTGTAAACCGTCATACAGAAATCGGCCACAAATATGGCCCATTCGACTTGGCTATGATCCCTATCTGGCGTGGCGCCTCGCTATCCTTTCTAGGACGTTTCGGTCTCCGTGTACGTGCTTCATCCTTGCGGCACGCTGTCCTATACCGACCCTCTTGTTTCAATCTCCCCTGACCATTTTTACTGTCTCCACAGCTCTCGGACGATACGCTCCTATCCACTCTTCACGCTCTTCCCGAAGATGCCGTCCTCCTCGCGTCCGACGTCAGGGCACGCCACTCGCTGGCCATGCACTTTGGTACCTTCGCCGGTAGTAAAGATGAGGCCTTGGAACCTATCGTACGACTGAAGAAGGCGAGGCGAGGGGACTGGAGGGACGAGGGCGGGTTTGGGTGGGTCAACGTAGGCGAGACGGCTGTGATTCCTGTCGGGAAAGGGCTCTGAGAGCATAGTGCGAGGATTCAGCTGTGCTTGCACGGGTGGTGCTCGCCACCATTACATTCATACGTCCGATGGGATTCCAATCTCAAACAAACTTCTTCGCGAGACAGCGACGTTAACAAAGCTCGTAAACCCGTATGTGAAGCAAATCTCTCTAAAGGACACAACACTCTCCGAATCGTGAGCTCTCCGCGGTCCCAGCCCTTGTTCGAGTCTGACACCAATCACTGACTGTGTCCCGCAGTTATATACGAATAGTTTCACGTCCCGGCGCTCCGCCTCATGTCCAGAACGTCCATCAGTGCATCATGTCCATCAAGGGCGCCAATCAGCCTTTAGAGCATATCCGATCCGTCTGCATAGCCTCAGGAAATTGTGCCCATTCAGTCATCCCACCCTTTATCCCGACAATTCTCACAATGAAACATCTCTCTCCTCTTCCCATCCGCCTCCACCATCTCCTCACCAATTACGTTGAAGTTTCGGCTAGCTTCCTGAGGTTCACCGTTGCACGAATTATTTGTTCAGCGAAGACTGAAGAATCAATCACACTGTTGCCATGTCGAACTCACATCCCACGGGAGGGTTTCTTGACTCTGAGACTATGGAATATGAGATCTCTTCACCGGTCGTAGCTCAAGATGGCACTGGACCCCCGACATTCCAGTTCATTCCTTCCACACCAGATCCTCTCCGGACCGCATTCGCCATACCTCCCCCTCCTACCTCTGCACCTCCGTCCACCTCTCAAACAACCTCTATACACACTCATCCTGATGCGGAAAATTATCGCCGTTCTCCATCTATGATTCAGACCTCCCGACCTCAATCCTTATCGTTCAACCACGACCTACGCCACCTCCAAGGTCAAGGCCATTCAACAGTCGACGCCGTCGAGATACCCACACTTCCATTTCGCAACGGTAACGATAGGAATAGCGTGGATTCACACCCTCACGGTAACGAGGACCAAGAGGATCGATATGATCATGATCAGGAGCATTCACATCTACAGCCGGGGCAGTATATCGCGAGGGATATGTATTCGAAAGGGAGTGTGAGCTTTTTGAACTCGCAGGGAGAGGGTCTGAATGGTGGGAGTGGTGTTGGACATGGTGCTGGCCCATCACCGAGGGAAGGACATGCACTAGAGGGAGCCTTAGAAACAAGTCAGAGGGCGTTAACCGCCCTTGCCATCGGTGTAAGTCCACCTTGACCTCCGAACCCAAACTCTGCACCGTCCTCTCCTCTCGTTGCCCGCATTCGAAGGATTGACACAAACGCTTGACCGACAGGCTCCCCTCCTCGCGTCAGTAGTCGTCTCGACACTCTCCGTCGTCCAAGCCGAACTCGCCGCCGCCTTCCCAGACGCACCCTCATCCCGACCCTCTGCCGTCCAAGCCTCGACGGCCCTCCTCTGGAGCTCCGTCATCATCTCGCTGGGGTCTGCGCTCAGTGCTGTGGCAGGATTGTCCATTGCGGCTGGGTATCACGATTCCCATGTGGGCGTGACAAAGTTGTTGGTCAGGCGGTTCAGGGCCTGGAGGAAGGGTAAGGGGCAGAGGAGTTTGGGTATGACTGAGCGCCACAGAGGTGCAGAAGATGGTGGTGGACACCATACGTATAGAGGTAGGATGGCGGCTGGGGCTGGGTCTGGACGTGGTGGTGATGGGACGAGGAGTAGGCCGACGAGTGTACAGTCGATGGTGGCGCCGAGTATGTTGACTATGGAGAGGACTACTCAACATCATCAGGGTGCTCTGCGCGCCGCTGAGGTTTCCGCTCGAGTGCGTGTTTTCATCTCCACCTGCCCTCTACCTCCCCAACTTTCATCGTTTAATCACCACCTATTTTGCTTCTGACTCGCATTGTGTAATGCTGATGATAAACTTCACTTTAGCTCCTAGGAGTCAGCGTCATCTTCCTCGCGGCATCACTGGGTGTCTTCTTATTCGCCGTGTACCCAAAAAGCGTGGCCATCTCCGTTCTGGTGGTCGGTGGTCTGACGGCTGCGGCCTGTGCGATTCCGTTGTTGCCTATCGTTTTCCCTGGCGATTTGAGGGAGGGAAGCAGTTGAATGTCGTGTATTGTCTCGTCTGATCGTGGGACCATTGATGGCCGTTGTTTTGCTTAACTTATGGGGGTATGATGTTGTGGGACTTCGTGATTCGGACTGCTTTGGTTATGTTGTTTGTTGTGATTGTAGCTTGCTTGTTCATCACACTGTGATACCCATACTCCTACTCATTATTAATAACCATATTTCTGTTCCGACTTCTAACCTTGAATCACTCGAGTCTCATGGGGGCCTCAACCAGCACATAGATCACCGTTACTTGGGATGGGGGAGGTCGGTGTCTTAAATAATATTGACACCCATGCCTCGGATGTCTCAAAACACGATCGCGGAGGTTTATATGCACAGTCATGGATTTTTTGTATAGTTCATTCCCCTCGTAGTCTCCTTCTCAACGTCCACATCGTGGACCGCACATAAACCCGGTCGGAAACAGATACGTGTCCTCTATTCGTTCACTTCTAAGCCTGTGAGGCTGCAGCAAGAAGCTCCTACAAATTACCACAAATGCTCTTCTCCTCTTCTGAGGCAACCATCTCATATTCGGTCTTTGATGAAGCTGCAGGTACGTGTCTATATTACATGCAACCTGGTGTGCCACGACGGCATCCTGTACCAGCGCTGCGCCACGTCGCTGTTGACTGAACGCGGTGACTATCGTGGACCGAGGATCCGATCACAAGGAGGAGGCCTTTGAAGAATGGATGGATATAGACCGAGCCCAGTCATTTTCTTGTGAGGGAACGGTGCCACGTATGGAGAAGAGGGTGAGGGGAAGTGGCGTTGGGGGGGTGCGGAGTTTAAAAGGGAGGCCAGATCCGGCGAGGGCGACGGTGAGAGCTCAGAGCGTGTCGTGTCGCCAACCGCCTTGCTCTCCTTCATTAACCCCGCCCACCGTCGTCCTCGTCCCCCATCCACCCACCCCCCAACAGTATTCAGCCATGGGTCTTTCTGTCTCCCGTTTGCTCTCTGGCCTCTTCGGCAAGAAGGAAATGCGTGAGTAATTCATCTTTTTGTCTCTCGTGCGAGCACACTCTGACCTTGGGCGCCTCCGTGACTTAGGTATCCTGATGGTAATTATTTGGCCTCAGTTCGCTGTTCTGGCGTGTCTTATGTTTGTCTGCGCAGGTTGGTCTCGATGCTGCGGGTAAGACCACCATTCTGTACAAGTTGAAGCTCGGCGAGATCGTCACCACCATCCCAACAATCGGTTCGTCTTCGCCGCTCGTGTTTTTCTTGGCTTTACGTGCCTAACTCCACCCTGCCTCGCACTGCCACGCAGGCTTCAACGTTGAGACCGTCGAGTACAAGAACATCTCGTTCACCGTGTGGGATGTCGGAGGACAGGACAAGATCCGTCCCCTCTGGAGGCACTGTACGTCGCCGTCTTTTCCCCATCATTTCCCCGTACCCGCCTTCCAATCGGGACATGATCTCTGACGGATCGCGCCACCGACAGACTTCCAAAATACCCAGGGAATCATCTTCGTCGTCGACTCTAATGACCGGGAACGTGTCTCTGAGGCACGAGAGGAGCTCCAGCGGATGTTGAACGAGGACGAGCTCCGGGACGCTCTCCTCCTTGTCTTCGCTAACAAGCAAGATCTGCCCAACGCCATGAACGCCTCTGAGATCACCGACAAGCTCGGCCTCCAGGGTCTCAGGCAGAGGACGTGGTATATCCAGGTGAGTTCGAGTCACCTTGGCGGCATGTGGAGCCACCCACCTCACCCGACTATCCGCGTACTCGTTGACGCCCTAACCCGCCATATCGCCTTTCGGTTTCCTTTTTCGCTCGGCCGCGCCGACCATCCTTTTTATAAACTCATTACTCATGCTCTGTTTTTCCCCTTTACCTCGTGTAGGCGGCGTGTGCGACGAGCGGTGACGGTCTTTATGAGGGTCTTGAGTGGTTGAGCGCAAACATCAAGAGACGGGTGTAAAGTTTGCCAAGAATTGGTCGATCCGTGTTGTGTTCTCTTTCGGCGTTTCTCTCTTCACCAATCCGTTCTGTTCTATCCTGTTCGTTCGAATTGAGCCTGCCGTGACGACGGGCATTCGTTTGCTAGCTTAGCGCAGAGACCGAACTGGCGTGCACGATGCCTGCCACGCGAGCCACAACAACCAAAAACGATACACCTTTTTTTTTTTTTTGCTTTCTGCTTGTTTGTCAGATTCTCCTCTAATATGTTCCGTCTTATCCCTTCATGGTCCCTTTCTGTCTATCTTCTCGTATTGCGGAGTTTGTTTTTGACGTTCCATCTTGTAAATCTTGCGGCGCGCCACTATATCTTTGGTGGAGCGTGAACCATTGAATGACACCTTGTCTCGTAGAGATTGGAAGGATTTTACGTTTTGTCGTTGGATCGCTCCGCAGAGGAGATACGTCGGTGCCCGCGACGTTATAAAGAATTGTACTACAGGCAAGGTATCGTGATACAAATACAGAGGTAAGCGTAAGTAACAGTACATAGGCATACCCGATAGGGTATGAACCAAAACCTTCAAGTACCGCATCAAAGGCCTCCAAGATCCTCAACCTCTACTGAACATCCGTCCAAGTCCAAGGAAACGGTCGACATCATCTGCCAGTCAAAGCTCAATGTTCAACCCTGCGCCCTAAACCCATCACCGGGACTCCCCAGGGAACAACCTCCCCACCGCCTCCGCCTCCTTCCTCCTCCTCTCCCCAAGCTCCCTCGACAGATTATCCTTCTTCGTCCCGCCGTACTTCGCCAGTTTCTCGAGAAGAGCTTGTAGCCGTTTTGGACGGACGGTGTTGTACGAGGCTTGGCGGTTCGCGGGGATGAGGTATTCTTGGACGGCGTTGGAGAGTACGATGGATGTCGTCTAGGTTGTCAACGTGTGGAAGATCAGCGGATTAGGTGGGTGAATGTGGAACGGGATGAAGAAGGTTAAGAGGAGGGGGAAGAATGGGGCAGGAGAGGAAATAGGACGACGACGTACGGATCGTAGCTCGGTGAAATGGCTGTTGAGGTGTTGGCGGCCGTTCGAGCGGAGCTGATCCTCGAGGAAATCGACGTCGACCAATATATTCGAGATGGCGTTCTCATTCATCATCGGTATATTCCTATCCGTCAAGAAATCCTATAACCAACAAAGACACAAATTGCGTCAGCACTTCTCCATCCGAAAATCCGCAAGGGAGACGCGGGTGGGATAGAAGAAGGGGTAGAGACCCACCATCAAACACTGCGCGATATACCCCACCGCGCCCTTATACGCCTCGTCCTTATACCTCTCCTTCACCACCAGCGAATCCACTACCGTCGTCAACCAGTTCACCAGCTCGTAGAGATACATGCTCGGCGCGTCTTCGCGGTTATTAGGCGTCCAGTCGTACTCTGACAGTTCGAAGAAATCGTCGAGCTTGGAGGTGATGAGGGAGGTGATGCGCGTTAGAGATTTGGTGAGGGCGGTGTTGAAGGAAGGACCGGCGGTGAGGCGGATGGTGCCACCGCGTTGGACGGAGCTGTGAAGGTGAGGAAGGGAATGACCGTTGTATATATGAGTACGTTTCGGTACATGAGCTAAGAAGCGGAGTAGGGAGAAGACAAACCGGAGGCTGGTCAGGGATCGCTCGAGCTCTACGCAGGCGATCTCGAAGTGTTCGAGATTGGTGATGATCTGAGCTACTTGAGTCAGCGTAGACGTGCTCATCATCCGCTCCTCGAGGCTTTGCGCGACGTGTTCTGATAGGATTGTATCGAGTGACTGATCGTGGGTGAAAATGCGACTCAGTGGACGATACGAAGATTTAGTGCTGACCCGGGTTCATAAGGCTCACCTTGGATAAGAGTTCGTCTACGTTCCTGTGGTGTTGCGAAACGCCTTCGATGAACTGATAAAATCGTTGGACGAAGCTTCGAATCTAGGGCCGATTCTGAGGTCAGAGGCCTGAAAGTATCCAGCGGAAGTTTTCTGATGAAACCTCACATCTTGGCAGCATAGATAGAAACTTTGCGACCAAGGGAATACTAGGGGAGTCGGTGCGCTACAATACAACATATCTCAATAAGACATGGCCAGGAGAGATATTGCATGCAAAAGAAGCACTTACTTCGCCATCTCCTCATACTCTGGCCTGGTAAGCCAGAGCACTTTGAGGACTGCGTCCCGCTCAGTGACCGCGTCTACTTGCATAGAGATATAGTCGTCTTGCATCATGATCTGAGAGTATGAAGTCAGTGGATACGTTCGGTTGCTGGACTAGTGAAAAGAACGCACATCTTTGAAACGCTTGCTAAATTGTTTCTCTAGGAGCATCGCGTACTTCTCGAACAGTTTCAGCACGAACGAATGCAAGGACTGCGTCGAGTACGAGTAGGTCTATAGCAAGCATCTTTAAGTCGCGCTATAATCCAGCATGCAAGTGACGTACCTCTAATGTGATGATGAATGCCATCAAATCCTCTTTTACCCTCAAGAAGGCTTCTGGATCCGTCTGGTCTCTCAGCGCTCCCTCCACCGCACCCGTTAATCTTCCGACCAGAGCTTCCCATAATTCCTCAACCTCCCGCGCGGAGCGGAAAGTTCCTGTGGTGGACATGACATGGGCTTCGATGATGAAGAAACCAGTAACTTCTTCCGTAAGGGAGACGAGGGAGGAGAGTTGCAGTGGGTAGGGAAGGATAAGTTCTGATTGACCCTGGTAGTGAAGACATAATGAGACCACCCTTTCCGTAGACAAGGCTGCAGTCAAGAGTACGTACTTTTCGGTCTGCCTGGTACGACTTGTGTAGTTCGTCGATGGAATCGAGGGTGGTGTAGATATGTATGCTTTGATACAACGGCTTGAAGTCGACCTTCAGTTGGTCATTGTCAAGAACATTATCTAGTTGATACCGTCAGCACCACTCAGTAGTGGTTGACATAGGTCTATGGGAGCGAACTTACATTCCGTCTTCTCATAAGTAACCGTCTCGACTGCGCTCCCCACCCGGCACAGTCGCAGCATGGGATCCTTCTCCCGTCGTGCTCGCCACCGTTTCGTGCGGAATTCCATAGCATCAAGAGCTAACCTCCCAACCTGCGCGCTAATATTACGGATTTCGAGAAGCCATTGCTTCATGGACGCTGTGACTGCATCTTTGATTTGGATGCGCAGAGATGGTAGTGAGGAGAGAATATGCTGGAATAGAGGCGTCTGGGACAGCGAGGTAGCAGGCATACTCTGTATATCCTCCAAAGACTATATTCCAACGTATATGGCATCAGAACGCGTCCATTCTCGAGAAAGTGAAAGCAAGTACCCTCAGAGCGCTCCAGTACTTCCCCTGAGCGACCATTTCGCCCACCCTATGTACCACGTCCAACACCCTCAAACATGCCTGCATATTATCAATCGCCTCATCCAGATTCGCAGCCGTCTTCTTACTGCCCAACAACGCTCTCTTCTTCTCGGCCAAACCCCTTCCAACCTGACTGACGCTCGTATCCAAAGTCGTGATCTTGTCCCTCAAGTTATCTGTATACGACTTGACCGTAAACAGCGTCGACACGGAAGATATAAAATCTTGGTAATTGTCGCCGCATATTCCTTCGATTTCGGCATCCTTCGAGTCGATGAGCGATTGCAGGGTGCGGAGGTAGGCGTCTTGCTGTCGATTGGTGTGTATTTGTTTGATTATGGGTCCGAGTTGTTCAAGATTTTCTGTGGAGGAGGAAGGGTCTAGAAGGTGTATCTGTTGGAGAGATTGGTCGATGTTTTCTTGTGTGAATTGCGGCCGTCTGCGTGGAGGCATGGTTGGGGGAGATGGTTGCTTGAAACAAGATGCTGTGTGGCGCCGTCGGGTGGCGATTGGAACTAGGCTCGCCGCGAAGCTCTTCATCCAATCCCCTGCAATGCTCGCGTCCGCAAAGCATGGACAGAGTCAGCTCTTCATATGGCAAAGGTATACGTAGGAAACAGACATCGAGGACAAGCTTCGGTCGAGATCAAGATGTGGTATATGTCCTTGGTACTGTACGACGTAGGCGGCAAAGCTCTGAGAAACAGCAAGAAACGTATCTCTCGTTCAGATGAAAACAGGTAGACTAGCAACGACGTCGACTTCATATATATGTAACACGACACCCAGCATATCAATGGAACTGTCCGTCTACTATCTCCTGTTCGCAGCCCTCAACTCGGAGCGCTGCACCCTCTCGCCCTCTTCCTTCACTTCTGCCATCAACTTCAACATCTCTTCGATAGTAGGCCAAAACTCCAGAGCGGATAGCTTCTCGGCAGAGCGAGTCCCGAACCCGTCCGGCTCATCCAAATCCTCTGAAGCGCCTTTCCCATCCATCATATTTGTCCTGAGGTTGCACCACCCATCTGGAAGCAGGCGGAACAAGAACCGACAAAGTGCAGGACGCTCTTTTGGATCGTACTTCGAGTACCCGAGGTTAAGAACGGAAAGACGTGCAAAGCGTCTGTCGGAAAAATCAAACGCCGAACGTAGGGGGAGAGGAGTTGCTGCCGTCTGAATGTATAGACCTAATTCGCGGAGGTTTAAGCAGTGGTCTGCGAAGGATATCAGGGCACGTCGGCTGAGTATCGGTTCTGAGGGGAATGAGGGATAGGGGTTGAGGATGAGTTTTTTCAACGTGGGCCACTGCGATGCAAGGGACTCTATGTCCTCGTCAGAGGCCTTGATAGGGTGAGCGTGGCGGAGCACAAAGGATGTGAGGCTCTTGAAGAGGGTGATGGAACTGATGTCGGCGAAGTCGATTGGGAGCATTTGGAAATCCTCTCCTGTGTAGCTGCCCACTGGGTTCATGATGATTTCTAGCTGCTCGAGGGAAGAAAATTTATCCGCGAGGAGACGTAGAAGGTCACGGAGCGCACGGGGGGTAGTATCGTTAATGATGGTGGAGTCGAGATCAGTAGCACGGAGCCACAACGATCGGAGCGAGGGCGCTGGGAAGTGTGCATCCGCCAAGAAGGTCTGTGCGCACGCAAGCGAGGACCCGAAAGACAACTCCTGTAAAGAGGGGAAGGCACCGTGAAACAGGACAGGCATGGCTTTCATGTTCTCGAACGGCCAGTGCGCACCGCGGGAGGCCAGAATCTTCGTGGGATCAACAGTAATTGTCCGCAGCGATCCCATAGTTGACAGACACTTCACAGCGTTTCCATAGAATGAGTAAAGGGGAATAACAAGTGTCTCGAGTTTTGTAAAACTGGCGACAAATCCGCAGGCTTCTTCCATATCCATCGAGTCTCCTTCCGTTTCGAGCTCGGCTTCGAGTGTGAGAGAGGTAAGGTTGGCTAGTCGTTTGGCTATATGCCGGACTTCTGAGTTTTCGTACAGAAAACTCTCCAGGTAGCAAAAGAGATGAAGCTCGAAAACGGATCCATGCATCAGAAAATCAGGGAATGACCGTACGCGGAAATCCCCACGAAGACATTTCAGATTGGGAAATACTTGCCCTGTCGGGCAAGTTCTCTGGATTTGTTGCCATGCATTTTCTGACCAGTCGATGCATATATTGTGGGTATTACCGATAGTGCGGACGCGATGTGCGTTGGCGAGTAGGACATTCCAGTCCGTGGCCACGAACGGTCGTTCAAATAGCTGAGAAATTTCAGTGTATCAGCACTGAGCGAAATTCGCAGGAGGAAGTCCGTGGAGATGTAGACTCACGACCTCGTTCCATGGGGGACTAAGCTTAGCTGTGGGGATGCTATGAGTCAAAGGGACTGTCCAGTCATCCAGCTCTTTCCACACTCGGTCGAGAGCTGCCTCTGTCCATGACTTGCAGACGCGGGCATTCCGAGCATTCGAAGCTCGGTCTAAGAGAGAAAAGATACGGAAAAGCATTTCTGTGGGTAGAAATGGAGCCGCCATAGAGATTAATTCGCTGAGGAAAGGCAAGTATTCTGGGCCGAGGAACTGATAGTGCGTCTTGATCTTGACAGTCGACCAGAACGAGTCTGAACAAGCGCACGTCGGGCAACGAGTGTGGCCCACGATTCGAACAACTCCGTCGCGGCAAATGCCGTCCACCATATTCTCGGTGCCAAATTTCTTTTCCTCCCTTTTCGCGTCGACGCCCACCCTAAAGTCTGCGGGCCACAGAGCGCGTCCCCTATCCTGCTTTCATGTCCTCATCCACTCTGCAGTCTCAGGCGACACCACAGTCTTCGGCTCTCTCATCTGATGTTCAACGTGCTCTGCAGCATGCGGTAGGACAAGCTAATAATGCTTTCCTGAACCCTCAGGTTGGGGGCGAGAAGAAGAAGAAACACAAGAAGAAGCGGGCGAGAGAAGAGGTCGAGGAAGAGGTCGAGGAGACTGTGGATGGCGTTGGAGAGGGTGAATATGTGAGCGAGAGGAAGAAGAAGAAAAAGAAGAAGAAGAACCACGATGAGTCGACCGCCACGGCTTCCACTACGACATCGAACGACCCTTCTGCCACGGACGTTGGTCTCCAGCACCCGGAGGCCTCGAACGAGGCCGAGCTACCGAAAAAGAAAAAGAAGAAAAGCAAGTCAAAAGTGCATAAAAACACTGACGCTTCCTCGAGTACCGCAGATATCAGTACTGGCACTGGCACTGTCGAAACTGCTCCCTCCGATTTTCCCACTATGGATCCTCAGACTTTCTTGAACGCCGTCGTCTCTGCTGCTTCCGCTACCGCTCAGGTCAATACCTCTGAATCCCAGCAGGCTGAGGATACCATTTATACACCTCATCAGCCGGGTTACATGCCTTTCCCCGCACCTGGCGCTCCTGTTCCTCCGTATGCATATCCCGCACTAGGAGCACCAGGTCTCAACGGCGTCTCAGATGATCCATTCGCGGCACTCGATCTCCCCCCGGGATTTCTTGTTAACGCCAGCTCGGAGGATCTCATGAATGCCGTTCAAAGCGCCGATTTTAGTAAAATCGCGAACGTTCTCCGTACTCTCGGTGATGCTGCAACGGCCGCGAACCTCGATTTCTCTAGCATCCCTCCTCACCCTCATCCACACGCTGCACCTGCTCCACCGCCTATTCCACCGCTCGCTCAAAAGTCCGCGCCTTCGAATGCTATCAGGGGCGTACCATCACAAGCATCAAGTTCGGGGCAAGCCGGCCCAACGACTCGGGATTCACGCTCGGGCTCAAGGGCTCAGAGCAAGAGGATCACGAACTTTGAGTTACCGGCTCCGGATATATCGGAAAACCAACAGATCTTGGCAAGCAAGTGGTTGAGCTCGCAAAAGTTGACAGAGATGGCCAAGAACGAAGGTATGTAATATTCGTCTCGCCAAAAAAGACTGACCGCTGCTTGTGGGGGATTACTTGCACAAATATTCACGATAGTTATTGCAGGTTTGGTGTACAAAAAGGGCAAATTCTCTGCGATCGAGGAACAGCAGTTAGAAGAGGCGATAGAGAGATATAGGGCTGTGAGTTCCGCCAGGTACTGTAGTAGAGCGTCGCTGACCAGTGAATAACAATCCGTACTTTCGCAGGAGAAAGGAATGTCTGAAGAAGACTTGATGAGAATCATCTGGCCGGACGATAAAAAGTCAAAAGATCAGGCGTTCTGGTCTGAAATTAGTACGTCTCACATCCCCTTCACATTATAATTTCAAGGGATATTTACTCGATTTATATAGCGCTGGCGGTCCCTATGCGTCCTATCATCGGTGTATATCACCACGTCCGTCGGACGCGTCATCCTCTCAAACTTCAAGGCAAGTGGGTGAAGAGCGAGGACGAGCTGCTTGAGTCGTAAGTCCCCTCTTACCTACCAGAACCGTCACGCCACGCCTCTCAATTATGCACTAAGCGATACTCAAATTATACTACTGTCTGTTGTCTTATAATCGGGTTTTCCATTATGCAGAGCGGTCCTCGAGCTCGGCCCTAAATGGGAGAAGGTCAGCGCAAGGGTGGGCCGAATGGCTCAGGACTGTCGTGATCGATATCGAAATCATATACAGAACCGTTCCGAACGGAATGCCGGTCAGTAATTTCCCCCTCATGTATGATTGCCCTCGCTGACGACTTGTTATTTTTGTAGGAGCATGGAGCAAGGCGGAAGAAGCCCAGCTCACTGAAATTGTGAAGGATATGACCGTGAATCAGGGAAAGGATACCGAAAACGACGTGTTTTGGGGTGTTGTGAGCGAGAAGATGGGGAACAAGAGAGGAAGACAACAATGTCGGATTAAATGGTATGACTGTCCACACCAAACATTCGCTTCAATGTACGGTTAATTTACTGATTATATTTTTTGTCGATGTAGGTTGGATTCGTTGAATCGATCGTTCAAGACGCAGGGCCATAAACCACGGTGGGGCCTACAAGATTCCTTCATCTTGGTGCATAAGTACGCCGTTCCTTTAGCTTTGATTGCTTGGTCTTTTTTATAAATTGCCTACCATAGAGTGAACTCCCTGAACGTCCGGGATGATACGGAGATCGACTGGAAGACCCTCCCGGACTCGAACTGGAACTTCTTCAGCCCTCATAACCTCCAACGACGCTGGCACACCATGAGACATAGCATCAAGGGACATGAGAACATGACGCATGCTGGTTCGTTGTGCCTTCGTTCAACTGTCTCTCCCAATCTTAGTCGCTGATCAGTCTCTTTGGCGTCACCTGTGGTGTTATAGAAATCATGGACATACTACTCGTCAAGAATACCCACCTGCCGCCTGAGTCGAGTTGTCGCCCGAGACAAATCAAGCAGTTCACGAGTGCCGAGGCCGTGGCTGATTCAGACGATGAGGGGGATGGTGTAGATGCAGGCTCGGCGGCGGCTGTAACGGCGAATAATTCGGAGGGTGCTCGTCAGGATAGTCCGTCTTCGTCGTCGAGTTCGGATGATGATTCTGAAGAGTGAGGAAGGAATTCAGTCTCGACATGGACGTGCGAGACACGTCTGTTGCTTTCTTGTTAGAGTATGTTGCGCTCTGATAATGCTTCGATCCCTGTGGCGTGTGTTTCTGCAGGTTCGAGACAACGTGGACGGGATGGTCATGAATTGTCGACTACTCTTAGAACCCAATGTTGTCCTAAATACTTGAGCCGTTGGTATCATCGCTGTCGTTTCCTCTTCAGCATGTTTGATCGTGCCACAAATGACCGCTCTGTCCGCGTCGCCGCAGTGCCACCCCGCTTTGTGACAGGGGCAAAGAAAAAAACATATCCAATGGAGATAAGTGGCCCAAAAATCCCGAATCCACAACTTATTGGCGGGTAGGCGTCTTCCGATCTCGCCATGGCGGACTTCCGCCATATGCACATCCGCGAGCAGTGGCACCTTCGTTCATCGATCCGTCCTTGTGCTCCTGTACGAGTCACAGATATAGCCAAGATATAGCACACAAAAACAAACAGGTCCGGACCATACCTGAAACCATTCTTCTTTCGTCTTACCCACCAGCTGACCATCCTTCACCGCTGCTCCCACTCCCACCTACATCGACTGAAATCGTTCCTCAGACGGTAAAATAACCTCGTACACAATGTCCGCACAGCTTGCTGCGTTCAAGGTTCCTGCGACTGAGAATGAGCCGATGGTAAGCTTGTCAAGATGTTGTGCCGAGTTCGGACTAGATGTACTAATGAGTCTGGTGGCGGGGGGTGGTTGCATCTAGTACTCGTATGCGCTGGGGTCACCAGAGCGGAAGGGTCTTGAGGCTGCTTTGACGGAGATGCAGCAACAGCTGCCCTTCGAGGTTCCTTGTGTCATTAACGGCAAACCCGTGCGTCTACACTTTGCTTTTCCGCACCTTCTCACTCACCCATCCTTTCTCACAATTCTCTATCCTTTCTCGCGCATCATATCCAGGTCAAAACAGGCAAGCTCGGGAAACAGCCTATCCCCTCCGACCACGCCAAACACCTCTGCACTTACCACGAAGCTGACGAGGCGACCATCGCGAGCGCTATCGAAGGTGCGCTTGCTGCAAAGGAGGAATGGGAGAGCATGCCCTGGAATGACAGGGCTGCGATCTTCCTGAAGGCCGCGGACTTGATCAGCAAGAAGTATAGGTATAAGCTGATGGCGGCGACGATATTGGGTCAGGGAAAGAATGCGTGGCAGGCGGAGATCGATGCGGCTGCTGAGGTGTGTTTTGCGTTTCTCTGCTTTGAAAAAAAGCTGGAGTGTGAAAGGGAAGGTAAGAGAGGGACGAAGGGCTGAAGCGATTTCTGTCTTTCTACAGATGTGTGATTTCTTCAGGTTTGGAGTGAAGTACGTGGAGGAGCTCTACTCGCAACAACCATCCAAGAACGCCGCAGGATGCTGGAAGTGAATTATTTTTACTTGGGCTGTGCGTCGGCATTACTGACTGTCTCTTACCATTAGCCGCGTTGAGTACCGACCACTCGAAGGTTTCGTCCTTGCAGTCACGCCTTTCAACTTTACTGCCATTGGCGGTAACCTTTGCGGAGGTACTTGGGCCACACTTTTCTCTTTCACGTCGACTTTGCTGATCAAAACTCCTGCTCCCACATTTTTTCCTCCTAAAAAACAGCCCCGGCTCTCGTCGGAAACGTCGTCGTATGGAAGCCTTCGCCCGCCGCGACCTACGCGAACTACATCACCCATCAAATCCTCCTGGAAGCAGGCATCCCACCCGGTGTCATCCAGTTCACTCCCGGCCCTCCCCCTGAGGTCGTCGCTCAATGCATTAACAACCCGAACTTCGCGGCATTGCACTTCACCGGGAGCACATTCGTGTTCAGGAAGCTGTGGAAGGACATTGCGAGCAACCTGGACAAGTACAAGGGATACCCGAGGATCGTCGGCGAGACTGGTGAGTCCCCTGCTCGAATCAGAATATGCGATAATGTGAAGCTGAGATGTTTGGTTGCGGTCAGGGGGAAAGAACTTCCATCTTATTCACTCATCGGCGGAGGTCAAGAACGCTGTCCTTCAGACCGTCCGTGGTGCTTTCGAGTATCAAGGTTTGTCGTTCACAAAACACCCGCTCGCTCCCTCGTTCTATCTCTGATCACTTTCTATCAATAGGCCAGAAATGCTCCGCTCTTTCGCGAGTCTACGTCGCGTCGTCGGTCTGGACCAGTGGCTTCAAGGATCAGCTCCTCGAACAGGTTGCGAAGATCAAGGTCGGTGCACCGACTGACTTCTCTAACTTCATGGGGCCCGTCATGTACGTATCATCGTAACCGTCTCCGACAGGGTCGCAATTGATCATGATTTGTCGTTGTCGTTACAATAGTGGCAGACCTGCATTCGACAAGATCACCTCGTACATCAAGAAGGCGAAGGATGCTGGTGGAGAGATCCTCATCGGTGGCTCGAGTACGTTATTTTCTCTATCCCCTCGAGCCACCTTACTCATGCGCTGTCCATCTCATAGCCGACGACTCGACGGGATACTTCGTCCAGCCTACTGTCATTCTGACCAAGGATCCTAAGTCGGTGACCATGCAGGAGGAGATCTTCGGCCCTGTGTTGACCGTGAGTTTCCGCCTTCTCAATCGTTATCTACCGATGAGTTGTCACTGACGATGTGGTTACAAATGTGTAGATCTACGTCTACGAGGATGCGGACTATGAGAAGACCATCGAGCTGATCAACACCACCTCCGAATACGCTCTCACTGGTTCAATGTACGTCCTACTTCAGAATTCACCTTCACACAAATTGACCACTTTTACTCAACTTTTCTTTTTTGTAATAGCTTCTCAACCGAGCGCAAAGCCCTCCTCTTCGCCACCAACAAGCTCCGCAACGCAGCTGGCAACGTCTACTACAACGAAAAGTGTACGGGTGCCGTCGTCGGCCAGCAGCCGTTCGGTGGTGCGCGTGCGAGCGGGACGAACGATAAGGCGGGGAGTATCTCTATTTTCTACAGGTTCGTCAGCGCGAGGAGTATCAAGGAGAACTTCTTGCCGTTGGAGGACTTTGGGTATCCTTCGAACTTGGTCTAAGTTTATATTTTGAAATGGGTCGGCTTGAGGGATTGGACCCTCGGTCTTGGACACACTGTTTTTGCTCTGTTTATGTTATGTAGCGAGGAGAGAAGCAACAAATGAATGTAGAATGTATTGTTTGTAGCCATCACTTTCACCATGCAGGCTATGATGTGTGCAAACGCTTCAGTTGTGTTCCTTTCAGCAGGGAGACGGGCCACAGAAGTGCCACATATCCAAAAGAAGGAACATGTAGCGTTATCGCGACGTTCTCCCTCTTCTCACCATCGTCACTCTTGAAAACTCCCATGAGACCAGCTTAAGAGGCGTGCAAGACCACATTTCGAAGCCAAAGGCCCCTATTGCTCATGCCCCATTCATCCTACCAGGGAATGAATGTGGTCTGTGCAATAGGGGTATTTCACTGCCGCGATGTGGCTTTGTATGGCTTCAAGCTTGCGTTGATGCTCCTCCTTCCCGGGCACTGACTTCCCGTTTGCATCGATGCTCTTCTCTGGGAACTAACAATGAACTTAGATCTCATCTAAGATTTGATGGGCCACACAAAGGGCGTTTTGTGGGTGCCGTCATCCAGTGGCCCAAGCGTTCTCGTCGCCGGCGATCCTTTGTTCTTTAACAAGCTAGCTGCTTCTTTCTCTCGAGCTGCTTCTTTCTCTCAATATATAAACCTGGCTTTCACAACGACCAACCTCCCCAACCCTCCTCAGATCTTTCACCACCAAATCATCTATCTGAGTACCTGTCATGGCAAAGTTATACTTTGGTCCAGAACGTCCTCCTAACCTGCCTGAGCCTGAAGATGTACCACGACCCTCCCTTCCTCTGGTGTACGCACCACCTGCGCTGGCACGCGCCACTTGGTTCCAAGATTGGTTGGAACTGGACCGTTGTTCACCACGTGAATATGATCAGTGAGTTAAATATCGATTCACCCTTTCTTTCGTTCAGATTGTTTGGTTTTGGTGGTGTCGTTGCTCACACTGTATATCTTCAGGGATTTGTCTCAGGAGGAACTCTTGAAACAGGCCACGGATGATTTCCGTTCAGACAGGAAGAACGCGTGGTGGGATTATCACCCGAAAGGGCAGATGCGTCTGGAGACAATGTGGAATCAGGTGTGTACTCCTTTCTCCTGATTCTCCTTTATTCGCGCTGCACGTACTTACTCTATCGCTTCAATGTATTCGCATATATCTCTTTCTAACAATGCCTTTTCCCAGTTCGCATATTTCATAGGCGTCATTTTCGAGGCTGCCTGGCGAGACCCTCTCCCCGATGGGAACGACGAAGACGCCACCGGTGGGGGAGGTAGCGGTGATATCTCTGACGATGAACCCGATCATAATGATCCCAACCGCCCTCCGGTCTACTTCGACGCGTCTATGAGTCGCGGGGCTTCTAACGATCGCGGCCGCGGTCGTGGTTACGCTCGAGGGAGAGGAGGAAGGGGGACCGGGGGACCTAGGAGAGGAAGGCCGTTTCTCTTCCACCCTCTTGGCCCGAAGGACAGGGACACGTTCATCGAGGCGACGTTCGGTATGAGCTTGGAAGAAAAGGTGAATATCAGGAAGGCGGAACAGGAGAAAAGAAGGGACAGATTTTTCAGTGACCCGGAGGGGACTGTGAGGATGTTTTTCTCGAGTTGGGCTATAGATCGCGGTATGCTACTGTACGTGTTTTCTTCATTTTTCTTCCCTAACATCTTATTACCTCTAGATCTATTCTGAATCGGGTTTCTCTTGATGCTGACATTGATCTCAAATGACGCTTTCGTAAACCGACTCTACAGGTCTCGACGTATTTTAGAACTCCTCCCTCTCATCGTCCGGTTCTATCTCCGCTACCTCATCCAATGCGACGTCTTCCCCGACGCACATATGCGCACTGGTCTTCTCGACGCGTTGAAGGCCACGGAGCAGGCCATGGTCGAGCTGCCTAAGATTCAGAACTTCTCCCTCTCGCCCGGCCATCGCGCTTGGTACGATCACGCAACTGCGTCGGATGACGACAATGAGGTGCCAGCTGAAGATTTGGAGAGCGGCATAAAAGAAGTGGAGGAGCATGATAGCGCTGTCGCCGGTGATTCTGCTATCGAGCCTTCAACTCTAGGGACCGCGCCTGTCGTTTCCACCGATATCAGCCATACCACGCCCATCTCAGATCCCAATACTACTACCGATATCCCTAGCCCCACCGAACCCGGACTCGTCGTTGACCCTGCGGATCCCGAAGTCCTGGTAGACCTCAACAGCCTCGCCCACGAACTCGACGAGCTAGACCCCGACGCCGTCATCCCAGCCCAAGCTGACGCGGTTAGCGGCTGGGATACTCTGGATGACTATTGGAAGATGCTGCCGGACGGGATCAAGGATACGCATGTCCCAGGTCGTGTGGAGGTGGCGACGAGGGTTGTGCACAGTACAAAGTATTCTGAGGCGGAGACGATGAACGAGGGTGCGGGTGAGGCAGGTGCTGATGTAGGCTCGTCTGTGGGTTTAAGTGACGAGGAGAGGGTCGAGGAAGAGTTGAGGACGAAGTTCGGGAGGGCGATCATGCGTCCTTGGGGAGCATATATCGACGGAAGGACGTACGGACCTGATGTCCCTCGCCCGGTCGTAGACAATCTTGTCGATTCACCGGCCATCAAGTTGGGGACTCACAACCCCTTGCGAGACGACATTGAGGTAGTGCTGAAGGATACAGAGGTCAAGGCGTTGATGTCAGGATGGGGATTGAAGGGCACGTTTGTGCAGTTGGTGAGGCGGTCTTTCGCTGAGGGGGACGAGAAGGAGGTGGCAGGAGGTACTTCATCAAAGGCATTGTGGTTCATGGTGGAGTGCAAGGAAGTTCTACCAACGTACTATGTAGCACTGGAGGATTGATGAGTGGTTTTGCATATCTTGCGTCAAGGTTTACGGGATTTCAGTTTGCTATACTTACAATTCGTCGCCATACACATACTACAGTCGGTGTCACTCAGGTGTCGTTGTCTTCAATCATAAACGTCCGTTGTCAATTGCATCTTTCTCTCCTCTATGCTCATTGATCCTGAAGCTTCTTCATCGAGAGGTTCCAATCTCACCTACCGTGCTCAAGGAGCAAACGCGGTGGCATAAAAATCAACGTAAGCTCAAGAAATCGCAAATCGTGACCGAGAACAAGGAAGAACAGAGACTTTGGCCAAACACCCGGCATTGGAACTGAGGACCAAACCGTCGGTCCTCCAGCTGGACTGCGGCGCGCCACACCTCTAGTTCATCCATCTCGACCAAACATCCCCTTCACCGCACGACGTACCACCAGTCTTGCAGGAAACATCACCAGCATTTTGGGTTTGAGAAGGAACGATAAATACGGGAGAAACGGCCAACCACAAGTACACACAGGCGAACGTAAACTCACCGAACGCAGAATCAAAACCTCCTCGAGCTCCGAAGTCTAGCAGGCCTGTTCAAAGGCGTACTAGAAGTGGAAGTGGCACCAGCGCCAGGCGAGCCGGTGCTAGAGGTTGCTGCTCCGTTAGGACAGGGACTCCCACCGACGACACCAGAACTACCAACTCCGCTCCCACTATCTCCTTCTCTATTTCCACCGCTCGAGTCCTCACTTTCGCGTGCAGCTGAACCACTACCTGTGCCGCCCCCGCCACGCGAGCCACCAGAGATATCTATCCCCTCCGTCCTCGTCATCACGCTGTTCAACAACGCCAAGAACAATAAATCCGACGCAGCCGCTGCTGCGTCTGGTCCGCGGAAACTACTGAATATATCGACGTCCTCATCAGGAGGTAATTCCATGTCGCTGGACTGGAAGTGGACTTTGCTATATTTGTAGCACGTTGAGGCAATGGATAATTAGCAGATAAAAGATGGAGGAGAAGGGTAGGATAGGGTACTAACACGCAGCTGACTACCCCTTGATCATCTTTAATGATCTCCACCGGGTATATCCCGTCACCGTTACAAGTGAAAACATCGAAGCTGCGGGATCTCTTCGGCGGTGTGTCTCCTGGAAGCTATCGGAGTATGTCAGAGGGTTGCCGAAAGTTATATAGAGTAAAATGCGAGCATATTGACGGTCATTAAGTTGAAGACCGTTCATGTTATAATAAAGGAAGGAAAATTTGCGCGAGGTGCATCAGGGGGTAAAACCACAAAACAAACTCACGTCCATCACCATGTCCCTAAACTCAAGCCTACCATTCCTCGGAATCTTGTAGTCCTTGATTTTCACTACAACCCTCACTCATCAACTCAATTTCTCGACGACGGTGTCGTGAATCACACAAGAAGAGGAAGAAGAAGACCAAGGGCAAGACGTACCTATAAGTGACGACTCGCACGCATCCGTCCACTTCAGGTCATGCGGATGCCACCCTGGAGGTATCGAGAAGCGATAGTCTTTCTTCGCTAGGATGAGAATTCCTGGACGGTTGTCATGTTCGGGCTATTTCGATGTCTTCAGCACGCTGCCAAAAGTCGAAGGAGGAGAGATAGGCCGGGACGAAGAACAAAGGGTAGAGGCACAGCGAGTGAGGGTGAAGAGACGAGGTACACGATCATTGGTAAAAGGAGATGGGCTAGGGCAGAAACCTCACCGTGCAGGAACCGCGGATGGCCGTCATCAGGTTCCATACCTGACCACAGTTCGAAGATCCTAAGTCGACTACGGATTTATAGTGACCTACATTACGATCAGATGGCTAGTTAGTCTTCAAAGATGTCAACTTCTCTGGCTGGCACAAATTATTTCGGAGCGCTTGCCTACGGAAGATCACAAAAAATAGGATAGCGTACCATAGTTCGTCCTCGGTTTCGGCGCTTCGCTCGGATCAGCGTAATATATCCATTCCTTGCTGAGGAAGCTAGGACGGTGATATTGACCTGTATCATAGTGAGAAAGAAATCAGGAAACACTGCATATAAATCGAAAGTGTTATTTCCGACCGTGACTGACCTGGAGCTGCTTCGGTGGGCATCATGGTCATCATGTTGACATCGATACTCACATAACCACCCTCGTAGGGTCCTGAACAATTCAAAAAAGTTGAGAACTATGGACTTCGAGGAACTAAAGCCAACGAAAATATACCGTCGATTAATACACCTGGCTGTGATAGCATATAGTAAGGTAAGACCCCTGTCAGTAACCGGCTCCCAACGCTCGATGCACTTCATCGGATTGAAAGACCGACCCGTTCAGCCTTGCCGGGCCTCCTATCACAAACCCCAATATTTGGAGCCGTAAGAGCTTTTGCATATTCCTCATACGGTAAGGGAGGCCAAGCAATGAGACCGATGAAAGGGCGATAGTATCGTGGCGTGTAGAGCTCTGCCAAAGTCAGCGAGGGCGGGTGGTTTTGTGCTTCGGGTCCCGGTTTTGGGAGCGCTGTGTACATGGTGAAAAGGTGGTGTCGCCGTCAGTGATGGCGGAGCTGTAGTGGGTGGTGGTAAGAGACAAGAGGTCCTGGGAGAAGATGTCGATGGACCACGGAGTTTTATACCACTCCAGATTGGTACGGAGCAGGGCTTCTCGCGGAGTTCGACAAGTGGTATATCCATTTCTGGACATTGATGCTGCTCGCGGTGCCCAGTTTGTGAAGGTAGATGCCATTTCTGGATGAAGAAGAAAGGAGTCGACACCGGACGAACTCGGGATGTCTACTTTCAAAACCGGATCCGCAAGGACGCCACGGATGCTGGGCTGATGAGCACCTTTCGAGAGATTTGACGATGTCCTTCATACGTGGATGCCAAAGGCGGATAAAAAGGCCTTGATATAGGGTAAATTGGGTTAAGAAAGCTCCCAAATCATGTATCTCGCCTGGATAAGCAATATTGACCACAACGGTTCCAAGAAATCCAAGAATTTCGATACCAGTCCATTGTCTGTCCGAGACCTGCCATCAATCTACGTGCTCCCCCGCGGATCCAGTAGCCAGACTCTCCTGTTCGCCATCCCTAGATCGCTGCTCCGACTCGCCGTGGTCGGAACCTCCTGCATATTCTCCGCCAAACTCCAGGGCGCCTTCCTCGATCACATAGCTCCCAACCTTCTTCCAGTCATCTTCCGGTCCCGTCCTGAGCATTGCAGAAATCGAAGGAGGACGCTCGTAGAGAGTGATATTGAACTTTGCGGTGAACGATTCGTGGCACATGGCAGGTTTGAAACCGGAGGGTACGGGGCCGGGGAGAGATATGAACGAGTCCTATCGAAAAGAAACAGAGAAGGTCAGTACATGTCCAGATTTCCGAGAAAGTGAGAAAGTATACCTTGCTCGCCAGAATTTCGACGTCCAGCCACCTCGACACCGTCCAACATTGCACCCTGACCCTCCTCATCCCTTCCGCACCCTCGACCTTCCACTGCCTCTCGACCTTCATCCCGACACCTGCGCCCCATCCATTTAAACCCACCGTTAAAGGCGGCGCAAAGTCCCATTCAATACCGACGGTGTCGTCTCTGAAACCGACTAGGTAGGCTTCAAGACCGAGGATAGACCCACCAGCGAGGGCGAATCGAACGGGTGGACGTTGATACGCTTGAGGGCTTGAGGATGCAGAAGGACTGGACGACGAGGGGGTGGATGGGCCTAAACAATGAGCCCATAACCATCCTTTCGGAAACCCTACACCATGATTCTTCTCGATATGCGCCATCGCCGTTCCACTCGCCAATATTTCTCCGGAGCTCAACCCCGCTTTGACATCCATCAACGGATCCAAATCCAAATCCACCTTCCTGCGTCTCCCGAGCTGCCACTCCGCCTTCGAGCATCCAGAGAAAACGTGCCAATGGAGCGGAAGAAGCGTTCCTAGTCTTTCGAACGGGCCTTCGGGACCCGAGATGACGGAGGTCGAGGACCAAGGTGTGCGTTCGGTGGTATGTATTTCCAGGATCAGCTCGTCCTCCTCCTCGGATGCGTCCGCGTGAGTGGATGGAGAGGAATTGACGGGCATGCGAACAAGGAAATGTTGATTCCCGGTGGAGTCGGTCTTCATATACCCTATACCGGGAACCTCGAGGCTCCAGGGCTCGACTGTCCCACTCGGAGGCAAAGAATTCGACCCGTCCGTGCGCGAATGGGTGAGTTTCCACCTCGGTGCGCACATCTCGCGGACGAAGCCTTCCTCGACGTCCCGGTCGCCCTTGTGCCCGGATGTTGAGGAGTCGTGCAAGAGATTATGATGCGGCGCGTACAGTACGTAGACCATGATCCGTTTGTCGGTGTCTGTGGCAGCCTTGACCTCGCAGATGATGAGGACGAGTGTGAGAGGAGACGCGTTTATAGGGTTGTTCGAAGGAACATGGAGGTGGGTGTAGTAGCCTAGCGACAGTCAATAAAATCGGGATAGTTAGAAGTTTATGATATGAGGCTGAAGATGAGACCGACGCACCTTCCATGGTCACATCGGTGTGAGGCGCATACGGGTCTGTCGTTGGGAGGAGGGCATTATACAGCCGGTCGGTGAGCCGCGAAAGCATATCTACCATTGTCATTCAGGCTGGTCTGATGATGATAATTGCAAAGACTGTGAACGAGCAGAAGCTTAGAGAGAGCGTGGAGAGGTCAACGAGAGAGAGCTCCAAGGCTTGAAGTAGGACCGCGAAAGACAAGTATGGAGGCGGAGGCGAAGAAGGGGTGAGAGTGTCGATGCGACATTGCTTGTTCGCTGCAGATCGACATGGTGGGATGCGACAAGCGCTCTGACGTGAATCAGGAGAAAAATCGGTTTGTGCGATGGGGTGAAGGCATTGATGTTTATGTTGACAGAAGATACTGTAACAGTAACCATTCCATGTTCTTGCTAGAATTGTAGTAAGAAGAACTTCCAGAGGAAGACAGGCGGCTGAAGGCGTTGCGCAAGGGGCCACAATCGCTGCGCTTTTGTGGCGTGCGATCTATCGCGGCCCCTGAATTATTCCGGAACCTGCCGAACCCAAGGCACAATAATACGGTTTTCGAGCGATTTTCTGTCGTTTCCAGTCTGGTTATACATCTTTTCTCCTCTCTATGTCTAGCCAATTCTTTCAACAATATGGCACTTTTGTTCAAACAGACCTTTCAGAGACTACCATTCAGTGCTTGCCATTCAATTCGGAAATTTGAACTGAGCAAAACGTCAAGACGGGCCTGTAGTACATACTGCTCCTAAACGCGGCGTAGATGCCTCTCGGTTACCTGGTCGTGCTCATCAGTGGCTTTCTCGATAATCCGCAACATAGTCTGGTCATCTGTACTGCACAGCTCCTACGCACTGCCCGAGCTTCACACGGGATCGCTGAAATTAGGCACGCTGATGTTTCGGGTTTCACCCCCAACTTGTACCAGTACCGCGACTATCCCTTGATTTCTGACCAACCGCCTTCCCTGCTTCATTGGAATGCCTATAGCTGCCTTCACGTTCGGCTCTTTTGGTGATATCCTTGCGCTCGTCGACCTCGCAATTCAAGTTCACGCCGCTCTCAGTTCTAGCGCCGGTGCCTCGGAGGACTATCAAGCGCTCGTCTCCGAGCTTCACTCGTTCTCCCAGCTCCTGCAGAATGTGCAGACTATTCATACACTGACACTCCACGGCCTTAATAGAGACCCACCAACTGTCTCCTTGCAGAATGCCATCCGATTCGCTTTAGAACGCTCAAAGGTACTACTGGACACGATTTGTGCAAAGATCGCGGGATATCAGAAGAGTCTGAGGCGAGGCGGGTCAGGAAATATGATGAAGGATTCATGGCGAAAGATTGGATGGGCTATATTTAAGAAGGATGAGATTCAGGAGATGAGGAGGCAACTGGGTGGTTGCACACAGAGCATAACGGCGCATCTGTCGGTATCGCAGTCGTACGTCCCCCAGCTTCTTTGTTCTATACCGCCTTCCATGCAAAATTATAATAGCTTGTTGCGGATTGTGGGCCATCTAGATACACTCTCGCTGGACTCGAGCAGATTTCCCGTGAAAATGGAGTCACGTTGGCGAAACTTCTTCTTCGTATGGAGTCGCTGCCCAAAGTCCTTGGATATCCATGGGAAGGCGGGACTAATGGTGACAACCGAGCCATCATATTATTTGACATGCTCGGCCAGAATGTTACCATCCCATACCAATTCTGTATAACGCAGGAGGTGAGACATTATTTTCCCTTGAATAATTGCATCGAACTTTACTGACAAACATGATATGTTACAGGATTTCGATGGCCTTCTGAAACTTTACTTCAGACATCAGGTTGGAAGGGCATTCGTCGACCGAGGAGACTACGACCTTACAAGTACTGGCACCGAATCCTTCGTAACCCCGATCGACTCGAAACAATGGAACGTAAGTGTGAAGCCGGGGCGTTCGTTGTATATGAACGCTATCCTCCGCCGTTCACTGAAGAATAATGGCCCTCGAAAATGTCCTAGCTGTCAACAGAGTGTACACAGCGCGGCCATAGTCGAACCAGACATCAGTGTCCAGTGGTGAGTACTATCAACGATCCCCTATTTCTCGAGCCTGCTTAACATGATAGCCTTCATATATAGTACTCGATGTCACACCTGGTTTACAGTCACTGAAAGCCAATCTAAAGAGGCTCCACATCATACGAGAACAGAATTTCCGGGATCTTTTGGGGAAATCCCTCATCATTCACCCACACGATCATTGGGCTCCCCGAACACCGCAAGAGAGTGTGATAGAGACCTATCTTTCCTCCGACGAGTTCGAATCCTAGAGCCGCCTCCCACTCGGCCCGCTTCCAACCATGGTACTATTGATGCCACGCAGTCTGAAGGGGCTATCGCTTGCCTTTGCGGTGATACCAATCGAGTTGGGCTTACGATAGAATGCGCGACCTGCCCACGATGGTATCACGCCGCTTGTATCGATGTACAGATCAACGTCCAAACGACCCTCAATACTGCCAGTTGGCGTTGTTGGGTTTGCGCAACCGGAACCCGAATGGACGTGTTGTGGTCTGCTCGTACCACAGGCGAGGAAAGCGACGACGACAATGCTTCGAAGAATTCGACGAAAGAAGTGACAGTCGACGTTGCAGGCGGTGTAAGGATCAACTTGCAGATGCATCAATCATCGTCCGACCTCTGACCTATACCTCAACAGACTCTGCTGATAGATTTATCGCACGAAAACGAAATACAGCCAGGACAATTCGCTTATACGACGTCGACCTCTCACGATGGTAAAACCGTCTATCATCGATTCAAAGCCGTGCCAGCCTCCTATCAGACTCCGAATGGTATGATCGTGCATGGTATACAGTGGATACCTATTGAAGTGACTAGGTACGTCGTACTTGCTCCTGTCCCGATTTAATGTGAAGACTCTGACTTATCATGCTGGTCTTCGTAGCATGGTACCCCTGGGTATTTTAGACGCTAATAGTGGTGAGGTTACGAGGTATTCACTGCTGCCCAATGCCTGGTGAATTAAGCTAAACAGAATTCCTCTAGGATTTTTGAAACTTCGATTAGGAAGCACACTTTAGACACAGTAAGACCCGGCGACGATATCTCGTAGGGCCAACGAATGTAGCGGTGATATGTACAATTGAACAACCCTCTGAAGTTCTGAACCACAGTCATCACATAGGGGCAAGCCGACAGGGTGGCGAGGGTATGTGGCGTAAATCTAGGCCTGTCTCCGATTCAGCCTCCGACAACGTCGTTCAACTTCCGCCACGGGTCAGTACCTGTCAGAATATCTTTTGGCTTAGCTGGCGGCTCTGGTTCACAATGGCCTAGACTATGATTTGAAACTACTCTCCAACATCTATGAGACTAGTACTGTGGATAAGGATTTTGCTCCTTGCCGTGGTCACTGAACAAAAGTAATGTCCACATTGAGCTTGGTCGTGATCCGTTCTGTCGTCGAAGACTCGAAGTGCTTTCGAACTCTTGAAATAGCAACTAGAGTTCCTAATTCGGCTTACATTACTCTCCATGACATCTGGGCAGACTCTCGAGAAGTACAATCCGTCAAAGTCTCTGAGCCGGCTTGCCCTTAAAGTCATGCCATGGCTGAGGTGATTCGACCCCCCATACTTTCCCGCTCCTCTTCATCCCAATCAATAGACCTCATCCATTCACAGAGACATGTCGCTTCTTCTTCCTGTTCCGGGTCCTGAAGCACAGATTCACCCTTCTTCATTGTCATTTGACGAACTCCTCACTCGAAAAAACTATAGGCCGTTCGTTGGACTCGCGGACTGGCCGCCTCAGACGTACGACGCTCATCACGAGCTGTCTACTCCTGAGGATGGTGTAATCGATAGGAGGCCTGGTATGGCTGATGCGGTGGGTTACTTTTCGTCTTGAGTGAATTTATCATTGAAATGTCACTACAGCACGGCGTCCTCATTGATGGTAAAGCTAATATGTTCGATTTTGACTAAAATGTTCTACTATTCACGCAATTCTTATCAGGACCCTGTGAGGGTGGGTATGTCAGTATCGATTTCCACACGATGCTTATGACTCCCACACAAGCAGCTCCAGGTATGTGTCAATCTTCGATTTCATTCTTCAGATGCTTTGGTAGATTGGGTCTTACCGTCCTGTCACTGGCTCACCATCGTCTAGGCCAATATCACCGCCGCGACTTTCACGGAAAATGGGAGCATTATGCGGACCCGGTACAGGTACCTAAACCAAGAACGAACTATGGTACCCCCAGTTCCTTCTTTCTTCTTTCATGGTGACCTTGCATAGTACACTGATTAGAATATTCAAACCTGCATACAGGCTTTTACAAAACCGTCGTCGACTTTGGACGTTCAAACCGCGGCAAGACGTGGAATCTGTTGACCGCCATCCGCAAGTCTGCGACGGTAAATCGAGTATTCCTTCCTGGTCTTCGCCCGGGAATATTTATCTTGTCTCCTTTTCTGTAATGGTCTCGGAATATTAACTGACTCGGAGCCTGATAAACAGCCCACACACGATATCCGTCCCGGGATCCTCATACTCGCTAGGAAAGACTACCGGTTCTCGATTCCAGAGGGCTACCATCCCCAAAATCGTGCTTGGGCAGATGGCTGCGAATCGTCCCTCCTGGGTACGGTTATCTTCCCCATGTAATATTTGAACAAACTACTTATCGCATCGCTGCGTGTCTGTTGGCAGTTAAGATCAAGGACTATGAGATCCCAGACAACGGAAAGCTGGAGTTTCGGGATGCGTTTCAAGATGTGAGTTCTTCGCATCGTGATTGCTCTCAACCTGATTCATGTTCTGATCCTCCGGTGCTGATCTTATACGCATTGCTTTATTCGTAGTCTCAGACTTCCCGAAGCAGGCCTAGCCGCAGCTTTGAAATCTTGACATGCAATGGCGATGGCATCTACCCCGTCCAAATCATCAAAAACGACAAGGGAAAGATCACTTGCGTGTCAGTCCCCTTTTCGAACCACTTCACCAGTCCAAGGCATCGTCGACTTCCAGCTCTCATCGGCACCTCACCGTCTTAACACTTTCCATAGTTAGGGCCCCCAGCTAACCTTTTATATTCCAATCGACAGCAAAGTTCGCTTCCACTCTCGAGACATGCAGCTCCCTCCCGAACCCGAGTTCCAATCTGACCAAACGACAAACGATACTTGGGACGACACGTTCTTCGCGCTCGCGAAGAAAGTCGTGGCACTGGATGCTGTAGCTCGTGCTCTTGGGGTTCGAGCGAGCGTTTCTGCAACTAATATTGGGAGTGGAGGACTTGGGCGAAGGACCGCGAGCTTGCTAGGCGGTGGTCGTGACGGGGCAAGAGCGACTGGAGTTCCCATAGACGGGATCACTCCAGAGATGCTGAGGGCATTTCAAGCTCTGGGAGGGTTGAATTGAAGGATGATATGATCTTGACGCTCTGTATGCCAATCACATTTCTGAATCCGAGCTAATGGTTCCAGTAGCAGGGCATACGACAAATTGAGAACAAGTAGACAAGAACTTTGAGCCAGTCCAGAATAAGCATAGTCGAAGTCACAGGTGAAGAAGAATGGTACAAGTGATCAGATAACACTGGGTTCGATTTCGCCGAGCAGCATCGTCCCGTCTTTACTCGCAGTGAGAACTAGAAAAGAAATAAAGTCAATAACCTGATACGCCACACGCGCCACAAGGCTGAGATGGATGAAACGAGATGGTAACGAACTGATGGGCTCTTTTGGATGGAAGTCAACCGCGGTGACTGTTCCCTTGTGTCCGGGAAGCTTAACAAGCCAGCAACCTCAGCTCAGAGAATCATGAGTATAAAATGAATATGAGCCGGACATACCTTGTACTGCACTTTGCTACTCTCCACATCCCAAATCGTCACCGTCCTATCCGCACCACCCACCGCGACTCTCCTTCCTCCGTCCTCCTTACTCCAAGCCCCCTTCAACAACGTGTTCTCAAAGCCTGCCGGTGCGCCACTCAAAACCCTATGTATCCTATTTGGGGCTGTCGAGAACGGCCTCACGTCATGGATAATCGTTTGACTCGAGAAAGACGGCGAAAGCAGATGTGTTCCGGATGGTGAAAGCGACACGGAGGTAGGCGTGTCGGTGTGGCCCGTCAGAACCGAGACTTGCTCTTGCTTGCGCAGGTCGAGGACGTGGATGTCGTTATCCAGCGCAGAAGCGTAGATGTTCGCGCCGTCCGCACTCCAGCACACCCCCGTCACTGGACATCCGACTTCGAAGATGGCGACTGGCTCTTTTCCACCCTCGTCGCCTCCCTCCCAGACCCTCACCGTTCCGTCGTCACTCCCGGTGGCGACGAGTTCAACGCCAGCGCCACCAGCAAGTGTTCGGTCAAGCGAGTTGATGACTTCACGATGGGCACGAAGACGACGGACGCGAGTGCCCGTGGCGAGGTCTGTGTATGCGAGAGTGTGGTCTGCGGAGACGGAATAGAGGAGGGGCGAGAAGAGGGACCATTGTAGGTCGAGGGTGGGAGCTTTGTGGATTGTGTTGAGAAGACCGTAGTTTGTGTTTGGTGGGTATGTGCGCCAAAGAGCTGTATATAATACATGATACTTGAGACGAATTGGGGAAGGTGATAAGAGAAAATAGGACGTACAAATGCCCCGGTCGGCAGAACAAGCTGCGATATTTTGACCGGAAGGATCGAATCTACAGCTCAATATTTCGGCCTACATGAAGCTGTCAGTAAACTTATCACTTAGTTATATTAAAGAAGCGTACTGAATGTGAGCCCGAGAGAGAAATAATTGGAGCCTCAAGGCTACTCGTCCGTTTGACCGTACGAATGAGAGCCTGGTTTCGCTCGTCATTCGATTGTGAAATGATCATCTGCTGCTCCTCTGGCTCTGCAGAAGAGCGAGCCCTCTTAATTAGGGCCCCTCCTGGCGGTGATCCTGGTCGTTTTGACATGGTGATAGGAAAGAAAGGAGAAAAGCTGAGGATGAACTGGAAAGTACGAAGGCAAGAAGAACGCGCGAGCCGCAAGCGCGTCAAAGGGTCCACGTGACCACATTTGGAGGCGTCGATGCCGTCGCGCTCGTCTTGCTCGTTCGTCTGTTCGTTCTCTGTTCTCTTGAGCTAGTGCTCCTCGCGCTGGTCATTTACTCTCGTCGTGTCTCTCAAGATTCTTCTGGTGACGACTGCAGTCTTATATCTGACGCTTTGACGCGTCTGCAGGCAGGGACCATGTCGCTTCTGCTTGAGACCTCAGTTGGGGATATAGTCATCGACCTCGAAGTCGAGGCATGTCCAAAGACTTGCGAGAATTTTCTCAAGCTTTGTAAAGTATATTATTACAACTTGAATGCCTTCTTCAATGGTGCGTCAGCCTTCTCTGAACCTAAACCACGAATCTTACTATACCTCGCCACAGTTTCCAAAGACTTTCTGGCCCAAGCAGGCGACCCTACCGCAACCGGTACAGGAGGCGAATCTATCTGGTCACTCATCTCGGAGCAGAACAAATCCTCGTCATCTCACTCTGCTCCGCGTTACTTTGAGCCCGAACTTGTTCCGCGCCTCAAACATACGGAGAAGGGGACAGTTTCTATGGCCATAGCTCCTTCCCTTGAAGGACAACCCCGTGGAGGATGCGGAAGTCAGTTCTTCATAACGCTGGCGGATAACATAGAGTACCTGGATGGGAAACATGCTGTTTTTGGACACGTGGTGGAAGGTCTGGACACGCTGGATAAGTTGAACGATGTGTTTGTGGATCAGGAGGGGAGACCATTCAAAGACGTCAGGATCAGGCATGTCGTTGTTCTTGGTATGTTGTTCGAGTATTTTTGGACTACAGTTTGACTGAACCATACGTCTTGCCACAGATGATCCATTTCCCGATCCTCCAGGGCTCGGTGTGCCCGACTCGCCACCCACCAAACCCGTCGACAACTCCACCCGTATCGCTGAAGATGAAGACCCTCTTTTCGAGCTTCCCGAAGAAGAAGCCGAAGAACAACGCCGCCTCAAAGCCGCGCAAGCCTCTGCTCTCACTCTCGAGATGGTCGGTGACCTGCCATTCGCGAACGTTCGACCCCCAGAAAACGTCCTGTTCGTGTGTAAACTGAATCCAGTCACACGGGACGAAGATTTAGAGTTAATTTTCTCGAGGTTCGGGGTAATCATGAGTTGTCAGGTCATCAGGGACAAGAAGACAGGAGATTCATTGCAGTATGCGTTCATTGAGTTTGATAAGAGGGAGGATGCGGAGCAGGTGAATTTCGTTGGACTTCTCCCTCCAATTTCTACTGCAGTATAACTAACGTTTGTTATTCGTTATAGGCCTATTTCAAGATGCAAAACGTCCTTGTGGACGATCGACGGATATGGGTTGACTTGTACGCTTTTATTTCCTCTTCAAACATTGGTTCAGCACTAACAACACAATTTTCCCCTGCAGCTCACAATCAGTGGCTCGAATGAACACTTCGTGGTCCAATAACCCCTCAATGGGCTCGCGCGGTGGCGGAAGAGGCGGCCGTGGCGGAGGTGGTCGAGGAGGTGGCGGACGCGGAGGTTTTGCAGGCCGTGACGACCTCGAACAAACAAGTCGATACAGAGAGTCTGGCGGCGGCCGAGGTGATGATTATAGTATGGTATTTGATGCTCCGAGCGAGCGGGGCTCGAAGAGGAGACGAAGTAGGAGTCGGAGTCCGGACAGAGACAGACGGCGGAGAGATAGGTCGAGGTCACCGAGGCGAGACAGGGATAAAGACAGAGCCAAGGATGGACGCGACCGTGAACATAGGAGAAGTAGGAGTCGAGAGCGAGAGCGCGATGGGAGACGGAGGACAGACGACCGTAGGGAGCGGGATCATCGGCGCTAGCCCGTCAAGTTGGCGCCGATGTTGAGTGGCACTTGACCCGCTCGTGATGATCAGTATGTGTACCTTCGCTCATGTGGCACTCGTCTTCACTTTGACGCTGTCATTGTTTGCACAATATATACAGAATCTTTCTCGTTGCTATCACCCTCTCTTTGGGACGATGTCTACCTATCCTACAACCGGTCGCTCTCTCAACGTCGGATGTATCAGTTTCACCTGCGAGGTCATCTTGATCATCCTCTGGCGCTGATGCTGCGAGCTCCAGACAAGCCGACGTCGATGCCGGGCTGTCAGTACTTCCTCGCAGGTCTTACCTTTTCTGCATCCTGTGCGCTAGGAGCTAGCATCCGCGTATATAACAGATGTCCTGTTCGCCAGTCGTTCCCCGTTTGCTGCCCCGTCTTCGAGGCCACTTGTCCATCCTGCTCTCCGCACCAGCGCACATTTTGACTCTGAAACAGTCATGAGACATTCACCCTCCCCATCTCCTACGACAGACCTCTCCATATTCGGTCCTTCCGCCGATATCCGGCTCCGGACGAACGACCATCATTCCAACAGCCGCACTAGCAATGCTTCGCCTATCGATGTCCTGGCGCACAAATATGTCCTCTCTCGCGCCTCTCCTTTCTTCAACGATATGTTCACCCTCTACGAAAACTATCATGAGCCTGTGCCGGTGTATGAGAGTGCATGGGTCCTAATCACTGTGTTGAGATTTGTGTATCCGGACGAAGGGGAGCCAAGGCTGGCGCCACACGCCATCGGGGAGGTCCCCGACAACGCGGGCACTACATCGTCTGTGGATGAGGGTATTGGTGCATTGGGTATCGATGACGACGAATCAGCCTTCACCTCGGCCGCAAGCTTCGACCCGCGTTCGACGTATACTATTCCTTCATTATCAGCCCTTGTCCCACTCCTCTCCGCCTCACAGAAATGGCTCCTCGCACGTCCTCTCAAGGCTCTCCGCGCCATGCTTGTCCACCCGAATTTCCTCGCAACGGAACCGTTAAGGATATTCGCTATTGCTACACGGTTCGAGTTTGACGAGGAAGCGAGAATAGCGAGCGAGTGGGTTCTGAGGACGGGAGCGTTGGGCGTCGGGATGGAGTTGGGGCTTTGGCCAGATGGTGCTGAGGGTGATGAGGTCAAAGAGCTAGAGTTTAAGGATGGGATCCCAGAAGAGTTGAAATGGGTCACTGCGTTCGCGTTCTGGGAGTTGCAGAGGCTGCATCGCAGACGGGTGAATGCGGCGTGCGAAATCCTACGCTGGCCTGAAACCTACCCGCTCTCGTCTGCCCCCATCGCCCATTCCTCCAACAACCCAGGCCACTTCCCTTCCTTTATCTCCTCTACCATTTCAACGTCTTTTTCTGCTCAACCATCCGCCTCCCGCTTCGACCCAACCGCCGCCCCACTCGTCCCTCCCATTTGCATGCAATGCTCCGCCCGGGGCTTTGGCTCCCTCTCGCATGCCACGCCACGCTGGTGGGAAGAGTGGCGGTCGAAAGCCATTGTCGAGCTGAGGAAGAGGCCGGTCAGCGCAGAGAGTGGGATCTTTGACATGAAGTTCCTTTTCGGTTGTGCTAAGAGGAGTGGGTGCGTCAGATGTTGCGAGAGCGTGTTGGGGAGTTGGGCGTACCTTGAGGGGGTGAGGGCGAGGATTGATGCATTAGAGGGGAGGATCGAGCTCTGACCCGGACGCAGTTTATAATTCATGCATCACAAGCAGACATGGCACAGGGAATAGTCTCATTAATTTTCACTGCTTTACAGCGTTGTTACGCAATCTGTATTTTCTCGAGAGCTCTGACACATATGCCGCTTTACACGCCTAACACATCATCTTCGCATTAGCATAGTACACACTTGGGGAAATAGGAACGAACGTCGTTGCGACAGATTGTGATATCAGAATGCCAAGGCCACTGTCATAAGTCAATCAGATGCATGTTTGGTGCAAAATAAGGTCGACATGAAGAAAACTGGAACGTAGAAACGAAAGTTAAACCAGTACTTATTACAAAGTCATTCACAAAGACAGAAAGCGCTTGCAAGTTTGTTGGAGTTGACTCAACCAACGGTTTTTTCGCCCATTGTCCACGCTGGCATCCGACGTACCGCTTTCAAGTAGAGAAAAATGTGGGCAAACCAAATCGTTCCCTCCATATGTCGTCTCCCTGTGGCGTCAAAGGGTTGCGAAAAGGCGGGTACAGTTCCTGGACCTTGAGTTGCCAGGAGTCAGATACTACGTCATCTGTGGCGTCCGACGGTGGTGGGGTCGGATGCACAGAGTGTTGCAAAGTTTCATCCACAGGAGATGATGAGCGAGGGCCAAATAGCCCTCCGTGCACCGAACTAGTTGGGTTAAGCTAACACGGTTTTCTCGAGATATGTCTTCGAGACGGTGCACGGATTGTCTGAGGGGGCAGCAACATGTCAACCATGAGGAACCTTTCAATGCTTGGAGGTAGGAGAAAGAACGTACGACTGTAACACTGAAAACAGCGTTGTGAGACTGCGTATACCGATCCAAACGTCTTCTGATCTGTTTCGTAACCTCTTTATCGAGCACAGTCCATTCCATTTCCGTCCACGGATCCTTCATGCTCCCTGCATCTCTCTTCGAAATCGTCTGGTATCCTGTAATCTTCGCATAGACCTCGCCTAGTAGGACGTTCGAGTCACTCAGATTATGTCGAATGGCACGTCCTAGCGAAGTAGTTGCTTCGTCGAGTTCACGATAAGAGAGAACACGTGTAGCCTGTACGGTCTGCAGGAGTTGTGAGAGTGAGTCAAGGTCAGCGAGAAGGGCTTGGTGTTCTGTGGCAGAACCGGCGCTCTCCCTCAGAGCTTTGTGAACTTGAATGGCTATTCCGATTACGGTGGCAATGTCACCCAATGACAGAGAAGTGAGGCCGGCGAGAGACATGTAGGCCAAGAGTCAGACTTAGAACAAGTACATGGATCGAATAGCGACTATCAGAGTCTGCCACCTAGTGAGCCCCGAGGACCCGTGCACCTCGCCACATATATAAGCTGTGCAACACATGCACAGGAAAGGATTGCGCCGGTCACCTGCTCATCGATACGGACAGAATCAGACGCCCAAAGCATGCCAGGAAAGTCTTGGGAACGAACATTTCCTCCCTTGAACGGTGGCAATGAAGAATTAGCGATTCCGCGACGTTCCTGGTGACTGATATCCGTGGCGAGGCATGATTACTCTCCAGAATATTCAGATGTCATATCCGTGTTGTGCCCAATATTTATAGCTGGAACGCTCTGAAACCGCGTGCGTTGGAGAGACAGTCAAAGAGTAATAAAAAAAACTTTGAGCGGTGGTGGTAGCAGGAGTTGAAGACGCGTCGCGTACGTAATGCACGTGGCGACGCGGTCAACTCCTCTCGTGGACAATGTTGTGGCGCCCTCCTTATAAGTACCCCAACCCTCATCGAACGCATTTTCCCCACCCCAGACACACCTTTCTTCTCTCCATGACCATAACTGTCCTCCGAATTCTTTCAATCTGATAGGCTTACAACTTTTCTTCACTGAGCGTGTCTGGTATCATATATCTCATGATGGCTACCACAACTACAGACCCTAGGATCGATCCCACAACAGGGAGACCATACCACCGCCTCAACTTTCCACCCTTTCCATCTCTTCTCCACGGCGAATCACTTCCTTCCTTTGACGAATTTCTTGCAAGCAAACCTCCTGTTGGCATTGTCGTGCCCCTTTCCGAGGAAGCCCTCGACGCTGACGATTACGTCGAGCGCGATGCCCATGGCGTACCTACTGTCGCCTTGCTCAAGGTCCACGATACTGATGAGATGCCGAGGAAGAAGAAGGTAAATGGCGTCCTCGCAACGGCTGCTGCTGAACCGAATATGCCTCCGGATCCCGAGGAGTATACCAGTGGCAGAAAAAAGTTTCCTTGGGAGGAACAGTGGGACGCCACGGAGTCGTCTAGGCGAAATGCCTATGACCCGTGAGTTCACTTTATCTCTGGCCTGACGATCCCCCATTGAATGTGTGCAGGAACGTACATCCCGTTGATCGCATGCGCGAAGCTGCCGATGATTTCCGCTCTGGAAGACCCTGGCCCGGACCTGGAAAAGCGAGCGTCGGACCTCTCATGAACCTATGGAACCAGGTGAGATTCAAGGGCTTCTATTGCAGGTCTACTTCATCTTCCCGTTTGAAGGTCTCTGCATTTTGCGGTTTTTTACGCGATCAAAGCTGTGGCGTGTGAGTGTGGCCCAGAATAGGGGCTCGGGGTCATTCTACGCCACTGCGTCTCAACATTCGCTAGAACGAAAATATCTTTCATCGCTTCGACTCTTGAAGTCATTTCGCTGTGACTGCGATAAAATGTGATCATTCAGACTGACCCATTATTCTCATCGTCCCTCGCACAGTTCCTACTCTATGCCGGCCTGCACCAGCATGCCCCCGGCCCCGGAAAAAAGAAGACGTCTCAAGTTGTGGCCGCTCAAACCCCCGACTCTGAAGGTTCCGACTCCGAAGGGGACGACGAAGACCTCGATGTAACTAACGTTTCCATACCCGCAGATATCGTTGACGAATCGCCTGTCGTAAACAAAGGGACTGGGCGGAAGAAATCAAAGGTGGTGAAGGACGCGGAGAAGTTGAAGGGGCTGACGTTTCAGCAGAAGTTGGAGTTAAGGAAGGAGGAGAAGGACGCGAAGATACTGGCTTTCTTTTACGACCCGGAGAAGAATATCAAAATCTTCTTCTCGAGCTACTTCAGGGACCGGGGCCTACTTTGGTGCGTTGTAAAGGCTGTTCAATCTTCCTCACTGGACTTTTCATTATGTCTCTAGTATCGCAACGTTTTATTGATGGTTTTGTCATGCGTTGTATTGTAATCTATACAGGTCCGAAGGCCGCTGCCACTCCCTCCCCATTCTCGTATCTTTCTTCCTCGCGTACCTCATCCGCTCTTCCACCTTCCCGGAACCAGACTTCAACGAGCCCCTCGTCGAAGCTCTCCGGATCGCCAAACAAGCAAAGCTCGAGCTCCAAAGGACCTTCAAGATCTCACGCACAATTGGTATGCAAGATGCATTCAGCGAAGGTTGCATCACACTTTGGGGAACGAGAAAGGCGAGCATAGACTGGGGTGGCTTCGGTGACGGGGCAGGTATTGATAAGAATAGCGAGGAAGCAGTGCAGAAGGGGGCGACGATCCAGGAGGTTGAAGACGAAGAAGAAAGGGAAGCAAAGAGGAGGAAGCTTGCTTCCGACGACAATTCCGGCCCCATTTTGTTGGAGGCCATCGCGGAAGGCGCGCCCGTTATCGACACTGCCGCTCTTCTCGACAACCCAGAACTCGCACCAACCCCGGAATCAGATTCACCTGGATGGGGTTCAGGAAACGCTGGGACAGGTTGGGGCTCTGGTGCCGGTTCTGGCTCGGGATGGGGCGCGGGTGAGGGAGCAGGAACTGGTTGGGGTGGCGATGGCGATGTGGACATGAACGGTGCAGACGGGACTGAGGACGATACGTGGACCATCGCACCCGTCGTACTTTTCCCGCTTCTTGGCCCGACCAACTTACCTCACACGCATGAAACCGGGATCGTCGAGAATTCGACCAGGCGTATCGTTGATTTCTTCGATCCTGTCGATGTCTCCACTCCCTCCGAGACTTTGTTGAGTGGAAGTGCGGCGGCGGCGGTGGAGGATGAGTTGGAGAGGCGGTTCGCGAGGGTTGTGTTGGAGCCGTGGTTCAAGAGGGGAGACAAGGTGCCGAAGAAAACGGATGTGATTGTACCGGAGATTCTCGAAACCAGCCAAGGGAAGGTCGTCGGCGAGAGTGGCAACACCATACTCACACGCGTCAACGACAAGGACGAGTTCGATCCGTGGATGGACGAGGTAGTGTTGCTCGTGGAGAGGAGTGTGAAGGACGTGCTGCTTAAGGGGATGGGTTTGGGTGCGACTTGGATTGAGATTAAGAGGATAGACAGTGATGAGAGCGACAGAGTCAAGAACGATGCGGATGACAAGGGAAAGGGGAAGGGGAGGGGGAAAGGGAAAGGGAAAGGAAAGGTGGCGGAAAAGAGGAAAATATTTGTGTATATGGAGCAGATGGTCCACGTTCTGCCCAGCTTCCACATGGATCCAGATGATGAGGCGTTGTAGGGACACATACTCTTTTGGAAGGCATTGTCACCATACTGACTCGGAAGTTTATGGATTGGATGTTTTCTACTATCGTGTACTTACTGTAACCATACTTCGAGGTGCTTTCGTTCGCTTACCTGGCCTAGCCGTCTTTGCTTGTATATATGATGTCTCTTCCGTACTCACAAGTACTGTCAGTGGTCCACTTTCAAGACGCACCGGTAAAGCGAACCTGGAGTGGCACCCAGCATAACATCGGCTACAAGTGGGACTACGCCACCGTATTTGGCTTTGTTTTGACCTTACCTTGATCCACGTTCCTTGCGAGGACAGGCGAGGACCTACTTGACAAGCAAGGTAATCTCGAGAAAACGGAAATCTTATAGAGCTCTCCTTCTTTCCTCAGGCCTCAGCTGCAAGCGGTGGGAATTCTACCTCGCACAGATCATTAACCGTCGCTTAATCCCATAGCTACAACAAGACATCACCCATCACAAACCACGACTCAGTGTTATGGCAGCCAGCCATGGCGCAGACTTACTACGGGCGGACTCAGATATATCAAAACGCATCTCAGGACAGCCCTTGAAATCTGTTCTGGAGGATCTGAGTGCCATTAACGGAGCTGAAGATCTTATTTGCACACTATCTGTGCCGCTCACAGTGAAAGTCGCTGTATTGTGCGTATTCCACACGGCCCGTACAGTCGAGGTATGTTGAGAACGCGAAAACAAGCAAGAGACGAACTCATTAATTTACGCATAGCTTCTGGACGACCGAGAATTTTCTAGCCTTGCTGAAGCCGCCGAAATGATAGCTATCCTCTCCGGAATCATCGTGGACCATGCACTTGCATATGAAGGTCAATTAAAGTCGCCGGCGAATATCGCTACTACAGTCCGAGGAGATCGGTATATCTTTTCAATTTTATTGTCTATCCCCTCTGACGCTGATGGGGCGAGTGTTAATTTCACAGCCAACCTATCCCGAGTGGTAGTGCTTCGAGAACCATTTCACTTGCGGTACGCTTACCCTTCTTGAAAATCCCTGTAGGATGTCTTGATCATGGTGATGGTCCAGGAGACTACAATCAACATCATTCCTGACCAGTATCCCGAAAAGGCCACGTATTTGACCGAACTTGGTCTCACGCTTGAGGATCGTTACCGCTGTTCGGAGGATATAAATGACCTCGAGAAGGCCATATACTGCAAGCAACGAGCCGTCTCCCTAACTCCAGAGGACCAGTCGATCAGAGCATTATATCTATATAACCTCGGTGCCATATATGATCTACTCTTCGACCGCACCGGCGATTTATCCGACATCGACAAGGCGCTTTCGTTTATGGAACAGGCCATAGCCCTCGTAGAGGACGACCGAGCCGACAAGGCCAGTTATTTGAGCTGCACCGCCAACTCTTATCGCAGACGATTCGAGAAGTCTGCAGCGCTTGTTGACATTGACAGAGCTGTGATACTGTTCGAACAGGTCAAAGACCTTATGGCCGTCACTGGCCATGCAGATGGTACCGCTGAAATATCTATGAATATAGATAGCCTGGCTGTGTGTTTACGCATGCGATCAGAGCAGATAGAGGATCTTCGAGATCTGGAGCGAGCGCTCTCGTATCATGCACAAGCGGTCAAGTTAGCCTCTGACGATGACCAGGATAAACCCACATACATCGCAAACATGGTCACAGCTCGTCTCCTCCGTTTCACGCGGTTAGGGGAGCTAACAGATCTTGACGATTCCGTGGCGTTGTACGAGCAGGCCGCGCGGGCCATACCCGATGGCGGTCCTAACAAAGCCGTGTATCTAGACGATCTAGCCATGTCCTACCATCGGCGTTTCGAATATAACAAGGAGATTTCAGACTTGGAGAGAGCCATCTCGACGGAAAGACAGGCGGTGGCAACAGCGTCTGGAGCATCCGGGAGCACAGAGGCACCATTCTATATCACTAATCTCGGTGACCTTGTCAAAGGCCGCTTCGAGCTACTTGGGAATGTAATTGACCTAGATGAGGCAATTGCATTATACCGGCAGGCCAGCGAACAGACGACCAATAGTGATATTGACAAACCGACCCGTCTTAATCGCCTTGCGGATTCACTCGAGGCCCGTTTCAACCGGCTAGCTGAGCGGTCTGACCTCGAGGACGCGATTTCGTTACAAGAAAACGCACTCCACCTGACGCAAAAGGATGATCCTTTTCGAGCTTCACGGCTAACTAACCTGGGTATCACATATCAAATACAATGGACGCGATTGGGAGACGTAACAGCTCTCGACAAGGCAATAGCTTTGATGAGCGAGGCAGTAGGCCTCACACCGAGTGGGACAAGCAGACCTCCCCAGCGACTACATAACCTGGCCATGTCCTTACGGAGCCGTTTCCGTCACTTGGGGTCGGTGCATGACCTCGAAGAGGCAATCTTACTCGAGACAGAGGCAGTCTCTTTATTTCCAGACGGCGACCCTGTTAAACCGAAGGCTCTCAATGGTCTGGGAGTCTTGCTGATGAATCGATTCAGTCAGTTGGGCAACAGAACGGACCTTGACGCGGCCATTACCTCGATGGAGGCGGCTATCGCGCGTACGCCTACTGGACACTCGACCAGGTCTCATCCGCTCAGCAATGTAGCGGACGCTTATAGGGTTCGATTCGAGCAATCTGGCGACCTCCTTGATCTTGACGAAGCCATCTCATCACAGGAGCACGCTATCGCTCTGGCGTACATTGGAGATCCAAACAAGCATATCTCTCTGAACAACCTGGGAATCGCCCTTCAGGTGCGATATGAACGTCTCGGGGAGCTTCCCGACATAGACAAGGCGATCTCATCTCAGGAGCAAGCCCTAAAATTAATCTCTAACGATCATCCCAACCAACCACTTTGGTTATCCAATCTCGGAACGGCCCTGCAAGTCCGATATGACAAGTCAGGACAATTGGTGGACCTTGAAAAGGCGATCTCATCGCAGGAACAAGCAGCGACTCTTATATCTGAAAACAGTCCTTTCAGACAAACGATCCTGGCCAATCTGGGACTCGCTCGACGAGGACGTTTCGAAAGATATCGAGAGTTAGGCGACCTTGATAACGGAATCGCTACGATGGAGGCAGCCATCGCCCAATTCTCTGATGACCATCCTCAGAAGCCCGCAGCGCTCAATAGTCTGGGTGTGTCTTTACGCGATCGGTTCTCGCGTCAAGGAGTGGTTGAACCACGAGACATCGAGTCAGCGATGTCTCATCACAGCCACGCCATCAATATTACTCCGGAGGGCCACCCGGACATGTCACTGTACCTCTGTAATCTGGCAATGTGCTTCTTGGTACGGGCAGAGCGGTTGGACAAGAAGGCTGATGATACCGTTCGAGCATGTTCCTTATACAAGGATGCGGCGTTGGCACAGACTGGTTCACTGTCTCCCCGTCTACATGCAGCTGGGAAATGGGCAAGGCTGGCTCTCGAAAACAGAGATATATCGTCCTCTATGGAGGCGCATAGGCTGGCCCTGGACCTCATTCCACGCATCGTCTGGTTAGGAACAAATGTAGAGAATCGGTACCAAGACATTAGCGTTATCGGGGATGCGGCGAATGAGGCAGCTGCAGTGGCCATCGCTGCCGGGGAATACAGCCTGGCATTGGAATGGTTGGAAGAAGGCCGATCTATCGTATGGGGCCAGCTACTTCGTCTACGCACACCTGTCGAAGACCTCCGTACGTTCGACCCAACGCTCGCAGACAAGTTGGAAGAAGTAGGACGAAGCCTTGACCGTGCTGGTGCAGCGAGTCACATTATGACGACATCGGTCAGTTCGGAGGATGAAGTCCAGAAACGCCACCGTCTTGCAGAAGAGTGGCAACGTCTAATCGACGAAGCTCGACGTATACCCGGCTTCGAAGACTTTCTTCAACCAAAGAAGATCGTGCATCTGTCCCGTGCTACTCACACATGCACTGTGGTCGCAATCAATGTCCACAGATACCGATGCGACGCCCTCATCCTGCGGCCAAACTGCGACGAAGTCATTCACGTCCATCTCCCCCGTCTTTCGTACGCAAGAACAGAGGACCTACGCAAACATCTAATGCAGTCCTTGAAAAATGCTGGTGTACGTTCCCGGGGATCTAGGGTCGACCCCGTCAGACTCAAAGATGGGCTTCGGCGTGTGTTGGCCATACTCTGGAATGACGTTGTGCAGCCTGTTTTAGACAGACTATCATATTTGGTGAGGGTTCTTCTATGAATTCCGTTATCTCCAAATCTAACAACTTAGCAGCACGATGATGGCGGAGAACTCCCTCATGTTACTTGGTGTGCTACAGGTCCTCTCGCTTTCCTCCCCCTGCACGCAGCTGGAATCTACGGAAGACCAGGAAAAAAGATCTTCAACCACATCATATCCTCCTATACACCCACTGTTACAATTCTCCTGCCTCGTCCCGCAGTCAAGTTTCGAGGTATCCTTGCTGTCAGCCAGCCAGCGACTCCGGGCCACAATGCACTTCCGAAGACCGACACTGAAGTTGAACAGGTCGCGCTCCATGCACATAACCAGAGCTTGACCGAATTGAAAGGAGCCTCAGCTACCGTCGACGCTGTCCTGGACGGTATGGCCAAACACAGCTGGATACATCTCGCTTGCCACGCCATCCAAGACGCCACCGATCCTCTAAAAAGCGCATTCGCATTCCAGGATGGAATGCTGGACCTCGCCACCATCATGCAGAAGTCACTCGTACACGCTGACTTCGCCTTCTTGTCTGCATGTCAAACCGCATCAGGAGACGAAAAGTTGCCAGAGGAGGCCGTACATCTCGCCGCAGGGATGTTGATGGCTGGATATCGTAGCGTTCTCGCTACGATGTGGTCCATTGCGGATGTTGATGCACCACTGATTGCGGACGAGATATATGCTACTCTATTGAAAGGCGACGGGGAACCAGATAGTGGGAGAGCGGCGTACGCGCTACATGACGCGGTTGCGAAGCTTAGGGAAAGAGTCGGTGAAGACGCGTTCGCCCGATGGGTGCCATTCATTCATGTAGGACAATGAACGGACACCTTCTGGTATTCAGAAAAGGAGATGTACGTACTGGTTCAATATTACATGAGACACGGAGACGAAATGGATTGTGGTAGGAAAAGACGGGTAGGCGATGGAGGAGGGATGCTTGAGGGATGCGAAGAACCGCTTACGTTCGTCGAAGCGGCGAATCAGTGGTTCCGAAAACCTCCGAGTGTGGTGCCACTGTATGTCCTTGAACAGGTGAGGACCATCTAGTGAGCGCGATCAACGTGGCTGGATAAAGACGAAGAGAAAACCCAGAGGGTCGGAGTGGAAGTGAGAGAAGTAAAGGGACGGCAGTAAATATAAGTTATATAGACGCGAGCGAGAATAAATCGGAGGAGAGAAACACTTTGTGTAGGACATATCGTAACGAACCAAAGGAAACGGTATGTAAGGGTTCATAATGACAGACAGACTCCGAGCATGAAGGGTGAAAATTGACAAGAGCGTACCGGTATCGTTCGCCCAAGAACCTGATACAAGGAGGATATATTTAGAAAATAGGAGAAAATAACCAAACTCTCGCGCTGCAAGGCACGAACAACCTCAACGATCCACCGAACGAGCAACGGCGTACAATTCAAGCTCCACCGCTCTGAGCCTTCTTCACCTTCGCCTTTGCCCTCATCTGGACCACAATCTTTGGGTCTTCCTTGTTTTTCTTCGCCGGCCCAGCTGCACTATCCGGCCCATCTTCACCATCAACCATCATACTCTCATCCGCCACATTTCCGTCGTCCTCGTTCTCCGCTTGCTTCACAGCCTTCTTTGACCTCGGTTTCGCGGTCTTTGGCGTCGTCTTAGGTGTCGAGGTTCCAGGAGTGTCGGTACCGTCATTAGCGGCAGCCTTCGACTTTGGTTTCGGCCCCGGTTTCGCTCTGGGTTTCTTAGGCTTCGCTTGGGGTGTGTCCGCGTCTGTCGGTGGAACAGGTTCGTCCACGTCTGTCTGTGCTGTCTCAACAGCAGGCTTCTTCTTCGGACGACCGCGTGGTTTGGGAGGGGGTTTCGGTGGAGTCTGTGGCGCCGTCGAAGGTTGATCATCGACTCCGCCCATCTCAGCGTCCTCATCCGCCTTGGCTTTCGTCGTCGACGTGCTAAGAGGCTTATTGGCATCCTTCGTGATCTTAGCCCTCTTCTTCACCGACCCTTCCACCGAGTTCTCTCCTCCTTTCTTCTTGGCGGGCCCTTTACCCTTGCCCTTTGCACCCATGCCGAGGGTAGACCCCTTGGCTGCAGCGGCTAAACTCTTCACGCCACCCACGATTTCGTCCACGCCGCTATCTTCGTCCCCTTCGTCGTCGTCTTCTTCGGACTCATCGTCTTCTTCGGCATAACGAGGGCGTTTTTTATTGTTCACGGCGGCAGCGCGAGAGGAGCGCGAGCGAGGAAGTTGTGAGCGAACATTGTGGCAGTTGCGCCTGAGGCAGGAGACAAGCTTGTCATTGAGGGGTGTGGAGTCAGCTCGGAAGCGAGCGCGTTTGATGTCGGTCTGTTGGAATAAATATCATCATGAGTTAGTTACACGAAGGCATCAAGGCAAAAACCATAGGTGAAAGACTATAGATGAACGTACAGTGTGTTTGCCTTCGTAGCACCAGCCGTCCGGAGGACCCTGGTCACCATCACCTTCAACCTATTTACAAACGCAACGAGATCAGTTCATTTGCGTGAGTAAATGAATGGTCTGCTTCGCAGAAGATGACGCACCGTCTTCCCGCAACAATTCCAGATCGTCTCATACTCGGTTCCGATTTCTCCAACAACTCTACTCCTCCCTACCCTCTCTACTTCGGCACTCTCATCATCGTGCGCCACCAAGCAGCTCCTATCATTATTTTCAACCTCGGTATATTCTTTGTGGCATCTCACGCAATGCAGTTGCGGGGGAGGCGTAAGGGTAGCGAAGAACGCGAGAAGAGCGGGTATCTGGTTGCTTGGCACTTGTGATGCGGGTATAGGAGAGTCGTCAGGTGGATTAGACAGAGCCGTAGAGATGTGGTTGAGATGGGTCGTGGTGTACGAGTGAAGAGTTTTCGCAGGAATGGAGGGCAGTAGCTCCAGCAGTGCTTTCACCGCGCCTTCAGGATCTGTCTCAGGATTTATTGAGGCGAGAGCGGAGTTGACCTCGACAGGCTCATTCGAACCGACATTCTCGTGCGCGAGAGAGCGAGACGGTGAGTTTTTCGTCGCTGGTGCATTGGTAGGATCAAGAGCGAGTTCCGAAGGAGATGGTGTGCGGAGCTGCTGTGGTATAGGACTTGGACTTGCGCCGTCTGCGGTGGAAGGCCCTTCCTGAGATATGCTCGGCGATGTCTGTGTCTTTCTCCAGAGCAGACCAGAGAACATGATAGAGTGTCAGAGGGAAAAACTAGGATGATGTGGAGGTCAGCGAGTGAGAAAAGGGTGTAAGTAGGCCGCAAGAAGCGCGTTCTCCTCGTGTAGGGTCACGGTGACGATAAGATATTCAACCCTATCAATCGCGGCAAACCTTCAAGCACAATGTTTGCGCTTTGGGAAGAAGTTTCCGTGCAAATTGTTCCAAATCTGTGAGAGTTATGAGACGGTGTCGACGAGCTCAAGCGCGGCGCTGACCATGGCGACGGTAGAAACTAGAAAGGCACTATTTCACGCGGTATTTATGTAGAATGATTCTAGGGTTAGGGTCGACGTGTAAGGTCGCCCCTGTTGGCGAAGTCCTGGTTCTTTCTCTGCTCTTATAAAACGACAAATTGTACAGGGGCTCGTCTTTTGTTGTGGTCAATATTTCGGGTAGCTGCCAGCAAAAAAACAAGGTACTGCTGGAATATTTCTCGACGATATATACATATAACAATCTCCCAAAGGGCATCGAGTTTCATCCACTAACGCATCCAACCAATGGCTAAATTGACTGCTCCAGGACGAACTCGAGGTGAGTAACCCTGTATGAGAACGCAATATTCATAGTTCTGTTATAAGGCCTTTTTAAATTATAGGCGTTGACCCTGGTACACCGAACGTCGCCGACATCCAACGTTTACCCGTTGAGTTACACGGTCAGATATGCCACTATCTTTCGCCAGAGGACATGGCAGCTCTGAGCCGTGTCTCTTCATACTATCTCTCTATCTGCAAGCCCTTCTTGTATCGGGACGTTCACCTCTCTGACAAAGCCGCTAAAGCAAGATATGAATTCGGAGACGGCTACGAGTCCGAGGACGACGAAAAATTCCTGGCACTCGCATCGGAACACCCAGAGATGAACAAGAAGACGACGTTCCAACTTTTTCGCGATACAGTTATGGCTCGTCCGGATCATTTCGGACCCCTCGTCAAATCTCTCCACCTCACCGGTTACTACTACGACATTCGCTTCGACAAGGAGTCGACAATAACCCTCTTCCGAGCTCTATGCAACGTCATCACTCTTGAAGTAGACAGTGAAGAGAAGGATAATGAGGAAGGGGGCTTTCTCATATTTCATGATCTCCACGCGGACGTGTTTCCTAGATTGCGCGAATTTCATACCTCGACCAGCCCGTTTGAGAATCCTGGGTATCAGGATTTTTTAGATTCGCATCTCGAGCTCATTCGGTGGCACTTTGACGGTTGGACGAGTTTCCCCATCCTTACGACTCCAGGGCTCGCTCGCATTCGACACTTCTCCTCCGCAAAGCTCCCAGACATGCATACGCTCATGCAGCTCCTGCGCACGATGCCCAATCTTACTCACCTTTCCATCCCTGGGTGCTTTGATAACGAAGTACCTGAACATCTCGAAGCGCTGTTGAATTACTTCGCCAATTTCGGAGCAGGCATTGTCGAATTATCCATGTGCTCCGAGCTTAGCGAAACCTTCGAGACATTCGAATGCCTACTGCGCCAGGTCGTCCCATCACTCCCTGCCCTCCGTCGTTTCAATTTCATTACCGACCTGTTTCCCGAAGACAATCGGCGCTATACTCCCGTCGTACCAAGCACCATAGATTCACGTCCACTGCTTGATATATCGTTTCCTCCTCATTTGGAAACCATCGAGTGGACCATCTGCACTACCGATTTTTCTCCTCCTCCCGTTCTTGGTCCACCGTTCATAACGAGACAAGGGTCTTCGAATGCCAAGGAACTGTTCTCTATTATTCGCTCCTTGCGCACGGTGATATACCGGGAGCATGAGTTCGAATTCTTATATACAGCTCTCGATGGAGGGAAAATCCACGTCAGCCCGGAGGAAAGATTTCACAGAGTCGAAGACAGCGAAGAAGACGAAGACGACGAAGACGACTACTACTACTACTCATGGAGTCTTGGTCGGGTCCCGTATTGGCTGCTAGGATAGAAATCGGGGAAATCGCCCACATTTATCGTCACCGGAGGTTGCAGGGTAAGTTCGCCCTTTCCGGGGTCATCTTATTTCACTGACTCCGAGTTTGTCTGTATTAGATTTTGGTGGCAACGTTGCACAATACCATATTGACAGACACTGATGGTGCTATAGTGGCTGTTGTGGTAGTTCTTCACAGTCGCCTCCATTTTATAAAACGCCTTGGCTGTTGACGTTTGGCCAGATCGGTCGGCTATTGAGGTTGCAAACACTATGTGTCTCGGCTCAGCGCCGTCTGCAGAGTATCACTCCCGACTTAAGTCATCTCCATTCAAAGGGCATAATCAACAAGCCGTTATTCATGCACCCTAAGCATAAGCTGGTGGATTCTCGCATATGTGACCATGCCAATGACCCAAAACGTCCATAGTGAGTTGTCTTTCCTGAATCGAAGAAATCAGCCGGACTGACGCGGCACCTAATGCTTGAAGATCGGTACTACTTTTCCGGGAGGAGTGCTCGGGTGTCAGGGCCTTGTGGTGGGCGTTTCGGTCCATGTGTTGTCCAATCATGCACCACAAAGGTGCATACTTTGGACCAAAGGCTCGACAGTTCGTCCTATGCCAAAGTAAGCGTTGTCTCTACGTGTGGACAGTCGTCGATATTAGGAACTCGGGCATCGTGGTAGGACGTATTTGCAGCACCAGAGGCGTTACGAATATCGTCGGACCCACAACCCTTCCGATATGCGATATCAGGACCGTGGTGGAATTGCTTTTGGATACGGCCAGGGGCAAAGCTTCTTGCTTATTATGCAGCGTTCATTTGTCATTATCCGGAAGGAACGGTGAACCGACTCACACCTGCTTTTTGTTGTGGTAGGTCAGAATTGCTACTGAAGGAATGCTACTGGGTCCTTTCCCATGATTTTCGAGCATCTTCAGATCCCATACTATTCTGCTCTAATTCGGCCAATCTGCCAGCCACTTACGCCGCCGTGTCGTACGGTGAGGGACGGGGAAGCCGTGAAAGGGTGGGATCTGAGCTTGCGCGGAGCGTCGCGACGTCCAATGCTACTTTTTCCCAAGTTGGCCGAACTTGAAGTTTGATCTTCAGTTCCCGGGCTTCTTCTCTCCCCGACTTGTGATGAGGATCCGCAGTTGCAATATGACGTTGGTCGATTATCGTCTGATCCAGACTCTGACCTCTATTCAGATCCTCTATTCATAGGACCTTTACTCTTCATTGGCTCCGCTACACGCGACCTCAAACATGTTTTGCGCTTGCCCTATATTTCTGAATCCCCTTCAGTGTACTCCATTTTGACCACGGTTTCTAGTAATCACCTGCCTCTTTCTGCTCTTCTCCCGACGTCACGTAGGTCATTTGGCTGCTCTTCGACTCGAACCGTCTTCCAAGGTCATTTCTTCACGACCATCCTTTTCGTTGGACTCGTGCTCCTGCCAGCTCGCTCACGATATCATCACAGACTAGGCATGTCCAACCGATCGACTTGTTCAAACTGCAGAAAGAAGAAAATCGTACGGTTTATATCCGTCTCGACCTTCAATACATCTGGTATTTGACCTTTCCTTTCTCTTTACTAGCGCTGTGACGGAAACGTTCCCGAATGCGGTCAATGCTCAAGGAGGCGATGGCCTAACGGACCAGCTTGCGATTACTCACCACCGGAAGCTCTCAGTCAAGGAGATCTTCTGCGGAAAGGAGACGCATGTCTTCCATGCAGGTGGGTCATTCTTCGTAAGCTGATGTCGAATCCACATTGACTAATACCGATCTGCCCATACTTAGACGGAAGAAAAAGGTGCACCACGGAATTTAATACGACCTGCAGACTCGACTGCTCACTTAGCCAACAGAAATGCACCGGGAACCGTCCAACTTGCCAGGCTTGCGTCGTCGCAGGAAGGGTCGAACAGTGCTCATACGACCCCTTGAGGCGCTTGAGACCTGGATCTGCTCATTCCTCTAAGCAGTACAATCACTCCCTTGCAAAATATCGAGCAAATAACTCCAATGCGCCGGTCGTGTCGTCTGTTCAGTTAAAGACTCCCTTGGAGGAGGAGTTTGACTACCGAACGACACACCCGCCATCAAAGGCAACGAGGCCCACGATCGACGACGGATATGCTGTGTCAAGGCATCTTTCTCGGTGAGGACTCTATTTCGATTATCTTTGGTTCCATCTGACCCCTCAACCTCTTCTGCGGAACATAGTCCATCCAACGATAGAGTCCCTAAGGCATATGGCATGCTACAGTCATCCTCTCCGGAGGCCATCAGTTCCGCGCGTGTCTACGACAAACAGTTCTCGATCCCGTCTTCGATGCAGCCAACAAATAATGCGTTGCCAGGCTCTTTCTTGCAGCCTCCAGGTCCCTCCAACAAGTCCCTGTTACATTTGCCTTACGCCAGTGAATTGTACGTCGATGGCGCTGAAGCTCCTGGTGTCGTGCTAATGCTGGTAATTTTAGACGCGCTCTATTCTTTGCTCACGGGGTAAAGATTAGCATCCGGATGACACAGGACAAGCTGGATGCTATCGCTCGAGCAGACATGTCTGGCTCTATCGTTCACCCCGTCTTCATACACGTCGCTCATCTCATAGGCGCCATCTTTTACTACCATGATCAAGCGGTGAATATCGAGCAGGATAGCGAAGCTAATGACCTTCAAGTCGTCATGTCCATCCTATCACAATCCAACGCTCTCCCCCCTGTTGCGTCCATTCAAGCCCTTGCGCTTCTCGCTTACTACCACTACTACAAGAGGGATCTCTCCAGCGCGTGGGATCGCATGCGAGCGGCGGTCGATCTCGTTCTTTTGCACGATATGCACATCACTATCCCCACTTCAGACGGCTTGACCGAAGCATGCTCTGTCCGTCATAGAGGCGGCCCACTGGCTGCGGTGGACGGAGCTGACGAGGAGAGGTCTGTCCTTGCCCAAGTGTTGTATCGGGACAGGGAGGCGGAACTGGTCCTGGGTATGCCGTTCGGATCGACACCTCACCTAGTGGCCGAGTTCCAAGCGTGGGCAGTGAGTTGACTCCTTTCACCGAAGTACTGGCTAGTCTGATGCAATACTGCTGCAGTCACTTGATCCACCACCAGAGCTTCCTAATCCCGTAGTCACGCGTGCAATGTGTGCTTGGCTCCTATATGAGACCCGAGCGTTCATACAGCAGTGGGGTCAACCAGAGGCACTCGGTATGTGCTTCACCCCTTGTGGCGTTTAGAGAAGCGTACTCATACCTCTGAGGTCCGCAGGCCTCACACATCCCTCTCCATTGTGGTACGAAACCTGTCTCAATATGACCCACCGCATCGAACAACAACTCGTCCACGTTCAACACTCGATAATGCGAGCCTCCCTCATCTTCGAAGACCGGCTGAGCACACTCGCGTACAAAGGCTTCGCCATAGTCTGTCTCACCGCACTTACGAACATGTACACCGTCCTTGCTCAAGTGCACACGGGCCCAGACTCGAGGCGCCAACTGCTCGATACGGCGGAGCATGTTGTCAGTATTTCAGAGTCATTTACGGACGAGGAGTACGATTATATGGAGGCACCGCTTTATGTGCGTATTTCCTCCGGTCTGCGGTGTACGGGAGCTGACGCTCGGATCAACTCGGATAACGTTCTTCGATCCGTAGATGTGTTGGAACACCGTTCGTGAGGTACTGCTGCAGCAGGAGCGACTACAGAGCGCATCGATTCAGCTCGTCGGTGAATGCGAGAGACATACGAGAGGTCTTTTGTCTATGGTATCCACTTTACGACAGTGCATGCGCAAGCTCGAACGGGCTGCTCCGTGGGTGGCCTCGATCGGGGTGGCGGCATGATATTGTACATCATTCATAGCGCTGTTCCTTCTTAGGTGCATTCACTTATACTTACCTCGTTGCACTCACCAACATATACATGTATTCGGAGCTAAACCAGTTGTCAGCATATTCCCGAACGGAATCATCGTGAAATTCATAACCCAAGACGTCTCAAAAAAGACGCCACGAAACCATACAGCCAAAGGAATAATAAACAAACTCAACCCTGCCCGCACACCGTCCTCTAAATATCCTTCAACTTCGCATCTGCTCCCTCGATCTGTCCCGCTTTCTCAGCCCTAGCCTTGTAAGCTCCCCTCTGCTCCTCCGACCACCTGACAGCCGCCCTTCTGCCCTTCTCTACGTCCACGCCGAACCAGATGACGATACTCGCAGCAGTGCATAGAGCAAACAGGAAGGGGAAACCTTTCCAGTTGTCGCCGGAGTTGTCGATGATGGCTTGGATGACGTTGGGGCCAATCATGGATGAGGCGCGGTTGGAGAGACCGAAGAGACCGAAAAACTGTGTGCGGAGTCAGTGTGAGCGTGAAAATGTATTGTATGAGCAAGCGAGGGGATAAAGGAGATGCGTACCATGTTGTCGAAGCCGGGCGGTGTGAGTTCAGCCATCATCGTTTGAGAGAAGGCATAGTAAGGTGCTTGGAAAAGACCGAAGACGACATTGTATGCCCTGGAAAATAAATTCTCGCCTTCAGTTCGTGTGTACTATTGTACCATTCCAGTGACCTTTACACACCAGAACTCCCATGCGTTGTGGAATCTGCAGCACAGAACTCTGTCAGAACCTACATCTGGAGAAAAGGTAGGAAAGAACTTGCCCGAACTTCTGAGTCCAAATCCCGATCATACCCCATAGCGGGATGAGGATCGTAACGACGTTCGTCACGACGAACTACAACACAATATCGCAGGACCAAAGTCAGTGATCGCTGGGCAGAATCGCGAAAAGATGCACAAAACGCACCATCTTCTTCGTGCTGATTTTCCAGTATCTCTGGATATACCAGAACCCGAGGGTGCTGCACGCCACACGCCACACAAATTGACAAATGTTAGACGTCGTGACATGGTCGATGTAATGTAAGAGAAAGGAATACGGACCTAATGGTAGACGTGACAGCCTGTGCAAGACCGATATAGGTGTTCGTGAGGAATGAGAAGTTGAACTTGTCATTCTGGCAGATTGATATGAGCGTTCCGGTTGTGTTGAGGCCCTGCAGTCACAGATACCACGACACAATAACGGATCGAAAAAAATCAGCAAACAGTATGGTATAGGCAGGCAATCTGGTAGAGAAGACTCACATCCGCGAGCAAGAAGAAGGAGAAGAGGTAGATGAAGGTGTAGGGAAGCTTCTTATACTGCTTGAGGGCGATCCAGATCTGCTTCCAGCCCACGGTAACGTAGTTTTCTCCCTTGGGTAGGGCAGGTCCAGGCCGAGGCTGCTGATAGATGACTATACACACACGTACAGTCAGATTCGAGGTTCGTGCTTCGTAGAAATAGTGAAGGGAACTTACACCACCAGATACCAAGAATGACCCAGTATATGTTCGTTCTGTCAGAGTGAGAGACAGTGTTCAGTACGCGAAGATATAAGGAGCCCCTGAAGAAAGTAAATAACGCACAGGACGATAACGTAGTTGTCTACCTTCGGGTTGTCGGCCAGAGGGAGCAAGAGTGACAGGTTCAGCGCCAGAGTACAGATGTAACCGATATTGCTGTGCATCTACATAATGTCAAACACACCCAGAGGATCAGTTATTACATTAGTGTTTCAATTTCTCCTCTCCACCGTATACAATAGAGGGGACCGAGATCGAGGATGGGTTGGACAACGTACCGTGCTCATGTTGGAGATCCTGTTCTTCTCCAAACTCTCCTCCTGCTCATACACCTCCGCAGAAATATCTCCGTTTTCGTACTTTTCCTTCAACTGTCTCGCATGTGGCGTATTACGCGCGAGACGAGGGAAGACGGCGGCGTAGAAGACGAGCGTCGCGCCGTAAGAGATAAAACCAACCATATACAAGGCCATGGCTGCACCCCATCGTGTCGATGCTATTGATAGCAGTCAAACAATTTAGTAAAGATAGAGAAATGAGTAGAAGTGATGGTAAAACGTACAGGTGAGGGCCATACTGGCGAACTGAGCTGCCCAACAAATTACGGTGATGATGAGAAGGAGCCAACGACCGAATGTGCCGTAGTCTCCGGCTGAGCCCAGGGTCGTAAAGATGGCGGTCATGACCTGGTTGCCATCGCCACATACATTAGACGACAATTCCGACTCTGAACAGCAGCTTTTGGACTGCAGGAGAAAGAACGACGGAGGGGGTGACCGAAGGAAAGCGACGTACAGCGAAACTGACGCCATTGGCGACAAGAACAACTGAGCTAACAGACTTGGTGCCGCTTCCCCATGGTAGAACACACTGCCCAGATGCGTCTGCGTCGCTGCAAGATGTACCCACACCACGGACAGGATCATAACCAGCGGCATTGGCGAGAGATTGGAAGAGGGTCATAGAGTAGCCTAAAATGATACATGGCGACCCGTAAGCGGAAATGCCTCTACCTCGAGAGGAACGTGGGCATACCATTAGGACCGACACCCTACATGGTATACTTGTCAACATAACGCTTAGAAGACTAGTTGACATCACGTACATTGTCACCGTTGTAGTACACTGCAAATCATGGGAAGGAGTCAGGACGACCTGAACGCACAAGTATAAACGAAGAAAAGAGACGCACGATAATAACTCCAAAGCTCCCTCCTCGTCACAATTGGTTCATCGTCACTCAACGGCATGACCACAGGAATATCCTCGTCAAGGACATGCCCATTCTTATCATCCGCGTAGACCGGCTCCGGCTCTGTAGTTGGCAGAGGGTTCTCGGGAGGTAGAGTCCTAGACATTGTGAGGCGACGACGACTCCTTCACGCTGGTGCGAGCGGGATGGTGGAAGGGCCGGAAGGAGCGGGTGAGAGCCTCCTGAAAGAAGATAGGCATAATTGAAGTTGATTATAAGGACCACAAGGAACGCGGTCTTGTGATCTCCACATGCAATCTAGGTATCGGAGGACCGTAATAATAGCCTCGATTCGATAGGACATATCATTTCAGGCAATTTCAAGCCGAGATAGGATGGAGGTAAATTTTGAGCAGATAAAGGAGGATAGCAAAGACAGACACCGACACTATTTGTGACGGGAGTCCAATTGAAAGTGCAATAGCATAGGCTAGCGTCGTGCTGAAAAGCAAACGTGCGCCAAATGAGCTCACTCAGAGCGCACTCGGGACGTCGCGGGAGATGATCTCCTTCCGTTCCTTTTGCACGGTGCCACTGTGGCGAACGTCCTCAGTACTTATAGGTAGCTTGAGCACAGCATCCTACCAAGTCAGACGTAGAATCGCAAGGCAATATTATACGATATGGACACCCAAAGTAATCGGCGTGCCTGATGAATTAGTACTTCAAACTGATAGGAGGGTGTGGCGCAGACGTGCAAATGTGCACGATGCAATTCGGCATGCCAGGAACGCTTTGCTTTGGATGAGTTTGAGAAAGTACGACACACGATAAGGTACTTGTTGTACAACGTAGACAGAACGATGATTTATGTCGAAGCGTTTGATTTGGATGTTGGCATTTCTTTGATTGGAGTGTGTGACTGTGTCAGTAATAATGGGGCAATTCCATGGACATCGGGGGAAGGATAACAAAGATTATTTATGGTAGACATGGTGTCAAAAAGGCGACTCGTAGCCTGCTCAAAGAAACTAGCGACCATCTACGAGTTGGGGCCTCTCCATCTTCTTCCAGGCCTCGCTGTGACAAATCATGCAGCTCACTCGTACTCCAACCATAAAGCGTTCTCCTATCAAGGCCGAACATGGCGCTCAGAACACAAACCTCGGGATGTCTGCCCTAATGAATGACGGTACGACTCCAGCCTAGGAGCTCATCCGAGCGTGCCTTACGCGGACCATCCACGCAAAGGCGATCTGGTGTCTAACCACGACCCCACCGCTCCGAAACTGAAGCATCCGTTCTCCCCGCAAGTCGGACCGAGCGATACGTACTCCAGCAGGTCCAGATACGGTGTCCGCCTTGCACCTCCCGCGACGACCAACCACGATATGCCAATTCTAGCCTATAATCAATACGACAACCAAGGATATTACAGTTATACTTGTGTTCCGAATACCATTCAGACGGACGACATACCAAGATACATCGACACAATCCTCCCACCATCTTGCGGCGGCAGCTCCGGCATTCATACATCGGCTATGAAACGAAAGAGATCTCACTTCGGCGATGGGTTATGGAGGACCAAGCGAGGAAGGGCGAAGTTGTACGCAAGGCAGAGGGTCCAGTGCCGTTGGCAGATAATCGTCGCGTCCCAATATACTGGGAGTTCTGTAAGAGGATCTTCGGTGATATAGACAAGTTGTCGGCCCATATAGAGCTAGCGGGATGTGAGCTGAATGGAGTTTTTGAAGTGAAAGATGAGAATATCGGGTTGGTTCGGTGGATGCGCCCACAGGGAGAGTGTAGCTGAAGGTTGAGTGACGCAGGCAGTCGTGGCACCTGTATTGTGCGAGGGAGTGCAGAAGGATCCATCCAAGAAACCTGTTGAAGTGAATATCAGCGCCGCTGGGATAATATAATTTTCGAAGACGGAGTGGACACACCGCTCGACGGCTACACGTACTCTAATGGATCTATGACACGCCGAGGTGACCCAGTAGCAACGCCACGCAAACGTGTCAGGCAGACCTCCGAACAAAGGGAGCCGTGCCAACTTGGACACGCGGGCGTCGGGCACGGTGGCGGTGGCGGTCGTCATGGTCGCCATGAAAATTTCGCGGCGCGCCGGATCCAATCGTGGCACAAAGAACAAAGAACGGACACGGCACTGTGTTAGTAATGGATGGCACGGCCTTATCCGATCCGCGCTTCTGCCAGCCCTATATAAGAGGGCGCCCAACTTCGACTCGACTTCATCGCTCCCATCACACCCCCGTCTACTCCCCACCATCTGAACGACCTCACAACATCAGCACCGCCTCTGCGACACTATGGATGGTCAATTCGACCATTTGGAGGGAACCAAAGAGCCTTGGTATATGGACTACGACGAGGGTCCCGGGCTTGTCAAATACCCTATGAGCAGCGTGCGCGACGACACGCCCGACACCGATCGGTTCGCTCCCTCTCCGCTCCCACTTTGTGTCAACAACAACCCCATGCCACCCACGGGGACGAGCAATACCCTCATCCTACAAGATGGTCCAAGCGACACATCAGGATCCGACTCTGCACTAATGAGCTCTGCTAGCAAACGAGGCGGCTCCGTCGACATAGTTGCTCCACGCCTTGTGCTCGATGGACCCACTCCAGTTGACGGAAGCGCACAAAGTCAGGCCGAAGTCCTGACCGAGGAATCAACGGGATACGAGGCCGTCGATGAATGGGAATATTCCGATGCCGGCGACGAAAGTGACCTCGAAGTCCCTTCGAATCCCCAGTCAGGGCATGCAGAACCTGTGAACGTCGACACCTCCGGGACATGGATTGACGGATTGATACAAAGTCCAGACCCACTCGGCTACCTAACTGTCTTTATAGAGAATGGAAAGCGCGGAGAGGAGGGATGGAGGTACCCATGCCGGCAACGAGACCATCGCAGCAACAAAGGCGAAGAATGCCGCAAGCATTATGCCCAGCAAAGGGACCTTGTTCGCCACATCGAGACCTACAAGGAAAGGGTGGTCTGCGACAACTGCGGCTCCTCCCTCAGTCGGGATGATGCTTTGCTTCGCCACCAACGCGAGGCCTGCGGAGTCCAGAAACAGAAAAAGCTGCGGCGGAGGAGGGGATAGGTGCGGAACGTACGTTTGAGCTCAGTACGGGTAGTCCATAAATGTTTTGTTTCTTTCTTCTGCGAACTGTTTGACCTTAGAAATCCTGACATGTTCTTGTCTTCTCTAGAAATTGATGTGGCGGGCGTGGCTATCAACTTGTGTCTTTCTTGAATAATAATGATGCAATTTGCTTACTTCAAACACAGACACCTGTTGTTCGTTATCTTTGCAATAGGGGATACGTTGGATACGACAACGAACCCGAGACCCGTCCGAATAAACCGCCGATCGTTACGATGAGATAGGTGGCGCATTAAAGAGTCTTCCGCATAAGGAAGGTAGGAAACAACAACACGGTAAGGCATGTGACTCGATGACAAATAAACGCGTTCTCGTGCGCGTCGCGAGGGTCGACGCGAAGCTCGAACCACAAATTGGTTTCGAGTCAAACACAGACACAGGCCACGGGGATGTTGAAAACACGGATACGGGTATAAGCGTTGTGTCTCGTGCTAGTCCCCGAGTATAAAAAGCACGTCAGCAACGAAAAAGGAAACCCAACCGCCCGCCACGCACCTTCATCCCGCCCCCCACCATGACACGAAGCCCTTCGCATTTATCCCTCGACGGGGTCGAAGACAACTATTCCTGCACAGAGGAGCCTGAGGCCCTCCACACGAATGAATGCAACCACCCTTCCGCCGAGCCTAAATCCCTCAACCCAAACGAACGTAATAACCCCTCCGTCGAGCCTGACTCCCACGACGCAATCCAAACCAACAAATCCTCCATCGAGCCTGGCTCTATCATCGAGATGGGTCCTGGTGACTTGAAAGAGACGGAGCCAGGTTGGATTGATGCCGCCAAAAATCCAAGATTCCAAGTCGTGCCTCCCGAAAGTCGCGTGCGGGACCCCAAGGCGAATTACCCCTTCGATCGCACACAAATCAGAGGTCGCACCATCTACACCCCGAATGGAGATGACCATCCAGCACATCCACCACAACTCCAACAGGGACCCAGACCCCTTGAAGATTATTATACCAAGGCGGCGGATGGATCCATTGTATGGGCAACGACTGAGGAGGAAGGAACCACGCCACCGACGCCCAAGGAGACGCCCAGGGAGACGCCAAAGGCGACACCTAGGGAGATCCTGTGGTGGATAAATTCCCTCATCGACTACCACAGAGAAACATTTCCGGGGTACACAGCAGAACAGGAGAGTGAACTTTGGGCCGAGTTCAGCACAATCGATACACGATGCGAAATGTGTAAGCGAAGGGCCAAGAACGTTTACGAGTTGCAACTGCACCTAGACAGTTGCGATTGGAAAAGGACAGGCGGCCTGGCGATGGACAAGAAGAGGAGAATACGGTGGACGAATGTTGAGCGTAGTAGTGACGTGTGGTATAGTAAGAGGTGTATAATCTGTGGAGACAACTGTTGTGGTCAATAAGGATGACAGTGACTTCGTAGCATAATACGCTCACCATGTGATATACATTTGAATCCGTGCAAACGGAAGCAAATGGGTGTGGATGAACGTACTGACTTCATGCGAGCTCTTCAACGGATTGTATGGAGTGAAATAATATTATTCGTGCGAAGTTTGATGGATTGAGTAATACATGGGGGCGTGCGAAGTATATGGACAAAAACGACGGATATCGGCCCAATGACCTGTATAACATGTAGATATCAGCACAAAACTAACCGACACACCTAAACCGGGATACCTGGATTGTGGACAACATCGAAATTGGGAGAAATAGACGCAAACACAGCCTCATTGAACCGAGGTCAGGATACACAAGTGCAAACTCGAGGCATTTACATAACGCCGAAGCGTCCCGGACGCGTCGTAACATTGGACTCCCACAGTCGCCAGTGACCACACCAGCACCCACAGCTCTAACACGTCAACATCCAGCCTATAACGGCAGCACTCGCACACAATCACGACATGGCAAGTAGCTCGTCCGACACGAGAAGGATTGAAGCCGAAGATGATGAGATCATTGTATTGGGCGCCACCATGCCCGCTTGGTATGTCCATTCTGGGCACAACCAGACATCCCTGCGGCCCCTAATTCCTTCTGCGTACAGCCCAAACGACCAACCCCAACAGGAACAAGGTCAAGAGCAACCTCAAGCGAGACTATTGCTCACCCACGAGATGCTGCTCCACGGAGTAGTGGGCCGCACCCCCGACCATGGAGGGGTGCTCGCACCCACTGACCCTTCTGCACTCGTGAGGCCTTTCCTACTACTGCCAAACTATCGGAGAGGTGTGCTCACCTTCACTACTACCCGACACAGGACGGTGCTAGGCTTGAGTCCACCGAGGGTGCCACCCCGCTTGGCGACGCACAAAGCGTCGAGGCACCAGTGCCCTCCAATGGCTCCCAGGTCCTCGACCACCTCAATCTCTTCTCGGCCTCCCTCGACGACTCTTCTCCCTGGGAACTGCCCACACTTGCACCCACCCTCGCGATTAGCAATGCGAACCCATCCTACTCTTTCCTCGATGAGGCAGATGGCGACACAGCCTCGACTGCCTATTCTGGCAGGGGGACGCGAAATGATGGTGTCCCACTGGTGAGCACCCGTAGCCACAAAGTATTGAAGGCAAGCAACTCACCTCATACCATGCACCTAGGGTCATTTCCCGACTTCGATGCCCGATGTCCCCATCGCACCGTCTGCACCCTCCAACACCGACGCCTCAACGAATGGCGTTGCTCCACCCCACCCCTACTCTTCAAGCGATACGAATGCTATTGTGCCGGACGTGGAGATTTTGATGGAGTATCAAGAGCGCGACTTGGACGAGGGAACGTATTCTCTGCTCTTCGCTCCCAACCGCGGCGGAATACACAACCTCCTCTACACGGGCGATTGCGTGTGTCCAACGGATACGGGACACCCCGCCGTCGACGACAGATACGCTGCCTGCATCCCTGGCATAGACTCCTGGGCAATTCCCTCCCCCATCACGCCTACTACGACTATCCACTCTGACTTCGGTGACGATGATGGAGCCGAGCTCGCACTCACGCCGATTTCCATTCCCGACAATAGTCTGAGTGTGGACGGTCCTCCTGCGGAGATGCGAGGCGATCCACCATTCGAGGGAGAAGCTGAGGCGGAGAGAGCGCGAGGTCGAGAGGCTAAGAGGGTGGAAGTGCAGAGAGAGGAGACGGTGGCAGAGGAGAGCGATGAGATGGCCGCTGCTGCGCCGGGCACGGGATACAAGCGGAAGCGCAACGGGCGGCAGGTGCACCACGCGACTGGGATTGACGACGAGTTCTCCGACGACGAGGTCGTGAAGAAGACCGGTCCAGCCGACAGGAGACGGCGCGCCAACGGGGGGAACAACAACGTCTATGACACGACCACCACTACTACCCCTGGGCCCACAGCCCATTCGACCCGTCCGAAGACTATCGCCCCGTCCAGGAAGGAGAGCCTCGAAGAGAACGGTACAGAGGACAGTACCTCCGATAGCGAGAGTGACTCCAGGGCTGTTCAGCGTGCGGAGATGGGGCAAGAGGGAGTGATGGATGTCGATTTGACTGGGACGTGGGTGGAGGGTCTTGAACAGAAGACCGAGGATGGATACACCATGGTCGAAATACAAGACGAGAGAACAGGCTTCTGGGAGTGGAGGTTCCCGTGCTTAGAGCGGGACCATCGCGACAGAAGCGGCCAAGAATGCCGCAGATATTTCACGCACCACAAGGACCTTGCTCGCCATGTCAAGTTCTACGATGCTCCAGTGGCGTGCGATAAATGCGATGCGGTTCTCAGTAGGGGGGACGCGCTAAAGAGGCATAAGAAGGAGAGTTGCGAGGCGCAGGAGAACAAGAAGCGGAGGCCTGGAAGGTAATAAGCATGGCGTATAGGGCGAATGATGGTGGTACGTACGCCGTGGATACGCACTGAGCCGCTCGAATTTCTTCCCATTTACGTGGACGATTTGGATAACACAACGATATCTGTAGGACTACTCCTTGTTTCTGTTTGAACATGTACGATTATTGGGCTTTATTTGCCCCGTTCTGTTGAATAGTACGGTCGAATGATTGGTGACGTGGACGTATGCGCAATCGATATACGCACCTTCACTAGCGATATCAAGTCCAAGGATACAATCATAGCAAGGATAGTCACACATATTTCAGAAAGAAAACGCGATAAAATTAGGGCCAAGAATGAGCAAGTTCCGAGGACAGCCGAGGACGACGGTGGCGACGTCGACGACGTCGTCGAAGAAGGACCGAATAGGAAACTCGGTTGTGGCCGGATCAGCAACGAGTCATCGGAGCTCGAAATGGTGCCACAGGTATGGCGGCCATCACTGTATCCTTTCGACGTCGAACGCGAGTCATACCAACGTTTCTCTTCGCCCCAATCTACCATGTCTACCAAACCGCTCGGTATACATTCTCAACTTGATTTAGTCAGGGTGCAAGTGCTTACAGACTTACAGTTTTCGTCACCGGCAACGCCAACAAGCTGAGAGAGGTGAAAGCAATTCTTTCCTCGGGCCACCCTATTGCTATCGAGTCAAAATCACTGGATCGTACGTATTTCTCTCGCATATAAATTCTCTCGCATACATGTATTAATCTCACCTATGCGATGGTATAGTGCCTGAAATCCAGGGAACCACACAGGAAGTGGCGATCGAGAAATGTAAACGTGCAGCTGAACTGGTAAAGACGCCACACTACTTTCACAGATGTCTCGCACTCACATCAAATTAAATTTCCACCCCAAGATTGGTGGGCCATGTATCACGGAAGATACTGCACTTTGCTTTGAAGCGTTGAACGGACTTCCCGGTCCATACATCAAATGGTTCCTTGCAGATCTGGGGCACGAAGGTCTGCTCTTTCCATGTCGCTTCAACTTGCACCGTATTCATACTTACCTTTTTTGATCTACAAGGACTCAACAACATGCTCGCAGGATTTCCTTCCAAAGCTGCATGGGCCCTCTGCACATTTGCCTACTCCTCTGGACCTGGAGCCGAAGTAAAATTATTCGAAGGTAGAACAAACGGACGGATTGTTCCCGCCAGGGGAGCAGCAAAATTCGGGTGGGACCCTGTCTTCGAGGCCGAGGAAACGGGGAAGACGTGAGTTACTTTCATTTCTCTTCTTGTCCTTCTAAACTGTGCCATGATGTTGAAATGTGACATGCGGTGTTTCTAGATACGCAGAAATGGACGGAGAGGAGAAAAACAAAATCTCTCACCGATATAGAGCTTTAGACAAGTTGAGGGAGTATCTGAAGAGTATAGACGCGTGAACTTTGCCCTCTAGGGATAGAGGCTTTTGAAGTCGTATGCTGATTGGATTGATGCTTATTTGTGATATAATGGCTACATGATTAGTATGCTACAATTGCTACAGAAGAAACATAACTTGTAAACCGTGTCATCTAAAAGAAGCCCAGCCTCCCGACCCAGATTGGGCCCCCCAAAGCTGTGGATGATATCTTCAGCATACCAAAGCTATCGAACACCAGACGACCATAGCGCCAATCGGACCCGCCATAAACTGAGCCGGCAACAACACACTTTCGCCCCTCGCCGCCGCCTCCTCCACCAAATCGAACTCCTTCTCGATCAACGACGCATCACAACCCCACCCCAACTTCCCGATCTTCGTCCCAAACTCTCCCGGGTTCCAACCCTCGCGCCTCTTATCATTGAACGCCGAACATGTCTCTCTGTCCTTCGTCACGAAGATCCACCAGTCGTGTCCATAGTCGTACGTGACGGGCCCGTCTGCGCCATCGAGGATGGCCGCAGATTTCGTGAAGAGGAATGCGATGAGGCCTACAGCCTGGACCGCGTGCATGATCTTCGTGATATCGCCGGTGCAGGGCTTAAGAAAGACGCAGAGTTGGCGGGGAGATCTGTTCAGAACGAATGATAGATAGTTCCAGGGTCTCTTGGAAGCGTTCCCGAGGGGTGTACGACGTGTCATTGAAACGTCGGTACTTGCACTCGAACGAGTAGTTGGGCAGATTGTCGGAGCAAGTTCGAAGCGGGGACGAGGTTCGCGAACGAGTCGCTGAGTCGGGTCCGGGAGAGAGATGGAGTCGACATCGTCAGTCTGCTGGAGCAACGGCGTGGGAGACCTGCGGAATGATGGAGTTGACTCCCGCGAGTTAGCGATGGATGGGACCGTTGGCGATCCAGGGTGGTTGGACGACGACAACCAATTTGAGACCCCCGAAGACAGCGGCCAGTTGACTTGGCGGGGAGCTCGTGGTGGGGCTTGGGTTGGCAGGTCACCGGCATCCTCATCGTCCTCCTGCTGAATAGTTGCTAGTAAACTTCCGTCCGTTTCGTGGTAGTCCTGGATGAGGCGAACGCGTTCCGCCGAATCCGAGGCAGAAGCATCGTCGAATAGGCCCTGAAGTCCATCGTGATAGTGAAAGTCTCCGACTGGAAGCAAGTGGGGGACAACGTCGAAGTCGCCCTGCGTTCCATGTGGGGTTATTGGGGGTGGGAGAGAACAGTGACTGCTTGTAGGCGAAGGGAATGGAGTGGGTGTGCGCGAACGACAGCTTCTAAAGCTTTCGTTGAGACATTCTTGGCTTGTTGAACCATGATTAGAGGCAGAACAGGGAGTGGAGGTGTGTGGACGGTGATTTCTGAGCTGATCGCGAGCCTCCCGGACTTGGTCCTGGATGGAAGGAGATCGGATGTCGCCAGCGTAAGGTAACAGACTGCGAACCTCACGGCAATGCTCTAGGGCGTACCGTCGTGGGCTGGGCTGGGAGTAAGGAAGATTGCGAATGGCTAGAGGCTTGATTGGCATGGGTTGGACGAAAGCAACGATTTTCGAGGTTTCGCCGCGAGCGAGAGGAGAGGACGATTGTGGTGAGCGAGGGGCAGGGCCGTACGGTGAAAAGCGGGTAGGAGGGCGAAGGATAGATTTGGGAGGCGCCCTATGAGGGAGCGTCTGGCGTGTGGTTGTCGGTGATCCAACATTGCCACCGTTATCCAAAGCACTATCACCGTCTGAATCTAGTGCGTCGTCGCTACCGGAGGACGTCTCATCAGCAACTTGAACGACACCTCGATGGGGGAAGCCGCCCCTGAAGTTGTGCGTTCTGGTAAATGGCCCTCTCCGGGAAAGAAGTCCAGACATGTCATTGATTGATTGTAGGTGGACGTTCCCTTCTCCTCTGTCGATTTGGCTGGAGTGTATAGACTCGGGGGATAGCGGTGGGGATTGATATAAGGTGGGTTCATGAGGCATTTCAGATAGAGTCCGGTCGTCAAGACGGTCCTGATAGTCGCGCAGTGTAGGAAATACCTCTCCAGGAGGGTACAGGTAAGAGGAAGATGTGTTTAGTTTGTGAATACAGTGATCTGAAGGAGTGTGAGAAGTCGCCAAAGATGTGCAGAGCTAGCTGGATGAGCAAGGCTCGTCAGCTTCGACACGGCTACATGTCAGTGATTTTAGTACATACCAGTATGATTAAGAGAGAGACTCGAGAGTGTATTAGCGACTTTCGGCGTCAGCTCTAGGTCAAGATGAAGTGGGTATCAGAGAAGAGATGGTTGGCGTTGACTCGTCGCAGGCTCGAATGATAAGGTATCAAGATCAAATGGAAGCTACAGAACAAGCGCGCTAACAGTTTCGCAAAAGTCTCACACTATTGTGTCAGTGTCAGTCCGTTCAGTGTTCGAATCAGTTCCGACGTGTCATGCCAACAACAAGAAACCATGAAATTTGAAAAGTTCCATTTCAGGCGACAAAAGAAGAGCTCCGGACGTTGCCGAGGGAGTTCTCACGGCCCTCCGTTTGTTTTCCCAGGTTTTCCCATGCTACATACGACAATAACTTGATGACAACAACACGACCGATATGCTTTTACAATTTCTGCCTCATGCAATCTGCTTCACTCAGCTGGTGCGGTCTCGTATCTACAGGTGTCTGGATGTCTGCGGGTCCTAGAAGCGCTCGAATCACCATGCTGCGCTCAGGCGGCTGGGTGGTCAACTAGAAGCTTCAACTGGCGTGTCTTCTGGCCGCGATTATCTTAGGGGCCAGGGTAGCAGCTGCTATATAAACTCAGAACGTTACAGCATCTGGCACGCGACACTTTCACGTTCATGGATGCGGCCATGGTCTTGCCGGGCTTAAGTGTGGACCCACGTCTCACAAACATGCTTTGTTTCGTCTTATCATGGACAAGTCCTCCTTCCGTGTGCAAGCCTCCGCCTCTACTTTGTCTCCTGCGTCCAAAAACGCTGGAAACCCGAAGATCAACGACCAATGGGCCTGGATCAACAGTTTGCCTAACTCTCCTTACCAGGACTACAGCACCATCAAGTTTAGCGGTATCTCGGAAGAGGACGTCCTCCGAGGAGTGAATGTCCTGGCCTTTTTCACGGATGTAATCAAGGGAAAGGGTTGGGGAGCTATGTTAGGTAGAAGGCTCAACATGACGGAAGTGCACGTCCGTGAGGTGGATGGGGGCGGGGTGCAGGCTGAGGTCGTGATTGAGACCACTGTGATGGACGGCACGTCTCGTTCTGCATAACTTGTGAAGAGAATAACGAGCTGACACGGGCCACTGGTCTTCGAACATTCAGACATGCGGAATCCCTTCGGCTCGCTTCGTGGGTTCAGCTATGATCCTCCGACTTGAAATGGTGCTGACAGTTTACGATGACACGATGGCACCATAGATGGATCCTGCAGTGCATGGCTAGTCGACATGTATGTAACCGACTATATCTGCTCGTGATAATCGTCATTGACAGGTATTTCGGTTAGGTGCTCCTCGACACCCCTTGTGACGCTCGGCTTGCTCCAGAAGACAGACAGTAGTGGGATGTCCCAGGCCATGAATCTCATTTATCACGGACTTGCGCCGTTGTGCGTCACATGTCTTCCATTTTGTTGTCCTGTTCCATGGGCTGACCTTTGCGATCCTGATCGAATCCTGTAGAGGCACAGAGCTCAAGATCGTGTCAACCAGCGTTACGAATCAAGGGAAAATTCGAGTGTCACGATGTGAGGTAGGCTCCACCCCATTAGTCGTGTCGCTATAATGATGCCCATATATCAACTAGATCAGAAACAAGAAAACCAACGCTCTGGTCGTATCAGCTATGCACACGAAGGTGGGAGGAGCGGCGAAAGCGGTGGCCAAATTGTAACTCGTCGGCGCTGTTGTACTTGTTGTACTCTCATTACTCTGTATTCGTGGTGTGTACTCGTATGTCTCACTGAGCCAGTGAAAATGAAGCTACTACCATAATTGGACTGCATAATGCTGCAACGCAGGTGAAGTTTGGGAGAGTGAGTCACTGCACCGAAAGATTGGCTCATCCGAGTCGGTGACCACCGCAAGATTGATACCTTGCTTTCGACGCTCGTCGCTCCTCTTCCCAGCCCCGTTCTTCCTTCCTTTCGCTCGGTTGGGCCCTCCTACTTGTGCAAACAGATTACTGGACGTTTTATTCGCTCTCATGCGAGTCAGACCTGACTTCGAGTAAGTTCACACGAGTCGAATAGTTCGAGTGGCGCAGAACGATGCGTTCGAGGTACGATACGTATAGCGACCTCATCGATCCACATTCCGCACTAACTCTTGCGACTTATCTAGGTAAACGCAACAAAAGCGGCTATACTGTGCAAGACCCTATTGCGAGTGTAAGTAAAAACTCTTTCTTTCCTTCCTTTCATATGTGTTACAGTTCAGTATGTACAAAGGCGACAGACAGGACAATTCATGAACAGTTTTCCGCTCTTGCACTTCTCGAGGGCGACAACAGGTGAGGCGTACGTACTCCTCGTGTGCCGCGCGCTGCAAACTGCTCGAGCGCCTGCTCCCCTTCACCGTTCGATGACTGTGACCCCTCCGCACCTTCGGCAGGCTATCGCCTTTGTCCAAACTACTTCATCGTCTACTCTCAACCTCCTCAGGTTCGTCGTGGTCCTTCAGGTACGAGGATGCTTTCGCACCTGTTCCTTGTCGCTCTGATGGTCTCCGGCTCTCTTCTTCCCTTTCTGGGTGGTCTTGGGAGGCTGGCGTTGTGGATTGCGAGAGGAAGATTGGTTAACCTGGGTTTGCATTGTGCTGAGTGCGCGGCGCGGGTCGCTCGGTGCAGGGGGGACGATTTTTAGGGAGCCTTCAAGAGGAGATAGAGAAGTGATGGATGTGGCGTTCGTTGCGGGCGATGGCGCGGAGGACATGAAAGTGGCGGCTGGTGAGGCGGATGTGGCAGCGGTGCCCGATGTATCCTCCCTTTCTTCCTCCTGGCTGTAAGCGCTATCCCGTTCCGTCTTGTCTTCTTCGTCGGTCGGCGGACCTTCGGCGCCGTCCCCGTCCACTTCTTGTCCCTCTAGTCGCGCCTCTCCTCGTTCTTGCTCTTCTTTCTCCTCCTCCTCCTTTTTCCGTTCTTCCCTTCTCTTGCTTCTCTCCGCCCTTGCAGCATCTTTCTGTTCTTTGTCTCGCTTCTTTCTCTCCTCTTCATCACTTCTCTTTGCTTCGGCCGTTCCTTTCTTCTCCATCCTGACCTTCTCGTCTTTCACCTTCTTGTCTCCATTTTTCTTTTCTCTCGCCTTTTCCCTTCCCATATCCTCTCCTACCCTCCTCTCCTCTTTCCTTTGTTTCTCTCGTATCGTCTCTTTTTCATCTCTCTGCTCCTCGTCTTCCATCGCACTATCCTCCTTCTCCTTCCTATCCACTTCTTGGGCTCGCGCTAACTTCTGACCCTCCTTGGTTGATTCGGTTTCGGCAGTGTGGTCGCACTCTGGCAAGCTCGGATCGCAGTCTGTAGGTTCGCCGTCCGGACTCTCTTTGCCAGGGAGATCAGCCTCGTCGTCTGTGTCCTTCAGATCGGCTAGAGCCTGCGCAAAAAGCTCGTCAAAGTTATCGAACTGTTCATAGACCTTCCGCAGTCTTTCAACTATGAACTCGTCGGTGCGGCCTGTGGGCGGCGATAACAAGTCCTGGTCGATCCGAGTCCAGTCTTCACCCGTGTCGGCGATTTCGGATGGGGAGTTGTCCATGGCCCAGGCGACGATTTTGAGAAACCCGGCGCTTGTTTGAATATGGCGGAAATTCTTCTTGGACCACGGCAAGCGCCATTTCTCGAACATCTTGACGATTATGAACAACACTTTGTGTTGGATGGTCATTTCGTTGAGCTGTGACGCCTCGACGTAGGAGATAGTGGCCGCAATGTTCTGGACAGGGAGGTCGGCACTGAACACTTCCTCGACGGTTAAAAAGGGAGCGTGGTGAAGAGGCTCAAAATCGGCCTCCTACGGTCGCCAGATTGTGGGTCAAGGACGCAGGGATCCGCAAGAGAGCAAACGGGGAAGATTGAATACGTGATTCGAGAGAAGTACGGTCAGAGTTAGATATTGCGAGTGGGAGAGGGCGGGAGAGAACCACTCACAGCCTCTCCAGACACATTGTTGTCTTCATTGTTGTGAGAGCTCGAATCGTTACTCGTCGGCTCGGCTGTTTAGTTCATACATTGCGGTAAGTAAATCAACACCGTTGCTTAGTTCTATAGGCGTGCTTTGTCCTCACCTCTGGAATCGGACTGGCCTGAGCTCGACATATCAACGCTGTTTCCCGTGGATTCGGTGGGTTGGACTTCCTGTGGAGAGCCGGAGGGGACTACTTTGTTGTAGTTGGTTGGAAGATTATCCATCGCGGTGTGAATTCTTGGGGTGGGCACTTTGCTGCGATGTTGGATTGTGGGGGTTGAGAATGACACGGCGGGGGCGAGGAGTGTGTCTCAACCGCGTGTTATCGTTCAGACGGAGATCGTTCGGAGTTGACCATGTTCTCTTCCTGGATATCAGTTTCGCGCTGTGAGTAGGTTGTAGAGCAGTCGATTATCGTGCTCGCTCTGTAGATTTGAAGCAATACCTTTTTTTTTGGTCGCGGTGCAGGTGGTCAGGTATTATCGTGTGATTTTTTCGGGAAAAAACGATGCTTTGTTGGCGTTGAGCCGATTTAATCGTCCTGATATCTCGTTTGTTGGACCTACCTCAACACTTCAGGATGATTCAGGCGCCGATTAGAAGGTGGTGTCATTACCGACATCTCGGACGTGTCAGTAGCAAGTCATGTGAGGCACCGCCAGAGCTCGCCACACATACTTGGCGTGGCTTGCGCTGCAAGACGGATGCACATTAACCTCCTCATAAACAATGCAAGCACATACCTTGTCCTCGCGGAAACTAGGCCCACAAAGAACAACCACGATAAATTTGCCTCCGCGATACCAAGCTGATTTGGTTCGGTTATAATGGCGGATCCAAGTGCTCCAAGTATGGCCCGTGACTCATGCCCGAAGGTCTTTCGTGCCGATGTGCTGCGAAGATTCAGCAACGGGGAAAGATCGAAATAATGAAGACAGGTTCTTGAGATGGAACAGGGAAGTATCGGGCAGGTCTGTGTGGCGAAAGTTCCAACAATGAGCCACGAGTAACATATCCTCGGCACATACGTATGGCATGAATTCAGATGCAGATGAATTATGCAACAGTGCCGCATGATACGAGTGCATAAGAATAGAGATGATCAATAAAAAAAAACCCCCGCTCAGATGTACGGGGTTGAAACATAATATATTGTGAATAGGCCAGGGTTATTTCAAGGCGCCATGTCGTCCTGTTTGGTCATAGTTTAGAAGGAGATGGTTCCATCTTTACGTGAACTCCTGATGCGATGAGTCTATTATTTGTTGTGTCCCATATCTTGAAGAAGGGTCATAAAAAGCATATGCCTTGAGAGTTAGTTATCAACGAATAGAGATCCATACGTACTTCAGAACGAGCAGACATAACGCGAGATCCGACCGCGATTGTCGTGCTTATGATCTTCAGATGAGCGCCGCTAAAAAGAGCATGTAAGACACGTGAGCGTTCTGGCCGTCGGTTATAGTTGAAATGTGACCTTCTTCAAGGAAGAAGACATACACTTTCGCAGGCGCGTGATATAACATGTTTATGGCCTGTGAAACACCCATGGTGCCCGTCTCGGTGAGGAGAGTGAATGGGAGTGACGAGCAGCTGAAAAGACAGAGAAACCAAGTCAGAAACATAGATTGTAACGCCGACATGTCTTAGAGCTGCTTCAAGTCAGAAGTGACATTGTTACCTACCTGTCAATCAGAAAGGCAGAGCATCCTGACGACGAATACGGTGTCTGAAATCAAGAGAATGCGTATAAAATTGACGTAGCACTTACCACCGTGCACGTTACCCAGTACGTTGGTCATTTCTGTAACGATTCGGAAGAAAGCAGCTTGTCAGAACGATGCGCGCTCTGAATGTGATGAATGAAGAAATCATGCTCAGAACAGGACCCACCCTCCTCTACGTCTAGTTCACAAACGACGGTCGCCTCCTTCTTAGTTGGCTCGTTGATTCTAGCGTTCAATGACACCTCAGTTATCCGTGTCCGTCTGAGTATCGAGTCCCCAAAGCCTGAGCCTCGCGCCATGAGCATGTAGAACGTGCCAGTTACCCGCTCCTTCAGCTCCTGCGAAGCTGATCCTGGGACCGGTTCTTTCGCGAGTTTCTGCCAGTTTATAGGATTCGACATCGCGGTGGTGAAGTTTTCACTTTCTGACACAGATAAAAAACCGACGAAAAGGAAAGAAGACGAGCGTATACAGGAGGAAACAAAGTCTCTTCACATGTTTCAGCGATGCTGAGCGAAGTCGCCGGTCGTCGTGGGCCTGACCAACGGGGAGTGGAACGAGCCGTGCGGCCGGGTGGCGCTGATCCGAGCTTACCACGTGCTCTGAGATTTGCCTGATTCAGAACGCGTTCTCCGCGCCACACATCTTTCAGCTTCTGCTGACTCCTTCACTTCCAACCACCACCGCCCTCGCCACCCGTAATCGTTATGTTGATCAAAGTCAAGGTACGCGTCATCTATTCTCTGGGATAACTGTGTGCTCAAGTCTTGTTGTAGACCCTGACAGGGAAAGAGGTATGGGCAAACACTTGAGTTCAGTGTGCACGCGCTCACTTTTGTCTTTGTAAACCGCGTCGATGTATAGATCGAGCTGGACATTGATCCCGATGACAAGGTGTGCACCATTCGATATGTTATGTTGCTCGTGAAGAATCTGAGCGGTCGTGCGTGAAATAGATCACTCGTATCAAGGAGAAGGTCGAGGAGCAATCCGGTGTGCCACCACCTCAGCAGCGGCTGATCTTTTCGGGCAGGCAGTTGTTCGTCGATCTCCTCTACCCTTTCATTCTTTTGAATCGCCAACTCATGTGATTCATGTAATCTTCCATGGTGGATATAGGGCTGACGACAAGTCCGCACGGGACGTTAACATCCAAGCCGGCGCTGTCCTGCATCTCGTCCTCGCTCTTCGTGGCGGCAACTGAGCCACTCGCACCTCACACTTCCTGAACCGCATGCTCATTAACCACGGGGAGTGTGTCTTACACGATGTCAGGGCAGGCATAATTACCCGAAGACGAAGAAGGAGTGTATAGATGATGTTGTAATGCAGTCACCCCACGCTAGTACGTTGTTAGATACGATCGTCTCAATTCGCATTTGCTTTCTCGCATTCTTGTCTGTCCTTTGTTTGAAGAGAACGGTGGCCCCTGGTTGATCGCGTAATAATCGGTGTTTCTCGCATGTCCGTGGGGTGACCGCTAACACTCTAACACTACGAGGCTATGTAAAGACGCGTCTGATCCCCCCACAATCTCCGCCCCCGGCAACAACCATCTGAACGTGATACTCAGCCTTTCGCCTCTCGAGATATACTCCGCCACCCGCCTTGGAATCTCATCAAGGCCCACACCCGATTCGCGCTCTACGAAATCCTCCTCTTTCTTTTCGATGCCATGCGTCCATCGATACCTCGCATCACCAGACATCACCAACACACTCCTCACGGGTAGATATAGACCCCACCGCTTCCTCTCACCATCCTCATCCATATACCCGTCATCCCAGGTATCGATATCCTGACCCGTCCCATATCCGCCTTTCTCCTCGCTACTACTCGCTCGTCGGAAGTCCATCACGCATCCACTCCCGAGACTGACCCCGATGATCCCATCACCAAACCTACCCAACAGATCCACGTGTGGTGTGATACCTTCTCCGGGCCTGTAGAGGTTTATGATCGCCTGCCGGGCACGGGAAGGCTCCGATGAAGGTGGAAAAAGGAGTTTATGGATGTCGGATGGGAGAGATGGGCGGAGCAATTCTTCGAGGTGCAAAAAAAGCGAATGGAGGAATGGAGGCATGCCCGAGTTAGATGGCTTGGTGGAGGCATCGGGAGATGAGGGGTCGGTAGCGCGTCCGAAAAGCATAATTTGATTCGTGGATGGGTTTTGAAAGTATGTGGTTTTGCATTGGTGTAGGACCTGGTCGGCCAGTCCGATGGGCAGTTGGATGTAAGGATCGAAGAAGAGGCCAGGGATGGGAGGGGCAGTACGACAGGCTGCAGGGATTATATTGTAGTGGTTTAGAGTGCTTGGTGGTTTCGCACGTGTAGTCGGAGGTGCTATGCTCTCGTCGTTTATAGGGCTGTCAAATAGCGAATCTCCGTCTGTTGAAGCATCGTCTAGAGCATCGTCGTTATAAAAGAGGGAGTCTCCAGACGGAACGTGAGATGCTTCTACTGTCGCATCCCCCGAGGTCGTGATCGTAAGGCTGAGAGCTCGAGGTTTTGGGCGTTTGGCACCTAGCGAAACACAGTTCTGACAGGATTCTGGCTCAGCCTCGAGTGGCCTTTTAGCTGGCCTGCAGTGATCATGACTGGTAGGCATTCGTGAAGGTGCGTGGTAGCAGTGTAAAGCAGTGTTTGCCAGTGGCCACAACATTCGAACGACGCCACGAGTTCGATGCCAGACTGGCCAATGTGGCGGCTCTTGAGCTTGACTAGCATCGCTCACTTGTCGCTCACCGTATCCTGGTACCATACTTACTGCTGGCCCACTATCCTTTGTGGAACATCTATTTTTCGAAGTTCTCCTTGGCACATTTTGAGCTTACTCTGACCTCTCCAAGTCGCCTTCCACGCCTCAGAGACGAACACAGTGCAAGACGGTACAAAACGGAGTCGAAGATCGTGACGGTGACGGTGCGCCCGAGTCTAACGTATCATGATCGCGGGAGGAATACCGTGACTCACATAAGATGCCTCCTTTTATCTACTGTAGGAAAGCTAGAGAGGATTCACTATTGGGCGGACGAGTGTGACAAGGTTAGCCTGCCACGACTGCGTCAACACCATCTGTTTGCCACGAGTAAACTGTAGCTCAAGCTACTAGCTTGACCCGGGATAGTGTGTAATCCCCATTTGCCTTTTCTCGTTTATTTAGTACTTAAATGAACATCTCAGATGTCACGACGTTTTCCTCCTGAGATTCTCTCAGCGATCTTTCTCCAGAGTCTTCCTGTCCGTGACCAGACAAAAGCAACCATACCTCCGAGCCATGCTGTCATCTTGACCGGAGTTTGTCAATACTGGCGTGCCGTGGCACAATCGACACCTTCCTTATGGACAGACCTCGATCTTCCCAATGCGCCCAAGAAAGCGCAGGCACGCGAATCGTTCTTCCAGGTACTCCAAACCTGGCTCTCAAATTCCAAAAACCAACCATTATCGCTCTGCTTGAGCTCGCTAGAACGTCGGCGATCTGTCGTCAGGCAGTATCTCTCCATCCTGTGCTCTTATTCCGTGCGATGGAAGAACATCATACTCATACTGCGATGCGACGGCGACCCGGATATTATTCCCCCAATACCATCAGGCTCACTGCCTCTCCTGGAAAGGTTTTATTACAGCGATTCCTTTCTGACAGGCATCACCGTTGACCGTGACTACGGTGTTCCGCCCACTTGGACCCTCAAGGATCACCTCTCGTCTGCCCCCCACCTTCATGAAGTCCAGATTCGGCACCCGTTAGCGTTCCAGCTATTCCCTTCGTCATCCAGTATTACCAGCATTAGTTTGGATCTCGGGGTGAATACATTCCACAGGATGTTCCACCTTGGGCGTCTTCTCACCTCGCTCTCGATCTGCGATGGCCTCGAAAAACTGACTGTCACATGTCATGACTATCAATCGGATATCATCGTCGATAATGAAGGCATATTTCCTGCCTTCATCCGACTTCCACGAGTTTCCTCACTCACGCTCGCAATTGGGTCCATCTCGCTCATATTCGGTGCCCTCATGCGCGCTCTCGAGCTCCCGTCCTTGCGTGCTCTTTATTTCGATTCCAATGGTTGGCTAAGCCGCGAGCTCCCAACATTTCTCGCTCGCCACTCGCACATCGAAGGATTATTTGCGATGAACGACATATTCTCTGCAGCCATGACATCGGTGTTCGATCGACTTCCCCAACTTACCACCTTGGCCACGGAGGATCTGAGGAAACTTCCCAGTACATTGCTCAGAGAGCTCACCTTCGTATACAATCTCAAGCCCGACGGATCCAGTCCTCTACACTCCGGTCGCGTCATCACACTGGAGCATCTCATCATTTGCTCGGTCCATCCAGGAATGACAGCGATACATGATTATCCACAAACCGAGTCAGAGTATTATGATCGTGTCATGCGGCTTGTGCAGAGTCGTTGGCGTTTACCTACCAATGCACTCGATTTTGACGGAAGACCTATGGAGCGATTAAAGTCCTTCAGGATGCGGACGAAGGATAAGGTGGATATGATGAACGTTGCCCCAAATGTGTACGCGAAGCTAATGCAGTTTCGGGAGGAAGGGCTGGAGGTGGAATTTGGCAATATGGAGGAGTTGAAGACGTTTGTGATGCGGTGATCGTGTGAGTTTTCCGATCCGTCTTGCGGAGTCTTCGACGCTGTGTCCACCGGATTGACACTAACCCTCACCAATCTCCCCCTGTCCACTCATTCAGGGTGTTGTCGAAGAACATGATGTATAGACTGGTCTCTCTTCTAGTCAGTTACGGGTGCGATCCATCTTAACTGCTAAGAAGTGTCGATTTTTTTCCACGCTACGCTTTTCCTTTAGTGTTACCATGTATCCCGCTGGGTTTGCTTCTCGAATCCTATCTCGGTTCGAGATTTTCGGTCGCATACATATCTAGTTGTTTGGCCGTGGGCATGGTTGCCAGATTTTCCCGTGGCCCCAAGCCAAGCCTTTGGCTTACTAGTTGTGTGGCCCCTTGTTTGTGGACAATAATAACACGTCCTAAGTTATATGTAACAAAGATATCTAAGAGGTAGTGTATGTCGAGATTTGCGCGTTGAAGCAATAGTTTTTTATACTCCTGAACACGATGTTTACACTCACAGTCCGGTAAACAAACAGACTTTGCCCAAAGGCAAGAACAATGCGCCACCCGCGGCCGCGCCAAACTGACGGGTTCAACGATGTCAACGCATTTGATTCCGAAGGCGGCGTACAATTTGTTCGCAATCTACTTCCGAGACCAGTGGCCAGGACTCGATTCGCAATCGACGCACTCCCTGTGCTGTTTTTCACCACATAAACTCATTGCTCGCAGTCTGACTTCGTACCTACACCGAGTCCAACTGTAGTCTTCCAACGCCATCGCGAGACTGACAAGCGGTGTAAGTATTATGCACTTCATCCTCGGAGTCACCATTCGTACATGTTCGTTTGAGCATTCCCGCCAGCGCAGGGTCAAAATCTCATGGAGAAGGTCAAACTGATGAGATTTGAGTAGAAACACGTATTTGCCATGGTCAACCGATTTCCGCCCGAGATATTGTCGGAAATATTCCATCTCAGCCTTCCCGTTCGCGATCCGACAAGAGCAACCATATGTCCAAAACTCATCATCGTCCTGACTCGGGTCTGTCGATATTGGCGTGCTACTGCACAATCGACGCCCGCGTTATGGTCTGACCTTGATCTCCCCGATGCGCCTTGGAACTCTCGCCTACGCGACAATCTCTTCCAAGCGCTACGGACCTGGCTCTCTTATTCCAAGAACGAGCCTTTGTCACTCCGATTGGGCTTGCTGAAACATCGCCAGCATATTACGAATCAATACCTTTCCATACTTTGCGAGCATGCATCGCGATGGAAGAACATCATACTCATGCTTCGATGTAACGGTGATCCGACCGTCATACCTACGATGCCGTCGAATTCATTGCCTCTCCTGGAGAGGTTTTGCTACGGTTATGATTTCGTAGCGGGTGTAGATTGGTACCGCGAGAACGATGTAGTCCCTTCCGCTTGGACGCTCAAGGACACCCTTTCTACCTCTCCTCGCCTTCGGGAAGTCGTCATTCGACATCCTCTGGCTTGCCAACTATTCCCCCCATCATCTCATATTACTAGCCTTACCCTCGACCTCGGCACTATGGAATTCCCTCGGACTGTCCACATTGGGCGCCTTCTTACCTTACTCACGAGTTGCAATAATCTCGAGAAACTGGACTTTACTTGCCTCGACGATGAAGATGCTGACATCGACATCGAGATTGAGGGTTTTACTACGTCCACAGTCTCCCTTCCCCACATATCCACGCTCAAACTCGCATTGGGCTTCCACTCGCAATTATTCACCCGCCTCCTCCCTATTCTGGATTTCCCCGATCTGGCCAGCCTCGAGATTGAGTCCATACGGTTCGGGCATCCGCTGGGCACCAAGTTTGTCGCATTCGTGACTCGCCACAAAGACCGGATCAAGTCTTATATCTCGTTCAACGACACCCTCTGCAACTCCTACTTATCACTACTCGTTGGGGACATGACCAATTTGTCCACCCTCGCTATCGCTGTACACAAGACCTTTGCCTATCTGATGTTCGGACGACTCAACTTCGAATACCCCGAAACTCACAACGGATACCACCACCTCAGTAACGAGTGCCGCGGCACCTCTAATATCGAACACCTCATTTTGACCTCCCCTCTCAGGCCGTTTCAAGATGTTCGCAGAGATAGGACATACTACGAGGCCATCGTCGGTATTGTGGAGGGCCGCTGGAAGATGCCTCCCAATGCAGTCGATTTCGATGGCGTGTCGTTGAAGCCTCTGAAGTCGTTCCGGATGCTTGCGCAGGATAAGGTGGAGATGATGAAAACGGCACCGGAGGCATTCACGCGACTCATGGAGCTTCGAGATGAAGGGTTCGTGGTGGGCTTTGATGACTTGGAGGATTTGAGAAGGGTGGCGACGCGATGAAGAGGTGAGTCCGCAAGTACATCTTCCACTCCCTCGCGGTCATCAAACGCGGTATTTGTCAGGTACGAGGGCTTGGAAACCATAATACAATTTAGTTCAGTTTTCGAAGTACATAGCAAAAACTTGAGAGAAAAGCATAGCCAGAAAAAAGAGCTCTACAAAGAATTTTACCCACGAGGCACCCTCCACCGTGTTTTTTTTGCAGCAACAACCTCACTCGCACCCTCCAACATCATCTCCGCATTCCTCTCAAGATACGCAACGACTCTCTTCTGATAATCCTCCCAAAGTGCGCGAAATTCCTCACTACTCCCATGAAAGTTCTCTTGGTGCGTCTTCTTCCCTGGCACCAAACCCCACATCTTCGTCAGGCACCTCCCGTTCCTCCGACTTTTACACTCCTTCCCTTGGGGACACCAACCAGGAGGCTGCCTCCTCGACACCTCGAGCGGAACATGCACGTCTAGGCACTTGGCGCCATTTTGCAGTTTCGAGCACCCGAGGCGCTCGGCATAGTCCTGACATACGATCGGAGGATGCCAGGGGCCGTGTGTGCAGTCTTCTGGGTGGTTGGCCGTGTATCGAGGACATTCGCTCCCCTCCACACAGACGTGAGGCTCTGCACGCTTGACGGCAATGTCGCCGGCGAGGTCGCCCGGCCCCCCGTCGGTATCGTTTTCCGGCAATACGACAACGTCCTCCTTAGTCTGCTTCTCCAATTCCGCCTCTATCCCCGTCCCTATGTCCGCCGCCTTCCCCTTCCCTTTATCCACCTTGCCCTTGGCCTTGTCATCGGTATCGGCACTCTTGACGGACTCGGTCCCGCGAGGCAAGCCTGCTCTATCCCTCGCCCAGTCAGCAGCCCACCACGACGCCGCGAGACTGTCCTGAACATCAGCCAGTTTGTTCACGGTTCGAGGATTTCGGTGACCGTGAATGGGGCCGATATAGTCGTCGTCTTCGTGGCAGGGCGGGGGTGTATAACCGTCAGACTCCGAAACCGTCGAAGGCGCAGACGAGCTGGGCCCAGAGCGTCTTGTAGTGTCCGTGTCGAGCTCCGGGACGTCGGGGTGAGCATTAGCGTTGGGGTGGTGAGATGAGCGAACCAGTGACGATAACCGGACGTTCTCGTAACCGGGCAAGTGCGAATACGTATCGCCCTCCTCATCAGTCGGAAACGCAGATGAATTGGTCGCAGAGGGGTCTCCAGCGTCGGCGTCGGCGCCACCGACAGCGAGAGTGACAGTGACAGTGACATCGCCTTCCTCGAGCTCGACATATTCGGCGGACGAACCGCCTAAATCAAAAAAACCAGGTTTGGAAGACGGGCTCAGAAGTGTAGAGTCAGGCGTCCAACCTTCTACGGAGGGTTCGGAGGTGAGGGTTACGTGGACGGCTTCAAGCTTCCGGAGGCGTTCGTATGGAAAGGACTCCACGGTGTGTGGCTGGGACGACGATGAGGCGGGAAAGGCACCCTTCAGAACATCGTTCACGCCGGCGCGGTAGGAGAATCGCGCTGCGAGCGGGTCTGCGTTGGAAGACGCTAGAGGGACGCGGAAAGCCTGCGCCTGAGGAGTGCGAGACGTGGGCCTTGGAAGTGTTGGTGCCTTCTTGGACTCTGTTTCGGCGGCATTGGTGGATTCGGTGGATGGAAGTTTGACGGAAAGGCTCGTCGACGATGGTTGGGCAGACGTATTGGTGTGCACGACTGGCGTGGGCTGGTGAGAGCGCGCGGGTTGCGCGGGTTGCTGTACTGTCGCCGGTGTAGGCTGGCTAGATTGATTCGTCGACGACTCGACGGATGCCGTAGAAGAAGGGTTCCGAAGATGCTTCGGCTGGAAGGGTTGTGCTTGAGAGTTCAAGGGTGCGGACGAGAACGAAGCCAGTTGCGTCTTGGGAAGTGTGGCCGATGGGTTGAGGGGGTCATAATCGAGCGGCAGCGCATGTTGAGTACGGACTTGACGTTGACCTTCAACTAGATCGTGGACTGGCTGTTGATATGGTTGTCGTTGCTGCTGCGGAGGCGGCGGCGGCCGCTGTGGGAGATGGGGTGGGGCCTGCCGTTCGAATTGTTGAGTGCGTTGCTCCAACTGATGCTGTGGCTGGACTTGGACGACGTCGTGCTGTCTGTGTTGCTGATACGGCACCTGTGCACTCGAACTGGGATGCGAAAACGAAGAATGATTCGCCGACGAACGAGACGGCGCAGAAGAGTGATGCTGAGCGTACGGTACAGGATTATGGGCCACAACAGGAGCCACGTGCACGTCCTCCGACCGCGGCGGTGGCGCGGCTTGTTTCAGCTCATTCGCGGATTCGAGGACGAGTTCCTGGTCGACGCCCCAGCCAATAATTACTCGGCTCGGAACGCGATGCTCCAGCAACGCGATGACTATCCTCTTAGCTTCGAGGTGTTGCTCAAGTGACACTGAAATGGCGAGGAGAGAGGACGAGATACGAGATAGAAAAGTGAAGAAAAAGCAAAATAAAAGAAAAAGTCAGCACGAGGCAAAACACGAGGCAAAACATAACGTGGGGAAGACGCACTAGTACTCGCGGGGCACGTGTGATTATCCTTGAATATCTTCAACTGATACTGCGCAATCGTCAAGGGTGGGGAGAAGTGAGGGTGCGCCATTGTATGACCGACTGCCATGGGCTTTTCAGCGACATGAGGCTCCGATCGAGCCGGAGGAGGAGGAGCAGGAGGTGGTGGTGGTGGTGGTGCTAGCGGTGGAAGTCGTGGTTCGGGTGCTCTATCTCTCTGGTCCCACGGTCGGTCAAACTTCCCATGCGTTAGAGAGGCAGGGCCAGAAGGTCTGCACGGACGTCCATCCTGACCGTGAGCTTTAGGAGCTGGAACAGGTTGCCGCTGAAACGAGCCAGGGCCGGAAGATAACTGCGGGGGATCCCGGACCGCTAAGTGGGAAGTGACACTGAGAGGAGGCGCTTGATCACGTAATGTTGACGCTTGTGGGTGCCAACTAAAACCTGGATCCAGTGACCCAACGGGCCCGGGCGGGGGAATTGCCGAGTGGAATGTTGGCTGGTCGTGACTTGTCGCGACCGAGGGGCCTGGAGAATAATTAGTTAGCAGTGAGGAAAACTGAGTGTGGTTCGCTGAGAGCGTGAACGTACGTGGTGGCACTGGTCCTTGAGGAGGATAATCTGCCGACGTCGTAGGCTGCCTCAAGAACTTGAACTTTGGGCGGATCCATCCGGGAGGATGGCTTGGTTCGTTTCGAGTGGGTGGTGGAGGAGCAGGTCGAGGACGAAAGGGAGGAGGACGATACGTAGCTTGAGCTTGAGCTTCAGGAGGATATTGTGGACGGTTCATAGTGCGCGAATTATAGCGGACGAGAGGACGAGGACAAGAATGAAGAGGATGGGGTTTGAGAACAGGAGCATACGAGCTGGCACAAAGACTGCAGAGCATTTCGACGCCCTTATATATGTTTTTCGAAACTTCCTCGAACGAATCAGAGTTCAGCTACCCTGGACACCAAGGTACGTGCGCTAGGATCGATATCGCGCAGGTGCTAGAATATCAAGAGCCTGCCCCATTTGGGCAGCCCTTTGTGCGTTGCTTGTTCAAGCCAGTTGGTCGGCCGTTGGGTTAACGACGAACTCCACTTCGTGCCGTACTAGTGGAAGGAACAAGCCGCGGCGAGAACATGAACAAAGACTTTCATGCGATCGATTTCACACCGAGCCTAAACTGGATAAAGTATATCTGCGGAGAACCGAGTGTGTGGCGCTAGATCTCAGAGGGCTCGTACAGCCAGTAGGATCCATGGAAAGGCACTAATAGAAGACGATGCGCGCACAGGAAGCCCAAGGACAATGTCGGGAATTCACGTACCCATACCGTAATTACACACAATGTCCGATCGCCTGATCGTGTCTTCGTGCCGTCCACCCATGCTTCCAAGAAAAAAAATCCCTCGACCTCCGACCACGACCTCGACCGCGATCTCGAACGACCCTCATTCCTCAGCGGTTTCTATGCACCGGGCGCCCCAAATCCCGAGACACGCCCACATATCCCACCGCAATCTCAACCCGCCCCAGCGCTCCTCCACCACCTCACTACCCCATCCTCCCCACCGCTAACGAACGCACCCGCAGAGCCATTCGCCGCAGGCTGCGGTCTCCACGAGACAGACCAGACCTGGTCGGTATCCTGGATAGTCGAGACGGCGGCGCGGGCGGCGAGGTCCCATACTTTGATGGTTTTGTCGGCGGAGCTGGAGTACGTACGCACGGTGAGTATTCGTGGATAGGAAATGTAGTAGATGTAGGACATACCCAGATAAAGCCAACCTCGAATCCGGCGAGATATCAGTGCTGAGGACCCAGCTGGAGTGACCAGAGAAGGAGGCTACGGCTCCTGAACCTGGTTTGCCGGAGGCGGAGGAGGTACGGACGTCGTGCAGGATGAGCCGTTTGTCTTCTGACGCTGACATCAGGAGCTGTTGATGGTGGGACGGGCAGAATGTTAGAATTTTGGACGACGATCGTGCGCAACAGCCTAACATGGGGTGCGGTGAGGTGGAGTGGCGTGACCGATAGGAGGACGGTAAAAACGTCTTTGGAAGGTGGACGGTGGAAGGCGGAAGTGGAAAGGACGTACCTGCGAGTCCGGCGACCAAGCGAGGGAGCGAACGGCCATTGCATGTGAGGTGTAGGTGACGGTTAGAGCCTGCGATGCAAGGTCGAAGATGTAGATTTGGCCCGATTCAGCGGCGAGCGCGACTCTGCTACCATCTGGACTCTACACAGGATCCCACCAGTGCCAGGAAGACAAGTCATAGATCAGTTTCGAGCGTATGCACAGGCGAACGGGATGGAGTAGGAGTTGTGAGTGGAGTGGCGGTATTTGTCGGGGAGCAGAACAAAGGTGACTGGAGCAGGAAAGAAAGGAAGACATGGCTCACATGACTACATCGCATGCCGAACTTACTCCTTCCGCTAGACAACGTAGCGAGTTTTTGACCGAAAGAGTCCGGAGTGGCGGAATGGATGGTGACGTTTCCTGAGCTGCCGGTGGAGGCATACGAAGCTCCTGTTGGGTTTAAGGACACGGACCATGCTACGAAGCGAGCGACTTGTCAGAATGGCGTTCGACATTGAATTTCCAGATACTATGTACAAGATATCATCTACGCTATCTCTCACCCCGGAACACAATCTCTGAATCCAACACTCACATGGCTCGGTCGCCTCGCCTCCAGTCCGCGCATAACTCTCCCACTTTCCCAGCACCTCCCCACTCTCCACGTCCCACAGCCCGGTCAGTCCCTCGATCGTGTTATATAATGCCCGTTTACCATCTGGAGAAGTGGAGAGCGAAACGATAGCGAGTGGATGGGGCGCGAGCGAGCGGAGGACTTGGCCAGAGGATGAGTCCCATCGTTTGACGGTTCCGTCAGCAGAGATGGAAATTGCGGTGTCGGATGTGGGTGTCCATTTTATTCCCCAGATGGCATCGGAGTGGGCTGGTGGTTGATAAGGGTGGGTGAGTGAACGGCGAAGGGTGTGTGGCGAAAGCGCGTACGTTCTTGACAATCGAGAGCGTGAAGGAACGCGAGACTCTATAATATATAGATGAAGCTATGCCCCGGTCAAACAATAACCAAGGCTTACCATTATGGACTACAACTACAACAACACAGACAAAGGATGGCAAGACGAAACGGGACTTCGAACCGATCGTTGAACGTTCATACGTACGGTGGCGGCCAACCCCGAAGGCGTGGGAACATTTGCTATATAACACTTCTCGCGCCGTGAACCTTATTTTTTCCACACCATCAACGAGAGCGGACGAAGACATCGCCTGTAGCCCCTAGCAAAATTATCCATATCAAAAACGTACGTCTCATCCGTCTGTTAACCACTAGATGGTGCTGACGACGAGCGTGATAAAATATAGGATGTCTGACGCAGGAGATGAGATCAATGTCGAGGAGGCGGCCCCCGAGGTCGAGGAATCCTCCACCGCCCCCAAGGGAAAACTCTCCGTTGAGGAGGCTCTTCAGGTGAGTGTCCTGCTCGTATTCGTACCGTTACTTCCTGCTGAAAAATGCTAATAATTTTCACCCAAACAGCAAGTCCTGAAGATTTCCCTCGTGCACGACGGTCTCGCTCGTGGCCTCCGCGAGTGCGCAAAGGCTTTGGACCGTCGCCAGGCCCACCTCTGCGTCCTCGTCGAGACCTGTACCGAGGCAGAGTACATCAAGCTTATCGAGGCTCTCTGCGCTACCCACAAAATCCCCCTCATCAAGGTCGGAGACGCGAAGATCCTCGGGACCTGGGCCGGACTTTGCAAGATCGACAGGGAGGGCAACCCGCGTAAGATCGTTGGGTGCTCGTGTGTCGTCGTTAAGGAGTACGGCACGGAGACGGAGGGGAGGCACGTTCTTGAGGACTACTTCAAGAGCCGTTGAGCTGTGGACGTTTGGTGAGTTCTGATTTCCTTTGTCTTTTTTCTTTCTTTTTTTTGTGTTCGTGGGAGATGCAGAGGGTGCTACGCGATGACAGAACAGACTCCCTCAACCGAGACTTTACTGTCCTTGAGGATTCACGTCTATCCGGAATCATTATTATTGTCTGATCACCCTCTCTTCATCCTCCGTCATGCGTCCGTCCTTCTGATCGAGCATCGTGCTGATCTTTCGATATTTGCTATTCAGATTACGGTTCACTCTCACAGCGGAGAAGCATGTATCCTTGTCGGTCATTCACACCTCTAATGCCAGATGTATCCATGCTTGAGCTTCCATGACACTCGTTCTCTGTGTGCCTGCACGATTTAAGAAGAGGGTGAGATGTGCCACCAACATGCAAACGATCGGTCACCCTTTTGCTTCTAGTTCCTCCGCTAATTTAGCACCGTCTGCTCCGAACATGCACCGACGTGTCTTTGTTCGGACGGGCGTACGATTTTTGGACACTGCCTCGTGTCTTCGTCCCTTGTCTGAATATTTAGGTCGTATACGTACGTTCATGAGAAAGTCATCCTCTACCCTTCAAGTAAGAATAAAAGTGGAATCGACACTGGCAGCACACTTCAGACCGTGTTTGACGTGAACATCGCTAAAGCAGACAAAGTCGCGCGAGGAACGTGATTATTGCTGGGATATGACATCGGGCTATCGGGATCTGAGTGCGGAGACGAAATTACCCCAGAGGCGTGGCTTTCACCGGCCAGGGGAAAGCGTTACCCCACAGTTTCGCTTTCTTTCCTTTGCTCCTTCATCCGTAAATCATACCCTACATACCCTTCGTACCTCAATAGCCTCAGTCTCTCCCATTGCCTTACGAGTTACGACTAAAAAATTCAAAAACGTCTCCGCCGTCGTATCAAGAAACGAAGAAATCATGGACTCAAAACCCCCACCAGCGCCACTCCCATCCTCAGGTGGTCCAGGCCCACCACTCAACCGCACAAAATCGTACCTCCAATTTCGACCGAGACGGGCAATAGCATCGTTCGAGAATTTGGTGGTATTGGCGAATTATGAGGAGAGGCTGAAGGAGGCGAGGAAGATGGTGTGGAGGGATAGAGGGGAGCCGGCCGTGGAGGTGGGCGATTTGTGGGAGTGTTTGGAACATGGGACGAGAGGCGGATTGAGTGCGTTTTCATTTCTCTTGAGTGTTCGTTTTTTGTGGAGGTTTGTTGATGGGTATGTACAAGTAGGAGCGGCCACGTTGGCGTTTGCGATACGGTCGGGGATCAACTTTTTTATTCTTATGGCTAGGATCAAGAACTTTCCGAGGTATGTCCTTGGTTGATCGGTTCTCTCATCACTCTCGTCACCTTCGCGCTCATTTCTCCACGTCCTATATTTCGTTGTCATAGAAAGCACCGAATAAGTTACATCCAACATGCCCTCTTCGGACCAGATTCGTTCAGAGCGGCTGCTATGCTTGGTAGGCTCTCTCGTTGTTTTATCACGAATCCTCTTGAGTTCAAGAGATGCTGAGACATGTTGTGATGTATAGGCAGTTTCGTGACATTGTATAAATTTCTACTGAACGCCTTCCCCATCCTCTTCCCTCCAAACCTTCCCCTCTCCGCTCAACTCTCCCGTCTCGCCTCGCTGGACTTCACGTCTATCCGTTCTCCCTCCTACCTAACCTCCCTCTCATACCCACCCACACCCACCTCCAACCTCAGACCCAACTCACTACCATCCTCCGCCCTCGACGACGATGATGATGAAGACGACGAAACGCCCAGCCCCTCCTCTTCCCTGCTCACGATCGACAGCCAACGAATGAGAACAGGCGGTACACTTCTAGCGCACAGAAGAGCAAGGCTGAGCACGACGGCGCAGATGCGCCAGGTTTGGGTGCGGAAGAAGACGAGGAGGTGGCATGCGGTCGTCGCTGGTGCGATTGCGGGAGGGTTGGCGATTTTGTTTGAGAGGAGTAAGGGTGGACGGAGGACGGTTATTGCGCAGCAGTTGTTTGTTAGGTTTGTCCTTTCCTCTTTTTGTCTTCCGTCCAGCTTATGGAAGAGCACGGCGGAGATGGTGGTACTGACGCGATTGATGATCGTTTTTGTGGTTTAGAGGGCTGCAAGGATCATATAACGCGTTCTCGACGAAGCATAATTTTAGTATTCCGTATGGGGATGTTATCGTGTTTTCGCTCTGGTATGTAACTTCCAACTCTGACTTCCCTCAAGTCTTCTGTTACGATCGGAAGGCTGATATTTTTTGGGCTCTTTTGACAGCTGTGGACAGATCCTCTATGGCTTCCTGCGTACGTATACGCCGTCCCATCCATAAAAGACTGATCCTCAATTACTATTGCTTTGCATAGTTCGGCCAGATACACTTCCTAGATCATATGTGACCTGGTACGCACCGTTCGGTCTCGCTTGGGTGGCACATGCACTGACCGAGAGATCTCACTCCAGGATCAACCAGGCCGGAAAGATCCCCGCAGAAGGCGTCAGCATGAACCGTGACCTAGTCAGAGACGGATTCTTCAAGCTCGAAGATCTCGAGAGGGTCCTCGAGCGAAACGTACGCTCTCTTCACTTCTCAGAACCCCTACTTTCAATCACCTTTCCTCTTCCCCATATTCTTTTTCTGGCTTCTGAGCGAGTACTGACCGGCTGCACGTAACAGGAAATCCTCCCCTCGAACTCGACCGAGCTCGTCGCTCGTCTTACAGCTGCCACGGCCTTTGAGCCACCTATATGGGGGACGCGGTATGGGCCGTGTGCGGCGGTGCATCCTGCTGTGGAGTCGTGCTTGGCGGTTCCGGTGGATAGGTTTATTTCTGTGTTTAGGTGGGGTTTTGGGTTTTTTCTTCTACCGTCAATTTGACCGGAGCTCGAAGCGGAATCATTGACGACCGTTGACGTTATTCTGTAGGTGGATGCTGCCGATTTACGGTGCGCTGCACTTTATACCGATGATGCTATTCAAGAGGAAAGCGTTTGCCCAAGAGCCGGTCAAAATGCTGGGGAGAGCAGGATGGGGAACGATGAGGAGTGCGGCGTTCTTGGGGACGTTCGTCGTGATCTATCAATGTAGGTTTCCATTTCTTCGTAGCATTGCCTCAAAAGTAGCAGTACTAAATCTAAATCGCTCTCGTTGTTCTCTGCAGCTTTCTTCTGCTTCAAGCATAACCTCTACGACCTCCTCCTGCGTCTCCGCACCCGCTCCCCGTCAGGATCATCAGGATCATTCAAACCGCCCCTCTGGCTCGTCAACCTCCTCATCTCAAAACAGTCCTTCTGGCTCGGCGGACTCCTCTCGGGCCTAAGTCTATTCGTCGAAGCGAAGAGAAGGAGAGGAGAGCTGGCTATGTACGTGCTTCCGAAGGGTTTGGAGAGCGCGTGGGTCATGGCGAGGGGGAAGGGGCTGGTGCCCAGAAGCGGGAGAGGGGAAGTTGGGGAGGCGGTGGTGAGTTGATTTCCCTCATTTCTCCCTACATTCTTCTTTGGTCTAGTCTTGCACTGGTGTGATGACGGATCGAGACTAATGGGCCCTTCTTCTTTTGGTGCAGCTGACGGCCATTGGAATGGGGATGGTTATGGTACGCTTTTTCATTTCGTTTCTGCGCGCAGCAGTGCACTGACCTTCTGTACTTCTCCGTGTCGACAGAGCACATACCAGGTGTGCACCCCTCCATTTACCCTCTTCTTCGTCCTTTGGGGGGCTCTTCTCTTCAGTGAAACGTCGGAGCTTACAATCTAACCCGTTTGTCATCTCCATCCGTAGCATGACCCACAGCACCTCTCAGGCCTCGTTAGGCGGATATTGTACCAGTTTATCGGACCGAACTGAGCTCGCTCATCTCTCTGACCATTATTTTTATGGATTTAATTCGCACTGTGGCCCTGGGAAGCCTAATAATCAGAGTCCTGGTATGAGCATGCGGGTAGGTGTAGGCTTTCGCTCGGAGGTGATTGAGACACTCCTGTTGAGAGGAAAGTGCACAATGACGAATCTTTCTTGGAATTTACGGTTCGACGTTTCCGAGGGTGCTGTACGAACTGTGGCGCACGCCACTGTGACATTGCCGAATACTTTCTCGATGGCGATGCTGCTGCGAGTCCCGACCAAAGACACTGGCCGGTACCCACCCAGTTCGATGTGACTACCCTTGGAGCATTCCCGACACATTATTCCGCTATCCTGTACGGCGTGCGCGCCACCCGCAGCAGAACCTCGACGATCCGGGGACCATGACGCTTCGATTTGTGTTTTTCTTTTCGCGGCCATTTCTTGTTGCGTCAAGAGGACCTCTTCTCTCGTTGAAAGAGTTTACTGCGCTTGGTATGTGTGTTCATGCATATGTCGCGAAGGGGATTCGGGTATAAGGCTAATGTGTAGGGGCATATTGGAAGGAGGTCGTTTCGTGCCACAGGGGTCATTCATGCCCCGCAATACCCCACAACCCCAGCACGCGTAAAATAAAGACCTGCTGTAGAACAGATGGATCGCCTTCCGGTAACATCCGGTGCTGGTGATGAGACGCGTTGTTGCCATTTGTGGGCTTCCGTCCAACCGTCGATCATGGAACTGCGTCGAACCACCCGTTCTTCAAGCTTCATCCCCAGACCGAGCGCTATTATGACGAGCGGAGCATATTCTTCAACCTCCCCACTTTTTTGGCTGTCGTGATTTTGCTTCGAATGCGCTCGAGGGCGCTGCTGCGGTGCGCAGAGCTCGTCGTTTCGCTTGTGACGGGTGAACACCGACTTCTCACCCTGTTTGGAGTTCATGTGTCGTTGAAGACTCCCTGAAGACTGCTGGAGTGCGGCGTCCTTGCCTGTAAATCCTGACGACAAAGGCGGCTTCGAGCGTAATAAGCGAATATCTGTATTATTCTTGTGGACTACGCTTTGCTGCGCATTGTCCATCGTGCCATCGTTTTGCGGCCTCCGTCCGGTTTTGGAGCGTTGGTTCAGTTTAACACTCGTTTGAGGGCTGTTCTTGAAGTCATGCAATAACGAGTGGCACTGGTGTTCCGTGGCTGCTACGTACTCGTCTTGTTCGCAACTCTGGGGTTACGTACTCGGACGAACGAAGGTATATAAGACCTCTCGATTCTGCTGGTGAGGTCTCCCAACAAACAACTGCTCTAGTGTCATCACAACAGCTTTGCTTCTTCCTCTCGAACAACAATCGGGACCATTTTACTCTTACATCCCCAATACCCACACACCGTCTCTACCTCGCTCTCGTCTACCAGCTTTTAATCATGAAGTTCACTCGTCTCTCCAACTTTGTCGCGCTCGTCGTGATCGCGTCTCACGTTGCCGCTCTTCCCATGGAGAACGGAGCTGTGAGTTCTCTTCCTGATCTCTATACGAGTGTAACGTTATTCTGACCATCCGTGCGCCATATAGGTCGCTCGTGACTCCGATGTCGCTGCCCCTGCTCCCAGTGGCTCTGGCTTCCCAGATGGCGCTGTAAGTCCTCTTCGAGTCCTCACCCTGTGATTCCTAACTCACGATCACCTTTCTATAATTTCCAGGCGATTTCGTCCGCTGTCGCCGCCGCTGCCTCGTCCGTTCCTCCTCCCCCGAACGGCGGCGACGTTCCTTCTGGCCCTCCGCCCGCCGCAGCGCCGCCCTCCCGTCGCCAGGCCGGTCCGCCGCCTCCCGCTGGCTCGCCTCAGCCTCCTCCGCCTGCGGGAGGACCGGGCCCTCAGCGCCGTCAGGGTGGCCCTCCGCCGCCGCCGTCTGGCACCGGTCTCCCTCCATCGGGTTCCCCGCCTAACGGCAACCAGCGTCGCCAGAACGGCACTTCTCCCCCTCCTCCTCCTCCCCCCGGAGGTCCCGGTCCTCAGCCCCGTGACGATGGCCCTCACTCGGACGCCCCTCCTCCCCCTCCTCCAGCGGGTGGCCCGGCTCCTGTGAATCAACCTCGCCAGGACGCTACTCCCCCGCCCCCGCCTCCGCCTGCTACTGGACTTCCTCCCTCCGGAGGTCCCGGGCCTCAGCGCCGTGACGATGGTCCTCACCCGGATGCTCCCCAGCCCACTCCTTCGGGACCAACTCCCCCTCCTCACGGCAACCAGCGTCGCCAGGGCGGTTCTCCTCCTCCCCCTCCCCCGCCTGCCGGTACTGGACTTCCTCCTTCCGGAGGTCCTGGTCCTCAGCGCCGTGACGATGGCCCTCACTCGGATGTTCCCCCGCCTCCTCCCTCGGGCCCAGCTCCTCCTGTCGGTAACCAGCCTCGCCAGAACGGTACTCCTCCCCCTCCTCCTCCCCCTCCCGGCGGAGGTCCTGGCCCTCAGCGTCGTGACGATGGTCCTCATTCAGGTGCTCCGCCGCCCCCTCCCTCGGAGAGCCCGGTTCGTCCTCCCGGCAACCAGCGTCGCCAGGGTGGTACTCCCCCTCCCCCTCCCCCGCCTGCCGGGACTGGTCTCCCTCCCTCTGGAGGCCCTGGCCCTCAGCGCCGCGACGACGGTCCTCACCCGGATGCTCCCCAGCCCCCTCCCTCGGGACCGACTCCTCCTCACGGCAACCAGCGTCGTCAGGGCGGTTCTCCCCCTCCCCCTCCCCCGCCTGCCGGAACTGGCCTCCCTCCCTCCGGAGGTCCTGGCCCTCAGCGCCGCGATGATGGCCCCCACCCGGTCAGTGGCACTCCTCCCCCGCCTCCTCAGCAGCCCCCCTTCGGCGATGAGTCGGTGAGTTATCCTTTCGTTTCTATGAGATGCGACGACGGGACTGACTGGGCTGAAATTACAGAACTAGATCTCCGCTCAAGTTCGTGAGGTGCTCTCCGCGATTTACGAGGGCTTGAGACTCTGAACGTCCTACCGTGACTATGTGATCGATTAGCTTCATGGACTTTATCCTAATGATCCTCTCCCCCTTGCTTTCCCGAACATACCATTCCGCTCATTTCCTCGAACATTACTCGTACATATTCATATTCATCGGACTTCTTTATAGCCGTAGTACCTCTCGATTCTGTGCATGGCTACTGATACGACTCTTATGTTTCTACTTACCGATGAATCGTTGATACTCTGCTCGCGTTTAGTCCCATGTAGTCGTTCGTTGCCGCTACTTCATCCTGATGCTTCAATGCAATATTATACCGTTTTCGCTTGACATCGCTCTGTTCGAGCTCCGGATCGAAATCTCTGAGTTCGTGACTTTGGTCTTCGAATTCATTCTCGAGAATCACTTCCAACTGGATTGAGACTGCCTTTTCTTCCTACTGAAAGGATCTACCTAGTTGATCATGCCTTGAGTCATTCTTGGAGCTCAAGTGTGGCACGCTCGCCACACCGGGTGTTGCCGAAGACTGCAAGTTCGTTGAACGACCGGTGGAAAAACCCGGAGTGCCCTTGTGAACGACGCTAACTCGAATTGCGACAATTTCCAGCTACTCCGTCGCTCATCGATACCACTACCCCTTGACATACACTCTAGACACGTTTCAGCTCCTTATGCCGAAGGCCACGGTTGGTTCGACTTCTCGGAATGTTGACGAGTGGCGAGATGCGGAAAGTTGGCGGAAAGTCAAACCAGGAACTCTCCGCCCGGGTGAAGTGCATATCTTTCTTGCGCGGTGGCTAACGTGAAGCATCGAAGTGCTGAAAAACCTGTGTCCACATCTTCATTCTGCGGAATGCCGACGATACTCGTCAATTTGTTCCCTTTGTTCCGGTGATGACAAAACTCCATCTCTTTGTTATCTCTTTGGGCCAAAATTCTACAATCATTCAATGACGGGAATCTTACGTCTTGTTCCCAGGGTTTTGTTTTCATTGGTACGCCTGACTTCATTCCCTATGTGCATGAATGAGTGACCCCTTCGTCATCGTAAGTTTTGTCGTTATCTTTGACCACGCCCTCTATAACTTCGAGACAGCCCCTGGGACCCCTTGTCGGAGTTTCTCTCTCTCTTGTTGATGGTGTGTTTTGGGATCCCGCCCAGGCATGGTGGTGGAGCCGTAGTCCACTATAATTTGGACCAGTGAGACTTCAGCGCAGTCAGCTGCCGCGGTCGGTCATGGTGTTACAAAACCTGGCCAATCCTGGCCAATCGCACCCGCGCGTGGATTCAGTCCGCGGACTTATTAGTTGCTCGGATGCCCACACAAAATACATCAGATCGCAACAAGAATATGGCCAACGAGATATTATCTTCTCGTCACACAATGCTTGAAAGTAGGCTGTTGTGTTACAGTGCGTGGGTCTATATTTCATAGATGGCCACCGGCAAAGTCGGTGTTGTGGGTTCATGTAGTGGCGGAGGCCTCAGCGTGAAACCATTCATGAGCGTCGTCAGCCAAAGAGTTCGGAATTCAAGTATGTGGTAAGTGTCATTGACCATGGCAAAGATTGAGCGGTCCGATTGGCCTGCCTATGCTGAACAATATAAAGACAGGTCATAAGATGGAGATTTGCATAACACATTGCACCGCAGCACCTGCTATGGTATTCGCTCCTGAAGATATCTTTGCTATACAACTACGGTATGTCTCAGCTCTGTAGTTTATTCCCATTTTCCATCGGATATGGTGCTTGGTACTGACAGGCTACGATTTTATAGGATGGTCAGCAACAGCGCTGTTGTGTCCGCAGCCGGTTCGGCTCCCTTTCTCCACCGTCCTGCCGTGCTAAACTGACCTTCGACTGCAGCCCTTTGGCTAGGCGACTATATTGCAACATTGCCTGAAGAAATATATGTTATATGGTTACACAGACCGACGTTCCGCTCTGCTGTCTTCCTCCTAAACCGATACTCCATTCTTCTGCATATGGTACTTTGTGGTTTCTTCACATTCTCTGCGAACGGGACAGACCAAACGTACGTTCCATCGCCTGTCCAATTCTGAACTTCTGACTGATATGAACGTTTGGGACTCAGGTGTCAAGGCATTGGATATCCAATGCAATTCAGTATGGTAATCGGAATGTGCGCATCATGCAGTAAGAACAACTCCTTTGCTTATTACTCGCTTCCCTCATTCAAGTTTTGTTCAATTGCGAAGCCCTCATGGCGCTCAGAGTATATGCTCTGTACAATCGCAATAGAGTGGTTGGGTTGACGTCGATCGCTTTTATCGTCTTACGCACGGCCCTTGCATTATATGTTCGTGGGTTTTTCCCACTCTTCCGATCGAATGTTACTGATTTGCTTGTTTTTAGATCGATTTCATCCTGCAAGTCCCTGCTGGCACTATTGGCACAAACTTGGAGTCACTCTCAAGATGCCAACTTGTGTCGCCTGATCCTACTTCACTTGCCATGTAAGCCATTTTGATACACATGCCGCTAAAGTCCTTGCCTGATTCTTTCTCACAATCTCTAGATGTGAGTTCTCAGCTTATTGGACTCGTCAATTGTATTCACAGCCAAGTATGATCCTACCTGTCTCCTTCTTAGATCGCCAGTTCATCAACTCTGCGCTGAGTTTCTTTTATGACCTTTTTGTGATCGTTCTGACACTGAGGAAGAGCTACTCGCACGTTTTGGACATGCGTCGGTTTGGTTTGGGCCAGCATAGTGTAGCGCAAGTTCTTCTTCGTGACGGTAAGTCCCTTGATATTCCACTTTCTTATTTTCTCGCTAATCGAACTTATGTCGCCAGGCATCTTCTACTTCGCGTCAGTGTCTGGGTCTTGGATGTTCGGAACACTTTTTGAAAACGGTTTGTACCTCAGAATCATGTTAGTTATGTCGTGTGTCATGGCGTTGATGGGAATGGTATGCATTCCTTTCTGTATGCGGGTAGTTTTACCTGAAACTGAACTTCAATGGTCTCGCCAGTTGTCCTTCTTTATCGGTGGAAAGGTGCGTCTCCTCGACCGGTTGCATATCGACACAATGCTCATTCAGTCAATTGGTGATTTCGTCGACAGCTGGATCCTGAGAGATCGCCCTTCTTTGATATCATTGCACCTTTCTGGATTATGTGGGTTGTCCTTCCACTAAATAAGCTAGTCTCCGCTGATCACCATCTGTGCTATCGGGCTTCGGGAGCAGCGTACCGAACCTCCTGATGAATCGGTTGGTACTTAACTTACGGACCTGCTCCTGCTCCCTCCCTCTAGGTCATACCTCACCCAGCACAGAAACCCTTCCGGAGCTGCGTACTCGGGACGTTCGGTGAAACAGCAGCTTAGGCCATATTCAAAGGTCGAAAGGCGGAGACTTAGAACAGGAGGTGTGGTGACCGAATAGAGGCTGCTGAGACGAATTGGAACGCATTTGCAAGACGGGTAGTTCTATTACAGGGGGTAGGATGAGAAGCTGTATGATAGAAGTGTGCTAAATGATAAATCAACTATGTCTAAAGGTGTCCCCAAGCAGCTGCCAGACGGCTCATCCATAAACTTCTGAGCTACAAGTTATCCTCAAGCATAATTGTAAGGGGCGGCTAGGGATACGGTGTGGCACTCAACATGAGTGGGCCACATCTATCCTAAGCGCCACTTCCGCGTTGCTGCATCCGGGCGATCGATCTTATCTTATCACGCGCGCTTGTTTGCTCCTGGCAAACAAGCCAGATCTCGTATATATATTCATGGACTCTCGTATGTACTCTGTATCTTACTTGTAACCTTCGTACCTCTTGGAATACCATCCGCACCCTCGACGGGCAGGCGGGTACCGTTCTCTCAGGCGCGAATACCTCAAGACCAAGACCCCAACCTCTTACACTTTTTGAACGTCCGCAAGATCTATCTACTGTGCGTACTTTTTATTCCAACCAATATCCCCAATATCTTCCATGAGCTCCCGAGGCCGTGGAGGAAATCGCGGAGGAGGATCTGGTGATCCGTCCTCCTCGAACACGCGAGGCGGCGGTGCAAGGGGTGGTGGAGCAGGCAAGAGGCCGAGGACCAGGGCAGTGACTCGCGGCGCCGATGATGGCTCCCACGACTCGCAAGAGTCGACAGACCGCGAGTCCGGCGATGAGCAGACCGACGCTCTCGACCAACGACCATCATCCCCCCTTTCCGCCCCTCCTTTTACAGCCCCCTCTCCATCCAACAATGGGACCCATTCCCGAACCCCGACGCCCGACCTCAAAAATTCCGATGACGATGACGAAGAAGCTCAACCGGAGCAGCGTCACCGTCAAACTCAACAGGTGAGTCAAGGCGCCACAACGAGTGGCGCAGCCTCTGCAGGGAGAGCCCAACGAAGGCTCTCCGATGATCAACAATCCCTTCAGAATGAAGGGATGGATAGACAATCGTCTATGGCCCCCTCCAATGACCCTCTCGTCGAAACCGTCGAGCAGAAATTGAGGGCGGCTCGGAAAGTGGCTACCGGGTTGTCGGCGCTTCATGCGTCCACAAGGGAAGCTTACTCCGACTATGACGAGAAAACGCGTCGATTCCTGCAAGAGCAGGGAGAGATGCGCACTCGTATAATGGACGAGAGCCAGGCTATCATCGATAACCTGGTGGAAATTGAAACCGCCTTCGAGCAAGACGGGCGGTTTCGATTTTCGGAACCTTTGGTATCTGCCGAATTGGCAGATATATACTCTAAAAGCGGGACTCGAACACCTAGTAAAAGGGTCCCGCATAGTAATCCGATGCCCTCATCCTCATCCAATAAGGATGCAGAGGCGCGAGTGGACAAAGGTAAGTCCAGAGCAATTATGACTCAACGGGAGACATCAGAAGATGTCAATCCGTTTGAGAGACTAGAGGGTGAGTCCGACGCCGATTACCGGCGAAGGACTGGACCTGTTCACGCTCGTGTGGAGCGTGAAGAACAAGAGGCCGCAGAACAGCAGCGACAGCTGGCTGAAGACGCGGCCGCTGAACATCGCCGAGCTCAAGAAGAGCTCGAAGCACACAGGCTCGCAAGGCAACAAGCTGAGCGAGCCGGAGAGGCAACTGGGGAAGGATCTAACGGTCCTTACAGACCTGATCCCCATCAGTGGCAGGGTGAACCTGAAGAAGAGTACCGTATACGGGTACGTAACTTCAGGAGGATTAATGGCCCTGCTCCTCCTACGACCCCTACGCCTCTGCGTTCGATAATACGAACCCCAGTAACACGCCGGGAAGAGGTGAGGTTTGCTGACGGTCCTCGTTATCAAGACGAGGACCCTGGACCCTCAATCAGCGCACGAGTTCCAAATACTGGAGCTAGTGCTTATGCTGATTCGGACTATATTCCCCCTTCGTCGTATTCTGCTACCAGGCCAGTGCAGGCAGGTAGTGCAGCGTCTCAAGTGAGTACTTCGAGACCAGCAGGATGGGATCATCAGGATCATGAGCTACAGCTCATAATCGAGATGATCCATCATCACCTCGACAATGAAGTGACAAACTCCGCGGGAGTAGCGTTCGCAAAGAACCTCAAAATTGAGGTCGCGCAATACTCTGGAGCTGACGATCCGGATGGATTTCATACCTTTATGATGAAATTCATCCGCCAGCTCCGGATGTACAAACTTTGTGGTCAGAGTGATGAGATGGAGCAAGAACGTATTCTTGCTCTAGGGCAAGTCCTTAAGGGTACTGCGCAGACCTGGTTCAACCAGGAATACGACAGTATCAGGGGATTTACCCGTCACCAAACATTTGAGAGTATGGTGAGCGCCTTATACCGGCGCTTCATCCATACATCAAGTGCTCGTGTTGCTAACGAGCAATACGAGAACTGCAAGTGGTCAGCGAAAGACACGGTCGGAGGATTCTACGACCGTCTGTTGACCGCAGCAGAACGTTTGAGGAGTATGCCAGACGCATACTCACTCAAATGTAAGTTCTTTTATCAACTGCCGTCGAAGTTACGCCGACAGGCGATACTCCAGCAGAGGGTAACCCCCGAGGACTCCACAATGGCGGAGCTCCTCGATGCCGCTAAATGGTGCGAGCGTGGATACACACTCGCATCCAACTTCGAAGCAGAAGATGAGAGAAAAACGAAGACAAGGTCTTCATCTCTCAAAATTATTAGCAGGGATAATAATCCCTCTAATAATAGACCCTCCTCTAGTAGGCCGACGTCAAGGCCTACGAATCACCATAATCCGTCGGGGTCAACCAGACCCCAAAGAGACCACACGAGGAGTAGGACCCCGAGGGACTCTAACCCACGGGACTCTACTCCACGTAGGACGGACTCTACTCCTCGTCCGGCTGCCTCTCGTCCTCAAGGAGGGCAAACACAACGGCCCAGCGACCCGAACGCGTGCTACAATTGTGGCAAGCTGGGGCACTGGGGCAGAGATTGCCCTCAGAAGGATGACAAGGATAAGCAAAGGGACGGGGCTAACAAAAAGCGCCGCTTATATGCGCAGCGTCCGGTCGATGACCGAAGCAACGATGAACAAGAGAATGACCGTCCGACTGACGGTCATGTCCCAAGAACTACAAATGAGGACACTCTACCAGAGGGTACCCCATTTGTCGAATATTCCGACTCGGAGAACGGTGCAGGAGACTACACCGACCGCTCTGGTGATGAAGGATCACCAGGCGAAGACACCTCCGATGTGGAAACTGATAGTGATGATGATAACCCCCGAGTGGGAGCCATGAGGCTCCGTGGGGGTTGTGGCGAGGAAACAGAGGCAAATGTCTCTGATTCTGCGATAACTGTCGATTCGTCAGACTCTGAAGGAGACGAGAACGACGAAACGGCGACGATAGGGCAGTCAATGAGACTGCGAGTAACTAATCGTCGTTTCGACGATTCTGAAGGCGAATATGACTTCGAATCAGGCGATTTTGTCGAAGCCCGCGTAGAGTTCGTGCCTGATGGCGACACGAGCTTTAATAGCGAAATGGAGGTGGAGGAATCACTCCAGCGCTCTGAGGGCGAGGAGTCTCCTCCTCCAAGTCGCGCTCCCACACCAGAACGCCCAATGCGGTCGTTCGTGGTCGAGCAGGCTGACGACACAACGGACGGAACTGTCTCTTCATTTGAAGGACAGCCTGGTAATGTGCCGACCCTGGGTGAGGCATACTCCCTCGGATGGCAAAGTGCCCTGAGGATGGCTCTCACGGTGATTGAAGCCCAGAAGGATGACATGTCCGACCAAGATGGTTTGGGCATGTTAATAAAGGAAGGAATCAGTCGGGCAGCTCGAGAGGTCAACAACTTGTTGACTGATGAGCCCCCGGTGGTAAACTTACCCCCTCCTCCTCCCGTTGGCAATAAGCTCAACGAAAGGAGTAGCAAGGTTGCCGATTCTATCCTCCGCGAGCGTCGCAGGCAGAAGAAGCGACGTCAGCGCCAGAATAGGAATGAGCGGCTGCATACCGCTGAAGATTTGCTGGCAGAAGTAGCAGCGGAGGTTGCTGCTACGAACAGCGAATCTCACGAGCAGCCCTCAGTATCTATGATGGCGATGAACCCCTCGCGTGAGCGCACCAACAAGGAGGAATACCGTCCTACGTGGGTGTATGACGCCAAGATCGTCAAGAGTGGCAAACAACCAGTACGAGGCAAACGCGAGGCCATCGTACTGGCTGTAGAAATCGATATCGCAGGGTTGAAGTGCTACACGCTCTTCGACTCTGGGAGTACGACCAACGCCATCAGTCCTGATGTTGCAGTTGTGTCGAAGACCCCACTTGTCGAGCTGGATGAGCCAATGACTCTCCAACTGGGTACAGTTGGCAGTAAGTCGACCATAAACTATGGTACGCATGCCTTGGCCAAGATGGGTACCTCCTCATTTGAGGCGTATTATGATGTCGCTAACATCGACTATTATGATGCGATTCTGGGAACCCCGTTCCTACTGCAGCACAAAGTCATACTTGACTTTGGCAAAAAAGCAGTAGAAATTGACGGCCAGACTTACCCGGCATTGACTCTCGAACAAGAGAGGGTCGTGCGTCGTCAGCGACGTACGTTCCGCCGTCAAGTTGACGAGGCCGCATTGTACGCCCGGGATAAACCCCCGGTGGCACGCGTACACACCATGAAGGATGTTAATAAACATCCTCAATCTCTATCAACCGAGGAGATTCTAGCGTCCGATGTGGCCGCCCCGCCTACTGTCCCTCCTCCGTCTGTCTCT